GAAAGCCAGTCAGTCTCAATCGCTACAGGGACACTTTGGCGCTCACACAGGCCTCGTTCAGCTGCCACAGTGTACGAGCATGGGCATTGCGGTCGACTTTTTCCACCCAGTTTCGCCTGCTGCGAAAACGCCGTTAGTGTGCGGGAAATATTCTATTGGCTCGATCACCCCTGAATATTGCACATCCCCGAAGTTGACGTGATCTGAATAATGCAAGTGTTTCCTGATAATAAAGATCTGCATACACAAAAAATTTTCAGCACGGGTCCTGCGTACAGAAGCAGAAAGGCCAATGATCTGTATGGGTTTTGGGCTTTTGAGTCCCGCATTGCTTCTAAGCACTATTCACTGTAAGGGCCAATAGGTGGAAACGGTGCCTTGAAAACCATAATTCTCCAAATAGCAATTAAGGACCCTAGCTAAAGAGCCGTAGCTACGGACTTTTCGCATGTCAGTCAACCATATATAAGTGACCAAAAAACCCTCTGTTTCAACTACCAGTTACAATCCAAAATGAGATTCCTTTCAATCACTGCTGCTTTGACTGCTCTTGCTTCCTTCGCTGTCGCTGAAGACCTTACCACCTATTCGCTGGTTATCGACAGGGATGGAGCTATTTTCACCAAGGTTTTGACCTCCACCATCGGAAACACTGATGCCGGATATGCAGAGCAGTATGCCACTGACACCTCCATCCACGTTTACACCGTCGGAGATGCAGAGGCTTCCTCCTCTTTCTGGGCGTACGTTAGTACTGCCACTGCTACTGCTTAGCTGACGTGGTTTTTTTATAAGCTTAGCATATTTATACTTATTAAGGGTGCTAAATAAGCTTATGAATTATTGTAAACAAGCCTCGGCAATTTTATTACAGTACAAGTACATTTTTTATTATGTGCCAATGCCAAATGGATTAAAACAAACTCGTCCTGATACCACGAACATCGCTAAACTACTTCCGTCATTACGTGTTGCTTAGATAAATTTTTTATCTATCTTCGTAATGAGATCTTATCCAGATAACCAAACATGAGTTCTAAACTGCTATTGGTTTCGGGTACGACAAATTCGCGGGGTTTCCGAAGGGAAGAAATTTTTTTGCCTATCAACTCGCATTATATTTTTTATCAGCTTTGTCGGGGTTTCAACCGAAGAAATATTTTTCAATAAGGCCTATCATAAGTCTTATCGGAGAGCGTTTTCCGGGACTTCTTTTCCGATAAAGGCAGCGATGAGGAAAAGATACGGGTCCCACGCTCTATTTAACTAGTGTCTTGCTTGATGATCAGCATCAATGTCCGACAATAAAAGCTCCATTCACAAAGTCCAGGCGACCGCCATCAAGAGCTTCAAATCTCCTCTTGGAAAGGAGGTCGTGGTGGACGAGAATCATGCAGACGTAGCCTTAGAGTATGCAAGAAAGCTGGACACGATTGAGGGGGTCACGAACGACGAATATAACGCTTTGAAGCGGAAAATTGACTTCATGATCCTGCCACTTATTTCTCTCATCTATGGAGTCCAATACATGGACAAGAGTACGACATCTTTTGCGGCCATCATGGGCCTAAGAACCGACCTGCACATGGTGGGACAACAATACTCGTGGACTACCACGGCGTTCTACTTGGCGTTTCTCGCAGCAGTGTTTCCTTTGTCTAGATGTTTGCAACGTTTCCCGCTTGTCAAGACGACCTCCGTTTGTATCATTCTCTGGGGAATAGTTTTGACCTGTCACGCTGCATGCTCGAGTTATGCAGGATTTATTGTCTGCCGAATTCTTCTGGGGTGTTTGGAGTCTGCTGTGACTCCAGGTTTTGTGCTACTCTCAGCCAAATGGTATCGACAGGAGGAGTCTTTTCTGAGAACAGTGGTTTACTACTCCAATAACGGGTTTGGTACAATACTCGGATGTGCTATTGCCTATGGTTGCTACATCCATGCTGACTCCTACTCCATGGAAGCATGGAAAGTGCTCTTCATCGTGACTGGTGTTATGACCATCGTCCTTGGAGGCTTGCTGATGGTTCATATTCCGGATAATCCCCCAGATGCTTGGTTTTTGAACGAGAGAGAAAAGATCTTGGTTTTCCAGAGAGTCAAAGACAGCAAGCAAGGATACGGAAACCCGGAGTGGAAATGGTACCAATTCAAGGAATCTTTAATTGATCCCAGAACCTGGCTTGGCTTCTTCTACGCATTTTCCTCGAACATCCCTAATGGAGGACTTGGATCCTTTATGTCAATTTTGTTGTCAGACTCACTAGAATACGGCGACAAGAAGAGTCTGCTCATGAGAATGCCCGGTGGAGCTGTTGAGACCGTCGGGCTAATTGCGTTTGCACTTCTGGTTGGAAAATTCCCATACCGAATTGGTATCTCTTCGTTTATCACTGTTGTCGTGATTATTGGATCATGCATGCTGGCATTCTCTTCGAATGCCCACGCGCAGCTTGCAGGATTATATCTGTACTCGCTGTCGCCTATCGGAATGATTTGCTTTCTTTCTCTCTTCGGATCAAATACCCTTGGGTACTCCAAAAAGGTCACTTCGCAAGCAATTCTTTTGATCGGCTACTGCGTCGGAAACCTAGTTGGACCACAAACGTTTTTGAGCACCGAGGCCCCGGGATATCACTCAGCCAAAATCGCAATAGTCGTCTGCTACATTTTCTCTCTCTTTTGCCTATTCGCTCTGCTTGGAGTCAACTATCTTGATAACAAGCGCAGAGAGAAATTGGAAAGCGAGAACCCTCTGCCGGAAATTGAGAACCTGGAGTTCTCCGATTTGACTGACTACGAGATGCCAGGGTTCAGATATCTTTACTGAAAAAGATGTAATAGGGTAGGTAATGTATTGTTTTGTAACTGATCCAGTCCCATGTCCGTATGCATTTTAGCGATTTAGCGATTCTTACTGTAATGATTTATCGATGCCTAAGTCTGATCACGGAGAGAGTGTCAGACCTGAAGATGAGCTCTTTAAAGGATCGAAATCTTTTGTGGAGCTCAAAAGTTGGCCAAAAACTCCCGAGGCTCACCAACCTCCGCCTCCGGATCAACCGAAGCCCCTAAAATTGAACGACATTGTATGGCTTGGATGACATATCTGCAGACCAATTGATTACATTTCTGGTAGCTTCTTATCTGGCAAAAGATCTCTCTACGACTCAGCCAGCACATTACTGGGTTGCAAGATATACGCATTGCTTCTCACAGAGTGGTAATGGTGCATGAATAGGATTTGAATTAATAATGCTGGACTCAACTGCGCTGTCGAAAAATACACCATTAAATCTCGAAAACGTTCTGGCTGTGATCAAAACATTATTGGAGAGCTTTATCGTAGCAATATGATTGGAACAAAGCCATTATACGATGCGAGTATTCTAACAGCAGGCTTTGCGTTTGTAATTTTAAAAAATATAGATTTGTATTAATTAAATATCATAAAAATAATCTACTATCCGATCTTCTTGTGTCTTGCCTAGTTCAGCATGAGTCACTCGGTGGCGTGTACCATCTGTCGGAGTCGAAAGTTGAAATGCGATAAGACAAAACCCAAGTGCTTAAGATGCCTAAAATCACAAGTTCAGTGCGAATATTCAACACGACATATTTCACCCACACCCACGAAAGACACTGAGCGCACAAAGCAGGTTTGCATACAGTGCAAACAGGGTAAGCGAAAGTGTTCAGGAACATTCCCTTCATGTGATAGATGCCAAAAATTGGGCAAATCGTGCTCTTACACTCTTTTGCGGCCTTTGACTGAGATCGAGGCCTTGGAAAAATTCTACGACACCATCGATTCGGAAAGCAATAAGACAGCCGTTGAACTACTTTGCCAAAGAACAATTGAGCGAGACTTCCCCTTTGTCGCTGGAAACTTTCTTGATCCACAATTTTTGATCAAATTAACAACGGGAAAAGTGTCATTGTCTCTAGTTAAAGCTGTTGTAGGTATGTCACTCGATATGGTTGTTCCTGAGCAGCTACTCGTAGAATTCAAAAACCATTGGTACTCGAGACACCTGTCCGAAACACTTCTTGCTTCCGGGGAGATGAAGCTTGAAGACTTTCAAGCCCTGCTGATTAATATCGTCTGGGGATGCTCGACTAGTTCTCAGAAATACTTTTTCCTGATTCCCATACTCTCAAGAATGGCTTACGGACTTATTCTCAACCGCGAGCTTGACTGGATAAAAGACATTTCTGAGAAAGAAAGACGACGGCGTATGGTATGGAATGTTTTTGTTCTTGATCGGATGTTTTCAGCAGGAGTGCCCGAATTCATGTCTTGCGATTTGAGACTGTTAACAATTCAGCCTCCTACTTATAATCTAGAGGCTATGGGAACGCTAGTTAGCGAGTCCCCGTTCCATACCCACCTGCCACCCTATCACCATCCATTCAATTTGTTTTCTCTCGCTGTTCATTTGTCACAATTGAGATACAACACTTTAAATTGTGTCAAATTGGTGGAAAAACAACACAAAAAATGGTGGGGAGAGGACTCCTCAACTAAATCCGTCCTCCACGATATAGAGCTTACGGTTGAACTATTGCCTGTTCATTTACAATATAGCATCGAGAACGTTTCCAGGATGAAGAATGATGAGGAAAAGATTTTCTTCATCAACCTACACCTGTTGCTACTCCAGATCCGTTGTGACGTGCACAGGCCGGTACTTTACCATCTCCTGTACAACCGCACGATCCCTAACTCAGACGAAATACCACCCGGCAAAATACAGGCTGTACATGAGGAATGTATGAATCATGCTTTGCATGTGTCCAAAATCGCTCAGGAAAATAGACGTCTTATCGCGGATGCATACAACACGGTGTCAATGGCGTTTTCACTTTTGGAGGCATCCCGCTTGATGATGTACAATGTTTCTCCCAATCCGTATCAGACTCATGCACATTTTTCAGAGACGCTAAAAAACCACATAAATGCCAACATTGAAATCATCAATGGCTCAAGATGGGCAGATCCATTGACAATTAATATTTTTGTCCAGGACCTTCAGAATGCTTCACAGAACCTGGGCATCCGTTACGGCAACTCAAAAAAAAACGTCCTCCTGCTTTCAGAATTGCACCCCGCCCACGCACTTACTGAAGCTGCGTCACCTGCTGGGGACATGACGGCAGATGTGGGGTCACCCGCTCTGGCTGAATTAAATTGGCCGTTTAATTTTCCTCATAACGAACTGTTGCCATTCTTTTAGTGTATCATTGTATAGTCCTCACAGCTCTGAAATCGCTAACATGCTACCGAATTTTAGTTATTTCTGAAATCATGAACTCTAACTATGCTAATTAGCTGACACGCAGGTGGTGCTGGTTGATGAGACGATAAACCGTCTGGACCTTTGTTAGCAGGAAAACGATGTGGTACATACATGAAAGGGCAATTGTTTGATATTCGGGCTGACTGTGGTAAATACTATGATCTTGGCTGCTCAAGTGGATTGAGCTTCTGGGTAGAGTATGCATGTCGTAAGAAGCCAATTGGTAACGGAGATGGATTTTCATAAATTGACATTGTCATATCTTATCAAATTTGGAATACTGAAATCAAAATAGTGGAGATGTTTCCGATCATAATTAAGATATCAGCCCCAGACTCGAAGTCCGGCCATTTTTTTCATTAAAGCAGTCCCGCCTCGGTTTCGTATCAAACGTATTCGGCCCCCAAGCTGTTTGACTGCAAATCAGTATGCCGGTTCTTCCCATGCCAAGTATGCGTCAAATTCGTGAGATCCACAATATAAGATTGCAGGTTTCCAAGATCAGATCTGGGCTGGATATGCAGGGACTATTGATAAAATCCGGATTAAAAGGGGTCACAAAAAATCGCGAATGTCGGAATTATCAGAACTATGCCACACCAATTTATAATTTTCGTGCGATGCCTGAAACCAATCGCATCAACAAGATCGCTCTTAGTTATTCACGTAAACTTGTTAATGTAGACAAAGTCACCAAAATCTTTACGGTAATTCAAAAGTGTCCCTCCCTCACAGTAGCTTGATGAACAAGGTGCAAGATAATAATCAAAGTACCCGTTCCCAATGATCGAATATCTAAACTACCAATACAAATCCGATAGTCTCACAATCTGGCATGTAAACCTTTCAAAGTAATATCTCATTCATGACTTAGTTTATTCCCCACCAATCAGATCCCACCCAACTGATCTTTTACACATATCCTACAGATAGGCCTGCAGAAGTCCCGTTGCAAAATCAAGCTCAATCTAAAGCCACAGTTCAAAGGAATATATGCCACATACAGCCAGAAAACTACCATCCTCAGCTTTAACCATGACCCCAACGAAACAGCATCTATTTCGATCGACCTTAACTCAGGCATTTCTGGTTGGCTTTTTGTCATTCACACAGCCTGGCATCTACGCTGCAATTGCAAATCTGGGAGCCGGGGGCCAGGCAACCACAAAGACATGGAATGTGTCGACGGTCATTCTGAACGCAATGGCGGTGATTTTAGGGCCCATATCCGCACTTTTTGCCAATAGGTTTGGTCTAAGGCCGACATTATTTATTGGATGCATAGGACACACGATCTACTCTGCGTCGCTGTACTATAACACCAAGACGGGAGACCAGGCATTTATTTTGGTCGCGTCTGTGCTTCTAGGAATCTCTGGGGCCGCTTTCTGGATGTCTGAAGGAGCCATTGTGATGAGTTATCCGGAGAAATCGAGAAAGGGTCTCTTCATTGGCATATGGCAGATGCTGAACAAATTTGGAGGAGTGATATCCGGTTCAGTCGTGTTTGCCATGAACCACAGTGGGAAAAAAAAGGGTCAAGTAAGTCTTAACACATACATAGCTCTGTTCTCAATCCAGTGTACTGGTCCGTTCTTTGCGCTGTTGCTGTCGCCACCAGAGAAGGTGATTAGAAATGACAATACCCGTGTCGAGACAAACGTGGTCAAGGATGGGCTCGAACAAATGGGCAAACGATATTTTGGCCTGCTGAGAAAAAAAGAGATCATACTTTTGCTCCCGATCCTCGTAGTCAACACATGGTACAAAACATGGCAAAGCAACTTTATGACACACAATTTTTCAGTCCGGGCAAGAGCGTTGAACGTTCTTCTGACTGCCCTGATTGGGGGCGTTGTGGACGTAGCTGGAGGTGCTTTTCTTGACTGCCAAAAAATATCTGTTAGTTCGCGAGCCAAGATATCTTGGGTTTTTATCGTCGTCTTCGAAACGGGGTTTTACATCTGGGGTTTTATCGTGCAAAGAAACCTGACTCATAGCACAGACGCTCTTGACTGGTCGACAGGAAACTACTACTACGACACGTATGTGCCAATGCAGATCTTCAAAATTCCAACCGAGTTTGTGTTCAATTGGGTGTTCTGGGTGGTGAGTGTGCAAGAATTTAGCTCCGAGGAAAATGTCTATATTTCCGGTCTTATCAGAGCAATCGAGTCCTTTGGGTCGATGCTGTCTTTTTTGGTGGGAGTCACGAATAGCAACGACATGGTCAATCTGTCTGTGGCCGCAAGTGTTTTCTGGGCTGCTGTACCAAGCGTAACATATTTGATTCTTAAGATTATCGGAACCACGCACAATAACCCTGAAAGTGTTATTGTTCAGAACAAGAGTGGCGAAATTGTTGAAACTACAGCGGAAATTCAGTAAAAATATGCAGGTGTCTCGTGGTCGTTCTAATGAAAATTACGGAGCATCTCCGCAACTGAGTTCACATCTGGGCCTCAAGGCGGCCACAATGCTGGCTATTGCTGCTGCTTCGGACACTTCGGCATGTGGGAAAGCTCGGATGAAGACCGCTGCTAGACACGGAATTCGATTTCTGCGTGACATTACTAATAACACGTGAGAACGGTATTCGGAGCAGGGCTCTATTTAACCTTTTAGATTCTCTCTTTTAGACTTCCAAATGTCCTTACCAAAACATCAAAAAGCAGTGGTTGTTGAAAAATACGGAGCAGGCCTTACTCTCAAAGAGCTTTCAGTGCCTGAAGTGGCCCCTGGGCAAGTGCTTGTCAAAGTGGAAGCCAGCGTTATAGGTACAGAGATGAAGGCGAGAGCCGAACGGCCTAAAAATCCACTATTTTGCATTCCAGAGCCTTTTGTCACGGGAACCTCAGCCGTTGGAAGAGTTGTGGAAAGCGACACTTTTGAAAAAGGGCAGCTGGTTTATCTAGACCCCACCGTTTGGTCAAGAGACTCTCCTGGCCACTATATTGTGAAGTCGATTGCAGATGGCCCGACACCTGAATCCAAAGCGTTATCTTCACAGGAGTACAAAAGAAACGGCTACATGTCAGAGTATACATTGGTGGACATCGAGAGTTGCTATCCTATCAAGGAAGAAGCTGTTGGCTTCGACACAGACATTATTGCCGGTTTGAGCTTTCCCCTCGTGGCATACGGTGGACTGAGGGCAATTGATTTGAAGCCAGGAGAAACTGTCGCCATTGGTCCTGCTACAGGAAAGTTCAGTAGCGCTGCTGTTGCGGTGGCTGCTTCAATGGGCGCCAATGTTCTTGCCTTGGGAAGAAACAAGGCGGCTCTTGAGGCAGTTGCATCCAAGTTTACCAACGCTCATCCTGTTGTCCTGACGGGCGACAAAGACGTCGATGCTGCCACTCTGCAAAAACATGGTCCCATTGATGTTTTCATGGATTTTTCCCCTGGCAAATTACCTGGCCCGATCTATTTGGATGCTGCCATTGGTGCTATCAAGTTTGGAGGCAGAATCGTTCTTTCAGGTTTCCTTTTTGGCAACGTGACTATCCCCTATGCAGTTTTGGTCTCGAAGGACCTTACTGTCAGAGGAAAAATCATGTATTCGCGCCAGGAGGCCAAAGACTTTATCAGAATGGTTGAAAATGGGATTTTTAAGCTGGAGCACGTCAAAGTGAAGAAATTCCCCATCGAGAAATACTCTGAGGCAGCTGACGAGGCTTCAACAAGAACTCCTTGGGACCACCAGGTCGTATTAAGCATTAAGTAACTATACTCTTGTTTTTTTCCATTAGCTTGTCCCAATTTGTAGACCAAACCAAATAAATCTCCACTGCAGACAAGAAAAGCTCTCCAAGCAGAAGACCTGCCCACAAACCAGCAACTTCCAAGCCAAAGTAGAAGCCCAGCAATAACTCCAGAGGAATGGCAATCACGTAATAGGCCGTGAGGTTCAATACCGAGCCTATGTTTTGGCGTCCCTGGCCTCTCAAAAGAGATGAAAAAATCGCATTGACGGCGTCGCCGAACTCGTTCAAGGCCACACCACGGAGCAGCTTGGAAGTAAATTCAATGACTTCCTCGTCGTCAGTGAAAATATGCGGCAGCCATCCGCGGAAGAAGAACATGATGCTGAAATTTATTAGTCCGATGGCAGCTGTTGCTACTGTGGCGGCTCTCACCACTGTAATGCAGTTGTGAGAACGAGCTCCAATGTAATTAGCGAGCCTAACGGAGGAGCAAATGCCAACGGAAAACGGGAACTGGAAGAGAAAGATCGAGACGGTGGTGACCACGGTCTGCGAGGCCAGTTCGACACTGCCAAATTTTGCAGAGAGTAGCGTGATGACTCTGAAGGAAAAACTTTCAGCACAAACCATGATGATTCCTGAAAGGCCAATAGAGAACTGACCCCAATCCTGCAGCAAAACCGATAGACGCAAATCGCTGTTCCAGCATTGGCGGTCGTCAAAGTATATGTATGTGACCACCAGCACAGAAACAGCCCAGTAAGTCAGCACCAAGGATAATGCTGGTCCCAAGTAGAATCTCTCAAAAGCCATATTGAAGATCAGACTAAAAGGGATTGCTCCAGCCAGCACTAATGTTGGCGCCCTGAACTTGTTCTGGGATAGCAAGTACCGCTTGGAGCACTCAAACACAATGAGAGCGGGAATTGCAAGCACCATGAGCCGCAAGATAGGAATGCACATATCTGCAAGCTCTGGCGAAAATACGCGGAGCAGAGGGCCAGAGGTCATCCACAGCAACGCGATGGGGATAAACATTATATGCAAAATCAGGATGCTTCTCTGGTAATAGAGACCGACTTTGGTATAGCTTTTTGCTCCAAACGCAGTAGAGCACAGTGTATCCTCTGCGGTACAAAATCCAAAAACGAGCGCTGGCCCACTAATGTAGAACAAGTTGATTGCCATGGATGATGCGGACAACACATCCTTCCCCTGCTTTCCTGCGAAATAGATGGGGATTACCAATAAAAGGGAGCTTTGCAACAGGAACGTCACTAGAGTGGGGAGTGAGTTTCTAACGAGATCTTTTAATTCTAGCTTGAAAGATGTTGTAACATGAACTGGCTGATCCTCCTCGGCGGGAGAGTCATACCGTGGCCTTGTGTCTGGATCTATAATCATTTCTATAGGATTGAAAAAAAAAAATAAGCTTAAAAATTTAGAACCGTTTGCCAAGGCCGAGAAAAAGGTACCTTTGTATGCTCTGAAGTTAAGGGGTGGAGTGCTGGTGACTTTTTTTTCGTCGGAGTTGATTGGCAAGATCCGTAGTTCTACAATGATGTGTCCGCTACAACTGTTTTCTGGCCAGGCATACCGGACCGTCGGGATTCAGCTGCCTCCATTCCATTGATATTTACACAGCTTGATTATTTATCCTGCATCACGGCAAAATCGCCGTCTGACCAATGGAGATCGATCACGAGGTCCTTGATTCTCCAAATATCATCCGCGGTGTCTTTGGCTAGTTCAGCTCTGTAAACACTACCGGTAAGCAAGAACTTACTCCCCTCAACCATACCTTTCCCCTTTCCAAAATGCTGAGCATACGCAATAGCGGTGAGGGTGGCTTTCGAGCCCTCAATGTTGATACGGAAGTTTGAAATAAGATGGGTGGTGTCAAGATCTGCAACCCTACCGTAGCAGAGATCACGAAGCTGTTGCTTCCCGGTTGCTCTTTCTCCAAGAAGTTCAATACCACCATCATCGGTGAAGCAAGAATCAAAAAGCTCTGCGTCACGTGTGTCGAGGGACAGGCCGAAACGGTAGATGGCGTCGGCCACGGCTTCTTTTTCGGCTGGAGATCCAGCTAGCTTCACTGGAGCGGTCATGATGAGTGTGCTATTATCTACGAAACCGGCTGGTTAAATAGTCTTGAGTGGGTTTCCGGGGTTAAGAGAATAATTTCTCGGATTTTGCACATCATCGGAGATAAAACATTGCATATCATCTGTCGGATTTAAGCGGCCGAAACTGATGTTTTTCAGAAAAAAAAAAAAAAAGACATGGGCCGGACCTATAGCGAAACCTCTTTGACTTTGACATCGGCCTTGCTGGGGGGTTTCTCGAGGTTCTCGTGCTCTACAGCGTCGCTCTCCTCGGACTCGTCCCAGCATATGCCGAGGTTTCGGGCTTCCTGCTCCGTGAACGTTCCGAACGGATTGACGGTATCGAGCTCGCCAAGTCCGGAAGGCGGCGATAGACGGTTGAAGCAGTAGTGGAGCAGGAACGAAACAATAAAGCCATAAATGAATGCCAGCTGGTACAGGTGTTTTGCTCCGGAAGGAATCTCGATATTTGAGTTGCAAGCGTTGACAAAGCCGGGCATCAGCGGCGCAAATCCAATTACCCAAGCCGCAAATGACCGCCAATTAAAGCCTCCGTTGAACCAGTAGATTGACCTGCTGCTTGGCTCAAACATGTCCATCAGCTTGAGCTTTCTTTTTCTGACGGCCCAGTAGTCGCAGACCATGATGCCTGTCATTGCTCCCAAAAGCACCGCGTACGCAGACATGACGTTGATGAAGACACTTGCTGTTGAGAGAAGCTGCCATGGCTGGATCAGAATGGAAATGCAGAGTCCGACGTAGGCGCCTCTCCTCAAAGTCAAAAATTTGGGAAATAGGCCCGAGAAGTCCATTCCGGCAGAAAATGCGTTGTCGACCGTGTTGATGGCCAGTTGTCCGGCTAGCAGACCAACACCGCAGAAAAATGCGCCTGCTCTGCTCTTGGCATTATAGTCGTCGTCAAGCCATCTTGCGGCCAAGAGAGGAGGGTTCCAGATGCCGCCGTCGGTGTCCGGATACAGTTTAGCAGAGGCAGAAGTGGTGAGACACCCAATGAGCGGGACCACAGAGCCATAGAATAGAATCGACACGATCTGGCCAATAAGCGGGTCCTTTGGGCTTTTTGCAAACCGATTATAATCCGGCTGGTTTGTCAGTCCCACGGCGATTGTGCCGATGGTGGTTTTAATTCCAGCCATGATGGCCCAGCCTTTGTCCCACGCAGTATTTGCCTGGGCCGGCTCAGACAGGAGGGGGCCAGCCCCATGAGCAGCCTTCAAACAGTACACCATCATGCCAAACAGCGTCGCGCCGGTCATCACGTTCAGCGTGGTAAGCAGTCGGGACGACTTTTCAGGGGGAACGTATATCATTCCGCACATGAGGACGCAGTAGATGACAAAGCCAACAAACTCTTTTGTTTCCATATGCGTGCTGGCAGGCATGGTATTTTTCATGTTTTGGTAGCCTGGAGCAAGCGAAGACAAAATTAAGGAGATGCAAAGACCTCCGGTCCAGGACTGGGTGGACAGCCAGACGACTCCGAGCATGATTCTCTGCACTATGGCGATATAAGAGCCTCTCATGCCCCACACACAGCGACTGAACACGGGGTAGCCGATATGGTACTCTGCTCCGACTTGTCCATTCAAAATAGCCATCAGACAGATAATTATTCTTCCAATCACGTTGGCCACCATAGCCATCCAGACGGAGTTCCCGATCGAGATCAGCGTCGAGCCAACCTGGTAGTTTGAAATACAGAGGTTGTTGATGGCCCAGAAGCCCATAAACGTCCACATGTCCCATGTGCGGCGGTGCGGAGGCAGTGGAACGATATCATCGTTGATCCACGGTGTGGCTGGGGTTTTCCCCAGCTTGGAGCTCTTCAGCTCGACGGCTTTTCTCAGTCTGACAAAGCTCACCATTACGGTTCCAAACCGATCGCTCGACGGCCAAAATACGGTATGTATATAGAATGCGCCTCGCTCCACCAGCCAACGCTCTCCACCAAAACGGGAGATAAGTTGCCTTTTTTCGCTTATCGCGCAGATCCAAAGACCGCGATAAGAAAAGTCGTTTGCGAGAAAATGTTTTTTTTAGGTATTGCCGACGATAAGCCAAGTGGCTGGAAAGTTGGAGGTTTGTCAGCGCTCATTCCGTCGGGATGTGCGGCTTTGCCTCTGAAAGCTCGAGGATAACTGAAAATACTAGAATAGTTACTGAACTCAGCTATTCATGGTCAACCAGAAACTGCTTATAGGAGTCGACGTTGGTGGCACAAACACCGACTCGGTGCTGATTAACCCGCTTTCACTGGACACTAAGAACCGTGGCGTGCTCGCGTGGAACAAGTCTGCCACAACGGCCGATGTTTCGGACGGAATCCAGAAGGCTATCAGGAGTCTGCTGACGGATTGTCCAGATGTGGCCAAAGACGAGATTGCTTCGGTCACAATTGGAACCACTCACTTCATCAACGCGGTCATTGAACAGGACGCCGCGAAGCTGGAAAAAGTCGCCGTTCTCCGGCTGAGCACCAACTACTCCAAGTATGCTCCCCCGTTTTCCGACTTTCCTGGCGGGCTCCGGTCCGTTATGGAAGGATACACGGCCATTTTGAAAGGTGGCCACAGAATTGACGGAACAGAGGTCCAGCCGTTGGACGAAGCTTCGGTCAGAGAACACGCGCTCAAAATTCGCGATTTGGGGCTCAACTCTATCGTGATCAACGGACAGTTTGCCCCAATGTACCATGGGCACGAACAACGGGCAGCAGAGGTTGTGCGCTCGGTTCTCCCAAAAGCCAACATTGTTCTCTCCAGTACAATTTCGACGATCGGCTTTATTGAGCGCGAGGACGCCTCCATCATCAACGCCTCGATCATGTCTTTTGCCAGGAAGATCATTCTGTCGTTCAAAAACGCCATTCGCCAGATCGGACTGGAGTGTCCGCTTCTTCTCACCCAGAACGACGGAACGGTCGTTTCCACCGTGGAAGCCATGAAAACGCCGGTCAAAACATTCTCGTCGGGAGCCACCAATTCCATGAGAGGAGCAGCTATTTTGTGCGCCGAGGAAGAATGGACCAAAGGCCAGTCGATCATTGTGGCGGACATTGGCGGAACCACAACTGACGTTGGTCTGCTGCTTCCTTCAGGTTTTCCGCGCCAGTCTTCTGCGTACTCCTTTATTGCCGGCGTGAGAACTAACTTCTCGATGCCACACGTGGAGTCCATCGGTCTCGGGGGCGGCTCTATAGTCAAGATCGCCGAGGATATCACTATTGGGCCGGAATCAACAGGTGCAAACCTGCTTACGGAGGGACTGGTGTTTGGAGGGAAGACCACAACTGCGACAGACGTGACGGTTGCAATTGGTCTGGAAGACGAAACTGTTGAAGATAAAAGCATATTCCAGGTTGGCGACGGCCAGAAGGTGGTTGGCAAGTTTTCCGATGACGTGAAGCAGGCGTTTCAGCAGGAAGTTAGGGAAATGCTGGAAAATGCCATTGATAGAATGAAAACGTCTCCGGAACCAATTCCCGTGCTGCTCGTCGGGGGAGGGTCGATGATTGCTCCACAGGAGCTGGACGGAGCAAGCAAAGTGTTTCGGCCTCCATTCTTTGGAGTGGTCAACGCCATTGGAGCGGCGGTGGGCAAAATCTCTGCCCATGTTCAGGCTATCAAACGGATGGAGCCGTCAGACGACAAGGACGTTGTTCTGCAGCAGCTGAAGCTCCAAGCCGTGGAAAAGGCTGTGGCCAAGGGGGCCATCAGAGACTCTTTGGTTTATGACGATATAGTCGTGAACCCGATTCCGTACGTTCCAAACACGATCGAGTTCATGGTGAAAGTTATTGGTGAGGTTGACTACCAAGCCATGCACTATTCTGTTCCTGAAGAAGGAGATGGCGAGCCCGAGGAGTCTGGAGGCAGTGTTGCAAAACACTCTGAGACCTCTGCAAACTATATTGAGCACAATCTGAAGTTTGACGTCGGCTCGTACAGACCGCTCGTTAACAGCGAAAAAGAGTGGATCTTATCAGAAATTGACTGTGAATTTTTGAGGATCGGTACATATATTTTGGGATGTGGTGGAGGCGGAACGCCGTACCACCATTATCTGGCCCTGAGACATATGGTTCGCGCTGGCAAGCCTGTGAAAGTAATCAGGCCGCAGGACTTCCCGAAATACCAAAAGGACGACGGTGCCGTTGTTGCAGTCGGCTACGCGGGATCTCCAACAGTCGGTCTGGAACAACTTTCGGGCGACGAGATGGTGCACGGCTACAATTTGGTGAAGCGGTTCAGCAACGTTACGCCCCAAGCGTCGCTTCCATGGGAGATTGGAGGCGGAAACGGTCTAACGGGGCTCAAAATAGCGGCAGATCTGGGTATCCCATGTGTGGATTCAGATTTCATGGGCAGAGCGTATCCCCTGTTATGGCAGATGATTCCCGTCTGCTACTCCGAGCAGCCGTGTTTCCCACCCTGTGCGCTTGCAGACGGCAACGGAACGACCATGCTGCTTTCTGAGGCTGCCAGCGACGTGATTGTGGAGAAAGTGTTTAGGGCAGCGTTATCAGAGATCGGAGCGCATTGTGGTATGGTTTCGTTTATGACGGCTGAGGATATTTCACAGAGGAGTATCCACAATACCACGTCGCTCGCTTGGAAGGTAGGAAGAGCTGTTCACGCTGCTCGACAGAACTCCGAGGTGCAAAATTGCGCCGAGTACATTATTGAGGCCTGTGGTGGAGCCGATACTGCGAAGAAGATATTCACTGGAAAAATTGTTCGTGTTGATAGACGGCTGTTCAAGGGCCACGTTTATGGAGAAATCGATGTCAAGGACGAACACAGCGATGCGGTGATGACGATTCCGTTCAAGAACGAAAATATCTACTGCGAGCTGGATGAAAATGGCAGCAAGAAAATCACAGCTTCAGTGCCGGACCTAATATCCGTCAACGACGCAGAGACAGGCGAGGCACTGGGCACACAGGACTATCGGTACGGGCTGCACGTATTTGTCCTTGTGATTTCTCCAAGCACGAGATGGACAGACACGGCCGAGGCGCTCAAAACAGGAGGCCCGTCCAGCTTTGGCTACGATTTCGAGTACACGCCGATCGGAACTTACGTAAAGCCTTCCAGCGTGATAGACGAATATTCGAGCTAGAGCCGTCGGGATCACAAGGGTCCAAGTAGCGGAATTCGCGTACGCAATTATAGTTATAAATAGATACACTCGCTCCAATTTTCTGGCACTAGGCCCACAGGAATGTGAGAAGTTTCCAGCCTCTGAGCGGCTCAGAAGGAGGCTCTGGCTTGCTGTGGTAGTCCTCCATCAGGGCTGGAAGACAAATCTCCTCTAAGGGCACCTGTTTGGTCTTCTTGATGAACTTGTATCCGAGATAGAAGACCACAAACAGAATCGGAGAGCAGTAGGACGAGAACAGCGTGGAGGTGTCCCAGTGGCCGTGGATGAAGGTCGTGAAGCCGCCGGTGACGAGCAGAAGGACCGAGCCAAAGAGCGAGATCCACGCACTGGCCTTGGCGATCTTGTTGGTGTAAGGAAGGTCGCTGCGGCTGTAGCCCTGGACCGCGAGAGCCTTGTTCATTCTGATGTTGTTGATCGAGATGATGACCCACTCCAGAAGCAGGACCGACGACGTGATGTTCTGGAACCAGCTGAACACGTTGGCTGCCGTGGAGTCCAGCGTCATGTACGCCAAGGTCATGAAGACCAGTCCAATAGCCACCCCCACGTAAGGCACCTTGAGCTTCTTGCTGCTCTTGAGCAGAATTCTAGGCGCCTGGCCCTTGGCAGCGAGAGAAAACAGGATCCGCGAGGTCTGGGTGATGCCGAGGTTCGACTCAGACCACGCAGACGACAGTGTCAAAGCGTTGACGATGTCTGGGAGCACTTTGATACCGGCTTTTTCAAAAGCAATCACATATGGCGAGTGTGCGGCTGTGCCGTCGCTGGTTGCAATTTTTGGGTCGTCGTACGGAACAATGATGCTCAGAATGAACACTGCGATCATGTACAGCCCAACAACTCTGTACAGGATTCTCTTTGCGGCCTTCGGAATGTTGGTACGAGGGTTTCTGGTCTCTCCAGCCAGCAGAGCAATGCCTTGGACTCCTCCGTAGGCATACACCACAGAAGACAGGGCAGCCCAGAAACCAATGAACTGTCCCACGCTGCCGCTCTTGATGTACGACGCGAACGGACCAGGATCCTTCCAGTAGTGGAATCCCAGTCTTTCCTGGCCCTTGACTCCGCCAAGGTCGACCACGAGTCCCGCCAAGACAAGAATGAGAATCAGAGCGATTTTCAGCAGCGCAAACACAAACTCGACCTCACCGTAGATCCGGATGGAGAAAATGTTGGTGAAACAGATGGGAACCATGTAGACGGTGATCCAGACGCCCGGAGACAGGCCGCTCCAGTACTGCATAATAAGAGCGGTGGAAACGAGCGGGCCGGGAAGAATGGCGTTCCAGACTTTGAGCCAGCCCAACGCAAAGCCAACGGCGTCGTCGATGAAGATCTCTGCGTGGCGGATGGTGGACCCGGTCAACGGAGCCAGCGCAGCCACCTCGGCAAGCGCCATCTGGTTCATGCCCACAATCAGACCCACAATCAGGTACGACAGACACATACCGACAGGCCCAGTCTTGGCAAGCGTTCCTCCGCTGCTGAGGAACAAACCGGTACCAAACACACCGACCAGCGTTATCATGCCGATGTGTCTTTCTTTCAGAGCTCTATGCAGATGGGCGTCGTCCTCTGCGAAGATCTCGATGCCTGCTGCCTCTTCGGCATCGTGGATGCTGATCGTTTCTAGAACAGCAGTGGTCTTTTTGTCGATGGCGTCGACTTCTTTGGAGCTTTCTGGTTGCATAATTTGAAGGGCGAGATGGGAGGCTTCTGGCTGCTTTTTAATGTGTCGCTACCGCGGATCCTTTGGCTCTATATTGCCGGCACTCTCTGGCTGCCATGCAAACATGTCAAGATATCATGCAACCCATGCTGCAACCACAGCTGACGCCGTCTGTTTTGGGTACCCCGAATAAGCAGCTCGTGCGTTTGATGCGTCGAATCAGGTGGCCAGCTAATCAAATAGCTGGCTTTGGCCCCGTTGCTTATCTTTTGACGTCAGAAATAATTTTTTCTGTGCGGCACTGCACGCACATCTAACAGCCAAGATAAGAGATTGCTTGGAGAAGAGACTATTTGTTCCGCGCAAAAACTGGCCTCCAAATTTCGCAGGAAAAGCTGTCTTTTTTCGTCGATTTAGTCCGCCGCCAGGCTTGGCGTTCTTGCCGTCTTGGCTACTCGTTTCACTGGGCACAGCAACACCACTATAGCTGGTAGGGCCTGTATAGGAGCCACAACTAAGCATTTTTGGGCGTAGTCACCGCTCCCGAATCGGTGCAGCACTCGTTGTGGCCTATCTGTTCATGCAGTGTCCGCCACACCGATTTTGGTCAGGGCGCGATTGGAAAACCACCACTCAGACAGTTCTGGCTACACCGTTGTAGTCTCAACAGCCACAAACAAAGATGGACCACTAGCCGGTGTTTTCAAGAGCTGCCTCTGGTTTGCCTGACACAGCCGTTTCAGGATAATTTCACAGTTGCGCTGCGGTGCTGGCTGCCAAGGTGCTTCAGCCGTAGTGTCTACGTCGAGTCTGATTCAGACTCAGAATGGCTCCTACTCGACTTCGAAAGGCAATGAACTCGTCAGATAGTACTGTTATACTCTATCTTCTCTCCAACCCTTCTGGATATCATCATTTTGTAAAACAATCAAACCAGGTCTCTGCGAAAGGGCCAGCGAGTCGTCAAACACAGAACACCTTTCCATGCTACCAGTGGAATTGTTGACGTTTCGGTGCAGTTATGCCTCAAAAGCATGCCTGATGAAATCTCGCAGATACCTTGTACCACGTATATTCCCGCCTCGCAAAACTTTCCTGGCCGTCTTGATGTTTAAATCCGCGCAACGCACGTCAAAATGTCTTCGACGCTTTCACAGCGCTTCTACGCTTTCTCGCTGGCCCCTTCCACCCCAGCAGCCTCTGCTGTTTTCCATCACTCCCCCCTTTGCTTCCTGACCCTGTGCAAACCAGTTCGGCCAAGGCTCAACCTTATCAGCCAAACGTATCTGGCAGTCGCCAGGTGCAGCTGCATATTTTTGAGGCTCAACGGCTATCCAGACAAGACACGTACAACCTGTATCCAAAGAGATGGCGGTGGCTGTAGATTACGTTGCCTCCTTATCTCTGTATATACTGATAATCCACGCAAGATTGCGCACCTCTTCTGCGCCCAACGCCGTCCACCGGATATCACATTTTCTCCGCTGTCGGAAAATTCTCTTTTATCTTATGCGTCTCCTGTCCGCTATCAACAACTGGCTCGTTCTAGACGAGTCCGACAACGCTAGGAACAGAGACATCGTGCCCATCCCCGTGCACCGCCGCAGATGGAAGCTTGACGGGTTTGTGTCGTACTGGGCCATCAGCTCGATGTGCGCGGTCACGTGGGCCGGCGGCTCCTCCATCATGTACATGGGGCTTACCGGAGGCCAGACGATCGGAGTGATTGTAGTTGGAAACCTGCTAATCTCCGTTTCGGCTCTGGTGAACAGTATCTACGGCACCAAGTACCACATTGGCTATTCTGTGTTCCAGCGCGTGGTTTTCGGAGTGAAGGGTTCTGTGGTCGGTGTGCTCGTCAGATCCATTCTGTCGGTGATGTGGTTTGCGTACCAGGCGTGGCTGGGCGGCCTGTGCGTCAACATCGTGCTGAGCTCGTGGAGCCAGTCGTATCTGAACATGACGAACACGCTTCCCGACTCCGTCCCGATGACGACTCAGGAGCTGATTGGGTACATTGTATACCTGCTAATCAGCGTGCCTGTGCTCATGGTGCCCCCAGAATACTACTCACCGTTCCTCGCTAGTGGCTCGCTATGTATTTTTTTCATTGGCATCGGAATTACTGCGTGGGCAGTGGTGGACAACGGGAACAGCTACGGCACGATGATGACCGAGCGGCTGGGCACGTCCGGCAGTATGGGCTGGGCCTGGGTATACGGGATCAACAGCTGGTACTCGAGTCTGGTCGCAGGCATCTCAAACCAGTCAGATTACTCGAGGTTCAATAAGAAGGAGTGGCACTCACACTTGGGGATTCTGGTCGGCTGCAACGTTGCCGGGTTCATTGTCCCGCTTTTTGGGATTGTCACGGCGAGCGCGCTGGCTGAAAAATACGGCCAGGAGTTCTGGATGCCCAACGATATCTGTATGTTCTGGTTGCAGCAGAATTACACGGCGAAAGCGCGCGCGGCAGCGTTTTTCTGCGGTGTCGGCCTGACGGTGTCCCAGCTCGGCGTCAACTGTGTCGGCAACGCCATCAGTGGCGGCATGGACCTTGCGTCGGTTTTTCCACGCTACATCAACATCAGAAGGGGCGCGATTCTGTGTCTTCTGCTGTCCTGGCCCACGCAGCCGTGGCTCTTCTTCAACTCGTCCTCCACGTTTCTGACCGTCATGTCGTCTTTCTCCGTTTTCATCACGCCGCTAGTGGCCATCTACCTGTGTGAATTCTTCATCGTCAGAAAAGGCATCATCAAGCTGTCTGACTGCTACGTTTTCAGCGAAAAAAGCATTTATTGGTACACCGGCGGCGTGAACTGGCGAAGTCTGGTGAGCTTTGTGTGTGGCTCCGCTCCCGGGCTGCCCGGCCTTATCAACGCCGCGAACCCAAACATCGCCATCAGCGCCGGGGCAATGCGTCTGTACTACGGCTCGTTTATTTTCCAGTTTGCAATTACTCTCGCTATCCATTATTTTCTGACATTTTTTTTCAGAGTGCCGATAGGAGAGCGAGACTTGGAAGACTACTTTGACACGTACAGCCCTGAGGAGTGCGCCAGGCTCGGCATGATCCCGTACGCGGGACAAGTGTTTGAGGGCGAGGACCCTGAATTTGTTGTGATAGAAGAGTCTAAGTAGAGACATTAAACTCTGTGCAAACGGAAACTGGCTCCATGTACTTGCCGACCGGCACATACTCGATCGTCTCGAAAGCGCGGCCAAACCCTTTCGGCCCGCCCACGGCCACGGCCTTTGGCGTCGTCCACTGGTCAGACGCGGCGATCACGATCACGTGCACAATCAGCCCGTATCTGTAGTCCTGCGTCCCGACAGCGTTCCCGTCCATATCGAGGAACGTGATCAGGTCTGGCACGGAGCACAGGGGTTTTTCGCCTCCGTGCCCGTCGATTTCTGAGACGACAATGTTCTCGTTCTTGAACGGGACGCGGATTTTCTTTTTGGGGCCCTCAACGCTCTCTAGCTCTGCAACCCCGTAGCCGTAGCCGCGTAGCAGTTTTTTTTCCACAGACACGATTTTGCCCCTGAAGACGCACTTGGCGGTGTCCGGACCGCCGCAGGCGCCGACGATCCTCTGCGGGAGATTGTCGAGGTCAGAGGCCGCGCGGGCGCAAAACACCTGGCGGCCGATTCGCCAGGCCAGCGAGAGCGGGTTTTTAATGGTTTCCCGCGCCATTCTGTCCACATCCAGCGAGGCCCCCACACACGCACACGAGACGCCGTGCTGGTACATGGCGTCTCTAATGATCTCCTCCATCTGGACGTCATCTTTGGCAGAAGTGATCAAAAGCGACAAACCGTTGCCGTCCGACAGAGAACCGTATGGGAACCCGTGGCCGTCGTTGCAGACCGACGGCAGAGACTGCCATTGCGTGGGGTACGCTCGTCCCATGAGGTCTAAGTCGAGACACGGCACGTTTCTGTGGTACGCCGTCCAGAGACCAGACAGCCCGTTGCCGCCTCCGATTTCAAATAGCAGCACGCCGTCGGCCTTCTTTCCCTCCCAGCGCTCAATGATATCAAACGCCTCGAGCATCTCGTCTCCGTGCAGGCGCTCGCTCGAGATCGTGGGCGAGCCGCAGTAGCCAACCGTGGGCGCCGTGCCCCTGCCCCCGGTTCTGCGCGAGAACTCGTCCAGAGTCGCAACCTTGATCTCGGCGCCTTGTCTGATCATCCGCTTGAGCTCCACCACAGAGCTGTTGGGGTTTCCGCCGCCGCCGCATCCCAAAATGTACGCTCCAGCGCCGATAAAATCGATGTCTGTTGGCGACAGTATCCACTCGCTATTTTTCACGCACGGCTTGTACGTTTCGTAATTAAATGGAGCAGGGGCAGACTTTTCGACATTCGCGCTCTTGAACACCTCCCCGCCCGCGTAGTCCACAGTGGCGAGCGCTCTGGTCGACTCAAACGCCCGTGCGTAGTCAACGTCGCCAATCACCTTGACGGAGAAGAAGTGCACGTTGTCTACGTACGGCACGGCGTCGGAGACGACGCTAACGACCTCGACAGAGTCTCTAAGCGCTCCTTTGGCCACACACGTCTCGACAGCGCGCGAAGTCAGCTCGTCGACCGTCTGCTGCCTGGCTGTCTCCGTCCCGTCGATGTGTCTCATCTCAGACACCTCGGACGACATTTTGCCCAGAGCCGCGCCAATGGCGTTGGCAACCTGGAAAAACGGCGGCTTGACCACCTTGGACGTGCCCTTCAGCCTGTCTGGCGCAATGAACGAGCCGCCGCCCACGAAAACGGTCGGAATGTCGTCCGGCGCCGTCTTCATGCGGTCGATGACGGTCTCCAGCGCGGAGGCCACGGTTTTCTCGAACTCGGCCTTGAACCCGGCCCCAAACCGGCCGGCTACCCTCTGCGGGTCGCCCATTAGACACTTTTTGTCCACCACGCCCTTTTCGTCCACCATCTTTGCAACAGTCACGTCAGACGCCGTGACGGTGTCTCCGCCAAATAGAACGCCCCTGCTGACCATCTCGGCGCCCGTGGAGTCCGGGCCGACCCTGACGCGGCCGGCCTCGTGCCGCACGATCGATCCACCGCCCAGACCAATGCTTTCCACCTGCGGCATCGAAAAGTTGACTCTTACGCCGCCAGCGTGCGAGTACGTGGCCGACTGGCGCGGGAACCCGCTCGCAAGCAGCATGCCCACGTCGGTGGTGGTTCCCCCCACGTCGCACACGACGACGTTGCGGCCTTTGACGGCCGGATCCTGCGAGCACAGAACGGCAGCTCCGCGCATCGAGTTGGTGGCTCCCGACGAAAACGTTCTCACAGGCGTTTCCAGCGCGTCCTGCACAGAAAGCACGGTGCCGTCGTTCTGGGACAGCAGGACCGAGCAGTCGAGCCCGTTGCGTCTGGCCGCGTGGACAAAGGAGGAGATGATCCTGCGGCCGAACCGTTTGATCGCGGCGTTCAAAATCGCGGCGTTCTCGCGCTCGACGATGCCGATGCCGGAGATTCGGTGCGACAGCACCACGTCGCAGCCGGGGATCTCCTCGCGGATGACCTGGGCGGCGCGTAGCTCGTGCGTGCGGTCGACGCTGGCAAACGTGGCCACGACGACGACGGTGCGAAGTCCGAGCCGTTTGATTTGGTGGCAGTGCTGCCTGATTTCAGACTCGTTCAGCGGCCTGATCTCCGTGCCGTCGACCTGCACGCCGCCGTCGAGCACGGCCGCGTAGCCGTTGACGACCGCCGCCAGGTCGGCGGGAAAGTCGCTGAACGGCGGCGAGCCTCTGCCGTACGGCCCCGCGAGACGCAGCACGGCCACTTTCTCGAGCCGGCTCGAGTCGCGCTCGACAACGGCGTTGATGAAGTGCGTCGTGCCGATGGTGACGGCCGCGATCTGGTCTCTGGAGAAGCGGCTGTCTGGCGCGTCCAGAACGGCCCTGATGGCGTTCTCGATGCCGCCAGACACGTCCGGCGTGGTGGCGGCCTTGTGCCACGCGAGCACGCCGCGGTCGGCGGCGGCCAGCCGGGCAGGGTCGAGCACAACAAGGTCGGAGTTTGTGCCCCCGACGTCGATGCCGATGACGAGGTTCCTGGACATGAGGCTGTCAATGGCTGCAATGGCGGTTTAAGCGTACCTGTTGAAAATCTGCACCTGTATTAAATAAATACCTATACAGAAAATGCGGCTATACCGCACGAAAGAAATGAAAACTTTTATCAGATCCGGGATCTGGAAACGACGGACCGTGTGTCTAGATGGACAACGTGCCCGTCAGCTGGATGTCCAGGACGCTCTTGCCGACGTAGACCGCGTAGTCGCCCTGCTGCAGGGCCCAGTTCTGGTTCTCGACGTCCCACGTGCTCAAGTCACGCCGGGTCAGGTCAAACACAAACGTCTGGGTCTCGCCAGGGGCGATGGAGACCTTGTCGAAGCCACGCAGAACGCGGCCCGGACCGTTAGGGATCTCCACGTACAGCTGGGCCACCTCGGCGGCAGTGACGTTGCCCGAGTTCGTGACGTCGCACGTGACCGTGGCAACCACCTCCCACAGGTTAGGGTTGCCTCCCTGGACGAGCGTGGCCTCTGGAGGGAACTGGGCGGTGTCTGCGCCCTGCTTGGTGATGGAGATGTTGGCGTAGTCAAACGTCGTGTACGTGAGACCGTAGCCGAACTCGTAGCGCGGCGTGATGTTGTACTTGAGGAAGTGCTTGTAGTCGATGTACAGGCCCTCGGTGAAGTTGTCCTGAGGGTAGTACTGGTCGACGGTGCCCTCTGGGACGATAGGGCTCAGCAGGCTGCCGTAGTCGGACTCGTTCTTGGCCACGGTGTATGGCAGTCTACCAGATGGAGACTGGTTGCCGTACAGCACGTCGATCAGAGCCTGGCCGGAGTCCTGGCCCGGCAGGTGAGCAAACACCAGGGCAGTCACGTTCTCGTGGTCGATCCAGCTGTCCACAATGCGCACACCGGCGTTGTGGACCACAACGATGGTGTTGCTGCACTTGGAAGCGACGTTCTTGACGAGCTCGTCAGAGTAGTCGTCGCGCAGCGTTGGTCTGTCCCAGCCCTCGGACGAGGCGTCGTTGATGAAGACGATGCAGGCGTCGTTGCCGCCGTTGACCTTTGGGTCCTGGTCGATGAAGTTCCAGCTGAGCCACGTGCCGTCCTGCTTGGCCTGGCGCACAAAGGCGTCGTACGGAGCATCGACGTAGGACGGCGTGTTGGCACCGGAGCCAGAGCCGACAAAGAATGTGCCGTTCAGAGCAACGTCGGGGCCGCTCTGCGTAGGGTCGTACGACGACAGGAACAGCCTCCAGATGTCTTCGATGTTGATGTCGGTGCCGTTGGAGTAGGTAAGCGTGTTGGTGAGCCCGAAATTCCAGAGCTCGAGACTCGTGCCCAACAGGAAGTTTCTGGCACTGGCAGTGGCGTCGTAGCCATACAGGCCGAGCGCGCGAGGCTTCTTGAGCGGCAGCGCGTTGTCCTTGTTCTTGAGCAGAACGTGGCCCTCGACGGCTCCCTGCAAAATGGTGTCTGCAGAGGCCGGGTCACGTGCGTCGACCAGGTCGTGCGGCTGGGTCAGGTCGTACGGCAGGCCGAAACCAGGGTCCTCGATCTCGGCGAGCTTGTACCACGCGGCAACAATACGGGTGACCATGTCGTCGAGTCTGCTCTGCGCCATGGTGCCGTTGTTGATGGCCTCGACCAGTGTGCCGTTCTCCCAGAAAACAGAGTCGGGCATGGCAAGGTCGAGCCCCGACTCGGCGCTGGCAATGCCAGAGTGCTGGGCGTCCCAGTCAGACACCACAAAGCCCTGGAACGCAAGCTCCTCCTTGAGCAGGCCGTTCATCACCTTGCTGTTCTCGCACGCGTACGAGTTGTTGATTCTGTTGTAGCTGCACATGACAGAACCGGCGCCGGCCTTGATGGCGTCCTGGAACGGCCACATGTACAGCTCGTGCATGGTTTTGTCGTCGACGTTGGACGAGATCGACTGGTTGTGGGTGCCCTCGATCAGGCCGAACTGCGGGTTTCTGCTGGCTTCCTGCTCGTAGGCCACCAGGTGCTTGACGCACGCAATAACCGACTCCTGCAGGCCGCGGATGGTCTCGCCCGTCAGGGCGCCCGACAGGTACGGGTCGTTCGAGAAGCCCTCCCAGTTGCGGCCGCCGCGGGCGATCTTGCCGACGGGGCCTGTCACAGGGCCCAGCGCGACGTTGACGCCCTTGTTGCGGAACTCTCCACCCATGTGGAGCGATCTTTCGTACGCCAGGCCCTTGTTCCACGAGGCGCCCACATGCAGGCCTGCTGGGTACGAGTTGACCATGTCTGTGCCACGGACACCGTTACCGGCGTCCTGCAGACACAGGCCAGGGAAGTTGAGCCGAGGAACGCTGCCCGACATACCAGAGCAGCCGGTCGTGGTCACCGAATAGCCGTAGGTGACGTTGTTTTTCTCCTCGTTGGTCATCTGGTCGACGAGCGCCTTGGCCTTGTTAAGCGCCTCGGCCCAGTCGTCGACGCCAGAAATCTGGGGGCTGGGGTAGACGGGCTCGGAGCGGCCGTAGGACCAGTAGTGCTCGAGCTCCTCGAAGTCGATGTCGTCTCTCTTAACGACCGCGGCGCCGTTGGAGGTGGCCAGCAGCGCAGCGAAAGAAGCTAAGACTAGGAAGTTCTTCATGGTGGATGGAAATAGGGGAGACAGACGCCGGTATTTATAGTGTTTTTGGGGAAGCACTGGTGACCTCACATTTTGCAAATTGCCCGATCGGATTAATATGGAGAGAAATGCAGGTTATGTATTGTTATGCACGGCGTCAGCATTAGTAACAGTCTAAATTGGATTCTGGGGTAGCGAGAAACGCTGGCGGCAAAATCGGTCTGAGGGGCGATTGAGTGCCAATTGAGTGGGAGAACCGGCTGTGAGCAACCACCTTGCCATTCCACTCGACCAGCTTCCAAGACGTTGTGTGAAACGTCTCATTAGCGTCTATTTTGCTCTCCCCGCTTCGGTCACCAACGCTATTGTCCCACTATGGCAGAATTCTCGTGGAAAAACTTTTCCATACAATGGAATATGCGAGATTTCTGTGGGGTACCCTCGATCTGCACGCATTGTCCCCAGACGATCGCTATTGTTGTGTCGACGACCGGGGAAATTTGCCGCCGGTGTTTTCATCGGCGGTCATTGTCCCGTCTGCAGGTGTCGAGGACGTTCCAGGCCAGACGCTGCCGGTCTGGGAATTGCTGCTTCCCGAACGGGGATCTTGGATCTGTGGACGAATCGGAGAATCGCCCCGATGCTGGTCTGCCCGCCGCTTTTCAATGTGCTCACTGCTCCGTCCCTATGCAAAGCCCCCCCACGGACGGCACATGGGGCTACAAATTGGGTAAAGGGTCTTTCTTCGTTATATTCTGCAGTTTAGTTGCCGCTCCCCTCCTGGAGAGCAGCGATAATTTCGTACACACCGTATGCGCCAGGGTCTGGCGGAAAGTCCGTCTCGTTGTCCTCGATCCCCACGTAACTGGCCCGGCCCAGTTTGGGTTGCATTTTCCGAGTTGCCTCTGCAGCTGTGTGCGCCACTTCAATGGCCTGACCCAGGTTCTTCGACTGCGAGAATTCACGACAGAACGGAATCAGAACGTCCATCACCGTGCGGTCGCCCTCGCGCGCCTTGGTGAAATTGCACAGGTTATCAATTGCATAGTCCATTGCGTCGGCAAAGACCACTGCCAGCGGCTTCTCGTTGCTCTCCAGCAACAGCTCGAGCTTGTTGGTCAGGCCCTGCAGGAAAATGTACAGAATAGCGCCCAGCGTTCCGCCCATCGAGTCCTTGACGACCTTAAGCAGCGACGTGAGCGTCTGCAGCAACGACCCGCTTTCTGTGAACCGGTCTTTTTCCAGACGGTCCAGAACGGCCTCGGCGCCAATCTTGAGGCCTTCTCCACAATCGCCGTCCCCCATCTTGGTGTCCCAGATAGTCAATTCCGGCTCTCTGGCAATCACATTGCGAACAGCCGTTCTAATAACTGACTCCAACGTTTCCGGACGCACATTGGCGTCTCCTTTAGCAGGTAGCTTTTCTGTGGCAGAGTCCTCGTCGTAGTGCTTGAAGTCGTCAATCACACGGCTCTGGACGTCAATTGGCTCCAAAGAGGTGTAGTAGTTGGCCGGCCAGTTCGACGCCCGCACAGGCTTGTCTAGGTATTCAAACAGCTTCTCAACAGGAAAGTCTGCGGTAGCCGCCTTGGTCACGTTGAACAGCGTCAGTGTGAATATCTGCGCGTTGAAGCTGGTCACAAAGTGGCCGTGGTACACCCTCGTGATGTCCAGCCCGTAGTCGCGTTTCAGCTGCTGCACGGTCTCTGTCAGGACGGCCAGCAGCTCGAAATGCGACACCCCACCCAAGTTGTTGAGCTGCAGGACGATCTTGTCGCCCTTGTCGTACTGGAAGTACCCTCTTTCCGGGTCTGTGGTGTCCAGAATGTACCTGAGCAGGATCTGCACAAGCTCCTCGTTGGCCGGAACGTAGTCGAGCCGCTTCACGCCGGGCTCGTTGTGCACACCAAGCCCTAGCTCCAACTCATTCTGCTTCAACTGGCCCCAGTCGGTGGTGGCATCGTGCGTGGGGATGTGCACGTGATCGAGCCCCGCGTTAACAGAGGCGATGTTGGCGTTGACAGACACGCCCAGCTTGTACACGGTGTCGATGTCGTGGTACTCGTCTGCACACGCACCAAGCACCTTGGCCATGAGCGTGATTCCGCTGAGCGTTCTGCGGCCGACGCGGTCGCTTTTGGACCGCGGAACGGCCACATCGTCTGTCGTCCGCAAAATGCGGATCCTGTCCTCGCCGTACTTGTTGACGAGTTCCTGCGCAGCCATGCCAAAATACAGGTTATCGCCGGTGTAGTTGGTTATGAGGAAGATGGTACCCGCGTCAGAATGGACCACTTTCTCTGCTGCCTGGATGTTTCTGTAGTTTGGCGAAGCAAAAATTTCTCCTTGGACGGAGGCAGTGAGCATGCCGTCGGCGACAAAACCGTACCAGCCAGGCTCGTGGCCAGACCCCCCACCAGAGATCAGGGCCACTTTTTTGGAGTCGAACTTGTTGTTAAAAAGGACACGTTCTTTGGATAGGAGAGACAGGTTTGGGTTTTCGTAAATTGCTCCCTTGAGAGCAAAATTGACCGTGGAAAACGGGTCTTTTGGCAGAAAGTGCTTGCTGGACATTGCGAACAGCAGACGCCTGTGTAGAGAACGTATTTATACTTCCCCACCCAGGTTGTCGTTGCTCGTCCGCCAAGGGCCACCTCGAGATTGAAAATGCACTCCTAAGTGTCCTAATGAGGAAATTTTGGCGACTAGTTTCCAGGCGGAATTCCAACGACGACGTTCATTCGTGAAGACGGGTGGTTTGCCCCATTGAGCACCAGAGCACAAGGTATATATACCTTCCTGTGTGGGGCTGACCCCATCAAAATGACCAACAAAAAATTCAGAGTTATTGTGGGCAGCGATACTGCCGGCTACGAGTACAAGGAGGCCATCAAAAAGGATCTCGAAAACAATCCGTTGATTGAATCTGTCACCGACGTTGGCGTCTTTGGCACAGACAAGGAGGTTGCGTATCCCTTGGTGGCCATCGAGTGCGCGGAGAGAATTGCGCGGGGGGAAGCCGACAGAGGAGTTTTGATCTGCGGCACTGGGCTGGGTGTTGCTCTGAGTGCCAACAAAGTGGCAGGGATCCGCGCAGTGACAGCACACGACTCGTTCAGCGTGGAGCGGTCTATTCTGTCCAATAACTGCCAGATCCTGTGCATGGGCCAGCGGGTAATCGGACTTCAACTGGCAAGAAGACTGGTCAAAGAGTGGTTTACGTACACGTTCGACGAGACAAGCGCATCTGCGGAGAAGGTCGCCACGCTGCTGGAGTACGAACAGAAACACCTAAGTAATCCTATATCGGACTAGATCCGAGGGGAAATAATTCCTAGATCTGGACAGCAATTGTTGGTATAACTTGCCGCAAGAGTCACGAATAATTGACTGGTAAAGCCTGAATCAGTAGCAGAGTGCGTTTCGCAAGAGCCGCTGAGGCTTACCGCATTTTTCGGTGGAGCGTAGCTTGTCTGTCCCAATACGGTAACCTAGGCGTATGTGAAACATAAGCCGTCAAACATTTTTGTGGGGTAAAATAGTCCGGGGTCAAAAAATATTGCATGCGGGAGGTAGAATTTCTATAGAGAGAAAACAATGCAGCTGCAGACTGACGTAATCTGTTTCTCTCGCGTCACTATAAATACTGGCGACAATCCCCTGTAGCCGTATCATAAACATGTCTTCCGATAACAAAGTGGAAAAATCACCGGCTCAAGAGGGCTATTACCCCAAGTTTTTGGGTCTGAGCGGCCAGACTCTGCAGAACACCGTCAGCCTGATGGCTTCGGTTGGATTTCTGCTCTTCGGATATGACCAAGGAGTTATGGGCTCTCTTTTGACTCTGGAGTCATTTAGAGACACCTTCCCTTCAATCGACACGGTCAGACACGCAGACGCTGCCACGATGCAGGGATTCACGATCGCCGTGTATGAGATCGGGTGTTTGGCGGGGGCTCTGGCGACGCTTTATCTCGGAGACAAGCTCGGCAGACTGCGGTGTATTTTCATTGGCTGTGTCGTGATGACGATCGGAGCCATCTTGCAATGTACAGCCTTCAGCGTTGGCCATCTTATTGTCGGCCGGATTGTCACCGGTCTCGGTAACGGGTTCAACACGAGTACGATTCCCATGTGGCAGGCCGAGTGCTCGAAGCCAACCTCCAGAGGAAAACTTGTGATGATGTCAGGTGCGCTGATCACGGGAGGCATTGCTCTTTCGTACTGGGTGGATTTCGGGTTCTACTTCACCAAAGGCTCTGTTGCATGGCGGTTCCCTGTGGCGTTCCAGATGATCTTCCCGATCGTTATTGTGCCCTTCATCATGAAGCTCCCAGAATCGCCTAGATGGCTCATCAAAAAGGGCCACTACGAAAAAGCCAGAATCGTGTTTGCGAGCCTGGACGGCGTGTCCACGACGGACCCAGAAGTCGAGGAGCAGATCACCGACGTGCGCGTTTCGCTGCTCGAGGAAAATCTCGACGGCGGCGACACGTTCACGGCCAGCAAGCTGTTCACCCAGGGCGAGCACAGAGACTTTCACAGAATGTGTCTTGGTCTGTGGTCGCAGATCTTCCAGCAGATCACCGGTATCAACCTGATCACGTACTATGCGGGCACGCTGTTCGAGAGCTACATTGGAATGACGGCGTTCAACTCGCGGATTCTGGCCGCGTGCAACGGAACGGAGTATTTCCTTGCGTCGTGGATTCCGTTCTTTGTGATTGAGAACGTCGGCAGACGGAAACTCATGCTCTTTGGTGCCGCAGGACAGTCCATCACCATGGCCATGCTGACGGTGACAATGTACCTGTCTGGGGAAAAAGATGACAGCCGCGCGGCCATCGCGGCGGCCGTGCTGCTCTTTGTGTTCAACACCTTCTTCGCCATCGGCTGGCTCGGCATGACGTGGCTGTACCCGGCCGAAATCCCGCCGCTCAGTATCCGGGCCCCGGCAAACGCCATCTCGACCGCCGGAAACTGGTCGTTCAACTTCATGGTCGTCATGATCACGCCTATCGCGTTCAAGAACATCGACTTCTACACGTACGCTATCTTTGCCGTCATCAACGCGCTGATGGTGCCTAGCGTGTACTTCCTGTTCCCAGAGACTGCGGGCAGGTCGTTGGAGGACATGGACCACATTTTCTCGCAGTGCGACCCGTGGAAGCCGTGGCAGGTGGTCGGCATCGCCAGAAGACACCCAAGAACGCATGGCGTGGGTGCCGACGCCCGGCTGGAGCACGGCAAGGCCAGCGCCGAGAACATCGAAAACGCTACGGGGTCTAGCGAATGATATGTATTTGAATGTTACTAGTCGCCTTTACTCCAGAACTTCATCAGGTCGTTCATGCGCCACTGCGTGGCCCACCCGGTGGACTTCTCCACGTTGTGTAGCGCGTTGAGCAGGATGCCGTAGTCCTGGCGCGACGTCAGTATGAGTCCCGCCACGTACAGGGGCTGGATCGAGTTCGAGTAGGCGCCGTAGTCCGAATTCGTGATCGAGATGCCTATGATCCGCCGCGCGTGGTACACCATCGATACGCTCGGGTACATTGAGTTTTCCGCAGAAAGCTGCGATAGCCGCAGCGAGTGTGGCTTGTTCTGGATCATAAGAATGCACGACATGTGGTACATTTGCGTGGAGGAGATTGCCTGCGAGTTGGCAAAGAATATCCGTGGAAACCCGATCTTCGGGTCGTACACCTCGTACGTCTTGCTGAACAGGTCCTCAAAGCTCTGCTCCCACCGTCGCAGCCGCACCCACAGGTCCAGCCACTTCGACTTGTACTGGTCGTCTTCCTGCTCTCCGTACACCAGATTCACCACAAGCGACGCCAGATAGACAATGTAATTTCCGTGCATTTCTGGCGTGTCGAACGCCTTTTCGATCTCCTCGGCCGTCATGTTGGGCAGCACCCAGTGCTCCGACGGCAGAATGGTGGGGGACTCGTTGATGACCGAGTGGCAAACGTCCATGCGGATAAACACCCAGAACGTGGCGCGCTCGATCTTGTCGACGGCGAGCCCCGTGATGTTGTAGCTCTTGAGCAGCAGCACACAGCCCTCGAGATGCTGCTTCCAGTTGCGCGGCTCAGAGCTCATCATCTCAAACACACACAGGATCACGCAGGTGACGATGATGTAGATGTCGTTGGAGGTGTCGTTGTACGTGGGGGCGAGGTGGCGCAGCGACTCGTGGTACAGCGACACGGTCAGGCCCTTCGGGTAGTTGGCCACCTTGCTGTCGAACCAGCGCGACGACAAAGCGAGCACGGCGAACCGCAGCGCCGGCCGGCTCTTCATTTTCTGCGGGATCACGCGCACCATGGTCTTGTCGGTGTCGAACATGTCCATTCCTGCCCCCACGTTCTCCACGTAATTCTTCAGCAGCAAAATCTCCTGCTCCGGCTTGAGCACCACGGGCTCGTCAAAGTCCTTGACGGAGAACTTCTCCACGTTGACAAAATACTCCGTCAGCACCTCCTTCGGCAGCAGCGGCTCCAGCTTCGAGTTCGTCGTGAACGCGTTCACGTACATGTACTCGCGAAGGATGTGCGACAGGTCCAGATAGCTGTTTTCGTGCGTGGACGGGTAGTTCTGGCTGAACGCGTCCATGCTGAGCGGGTCGGATGACATCCCCGTCAACGAGGTGTAATCTGGGAACGGCGAGGTTGCGGGCGGCACAGTCGTTTTTTCAGTAATTGGCTGGTGAACTTGCGGCGGAGAAAGAAATCTGGACGGTAGAGTGGGCGTGAGCAGCGACGAAAGCGGCGATACCCGTTTGTGGTGAGGCGTCGCAGCGCTCAGTACGGGCTGGTCGTCATTGAGCGACGACACAGGCGACAATGGCCACTGCACCTTGGCCAGCTCTGGCGCCTCTTGCGGCTCCTTGCGATGCTGCTGTTTGGCAGGTTTTTTCTTCAGCAGCTGGTCCGCAACGTTGATAAACCCTGGCCACTCGCAGGCAAGCCCGTTGGACAGGCAGTAGGCACACTTGGACTCGCCGTTCTCGGTTGTGTGCTTGATCTCGTCGCACTTTCTGCGCTTGCGGCGACAGGTCAGACAGCCTGTCCTGGCTCGTTGCACTTCAGGCTTGCTGATTTTAGAGCGCGTGCTGGCTATGCCCGTCGCTCCGTGGGGTTGGCCAAGAGACATTGGAGAGTTCAAAGGGAAATGTAAGCGGCAACACGGTCTTAGTTATTCTGGGAGAATGGGAGATGCGTTCTCCAGATTTTATTTTTCGCCTCGCGCATCTTGCCGTTTTGGGTAGTTTAGCCGGGGAGCACGGACAGCAGGTATATGTGGGATGGCAACGCCGACTTCAGCACCAATGACTATCGTCTCAAGCCAAGAACCGTTCCAGAACCCTCCAGGCCCTGCTCTGCCGGCAAAGGCCCCCGACCTCTTCTCTCTGGCAGGCAAGGTGTGTGTTGTCACCGGCGCCGCGCGTGGAATCGGACTGGCCGTCGCAGAGGCGTTCGCGCAGTCCGGGGCACACGTCGTCTTGTGGGACCTCCAGGCGCCCGTCAAGGCCGCTGCGAGCATTGCCGAGGAGAACGGTGTGAGAGCAAAGGCCTACGGCGGCGACGTTACCGACCCAGACACGGTGGACCGCGTGGTGGACGAAATAGTGGCCGAGTTCAGCACGATCGACGTTTTCGTGGCCAACGCCGGCGTCAACATCCCGTCGGGCGACATTCTGAGCGAGCTCAACAGAGACGGAAAGAGATGGAACAGGGTCGTCGACATCAATCTGAACGGGGTGTTCTACTGTTCGCGGGCCGTTGGCAGAGTTTTCAAAAAAGCAGGCAGGGGCTCGCTGATTTTTACAGGCTCCATGTCGGGCCACATTGTCAACACGCCGATCGAGCACTCGGCCTACAACACCAGCAAGGCCGCCGTGATCCATCTAGCCAAGTCGCTGGCGGTCGAGTTCCGCGGTTTTGCGCGGGTCAACTCCGTGTCGCCCGGCTACATCGACACCGGCATTAACGGCTACGTGGACCCAGACACTCGCCGCAAGTGGCAGGACGAGATCCCGCTGGGCAGAGAGGGCCAGGTCAAGGAGATTGTCGGCGCGTACCTCTTCTTTGCCTCAGACGCCTCCACCTACGCAACTGGCTCTGATCTGGTCGTTGACGGAGGGTACACCATCAGATAGTGCTGCTGCAGCAACGACTAAATAAGGTATTTCAGAAAAACTTTTCCCCACAAAATCTAGTCCGGGGAAGCTCCCCAAATAGGCAATTTAGCCGTGTCTCCACACATGGCTAAAAACCCATTCCGAAGTGCATCCAAACCTTGCTATAAGTAGCGCTGCCCCAGATCGCAGTTCCCCAATGACTATCGCCCACAATCTCCCAAACCCATCGCTCCAAACCAACCCGGAACACACCCTCGAGCTCAAGGAGCAGCCGATCGAGCTGCCAGGCCCCGACGAGGTGCTGCTACGCATCCGTGCCACGGGAATCTGCGGGTCTGACGTCCACTACTGGAAACACGGCCAGATCGGCGAGCTCAAGGTCCGCGGAAACTGCATTCTCGGCCACGAGGCTGCCGGCGAGGTGATCGAGCTGGGCTCAGACGTGAAAAATTTCGAGATCGGCGACCGCGTCGCCATTGAGCCCCAGGATGCCTGCGGAAAGTGTTTCCTGTGTATCCAGGGAGACTACAACCTGTGCCAGGAGGTGGACTTTCTGTCTGTGTACCCCTGCCACGGCACCATCCAGAGATACCGGGTGATCAAGGCCAAGAACCTGTTCAAGCTGCCGGACAACATGACGTACGAGGAAGGCGCTCTGTGCGAGCCGCTCAGCGTGGCCTACCACGGAATCGAGCGCGCCCAGCTCGAGCTGGGCCGCGGGGCCATGATCTGCGGCGCCGGCCCAATTGGCCTGGCCACTCTGGCGCTGGCCAACGCGAGCGGAGCAGCTCCCCTGGTCATTTCCGATCTTTCTGCCGACAGACTGGCGTTTGCGAAGAAGCTTGTTCCACGAGTCCAGACGTACCAGATCGACCTTAAAAAGTCTGCTGAAGAGAACGCGGCTGGTATCAGAAAGCTGTTTGGTCCAAGAGAGGAAGACGCTCCGCCAAAGGTGCTGGAGTGCACGGGCACGGAAAACAGTATCATCACAGGAGCCTACGTTGTGAGACGGAGCGGCACGCTGATGGTGATTGGCGTGGGCAGAGACATCATCAACAACTTCCCGTTCATGCACCTGTCTTTTGGCGAGGTGGACGTCAAGTTCATCAACAGGTACCACCAGTCGTGGCCAGCTGTGATCCGGCTGATCAGCGACGGCATTGTGGACGTCAAGAGCTTTGTGAGCCACCGGTTCCCGCTGGAGAAGGCCGTGGAGGCGATCACTCTGTCAAGCGACCCAGCGCAGAGCAGTATCAAGGTGATTATTGAGGATAAGTAAGGAATTTATTAAATTAAATAACTGAAAAAATTAAATAAATCAATTTTCCTTTTCCTCCAGTTCTAGCGACGTGACACTCTTGAGTTTTGGATCCTCAATCAAAAACAGCAACGCCAGAATTGGTACGCAGAAACACAGCGCAATGATCAGAAATATGCGCTGCACGTAGTCGTAGGAGCTGACCAGCTGTGCCCTGGCCTCGCTGCCCCACGCGTGCTTCGTGATAAATTTCAACGGAGCCTCGTACGCCAGTGCTGCCATCTGAGGGTTTTGCATTTTTTTAGCGATCTGGCCGGGCAGAACCTGCGTCCAGATTGCGCCTGCAATGGACGACCCCACAGCAGAGCCCAGGCTCGTCATTGCCGAGTACAGCGCCGTGATGTTGGCCAGATACTCGTGGTTGACGTACGATTGCAACGACACTCTGACCTGGTGCGTGTAGCCGGCGGAGCCGATTCCCAAAAGCACCTGGCCGGCAATCATACCCCCCACGTACTCCTCGCCCGTCCGGTACCTGTACATGAGGCCGTACGCGATGAAAGAGATGCCTATTCCGGCAAACATGATGAGTCTCATTTTTCTGACCGCCACGATGATCAGGCCGAGAATTACGCCGCCGGTAGCCGCAGAAAAGCTGAACAGCGACGCTATCCGTGTCGCCGCCTTGACGCTTTGGTGGAACGCCACCACCAGCACCGTGTAGAGGTACTCACCTTCCAGTTCCCAGGCGACGCTGGACCAGAAGCCGATCACGAGTGCGGGAACCACAGAGCGGTGTTTGACGATCTCGCGGGTCAGAATCGGGTGCGAGGCGTACTTGCTTTCCCATACAACCACGAACGGGAGCAGCACGCCGCTGAGCACGAGCGGGACAATCACCTTGGCCGTGCGCCATTGCTGGTCTTCTCCGCCGGCCAAGGTGAACGGCGTGAGAAATAGGCCGATCACGAGCGCAGCACCGAGCACGCCGAGCGCGTCGAGCTGCCAGAACAGAATGTTCCAGAGGTCGAGCCAGAACCGTCTGCTGCAGATATGTGGCCGCTGCAGCTCCTCGTGCAAATCGCCGTTTTTCTCCGCCAAATACCGCATGTGCACAAGCATGAGCACGAGCGGGAGTCCGGCCACGGGCATGATGATGGCCCACATGCCGATCCCCCACGACCAGTTCTCCTCGCCGATGCTGCTCACGACGTTACCCGAGATCCACGTGTTGATGATGAGCGGCATGGCGTCGATGAAGACGCAGAACGTGCGCCAGTTGAGGTTCGAGAAGTCTGCCGTGATCACCAGAGTGCAGATCTGGATGCCCGTCAGGCCGATCTGGTACAATATCGCGCCTGCTGCGAACCGCGTCACCTCGTACGCCTGCGACTCGATCACCGAGCCGACCGCGTACAGCAGCAGGCTCACACACAGGATCTCCATGCGGCCAAAGATGTCGCAGCACCGGCCGTAGATGATCAGCGCGCACACGGCGGCCACCGAGCGGACGGTCGACACGGTCGACACGAGCGAGTGCGCCTTGTACGAGTTGGTAGCGTACGTCTGGAACGTTTTTCTGACCGCGGCGTCGAGCCGGAACACGTAGGCCATCACGAAGATGGAGAGGAAAATGAGCACTTTCTGGTACTTCTTGTTGTACTGCTTGATCTGGGCCTCTGCCCGGCGAACACCAAACGACTTCTCGACGGGGCCCATGGCATAGACGGGCAGCGTTGCTGAGACGGCGAGCGAGTGCGCGGACTCGGCGTGGTCGAGTTCTGAGGTGGCCGGAGACTTCATTGCCGAGACGCCAAGATGTAGGCGATTATATAGCTGGCTAAGGGACGGCGTAATCGGACAGAAAAATAAGTATCATGCATGATGAGATGCAGGGTCTGGAATGCGATGGGCGGAATGGGGTGAAGGGTGCTTGGAGTGCCACGGCTGGCCGGGTAGCTACCGCAGAGACTGGTTTTAGAAGCTCTGTTGCAGGATGCTAAAAGGGCTTGACGGGAGGGCTCGAAATATATTTGTTAATGCTACGCCGTTGGCTGAGCACGTAGAATGCTCTGGAGCAAGCAGGGTAAGGCCGGTTCTTGAGATGTTCGGGTGGTAGAAGCTGAACAATAGCTGCAGATATTTCGTGGCGGTGCTGCAGGTCTCAAACGGCTGTCGGCATGGCATTTTGCCGTGCCCGGTCCGACCACCTAAAGTGCCCTTACGCTATCGGGTGAAGTCGAAGGCCGGCTACTAGCAACGCAGGTGGGCATGACTGTATACATGTATGCGTTTGTTTAAATCTGTGTTTGGCTCGGAGTTAAAATGGTGTGCATAATACATGAAAAATGTCGAGTTGCCAAGTTCGACTGCAGGAGAGCAGTTTAACCGAGATAGAGCCGATTTTTAACCAAACACACGCGGAATCACAAGGCGCAGCCAGCACTTCGCATGATATCAGACTCACCGAGGAGTGCAATAGCGTCCCTTCCTGCTGCGTGGTCGCCGTCTCACTTGGCTAGAAATGTCAATCGAGCACATCACGCAGCGACGGCTGGATTCCTCCGTTGAGAATATAGCATATTGATCGAAATCAGCCATAGGAGACGAAGACACCCTTCTGGCTGCCGTGGCAGTAAGCAACTAAGCAAGCAATTCTTTGGCATAGCGAGCTCCTGAAAAGCCGCCAGCCTCTGGCGAGCAGCGTTGATGAAGCGTGTTCAGGAAGTGACAGATTGATGGTGAGACAGACTGCAATGCTTTGCTACCTGGAAGCGGGTGCTAAACAGGCTCGTATAAAAATGGATGGCATTGGCGCAACAGACTTATTCATGATCACCACGCCACGTGAGACCAATATCTTGCATCCTCGCAGAATTTCTCAGCTTGTCACGTCTGCCAGATATTGTAATCTCCTGATGTTCCCGAGCTGCGTCAGGTTATTAATGACAGCAACAGCTGAGTTATGCTGCCACTCTACGCTCTCTGTCAACCCCGATGCTTGGCAACCTGAAACTTGGCATGTCCGCTCTGCTGCATCCAATCTGTAAGGTCCACACCTCGCACCCTGCCTCCTGACCTGGATAGTGTGGCTGCTCGCCATAGCTGGCGGAGGTTGGTTACTGATTTGGACGGAAGGCCGCGCAGATACACACGACGCACACATGGCGAGCCACCACGAGCGCACCGGCAGTATATAAGCCCTGGATTCCCCCGCTGAGCAGCATGTCTGAAAAATCAAGCTCGCAGGAAGTCCAGGTGAGCGCCCTGGAGTCTGGCTCCAGATGGAAAAGCTGGCTCTTTTCCAAGGAGAACCACAGAGAAATCACCAAGAAGTACGCCGACGAGACTCTTGACCTGATGGACCAGAACGACGCCAGCGTGGCAGAGATCAGTCCGGAGCAGGAAAAGAAGCTTGTCCGCAAGCTCTGGCTCACGGTGCTGCCGCTCGTGTGTCTGGTCAACGCCACGTTGTTTGTGGACAAGAACGCCATCAGTTATGCGTCGTTGACCGGAGTGTTTCAGGACATGAACCTGACGAAGCAGGAGTATAACAATATCCAGACGTATTTCTATGTCGGATACCTGCTGGGCCAGTTCCCGTCGCACCTGGTGTTCCAGAAACTGCCGATCTCCAGGTACGTGACCTTTGTCACGGCGATGTGGTGCCTGCTGTCGCTGTGCACGTTGGGTTGCAAGAGTTATGGCGGGTTGTCTGCTCTGCGGTTTTTCCTGGGCTTTTTCGAGTCCGGTATAACTCCGTGCGTCGAGCACACGATAACCATGTTTTTCACGGTCGAGGAGCAGGCCATCGTCAACCCCATCTTCTGGGTCTCGTGTATCGGAGTCGACATCCCATGCGGGTTTGTCTCGTACGCTTTGCAACATACCACTGTCTGGAGACCGTGGAAATGGTACTGGCTGTTTGTCGGGCTCGTTTCCGCTCTCGTGTCTGTGACCTGCTTCTTTATCTATCCAGATAACCCGGCCACGGCGAAATTCTTCAGCGTGGAGGAGAAAGTGCACATCATCCGTCGCGTCAAACGCAGCTCCAGGTCCTCGATCGAGCAGAAAACGTTCAAAACCTACCAATTCGTCGAAACCGTCAAAGACCCGATCACGTGGCTATTTGTGGTGGCTATTTTCCTCAACATGCTCGAAAACTCCACCACGTACGAGGCCTCCATTGTGTACAAGGCGCTCGGCTTCAGCAACCTCACCACGACGCTCTTGATGGTGGTGCAGACCGGGTTTGGTGTTTTCTGTGCCGTCATCGGCTCCATAGCACTAAGAGTGTTCCGCAGACAGTCCGTCTACGTTGCGTGTGCGTGTCTGTCTGTAGCGTGGCTGGGCGGCATGCTTGCGGTCACCATGCCGTACGACAACAAGCCGGGCATTCTTGCTGGCATTTTCATGACCCGGCCGAACGGTACCGCCTACATCATTATTTTTTCCCTGTGCACCACGACGGCTGCTGGCTACACGAAAAAACTCACGAGAACCGCCCTTTTCATGGTGGCCTACTCGGTTGCAAACTTCATTTCGCCGCAACTGTGGCAGTCCGAGTACGCTCCGCGGTACATTGTGTCCTGGAGCGTCCAGATCGTGTGCTCGTTCACGCTGTGTCCGCTGTGTCTGCTGGTGATTAGGTTTATTCTTCTGAGACGCAACAGACAAAGACTGGCAGCAATGGAGAACGACGACACAGAGGACTATGGCTACATCGACGTGAAGGACGACAGCGGCGACGTTGTGCGCCAAAAAGTGGACGTTTCCATGCTGGACCTGACCGACCTCGAAAATAAGAAATTTATTTATCCGTTATAGTCGCTAATTTCTACTCCACGGCTCGTACTCTGGTTTATTTTTCTGGTCCCACATGCTCACCAAAACGTGCCGCTCGCCGGCCCAGGGCTCCCGTCCGTGGCTGACCTGGTGGTTGTCGACAATCGCAATGTCGCCCTCCTGCCATTCGTGGTGGTACGCCAGCTTGATCGACTGCTCCAGCAGCTCGTCTAAATACTTGATAGGAATAGGCTCTGAGTTGTCGTAGTCCAAAGCTGCGGTTTTCTGGTACGCGTTGGACTTGAACTTGCTGTCGGCATAGTAGGCGGCGATGCTGTTGAACAGCACCGGATACGACTCTGTTTCCGACACTCTGTAGTTGCGGATCGGCCTCGAGTGCTGCCCGACGATAAGGTCGTTGTTCTCGTCGAAATAGTAGTCCTTGCTTACGTATTCCTCCATCAGCACGCTGGCTTTGTTCTTCTGCGTCTCCAGGTCCTCGTTTGTGTGCAAGTCTCTGCCGAAACAGAAATAGTCTCTCCACGCGGTGCTATTGTCTGTTTCCAGCGGCCAGGTCTGTTTCATGTACAGGCCTTTATTGCCCAGCTCGGTCAAAAAATCGGGGTACACTTGCTCCAGGGCGGCGAAAAGTTCGCCGCCGTGCACGAGGGGCGTTGCTCCGCCAGCGGCCTTGTACCTGGTGCACACAAAAAACAGTCTACTGGGGTATTTCAGGAATCTTGAAAATTCATTGTGCTGATAAATCGCCAGATCGCTTGGTCCCTCGTTCGCCGTGGACAGATGCGGGGTGACAATTGTCCGCTTGGCGGTCACCCCTGTCTGCTCAAACTCCTCGTCGCCGCTGCTCGTCGCAATTGCCTCCACGTACCGCGAAATCACCTCTGGATCGGTCGTGCCTGTGTGTCGGAGAACCACCACGCCGTGATTTTTCAGCTGCTTGTTGAAAAACCCCCGCGCGCCAAGCTCCGCCAGGAAAGCCGCCACCTCGTCCGGCGAGTGGCTGCCGTCGCTGTTGTGCAAGTTGTACGCGACGGGGAACTCGCGGCCCCGGAAAACGTGTGCGTGCGGTAGCACTATCTTCTCTAGTTTTAGAACAGTCATGGCAGATCGAAATGAGCGTAGACTAAACGAAGTGAGTTATATAGTACCCCATATTAGCAGCTGCGACGGAGAAACACCGCTTCCGGATGTGGCAAAAGCCACACCTTATCTGCAACCATTTCCCAATCGGGGATGCCATCTCCGAACTAAATAGTCACCTGGTCCAGACGCTCAAGGTCCGCGACCGAAAACTCAAGATCGGCTTCTGTGCACAGAACGGCCGTGGCGAGGCTTCTTTTCTCGTCCTGCTCGATATGCTCCTCCTTCAACAGGTAATTGTCCACTTTGATGTCCCGCGGGTTTTTCCATCTGAACAGCTCCGTGTACTCATTTTCGCGGCCCAGCACCCTATCCACCACGGTTTTGCCCAAGACAGGCAAAAACTTGAACGCGTGCGACGAGCCGCCCGTCGCAACAATCAGGTTCTTGTAGCCCGGCACAAAATCAATCACAAAGTCGCTGTTGATGGCGTCCGTGTACCACAGCAATTTCGTCTTTAATTTTACCCCTGGTAGCTGCACCACGTCGGGAGCTATGGCCATGAAAATTTCCTTGGCTTCCTGGACAACGCTTTTCGGCAGTCTCTCGTCGCCGAGCGTCCTTGGCACAGAGACATAGCGGTCGCCAACGCGCTCTGGATTCAGGTACTTTCTCTGTCTGGTGTTGATCTTCAGAATACCTTCCTTTTTGGTTGGCGGAAAAAAAGCAAACCCGCCCTCGCCCACGTCGTGGTCCTTGTTGCGGTCGTGCTCGCTGCTGGTCGTCTTCCACTGCAAATGGGGGTACTCCGCGTACTTGTCGATCAGGTCCTGGCGGGTTTTCGGAATTTCCAGATACACAACATTGGCGAGCGACGCGTGGATGCGGTACTGCAGCTGGGGCACGAGCGACTCGGTCCACGGGCCAGAGCTGACAACCACGAGGTCTGCCGCGTGGCGCTGGCCGTCTGCGGTGATAATCCCGCCAACAGCATCCCCAGCAGATATTTTGTCGCTGTATGTTCCGCGCTCGCCGTAGTAAAAATTCACACCCGCGTGCTCCAGCAGGATTTTCACGTAGAAACACGCCTTGTCGGCCTTGAGCATGCGCCCGATGCCGTCCAGCGTGCCGGAGACCGTGCTGATCTTGCGCCGCTGCTGCAGGTCGCGCACCACGGCGAGTTTTCTGCGGAGCCCCAGCAATTTCGCACGGAGCAGGTCCTCGTCGGAATTTATGTCGAACTGCGTCGAGCGCAGCCCCAGTCTTCTAAAGCCCTCGAGGTTCTCCCTTTCGACTGGCGCCATCTCAGACGTGTCCGAGATCCGCAGACCGCCCGCCAGCCGGACCAGTTCCAGGTCGTCGTCCACAAACCGCGCCTTGTCCGCGTCTGGCAGCTGCTGGACGTCCTCGTTCCATTTCTCCCAGACATCCAGCGCCTCGACGGCAAGCTTCGAGTACAGCGTCTTGGTCTCGTAGTAGACGCGGAAAAACTTGTTAATGTCGCCGCTGGCGCTATCGGACCCGCGCAACGGGTGGTACTTGGTCTCGTCGTAGTTGGTGCGGTCGAAAATATGGATATTCGTGTACCCGTTCTGCACCAGGTGGTAGGCCGCCGAGAGCCCGAACACGCCGGAGCCCACGATGGCGATCTTGGCGCGTTTGTCGTACATGGCGGAAACGGCTGCCCTGGCGCTGTATATATACGCGGACCAGGCCTGCCCAAACCAGCGAGCTGTGGCTCTGCTCCACAATAATGGAAAATTTGCAGATAAGCGGAAAAAAATTCATTTCTGCTATGTCCGCAAAGACGATCCCTGGAGTGCAGCAGTTCCGAGTTCCGGAGTTGCACAAGAGCAAAGCCAGGGCGTGTGTGGCCTGTCGCGAAAGAAAGCGCAGATGCACTTTGGAATTGCCCGTCTGTAGCTACTGTCACATGCGAAAAAAGCCATGTGTCTATCCGTCGCAAACGTCTCCCGGCCCTGACAAGTCAGCTGAAACGCCGTCCGAAAAGCCGCTTGAAAAGCCGCCTGAAACCCAAGCTGGCACCACCACAGCAAACAAGGTTCCCCGCGCGCTCTGGCCGGGTTCCGGTGCCGGCAGCGAACTCAAGCCGGAAATGAGGGCCGGCCCCGTGTACACAAGCATTCTGAGCCCGTCGCTGTGTCTGGCGACCGGCAACGTGGCGCCGGATTTTCGGCTTCTGCGCTCGTATCTCCCCGAAAAGCGCGACGCAGACACGCTGATCGACCGGTACCAGAGCTCGATTCACCCGGTGGCGCCGATTTTCGACCTGCGCTCGTTCCATCCGCACTACGAGCTGTTCTGGGACAACGACAAAGATGCGTCGCTCGAGTTTTACATCGTGCTGCTCGCGATCCTGTACGCCGCGTCGGTCGCCGAGTTCGAGGAAACGTCGATCGACGACCAGTTCGGCCCCCACAGCGACGCGCTAGTCGCCCAAATGAAGCACTACGTGGCGGCGACGGAAATCGCGCTCGCGATGCACGGGTTTCCCACCAGAGTCGCGCTCGTGGACCTCCAGGCGTCGTTCGTCCTGCACTACGTGCTGCGGTCCGACTGCCGCACGGACGACTGCGGCTCTGTCGGGTACCTTGTGCGGCTGGCGCAGCTGCTCGAGCTGCAACGCGACCCCTGGAGCTACCACCGCCTCCAGGACGCCAGCGACGTGCAGCAGCGCCGCATTCTGTGGTGGCAGATCTACTATCTCGACTGCACGACCGCGCTGTCGACGCGGATGCCGCCCATCATCGTCGAGGGCGAGCACGACACGGTGTTCCCGGCAGAGTACGCAAAGTCCGGCGTACGCGACTTCGTGCTCGACGCGCACGTGACCTTCGCCAACCGCCGGTTCGGCTGGGCCGTCGTGTGCAGCCGCATCTTGCGGCTCGCGTTCCGGTTGCAGACCCCGTCTGACAAGGACTGGTTCGCGCTGCGCAGGGACATCGACAACCTGGCGCTGCAGTGCTCCGCCGCGACGCAGCGCCTGCTCGACAACGCGCGCACGATCCACCCCGACTGGCTCGCGTTCAGCACCGCTGTCGTCGCGTCGCTCGCTGACCGGTGTCACGTGCTCGTCCATCTCTCCTTGCAGAGGCACCCGCACCGCCCGGAGACGTCGTCTGTGTCTGACGCGCAGCTGCGCACGGTGGGTCCCGGGTTCGAGGAGAGCCAGATCCATCTGCTGCAGCAGTATCTGTCGTACGGTTCGATGCCGAAAAATAAGCGGTATCTCTGGGAGATCCGCAAGTTCCAGCCGATCCAGACGATTCTGGCGTTGTTGCGCAGCCTGATCGCAGACGTCGCGAGTCTGGACCGCGCAGCGCACTCGGTGGAGGCCATCCAGGCGCTCGGGGCGAGCGCCAAGGTGCGCGTTTTGGCGGACGCGGTGCAAAATCTCGGGTATCTGGCAGACCACACGACGCCGCTGTGCAAACAGCGGTGGGCGCTCGTGAAGGAGCTCAAACACGCAACGTGGCAGCAGGTGTTTGGCCGGCCGCAAAGCACGCACGATCCGGGCCATTCTGCCGCCTCCACCCAAAGCGACGAGTCGCTGCTCTCCGACGAGGCCTGGACGCAGATCCTCACCGAGCTCGGCAGGGTAGACCAAAAAATCGCCGACAACATCAGCGTCAAGGTCTGGGACGACGACGCCGGCCACTACACGTTGTAAACAGCTAATTCTCTTATTTAGGATCGTACTCGCCCTCCACGTCCTTGAACGTGTACCGTTTCGCGTCGTAGAACATGTCTGGCGTCGATTTCGCAGTCGCCGCGCCGGGAAACAACTCCGGACACAGCGTGATGTACTTCGGGAATCGCCACTGTCTGCCCGACCAGTTTGCCTCGACGGGCAGCTCGTTCTTCAGTGCCTCAGACACCAGCTCGCACTCTTTCCACACACGCAGCACATTCAGCCCCATAAACTTGCGGATATCCTCGTGCGACGCTCCGGACTTTTCCCACACTTTGACGACGAGGTCGGGGAATTTAGACACATCCTCTAATCCCTTCGGTCCCGTGGCACCCATGCCATCGAAATCCGACCCGATCCCCACATGGTCCCAGCCAATGAGGTTGACAATGTGCAGCACATGGTCGACGCAGTCGTCGATCGACGCGTCGGCAGCGTCGGGCTTCTTGATGAAGTTGGGCACAAAATCCACACACACAACGCCGCCGTTCGTCTTTACCATCTGCAGCACGTCATCCCGCACGTTCCGCTCGTGGTTTGTCAGAGTGTACGCCGAGCTGTGCGAAAAAATCACCGGCGCCCGCGCAATCTCCAAAACGTCCACCATCGTCTTGTACGACACGTGACTCAGGTCCACCATCATGCCGATGCGGTTGAACTCGCGAATGCAGTCGCGGCCGTACGAGGTGAGGCCCTTGTCCTCCTTGCCGGCAATAACGGTCGTGCACGCGGTGGCAAACGGGTTGTCGCAGTTATGAGTCAGCGTGATGTAGCGCACGCCAAGGTCGTAGTACTGTCTCACCACGGCGAGCGACGTGTCCACCTGGTGCAGGCCCTCAACGCCCATTGTGACAGATATCATGTCGCCGTTCGACTCCTGGTAGCTGCGCAGCGCCTCATCCGCGCTTGTCACAAATTTCATGCTCCGCGAGTACTTGTCGACGAGCCGTTTGATAATGTCGACCTGCTCGAGCGTGTCCCGCACAATGCTGTTGGGTCTCTCAAAATCCTGGTACAGCTCGTCGGGACTCGGGTAATCCATCCAGCAGCTGAAGAACTGGACGCCGACGCCGCCCTGCTTCATGCGGCGCAGGTCTGTCTGCGACACGAGCGGCTCGTCGAACCGGAACTTGTCCTCGTTGATTTCGTAGTGCAGCTGCCATCTGAGCTGGTAGGGAAGGTCGTTGTGGACGTCAACGACAGGCGTCGTCTTTGATAGCCGCCGGAATTCCTCGTATAGATCTGACGCAGGCATGGCGGTAAGGGCGGGCTGCACGGGTATTTATAGGGCGTCGGATGCCGCTTTGGGAGAGAGATAAGACTTTTATTATCATAGCTTATGTAATCCCTAGTTTTTATCTCAGGCCGGGAAATCGGACTGGTCGTCGACGCGGACGAGCCTGCCGCTGGTGTATGGCGACAGCATTCCAATGGTAGTGACAATACCTTCGGCACTGGCTTCTGCGGTGACGCCATGTTTCTTGATGTACTCCATGAACGCGATAGAAGTCGGGTCTGTTGGGTTGCTTTTAGCCTTCTCAATGATATCGTGCGCCATGTCGGTAACAACGAGACCTGGGTGGACACCAACGTAGCTGAAGTTCTCACTGGCATTCTCCTCGCTCAGTCTTTTGATCACAAAGTTAAGTGCGGCCTTTGAAGCTCCGTAGGCGCCGACAGGTAGCGGCATGTAGGTGCCAATGGAACCTGCAATGCTGGAGGTGAAGACGACTTTCCGGGTGTTTTTCTTCAACAAGAAGCCGTGAGCGGCCTTATAAGCCTCAACAGCACCAACGGTGTTGGTCAAGTAGTGTTCGATGAAATGTTCTCTCGAGCACTCCAGAATTGGGTAAGGAGACTTAGAAACTCCAGCGTTGATGATAGCCACATCAAGACCATCTGTCAGCTTGGCAATTTCTTTCTCCAATTGTTCTTTGCAGTCCTCATGGGCGATGTCTACAACGACAGTGTCAACGTTGGGTTTTTTGGCAAGCTCCAAGAGTTTGGAGGCAGTGTTTGCGGTTCTGTACGATCCAATAACATAGTTGTCTGGATTCTCGCTCAATTTGGTAGCAACAGCGAGTCCAATTCCTCTAGAGGCGCCGACGACGAGATAAACTGTTTGGGTCATAATACTGTCTTTGGTTAGTGATAAAACTACATTTTAGGCTTCCTTTATATAGTCGTTGGCCAAGGAACATCACGGCCATCTCCGGCCTTATTTGAAAATAATTTGTAAGATTTATTTTCTCCGGAGTGCAGGCTCGGAGTTCGCTCTTTCTTACAAAATGTGATTTATAAGGAAATTATTTTGGCATTACAAGCACCGAAATTCGTCCCGAGGCAGTCTCGGAGCAGAAATCGGCAAGAGAGCGGTCTGGGCACTGGGCGGAAGATTACTGCTGCAGAAAACGCATGTGTAGCTAGGAACTGCATGCCTAATTGCAACCGGTGTTCTTGTAGAATGTTTTACCGTTGTGTTTTGCTATTCTGTTTTGTCTGAATCTGCAACGCAATCGCTGGCGATGAGTTTTTACGAGTCTACTGTGCTCTAACAGAATCAAGCGTATTTAAAAAAATCCCGTTATTAATTATATTCTGTTCGCCACATTCCCTACTTCCTATTCACCTACCCATTGTAGACTGGCTGCCGGCACATTAGAACCAGCAACATAGGCAAGTCCCTTTGACCCTCGTGGCATGGCCTCTCATCTAGACACCGCCATATTCCAAGCCCCGTAACCTTCTTCAGGCTTAGATTTATTTTAATTTTTCAGAGTATTTCATATGTTCAAGCCAACATTGGTGCTGGTCATTGCACTGATATTGCCTCTTGTATATCAGCAGCTGCTGAACCTCCTGAACAGAAACACAATCCCGCTACATGTGCTACGCTACTATGTCCAACATCCCCTCGACGACGTCACCATCAAAATTCCAGTATACATCGAGTCTTCAGATCTGCGATTTCTCGACGTCGGAGAAGCCATACACATCCAGACCCTCGGCAGACTGCGCGAAACAGAGCGCACACTGCCCGATGTGCAGTTCGATTTCTACGAATACACTAATCAGACCGATGCTCTGCTAATGAAATTTTTCATCAGCGACGGCAACGGCATTTACGTGGACGCCGTCGAGGGGTACGCAGCGCTTTTCTACACGCTGGAGGCGGTGGACGCCAACGATGTGCCGTATTTTGGCACGCAGCTGCTGCTGGACCACTGCTACAACGACGAAATCAAAAACTACGTTGCAGATAGTTTTCTGCAGCTGGTGGACAACGACTCGAAAAACCACAGCTTCTTGCACCAGTCACAGTTTGAGACCTCGTTGCAGGATCCTCTGCGGCTTGTTTTCGTCATGATGAGCGCCGAGACCAGCTGGGACGTCGAACAGGCCGTCAAGTTGCACTTGGAGCCCGTTCTCAGCATCCTGTCCAACTACACCCTAGAATTTCTGCATGTGGACGAGGACGTCAAGTCGCCGTCTCGCTACATAGACGAGCACTTCCCAGAAGAGCTGTCTATGCTGCCTAACCTGGCGGACTTCTATCTCGCGCACAACAGCTCTAACTCCACCGTGTACCTCCTGTACTATCCGTTTGAGCTGGCAGACGACTCGATCCATACCATGTCCGTCGACAACCACAGCATCTACTCCAGCAAGGAAAACACGTTTCTCAACATAAAATCGTGGGGCTCTGTCTACTTTGCGCACACCGAAAGCTACCACGGCTACGTTTCCGCGCTGAATCTGGCAGACTGTATGTGGTCATTTGCAGAAACTGTTCTGGACCACTATCATTTTCCAAACGAAAATATGGCACCTGCTCTGCGCATCCAGATGTACAAGCGGATCGCCACGGTCAGGAACCTGACTTACTTCAGCCACAGGCTTTCACAGGTGGTTGGGTGGCTCGAACGCAACATATTAGACAGTTCTCTGGGCAGTGCAATTCTCGACGCTTTCGATCGCCGGGAGCAGGTAAAACAAATGCTGCAAAAATACGACTACGACTTGGCGCTGCAAATCAGCACAGACTTGGTGGCCGTGTTCGACAAGCAGATACAGAACCTCGACTTTGGAGATCTGGAAATTATCGAGTGAGCTCGGCATTTTACCATGTTCTGTTTATCTGTTCATGTCCAGACATATAAATATCGCTGCGGGACAGCGTCCGTCCCTCCTGCCATGTTCTACGAGCTCAAGGATTGGAGCTCGGTCGCGTCGACTGACCGATCGCACCCGCTGATTTTCGAGACCGACCGCAAACCGTGCTACATCATGGCCGACGTGGGCCACTCGCAGCAGGACGACAGGTTTCTCGAGAACCTGCTAAAACTGTGCGATCTCACCGGCCTGCGCCAAAAATACTATCAAGACGTGGTCAGAAAACAGGTAAGAGAAGAACTGCTGCTGAAAAGCATGTTTTTGAGACTCGCCTCAAAAGTACGCGGAGACTCCTACGTGGACTCGCGAGTGGACAAGTACATCAGAGCAAAAGGAATTCTCACCCCTGGAAAGTACCCAATTGTCCAAAAACCGATCTTGAAGAGGGTCGAGTGCAACGATCTGGGGCTCAAGTACAATTTCGAGATGGAGGCGCTGGAGATTGAAAACCAAGAAAGACTCAAGCAGGAGGCAATGGACGCAGACATTCTGTATCTGGAGGCTCCAAATAAGGGCAAGTTATACATCAGGAAAGTAAAGCGTCTGGTGGATACAGATTCTCCTTTTCTCAAGGAAGCCTGCAGCGCACGCATCCGGAGACGCACCCAGTATTTCGACAGGCTCCTTGGAGAGAAACACCAGAGCTTTGACGAGTTTGAGTACCGGCTGCTGAATCAGCCGATCCGCGACTACATCAAGTGATACCACTGCTTCCCGCTGCTAGACTGCTACCTGGTGCAAGGGTGCAGAACATCAAGAGAAAATTATTTCACACCAATTGCAGAATCGTATAATTTAATGAATAATCATGACTAGCACATTCACGAACACCGCTAAAAAGATAGTCTCGCTTCTGGAAAAATACCCTGCCGACAAGGTGAAGCACTACGCGTCGTACAAGTTCTCGCAGATCGAGCGGTTTTGTAATATCGGCTCGATACCGATCCCGAAAAAAATTCTGGAGGAACAGGCCCTCGAGCAGAAGAAACAGCAGAAACTGATCAAGATCGACGTGAAGAAGCTGAAAAGAATGATTTTCGCCGACGAAAACGCCACTACCAACTACAAAAAGGAGCTGTTCGACGTGGATATCCTGAACCAGCAGTACAAGTCGCTGAAGAATATCGCAGACAACAAATGGGCGGACTACTACAAAGTGGATAAGAAACTGCTGGAGCCGAAGGGAAACCCCAACTACTACGCCAGACTGATGAAAGACGTCAACCGTGGGGGACAAGAGCGCGAAAGCATATTCGATGCTTTCCGTACTATCATCACAGGAAAGTACTAACGATAATGAATGGAAATATATTAGTGCGTTTATTTTCTGGCGAACTGTAGGTAGCAGTCTGTGTCGTTTATTTTTATCGAGGTCCCCAGACTTTCCAGACACCGGGCCGACTCGAGGTCTGAGCGGAACTCCACAAGCGCGAGGTTCCGGATGTGCACGATGTTCACGTTGAGGAAGCCAGTGAATTTCTCGAAAATGGACTCCACTTGATCTCTGGTAGCCGAGCTAGGAACGTTGGTGACCAGGAGGAGTTTATGTGGCTCTGCAGCCTTGGCTCCTGGAATCTTGCGTTTCTTGGCCGTCGTAGGCGTCTGTAGCGTCGATTTCCGTTTCTTTGTTCGTTTTTCCAGTCTTTGTGCGCGCTGTTCTTGTAGATATTGCTCATATGCGGACTGTTCTGTATGTTCTCGCACCGCTAGATCGCTGTTTGTCTTCGCCATGTACATGTCCATTGGCTTGTCAAAGACCACTTTCGTGTTGAGGTGCTCAATCGCACGCACGCAATCCTCGTGCGACTTTAGCGTAATAAAAGCCTGTCCTCTTAATTGCAGATTTTTGAACAGCTTGATTTCCTGGATAGGCGCACCGAGCTCGTTGAAAAGCTGCTCCAGCGCCGACCGGAGCTTCTGGTGCGAGAGCCGCTCGTTCAGGTTGCGCACATACAGTGTACAGATAGACATGGACCTAAAAATAAATGGCACGAAAAATTCAGAAATGCACCGCCTGGAATCTGCTATGTACATATCAACCACTGGCCTTTTGCAATCCCAGCTCCTGCAAGAACGCGTCCGACGAGGGATTTCTGCCAAGAAGATCAACCAACAGGTCCATCTCCTCCTGCGAACCTCCCTTTTCCAGCACCTTTCTTCTATACTCCAGGCCGCTCTTCACGTTAAATGGATCCTCCTTGAACTTGGTGTAGAAGATGTCTGCCGCGAACACTTGCGACCACAGGTACCCGTAGTAGCCGGACGCATAGCCGCCCATGAGATGGCCAAACGAGGCGTAACCGGTGGTGGTTTGGCCGCCGTTTTTCACCAGGGCCACCTCCTCACGCAGATCGTTCCACAGACCGTCCATGTCGACCTTGCCGTCGACAGAGGTGTGGAGGCTCATATCAAACAATCCAAAGTGCAGCTGGCGTAAATTGAACAGCGCGCCATTGACATTCTTGGACTTGATCAGAGAGTCTATCAGGTTGTCAGGAAGCGCTTCGCCGGTCTCGTAGTGGCCTGACAGGAACTTGAGCTGGTTCTTGCTCCAGCAGAAATACTCCAGCAGCTGAGAAGGCATTTCCACAAAGTCCCAGCTCACAGAGGTGCCATGGAATCTGGCGTACTTGGTCTCTCCCAGCAGGTCGTGGATTCCGTGGCCCAGCTCGTGGAAAAAGGTGACCACCTCGTCATGTTTCAGCAACGAGGGCTTCTTGGCCAGATCCCGTGTGAAGTTGCACACCAGTGAGGTTGACGGATACACTTGCTTGCCAGTCTTGACGTCAATGTACCCTGGAGCAAGACCAAAGTTGGCAGCATGGCCGTACTTGCCCTCACGTGGGTGTAGGTCAAAGTACAGGTATCCAACAAACTCTTCTTTGGAGTCGGTTTTCCAGACGGAAAATTGCTGGACCTCGGAGTGCCATGTCTTGGGGTTCTCAACCTGCTTGAACTTGAGCTGGAATATTTTCTCATATATGGCCAACATCCGCTCAATTGTCTGCTTCAGAGGGAAGTATTCCGAAATCTGTTTTTCATCAACCTGGTACTGCTCCTCAAGCATTTTGTTGTGGTAGTATCTGTGGTCCCAGACGTAGTACTCGGAATTCCCCGTGTCTTTCAGTTTCATCTCGCCCAAACTCTTGATTTCCTGTTTTCCCAGTGGCTTGAGCTTGTCTCTGAGGTCAACCAAAAAATCCATAACCGTCTTTGGCGTCTTTGCCATGCGCTCCTCCAAAATATACTCCGAGAAGTTTTCGTACCCGAGCAGTTTGGCCAGCTCAGCGCGAGTTTCGACGGCCTGTTTCAGAAGCGGGCCGTTTTCCTTCACCTTGTTCTGGTCGTCCACAAACGCCCGTTTCCGGGTCTCTGGGTTCTTGGCATACTTCAAAACAGGGAACAGGTCAGGGTACTTGAAAGTCATCTTGTACTTGCCGTTGTCCTGCTCAAACTGGGCCACCACGTCCTCAGGGACGCCGTCCAGCTCTTCCTTGGTAAACCAGATGTGCTCCGTTTCCTCACCCAAATTCTTGGAGAACTCGAGAGCGTAAGTGGACAGCTTCTGCTTGAGGTTCTTGATCTGGTCTCGGACATTCTCAGGCTTGTTCAGTCCATTGCGCTCATACTGGCGATGTAGTTTTTCTAAGAATCTCTTGTCCTCCCCCTCCAATTTGTCCAGCTCGTTTTCGTAGACCGCGTGGATCGCCTTGTAGACGTCCTGACGCAGCCCGGACTCGATGCTGAACTCTCTGAGCCTTTTGTCGGCCTCGTTCGAGGCGTCTCGAAGCTCCTTCGACGCAGAAACATGCTGGTAAAAAGTGATCTGGTTGGATATTCTGGCTTGCACGTTTTCCAGATGGGCAATTGGCGCGATCGTGTTTTTAAACGACGCATTGTCCACGGTGCTGGCGACCAGGTCGTCCAGCTCCCTGCCCTCTTTGACCAGCTGATCTGCCAGCTGCAAAATCTGCTCGGGGAAATGATCCCATTCTAAAGGTTGTTGCGTGGTTTCCATGCTCCAGTAAACAAAGATTGCAAACACCACAGGTAAAATATAAAACAGGAATTTTGGCATTTTTCACCACCTGAAACCGAAGAGGTGGTGGAGCGTAACAGGTCAGCGTCGCGGTGTGAGAAACCAGTTCTTGCGACGATCGAGACAGCCTCGCTGATAGCAGCCTTCCTCTGGACCTCGTATTCTTGTATTTAGGCTCTTGCAACAGGGTAGGTCTGCCGGCTTATCTAATCCACAAATTTAAAATTAATCTACACAACGAAATAATATTCTTTATGGCATCGAGCAATGAAGAGATTATTGAGCAGCTTTCGCTCCAGCTACTGGAGCAGACAGAGAAGAACTCGAAGCTGGAGGTGAGTCTGCTGAATAGCCACCAGAAAATCCAGGAACTGAAGCGCCAACTGGTGGAGAGCCGAAAACAAAAGGAGGATAGCGATAAAGAAGTCGAGCGTTTGAGCTATGAGATGGAGGACCTGAGTGCTACGCTGTTTGACCAGGCCAACGAGAAGGTGAAGGAGGCAAACATCGTTGCGAACGATTTCAAGCTGAGAAACGAAAAACTAGTCGAGACACTCAAGGATCGCGACACAACAATAGACGTGCTTAACAACGAGCTCAGGAACCTCAAACGGCTCATAGCCGAGCTGGAGCACCAGGATCCGTCGCAGACACCGCCATCCACCGTGAATTCGGAACTAGTGCCAGATTCGCAGTTCACGCTTCCCAAACTGATAAAATACAACGGCCAGCCCATATACTCTCCAACATTCAACCAGCTGCGTTTTGACCTGCTTTTGTTCAACCAGTTCAAAGAGTCACTAGAGAACTTTCAGAATATCAGGGAAACGTCCTTCTATCGCCACTTGGTGAGCGAGGAGATCGAGCCGGTGTTGCGTCTAGACCTGTCTCCTTCAATCAAGTTTTTCCAGAAAAAATCGTTTATCAACAGTCTGTTCGAGTCGAAAGTCGTCATAGAGCCATTGAGCGCCTCGACAGAGCTCTGGAAGGCCGCACAGGCCCAGTCGGTGCCGTCGTCGCCGCCGCTGTCTGTCAAGAGCCTCAACCTGAGAATGTTCAAGTACGAGACAGACAGGCCGGTGGCCATGGAGGCCAAGTGTTCTCTGTGCGGAGAGGCGCGGATGGGCATCAACTATGCTAGATTGTATGTCTTGCGAGTGAGAGAGGTGGAGTATTTGCTGTGCATCTCGTGCGCTACCAAGCTGAGACGGACCGTGGACTTATTGTCTCGCATCAAAAATATCCCGCAGACGCAGGAAGAAGAGGAGGTGTTACGCGTATGGTGCGAGCTCGCAGAGCTGCGCGGCCGCTTGTTCTATTCGAAGCTGGGCATTTGGGACGAGTCTGACGAAAGTGGACTGGTGTACGGCTGGAAGAACAGCTGGCTCGGTCAGCAACCTGTCCAGGAGATTAATAGCGCAGAAGCTCTTGAAGAGACAGAGCAAACACCCCAGACTGTTCCAAATGTCGACACAGCCAGCGACAAGACCGTGCAGTTGGAGAACGGCAAGGACGAGCCTGCAGAGCCTGCAGAGCCTGTTCCGGAGCCCGCGTTCAAGGAGGAGCTCGAAGTCGACCTGAAACTCCAGAAGGTTGCCGTGTCGTCCGGCACCGACGACATCCTCGATAATTACACCAACACGTCCGACGAGGAGTTCAACGACGCTCAGGAAGCACACTCTGTAACCAACGACTAGGTAGCCGGGCTGTGTACATAATAAAAGTTTTCGGGCTGTGTATAAAACTCTCATGAGCGAGTCCAATCAAGTGCAGGTGTTCAGGTTGCTGAATCCGTCCAGCAAGCTCAAATACCAGTCAATTATACAGTCAGACTATGTGGGGGAGCGGCTGGACACGGTGACGTCGTGGCACAAGCTGCGCGTGAAGCTGATCACGTGGAACTTGCGGTGCATGGAAGATTGTCCTTTGAGCCATATACGGCAGTTACTGTCCTCTAATCAAAATTATGCCGATATCTACATCGTGGGATTCCAGGAGACCGTCCCGCTGACCTCATTTGCCGCCTCTGCCAAAGTCATTGACCAGTGGTGCGACAAATTGCTAGCGGCCCTGCCTCCTCACCAGTTCAAGGCGGTGCACCGGTACGGGCTGCTCGGGCTGACCAGCGTGCTGCTAGTCAGAGACGAATTGGAGAGTCAGGTATCTGACTGCTGCTCCCGGACCGTCGGACTCGGCTATCTGAACTGGTACAACAAGGGCTGTATCGAGACGCAATTTTCCATAGGCCAGATAGACGAGAAGCTTGCGGGAGTGCGAGTCCAGGTGTTCAACATGCATCTGACACACGGCGAGGAAGAACTATCGGTTGAAATGAGGAACCAGTGCCTGAAGAAAGTCCAGGATAGTCTAGGAACGATTAGAAATGCGGCACTTGCGGGGCCTGCACCGTCTGTGGAAGAAGAACTGGTTTGCGAGCCGCATCTGAGCCAGACTGAGCTTGACAAAATTGACAGCAAGGCCATCAACCGAATATTCAGGAAGCAGGGTCGCAAGGCAGTCTTCGCCGGTGGTGACCTCAATTACCGTCTGGAAAACACAAACGTCAAAGACTATATCTATAAAAATGACTATGAAAAATTGCTGGAGAGCGACCAGCTCCGCGCACAGAAAGACCGAGGCAACATATTCAGCGGGTTCTCCGAGGGCGAGGTTCGGTTTCGTCCCACGTTCAAAGTGACCGAGACGCTTGAATATGAAGCAACTCGTGTGCCGTCTTACACAGATAGAATTCTGTACAGCGCGGACGACGGACTGGAGCTGCTGACGTACGACGTTTGCGAGGTGAACGGGTCTGACCACCTGCCAGTGGTGGCAGAGTTTGCGTTGGATGCGAGAATGGTCGATTTTGGGGCTCTGAAAGCAGTGCGTTCTGAGATCGGAGCCCAGCTGGACAGAATCCTCAACCAGATGGAAATCGTGGACGTTTCGCCGTCGCTGGTCGATATCGACGTTGTGGCCGGCATAAAGGAGGCGGCTGAGGTCACCGTGAGAAACCTCACGGAGGAACCGCTGCATTACAATCTGGATATTGGCAAACGGCTCTTCAGAAAGCCTGTGATCAAGCTGCTAAACGACGACGGCATACTGCCGGCAAAGGAAGCGAAAAAGCTGAAATTCGAGATTAACACCTCCAAAATCGAGAAATTCGAGAAAACGCTCACAATGACGTTTGCCAATTTCGAGTTTGTCAGGTTCCTTGTATTCTCGGTGTCCTCAAAGTCAATTCTGTTCCAGCCCGTGCATGAGCTAGAGGAAATGCAATATCAAAACATTGTGCAGTCGTTCGATTTTATTATGCAAGGCACAACAGATAATCTATTAACAGGAATGCAGTCTGTTGTGGATCTCTCGTCGTTGAACGAGTTTGAGGTGTGCTTGCTGAAAGATATGACGCTGCGGGAGATCAACTTCGACCTACTGGCCAAGCTGAACTCTATAGGAATGGTGCAGAACGAAGGATCGTGTGGAATCATGAATGTGCTATATTTGTGGCTGAAAAGCCTGCCAGAGCTCGGGGGAGACAAGAGGTCAGGCGTTGTTTTGAGCAAGATGATCTCTTTGATAAAGTTTCTCGATCTGGACCAGGAATCAGGGTTCAAGTATTTTGGCTTTCTCTTTCAGGATGAGTATGAGCTGGAACGAGCTCTCGAATCCTAGACGACTAGGACGTCAAGTAGTCGGCCGCACTCGAAGATCTCGCCGCTTTTAATCTCCAGCACTTTCACATCGTGGAGATTGACCAGACCCTTTTCGATCCCTATGAGCTCGAGCTCGGTCTCGAACAGGTTTCCTGGATCCAGCGTGAATTTCAGGTTGTTGGTTAGAGAAATCAGCCCCACCTTGCTGAACTCGTGTTGGAAAGCCCGCACCAGCTGGCTGAGGCCGTAAAGCGGGACGGGGTCGGCCCTGTTGGCGTTCTGGATCGGAATCGGCGGCACAGACTTTTCGTACTGTTTGTTGATCGATGATTGAATGTACAGAATAAGCGATAACGAGTCGTTCGACTTGTTGATGAATTGTAGCTTCCATTTGAACACCTCGCCGAGCTTGACTTTTGTCTGGCCCGAAACTGAAATGCTGAGGTTCTTCTTGGAGTGGTTTAGTGTCACCGACGAGTTGGACCGTAATTTATTTTTTTTAGGCAGATTCAGAGCAGAGGTGGTCGACCTGGATTTGAACACCCCAAGGCTAGGCGAGGCGATGGGGGGCACGCTGGGAGCCGCCATGAAATCCACATTCGTAGTCCATCGTGTCACAATTTTTCTATTGCCGTTGACTGTGCAATGGATGGTGACAAAAACAGGCTTGACCCATTTGATGTCGTTGTTTGTTAGTCTGTACGTGAGCGACAGAATAGAATGGTTTTGAAGCACCAATGGATACTTTATCACCGAGTACCCGGTGCACAGACAGTTCTTGATGTCCATATCCACCGAATCAATTCTCACCGACACTCCTGACGCTCGGATCTGTCCAGAAAGAGCCACTTCCAAAGAGGCCATGGTTTTCTCTGTCTTAACGGTCTTGAACCGCATCTGGAATACGGGGCTGATCCGCAGCGACGTGTCGGCCGTTACGAGCTCGTACAGATCCACATGTTTCGTCAACACAGTGCTGCCTATAGTGATTGTATCTTGCGAGTCTAAATTTTCCACCTTTTTAGACTGCTGTCGAAACGAGGCTTTGATCTGCAATTGATTCGAGAGCTTGTCAGGCACCACGGTCGTTTCCAGTATCCACACGGCCTCAGACCCTATGACGACTTTGGAATCCAGCACTTTTCTCGCCGTGTTTTGCAAATTGTATACCAAATCGACCTCGACCTGCGCCACGGACGACGGAGTGTACACCACGACTTGGATGTTTTCGTCGAAGTACGCCACGTCCAGCGTATCGCATTGGCGGAGCTGCTCCATGGAGTCCAGCCCGTCGGCAGAAATTCGTGTTTTCGGAACAAGCACACCAAACATTGGAAAACAACACTTATCGACGCGGGTGTGTTTTTAAAATAATATTTTGATCGACTGCTCCCTCCTCTTTTAAATTCTTTATTTATCCTAGGCTTAGACAGCACAGAGCTAACCATGAGTCGGTATTTTTTACTAGCGTGCACGTTGGCTCTGCAATGTGCCGCGGCCTCCCAGGAGGACTACATAGTCAAAGATCTGCCTGGGCTCTCGAATATCCCGGCCGCGGCGAGGCCAGTGATGCATGCCGGACACCTTGAACTAAATGCAGACAACAACACCGAGCTGTTCTTCTGGCGATTCCAGGACCCAAGAGCCAACAGGACTCACAACATGCTCCACCGTGACGAGCTCATTGTCTGGCTGAACGGCGGCCCCGGCTGTTCGTCGATGGACGGAGCCATGATGGAAACAGGCCCCCTGCGGGTCACAGACAACCTGGAGGTGGAGCTGAACCCTGGATCGTGGACACAGGTGGCCGATCTCGTGTTTGTGGACCAGCCGGCCGGTACAGGGTTTTCGTACACGGACTCCTACGACACCGAACTAAAACAAGCAGCACAGCATTTCTGGCAGTTTCTGAAAACATACTACGAGCTATTCCCGCAGGACCGCACGAAAAAACTGTATCTGGCGGGCGAGTCGTACGCAGGCCAGTACATCCCATACTTCGCAAAGGAAATAGATGAGAACAACTCGTTAAACATCACTCTAGAGGGCCTGTTGATTGGCAACGGCTGGATCGACCCGGATATCCAGTCTCTGTCGTACGTTCCGTTCAGTTTGGAGGCCGGCTTCTTGGACCGCCAAAGTCCGTCGATGTCCCAAATCCTCAAGCAGCACGAAAAATGCCAGCAGGCCATCGACGACCCTTCCAATCACGATTTCGAGAAATTAGAGTGCGTCAAAATATTCAACAGCATTTTAACAGCCACGAAAGACGCATCGAAGCCCGCCAACGAACAATGTGTCAACATGTACGACTATCGCAAACACGATTATTTCCCTGCATGCGGGTCTAACTGGCCAGAAGACCTGCCCAACGTGACCAAATTCCTGAATCTGGATGCTGTGCAAAAAGCCCTGAACCTGAAGTCTCCCAAGAGATGGCACGAGTGTGACGGGAAAGTCGAGTTCTTCTTCCGGCCGGAGCACTCTGCCAAATCGTTCGACCTGCTGCCGAAACTGCTGGAGAAAATCAAAATCACCCTGTTTGCTGGCGACAAGGACATTATCTGCAACCACAAATCGATAGAAATGCTGATTGAAAAATTGCAAATTTCACCAGGACAATTTGGCTTCACACAGAGCAGAAAGTCTGGCTGGATCTACGACGGGCAAGAAGTGGGCGAGATCGAGACACAGTCCAACCTCACGTACGTCAAGGTGTTCAATTCGTCGCATATGGTGCCTTACGACCTGCCGGAGGTGAGCAGGGGACTATTTGATATAATCACTAATTCTGTTGAAAAACGGTCGACAGACGTCGTGACGCCCGTTTACGATAGCAAGGGCAACTACAAGTTTGTGGAGGAGAAACAGGAAACCGATCAGGACAACGAGAAAGAGAAAGAGAAACCGGCCAAGCACCACCACAGTCTCACGTTCTACGTGGCAGAGGTGGTGATACTGGCGGTGCTGGCCTGTCTGCTTTACAGCTTCTACAAGTCCTTCGCCAAATCGCGTAAATCTGCATTCCTATCCCTCTCTTCCAAGAAAAAGAAGAAGCAGGTGCACTGGTTCGACGAGAGCGACGTAGGAATGGACCAGGAAGCCGGCGAGGCAGATCACAAGCCCAAGAGCATGCTGGAGTCGGTGTTCAACAAGCTGGGATATGGAGGACAGTATGACACGGTGCGGGACGCTCCCGACATCGAGATGGCGCCGGTCGAAGAGCACGAAGACCAATTCATCATTCAAAGCGACGAGGAAGAGTTTGGCCACAGATAGAGTACGATTATATAATATCAACGAAAAATTATTTTCCAATAATTTAGCTCCTGATTGTAATGTCTCAAAGTTGGCTCCTCTGGAAGCGGTCCCTGATTACAGGCGGTGGAATTATTGGAAGCGGTGTGCTGCTGTACATATTTACGACGCCCACTGAGGAACAGCTAGTCGCAAAGCTGTCTCCAGAGCTGAGAGCAGACTACGAGCGCAACAAGGAACTGCGGAGGAAAGAACAGGAGATGCTGATGGAGATCGTGAAGCAGACGGCCGCGTCGAACGACCCCGTGTGGAAGACAGGGCCGATTGTGTCGCCGTGGGATCGAGACTTCACGCCGTCGAGAGAAAGCCTATTGGTGAAGAGAGAGCGATTTGAGAAAGAGCAGGCAGAGAAAAAGCAGCGCGAGGAGCTCGAGCGTTTAAAGGCCGAGGCTAAGCTTGTGCAGGCCGACGAGAACAAGGGCAGGGGGTGGAAGTTTTGGAGAAAAGATTAATGTTCCACTGTATATAGATGTGCACTAGAACTGACCAGTCAGTCTGATGTGCGATTTATTGTGAATGCGTGGGGGGTGGGGCTACCCCCACCATGCTTTCTGCGTACTGGAGATGTCCTGCTTGTTAGCCTCGTCGATGGCAGCAAAGATCTTGCGGATGCTGGTGTCTATCACCATTCCTCCTTGAACTATTTCCTCCAGCGCTGCCTCCAGCACCTGCCATCCGAACACCAGGTCCAATTCGCTCACGTTGTGGAAACAGGTGTTGAGCACTTGCACAAACACCTGAATCAGGTCTAGGATGCCCAGCTCGCTCTCCTGCTGATCGACAACAAAGACAAAGTAGAGTGTTGCGTAGTGTCTGTAAATAACCTTAATATCCGAGTGGTCTTCCAAAAGCGGCGGTGGGGTCAAAAACGAACATTGCGCGTCTGTTCTTGCCACAACGAGTTCGTAAACTTGCTGGAGTAATAGTTGCTGTGTTGCCACGTCTACCGGGGTGTAGAATTTTATAAGGCGTGGGATGCCTTTGGTATTGACTGAGGTTAGCAAAATTAATCAGGGTGAATCAATTGTACTCACATATTAAAACAGAGTGTATCATCTAGCCAAGCAAAAAAATAGCACTCCGCCACTTTTTTTCACATCAGGTTCCATAATTTATATATTTTGGGGATATAAAAGGAGTTAAAATTTAGATAAAATATTTGTGTCAAAAGAAAAAAACGTTTCACTCAGAGTAAGCTTGCTGGCAACGTCCTATGTCATCATTGAAAAAGCTGTTCAGACGCAAGAAGGCCGTTAGCTCTCAAAGTCTGCCGGAAACGAGATCTCCCCTGGCTTCCGAGGCCGCAGGATCGGAACTGAAGGTGCCTCAGTCTGTGCCTTTGTCAGGCACGAGAACGTACTCCGATTCGCTTCGGAACTCCAGGAACCCGCGCAGGAGCGTGACTCCAGACTCCAAAAGGCTCTCCTCGCTGCCCACCACCTTCTTGAGACAAGGAAACAATCCCACACCTCGTTCCCTGTCGCTGGGAAACTCAATCACAGATCCCTCAGAAAATATAGCCAAACTGCCAGAAGAACTGGTGCCGGTGGTCACTCTTCTCCACGCGCAGCAGGCTCGCTTGTACTGCGAGATGAACGTCCGAGTTCCTGTCGAGGATGACCAAGTATCCACCTCCGTTTCAAAAATGTCGTGGACTTGTGTCAGTGCAAAATTGAGCGGAACAGAGCTGGCAATCTGGGAAGTCGACTCCATCACGGCACAGGAACTTCGAAACGACGACAATGGCGGCTTCAAGCCCGTCTACATCAACCTGTTAGACGCTCAGTACGTGTACCTTAGCGAGGGCGACATACACGAAATAAAAATTATTCTCACAGAGTCCAAAGCGTACCTGCTGAGGTTCGACTCCAAGAACGATCTCGACTACTTTTATGCCGCGCTTCTACTGGCTCAGTTTGAAAACAGACAGCTTCAAGAGAGCTTCACCGGTGCCCTTTTTTCCAGCAAAGCAATCCATTTTTCAGATATCCGTACACTACTTGCCCCTTCGAACAATAACCTAAAAGAAGAATGGTGTGTTTTACGGTTCCCATTTTTAAACGACAAATGGATCCGGTGCTATGTGGTGGTAACCCCCAACGTGGGTTCGAAGAAACCGGGTAACGTGAAGATATACACTTCGACGTCCAAGAATAAAAAGCATCTGTTGGCTTCGATCAAAAACGCCCGGTCGTGCGTGGCAATGTACCCGGAAAATCCCGAGTTCATCGATAACAACTCGCTGATCCGCCTGAACGGCCAAATATACATCAACCAGCAGCTGCTCGAGAAAGTGGTCTCTGGCAAGGTGGACACGTCCGCCCACGGCCATTCGCGCAGCAGGTCGGGTTCGGGAGTTGTCAGGAAGCTGTCGAACTCGTCGCTGATCTCGGCAAGAAATAGAGACATGCAGAAATCGCCTAATCACTCGCGTTCCGGCTCGCTGCAGAAGGCCGGTCTGCACAAGAGAGTGAGCTCCACGCTCTCAATGGACTCTGGCAAGAAGAAAATCGACCTCAAGGAAGTGGACTTCGTGTACCTGATCCCCGAGTCGCATTCTGCAGTCAAGCCCACAGAGATCATGATCAGACTGCTGATTCCGCTGATGAACTCGTTCAGACTGTATGGAAGACCTAACAAATTCATCTCCAGCCGCGACAACCGAGACTCGTTGCTCTTCGGGCTGCCACAGCTACCACATACCCAGTACCTGGATACCGAGCTCGCATACCAGCTGGTTTCCCTCAACATTGCCAACTCGCTGGCCGAAGAATGGAGTGGTTGGGACTGGATGCAAGTGTTCAAGGAGATGGTGTTCCATAAGATGTCTACGGGATGGCAAGGCTCTGGCTCGCTCATCGAGACGTTCAAGGACGGCATGGTATACAGCAAGGCGAAATTGGAGGAGTACGAGAACTTTGACGACATGTTCGACGATCCTATCGAGGACTTTGTGGATTTGGCAGACTCCAGGTCCGACTCTCTGGAACTGATCCCACCTCCTAGTTTGACCAGCCCCTTGGTACACCAGCACGACTCGCCCCAGAGCAATTACTACAACGCCGTCGAGAGCCCGAACCTCGACTCCTACGACCGCGTAGCTCCCCCGACCGTGCCGGCCTGATCTGGAGCTCGTTGCACAGCCCTAACTTTATTTTATAGCTAACAAATATATATATTTTGAACTTTGGAAGATTATTTTGGTCACCTATGGCGTCTTCCAATTTGTACACGCGAGTGCGGGCCGCGGAGATTGTGAACGAGCTGCGTGCGAATGAGAAGAAGTCGCGTTCGGCCATGTTCCGCAAGACCACGCTCAAGAAAATCGTGGCCAACATGACTTTGGGCAACAACGAAATGGTTGGGCTTTCCAGCGAGGTGTTGGCGATAACGCTCGATCTGGCGACCGATACCGAAGTCAAGCGGCTTGCCTACCTATACTTCAGCACATACTACCCCCAAAGGCCGCACGATTGCGTTGATTTGCTGCCGATGCTGGAAAAAGACTTCCGGAGCCAGTCGGCCGTGCTCCGCTCATTAAGTATACGCGCTCTCGCAACTATTCACATCCCAGAGTTTCTGGCCAAGGCCAACGTGCTGGTTTGCGAGGCAATGGCCGATAAGGACCCGCACGTGCGCAAAACCGGCGTCTATGCTGTTTCCCGTGTCTATGGCCGTGCTCCGGAAGAGGTGCGACAACAGTTCCTCAAAGGTCTAAATCGTCTGCTGCACGATCCGACTGTTTTCGTAGTTGCGGCAGCAGTGGACTGTCTGCGCGATCTGGTGGAGAACCACGACGGATTGCAGCTCTCGATCGACAGGAACAACTGTTTCCGGATCTTGGAGCTGCTCGCTGGGTGCGACGAGTGGAGCCAGGTGAGTCTCCTGAACTCTGTGATGGCTTTTGTGCCGCAGACCGAGGACGATGCGGTTTTTCTGGCAGAAAAGTGCATTCCGCTGCTACAGCACGGCAACTCGAGCGTCGTGCTCAACGCTCTCAAGGTGATTGTCTATCTGAGCAACTACGTGCGAAATTTTGTGGACGTTCTTCCGGCAATCACGAAACGGGTTTCTGGATGCATATCGAACCTCATGTCGAAGCCTGCTGAGATCCAGTTTCTGACCATGCGGAACGTTATTCTGCTGCTGCTCGACAAGGCCGAGATGCTCGATTTGCAGGTGTCGATGTTTTTCTGCCAGTTTGACGACCCGGTGTACATCAAGGACACGAAGTTGGAGCTGATATTTCTGCTGGCCAACGAGAGCAACATTTCTCTCGTTCTGCGCGAGCTCGAGGAGTACGCTCTGGAGATCGACGACCAGATGGTGCGCAAGAGCATCCGTGCCATTGGAAACCTGGCAATCAAAATTCCGTCCGTGGCAGACCGCTCGATCGAGGTTCTTTGTGGACTTCTGGCCAGCTCTCTGCCCCACATTGTGCAGGAGGTGGCCATAATACTAAAAGACATTCTGCGCAAATACCCAGGAAAATACCTCTATCTGATAGACTCGCTGGTGCAGAACGTGGATCTGCTCACCGATTCCGAATCGCGCGGATCGTTCATATGGATTCTAGGAGAGTACTGCAACTCGATCCCCAGCTCTGCAGACATTCTTTTCAAACTCTACGCCAACTTCGACAACGAGCCCACGCAGGTGCAGCTCACCACCCTCACGGCTGTGGTGAAGACGTATCTGTGCTCGCCGTCCAAGAAGACCGAGTCGCTCGTTCTGGACGTTCTACGCAGAACAACCGAGGAGGCCAACGAGCCAGACCTGCGCGAGCGCGCATACTTTTACTGGCGTCTTCTTTCGTCCCATAAAGACATCAAGGAGATCGTCAAGCCCGTGCTGCCGATCATCGAGGTTTCCAGCGACAAGCTGCCGCCAGAGATACTTGAGGAGCTCGAGCTGAACATCGGATCGCTGGCTTCTATTTATTTGCGCCCTGTTCAGCAGGTGTTCCGTCTCAGCAAGCCCAAAAGACTTGCTGTCTCGCCCGCACTCGCACGAGCAGAGTCACGTGCGTCGTCTGCGCCCTTCTCGGGTCCGGCTTCAAGAAACACCTCCGCTACGTCTGTGTATAAATAGGTGTTGCAATTTACTACAGCTGCCTGGCAATGTCCTCGTCACTGAATTCATCCTGCGAGTCCTGGATGACGTTGGTCGGCGGCTCAATTTTTATTTCCGCGTCCTCCTCCTTTGGAATCACCGCCAACGGCTTTTCGGCCTTGCGCACGTCGATGATCTCCAGATCCTTCGAAAACTTCACAGAGCCAAGGTCCGCAGGAACAATCGTCTCGATGTCAATCTGCGGCATATTTGGTTCCGGCCCCGTGGGTATCGTGTCCATGTCGAGCGGCCGTCCCATGATGAGCGACAGAATTATGATCGCCGCGTATTTGGACAGCACGAGCGAGTTCTCCTTGCAGAAAGTGGCAGCACAGCAGTTCGGACACCCCCAGTCGCAGTCGCACTCCAGAAGTTTCTCCAGGGCCTTATCCAGTATCGAGTCGATGTTGTCAAATGCCTTTGTGCTTAGCCCAGACCCATACTGGCCGCCCTTGTTGTCGTAGAAAATCAGCCGGGCAGGACGTTTGCGTTTGGTCTCCCGCTTCGCAAACTCCTTTTCCGGGGCCTTGCACTCGGTCTGGATTTCGTCGAGCCCGGAGAGAATGTACAGGGGCAGAATGCTCATCAGCGCGTGCTGTGCGGCGTGGATTCCTCCTGCGGCGTTCAGATCTTTTGAGCGGATCAGCTCGAGCGCCTTTTTCGGTATGTCGATCCAGATCCCTTTCGAGCGGATCAGAACCGGCGGGTTGTTGACTTCGACCGCATCAAGAATCCGTTTTTCTCTGTCCATTTTGAAGAAGCCAAAAACCACAGTCGTCGACAGCGTCTTACCAAAGTAGATCGGCACATCGCTGTGGTTGATCGACCGAATACGCTCGACCTCATACGGATCGACGTTGGTGAAGTCTCTCTGCGCCGTGGACCAGTCCACATTGACTCTCTCGACCTTGGCGTATTTTTCGTCCGGATTAAATTCGCGAACCAGATAAGATAAGCCCTGGTGAATAAATATGCCTCCGTCGTAGAGCGTGAAACTTGTTCGCGACGCCTCGACCTCCTCGATCACCACGTTGCGGCCGTTGGTGGTGTCCACGACGGCGTACATGTCCTCTTCAATGGCGCGAATGGACACGTGCGACGACGGCCAGGGCATGAACCGCGAGTTGCAGTGATAATTGCCGGACTCTGGCTCGTACTCCAGCCGGGCCTCGCACACCTGCTTGACGAGAGCCGGGTTTCCGAAGTACCGCTTGTTGATGGTGGAGTCGTCCAGGGGTCTTTCGAAAGCGGCACATTGGAGATGGCCTTCCAAAACCACAACGTTCTCGAAATCCAGAGCGAGGTCGGGATAGTTCGAGTTGACAAATTCCTCGGGATGCCGCATATAGTACTGGCTCACCGGGTCGCCGCCGCCGACCAGCAGAGTAAGCGAGTCGTTGTTTCTCCGGCCCGCACGGCCGCTCTGCTGGTGGAAATTGGCTATCGAGATAGGGAACCCGCACATCACCACGGCGTCCAGCGACCCGATGTCGATTCCCAGTTCCAGAGCGTTCGTCGAGATGATTGCCTTCAGGTTGCCTCGGAACATCTGGTCCTCGATTTTCCGGCGGTCCGCTGGCGAGTAGCCACCTCTGTAGCTCATGATCCGGCCGATCAGCTCAGCGTTGCCACTGGCCGTCAGCTGGTACCTGATTTCTTTCATGAGCAGCTCGACCACCTTGCGGACCACGCAGAAAACGATGGTCCGGAACCCAGACTTGACCATTTCTATCAAGATCCTGGCCGTTTCCGCGATAAACGGCTTGCGTCCAGCCATCGGGTCGCGTGCGTCGATGTACGGCGGATTCCAGGCCACAATGTGCTTGCCTCCGTGCGGAGACCCGTCCTGGTCGATGTTGACGATCTCGTCGCTTGGAAGTCCGAAGATATCCTGCATGTGCCGCACGGGGTGTTTGAGCGTGGCCGAGCACGAAATAAAAACGAGATTATTATTTCCCAGCATCGAGCACACTCTGCGCAGACGGCGCATCACCAGCGCAAAATGACACCCAAAAAGGCCCTTGTACATGTGCAGTTCGTCCACCACCACGTACTTGAGATTGGTGAGAAACCTTCGCCATAGCTGGTGTGAAGGAAGAACGCTGTGGTGCAGCATATCGGGGTTGGTAAAGATCACGGACGCAGACGACCTTACATGTTCGCGGTCCCGTTTGTCTGTGTCTCCGTCGTAGGTCTCGACCACCATATCGCGCAAGAACGGGATCACGTTGAGCAGGTCCTTCAAGGATCTTCTCTGGTCTTGGGCCAGAGCCTTGGTCGGAAATATGTACATGGCAGTGACGCTAGGGTCCTGTTCTAAAGCGGTGATAACCGGCAGCTGGTAGACGAGCGACTTGCCTGAAGAAGTCGACGTAGAGATGATAACATGGTGGTTTTCGTGAATATGGTTGAGTGCTTCTGCCTGGTGCGAGTAGAATTTCTCGATATTTTTGGTAGCAGCAAGTGCCTCGCGAACGACAGGCGACAGCTCAAAGTTTAGCTCGCCGTACTTAGAGCCGCGGGGAGGCACCTCCAGCAGCCCGTTCTCGACAATCTGGTCCTCGTAGAAGTCGGTCTGTTTTAGCTTTTCGATCAGTTGCGGGATCGAGATGCGGTGCTCCGTGTTTGCGCCCTGGCTGGAGTTTTTGACCATCTCCTCGATCGGGTCCACAAACTCCTTGGGTTTGGGGACTATATGTTCTGCGTGTTTGGTGATTTCTGCCCACGGATCGACTATTCCGCTGTCCGCACACTTCTTGAGATATCGGCCAACCGCAAGCTTGAACTTATCGTTCCGTTTGATAATCATTTTCTTGATCGATTCCTGGGTGTAGACAGGAACCTTAATTTCTGTCATAAAAGCCGACCGTGTTTTGGATTTACGCAGATCTCCATCAATGAACTCAAATATCAACAGCTGTTTCGATGTCTTCTCCTCCTCGTCCTTTATGTCGTAGATGTCTGATTCCTTCTGGGCAAACCCGTCTCTCCAACTAAAATGTTTCTCTTCCAGCACAAACTGGCTCTCGTCAACGTACTCAAAAAGCACATCCTTGGGTATCAGATAGGCGACTCTGGCCACGTCTATAGGCTCCAAAGGCCGTCCAATCGCACTTTCCACTGACGGCTTGAGCAAATCAAACGTTGTGATGATGTGCTTGCGCGAAGACAGAAACGTAAAATACGAGTTCAATCTGAAATGGATGTTATCAAGCTCCTTGAATTCTGCAGGCCATTTGTCTTTGTCCGGTAAGTCTTCAGATTTTTGTCTTTTGGCATTCTGTAGCCCAGATAAGCTTCTTTTCACTGACATAAAAAAGTTAAAATATATATTTTCAGCTCTCCCTATATGACCAATGAGTTCAAGATCACAACATTCTCGCTGAATAAAAACACCAAGTCCGCCAAGGCTTGCCGAAAGTGCCGCGGCGGCCACAAAAAGTGTTTTTTCAGCGAGGAGCTGGACTCCTGCGAGCAGTGCTACAAGTCCAACGACGCCTGTGATCTTTCCAAAGCTAGCAAGAAACGCAAAACAGCGGCCGCTTCCACCAGTTCTCCGTCCAGCGTATTTGGGAACGACCGCATATACGCGAACGCGATCAAGAACTCGGAAAACAAGTTCCAATTCATCAACACGGCGCACCCGCTTGCTCCTCTTTTCAGCAACGACTCGTTTCTCACTCTTTCAGACGGAGAGTTTTTCAATTTATATTTTCCCTGGCGAGACCTGTTTCTGCCCGCTCGTGACCAGTACACGCGACCCCTGAACGTTGACGAGGAGCTGCTGGAGTATGTTGAGATGAAAGGCGCCTTCAAAATGCCCCCAATCGAGACGCAGCGCAGATACGTCATGTTGTACCTCGATAACCTGTATCCTCTGTATCCAGTGGTGGATAGAGATATTATTGACCATTTGGACACAACGCCGCCGCTTTTGCTGAGCGCAATGATGATGTGTGGCGTCAGATACGATTCCAGCCTGAAGCCTGCCGAGATCCGACAAACGGCCGAGCAATTGCGCCGCAAGTGCGAGCTGCTCAAGTTGTGCGAACTCAACAAGATCACGCTGATCCAGGGATTTTTGCTGATGAGCAACCAGGAGGAGTCGCCAACAGGACCGCAAGTTGCGCGCGAGTATGTTTCCCGGGCATGTATATTGATCACAGACCTGGCGTTGCACAACAACGCAGCACGGAACCAGCTATCCAAACTGGAGACAAACACGCTTGACCACAGCACAGGATCCATTTTCTTTAGGCTGTCGCACAAGGTGTCGCTGCTTACACGGCTGTTCTGGACGTCTTTCTGTCTGGACAGGGCGCTGACCATCACCTCGTGTGCTACCATGTTCTACAACACCTTAGACCTAGCAGTAGACACAGTGAAGCTTGAGGATTTTGACGGCAACAACAGGGACTTCGAGATATTCCGTCGCTGGTACCAGATATGCGACCTGCTAGAGCGCATTCTTGTGTGCAGATACCGTCCGCCGGGCAACCGCTCGCTGGATCTAAATCTCGAAAGAGATATCTTAAGTCTGTGCAACAGAGGTGTCGACGACGAAGCCAGCAAGCTGATCGGCGACACATACACGCGGTTCCTGAAGACCTGCGGCGATTTTTGCGGAATCATGTACCTGCGCTCCAAAGTCGACTTTGTCAGCATCTTGGAAGACGAGGTGGAAGGACAGCAGTTGCTCCACACAGACTCGCCGTTGTCAGACAACAAGATGCACTATCTTTCGCGTTTTGCGAGAAACATCATAGACCAGAGCAAGGGAGAGCAAGTGCAGCAGATCATGATGGTACACGCGGTTCTCCACGTGATGGTGCTTCTGTACTTGGAAATCGAAGCTAGGCAGCAGGTGCAGATCACGTCACATGACCCGCTCACCGTGCTCAACTACAAAAGAACGCTTCTCAACCACTGTCTCTCGTTTTTGGACCAGAACGGCTGCAAATGGTTTTTCAGCGCTGCGTGCTACCATCTGTTCGTGGACCTTATTTCCTCGCCCAGAAAAAATATAAAAAGCTCGCAGGATCTCCTGTCTCTGCTGTTTGACAGCAATTTGGCATAATTATACAAAGCCCTTTAATTCTGCAATATATGTATTATCCACCACCAACGGCTACTCGTCGTACTCCTCGTCGGAGTCCTCCGACTCCATAGCGTTCTCCAACTCCTTTCTCTCCAAAAGAGCTTGCAACTCGGCGTCCTCGGTGGCCGTCACGGCCTTTGGTGCCATCGCCACATCGCACACTCCACCGTACTTGGTGATGACCTGGTTCACTTTCTCTATAGCCTCGTTCAGACTGTTGATTCCTGTTTGTTTGTCCAGCGACTGCGTGGTGACGACGTACCTTGGAGCAGCCACCAGCTTCACCTTGATCGCGTTCTGTTCTGTGCTGAGCGACTCTGCCGCAGCCAGAGCCTCCTTGATGGCGTTGATACCCTCGTATGAGAAACAGGACACCTCGATGTCGGCCCTGCACTTGATCGCCTGCGGAGTCAGTCTTCTAGAAATGTGTTCTTTCAGCTCTTCCAGCACTTCCTGCGACGGAGGAGTTATCTTGTTGAAAATAGAAGGATCGGTGATCGAGATCCGGAACGCGTCGAAAGCGTGTCCGTACTCTCTGCTCAGCGGCCATGCAATGGTCTCGTACAGGTGTTCCAGCGGGATGTTGTGTTTTTCAGCGCATCTTCTCAAAATAGAGTGCACTGCCTTGGACTTGTTGAATCTCTCCTCGCACTTGACAATCTCCTCAGACGAAACCCTTCTCTTAGACAAATCGATGTATCCCTTGTCCTTGTCCACTCTCAGAACCACCGCGACCTCGTTTCTGCCGACTCTTATAAGCTTCTGGATGGATCTAATACGTCTTCTCGAGAGCTCAGACAACAAAACCATACCCTCAATGTTATCGTACTCCAGCAGTTTCACATAGGCGCCCATCTCAGCAATTTGCTGGACGTTGACCATCACGACCTCGTCCACTTCTGGGTATTTGTTCTCGTAAAATCTGCAGTTAGATGTGCTCATGGTGGGTGGTGAGTCGTTGGTTGGGCTAAAAATTTTCAGGAGGTGAAAAAAAATGAGAGCTTGATTATCTGCTGCTTATGTAAGTAACTCCAAGACACAGCAGCATGGTGACCTGGACCAGACCCGCCTGCTCTTTGCTGATTGCGGTCCAGTCGACTACAAGGCGGGATCTTCCACCTTAGTCTTTTCAATGGACAATTTGCTCTGTAATTGGTAAAATTTCGCGTCCCTGCTACGCAGGTGAATAAAGTCTGGCACGTTATTCTTTTATTTGTATTTATTTTTGCCCTCATAGTTGTCATGTCGATTCAAGGTAAGTCCGACCCTGAAAATCTAACGTCAGTGAACGTGAAGCACGCTGGTAAAACATATCCTGTTACTGTGGACTTGTCGGAAAGCGGATTGACGTTCAAACATCAGATCTACTCGCTGACCAATGTTCCACCAGAAAGACAGAAGGTACTGCTGAAAGGTGGCCAATTGAAAGACGACAGCGATCTAAAGAGTTTCAACTTGAAGCCGAACCAGACCATCATGGTTTTGGGGTCGGCCGATGCGCCTGTGGAAGCTCCAAAACAAGACGTCAAATTTGTGGAGGACTTAGATCCTAAAGATCTCAACTTCAATCCGAGCAATGAGCCCTCAGGGCTGGTCAACCTGGGCAACACGTGCTATCTTAACTCGTCTCTTCAATCTCTGTTTGCGGTGGACGAGCTGAGAAGCCGTCTGGAGAAGTACACGAAGAACGGTACCGGTGTCGAGCAGAACCTGGTGTTTCACCTGAAAGAGCTGTTTGACAAGATGAGCCAACGTAACAAAAAGATCACGCCGCTCAACTTTCTCACAACCATGCGTCTGAGCTTTCCTCAGTTTAGCGAGCGAGACGATAGCGGATTCTACAAGCAGCAGGACGCGGAAGAGGCCTACTCCCAGATCTTGAGTGCTATTTTGGGGCAGTTTAGTGGATTGGACCAGTATTTCAAGATCGAGTTTAAAACGGCTACTCGTTGTTTAGAAACCTCTGAAGATCCTGTCTACGGATACGAGGACGCGATGAAGCTGGCCTGTCATATCACCATCAACACCAATTTCTTAAAAGACGGATTGATGAGCAACTTGAAGGAAACTATAGAGAAGAACAATGAGTCCCTCGGAAGAAACAGCACGTACGAGATCACTCGCAAAATCACTCGTCTCCCGAAATACTTGAACATACATTTTGTTCGGTTCTTCTGGAAAAGAGACACCGGAAAGAAGTCCAAGATTTTACGCAAGGTTCAATTCCCATTTCAGTTGGACTTGATAGACCTTGTTGACGAGGGTATCAAGGAGGACAAGGCAAAGGTGAGAGACGCAATCTACAAGGTTGAGAAGCAGAATGAAGAGGAGAGCAGAGCTTTCAAGAAAACCAAGAAGTCTGCTGATCTTACCACAAGAGAGCAATACGCCCAGCAAAAAGAGGAGCTCGAGAAGCTCAGACAGAAATGGGCAGACAACTTCAAAACAGCTCTGCCTGACTCATACGACCCTGCCTCCGGCGAAAACCCTTCGTCTCTGTACGAGCTGATCAGCGTGATTGCACATCAAGGATCGTCTGCCGACTCTGGCCACTACCAGTGTTTTGCCAAGGACCAGCAGGATCCTACGGGCGAGAACTGGTACAAATTCAATGACGATAAGGTGACTGTTGTGAGTCGCGACAAGATCGAGGCTCTCGCCGGTGGTGGAGAAGGTGACTCTGCTCTGATTTTGATGTACAAGGCTGTTGGAATATAAAAGTAATGAATTTGATACATTCTAGATAGCGGAGAAATACCATTAATTTTCTAGTTGCTGGCCTTTGCAAGCTGTTTGAAGTGCTCCACCTCGTCCCAGCAGTTGAGAGGTTTGTCCTTATTGTTTTTGATGCAGTTGGCCACGGCAGTTTCCGCCTCGACGAGGGACTTGGACTTGATAGGTTTTGCGTCGTTGAGCTTTTTGAGGCTTTCGGCAGCCTTGCTCAGCTGCTCGTTCACAGCCGCGACACTCAGACCTTGATCCTCATTGGGAAGAAGCAGAGACGAGAGTTTTGTGTCGAATTTTGCGAGTTTGTTGTTTTCCAGTTCTTTCAATTTTTTGCCTACCTCTTTCTCGACTACCTGCGCAGACGCTTGCTGTCTCGAGTAGTTGGTCTCTGCAGAGCTGTCCAGCGACGAAATGAGGCTGGAGTTGAATTCGACCGGGGTCTGCGGGTAGAACGTTCTTGACGACATTGTAGAAAAAAAATTGGTGTAGGGATGGAAGAAAAGATGAAGAGCCAGACAAATGAGAGCGGAAAATGGTTCTTGATTAAAAGGGTATTTCACAGCAGTCGTACCATTCAAAGGCACAGGACCACTCGATGGCAAGAAGGACGGCTGGGTCATCATTCTACGCGGACGTATACATGACATTTTAACTATATCCTCATTAAACAGCGGTCTTGACCTCGAAGAATCTCTTGAGGTAGAACACCTGGAAAAGAGAGTTCAGAATAACAACAATCAGCTGGAAGACAGACCAGTATTTCACCCTGCTGTTGGTGCTCTCTGCGGTGTTTCTGTGTGTTCTCTCTCTCACCACAATGTAGTTTTGCTCGTTCTTGACATCGTAGACCAGTTCCATAAGCTTTCTCACGGAGGAATCAAGGTTGTCGTCAGAGTTGTCGTTCACGTCCACGTAGACCACGCCGTGGACGTTGAAAGTCACGTCTTTCGTCTGCAGTGACGAGCCTTCGTTCGAGAAACAATACTCAAACTTTCCAGGCTCGTTGGCTTTGATCTGAACCTCACCATGCGAGACGTCGCTCAGCTTCTCCAAGATTCTGCCCGAAGGACTCTTGATCCAGAAGTCGGCTGTGAGTTGTTCGGTCGAGTCCTTCGCACGGTCACCGATCTGGAACGTGACTGCAAGCTCGTCTTGAGCCTTGAGCACCTCGAAGAAGCATTGCTTGCCTCTTGGCGGCAAAAGCGCCACATGAGCAAATGTTGGCACAAGCAGCAGCAGGGAAATCAGCAGGAACCTCATGGCGAACACTAAAAAATAAACAACTTTTTGGTGAAAAAATAGCTCTGGACAGTGAAATGACAGGTAATACCGGAGATGTATTACGTACCGCCATGCCGATATAACGGTGGGTGTGACGATTATGGTCCATTGCTATTTGCCAGCTACATAGTCTTGCCAATCTGTCAACGCCATAGGTCTCTTCTACGCCACGCTCGCGCTACCAGTGACGGGATCAGATTATTACGAGCCCGCACGCGTCGCGATTCTAAAATTATTCTTGTTTTTTCTTGTTTATACAAATGTTGTCTAGACTGTTGCTTCTCGCCAGCTTACTGACCTACGTTTCAGCCACTGCGCTCACCTTCGCATTGCAGCCAAATGAAAAGGCTTGTTTCTACATCTTCAACCAGAAACAAAAGGCCAATATTGGCTACTATTTCGCCGTCCAGGCCGGAGGTTCGTTCGACGTCGACTACACAATCAAGGCCCCTGGTGGAAGGGTGATTGCCCAGGAACAGAAACAAAGACAGGGCGACTACATTTTCACAGCCGACGCCATCGGAGAATACGAATTCTGCTTCTCGAACGAAATGTCCACGTTTGCTGAAAAAGTTGTTGATTTCGAAATCAGGGACGACGACGACTTCAGGGCCTCGCTTCCAAACGCGCCAGCTGAAAATACTGCCGTTGAGGGAATGCAGTCGTCTGTTCTCAGAATCGAGTCGAAGCTCGGCCAGCTGTCCAACACTCTCCAATACTACAAGACCAGAAACAACAGAAACCAGTCGACCGTGAAGTCCACCGAGAGCCGCATCTTCTGGTTCTCCATTTTCGACGTGGTTCTCATGTGCAGTATGGCCGCATTCCAAGTGCTCGTTGTCAAGTTCTTCTTCCAAGGCTCGAGAAAACAGTTGGTGTAAATATCTATTAATCTATGCACTCACCAGATACACAAAAATGTAACTAACGACACTGCCAAAAAGTAAGGCCACATTGATGAGAAACGCAGTGAATCCTCCGGCGGCCTTCTTTTCTTTATCGCGAGTGAGCAGAACGCCCATTGCCATGAAAGCGGAGGAGAATAGTTGTCCGTTTGAGAGTCCAAAGAGCAACTGCAGTAGCAGATAGGTAAAGTCGCCAAAAACACCTCCTCTGCCTTGTAGATTGCACATCATAAATAAGGGGATAAACAAGACCCGCAGAGCCGCGTAGATAATCATCTTGCGCTGGTCCGCAAGAACAAACCACGGAGACGCAGTAATGACACGGCCTCCGAGGTCGCCCAGGTTCCAAAGCAGAAATGCGATGGGAACAAAGTACTTTTTGTCAATCTTGTCTGAAAGTACATTGGAAGCGAAAACAGGGAACGTGAGGGTCAAAGACAAAGTTAGGAAGATTGTGATCTGGACGTATTTCAGGATATCCCATAGCTCACGGAACGAGACATGCTCCTCTTCGGCCTCGAGCGTTGACTCGTCGTCTAGCTCCAGTGTGGTGTCATTGGGGAGCGCTTGGAACTGTCCAGCTTTGGCTTTGTATCTATAGGTGATCCATAACAAACTGAGTGCAAGAAATTCTATGCAGAGACTTGTAAAGAAGTAATTGAACACCTCTTTGTCCCTATCGCTTTGGGTCTTGCTCAACAAAATGGATACGATCAGCGAGATGGATGGAAGCACGCCTGCAACCGCGTTACCAACAACGTTCGCATTGGCATAGATCGGGCCCTCGAGATTCACCAGAGCAAGCACTCCGACTTGGGCAAACGACGTGGCACAGGAACTAACAAAGACACTGATCATCACGTACACAAAATATAGCACTGCCGGCTTGTTCTTGATGAACGTTGAGATGGTGAGCAACAGGAACACTGCCGCCTGCAGCATGCTCCCCACATTGAGTCTAAATTTATAGTCAGCGTCTTTCTGCTTTTGCGATAAGTACAAGTTGAAAGATGCTGACGCAAGGGTGGATATGGTCATCATAGAGGAGGAGTATGTGTTGGCCAGCATGGGCTTGCTGCTAAAGCTGTCTTGGAAATATTCAGATGCTGATAAGAAGCAATTCCACGGCCACAAGTTGGCTATTCCACAAACCAGGAAACAGACATATTTGAGGGCCGAGAGTCTAAACGGCGGACCGTAGGGGAGCTGAAATATCACTATGTTCTGATCTCGTACGGTGGACGAGTTATCGGTAGACATGGGAAATATATTAAACAAAGAAAATATATTTATGCATTTAAAAAGTCCACACATTCTGTGAGGATAGGGTCATATTTGTCATAAGTGTTAGCGATTTTTTCGTAAATCAGATTCCATCTGCCTTGTTTCCGGCCCCCTATGTGCTCGTTCATGGTTCGCTTGTAGACGGGTGCTCCAAGCAGATACTCGTAGAACTTGTCGCGGCACTCAGCGGGACAATTCACTCTCGCAACCACGGTTCCTGGTTGCACAAGGCTCACGGACTCCAACGTTCTCAGTATTGCGATATCCATCTGCGGAGAAATATGATTCACTAGAATCCAGTCTGTCTCCATCGAATGGCAAACAAGATAGTCCTCGAGGTCTTTTGGGAAATGGACCTTGATTTGGGATATCCCGGATAGATCGACCAAATATTCCACCAATTTCCGGTTATCCTCGGTGAGGGAATAGTAATCGAAAAGTCCGTGGAGCACAAAGGGGATATTTGTTTTACGGAGCAAGTTTCCGAGGTAGATCAGCGAATAGCCAAAATCCATCTCGGATCCTACCAGCAGGATGGATCCTGGTGAGCGTTTGCTGAAAACGGGGACCAGCGAGTCCAGATGTTCGTAGCAGACGGGATCGGTCGTAGGATAAATGTCAAATAGTTTAATGGTCGAGAGGAGCGAGTCTGCGTTGTTTCGCAGCTGTTCCAAGGATTTTGTCTCGACCAGTGACTCGTAGAGATTGGTATCTGGTAGCTGTTTTTCCATTGTATATAATAATCAGGCGTAACAATTATCTGGGGTAAGTAGCCTGATTTATAAAAAAAAGGGCCATCGTCGCGACAGACTTAAGTCTCAGGGGAAGAAAAAAAATATTAGCAAATTATTAATGATGTTTGGACGAATGATTCGGTCCAGCTTGAGGACCATGCCTCTTGTGAGTCGACCAACCCTTGCGTTCCGCTACTACTCGTCCCCCTTAGTGGACTTTACGAAAACAAAGGTCCAGAACCAGCAATTCTCTGACCATAACAATATGCCCTTGTTCGTTGCCATCACTCGATCAGCGGCCGAGAAGCTCAACGAGATCGCGAACGAGGAACATAACGACAAGCTTGCATTACGAGTTCAAGTGGAAAGCGGCGGATGCCACGGATTTCAGTATCACCTCAACCTATCAGACATGAACGATTTCCATCCCGAAGACGATTCCGTTTTTGTGCGAGACGGGGCCCGAGTTCTGATTGACAAAACGAGTCTGGAAATTTTACGGGATTCGAAAATCGATTATGTGCACGAGCTGATTGGCTCGCAGTTCAAAGTGGTAGACAGCCCGTACACCAAGACCAGTTGCGGGTGCGGGTCTAGCTTCGATTTTGACTTTGATAAGTTGAACCAAACAACATGATTCATTTGGACATACACAGGTCGCATATTGACAGCACAAACGGCCACAGCGAGGGCCGCGGGTCGGATTCATCAAAAAACGGAGCGAACGAGAGCTCGTTGGTGAACCGAAGACGCCCTTCGGACAAAAATAAATAAAGGTTGCACCGGATTTTCGTGAGTCGCAGCTGTTCGAAGTCTAGCGCTGTACTTTTGCGGAGGTAGCCAAACAAAGACGTGGTGAAGTCGGTTTTCGGAAACTTGTCCACGTCGGTCGCTGGAACGTTGATGATTATTTGATTGAGCGCATTGTTGGTTGTTTTGATGTTTGCGAACGCCAGCTCGAGCTCGCCGACCAACGACGAGCCGAGCTCTTCGATTGTGGAATTGAGCGTGTTTTTGAGGAATACATCGCTGAGTTCGACCGGACTGATCAGAGATCCAATGTCGTTCACCAGGAAGTCTGTGGCGACCTGGTACAGTTTTGGCAGCATTCTGGCCATCAGCAAGACCGTTCCCGGCTCGATCTCGATGAAAATCATGATCTGGTACGGTATCACGTTGAGCAGTTTGAATCTGATGGCGCCCATCTTGAGATGTCTCTCTTCGCACTCAAACTCCTTAATCCGCAGTTTGAGCTCCAGATGTCGGAGCACGTCTGCAAAGTCCGGCTTATCGCTCATTGATCGTCCGTGGCTATAGAATCGAGAGCTGGTGGGTATGAGCAGCCCTGAATTGTGCGATTTGTACAGTTCATTTGCTAGTATGGCAGAGACGATTTTCTTTCTGAATTCTGCCACTTCGGTGTTGGAGTCGAGCTCGTCGTAACACAATCGGTCCACCACCGATTCGTGGCCCAAACTGCGCACTTTGAGCAATTTGAAGTTATTATTTAACAGTATTCTGGACATAGCATAAATAAAACGCGTGGAAAAATAACAGACGGAATAATATAGATTTTATTTTAATTTCTGGCAGTGTCCAATTCAGTCATGTCGTTTTGGGACAACAACAAGGACTCCATTAAAGCTGGCAGTCTGGCCGCTCTTAAAGGAGCAGGCCGTGCAACGGTAACAGTGTCGAAGTATGGCTATCATGCTGGCAAAACGGCCTACAAAAACAACAAAAGCAAGACTTCTGGACAACCCGGAAAAGAAGAGGAAGAAGGCCCCCAAAGTCCTCCTCCTATCCCACAGGTCAGAGACCCGCATTCTTTTGCGCCGCCACCAAAACACGTTGCCGTTGCTGGCCAGCCACAGCCCAACCATCCGCAGCAGTATGTCCAGGTGCCCGCCCAGGCCGTGAACTACCAACAAGCGCAGGTGGCCCAGTATCCTGCTCAATTCCAGCAGGCGCCCCAACAACAGCAGACTGTCTATGTTCCTGTTACTCAGCCTGTCCAGCCTGTCCAGCAGTATGTCCCTCAGCAGTACGCCCCTCAGCAGCAGTATCAACCAACGGTGCAATACCAGCCAACGGTGCAATACCAACCACAAATGCAGAGCTGGCCTAGCCAGCAACAACCTTTTGTCCAGCCAATCCAGCCGACGGCGATCCAGCAACCAACACCGCCAGCATCGGCACAAGAGTCTGTGCAGGCTCTTTCTCAGCAGCCGACCCAATACGGCTCGCCGCAGCCAATTGCTCAGCCGACTCCTCTGACGCAGCGTCCTGTTCCCCAGCCCGCTCCCCAACCCGAGCCGGCGATCTCGCCGCTTCCAGCTCCAGTGCCCACAAGAGACTATGCTAGACCGACCATAAACTCTCCTCCTCCGAACCCTCCTCCATACACTGCTACACCAACGGCCCCCACACCTGCTACCGCTTCCGATGTGAGCCAGCCTTCTGTCGCGCCGGCAGCAACGCCGGCTCCAGCACAGGTGTATCTTCCAGAGGCCCAGGAACCAGTGGCGCCGAAGAAAAAGAACGGCTTGCCGCCTGTCGAGGAGCCAAAGTTCAAGCATTCGTTGATGGAGTTCGACATTTCCAAATACGGTCCTCCTCCTCCCAAAGCACACAGGACCGAAGATGAGCAGCGCAAGATCGAAAAGGAGCGCGAACTGAAGGCCAGGCTGCAGAAGATGAAGGAAGAGTCGCAGCAGCGAGCAAAGATGAATGCGTATCAAAGTGCATCGCGTGTTGCATCACCATCCTCCGCTTCGTCAACGGTGTCTCCCTCCAGCACAGGAACTAAGCCAAATCTTCCTTCAAGAGCCAACTCGGAGACTACAGAACAACCCAAGAAATTCGAGCTCCCTGACATCTCGAAAATACAGCCTCCACCTCCTGTTCCCAAAAAGGAGGACCATGATAAAACCGTCAAATCTCCGCCACCCCCATCCACACCGCGCCCAAATCTGGCCTCAAGAACGGTTCCTACACCACCTGCGAGCCTTCCGCGTCCAGAAAGTGGCTCATCGGCCCCGCCTCCGCCATCCAAACCAACACATCTATCTGCAAAACCCAAGCCCCCAGTTCCTAAAAAGCTGTCGAACTCAGAGGTGGCTGAAGCAATTGGCTCCAAACAGAAGCCACCCGTCCCTGCAAAGAGGCCTTCTGTGGGATCTGTGTCTTCATCTACCAGCCATATACAGGAGCTGCAGTCTAAGTTGGCTGGTATGCATTTCAATAACTGACGAGTCACATTTCTACATACCGTTCATTACAGTTCTTCCCAGCCACTTCCTGCGAGCGAGCATGGAGTGTCAGAAGGAGATCAAGCCAGCCATCGCCAGAACTCTATAAATTGGCGCCCTTCAGACCACATGGTAGCAACCATGGAAAAATTCGAACTAGAATACCAACCTAAAAAAGTCAGGGCTTACGCAGTGAAAGTTCTAAAGGAGCTCACCAAAAAGAAAACACGGCCCATGCTTATGTGCTTCCGTAACTGGGAGACGAGAGTTGGGTTTTGCGGGCCAGAAGATGAAACTGAGTCTGATGACCAGACCCGCGTCCTTGTTTTCAACGACAAGTACATTTCTTTCTTGATTCCGTGGATGATGTCGTTCTGCTGGTACGTGGACGAGATAATGGAGGAGCTTGCCGACCTTAGAGACCTCAACACTGTCAGCAACGGGAAACTGACTCTTGGTCCCGTGTTCACGGTCGCCGAGCTTGTTAAAATCGATATGGTTTTCAGACTTTTCACCACGATTGTTCCTAAACAAAAAGGGGAGCCGAAACCGCTTCACTCCAAGGTGACCGAGGTTCCTAGAGTGGAGGAGCCAAAATCTACCGGGGTTTTGAAACCAATTGACAGCTTGAAACCTGTTGAGATTTCGGAGCCTGCTGAAGTTCTGCAGCCTGTTAGAAATCCAGAGCCTGTTAAAGCTGACAAACCTGCTGACGCCAAACCTGCTGACGCCGTCAAACCTCCTTCTTCCAGGACTCTTGACCCCTCCAAGTCGGCTGAACCGTTCAGGTTCTCCAATCCCTCTGTTCCATGTTTCTCTAAAGACATCCCGGGACCTCCATGCTTTGACCACGAGCCTTCTGATGCAGTCCCTCAAAAACCAGCTCAGCCAGCAAGCAATGCTGTGGTTATTCAGAAGCCATTGTTTGATGACCTCGTCAACAAAATACAGGGTCTTCAATTGTCCATTGAGATTATGCAGAATATGTAGCTATCAATATTAATGTTCGTTCCTCCAGCGCTCTATCATACTTTCGGCCCATCGGGTATACAGCAGCTCCTCGACTTCATCCCGAGGACGTTCTTTTTCCAGGTTTTTCGGTATAAGCTTGTCCTTGAGTTGTTCGTTATCTGTCGTCATTATTTTCTTCATCACTAGCTTGAAGTACTTACAAAACACTTCTCGGTACTGTTCGTCGGGGCTGAGTGCGATTGACTCCATCATGGTGTTCTGAAACAGCACCAGCTGATCGTACTGAGAGGTCGAGAGGTTGTGTTTTTCGTTTATCTTGTTGAACGACTGGTTCAGTATGCGATTGAGAGTCTTTTTCAGCTCCTGGTCCTCGTTCTCACTGGAGTTGCGTTTTATCGGGGACAATGGGACCTTGCGGGATGGCTCTGGCTTGAGTGTACTTGCTGGTTCTTCTTTTAATGTGATGTCAAATAAAGGAGGAGTCTGCTCCTCCAAGGTAGGCGTATAGTAGCGTTTTTCGGTGTTGCCTGTTTCAAGGTCCCATTCGTGCTTGCGCTTGATCAGCTTGACAATCTCTGAGCGGTCAACCTTGGCGCCAGCAAGTACAAACGGATGCTTGAGGAGCTCCTTAGCCGACGGCCTTTGCTTCGACTCTTTATTCAAACAAACGTTCACAAAACTCCTGAACTCCTTACTGAAACTCGAGTCCAGCTCCGGAGCAGGGTCCTCTGCGATTCTGAACAGCACGTCAAACGGATGGTACTGGGACAGGGGCGGCTTGCCATATGCTAGCTCAATTGCTGTAATGCCCAGCGACCAGATATCTGCAGAGTATGTGTATGGCTGGTGGAGAATAATTTCGGGAGCCATCCAGTACGGCGTGCCCACGAAAGTGTTTCTTTTGGACATGTTATTGGACAATTGGGTCGCGACTCCAAAATCTGCTATTTTCACGTCTCCCTCCAAGCTCAATAACACGTTGGCGGCTTTGAAGTCCCGGTGGATCTTGCCGTTTTCGTGTAAATACACAAGAGCATGTAGCAGCTCGTGCAAAATGTAGCTAATAGCTTTTTCTCCAAAAGGCCCCGAAATGAGCAGTTCTGAGCACGATCCACCACCCAAAAACTCCATAATGATCCACAGCTTGTATCCCTTAAGAAAACAGCCATAGTAGCGAGTGATGTTCGCGTGCTGGCACGTAGACAGGATCTTGATTTCCTGCTGGATCTCGTTCAGTTCATCTGCGCTCTCCAAATCTACCTGCTTGATGGCCACCATCTTCCTGGAGACCTTGTCAAACGCGCGGTAAACCACGCCGAATGCTCCACGGCCCAGTTCTTCGTACACCTCAAACTGCTCAGGAGACATGAAAAAATTATTTTTATCAGATTAAGTTATTATCAGTTAATTTATCATGTTCTCTAGAGTACCAGGCCTGCGAGGAATTCGCTGGTTTGGCAACTTCCGTCCTCTTCGCAATATTGACAGCTTTGTTCTGCAGAGGTCACTGGCGCCCAAACTTCTCGCTCCCAGCACAAACACAGTTCTATTTAAATGCATAGTCTTTGACTCGAACGGAAAATTTACCAAGATTGCATCCGATGTCAAGAAGGCACAGCTGATCCTGAAACACGACTTGCTGCCCCGCGACCTCCGCAAAATTGACAAGGGCTACGACGACATTGTTCCGTCCATTCTGGTGCGAGAAAACTCGATCCTGCTCACCATCTTGCATATCCGAGCGTTGATCAAGGCGGATTCCGTCGTGCTATTTAATTACGACCAGTCTTTTTCCAGCGACCAACTAATTGCCACCCTCTCGCAGAAACTACGCAAACAGTCGGATGATTCGCTTCCGTACGAAATTCGTGCCCTGGAAACCATATTCATGAACGTGATCGATAACCTCAATTCCGAAATGAAAGTGCACGTCACCGTGGTAAATGGCATACTGAAAGAGCTCGAAAGCGACGTCGACATGACAAAATTAAAGTACCTGTTACTGGTGTCCAAGAAATTACAACAGTTCCAGCAGAAAGCCACCCTGATCAGAGACCTTATCGACGAAATGCTGGCCCACGACGACGAACTGGTGGAACTGTATCTTACAGATAAAAAAATCGGCCACAAGCGGACGGCGCGCGAACACGAAGAGGTGGAAATGCTTCTTGAGTCGTACTCCTTGCATTGCGATGCCATTGTGCAGACTGTGGAGTCCTCCATAAGCAACGTGCGAACTACAGAGGAGATCATCAACATTATTCTCGATTCCAACCGGAACCAGCTCATGCTGCTGGGTTTGCGGTTCAGCATTTGCCTGTTGAGCTTTGGCAGTCTGCTGTTTATTGCTGGTGTCTACGGCATGAACTTGGAAAACATTGTCGAGGAGAAAGACTACTGGTTTGTCATCATATCCACGGCATCGTTGTTAATCAGCGCTGTGATTTTCAGAAAATGTACAAACCGCCTAAACCAGCTGAAGAGGATCCAAATGTCCAAATGAGCACGATTCGGCGCTGCTTGTGCTTCATCTCTTTGCTTTCGGATCTGCTCCTCCCTCCTTTTTCTTGTCAATTAAATAGTCCTTAACTGCGCTAAGACTAGTTTTCTCTGTCTGAGCATACAAGCTGCTGCTGCTTCTGTCCTGTGGGTTTCTTTTGTACGGATGTGGGCCCCCGTTTGCGTGTGGGCCATCTCCCCAGTGGCCCCTGGTGTCGCGGTAATCCTGGTTCTGCCAAGGGCGACTTCCGTGGAAATCACGGGACCCTCTATAATCTCTGTAGTCTCTGGACTCTCGCGAGTAGTCGCGGCTCCAGTCCCGGCCCCAGTCGCGATTCCAGTCTCGGTTTCCGCCCCAGCCACGTCGTTCACCTCTCCAGCGGTTGTCGTGCGCAAGATCCCTCCTCTTGCGAGGAGTCTCGTAGTCTGCTCCGTAGTGCGAGTGGTCCAGCGACCTGTTAGGCGGCCTTCCCGACCCGATAGACTCGTTCGCACGCTTCTTCTCTTCCTTGTATCGTTTGATGTCCTGTTCGTGACTCTCCTCGAATTTGGGCAGCTCCTCAGGAAGACAGGCCACCGGCTCCATTTTGAAGAAATCCGACTCCAAGGCCTTGGCAGCGTTGAACCTCTTGCGTGGGTCCATTGTCAGCAATCCAGAAAGCAGTCGCACTGCTGCCGGCGTCATAATCGCCCCAAACTCGTTTTCGAGGGTGCGCGGGTAGTCCACATGTAAGTTGACGCCGTTTCTGTTGATTAGATCTGCGTTCGGGAAGTTCTCTGGCGTGGGGCTTCCTAGGAGCCTGAAAATCATGTCTGCTTGGTCCAAGTCGCTCTTTCCTTCTAGAATAGGCTTTTTCTTGTACATTTCTCCGAGAACACACCCAATCCCCCACATATCAACTGCCGTTGTGTATTTGCGTTCTCCCAGCAGCAGCTCGGGGGGTCGGTACCAACGTGTCACCACTAGCCCCGTGTACTCGACCAGACCTCCGCCAGCACCGGCGGCTGCATCCACTGGAGCCGGCCCGTGGTAGCCCCTTGCAAGTCCAAAGTCGGCGATTTTTACCACGCCAAACCAGTCGAGCAAGATGTTGGCTGTCTTGATGTCTCTGTGCAGATAATGCTGGTTGTGAATGTAATCTATCCCGTGTAGAACTTGTTTCATGATACATTTGATTTGCGGGTTTGTGAGTCGAACCCTTGGGTTGTTGAGTAACCCATTCAAGTCTGAGCTGATGTATGGTGTCACTGTGTAGAAAAAGCCGGGTTTCTTCGTATCTTCCGAGTTTTCGTGAATCATGTCTATAAGCTGCAGCACGTTCAGGTGTTTGAACTGCTTCATGATGGTAATTTCTCGAAACGCCGTGATGGGGAACCCGTCCTTGGAGTCATGGACAATAAGTTTTTTAAGGGCGACAAGCTTGCCCGTGCTTTTTTGTCGCGCCTTGAAGACCATCCCAAACGTTCCCTGGCCCAGCTGCTGAAGCACCTCATACTTATCCAGCTTGCTCATCCCCACATACCGGCTGGGCCGGCTTTGTTTTGGGACGTGTTCGGTCATCTATAAAACAATAAAGTTTAAATTCTATCAAATTATTTTTCGCTTCTGCCATTTTTCAGCTTGGCATCCACAGAGTCTCTGAGAGACGTGAGCAGCTCGCGTTCTTCAACGTCCAGAGCCGTTTCTATATCCAAATCGACAGCCTGCAAAAACTCGGGAGGCTTGATATCGTGTTCAGCCAGCAGGTGCTGTGCGCCTGCCAGAGTCACTAGATTCTCGTTAAAGACCCATAGCAGCACCGTGTTAGCCAGGGCCAAGGTTTCGAGATTAAGCTCGTTGTCGCTATCGTCGGCCTCTAACAATTTCCACAGTCTGAGCACTTTCTTCAGACCGGCAAACTCCTTGTGTATTAGTTTATTCGTGACCCTGATTCGCGCATCAGATCCAAACGGCAGAAATTTATAGAGCTGGGAAAGCAGTCTGAGGACATGCGGAGAGCAGGAGTTTTCTTTCGGAGCTTTCGTCTCAAAATGCTTTAGCAGTGGTTTCAAAACGCCCATCTCCACCACCAGCGGTCCTGTCTTCTCATCTATAACAGATGCCATAATTTTGAGACCAGCGTTGATATGCTGCTTGGAGACATCGCTATTGACGAACAACATCGCCAGCTCCAGTCCCTCGTTTTCCAGAAACCGCGCTCTGTAGGCGTCAAAACGCAAAACGTAGGCCAGCAGTAGTATACAGTTCTCCTTCAACTCTGTCATTTCGGTGCCTGAGATTGGCACTTTACGAAGCTTCGACCATACCACCATCAAAGTTTCAACTAGATCTGCGTCGTTGTCCTTTTCAAAGCTTTCAATCTCAGACTGCTCACATCCCACCAGCAGCTCTTGTAGATATTCCATTGCATACTGGCTCGTTTTGTCAACTTGTTGCATGGATTCGATTATCTCCAAAACTTTATCATTCAGCCCGTTGCGTCTGGTCAGTGTGACATTTTCGAACTCAGCTAGAGTTATCGCAAATCCTAGACATAGCGTAGAATACTGCTCAAAGAGCCCTCGGTCCTCAATTGAATCCAGCCCCTCAAGGAACTTGCCAAGCAGGTCTCCAATCTTGCAATCCGTAAAATACTGGCCTAGCACAGAACGACACTCTTCCCGCTCTTCTTCCACCAAATCCACCAGAATTAAAAGAACCTGCTCGCGCACATCAATATTGGGATGGCTAGCAAGAAGTCCCACGACTTCTGCAAAAACAGGGCTCTCTACTAGCGCTGCATAACATTGCTGATAATCGGGTGCCTCGACCAGAGCAATACTAATTTCAGACCAGACCTTGAGCCCTTGAAACAGCTCAAACTCGCTGTCCATCAGCTTGGTCGGGTCCGAAGAGTGTTTTTCGCGCATCTGAAGGTTGGAAGTCACAAGCTCACCCAGTTTCGTAAGACTATTTTTGACCCATTGCACATTGTACTCCGCATTTTTCTGAGGCTCGGCCACAACATCGCGTTCCAGAAATTCCAGCACGCGCTCTTCACGACTGTGTGCGGGCCTCTTGGCCTCGCTGTCGTCGACCTCCTCCGCCCCCCGCTTCTCAAACAACCGTTCCACGTTCATCTAACACCCGTACACCAATACGATCTTTTCGAAAACTTATTTATGTTTCTTTTTTACTGAAAAATCCGTCAAAAAAACAGCCAAAAACGGTACCACACCTCGCACCTTTTAGTCCGATCGTAAGGTCATGACGCAGTCTTTGTACCAGGGGGGGGCCAGTGTCTAGCGGGCCAAGTGCTGCGTCATCTGAGGGGGCCAATAGGGCGAAGGTCAAAACGACCACGGTTCCTCAGATCGCCAACGATTTCTCACACCATTTGTGCGTGCCTGCTGCACAGGATCTAATTTTGCATACGGCAAACCGAAATTCTTCCTTATCTTGGCTTTTGTAAAAATAATATTGTTTTCCCTCCCACTTTTTTTCGAGTTTTAGTAGATGGAGTATTTTAGTTTGACATGTTGCAACACTTGATTTTCCCCAACAGCGGCCTGATGTTGTTCCGGCCGATAGGCAGCGCTATTGAAGTGCTCAGCCCATGGATTCGCGCCGTCAGCAGCACAGAGTCGCTTTTTGAGCAGTCGTTCACTGTGGACAGATCTTTGGACAACAGCACTGTCAAGAAGTGCGCAGTGGACGATTTCGAGTACGATTTCAGTGAGCCAAACCCTATGAACTGGGACCTATCAGAGGTCCTGAAACAACGCACCAAAGGCATCGCATCGTCCAGTGCTGTCGAGTCGACGTCCGACGCTATGTACTATCTCGCCGACCCTGAAGACGACTCTTCCGACGAAGAGGATGCCCTCGGAAACGAGTACACCCTCGACCATGAACACTTTTTACATTTCCAGAGGTTGGCGCAAGAATCTCTGGCTGCCCGCCAAGCTGTCACCCCGCTTCCAACAATCAAGCAAGAAGATCCCGTGCTTTCTTCTTCGCAATCTTCGCTTCCAAGATCGTCGTCCGACGGGTCTGAATCCACGCTTGTCCGTTCGCCCACCTCGTCAGAGTCGGACCAAGACTCGTATATCTGTGATATCTGCCATGTTTCGCTGAAACTGAAGTCGTATCTCACGAGACATATGAAGAAACATCGCGACATGCTTCCATACAAGTGCCCTTATCACTCTGCCAATAAGGACGCAGACTTTAAGACCTCCTGGGCAGAGTATTGTGGAACCATATGTCATCCAACAGGTAGTTTTTCGAGAAGAGACACTCTCAAGATGCACCTCAAAGCACGCCATTTCATCTATCCGATGGGGACTCGTTTCAAAAACAGAAACACTGCTCCAGGAAGGTGTGCTGGCTGCTTCACTGAGTTTCCTAGCAACTCAGAGTGGATCAACACGCATGTGCTGAACAACTCGTGTCCCGCGTTTGTAATGAAGTACAAATAGTCTAAAATCGGTTTACATCAGAGCTAAAAATCCACCGTCCACCATCAGGCATTCTCCGTCCACATACTCGCTAGCGGCCGAGCACAGGAAGACCACTGGTCCTTTGAAGTCTTCGGGAGTGCCCCATCTGCCTCTTGGGATTTTGTTCAAGATACGGGTCTCTCTAGCCTCGTCGCTGGTGTGGAACGTTGTCATGTTCGTCCGGATGTATCCCGGGCCAATACAGTTGACGTTAATTCCGTACTGGGCCCATTCCACCGCGCAGCATTTTGCAAACTGCACAATAGCTCCTTTGGACGTGGTGTACGCTGCGAGATTGGAAGCAGCACGGAAAGACGTTAGACTAGCCGTGAATAGGATCTTTCCTCTGATCTTCTTATTGATCATCTGTCTGGCAACTAGCTTGGAGAGCTCCGACGGCACGTGCAAGTTGACGTGCAGCACCTTGTGGTACTCTTCGAAAGAAGCGTCCACGATGGAGTCGCGGTTGGTGACACCCGCGTTGTTGATGAGAATGTCTATCACTCCTGTAGGAGACAACTCCAGAGCGGGCCTGACAATTTTCGCTTCAAGGTCCTCTATCCTGACTTCGCCCAGGTCGACCTCGATGGTGCCTATTTTGGATTCCGACCCCGGATAAGAGTCACGCAGAAACTGTACCGTGGACGCGGGATCGGTCGCTGGTCTGTGCGTCAGAATCACTGACGCCCCCGCTTCGTACAGGGCCTGGGCCATGGCCTTGCCAATGCCGTTGGTGGCGCCCGTGATAAGGACAACCTTGCCCTTGAGAGAAAAAAGATCTAAAACCGACATTAATTATTTTACATCCACACAGCCAATAAATTAGGTAGTCGATAAACGGCTTATCAGCTCGTCGGTGATCGTTCCCGCCAAACGAACACCGCTTCTGAATTTTCCAACAGCAGAAAGGTACTTGCTGATAAGGCGAAGCTTGTTGGTAAGATAGTTGTCGCGCAATTTTTCCGAGATGAATTCCGCGCTCTCGGCATCGACGTCCCATTCGGCCAGTATTTCGTTTCCGCGCAGTACGGACGCCGTGTACCGTCCTTGTATTTTTTCCACACGGAATTGGTGTTGGCGAAGGAAAAGCAGTGCAGAGCCCAGTATCGGGACAGAGCTGCACACTCCCACTGAACAGAACGACGGGTACTGTACCCACGGCTCCGTTGTTGGTTGCACGTTGGACTTGGCCACCAGCGACGGATCTGTGTTGTAACATCCCTCGGCTGCGTTTGTGGAACATGGACCCACGCATACAGGAAACATGGTGTCCATCCGCAGCGACTCGGCGCAAATGCCTTCGCCCAGTTGCACCAAAGAGGCGATATCGTAGGCAGCCCGAAGACACGTGACAAAAGATTTCCATTGACGAACGTCCATCGGAGAAACCAGTTGAGAGGCGTCTGGGAACGGCGTCGGACTGTCGTTCATCAGTGAAAGCGGGTTGGGACACTGTGTCGAGTCCTTTGGATGCAACGGAAGCATTGCCCAGCAAATCGAGGAGTGCAGGATGATGAGAGAGAGCTTGTTCACGAAACACGACAGCAGGACATTGGCGTCGATCAGCAGACGGTTGTTTTCTATAGTATAAGGACGGAAATTAGGAAGCGATGCCATTTTCTGCAATTGCGAATCCAGCTTGATGACGTTTTCCGTCAACAGGGCATTTTCGGCAACATTGTCCATCACCTCGTCCATATAATGACAAGATAAAATTAGCATCATGGAGTCGGGCATCTCGTCCCTGGCCGGATCGTTCAGGTTGATCCGTTCTGAACAATGGGCTTTTTTGAACGCAGATTTGAAGGACTCCAAGGAAGCCGACTCTTTATAGTACACGATATCGTCCAGAGGTAGCTCCAATTGTTCAGGCAGCTTGAAAAATCCATGTTTTTGGTAAGGATAGCCATAGTTGGCCCGTCGGTACGTCTGGAACTTGTAGACGTTCCACACGCATCGGATCAGCAGCTCGCGGTCTTTCAGCTGACGGCCTGTTGAAATATCAAGCATCTCGTTGTAGTCGGCTTGCGACTTCCGTTTCAGCACATCAAGATATCCCGAGCTCTTTATCAGACGGAAACAGCGATGCAATTGGTCGTCCTCGCCAGAGGTGCAGGTGAGAGTCAAAATCAACAGCTCTGCCTCTACTGACAGGTTGTGGCGATATTTGTAACAGTTCTGTAGCCAATAACTCTCGTCAAGATATTTTTTGTCCTCCACTTCATTCGGATTAATATATCGGACAGTCATTTCGAAAATCGCACTTAGTATTGCAACATTCTCGTCTGTCAAATAAAATTTGTCCAGGAATTCTTTCAAGTTTGGCAGCACCTGGTACGACAGATGGATATACTTGTAGAACAGTTGTACCACTGCGTCTATGACATCCCATGAAGGCAGCCCATATTTTTCGAGCTCAGACTTTGTAAATTTCTGGTGCTTTGGCGTTTGGCTACCAGCGATCGTGGGCAGACTTGTAATCGACATCTGGTCTTCCCGGGGATACTGCTCCTGTATCTGTTTTTGTCTGTTGACCCAGTCCTCTGTGTTTCCCGACGTCTCGTCCTCGCTGTGCTGTCCAACGGCGTGGTTTAAAGGTGGTAGCAACGTGCTTTTTCCCGTCGACTCCCCTGCTACAGAGCCTGAGACTCGGCTGTCGCTGTCTGAATACGACAGTGACGAGCGTCGTCCAGGCGACGGCGGCGGATAGAACCCGTACGGCACCCTGTGGGGGTCAAAGTAAGGATCTGGATGATGGTGGTGAAAGTGATGGTGACGCGGATGGCGATGGTGGTGGTGGCGATGCATGCGATGGAACGGAGGATGGTACGGAGAAAACGCTCCTGGAGACGGCGGAGGAAGCGGCGGAGGCCCAGGAGGCCGTAGCAAGGGCGGACCGTGGCCTGGAAGATGTGGACCCGGCGGCGGAGGAGGTGGAGGATGGCCGTAGTAAAAGTAGGGCTCGGAGTAAGGCAAGTCCTTGGACGGGTATTTGCCATAGCGCGGCTCTTTTGGACCAGCCCACTTGCCCAGATCGTCGTATCTGGCAACCGGAGGTGGCAGATACTTGGAAGCAAACTTACCCGGCGGAGGGTGGTGGTGAGCGGGTCGAAAAGATTCTTCAGCGTCGGAAGTGAACATGCTGGGAGTGCTTTCTGTTTCAAACCGTCGCTCGGGATCAAAGTGCTGGCGTTTCAGAGACTGGTCGTTTGCAAAGGACGAGTAGCCGTGAGACTGCGTGGTTGAGGAGTCCACTGAGAAGTTCTTTCTCCTGCGGCCACCTCGCTTGCTGGGCACAAACACGCACTCGGTGCCCGATGAGGCGCAGTTGGAACACTTGCCGTAGCTCTTGTTGCCCGACTCGTCAGACTTCAGTTCGCCGTCACATTTGATTTTCTTCTCTCGACAAGCTAAGCACGCTCGTTTGGCAACATGTCGCCGCTCCAGGTGGTGCTCGAGAAACTTGATGGAGTCTTCCGTGACCAGCTGCTGTCGTGCCGCTTTCGGGGACCCCGAAGAACTGCGATTAGACATGTGTTCTCCTCTTGTGCAGACTTGTCACTATGGATTGCCGAATTAAATACGTCTCTCGAGACAAAAATAGGGACTTGCATTATATTTTTTCTTGTCACACCTTACACCTGTGTACATATTTAGATGGCAGCAGACTTGTGGAAGTTCTTACCGGCGTAGATGGCCTTGTCGCCCAGCTCCTCCTCGATTCTGAGGATTTGGTTGAGCTTGGCCAGTCTCTCGGATCTGGCCGGAGCACCGGTCTTGATTTGTCCAGATCTCAGACCAACAGCGATGTCAGCAATGGTGGTGTCCTCGGTCTCACCAGATCTGTGAGACACCATGACACCCCAGCCGGCGGCGTACGAGTCCTTGGCAGCATTGATCGACTCGGTCAGAGTACCGATCTGGTTGACCTTCAGGAGCAGAGCGTCGGCGCACTTCTTTTCGATGGCAGTCTTGATTCTGTCTGGGTTGGTGACAGTCAAGTCATCACCAACCACCTGGATCTTGGTGGTGGCGAAGAAGTGGGACCATGCCTCCCAGTCGTCCTCGGCGAATGGGTCCTCCAGCGACACAATTGGGTACTCCTTGATCAGTTTGGAGTACAAGTCGGCCAATTGCTGTCCGGTGAGCCACTTGCTTGGGTCGGAGTTTGGATTCTTGAAGTCCAAGTCGTACTTGCCGTCGTGGTAGAACTCGGACGAAGCGGTGTCCAAAGCAATACCGATCTTGCCGGTGTAGCCGGCAGCCTCAATGGCCTCGACAATCAGGTCAAGAGCCTCCTGAGGGGTGGAGAGGTCTGGAGCAACACCTCCCTCGTCACCGACGTTACCGGCACTTTGGCCGTACTTCTTCTTGGCCAGCGACTTGAGGTGGTGGTAGACCTCAGAACCCATTCTGAGACCCTCAGAGAAGGATGGAGCGTCAGTTGGCACAATCATGAACTCTTGGAAGGCCAGGGATCCACCGGCGTGCGAGCCTCCGTTCAAAACGTTCTGGAATGGGACTGGCAACACGTATGGCTTCTTGGTGCCTGCAAGCTCGCTGATGTATTGGTACAATGGGACGCCCTTGTAGGCAGCAGCAGCCTTGGCAACAGAAAGAGAAACACCAAGGATGGCATTGGCTCCCAATTTGCCCTTGTTTTTGGTTCCGTCCAGAGAGTTCAGGAACTTGTCGAACTTCTCCTGTTCGAGAACAGAGATCTTCTCCTTGAGGACAGCAGGGGCAATGACGTTGTTGACGTTGGCAACAGCCTTCAGAACACCCTTTCCGAGCCACTTGGACTTGTCGCCGTCTCTCAGCTCAACAGCCTCGTGAGCACCGGTACTGGCACCAGATGGCACAATAGAGCGGAACAATCCCTTGTCGGTGGTGAGATCCACCTCGACGGTTGGATTTCCTCTAGAGTCGTAAACGTATCTGGCAAAGAGCTTGGTAACGGTAGTCATTATATAACAATTGTGTCAATTGAACTAATAATTGAGGAAAAGATATTTAGAGCCATATATATACTATTTCTATGGATCCGTGACACCGCAAATTTGAGCATGCAGGTTACCGGCACAGCCCTGAAAACGGCCATAAGACGGCCGTGGTGGCCATAGTTGCATGTTTTAAATTACGGTTTTTTCGCGCAACGCCTGAACTAAGCTGAGCACGCGGTTGCGCTCGTCGTGCTGCTGCTAGCGGCCGCCCCAGCCACCCTCATACTTTGCCCTGCCACCGGTGCCTGCGTGCACTTTCGGACCACTACACCTCGCACCTCACCTTTTTCGCTTACCCTTTCTCCGTCGATGAGGCCATCTCCGGGGTGGGGTGACGCGGTCGGTGAACAGTGTCTCCATAGCGTGGTGTTGAGGCAGCGGAAAAAAAGTCGCGGCTCTCCCGCCTGATTGTCAGCGCACTTCCGCAGACAGGCACCACTGCGTAACACCATGTACTATTGCGTTATCGTCGCCAGTCGACCTTTTTTCTGTCGGCAGATTCTGTCGACGGCTTGTCGCTCTCAAAAATTATTTGCCTCCTTGCTAATTTCAGTGCTTGCTTCCCAATGCTTTTCCCTGTGCCTCTAGTGTTTTTGCTCTCCCTTGCCAGCTGTCTTTCGCTTAGCCCATTCGCTTTCCCAGGCCAGGACACCAAGCCCGTTCCGGGCGACTCTCCCCTTCTTCTGTGCGACTCGTCGTCCCCTCAACTCCTCAAGCTGACTCATGTGGATGTATCGCCTAACCCTCCAGAACGCGGAACCAACCTGACTATCGTTGCCAGAGGGGACCTTTCGAAGCAGGTTGACGAGGGCGCCTATGTTGAGGTGGATGTCACTTACGGATACATTAAATTATTGCACCAGACTTACGATCTTTGCGAGGAGTTGCCTAATGTCGATATGGAGTGTCCTCTCAAGAAGGACAGCTACGATCTGACCAAGATTGTCGAGATCCCCAACGAGGTTCCGCCAGGAACATACACAGTGATTGCAAGGGCATTCACCGCCGATGACGAGCTGATTACTTGCTTGACCGGCAGTGTTGCGTTCCCCCCATACGGCTCGAAAAACTTGCTAAGATTCCTGCTGCAAAATTAGACTGTGCTAGCTTAATGATCGGAGGTATGCAATAGGGTGCTCTGTTCGTTGACAGCAGCCACCTCATCGATGCTGTGGTTGCTAGAAACGTCATGATAGTCCTGCACAAGTTCCTCCAACAGGATCCTGTTTATGGCGATTCTCTTCTTGACTTTCTTCAGCTGGTAGCGCAAAGGTATTCCTGGTAAGTAACCGTTTGTAGTAATTATCTCTCTGCTCTTTATCAGGCCGATCACGAAGCACCAAAATAGAATATACGACGCAACCGAGCCGTAGGTGGCAGAATTAGTCCAACCAAGAAGCGCGTTGAATAGCATCCATCCACCGTCCGTGAGCCCATTGCAGCAGTTGACGTGCCACACAGAGTTCGTGATATCGTAGGATCCTGGCCCACTGCCGGTTTCAGAAGTGTCCTGACCGCATTTTTGGACAAACCGTTCGAGCTCCAAGAACCAAACACCCTTCGACATCAGGCCGGCAGCGACAAGGTAGAGGAAACACGTGGCAACAACAAGGAAGAACTGAAGTGACATCTTGTTTCCTCCCTTGTATAAAACGACGCCGATTCCTGTGCCCGCCAGGGCGCCGGTAATGATGGCCAGTGGAAAAGAAGATATTGGCTGGTTAACACCGATTCCTCCCACAAAAACGACAGCCTCCAAACCCTCGCGTAGTGTAGTCACAAAAGGCAGGATCCCCAACGCGTACTTACGGGTGAATTTTCTGAGTTTTGCGCGCACCTTCACAGACTTGGTCAAGTAATCGGACATAGGTTCATCTTGGAAGTCCTGGAGCATCTCCTCTTCGTTTTCGTTCAAAGCAGCGCCAAGCTTCCACTTCCATTTGGACTGTAGTTGGTTTATACGCAAGAGAGCCATTCCCATCACGGCGATGATCAGCGCACTAACGATACTAAACACGCCTTCCCAAACCCGTTCGGCAACAGACCAAAGATCGCTTCCCACAAGGTAGAAAACGGCAATGAAAATCGCACCGAGACAAAGACAAATGGCCAGGCCGGCAAGCGCACCGACCCAAACTTGAAGCACCAAACCCCGATACACAGAGGCCGACCCCTGGACCACATGTGAGCCATGCTCATCTTTTGAGGTGAAATTTTGCTGGAGGAACGAGAGAAGCACCGAAACAATGATGGCCGACTCCAAAGTCTCTCGAAGGATGATGAAGAAGATTTGCACCGAAAAGTAGTCCTCCCACATGGTGTAATGAGATTCTCGGATTAGACCTATTTTTCTTTTTATTTTATTTTTCACACTTTTCAAAGCCTATTGATTCGGCTTGCGTCGATCGACTTCCGACCGGCCCGCTAGTTTATCAAAGGGCAAACACTTTTATTTTAAGACAACCTGTACTTTTTCGGCGATGGCAGTGCTGAGCAGAAAAGCAGTCAGAACAAAGAACAGCGGAACAGGTCCGCCTCCTAAAAAGACCAATGCTCCGGTGAAAAAAGCCCAGTTCGAGTCGAATAAGAGAAAAGAAGTCGGGGTCAGTGATTTGACGTTACTGTCCACCATCAGCGATCAGACAATCAACGACAACTTGGAGAAAAGATTCCATCATGGCACCATCTACACTTACATTGGGCATGTGTTGATTTCTGTCAATCCTTTCCGGGATCTAGGCATCTACACGGACGAAGTGCTGAACTCTTACAAAAACAAGAACAGACTTGAGGTGCCACCGCACGTCTTTGCAATTGCAGAGAGCATGTACTATAACATGAGGGCATATAACGAGAACCAGTGTGTGATTATCTCCGGCGAGTCGGGAGCAGGAAAAACCGAAGCGGCCAAGAGAATCATGCAATATATTGCTGCTGTCTCAGGCTCGTACACGTCGTCTTCCCATATCCAGCGCATCAAGGACATGGTGTTGGCTACCAATCCGCTTCTCGAATCCTTTGGATGCGCCAAGACTCTCAGAAACAACAACTCGTCGAGACACGGAAAGTACCTCGAAATACAGTTCAACAAGTCATTCGAACCCGTCAGTGCTAACATCACAAACTATCTCCTGGAAAAACAAAGAGTTGTGGGGCAGATAAAAAACGAGAGAAACTTCCACATTTTCTACCAGTACACCAAAGGAGCTAGTGATCAATATAGGCAGACATTTGGTGTGCAGAGCCCTGAACAGTACGTTTACACAAGTGCTTCAGGCTGCACCTCGGTCGACTCTATTGATGATCTGAAGGACTTTAAGGACACCATTGCTTCGATGACGACCATTGGACTCACCCAGGAGGAGCAGGACCAGGTGTTCAGAGTGCTGGCTGCTATTCTGTGGATTGGTAACATCACGTTTGTCGAGGACGCAGAAGGTAACGCTCAAGTCAGAGACACTGGAGTGACCGATTTCGTTGCCTACCTTCTCCAAGTCAGTCCGGAGGTGTTGGTGAAATCCATTGTCGAAAGAACAATGGAGACATCGCATGGCATGAGACGGGGATCTATCTATCATGTTCCTTTGAACCCTGTTCAGGCAACCGCAAGCAGAGACGCTTTAGCCAAAGGGCTGTACAATAACATGTTCGACTGGATCGTTGAGAGAGTGAACAAGTCTTTCCAGAGCTTGAACCTCGAGGCTCATAGATCCATTGGTATTTTGGATATTTACGGCTTTGAGATTTTCGAGCACAACTCGTTTGAGCAGCTCTGTATCAACTATGTCAACGAGAAGCTGCAACAAATCTTTATCCAATTGACACTGAAGTCCGAGCAGGACGAATATGTCAGAGAGCAAATTCAATGGACTCCGATCAACTATTTCAACAACAAGATTGTTTGCGATCTTATTGAATCAAAGCGTCCACCAGGAATTTTTGCCGCGCTCAATGATGCCTGTGCAACTGCCCACGCTGACTCTTCTGCCGCTGACCAGTCTTTTGCACAGAGACTGAACATGGTCAGCAGCAACCCCCACTTCGAATTGAGATCCTCCAAGTTTATTATCAAGCATTATGCTGGTGACGTGACCTACGATATAGGTACAATGACAGACAAGAACAAGGATCAATTACTCAAGGATCTGCTTGAGATGATCGGAACGTCCCAGAATACTTTTATTCAGACAATCTTCCCTGAGAAGATTGACACGTCTTCCAAGAAGAGACCACCAACTGCGGGTGATAAAATCAAAACTAGTGCCAACCTTTTGGTCGACACTCTTTCTCAAGCCCAGCCCTCTTACATTAGAACGATAAAGCCTAACCAGAACAGATCTCCAACGGAGTACGACACCAAAGCAGTGCTGCATCAAGTCAAGTACTTGGGTCTGCAAGAGAACGTCAGAATCAGAAGAGCAGGATTTGCTTATAGACAGACATTCGACAAATTTGTGGAAAGATTCTATCTTCTTTCCACCAGGACATCATACGCTGGTGAATACATATGGGATGGCGATGCCAAAACTGCAACCTCCCTGATCTTGCAAGACACGGGCATTCCAAACACAGAATGGCAACTTGGTGTCACTAAGGTATTTATCAAGAAACCTGAAACGTTGTTCTCTTTGGAAGAAATGAGAGAGAACTACTGGGCCAATAAAGCCAAAGTCATACAAAGAGCTTGCAGAAGATGGCTCAAGAGAAGAGAGAACGCCGCAAAGTTTGTTCAAAAGATGTGGAGAGAAAGAGTGGGCGGTAACAAGTACGAGCAACTCAGAGACTACGGTACCTCTCTTGTCGTCAACAAGAAGCAAAGAAGAGCGCTCAGTATCCTGGGCTCTAGAGCCTACATGGGAGATTATCTTGGATGTAACGACAAAACTGGTGGATTTGGAAAGTTTTTGATGCAGTCTATAGGGCTTTCTGATTATGTTATCTTTTCGTCCCGGGGACAAATACTCCATTCGAAGTTCGGAAGATCCTCCCAACGACTGAACAGAATTTATGTCCTCACCAGTTCACAATTTTTCGTGATTGCGGAGGAGCTGGTCAACAGAAAGGTTTCTTATGTTGTCGAAACAAAGATCCCGGTTTCCGCTATTCAGAAAGTGTCTCTTTCCCAATATCAGGATGATTGGGTTGCGCTCAACCTTAACTCGACCGCTCAGCCAGATCTTTTCATCAATACTATGTTCAAGACAGAGTTGGTGACTCATTTGAAAAAGCTGAATAGATCGCTAGGTATCGACATCGGCCCAACCATCACTTACAACAAGAAACCAGGAAAGCCACATGTGGTGAAATTCCAGGCCGACAGCACGAGCCCAAAACATGGAGACTCGTACAAATCAGGTACCGTCAAGGTTGCGGCTGGATTGCCAGCTTCGAGCACCTCTAGACAGAAGCCGAAGGGACGGCCTATTTTGAGCAACGGTAATGCTATTGCGGACTACAAGCGTACCGTTGGCAACACTGCCCCCGTCGCCCATGTGCCGAACCAGGCAACTGCTGCCGCTATGGCTGCCTACCATCCATCCCAGCCCTCGGCAGCAAAACCACCGGTCAATAGGAAACCGGTGAACAGAAAACCTGCCCCAGCCGTCAATAAACCAAAGCCTGCACCTCCACAGAGTCGCCCAACTCATGTTGAGCCAGCAAGAGCGCCACAAGCAGCAGCGCAGCCAGTTCAACGTGCTAATTCAAACCAGGCCAGCCATGTTCCTCCACCGCCACCTCCACCTCCTCCAGCGACGGCTGCCAAACCCAAATGGCCTACTTTCAAAGCCGCTTACGATTTCCCTGGCTCTGGCTCTCCTTCTGAGTTCCCGGTTACAAAAGATACAGTGATGTATATTTTGCAGGACCAGGGAGCCGGATGGTCTTTGGCCAAGTCATTGGATGAGACGAGGGAAGGATGGGTCCCTACAGCTTACATTGTTCCGTGCGATCCGCCAGCACATATCCTAAACGGTGGCTCTTCTGCTCCTGCTGCTCCACCTGCTCCTTCCATTGCCACTTCTAATTCCACGACAAATGGCTCTGCTACAAATGGTACCGTACCAGCGTCAACCAATGGCACAAACGCAACAACACCAGCTGCATCGTCTGATGGTCTGGCAGGTAGTCTGGCTGCTGCTTTGAAGCAAAAACAACAAGAAGAACAAAGTCTGGCAGGTGGCCTGGCTGCTGCCATTCGACAAAAAGCCCGCCGCGATAGTGACGACGAGGAAGACGATGATGATGACGATTGGTGAATTATTTCTATATATTGTCATGTTGTCAAATAATCTGTTTGGACAATTCTATTGCCACTAGGAGATCTTCATCCTGTTCTTGTGAGTCAACAGAAGTTTCATTAATTGACATGCTCAGAGCCAAAGCCATTTGAAGCTCTTCGTCAGAGTCTTCAAGATGGTCTCCGTTGTACTTCTGGATTCTCGAAACGGTCTGTGCCTCTTCTTGAAGCTCGTATTCGTAGTCCTTAATAGCTTCCTTGATATGATTATTGCTGTATTTGCGTTCTTTGAAGTTCTTTCTTTTGCGTTTTGCTTCTAGCTCTTTGTAGAAGTCACCAAACTTGAAAAACTGCACCATAGAGCCATAGGCGACTACTCCAGCGGACAGCGACTGGTCCATTACAATATTGGTGATCGGAAGCAGCTGGCTGCCCACTTGCTGAAGCATTTTCGAGCTCGATTTGATGGCTATTTTTCTGAAGAACTCGCCAGTAGTGATATCGTAGAATTCGATTTTTCCATTGTAAGATCCTACTGCAACCACCAACGAGTTTATCGCAACCTCTGATAGAGCTGGTAAGTCCACGTTCTGGTTTATTGCGACAACCCTCTGGTAATCGTCGTCCTCGTAGGCCAGCCTTGGAAGGATATCTAGAACTGGCCGGATTTGATACTCATATGCACGAACATTGAATACCAGCACTCTTCCCGATTTCAACAAAATTGCCAAAAACAGCGGGTCTGTTCCCACCAGCTCGGCGTCCCTTTTGGTAAGCGCGGTACCATTTTGCTCCAGGCTGGATTTGTAAATTGTCTCGTCAGTGACAAACCTTCTCACTAGGTTGTCTCTATAGGATATAATTTCCACTGCATTTTCGTCGATCAGGACGATATTGCAGTCTCCGTAATCAACATACATCTTCATGAACATCACATTCTGCGGACTCATCTCAAGTGAGACTTGTAGCTCGTGCACCCGAGGCGTGCAGTCAAAAACACTAAACATATTCCTCACCACATATAGCGCTCCTTGGGTATCTAGAACCACAATCACATCTTTGTAGTCCGAGTCGACTTTAGCGATTGTCGCATCGCAGATTTTGCACTGTGCAACTTGTGCACCTTTCTTTAGGTCCCAGCCCACAATAGTTCCGTTCTCGTCCCCTGTGATTGCTCCTATTTTACCCTCTTTACCCAGCTCAGTTTGGTTGACATTCACACACGTAACCATCCCTCGATGGCCCGTTCCTTTGAATTCTTTGATTCCGGATAGAAGTATGTTTTTGTGGTTGAGGAGTGAGCCATACACTTTGCTGTCCCATCTCCCAAAGACGATACTGTGTTTGCTCATGGCGTAGGCAGTAGTGCCGCTGGGGATCGTGGACGGTTGCAGATCGACGTTGGCACCGTTGTTGAGGCTGCACGTCACCAAATTTCCGGTATTTTTGTTTAACGATATGAGCCTATTGGTCTTGAAGTCGCACTGGAGATCAGTAGTATAGAAAAGACTCTCCAGATTGTATGTGTTATGAACGCCCTTTCCTTTCTTCCAGTTTTTTATGAGCGTCTCTCGTTCGATCAGCTCTGTCCGCCATAGTCTTGTGCGCGACACGCGTGGAAAAACAGAGCCGATATTGCTAAATCTCTCTTTGAATATCTGCATCCACATAGAGTTGTCTTTAGAAAGACGATACCAGGTTTTGCAAACAAGGGCCATGTTCTTCAGAGACCCGGGGTCCAGAAATCGAAACACCACCATCAGCAGCTCTAACGGCAGCGGCGACTCCGGCGGGTGGCTCTCATGCTGGTCAGCGGCGTTGCTTTCCATGGCGTATGAGGTTTGCCCTAAATAAGATTGAATCAAAAAATTCGGCTCGTTTGCCTTTTTCGACGCGTCGTTTTTGCTCCGTCTAAATTCCTTTTTGAGATAGACTAGTAGACACTACGCTCTGCAAACTGGCGTTGTCGGAACGTCACTGAAACGCATATTAAGTACTTCTTTATTACTACCAAACTACGTTTGATGTCCGATCTTCATACAAGTCATTACTTCTTGGCTATCTCCCACTTCAGATCTGTGATGCTCACCTCTGCTCCTGCATTATCATCATAATCGTACCACTCGCCCTCGCTGATGTCCACCTCCGTAAACTTGGTGCCGTGCTCAGAGACGCACTCGAAATTGCCGACAGGTATGAACTCCACCAGGTCGACCCCTCGTGCTTCAATGTCCAGTATCACTGCCCTTTTAGAATCCTGCGTCAACCCAGTGTAGTTTTTGGGTAGCGAGATCTCGACATTTGACTGCTTGCCACAGAAACTGCACTTGAACACGAAGTTGGCCTCCCCTCTACTCCCCTGTATTTCGTGCTTCTCAAGCAAATTAATGCTGATCTCTTTGTCGTGCTCCTCGCGACATGCAGTACACTGGATCTTGAATCTGTACTCAAAGGGAGGGTTCTCAACAGGCTTCAGGCCTGTGACCCCATTCAATTCTCCAGAAACAAACAAGTGAGAGACCATGATCTGAAATAAATTCTAAATATTTCTGTCCACCTCTACACCAGACAAATCGTGAGACCTATATTCAATTGTAATTTTTTCATTGGTTAATATATCAACAGATGTTTGGCCGCACGGGTTTTCGAGTTTTCCGTGCCTCCAACTGGCGATTTGGACAGTTCAGCTCGCCTAGATGGATGCACATGGGGCCCAAGAGGCCACTTCCGCGCAGGTTGTCGGCATCTGGCTGGAGTGTCTTCGAAGATCTGAAGCTTGTGTCTTTTGGCTCACACCTAATCTTCTTCATGCTCCTACCCCCATTCATCAAGGAGTACACAACAAAAATAGATGTCGTGCGTGAGGACGCTCCGTCGGAATTGGCTTTGGGGGAATATGGATTACTGGCTAGTTACATTAGACAGCGCCCGTTCGAGAAAGTGAGCTTCCTCCGGCCAGGCTTGCTTGAAACGCCTGCCAATAAGCAAGAAACGCTATCTGTCTTGAATGACACGGTGCCAAGCTTTCCATCGACTCCTGATGAGCTGACTGAGTGCATCGGCGTTCCTATATACCTGGAGAACACCAACTTGAGCGTTCCTAAGGAAATTGACGAACTGCCGCGTCGGCTGGTCAGCAAGTTTAAAAACCCGAACGAAAACACCACAATGCCTAAGAAATATCAAGATGGCCGACGGCTGGTACGACACTACAGAATGCAGCCGTACGCTGTGGAGGATCAGTATGACCCTGCTAACGTGTATCATCAGTTGGAACAGAATTATAGTCGACTGACGAGCTCGCAACAGTCCTCGCTGCAGTACGTTCTGAATCTATCGCGCATTATCGAACAGTACTTGAGTCGAACCACCAGCTTCCAAACAGAGTCAGACGAGATTTTCAAGGTGGTTTTTTCGCAGCTTTACGATCTAGAATTGTATTCTCTGGCCCAGGTTCTGATGGAGGTCGTGCTCACCACTCCTATGGATGATAAGAGCCGTGCCCTGAAATCGGCACGAAAGGCACATACGGAGATCACACAGAGATTCCTCAAGACGAAGGCTAAAGGAGATCGGATAACCTTGGCAAAATCTAAGTTGAAGGGCAAAGTTGGCCAGTCGAGCTTGGAGATATACAACTACAAGTGGGCTCAGCTAATCCTGAAAGATTTGGGACTGTTTACGAAAGTTGTCGACCTCTGGACTAGACTTGAGACTGATCCGATGTCGCTTCTAAATGCAGTTTTAGACATTTGCAAAGGTAGCGGGCCGTCTGCAGAAGAATTGCTAAACTTGCAGAAAGTGCTCGTGAAAGGTGGTCATCATGACATGGCGCAAAAGATCGCAGAAAGACTCCAAAACTGAGCTATGCATAGATGCATGTAATTAGGCACGAATGAAAAATTAACGGTAAAAAATATTGAAAAAATATTTAATTTTTATCTATAGCTGATGAAGTTTCTTACGACCAACTTCGTCAAGTGTGCGGTCAAAAGTTGCGATGCATCGGACCTCTCGTTCCCTCTGAAGTACGAGGAGTGCGAACTCCAGCTTCAGGAACACGACTTCAATCCAGAGTTCCTCATCTCTATGCTTCCCAGACTGAACTGGGACGCTGTCGTCCAAGTTGCGGCCGATCTGGGTAACACATCTCTCCCATCCACCAAGCCGGAGGGCATCGAGAACAACGAGCAGCTGCTCAAGGACTTGCATTCACTACTATTGGAAACACAAATAATAAACGGCAAGATGACCTGTCGCCACTGCGGACACATTTACTACATTAAAGACTCTATTGCCAACTTCCTGTTGCCTCCACACTTGGCCAACAGCTGACAGAGATGAGCGCATCTAATAATATAACCGTGTATATCGCTTCCAAATGTATATTTTTCTGCGGAATAAAAAAACTTTGTTTCTAAGGCTTAGTGACCTTTGTTGAATCAGAACACACTTACCACAATTTTTTAGCTCCGAGCCTGGCTTTCCTGGTCATTCAAGTGTGTTTGTGGAATTCAGCTTTTTGCTAGCCCAAGTAGTCTCTAGAAAGCCATGACGTCGGAAAATAGCCCGGGCCACGTCGCCCACCAAGCAGACACATCCGCATCCCAAAACGTCCGACAGCAGCGAGACTCGATTTCAAATACGCCGCCCACAACTGCTGTCCAGCAGGATGTGTTTCCGAACTCGACCGGCCCCACCACAGAGCCATTATCGCTACCTGAACATTCGTCCACGGGCATACAATCGCATAACCGAAGCAGATCACGATCGAGGTCAAATTCTCGTAAACTCTCGATAGGACGGTTTTTCAGCTTTGGACAGGACTCTGCACAATCAAAGGCCTACGTGCCTGAGCAAAGCACAACTCCGACTATTGATGAATCGTCCGCCAACCATCTTCAGACCCCACCAACGACGAGCGACGAGGCACATCAGGATTACTTCAATCTGAACGTCTCCAACGGAGAACTAGACGATGATGAGATTACTAAGAACAGCGCACTAACCAAAATCAAAAAGATCTTCCGATTCAACTCCGTCGCCGACCACGAAGACCTGCATCCTGCTCAGGAAGGACCGGTAATAGGAGACGAAGAGGAAGAACGTCAAGAAAGCAACGGCAACTCACTTATGAAGAAATTCCGCCGCATGAGGTCACCCTCCAGCCCTGTTCAGCCGTATTCTGTGCCGTCGATCTCGCTCACCGCAGCCTCCGAAGAGTGCGATATCGCAGAACAGGACTACATCAACCCTGTTGACGACTTTCAAGTCAAATTGAAGCACGATTATTCTGTAAATAACTCAACCACAACATTATACAATGCATCCTCAACGGAGGACGTGAGCGAGCCACCCGACAATGAACTGAAGGAATACAAGGAGCCGACTCTTCCAAGCTCAAAATCCATGTCAATTCAGAAAAAATTGAAACGAGTTGCGTCTGCCCCGCTTGGACTTAAACAGCTCGTTGATACCAATACAGCGCCTGCCTCCGCCCCGGAGATCAACGACATATCAAAACATATTGGTGAGATCAAGGTCACAAACTCCAGCGATTCTAGGTCGCCTGGCAGCTCTGGAAGAAACTATTCGAGCACAGGAATAAAGGTGTCCAACGTGGAAGTCACACCGCAGTCATTTGAGAAGCTCAAGCTTCTCGGTAAAGGAGATGTTGGAAAAGTGTACTTGGTGAGAGAGAAGTCGAACAAGAAACTATATGCGATGAAGATTCTGAACAAGAAGGAAATGGTTGAGCGTAACAAGATCAAAAGAGTACTGGCAGAACAGGAAATACTGGCCACCGCATGCCATCCATTCATAGTTACGCTGTATCACTCATTCCAGTCAGAAGACCATCTTTATCTGTGCATGGAGTATTGTATGGGAGGGGAGTTCTTCAGAGCACTGCAAACACGCAAAATGAAGTGCATTTCCGAGGCCGATGCAAGATTCTATGCCTCTGAAGTTGTTGCTGCGTTAGAGTATTTGCATTTGATGGGATTTATCTACAGAGATCTAAAGCCAGAAAACATCCTTCTGCATCAGTCGGGACACATCATGTTGAGCGATTTCGACCTGTCCAAACAAACTGACCATATCAAGAGACCCGAATTAGTCTCGTCGCACAAGTCTGCAACCAACCTTCCTCAGCTAGACACGAACGCTTGTATTAATGGCTTTAGAACTAACTCGTTTGTTGGCACAGAGGAGTACATTGCACCCGAGGTCATTTGGGGTAAAGGCCACACTGCCGCAGTTGATTGGTGGACCCTGGGAATATTCATTTACGAGATGATCTATGGCATCACGCCGTTCAAAGGGTCTACTCGAAACCAGACATTTTCCAACATTTTGAAAAACGAGGTTCAGTTCCCCGACTACAACTCTGTTTCTAGCAGCTGTCGCAACTTGATAAAGAAACTCCTCATCAAGGATGAGACAAAACGACTGGGTTCACGCAGCGGCGCGTCGGAGATCAAAACACACGCATTCTTCAAGAACGTTCAATGGGCCCTTCTCAGGAACCAGAAACCGCCAATGATCCCTGTGTTCACGCAAAAGAAGGGTCGTCGCGACAAGGAGGGGAAGACGACGCAGGGCTCCATCGGCACGCTCAAGTCGAAGCGCAAGACTTCCTCGTCACCAGCCCATTCAAGCAACACCCCGGACCCGTTTGAAAACTTTAGTTCCGTTACGATACATCACAATGACGATAGCAATGTGATGCGGTTTGAAGGCACAGAGTTGGGAGATATATCCTACACGCTTACGAAGCCCGACAACGTCAGCAGCCGACGGTTCCTGAAAATGTGATCAGGCCAGGTCCTGTGCCAGTTCCAGCAGCTTCGCATAGTCTTTGGTATCTGTGAGAGTGCGAAAGTTGTGTGCCAGACTTAGTGCCTCCTTTAGTCTCCAGTCGTTTTCGAACCTGGCCGAGTTCTGGTGTGCGGACTCAAGAACCGGTTTAGGCAGTCCCGCCAACTTTGCACAATTGATACCGTATGAACGATCAGAGCATCCCGCCGATAGTTTATATGTGAAGACGATATCTTCACCAATTTTTTGGATGCCCATATGGTAATTTTTCACCTCTTTGAACCTGTTAAATGACTTGAGGTTCTGATAGTGTGTAATGAATAGTACAAACGGCGACCTGTCTGTAACAAGGTACCGCAAAATCGAGTGCGCTATCGCGAAGCCGTCCATCGTACTGGTTCCACGGCCCACCTCGTCCAGTAAAACCAGCGAGCGTGGTCCGCATTCTTTCAAGATGGTACTGCACTCTTTCAGCTCCACTTGAAACGTGGACTCGCCCTTGATAATGTCGTCCTGCGCGCCCATTCGCGTGTGGATCGAGTCAAAAATGCTCAGCTTCGAGCCGGCTTCCGCAGGTATGTAGCAGCCTGTCTGTGCCATAACCACGATCAGTGCGATCTGACGGATGAAAGACGACTTTCCTCCCATATTCGGGCCTGTGATCAGGGCTATTCTGCCTTCTGAGTCTGACATTCGAAAATCATTAGGGATGTAACGGGTTGATGTCTTGAGGTTTTCCGAGATTGGGTTACGAGAGTTCTTCACGTCAATGCACGGAGCATCCACAAAAACAGGCTTTGTGTACCCTTCGGTGAGCGACGAGGCGACACTCAGAGAAATGAGCGAGTCCAACACAGCGAGATGCCGGATAGTTTTGTTCAGATCGAGATAGTACTCGTCGATTTTCTTGACAAACCTAGTGAAACAGTCGTTGCACTCTTTCTGGAGCATCTCGGTGTGGAACTGGATCTGTCTGTAAAGTGCAGTTCCCGACGGAGTCCTGAACCGCGACACGGACTTGGTGCCATTGATCTTCACCCAGTCTTTCGGCAAGCTGGCAACCTGCGTGTTGCGCACCTCTACCAGGTACGGCTCCTTGTTGTTGGTCACATAGCCCATGCCCGGCCGGCCAACGGTCTTGCGGATATCCTTAAGCTCTGCTTCCAGCTGCTGCTCCACCTCTGAAATGTTGTCCAGATGCTGCTGGATTAGGTGGTAGTCAAAGAAGTTGGTGTTGAAATAGCCGGTCACGTGTTCGGAGCTGGTGTCGTCGATGGCCGCTGGCGAGTGGACCATGTCCAGCAGATTCCGGAAATCTTTGAGTCTGGAGGTGGCTGCGGTCTTGAGGTCGTGGAATATCTCGCGCAGAAACGGGTTCGTCTGGACATAGGCGTCCGGGAGGTCTCCGTAAAACTGGAGAATCTCGTTCATTTTCTTCAGAAACATATAAGTGTCCTTGCGTTTCGACCGGCCGTAGTGGATGCGGCTGAGCGCTGCCTCTAGGTCCGGACAGTTGCGCAGAAGCTTGACGGTCGACTCGATGGCTGCAGACTGGTAGTTTTCTATAATGCTTTCCACGGAGTCTGCTCTTCTGGCTACCTCTTCTCTGTCCGTCAACGGCCTGCCGACCCACCGTTTGAGCTCTCTGCGTCCGAACTGCGTGTTTGTGTGGTCCAGCATCCACAGCAGCGAGCCGTACTCCTCGCCGTTGGTGCTGTTTTTGTATATTTCGAGGTTGCGCAGAGTGTTTGCGTCTAGAATCATGCATCGATGGACGCTGGAGAAATGCGTGTATTTGTCCACCAAATCGAACACACTGGCCAATTCAAACTCGCCGAGGTACTCGGCCAGCTCTGCAAAACAGCCTTGGACGGATACCGGAAGCTTTGTGACGAGATCAAAAGCTTGGTCGCACAGGTTCGCGTTCAGAACATCGGCGATCTGCGTGTACGTCTTTGCAGCTCTGGCCTCGGACCGCAGCCTCGTTGCAGACTCACGAGTGTGCCGTTTGAACAAATCGAGCGCCTTTTGTGTTTCCGACGATATTTCTCCGATTAAAAGAAATTCCGTCGGATCGACATGGTACAGTCTGGTTTCCAGCTCGTTGCGCACAAAATTGTCCTCGAACTCGTCGTATATAATGTCTGCCGAGTAGACGTCGACAGCCACAAGCGAGATCACAGCGTTCTCCTTGTTCCTCGTCTCTGACAGCGCGACAACAAACCGGCCACCAGAAATCACGTCCTCGTTGTCGATGTACGTGGACGAGGTGTACACCTTGCTTATGCGTCGCTCGAACAGCTTGTTCTTCGACGACGTGGTGGACTTGATGGCCGCCGTCTCGTTTTGGTCAACAACGGCAACTTTGTAGCCGGCATTCAGCAGTCGTTTCAGATGAATATGGAGTCTCACGTCGGGAATCGAGCAGTACGCCAATTTATCGTACAGGTCGTCGCACGTGGAGAAAAACAGCCGTCCTGGAATGTACATGATGTTCAGGATCTGCGACGCGGCACGAGCGTCCTCGCCATAGAACTTGTATTTGTAGCCAACCTGGATGGCTAGTAGTTTGTCTTTATGTTGCATCTTGAGCTCGTATATCTGCTGCTCGAGCGGTGTCAGCTTGATTGATTTCGCCTTTTTAGGGGCATCCTCGTCGTCCTCGCTGGACGGCCTTTTGCGGGCCCCGACAGTGTATCCCTTAAGCTTGTCGGCGAATCTGGAGCGGGTCAGCGATCCAGCAGTGGCGGAATACCTGAACGCGTCGATGGACGACGCGTTGGACGCACTCGACGGGGTGGAACGAGCCTTGCCGTTCCCGTGGCTGTTAGCCACAGATTTTGCGCCGTTGGCCGCGTCTGGCACGGGAGACGAGCTGTTCTCCCGCTTTATCCAGCGACTTAGCATCTGTTGAGACATGCTAAAATGATCTGCACCGCCAGCAAAAATTAATTAAAATTTAAATGTATAATGGAATCGGTCTGAGCACCGCGAGGGGCTCGGGCACAAACGGATACGTGCAGCGAAACCTCAGCAACTTACATGGGGACGCTCGGATAGACGAGAGTGGAGGTAAACAGTATTTGAGACGACAGCTTCGGCAGAAACACGAGCGCAAACAGGTTGCCACTACTGTTCGAGACAGAGAAATCGACCTTCACGAGCGCAAACGACAGCTGGAGATAAAGGTGATGGAGTACAGAGAGACACTCGAGGATGAGGGACTTGAGGACAGCGAGATCGACAAGAAGGTGGAAGAGTACCGCGAAAAACTCAGGAACGAAAAAGATGCCAGGGAAAAGTCTCCTACACGCGCGAAAGACAGTCGGCCTGGGAACAGGCCGTACCACGAAAAGGCCGACCCGTTTGTGAAACAGGAACCAAAACCTGCGGTCTCTGTACAGACCAAGAGACAAAACTTTGCCAGTATGTACTGAACGAGAATGAATGAGCGATAATACAGAACATCAAACAGCTCTTTGCGGTAATCTCCCAAAACAAGCCCGTAGGCTCGCGAGTCGATTAGAAAATGACATTGCTCGACCAATCTAGAAGTCAATTTTTGTATCTTATCTTGTGTCTCTCACTACCGTCTTGCCCTCATAAAAATTTGTTAAACAGAACAAACGGATAAGACGTGTAAGATTACATCTTATGGCAAGCCTGTAAGCAAATAAATTCTTTTGGCCGTTATAGACACTCCCGCGAAAACATACCCACAGATACGAAGAGCGTCTTCAATTGGAAATTTGACATCAAAATGGGCTGTTGTTGTAGCAAAAGCGAGCATGACAACTTGTATCCCCAACTTCTAGCTGACAACGAGAGAGACGCGATTTCTGCCCTTTTGCAATACCTGGAAAACCGCGGCGAGGTGGACTTTTTCTCTGATGGTCCGCTCAAAGCACTGAGCACGCTCGTGTACTCGGACAATATCGACCTCCAGAGAAGTGCAGCATTGGCATTTGCCGAAATAACAGAGAAAGACATCCGCGCCGTTTCGAGAGACGTGTTGGAGCCGATATTAATATTGCTACAGAGCTCCGACCAGGACGTCCAAAGGGCAGCCTGTGCCGCGCTAGGTAACTTGGCCGTCAACGACGACAACAAGGTTCTCATTGTGGAGATGGGCGGGCTGGTGCCTCTTATCAGACAGATGATGAGCTCCAACATCGAGGTCCAGTGCAACGCTGTCGGCTGCATCACAAACCTGGCTACCCAGGACAAAAACAAGACCAAGATTGCCACCTCTGGAGCTCTAATTCCACTCACCAAACTCGCCAAATCCCCAGACCTTAGAGTTCAGAGAAACGCCACAGGTGCCCTGCTGAACATGACCCATTCTCTAGAAAACAGGAAGGAGCTCGTGGAGGCCGGCTCAGTGCCCGTCCTCGTTCAGCTACTGTCCTCCTCCGACCCAGACGTCCAGTACTATTGTACGACAGCACTGTCCAACATTGCTGTGGATGAGTCCAATAGAAAAAAATTGGCCACTACCGAGCCGAAGCTGGTCAGCCAGCTGGTTCAGCTAATGGACTCTTCGAGCCCGAGGGTCCAATGCCAGGCTACGCTAGCTCTCAGAAACTTAGCATCCGATGCATTGTACCAACTGGAGATCGTGCGCGCGGGCGGCTTGCCGAACCTGGTCTCGTTGCTGAAGTCACAGCACGAACCACTGGTTCTTGCTGCCGTCGCATGCATCCGCAACATATCGATCCACCCTATGAACGAGGCCCTGATCATCGACGCAGGTTTCTTGAAGCCTCTGGTTAATCTGGTGGACTACACGGATTCTGTCGAGATACAATGCCACGCCGTTTCCACTTTGAGGAACCTGGCTGCCAGCAGCGAAAGAAACCGCATGGAGCTGCTGGAGGCAGGAGCGGTCAAGAAATGCAAAGAGCTGGTGTTGCAAGCTCCCGAAAGCGTCCAAAGCGAGATATCTGCATGTTTTGCAATTCTTGCGCTGGCTGACGACCTCAAGGCCAAGCTGCTCGAACTTGGCATCATGGACGTGCTGATCCCGCTGACCAAGTCGTCAAACCCTGAAGTGTGCGGCAACTCTGCCGCTGCCCTGGCCAACCTGTGCTCAAGAATACAGGACTATACGATAATTCTGGACAACTACGACGGCATCTCTAGTTTCATCTCCGACTTCCTGAATTCGGGCAACTCTACATTTGAGCACATTGCCCTGTGGACGATGCTGCAGCTGCTGGAATCTGACAACCAGGAAATCAAGTCTAAAATAAAAAGCGAAATCAACAGAGGCAAGATGAACCTCAACAATCTAACCGGCGAGGATTTCAACGGAGCAGATGAGATATCCAACCTGACGCAGCAAATTCTGGACCTCATCAAATGAAACAGGGCTTCAGGTGGTATCATTGCTTGTTCTAGAGTGTTGGCATGTTGGCATAAGTTTTCATTTCTCTGTTGTTGTATAGCTAAAGTAAAAAATATAGTCGTGTGCGACCCCTGCTCCATTAGGAAAGCTTATCCGATCGATCATCTATATATTATCTCCCCAAAAGTAGGCTCTTAGTCTGATATATTCCACTCCATGTCTTCCAAGTCTTCGGAATGGCAGGTGGAGTTGCCTGTTCACCGGTTGGAGCGCAATCTGATTTTTCTTCCTGGGATCACTTACCGTGTTGTTCTTGATAAGCAAAAGGCTCTTGATCTGGCCTCGAGATGGTCCGCTGCTGAAGTCTCAGAAAGTGTTGCCGCAATTGCCGCGCGCTTTGGCCTGTCTTCCAAGCGTTTGGTTGCCTGTGTGCCTGGCTATCCAGACTCAGACACATGCACCGTCTGTGTGGTGAATGGCTTTTACAAGATGAGCGAGACGACCGTGGTGAGTTTTAAGGGTGTTACGCGCGGCTATATTGTGCAATTGGACGAGGAGAATGTCACCGTCGAGATTGAAGAGGAAATGCAGGTGCCAAAGCTCGACACTAAGGACATAATCCGTCTATTTGATAACGTAGACGGCTTTTTAAGTCATTACAAAGACGAGAGCACTTTGGACCCCGATGACAAGGAGGAACGCTTGCAACGCATTCTTTTGCGGCTTACGCCTCTTGCAACGCTTTTGAATACCCAGCTGTCTGCGCCAGACGTGTCTACGGGCCTGAAACGGCTGAGACAAGCGTACGGTCGCAAGTCTGGAGACTTTGCGCACTACAACGACGTCCTTGTTGCGCTGTTCCCATTTCCAATCAAGCTGAAGATCGCGTACCTGAGGTCCAAAGGAGCAGAACGTATGGAGGTGTTTTACAAATGCGTGGTATTCGCAAACAAGGTATTTGATGAACACCTCAATACCAGCTATTTGTCGGAAATTTGGAGCAGTCTCGATCACCGGAGCGGCAATTCGCAGGGCAGACTGTTGCGTTCGCAGTTCATCTCAGACCACCTGCGGAATTTGCGTCGATTAGTTGAAGATATGGGTCTTACGCGAGCCACGGGCCGTGGCAGCAGAACTATTGAGGATGATGATGAAAACAAGCGCATCCAAGACTTTGTCGACTCTTTAGACAAGTACATGATCAATGAGGATGGGAAGAGACTTATCACCAAGGATTTTCAGAGACTGAAGCAGATGCAGTCCAGTTCCTCGGACTACCAGGTGTTGAGAGCGTATCTGGAGATAATCATGGATCTTCCTTGGCAGCGACTTGACTCTTTCGTGGAGTCGGTTAACGTGGACCTTGTACGTGCGCGAGAGCAACTGGACGCCGATCATTATGGCATGGAGAGTGCAAAGGAGAGAGTGCTAGAGTATCTGGCGGTGTTGAACCTGCACAATCAAAAACAGCCGAGACACGAGCCGGAATTTGTGTACGGAAGCGGAGACGAGCCTCCGGCCAAACAACGACCTGCACCAGCCCTGAAAGCGCCGATTCTGCTTCTGACGGGCCCTCCTGGCGTTGGCAAAACGTCACTGGCGCGCTCAATTGCCACCACTCTGGGACGCAAGTTCCAGAGGATCAGTGTTGGTGGACTTAATGACTTTGCAGACCTGAAGGGCCACAGAAGAACATATGTCGGGGCAATTCCGGGGCTAATAGTCCAGGCCCTGCGGCGTTCTCAGTCGATGAATCCGGTGATTTTACTGGATGAGGTGGATAAGATCGGTTCCAATTCCCGGAAAGGAGACCCTGAGGCTGCTCTGCTGGAAATTCTGGACCCCGAACAAAACACCAATTTCCAAGACCACTACATTGGCTTTCCTATAGATCTTTCGCAGATACTGTTTGTGTGCACTTCTAATGATCTATGGCAGCTGAGTGATCCCCTGCGTGACCGGATGGAGGTAATCGAACTTTCAGGGTACAACTATATGGAAAAAGTTGAGATCTGCAAGAAATACATTATTCCGCGCCAGTTGGAACGTGCAGGACTTCCTAGCGACGCGGTGGCGATGGACGACGAGACGATCCTGAAGATGGCCACGAACTACACCAGCGAACCGGGGATTCGAAACCTCGAACGGCTAATCGCGGCCATCTGTCGGGGAAAGGCTGTTGAGTTGCAAGCGGGCGAGGCTACCAAAAATGTTACTGTACACGATCTTGCAAAATATATCGGCAGTCCTTCGCATCTTCGTGCTACAGCGGCAGGAGACACCAAGTTCCAAAAAGGGTACGGTGTGGTCAACGGACTGTCTTACAATTCTGACGGGTCGGGGTCTCTTTTGCGGTTTGAGATGATCGGTCTTCCAGGATCGCAAAAAATGAGCTGCACCGGACGTCTGGGCGAGGTGTTGCTGGAGAGCTCCCAGATAGCGAATACCCTTGTTGGGTACCTGCTACACAACAATTTGGTGGCCGGCACTCAAGGATATAGAGACGAGCTGCTCAAACGATACGAGAACACCAGTGTGCATTTGCACGTTCCGGAAGGTGCGATCTCCAAAGACGGGCCCTCAGCTGGAATCACCATGACGCTGTGTCTGATGTCCCTCCTTTTGCGCAAAAAAGTGCCGGAAACGATCGCCATGACGGGCGAAATCACGCTTACCGGGAAAGTGCTCCCAATTGGAGGAGTGAGAGAAAAACTACTGGGCGCACACCTCGCAGGCAAGGTGAATAAGGTGCTACTTCCACGGCAGAACCGCAAGGATGTGATTGAAGATTATATCTATAATCTGAGGGATAGGGAGCTGGCCAAAGAGCTCTTCGCCAAGTTCCTCGAGGAGGAAGAGCAGCTTCTCAAGGAGGGCCGAACGCACGCAGGAGAGCCTGAGAAATGGGTCAACCAGACGTTGGGGCTCGAGATCGTGTATGTTGACGACTTCAGTGACGTGCTGGCAAGTGTGTGGGAAGGTGAGGTGCTGCTCACTGGTGGAATTCGCGAAGCTCGTATTTAAGGGTTGTAATCACTGTGCAAATCTTTCAGTCCACTCTCTAGCAGTTTTGATTGCGTTCTGCTCGTTGCTCTTCCATTCTTCGGCCACCTCGTTCGCTAGTGGGTCGTCTGGGTTTGGCGAGCTGAGCAACGCTTGGATCGACAGCAAAATGGTGCGCACTTGCAATGCTGGAGACCAGTTGGCCTTCAGAACGTCGAGACAGATTCTCCCCAGTCTGTCGATGTTTGGATGGTATATCTTGGTCAGGAAACGCACTTTAGGAGCCAGCATTGGGTAGTCATCCGGCAAGAACAGCTCCAACTTGAATTTGCCTCCCTCGTATGGCGAGCCGGAAGGACCGTCGATAGTCACGTTAAAATAGCGCAGGTTGTCTTCATGAGGCACTGCTGTGATTCCCGGCACAGGGTCTGATACTAGCCGTTCGGTTTCCTGGTATTAGCACACGAACATGTTTGTACTTACCCTAATAATTCTCTTTGGAAGAGACATGATAAGAAAATAAAAGATTGGTTTTTTTTAAAAGTGGAGTTTTATTAAAACACATTACCAAATGGTACAAAAAACAATTAACGGACGATTCAATGTTGTGGTTATTGGGGTACTTGGCGGGTTCCTTATGAGCTTCTATGTCCTCAAAGAATACCAACTCATCAAACACACACCGCCCAGTCCGGAAAACTTCGATGAAAACGGTAACTGGAAACACCCCTCTTTCTTCAGAATCAGATTTTCAGATCACATCGAGCCTTTGCAACCAAAACCGAAAGCTTCTAAACAGGTGGACGACTCAAGAGACCTGAACGATCCAAAATTATAGACTCAGATTGTTCCAGCGCTATTGCTGGCGTTGGTTCATCATCATTTCTTGCTGACTCTTATACTGGGGGTTGATATACTGCTGTTGCTGTTGCCGCAGCTGTTGCGACTGCTGTTGCAAATACATCCGCCGTCTCATCATCATCTGCTGCTGCTGCTGCGGAGTCAATTGCATGTGTTTATCCTGCTGAGGAACGACCCCGGCAGCCAGCTGCTGGGCCTGGTATTTAGCTTGCATCTGTGCCTGTTGCTGTTGTTTCTTGACCTGCGCGAGTCTGAGCTGCTGCTGCTGTTGTGCAAGCAGCTGGGCCTGGGCCGAGATCTGCGAATGAACATCAACAGCACCCTGGGGAGTTGGCTTGGCCATAGGTGCGGCCGGCCGCACCTGCGACGAGGGTGCCATCCGTTGGTGCTGCGACCGCACAGGGAAAACGTACTCGGTGGTTTTTTCTGTATCCACCACCGCAGTACGCCCTTGCATCTGTCCCAGTGGGTTGGATGGCATTCGAGGCAGTATAGCACCAGCAAACATTTCTCTCATGCGAATAAACGAGTTGCGTAGTTTTGTAGGCATTATCACTTTCCGTTCCAAAGGCCATGGCGTCGATCTCGTCACACCGTCCAAGACTTGATGCGTTTCCTCTTCGTCGTCCAACGGAACCGAGGAGCCATGCATGAGGTCGTCTTGAGCTTGCTGAGCAGCAGCAGCAGCAGCGCCGATCTTGGCCTGGTTTTTGCGCTGATACGCAGCAAGCAGCTGATCGTATGGGGCACTTCTCCCAGGAACAGCTCGTTTGGCTCCCATGGAATGCGTCTTGCAGGTCAAGGACCGTGCACAGAAACCACCGTTTGGCAGCGGAACACCGCACTGTTTCTCGACATCGACAGGTCCCTTTGGTTTTCCGGTGATCTTCGGTTTGACGCTTTTCCTGACTTTCTTCTCCTTGGGCACTTTGGCAACTTTCTGCTTTTTGGACGCCCCGTTGGCCCCGTTCAATTTGGTCTCCTCAACATCCGGAGAGTTTAGTGAACTCGACAGATTTTCTGCGGCTTCGTCTAGCCGCCGCTTCTTCATAACGTTATTCGTGACTGCGGTGTTGGCTCTCTCTGCCGACAACGTTTTGTTACGTTTCTCCTGCGCGCAGCTCTTCAGATGATCTGCTAGATATTTCTCCAAAATAGGCCTATCACAATGGTTGCAAATCCGATAAACAACTGGTCTAGAGAGCGGATTCTTGGATTGCGGATCGCTGTTCTCTGAATCAGAGGAACCGGGCGTGATTTTTTGTAGACCCTCTAAATACGCACCGAGCTCTTTCCACTGAGTAATGTTTGCGAAAGAACTGCCAGATTGGGTATCTTTGGCAAATTCGGGTATCACCTGGTCTTCGCCAAAAACGTTCTGCTTCAATTCTGTGGACACCTCAATCGCAGGTCCAGAACTTGACATAACACTTGATCTATAGTCTTAGGCCCTATATTTATTTCGAAGATAGTCTCAAATAATTATCATGAATCGCAATACGTGCTTACATAATGCATTATGTAGTGTGAGACTGCGACGAAATCACATCTCGGTGTCACCAAGGAGTTGTCGGCCCAGATACACCAGCTTGTGGCTGACGCCACTCTTCAGCTCATAGTCCAGGTCTCGCACATCGTAATCGACAGCATCGTCCACTAGCTGATGGTGGGAGTTTTCTGTCGTGGATTTTGAAGCCAAGGATGGTTTCGTGGTGGAGCCGACGTGCAACCGCAAAAACGCAACCAGCGACCCCACAGTCTGTCTGCTGTGGGGATCTTCTTCAAGATAGTCCAGATGGTCGATCAAAGCACTCACAGCTCGCAGGACACTGATTAATGTCAGCAACGAAACTGTCTCTGTAGACTGAGAAAGGCTCAAGTAGCGCACTAGGCGGCACGCCTGGCTCACCTGGCCGTCTTCGAAAAAGTGCAGCATTAACACACAAGTAAGTGTAAGCCTTGTTTCGTCGTTAGCAAGTTTTGGAGGGCGCAAGGGCTGGTGTGCGAACTGAAGAATTTTTGAGATCGTCGGATCTCCAACGCCAGACTCATCCTGTTGCACTGGCTCGATCTGCTCAATCGCCTCGCTAAACTCGACCACGTCTTTCACGGTGCTGATGGCTGCCTCTAAAGTTTTTCTGGCGTTCTCAGCAGTTGGCTTCAGCAAGCTGTTCAGCACAGTTCTTAGTCTTAAAAGCTTGACACAGGCGGGTGGTATCACCAGACTATCCGAGTTGACTTCTTCGTAGATTGTATCTGCATCCACTTGCGACTCGCACGAGTCTTCGAGCTCGCTTGTAGATTCTGCCAATTGGGAAAGGTACTCTTTCATGAGGTCGTTCAAAACTTGGGAGGAGCGAATTGCACAAATCAAGTTGACTAGGGAAAGATCAGAGTCTCCCGAATTTTTGAGGAACTCCTTGATGTAAGAGCCGTTGTTGTTGGTTTCTCTCCATTTCAACACATCGCTCAATTTTTCAAATAGTTCTGCGCTATCCAAAAATGTGATGTCGTTACTCACAAATTTGAGAATGCGAGCAGTCTCGTCAGAGTACTTGGTTGTATCTTTGATTTGCTTAAAATCTTTCACCATTCCTAGCATCAAACTGTCAAGCATTCGCTGCAGACCAAGTAAAGTGCTCAGGGGTTCTCCCACTTTCATCATCACCATCTTTGCAACAATCAATCTGTTGAAGTGGAACTGGATAGTGGCATCGGATTTGACTACCTCGATGATCTGGCCATCAATACCAAGCGATTGAATATAGTACTTGAAAAACGGCCTCCAGATAGTGCTGTAGGACATTGTTTCCTGGTTCGAAAGCGTGTTGACGAGCCATTTTTCAAAGTACAAATTCAACGAGTTGATGCCATTCAGTTTTTCCGTTAGATCAAGCTTGAGAACCCTGAGTTTGATTCCCAGCATCTTCAGCGTATCTAGCGCCAGCTCCCTCAAACTAACGTCAAATGCTGTTCGTATTGGAATTGGAGCTTTCTCCTTAGGAGCTGTGAAAAATTGATACACAGGTTGTAGCAAGATGAAAAGTCCGCCAAAGAAAAGTAGCGTACGCAGATAATTGAACACCACAGATGCCTGAGGAGAGCCAATAATAGGGAAAATCCGGTGCAGTGGCACCAAGAAGAGTCCTTTGAAACTGTCGTCGCTGAAGCCGTCAAACAGCTGTGTTCCAACCATAGCTGTCATTCCCCCCATAAGAAGTTTGGTGGTTGCCGGGACAGGGGATGAATTCATCACATACGCCTGGTTCTGGTTGGTATATTGGTTTGGCTGGGGTGGTGGTTGCGTTTCCGGATTGAAGTATTGTGTTTGCTGAGTGTAATTATTGGCCATCTGGTTATCGAGACTCGAGCGTAGCATGTGGATTTCGTTCATTAAGTACGCATTTTTAGACTCCAGATGGTGGATGTATTCGGTCGCTTTCGCAAGGATGTTGGCCTTGTTCAGCTTCAACGCGGGTGAAAGTCCGTCCAGGTCCGTCGTTGCTATTCGTTTGTCCCCTGACGCGACCCGCAGCGACGGCACAGCGTCACGGAGCTCGAGGATCTTGTTATTAATGTTCATACGATATTTCTTCTCCACCACATTGTGCGAGTGCCTCTCTTTTTTCACCTTGGTGACCTTTGATTTCGTCGTCGCCCGTTTAGGGTTAACGGAGGACGTTTCAGACATGGAAGTGAACGAGTCCGGCGGCGAAACCATGGGAACAGACTCATTATTAGACTCCGGAGTGTCGTCAGCCGTCTGCGGCACATATTTCTGCTGAAGGGCACCGTAATCTATCCAGTCATCGATTTCGTCCTCAACTTTGATATCGGTTTTTGCGTAATCGTCCAGACCCGAGAAATTTTCAAACTCCAGCAGGTTCGCCGGGTTAGAAGTATCAGATTCGGGCCGTTCCGTGTTCAGCGACGACAGAAACGCCTCTGTATCGTCAAAATTGTAGCCCAAACTCATAATGTTGGGAACTATTCTAGTGTACAAAATCTGTGCCGGGTGTGCTTACCTAATATAGAAAAAGGCACACTATCTTAATCACTGGAAGTAAACAACGGTTGGGTTCCAGATAATACCGGGCCGGGTAAGGGGAGCGATTTTGGCAGCCTGTATTTTTTATTGGCCTGTGGAATTCTCGAAGCTTCCGCCACCGACGGGGTAAAAATACTGAGACGTCCGTGGTGAAAATTCCGGAGCGCTTGCGCACGCTCGCGGGCACTGGATTTTTTTTTTGTGTGGCGAGAGCCGGTGTTGGTGCTGGTGTATATGTTTTGTTGCTCGTAAGAGTAAATTTCTTTTATTCTAAAATTTAGAACCCATAATCATACATGTCGTTGAAGAGAATCAATAAGGAACTCAGTGATCTCGGCAGAGATCCGCCTTCGTCGTGCTCTGCAGGCCCTGTGGGTGACGATCTGTACCACTGGCAAGCGTCGATCATGGGTCCGCCAGACTCGCCGTATGCCGGCGGAGTGTTCTTCCTCTCGATCCACTTCCCTACAGACTACCCATTCAAGCCTCCCAAGATCTCTTTCCAGACGAAGATCTACCACCCAAATATTAATTCCAACGGAAACATCTGTCTCGACATTTTGAAAGACCAGTGGTCTCCAGCGCTGACAATCTCCAAAGTGTTGCTGTCCATCTGCTCGTTGCTCACAGACGCTAATCCGGATGATCCTTTGGTGCCAGAGATCGCTCACATCTACAAGACCGACCGTGCAAAGTACGAGGCCACAGCCAAGGAGTGGACCAAGAAGTTTGCCATCTAGGCGATGTAAGTAGGTAATAAAGCATATGACGAGCGAGCAGCCCGACATTGATTGCACTGTGAAGTAGATGGGCAGTTTCTGGGTATCATTGTAGTGCCGTTGGTATGCCGTAACTCATTAAATTTTTCGTCGCGTCGATAGTCATTCTGTAATGGATAAACCCAAGTTCAAGAGAAACTACCTCGCATGTTTGAACTGCCGCACCCGCAAAGTCAAGTGCGATTTGGGGTCTCTGGAGGCTCCTCATGATCCACCTTGTGCCAGATGCAAGCGTGAGCGCAAAGAGTGCGTTTTTGCAGAGAGCCGTCGCCGTGGATCAGGGAGAACTCGCCAGGACTCCCCTTTGGACTCGCGGTCGCCCAGCCATGCTGCTGTCTCGCGCAGCTCGTCGCGGCTGGCTGCCGTCGGCGCGGGAGAACCCGGTTCTGGCAAAAATCATGTTGATGAGAGCGCAAATACAAGCAACTCCACAATGGTGTTTCTGGCCCATATTGCGGGCAACTTCGCCAAGGCAGACGATCGGGACAAGATCGACGCGTACGAGCGGCTCCAGGACCTGGAGAACAAAGTGGCCAGTCGCCCGTCGTCAGAGTCGCCGTCCAGCGAAAAATACTCTTTCTCAGAGTCTGCGGACTCTGCCAAGCTCCCATCTAGTGCATCTACAGACTCGCTGGCAGCAGGCGGCGCAGATCCGTCGACGCGCAAAGAGGCCTTTGGCCATGACACCAGCCTGCACCCGCTGCTGAAACAGAGCAGACTGCACATGCCTCCGGTGCGGTCGACGCTGAAAATCCGGCCCAGGCCAACGTCCAGGCTCGAGGACATCGAGTATATTGGCCCAGATAAGGTTCTGACGAGCGAGGAGGCCACACGACTCATCCGGCTATTTTTCATCACGATGCATCCTTTTTTCCCGTACATTCCTGCTGAGTTGCAGGACCCACAGGTGCTACCTGGCTACCCAATGCTTTTGTGCTCTATACTGACCATTTCGTCGCGTTACCATCCGCTAGAAGCCCAGACCCGACACATCGAGATCCACGAACAGCTGTGGGTCTACTGCCAGCGACTCATCAGCATGACAGTTTGGGGAGAGTCGAGCAGCCGAAGCATCGGCACGCTGCTGTCGTTTCTGCTATTTACCGAGTGGAATCCGCGAGCCATCCATTTCCGCTGGAGCGACTATGCCAACATGCCGGACGATGAGGGCCAAGAAGAGTACACAGGACTGAGTGCCATGAAACGGTCCGAGATCATGTCGTTTATGCTGATTGGCACAGCCACCAGACTCAGTTTTCTGCTGGACGAGCACCCATTGACGTTTCTGGCGACTCACATTTCTGAAACACATTCAGCAATCAATCTCAACAAACGGTCGATGCTCTCACAGACGCTGGGAGAGGTCGACATCAACGATCCGAGCTTCGATTTTACGCCATACCAAAAAGCCACCATCGAACTGCTGCAGTTCACCTCGCTTTGCTACGAATCGCTATACGTGAACAACCCAAAACTGGGAGTTCTTGATAAACACCAGAACCTCGCTGTGCTGGACATTCTGTCTCCGCTGCTGGAAAACTGGTTCAAAAAATACCACAAGCTGCTTAAACCGTCGTCGGCACATAATTTGCACCAGAATTACGAGGATTGCATTGCCGACGCAAAAGTATACAAAGAAGTACACCATCAGGTTGAAAAAGAGGCGCTCATTTTAGATTACTACTACGCAAAGTTGTATGTCTACTCGTTGGCTCTGAACGACGACACATCCATGAATATCACTAACACCTCGAAGAAAGGCCGCAGTCTGCGATTGGACGAGCTCGCCAAATATTCCAGATACGTCGAGCTCGCATATAAGGCTGCCAAAGAGGTGCTTGCAGTCATGCAGCGTGTGAACAAGCTGAGACTGCTCAAATACATGCCAGTCAGATGGGTGATCCGTGTGATCAAGGCCGTAGCCTTTATTGTCAAGTGCTATCTAACTCTAACGACAGATGGGAAGGCGGATCTCTCGCAACCAGACAAGTCCACGAGTGAGATTATACGGTTGAGTGTCATACCTGTTGAGGAAATCATTCTGTTGCTGCAGAAAACAGCCATTTGCTTGAGAGACGCTGCTCCAGACGAGCTTCATCTTTGCACAAGATACTCCACCATTCTAATGTACCTGTGCTCGCAGTTCAAAACCAAAGCAGTCAAGACAAGAACCGTTGTGGATTATGAAGACGAAATCAACAGCCAAGCCCAGAACGAGGATCAGCCTCAGAACTCGTACGTGGAGAACCCAGAGTACCCGCACCTGAATAACCTTGACCAGCAAAGTTTTGACGACTATTTCACGAATCCTTCGGAAACTTTGTTCAACTGGTTCTCCGACAACAACAACCCTGGACTGGATTTTGTGGACCAGTTCACCAAGGAAATAGAAAACGAGTTCCTTAAAACGGGGCTCGGTAAATAGATTAGTTGACGATTTTCTTGAAAAAGCGTTTTATTCCGTGCTTCTTCTTTTCTCTGTTCAGCGGCTTGGACCCGTTAGAAACCGCAGCCGACACTTTAGAAAACTGTGGAGACACTGTCCCGTTCGCAGGAGAGGAAACCCCCTCGCGGGGCTTGAGGACCGGCGATGAGACTTTTGATAGCTCTTTTCGAGGAGGAGCGAAGCTCGTGTTCGTTTTATCATCCATTTCAGTGTCTGTAGAGTCTGCAGCAGTAAAGGATGCAGTGGAAGATATCACACTAGCAGGATTGGACGGGAATTGGACGCTGGCTGACACAGAGCCACGTTTGAGATTTAGCAGTCGCGAGTTAATTTTTTCAATGAATCCACCTTCGTTGCCGTCTCCGTTTTCTTCGTGCGGCGTCCAAATGGCTGGCGGCTCAGAGTATTCGCGTGGTATCCTGTAAGTTCCAGAAGAATTAAGATCGTACCAGTAATATTGCGTACTGATGTCCAGATAAGCAGGGTCTGTCGGTAAAACTTCATTGTCTGTCTTTTTCCCGCGCGAGCTGGAGCGAGACACCGAGGAGGTCGAGACCGCCTGCGGCGGGGCCAGTGGTGGCACTTGGATGGTAGCAGGCGGCGATTGCTCTGATTCTTCTGCTGGTTGATCAATGGTAATTGGCAGCGCTGCTCCTGCAGACTTGAGAGAAAGGTGTGACATCTGCGACACTATCGAGCTTTTGCGGGCCGCGAGGACCGAGCTATTTGGCATGCTGGATTCACTGTCGGAATTCCAAAATTTGTCCCTAGCGCCCCGTGGAGGCCTGATGGTGCTTTCGTCGCCACTGGTGGCAGTGCCATAGTAGTCAGAATCAAAGTCTTCGTGTAGCTCCACTATTTTGTAAAACAAAATATAAGGATCTTCTTGGTCCATGGCTTCCTGGAACGTCACCTCCTTGGCTTTTTCTTCCTTCTCGAGCACATCGTTGAATAGAATCCAGTTCTTTTCATCTGAGGGTATTGAGTCTTTAGGGTTGTATGGTCGTTTCCGGACCAACGAGACATAGTGTCCAGAATTCACGGTTTTACCTCGGTGACAAATGCAGCTTTCCAGAACCAGCATGAACGACCCGGAAGGCGCTTTGTTGTCTGTGTTTCGTTTGAAGTCCACGTATCCTGGCTTAGTGCTGTCTTCGGCAATGAAATACGGATGCTTGATCACCTCGGGAATTACCACCTTGCGGTTTATTTTGTGCGACTGTCCATTTTCGTCCCAGCCATATTTCTTCAAACAAATGGGGATTATCGGGCGTTTCTTTTGGAACCGGTCCTCAAACTCTGTCAGTTCGATGCCATCCTCTGAGGAAGTCGATGACTCCCCGGTTACACTTCTGGTCATTCCCCTAAACGATCTTTCCGAGCTCCGTAAACGTAATTTCACCTTGGGGCTGGTATAGTAAGGCAGAAGTTGCAGAAACATCCAGGCCGGCAACGTCACTTCGCTATTAGAGACCGAGGACGCTCTGCGTGTTAGTCTCGTTTGATTTGAAATCATGACGTTATTCAGAACAGAGGCGATCGTCGAGGACCTTGTTCTAGATGCCTCCATCCTTTCCGACAGTTTTAGGAAGGAAGAGACCGCTGCTGTGCGGTCACTGGTCGACTCTGTGCCGGTGACAGTCGAATTGCTGAGCGCTGTACTCAGATCGGCGGAAGAAGAGGCAGAGTCCTGAGACGGCGAACGTTGCAGCTGTTCTTCGTTGGAGGTAACAATTCCGAGCTTCTCGTAGTATTGCAAGTCATGTGTGATCTCGTTCCTTGTTTTCTCGTCTATTTGGTCGTCTCTATCCAGCGTACGCCGCCGTTCCAAGTGTCTGCGCACAGTGATGCTATTATTGAAGTACGAATTGAGACACTCCTCCAGGGAGATCGACGCACCCTCCTCCTCGCTTTCCGGATCAGCGTCTTTGTCTTCTGGGACAGAGATCAATAATGCGCGCTCTTCGATGAGTCTCATATCGTCGTTCACGTTGAGTTGTCCGGAATGGATGATGTCCAGCTTTATAGTGAGCAGCGGGAGAGACAGCGACTCTGCAAGAAACTCAAACAGTTGCAAAGCGTCCTGCTGGTTCTGGCTCAATACCATCTCGCAGCCCAGACCGCTCAGTGAAAAACAGAGCTGTTTCATCAGAGGATGGGGAATATATTCGCCTCCTCTAATTAAATTCACAATGAATCGAAGCATGACTTTGAAGTCTTTGACCTGTTGCTGCAGCTCGGCAGACAGGCTTTTGTCGACATAGCAGTCCAGAAGGAAGTCAAAGCTGTCGGTGGAGTAAAACATCGATATGAGTAGGGAGTCCATGTAGCACATGACGTTTTTCCAATTGTCCATTCCCACCAGTTTAATCTCCTTTTGTTGGTCACGGGCGTGGAATCTATACTGACCACGTGTGGTGACCAGGCGCCCTTGGCACGACAATTGCCAGTATCTATAGTAGCGGAAAAGAGTGCACACCGTGTTTGGCGTATTTGTCGTCAGCTCGAGCAGCACTATGAAACTCGCAAGCAGACGCTGTGTATCCTTGTGGAGAGTGCGTTTATGGTCATAATACAACACCGGCGGCGTCACAGACTTCAAGAGACCCTTTTGCTCCGGTGTGAGCTTGATCGGGAACTTTTTATGGTCTCTTTTATCCTGCAAAAGCGCCCCTGTATAGTTTGGGGGAGGTTTCATGGAAGAATAAAATCGACAAATTTCCACTTTTGTTAAATTATTTATTTTCTTATCGTTATTCATTACAGACATAAAAAAGAGTGAATCATTCAGCACTCGCTTTCCCAGAACTCAGTCAGCTGCTTCTCTCTCCAATCCATCGACATGCTCGACCACGACTCCAATTTTCTCAGCAGTTGCAGAATGATCGAATGCTCGTGAGCCGACGAGATCAGCTTCCCGGCGATCCAGATCGCCTGCAGCGACAGAATCTGGCACCCTAGACTCCGCAGCGACGGGTTCTTCATGTTGCACACGTTGATTCCGATGATCTGCTTGGCGTGCCAGATCTGAGAGCGCGACATCAGACTACTATTTGAGACTGCCTCCCCTGGCTCCTGCTTGACAGCACTTTGGAATAGAGTGTCGGGCGTTCTTTCTTGTTTCTCTGGCTCGCATAGCTTGAAGAGCCGTGGCTTGGTCTGGAGCATCAGGATACAGCACGTATGGAATAGCTGGATCGCACAGAGGGCCGTGGAGCTGCTAAAAAGAGTCTCCGGAAACGAGTTGTCTCTTTTGAAACAGAAGCCGCGCATGTTGCTCGATCTGGCGCTTTCCCAGTCGCCCAGCTGTTTCCAGAGCGACTTCCAGCAGCTGTCAAATTCAGACTGGGCATCGTTCGAGCTGACCAGCTGGAAGATCTGGCATGACAGATACAGCATGGACTGCAGCGCGGTGCCCGTAGCGGCCGGGCTGGAAGGGAAATCGGTGCCAAACCAGTCCTCGCCACTAACTACGGTCTTTCTGTCTCCAACGGCGCAGCAGCCGATGTCCAGTGCGGCAAAGGTCCAAAACAGAGCTTTTTCCAGCTCTGTTTCCGAGCGTGCGTTGATGTGGCAGACCTTGAGCATCGAGCCACACTTTTCGAGTCTCGAGTGCCAGGAGTCTGGGTTGGTGCTCAAGATCTCAAAATAGCACAGGAGAACACACGTGGCCACCACCTCGAGGGTGTTTTTGTCGGAGTTCAGACACATGCTGAGCTGTTGCAAGGCATAGGTATAATATTGCAACGTCTTCTCGCCAGAGTAGTCTGATCTGACCTTCTCCAGGTGTCTGGAGGCAAGTGCCAGGATAGCGTACTGCAGAGAAGGGAACTTTTGTGCGAGTTCTGGGATTTTGGTCATAAAAACGTTACACTGGGTCTCGTCGGACTTGTTGAGGAAATGAGCAATTTGGTCGATGTACGTTTCCATCAGCAGCATCATCTCGTGGTCGTCGATGTTGGGAGCCTCCATCGTGGATTTGTCGGTGAAGATCTCGAAGATGGTCTCGTTGTTGGGCAGTTTGCTACCAGAGGTGCTGTCCTTGGTGGCGATGAAGAGACACATGAGGTCGTTGAGCGTGTCCGGCAGGTCGTAGTAGTCGACGCCGTATCTGCTCTTTTTCTGCGGCTCTGCAAAGGAGTAACGGTGCTCAAAGTCGGCGTCCTTCTTGGCGAGAGACATGTCGGACGAGACGGAGGATGCGGTGGAGGTTTTATCGTTTGAGCCCGACGAGAGCGACGGGTTCATGCTATAGCTTTGCAGCGTGTCGAAGTAGCTGAGCGAGCTGGCCCCGAAGCTCGGAGTTCTCGTCAGCTGGCTTGGCATGTCCTGCGGAGCGTTGAAGAGGCCCGACAGCGGCGACTCGGATGTCTCGAGCAGCGGGTATCCTGTCGAGAGAGGCGCGTCGAGATACTCGTTTTTGCGCGAGTAGCCATCAAAGGCGCTGAGATAGTGGTCGGCAACATCAAGCGAGTAGGCCTTTCTGCGTGCCCTCGGGTCGTCCGGGCCGAGATGGTAGTCTAGCGGCGCCAGAGAGCTGGGCAGGTCGAAGTCGGTGGGCTTGCGGAACCTGTCTCGGTGCTTGCTCTGGCTGAAACAGAAGTCCTTGAACGAGTTGTTGACAAAGACGTTCTTCTTGACTTCCTCTGGCCACACACACTCGAGGCCCTTTGCGGTACAGAAGTCGCACTTGGGGCGATTTTCGTCGCACTTCTTGTGTTTTCTACGACACGTCAAACACCCTGTCCGTACCCTCCGCTTGGCCGGAGGGGTCTCTTTCTTGGGCTTGCCAGACCTTGCGCGCTTGGGTCTTGGGTGGTCGTCGTCTCTGGAGATGGACATTTTTGGAGCAGAACCCCAGCGGATGGGCCGCTTTTATATACCGGGGTGGTCACTGTTCTTTTAAAGCCAGACTGCATACTGTTCCTCGACCGGCCCAGGACACATCAGAATACTGTGGGGGGCCGAAGTTTGTTGTTGATCTATTGTTGCCTAATTGTTGCTCTGGGAGGGGAGGCTCACGCTTATGCCACTAAGAAACAGATCGCTGTCGAGGAGGAGATGGAGAGGGGCGCGCGCGTGCGATTGGGTTGCTGCAGAGTATGGTTCTTGGTGCGATTGTTGCCTAACAATTCCCCGCTGTACGGAACGCACCAAAAAATTGGATCCGATGCATTCTATTTGGCACCGGCGGCAGCACCTGGTCCAATGGTTTGTGTTCCGTGCGAAATTTCCGTGTGGGGAGCAGAGACGCGCCGCTGATGGGTCCCATGCGGCTTGGCAATTCCTGACGCAGGTGTGGAATTTTTTTTGTGGGGTTATTGTGGGGTGGCATTCACAGACAAAGAACTTATTCATCTTACTTAATCAGAGCTTATTTACTTTATCGTGGTTAGGCTTTTCCTTCAGGTCCAGGAAGTCGTGGAGCAGCAGCGGGTCTCTCTGGCACGCCCGGACGTACGCCTCGACCTTCTTGGCGATGGTGGCCGGGTTGTAGCCAAAGTACTCGTAGATCACGTCTGGGGGCAGAGACTTGCCGTACGTGTTCATGCAGTAGGACGCCGTGGCGTATCTTTCCCAGCCGAACGCAACGTGGCCGTCCACCACCACCGTTGGCACCTGTCTGCCGTCCTTTCTCAGGACCGAGCGTCTATAGCCGATCGACTGCTCGTCAAACAGCCGCGTGCACGGAATGGAGAGCACCCTGGTTCTGAATTTTCTGCCCAAAATCTTGGCAGCCTTGTACGCAAACTCCATCTCTGCACCAACTCCGATGATCTGCACCTCGGCGTTCTCCGCGTCCTCGAGGATGTACCCGCCGCGCTGCGCCTTCTCTGCGCTCGACTTGCCCGGGTACTGCAGCACCTCGTTTCTCGAGAGCGACAGGATCGAGCTGAACGGCAGCTCGACCGCTTTCTGGAACAGCCCAAACACCTCGGCAGAGTCGACCGGTCTCATGTAGTAGATGTTTGGCATGGCCCGGAACAAGGCCGACGACTCGACCGGCTGGTGCGTAGGGCCGTTCTCGCCCTCGTTGATCGAGTCGTGGGTGCCGATGTGGATCGCCTTGAGCTGCTGCAGGCCGGCCATTCTGATGGCCGGGGCCGCGTACAGGTAGAACATGAAGAACGTCGACGTGATCGGCAGGAACGTGCCCTTGTTGTAGGCGGCGAGGCCGTTGGCGATCGCACACATCGCGTGCTCTCTGATTCCGTACTCGATGTATCTGCCGGAGTAGTCGCCGCCCAGACCGCACTGCGTGGACAGCGTGGGGTCCATGAAATATTTCACTCCGGGCCATTGCAGATTGACAGACACCGACAGGTCTGCACAGCCGGCAAGCACAGACTTGCAACTCTGTCCCAGTGCTCTGACCAGCTCTCTGGCAGCCGCCCTGGTCGGCGCGTCGCCCGTGAACTCCTGCTGCGGCAGGAACGACTTCCAGTTCTTTGGCAGCTCGCCTCTCACCCGTGCTAAAAACTCCTGGCCCTCCTCGGGATACTCTTTGACATACCTGGCCACCAGGCTCTTCCACTCGGCCACGAGCTTGTCGCCCTCGGCCGGCTTCTCCTTGAAGAAGTCGTACACGTCCTGCGGAATGTAGAACTTCTGGGCCGGGTTCATGCCGTACTTGATCTTGAGCTCGCGCACGCCGTCCTCGCCCAGAGCGTTACCGTGCGCAGCACAGTGGTTCTCGAACGCTGCGCCCGACCCAATCACCGTTCTGCAGTTGATCAGCGTAGGTCTGTGCTTCTCGGCCTGCGCATACTCCAGGGCCTTGACTATGGTAGCCACGTCCTCGGAAGCGTTCTCGACCTCGATCACGTTCCAGTTGCAGGCCTTGAACTTGGCGCTGATGTCCTCCGTGTTGGCAATGTCGACGCTGCCGTCACAGCAGACCTGGTTGTTGTCGTAGAGCACAATCAGGTTGTCCAGCCCCATGTGGCCCGCGAGCGAGATCGACTCGAGAGCAGGGCCCTCCTGCAAGCACGCATCGCCAACCATACAGTACACCTTGTTGGTGATGATGTCGAAGCCCGGCTTGTTGTACGTGGCAGCCAGGTTCTTGGTGGCAATGGCCAGACCAACAGAGTTCGAGATACCCTGGCCGAGCGGGCCCGTGGTGACCTCGACGGCGTCGTGCTCGATTTCTGGGTGGCCCGGACACAGCGAGTGGAAGTCGTTGGAGTGGTACGACTTCAGCTGCGCCATGGTCATCGACTTGAGACCGTACAGGTGCTGGAAGATGTACTGGAACAGACACACGTGACCGTTCGACAGGACAAACCGGTCTCTGTTGAAGTAGTTTGGGTCGTTGGGAGCATACTTGAGGGTGTACTTCCACAGAGCAATTCCGATAGCCATGGCGCCCATGGCCGAGCCCGGGTGGCCGCCGCCGTACTGCTCGACAATGTCCAGAACAAGAGCACGGCCGTACTTGATGATTCTCTGGTGTTGTTCGTCGTTGACCGACGCTGCTTTAGGGATTCTCATACTCATCGGAAGAAAAGACAGAGATTACTATCGAGCAGACGGATAGGGCTCTATTTATAGGCAGTCTGGTGTAGTGCCACCCCATGGTAGCCGACGTGTTGCTGAGTGGCTCGTCAATGGCTCGAACGAGGCTAAATTGCACCCCTTTACAGGTATGTGGGGAGCGAGACGACGATAGGCTATTTCTCTTGAAAAAAAATTAGTGCTGAGCGAGCCTGCGCCGGTAAGGTCCGTTTCGGCTGTTCCAGATTCCGCCCAGATTTCATTGGCCCTGTGCAGATCCGGCAAAATGGGTTGCGCAGAGTGGTGGCTACCCCAGCTAAAGCTGCTTCCTGGGATTAATTTCCAATCGACGCGACGCCGGCGTCGAAACAATTCTGCTACACAGGTGAAAATATTTAAATCCCCAGAACGACCCTCTCTACGGTATGTCATGGCTGGGGTTTAAAAAAGCCGTCAATCGTGCCGGAGCACATGTCATATTGCGCACAAACAAGGGCGAGCCTTCTGTGGACCCCGAGTTCGACGCCCAGGAGGCCAATTTCCGCAAACTCGAGACCTACACCAACGAGCTGGACCAGGAATTGGGCCGTTTCGTGAGCAACTTCGAGAATCTGCTCGAGACGCAGATCAATATGGCCAAGACCTTGGACTCGTTCTACGGCGACTACAGTTTTGAGCTCAAGGCCGATAAGCGACCGGAAGCTGCGGGAGCGGCAGACGAGCACAAGGTGAACCTCAGAGACGGTATTTCGCTGGATTATCTGCAGATGGTGGAGGATATCAAGGATAATATCTTGCCAGAAATTCTGGAACCAATGAGCATCACAGTCGTGGAGCCGATCAACGAGCTGAAGAAGTACAACGACGAGATCAACAAGCTGATCAAGAAGCGCGCACGCAAGAAGGTGGACTACGACGTTTCACGGTTCAAGTTCTCGAAACTGCAGAACGAGTACGAATCAATCGAGCGACAGGTGACCGAACAGCACCACACGGAGAAAACAGACCAGTTGCAGAAGAGCCTGGAGAAGCTGCAGAAATTCAAGGTTGAGTACGACGAGGCAGAAACTATCTACATGGACATCAACACACGGCTCAAGAACGAGATCGAGCAGTTCATAGCGCTCCGGCTGTCACTGGTGGACCCTACGTTCGAGAGTTTCATCAAGATCCAGCTCAAGCTGTATAGCGACATATACGCCAGGCTGGAGCAAAAACAGCAGCAGCTGGACGCCATGACTGTTCAGGAGCACGAGGAGGAGAAGATCGACGCAAGACTCGAAGAAATACTGTCCCGAATGAGAGCTCTAGATATTAAGAATTTATGAATGCTTAGATGGGCTCAGCGAAAATGAACTCCTTCAGCTCAGAGTACGCCTTGTCGAGGTCGTCGTTGACAATGATCTTGTCGTGTCCACCTGCCCTGGCGTACTCCATCTCCGCAGATGCAGCAGCGAGCCGTTTGGCAAGAGACTCAGGCGTCTCTGTCCCACGGGTCTCGAGCCTCTTCTTGAGCTCCTCGATGGATGGGGGAGAGATGAAGAGGAACCTGGCACCCAGGTTGGTCTTCTTGACGCTCTTGACACCCTGCATATCAATGTCCAAGATACACGTTCTCTTCATCACGTCGGCCACGTCTTGCACAGCTTTCACAGAGGTGCCGTAGTAGTTGCCAGAGAACTGGGCCCACTCGATGAACTTGTTTTCTTCGATCATCTTCCTGAAGTCTTCTACCGTGGTGAAGTGGTAATCGACACCATCTTTTTCACCAGGTCTAGGTTTTCTCGTGGTGTTGGACACGGAAAATCCAAACTTATCCGGGAACTCAGCAAACAGCTTTTTCAGCAAGGTGGATTTACCTGTTCCAGAGGGGCCACTGATGACAATAGGCCGCCCAACCATGATGCTTATGAAATTATTGAACTTGTTTTATATTAACAGCTAATAGATTTTTTTTTTTTTTGTTTATGCTAATACCTATATCGTTTCGCGCATTTCATTCAGCTTTTTTCTTTCTTTATTCGCTGTTCTTTGAAATATGGCCTCTGCAGTTATCAATGGTGGCCTTTTTTTGGCCAAAAGAGGCGTTTTTGGCCCAGCAGCGGAATCGTTGGCCAAACAGGTAGATCCAGCGGACCCAATAGACGAAGAGCCCATAAGTGATAGCCCCGATACAGGGCTCCCTGATGACGACAACTTAGATGAGACAAATCCCATGGCAGAGGAGATCTTTTCCTCCTGGGCCTTGTTCATTGTGCTGTTTCTGCTCTGTTCTGCACTATGGTCGTCATATTATCTCCAGCAAAAACGGATCAAGGCCATTCATGAAACCGTTCTCTCCATTTTTTACGGCATGGTGGTTGGTCTTATCATCAGAATCAGTCCGGGCCATTACATCCAGGACGCGGTGAAATTCAACTCGAGCTACTTCTTCAACATCCTGCTCCCGCCCATCATTCTCAACTCCGGATACGAGTTGCACCAGGCGAACTTCTTCCGAAATATAGGGTCCATCCTCACTTTTGCGATCCCTGGAACATTTATGAGTGCGATGGTCTTGGGTATCATTTTGTACATCTACACGAAACTGGGCATTGAGAGCATCAGCATGTCATTTGTGGACGCCCTAGCTGTCGGTGCAACGCTTTCTGCCACGGACCCTGTCACCATTCTGTCGATTTTCAACTCCTATAAAGTGGATCCAAAGCTATACACAATTATTTTCGGAGAGTCGCTGCTGAACGACGCTATCTGTATCGTTATGTTCGAGACATGTGAGAAATTCCACGGTACCAGCGCAGAGTTCTCCAGCTTCTTCGAAGGTATTGGAATGTTCTTGATGACATTCACCATCAGCACCATTATTGGTCTTGTTGTGGGGATTCTCGTGGCCCTCGTGCTCAAACACTCCCACATCAGACGGTATCCGCAGATAGAAACGTGTCTGGTGCTGCTGTTTGCGTACGAGTCCTACTTCTTTTCGAACGGGTGCCACATGTCAGGAATTGTCTCGTTGCTCTTCTGCGGCATCACAATGAAACACTACGCCTACTACAACATGTCGAGACGCACGCAGATTGCAACCAAGTACATCTTCCAGCTGCTGGCCCAGCTCTCGGAGAACTTCATCTTTATTTACCTTGGGCTGTCGCTGTTCACCGAGGTGGAGCTTGTGTTCAAGCCCGTGCTCATCATCGTCACGTTCATCTCAATCTGCGTGTCCAGATGGGCAGCAGTGTTCCCGCTGGGTCGCGCTATCAACTGGTTTGCACGCACGAAAGGAGCAAGACGCGGACTGTCGCCGGCAGTTGTACAGGATGAAATTCCATACAACTACCAGATGATGCAATTCTGGGCCGGTCTCCGTGGAGCCGTGGGAGTGGCTCTGGCCATGGGGCTACAGGGCGAGTCCAAGTCTGCGCTTTTGGCTACCGTGTTGGTCGTGGTTGTTCTGACGGTGATACTTTTCGGAGGAACCACCGCCGGTATGCTCGAGATGCTCAACATCAAAACAGGCTGCGTCGAAGAGAACACCAGCGACGACGAGTTCGACATAGAGGCGCCAAGAGTGCCTCCGCCAGCATCCACGTTCTACGGAAAGAACCCGAACGGAATGATCAGCAACAAGAATTTCGCTTCGTCAAGCGCCTCGCATTACACAGATAACGTCCCGCCACGGTCCAGAAACCCTTCTCAGGACGACCTGATGAGGGACACTGAGTTTGAAGACCACGCTCAGCTTCCAGCAAACACGCTAGCCAGCTTCCCTGGCCCAGGATCGATCTCTGGAAACGCCTCTCCGCCCCTGCAGGACCAGCCAAGCAGGTCTCAATCTGGCCTTCTGAGCAATTTTTTGAGCGTCGATGAACACGCCAGGTGGTTCACCAACTTTGACGAAAACGTGCTGAAACCGGTGCTGCTGGATAATCTGCCGGCAAAGCAAAACGACAAGAAATAATATTTCCAGCTTTTAATTAGACGGATATATATTCACGAAATAAATTTACCATTCCATTTTCTCGTCCAGCGCGGTGTCAGTGCACCATTTGGCAAACTTGAACACGTCAGGAGCCAGGATTAGATCGTTCAGCACAGAGTTGTACTGCACGACCAGCTTGAAAAAGTAGTCCAGAGTCAACTCGTTCAGCTCGCGGATACAACAGCCACCTGTATCTCTGGCTGGTGGGTCGGAAAGGAACTCTGCTGTGGCTTTGTATAGGCGAGTCAGAAGCGTCAACACCTCGGTCAACGTAGGAATAACAACGTTCTTGCGGTCCTCGTGTTTGGCGTGCAATAATACCTCTGATATCACAAGCACTGCATCGCCCACCATAACTTTATTGGGCACCCGTTTTGCAGCCTCACGCTCGATGTTGGGTAGGAAAACATCATTAAGAACTCCGAGATTAGACAAGACGCAGTCTAGTGCCTCGCGCGTGCTCTTGCTGCGAGACTCCTTTTCCAGTCTCACTAGCAGCTCTGGCTTTTTGACATTTTTTCCAAGACTGGTGATTCGGTCTCGTATTGTTTCCATGAACGATTTTGGCTTTGGCTTTGGTTTCTCCGCAGGCAAAAAAAGCGAGTCCACTTTCCTGTCCGACTTGTCCTCGTCTATGGGCGATCGGGAGGATCCTGAGTTTCCGAAAATGCTGTTTTTCTGGATTGGAGTCTGGAGCACCGGTGGAATACTCAAGTCTGCCGTCACAGCCATCGACACGCTGCGGATCACGATCGAGCATTGCTCAAGAATAGAGGTCCAATTTGTTGTGTTCTTGTAGAAGAATTTCCTCTCCTCTGCTGTCTGTGCCATGTACACAAGCTCTTGGAACGTTGTGAGTCTCACGAACGGGTGCTTGATGTCTTTGAGGCCGGTCAAAAGTATTTCCAGCTGATCTTCTGCGTGTGCGCTCAAAGGTTTCTTGACATTCAGGCATCCCACCATGGCGTAAGCGTTATAGATCTCGTTCAGAACCTCATACAGTAAGACTGTTGTGAATGTGAGCAGGAACAAGCCAAAGTATAGTGATACCGAAATGGAGACCCTGGGAAGATGGGTGTTGAGATTCAGCAGCCAAATAAACGGGAACAAGATGGTGTTAAACATGAACTTTCTAACCATGAGAAATAGTAGAGGTGTGGCGAAAGTCACTGCAATGCTGAAAATGCTAGTCTCCTTTAAAATCTCCAACAATGGCAGATTTTTGAGGTATTGTAAAGGCTCCACTCTGTAGACACCAACGTTGAACTTCAATTGGTTCTTTCCTTTTGTGAGGAAGAAGACTGTGTAAACTAGCGTACTGGTAAAGGCAAAGAACCAGAAATAAAGGAATTTATCATTGACAAAGGGCTTGATGGTTTTTGTAGGACTCTCAATGTAGTAGGACAGGCTGGCTGTCTGCGACCAGATGATCCCATATGTCAGCACATTGGAGATCAGAAATGAGGACATGAGAGTAGCAAACTCTGCTGAGAGCAGCGATCCGAAAATCTGCTGGAAAAGAGTCGAATAGGTAGTAGTCTCAACTTCCAGAGTAAGGTCTCTGGCGAACCTTAACAGCATGAATGAGCACCAGAAGAGGCACACTTTCACAGGGAAAAATAGCGGGCTGATTTTAAAGGGCAAGCTGACCAGAATTGTGTATATGAATGCGAGCACCAATGCCAATCGTGAGTAAAACTTCATTCTCATGTGGAACACCTTTGCCAGGATCTTGGAGTAGCTGTTTTGTTTTTTTAATGCATCTTGACTGGTTGTTTGTTTCTGCAACGGCAGTCGTTTACTGGAAAGAGACCCCAATCGACCTGCAAGTCGATCTCGAGTATAAACTGTAGACATGAGTAAACAATAAAAAAAACCACCTTTAATTTTTTCGTCCCTAGGGAGCGAGGTCGATCGTCTGACACGACGCGTTTTGTGGACAAAATAAATGCAAATATCAACTTGAACTCCTTTTTTCGTTTTTTTCTCTTGTCTCTCTAGATGTCTGGTCAAATATCGCGTGGCTTGCCCAAGAAGCAAGAGAGTGAGAGCGCGCCTGTGACTATTCCATACACCCCTGAAGAGCTGGAGCGTCTTAAGACTGCACTAGATCGTAAGCTGGGACCAGAATTCATCAGCATTAGAAGCGGACCCGGACAGAGCAAAGTGAACTATCTGGAAGGATGGAAAGCCATTAATCTGGCCAACGAGATTTTCGGCCCTACAGGATGGAGGTCTGAGCTTCGTTCGTTCCAAGTCGACTACATTGACGAGCGTAATGGACGTGTTAGTCTGGGACTATCGTCCATCGTTCGTGTTATTCTGAGAGACGGGACGTACCACGAGGACATTGGATACGGATCGATAGATAATTGCAACAGCAAGAGCGCGGCATTTGACAAATGCAAGAAAGAGGCTGCAACAGACGGAATGAAGAGAGCGTTGAGGCAGTTCGGTAACTCGCTTGGCAACTGTCTGTACGATAAAGACTACCTGAAGCGAATCTGCAAGGTCAAGCCAATCCCACTGACTTTCGACGAGGACGAGCTAATGCGTCACGAAGAAAAGCCAAAAGCTATGTCGCTGAAAGAGCCGGAACGAAAGCCCATGGTGGCAGTCAAGCCGCAATCGCACTCAATGCCAGCATTGAAAACGAGCGATCCGGCAGAAGACCACGACAACTCCTTCAACGATTTCATGAGCGACGACTGGCCAGACGAGCTGGTCAAGACAAAGCGGGACGCATTGCCTGACTCGGAGCCCGAGTTCGACGACGACGACGATTTCGAGCCCCGTTCATTGCAGCCACCAGCTCCTCGCGGACGCGAGCTCAAGACGGGCAAGTCGCAGGAACTACTACGCGAAGCGGACTCCAGCAAGAGCAGCACTTCTGTCGCGCGCAAACTGGATCTGAGCTCACCATCTGCCACGCCTGGAGGGATTCCCGACAAGGTGGTGTTTGTGAGTGCCAAAGCAGCAGACAGGGTGAAACGCGATCCCTCGTTACAAAATGGGTCCAAGTACGACGCTAGGAACACCCCCGACTCTTTGAAAAAATCAAGTTTTGTCAACCACAACAAGTCGACCCCGATCAAACGCAGTTTGGTTCTTGATGAAAAGGAGAATACTGTGCCTTCGTCTGTAAAGCGAGGAAATTGGGGTAAATAGTGGTTTATTCAGCGTCTCGATCACATAAATATCAAATTCGTGCAAAAATGATTCAGACCAGCTAACATGTTGCACTCGGCCTTTGGAAAAATGTCTACATGCCTCAGAGTACCAAAAGAATTACCTGATCAGCACAGAAATTAGACGACCAGAGCATATATATCATTTAGAACTCGTGTCAGTGGAGGCCAAACTGTCAAGATACTGAAGTCACCGTCGACCGATTTTCTATTGATCCCATAGCTACGCTTGAATCAACATTGGCACTTTGCGGTTTGTGCACTACATCCCAAATGAATACTATTGCCAATCAATAAGATTGTGAGGTGCACTGTAATGGTATTCAGACAAGCACTAATGAGTGTTTGTATTGTTGGTCATGCAAAATAGCCACGTCTCTATGTTGCATTTGCACTGGGTTGGGGTCTGTCGTAGGCTGGGATGCTGTCATGATGCATCGTGACACAAACCCGGACCTCAATGCTCCCAGAATTGAAAATCGCTATCCTACCAATCGGACCAGCTTCAAATGGCCAGAAATAGGTATAGTAGTAGTGGTAAATGTCACTCGAGAGCCTGAAGCGAGCAAGCGGGTGTCTTCAAGTGGGAGTAGGAGCTATTGTGGTCATATGCGCCCTCTTTCCAACTCAATTACGCGATCCCTTTCTCCACATAAGCTAAGATGGACAACCGTGACACTGTAAAATCCATTATGTAATATTAGGGCCGGGGTGTTTTTAAATTATTATTATTATATGCCCATCTGATCATGTTTGATTCCTTCAAGCTCCATTATTCGCGGGTGCCCTCGTTTCAGCAGATACAGGGCAATTCCTCAACACCAAGTAGAATATTTCTACAGATTGTGATTTTGCAAGTGTTCTACTATTTAACGGCAATCATCCTGTTCTTTGCCACGGCGCAGCTTCTAGGTTTGCCGTTTTCTTTCAAGTGGTGTTTCTCTTGGCAGTGGGTGTCATTGGAGAACACTTTGGGGCTCACTTTGGCGGCATTATGGCTCTTTGACTCCTTGCTGAGCGTCTTTTTTATCACCATAATCATTGGACGATCGAAACTAGCGTGGGACTACGCTCTTACGGTCCATGTGGTGAATCTGGCCCTAGTGTGGCTCAACTCAGGATTTCCAACCAGTTTATACTGGTGGCTGCTGCAGATCTGCAGCTGTGCGATCATGATTACACTGGGCACCTGGACGACTCGCTGGAAAGAGCTACGAGAAACGTTTTTTGACGGAATAGCCGACACAGAGCTCGGTCAAATGCATGAGAGCGCTTCGACGATATCCGCGGCAACTACGACGGCCGAAAGAAAATAGACGTCTATTCATGGTATCTGAACTGTGTCAACAAGAGCGTTCTAGTTGGCAATTGCTGGACAGGAGATGGCACTAATAATGTTAGCTTCCCTTTTTCGTCGTTACAATTTTGGACGTAGCAGAATCCCAACGAGCTGCTGTCCAGGAATGGCTTGATCAAATTTTCGTCGTCATCGTCTGAATTCAGGTATCTCAGAGTGTCGATCTGGGAGTCGTCCACTAAAGACAGGATGGAATTATTCAAGGTATCGGAGCCAGGAGTCTTGACGCGTTCGGCCAGTTGCTTGTAATTGACACTTTCACGAGGCGCCTCATCATCATCAGCAAGATCGCCGCTCAAAAACGAGAGATTCACGTTTTCCGTTTCCTTAGGTCGCACAAAAATGAAGTCTTTCAAGTTCACCGTGATGCTGTACGGACTCAGCTGGAGCCTGTCGATGCCGTAGAAATACTCTTTGATTGACCGTTGTTGCAGTTCTCGCTCATACTTGTCGTCCTTGTCGACGCATCCGCTGGACTTGTTGAGCTTCAACAACGTGACTGCTGGGTTCTGCATTTTTTTCTTCAAGTCGACCAGCAGTCTTTCGCTTCCAACTATTAAAAGCACATTAATATTAAATGATGAAACAATTTCCTCGATGATGTCGTACTCTTTGATTGTGAAGGCGGGCGTGTCGACGATCACGCCTGATTTTTTCACCTTAATGTCGTTGTCGAGACGTTTGCGCACCGACTTCCCCAGCTGCTGGATTAAATACCTGTATAATTTAACGTTATCTGAAAACTTCTCCAGTCCAAAAGTCTTGGCCAACGGTTGTTTCTGGTGGTAGAAAGAGGGACCCGTGGTAACACTTTCGCCCAGAGCGACGTTCTCCAAGTTAAAGAGATCAGAAATTGCGGTGGCGCTCAAATTACCAGGAATCACGAACTGAAAGTCCCTTGGATTCAGGTTGACCAGCATTGGTTGATGGTCCTGCTTTTCGGCGTACGAGGCTAATGTGCGGCAGAGAGCCGTTTTGCCCGAGTCCTTCCCTCCAATGACAAGAACGCGCGGACCTTCCACAACTCTCTGTTTTTCCAGACCCAAATGCAGTGTCAGGTACTGTCCAACACAGCTCTCCTCACTGACGTACTCGGACAACGGCTGGCAGTTCCAGAACTGCAATTTACAGCCAGAAAACGAGAACACACAGAGTTTCACTGAACCCTGGAACGCGTACTCTATATTGGGTGACAGCTCGGTTCCAAAGATCTCTGCTGTTCCGTCGACAAGTTTCAGCTTGAGCTTGTCTTTGGCGGCGACTTCGAACCGCCATTCCTGGAACGGGGGCACTTCTACAACATTAACGTTCTCGGACGACTCTGGTTTAGTTTTGTTGAGAATCGACTGCAGAATAGAGGGGTCGAAGGTAGCCATGGCAGGAAAAATAAACCTGAAAAAAATATTTTTGGCTTATATGTCTGTATCGTCACGAAGAAAGGCTCTCAAGGAGTTTTACCGATTGCAGGAGCAAACGCAGCAGCAGCTGGAGAATGCACATTTGAACCACGAGGAAACAGCCGAGGAGCCAGAGATCACTTTAGAGAATGTGGACGAATTCATCAAAAACAGCGACTTCAAGAAGCTCCTTGAGACAGAAAACAAAATCACCGAGGAGCTGAACTCGAACCAGGCGGAGATCAAGTCGATCATCTACAACAACTACTACGAGCTGATCAAAATCAACGATGTGCTAATGGACCTCAAGTCCTGGAACAACGAAGACGACGGCGTGGTGGAGAACCTACAAAAGATCCGCAGCAAAGTCCAATCGCTCAGGGCCCAGGACTTCCACCTGCTGCCCGAGCCGGTGGAGGTGAAGGGAGAGAAAATAAGCAAGAGCATCAACAAACTGTTGCTGGACAACAAGATCGACAAGAAGACGGTGGACGCCATCGACGAGTCGCTGCCGGAGCTGAGCGGCGAGAGCCTGCTGCTGCAAATGAACGAGCTAAAGAACAAGTAGTTTACGTAAGATGATTAAGTGCGCTAAAGTCTTGTAGCTTAATCTGCCTATGGCTGTGTAAATTTCTTACATTTATATTTTTGTTATGGACAGACGACTGAGCAGGGCCAATTGGTCCACCAAGAACGCGAAAAAGACGTTCACGCCGGCGCAGATCTCTGCTCCGATCATAGAAAAGGCTTCTGCCGCGCCCTCCGCGCCCGCGCAGAAACAGTCGCCGAAACTGAAACGGCCGCACAAGATCGACAATAGCGGTGTCAACAGGCGGTTTTCGGTGAAGCTGAACCCGCAGGAGGCACAGGCGGCCCAGAAGTTTGCGCTGTCGCAGTTTCCCCTGCTGCCTGAAGGAGCTGAGGCCGCCGTGAGCGAGGCTCGCCAGCAAACTGCAATGGACTCGAGTGCGCTATTGACAGATCTGTCCGCCGAGTCGTTCGACGCTGTGCCGTATGTGCAGGGGTATCTCAAAGACGCGAACGCCACAAAGATCGACCAGTTTGCGCGCGACCTGAGCGACCTTTCGTCGTCCAACGACGGCGACGTCAAGCATACCATCACACAGTCATTTAACCAGGTGCTCACTGTTTCTCGCACCATGATCGAGGCAGAGGGTGTGCTGGAGGAGCTGAAGGGTCCTGCGATGAAATTGAACGAGATTTTGAGCTTGCAGGCCGAGGAAGCTCAGGAGAAAATGGAAAATGGCAGCAACAAGGACAACAGACGTAGTGTGCTATTGCTGGAGAAGAAGTGGGCCTCGAACCTCAATTCGCTGTTCAAGGAGGTGGAAGGTGCGCAGAAATTTGTTTCTGCAGTCCCAGGCCGCCACGTCGTGGCAGAGTCCAGACGCTGGGGCGAGCTCAACGCCATCACCTGCAAGCCGATTCGGCCGGCACATCTGATCATTTTGAACGACCACGTGCTGGTGGCCACGCGCAAGCGCACGGGAGACAGAAAAAAGACGGTGGCCACCCAATGCTGGCCCCTGAGAGACCTCGCGATCTCCAAGGCTGCCAACGCGGGAGAGCACACTCTGTCGCTGAAGATCAACGGCATGGTATTTCTTTTCCAGACCGACAGTCTGAACGAGTACAATAAAATAGTGTCGCATCTGCGCGCTGCGAAGGACGAGCTTGCCAGCACGATGGAGCTGGAAAAGGCCAAACAGAAGGATCTGACAGAGAGCGTGAGCAGGCTCTCTGTGACGCACGAGAGATTAAGCAAGAACTCCGACTACCTGCACGATCTGACGACAAAGCTGAACCACCGCAGGTCGCGGTCGTTGGACCTGAACGACAAGAACTCGACGCAGAACTTGAACACTGTAGACGAAGGGCTGATGAACATAGAGCTATACATTGGACACCACAAATACGTGGAGGCCGTTGGTTTCCTGACCCGTGTGAGCGACCAGATCGACCGGCTGCAGAACCAGAGTCCCGACGAGCAGTTTGCGTTGCTCCTCAAGCTGAAGAAGCTCAAATGGGAGAACCTCAAGGAGAAGCTGGTGAAGCTGCTGTCCTGGGAGATCAGCAACCCGCTGAGCTCGAGCAGAGAGATCACGGAGACGGTGGACCTGTTCCAGATGATTGACATGGAGGAAAAGGCGCGAGATCTGGTGCTGGAGTCGAAGAGCAAGCAGCTGGACAAGCTGGTGAGCCAGCTCAAGTTTGAAGGCGACGTGAAAAAATACATACTGCAGATGTCGCTGATCTACTTCACCTTCATCAAAAACACGTATTTGCTGTACGAGCAATGTTTCCGCGAGACGGGGCAGAAGGTGATCTTTGTTGGGTGGATGAACGAGAAAATCGCCGCGTACAACAAGCTGTTCAGACGGCAGCTGATAGACTACAGCGAGCAGTCGGAGCTCTACCGGAATTGCGTGAAGATCAGTCAGCTCCAGTCGATCAGCCTGCGCAAAATAGGCATCAACGTGGACCATTTATTGGTTACTTAAAGCCAGACAGCCAGGGATGCTGTAGAATGTCGTTCATCGAGGGTCTTTGTGCGACGTCCTTAACCATGATCATGCGAATCAGGTCCACACACGATTCACTCACCTCGTGGAACGACGGGAACTTGAACCCGCCATCCATGATTTCGTCGACGTTGCAGAACGGGTTTTCTTTGAACACGAGGGTGTACAGGAGCACGCCCATCGCCCACACGTCCTGCGGCTTGCCTTCGTACGGCTGTCCATTGAGAACTTCCGGAGCAGCGTAGTCGATGGTGCCCACAAACACCCCGAACGGCCCGTTCTTGGAGTAAGCTGCCGACCCGTAGTCGATCAGCTTGACCACATAGTCCTTGTCGACAATGATGTTCTCGTCCTTGATGTCGCGGTGGACGACGCCGTGCGCGTGCAGATGCGCCATCGCGGAGCAGCACTGGAAAAAAATGTACTGGCATTCCAGCTCGGTCATGTCCGACTTGACCTCGATCAGGTCGAACAGGTCGACCGCGGCCGGGTCGCCGTGCTGCGGCGTCTCGACGTAGTAGCACCGGTCGTCCTCGAAGAAGTCGACGATCCGCATCAGGTTCGGGTGCGGGTCGCTGTTTATATAGTTCATGATCTGTATCTCTGATGGAATCGTGCCAAGGTTCCTGTCTCTGACCCACGTGTCGACCAGAATTCGCTCTTTGAAAATCGCCTTGATCACCAGCTTGTACGCGGGGTCGTCCTTGTGCTGTGCAAGCACCACCTTCCCGTACGCGCCCTGTCCGAGGTTCTTGATCACCGTGAAATCGGTGATTTTTTTCTCGCGACGAAGAAGCCCTATTTTCTGCGGGAAGTGCTTGCTCTGCTTTCTGATGCGTGCAATCTGCGCGTTTTCGCGTTCCAGCAGCGCGCGGCCAGTGCGGATGTTTTCCAGCCGGAATTCTCCCAGACTCTCGGCGATATCCTGGACCTCGTGGTCGTCCATGTCTGTCTCGGTGGTCTTCTGCGACCCGGTCGACCCAGACTTGCTGAGAGCCGACAGCGACGAGTCCGACGTCGCGTTCATCTTCTTCAGGCTGTTCATCCGCTCCAGCGGCTTGTTGGCGATCGTGTTCATGCTGCTGGACCGACTCAGCCCGTCTGAAGAGCTGCCGCACGAGTGCAGGTCGTTCTCCATCTGCTGGAACAGACTCAGCTGCGACGGCATCGACTCGTCCCCGTTGGCCTCGTCATCCTCGCTCTCCTCCTCGCTCGAGCACACACTGTTCGGCCGCGAAACAGACCGTCTCTTGCTAGTTGCACGCGAGTAGGTGATCCATAACATGCAGTTCTCGTACTCCATCACGCGCAGCTGGACGTCGACCTTGACGGTGGTGCCGTCTCTGTGGAGCCCATCGATGCCAATGGAGTTAAGAAAAAGCAGATCCTGCTCCTCCTCCGACGAAGCTCGCAAAATTGCGTCCTGTTTGCGGAAATAGTGCTCCGGCAGCACAAGGCCCTGCTGGTACATTATGTTTGGGTTTTCCTTGAGCGCGAGCTCAAAGAGCCCTGAAAACGACGGGATTATGATGTCGATGGACTTGCTCTTGATGTCAGACGTTCCAAAAAGGTTCTTGGCTATGGCGTGGTTGAACGATACCACCTTGAGCGTTCTGGACGAGATAACGAACGCTCCCGAAATGTACGGCAGCGAGTGCAAGTTCACACGCACAATGCCGTCTTCCAGAGGCTCCGAGGTCACCGCGCACGGAACAGCCTCGTTTTCCGGGAGTCGGAGGGTATAGTAGCGGGACCGGTTGATGGTGGCAGAATGGTGCATATGGGTGTCGAGTGTGGCGTTGGCGAGCTCGTGGCTCATGGTGGGCAGGATGCGGGACAGCGGAGCGCCCACGAGCTCCTTGTCGCTGCGGAACAGCGAAGCGTGTGTGTCTGCGGACGACTTGATGTAGTAGCCGTCGTTTCTGTATTCAACGATGAAGTCTAGGTGGTCGCACGGCACCTGCTCGAAAATGAGGATGATCAGGCCCTGTTTGCGCTTGGCCCACATAGACGTCCAGGCTATCGGCATGTTGTTGCGCCTAATGGCGATGATTTCGCCAGAGAAAACCAGCTCTTTGCCGTTGCACAGCCTATCGAGAACGAGGTCACGTGCGCGAGGCGCGATGAGGTCCATGACGCTGAGCGACGCGAGCGACGCCTTGGAGATCCCGAACATGAGACAGGCAAAGTCGTTCGCGTTCTTGAGGTTCCAGGGCGACTCTGCCTCGCACGTGAAGTAGGCCTTGGGCGATGCTGACTTCCCGCCAGAGGCGAGATGGAACTGCCGGCTGCTGGAGCCGAGCTTGTTGCCCAGCGACACGAGTCCCAGAGCGGACGGGCTGGTCTGCGGCACCGGCAGGCCGCCCAGCAAGTACGAGTGGGCCGGGGTGTTGGAATTATCTGTGAATGGCGTTGCCAGGGCGTACAGCAGGTTCTTGCGTAACGATTCGCTTTTGGAGATGCCTTTGGGGTTGAGCGACAGTGTGTGTAGACCAACGACCTTCTCTAGCTTGTTCTGCGACGGGTTCTCTTTCATCTCCAGAATACTGATGATCTCCTTCAGATTCCTCCGCAGTTCTTCGTCTATGTTTGTAGGGGTGGACGCTGGGATTGAGTCCTGGGTTTCTGGCTCAGACGACGAGGCGGGCAGTGACTTGATTGAAGACTGCGACACCTGTCTCTCCATGCGAAACACGTTGTCCATGAGGGTCATGGTGGACGTTCTGCGCAGCGGCACTGTAGCCGGGCCTTTCCGGGAAAAGTAGTCGCTGTTCTCCATGGATATGTTCGAGAGCAGCTCTGGCCGGTCCAGGAGAACCTCAAGCGACCGCTTGAGCACGCTCAATTTCAGAGCCAGGGAGTTTGGGGCCAGAAGTGTGTATGAGTAGGACTGGGGGGATTCCGTGGCGAACCTGACAAAGTCGGAGGGCAGGTTTGGAGGCTCCATCTGGTCCGCCGCTGGCCCTGTAGAGCCGGCAAGAAGATTGCGGAACGCTTGGTGGCCAGACTCGGCTCTGGGATGACGATTGGGAGGCGTGTAAGGCATGAAGAAATATTGGCATAAAATTTGGCGGAAATATGGGTCGCCTGGCGTCGATCGTCGGATGCACAGCTACAGATAAAGAAAGCACAGATAAAGGCATACAGATAAAGGGGGCTCGCTGTGCATCTGCGTGCTGCTAGGCTGGCTGCTAGACGAGCAGCAGAAACAGTTAGCGCCCCTTTTTTGGCGGCGGCCGGTACTCCTCGCCTCTTAACACTCTAGCTATGGTTCAGCCTAAATCAGATATACTGCTTTATATAACGTTCTTGGCCGCGAGGATTTCCGCGATCAGAACACCGCTGCCGGCAGCCCCGATGATGGTGTTATGCGACAGAATGACCATCTTGACGTCTAGAACAGGGTCCTTTCTGATCCGGCCAACACTCACACCGTATCCGTTGTCTCTGTCTCTGTCGAGCCGTGGCTGTGGACGGTTCTCCTCCTCCAGCACATGGATGGCGTGTTCTGGCGCAGACGGACAGTTCAGGATGGTGGCCTCGCACTGGTAGTCTCTCAGGCACTGTTTGATGGCGTCGATGGATGGCGCGCCGTTCTTAAACTTGATAGAAACGCACTCTGTGTGGCCGTCGGAAACAGCGACTCTGTTGCACTGCGCAGAAACGCGGATCTCGTCGTCAGAGAGGTTCTTCACGCTGTTGCCGTCATCAGCGATCTCTCCAAGGATCTTCTTTGTCTCCCACTCGATCTTCTCCTCCTCGCCCGAAATGTACGGAACCAGGTTGTCCAGAATATCGATGCCAGGGAACCCTGGCGAGAAACCGGCGCCCGAGATGGCCTGCATGGTTGTGGTGGTGAGCAGCTCGATCGGACCAAACTTGTCGACCAGCGGTCTCAGCGGAGCCACCAGACCGGCAGTGGAGCAGTTGGAGATGCAAACAATGAAACCGGGTCTCTTCTGGCCGGCGGCAGTGGCATCCTTGACTCTCTTTTCGATGATCGCCAAGTGCTCGCTGTTGACTGTCGGCACAACAAGCGGCACGTCTTTTTCTCTGCGGTAGTTTTTGGCATTCGAGATGACAGCCAGGCCGGCCTCCTTGAACGCCTTTTCGATCGGACCGGCGTAGTCTGCGTCCAGACCGGAGAAAACAACGTCGCAGTCCTTGAAGGCCTCGACGGTGCACTCCGAGACGACGATCTCGCCAGCAGCGGCCGGCATCAGACTGGTTTGCTTCCAGTCGACAGCGTCCTTGTACTTTTTGCCTGCGGACCGCGACGAGGCTCCCAGAACGGCAAGTTCGAACTGGGGATGGTTGCTCAAGAGCTGAATAAACCGCTGCCCAACAGAACCTGTGGCGCCCAAAACTCCTGCTTTTCTAAGTCCCATAGTGTTAGATATCCAAGAGTGAGTAATAAATATTTTCAATGGGTTTTTTTTTTTTTTTTTCGTCAGCTGAAAATATCAAGGCTACCGTTTTGCAGAGAGACGATCGAGTCGCCAACGAAAATAAACCGATCTCCGCCGCTCGACAGCGGCATATGGTCAACCTCTCGTAGCGGCCATGCGTTGAAGATGGAGTATACCTTGATATTCTTGTTTTTGTCCGTGTAGACCGCAAAAAACCGCTGGCTGTGGTGCACGTAGAAGTTCTCTTGCGTTGAGAAGCTGTGCTCGTACTCCTTGTACTCAACTAGCGGAAACAGCTGTCGTGGGTCGTCGTCGACCGCGAACAATACGAGCTTGTTTGCCAGACCGCTCACTAGCAAATACAGTCGATTGTCAACGTGCAAAAACTGCACCTTGCGGATATTGGCTCCGTACGCATGGTGGATAATCTCTTCTCTGTCCCGATAAATCTCAAGAGTCCCGTTCATGTACCCAATGGCTACCATCAGCTGGTCTTCGTACACGGTGATACCGATGCTGACGGGCAACGAGCTGATTTTCTTGTGCAACCAGCTCAAACGGCCGTGGCCCTGTAGTTTCCGCTCAAATCCCACAATCCCGGTCTCGGAATCCATCCACTTCATACACGCAACGTTTCTCGCGTCCTGGACGTGCCGAAGGTTTTCAAAGGTATCGCCAAACTCGACTTCCTTGATTCCGCCTTGATTAAAAACTCGGATTCTGATGGGGTCTCCGTCAATCACGTTAACGTTCCAGCCGAGCGCAATTGTGCTATAGTGACCCACGCTCTGGACCTCCAACATCGTCTCCTGCGGCTCCGGGACATTGCGTTTCGGAACCCAGAACGAGTTCTCGGCCAATTCTAGAGATTTCACCTTCACAGCCACCAGATAAAGCCGAGTGGCCACAAAAAGCGTCCCGCGACATTCGGCGGCCCACAAGAACTGCCCCAAGTCGACGGGAGGACGCGCTATTTGCCGGAACAGCAAGCACTGCATTTGGGTCTTGGTGTAGAGCGAGCGCGCCAGTTCAAGATCAAAGTCGCCACACTCAAACTCTCCCTTGCGCAGGTAGTCCAGCAGCTGCAGAAACTGGCCAGTTGAGAGACACTTGGGGCTCACGAGCAGATCGTACAATATTTCTGGCCGAAACGTCTTCACGTCGGCAAACTCCGGTTTTTTCTCGTCGCGGGTCTCTGGAGCCTCCTTTTCGAGGGCCGGTCGCCCCAGATCAACGGCAGGAGACGCCTTGGGCTGGCCCTGCTGCCTGAAATACCTTTTTTTTACCGGATCATAATAGTACCCAGGAATATTCATCAACTACGTAAAATAAAGCAAGGCTGTGCTCCTTTATATCACCAGCTGGAGTCCATGCTCATGGCGATCTCGTAGGCCAGCAGCGCCACCAGCAACGCCATGGTCGTGCCAAACAGCTTGGTGATCTCAAGCTTGGCAACGCTCAGACACACAATGATGACTCCGACCGGCAGTCTAGGCAGCAGTCTCCAGAACTTCGGCAGATAATGTCTGGAGCAATTGCGGCCCTCGCCGTCGGTTTCGTCGTCGATGGACTTGTCCAGGATGGCCAGGCCGTACAGACAAAACAGGGACACACACAGTGCGCCCGTGAAGTAGTACGAGAGGCCAATGTTCTCGATCTCGTCCTCGTAGCAGAGATCGGCAGCAGCGTCAGCACACAAAATCAGCGAGGAGATGAGCGGCATGTGCAGCAGAAACCAGACAAAGGCGGTGTTTCCGGACCGGCGGCAGGCGTGCACAGCGCGCTTGGAGCCGTCACCGTTGAAATAAAGCCACAGCAAGCAGTACGCGATCAGAAGCAGGATAATGGCGCGTCCTATCTTCTCGGTGACGCCGAGACCGAAGTTGCGCTCGGCCGTCGTGGCGACAATGTTGTACAGGAACTCGCCGATCGCGATAACGTAAAACGCGCCGAACCGCTCGACCTCGTGCTCGATGTTGATGGCCGTGCTATACTTCAGCTTGAGCAGCTTCTTGGTGTAAGGGTGGTACGAAAAGCACCAGGAGGCCAGTTCCAAAAACAGGGTCATGAAGCTGAGGCCGACCTTTGCACGCACGGGAACGAAGATGACGGGGATCCACAAGCAGCACGTGACGATAATCAGCGAGCCGTACAATATATTCTGGTGCCGGTGTTGGGGAACGTAGATTGCATAGACTAGCAAGCTGATGGCCAACGAGAGACGGCACAGAATGTAGGGAACCACCACAGTTGCGTTTGCCGCGTTGGACTCCAGCATATAGTTTGTGCCGTTGGTGTACACCAGCAGGAGCGCTAGAATCCAGAGGATGTAGATTTTCTGGAGCAGGTCCTCATTGAAGTAGTAGTTCATGAAATCCTTGATATCGGACCAGACCTGCCAAATTGGCGCAAAGAACAGAAAGTACTTGAGCAACGACAGGCCGGTGGGCTCTTGTGTAGCGGAAGAGGCCAGTTTGGCGACGATTCCCACGTAGAGCAGGTCCAAAAACAGCTCCACCTTGCCACTTTCGCCGCGCTCGGACCTCGTGCGGTAGAGCGTTCCGTTGTAGAAGAAATTGAGCGCATAAGGCTTATTAATAAACCAAGAGCGGACTCTTGGCTTCTTTATGTACTGCACTTTAACTGCGCCGTACTTCTGCACAAAGGCATCGAAATCCTCCTCGTCTTCGCTTTCCAGGTTCACATGGCGGTACGACAGGTCGTCTCGGAGTTCAGAATCAGATTGCGGTACACGTTCTGAGTCAGCCACCTGGGGCTCCGTGAAACTATTTGACTGTTTGGCCATAAAAAGAATTATGTAAGAAAGCCTAACGGTTAAAATTGCTCTGCAATTCTTTATAATAATAATAGAGACTCTGCGGCTCAGTGAATACGACTAAAATTAAACTTGCAGGGGCGCAAAAAAGGGTACTAGAATAGAGCACGCGGCAACCGTGGCTGGGAAGTTGAGGGGGGGTGCAGTGGGACGCACTAAATTCAAGCCTGTGTGATCTTCACCAGGTGTCCAAGAATTTGCTACTGGCACCTGCGCTGGTTTAGGGGTATCATAACTCTTTCCTGTTTGACCGGTGGGCAAAACAAGGTACAGACGCGCGGGCACAATCGGGGGAAAAAAAAACTGAGCCTATTTGTAGTGCGGTTAACTTTGCGAACGCACTGGAACCTGGCTCGATTTTTAAACGCGTGGCGGGAACATGAGCTAGACTGAAACGGGTACCTGGCAGCAGCACCTGAGGGGGTGAGCAACCTACATACCGACTGACTATAAGACAGTCAATAGAGCAGCAAAAACAATAATACTAAGCTGCCTTTAAAATAAGATCGACAACGCTCAAGTGCTTACTATGTACCACGTACAGCAAAATTTTTTCCGTTTGATCTTCCTTTTCGATCAGTTTTATACCGGTTTCAGCACCTCCTCACACCCTGATTGTTGAAATCTTACCGAGACAATACACTATTTTTAAAAGCCTAACAATATTACATAGAAAATCGCTGAGATGTTCTCCACCGCATTGTGCTGCAGTAGAGCGCATCCCAATTAAATATTCAAATCTCCTGTTTTATATATCCTCGCGATGCTTTTTATCGTTTTCCACTAAAATTTACCTCACTCTGGCCGTCCAACGTTCCTGTCGTGAACAAAATTCCAAAACCTTTCGCATAACCCTCACACTCTCATTTTTGCATGTGTCGGTAAACCCGACATTATAGCACTTCGTCATGCAATCGCAATCAAATTCTTCAAGTTCACCTGACAGGGATCCCGACGCACCAGAGCGTCCCCGTTTACCTTCATTTCAAGAGATTCAGGAACAACTACAATCAAGTACGCTCCTCCCGTCTCCTACTCTGCCTCCTCCACTCCCGCAGTCACAATTACCTTCCATTTCCATGCTCCTGCATCACACTAGAACGGCGCCACTGCCGCCTGTACCTTACACATCCTACCCTGTCTACAAAGCCGAGCCGGAGACTCCGCACCCGCCGCCTCCGTCTCCTCATGAGGACTCTTCCAAATCTGTGCCCGACAGCTCGAAGACGAAAAACAGAAGAACGCGCAAGGCATGTGACCTCTGCAACCAGAAACGGACCAAATGCTCGGGCGAAATGCCCCGTTGTTCCCAATGTATCAGAACAAACAGCGTTTGCACGTATCTTCGGGAAGAGAAAAAAAGAGGCAGAGCCAGCTCGAATTATCCAAAAATAATCATTCGACGGAAACCGACTAAAATTAAAGGTACGGAAACGAAACACGAGCAGGACATACTGCACCACCCGTCACCACACCAATCGCCACCCGCCCTTTCGCAGCCGTTTCGGTATCCAATTCTCAATCAGGTGGCCCACGTCATCTCTCAGCTCCAAATCTCGCATTTTCTTGCAGATGACCTAATTGAACTGTATTTTCAAACTCCGTTTCCAGTCATGATCCTCAATCCGAACCAAATCTTGACCTCGGATCCACAGAGAGTGCGGAAAGTCAACGAGGGGTTCATCTTATCTATGCTGCTCTGCGGAGCAGCACTTTTGCAACTCTCTCCATCGCCATCTATCTCTAAGGAGTCCTCGCTAGGACTCCTGGACATGCTGTTTTTCAGAACAAACGGTTTCCTACAGCGTTCGACAAAATTGGACCACGATGACATTATCTCATACATAAATCTTGTCAGAGCATACGCGATGGTTGGTGGCATTCATGAGGCCATTCAAGTGATCAACCAGGCCATCAGCCTCGCTTTGAAGCTGAAAATTAATATTGAGGACCCGTCGGAGTACCCGATATTGATGGAAGAGAAAAGAAGAGCCTGGTACTGTCTGGTCACCATGGAGGCAGAGCTCAAGCACGGCTCGCATCATCCTCTCCTCACCAGAAACATGTCTCACCCATTTTCCTCCGTATAGACGATGCGGCCTGTCCGGCATTCAATTTTTGGGTCGCATGGCTCGGGAAAGCCGTATGGAAGCCCTCTCGTGTAATCACTGTGTATAATATCCATAGAAATTCATTCTGCACCCTCATCAGTCCCCCCCTCCTGCTGTTCTCCCTCATCCGACTCGTAGCTAATTGAATCAAGCCCCATGTATACCAGCATCAGCTTCCGGTGGCTCTCCTCGTCTTTGATGTCGTTGTTGGGGTTGCCGTACCCTTGCGTGATCTCTTTGTTCGAGAACATCTTGCCAAAGATCGGGTCGTCCATCTTCTTGCACAGCTCTATATTTTTCATTATGCAGCGTTCCACCGTCAGGTCGTTCCCAAGGTCCTTGCTGATCCGCTTCCATCTATTTTCCCAGTCCTTCCGTATCGCATTCACAAGCCGCAGCTCCATGAACCGCGACCAGGAGTCATTACGCGACTTGTGGTTGCGCAGGTACCGCATCTGGATCGCCTGCCACGAGTGTCTACCGTTCAGCATCTTTTCAATCTCTTTCCACGAATACTTCATCTCCTCCTTGTAGTAAACGATAGCATCGTCCTCGGCCTTCGTCCAGGCACGTGATCGCGTCTGCGAGTCGTTTACCATGGGGACATCCGGCGAAATGAAGGCTGAGGCGATCAAATCGATCTTCGATGCCTCGTGGCCTTCTTGCTCCTTGCGAAGATTGCCTGTATCCGGCTGCGACACATGTTCTTCGTTGACGGCATTCTCTGGCTCCGACGCGGTCACCTTCTGCTTCTTTTCGCCATTATCCAGTTGCTCTTTCAACTGTCTTTTCTGTTGCACGCGTTTGTGATAAAGCTCCACGTCATTTGAAAGATGCGCCAGCAGGTTCTGCGTGCTTGCTGATCCTGTCTCGTTCTTGTCGACAAACTGCTCCGTCATGTCGAGACAACAAATTTTCGTGTTGTAAAAAAACACATCTCCTGTGATGCCAGACCCCGGTTACCCGGCCACTACGTCTTCTTGATGTTGAACCTGCTATTTGCTGGTCGGGAGTGACTCTGGCCCGCAGAATGGCTCCCTTGAGTTGACGAGAAGCGCGATGTGATGCTATGGGCTGTCTTGGACGCACTGCTGTTTGTCGTAGTGCGTCTAGGCAACGGGGCCTGAGGAATGCCGTTGGAGGAGGACGGCTCCGAGGACTTCTGCGGGCTGAAACGTGACGCCTTGATCTTTGGTATATGCTCCACTTGGCCCTTTATGGCATGGTTGGTTTCTCGGATACCTGACTGGATCTTCTCTAGGGACAATCGGTGTTGAAGAGGTTTACTGTGGTGATCCGGTTCCAGCCATTCAGGAGGTTGTAAGCCTCGTTCTCGGAAGTACTTGACCATCGTTACATGGACCACGGTCTCGTTCTCGTGCTTGCCATCTTTCTCTTCGCGTCGGATCGACGTTTTAATATCAGAAGAGATCTCCTTAAATCTGCGGAACATGGAAATTAAAGATAATATAAAATTAATTATTTCCCTTTTTCAAACGAGAAATCTATCGATACACAACCTTTCTTATAAAGTCTTCTCGGTCAGGAAGATGCCGTACTCGTCCTTCAAAATCTTCATGATAGGGTCATTGATCTCGGGGGTCATTGGGGCATAGAGACCTGGGCCCGGGAAGGCGCCCTTCAGGACTTGCAAGACAGCAACAGCACATGGAACACCAACCAGCTTGGCCATTGAGGAGTAGCCGCCAGGAACACCATAGTCGACCAGGGTAGAGGTTCTCGTCTCGGTCTTACCGTCGGCCCACTCGATGCCGAACTTGTGCTGCAAAATGACCATGTCTCTCTCGCCCTCTTCGTACTGCATCAACTCCTCAAGAGTGGCGCACAGGGTGTCCAATGGATTACCGGCAGGAGTGATTTTCTTGTCGGAGAACAGGCCCAGCCACTTGAGACCAGCCAGAATTCTCTCTCTGTCGGCCTCGTCCTTGAATTTGGTCAGAGAGTCAATCTTGGCAACAATGTCCTTTTCAGAAGAAGAAGCAGCTCCAATGTACTTGGAAACGGCCTCATTCCACGGGATAGGTTTGGAGAAAATCTCGTTTGGATCTTCCTTCAAGAATCCCATGTCGACAAGAACCTTGACGAACTCTGGGAATCCCTGGAATCTCAAAGTTCCTCTGATCACGGTCTGGGCCTCAGGGATGCTGTAAAGCTCCTTGTAAACGGTGGAGTCTCTGTTAGGGTAGCAGACCAGCGCGTATCCCGGGTAGATGAAGTATGGCTTGGCAGAGGCCATTAGGTCCTCAGAAGCAATCTTCTCGATCTTACCATCTTTCCAGTACGTGGCTTGATTTCTCAGAGCAAGCAAAACACCTCTGGAGGACCACGAGAATTTGTATCCCAAAGGATTGTCGGAATCCTCTGGTGCTGGCAGACCACCACAGTACGACAGGAAAGAGGTGATCTTACCGCCGGCCTTGTGGACCTCGTCGATGGTCTTGACGGCGTACAAGTGGTCGATACCTGGGTCCAGACCGATCTCGTTCATCACAACAATGCCGGCCTCCTTGATGGCTGGCTCCAACTCTCTCAGAGCAGGGGAGATGTAGGAGGTGGTGACGACGTTGGTGTGCTTCGACTTGATGGCAGCCTTGACGACGGCAGCGTGGTAGATGTATGGGATCAAAGAGATCACAACATCGTACTTGTTGACCTCAGCGTCCAGAGCATCTTGGTCGGTAACGTCCAACGACAATGCGTTGGCAACAGAGCCTGCCAATTCCTTGGCTTTCGAGAGAGTTCTGCATGCGACAGTAACTTCGATGTCTTTCTGCTTAGCGAGGATGTCGACAGTTGGCTTGGCGACAAAACCAGAGCCAAGAAGGAGCACTTTCTGAGTCATGGTTGAAGAAAGATATGAGTGAAAATTGAAAAAGTGGAAATTTTATGCGAGGTCGAAGGTGTGCAGGCGGTTTTTTACCAAATCAACCAGTCCGCCAACGTGCATACAATTAGTTCCTTAATCGGTCATGGCATTTTATTACGGTTGTTATATTTACATATCATGTTTTATCAGGCCTCCTGCTCCCACCTTGTTCTCAGCTCGATGAACCAGGCCGGCAGGTTCTCTTCTCTGGGCAGCCGCACCCGCACAGACGCCGTTCCTGCCGGCTTGTAGAAACTCACTCCTGAATAGCTGATGCTTTCCTGTCTCTCCTGTCTGTGCTTCCGTTTCTGGCGACGCATCTCCACCATCTTGAGCAGCGTTTTGGGGATCTGCGGCGACATCGACACAGACAGGTGCGGGCTGTTGCTCAGGTCTTTCTCCAGGCTCTTTGGCTCCTCGACCACCGTATTTTCCTCGTCCTCGTCGTCCTGATCGACCATTCTCTCGTACGGCACCAGTTCGATGCTCACTAGCTCCAAATAATTCTCCACCGCATAGTTGGCCTTGTTGTTGGCAAAAAGCCTGTATTCGTTGGAAATACTCGAGTAGCTCCATCTCTGGACACGTCTTAGCAACCCGATCACTACCTCGCTCCTATCCACCAACAGACAGTCGTGGTACGTCTGGTAGTCGAGCAGGATCTGGAACGTTTCTGCTACCAACGTAGGCCTCAGAACCATCCAATCCTGGAACCGCATGCTGTCGGTATCTTCAGGAATGACGCTGGACTCTTTCAGGTGGCACAGTCGCACATGGTTGTCCTCGATATACTGATTGATTGCGCGAGGCGGCTTTTCCTCATCGAGCCAAACAATAGTAGACAGCCCAAGCGTTTCCAAAAAAGGGGCATTGATGGCATCGAGCGCCGAACAGCGATAAAGACCGTCCTCGACAAACGCAAAGTTGTCTGGAGGCACGAGCATTAAATAATTATTTTTATTTGATCACTATTTTTGAGCTATGAATATTATATTTATCCACCCTGATCTGGGAATCGGCGGTGCAGAGAGGCTCGTTGTCGACGCTGCAATGGCTCTGCAACCTGGCAACCAGGTCACCGTGTATACTTCTCACTGCGATAAGTCGCACTGCTTTGAGGAAGTCGCCTCAGATCGGCTGAAGACAAAAGTGCACGGGGATTTCTTGCCAACGCATATATTGGGAAAGTTTGCAATCCTGTTTGCGTTTCTGCGCCAGTTGTATCTGGTGTCTGTGCTGGTGCTCAATGGCACCCTCAAAAAGGCAGAGGTGGTTTTCGTCGACCAGCTATCTTACTGTCTTCCATTGATTCGCCTATTTAAAGGTCCACAAACAAAGGTGATTTTCTACTGCCATTTCCCAGATAAACTGCTTGCATCTCACTCGGGGCTGATCAGAAAAATCTACAGACTGGTATTCGATGCTATAGAGGAGTTTTCAATGAGGTTCGCAGACAAAGTACTTGTCAACTCAGAGTTCACTAAAAAAACGGTCAAAAAAGAGTTCAAGAGCCTGAGCACCGAATCGTTGAGCGTGGTATATCCATGCGTGGGAGATATATCCATAGAAGACACGTCTCTCAAAGAGGTGGACAACTTTTTCAAAGACAGTCCATTCTTCCTCTCCATCAACCGGTTCGAAAGAAAAAAGAATATTTCCCTGGCCATCAGAAAGTACCACGAATTCATCAGCAGAACCGCCTCGACACACAAGCTCGTCATCGCTGGCGGATACGACCCCCGTGTGTTCGAGAATGTGCATTACCTGATAGAGCTGGAGTCACTTTGCGAGAAACTTGGCCTGCCTTCGATCACCATCAGAGGAAAGCTCATTGTGGCTCCCAGAAATACACAGGTTTTTTTCCTGCCCTCAATCAGTAGCGCCACCAGAAACGCGCTTCTTGCCAGATCTCAGCTGCTTATATACACGCCCTCCTTTGAGCATTTTGGAATTGTCCCTGTTGAGGCCATGAGGCTTGGGAAGCCTGTCCTAGCGGAAGCTACCGGCGGCCCTACGGAAACTGTTGTGCCCTATGACCACAAGGAGTTTACAGGGTACCTTGTGGGTATTGTGGAGGACCGCTGGGTAGAATACATGGAACATGTCCAGACGTTAACGGAAGCAGATCTTGAGCAACTTGCCAAACGGGCCCAAAGCCGTGTTGAGAGGCTCTTTTCGTCCAAAGCCATGGCCGTCAGTCTTAACAAAGCCATAGAGGAGTGCAAGCCAACGAATCGGAACGGCGAACTGGTGATGTTCGCGTTGCTGGTTTTAAGTCTGGGCGCTACAGTCAAGTTCGTGAAAGGCGTCTAGTTTACTCAACTATAGAAAAATCTTCACTCAGTGTCGGTCACAATGACCTCTTCTTCGCGTCGTTTCAGCGAACGGAACCAGTCCAAGAGAGTTTTAAGCTTCTCCATGGTGATCGGATACTCAATGATGTAGTCAAAGACACCTGTGTTGACTGCATCGCGGTAAAAAGATGTCAGGGCAACAACGATTGTTTCTGAGTTAGCAGTGGAGGTGTGTTTGATCAGCTTTACGAGGTCCGGACAATCGAGCTTGTGGAGTTCTGTGGAGGTCAGGATCAGATCGAACTTTACGTCTGCGGTGGCGCGTTTGATAAGCTCAGATCCAGAGGAAACGGCCACAACGTCACAGCCAAGACGGTTGAGGTTGTTCTCGATAGAGTAACGGTGAATCGGAATAGGCTCGCACAATAAAACGTCGAAATTAATCATCATGTTCTGTAGCGCATGCGAGGCCTCATCTGTAGCAGACGACGAAGTACGAAGTGCTCGTTTCGAAGACCGTTTTCTTCTTTGATATAAGTGGCCCGCGCGGTCCTCATTGTCGGACGACGAAGGCGAGAAGTCGCTCACTGTCCGGGAAAAAGACTTGGACAGCAAACGCGCAGCAGGGGAGTTCGAGTCGGTGCTGTACCCCTTCCTGTGCAGCGAACGGGAAACAGGAGACCCTTGCTTGATCTCATCGGAAACATCACTAGCCAGGGAGGCATTGCGCAGAAGAGGCGAGATCTTCTCTTTCACAATACTAGGAGACGAGGGACGTTTGAAAGGAGTCAAGAGCTGGCCGCTGGCAGAAGACAGACCACGGGGACGAGTTGCCAGAGGAACCGCTGTGGCGCCCGGAGTAGTAGGTGCCGAGGGCGAGCTTTCCATAGGGCTTGGGGACGGCGCAAAGTGTTCAATGTGCTCATTCTTCAATCTGTTGATGACGTCCTTATTCTGTTTCTCCAGCATGGCAAGGTTTCTGAAGTGGAAAGAGCCAAACTCTGAGGATCCACCATTATCGTTTAGTCTCGAGCCTCTTCTTTCTCTCTTTCCCGCCACACAGCCCTTGGAGAAGCTGTTTTTTGGCGAGTCGAGCGTGGTTGAAGAGGAGCTGGAGGTGACTGGCAGAGTGTTTGCCTCGAGCGTTGCTTCTGGATTGTCATCCTCGTTGAGCTCGTCCTGGGGAAATGCACTCAGCTGTGCTCCTCGGTCGTCAAAGTACTCTGTGGATTCCGGATCGACGCTGCTTGGAACAAAGGAGGCCTCCTCAGTGAATAATGTATCCCAGTTAATGCCTTTGAAATAAGGGTGCTGCATTATTTCATGAGAACCGCTACTTCCGAGTCTCTGGGTTGGATCTTTCACAAGCAGCTTGATAATTAGGTCTTTTGCGGCAAAAGAGCAATACTCCTGAAATTCATCTGGAGACAGGCTGGGCCATTGGATCTCGCCATGGAGAATATTTTCGAACACCTCCTTTGGACTGTTTCCGGCAAATGGAGGTACTCCAAACAGAAACTCAAATAAAATGCATCCAATAGACCACCAATCGCTAGCTTCATCCTGACCCAGACCGGCAACTGTCTCGGGTGCCAGATAATCAGGGGTTCCGACGAACTTCCGAGTCTCTGCTGATTTTTGAGGATCGAAAAGAGCGAAATTGGTAATTTCCGTTTGCGTATCCTCTTTATTAAGGGCGAAGGACGGTTGCAAGGTTGATCTTCTGGTCAATGGGCGTAGCAAAGGAGATGAGCTGCCACTTCCAAGACTCACAGGTTCGAGCTCCTCAAATACAGGCAGAGTGCTTGTTGTCGGAGTGACAAGCGGCGAACATGGCGACAGCGAGAACGGAGTGATGCTGGCGGGTTTCTTGGTCACCAACGACGCCGTTTGCGGATTGACAAACGGATCATCGATGACGTCCGAATGCGGGTCCTTCTGTCTTTTGACCAATCCCATTCGACTAAGACCAAAATCTGTAAGCTTGATATGTCCGTTGCGATCGATGAGAAGATTGTCTGGCTTCAGGTCACGGTGGACGATACCACGGGAGTGCAAGTCGTCAACACCAACAATGACTTCTGCGATGTACCTTCGTGCCCAGATTTCAGGCAAGTAGCCCATGTTTTTCAAAAGCGTAGCCAAATCACCCCCGTTGAGATATTCCATCACCAAGTACAGATAGTTGGTACTCTGAAACGTGGCGACAAGTTGAGCGACATATGGCGAGTTAGCTTGCGCCATCAAAATGGCCCTCTCGGCTTTCACGTTTGTAACCTGATTCTTGGCCACCATATCTGCCTTCTTCAGCACCTTGATGGCAAAATATTCTCCAGTCAATCTCCTCTTGGCAAGGAACACAGAACCAAACGCACCTTTGCTGATGGGCTTGATCACTTCGTAGTCTTTGATTGAAGGAGCGCTCTGTTTAGAACTCTGCGGGACGAGCAATGGCGATAGCTGTGGACGTTCGACAGCAGATGAAGACGAGGAGGGGATATCTGTTGATAAGAAAAGCGGCGAAGATATTGGCGTATTTGACCCTGATCCAGAGTTCACACTAGGGCGTTTCATGTGTGCTTTCGTGTTGCGTTGGATTGAGCTCATAGGAAGCATAATACTAGGAGAAAGCGGTCTGCGAGGCGAATTGTATCCAGGAGAGTTACTGCGTTGAATTGTCTTGGCAGAGTCGTCACCAGAAACACTGATTGCCGGTGTCAAATGGCCCTCCGACGCTGGAGAAAAAGTACCAGTACTAGAAGACACCGAATTCAGCCGCAGATCGCTCTCTGTTTCCAAGATGTTGCCTGAATGTAGCTTGGAAGCGGGCCTTGGAGACTGGATAGGCAGGGGCTCTTCCAGAGCGTCTTCCTGTATTTTTCGAATCGTCTCCTTCACAACGTTCAGGACCATCTCGTCGGTCTCTTTTGTTATTTTGTCGACATATTGCAGTATGTGAGCGTACCTCTCAATGGACTCGATTTTCTGCTTGACAACAAAATCAGTGTCTTCGGTGAGCAGCTTTATAGCCTGGTCGCTGGACTCGGGGACTTCGATCGTGTTCAAAGTGGCGAGCGCACGTTCACTGTCGGGAGAGAACGAGATTGTGTATTCGTCAGACTTTCTGTCGTCGGTGCGGATCTCTCCAGGGTTTATCTTCAAAGCTTCATCGCAGTACTGAATAAGGATATCAAGATTCTTGAAGGGGAACCTTCTGGCGGGGAGCAGGCTGCCCACACTTTTTCGGCGCATCAAATTTCCGGTCTCGTTTGACGCAGAAAGAGGAATAGAATGACCTTTGTACTCGGTTATCGAAACAAAACTTCCTGACGAGCTATTAGAGGAGCTGCTGCTGCTGGTGGATACCGAAGAGCTAGAGCTCACAGGAAGCAGGGGCGGCGTTTTTGGATTCTGCAACTGTCGCTTCGTGAGTGTGTCTAGGACGTTTTGCAGCAAATTCCTATGCTCGCTGAGCTCTTCCTGTTTTTGCTGAACGGTATCTTCTGCACGGTGTTCCACTAGACAAAGCTCTGTATGACATTCCAGCCACCAGTTGGGCACCCGCTGCTCGCATATGCGACACAGCTCCTGAGCAGGGGGCGGCAAATTCTCCTCGTCAACTATGCCCATGTCGGTGAGTTGGAACAAGTATGCCTCAAACAGGTTGATTCCAAAACCCAGCCTCAAAATCAGCTCCTCCGGAAGAGCCAGTGTCTGACTGACAAACGGCACCCACGGCTTGACAATCCACATTGAATGCGAGGGTCTGCGGTTTTTGTCGTGTATGAGAACGCCCTGAGCTTCCAGCTCAATGCAGTTGCCGTCTGTCGATATGCTGGAGTTTTCCGAGTGCACGCTAACGGAGTCATTGTCAGAAACTGAGGAGTACGTTTCCTGATCGGTGTTTTCTGACTCTCTTGAGGCGTTTTGTAAGTTCGTCGCAACTACAAATCTCACGCGGTAGGTATCGTCATCGGTCATCATGATACTGGTGGCCTTGTTGAAGACCTGTTTGTCCTCGATCTCGCCCAATATGATATTACTCAAAGGCCGGCCTATAATCTTGCTTATTTTCGTTCCCACCGTGGACTCCCAGGTCTTGCTGAGAAACTTGACGTTGCAGTCCAGGTCGAGCTCCATCACGGCTGCCGGATTGCGCGACGTCACCTGCGACAGGTGCTCCTGCTCGGCATGCTGGTGTATTTCTTGATCTATCGAAGGACTGTCCACATCCAGAGGCGACACGGACCTTGACGGAATGTGCGATCTCGCGCCCGTGTAGAACATGGAATCAAGCCGTCCGCGTGGCGACGGGGTGTGGCGAGGCGACGACGAGTCGCAAGGGTATGATTCCATAGATTTAGTCAAATGATTCTCATTAACAAGAGACAAAAAAGATGATTGTAATTTATTTTACATTTATTCGTATACAAATATTAAATGTGTGCCAGCCTAGTCAATTTCTGACGCAATCCGCCGACCAACGAGATGCGCCGTGTAGGGAGTGTACTTGGTCTTGCTCTCTTTGAACAGAAACTTGAGGCTCTGGGTGCCCTTGCTGACCTGGCCGCCGTACTCTGCCCCCAACATTTTCGGGTCCAAGTGTTTCGCTAGGTCGGCGCCATTGCTCAGCACAACAAACTTGTTGCGCGTCTTCTCGGCCACAAAAGGCTTGATCACGTTGAAAACCCACATCATCAGCGTTGGAACGTTCACAAAGAACTTCTTGGACAATAGCTCGGGATAGAAGTCTCTGAACACCTCAATGACCTTCTTGGTGGTCTTCTTCACCTGCGCATCTCTCTGGAAAAGCGAGACTCCCTTGTAATCGTGCACTTGCACCATGTAGTCGTTTTCGCGGCTTGTGAAGTCCAAGAGCTGCACGCTTTGCTCCATCAAGCCTACCCTCCATCGCAGGAACGCGTTTTGGCCCGCAGTGTCCGATTCGTCAGTGCCAAAGATCTCCTTGGCGTTCTTCACCTTGCCGTACAGATTCCATGTCACCACCTTCTCCAACGCCTTGCCATTCGGGTCGTACGTGATGAATCCGATGTCGTCGTATTTCGACCCATGGTCCTCCACAAAAGCAGCACTCAAAGGGTCAAACTCCTTGCGCCACTCCAGAATCTTCTCCAGACTGTCTTCGGCAGCCTGGAGGTCCCAGTCGTACGCTGTCAGAAGCTTAATGAGCAGCTGCTCATAAGCCTCTTCATCGAAAAACTCGCCTCTGCTCAGTTGATACCCAAACAGCTCGTCGTACTCAACGTCGTCCACAATCACCTGGACCTCTTTTTTGAACGCCGCCAGCGTCTTTTGCTGTGCAGAATCAACCATCGAGCTAAAAATTAAATTAAATAAATTAATCATTCATGTCGGACTTACAATCTCTGCTCGAGCCCTATCTACAACTTCTGCGACCTTACACTTTTCTGATGCCAGCATGGCTGGAAAACACCCTCATTCAGATATACGGACCCGAAGTCTACTACTCGATAATCTACGATCTGCGGCCGTTCGATCGCCGCAACCAGTTGTACTTGCAATTGTTCGCCCAGAAAACTGCAGAGCTGGTGTTACGCTCGGGGATCTTGCTCCCGCAGCTTCTGAATCTTGCAAAGCACAGAAAGCCAGCCAGCTCCACAGCGATCTTGAGCTACATAATCACGCTGGTCTCCAACATAGTACAGATAGTCTATGGAATTCGGAGCCAGAACGGGTTCAAGGTTGTCGAGTACGCCATTCAGACAGCACAGGCGGTGCTTGTGGTGTTTCTGATGCTTAGCTTCTCGAAAAAGCCGCGCTGGGGCCAGTCGCTGGTCATGGCTTTGGGGTGGCTGATTTACTGGTGCAGAGGTGTGTCAGTTCAATATCTGCAGAAAGCACTTACTTTGCTCAACGCGGCTGGACTAGTGAATTACCTGGTTCTGTTGACAAACAAGCGGCGCGAGAACCTTGCCAGTCTGGGGTCGCTGGGCGGGAGCCTGTTGCAGAACGTGGCGGCCAACGCATATATGTTGCTGGGATTGCTATTTATTGCGATCGGGCTGGTAAAACGCGCTCGATCGCGTCGTTGACGTGCTGGATTATCAAGAGATGCACTAACGCACAGAAATAAACCGGAACCACGTAAGCGAAAAAATTTAGACACGTAAAATTTAATACCATGTCCTTTGCCGATAGAGAACAGCCAAAGACCATCTGTCTTTTTGACGTTGATGGCACCCTGACTCCAGCCAGACTCACCATCTCGCCAGAGATGAAGGCCACCTTGCAGGCCCTGAGAAAGAAGTGTGTTATTGGATTTGTTGGAGGAAGCGATTTTTCCAAGCAGGTCGAGCAGCTGGGCTCCGACGTTCTGGACCAATTTGACTTTTGTTTCAGTGAGAACGGTCTGACCGCCTTCAAGCTTGGAAAAGCCCTTCCGTCCGCGTCCTTTATTGGCTGGATTGGCGAGGCCAAGTACAACGAGCTGGTCAAGTTTATTTTGAGATACCTTGCCGATTTGGATCTGCCGGTCAGAAGAGGAACGTTTGTCGAATTTAGAAAGGGTATGGTTAACGTTTCTCCAATCGGAAGAAACGCCTCCACCCAGGAGAGAAACGACTACGAGAAGTACGACTTGGAGCACAAGATCAGAGAGAAGATGGTCCAGGCTCTCAAGGACAATTTCCCTGACCTGGCTCTGACCTACTCCATCGGCGGCCAGATTTCCTTCGACGTGTTCCCTACCGGCTGGGACAAGACCTACTGTCTGCGTCACATCGAAAGCGAGGGCTTTGAACAGATCCACTTCTTCGGTGACAAGGCCTACAAGGGCGGTAACGACTACGAGATCTACACGGACGACAGAACTATCGGACATGCGGTCAAGAACCCTGAGGACACCCAGGCCATCTTGAAGGAGCTCTTCAAGCTATAATAGAGATATATAATCGACCCGTCAACTCATCAACCGAACATATGCCAGCACCAGGGCAAATGTACCAGTACAGACACCAAAAAGCCATTGCATCACCTGTGTTTTCACAGACTCGATTTGGACCTTCATATTTGCGATCTCCTCGTCGATTCGCGTATCGGTTTCCTTTATCTTTAGATCGTAGATCGAGTTCTCCTCGCGCACCCGTCCTTTTTCGAGATTTAGGTCGAGCCTCACTCCCGACAAGCTCTTGTTCATCTCCTCTTTGAATTTTGTGCGCATTTTCTCCAGGTCGCTGCGTAGTCGTTCGTGTTCGTTCCGCAGGCTGTTGAACTCCGACTTGTCGATCATCTGGAGCTCGCCCTTCAGCTTAGCAAAATCCACTTTCTGCTGGTAGGACATCTTGTTGAGCGTTTCCTTGGTTATCAGATTGGCTGCATACTTGTCAATGCCATCGTTGATGGCTTTGCTCAGAATTTCCACGGCCGCGTCTGCCTTTTTGGCGTCGAAACCCGAATTCCTGAGCTGCTGGACAAAGGAGTGTGTGTCAAAATGCGGCGTGTTGAGTTTCGGCGAGAAACTCGAAAATCTGCGAACGGAGGCACCAAGCATTAAATAAAAATAAAGTAAAATAAAAATAAAATACTTTTTCCCGATCTACATGTCTCGAGAAAGATTTGAGGGCCTGCGTGAGGATAGAGCCTCGGAGGCTGTGCCGGACACAAAGAGGCCCAGGCACGATAAAGAGACTACTGTAGCCGATCGACGCTCGCAGATGCCGGAAATGGGACACAGAGACGACGACGAGGTGATACAAGAGTACGAGGACGATTTGAAAAGCGAGCTCGAGGCGCTGCATCAACAAACCCAAAGTGCCATCAAGAAGCTCAGAAAGAGCAGAATCGAGTGATAATAAAGGTTATAATAATTAATGTACCGCTTCTACGACTCTATGTCGTAGTACGCATTGTAGAAGTACAGCACGGAGAAGATAAAGAATGCAATGGCCCCTCCTAAAGTGACGCTGCGCATACTGATCTTAGTGGCCAGCAATTGTCCTCCAATCACTGCCATGCCCGTGCAGAGCGCGTGGCCAACGACGCCTCCCAGAATAACCATCCAGTAGTCAGAGCCGGCAGCCATGGCTATGGTTGCAATTTGCGAGCGGTCTCCCCATTCGCCCAAAAAGGTCATTGCAAACGTTTGCACCCAAACCGGCGACAGAATATAGGATGCAAGGTTGGACACGTGAGACAGAGCCTCCTTCCAGATCGGCTTCTTCGCAACTGCGCCCGGCACAGCGGCCTCTTCCAAACGTCCCGAACGCTGGTTCAGGGTCGAAACCTCAATTTCCTCCTCAACCTCTGCGAGTTCCTCGTCTATTCCGGCGTTTTTCGACATGGCCAAGCCTTCTCTAAGCAGACTGATTCCGAAAACAACAAAAAGCACACCTGCCAAAAACTGCGTCAGCCGATGAGGAATCAGGCTCGGCAAAACGTGTCCCACAACACCCGAGAGAATTGTCATGAGGGCCAGAGCAGCCAAAGCGGAGGAGAACACCACCATTCTAGGGTGCTTCATGGCCATCAATGCGGCCACCAAAAAAGTTTTATCGCCGATCTCGCTGACCACAATCATGGAGGTCGACATGAAAAACACCTCTGAGTGGCGTGGCAGCTCTGCTTCGACGTCCAATGCCTCCGAGCCCTTTGCTGCGTCGGCCTTGAGGTTTTTCAAATGTTGATCCAGCTTCTTGTCGTCCTTTGCTTCCGTGGCCTGGATCGTCACCAGATCCGCATCGCTGATCGATTTGCCCCCAGAAACCGGAGGATACACAGCATTCACGGAAGCTAAAACGGCTGCCAGAGCCAGAAGATTGTGCGCCTTCATGCTAATAAAGATGAAAAAAAAATCTAAGCCTTTTTTGTTAATAAACGTTCGTGAGTCTCAGAAATTGGGACCTAAAAATATGTTGGAACCATTCCATTCATGGGTCTAAAAATAAATAAATACCTACTTGAATATGAGGCATGTAGCTCAATGGCCATGAAATGCCTCTTTCGGCATCGGATTGTTGACAACCTGACCGTCCTTAACTCCACCGGACTCGTACCATCCACCGTACTGCATGCCACCGTCTTCGAGTCCATTCTGCCGTTTGTATTCTCTAATCCGCTCGATCATCAGAGGCTTGAAATTTTTCACAAGTCCCTGATACGGCCAACTGAAGGCCTCACCCATGGCGCAAATAGAATGGCCTTCCACCTTCTTGGTTAGCTCCAATGCCTTATCGATTTCCTTTTCCTGGGCCTGGCCAACATAAAATCTGTCCATCATTTTCGACAGGTATGTAGAGCCCTCTCTGCATGGAGTGCATTGACCGCAACTTTCGTGCTTGTAGAAAGCCAATAGCCGCTGAATGCCGCGCAGGACGTCGGCCTGTTTGTTGAACACAATGACTGCCGCCGTGCCCAATCCTGATCCAGCGTCTCTGAGTGCATCATAGTCCATCAGGATGTCGTCGCAAGTATCCTTGTTCAAAAGAGGAGTAGACGACCCGCCCGGAATAACCGCAAGCAGGTTGTCCCAGCCGCCCTTGACTCCACCACAGTGCTTGTCTATCAGTTCTCTCAGAGTGATCGACATCTCTTCCTCAACCGTGCACGGCTCGTTCACGTTTCCAGAGATGCAGAACAGCTTGGTGCCCGCGTTTCTTTCGCGGCCAAAGCCGCTAAACCATTTTCCACCACGCCGACAGATGGTAGGCGCCACTGCTACCGTCTCGACATTGGTAACCGTGCTGGGACGTCCAAATAGTCCCACGCCCGCCGGGAATGGTGGCTTCAGTCTCGGTTTGCCTGCTTTTCCTTCAAGAGACTCGATGAGCGCAGTTTCCTCCCCGCACACATAGGCCCCCATTCCTCTGTGGATGTACACGTCAAAAGCGTAGCCGGTACCGCACGCATCAGGCCCCAGAAAGCCGGCCTCGTACGCCTCATTGATTGCGTGCTGCAAGGTCACCGCCTCGTTGTAGAATTCTCCCCTGATGTAAATATACGCTGCGGTTGCATTCATAGCTCTGCCTGCAACAAGACAGCCCTCAACCAGCTTGTGCGGCTCTTTGCGCATGATTTCTCTGTCTTTGCAGGTACCCGGCTCACCTTCATCAGCGTTGACAACCAGATACCGAGGCCCAACGTTCTTGTTCCACCCGGGAGGATTCATGAACGACCACTTGAGCCCGCTGGGGAACCCTGCTCCACCACGTCCCCGCAGCCCAGATGCCTTGATCTCATCGATAATCCATGTGTCACCCTTGAGCAGGATTTCTTTGGTCTTATACCAGTCGCCGATTTTCATGGCAGTCTTGAGATCGTAGCTGGGGGTTCCGTGTTTCTTGGAGTTCCCCAAATACAAGTTCTGAAAGATCCTGTCTTGATCCGCGAGACCCCCGTAAACTCGGTTGGGTGTATCTTCCACCGTGGCAAACGACCTGGCCATCACTGCCACCCGCCTGGTCAAACCGCTCGTATGTCTTTGGCCAAATTTTAACATAGCAATTGCGGTGGGGTAAAAAAAAAGAAGGGAAATTAGCCAGGGAAAAATAGCTACAAATTTTAGCGTATAGTAGAGAAATTATTCATAAGCTTATAAAATTGAGTTTGCGTAGGTGGTAGAAGTCATTAAGAGCTCTTCTCCTTTATATTTGAGCACTTCTGGCCAAACTGTTCACAGTCTGCGGGTTAGCACGGCGAGTCAGTCAATACTTACTTGGTCGTGTTACAGCTTGGACACTTGCAAGCGGATCCGCACTTGCATCTGGTCTCCTCCTTGCCGCCACAGCAGGCAGATGGTCTTGACGACTTGTCAGACACGGAATCCTGCGGACGCTGAATGGTATTTTGCGAGCCCCTGTTTCCTGAACATCCACAAGCCATGATGAAAAATAATGATAGACAGGGAAAATACGCTTCTTATAATGCGCCGATATCTTGTGCTTTTTAAGGAAGGATGATACGGCGGACAGGACTGCCCGATAAGGAAGCTAGAATCACGAAAAAAATAAAATATATTAGGGAGATAATAGAAATATACAAACAGTCATTTAATAAATACGTATTCGTGATTATATTTTGGATGGAGAAGAAGCCTTTCTTTTGATCTCCTGAACCTTCTTTCTGATCAGCTCTCCAATGATAGGTTCAGCCTTCGAGAAGTACTCGTAAACACGGTCCTGGATGAACTCGTCGGCGGCGGAAACATGGTTTGCAACATTCTTAACAAGCGATTCCTGTTCGCCCGGCGTCTTGCCAAGAACCTTCCAGAACATCTTTGGCTGGAAGTAGTCGTAATCGGTGTGTTCCCAGTGGTATGGAACCACTTCTCCGGAATACTTTTCGTCTGGCTTGTTTCCAGAAGCCTTAGGGCTCACAGCGTACTGGATAGGACAGTTGTAAGCGTTTGCGTAGTTAGGCGTGCCGCCCAAGTTGCCGTCAACACACATAGGACCGTCTCTGTTGATAGGAGTAAAGGAGCCCGACTTCAATGGACAGTTGACTGGAATCTGGTGGTAGTTAGCTCCGAGTCTGTGTCTGTGTGTGTCTGGGTACGAGAAGAGTCTCGATTGCAACACAGGATCGTTCGAAGGCTCCATGCCAGGAACGGTATGCGAAGGAGAGAAGGCAATTTGCTCCGTTTCGGCAAAGTAGTTCTTAGGGTTCTCATTCAAAGTGAATCTGCCAAAGTGTCTCAATGGGAAGTCCTTGTGTGGCCAGACCTTGGTCAAGTCAAACACCGAGAATGGCAGCTTCTTAGACTCCTCAAGAGTCATGGTCTGGATGTAACATTCCCACGAAGGGTAGTCTCCCTTCTCAATGGCGTCCCAAAGGTCTTGAGTGGTGTAATCTGGATTTTCTCCAGCCAACTTTAGAGCCTCCTCGTCGAGGAGGTTGTGCACGCCCTGGTTGGCTTTGAAGTGGACCTGCACATACACCCACTCGCCCTTAGAGTTGTACCACTTGTAAGTGTGGCCAGAGTAGCCGTTCATGGTTCTGTACGAGGCGGGGGTGCCTCTGTTGGAGAAGAGGTACATGACTTGGTGCAGAGACTCGTCATTGGCCGTCAGATAGTCCCAAAACATGTTTGGGTCCTTCAGGTTCGTGGCTGGGTTTCTCTTCTGGGTGTGAATGAAGTGGGGGAACTTGATTGGGTCTCTGATGAAGAAGATAGGCGTGTTGTTGTACACCAGGTCCAGGTTTCCGTCCTCCGTGTAGAATTTGGTAGCAAATCCTCTAGGGTCTCTGGCTGTGTCTGCAGAACCCTTTTCTCCACCCACAGTAGAGAATCTCGTGAAGATTCTGGTCTTCTTGCCAACCGTGTCGAGGAACTTGGCAGAGCAAACATCGGTGATGTCGTCAGTCACCTCAAAAACACCGTAGGCTCCAGCACCCTTGGCGTGCACCACTCTCTCTGGGATTCTTTCTCTGTCGAAGTGGGAGAGTGTGTCAATGAGCTTGAAGTCTTGCAAGAGCAATGGGCCCATTGGAGGGGCATACTTGTAGCCGCTGGTGTCCAGAGGGATGCGCTGGGTGGTGAAGGGATCCGACAAGGGACAGCCTTGCGAAGTGGTGAAAACAGGGGGGTTAGTCATTCTGAAAGCAATAAATTGATTAGCAGAGTTGGGGTGCGGCCAGGAGCCTTTATATAGTTTTGCTCACGCTTTCAATATTATCGTTGCCCCCGCCTGCATGCATAGACTATTTATTATTTTACTAATTGCAAAATTGCTGACATATCTGAGGAGAGTTTCTGGACTTGGTGAATTATTAACAAGGGGCAATCTACAGTTGCTCTCCGATCATGAGATCCAGACTTGCTGCTGATGACCAATTGTGATTAAGGAACGACACCACGCGTTGTTCACCCGCTCGTGGCACAGCAAAAACCACAAACCGGTCGAGCAGATTTTCTGGACTTGCTGCGTTTGTGGGGCCAATTGGATTGCTTGAATTTGTAAGGCTGGATTAGGAAGTCGCAATCATTGCAGCATCGTTGCGGTGCGAGGAGGGATTGATTTAGGCTACGGCTTTTTTTTTTCAATCCAAAACGGGCTGTGCAATTCTCTTTTTCGTAATGGAGTTCTCTCACAGACTGTAAGTAGACACCTTGGTTTCTGACCGTCTAGATCGTACCGGATCCCGTTCTGCTCGGCGAAACAGGCCTGCATTGCACAGGGCTCGCTCCAGCCCGATCCGACGCTCAAGCCCAGCGAGCTGCAGGCTGTCTACACCGTCGACGACAACGTCCTCACCATCACGTTTGACGGAGTTTCCGAGAGAGTGATCAGAGTCGCGGCAAACAACACCATCGAGAACCTCAAGACAGTGATTGAGTGCTTGGAGGAGTTTGAATAAAGTCGTGTTAAATTACACCAGTCTCTCCTCAAACCTAAGCTCGTCCAGAGGCTCGAGACCAACGAGAATACGCAAAAAGTTGTCCAGGCCTTGTCTCTGCTTGTTGAGCCCGTTGATGGCCTGGTAGCCCGGCCGGGTAAGCGGCGCCTTGAGCCAGTAGCTCAGGAAACTCAGCACAGAGTACATGTCGGCATACTTGTCGTCAGAGACCTTTTTGTAGGTGACTCTGGACAAAAACTCGGTCATGACCAGCAAGTCGATGATGAGAGGCGTGGCCAGCAGTGAGTCCTCGCAAACGTTGTGGATGCTGATTCTGTTGTGGCCGCCCAGCATCAGCTCGGAGTAGTACTCGTCCATTGCGACCTTGGAGTCTCCGACAGCGTTCAGGTACTTGATCACAATGCAGTGGTCGATCTTCTTGCCCAGCTTGTCGTTGTACAGAATCTCGTTCGACGCAATCACATCGTCCACCACAGACGCCTTCGAAATTTCCTTGGACCGGAACTGTCTAGGCGAAGACAGATTGTATCCATCGTTGTTGCCCAGATGGTTGTATGACGCAATGGAAACCGGCCGAATACCGGCATCGACCAGAAACTGTGCCAGCACAGACTTGAGCTTGGTCTGGCCGCTCTTGAAGTCGTCGCCGCCAATGTAGGTGCGGTTCTTCTCGGCAAGCTCGATGACCCCAGGAACAAAAGTGTTCTGCGGACTTCCGTTGATGTACGGAACGTGCTCCAGAATGCTGGCCACAGCAAACACCGTGCTAGGCGCGATCTCCTCGTGGTCCTTCCTGATCGACTCGAGCAGGTTTTCTGCCGTGTCGTTCACACCTGACACCACATCCGCGTATCTCTCGGTGTTGGCTGTCCACAGCACAAGGACCTTGTCGAGCTTGTTGGCGGCCTTGAAGTCGCGGATATCCTTTCTGATGGTTTCGACGTGGCTCCACTTGCCAGTGGTGTGGATTTCGCCGCTGATTCTGTTGAAGCAGTTATTTGCTCTTTCGTCCTGGTTGGCAGCAATGAAGTCTGGGTAGTAGATTGACTTCAGCGGAACGATCTCCTTCATCTGGTCCTTGAGCTTCTCTTGAAGGTCGTACTCCAAGACTTGCGCCTTCTGCATGGCGGCAGCGAGGTTGTCGCCGTTGATGTCCCATCCGCCAACGACAAAGTCGTTAGGGTTGACCATAGGCAGCAGCGAGTTGAATGGAGCGTACACATCCTGGCCCTTGGAGTCGACGCCGAGCTTGATGGTGGACGCCTGGGTGACCGAGCCGTAGTAATTGGCGGTCTTGAGTCCCTCCTTGGTGTGGAATTGCCTTTTGTTCTTGTTGGCAAGGATGGAAGCAACAAACGTGGTTCCGTTGTTTCCGCCTAAACCAACAAGCATGACGCCCACTTTAGGCACTTTGAGGTCGACCTTGAACTGGTACGGCTCTTCAAAAGGTTTGACGGCAAAAGAGCCGTCGGCCTCCTTGTCAACTATGGCGTTCTTGTACACATAGTTGGTGACGAGCTCGTTTTCGGAGAACTTGGCTTTGTCTGTCTGGACTTTGACTTGAGGGACGAATTGGACAGTCATGATGAACTTGATGGTTTCCCAGGGGGCGCAAGCATGCGTATTTATAGCGCGAGCCGCCGGATGTGAGCTGGAGCTGCCCTTGTAGCAGGCCAGCACAACTCGGCGCTTTCGCCGAGAAGCGCGCACTGTGATTGGTCATCGGCGAAAACCCGATTTCCCAAAGAGGGAATTTTCGCCGTAGAGTAGCCCCGCGCACCGTGGCCTCTCCCAACAGCGTGTGCTCGCATAATAGCGGCAGAACCACAAAGAACCCTCTTTCGCCACGTTTGAGATCGAATTGGGAAGGTGTGCAACAGCAGATTCGCAAACAACAACACAAAGTCGTCTCTCATTGGAGGAACTGCCATAGTTGCCCCTGACGCTTTGGGATTCGCGTTGCACACGGTGCCAAAAGGCAGCAGGAATTTGTTGGAATGTGTTGGCTTGCTTTGGTGTACTCCCGCACACGGTTTCAGATGAGCCTCTCTGATAATTTATTCTGTCACTTCAAGCATATACTACATGATATAGACCATTCTCGATTACTGGTAGGCAGCAATTGTACTGTACCCACATGAAACCAGGCAGTGACACTTTCTGTAAGTCTCCAAGGTGCCTGTCATTATCTGACTGCTCCGTATCTTTAAGTAAGCTCCATCTAAGATGGACTCCTCACACCAAATATTTTTATGGATGACCAGAGTTCGCAAATAACAGTAAGAACGAGCACCTCGACCATCCGCGCGGCCTCCTTGCATGGCGATCCGTCTGCCGGCTCAATTTCTGTCTCTGTGCCGGAAGAGACAGAAGTGGACGACGACGACGACCCGCTAAAAGTCAAAGAGCTGTCGCTAGCTTTTGACTATCTCATGTTCAAAATACAGGATCAAGCCAGCCAGCTGAGCGAACGGGTCGAATCGCACGTTCTGCGCTCGAAATCAGAACACGAACGTGATATCCAGGCGATCCAGGACAAGCTGGTCCAGATCAAACAGTTATTGGGCCATTGCGACCAGATAAACTTGGAAATAGATAAGCTCGAGCAATTGAGCATGATTACCAAAGAATTCAACCAGCGTCTCACAGCGGTGCAGAGCCGAATGAATGCCCACGCCCGAAAATTTAAATAATGCGTTCGTTAATTCTAATTTACACTATCACGCCCCGTCATACATCTACTGTCTCTTCCTTATAGCGGCCAATGGCCTTCTTCACATGTTGCTCCTCCATCATTTTCTGCTTCAGCTGCTCAAGTCGAGTCTTGAACCTCACGCTGGCTAGAACAGCCAGGGCCACGGCGCGGAAGGTCAGCTGGGGTTTCTCCTTGCTGATTCCGCTCAGTTTCTGAAGACTGGCCACGACGCGCTCTTTGCTCTCCAGCTCGCGCGTTAGGAAATTGGCCACAAACTTGAGGTCAGAGTTGCAGTCCTTATACTGCTGCAACTTGATTTTGAATAGCTGTTTTTGGCTCTCCAGCAAATTAACACGCGGGTCCGAAGAGTGGTCTCGCGACTTTGGCGAGCGCTGGGGACTCACTGGAGAAAGCGGGTATTCAGTCCTTTTCATCTGCTTGCTCAGGAGCACTTCTTGCGCAGCCTTGGAGCGCTCGAGATTCGCACGCATCTCGTCTAGCTCTTTGGAAAGAGCAGTTTTCTCTTTATGAAGCGCGTCGTACCTGTTGAGTAAGTCGTTCTTCATTTCGTTGTAATCATCCACAAGCTTCTTAATCTCCATATCCTTGAGCTCCAGCTCCTTTCGCGAGCTCCGCGAGTTCAATTTGTATTTCAAGTCCTCAAGCTCGGTGGTGAGTTTCAAGTTTTCTTCGCTGACACGCTGTTGATCGCTATCAAGCGACGAAATCGACTCCACAAGCTGTTTCCGCTCCTCCAGAGCATCGTCGAGTTTCCATTTCAGCTCGGCCAGCTCTTTCTTCGTGACTGAAAGCTCCGTTCTCAAACCATCGCGCTCCCTGCGCAACTCCTTCACCTCAAAACTATCTGGCTTTTCCAGGTCGTCCCTTGCCTTTAGCGACTCAAGCTGTCGTCTCAGCTGGTTGTTCTCACGCAAACTATCACTATACTTCTCCTCCAGCAGCCTCTTGTCCTCCATGAGCTCGCGGAGCTGAAGTTTGCTCTCAGACTTGTGCAAGCCAGCTTGCTCATTAAGCTCAGAGGTCATTTGCTCGATACGCGACTGTAATCTTTTAGCTTCGACCTCTTTGTAAGACAGCTCTTCTTTTAGATCACGCACCAACGAGTCGGACTCATACCTAACATCCTCCAGCTCCTGACATTTAGTGGCATAGGAAAAAGATAGCTTTTTGAAATCGCGCTCAAGATCCTGCAGCTCAGAGTTTGCTTGCGAGTCATGCATCTTGTCCAATAGGTTGTTGTACTCGCGCTGAATTTTCTCAAAGTCTTCGACGATTTCGAGCTTTTCCCGTTGCAGCTTATCGATCGTGTCATACAGCTCGTTCTTCTCGTTAACAAATTTGGAATCCATCTTGTCGATCTCGTTCACAAACTTATTGCGTTCTTGAATAAGTTTGTTCTGTAATTCTTCAACAGTATCCATCATATCATTTCTGCTGCTACCGCGATCAAGTTTCCTTAGCCGCTGCAACTCCAGTTCGCGGCTTTCAAGGTCTTTGGCTTTGGTCTCAAGCTCGCGCTGCAGATGCTTGCACTTGTGCTCAGCGTCCTTCAATTTCTCATTAAGCTTGATGATATTGTCGTACAATGTATTTTTCTCTTCCTCAACAGCATCGATATACGATTCGTTGCCCATGTGGTCTGCGGTATCTGACTCCAGTTTGCGGATCTCTAGCTGTAAATTAGTGATGGTCTTGGTGTCTTGCTGATGGCGGCTGAACAGCTCTTCCACCTCTTGTCGTAGATCTCTGTTTTCGTCTTCAAGTTTGCGTATAGTGCTGTTTGATCTGCGGTCTTCCAAATGACGAATTTCATCCTTGAGCTGGTATAGGATTTCAGACAAACGGTGGTTCTTTGACTTAAGATCTTCGTTTTTGGATTCCAGGCCCTCAATCCTGCGCTTCAACTCTGCGTTTTCGCTTGTTTTGTCCTCAAGCTTGCTGCCAATCTCATCGATGAACTTGTTGGCGTCGTTCAGATTGTCCACGAGGTCGTCTATCTTGCTCTTGGAGCGCGACTGGTCGTCAATATTGTCCTGCAAATCCTCCAGCCGCGACTGCAGTGCTCGGAGCTCGGCTTCGAGCTTTTCGCGCGAGGCCTGTAGCTGGTCTTTCTCGTCCATCAATGCGTGCACTTCTTGCTGTAGATCAAGTGCGCGGTCTTCGTTCTTGTCTGCGCGCTGACGCTCGGCCTCCAGCTCGCGTTTCACGTGCTCAAAGTCGCGAAGTCGCATCTCGTATTTCTCAACTTCCTGCTCGTAGTGTCGAAGTTGTTTCTCATTGCGCAATAGCAGGTTCTCCTTGTCTTCGCCTCGCAACCGCTCTTGCAAGGCGTCCACTCTATCTCTCAAACTCACATTTTCCTGGCTGAGCTCAACGTTCTGATTGATGATGTCAACTTTGTCCTTGGGCTGACCTTCCAGGTACTTTCTCAGAGTCAGCAGCTCGATTCGTAGATTCAGGTTCTCTTCCTGCAAATTTTGCACCTGATCGTGCTGTTTCCGCAGCAAATTACTGCCATCTTCCACAAACGCATGGTCTTTGGCGTCGTGCACTATTGGCTCCGTCTCGTTGTCGGAAAAATCAGGCAAAATGTCTGCTCCCCTAAAAACACGGTCGTCTCTGTTGTCGTCATTTAGAACATCGAACGTCTCATCAAATGATGAGTTGGTTATGCTGCTTCGCTTGACAGGCGAGCCGTTCTCAACACTCGTTTTCTGCGCCATGTTGCGCTGCAGCATGGGGAAGTACCCGCTAGTGGACATGACGGGTTTCCTATTGGCCCCTATCGGCGTAAACTCAAGCCCAGAGCCTCTCTGGGCCCGTCGGCCTTCTCGGGGAGTATTAATAAGAGACTTGTGGGACGAAAACATGTCGACAACGCGCAACTTCGAGCCCAATGATAACAAACTCTTGTTTGTTTACAGATGTTTTATTTTTTTTTGCGCGTCGTCAGTTTCTAAACATGTATTACATAATCACACCGGTCTATATATCGTTGACTGCCTTGACAAAGCTATCCAGTGCCTGCTTTGCGGCGCCAGAACTCACACTTTTCCGCGCAAGCTCAACACCCTCTTTCCAGGACGTCGCCAGGCCACCCACAACGGCCAAAGCTCCCGTGTTCATCAGTATATAATCGACAACTGGATGTGCTCCCGGTGACAGGTCAAGCTCGTTGTTGAGGATTTTTGTGAGCAACTCAGCATTTTCCCTTGGCGTCCCAGAGCGCACCAGCTCCAGCGGGTGCTCAGGCAGCCCGAAGTCGGCGGGATGTAGCTTGAACTCGTCGATCTTGCCGGTCTTTTTGTTATATCTCCAGACTTTGGTGGCACCGATCGGCGCGATCTCGTCGAGCACGACCTCGCCAAAAACTACCATGGTTTCTGCTGGCTCTCTGCCGCTCTTTCTGTCCAGTTTGACGGCTGCCTCGCAGTAGATCTTGCCGAGCGACTCGGTGTAGACGCCGAGAATACGGGCCTTGATAGGAATTGGGTTGAGCAGCGGCCCCAAAATGTTGAAGATCGTCGGGATGCCGAGACTGGCGCGCACGGGAGCCACCTTGGCCATCCCGTGGTGGAAAGCGGGCGCGAACAGGAAACACAGTCGCGACGACGCGACGATTCCGGGCACGCTCTTGGAGTCCACCTTGTGCAGCTCGACGCCGAGATTGGTCATGAGGTCGCCGGCTCCCGAGGTCGATGTCGACGCCTTGCCGCCGTGCTTGCTCACCTTGAGCCCCATTCCGGCGCCGACGATGGCAGCAGACGTGGAGACGTTGAAAGTGTTCTGGCCGTCGCCGCCAGTCCCGACGACGTCGACGTAGCCGTCTGGGTCGACGGTGTGGCCCGGAATCACATCGGAAAACTGCAGAATGGTCTCAACGGCGGTGGCTATGTACTCTGAGTCGAAGTCGAGGCCGCGGATCCTGAGAGCGGTCAGGAAGGAGGCCAGCTCGATGTCGTTGGTCTCGCCCTGGAAAACGAGTCGCAGGGCGGCCGCAAAGTCGTCGACGGAGAACGACGCGGCGTTGTCCACGAGTTTGCGGATGTACGGTGTCAGCACCTTGGACATTGCAGCGATGATTTTTATCTACGGTTGGAAAAGTCCGCCATATGCACCCCTACACCGCTTGGAGGACATGTTTGTAGATTAATTTGGAAAAGAAAACGCGTTCGACAAATTTACACAACAAAACGGAAACCATGTCTCAAGCCGCTATTGAGCCGATCGGTATCACGAATTTGCCTAACCAACGGTAAGTAAGAGTGCCTCCCAAGACTAACCCAATAGGTACAAGATCGTGTCGAAGAAAGGGGCCACGTTCACCATTATGCTTGCTGGCGAATCTGGACTTGGAAAGACAACGTTCATCAACACATTATTCCAGACGACTCTCAAGACACACCCCGAACTGCGCAATAGACTGAACAGCCCGATCAGAAAGACCGTGGAGATCGACATCGTTCGGGCCGAGCTGGAAGAGAAGAACTTCAAGCTGAACCTCAACGTTGTGGACACGCCAGGGTTTGGAGACAACGTCAACAACAAGAACGCCTGGCAGCCGATCATTGACTTCATCGATGACCAACACCACTCTTATTTGAAGCAGGAAACCCAGCCTCTGCGTGCCAACAGAAAAGACCTACGTGTCCATGCCGTGCTCTACTTTATTCGCCCCACCGGCCACACGCTCAAACCCCTGGACATCGAGGTGATGAAGAAGCTGGGCACGCGTGCGAACCTGATCCCTGTGATCGCCAAGGCGGACACACTGACCCCTAACGAGATGCTCGAGTTCAAGAAGAGAATAAGAGAGATCATCGAGGTCCAGGACATCCGGATCTACTCGCCGCCAATCGAGCTGGACGACCAAGCTGCGTCGGAACACGCCAAGCAGCTGATCGAGTCTATGCCGTTTGCGGTGATCGGGTCTGAGGAGGAGTTCGAGGTGGACGGTACCTACGTGAAGGGCAGAAAGTACCCGTGGGGCTTTGTGGACGTGGAAAACGACCAGCACTGCGACTTCAGAAAGCTGAGAAGCCTGATTCTGAGAACCAACATGCTGGACCTGATTCTGTCCACCAACGAGCTGCACTACGAGACATTCCGCACCATCAAGATGCAGGACGGCACTCAGGGCGACTCTGACAGCACGGCGGCTCTGGACAAGAAGCTCGACCGGTTCTCAAGCAATCCGAAGTTCCTGGAGGAGGAGAAGCGCATCAAGCGCTATTTTGCAGAGCAGCTGAGAAACGAAGATCAACGGTTCAAGCAGTGGAAACAGAACATTCACACAGAGAAAAACAGATTGAACCACGATCTGGCTACTCTGCAGAACGAGCTCAAGACGCTTGAGGAGCAAGTCAAGGCCTTGAAGGAAAAGAAGGGACGGATGTAGACACTTTTCATCAAAAGGATTAAACACTACTTATTTACGCAAAGTACGCTCTGCTAACCTCAATCTTTAAATTACATCTCTCTAATCAGCATTTCTCTTGGCGGCCTTCTTCTGGGCCTTTCTCTCAGTACCAAAGACCTTCTTGCCTCTGTTCTTCTTCTGTTTTCTTTGTTGTCTGGAGGCCTTCTCAACCTTTTGGGCAAGACCGTATCTGACGAGTCTGTAAGCTGGTTCGAATTTCTTGGCGTCGGCAACAGAGTTGTAGACGAGACCGAATCCGGTGGACTTTCCACCACCAAAAGCGGTTCTGAAGCCAAACACAGAGACAGAGTCCTTCTCAACTTTGTAAAGAGCAGACAGCTGGTCTCTCAACTCGTCCTTGGACACGTTGGCTCTGTTTGGGTGGATGACGTCGATGACAAATTGTCTTCTGTTCAACAGTGGGTTGGTGATGACCTTTCTGGTTCTGATGGTGATGGCGTCAGACTGCGATGTTAGTTTCGAGCTCATTCTGTCTACTTACCATTTTGTTCAAGATACTAATTTTTTTCGTCTGAAAAACTTTACAAAAATCAGATGGCGCGAGGTGTCGGTGCGAGGTGGCGCCAAACAGTCACACGTCACTTTCTATGTAAAAGCCGGGGGCCTTGAACATTAGTTGACGAGCAACGAGTCTGGGGCTTCCTGTGCCCGGGAATCGTAATCGAGTGTCTTACGTGGAACGGTGTTGCCTGAAAATCAGTATGCTGCATCAAACGTACTTTTGCTATTAATCTATTTCGTTACTGTTGCGCACGATAGCTGCTACTTGCTGCTACCCTAGGCCCTTATTCTCAGCGCAAAGTTCACAATCACAGCAATCAGCAGGAAGAAACAGAGCATTGTAGGGCCGAACCGATCGTCGTAAGGTCCAGACCCGCGTCTTCTGATGGCAGCGGCTCTCCAATGGTAAGTGACAAGTGCGTAGATCATGGTGCCCATGGCGATCAGCGTGAACAGCGAGGCCGAGATTCTCCCCACTTTGTCACCAAAGTTGAGAAGACCAATAGCCAGCGATCCAAGAACCACGGTGAAGTTCAGCCACGAGAGGAATGTTCTCTCGTTGGCAAAGAACACCTTAGGCTCGACCCTGGTGGGCAGAGCGATTCGCTTGCCGGGAGCTATGTGTTAGCACGGCCGCAACGCGGCTATCCGCGATCCTTTGTACTTACTAGCTTGTAAAAGCGGTGCCGAAGACATGGAGAAGAATTCAGTCGGAGCAGCAGTAAATTTATTGTTATCACACGTGCCCTAGATATGCCAACTGACGTGCTGACGTAAGCACGAATCAGCAAATACTTTACTTGATTTTCTACGGTGCAGAGATGGCATGTCTGCGTTGGAGGTTGATTTACTCAACGGCGACAAACTGGTAAGTTTGCGGGGCAATTGGCTCTAACTTCAGCCGGTGACCAAGGCAGAGCTTTCGGAGCAGCTGGACGCGCTTTTCAAGGGCGACGTTTCCGAATACATCGAAAACGTGCTGGCCAAGCTGACGCAAACATCTTCCAAGTACAAGTATGTTGTGAACGCGCACCTGGTTGATTCCAAGGAGGCCGACTGCGGCATCCAGTCATTTTTCGGTGCCGCGTGGAACGGTTCCACGGACGGCACGGCTACACTGAAAAAAGAGCTGGACAACGGATGGCTAGTGGTTACCATAGTTTTTCTACGGCGAGAATAGATAAGAGTTATGACTATTTTGCTTTGAAGTTGGACATGAACGTTGGCGTGAAGTTCTCGGGCTTGTAGAGCTTCGAGATGTGCATGCATTCCCCGACGATGAATTTGATCTTGCTGTCTTTGAGCCGTTTGCATTCCAGCACCGCTTTCAAAAAGTCGACCGGCAGATCGTTGAACACCTCCAAATACCCTGGCCACGCGTCAACGTACTGCTGCTCGTTCTCGAACGTGGCGAGGTAAATGAGGATATCGAAGATGTAGACGTGGTCCTCGATGATCTGTGTGTTTTCGACGTAGTTGGAGAACTGCGTGTTGATGAGGTGTCCGTCGCGCTCCATGACCGACTCGAACTTCTTGGTGTCGATCTTGTTTCTGGCGTTAAGTGCCTGTAGATAGTGCAACAGGTACGTGTCGTAGACGAGCTCAAACAGGGACTCAAACAATTCTGCGTCCAGATATTCTTTCAGCGGAACCATATAAGAGTGCACAATCTGTAGCGACGTCGTCACCATATCGTCGCTCTTGTACCACCTTTTGGTGAATACCTCGCTCAGGTACGGGTCGTACTCCACCACAATGAACCCGTTGAGTTTGACCAAACACTCTGTGCCGAGGTTCAAAACATGCTGTGTGCCCTGCGAAAGAATGCTCTGGAGCTGGGGATGGAATTTCGAGTGCACCATCTGCTCCACCTCTTTAAACTGGCTTTCAAGCCCGTTGACCAGCCGAACACAGTCGTTTGCGAGAATCGTGACGTACCGCGGTAGCCAGCCGACGTTCTCGTTGTCCGGGGCCTCTGCAGCGGCGTTCCACTGCTGCGCACCGTTCTCCAGCGCCTGGATCCATCTGTCGTAGAACTGTCGCAGAAACTGCGCGCAGAAAAATTGCAGGTACTCTATCAGGATCGGGCTGTCTCCGGCGTCAAGCAACGTGTTCAAGTTGGAGCGCAGGATCTCGATCAGAATTTGCGCCATCTCGATTCCAAGCTTCTCAGAAGACGAGTCCGACGGCTCCTTCTCCATGGTACTGAAGAGCTTCAACGCTGGACCAAACGCGTTCTCGGCCCATTCGCGGGTTTTCTTAACATTGAACTCCAGACACTCGTTGAGCAGCCGCTTGCGCTCGTCGGCGCTGAGCAACATGTACGGCTCGACCTGTTTCTTCGTAAAGCCAAACTTTTCCTTAATAGCCTGCGCATTGTCGTAGTCAAAGGTGAGCACACGGACAATATACGACGAGGGCAGCGTTGGGTCCGCCACAATGCGCTTCACAACAGCACGCAGACTGTTCTGGTACCATTCCAGAATCTTGTTAAAAAACTTCCAGCTCGCCGGGAACCCACGCTCCGACCCAACCTTGTACGCCACGAGGATCTCGTAGTAGTTCTCCTCGATAATCGAGAGCACCTCGTTCGGGTCCGAGCCTTGCACAATGGCCTCGAAACTCGTCTCGATCGACTCGCGGAAAAACCCGTACACCAGTTTCTTGTAGTTGCGCGGAGCAGTGCGTTTGACGTAGGTGGCCAGCCTGCTGACAGCCATTTCGTCTTTGCTTTTCGACTGGCTGATGAGATGGTTCATCAGCGCAAGTCTGAGGTCCTCTCTTTCCTCGTACTCGAGGATTTTCACCAGTTTCACTATGAGTCCAAAGTTGGAACACCCAATGATGCTCACAAAGTTGTCGACGATGAGCCGCAGCAGGTGCTCAAAGCGAGCAACGACGCCATTCAGACGCATAAACGACTGCACCACAATCGACCGCAGACCCGCGCGACTCGTTTCCGACAGGTGCATGAGCTCGTCCTTGAAGTCGCGTAGTCTGTTGAGCTCGTAGTGGATGAGCAGAAGGTTCTCTGCTGGAGAGTCTTCCGGGAAATAATCATTTTCCGGAAGTTCCTTGTCAAGCAGCTGGTCCACGTAGGCAAGACGGTCCTCTAACTGGACGAAGTTGTTGTATGTGGCCACAACTTTCTCAAAATTCGAGTACACCACCGACGACTTGTCGAAGAGCTCGTATTTGTTGATATTCGAAACAGATTGCTGTCGGAGGCTCTCAACCTTGCTGAGATTGTCTTTCAAACTTTTCAAGTCTTTGCTGGACGCCTGTAGGTTCTCTAGGACAGCGGTGATGATGGCGATTCTCTTGTCGCACTCGATCTTCAATTGCGACCCGACCGACGCTTTTTCTTTCTTCAGGTCATTGCGCAGCGACTCGATGCGCTCGAGGTCGTCCTCATCGCGCAGCAAATCGTTTACTTTGGAAAGTACCGAAACGTCGGGTGCCATGTAAACAAGAAAATAAATCAATTACAGGAATTATTATTTATTCGATTTATTTTTTCATGCCAGCTCCTTTCTGATAACAAATGCCTCGATCGCAGCCATCGCAGCGTACAATCTGTTTTCTCCCTCCTCGAAAACAATCGAGTTGTCACTGTAAAAGACCTCGTCGGTGACCTCCTCCTGGTGACGAGGAAGACAGTGCATGAACTTCCAGTTAGGAGCAGCCAGCTTCGTCAGCTCCGAGTTCACCTGGAATCCGGAGAACTGCTGTAATTTCTTCTGTTTTTGCGCCTCCTCGCCCATAGACACAGAAGTGTCTGTCACGATGACGTTGGCGTCGGTGCAGGCGTGCTTCGGATCATTTGTCACCTCGAAAGAGGCCCCTGTCTCCTGTGCGACCGTCTTGGCGACGTCGACGATGGTCGGGTTCATCTCGATTCCGCGCGGAACGGCAACCGAAACGTTAATTCCAGATCTCAGCGCAGCAACAGCCAGGTCGTTGATGACGTTGTTGGCGTCGCCGACCCACGCAAGCTTCAGACCTTTCGTCTCGCCAAAGGCTTCCTTGATTGTCAATATATCGCAAATGGCCTGCAGCGGATGGTAGGTGTCGCACAACGAGTTGATGATCGGCACGCTGGAATGCTCACACAGTTGCTGGATCTCGGAGTGCGAATTCACTCTGGCAAAGATGCAGGAGGTCATTGAGGACACGATACGGGTGGTGTCGTAGAAAGACTCGTTCACACCGAGTTGGATGTCGTCCTTGCCCAAAAACATTGGGTGTCCGCCGAAATACACCGCAGCACCTTCGGTTGAAATTCTGGTTCTGGTGGATCTCTTGGAGAACAGCATTGCCACCAGCTTGCCCTTCAGGGCATCGCTAATGTCAGGGCTCACTGGCAGGCCAGATTTGAATATACTCTTGTGGTGTGCCGCACGGCTAACGAGAGAGGTGAACTCGGGAGTGGTGAGGTCGGAAATCGACACCAGATGCTTGATACCTTTGGACATGCCCGAAAAAGACCTTTTAATTACCCTTGTCATAGACATCCTGGACTGCAGACGATTGTGGAGTATTTATAACTTGAGTCACCACGCAAAATTTTCAGGTTTTTCTTGGATCACCGAACAACATTAAGCGCACTTGGGACGAATTGCCAGATTCGGTAACAGGGTCGATCGACCTTTTATTGTCATGGCACTAGCATAAACTGTTCAATTGTTCTTCGATCTCGCGCCGTTGCACACCCAAGTCAGCGATTCTTTGTTGGAGAGCGGCTTGCTTTTCCGCTGCATTGTTCTCTGCCGCCTGCAAGTTGCTAATGTGCTCTTTCAGCCTGCTCACCTCGGCCTCGTAGTTTATCTCTTGCTCATCCTCTGAAAGCTGCGCCTGGTAGAGCGCTTCTTCGATTTCTTCCTGCCGCAGCAGCCTCTGCACACGCTGCTCGCCGGCTCCCACAGCAAAACGGCCGTCGCCGAGCCGCTCGTCCAGATCGATGTCGAAATCCATGTCGTCGTCGACGGTATGTCTCGTTTTGAACTCGTGCTCTGAGTCATAATCCTCGTCGAGCTCCTGCTGTTTTGCGCTCTCCAATTGGCCAAGCTGGGCTCTGTATCGACGCTCCTTGAGCTCTTTTATCTGTAATTCGTCAGGGATCTGTGTCGGTGCCTCCACCACCGCAGTCCCGGATATCTCCTCCGCATGATCGTTATACCGGCTCAGCATTTCCAGTGCACTTTTGCGCTCCGTGCTCGGCGCGTGAGCCTCATTCGTCACCCCCATTTTTATCCTGCTTTTGCGCATCACCTTGATGTCCAGATCAGCGTCTTCCTCCGGCTGTGGCGGCGACCCGCGCTCGACCACAGATTTCTGCCGCCCTTCGCCAACCTTGCGCTTCCTGCTTTTGAAAATTGGCCGTGCCGGCGTTGACGGTGCCTCGTTCTCATGATCGCTAGGAAATGATATTCGTCTCATCGTGCATACATATAAAAAAAATCAAAAAAAAAAATTGAGCATTCTTGACTATCAGAAATGAGCATCAAAACAGAAGAGTCCCGTGTTCCAGACACAAACGGGAGCTTTGCAGAGACGTGCACGAAACTCCACCGCGATATGCTGGCAAGGGGCCAGTCTTCCTACACCCAGGAGGAGCTGCTGGAGATCAGCAAAATGGACTCGAATCAGGAACTGATGAAATGCGTGCAAGAGCTGCTTAATAGAGGAATAGTGCGATTGCTGGAGAGCAAAGACCGTAAAGTGCTGTTTCAGCCAATAACGGAGGCCGAAGCTGTGAAAATCAACAACATGTCCAGCGACGAAGCAATGGTGTACTCCTACATCGAGGCAGCTGGACGGGAAGGCATATGGACGAAAACGATCAAGGCGAAAACTAATCTCCATCAGCATGTGGTTCAGAGGTGCCTTAAGTCTCTGGAAAGCCAGTCGTACATTAAATCCGTGAAATCGGTCAAATACCCGCAACGAAAGATATACATGCTATACCATTTGACTCCTTCCATTGAGGTGACTGGAGGCCCCTGGTTTACTGATAGCGAGCTCGACTCAGATTTTATCGACTCACTGCTGATTGTCATTTGGCGATTCGTGGCATCGAAATCGTACCCTAAATGCTTTAAGAAAGGAGGGATGGATGTCGAACAGTATTCGTATCCTGTTTCGAACAACCATAATCTACCTTCGCTTGAAGAGATAAGCCGTTTTATTGGATCGAGTGGCGTCACATCGGTGGAACTCAGCCTCTCGGATATAAGGTCATTGTGCTCTGTGCTGGAGTACGAGGAAAAATTAGTGCAAGTGGACAATCTGTACAAAGCAACATGGCAAAGCGTTTTGGAAGCTGGAGGTGGACGTTACAGAGGTGTCGACGTGTTTGCTCCTCAACACAACCAGATTTTCTCGATCAGTGACACTTATAGAGTCATGAATCCTCTGGGCGATGCGGAGGAAAGCAAGGGAGACACGCTGTTCTTGGACTCATGGATGAGCACATAAACTAGTAATATCAATAGCTTCCCATGGAATAATCTGGTGGAAATTTGAGCGTATGGTTGTAACTTGGGGGAGGCTCGACTCCCAAATGGCTTTCATGCCGCAGGACTTGCAATTTCGTTGACATGGTGAGCTGAATCCTCTTGTTTCGCAATGTAGCACTTTCGTCGATCATCGAAGCATTCGACATTGCCCAATCGTCATCGATGTTCTGGCCAGGCTTGGTGGACTCAGAGCAGATTGAAGATAGTGGAGGGTTCTGCAAATAGCTGAGTTCCTCCACCAGCAAGCTTATTTCCACGTTGTGCGATATCTCAAGGACTCCGTTGGTGTTGGAGAGTGTTGTTGAGGGATAGAGCAGGATGTTCTTTTTCTTGAACTTGATGTAGCCCGTTTCGATCGGAAGCTCCAATTCGAGGTCGTTGCCCGGCGGCTCCCGGTTGTACAAGGGAACCTTATCTTTGTGCACTTTAAGTCCCCTTCGTGTGTGTTGAACAAGAGTGATCTTGACGCGATGGATCCTGTAGCGGTCGTCATGCAAGGGGATGAGTTTCAGATTGATGCGAATGAAGTCTCCCAAATAGATTGTCTTGTTATTCACGGACATTCTGTAGATAAGCAGGTTTCTCCAGTTACCAAGTGCAATTGAGTCTTCAACTTCGGGATAAAAGTGGCACTTCACTACGGTAAGCAATGTCTTGCATTTCTGCACCTTGAACGTGGATCCAGGATTGGTAATTTCGGTTTGCAAAAAATAGCTAACATTGGCCATGTGGTGCGAGAAAGATTGGGGAGTGTTACCATCCAGCAAGAACTCAAACGGGAAGTAGTACGTGCCTTGCTCCATCCAATTGCAGCGCCATTGTCGTTTGGGGTTGACCTGGATTTCTGTTGATTTGTCGAGCTGCGTTTTCCCGATCAGCTGGACTGTGAGCGAGGGGATATTGATTTGCTTTTTCTTGATCCTCAAGACAAGACATCCTCGGATGGGCACCATCGTGTCAGGTTTGAGGAACACCTTGCGGTCCAGAAGCTGGATTGCCAGCTCGTAGCTGCGATTGCTAATAGTCTGCTTTTTTTGGAGCAGCTGACTGATCAATTGGGACATTGTCAAAAAAAGGAGAATTGGGCAAATAAAGGAGACAATGAAAAATATATTAAATATACTTTTTAGCGATCTGCATAGGGTACTCAACCGACGGTAGCAAGTGTCAACGCTTGTAGCCTGTTGTTCGGTCTTCGGTCTATAGGCGTGGAATAGGGAACGGAGACAACGGAGATATTTATGACTGGTGCATTCCGCAATTCACGGCCTTCAAGACGGCAATACATAGCAAGAATCCGTCCCTCAGGGTCCTGTAGCGCCAAATGCCCTAAAATTGTTCAGGGAGACAAGATATTTTTACTGGAGGAAACACAAGGTGTGTAGTTTAGAAAATTCGACGCGACGGATTTTTTTTTGCCACACATTATCTTTTCTCCATTCTTTGGTGTCCCTATTAGATGTCCTCATTGTCGTCCCTGCAAGGAGCTAGCGGCAAGCTGCTCAGGAGAATTCGTAAGTACAAAAAGTTTGATGCCCACTAACATTGCAGACCGCGCGTGTCGCCCGTCGCTGGACGAGCCGAATGCTGCACTGAACCTGGAGATTTGCGACCTGATAAACGAGAAACAGGGAAATCTGTAAGTATGACGACAGGGTCGACTAACACCGCAGCCCGCGCGAAGCAACAGTGGCAATTGTGAAATTGATCAACAGCAGAGACCCGCAAGTTTCCGAACTGGCTCTTTCGGTAAGTTAATTTTGATGCATCCAATAGTGCTAACGTGATATAGCTACTTGACTATTTGGTCAAAAATTGCGGGTATCCGGTTCATCTGCAAATCTCAAGAAAGGAGTTTCTGAATGAACTGGTGAAGAGGTTTCCGGAAAGACCTCCGCCTGTATACACCCGGACCCAAAGGCTGATTCTGGGCACTATTGCCGAGTGGGTCCAGACTATCTGTAAGACCTCCCGCTACAAAGAAGACCTAGGATACATTAGAGACATGCACAGGCTTCTCAGAAGCAAGGGATACGAGTTTCCTGCTGTCAAAAAGGAGGACGCAGCGGTTCTCAACCCAAGTGACAATCTCAAGTCGATAGAGGAGATCCAGAGAGAAGAGAGAATTGCACAGAGTGCCAAGTTGCAGGAGCTCATCAGACGGGGCAGACCACAAGATTTGAAGGAGGCCAACGAGCTCATGAAGATCATGTCTGGCTTCAAGCACGACGAGACGCTGGACGAGACCAGACAACGAGTCAACGAGGACGTGGAGAAGGTCAGCAGGAAAGCCGAGATTTTGGACGAGATGCTGAACAATGCCACAAACGCAGGAACGTTCGACTCCTCCGACGAGACCATTTCCGAGCTGATCAGTGCTCTGAAAGTGGCCCAGCCAAAGCTGCAAGTTTTGGTCCAGGAAGAGTCGGACGACCAGGAGCAGGTCGGACGCTTGCTCTCTCTGAACGACAAGATCAACTCAATTCTCCAAAAAGCCGACCTTCTGAAAGAAGGAGACGTGGCCAACGCTTCAAAAGTCAAGGTTTCGGGGGCAGGGTTCAACCTTATCGATTTCGACGACGAGCCTTCGCCTGCTCCGTCCAGCACCTCTGCCCCAGCTCCAACATCAAACGACGCCATTGCAGACCTTCTTGGGGACCTAGGAGGACTCTCGTTTGAGCCTAAGAAGGGAACAAGCACGGGCAACGAGAGCGTCGGAAGTTTGGGTGGGTTTGGTGCCATTAATTTACTCGACACCAACACCAGAGAACAGTCTCCCTCCGTGGACATTTTGTCAGGGTTTTCTTCTCCCGTGCAGAACACGGGACAATCTCAGCAGTCCTCGCAGCCAGCTGCATTAGACCCATTCCAGTTTGATTTCGCCTCTATTGCCAGCCAAACCAATACTGCTACCACAATGGTGACAGACGGCAGCCTAAAGATTGACTACGTCATTGACCAGAAACAGCCTCTGTCGCTGACCTTCAAGTTTAGCAACACCTCTCCGCTATCCACGCTCTCGAAAATACAATTCTCCATTGCGGTGACAAAAAGTTTTGAATTGACCATGCTGCCTCCGTCCGGATCTGCCATTGGCCCCGGATCCGGTCCGGTGACCCAAAAGGTCACCATCAAGCACAAAAACGGTGAGCCTTTCAGCTCCAGCAAAATCAAGTTCAAGTGCGACTACGAGGAGAACGGCACCGCCAAGGAAACAAGCGGCGTTGCAACAATTTCGTTCTAAACCAGATAGTTTCTTCACAGACTGTAAGAATAGAATTAGACGTCAAACGTTGTAGTTGCATCATGCTATACTCACTAATATACAAAGCGCTTCATCTCATGTTTTTCATTGTCGGTGAAGACACAAAACTGTTATTTGCCGATGACGGCACTGACGGCGACTGCTGGTTCACAACCGGGACTACGTTGGTTCCCGGTTGGGGCGAAAACCGTGTTGTAATCGCCGACGAGTTCATTTTCTTCGCATTCGACGGGGCAGACTGCGCGGGCTGCGGAGTTGCCGGCACAGGAGTCTGAGGATCTCCAGGCGGCTGCACGTGCTGCTGTCTTCTCTGTTGCTGTTGCAACTGGTGCTGCCGCAAAACCTGAATTTGCTTGCGCTGCTGTGGGGTCAGATTGGGGTTGTTGGCAAACATGGCAAGCTGCTGCGGAGTCAATGGCTGGCCAGCTTGCGCTGGAGGCGTCCCCTGAGACGGCTGGCCTTGCTTTGTCGGAGTGTTCAATTGTCCAGCAATTGCACCTCCATTGGAAGGAGCCAGGGGCTGCTTGCCGGGCTGCTGTGCTGTCTGATCTGCGGCTCTGTTCTGATTCTGCTGGTAGTTGGCTAGGTAAGCGACCGCCAAACGAGTGACCTGTTCTTTGGGCAGGTTTGGGTTCTGTGTCTGGATCTGGTTTATGATGGCAGACACTTGCGACGTGGTGAAGTTCACTCGCGACACAGGACGCGGCTGCTGGGATAGCTGCGCGTTGGCATGCATGTCCTGTGGGGACGAGGCGTTGCTGCCCATAGGCTGCACAGAAAACCCCTGTGGCGGTGCGATGTTCATTTGCGGCAACTGCTCCGGAGACTGGCCCGGCTGCAACTGCACCTGCGAAAATGCTTGAGGAGAAGATCCCGAATTTCCTGCCGTCTGCAAAACCTGCTGAGGAGTTGGCGTCGACACAGGCGAGCTCATGGACGAAGAAGGAGGTCTGCTTGGTTGTCTGGAGTTGTTGTTCTGTTGCTGTTGCATCATCTGCCGTTGACGTTGAATCATCAGCTGCTGAACCTGCTCAGGCAGAGGCGCTGCACCAGGACCCGTCGGCAATGGCATGCCACCCTGATTCGCCTGCTGCTGGTATATTTGTGGACTGTTGGCACGCATTTGAGCCTGCTGTGCTTCGGGAGAAACACTTGCCTGAGGAGCCATTTTGTTGGATAGCTGCCGTCTACCGTTCATTGCCGCCTGCGCAACAGCCGATGGTCCGGCGTTGGCTTGGCCGTCGGTAGAGAACGGGGACTTACCCGCTCCTGCAGCCAGTTGACGAGCGTTCGGCGGAACGCGCAGTCTGGTGAAATTTCCATTGCCACTGCCCTGTGCATAAGCTTCTTGTATTGCCCGATCACGTTCGAACTTGAGCTTCGACAGCTGTTCGGGGGTTGGCGTATCGGTTCTCTTCTCCTCAACGTTATTCTTTCTTTGCTGCTGAGGAGGTTTTTGAACGTTTTCACGCTTCTTCATCAGCTTCCGCATGGCATCGAACATAGAACCCCATCTGAGCCGCCTATGTCCCCTTTGAATAGACTCAATACCAACTCCAAGAGGCGAGATCCGTCTTTTCGTGGAAATCTGGACCTTGTGTGCTGCCTCCAGCCATTCTTTGGCAGCCATTGGATACAGGCCCCTCATATCGGAAAATTGGAATTTGTCGTTCAATTGGATGTATCTCTCGAAACACTGCCATGGTGTACGCCGCTCGATGTTCGACGTATAACTCCTTGTGGGTTTCGCGGACAAATGAGCAGAGATAATGTTCCAATTGAATGAAAAATCTGTCACATACCTTATGAGATACTTGTCGTCCTGTGGAAGCCAAATAGTTGGGATGCGAAGTTCCAAATTTTTGATGGAAGGAGGAGAAGGAGGCTTTAGAATGTTGAAACGCCTGTACGCTGGAGAGAACAGACCCTTCTGGTAAGGAACACTGTGTTTCTCTGTCTCCTTCTTCTTCTTGAGCACTATTTTTTCCCAATCAGGCTCTTCATCAGCAGGAGGCAGCATCGACGAAATGTGACCGTATTCGTACCTTTCAATAAGATGATCCTTCTCGGTTTCTTTGAATGGAGCGTAAGTAGACAAACTGTTAATGACAGTCGTCTCTGTTTTGTTAAACTGGTCTAAATCTGCATACATCTTGAATGGTTGAATGTCATCCCTATGTCTTTTCACTTGATCATATTCCTCACTAGAGTAGTTGGTATCATTGAAGGTGAGCAGAAGAGACGGGTCAATTGAAGGCTGCTCTTCTGATGAAGCTTCTGTGTTCTTACCAGGCTCAATGCTAGCGTGGGAAATAGGGTCCTTGGTCGTTTCTGCATTATCCTCGGAGGCCTCTGTCTTTGCAATCTCTTCCGACTCTGGTTTCACAGTGATCGACTCCAGTTGCGCGCTCGCTCCATCATCCACTTTGCTCTCTGAATCTTGAGGAGATCCCGCTGGCTTTTCAGTATCTGGGACTTCAGCAGTCTCAGAACTGTTTGGCGGGTCCTTTTCTTTTGGCACTGTCCGTTCTTCGATTTCTTTATCGCTTAAAAGTCGAGCTTGTTTTCTTCGCACACAACACACCTTTCCGTATTTCCAGTACTCCTTGACTGCACAAGCAATGTAATGGCATTGAGCCATTTTAAACCTTCTCTCCTGCTTGAAGTCAGTAGCCAGCCACTTCATCTCAGATAACAGATGATCCCAATGCGTTTTCTTTCCCGTAGCCAGAAAAGGATCTATAAACTTCTTCGGCTGTCTCAGCGACCAACTGTGCTTGCGTTTCAATTCCTCCATTCGAGAATACAACACAGATATCTTCCCCTCTACCAGTGCAGTCTCATAAGAGTCGGTGGTAAGGGATTTATGAGCCCTGAGTAACAGCTTGGGTAGTTGTAACGTCTGCTGGTGGTAATACAATTCCGTCAAAGAGCGTGCCTCTGGTACTTTGTGGGGCTTGAGTTCTGGCATTAACATGATCATCAGCTGATCCAAGTCGAGATGCTTGTAATCCAGATCGCGTTTGGACTTCTCGTCACTGCGTCTAGGCGGTTGGACCTGTTCGTAGGAGTGGATCAAAGACGAAAGCGAGCCTTCCTGAAGAGACGGGTCTGGCTGTGGTTTTCTAGCGACCATTGCCGTTCCCTGCATCTTCTTTTGCGCTTCTGCCGAAACCGCCGCCTCCGGCTGGCTAGCCTGAGCGTCCACTTTCTGCCGCTTTGTAGCAGGCTCCATGATCTCTGATGTCTCTGATGAAATTTGATTCTGGGGCGGCGAGAGTCGTCTCTGCTGATTCTCATGAGATAATATGGCGATATTGAACTCATGTCCGTTTTCCAGATCGTTTTTTTCTAAAAAAGCCATCAGCTTGTCCTCGATCTGTAAGACCTGGTCATTGGATATAGGCAGAAGCGGCAGTCGTGAGACGCAGTAGAGTTCGGCCAATTTCCTTTTCCTGTCATTGATTGCTTTGGTGCATTCCTGACGTCGGCTCTCAATAGCCTCGAGCCGGATCCGGTCCATGGAAAAGGAAGCACTGGACTCCGCCGCTTTCGTCTCCACAACGTCCGGCGCCATTCTGTTCTGTATGTTTAGGTGTGCGCCACCCAATTTTATCGTTGTCCTTTGCGCCACTGGGGGAAATTAGGCACTCCAAAAACACGGAAAAAGCAAGGGAAAAAGTCGTTTTTTGGTGATCACGATTAGCTGTCGGTGCGATTAGTGTGCTAAGCGCGCTATATATACCGAATCTCAACTAACTTTCCCTGTTTTGTTGCTCAATGAATGGGTTCCCCAGCCTCCTCTATACACGACAACTTTTTGTCGAAAATTTTTTGTAGAAATTGGGTGAGGAACGATCGGAACCAGAATACATCTCTACACCACACCCGTACACTGCCGCGTAGCAGCAGCAACGCCAACCGTCTGTCTAAGTGCCTCTGTCGTCCTCGACAATGACCAGCGCACGCCTTTTCCAGCGTTTAGTGCGTGTGAATCTTGTGAGCGAGTCTGAATTGGATGGCTCTTCCCAGCTGTTGTTGCAATAGATCCACCCCTCGCCTGGAGCAAATGTGTCGTCTGTTTTCCAGTTCGCGTCGAGCCATCTCCACCGGCAGGTTGCCTGTGTGATATCTGGAAATTGGAAGCTTTCAAGAGAGTCCCACGACTTCTCTAAATCCTCGGTGGTGAAAGGTCCGCGTTCAAAGGGAAGCAAGGTGTTGGACCACCCAACTCCGAGCCATCTTCGCTGATTCTGGAGGATACGGAACTCCACAGTCTTGCCTGTTCCGACGTTCGAGATCTGGAAATCGTTCAGCACTGTCAATTCGATGTCTTTATCGACTAGTGAGAATTTGAGACCTGTAGCAAATGTGAGTATTTTGCGTATGACAATGCTTCTCCACAGCAGATGTCGGGTCGCAACCGACCATGACGAGTGGAACGACAACCACGCAACGCCAAAGACAAGCAAAAATGATCTGACTGTGAATATCCGCGTCATTAGCCAGATGTAACAAGGTGTGATAGCTATAAGGCTGAATCCTAGGTTGAAATAGTCCGAGCCGGATAAGGACCCAAAACAGCTGAACGGCTCCACAAAGTAGCTAAAGCGCGCCTGCATATTGATCAGCGTGTCGATAATTTCTTCAATGGTGGGCGCAGCCGTCTCCGATCGCAAGTCGTCAATGGTGGTCTTCAGGAACCACAACGAGGCACACGTGCCCAAAGCTATGAGTGCGGGCAGTACGGTACACGCTACTACCGTCCAATATTTGACCACCATGATGTATATCGCAATGACAATGAAATTGGTATAAGGATCATCGTTTGTCCAGGTCAAGAAGGCAAGCACTTTATCTAGTAAGTAGATAGCAGGAAATGCGGTATACAGCGTGGATGTGATCATCGGCGGCATGTTCAAAAGCTGTCCCTTTGTTTTGGAGAGCGGACGGCGATTATCCGCAAAAGATGCACGTACATTGGGCTCAGACATAAGGAGAGGTCATAAATGGAGGGGCAAAAAATAATATAAAATAATTATATAATCTCAAACTTTATTTGTTTGGTGAAAACGACAACTAATATATCGGACATGTCTGAAGCAGAAACCGTCAAGGAGCCATCCAAGTCTGTCAAGACTTTGGAGGAGGATGATGAATTTGAAGATTTCCCAGAAGACGGTAAGTATGGGCAACGGTGTTGTATTTGACTAACAGCCAGACTGGACGGACGAAAAGTCGCTTGGAGCGACCCAGCAAGACCATTTGTGGGACGAGAGCTGGGACGACGACGACAATGAGGATGATTTTACCAAGAGGTTGAGGTAAGTGAAAGCTGGATGACAATTACTAACGAGCAGTGCTGAGTTGAAAAAATAGAGGTTTGCTATTACAGGTCAGAGTATGTAGGAAATGTCCTGAATACACACATTCACGCGATCACAAGATACAGCTGTAGTGGCTAGTAGAAGCTGGTGGTACTTTGCGACTTGTGAGGTTGTAGGTGCTCGTTGCCATCTGATTGCGTCGATCGACGCGAGGCCATATATGGGTGGCGAAGAAAATAATATTTTTACAATATTTACCAACATGTCGACATTGGAGGAGCTGGAAAACGAACCGCAATTGGAGATCGACCAAGAGATCTTGAACCTGTCGACGGGCGATATTATCAATAGGACGAAAATGATGGAGAACGAGATCCGTTTGTTCAGATCGGAGCTGCTCCGTCTCCAACACGAGAAAATCGCCATGCTTCAAAAGATCGAAGACAACAAGCTGAAAATTAAAAACAACAGGCAGCTCCCGTACTTGGTCGGCAACGTGGTCGAGCTCCTGGACATGGAGGCTGAAGCGGAGGCCAACGAGGAAGGTGCCAATGTCGATCTGGACGCTGCCAGAGTGGGTAAATCCGCCGTTATCAAGACGTCCACGAGGCAAACCGTTTTCTTGCCGCTGATCGGGTTGGTGGAGCCTGAGAAATTGAAACCTGGTGATCTGGTCGGTGTGAACAAGGACTCGTATCTGATCTTGGATCAACTGCCTGCAGAATACGACTCCAGAGTGAAGGCCATGGAGGTGGACGAAAAACCTACTGAAACCTACGCAGACATTGGTGGACTGGATAAGCAGGTCGAGGAGCTGGTTGAGGCCGTTGTTTTGCCAATGCAACAGGCCGAGAAGTTCAAAAACCTGGGAATCAAGCCTCCAAAGGGCGCCCTGATGTATGGGCCTCCAGGTACGGGCAAAACGTTGCTTGCCAGAGCATGTGCTGCACAGTCGAATGCTACCTTCTTGAAACTGGCCGCTCCCCAGCTGGTTCAGATGTTTATTGGTGACGGAGCCAAGCTGGTGCGGGACGCTTTCGAGCTGGCCAAAGAGAAATCTCCAACTATTATTTTCATCGATGAGCTGGACGCCATTGGAACTAAGAGATTCGACTCTGACAAGTCGGGTGATAGAGAAGTGCAAAGAACCATGTTGGAGCTGCTTAACCAGCTGGACGGTTTTGACTCCGACGACAGAGTTAAGGTGTTGGCTGCCACCAACAGAGTGGATACTTTGGATCCTGCCCTGTTGAGATCGGGTAGACTGGACCGTAAGATTGAGTTCCCGCTACCTTCTGAGGAGGCCAGAGCCCAAATTCTTCAAATTCACGCAAGAAAAATGACCTGTGACGATAACGTCAATTGGCAAGAACTTGCCAGGTCTACAGACGAGTTCAACGGTGCACAGCTGAAGGCCGTGACTGTGGAGGCAGGAATGATTGCACTGAGAAACGGACAGTCTGTCATCAAGCACGAGGATTTCGTGGAAGGTATCAGCGAAGTGCAGTCGAGAAAGAACAAGTCTGTTTCGTTCTATGCATGAAAATTATACACATCAATCGTACAAACAAACCTTCCCGTCGGCTCCTGCGAGAGCCACCATGCTGCTTTCTTGGGGATGTGAATCGATGCAGGTTATCGGCTTGGAGCTGACCTTGAGCTTGGAGATCAGCTCGGTGGACCTCCAGTCCCAGAAAAATGCAAACCCGTGCGAGTCGCCGCTCATTAGCGTTCTCCCGTCCGGCGTGAACTGTAATCCAATGGAGTAATTGGCGGAGTTGTGGCCAGTGAACGTTTTGTCTCTGTTGCGCTTGAACTTGTCTTCGGCGCTGGCCGTGAATGTTTGAATGGTGTTGTCGGAAGATTGTGCGACAAACGCAAAACCTTTGGGGTGAACTTTCAAGAACGGCATGGAGAACTGTCTGGGGTCTGCTATGAGTTTCACGGGCATGTTGACCTTGACCTCCCAGATCCGCAGCGACTTGTCGCTCGACGAGGACACAAAGTTTTCCCCATCGTTGATGAACTCAAGACTGTTGACCGCGTCTGTGTGGTGCTCGTACGACTGGATCACGTCGCCAGTTGTCAGATCGTAATGGTCGATTCTTTTGTTTGCCATGCCGACCAGAAACTCATTGTCGTTGTCGGGAATAAATTTGACAACGTTGGGGATGCCATCCAGTTTTTTCCTAAAATTGCACTCGCCGGTATCTGTGTTCCAAAGTTTGACCGTTTGGTCGTACGAGCAGCTCAAAAAGTGAGATCCCGAGGAATTGAACGTCACGCATTTCACAGGCTTCATGTGTCCATAGAATCCTCTAAGCAGTTTCCGTTTATGATATACGTCCCATAATTTGATTGACGAATCATTTCCACAGGTAAGTAGTAAATGGCCACTATTAGGAAAGAACTGCAGACATTGTACACCTCGTGCGTGTCCGGCAAACGTGTGGATCTTCTTTTTCGGCACGTAGCAGCGCTGACTGCCTGGCTCCTTATGTAAGTTGGTTTCCACGTCGTTGGGAATGTGCATATATGTTCTCCCCAGATAGTCGTATCGCGAGCCACCGTAGAACGTAGTCGTCTCTTCAGCAGTCGGTTCTTCCTCCGACTCGCTCCCAGAGGCCGCTTCTGATGCTGCGTCGACTTCTACTTGCTCTAGTTCGCCCTCGTCCTCGCTCTCGCTATAGCCGGCCCACGGTCCTCTGTACGCGTTTTCGCCGTCCAGCTCGCCTGGATCACCTTTTTTCTTGCGGCGACTTTTTAATTCCTTTGCACGCTGCTTGCGCAACTTGGATCGCTCTTTTTCTGGCTCTTGTGGGCCCTGTTCGTATACTCTTTTATTTCTCTGGAACTGTAAGCTGTCTATCACTGCTGTCTCAACAAAGCCTGTGACTGTCCGTTTTCCGTTTGGTTTTTGGGTGTCCGGCTTTTTTAGGGTCTCTACAACAGGCGCGGGAGCAAGCCTCAATTGCGAGCTGGGCTCGTCATCAGAGTCACTGGCGTATCCTAGCAGAGACATGCGGCTCAAAAAAATTAAGATAAAAAAAAAATAAAAAAAAATAAAAAAATCATATCCCTAAAACATGTCCAAAAGATCGCAACAGGAGTTGGAGAACGCCGACTTGTCGGATATTGACGTCTCTTCGACAGACGACGAAGTGGAGCAGGAAGACGAAGAGGCAGAGGAGATGATCAACGTGGACTTTGACTTTTTCGACCTAAATCCAAAGGTCGACTTCCATGCTTTAAAGAATTTCCTCAGACAGCTGTTTGGAGAAGACTCGGCATTTTTCTCGCTGTCTGAGATTGCAGATATGGTGCTGACCGACGGCCGTGCGGGGTCGACAATCAAGACCGACGGCGAGGAGTCAGATCCGTTTTCCGTGCTCAGTGTGATCAGCCTGACCGATAACCTGGAATCCACGTCGATCAAAGCTCTGGTGAAGTACGTCCTGGAAAAAACCAACAAGAAGCCCCAATTCAATATCGTTCTTCGGCAGCTTTTGTCGGGAAGTTCGAAGTCGCGCGTAGGACTCGTCGTTAGCGAAAGACTCATCAACATGCCTGTGGAGACTGTGCCTCCAATGTACAAGATGCTGTTAGAAGAAATTGAAAAGGCCGAGAACGCTGCCACCGAATACAACTTTGATTTCTATCTCGTTCCGTCGAGAGTGTACAAATTGGTTGCCTCGACGGTTGACCAGGAGATGGAGGACGCTCCGTCGTCCAAAAAATCGAAGAAGGCCGAAGTGCCCGCCGAGACGCTCGACTACTTCCATTACGAGGACGAGGTGCTGGAGAAGCACGCGCAGCACCACGGCTACTTTGAGTACACCAACAAGACGATCGAGGCGGATTCCAGAAGGGTGTTCAACGACTACGGGGTGGATCCAAAGCTGAGCTTGATGCTGTTGGACAAGAAGGGCTTTGAGAAGGCGGTGGCCGAAATGCAAGAGCGGTTTCCGCCATACTAGATAAGTAGACCAAAATCTCTAATTTCTGCCTCCAGATTAAAATACCAGAATCTGCACTAAAAAATTTTTATCAGATCCATATATAGTCCATGAAAGAAACTGTTGTTGATTTCACGCCCAAATGCATTTCTGGGATCGAGTTTGGCGCGTTGTCGGCAGCAGAGATCGTTGCCCAGAGCGAGGTGGAGGTGGCCACGCGCAACCTGTTTGATCTGGACCACGGCCGTGCTCCTGTGGCGAACGGTGCCCTGGACACCAAGATGGGTATCTCGTCGAAGAGCGGCGAATGTGCCACGTGCCACGGCAACCTGAACACGTGCCACGGCCATTTCGGCCACATCAAGCTCGCGCTGCCCGTTTTCCATGTGGGCTACTTCAAGTCGATCATCCAGGTGCTACAGACGATCTGCAAGACCTGCTCTGCGGTGCTGCTGGACGAGGCCAGCAAACGGCAATTTTTGAGCGACCTCAGACGGCCCGGTCTGGACAATTTGCGGCGCATGAAGATCCTCAAGAAACTGCTTGACCAGGCCAAGAAACAGCGCCGGTGTCTGCGATGCGGTGCGCTGAACGGCGTGGTCAAGAAAGCGGCTGCCGGGGCCGGTCCTGCCGCGCTCAAGATCATCCACGACACGTTCAGATGGGTTGGCAAGAAGGGCGCGGACGAGAAACTGCAATGGGACGAGGATTTCGAGGACCTGTTTGACGAGAACCCTGATCTGGAGAAATTTTTCAAGCGGTGCTTTGACGACCTCAACCCGTTAAAGGTGCTGAATTTGTTTAAGCAGGTGGACCCGAGCGACTGCGAGCTGCTGGGAATCGACCCGTCCAAGGGCGGGCGGCCAGAAATGTACCTGTGGCGGTACCTGCCCGCGCCGCCGGTGTGTATCCGGCCGTCTGTGGTGATGACCGACACCAACACGTCGAACGAGGACGACTTGACGGTGAAGCTGACGGAGATCGTGTGGACGTCGTCGATGATCCGGGCCGGCATTGAGAAGGGCATCTCGATCAACTCGCTGATGGAGCAGTGGGACTACCTCCAGCTGGCGGTGGCCATGTACATCAACTCGGACTCGGCGTCTCCGTCGGCTCTTTCTGGTGGCACGAGCACCAAGTCGGCCAAGCCCATCAGGGGCCTGTGCCAGCGGCTCAAGGGCAAGCAGGGCCGGTTCCGGGGCAATCTGTCGGGGAAAAGAGTGGACTTTTCGGGCCGCACGGTGATCAGCCCGGACCCGAACTTGCGCATCGACGAGGTGGCCGTTCCGGACCGCGTGGCCAAGGTCCTGACGTATCCCGAGCGCGTGACGCGCTACAACAAGGCCAAGCTGCAGGCCCTGATCATCAACGGCCCCGACGTGCACCCGGGAGCCAATTATCTGGTGAAAAAACACGAGGACGTGAAACGGAACCTGCGCTACGGCGACCGCAACAAACTGGCCAAACAGCTGGCCGTGGGCGACGTGGTCGAGAGACACATTGAGGACGGCGACATTGTGCTGTTCAACAGACAGCCGTCGCTGCACCGGCTGTCGATCATGTCGCATTTCGCCAAGATCCGGCCGTGGCGGACGTTCCGGCTGAACGAGTGCGTCTGCACGCCGTACAACGCGGACTTCGACGGAGACGAGATGAATCTACACGTTCCGCAGACGGAGGAGGCGCGCGCGGAGGCCATGAACCTGATGGGCGTGAAGAACAACCTGCTGACGCCCAAGTCGGGCGAGCCGATCATCGCGGCGACACAGGACTTCATCACGGGGTCGTACCTGATCTCGAACAAGGACACGTTCTATGACCGCGCCACCTTCACGCAGATGCTGGCGATGATGTCTGACGGCGCGTTGCACGTCGACATCCCGCCGCCGGCGATCTTCAAGCCTGCGTTTCTGTGGACGGGCAAGCAGCTGTTCAGTCTGCTGATCCGGCCCAACAGACAGTCCAAGGTGGTGATCAACCTGGACGCGAAGAACAAGACGTTTGTGCCGCCGCCGGCGGGCATGCCGAGCGAGATGTCGCCGAACGACGGGTTTGTGGTGATCCGCAACTCGCAGATCCTGTCGGGCGTGATGGACAAGTCGACGCTCGGAGACGGGAAAAAGCACTCGGTGTTCTACACGATACTGCGCGACTACGGCGCCGAGGAGGCGGCCAACGCGATGAACAGGATGGCCAAGCTGTGTGCGCGGTATCTGGGGAACCGGGGATTCTCGATCGGCATCAACGACGTGACACCGGGCGAAAACCTCAAGAACAGGAAGGAGGAGCTTGTGGAGATGGCGTACCGCAAGTGCGACGAGCTGATCACGCTGTTCAAGACGGGCAAGCTCGAGACGCAGCCGGGCTGCAACGAGGAGCAGACGCTGGAGGCCAAGATCGGCGGGCTGCTGTCGAAGGTGCGGGAGGAGGTCGGCGAGGTGTGCATCAAGGAGCTCGACAAGTCGAACGCGCCGCTGATCATGGCGACGTGCGGGTCCAAGGGCTCGACTCTGAACGTGTCGCAGATGGTGGCTGTTGTTGGGCAGCAGATCATCTCTGGCCACCGTGTGCCGGACGGGTTCCAGGACCGGTCGCTGCCGCACTTCCTCAAGAACTCGAAGTCGCCGCAGTCGAAAGGGTTTGTGCGCAACTCGTTCTTTTCCGGGCTCAGTCCGCCCGAGTTCCTGTTCCACGCCATCTCCGGCAGAGAGGGGCTCGTGGACACGGCCGTCAAGACCGCCGAGACGGGCTACACCTCGCGCCGGCTCATGAAGTCGATGGAGGACCTGAGCGCCGGCTACGACGAGACCGTGCGCAACTCGAGCAACGGCATTGTGCAGTTCAACTACGGCGGCGACGGGCTCGATCCGTTCGACATGGAGGGCGACGCGCGCCCGGTCAACTTCAACCGCACGTGGGACCACGCGTTCAACGTCACGCTGGACCACCGCGAGCGCGGGCTGTATCCGTACGAGGCGCTGCGGATCGCGGACTCGGTGCTGCAGCCGCTCAAGGACCGGCTCGTGCGCCTGGACAACTTGGGCCGGCCCGTGGCAGGGCGCGACGCGGAGCGGATCGAGTACGTCGACCGGCACGACGCCGAGCGCGACTTCTACAGCTCCATCAGGGCGTACATCGAGGCGAAGTGCCGGAGCATCGCAAAGCTGCGTGAGCAGCGCGGCCTGGACCCGCTGTTGGAGGAGCCGGCCGCGCGGCCCGTGTCGGACCCGGAGCGCGAGCGCGTGGTGACGCAGCTGGCCAAGGTGTCGGAGAGCATGATCCGCGAGTTCTTGCGGCTGTGCCTGCACAAGTACCTGAAAGCGAAGGTGGAGCCCGGCACGGCTGTCGGGGCGATCGGCGCGCACTCGATCGGCGAGCCGGGCACGCAGATGACGCTCAAGACGTTCCACTTTGCGGGCGTCGCGTCGATGAACGTGACGCTGGGAGTGCCCCGGATCAAGGAGATCATCAACGCGTCGAAGGTGATATCGACGCCGATCATCAACGCGGTGCTGGTCAACGACGAGGACGAGCGTGCGGCGCGCGTGGTGAAGGGCCGCGTCGAGAAGACGATCCTGGAGGACGTGGCGTTCTTCATCGAGGACGTGTACAAGGAGAACCAGGCGTTCTTGCAGGTGAAGATCGACCTGCACACGATCGAGCGGCTGCAGCTGGAGCTGACGATCGATCAGATCGCGACGGCCATCGTGGACGCGCCGAAGCTCAAGATCTCGCGCGGCGACGTGGCGGTCGTCGGGAAAAACAGGATCCAGGTGTTTGTGTCGGAGACGGGCGCCGACACGGGCAAGACGCCGCGCACGGCGTCGTCGCGTGAGTCGTCGGTGGTCAAGGACGCCGACGAGCGCGAGCGGCTCGAGCGCACGTCGCTGTTCTTCCGCATGCAGCAGCTGAAGCGCGTGCTCACCAAGGTTGTCGTGAAAGGTCTGCCGGACATCTCGCGCGCGGTGATCAACGTCAAGGACGACGGCAGGAAGGAGCTGCTGGTGGAAGGCTACGGCCTCAAGGCGGTGATGGCGACGGACGGCGTGGTGGCACACAGAACCAAGACAAACCACGTGCTCGAGATCTTCGATGTGCTCGGCATCGAGGCCGCGCGCGCCAGCATCATCTCCGAGATCGACTACACCATGGGCTCGCACGGCATGGCCGTCGACCCGCGGCACATCCAGCTGCTCGGCGACGTGATGACGTACAAGGGCGAGGTGCTGGGAATCACGCGGTTCGGGCTCGCCAAGATGCGCGACTCGGTGCTGCAGCTGGCCTCGTTCGAGAAAACCACCGACCATCTGTTCGACGCGGCGTTCTACATGAAAAAAGATCTGGTGGAAGGTGTTTCCGAGAGAATTATCCTGGGCCAGACGATGAACATCGGCACGGGCGCGTTCAAGCTGGCAGCACAGAGCAAAGTCGACCCGGGCAAGCTCAGGAAAAAGGAAACGCTGTTCGAGGACCTGTGTGCGCCCGTCGCGGTGGCCGTGTAATTTTTACCTGTACATTTAATTGCATAATCCTTTCCATAAAACCATATATCCTAAATTGCGAAAACTAGCCTCTGCGCGGCCACGAGAGGGTCTTGTCGATGATCAGGAGCGCGCCGTTTGCGGTGAGCTCGATCTTGCGGACCGGCAGCCACTCGTCCACGTCTTCCAACGACAGCTCGAAGCTGGTGTCGGTGTTGCGCAGATGGATCCGGTTGCCGTTCAGCGACTCCAGAACAACCTCCGCCTTGGCAAAGTCTGCCACGTTCGAGCCCTGCACCACGTGCGACTCCACGAAGTGCCTGAGGTTGTAGCTCGACGCCTCGTCGTCCGCGTCCGACTCCCTCGTCACTGGTCTTGGGAACTGCCACGGCTTCTCAGAAAGCTCGGCAATGGCCTCGTTTGTTGGTGCAAAAATCAGAAGCATGTTGTCGTTCTGCGAGTTGATGTTGAACTGCGTCGTGTCGTCGCACTTCTGGTACAGGTCCACCATGTCGCGTATATACGACGAGAAAATGGAGACCTCCTGGATCTGCGTCAAAGCAGTAGCCAGATTACTCATCTTCACATCCGGCATCAGAGTGTCCTTCAGTTCCGGGTCAACCTTCTCGAGCGGGATCTGCAGGTCAAAATACGTTCTGCCGTCTCTCTTCACTCTGCTGTCCCAAACAGGGTCCCCATCGACGCTGAGCTGTAGATTCTGCACGTTCTTGGCGTCTCTCTTCTCCTTGAGCAAGCCCAAGTCGGCCTCGGTCAGTTCCAGCGAAACAACGTTTTTGCCATCCCGCTTGTTGAGCTCCAGCTCTTTTTCGAAAGAGTCGACGTCATTTATTTTCAGCCCTTGAAACACATTTCTGGCCGCAGCGGCACCCAAACAAAGGTATAAAGTCAGTAGATTGTTCTTCATGTCTAGATGTGCAAACTAGTTTTAATTAAATTTAAAACAACGAAGCCCAGATTTATGCCTTCTGGTGTCAGGGTTGGGTTTTATATTTTAGTGGGGGTGGCTATGATGATCTCGTAGTTTAGTTTGCAACACCCAGTGATTTGCAATCCGCCTTCTTTCTTCTGTCAGAGTTCAGTAACTCTTTGAGGGGCAAACTAGTCTCGTTACCTTCTATCCATACACCAATGGCTACCGGGCTTATCTATGCCGCAAGTAGGGAGCATATCAGGCTACCAAGAACGCTCGTCTCCGAGCGAGCGCGTTCAGTCGACTGTTGGTGAACTTACTGCTATTGGCCAGTATTCTTGCATGATGGCCTAGTCGAACATTCAGGCAGATACTCATAACAAAGCCTGAAAGCGGTGATGTCTATTGCTCCAATTCCAAATACTCCTAAACCTAGTCAATGAAAACCGGTCCGATTGGTAGGAAATATGTACCTCATTCGGGGAGCATCGAGGTCCAGTCTGATAGGTGGAAAATTGAGATGCGGTATTGCAAGCAACGGTGTGGCACAAGTATTACTCAGACCCAAGGTGAGTGGGAAATGCATAGAGATATCGTTCAGCAACAATCACCGGTAATCGTTCAAGTACTATCATCACAGTGCACCTCAAAAATATCTGTGATTGATAGTGGTAACCCCTGGGATTTAGTACAGGGGCTGCGATACCAATATTGATTCCGGCGTAGCTACCGATCAAGAAAGAATCGATCGACGGCTTATTCTGGAATCCAACATTATCCTGCAATGGCATGAGCTAAAGATATAATTCATGCCCTGGTAGTCAGTTGCTGTGCAGTGTATTTCTCATGTCTTTAATCTTTCTCTCAAAGGCCTGCGAAATGTAAGCAAAATAATTTTAGACTCATCTTTTGTTTATCCATGTCCAAAGATAGCCAATTTTCGTATGTTCACATGAAACAGCCGCAACACATTCTGTTCCAGGAGAAGTGGGATATAGACAAGCTGCCATTTGATGACATCGAAATCAACTCTACAGCCTACCACGGCCAGGATAATATTCTTCAGGAGTTTTTGGCGTCGGCAGAAGACCAAGACAGCGATCTAAACATAATCAATGGCGCAAATCCGATGTTCAACTCGTCGTATGCAAACAGGATGCGCCAGAAACACAAGAAACTAAACTGGAAAGACCTTGGTCTTGCAGAACTGCTGTCAGATAAGAATCACGTTCACGACCAGACAATTCTTGCCAAACCCCAGTTTGGAACCTCTGAGCCGCAAACGGCCTCCGAGTCGCCTCACGAGAGAACTGAAGAGCAGGTTCTGCCGGACTCTGACATAGCGGAACTGGAAGAGCCCGAGACAGAGGAGTTCGCTACGCCTATCATTCCTAATCGTACAATTCATCAAAATCTATATTCTAGACAGCGCAAGCTCAGAAAGCCTTCCACCGAGTACCAGACGCCCCAATCGCATGCCCGCATCATTAGATAATACTCAATGGTTGCAGTATTCGCACTGAGCAATGATATAGTCCACGGTCTTCTTCGAGATGTACCAGTTGCGTCGAACATGATTGTATGTTAACAAGGGCGGCAAGCAGTCAAAGTGGAGGTGTGTGGCTATCACGATGTATGGAATGTCAAGGTAGTCGGGTATCACCACGTTAGAGTCACGCAGGTACTGCACTGTCTTGGTGGCAGGGTCGTATTTGAACCGCTGATTGATCCACCGTCTGGCGTTCGAGATGGCCCGCATCTGCTGCTGATTCGGGAAAATGTCCATGTGAGAGAGCTTTTTCAGCAGCGTCTTGGTGGCCACAACCTCCTGCGAGATCAGAATCTCGTACTCTGCTTGAGTCGGACCGTACATCGAGAAACTTGATTCGTCCTCCTCGTCCACGTCGTTCGAGCCAGACTGTCTGGCCCACCTCGAATAGAACTTTGCTTGGATCTCTTCGTACTTCGTCTGGAAATCCTTCACCATCTGCTTCAGTTTCTTAGGGTCGTACTTGATTTCGTGCTTGATCTGCTCCAAGTTCTCCACCGTCACGTAGCACGGCTGGTTTTCGTGGATCACGGTATCCACCACCTTTTCCTTCACTTCCTTTGGTTTCGGAGTTTGTTCCTCCTCGCCCCCGCGCCGAGTCCTCTTGCGCAAAGGCAGGTCCTCAGTCGGCGGCCTTTTGGCCGGTTCTGGTGTTTCTTCGTGCACTTCCATCACCTCTTGTGGCTCGGGACTGCCTTCTACCAAATGAGTATGGAAAGCTCTTCTGAAGTCGCTGAATCCCGTGACCAGCTTGTGGTAATTGAACTTGATGTTCTCGCATCTCAGCCCGTAACCGTGCCAGTGGTATGCTTCCAGTATTTGCTTCAAGTTGACGATCAGCAGGGCCTCGTTGCTCAAGTTCTCGTCCTCCATCACCGGCATCCAGTACCGGAAGCTGGACGCCAAATCATCGGTGTTCTCCAACGACAGCATCAGGCAAATATTGCGCTTGATTTCATCCAATTGGGTCTCTTTCAGCCGGCCAATCTCGCGAGGCTTCGAGTCGATCTGATGTATTTCAACATATTTGCTGTTATGGATTTTCACCCACACAAGGGCCCATCTGTATGGCATCTTAATAGCATATATTAGCCCGCATTGTCTTGAATTATCCTCGTAATCTTGAAACACCTTTTGATGGGTGGTATTGAGCTTATTGTCCTCCCATAGCAGCTTTACCACCACCTGGTATGCTTTCGGATCGTTCTTGTTGTACTTGCCAAATCCAAGATGATGTCGGCTCAGGAACCGTAAAACCTCATAGAAGTTGTCCTCGGTCTCGATAAGTTCTTCTCCAGAAATGAATTGGCGTATTTGCTCCGGCTCCTCGGACCATACAACAATCATCGGTAAAAATAATATATTTTTTGATTTTCGATATTTTTCAATACTTCTATTTACATTTGTAGTATATAGCAGTGGTGCTTGGGCCGGCGACGGCCACCTGTTCGTACTTTTTGGTGGCCTTTAGCTGGAGACGGCTATTTTCACTCCTAATGAAAGGCTTTCCAGGCTCCAAAAGCGCAGGAACCGGAGTCGGCACCCCAGAGCGGATTCGCTTTCCGTTTCCAAGCTGGCCAAATTCATTGTCTCCCCAGTCATAAACGTCTCCGTTCGACAGCGTGGCCACGGCATGGTTGCCTCCAACACTCCATTGGCGCAATCCCAGCACCTCCAATTTCCCCTTAGTCTCGTCATATTCCCGAATATCGTTCAGTTTCTGTATTTTTGTTGGCTCTGCCTGGCCATGCACAAAATGGCCATTTCCAAGCTCGCCCTTCAGCCCATGTCCCCACGCAAAGTGAACTAACGACTCCTTCTGCTGATCGGAAAGCATGCTCAGATCGAGATTTTTGGAGTTTTTCAAGCTGTGTTCAAAGAGCTCGTAGATGTCCGAAGACACGAACGAGGCAAACGCGGTATCTCCACCTGCGGCGATGTCGATGCACTGAGGAAGATCGCTTCTTTTGAACCTCTTGCTGATCAACTCGACCTTGCATGGGTATGGCACAATTTCAGTTTTGTAGTTGACTTCCTTGCCTAGGGACCCGTAAGTGTTCTTGCCAAAAGCCCAAATGTTCCCTAGGCTGTCCAGACACACGGTGAAGTAATCTCCAGCAGCAATCTTCTTGATTTCACGCTGGGTCAAAATGTCGTTTTCTCTCACACGGTTCAGCAGAGTCACTTCATGAAGCTCGTTCGGCACTGGCGGCTCATCAAACTGGGAATATTCAGGAAGACCAAACTGACCATACGACCTCTTCAGGGGTTCAAAACCTGTAGCCGCAGTGTAGACGAATCCTCTATTATCTAGAAGAACCAAATGCTCTTTTCCAGTGACAATGTCTTTTATCGGTCTGCTGGTAGCCAGTTTGCCGTAGTTTCTGGTACTAGAAAAAAGCCACCCCTTATCCTTTTCCCTGTATTGTTGCTGTTCATTTGCGCTCTCAGGCAAAAATAGAACCTCTCCTCGTTTCGTAAGAGCGTATATCAGTCCATTGCTGATCCTCACCTTCACCAAATCTTTCCCCTTCAGCGTTGGCTTGGACGAGTTTCCTCCAAATCCTGCACCCCATTGGTATAAATGTCCTTTCTCGTTAATCAATGCGCCCGAGGCCTCTCCCAAAGCCACATCGCGAACAAGCATGTTGTCAAATATGTCCAGACGCTTCAGCACCGATTGGAATTTGACTTTAGGGTCGCTGGAAACCATCTGAGTGGAATTGTCTCCGCATATGTATAGTCCCGGAACGTCACTTGTATTTGGGTTGGTCACAGTGGCATTAAGCGCGTCGAGTTTGTTTTTCTTCTTCTCCTGCTTTGCCTGAATCTGCGCGTAGACCTCTTCAAATTTGGACATATCGTAAGAATCTCCAAGCACTTTTCTTTTCACAAAATCCCAGTTTCTATACAACTCGTACCCTCCAATCGATCCAACAATGACCATTATTCCCATGAACATCGCCTGGAACCTCTGGTACGATTCGTAGGTGGAATCGTTCTTCTGAGAATTAATGGGCTCTGAGTCCAGATGAAGTCTCTCTCTATATTTACTATTCTGGTCCTGATCCAGTTGCAGCCTGGAATTAATGAAATGAAAATGTCTCAAAGGTGTGGTTTGCCTGTGCAGCTTTGGCATTCTAGCCACATGGCCGCTCCACTGCCTCAGCATATCTAATGTGATTACTTTGTCTTGATTTTTATTTGGTGTAATTTTTTTACCACTTTTTTCACGACGTGGTGTACGGGTGTGAATACAGAAACATCTAAGTACTCATGGCAGCTACTCAGGATGATAAGGGCTACTTTGGATGTAGGTTCTGAGAAACCAGAAGCACAGCAAATGGTGGTCACCAGCTCAGGAGAATCCAGTGCCATAACTGTTATTTTTCAGAGAAATACCTACCAGAGCTCTTATCGGTCGTGAATACAGCAGCTAATTCATCTGAGGCTGGTTATCAATTTTTGCCTCCCAGATAAATAAATACATTTCCCTATTTATTTCCTCCGTTTATCCTAGCAATCGTTCAATAATCAGATATTCTGGTATATTTCAATTCCAAATATGAAGCTCTCGATGTCTCTTCTGGCCCTAGTGGCCACTAGCATTGGGTCGGCGCAAGCCGCTGCCATCAAAAAAGATAACGCGGGGCAACACCCCCTCGAGATGAACTCCAACTTTGGGGACGTTTTCGTGGAGAAGGGCAAGTCTTTGCTTGACCGTGTTTCTGAGGTTGTGAGCGAGTCGTCCAAAAACATTTCTCCAGAATTGAAGGAGATTTGGAGTGAAATGGAGGCCAAGTTCCCAGACACGCTCAGGAACATGAAGCTCAAGTCAGAGCCGGCAGTCAAAATTACAAAGAAACCTGCCGACTTCTGGGACTTCAATGTTCTCAATGAGAAATTCTCCAACTACAAGCTGAGGGTTAAGAAGACAGACCCTGGAGCATTGGGACTTGACCACACAAGACAATACTCTGGATACTTGGATGTGGAGGACGAGGATAAGCACTTCTTCTACTGGATGTTTGAGTCCAGAAACGACCCGGCCAACGATCCTGTGATTCTGTGGCTGAACGGTGGTCCAGGATGCTCCTCCCTGACGGGAATGCTCTTTGAGCTTGGCTCTGCTTCCATTGGTCCAGACCTCAAGCCAATCAACAACCCATATTCGTGGAACAACAACGCCACCGTGATTTTCCTTGACCAGCCTGTCAATGTTGGATTCTCCTACTCTTCCAAGTCCGTCTCCAACACAGTTGCAGCTGGTAAAGATGTCTACGCTTTCTTGGAACTGTTCTACCAGCAATTCCCGCACTTGCTGAAGAACGACTTCCACATTGCAGGTGAGTCGTATGGTGGCCATTACATCCCTGTGTTTGCCTCTGAGATTCTCACGCATGCCGACAGATCTTTCAACCTCACCTCGGTGTTGATTGGCAACGGTTTGACCGACCCACTTAACCAGTACCCATTCTACGAGAGAATGGCTTGCTCGACTGATGGTGGCTACGAGCCAACACTGGACGAGTCTGAGTGCGAAGGAATGTTGGACACCTTGCCTAGGTGTTTGTCACTGATTGAGTCGTGCTACAGCTCGCAGTCCGTGTTCTCTTGTGTTCCTGCCTCCATCTACTGCAATAACGCACAACTTGGACCATTCCAAAAGACCGGCAGAAACGTCTACGACGTCAGAAAGATGTGCGAAGGAACTCTGTGCTACAAGGACATGGAATACATCGACCAATACCTCAACCAGGACTTTGTCAAGGAAAAGGTCGGTGCTGAGGTTGACACTTACGAGTCGTGTAACTTCGACGTGAACAGAAACTTCCTGTTTGCTGGTGATTGGATGAAACCATACCACAAGAACGTTATCAACTTGCTGGAGCAAGGTCTTCCTGTCCTGATCTACGCAGGAGACAAAGATTTCATTTGCAATTGGCTCGGAAACCAAGCCTGGTCGAATGAGCTCCCATGGTCCGGACACGACGACTTCGAGTCGGCTGAGCTGTACAACCTCACGTTGAACGATGGCACCACGGTCGGTGAGGTCAAGAATGCTGGCAAGTTCACCTTTGCTAGAATGTTTGATGGAGGACACATGGTTCCATACGACCAGCCTGAAAGCTCTTTGGCCATGGTCAACAGATGGATTGCTGGTGACTACTCCTTGGGAACCAAGAAATAAAAAATTTTATGAAAACATTTTGTCATTGTTGTTCACCTTATGTATGATCGTTTGTTAAGATACACTATCTAAATTCCTCGTTCAGTACCCAGCCTTTGCGTTCCTTGTCCCATTTGCAAATTGATTTAAGCATCGATCTCACAACCTTGACTGTTTTTTCGTTTGAGACGTCAATCTTCAGTTCGTCAAGAACTGCAGCAGAGGTGCTGAAGAAACCTTCCAGACCAGCCATGTAGTTGCTCAGTCGAGCAATAAGATCGGTGTCTTCAATCTTCGGTTTCGGCGACGAATCTTTGCGTTTCTTGATATTATCCAAAATCGAGCTGGAAGACACCATAGGCGATTGTGACCTCCCTGTTGGCGTGGAAGACCCGCTCGGGCCTGGCTTGCGCGGACGCCCGACAGTTCTGCCTGCCTCGCCAAACTTTCCTGTCCAGGTGGGGACGTTTATTCGAGCTTGGCGCGCCAGTTTTCTTGATTCCCGTAACGCCTTGACGGCTTCATTCGCAATTCTCGAGGCCTCGTTATCAATTAAACTGTACGACGACGAAGGGTTTAAAACGCTCTCATGCTCTAAGGCAGAATGCAAAGCATTGTTTCCAATCAGGCCCGCCATTATATCTTTGTCCTCCGTATGTCCTTCCTCGTCCTCTCCATCTTCGTACTTCTGCAACCCAGAAACACCTTTCAATTTCGAAACTTGCAAAAAGTCGTCGTCGTTCTTTTTTGTGTTGCGCGAGTTGTTGAACTTCGTTTCGCCCTCGGCGAGCGTAAACAGCTCATGCAGGTCATTCATCTTGAAAAACCGTTTTTGCTTCGGATCTTTCAAAATCTTGTTGGTGAGCAGCTGCTTGAAAATCTGACGGTGATAAATTTTCTCCTCTATAGACCCCGCCATCATCAAGCGATATATCACCACATCTTTCTTCTGTCCCAACCTCCAAGCACGCTCCCTGGCCTGGACGTCCGTAGACGGGTTCCAGTCGGGATCATATATAATAACTCTGCTTGCTCCTGTCAAGTTGACACCAAGACCGCCGACTCTGGTGGTGAGCAAAAACACGTTGTACATGGGATTCGTGTTGAACTGGTCAACCATCGATTGTCTCTGTGAGATCGGCGTCGTTCCGTCCATTCGCATGAAAGAAAATTTTGATTCTGTCTCGTAATTGAGAGCTTCCATGAAATCCTGCAAAATGTCAAGCATTTGACGCGTCTGGGTGAAAATTAGTGTTTTACGGCCTTCCGAAAACCAAACATCCAGCAGAGCATGGACAACCTGTAACTTTCCTGCGCGCGCCTCCAACTGCTCGGCCGTGCGTGAATGTTTCTTGCGCAGCTTCAGGTCCACCAGATCGGGATGGTTGCAAATTTTCCGTAGCACGTCTATTCCAAACAGGGCATTCCTCTTGCCTCTCAAGATCTTGTTGATATCCTCTGAGTTCAAAAAGTCCTCGTAAAGTTTGCGCTGCACGTCTGTCAGCTTGCAAAATAAAACCATCTCTGATTTTTTGGGCAGGTCCTTGGCGACGTCTGCCTTGACCCGTCTTAGCAAATAAGGAGAAATCAGGTCGCGCAATATAACGGCACATTTGTAGCCCGTTTGAACTTGAACGTTTGTCGCATTGGCATAGCCGCCGATATTGATCGGGACACAAAACTGTTTCTGGAAAACAGGCAGCGTGCCCAGCCGGCCTGGAAAAACAAAATCAAATAAACTCCATAGCTCGACCAAATTATTTTGTATAGGCGTGCCCGATAAAATGATCCGGTTGGGCGTCTTGAGCTGCTTGCAGGCAAGAGTGACATGGCTGTCTGGGTTCCGGATCTTGTGTCCTTCGTCCAAAACAACGTAGTTCCATCTGACAGGCAAAAGATACCTGGAGTATATCCGCACCCCAACGTACGTGGTGATGATCACGTGACCATTATTAATGACGGAGTCGACCAGCTCTTTGGCACGTCCGTCCGAAGGGAGATTGTTTAGATCGGCGTCATCTTCGTCGTCAAACTCCTCGACACGCTTCCCCGTCATTCCCGTACCAATGGAGTGCAGAATGACAACCCTCAGCGCTGGCCACCATCTGTGGAACTCTTTACACCATTGACTCAGAACAGTGGCTGGACAAACAACGAGAACCGGTTTCGTGAGCTTGCCACTGTAGTGAAGACCAGCAAGAAAAGAAATGACCTGCACGGTTTTACCCAGGCCCATTTCGTCGCCTATAATTCCTCCCGTTTTATGTGAATACAGCTCCCAGAGCCATTGGACTCCCGTTCTCTGGTAATCAAATAGAGACGGGTATATGTCGCCAGGAACCCTGAACTCATCGTTGAGGATGGCATCGGCGTTGTTGGGGTGCGGTTTCTGCCACTCTGGTACCTGCGGATCGTCTGTGTAGTCTGGCCGCAATTCTGCTCTTAGCGACGCTCGACGTTCAGTCCATCGTCTCAGTCTGTCCCTATACATGCGCTCGTCACCATCATCCAGATTTTCATCCCTTTTTCTCTTTCGAACCAATGCGTCTTCGTCGTCCTCATCCTCATCAGCTAGTTCAATTCCGGGGATAATCAAATCCTGGTGATTCTTCACGCCCGTCTCGTCCTCCTCGATAAACCCGTTGGAGGTACCAAATGCCGTCACTTTACCAGTCCTCACCAGGTACTCCTGCTGAGTCTCTCCCGGAAGCATCTCGGATCCACCTTCTGCTTGTAACTTATTTGTCGAGTTCTGATTATCACGCAGCCGAGCTTCGATTTCCTTTATATCAACCTCCAATGGCTGCAGCTCTTCCCGCTTTAGACGATCGATGTCCGCCTTCAGCCGTTGCTTCTCCGATATTCGTGTTCCGGAATTATTGGCCCTCAGTTCCATGCCTCGCAAACGGCCCTGCAGCTTGCTTTGCTTCTCTTTTGCCTTCTCCAGCCGTTTTTGATCCAGCTCGATCTCCCGCTCTATCATCATCTTGTTAGCATCTTCGGCAACCTCTTTCTCCAAGGAGTCCTGGGCCATAAGGCGCACGCCCAGTGACTCCAATTCGCGCTCTCCAGAAGGTCCGGAAGAAGACTCCATAATTTGGGTTTTTTTTTTTTTTTAATTTATTTTAATTATTTTCATTATTAATGACAATTTCGCAGAATTCTCATAATAGCTCACCGGCCCTGAGCTCGCGGATCGAGTCTAACAGAGCCAAGGAGATGGAGGAGCTCGTCATTCCTACCATTCAGCTCATAATTCAGCAGATCAAAGATACGGACGAAGGCAAAAGATCGCTGGGTGTCAGATATGAGGATCCCAAGATGCTGTATCCGATTTTAGGTCTGGACAAGCTGTCGCTGGAAAATGGACTGCGGGAAGACAGCAAAGCCTCTGAGAAGCTGCTGGCTACGGTCAAGTCAATTCTGGACAACTCAGTCAACACGTGGCACCCGGGCTTCCTGGATAAACTGTACGCCTCGACCAACCCTATTGGTGTGTTATCGGATGTCGTTCTTTCTGTGCTGAATACGAACGCTCACGTTTTCACAGTGTCACCGGCTTTGACCGTGATTGAGCGCAAAGTAGCGCAGAAATACGCTGCTCTGTTTGGCTTCACAGGGAAGAACGCTGGTGGACTAACATTCAGCGGCGGTTCATGGTCAAACATCACGAGCTTGCACATGGCAAGAAGCCTGCTATATCCAGAAACCAAGGTGGATGGAAACACGCATAGGTTCGCTATCTACACAAGTGTACATTCGCATTACAGTGTCGAAAAAGCTGCTATCCTTTTGGGACTTGGAGCTAATAGTGTGTTTAAGATACCTGTTGACAGAAAGGGCAGAATGCTGGTCTCAGAGCTAGAAAAGACCATCCAGGAGACCAAGAACAGGGGCTACACTCCTCTGTATGTGAACGCCACAGCCGGAACCACAGTTTTCGGCTCGTTCGACCCATTTGAGGATATAGCTCCCGTCGCCAAAAAATACGGCGTGTGGTTCCACATCGACGGTTCCTGGGGAGGAAACGCCATTTTCAGCACGAACAAAGCTGGCCAATTGGCCGGATCCCATCTAGCGGACTCTATCACTTCCAATCCGCACAAAATGCTGGGTGTCCCTACAACGTGCTCGTTTTTGCTAGTTCCCAACGACCGTGTGTTCACACAGGCAAATTCCCTGTCTGCTCCGTATCTTTTCCATAACGCCCAGGACGACAATGAGAACTTCGATCTTGCGAACGGAACCATGGGCTGCGGCCGTCGCGCAGACGCTCTGAAATTTTATCTCGGCTGGCTGTATTATGGAACAAATGGATACAGAGAACGAGTCGACCACGCTTACGCAATAGCCGAGTACTTCACGGAAAGGGCCTCCCAGACGCCGGGATTCACGGTAGTCAGCGATACCCCGCTCCAGTGTCTCCAGGTGTGCTTCTATTACAACCCAGAAAACCAGAAGCTGACCGGAGCAGAGCGCACTCACGTGACCAGACATATAGCCACGCGGTTGCATGCGAGCGGGCAGTTTCTGGTGGACTATGCGCCTAATCCGGACGACGCAGCTAACAACGAGGACAATGGGGAGTTTTTCAGAGTGGTTTTCAATTCGCCAATCGTGTCCAGTGATGTGGTGGACCAGCTGATAGATAAAATAGTAGAGGTTGGCAAAACGGTGCCCAAATTGGATTAAATAGACTAGATTTCGTTATTTACAGGAGTTCGAGATTGGGTTTTCTGTGTCACTGTTTCTGACTCGAGTTGAGTTGGTCCAGCTTGTGCATCTCCTCCAGGGGATTGAAGTCGCCAGTAGAGAGTTTTTCATATTGTTCGTCGTATTTTCCCGTACTCAGTGTACCGTTTCCGCGGATCCGCTTTCGCATGTCGACGATACCGCGCTTGCACTCGAGAAACGTGGCGAGCTGGGCTTTGCAGAGCTCCGGCAGGTCTTTGGCGAGCTCGGGGTTGGTGAGACACTCTTTTGGTTTGTTGCGCTCGATCATCACACATGGGGATCGTTGCAGGCAGATAGCCACCTGTTTGAGCTGGTCTTTGCAACTAGGATGTTAGATTTTGGCGGGGCGCGGATGCTTACCTTGCCACCATGTTGTATTTATAAATAAAATAAAATAAAGTAGAATAAAATAAAGTAGAATAAAATAATGGAATAAAATAAAATCAATCCTCGCACCATATACCATGACACTGAATTTTGTGCCAGGAGAGCCCAACCGCTCGCCGCACTGCTGCTCTTTCGTCAATTGGAACGCCGTGCAGGTGCTGGCGTACTGCTCTGGAAACAACCTTGTCATTGTGACGAAGAACTTCCAGCATCTGCAGACCCTGTATCTTCCTCGAGACTCGTATGTGGTGGACGTCAACCGTATCAACGGGAAAATAGCGCTGGCAATTGGCTCAAAAATCCAAATATACACGCCGACTGTGTCAAACTTCTACAATTACAACTTCCGCGGCCGCAAGGACGTCTCTGAGCTGGAGATCGAATGGGGACTCGAAACAGAGATAGAGAACGACAAGGACGGTTCCACCATCACGTGTCTTTCGTGGTCCGACTCGTGCGACACCTACGACGACGAGCTCTCGAGCGCACACCTGTTTGGCGTTCCCGAGGAGTACAATTCGCTCACGAGCTGCGAGCTGTGCGTCGGGTCTGAGCGGTCGCTGGCGCTCTGGCGGATCTACTATTCGGCCAAGGACGGAACGCACAATGCCAGACACCGGCTGCTGTGGTCCAAGACGCAGCCCAACCCGGTGTACATGGTCAAGTTCTCGCCGCATTCCACGGCAATAGCCAGTGTTGGATACTACGACAAATTGGTCAAGATCTGGCACAGGGTCGCGTACGGCATCGAGTCGGCCGAGTTCGAGCTGAACTACACGCGGCTTCCCGCGTACGTGACGCTGCTGCGCTGGAAGTCCGGCAACATGCGGCGCAACAACCTCTCGTCGACCGGCTCCGTCACCGACCTGAAACCGGCCAACAGCATCATCAAGGACACCTCGCACCGCCACACAGACGTCCCGCACGCTGAGCATTGCACGCTGTACGTGTATGGCGACGACTGCGTGCTCAGGGTGTTCTCTACGTACTACCTCGACCGCGGCTTCCAGGTGGCTGGTGACGGGGCGGTGCAGTTCCCGTCGCAGAGCTTTGTGGCGGTGATCGACAGCCAGATGGTTGCATTTGGCGTCGACAAAGCGCTTGAGCGGCTGGAGCAGCAGGAGACGAGCGGACACCTGCGGAACGGCCGTGCGCTGCCCCGCGACGGCGACGTGTCGCGCAGTCGCAGCGGGTCGGCGCTCAGCCTGTACCACCGTCGCCAGAGCTCGCTGCTGCAGCTCCTGGAAATGCGGCCCGAGCTGTGTCTAGTTTTCAGTCCAGAGGGCCGTGTTGAGATGTACGCGTTCCACGCGTGCGAGGGCGAGATTCGCGTGAAGAAACTGAACGCCGTGCTCGACTCTCACGGCGGCCTGACGAGGGCCTGTATCCGGCTGGGAAAAAATTGCATACCGCAGGACTGTCGCAGCGTTTTTTTGCAGGACATGCAGATCACGCAGACGTCTGGTGGCCACGGGCTGTCGCTGATTGTGCACGATCTGTTCAAAAACTCGCTGCGGCACGTGGGGTTCACGTTTGAGTCGCTGCTCCAGTTCGAAGAGCTGGAGATTGCAACCTCAGGCTCGACCGCCGTGGCGATCGGCGAGCTGCAGCACAAACTGACGGGCCACAACAAGTCGATCCGCAGGCTGATCCGGTCCGGCGACGGCTCCGTCGTCCTCTCCACGACGCGGTTCGGCGAGAGCTGTCTGTGGACGGCGATCCCGCTGTCGGACTCGCACAAGACGCTGAACAAGAACTCGACACTCGTCACGCCGTCGCCGATCGTCGACGCTGCGTTCTGGAAACACGGCGAGTACGTGATTGTGTACCTGGCGGACGAGCTGGTCTGTTTTGACTGCCGCCTGCAGTCGCAGTACCAGGCCGAGATCGCCAAACTGGCTCCCGTGGCCGGGTCTCTGAAAATCCGGCCGCAGGAAAACCTGTGCTGTTTTTTCCTGGTCCCCGAGCCTGAGAGCGACATCGCGCACGCCGTGGCCGTGTACGCGGACGGGCGGTGCGCCGCGTGGGAGCTCCAGCTGGAGAAGGGCCGCTGCAGAATACACCCGTACACGGCCGACCGGCTCGAGGCGGTCCACATGGCGTCGTACGTCGACCCGGTGGGCTGGAACGCCGCGATCGGCACGAGTCTGCAGCGCGACGTGCTCACGACGATCCAGGCCAACGGCGACGTCGCCGTGTACTCGACGCGGGTCCAGGACGGCCGCATTGCGTGGGACCAGAAACAGACGTTTTCCACGGGGATAGCCAACGCTACGTTTTTGAACGGCTCGTCGATCCACCGGCTCGCCGTCGTCAACGAGAGCCGCGACCAGCTGCACATCTGGGACACGCGGCTCGGCACGCTGGAGTACTCGGAGACGTTTGAGGCCGAGAAGATCAGAGACATCGACTGGACGTGCACGGCGTTCTCGCAGGGCATTTTGGCGATCGGGTTCGACTCGCACTCGCTGCTGTACACGCAGCTGCGCTACGACTACACGAACGACACCCCCACCTACACCAAGATCAAGAAAGTGGACATCTCGCACCAGACCCGGCACCGTATCGGCGACTCGGTGTGGCTCGCAGACGGGCTGCTGGTGATCGGGTCGGGCAACCAGTTCTACATCAGCGACAAGACGCTGGACCCGCAGCACGACTACATCACCGCGCGGGCCATGGGCACGCTCGAGATCGTCTCGAACGACGTGTTCCAGCTGTGTGCTGCGCTGAACGGCCCGTTGCCGCTGTACCATCCGCAGTTTCTGATCCAGACGCTGCTCTACAGCGGCTTTGGAGGCATTGAGAAGCTGGTGCTGCATTTTGCCAGCGCCCTGCGTGCGCTGGAGCTCGGCACGGCGTCCAGCATCGACCCCAAGCTCGGGTTCGAGACGCCGGAGCACGACGTCGTCGGAGCGTCCCGGGCCGTCGACGTCGCCGTGACGAGACAAACGTGCAACACCATCGTCGAGCGGCTGGCCAAGCACAAGCTGCCGTTCCTGACGGGCCACCAGCAGATCACGCTCGCGTCGACCATCCAGATAATGGCAGACATAGCAGAAAAATACTCGTCTGTTCTGGACGCCAACGGGCTGCGGTTCTATCTCGGGATGAAGCTTTTCCAGCTCAACGAGACCAAGGGCGCGCAGTTCCGCACCATCACGATGCGGGACGTGACTTTTGCGCTGCACAGCGAAAATAAAGACCTGCTATTCGACATCATCAGCGAGCACAGCGCGGTGCAGATTGGCGCGGCGGAGTTCTCGAAGTACGCTCTCGCGTACTGGATGGAGCACACCCGACTGGCCGAGGTGCTCGAGACCGTCGCAAGAACAGAGTTTTTCAAGACACAGGACTCCGGCCGGTACAAAGACCCGAGCGTGTGCTCTTTGCACTTTCTTGCTCTGCACAAGAAAAACGTGCTTCTGGGGCTCTGGCGGACGGCCGTCGGCCATCCCGAGCAGCAGAAGATGATCAGGTTCCTGGGAAACGACTTTAGACAGGACCGCTGGCGGTCGGCAGCGAAAAAGAACGCTTTTGTGCTGCTGGGAAAACACCGCCATGTGGACGCCGCGTACTTCTTCCTGCTGGCCGGCTCGCTCAAGGACTGCGTCAACGTGATCGTCAGCAAGCTCAGAGACCCAGGACTTGCCGTCGCCGTGGCTCGCTGCTACGAAAACGGCGACCACGGACCGGTCATGAAAGATCTCGTGCTCAAGCACCTGCTGCCGGAAGCGCTCCGAAACAACGACCGGTGGACCGCGAGCTGGTGCTTCTGGATCCTGAGCGACCGCGCGCTGGCGATCCAGGCGCTCATCAAGCCGGCCCGCGACATTCTCCAGGACGTGGCCAAATTCGACGCGATCGACGCGTCGCAGGAGGCAGCGTTGCCGGTGAAGAAGATGGACTACGAGGACCCTGTGCTGCTGGCGATGTACGACAGTCTGCGCACAAAACGCGTGGAGTACCTGCGTGGGGCGCTGGCGCTCGACGTGCGCGCGGAATACGACTTTGTGCTGGCTGCCGCGCTCATGTACCAGAAAATGGGGTGCGACTACCTGTCGCTCCATCTGGTGCAGCATTGGGAGTTCTCCGAGACAAAGGAGATCATCGAGCCGTCTACGGGCAAAGAGGTGCTGCCGCCACCGCCTTCGGCGTTCCAGGAGCCCGACATGTCTGCATTTGACTTTGGCTTTTAATTTGTAAAGTTAATAAAGTCGAAAAGATAATTATGACAATATTTAGGTCATAGTCTATTTACAATCTGGGAGCCAGCTAACGGCCCAGGTTCAGAAGCAGAGACTGGCTCGGAGAGGCAGACTCGCCGCCGCTCTGCGACCCGTTAGGCAGGTACGTGACGTTCGGAGACTGGCTCAGAGTCTGGGCTATCTCCTTGGACGCCTCGAGTCTTCTGATCAGCAAGAGACCGTCTCCGGCCTTGTTCAGGGCCTTCGAGACGTTGTCTGCCGCCTCGGCCTCTCCCTCGGCGCGTATCACAGCAGCGCGTCTCTCCTGCTCGGCCTTCTCGACCAAGTAGGTGGCTCTCTCGGCGTCCTGTTGCGCAATCTGCTTCTGTTCGACAGCCTTGGTGAACTCGCGGCCAAACGTCATGTGGGTGATCGAGACGTCCTCGAGCTTGATCTGGAACTCCTTGGCTCTCTGCTCGAGTTCGCTCTTGATACGCGAGGACACGGTCTCTCTCATGGTGATGAGTTCTGCAGCGTTGAACTGCGCAACAATACTCTTGAGAACCTCGTTTCCAATCGAGGGCAGCACACGCTCGTCATAGTCCAGCCCCAGGTTCTGGTAGATCTGCGGCAGGTTTTTCACGTCGGGACGGTGCAACACTCTCAGAGTCAGCGAGACGGTCTGCAAGTCCTTGGATCCCGTGGTGGTGGTGATGGTTCTTGGCTTGGTTCTGACGTCGTAGATGATTGGTCTCTGGAGCCAAGGAATGACGAAGTTGAGTCCTTCGCCAACAACTTGCGGCTTGACTCCCGAGAACCTGTCGAAAATGACTGCTCTTTGTCCGCCTGAATGTTAGCCTGGTATTGCTGGATGGTCACTTACCCTTGACGTCGTACAAGGAGTACTGTGCGGCCACGACGGCCACACCAACAGGAACGGCTAATTTGGAAATAGTGTCTGCAATTCTGGACATGGTTGTATTTGCCACTTAATAATATATAAATTATTTTATTTTACACTAGGAAAATTATTTACCATGCCTAGCTCTCCTCGCCCTCCTCGTCTCTGGTCAGCACCCCGCTCTCCTTGAGCAATTTCTCGATCTGCTCGGGAGTCCAGATTCTGAGCTGCAGCTTGCCGTCGGCGTCCAGGCCAATGGTCGAAAACTCCACCTTCTCGCTGGTCAGCTTGTTGCTGTCGGTGGTCTTGCTCAGAACCTTCAATGCGAGATTCTGCGCCTCTTCGAGGGTCATGCCGTCTTTGTAGTCCTGTTTCAGCAGCGTCTGTGCGCTCGTGTTGTTTGCTCCAATGCTCGTGGCCTTCCACCCAGAGTAGTTTCCGGACGGATTGCTCGTGTACAGCTGGAACCCGTACCTCTCGTCGTGGCCTGCAAAAATAAACGACACACCAAACGGACGCAGGCCTCCGTGCTGCGTGTAACCCTGTTTCACGTCGCAGATCCGCTTCACAAGCGTCTCGATGGGGATGTCTTCGCCGTACGTCTTGAGGTACTGTTGTGCCGAGTATCTGATGCTGTTGATCAGAATTCCGGCATCGGCGGTCATTCCGGCCACCGCGCACACCGTTTTGTCGTTCAGCACGTACATCTTCTCTGCGCTGGTGTCCTGCTCGAGCAGCTTGCTTGTCACCTTTCTCTCCGCCGCAAGAACGACGCCGTCCTTGGCCATCACGCCGATCGCCGTTCCGGCGTGGTTGATTGCCTCCAGTGCATACTCGACCTGGTACAGTCTGCCCTCGGGCGAGAAGATGGTGGTTCTCGAGTCGTATCTTCTGGACATGGTATATATTTATTTGCCTTCAAAAAAATTTGGCCGGGTAAAGAAGTATGGAGGCAGGTTTTTGGAGCGTAACGGGAGCGTCATTGTAGCGGGGGCAGTCAGGGGCGGCCCAGCCGTGACGGGGAGGTGGCCAGAAGGGCCAAGGGCAGCACGGGGCTCTATCTTGGGAGCCGGGCATTTTCCAACCAGTACATATTCGTGCCTCAATATTCTCCAGTTACGGCTTTTTTGTTTTCAGCAATTTCATCTGCTCTCTTTTACGGCCAACCAGTGTATGCGTTCCAGGCTTTTACAGAAACTACATATAGGCGCTGGACACTCGGAAACCGCCGACGATACACAACAGACGAACGCAATGGACAAACCAGACCATCAGATTCTACAGAACGTTTATCAGGAACATGTGGGAGGAGTGGATGACTCGCAATTGGCGGTTCAGCAGGCGCAGCAGCAGCAGATGGCCATTCTGCAGCACATGCCCTCGTACCAGGCCATCATCCAGCCAAATTACATGCATCTGCAGCGAGTGGCCGGCCTTTCTCTGCTGCCGCAACGGTCCACCGTGTCTAAAGGCAAATACTCGCTGAAGGACTTCATAATAATGCGAACCCTGGGAACCGGCTCGTTCGGCCGCGTGCACCTCGTCAAGTCGGTCCACAACAACCGGTTCTACGCCATAAAGGTGCTGAAAAAGGCGCAGGTCATCAGAATGAAGCAGGTGGAACACACCAACGACGAGAGACGCATGCTCAAGCTCGTGGAGCACCCGTTCCTGATCCGCATGTGGGGCACGTTCCAGGACGCCAAGAACCTGTTCATGGTGATGGACTACATCGAGGGCGGAGAGCTGTTCTCGCTGCTGCGGAAGTCGCAGAGGTTCCCCAACCCGGTGGCCAAGTTCTACGCCGCAGAGGTGACCCTGGCGCTCGAGTACCTCCACTCGCACAACATCATCTACCGCGACCTCAAGCCGGAAAACATTCTTCTAGACAGAAACGGCCACATCAAGCTGACCGACTTTGGGTTTGCCAAGGAGGTCGAGACCGTCACGTGGACGCTGTGCGGGACTCCGGACTACATCGCGCCCGAGGTGATCACCACCAAGCCGTACAACAAGAGTGTGGACTGGTGGTCGCTGGGGATCCTGATCTTTGAGATGCTGGCCGGCTACACTCCGTTCTACGACCAGACCCCAATGAAGACGTACGAAAAGATTCTCGCAGGCAAAATCCACTACCCGTCGCACTTCCACCCGGACGTGGTCCATCTGCTGTCGCGGCTGATCACTGCAGACCTGACACACCGCCTCGGCAACCTGCAGAACGGCCCGGCAGACATCAGGAACCACCAGTGGTTCAGCGAGGTGGTGTGGGAGAAACTGCTCCTGAAGGACATCGAGACGCCGTACGAGCCGCCAATCACCGCCGGCGTCGGCGACACGTCTCTCTTCGACCACTACCCAGAAGAACAGCTGGACTACGGCGCCGTGGGCGACGACCCGTACGGCAAGTATTTTGTCGACTTTTGAGGCTGTGCAGCTACCACCACTAGAGCGGCAAGAATCTGGGGCAGTTTTTCTGACACTGTTTTACCGAAACAAGATGTTTGGCCGTTCGAGATCCCGCAGAGCGCTTAGAAAGTCGCACGGGAACGCCAGCTCGCCTGAAGACGGCTCCTCCAGCAGCGTCAGAGGAGACCCCGAGTCGGCGGCTTCCGTTTGCACGAGCATCACGTCGAACCTCAAGCAGCTGGACCTGGCAGCCAAGGAGACCGTGCGGGCCGCGCCGCCGTCAGCGTACCAGAGAGCTCCCGCGGACGAGCGCCAGGAAATGGACGAACTGTTTGCGATGGAAGACGAGCTGCTGGCGATAGTCAGGGCGTTCCAGAATACCAGCTTGGTGCGCAAGAAAATGCTGGAGAACCTGATTACCAACAATTTTGGTGTTTTCCGGTGCAGCACGGCGCACAGTGTCGAGATGCTCGAGCGGATCCAGAACACCGTGAACTCGCTGATCTCGTTTGTGATGCTGCTGAACCAGTCGGACCAGCCGCAGGACGAGTTCGACGACATGAGCCCCTACTACGCCGGCGTGCCCACGCCGCCGCGCGCGCGTGCCAACGACATGCGGTTTGCCAGCATGCGCGTTCCGCGACACCTGTACGAGGCGTACTACCCGATGACTCCCTACAGATAACTAAGAATCTATCCGTACTCGGCACTTTTGCTCTCTATTATATACAGGTCACTCCAGGACGATCTTGGCGCCCAGGCCTTCGAGTGTAGCTTTCATCTGCTCGGCGTCGTCCTTGCTGACGTTCTCCTTGATCACCTTCGGAGCGCCCTCAACGAACTTCTTCGACTCGACCAGAGAAAGCCCCAGCAGCGACTTGACCTCCTTGATGATTTTCGGCTTGGCCTTGGCGTCGAACGACTCGAGTTTCACGTTGAAGATGGTCTTCTCCTGCACCTCCTCCTTGGCCTCGGCGGCCTCTGCCTCGGCGGCGGCAGCAGGCGCTGGGGCAGCGGCTCCGGCGGCGGGGAATGCAATGTCTGGGATGTTGAGCTTGGTCTTGAGCTCCTGGATCAGGTACGAGGTCTCCAACAGCGTCAGCGTCGAAATCTGGTCCACGATTTGTGCGATTTTCGGGTCCACAGGCTTGGCCTCGGTCGAGTTGTGTCTGGCCAGACGCGCGCCGGCGCTGGCTGCTGCAGATCTTCTGCCGAGTCTCACGGCGGCTCTCGAGGATTGTCTTAGAACTGCAGACATGGTGGTGGAAATAATTAGTGTTTGTGAAAATTTGGTGAAAAAACCCACGGCAAAACGGGCGTGCACACTCCCGCGCCGGTTCTGCAACAAGCTTATGTAAGAGCCGAATTTTCATTTCTCTTCGCCATGTCGTTCAGATTCTGTGCCGAGTGGTAAGTAGAACGCCGCCCTGCGTACGCTAACCGTGCCAGCAACAACATGTTGTATCCGCGCGAGGACAAGGAAAACAAAAGACTGCTGTACCAGTGCCGAAATTGCCCGTATTCAGAGCTCGCAGACAATGCCAGAGTCTACAGACACGAGCTCATCACCAACATCGGAGAAACCGCAGGCGTGGTCGAGGACATCGGGTCCGACCCGACGCTGCCGCGCTCGGACAAAACGTGCCCCAAATGCCACAACTCCGAGTGCGTCTTCTTCCAGTCCCAGCAGAAAAGAGCAGACACAAGCATGGTGCTGTTCTACGTTTGCTTGGAGTGCAAAAACGTGTTCCGCAGTTAGACGGCCGGCCGCGCGAGCACGGCAGAGTCGCTGTATTGTATAATAACTTGTTGCTAAACTAAATGTCGTGATACGTCTCACAAATTGTAGTGCAATATTATGTATAGCTCCCGAATTCTATATAAACACCCTGGCGCCCATGAGCTTCGGCCGTCCGAAGCCTCGTTGTCGCAGACACAGCTCTCATAGATAGTACTGACTGTAGGACCCCCCAGCGTTCACCCCCACTGCGCCTGCTCCGTTCGCCGTCCTGATAGACTGCAGCGACCCGTGGAGAGTGTTGGATATCGACGGAAGCATGATCTTCTCGGACGACGATCCCGGGGCGTTGTTCGTGGTGTAGTTGAATAGGGTATTGTGCGAAAGTGTGTGCGAGGGACTGTTAGTCCCGGAGGTTGGCGAGTACGCGTGTGGATTCTGCTGTTTGAGAGTGTCTTTGAGCGTGGAGATGATCTTGAAGTAAGTCTCCTCCTTGTTGGCGTCCGACAGACCCGACGATGTGTTCAGATGGAGCAGCAGGTTGTTGATCTCGATGTGCAGCACGCTCAGCCGCTGCTGTTGTTGAGGCGTGCTCTGGCCCGCCTTGGCGTCCTTCACGGCCAGGCTGGCGCTCTCTGCGAACGACAGCTTGGGCGAGGACGACGAGGACGACGACTTGGACGTGCTCAGGGACTCGGACCCGGCCTGCATTGGCGTGTGCTGCACGTGTCCAAAATTCAGTGGCAAGGGTAACTGGAACTTGGGCATAGGTTGCAGCTGGGTGTTGGCAGTCTGCGCGGCCATGAGCAGCGTGTTCGTAGGGCCAAAAGTGGGTCTCTTGCTGATCAGAGGAGCCGTGAGAGCAGGTTTCTGGACACTGGAGCCGGCACCAGATCTCGAGTCCGACTCGGCCTGCCTGGAGCCGGAAGGATACAAAGCGTGGTTGTGCTGGTCGTTGACCACGACGATGGACCATTTTTTCGCCCGCAGCGAGTAGTTGGCCCTTATCCTGAACGGACAGTTACCCTTCTGTCTTTTTCCGGCGTCTTTGGTCAGCGACTTGGACAGTTTAGTCATCTTTGCGCAATGGGCGCTGGGAGCAAAACTATGGCTATTTTTGCACTTGAACACTATTTTGGTATCGTCCGACCGCTCGATAACGATGTTGATGCCCTTGGACACTAGCTGGGAGTGCAGCCAGGGCTTGATGCTCTGTTTGTCATCGAAGTACTTCTTGTCTAGTATGAGTGGTTCTGACGAGTTTCCGTCAGAACGACAAGGGGAGTGGCTTGGGCTGGGCTTCATGGTAGCGACTGGCGGCTCGAACTGGTAACCCATAAGTAAATCTGAGAGGGGAAGTGCGGCACTGTGTTTGTATTTATAGTTTGGGACAAGAAGAGGGGTAATCAGTCGGGGTCAGATTTTTTTTAGGGGGGTGGGTGAAAATGATGTGATACCCTATGGGTTCCAGGATTTGTTTTGTATATGTAAGGCAGGCAAAAAAACGTGCAGACGGTATTTTCGACAAAAGAGGGGGAGAGATTATCTCATGCGCAAATGATTGGCGTACATCGCTCTTGCTCCGGCTGAAATAAATCATCTGCACCCCCTAACGGGGCTTTACGCCTTGCACCGAGTTTCGGATTCCGAGCTCGAAATTCGCTACTTTGCGTGTAAAAAACCGGGTCTGCCGTGGCACCCACGGCTGTGGCCTCGGCACACATTGCCGCTGAAACGGAACCCGAACACGGTGAGCTGTTTACGGCACTCTATCTACTACACACGAACGATCTAACACCGACAACCCCTTTTCTACCCCGTCTTTACCCCCACTTGCTGTATACACCCCTCTTGCAAATCAGCACCGCGATATAACCCCGCCCTCTCGCAAGCGGTTGGCCATACTCCGATTTTTTTTTCTCACTCTCGGATTCCGCTCTGGATTTCAACTAATACTCCGAGACACATAGCGCCCTCATGCAGCCACCGGAAACCCACCTTGCTGCCTATTTCTTCTTCTTGCGGCTCGGACGGGCATTTTTCGCCCGTCTCTTCTCCTTCACCTCTCTGGTCTTCCTGATCTGCTCCACAGAGCGCAGCTCGTCCCGGCCCTTGTTGGTGTTCCAGCCCTTGACGTGGCGGCCAGACTCCACCGCCTTCTTGACCTTCTCCAGCTGCTCTTTGTAGTTGTCTCTGTTTTTGTCGGGCAGTTTAGGAGCGTCCTGCTTCGTGTGCACAAACCTGCCCCGCTGTCTCTTGCCCGAGAGCCCCACGTCGAAGCCCCTGTTCTGCTCGGCCGCGCCCGTCTTGAAGTTGACGTTGTGCTGCGCCTTCCACTCGTCAAACTTGCCCGACCGGTACGACGCAGGGATTTTCTGGCCCGACTCGCCAATGATGTATTTTTTGTCGTCCTGCACTTTTTTGTACTTGCCCGCCTTCTTGTCCCAGAGCACCCGTGCCGTCTGGCGCTGCACAGCCACCTTCTCGTCCTCCGCGTCGATGTCGAACGCTGCCCAGTTCGCCTCCGCCGTGAACCCGGCGTCCAGCGAAAGCTGCTGCTCCTGGATCGCCGATGCCGGCGCATAGTGCGAAATGTAGTAGTTTGGGTCTTTGAACGACTTCTTCTTGGCCTTTTTCGACTCCAGCACAACGTCGCCGTCCTCAAACGTCCGCCGCAGCTCGTCCTCGTTCACGTTGTACCCGACCTCAACGCCCTGCTCGTCCTTGAACAGCTCGTCCTCCAGAGTGTGCGTCAGCCCAGAAACACGCTCCAGCTCCAGCAGCTCGCGTCTTTCCTGGGCCTTGCGCTGCACAGACGCGATCTGGCGCCGTCTCGTGTTCATGAGGTCCACGAGCGAGTCGTCGCGCTTGCCAAACTCGAAAACGGTCTCTTTATTTTTCCGGTTCTGCAGCTTGGCCAGAAACTGCTCTTTTTCCAGCTCCTCGTTCTTGCCAAACAATAGATTCTGCTCGTCCCAGCCCAGGTTCACAATCTCCTTTGCCCGACGCAGCGACTCAACACTGGCCCCGCTCCGAGTCCGGAAGTACAGCTGCTCTCCCTTGTCGGCAACGGCCTTCAGGGACCGGATATCGTAGTTGTGCTTCATGATCGTCTCGTACAACTCCTGCAGCTCGCCAATCAGCTTCCGCGGCGCACTGCCCAGCACCAGCCGCTCAGTGTACGACAGCTTCGGCTCCCGGAACCCGGCCACGCTGCCGTGCTGCTCCAGATACTTGTCCTTGAGCAGCTGCACTTTTTTCTCGTGCATCGACGTCAAAAGCACCTTGCGCCCGAGAAAAACCTCCAAGTCGAGCAGGTACGGCAGCTCCGCCTCGCCCACGATCGAGTACGCCCACCCGCTGTTGCCCGCTCTCGCCGTCCGCCCCACACGGTGCACAAATATCTTGGACGACGACGGGAACGAGTAATTGATCACGTTTGCCAGCACCGGGATGTCTATTCCGCGCGCGGCCACGTCGGTCACCACAAGGATCGGACACAGCCCGGCACGGAAGTTCAGCAGCTGTCTGCGCCGCGCGTGCTGGTCCAGCGACCCGTAGATGTACGCGGTGGCGTACCCGGCGTCCTTGAGCAGTAACGTGACGTACTCCACGTGATGCTTCGTCGGCACAAACACAATTGTCGAGTGTTTTGTCGGCAGCTCGCCCGCGCGCGGCAGCTTCTCGCGTCTGGGCCGTTTCTTCTGTTTCTTCTTGCCGTCCGCCTCGTCCTCCGAGTCCTCGTCGTCCAGCCGGTTCGCCGCGTCCAGCCGTCTGAGCTCCTCCGGCGTGGCCACCGGCATTTTGATCACCTCCTGCAAAAGCAGCAGCAGGTTGGCCTCGCGCTCGTTCTTCTTTGTGCTGATGAAGCACATCTGCAGCTCGTCCGAGATCTTCGTCTCGGAGTCCAGCCGCACCAGCACCGGGTTCGTCAGCCCGGCCTTGGCAAAGTCCACGAGGTTGCGCGGCAGCGTGGCAGAAAACAGCATCGACTGCCTTTTCTCGGGCAACGCCGCGAGCAGCTCGTTCAGCTGCTCGGCAAATCCCATCTCGAACAGCCGGTCCGCCTCGTCGTACACAATGTACTCCACTGTGCGCAGGTCAAGCTGCATTTCTGTCTTGAGGTGCAAGAAACGGCCGGGCGTGGCGATGATCACGTCCGGGTTGGCCATCATGGCGCCAAACTGGTCCTCCATCGAGTCTCCACCAATCAGCAGCAGCGACCGCAGATCCGACCCGCGGCTGAACTCCTTGAACTGCTTGGACGTCTGCATAGCCAGCTCTCGCGACGGCGACAGGACGATCGCCCTGACACCGATCTTGGCCACGTGCGTCTTCAGTTTTTCGATCAGCGGCAGCAGAAACGCCGCAGTCTTACCGGAACCGGTTCGGGCCATTCCAACCACGTCTCTGTTGGACATGATCAGAGGAATAGTCTTTCTCTGAATAGGGGTGGGCTGCTTGTACCCTTTCTTGCTCAGGTTCGCGAGAATGTACTTCGAAAGGCCGAACGACGCAAACGTGCCACTCTTGGCCTTCTTGGCAAGCGGCTGGTTCAGAAAATAGTTCGTCGTTTCCTGGTCGTCGTCGTCAGACAGCTCCAAACTAGGGAATTTGGACGGATCGAGCCTCGGCTTCTTTGCAGCCGGTTCCTCGTCCGAGCTCTCGTCGCCGCTGCTCACAATCTCGTCCTGCACGTCAGCGTCGCTGTCCTGGCGGTCGGAGTCGCTGTCGACGCCGTCGGCCACAAGATTGCTTGCAATGTCAAACTCCTCGTCACTCATGCAAAAATACAATTTTATTCAGGAAAAAAAAATTATTTTTTATTCATTTCTTGGCTGTGCTAATCAGAAAAATACAGAGCAGCCGATCCAGCTACCTGTTGTAAGGGTGGTAGCCGCGTCTTCCACGGCCTCTGTGGCCGCCGCCGCCGCCACTTCTTCCTCCCCTATCGCCCCTGTCGCCCCTGTCGCCGCGGCCGCGGAAGTCGCGAGAGTCCTTAGGCCCGCGGGGCCGTCCGCCGTGTCTCACGCCGCCGCGGGGCCCAGAAGGCAGGTTCGTCGTCTGTTCCTGCGGATTAGGCACCTCGTCGCCGGCATCCTTGCCGTCGTCGCCCCCGTTCTGCTGCTCGTCGCCGCCAGGCATCGTCTGGCCGTACTGCTGCATCATCTGCTGCATGGCCTGCGAAACGTCGCCGCCCTGCTGCTGGACCTGCTGCATTTGCATCCAGTACTGTTGCATCTGCTGCATCTGCTGCCAGTACTGCTGCATCTGGGCCATCTGTGTGTACGTCTGCTGCGGCTGGCCGACGTTGGAGTAGGAAGAGCCGGCCTTCTGCTGGTTACGAGGCTCTGCACGCTTGATTTCCATGTTTTTACCGTGAAATAGCACGTACTTATTCTGGGTCACTCTATCAACGGCATCGGGGGAATCGTACGTCACAAACCCGTATCCGCGGGACCGGCCGGTGTCCTTGTCGAGCATCAGTTGCGAGTCAATGATGTTACCAAACTGCTGGAAGTATTCCGTAAACTCGGCCTCGGTGACCTCTGGCGCCACTCCGCCCACAAAAATTTTGCCTGTCTTGTCCTGCTCCTCTTTCGGAATGGCTCGTTTAGGGTCGATAAGCTTGCCGTCTAGAACATGTGTTTTTTTTAAAACCTCGTCAACACTACTTGAACTAGCAAATGTCAAAAAGCCAAAGCCCCGCGACCGCCCTGTCGCGTTATCCTTCATGATGGTCAGGTCGACCACGTCGCCAAACTGCGAGAAGTAGTTCTTCATGCTCTCCTCGGTCGTTTCCCAGTTCAGGCCGCCAATGAACATCTTGCCTTGGTCCTTCGACTGGATATCGGCTCGCACCGTGTCCTGGAACTGTCTCTGGCCCGGCCCGCCCACAGTCATTGGCGGCGGCGCGTGCATCACCGGGAACTGCGCCGGAACCTGTGCTGGTGCTGGTTCGCCTGCTCCACGCGCACCGTCCTGGGCGGCCGCATTTGCAGCCTCTGCTGCGGCCTCGTCCGTCTTGGGCGCCGTCTCCTGCTGCTCCTGCTTCACTTCCTCCTTGTCGTCGTCGTAGATGTCGTCAAAAAGGGCCTCGTCGTCGGAATTCGTCATATTGTTGTGGACAAAGTTAAAGTGCTGAGTCTCCTTTAATTTTTCGTCGGGAGGGTAACCGGGAAGAAGTCGACGCTACAACAAGTGCGTGCAATAGACCAAAGGGCACGGAGCCCGCTGGACCTTTGGCTTTTCCCGGCGCCTCTGTTGACCCACAGCGTCCAGAGAATGTCCACCCGCCAAAGACTCGTCCCGCACACCGCCTCCCGTCTCCGTGCTCTCTCCTTGCACATTGCACCGCCCGGTGAAAAAATTAATACCATGAAAGACTATCTGGTGTACTTGTCGCAGGCGCATGTGGGTTTCCGGCGCGCGGAGCTGGAGTCGCTGGCCGAGATGCACGGGTTCATAGCGGACCTGAGCGGCCTGAGCGAGAAATCGCCGTTTTTCGTGGTGCAGCTCGAGAACGACGAGCAGGCCGCGCAGCTAATTCGGAGATCGGTTCTTTCGCGGGCCATTTACGAGCTCTGGGGCCAGGGCGCGACGCTGGACGAGCTGCACGCGGACGTCAGACACCGGAGCGCGGCACTTGTCTCGAAATACAGGCTCTCGTCCTTCAAATTCGATATTGTTTCGTACCAGGGGAGCAGAAAGAGCCGGGAGCAGCAGCTGGCGCTGATCAACTCGTTTGCGTATCTCGCGCTGGATGGAAAAATCAAGATGAAAAACCCCGACCAGATATTCACCGTTCTGGAGGCGTACAGCATCGTGAACCAGGAGCCTGCTCCGCAGCCGGACTACATGTACTTTGGCCGCGAGGTTGCGGTTTCCGAGCGCTCGCGCGGCGTTCTGGAGCGCCACGAGATCGCCAAACGGCCGTACTACGGGACCACGACGTTCGACGCCGAGCTGGCGCTGGTGAGCTGCAATCTTGCGCAGGCGCGGCCCGGCCAGCTGATCTACGACCCGTTCGTGGGCACAGGGTCGTTTGCGCTCGCGGCGGCACACCACGGCGCGCTTGCGTACGGAACAGACATCGATTTCCGAGCGCTCAAGGGCAAGGGCCCCGGTCGGCGACTTGCTACCAATTTCGAGAAATACGGCACGAGCCATCTGTTTGGCGACGTTCTGTGCATGGATTTCACCCACAACGCGTTCAGAAAAAACCTCGCGTTCGACGCGATCGTCTGCGACCCGCCGTACGGCGTCAGAGAGGGCCTGAAGGTGTGCGGAACCAACAGAGAAGAGCGATTCGAAGGAAAGGAAAAAATAGTCATTGACGGCCAGTACGCGTACCTCCGCCGCGACTTCATCCAGCCGAAAAAGAACTACTCGCTGGACCTGCTGCTGGACGACCTGCTGCAGTTTGCAGCAGAAAGACTGCCGGTAAACGGCAGACTGTGTTTCTGGATGCCCGTGGCCAACGACCAGGACATCCCTACACTGGTTCCGCAGCACGAAAAATTGCAGCTGGTGTACAACCTGGTGCAAGAGTTCAACAAATGGTCGCGGCGGCTGCTGGTTTACGCGAAACGGGACGCAAACTACAAGGGAACGACCATCACGTCGCAGGAGCGCGGCCTCCAGAACGACTTCCGCAATAGATACTTCCACAAATTTAAGTAATGTTCAACTTATCAATATGTTATTACCACTTATCTATTCGTCGTCTTCGAGGGATTCCAAAGTCTGGGCAGCAATACGGTCCAAGTCTCTCTGTCCGTTGTCAGAGATCCTTCTTCCACCCTTTGGAGAGATCTCCAAAACACCAATCTTCTCCAGAGCTTGCACAGCTTTTCTGTTGACGGAACCAGAGGCATCGTAGTGCTTGCTTGGTCTGGCACCTCTGTTCTTGGCACCTCCGTAGAGCTTGTTCAGAGCACCAACACCGACTTGCTTTCTCAAGTAGATGTGTCTGGCCACAGAAGCGGCTCTCTTGTAGAACCATTTGTCGGCCTCTTGTGGTGGGAGCTCGTTGCCGGCGGAGGTCTTGACCAACTCGACGTAGCCTGGAACCTCGAGCTTACCTTGTCTTTGCAAGAATTGGGCGTATGCGTTGATAAAGTCCTGTGCTGGGACGTCTCTGACAGAGTAACCTGGCATGTTGTATATGATCAAGTTTAGAGTTTGAGAAAATTTTCTAATGAATATGCGGTGTGACGTTGGTGCGAGGTGTACATTTTTCAGACGAAAAAAAGACATGGAGCAGGCACAGAGCAACACGATGGTCCCGTCTAGCACGAGCGCCAGACGGCGGTCGTGACAGGGCCGGCAACGCCCGTCCTTCTATATAGCCCTTTAGTCCTACGCTCTCTAATCTTGATTTCTTATTCTGCACTACGTAATTACCCCTAGACCTTGAAACCTCTGGATCTTCTTCTACCTCTGGCTCTCTCGAACTTTCTGCCCTTGGACAGGATTCTTGGAGCCTTGCCCTTGTGTGGGCCGAAGCCGAAGTGTCTAACGGCCTCTCTGGTTTTTCTTGGACCTCTGATGGTCAAGGTGTTGGAACCGGTTGGAGCTCTAAGAGCCAGCTGGTCGAGAGTGAGGGTCTCACCACCGTTTTTCAGAATGGTCTCCTTGGCGCCAGCAGTGAATCTCAAGGCGGCAACAGTGGCCTTTGGGAACTCAAGCACTCTGGAGTCGTCGGTGACGGTTCCAACAACAACAACAATCTTGTCGGAGGCGCCTGGCTGTCTCAGAGCTCTGGCGATTCTGGCGACAGAAACTGGTGGTCTGTTGATCTTGGAAAGGTACAGAGACTTCAGGATGATCTTGTTAAATGGAGCATCGGTACGGCCTAGAGTACGTTAGTAACGGGCTGGATGACTATTTTAATTCTGCTCAAAGTCGCACTTGTCGCGCTCGACAAAGTACTCGCAAAATCCGCAGAGACCGTTTTGAAACGTCTCTGGCTCATCCAAAGTGGACTGTCCAGCAGTCGGCGAATTGTGCAAAACCAAAATTGTCAAGTTCAATACCTACGAGCCAAGAAGGAGTACAGTTTCACCAAAGACTTGAGGTAAACGTTCTCCGACTTTGGGGCCTTTCTGTGGCCGGATCTGATGTGCTGCTTGGAGGTGTGATCTCTACCCATGGTGAAGTTTGTAAGAAAGTTTTTCGCTGGAAAAAAATTTATGAGGGCTGAAAGTCCAATTTTTCGCGCAGTCACGTGAAGCCCAGCAGCAGATGCTGGCTGTGCACAAAATATAATATTTCTCTGATTTACCACCCTGTGTCGCCATGGATCGCCTAAAGTGAGTATCGGGACCTTTAGTTTGCGCTAACAACAGAACCGACGAGACCAATCCGCGCGGAATTCCGCAGGCCAAGTTCATCGAGAAGATCGAGGACTTCATCGACCCGAAAACGTGCACCGACGACGACGTCTCGGTGTTTTTAAAAGAACTACAGGTCAGACTCCAGCAGTACCAATTTATGGAAGAAAACAAGCGCAGCACGCTCAGCAACCTCAACACGAAAATTCCAGACATAAAGAAAACGCTCGACATGTGCAGGTTTCTCAAAAGCCGCAAAGAGCACGACGAAGAAACCGTTGACGTGAACTACGAGCTCAACGATACCGTCTACTCCACGGCGGAAATCAACGTGAAGGAGCTGGATTCTGTTTCGCTGTGGCTCGGAGCAGATATCATGATGGAGTATCCCATTGACGAGGCTATTGAGATGCTGGAAAAACGGCTTCAGGCCGCGCTCGATAACAAGGCCGTCACCATGGAAGACCTGGAGTATCTGCGCTCAAACATCACCACAATGGAGGTCAACACGGCGCGGGTGTACAACTGGGACGTGCAGCGGCGCAAGGCCCTCAAGGCGGCCGAGACTACCTCCTGAACGTGTCGAGGATCTGTGCGCCGAGCGTTCGCACCGGCGTGTCTTCTCTGTCGTCCGACGGCTCGGGCGAGTCGTCGTCTTCTGCCCTGTCGGTGTTGTTGACCATGTCGCGAATGCGGCTATCGAGCGGGCGCTGCTGTGGTTTGGCGGCGAGTTTGGCGTATACGAGCTCCACGACTCTCAATCTGGAATTGAGGCCTGGCAGCAGCCCGTTGAAGAACAGCGACCCGATAAAGTACCCGACAAAGCTGGGGATCACCGAGTTGATGAGGCCCTCGCTCACAAGCAGCTGCAGAGCCACCAGCGACGTGAGAAAGTCGTTTGTGAACACCAGCTTGAAGTCCTCGTTTGACTCGCGCAGTTTGATCAGGCCCCCGAAATTCAGCTCGAACTTGTATAGCACAGGCGTAAACTTCCAATGGGCGTATAGCAGTCCGAACAGGACGCCCAACGGGCCGGCAGGAACGAACAAGTTGATGCCGAGAAACGTGTAGAGTGTCCATGTGAGGACTGCGACGGCCGCAACGTTGTAGAGGTAGAGAAATAGGATGGTTCTGAGGAACTTCAGACTTCCAAAAACGCGCTCCAGGTTCTTCAGACTGAGCACCATCAGCGTGACGCACAGGATGACCTGCGACTCGTTCTGGAACTGCATCTGGAACAGGGCAAAACGCCAGTATTGGTGCCATTTGCTGATGAACGGGTCGTAGCTCAGCACAAACAGGGGTTTCCACTCAAAGATGGACACGGCGAGCGGAATGGCGATGAACAGCGACGTCAACGCCGAGCTGATCGGCAGATGGACAAACCCTGTGGGGAGCGAAGAGGACATTAAAATAAATAGAGTTAATTAATATTTCGAAGGACTACCGACGCGTCGTAGAAATAAATAGCCTAAGAAATAATTTATCTCTTTCTTGTTCCTACCATGCAGCCGTGGTACAATAAACTGGGCCGCCAGGGACGCCAATTGGCCGAGCAATGGCGGACAGCGGGAGAGCCGTGGGGTGTCGCCACTCCGACCCCTCTGGACTACTTGTTTGACGAGCTAATCACTCCCAAATCGTCCACTACCCCAGACAGGATCCTATCGTACCTGGCATACTACTATCCAAAACTAAAGAACGAAAACAACGTTGAGCTTTTGACGCTGTGTTTTCTGCGCTGTCCGCTTTTCTTCAACGACGCCCAGCTGGTGTCGTTCAACGACAACTATCGCGTTATCGAATGCTTCAAGTACATCATGGACAAGAAGTTCCAGATCAGCCAGCCGACGCTGCCCTTCCACAGGTTCTACAATGCGCTGTTTGGAGCCGTGGCAAAGGTTGCCGCAGACCCCGCGAGCGCGTGGAAAGTGGTTCCCGTGGTAGTGGGGTGTCTGCTCTCTGCTGACTCAAGAGACGACTACGACAGGTATCCCGAGCACTTTCAGCTGATTGCGAAAATCGACGCCAAGTTTGTGGGCATTGCGGCAAACACACTGGAACGGAGCATGGACGGGCCGCTTTCCAAAGATCTGCTGTGTCTCAATGTGGTTGCCTTGTCCTGTGTCCAGGACAAGCTTGTCGACCCGCAGCTTTTGCGAATTCTGCGAGTCAGGTCGGACATTCTGAAAATCCTCACAGAACTCACGTTCAACTCGCCGTACGGTCTTGACAATGGCCGGGTTATATTTAATGGCGAACCAAACACACCCATCGTTGTCAGACATTTGAATCGGATCTCGTTTCTGTTCGCCAAGCTCACGTCGATCCATCCAAAAGTCGCTTTGTTGGTGGACGATCTGGATCTGATTCTGAACAGGATCCAGACGTTCAGCGAGAACGTGTTGAGCGTCCGAAATCCAACAGAACCGCAATGGAGCACACTAAGAGTGGTCTTGTTTGCCCAATTGATGATGTTTGAAGGAATTATGGCCCGTTTCTTCCAAATCAACGACCATTCTCTCAACACAGCCGTCCTACCCACCCTGAGCCGGAAAATCCTCTCAACACTGCTCAACTTCAATTTTGTCGTCGACAGGATCGGCACCGGCGGCTTCGAGAGCTACAATTTCGTCTACGCGTCGTGTCTCAGCGCGCTCACGAGCTACGACATCTCCACGGCAGAAACGCTCATCAAGTGCTGGACCAGCAGCATAGCATTCAACGAGATCGATAACTCTGCCGCAGAGCGCGGGAAACTGCTGTTTGATCTCCAGTTTATTGAAAACGTCGTCAATTTGGTCTCCGACAACCTGAAATTCGACTTCATCATTCCCATAGTGCAAGATCTCATCGGCAGGTCGCGCGACCAGGCCGTTTTGGAGACCGCGCACTCAGTTATGGTCAAATACTACACCAGCGTCGACACCTACAACGAGGCCCAATTGGTGGACTACACGAACAACGTCAAACATGTCGGGGCGCAACTGATCGACTACCTCACGCTGGCCCTGGATCAGTTCCCGGCCCGGTTGTCTCTGAGCCAAGTCGGCGTTATTGTCGAAACACTCGCCAAAATCACGTTCCCAGACACTGCCGTGCACGAGTGCGATCCGGACCTGTACCGAGAGCTCCTTTTGCTCGTTTATAACAGATGTCTCGTTGCCACGAGCGAAAAGCTCCCAGACGCTCAAGATCCACCAAGAACACGCCACGGAGCGTTCACGTCTCTTCTGATTAAAATTCTTCCCCTGGTACCGTTCGAAGAATACCAATCGTGGCTGGAAAGAACTCTCAGTCTTGCGTTCCGCACCGTCGGCGACGAGCGCACGTACCTCCTGGACTCGCTATGGGACAGCATTCTGGGCGCAAACAGACACTATCCGCAGAAAGGGTACGTTGGCATCCAATGGTGGTACGAACATGTCAACCAGAATCAGGAAAAAGCAAAATTATAGTATTTAATTTATTCGGTCGGTTCCTGCTGGTCGAAGAAATCCAGCACAGCGCAGTTCGGATGTAGAATGTAGACCATGTTGGCTTTTCTTTCGGCCTCTTTCTTGCGCTGCCACTCCTCCAGCCCAATAGTGCGTCTTTCGATCTCGGCCCTGGACATGCCCTCGCGGACAACATACTCCTCTGGGATCTCCAGGTCGCCCTGGTCCGGATTCACGCTCATCAAAATTTTGTCCTTGACAAGCCGCTTGAGCACCTTCAGAGCCGTCTTGCGTTCCTGCCAGTACTGGTCCTCGCTCTCTATCTCGTCTTCGATCTGGTGCAAGTACCATTCCACCAAAAACTCGGCAGTGTACCCCTGGCCGGGCTGGGAATCGTCCTGCGACTCTTGGCTCGTCTCCTTCTCGCCAATCTTCCGCACAAACAGGTTCATCATCTTGACGTATTTGTCGTACGGAATGGCCACCTTGTGTTTTTCGCGCGACTCAGCCGACTCGCGCTCCTGTGTGTCCTGCGACGTTTGTTCTGGTTGCACGGGAGCCTCGTCTCCCTCGTCGATCTCGACATCGTCCTTTTCCACGCGGATAATGGACTGTCTTAGCAGATCGTAGGCCTCGGCCACGAACCGCGGCGTGATCTCCTCGGTACAGTTGGCTCTGGCAATGGCCTCAGACAGCCGGATCATACTTTCCAGCTGTCTCACGGTGATTCTGTAGCTGCTGCGGCCAAGTCCTTGAGAATCGTCGCTGCGCAACTCCTTGTATCTCTCCACAAGATAGTCTCTGGCCTCCTTGGTCATCCTGGGCTTGAACGTGCGCGCATACTTGATGTATCTGAGCAGCTGCTCTTTGGAGAACGGCGGATCAATGGCGTCGTCTCTGAGCATGTGGAGGTTCACGATGTGGTCGGCCAGCTGCGTGTCGACTTTCTCGTTGCACTCGTCCAGAACGACGAAAAAGAGATCGAACCTCGACATGATCGGGGCAGTCATGGCCAGATTGCTTTTCAGACCAACCTTGGGGTTGTATCTGCCCCCAATAGGATTGGCAGCCGCAAGAATGGAGGTCCGGGCGTTCAAGGTAGCCTGGATACCGGCCTTGGTGATGGAAATGGTCTGCTGCTCCATCGCCTCGTGGATGGCCACCTGGTCCACCAGATCCATCTTGTCGAACTCGTCGATACAGCAAATACCGTTATCGGCCAGCATCAACGCGCCCGCCTCAATGGTCAGCTCTCCGCTTTCCTCGTCTCTAATAACTGCGGCAGTCAGACCAGCGGCAGAAGAGGCCTTGCCGGACGTGTAGACGGCTCTGGGAGCAAAACTGTTGACGTATTTCAGAAACTGAGACTTGGACGTAGACGGGTCGCCAACAATGCAAACGTTGATGTCTCCTCTCAAATTGATACCGTCCACAGTTTTCTTGTGCACACCGCCAAGAAGCTGCAAAAGAACGCCCTTCTTCACCACCTCGTGGCCATAAACCGCAGGCGCAATCGACGACACAAGCTTGGCGTAGATATGGTCGTCCGAAACCATGTCCTTGAGCTCGTTGACCTCCTGTTCTGTCAGCGTGTTCAGAAACATCTCCTGCTGCTTGTCTGTGTCGTCGGCGGTTTCCAGGTCGTCGGCGTCGCCGTTGGCGTCCTTGGCCACGAGGGAGCACACGTGAGACGCGAAAAACGCGATTTTGTACGTCAGATCTCTGGCTCCGAGGGCCTTCAGACCCGTGATGCCAGAATTGAGCGCCTCTGTGGCGGACCCCATGCCACGTGACCGCACAGACATGGGCTTCACGCCAGGAAGACCCAGCTGCGTCACGTCCGGAACCACAACCTCTGTTCCGGTGAATCTGCACTTATCGCCCGGCTTGGCTCTTTCGACGAGTTCTCCGCGCAGAATCACGTCCAGCGTTCTTGGCATCGACCCCGTCGGGATCTCGTTGGAGTTCTCCTGGATGCGGACTTTTTGCCAGTCCAAAAACGTCGATTTGGCGATGTTGAGCGTCCAGGACGCGTGGTTTTCGCACGTCGGGTTCGAGCAACTGCTTGGCTCGGTGTATTTAAACGCCTGCTCGACGTTTTCAATCAGCGTTTTGCACACGTCGCACGTGAACGAGGCCTTGTACAGTTCAGGCCTCACCTCGCTGGTCCGCGTGACGGTGCCGGAAATGGACATCAGCATGCCGATGTTCTCTGCTCTGAGCTCGCGGATCCTGTTGATCGTGGGCAGGTTGTAGAACGAGATCTGGAAAATCCGCTCCGTGACGCCTGTTTCCTCGTCGTCGGCGAGTTTGGTCGACCGTCTGAGAAGCGCAGGCTGGAACCGTTTGATCACTGTGCGCAGACCGTTGATCAGGTACGGAATGAACCGGTAGTATTGCTCGGTGATGGCGCTCGCCAGAATCCCGTTCTCAACAGTCAGCAGGTGCTGGTAGTCGATGTATATTGTGCACAGATCGTAGTGGGCCATGGCGGCGATTTGGGCAATGTACACTTTGCCGTGGAACTCTGGCTCGTCGGCATTCTGCTCGTCGGTGAAGTCGACCAGGAACTGTTCGAACGCCTCCTTCACTTTTTCCGCTGTCAGGTCGGTGACTTTTGGGATCGAGCTCAAATCTCTTCTTCTTCTAAGAAAACTGGCTGTGGGCTCGTCGGTTTCCATTTCTTCCTCAGCGGCCTGTCTTCTCGAATCGCTGGGCAGATGAGGCTGCGACTCGCTGAGGGGGTTGGTGCTCTGAGTCCGGAACGCCTGAGACGACGGCAGCGGCGACGACGCGATAGTTGTCATTGGGATCGGAAAAGAATTAAAGGTAAAGTTTGAAACGTTCGCGTTCGCGTAATTACGTTTCTGTTTTGGGAAAAAGGGTGCATACGGTGGGAGGTGTGAAGAGGAGGTTTGCGAAGCCGGACGGGAAGATGGCGAAACGAGTGTACACGATGGGGGAAGACTGGACAGATAACGACTGTGGGAGAGCAAAAGGGTGAAGGTTAACGTGGTAGTTTTAAGGATGCATGGATATTTATTTCATTAATATATTGAAAAAATAATCTTTTTATTAAAGAAATAAAAAAAAAAAAAATTATCAAATTAAATCAATATGGCCAGAAAAAAGTCTGCTGCCAAAAGAGCCAGAGAGGCTGATCCACAGCAACCAGGGTCTGAGCCCGTTGCAAAGGACAAAGACGTGGCTGTCGAACAATCGAAAAGCGAACCAGTCGAGAGCGAGATCGCAGACGACGATGTGGAAAACGAGGACGAGAGCTCTGAGGAAGAAGACCAGTACGGCGATCTTTTGACCGAGGACGTTGAAGAAGGGTTCCAGAAAGTGCTTCAGGCAATCAAGACCGGAGACAAGGCTCTGTTCGATAAGAATGTGAAGTTTTTCAAAGATCCAGAGGAGGCAGAGGTTCCCATCACCAAGAAAGAGAAGCCTATGTATTTGAAGGATTACCACAGGAAAGTCCTTTTGGACGGCCATGCCTTTGAAGACGACGACGGCGAAGAGCGTGAGTGGAAGGAGGGCGAGAAGCCGTACGCCCTTCAACAGCAGGAAGACAAGAGCAAGCTGCTTTCTGAGATCCAGTCTGCGTTCAGTGACGAGGAGGGCGACGACTTTTTGCAGAAGAAAGAGGTGCAGCGCGAGATCAAGCCTGCGAAGTCGCTTCCAGACCCACAGCAGGACGGAGAGAAATTTCTGGAGGCATTTCTGGAGAAAGAAGCGTGGATTCCGGAGCAGGAGGAGTCGAGACCAGAGATGGAAGAGGATGACGAGGAGTTTGACGAGGCGGCCGAGAAGTTTGAAAACGCGTACAATTTCCGTTTCGAAGACCCCAATGCTGCCGAGATCATCTCGTATGCCAGATCGCAGGCCACTATGAGAAGAGAAAAAATGAACAGCAGAAAGAAGCAGAGGCTAAAGAAGAAGGAGGAGCAGCTAAGAGAGGAGGAAGAGAAGCAGGAGCTTTTGCGCAAGAAAAAACAGAAGAAAGCCACTCAAGTTCTGGACCGTTTGAGGGAGATAAAAGAGGCGGTTGGCGATAAGGTTTCCGAGGACACGATAGCACGTGTGTTTGGCGACAGTTTGTTAAATGACGACTTTGACGATGCGGAGTGGGACAGCAAAATGGCGGAGATTTTCAACGAGGCTTTCTACGAGGAAGACGGCAAGCCGGAGAAGCCCGAAGTGGAGTTGAGCGAAGAGGAAAAGGTGGAGGAGGAGGAAGAAGAAGTGGAGGAAGAGCCAAAGGAAAACAAGTCCAAAAAGTCGAAGAAGAAGGAAGAGAAAATCGGCAAGAAGAAGGAAAAGCAGAAGCTGAAGGAGGTGGCCGAGAAGTTAGTCAGCGCCAACACCCCCAAGCTTCTTGAGGAAGTTGAAGAAGAACGTGGCAGAGGCAAGGATAAAGAGGAAATCAAATTCAGGTACCGTGAGGTTTCTCCGGAATCGTTCGGCCTCACTACCAGAGAAATCCTCGTTGCAGATGATAAGGATCTGAACGAGCTTATAGGACTCAAGAAGTTTGCTCCGTACAGACCGAAGGAGCTGAGGCTGAAGGACAAGCGGAAATACGCAAAGAAGAAGAGGCTTCGTGAATGGCGGATGAAAGTCTTCAAGAGCGCTGACGGACTGGCCGACGACGAGCCTGCTACCAAAAAAACGAAAACTGAATAGATTGGAGACTAATCTGATAATGGAATATTAATGGGTGGTGGTCAGAGATAATTTGATGCTTTAGCCTTACCTGCATACCTAGCGCGCAGTAGTGCTGTACGTCATATTTGGCGCCCGGATATATTATGAATTGCGAGCAGCGATAATAATTTACTCTCGTTTTATACCGCCCTTCTTCTGGGATGTCATATACTCCACTAGATCAAGCTGGGGGGTCGCAGCCAGCGTTCTACAGATAAAAACTCAGTTTATCAGAGACTCTACAATTCTAGCGAAGCTCGCTTAGCCTCAAAAGCTCAAGGTCCTGATTCCTCAGCAATGCTCATACCAGACCAGAAAATGCGAACCACATAGGTGCTGTTTCATATTTTCACCGCTGCCGCTTGGTCGACTGAACATATTGGACAAACACTCGGCGCTTGGAGCTTGGGCTCCGACACGGTTTCTACACTGCATCCGCGCAGAGAACCCAGTTTTTATCGCTTTGCTTCAGAAATAACAGTATTTTGCAGCAAAGCGATTTATATCCTCCCGGTGAGACCAATGGCGCCGGTTCTCCTAATGGGAGGATACGTTGACGCAGCCCATGCTGCGGAGGGGAGATATAGAACTTTCAAAGGTTTGAATACTTTATTTTAACGTACCTTCCCCTACATGGATAGGGAGAGCGCATCCCCCCTATAGAAGGGGAAATGTATACCCCCCTTCAAATAGGGAGAAATATAATATGCGTTCCCCCTACAGAAGGGGAGAGAGAAATGTATCTCCCTTTCAAATAGAGGGAAGGCAATCTATATGCCCTCCCTGTTTGGGGTGGGTAGCCTCTCTCCGTCCCCTATGGTCAGGAAAGGAGAGCCGCATCCACCCCTGGTTTCGAGAGTATACTTCCCGTCTTTCTAGTACAGGGCGGTAGTGGAGCCCCAGTACCGGACGACCTATGGCAGCATACTTTCCCGGGCCTACCCCGTCATTAAAAGTTTGTGGTATAACTGGAATATAACAGGAATCCTTGAAAACTGGAAACGTGCTCTCTAAAATTGAAAATTCGTGATTTGGTAGCAGAATGATACTATGATAGCTAAATGTAGCAATGTGGTGGAAATGTAATACCTCAATGAGAGCATGATCTAGTAGAGTAGTTGGCTGAGCAATGAACAGTGAATAGCACTGTATTATGAGTACGGCAACGCTCACGCCGAAGGGGGCTCCTCCAGCAGAACGCACCGAGGTTGTACTGCCTCTTCCTATAAGTTAGCTGCCGACATTGTCAGCCAATTGCAAAGCAATTCTTCAGGGGAATTCGATATCTGCTGACCTCGATTCAAGCTTCAAGGCCGTACTTCGTGCCATGCCATGCAAAGCGTCGCTCGGTAATTAAACCCGCGCCAGCATCTGCACAACGTCGACAGGTTCCTGGTCCTTTCAGTACCCCTGGATGAGGTTGTAAAACCTATCCCGTTTCTTGCAAGCCACGATGGATGCCCCACAGTCCAAAATCCACGTGAAGACACTGCAGATATTAGACCGCTGTCCATCCGTCTTGCAAAATCCGGTTAATCAGCGCATTGGGCCAAACGTGTCTTCTTTTGGACTCCAATGCGAGGAAAACGGAGTCCTCCCAAACAAGTGGCTTGAGAGTATCGTCCGTGATGAACAGAGAGCTACCTGAAGGGGGCACACCCGGTGTACCAATAATGAGCAATCTTCTGTCCATGAAGTTATATTTTGGGGGGTCGGCGATTTATATACAATTTACGTGGGCGCCTAATCCTTGAATAAACGCCCATCTAAGTAGGATCTCACCGCTGCTTGCACAGCCGTATGAAACATTAGTCCATTAATTTTCGTTGCCTATACTAAATCTATTTGCGCATGCAAATTGTGACACATGTAGTGGCATTCTAGCTCTGTCTTGATGGCGCGTTCGTAGCGTTGCTCGACCTCGATACACGACTTGGCAAACCGTAGCTCGTTCTTGGCAATTAGAACGCGGAGCAAAAGGTCTTTGGTCTGGAACATCTTGCGCACTTCTGGAGAAAAGTCAGACTCTGTCGCGTCACGGACGTACTTTTTAACAATGTGCTTGTTGACCACCGTCCATGTGCTGTTGTACTCACGTTTGAGCTCAGGCACAGACAGCTGGAACAGCTTGAAAATCTTCATGAAATCTTGGTATATGTTGTTGATCTGAGCGTCCAATATCTTCCCCGGAGCATGGAACATGTCTTTGAATTTCAAACACCACTCCATTACCCTCGTGAATTCGAGATCGTCTGTCCTGCGAAAGCGTGACGAGGCAAGGATGCCGTTGATGCCGGACGTGCGCTTGTTCAGACGCGATTCCACTTTGTAGAACAGGAACGAAATACGCGGCAGCACCAGGTTCTCGGCTTCGTCAAGAATCTTGGTCCAAAGTTGAGCAATAACCGCGTCAAAACACTCGGTCTCCATATTGTCGTAAAGCTCTTGTATCATGTGCATCTGCATCTGGTCAATATATTTGTCAATTTCGGGATCGTTTAATGCCTTGTGATTTAACACGAAAGCTGTGGCAGGCGTCCGTCGCAGACTGTCCTCCAAATACGATCGCGTGAAAATGTCCTTTGTCTCCTCTGAGAAGCGGTCGACAAACAGCTTTATCGACCTGTCTCTTCCCTTTTTGATTTCCGATTTTGCCTGGTCAACGTAGAAAAGCGGGTCGTTTTTCTCCACAATGATCTGGATGCAAACATTCAGTCTTCCTGAATTTGGGCTCAAACTAAACTTCTCCTCCATAGGAATGCCGTAGCTGTCTTTGAAACGTAACTTGTATGTAAGCGACTTGTAGAGAATGCCGCTTTTCTCAATCAGGTCAAATCGCAGGTACCCTGACTCTTTATCAGTGGAAGCCTGAAACTTCTCGTTCCACTCTGGATTGTAGTCCTTGGGAATGCACCGAGTGCGGCCACTGATAACTCCGGAAATCAGCACGTACAAGCTGAGAGGTTCCCCGCGGTTGTCCTCCACGTTTTCGGCGCCCCTGATGTCCACAGAGACGACTTTTTTTGTGTGCTTTGCGGTGGGTACAGGTTTCAAGTTGAGGATTTTAGAGTACCTCGTCAGGTCCTCGGTCTTAAACTGATCCATGTATTCAAGAATCTTGAAAATATTGTTCAGACAGGTGCAAGACTCTCCTTTGAAGTTCAGCAACTGGCCTGAGTTGAGGTCTTTCTCAATTCGTATGAACATGGCATTTGAGTAGTTGATCAGCGTGTCGGAAATACTGCGATAGAGCTCCGCAAACATCTGGGCTGACTCGTGCTCGCTCTCCCATTCAAACGATTGCAGAATGCGAATATAGGCATTGCAAATCTCCAGCACGTTCTGCACACTCGAACTGTACGAGCAGCCATCGAGTCTCTCCATGTCGTCGCTCTCAATCGCCCTGTCTGTCTGCTCGCGGATTTCCGAGCCCCAGCTCTTCACAAGGTCCAGCACGTTGGGAAACAGGATGGACTGGAAACTCACGTTCATGTTGGTCCTTTTACGCAGTTTGGAGAGCAGCTCAAGAAGCGTCGTCAGATTGGAGTTGGCCTGATTTGCGGCGGCGTCTTTGCTGGCCGTCTTGAGACCCATAATGAAGGCCTTCAGGTAGTCCTCGATTGGCCTGGTCAGATATTCGATAGCAATCTTCATAAACTCGATTTTCTCGTCTAGATCGGCATTTGTCAGTGTCCATTCCTCAATCTCGTCGAAGTCGCGGTTGACGTAAGCCAGGAGGTTGGCAATGAACTCGATCTTCGACTTGTTCAGTGAAAGTTTGAGCTCTTTAAAGTGCCGGTTCAGTCGCGTGGACAGCGCCGTCCGCAGCCCAGAAAGAACCAGCGACTCTATCTCGTCCACCAGAATATACTGCGACAGATCCAATGCTCGCGTGAAGCTTCTTTTGTCCGCAAAGAAATTGAGAAGACACTCGCTCAAATACGACTTGTACTCGAAAAACACCTGTCTGTTCATCCGCAGCAGCTGCTCGTGTTTCTGCGAAGGCCAGTCGTCCACGTCCAATCGCACGATCATGGACAACTTAGCCAGTCCGTAGCACTTCGTCGCATATTCCAGGTCCAGCTTGTGTTCCGGAATGTCCTCCACCATGCGTATATACATATCAAACGGGTCGACCTGCCAGACCTCGAGACAGCGCACAAATTGGTCGAAAAAAACAGGCGAGGAGTGGTACACAAGGTCTCTCAGGTACATGAGCACCTGGATGAGATCGCTGGGCACGTACGCGGTAGACGTTGGCTTGGCGTCCTGTGTTTGGAATTTTCTCGTCAATTCGTGGTTGAGATGCACAATTTTGTCGAGCCACTTACGGTACGAGCTCTCCGACTCAAAGTCTTCGGCGGAGTACCGATGCACCAGCGACGCGTCGCTGTTGATGTACTGCACAACGTCGGCCTTGTTGAGCGAGATCCGCAGATCTTTGATTTTGTTTTCTAGTTGTTCGTTGGTCACACGGAACGCTTTCGTAATTGCGTCTCGGGACTTCTGGTTTCTGATGTCGGGGGCCACTATGAATGACTCCGAAAGCACCTTGTTTCTTCGCGTGAGCAGCTTCGATCGCTGTGCGTCGCTCGCTTTGCACAGAAGCAGCATATCGATCATCTGTACTCGGCTGATATAGTACACCTCCGGGTCTTTGGTTAATGTGTCTGCTATGAGCTGGTCGAAATTGTCGAGAATGGAGTTCACATCCCAGTGTTTGAGTTCCTTGGCGTACTTGTTGTAGAATCCGTGCAGCAGTTTGCGCGTGTAAGGGTTCAGGTCTATCTCTTTGTATGTTTGCAGTGTCTTGAGTTCGTCAACAAACTGCCGATTTAGCACCTCGTCTCGGTTTCCAAAGTTCAGATGGAGTTTTTTCGTGGATATTCTTGGCTGCTTGGGAATCGACTCGATTTCGGCCACTTTGCGCGTGCGGAATTCGTCGTCGTACAGAAGCTGTACCCGCACAAAATACTCAAACACATACTTATTGAAATACGAATCCTTGGCGGAATCCATCGTGAATGCAGCTGGTTTGCTACTATTACAATGTGGGGGGCGTGATCTGTCGTCTGGCTGAGCTGGGAAATGCGTTTTGCTGCTGGAACATATCCCTTTGCAGCCCTGGTGAACAAAATGTTAAAAAACAAAAAGAAAAAAGTCAATCTGGGGATCTCAGAAAGCTCAAAGTAGGGTAAACGTAAAAAATCTTTCTATTACATTTCCTCTTCTGGTAATAGAAAAGTAGGTCCAGCACAAATAGGAAGTTGTCATTGTTAGACTGCCCTCGTGCTGTCAAAAGCTTTCGCCGGAAACAGTATATGCTTCTCCTGCAGGCTATTCCGCCGTCTGCACAATGTCTTCGCCGTTGAACAGATGCCTGACAAGCACCTTGTTCATCGTGAACATGTTGACCTTATCGCCGAAAATTGGCCGCAGCTTGTCGTCGCACAAGATCTCTCGCCTGTCGTTTGGATTCTGCAGCCCGTTCGCCTTCACGTAGTCCCATATCCTCTTCACCACCTGTGTGCGCGCTATAGGATCCGACGACCCCAGAAAATTGGCAAGAGCCTCGCTCGGCAGCACCCCTTTCGTCAGCGGGTTGGAAGTGCTCGGAGACGTTTGCTGAGGCGTGCGCGACTTGCGCGCTTTTTTCGTCACCTTCTGGACGTCTTTCTTTTTGAGAAGCTGGTTCAGCCGCGCGGCCATCTCCTTGTTCTCCTTCTCAAGCTTTTTGATCTTGCTTTCCGTATCCTGGCTGCCGTTGTCGCCCTGTTCCAGAAAATGCTCGTATCGGGTCCATATTAAATGGTTAATTCGTTTCTTATGCTCAGTGAGGTCAACGTCGAACAACGCTTCCAGCGCCCGTCGTATTCTCTTAACCGACACTTGCAAGAGGTCCGATACTCTCAAAATCGCGTCTATCGTCGGCAAGAAGTCCTCATCAGAATACATCACTAAAATATATTAAATTTTACCCGAAAAAAACAGAAGTCTATTTTTTCTCGCGATTACGCTTCATCTGCAGCTCGTTCTTCTTCACCAGCTTTTTGCGCTCCATTCTGCTCAGTTTACGCGGATCAATGAGCTCGTTCTCGGTGCCCACGTTCTTGTCGTCAAGCTCGACCAGCCAGTCCGACTCGACCTCCTTGTTCTTTCCCTTGTAGCCCCATTTGTTGACCCATTTGCCGGTTTTCTCGTCGTACACAAGCTTTCCGTCCTTGCCCTTCTTCTTGATGCCTTTCTTGGCAGCGAATAGTTCCCATTTGGTTGGCTCTTTGGCTTTAGGTATGCTCTTTTCGCGAGGAAGCTGTGTAGTCGGATCAGGCAGCTGGATCAGCGTCATTGTCGAGTTTTGTCCATTGGAGTTGTCGCTCGTCTTCTTCAATGGAAGCGAAAGCACCTGGTTGATCAGCAGTTGCACGTTGTCTCTCGTCACGTCTCTGAGGTAGTCGTTTTTAGTTTTGTCGTTAGTGATTTTCGAGGCGTCCAAAGGATTAGGGTCGAACAGAGCAAGGTTGCCCAGGTCGTAGTTCACTGGGATAGGTTTCTCGACCGTCACCGGTTTGCTGGATGTTAGTAAGAGGCGGTGGAAGTACTTACACTTGGTGTTCGCTAGTCATGATTAAATTAAATTTTTTCTTTCTGAATAAATATTTTTTTTAATTTTTTTTTTTTTTCAGATTTTATGTAAGCGATCTAACATAGTAGCCATTGCTCAGTTGCAACGTCTCCTGCTTGAAGCCCTTGACTCCCAAAAACGGGTACATGCTGTCGTCAGAGGGATTATTGAGAACGTACCATTGCACAAGGTCTCCAGTTCGGTAAAAAGTGGCGACTTCGACAGGCACTTCGAGCAGCAGATTTGGTAAAAGACCGGAGCTTGAGTCGTAGTCGGGATCGATCTTGAACCTGGCTAGAGGCTTTTCCGTCACACTTACGCTGGAAATCACTCCTATGTTGAACATCAAGCCCTTACGGAGACATGCCAGCGTGTTCGTAAGGGTCGAGTCGCAAAAAGTATCGGAAAGCTCAAAATAGCGTGCCATTTCATTAAATGAGTCTGGGATCTGCCTCAGTATTTTATGGCGATGAAGTAGCCGCGAAAGCTCGGAGTTGGAGTCCACGCTTTGCTGTACGACGAAATTGTTGATCAGTTTGAACGTGGAAATGAAGAAGTTGGCTAACGTCACAAAGTCTGACTCTATGCTTTTCAGACTGGGGATTCTGGAGTTTATATCATGCAGTAGCGACCAGATGCTATACGACGCTGTGTCCAAAGTTCTGCAAATGCTGAGAATGGAGAGAAGAACAAACGTGACGTCAGTGCCCAACGAAAGTGACGATTCCAGGGCCGTAAGCAGGCCCAGCCACTTGCGGCCAGCCATACTGTACAGTTTGTATTTCCAGAAGATGTGGTCGGTCAACCGAAAGCCGTCTATGTACTCCACAAGGCCCCAGCGCTCGATTTGGGCTAGACAATGCTCGAAAGACGGCGTTTTGGCCAGCGAACGGAATACGCGGTCGTCGAACATGGCTTCTGGGGAGTTTTCGTATTTTTTCATCAGGACGAGAAGCGGCACCAGGGGGTCAGACAGGGACATTTCTGCGAGAGTTTTCTCGTTTACAAGGACAAAGCTCTCCCAAGGAAAGGCACGGACGTACTTTTGCGGGATTGGCGAGGGCAGCGTGTGGTCAAAATTTGACGGTGAGTGAACGAGCCGATTTTCAATGCCAGATTGAATCGTGAGAGAGAAGCCCAGAGATCTGTAGAAGCTGAGATAGCGCAGACTGTTCATCAGCTCTTGGTCGTTCTGCATAACCACCATGTTATTCTGATTCACCAGGCGGAGGCCACTTAGATCATTCTCAGAAAGGACGGACGTAGACCCTGTCATGGTTGCAAATTCCTTGACTTGATTTTTTGACGGTAGCAGAACAAGAATGTTGCCCTGGCGGTTCTTTATCAGTTTCTCAACCTCTGAAAACAGGTCCAGGGGCCTGGAAGTCGCAAAAAAGACCTCGAAATCAGGGTTTTGCAAATTAATGCTGAATCCAGTGCAGTCCAAACGAGAGCCATAGTTGTTGACAACGATGAGCTTTTTCGCCGTCTGCAGCTGCTGGAGAGCCAATTGCGTGACTGTGTCGTCGATCGACGTAGCCAGTACGACCCAGTCGCACTTCACGTCTGTCCACAATAGATCGTTGATAGCCAACACTGAGAGAGAAGATAAGCTGTTTTTCAGCAGATCAGCGGCGAACGGCGAGCTTTCCACTGCGGTGACGGCAAAATCGCCGTACTCCAGAAGGAATCGCGCAATGGAGTACGCGCCTACCAGGTTCTCAAAGATCACGGTGCGATGCGTGTCCAGCGCATGGAAGATGGCTGTTTTGTTGGCCTCAAGAAGACGATACTCGTCACTGGCCATCGAAGGAAGAGAGTTCAAGACCACAATTTCTCAGTAGCAAGAGGCGTTGTCGCACGAGATTGGCCTAATATCAAATTCTCAAAAACACTCATTACATCTCCGTTGCCGGTGATTGGCGTACGAAAATAAAAAAAAATAAAATAATTTTTTCAAATTTTTCCAAATATTTAGTCATCCAGCATGTCGAGACACTTTTCCACCAGTCTCGCACGGTGCCGCGGCCAGAACCTGGCCGAGAAAATCGTCCAGAAGTATGCCGTCGGCCTGGCTCCAGACAAGCTTGTGTACTCGGGTGACTACGTGAGCATCCGGCCTGCGCACGTGATGTCCCACGACAACTCGTGGCCCGTGGCGCTCAAGTTCAAAGGACTGGGCGCCAAGAAGGTCAAGGACAACCGCCAGATTGTCAACACGCTGGACCACGACGTGCAGAACAAGACAGAGAAAAACCTGTCCAAATACCACAACATCGAGCAATTCGCCAAGGAACAGGGCATCGACTTCTATCCTGCTGGACGAGGAATCGGCCACCAGATCATGATCGAGGAGGGCTACGCGTTCCCGTCGAACCTCACGGTGGCGTCTGATTCGCACTCGAACACCTACGGAGGCATAGGGTCGCTCGGAACGCCAATCGTCAGAACCGACGCTGCCTCGATCTGGGCCACCGGCCAGACCTGGTGGCAGATTCCTCCCGTGGCCAAGGTCGAGCTCAAGGGCTCTCTTCCGAAGGGAGTCACCGGAAAGGACGTCATTGTGTCGCTGTGCGGGCTTTTCAACAACGACGAGGTGCTCAACCATGCGATCGAGTTTGTTGGAGACGAGATCCACAAACTGCCGATCGACTACCGTCTGACGATCGCCAACATGACCACCGAGTGGGGGGCGCTGTCGGGGCTGTTTCCGATCGACGAGACGCTCATCAACTTCTACACCAATCGACTGCTGAGACTGGGTCCTAACCACCCGCGGATCAACCACGAGACCGTCGAGAAGCTGCGCCAGAACAAGCTGGCCGCCGACCCGGACGCGTACTATGCCAAGACGCTGACTATCGACCTCTCCACGCTGTCGCCGTACATTTCTGGCCCAAACTCCGTCAAGGTGTCCAACTCGCTCAGCGACCTTTCTGCCAGGAACATGAAGGTCGACAAGGCGTACCTGGTGTCCTGCACCAACTCCCGACTGAGCGATATCAAGGCTGCGGCCGATATCGTGCGCGGCCACAAGGTTGCTCCGGGAGTGAAATTCTACATCGCTGCAGCTTCGTCCGAGGTCCAGGCCGACGCCGAGGCCGCTGGTGCGTGGCAGACGTTGCTGGACGCCGGCTGCATCCCGCTGCCAGCAGGCTGTGGCCCGTGTATCGGTCTGGGCACCGGGTTGCTGGAGGAGGGTGAGGTCGGCATTTCTGCTACCAACAGAAACTTCAAGGGAAGAATGGGGTCCAAAGACGCCCTGGCGTTCCTGGCGTCTCCCGAGGTCGTTGCTGCCTCTGCTGTAGTGGGCAAAATTGCGGCTCCCGAAGAGGTGGACGGAAAACCATGTCCGCCGACCAGGGAGGTGAAGAAAACCATTGTGGTCAACGAGAAGCCTCCAGCGACGGACGACACCGCCCAATCCTCTGGATCTGTCCTGCCAGGCTTCCCGGAAGAGATCACCGGCGAGCTGGTGCTCTGTGACGCAGACAATATCAACACGGACGGTATCTATCCCGGCAAGTACACCTACCAGGACGACGTTCCAAGAGAGAAGATGGCGGAGGTGTGCATGGAGAACTACGACTCTGAGTTTGGGCAAAAGACCAAGGCCGGCGACATCATCATTTCCGGGTTCAATTTCGGTACCGGCTCGTCCAGAGAACAGGCTGCCACGTGCATTTTGGCCAGAGACATCAAGTTGGTGGTTGCAGGATCGTTTGGTAACATTTTTTCGCGAAACAGCATCAACAACGCGCTTCTGACTCTCGAAATCCCAGACCTCATCAACATGCTTCGCGACAGGTATAGAGACAGCGAGCCTGAGCTGACGAGACGCACCGGGTGGTTCCTCAAATGGAACGTTCCTAAATCGCTGGTCACCGTGACCGACTCTTCGGGCGCCGTGGTGCTCGAGCAGAAGGTGGGCGAGCTGGGAACCAATCTGCAGGAGATCATCATCCAGGGCGGTCTGGAGGGCTGGGTGCGGTCTGAGCTGCAAAAAGAGGCCCAGCAGCAGCAATAAATAGACTAGACTTAATTTATTAGCTATATTCGATAACCTGCCTACAACTTCTGCGTTTCCTTCACGATCTCGTCAAAACTGTCTTTGTACTCCTCGCTCTTTGCGTCTTTCTTTCCGCCTCCCGGGACGATCATCACACAGGAGGTTGGTCTCTTGGTGGCTCCGGCAGACCCAAGGTCCTCTTTCGACGGCACAAAAAGGTATGGAACAGAGTTGTCCTCGCACAGACAAGGAATGTGGGAAATGACGTCGGCAGGTGAAATGTCGCCGGCAATGACGACGAGTCCCTTCTCGCCCTTTCTCAGGGCCTTGACCACCTCCTTCACACCTCTCTTGACATGTTTGGATTTGGATGCTTTTTTCACGGTCTTGAGCACTTTTTTGTTCAGTTTCTTGGACGCGAGCGGTCTCGCAAATGGCAGCAATGCAGGCAGCCGCTTTTCGTAGTTGTCGACCTCTTCGACCTCGTCTGTTTTCTTGGCCATTCTGATTAAAAAAAATTAAATAAATTTTTCAATTTTCCGCACCTCGAAATCTCTGCACCTCCTATTTTGCTCTATTTATTTATTGTACCTTATTCTCTTATGTCCACCAAAAGACATAGCAAGCTGGAAACCATGCTCACCTCGGCCAACCGCCGAATCACCGTCCAGATCCCCGACGATAGTCCGCCTCGCGACTTGTCCAGGTCCGACACCCTCGTCAGCACGTCGTCCTCCTACTATCCTCCCCAGTCCGCCATTGACAAGAGTCCCGAGTCCTTGCTGGGTTCTCAGACACCGTCGCAACGGAAACCGCTCCAGCGACCTCCAATCAACCTATCTCTTCGCCGACGCCCGCCCCCGCAGCCTCTGGAGACCACGAAGCTCGAAACCGTGGCTCAGGAACGCCGTTCTTGGGACCCGTTCGAGGAACAGGAAAAGCCACACACACAGCCCGAGGCGGCCGATCAGAAGCCCACGTCTGCGGGTCTCCAGATCAACATCCAGCTGGAAAAACCGTACATCGACCTCATAAGCTCGGTCTCGTCGTCGCCAGAAGCGTCCCCGTCCCAGTCTCACGAGCAGGAATCGGAGACCCCCACGCAAGAGCTTTTTTCAGGCAAGCTTCGTGCCGAGCAATTATTCAGTTACGAGCCAGCAGACACCGAAGCACAGCCACAGCAGCCGTCAGAGCCGGACAACGAGCTGTACTTCTCGCCGCCGTCGTACAACTTCCAGAACCAGTCGTCCGAGTCCGACCAGTACTTCGACGTGCACGAGACTCGCTCGGAGATCAGCACAGACGAGTCCATCAACGACGAGCTGTATCCTACCGAGCCGCGCAATACAACGTTGCGCGTGCAGAACGCCGACTCCGAGAGCACAGAATACAATGTCAGCGAGAGCTCCGGCCCTCTGTACCGCCAGCAATCGATCGACTCCAAGCCCAGAACCACACAGATTATACAAGACGACGACGACGACGACGATTCCGGAGTCAGCTTCATAGCCAAGCCGCTGAATTACACGCACTTCGACGTGGACGAAAAACAGCCGCAGCAGAAGATGGTGGTGACCAACCCGTCGCTCGAGGAGTCGCCGCCGCTCTCGACCTATGACCGGCGCGAGACCCCGACAGTGGTTCCTCTTTCGCACTCCAACGTGGTGCAGCCCGCGCAGCCGGTCTCCGGAGCCGTCCAGGCGAAGAAGAGACCGCCTCCCGACAACCCGTCGACCGGCCGCGGCGCGCGGGCGGTGTCGATGTCGACTGCGCAGCCCGAGCTTTTCGAGACGTTGAAGCAGCCAAATGCGGTGCCGAAAAACGCCAGGCCCGACACCGAAACAGAAGCAGACGACAGCGAGCTGCACAAGCCGTCCCTGTACGTTTACCGGCTGCGCACGGCCGCAGCAACAACGTACGTGGACAAAAACCCAAGCACCAACATCCTGCCAATAGCTATACGGAAAAATAAAGGCCAGCATTCGCGCACTGCCTCGCGGCAATCCTCGCTGTTTTCGTACCAGGCGGCCATCAAGCACGGCGTGCAGCATCCTGGGCTGCTTGCGTCGGAGATCGATGACGACGAGCTGCCGGACTCGAAGCTCAGCCATTCGACCGGAAACACCAAGATCCCGCAGGACCCAGACGCAGAGGTGCTCGAGGTCGCGGACCAGCTAAAACGGCTAACGGCGTCCGACGAGGGTCTGAGACGGATGGCCAGCGTGCGCAGCGTCCAGCCTCCGCAGCCGCGGCTCAAGCTGTTTGTTGCCAACCCTGACGAGTAGCAGTGTATAATAAACCATCGACGCGACGACGCGACGATCTGTATTTTTCGATTTTGCGCTTGGAAAAAAATACGTGTCGAACAAAAACAACACTCCTATGTCTGCAGACGTTGCATATACGTTGGTTTACGAAGTAAGTACGAGATCTGCCGAAAACTGACCGCCAGCCCAACACCGCGAGTAAGACCTCGGTCAATGAGTTCAAGAGCCAGCTGGAGAAGGGCGACGACGAGCGCAAGATAGAGGCGATGAAACAGATCCTCATCACGATGCTCAACTCGGACCCTATGCCCGGGCTCTTGATGCACATCATCCGGTACGTGATGCCGTCGAGAAACAAGGATCTCAAGAAACTACTCTACTTCTACTGGGAGATCTGTCCGAAATACGAGCAGGACGGCAAGCTCAAGCACGAGATGATCCTTGTGTGCAATGCCATCCAGCACGACCTGCAACACGCTAACGAGTACATCCGCGGCAGCACGCTGAGGTTTCTTTCGAAGCTGAAGGAGCCGGAATTACTGGAACCGCTCGTGCCCTCTGCCAGACAGTGTTTGGAGCACCGTCATGCGTACGTGCGCAAAAACGCCGTCTTTGCCATCTACTCGGTCCACCTGGTGTCCGATCATCTGATTCCGGACGCGGCAGAGCTGCTGGCAGACTTTCTGGCCGTCGAGAACGACCCTACCTGCAAACGCAACGCCTTTGTTTGTCTCGGACACCTGGACAGAGAAGCTGCTCTGCGGTTCATCCAGTCGCAGGCAGTCACGTCCATCGACCCGATCATCCAGCTGGCCGTCATCGAATTCATCAGAAAGGACGCCGTGTCAAATCCCGAGCTCAAACCACAATACTTGCACATCATCTCGGACCTGCTGGAATCGTCCAACAACGCAGTGATCTACGAGGCTGCCTCTACCTTGAGCGTGCTGTCTCACTCACAAGCCGCAATCACGAGTGCCGCCTCGAAATTCATCGAGCTGGCCGTCAAGGAGCCCGACAACAACGTCAAACTGATTACTTTGGAGATCGTCAACGAGTTGCACCACAAGCACGAGGACATGCTGGACGACATGTGTCTCGACATCCTCCGCGTTCTGAGCGCCCCATCGCTCGATGTGAGACAAAAAGCCATCGAAATCACTCTGTCGCTGGTCACCAGCAAGAACGTTGACGATGTGGTTAAACTGCTGAAAAAAGAGCTCCAGAAGACCACCACCTCCAACGAGGAAAAGTCTGCCGAATACAGACAGCTCCTGATTTCTGCCATCCACTCGTGTGCCATCAGGTTCCACGAGGTGGCCGCCAGCGTCGTCGACCTGCTGCTGGACTTCATCAGCGAGCTGAACACGACCGCGGCCGCCGAGGTGATCACATTTGTGAAACAGGTGGTGGAGAAATTCCCAGACCTCAGAAGCCACATCATCCATCGGCTGATTGTGTCGCTCAAGACGATCAAGAGCGGCAAGATCTTCAGAGGCAGTCTGTGGATCATTGGAGAGTACTCGCTGGACGAAAAGGACATCGAGACGGCCTGGAAGGCCATCCGGGCCAGCATCGGCGAGATCCCTATTCTAGCGGCCGAGAAGAACGGCCACGAGGACGAGCAGGAAGAGGAGGTGAGGACCAACGGCCACACCGGTCCAAAGATCCTAGCGGACGGCACCTACGCTACCGAGGTTGCCCTTGGCGACTCCAGCACTGCCTCCGTGTCTACTGCTACCAAACATCCACTCAGAGCTTTGCTTTTAGAGGGTGATTTCTATCTAGGCTCTGTTCTGGCCTCCACCCTGGTCAAGATGGTGTTGAGACTGAGCAAGATTACCACCAAGACGGACCTGTTGAACGCTCTGAAGGCCGAGGCCATGTTGATAATGGTGTCCATCTTGAGAGCCGGCGAGTCGTCGTTGGTGAAGAAGCGCATCGATGAGGACTCTGCAGAGAGAATATTGTCGTGCGTCAGATTTTTGAGCGAGGAAGGAAAAGACGAGTCGCTGATCGACGAGGCGTTCCTCGACGACACCAAAAAGGCATACAAGCAACAATTGGCCGCCGAGGCGCAACAGCTCAAGGACAAGCAGCAGGCCAGCGTGCAGAACAACGCCGAGCAGGTCGACGACGCCATTGTGTTCAGACAGCTGAACACCAAGGACAAGGTGGAAGACCTGGACGAGGAGGACCTAACGCTTGCCGCAGGGGCCGCCGTCGTGAAGGAGGACCTGTCGTCGAGACTGAAGAAGATCAAGCAGCTGACCGGGTTCTCGGACCCTGTGTATGCCGAGGCCTACGTCAAGGTGCACCAGTTCGACGTGACGTTGGACGTTCTGTTGGTGAACCAAACTACAGAGACTCTGAGAAACCTGAGCGTCGAGTTTGCCACGTTGGGAGACCTCAAGGTGGTGGACAAGCCGACGACCCAGAACATCGGCCCGCACGCGTTCCATCGCGTCCAGACCACGATCAAGGTGACCTCTGCCGACACGGGTGTCATTTTCGGAAACATCGTCTACGACGGCCAGCACGCGGACGAGAACACCATCGTGATTCTGTCGGATCTGCACGTGGACATCATGGACTACATCAAGCCTGCTACGTGCACGGAGGCGCAGTTCAGAAAGATGTGGAACGAGTTCGAATGGGAGAACAAGATCAGCGTCAAGTCCAACCTCCCGACGCTCAAGGAGTACCTGGACGAGCTTCTGGAGGGCACCAACATGAACAACCTGACTCCTGGCGCGGTGATTGGCGAGGAGTGCCAGTTTTTGTCTGCCAATCTGTACTCGAGGTCGTCCTTTGGCGAGGACGCTCTGGCCAACCTGTGTATCGAGAAGACCGCCGACGGCCCGATCGTGGGCCATGTGAGGATCCGGTCGAAGGGCCAGGGTCTGGCGCTGTCCCTGGGAGACAAGGTTGCCGCCATTGCGCGCAAGACGAGCCAGGCCGTGGTGTCGCAGGTGTAAAAATAAAGTGAAATAAATAAATAAATAAAATTAAATGCCATGATTAAATTTTATTTTTCCATTTACGTAAGGTGGTGTTGCACGGAAATACTTTTCCATGGATCTCATTTCGAATTTTAGGGCATCCTGCGAGTACCGCGTTCCGATCGCCGTCCGGGTCCCGTTTTTGGACGCCATTGTGCCAGACCGCACGGGCAGCAAGCTGCTCGAGGTCCTGGACGTGCTGGTGTTCGGCGTGCTCTTCTATCACGGGCTGTATCTGGTGTGTCGGCTGCTTTGTCTGCTGCCCCGAATGCGGTCTCTGGTGCCGAAAAAAACCGACCGGCTCGACTTCAGCATGCGGGTCGTGTCGTTCATCCAGTCCACGTTGATTGTGGTGCTGGCGATCCCGCTGCTCGACAACAAATACCTCAACCAGGACCGTGTTTTTGCGACTACGCCGTACTCCGAAATGTACAGCACGCTGGCCGCGAGCTACTTCGTGTGGGACACGGCGATGTCGCTGCGGCACCTCGACCACTTCGGGCTGGGGTTTCTGGTCCACGGCGTCATGGCCAGCACGGTCTTTCTGTCTGGCATCCGCACCCAGATGATCCACTACTACAGCCCGATTTTCCTGCTATTTGAGGTTTCGACGCCGTTTTTGAACCTGCGCTGGGTCGCGCTCAAGTTCCCCAAGCTCGTGCCCCAGTGGCTCGCGCTGGCCAACAACGTCGTGCTGATCTTGACTTTTTTCGGAGCAAGAATCTGCTGGGGCTGGTACCAGATCTACAGGCTGGCGCTGGACCTGTACGCCACGCGGGACGACCCGCGGTTTGTGCTGTCGACGGCCGTCATCATTCTCTCGACGAATTTCGTCCTGGACATTCTGAACGCGTTCTGGTTCAGCAAGATGCTGACGGTCGCCGTTGCCACGCTCATGGGCAGGAACGACAAGCTGAAACTCATGTAGAATGTGATTCTATACATCTGCGTACTTAGCGTACTCCGGCGTCGCCAGATACTTCCTGGCCGTCTCGATGTCCAGCTGGATGTCCTTGATCAGGGCCTCCATCGACACGTAGTCCAGCTCGGGCCTCACGTACCCCAGGATGTTGAAGTTCAGCCTGCACCCGTAGAAAGTCGACCTGAACTCGTGCAGAATGTGCAGCTCGCACGCCTTCTTGCTGTTTTTGAAGAACGGGTTCCAGCCCAGCGACATCACCATCGGCAGCACCTCGAAGTCGCTGTCTGCCAAATTGGCGCCGTACGTGAACTCGACCTCGCTCTTTCCGTCTGAGCGAGACACCCTCTTCGTCTCCGGCGCCTGTTCCGGCCTCAGCAGCCGCACAAACCCGAAATAGACCCCTGTGTCCAGCTTCTGCAGCTCCGGCTCGTCGTCCACGGGCACGTTGGCCGTGGGGATGCCCATCTTGGCCGAGCCGCGGCCAAACCCGGCGACAACGCTGGTGTTGCGGATCACCAGCGGAAAAGGCGCCTGCACCGTGGCGGGAATCTGTGGTCGAACCATGGAATAATATAAATAATTTAAGCAAAAATGCTTCGATAAAATTCCAGTAGATAAGAATGCATCAGCTAAATATTGGTAATTGCACAGCCTGCAGCCTAGCTATCAGGCACGTCCTCGCTCGTCATGCCCTTGAACTGCTTCAGCTCGCCGCCCCGCTGCCAATCCTCGCCAAGCAGCCGCAACCGAGCCGCCCCGCTGTACTTGCGCTCGGCTACGGCCTGCGTCCAGTCGGCGCACGTGACCCGCAGCAGTTTTGCGCCCTGTCTGCCGTACGCGGCGCATATCTGCGCTGCGCACGAGTCCCACCACATCCCGGCCACCGCGAAGTGCACGTTGGTGGCCAGCTCCAGCGGCAAGTTCACCAGCCGGCTCATCATCGTCCATGCTCGCGATATCGGAAGCGGGTGTCTGGTCTGGGCCGCGTCGCAGCCCAGGAACGACGCGTCGATCTGCAGCCGACACATCACAGCGTACACCGTCGCTATGCCAGAAAGCCGCTCGTCGTACTGGATATCCTCCTCCCATTTGCCGTCTGCCTTCCGTTTCCAGCCCATACGCAGCCGGCCCTCCTCTGTGTCGATCGTGCACGTGTAGCCAATCACGAGCGGACACTTCTTGACAAACCGCGCCAGCAGGTAGTACTCGAACTCCGGAAACACAATCAGCAGATTCAGAGCGAGTTTCGCCAGCGGAACTGCGCTGTCCGGCTTCACAGTCACCTCTGTCTCTGCCTGCGAAATGATCGCCTTGGCCATGAAGTTCAGCAGCCATCTGTACGCCAGCTCGTTGCTCTTGGCCTCGGTGACCAGCCCGTGGATCTGCGACATGATCCGCTGCCATTGCGGCTCGCTGTTCGTCAGCTGGCCAAACTTCGGGTTGATCTTGCGCTTCTGCACGCCCACAAGCTTCTTGAGCTCCTTGTTGGCCGGCTCCTTCATTTTCTCCACAACGTCTCGCTTGATGTCTGCGATATCTTGCTTGTACTTGAAGAACTGCTGTTCAACAGCCACATAGTTGGTTTTGCCGTACTCGGCCTTCTTGGCGGCCTCTTCGGCCTCCCTTCGACGATTCTCGTCCTCCACCTTCTTCTGCTCTTCCTCCTCCTTGCGCTTTCTCGCCTGCTCGAGCTCCAGCTGCCGTTTTTTCTCGGCCTCATCCTTCTTCCTGCGTTCTTCTTCTTCTATCCTTCTGCGTTCTTCTTCCTTTCTCCTGCACTCCTCCTCCGCCTTTCTGCGCTCCTCCTCCTTGCGCCGCTCCTCCTCCAGCCTCTTGCGCTCCTCTTCGGCTTCTATAACATGCAAAACTCGCTCTTTACTCTGCTCTAGCCGTTCAGACAACATGCTCGTGAAATACCCCAGTGGGTCGAAATCGTCCTTCGTTGCCACCTCGTCCTCGTCCGCATCAACAGAAGACTCCCTCGTGCGGTCTACCACCTCCGGAGACGGGCTCCCGTCCTCGAAATCGCACATCTTCAGCACGTAGTCAAACCGGCTTTTCAGGTCCAGTGTGTCCAGCACCTGTCCCAAATCTTCGATCTCGTCCTCTGTGTCTGACAATGAGTCGTACCCCGACACGGGCTCGCCAGAATCGTACTGGAACTGCGGGTTTCGGTGGGGCGTAAATCGCATGTCAACAAAGAGTACCGGGTAATTTTTTACTTAATTTTTCAAGATCTTTTTTTTGAATTAATTTGTCCATGGTTTTTGTTCAACTTAGACAGTTCTCCAACAGCAGCATAGCGGCCGGAAGACCCGGCTACTCGCTGGTAAAACCGGTGCACCACCGCGTGCGCATCAGGAAACAGCTGCTCTCGCCAAGATTCCCGGAATTGAAGCTGCCGCCGACCGACGTTCGCTCGCCAAAGTATAGACCCTTTCTGGTGAGACAGGACAGAGTCAAGGAACACTACCACAACACGCTGAAGTCAGACCTGCTCCTGATCAACTACCAGCACGACCAGAAGGACGTGGAGGGTCCAAAGAGAAGAAAGTGGGACATGTCGTCGCCGTACCACATCAACAGACCGTTGCAGAAGCCAAAGGGACAGATAGTGCCGTCGCCAACGATCCGCGCACGCACGTGGAAAAACGTGCCATTTTTCGAGGGCGTGTCGATCAACTGTTTCGTTGAGGAGGCCAAGGCCAACCCTGCTGCCGCCATCGCTGCGCAGCTGCAAATCCAGCAAATCACAAACTCCAAGGTGTACCCGATCTACGCCAAGACCAACGTCCCGACGTGGAAGCTGCGGCCGGGAATGCTGATGGGGGCCCGTACCAGACTCACGGGCGCCCCGGCACACCAGTTCCTCAGCACGCTCACCGAGCTGGTTCTTCCTCGGGCCAGAGACTTCAGGGGAATCAGAAACTCTGCGGGCGACCAGTACGGCAACATCGCGTTTGGTCTGAGTGCCGAGACCGTGCGTCTGTTCCCGGAGATCGAGCACAACCAGGACTCCTGGCCCAACACCTACGGCTTCTGGCTGACGCTGCACACGAGCGCGCAACTCGACTACGAGGCCCGCACGCTGCTGAGCGGTCTTGGCCTGCCGTTCTACGGCAACGAAAAAGTTCCGCTGCTGCTCAGACAGGCGCAGGGATTGTAAATAGCATAATCAAAAAAATAATTATTTTAAATACATCATAATTGCGCAACCTATGGCTGCATTCTGACAATGACCATAGCCGCCTTTGCCAACTCCTCGCACTCGTGTCCTGTGCCGCCGGGCGACGCACATACTGTGTGCCGGTTCATCTTGGACACCTGCGACCGCTCGAATTTCAAGTATCTGGAGCTGTACTACTGCTCAGGGTTTCTGTCGCACATGCCTGCGTGGCTCGTGGTGAGCATGTTCATGGGGCTGACCTCGACGCTGTTCTTTGTGCTTGGGTTTCTGGCGTCCAATTACCTCACGCCCAACCTCACGTTTCTGGCCAGACTGCTCAATCTGGGCGAGAAGCTGTCGGGACTCACGCTGCTGGCCTTTGCCAACGGCTCTCCCGACATTCTGTCGACGTGGATCGCCATGAACTCCGATTCCACGGCCCTGGCCATCGGCGAGCTGCTTGGGTCCGCCAATTTCGCGCTCACCGTGGTGGTCGGCACCATGGCCATTGTGCGGCCGTTCACCGTGGACTACACCTCGTTTGTCAGGGATGTGGCTCTGTTCCTCACGCTGGTGGCGCTGTCGCTGCTTTTCCTGGTCGACGGCAAGATCAAGCTGCCCGAGAGCATCGCCATGTGTCTGCTGTACGCAACATACATTCTGATCAGCTTCCTCAGTCCCGATAAGCTGCTTGCCGACACGCGGCCCAAGGTCCACGACCAGACAAGCGCCGAAACAGAAGCCACGGCCGTCGACACGTTCGAGCAGAACATCGAGAGTCTCGAGACGGGCCAGAGCTTTCGGCTGTCGCTGGCAGACTCCATCAAGCTGGCCTTCCGGACGTGCGACCTCAAACATATAGCCAACTACTACCGCGGCGACTCGGGCGACGAGACAGGCCAGACGCGGCAGCACGAGGTTCCCGTGCCGTCGCACATCGTCATCACGCCCGCCGACGACGACACGCCGCAGTCGCCGGTCTCTGCTGACGACCGGCTGCTGCCACCAACACCGCTCTCGCGAACGTCGTCCGTCGCGTCGGCGGCGTCGATCTCGACGATCCTGTCCACAGAGCCCGTCGAGGTCTCGTGGAAAACCAAGCTGATCCCCAACTACGGCCGGCTGGCCCTGCGCAACAAGCCGTTCGAGTCGCTCTTCAACATCGCCACGCTCCCGCTCGCCTTTTGCATCAACGTCGCCGTGCCCACGCCCGCCAACTCGCGCAGAGAATTCGACCTCAACGTGCGGCTCTTCCACCTCCAGCTGCTGCTCACGCCGCTGGTCGTCCTCCAGGAGTTTTCGGCACAGGTGCTGCAACTGACGGTGGTCCTGTTCGTTGCCAATCTCGTGCTGAGCACCTTTGGCCACACGTTCTACCGTCGTCTGTTCCCGGCCGTTTCTGCGCTCGTCGGCTTCGTCAACGTGCTCAACCTCATCACGGCCGCCGCCTCCGAGATCGTCAACATCCTGAAAAACACCGGCACCATCTACGGCGTCGACGAGTCCGTGCTGGGGCTCACGGTGCTCTCCATGGGCAACTCGATCGGCGACCTCATCACCAACAGCACGCTCTCGTCCTTGGGACTCGCGCTCACGGGCCTGCACGCCTGTTTCGGCTCGCCGCTGCTGTACATTCTGTTTGGAGTCGGCCTCAGCTCGCTCGTGGTCAACGTCAAAACCGGCTCCCCGGTGGAATTCACAGTGGACAACCATTTGAGGATGTCAAGCTTCAGTCTCGTGGTCATTCTGCTCATATACATCACCATTGTCCCGCTGCGCAACTGGCAGGTCGACAGGCTGGTTGGCTACATTGCCGTTTTTTTCTGGATCGCAATCACTACGTTCAACATTTACGTGATAAAATAGCGTAAATAGACTAATATACAGAAATTAAAAGTACTCCTTCTCGACCACGCCGTCCAGGTACCCCTCGAGCCTGGCCCTGTCGGCGTCTCCGAGCTTCTCCAACGCGACACGGTACGTGTTCTGGAGTTTCGTAGCGTCCGGCGAGTGGAGATAGTAATAGTCTATGCATGCTTTCCAGAACAGGTAGCTGGACTTGTGCTGGTACTTGAGCAGGAGCGGCTCTAATTCGAGGTTGTATGACAGCAGCTCCAAGAAGAGATAATCGAAACCGGGCTCGTGCTCGGTCCCGGCCACCTCGTCGAGCTTGGCTTCCACCACCTGGAGCAGATCTTTATTCTTCCCCAGATGCTCCAGCTGGAGCAGTTTTAGCCACGCCTGCACCGAGTTCGGATAAATTTGCAACAGATCGACCACCACGGCCTTTGCAGCACTCAGGTTCCTGGTCAGAACCTCCAGATCCGCCAGTCTCAGCCTAAGCTTGACGTTTTCTGTCGTACAGTGGTAAATGCCAGTCACCAATATTTTTTTCGCTCTGTCCAGCTGGTTGAGATTCAGGTAGTAGTTGCTGTATTTGATCCAGAAAAACGGATAGTACGCAGTGGCAATTAAACAACGGCCGTAGACCGTGTCGATGAGCTTGCGCGTGTTCTTCGTGATGGCCGAGTCGGAGTCCTTGTGAGACGACTTGAGCGACAGCGTCTCGCAGTACTCGAGGTATCTGTTCCAGTTGTGCAGTTCGCGGCGTTCCAGCTCGTCCGGAGCAAAATACGGTCGCGTCACGGCCTCCTCAAACGGCCAGAGCTGGAACACGTGGTACTGCGTCGTGATATAAATGTCCATGTACCGTTTGCGCATATCTTTTTTCAGATCGGTAAAGACCCTGTCGTCTTTGCGTCCTATAAGATCAGGCCAGCTTAGCTTGTAAACGGTTTTCAGGTCTTCCTTGGTGACCAGGTACTTGATGGTGTCGAGGTCCGCGTTTTCGATGAGCTTGAAGAATTGCTTGATGTACTTGGAATAATGGTACAATGGCACCTCTATCACCCGTCTCACAAGATAATGGTACTCTTTGACGCGGCGATGCGCCTTGAGGAACTGCAGATACCGGTCGTAGAGCAGGTGGGCATAGAAGTGCAGCCCCACCTCTTTTCTGGCGCGCTCAAACACAGCAACGGCCGGGTCGTACTGGTGCACGGTCTCGACCACGAAGTCCAGATATTTGGTCCATATCACCATCGACTTGGGCACAACCTCGACGCCGCGCTCGTAGATTTCGCGAGCCTCGTCTGTGCGGCCTGTGTGGAACAGATACTCGGCATAGTTGCACCAGTACTGCTCGCAGTACGGGAAATTGACCAGCAGGTTTTCGTACGAGATGGCCACCAGTCTGCTGGACACCGCGTCGTGCCTCAGTTTGAGAGCCGCGCTGACAAGCTGCTCCCACGCAGAAAAATCGTGCGCGTTGTTGTGCAAGTACCGCGACAGCTCAAGCCAATCTTTGGGCAGGTCGTCAACGTTGAGGTCGGACATAATGATATTTTTTTAAATTATTTTTCGAGTTTATTTCCATGTCCGGCCGCAAGATCTTCCAGAGCTTGGTGAGCGAGCTGCAAACGGCCGTCGAAAGAGCGTTCGAGAAACACTCGAAGGACATGCTCAAGAAGCAGGACGCCCTCATACAGTACAAGAGAATGCAGTACGTCCGGTCTGGCAAGGTGCTCAGTCCGGAGGAGGATGCCAGACTCGTGGAGGAAGTCAAGAAAACTACACAGGTGACCATGCCTGCGGTCAACGTCGAAATGGTGAAAGCGATGGACTCGGACCAGCTGACCCCGAAACAGCTCGAACACCTCAAAAATATGGCCACCTTCGTCAAAAGCCAGAGAGAATACGTCGAGCTGCTGGAAAGATACAACCCGGGAATCAGCATGAAGCAGACCGACAAGGTGCGCAAGACGGCCAGAAGAGTCGGATTGGAGGTTCCCGAGTGAGTTCGCTAGTGTATTTGTGTTTCGTATATAGTCTTCAACCAGCATGTTCAACCACCGTGCTGACCAGCTTGCCGTTCTTGACGGTGTGCTTGAACTGCTCCGGAACAGCGAGCTCCTTCATGTCGTCCGATTCCGGCACGTTGATGTTGAGCGAGGTAGTAGACGAGGTGAACACCTCGGTGTCCAGCGACGACGCGGACAGATACAGGGAGCCAGACTCCGACTGGTCGATCGAGATCATCGGAACGGAGTCGGTGACTTGGACCTCGAAGTTCTTGGACTTGATCACGTCGATTCCGCTGATGGCTTTCTCAACAACGAGCCCAACCTTCGTGCACTCGTTCAGCGTGATAGCGTTCACCTTGCCCTTGATCTGGATGATGCTGGAGGCACAGTTGGCTATGAAAATGCTCTGCTGCATTTCTCCGTCGATGGTGATGATGTCGGACTCGTTTTCGAAGTTGGCCACCATCCACTTGTTGTCCACGAGCTCTTTCTTCGGAGGCTTCTTTTCCTTAGGAGACTTTTCGCTCAGACTGGCAGGCTTCTTTGGCGGAACAGGAACAGACTTCTTGGCCGGGACCGCGGACGAGGCGCGCAGTTCTGGGTTCTTGTGAGTCATCTGGCTCTTGTCGACCTTCTTGAGGCCTGCGGTGATGTTCTCGCCCTTATTGAGCTCAGAAAACACAGCGTTCATTCCTGCCGGCTGCTGTTCCTCCTTTGCCTCAAACACAGAGGCCGGTGGAGGAGGCGGAGGAGGAGGCGGACCGCCTGCGCCAGATACTGGTGTTGGAGGGGGCGACGGAACGGCAGGCGTTGCTGAAGACGAGGCCTTGCCCAGGTTTTCCTCAAAAGAGCCTCCTTGGGCGTTCCAGGACGGACCCGTGGTGTGGAACTCCTTGACGTAGTTTTTCAGGCCGTCGAATATTCTGATGAACGTGGTGGCCCATTTGACCTGGTTCGGGTCGGATTCCTTGTACTCCTTTAATATTCTATTGGACCAGAACTGGGCAGAGTCCTTGTAATCCGGAATGTACGACACAGGAGTGGTGACGCAGATCCATCCAAGAGCAGGAATGCCCTCTGCTACCGCGTTGAGGTTGTTGAAGAACTTGGAGGTCCGGTTGGCGTCCTTGACCTCGACCGCCTTGACAATGACCTCGTTGATCGGAGCAAGAGCCGACTGGAACACTGGGCTCGACGCGTCGACGGGAGCAGACTTGGAGGCCGCCTGGAGGAACTTGCGTTCCTCCAGCAGCGCTTTCTCGAAGAGTTTGGCCTGCTCAGCAACCAATTGGTCGATTTTGTCTGAGATTTCGACAAATGGCGTCACGTACTCCTCCATGAATTTGTCGAACGCCTCAATGGCTGGTGCTTCTTTCTCGGGCTCCTCAATTGCCTTTGAGCCAGCCCCGGCCTGCGAGTCCGCGCCGTCTGCCACAGCTCCACCGGCCTGACTTGTCTTCGAGCGGACCGCATTTTCTTGGAAGATGGTGACGTCCTCGAGTCTGGATGCCGCGGCCTCCAGCCTATGGTGTTAGTCTCTGTGGCGTTTTTCACTTACCGTTTGAGCAGCGTCACCAAATTGTATCCGTGAATGGAAAACGATTCGTTAGACATCAAGAGGACAGGTAAATAAAGAAGAGAAAAAAATAAAACAAAGTCAGAGATTAAATAGATTGGAAAAATTAAGTCCAATTCTTTTCCATGGCAAATAAACGCACCGACGAAGAATTGCCGCCACGGCCGGCGTTCCCGATCCCCGACTTCCCTGCACCCACGCAGCCGGAGCCGTACTACGCCTCCTACGAGACGGGAGTGCCTATTGCGATTGATCTGGGCCGATCGACAACCAGGATTGGACTGGCCAAGGAGACAAGCCCCAACAACGTATTTCCGACGGTGATGTCGCGGTTCAAAGATCGCCGCGTCAACAGGATGATTACGCTGGTTGGAAACGACATGTACCTCGACAATGTGTCGAAATCGAATATTCGGTCTGCTTTTGACGGCCCGATGATTAATAACTGGGACGTGATCGAGAAAGTGCTAGACTACGGGTTTCTGCACTGCGGAGTGTCTTCTCAGGGCAGGGTGGACAACCCAATTGTCATGAACGAGGTTCTGGCCACGCCGTTGCAGCAAAGAACAAGCATGATGGAGCTGCTCTTTGAGGCCTACAACGTGCCGAAACTCGCTTTTGGGGCAGACTGTCTGTTCAGCTACTACCAGAACGGAGGCTCAACAGGACTCGTCATAGGAACAGGGCACGATGCGACGCACGTGATCCCCGTTGTCGAGCACAAGCCGGTCCTGTCCATTGCCAAACGACTAGACTGGGGCGGGAGACAGGCGACGAATTATCTGATGGATTTTATTGGGCTCAAATACCCTTATTTCCCCACCAGGCTCACGACTTTCCAGATGGAGAAAATCAAACAGGACTACTGCTATGTTTCCAAAGACTTTTCGGAGGAGATCACACACTACTTGGATCTGGAAAATTTAGAGAAGAACGACATAGTTTTGGAAGTTCCGTTCACCGAGGTTGTGAAACACCAAAAAACCGAGGAGGAGCTGCAATTGGAAGCCGAAAGGAAGAGAGAGCAGATCAAACGGCTCCATGAGCAGGCTAGAGAGCGTCGGTTGGAGAAACTGGTGCAGAAAGAGGCAGATTTTAGCTATTTCACCGGACTGAAAGAGCGCATGAAGAGCATGAACAAGCGCGAGCAGATAGACGTGCTGCGGAACGAGGGGTTTCAGGATGAGTCCGAGATGAACAAGCATATAGCCAATCTTGAGAAATCGCTGAAAAAGGCCAGAAACGAGGATATTGGCGAGAACACCAGCGAGGAGCCGCCTTCGTTCCCGCTGCTGGAGGTTCCTGACGAGCAATTGAGCGAGGAGCAGATGAAGGAGAAGCGCAAGCAACGTCTGATGAAGGCCAACTACGATGCCCGGATGCGCGCAAAGCAGGAGAAAGAGCTCGCCAAAAAGGAGGCCGAGGAGGCTGCCGAAAGAGATAGAAAATGGCGAGAGTCTGATCTGAGTGGATGGATTTCTGATAGGCGCGAGCGGCTGGAGAAGCTGATTCAGCGCGTCAAGGAGCGCAAGCGGCTGAAGGAGGAGCTGACAGACAGAAAAAGTCGTGCTGCGCAGAACAGGATGAAAAATATAGCATCTTTGGCAGACGAGGACAGGGGCGCCGGCAGACGGAAAAAGACCGGCAACGTGACCATTGACAACGACCCGAACGACACGTTTGGTGCTAACGACGAGGACTGGGCAGTTTACCGGGCCATTGCTCGCGAGGAAGACGACGATGCAGAGGAGGAGGTGCAACAGGAGATTCTCAAGATCGAGGAGGAATTACTAGAGTACGATCCGAATTTCACGGTCGAGGACACGTTACAGAGACAGTTTGACTGGCGCAACTCGCTCATCCACCGGTTTTTGAGGGGTCCGCGGAATTTCGACCCCGAAGACCAGCACCAGCAGCACCAGATCCACATCAACGTGGAGCGGATCCGGATCCCGGAAATATTGTTCCAGCCCTCAATTGCGGGCGTGGACCAGGCGGGCATTGTGGAGCTGGCTGAAGACACGCTATTGAGAAGACTGCCGGGAGAGAAGGGTTTTTCTGGAGACGACTCCACGGAGATGATGAAGGATGTGTTCATCACCGGAGGCCAGTCGTTGTTCCAGAATTTCCAGGAACGGCTGGATTCTGATCTGCGCGCCGTGCTCCCTGTTGGCTCTCCTTTGCGGGTGAGAAGAGCACAGGACCCGCTGCTCGACGCCTGGCGCGGAATGGCCAAATGGTCGCTCACAGACGAGGCAAGACACAGCTACGTTTCCAGACAGGAGTACGCCGAGTACGGCGCAGAATACATGAAGGAAAATAACATGGGCTGTGTTAGACTATAAAATACACAGATCCTAATGCTTGGGCAGCTTCTTCTCGATATCGACGGTGTTCGGGTTGATACCCTTCTTCTTGAGATTATGTTTAATGGACTCCTTCATGATTTCTTTGTCTGCCTCGTCGTCGAAGTTGGCGAAGTCGCCGTGGATCAGCCCGTCCTTTTCTGCCTCTGCGTCTGCGGCCATCTCCTTCTCCTTGGCTCCCGCCTTGGACACGTCGTGAGGACTGGAGGCCACCTTCTGGAATTTGGCCACAAAGAACCCGTCCACGTTGTACGCGTGCGGGTAGTATCTTCTGGTGAGCGACACTTTTTGGTTGAACTGTTTGCCTCTGTACGAGGTGAACCCTGGCTTTCCGATGGCAAGGCCGGTCTCCACGAGTTTCACGTTTGGTCTCTTGCGCAAAGCATAGTCCACCACGGCCTCGTTCTCCTCGACGGCGACCGAACAGGTCGAATACACGATCACGCCGCCGGTGGCAGAGTGCGCGTCGACAGAGTCGATGGCAGAGAGCAGCAGCTGTTTCTGGAGATGGGGGATTTGGATGAAATCTTTTTCGGTTCTGTTCACCTTGACGTTCTGGTCCTTGGCAATGACACCTGTTCCCGAGCATGGCGCGTCCAGGAGTACTCTGTCGAACCCACCAATGACCTTCGGAAACTCGCGCGCATCATAGTTGCAGACCACGGTGTTGGTGCAGCCCAGACGATGGATATTGGCGATCAGCGACTTGGTTCTTGCTTTGTTGGCGTCGTTCGCGAACACACACCCGGTGTTCTTCATGAGAGCAGAAATGTACGTCGTTTTTCCGCCGGGAGCAGCAGCCATGTCCAGAATCCGCTCGTTTTCCTGCGGATCCAAAGCCATCACCGGCAGGAACGAAGAGGCGGCCTGAAGAATGTAATGTCCTGCCAGATACTCCGGGGTGGCTCCAATAGGAACCTGCGAGTCAAACACCTGGAGTCCGACCTTGGTCCACGGTCCGATTGGTTGCAAATTGACTCCCTTGTTGACCAGGGTCTGCGCCAGCTCTCTGCGTCTGGTCACCAAGGTATTGGTTCTGATTGTCACCGGTCTATGAATCTCGTTTGCTTCGAAGAACTCAATGGCCTCCGACGGAGAGAAAAGGTTGAAAAGCTTCTCGGCCAAAAATGGTGTGTAGCCAAAATACTCACATATATCTTTAAGCAACCGATCCACGTACTCCACACGGCTTCTGCCCTCCTCGGCGAGGTTCTTGAAATCTTCCAGCACCTTGACCACCTCGAGCATACGTGTTCTCACCATTGTCAGATCGGGACCGGACTGTTTCATTTCCTCCTCCTCCTCTTCTGTAGGCAAGACCTTGGCTCTTGGGTTTTTCGTGTTCTCCTCCAGAAGCTCGTCTTCGGCGTCCTGTTGCTCCATCAAAGCCTCCTCATCGAGCTTTTTGGAATACTCCTCCATATTGGCGGCGTTGATCGCATCCATATCGTCGCTCTCGTCGTCGGAAAACATCGGTCTTTCTCTGCCTTCCTCGTCAGAATCGACAAACTCGTCGTCGACTTCTGGCTCAGAGTCGTCTTCTAGCTGCTCAAACTCGTCGAGTCCGGCCTCCTCCTCCTCATCATCGTCAAAAAGAGATTTTTTGGCAGCCGAAAGCTCCTCAAGGTCGACTTCTGGCAGGTCTTCTGGATCTTTATATTCTTCCTCCTGTTTGGATCTCTTTGCTTTCTTCGTTGATTTCTTCACTTCCTTGGATTCTTTCTCTGCCTTGCGCTTTATGTCTTTTTTCTTCCCAGATTTCTGGAATTCTTCCAGCGAGGGAGGCATTCCCTGCTTGTTTTTGGCCCTTCTTCCCATATCTGTGTCTATCTAAATATTTTTTCAAATTTTTCACTTAAATTTTTTGGTCCCGTTTCCAGAGGTGTATCAAAAAAATCAGAAAAAATTCAAGATCAAAAAATTATACCTCTAGAATGCCCGAAATTGGTCAGAATAAGGTGATCTCGCCAAACGAGCACTGCCTCGTGACCATGCCCTCAGGAAGTCTCCGAATCGTTCAGCTCAAGCCGGGAGGTACAATTAATTTGGGCAAATTTGGCCATTTCCTGGTCGATGGAACATTTGGATACGCTTATGGACAGGCCTTCGAGATCGTTGCGGACAAAAAGGTGTCACCAATCAAGCACTTGTTGGTAGACCTCGAAGACAGTAATGACGGAACGCCAATTCCAGAGCTCAAAAGCTCTGCTAATAACAAAGATTTAACTGATATTGGACAAAAAATCCAGAAACTGACGACACAGGATATTGAGAACATGAAAAAAGATGGCGAAGGTAATCAGGTCGCACGTCAGATTATCGAAAAGATGATTCAGAGCCACGAAGCGTTTGAGAAAAAAACGGTCTTTTCTCAAGAGAAATATTTAACTAGAAAGCAAAAGAAGTTTGCCAGACGGTTCCAGATCGACAGTCTGAGCTCCTCCGCCTTGCTCAACTACTACTATCGGGAAAAGGACCCGCAGAGGGTGCTGGATTTGAGCGAGGAAACGTTGGGTTTGATGATGAGCCATGCGAATATCATGCCCGGTGGAAACTATTTAGCATTGGACGAGACGGGGGGATTGCTGATTTATGCTCTTTTGGAAAGAATGCAGGGGCTGGGCTCAATAATATGGTTGCACGAGAACGACCAGCCAAACACATGGGTGCTCAAACAGGCCGGATACACAGATGTTGAGCTGGACAAAATGCTGCGTCCGATCAGCTTTCTGGATTTTTTTGAGCCCGATGAAGACACAGGCAAGGTTTTCAAGTTCACGGACCAAGAAGTGGAGGAGATGCCGCCACAGCGCCGCAGCATGTATGCGAAAAGACTGGCAAAGGCAGAGAAATTGAGACAGACAGTGGAGATGGTTGCAAACCACGATCTTGATGCGGTAGTGAGTATTTCCACCTTGAACCCGGCAACCCTAATTCCTCGTGTGCTGGAGGCATTGGCAGGGTCGCGGCCAGTTGTTGCGTACCACCAATACAAGGAAATGCTGATCGAGCTTGACCATGTTTTGCAGAAAGATAAACGGGTGATCATGACCAACATTTCCGAAACCAAAGTCAGACGCTACCAGACGGTGCCTGGAAAATTGCATCCATTAATGACGTCCAGAGCTGGTGGAGGGTACGTGTTCCACGGCCTGAGAGTGTTGCCTGTGGAGGGCGTGCAGGCTGTTGGACGGGGCAAGAAGCGCAAGAGCGACGAGTCGGCCGCCTCATAGAATCTCATCGCACATAGACTGTAGAATATTCCAGTTCGGTTTCCAGCCAACAATGTTTCGTATGTTTCTGCGGGAATCGTATCTGATACCGCAGGTCCAGTTTGGGAGAAGGCTTTTGGTGTGCTCTGCCTGTTCGCGGTAGCCAAGCTCAAAGACAAAACCCTCGAACGTTCCCCGGCGCACGAGCTCGCCCAGCGCGCTGTAGAACTCGAGGTTTCCAACAAGCGCGTGTTCCGGCTCATATTTGAGGACAGACTCTTCCACTCCTCCGGCTGGGCTGAAGTGTTCTCGAGGAATGTATGGAGGATTGGAAAGAAGCAGGGTCGCGCTCGTTTGCGGGAGCTGGTGCTTCAGTAAATCGCCGTACTGGAACTCGACCTTGGCCTTGATTTTTGCAGAATTTAGCTGGAGATTTTCCTGGCTGAGAGCAAGTGCCTGTTTGCTGATATCCAACGCTATAACTTTTCTAACATTTGCGAGTGTCGCTACGCTTAGTCCAATGCAGCCAGAGCCCGTGCAGTATTCCAGCACGTCGACCGGCCCATTGCTCTTCGCTATCACCTGCTTCAGCGCCTCACACCACTCCTCGGTGTCGTTCCGCGGAATCAGGACTCCCGGCTTGCACTTTATTGTCAGATCGCCAAACGGCTGGGAACCCAGGATATATTGTAACGGCACCAATCTGGCTCTCTGTTCAACGGCTGTCTGCCACTGGGACTTGGGAAGTTCCTGCTGGATCCAGCGGAGTTCCTGCGCTGCTTGGCTAGCGGGAAATCTGGACTTCAGAACCTGCAACCATGACATAAGTTATTTTTTTTTATTTTATTTTCCAATCTCTAAATATTTCTCCAAATATTTTTCCAAATATCTTCCTGTATTCTCGTCTATATACATTACAGCCCCTTTCTCGAATAGTACATGTATGCTCTTTCGTGGGCCTCGTGACTGAATGGAGAGATGACCTCGGACTCGCCAGGTCTGGCGATCGGGTTTCTCATGTAAACCGCATGACACGTGCGGAACGAGATCTCGATGTGTTTAGGTAGCACGGCGAACGGAGCAATGAACTGACGCGGTCTCCATGGCGTGAAGTACGGCTTGGACGGGTCCTCGAGACCCCACATCGATTTCTGCCACGGCAGGTCCACCTTGTATCTTCCCTTCTCCTGCACCTCAGACCAGGAAGGAAGTTTAGGATGCTTGATGAGTCTGCTGACCCAAGTGGACACTAGCGCATCCTCAGAAGGAGCTTGCTCCTTGTGGTCTTTTCTGACTTTCTCCAGGTAGCCCGACTTGAGCTCTGCCAGCGCCTGCTTCACTTTCTTGGCCTTGGTATCATCGTAGAATTTACCCTGCGGTTGGCCGTTCACGTACTTGGGCAATATCTTGGAGATCTCGTCGTTCATCTCCTGTTCGTCGCCCTCGAACAACGCCTTGTTGTTGGCCACCATCTGGTATATGTTGATACACTTTTTCGCGAGAGCAGCGCCAAACTGGGGCTCGAACACACTGGCATCCACCTCTCCCTCGACGGCCTTTGCTGTGTTCACGATATCGGCCAGGATCGTGTTTCTGGTAATGCTGTTCAGCTTCTTGCCGAGCTCGTTGATTTTCGACTCCTGTCGCGAGCCAAAACGGGCCACAACATCGTCGTGCTCCGGGGGAGGCAGGTCCGGGTTGTACAGATCGCCATACGCCTCTCGCATCTTCTTCTGCTTATCCCTCTGGTTCTGCCACACGGTGAGCGGGTCGGACCTCGCACGGTTCACGAATTTCTGCCACTGGATCACCTGCTCTCTGTCCACCTTGTATGCCTCTTTCAAGCTCGGCTTTTTCTCTCCCAGAGCTTGCAACACTCTGTCTGGCTCCACGCTGAACACGTCTCCAGGACTCAGCGGATACGAAGGATGTTTGATAGAGACGCCATTGACCTTGACGTCGCCGGCAAGAATGAACTGTCTGGCCTGTCTGACCGACGAGGCGAACATGGCACGGAAAACAGCTACATCGAGCCGTTTTTCCAGCACCGCGAACGTCTGCAACACCATCGGAGTCTCGTCGTTGGCCTTCCCACTGAGCGACGCATCCATCTGGGCCACTCCGTCCAGTTTTTTCTGGAACAGCTTGAGCCATCTGCCCTCAGGGATGTGTTCTCCGTGGTATCCTCTTGTTTTCTGTTTCGAGTCCCATTTCTGCATGAACATGGACATCACCTTGAACATCGGCGCGCGGTCCTTGTAGAAGTTGAAAAGGTTGTGCTTGTTCAGTGCCATGCGCACCCGCCCCCGCGTAAGGGAGAACAGGTTTGTGGCTTTTCTAGGCATGGTGGATGGAAGATGTTTTTTTCGAAAATTTTGCAAAAATACACCAAGTGCCGTCGGCCAGCGTCGATCGGCGCGTTTTTCATCACAGTCCCGGAAACGGCAATACGTAAATATCAAGATATTGCAGACACTCCAAACGCACCAAACTTGGCTCCCCAATCTTCCATGCCTCCCAGACACGCCAGACCCCGCGTAATAACTAGCCAGCCGGCCTACAAGTTCGCCACCCTCTATGCTGCTCCGTACGAGTGCATGTTCCCCGTGGTGGCCACCAAGCCGGAACTGCAGTCCAAAGACGGCATCGACTTCACGACCAGTGTGCGTTTCGAGCCAAACAACGTCCAGAAATACTCACAGCCAATCAACGTCAAGTATACTGTATCCTCCAATGCTCCGAAAGCCAAATGCGATCCACTGAAACGGGTCTTTGCTCACTACGAGGAAGACAGACTCAGCGGCCTGACTTTCGGTGTTTCCACCATCACGTGCGGCCCAGACGGCACGTTCAGCGTTGGGCGGTCCGCAGCTATATTCCCAGATACCCCGATCGGCTCGAAACGGTCCCTGGACAGGCTGGACGTGTCGTTTGACTCGACCACTCCGTCGCCGGTAGTGGTGCAACGGCTGGGCTCGCTCAAGAAACGCAGACACGACAGGCTCGACAACTCGATGACGATCTCGCAGCGGGCAATTTTGCGCATGGTCGACGACTCGCTCGTCTCCAGCGACACGGAACTGTACACCTCGATACTGCAGGAGGTGCGGCCGCAAACGTCCAACGTGCGGGCCTCCAGAAAGGAGAAAGAGGCTGCGAAGGAAACCGTCAGCATCGACGCCGAGGACCTCAAGCTGGCCCTTTCGGAGAGAGCGCTGACTCCGCTGAATTCGGGAGTGTTCAGGGACGACTAGCCGTCAATGTTCGATATCCAATATATTAGCGTGGTCATTATATACAGTAGCCTGTCTTACCTAGTTCGACGTGGAAACGGTCCCGGAAACGGCTTTTTCGATCGTGAAGCCCGGGTCGGATTTTCTCTGCTCTCTCATCTCGTCCTTGGTCAGCATCTCGTCCGCCAGCTCCACCTTCACGAGCTCCTTCACCGTGGCTATCATACCGGCCTGTTGCGGACATATTCTGTGGAACACGGTCTGGTGTCTGCGGTGAAGACCGAGTCTGAGCAGCGTGTCCTTCTTTTTCTGGGGCAGCGCGATCGCAGACCGCAACTGCGTCACTTTGAAATACTTGGGCGAGGCCATTTCGATGAGAATATTTTTCAGCACCAATTTTATATATTTTGCACTGCCGGAATAATTCCATGTCGTTTCGACCGCACTCCTCTGCCGTCACGGCGCTGGCACTGTCGGCTACCGGGCGGATTGGCGTGAGCGCGTGCGTGGACTCGCCTGCTGTTGCGCTCAGCTCGGTTTTGAGTGGCAAGGTCGTCGCAGAGCTGGCCAACGACACCATCAAGCCGGTCACGTTTCTGGGGTTCGACCCAGCGCAGCCCCAACGGCTGCTCAGTTGCTCCGGAGACGCGAAAATCTGGGACATCGAGACGCTGCAGCCCGTCGTGAAGATGCACGGCTCCAACGTCGTCCAGGCCGCGTATCTGGACAACGGCGTGGTAGCAGGCGGCAGCGGGACCAGCGTCGATTTCTACGACTCGCGCGTCTCAGGCCGGCCCATCGGCACTCTACAAGGGTACCACACAGACGACGTGCTCAGCATTTATGCTGCTACGGGCACACAGTTTGTTTCTGGCGGGAACGACGGGGTGGTGAACCTTTTCGATCTGCGCGGAGCCAGGAACATTGCTCTGGACACAGAGGTCGTTTTTGACATGTTTGGCAGAATCAGCGTGACTCAGGTGGCGTGGAAGTACGGCCGGTGTTTTGCAAAGCTGCATGGCGCGGCCCGTATAGTGGAAATCGACTTTGTGCGCAAAGACAACGAGATCACATCACAGCACGCCGTCGTGGTGGATGAAGAAAAATATCGGGTCGATTTTGCATTTGCGGGAGACACGCTGGTGGCAGGCGGCGACCGCGTGGTGGAGGTGGACAGCCAGAAGCCGCTGCTACAGGGCGAGCGCGGAGAGGTGCTAACGAGGCTGGCGTTCGCTGGGACAAGCGGCCTGTGTGCCTCGACTAAGGGATACGTTTATAGCCTTCGCCAGGACATTTAAAATTATATGTGCTGCTACCGTTCCACGGAAAATTTATGCGGGGCTCCTAATTTTTTTTAAATATTTCTCATCTGTGTTTCTTCTCTCCGGCTATCAGAGCCACTTTCGCCGCGAAGTTTCAAGACCCCTGTCAAGGTCGTTTGCACAGTCATTGCTAGCCATGCTTGGGCTGTTCAAGAATATAATCAAGAAAAGCCGGTCCACAGGCCCCGAAACGGGCCCCGTGGACCCAAACAACACGGACTCTGGTCCTCCTCCCGCGATCCCTACGGAGTTTGCCCATTTCTACTCAGAACTGCCGTCCAGATACACCTTGCTGGAGAAGATCGGCGAGGGAGCGTTTTCCGTGGTGGTGAAGGCGCTGGACACCGAGACTCAGGACTTTGTAGCCATCAAGATCATCGACAAAACAAACATGAAACCCGAACAAATCAACTCCGTGCTCAAGGAAATCAGCATCATGTCCAGGCTGGACCACAAGAACATCACCAAGCTGTACAACTACCAAAACTCCTACAACTCCAGATACTGCTTCCTGTTCCTTGAGTATGTAAGCGGTGGGGAGATTTTCAACCAGATTATCAAATACACGTATTTCAGCGAGGACTTGTCGAGACACGTGATCAGACAGGTCGCCAGCGCCGTCAAGTATCTGCACTCGCAGGGAATTGTGCATCGAGACATCAAGCCCGAGAACCTGCTGTTTGTCCCGACAAAGGTGATTCCGCGCTCCGCACAGGAACAGAACAAGGCCAGACGGCGTTCGGACGACAACAACAAGCTGGACGAGGGCAAGTTCGTTCCGGAGTACGGCTCTGCCGGTATCGGAGTTGTCAAACTCGCAGACTTTGGGCTCTCCACCGTCCTGTACAACGAGAACATGCAGGCCAAGACTCCCTGCGGAACAGTTGGATACACCTCTCCCGAACAGCACATGAACCTTGGATACACGAAAAAGGTGGACATGTGGGCCATTGGCTGTGTTTTGTACACTCTGGTGGTTGGATTCCCGCCTTTTTACTCTGCTACGCAGGATTCAAAGGATATCAGCACCAAAGTGTCAAGAGGCGACTACAAGTTTCTGAGTCCGTGGTTCGACGAGGTCTCGGATGATTGCAAACGGCTGATTGCCAATCTTCTGATAGTGGATCCCGACGCCAGGTACTCCATTGACCAGCTGCTCAGAGATCCGTGGATGGTGAGCGGATACGAGGACCGAGTGGCTACCAACCACAGCAGCGAAAGCGTTCCGCAAACAACGTTCGACGAGGCGCTGTACAAGAAGCTGAACCGCACGGCAGACAACCTGGCCGACGGGCTTCTGGCTCCGCGCGCAGAAGCCATTCGGCTCGTCTTCGACACGGCCAACGGTGTGCAAAGAGACGCTACGCCGCAGTTGGCTGCTCCAAAACCAGCAAATCTCGGTGTTCTGGAAGAGGACGAGCCTATTGAGATCCTTGAGTTCCGCAAACCGCCAGACTCGGACTCCTCGCAAGTTAGTGACGAGCTCGACGAGGACTCGGACTTTGAAGACACAGACCTGACGCCCAAGCCGTACGCCAAGTATTCGAAGTCTCCGTCGTACAGAGAACGCAGAGCAACGCCGCCCAAGGACGATCCGCTGTCGGGATTCGACGCCGAGCGTTCTGGAGGCACGTCGACAGACACAACCAGCATGACCGCGAACGAGGAGTCGTCGATTTTCACGTCCGAAATAGAAGACTTCAACACGGGAACCAAGCGCAAATCGTCGGTGTGCTTCCAGATCAAGTCGTGCAAAACAGGCAGCTGCGGATCGACGTGCTCTTCGCTCGCGAACGCAGGAGACTCGCGGTCCTCGTCCATCACGAAAAGTGTTTCTGAGACGCACAAAGTTTATCCACGAACTCCCCAGACGACGCAGTTTGTCGAGCTCGGTGACGAAAGCGATGAACTTCGGGAGGGACTGGAAAACGTCACAATGGACGACACCACGCCCGTGGAAAACAGACGGCCTGTGCCGGCAAAGAAGTACACCGTGCTGAGCGAGCCGTCGCCGGTTTTCGACGCAACGCTAAGCAACACGTTCGACCTGAAACTTACACACTCCAAAATCCTCGAGCGCCGCAAAATCAACGGGTCCTCGAAAACAGGACCAGAGCTATAGCCCCTTTCGAGCAGTACGATCGTTGACGAGCCATTATATATCATTGTAAACATGCATTATTATACCTGTCTGCTAGTAATGGTTCAGCCTCCACAGCCGCACCTTGCCGGCCTCGTTGCCCGTCGCGAGCAGCTCGTTGTTCGGGCTGAAGCACACGCTCGTCACACGGCCCAGCGGCGTCCCGCTCGTCGGCCAGTTCGAAAACACCCGGCACGTTGGCAGGTGCACCAGCCGCAGCGCGTCTCTCTTGTCACGTGACGCGACGCACATGACCTGGCCGTCGGTGGTGAAGTCGATGCTCGAGATCGTCGTGACGAGGTTCTCGACCGTGCCGGCCGGCCTGTGTGAGTCCTTGAGGCGGTCGTACACGTTGACGACGCCGACGTTGTTGCCGACGGCCAGCCATCTGCTGTTGCTGCCGCCAAACTTGATTCTGGTCACGCCGGTTCCGGAGTCGTCTGTCCATCTGTCGAGCGTCGTTCCGGCGTCGACGTCGAACTCCCACACCTCGCCGGCCCTGTTGACTGCGGCAAGCGTGGTATGTGCGTCTTTGGCGGTGGTCTGCGAGAAGTCAAAGTCCACCAGGGTGCCCTCTATTTTGAATCCCTTGAGCCAGACACCGGTCTTTGGTGAGATGATGTTGATCCAGCCGGAGTTTCCCATGAGGCCGAGAAACTTGCCGTTTTTGCTGATGCGGAAATGTTCGAACGATCGCTGTGTTTTTTCGTGGCCATACATTCTGCTGATTTTTTCGATCGAGCCACCAAGCACGTCCCATTTGTGCATGTATCGCCGTCTTCCAGCGGCAAAAATGTCGTCGCCGTTGAATGCCGCCGTCTGGATGGGCGAGTTACGCAGATGCAACGACGTCACGAGGTTGTTGGTTTTCCCGTCGATGTGGTAGATTCTGAGCGTACGGTCGTAGCCTCCGGTCATCAGAAGCGGCTGAGACTCGTGGAAACAGAGTGTCTGGACAGCCGACCTTGATATTTTCTTGATGTTGGCGTCTGTCAGCCGCGAGACGTCGATCTTGCCCGCCGGCAAGAACCGTGTGTCCTGGCTTTTTATATTATGGGTCTGGTTGCTCTTTAGGAACTCGAGCAGCGGATTCGTCGACACCAAAACGTCTGTGGACGCGTGGCCGGCCTCTGCGTCCTGCTCCTGCTCCTCCTCGGAGTCTCCCTCAATCTGATCGGCCCAAACAGGACGCGGATGGATTCTCTCGAACTGCTCCCGCAGCCGGTGGATATACTGCTTGCCTCTGATTTTGTCGTCTTGGGCGGTCTTGCGCAGCTTGCGCAACTTGTCGGCACCCAGAAGAGACACGCTGACCTTTTCGTCGTCGCTGTCCTGCCACGCGGCCTCGTCGTCGTCGCTGTACTCGCTCATGGAGTCGGAAGCTGGCTCGTTGTCGGAGTCTGTGTCCATTCTGTCCTCGTCGCTCTCGTCGACAAAGTAGAGGTCCTCGTCCGCCATGGTGTCCATGTTGCCGCTCTCGGCGTCGGACTCGGACTCGGAAACGGCGTCCCTGTTTTTCAGCTGGTCCAAATGCTCGTCCTCACTGCTATCGTCATATGTGAACAAATCCTTCTCCTGTTGCTCAAAATCGAACAGTTTGTCGACCTGTTTCAGGTTCTCACCGAATCCCTCACTGTCGCCAAACACAAGCTTCTCCAAGTACCGCTCCTCCTCGTCGGGCGGAGGTATTTCGATAGACATGGTAATATATTTTTTCTAAATTTTTTTTATTTAATTTTTTTGTAGTGCATATTCGAACATTTTCATTAAATAAAACATGCGTTCTTCTTTGGCAAGATTCAAGTACGTATTTCTGATCCTCATCCATACTAACGTCCAGCCGCAGCTCGTCCTACTACAACAAGTACACGTACCAGATGTCGCCGGCCATGTTGCGGGCCAGACAGCCATACTTCTGGAAAAATCTGGCCCTGTTCGGCGTGCTTGCTGGTATCTCTGGCGGAGTCTATCTGTACACATACTCGTTCCTGATGAAGGACGACTTTGAAGACATTCCTATTCCGCCAATCAGCGACGAGAAGCTTGCAGAGCTGAAAAAGGAGTACGAGGCCACCCACAAGAAATAACCCCAAAGCAAACCGTTTAACTGTACATAGATATATTATTTAATCGTCAAGCACGCTCTATCTGTCACCACGTCTGCCCTTTGCGGCCAGTTTCCGCCTGTCGGACTCGATCTGGTGCTGGATCTTGTCGCTGTTCTTCTCTGTGAAACTGATCACGTTTGATAGGTTATTGTTCCCGACACCGTAATAGGTGGCACGCGAGTTCTGCAGGACAATGTCCTTGTGGTCGAGCTTGCCGGAGCTGATGAGTTTCTGATTTTCAGCGTAGAACTTTGCCATGTCGAACTCCACCATATTGGGCGAGTCCGATCCGTCAGCAGACCTGCGCTGTGTCTCTTGCGCATCTTCGTCCTCGCTCATTTCCTCTGGTTCCTTGTTGACTCGCAAAAGGTCCACATTTACGCTACTTTCCGCCACCTCAAGCTTTGCGGTCTCTTTGATACCCAGCACCTTGCCAAGATCCAGCTTGGCCAGCGACGATTTCTGCACCGGTGGCTTCTGGACCCGTCCAGAGCACACTTTCTCGCCTGTGAGTTGTTTTGTCTCGTTCTGATCGCTCACGTCCTCGTCTGATTCATAGCCTAACAACCCCATAAATTAAAAAAAAAAAGTTAAAAAAATATTTCTAGTATGTCTTGTCAGATCTGCAACGAGGCCCCGTTCAAATATAAATGCCCCCGCTGCGGAATCAAATAGTAAGTGCAGAACTTTCTTTCTAACACATAGCTGCTCGCTTAGTTGCTATAAATCCGAAAAGCACCAGGATCCAGAGACGCCCCCAGTGCCCCAGCGAGAGCCAGTAAAGCCTCTGCCCAAGGTGGATGATCCGGAGCTCCAAAAGCTGCTGAGCTCGCCGGAGTTTGTGCAGTACCTGAGAGAGCCCGTGATACAGCTCAACATACGAATTGTGAACGAAATTCTCAACGATGTGTCCATAACACAGGAATACAACACAGAGGGACGGACAGAAATAGCTACACGCAAAATCAGTAATTTACGCAATAAGGGACTCGAGCAGAACGCCGCGTTCGACGAGTTCTGCAACCTGGTGTTGAATTTGCTCGATAATGAAAATGACAATCCTGCGTTATAACTAAACAATCAGCTTGCCCTTGAATTTGTTCTTAGGAACACCCTTGACCCCAGTCAGCTTGATGTGGAACAGCTTGCCGCCCTCGTCCAGAGGAACAGACCTCAGCTTGTCAGGGTTGTCAAGATTGAGGTCTGCAGTGGTGACAAACATCTCGTCGAGGCCTGGACCGCCCAACGTGACACAGCTGACTCTCTGCGCAGGGAAAGTCCATCTGTGGACGATGTCTCCCTCCGGGTTGACCTTGATCACGCTGGCCCCGCCCCACAATGCAACGTACAGATTTCCCGAGGCATCGATGCACGAGCCGTCGGGTCCCAGCTCGCCCATGATGCCGATCAGCGATCTGATCTTGGAAACAGGGAGAAACAGAGTTTCTGTGCTCAGATCAGGCAGTCCGGTGCTCTTGTCGAATTTGTACTTGTAGATGCCCTTTTCGGTGTCTGTCCAATACATGATGTCGTCATGCCAGTTCAGTCCGTTCGGACACGTGACGTTGTCCTTGATGATTTTCGGGTGTTCCCAGTCGTCCTTCAAAAATTTGTAGAAGGTAGCTTGATTGGGCTTTTCTGCGACAAAGTCGCAAAACGTGCCGATCCAGAAGTTGCCCTCGGCGTCAATGGCGCCCTCGTTCGAGCGCAATGGCACCGCCTTTTTGAAGTGTTGCTTCTCCGGGTACTTGGCCATGTACTTGAATTGCTTTGTCTTCAAGTTGTACTGGCCGATACCGTCTTCTACACCACAAACGTAGACGTCTGGGTCTTCAGTAAACCCAATGACACCCACGCTGCCGCTCACTTTGTACTCCTCCACCTTGTCTGGGTTTTCCAGGAAGGCCCTGTGGATTTTGCCCTCGATGATATCCACCCAGCTCAGGGAGTTGTTATCCGGGTTGTAGGAGACCCCTTCTGATAGTCTGCCTTGGAAGTTGGTGAATTGCTGTTGTTAGTGCTTCTGAGCAGTCAATTACGTACCTGAGTCACGTTCGTCGCCATTTTGAAAAGAAGTGATAAATATTAACTGGTAAAGAATGATACAGAGCAAGCAAACACTAGCTAAACGTCTGGGGCAGCAAGCGAATAAATAAAATAATAAAAAAAATATTTGGTGAATATCGCCAATGTTCCGATATCCTCCAGAAATTACCTCAGTGCTGGCACCGCTGGTGGTGATCCAGGGTCTCGGGGAGGAGAAATTGCTGCTCAAACAGACCAGCGCCCCTGAGTTCCCCAAAGACAAGCAGATACGGCTGCACGATGCAAACTCTCCAGATAATCCGTTGGGCAGACTGCTGTCAGATCCCGACACCATTGAGCGCAGATTGCCGACGGTGCAGGTTGCGTCCGGGCTAGAGCTGGCGCACGTGCTCAAAGACCACTCTCTCGACTCCGAATACTGGTACAAACACGATGAAAATAAACATCTCTCGTTCAGGTTCAAGTTCGCGGGATCCACGTTCCAGCTGCCCCAACTTGCCGAACGGGCCGACGACGACAACAGCGATTCGTCCGACGAGTCTGCTAGTGCTTCGCCCATCTCGCCATTCAACCCAGACTCTCCTTGCTACCGATCGATTCTGCCCCTGGAGTGGATCCAGAAATATAGAGAGCTGCTGCCGTCTGTATTCATTGCCGTGCACGAACTGGACGCAGAGTCGGACGAAAACGACAAGACACTCGCACTGGAGCTTAACGCTACCCGCGAGAAGCTGGCCAAGCACGGCATCAGGTTCGTTTGTCTGCTGCTCTGTTCGTCTCCCAGCACCCCGGAGCTGGAGGAAAGAGTGGCCACTTTGCGCAAAACCACGAGTCTGCCCTCGAAAACGGGCATTCTCGTGCTTCCAGCCGGCAGCCAGAAGGAGCTGGAGTCGTTTGCGGGCGTGCTAATGGCGCTGATCCGGCCGTGGTGCATAGAATATTACACTGCGCAGGAAAAAAAGGTGAAGAAACAGCAGCTCACAGACACCTCGTACAGCGAAAAATTCTGGCTCGCGCGCCAGGCCCTAAAGAGCGCAGTTCTTGGCGAGCTGAAAGGCGTCACCGAACAGAGCACCAAGCTCATGGAATACTCCTACGAGAAGCTCATTGACGTGATACGCAGCATAAGTCTCGAAACACAGCCAGAAAGATGGCAGGAATGTCGTTTGTTGCTCGACTTTGCCGGCATGCACATCACGCGTGGATACCTGGTACTTGGAAATGCCAACATGGCGTACAAGAAGTTTGATATCCATCTGCAGAACATCCTGTCTGTGCTCCCGCCTCGTTCGCTGAAATCGTACCCCGTGATCTCGTGGCTCGCGCTGCAGCTGACCTGGCTCGCACAATTGGTCGAGAAGTGTCCAGAATCGATTGTTCCTATCGAACGGCCTTTCCAGCAGCACTCGGTGTCCAAATGGTTTGGCAATGCCGCCGACGGGCTGCCCATGCCGCACGGTGGATACATATATCTGCAGGCGTGCTCTTTGGTCCACCGCCGCCAGATCCAGGCGGCCAGCGGCGTCGACGTCTACGACACGTACATGGCGCTGAGTCCGGACGAGGAAAGACACTTTGATTACCACGGGACGCGCGTCCGCCTGCTGTCGCGCGCGCTGGAGCTGTTCACGAGAGCGAAAAAGACAAAATTCAACAGAAGCGAGTCGTACGTGTACTACCAGCTGGGAGAGGAGTACTTTGGTGTGGAGAACTACTCGATGGCCGCAAACAACTTCCTTGTGGCTCTTTCTGTGTTCAAGAACGAAAAATGGAACCAGATCGTGGCCATTATTTTGTTCAGGCTGTTCCAGTGCTGTGTGAAGCTGGAAAATTATAGGGATGCACAAATATACCGGCTGCAGCTTTGCACGCTGGAGGACCGGTTTGTGGCACAGTTCAGAGATGAGCTCGCGCAGGAGGTGCCGGGCGACGAGCCTGTTGTGTTGAAGGAGCCGCTGTTCGACAGTCACGTGGTCTTCAGACACCCGTCCGTCTCGCTGCACGAAAACGCGCACTTCCAGCTGTATCTGCGTCCGCTGGTGAACAGCCTCATGTCAGAGCTTATTGTCGAGCGCGTGGAGATTGCCTTTGCTGGCGAGGAGTTCCAGGTTGTCGTTAAGAACGACGCTGGGCCGAGCACGCCGTTCAGTATTGTCGCAGACGGTTGCGCAAACCTTGACTTTTCAGACAAACAGGCCAAGGTGTTGCAATTCGAGCTCCACCCGGACAAAATTGGCATGTTCACCGTGGACGGCGTGCGTCTGGTGCTGCGGTCCGGCTCGCTTTCGTTTGAAAACCAGCTGGTGTCGGTGTGCCAGTCGCCAGACAAGCTAAAATGGTACAGGGCGTCCAGCTCGAAATTCAACAAGCCGTTCGAGTACGAGATTGTCAACGGAGCGCAGAACGCGTTCGAGGTGATCCCGAAACCGCCTGAGGTCGATCTGCGCGTCAGCCATGCCAGCATCGCGTACAAGGGAGAAAAGGTGCCAATTTCAGTCCACATCGGCAACCAGGACCAAAACACTTTTGGTCTGCGCCTCCATGCCACTGGAAAAGTGGCCACGACGTCTCTGAAGGTCACGTGGGCCGACGAAGCAGACCACAGCACCAGCTACCGTGTTCCTGGCGCACTGAGGCCCCAGGACTCCACAGACATCGAATTCTTTGCGTACCTGCCGCTGGCAGAGACAACCGGCGACACGGTGAAAATCGACCTCCAGATCGACTATCGGATCGACAACAACGAGAATACCGTCGTCCGCAAGACCAAGCCTGTGCAGATCCCGGTCGTCGACCTGTTTATGACCAGCTTCAAGATCTATCCGTCGCTGGCGTCGCATATTCCGTCGCTGTTCGACGTGAGCGCCGCCGATATCGTTGCTGTGCCGTCGCACGACCGCTGCTGGCGCTCAAAGCTGGGTATTGAAAACGTCTCTGCCGACGACGTGGCTATTTTTAACGTTTCCGTGGAGATCGTCAAAACGACGCCGGAAACGCTCATGGAGACGACGTTCACGGACATCCCGGTGTCGCGGCTGGGCGCAAAAAGCACCGGCAACGGCTGGTTTGAGTTCCGGTGCCGGTGTGCGGACGGCGTGTTCAAAAGGTCGACGGGGCTCGAGCTGTACCTGTCTTTTGAGTACGTTCTGCAGGGACGGCCGCAAAGTCTGACAAACCGGTACAAAGCGCTCCTTTGGAAGGGCACGCTGCCGCACATGGACCCGCGCACGCTGGTCAGCGTCGACGACGCCGCAGACGCGCTCCACGTGACGTACGTGATTGAAAACCCAACGTCGCGGATCTTCCAGTTCAGCACGACGCTGTCGACGAGCGAGAACTTCAAAATCAGAAACTACAGAAACCAGCACAACTTCTCGGTGCTGCCATTCATGAAACAGGTCGTGCGGCTGGAGTACGAGCAGCTCGGCGGCGAGGAGTGGACCAAGCTACCAGAGTTCCGCATCTACGACCTGAACTACAAAATCTACCTGAATGCGCAACCAACAAGCGAGCGCCTGCAGTCGCGCGCAGACGGTCTGTACGTACGCAAGTAATATCCGGAAAATAGACTCGCAAGTCCATTAAGTACCTAGTTGATCTTCAGCAGCTCGACATCAAAGATGAGAGTAGCGTTAGGAGGAATCAGGCCCGGGAACCCTCTGGAGCCGTAGGCCAATGGGCCCGGGATCGTGAGGATGGCCTTCTCGCCCAGCGACAGCTTGGAGAACCCTTGTTCCCAGCCAGCAATCACCATACCCTGGCCAATTCTGAACTGGAAAGGCTTGTTTCTGTCTCTCGAGGAGTCGAACTTCTTGCCGTTCTCCAAGGTGCCCGTGTAGTGCACAGTCACCAGATCACCTGGCTGAGGGTACGTCTTGCCGTCTCCTGGGGCAATGGTCTGGATTTTCAATTCTGACATGTCTAGTGGCAAACGATATAAATTTATGTTAATGTACAAATTTTCGTGGATTATTTTTTGCGCGCCGATCGTCTCACCGACGGCGTCGACGGGACCGACGACGCGCCCGCACGAGCTCTGCCCCGCCCGCCCGGCGTCGCCTTGACGGGCGTGTCCTTGGGCTTGAAGTTGCGCGGCACGCTCTTCGAAACCGGCGTCTTGCGCTGCTTGCGCGGCGCCGGCGTCGCGTGCACAGCCCGTTTCGCAGGCACCTTCTCGTCGTCCTCTTCGTCCACTTCCTCGTCCTCGCCGCTCTCCTCGTCGTCCACGTCGTCCTGTGCCTTGGGCTCTGCGTTTTCCTCCGCCTTCTCGTCCGCCTCGGCGTCGTTATCTGCCTCCTGCTCGATCTCCTTCTTTAGGTTCCGTCTCGTCGTGCGCGTCCGCAGCTTCTTCTCCTCCCGCGCGCCCTTGCGACGCGTCTGCGCGCCCTTTTTCTCCTCCTCGTCGCTGCTGCTCTGTGCCCCTGTCGCGTCCTCGGTTCCGGTCGTCTCCTCCTTCAGCTTCACCCGCTTTTTACGCCCGCTCCGCGTCGCCTTCTCCTTCTCCTCGCTCTCGCTCTCCTCGTCTGTCCGCGGCTTGCGCGAGGCCCGTCTTTTGGGCGTCTTCTCGGGCTCAGCCTCCTCCTGCTTCTCCTTTTCGTCGTCGCTCGCCTCTGCCGGCTCCAGCGCCACACGACGCCGCGTTCTCACGCCTTCCTTCGCCTCGGCCTCCTGCTCAGGCTCTGCCGGCGTCTCTGCCTTGTTGCGTCGCGTGCGCCGGCGAGTAACCGGCGTCTCAGGCGTCTCCTTGCCGCTCTCTGGCTCCTCGCTCTTTACTTGCACCTCCTTCGCCTTCGACTCGTCCTTGGATTTCCGTCTTGTGCGCGACGCCAACGAGTCTTCACGCTCTTCTTCCTCGCCCGCCTCCTCGTCGGTCTGGTCCTCGTCCAATTTCTCTAGTCCTTTCAAATTATAGTACTTGTTCAGCTGCCGCGTCACATCGCTCTTGGTGACGCTGAATTGGGGAAACTTCTCGCCCAACCGCTTGATGATCGTCGCGTAGCTCGCCTCCCGCTCCTCACCAAGCGGCTTGTGGTAGCATATTAGGTTTAGCAGATACAGTGTCTGCTCGCGCGTCCACTCCATCGTGCACGAAAAAACACAGACCGCTATTTTTTTTCACAACGGTCCAACTTTCGAGGTATCCGGAGTGGTCTGCGGAGGGGGTAGGTCTCTACTGTCGCAACCACATCCACTACACTTCAGCCCGGCAAAGCTGTCTCATTTGTCTACACAAACTCTCAACCTACCGTCCGGTCCAGATAGTCCGTAATGTTCTCCAGCATCTCCTTCTTGGTCTTCGCCTTCGGAATCAGGTTCGCCTTCGAGTTCACATACACCTTCAGCTGGTCTGAGGTGAAATCGTTCAGCTGTCCCAGCTTGTAGGCCTTGAGCACGATGTCGTCGGTCAACAACATGGCCTTTTTGTCCTCGCGCGTCGGCTCCACGTTCAGCTGCTGAAAATTGTCCATTCTGTTCAGCTCTGCACGCACTGCTGCCACTAGCAGGCTCAGCTTCTTGGAGTTTCCCAGCCGGTTGCGCAACTCCATGCACTTTTTCTTTAACTGGTCCTGCTTATTGACCATCTGCTGTTTCTGTATTTCCAGCGGGACCTGCGGGTCGTAGTCAACCTCACGCTGCAACAGATGGTCCTCCAAAACTTTGAAGTACCACTCGATCTGGGGATTTGGTAGCGGCTTGAAGATGTCTATAATCTCTGTAACGAGGTCTTCGATTTGATTGGGGAATATCGGCGCACTCGGCTCCATCTGCAGCAGATATCCGGGCAGACAGCGCACGTCGTCTTTGAACGGGAGTGGGATGAGCGCAAGGCCCTCGGGGTACGGCTCGATGCTGGTGCTGTACCCCAGAGAGGCGGCTGTGGGGACCAGATAGTACGATGTGGGGGCCTGGTTTTTGCGGGTGGACCCCCACGCAAGAGCTAATTTGCGTTTTGCTGTGAGCGCCTGGTACAGTGCCGAGAACGAGCGGCGCGAGTGTGTGTACTGCTCCAGGTCGCTCGGAGTGACCAGCGCAGGCGTCCCGACGGAATAGTGGTGCACAAAATACTCGATTTTGCGGAACCCAACGATTTGCAGCACAGGTTTGTTCTCGTTGTCGAACGGCTTGGATATAAGGTCTCTGTTTAGTGTAGCATGCTGGTTTTCAAAGCCTACGGTCGATACCACGTCGTCGTCGTTGACCTTGGCTCCCGTGGCGGTGTCCAGCTTCACCGACTGCGATTCCACGTACCTGTATGTGCCGTTGTCATCAAAGAAACGGTAAGGACTCTGCAACCGGGGCTCTTTAAATAGCGGGCATCCCTGGACAGACATCTTGATGTCGCGCAGCGCCAGGGTGCATCTGAAGGAGGTTCGTCTGAGTTCCTTGGTCCGCAGGATTTTGTCCTCGACCTGATCGATGTCCAGCTTCTCCACAGCAGGCCGGAACTGGTCAAGGGTCTCAAAGATCGTCTGATACTCCGAAAGATCGAAGTCCGGCTTGTTGGCGAGCAGAAACGGGGTGATGTTGATTTTTTCCAGACTGAGGTCGCCGAGGATGTTCCAGAGGGTGATTTTGCGCGATGTGTTGCCGTTGAAGGGCCGATCGCAGTCAGAGAAGAGGAAGATGCGACGGACCGTGTACGGTTTGGTGAAACGTGGGGGGGCCACAAAGTTAGAGCGCGCGACCTGCAGCATGCGGGCAAGTTGCTCCCCACAATTAATTTCCGGGTTCTCCTCGAGCACCTCGACAGAAGCCCCATCGAACTGCTCTATCGTCTGCAATTGGTCGATGCTGATGTCCTGCAGCTCGAAGACGGGCAGCACGCCGTCGACCGACGCGTCCTTCTTGCTGCAGTTGAAGATAAAGCACCCGAGCCCCGTGTTGGGCTGGGTCTTGACCAGGTCTCTAATCAGCCCTCCCACACAGGACATGATCCTGGACACATGGCTGCGCAGCGTGGGCGTCAGGTGCACCGCAAAAATAATGCCCTGGTGCAAATCCTTCTCGTCGAAATCAGAGCTCATGGCAGAAACTGGCCCTCGTATAATTTTTTGCTGCAATTTTTTCTATTTTTCTTTATCATGGGTAAACTTTTAGATCTCGTGCTCCACCCGGCCGAGTTGAAGGCCGTCGTGCAATTGTAAGCTGCTTTCTGCTGTCCGTCCACTAACCAATATAGCAAGTATTTCAGACACATCGAAAACCCGCTGGACACCAAGTCGCAGTCTCCGTCCGAGGCCCTGTGCTACAAGATGCTGGCCCACTGTTCGCGTTCTTTTGTGGCCGTGATCATGGAATTGAACCCCGAGCTGCGCAATGTCATCATGCTGTTCTACCTGGTTCTGCGGGCGCTCGATACGATCGAGGACGACATGACGCTCGACCCTGAGCTGAAGATTCCCCTGCTGAGATCGTTCGATTCGAAGCTGAATCTCAAGGACTGGACATTCGACGGCAACGGACCAAACGAAAAAGACCGTATCGTTCTGGTGCATTTTGACAGTGTTCTCACCGAGTACCACAAGCTGCAGCCAAAGTACCAGGACGTCATCAAGGACGTCACGCGCAAGATGGGCAACGGCATGGCCGACTACGTGGTGAACGAGGAGTTCAACCTCAACGGCGTGGCCACCGTCAAAGACTACGACCTGTACTGCCACTACGTGGCGGGACTGGTGGGCGAAGGGCTGACGCGGATGATCGTGGCAGCAGACTTTGGACACCCGGCCCTGGCCGACAAAATGTACCTCAGCGAGTCTATGGGTCTTTTCCTGCAAAAAACAAACATCATCAGAGACTTCCGCGAAGACCTGGACGACGGCCGGTCGTTCTGGCCGAGAGAAATCTGGGCCAAGCATACAGACAAGCTCGCCAACTTTGCGCAGCCCGAGCATCTCCAGGAGGCCCTGAATTGCAGCACGGAGCTCGTGCTCAACGTTCTGGACCACGTCAAGGACGTCCTGGTGTACCTCTCGATGGTCTACGACCAGTCCACGTACTGTTTCTGTGCGATCCCGCAGGTGATGGCCATCGCCACGCTGGCCCTGGTGTTCCAAAACCCGCACGTGTTCCAAAAAAATGTCAAGATCAGAAAAGGAGAAACGTGCAGCTTGATACTCGAGTGCAGAACCTACGAGGGCGTGCTCAACGTGTTTTCCAGATACCTCCGGGTGATCCACCACAAGTGTCCTGTTTCTGACCCGCTGTATCTCGAGGTCGGGATGAAATGCGGCGAGCTCGAGCAGTTCATCGAGGAGCTCAACCCTAACCCAAGCCATCTGCCCAAGGGCCTCGAGCCACGCAAGACCGTGTACTCGGAGCTGGCCCAGACGAAGATCCAGAAGGACGCTGCCGTGGCCAGAAAGTTGTGGAGAGAGCAGTTTGCGTGCAACCTGTCTCTGGCTCTTGTCGCGGTGTGCGTGGTCACGTTATTATCTAAGACCTATTAACAGACTATAATATCTCCCACTGTGAGTTGCCGTAGTCCGTCGCGTAGAAGTACTCCGGGTGGTCGGGCAGGCGTTCGTGGACGAGCGCCGTGCGGTGCTGCTGGCTGTCCAGCGTGCGTTGTATGTGCTCCAGCGGCACGATCATCTGCATTTCCGGCCTTTCTGCAACCAGCTTCAGTTTCAGGTCGTTCGTGCTGGCTGACACGTGTCTAAGGTACTCGACGCAGTTGTCTGGCAGCTCCCGGCGCTTTCGGATCTCCGAAATTGCAAGATACAGCGTCTCGTGCTCTGTGCCGCTCGCGTGGCACTGCAGAAGAGCCAGCACGTCTTTATCCGAGAGCGGGATATTGAGCCGTGCGGCCAGCTCCAAAATGTTCAGACTGCACAGTTTGGCGGCATGCTTGGCAGCTCCCTCGAACAAAATATGGAAATGGCGGTTTTCAAGCAGATGTTGCAAATTATTTCCTGCAACATAGCGTAGCACAAAAATCATGCTACCAAAATGGCCGCAAAAATATATCGAGCGCAGCGCAGCGTACAGGGCCAGCTGCACGGTCCGCGGCTTGAGCTCGATGACCTCGTCGAAATGCTCTTCTATCTCCTCGTAGTTGTTTCTTGCAAACAGCTTGTCCTGGAACATTTTGGGCGCCAGCTCGTCGTACGAGATTGGAATCTCCAGCTCGTCGAGAAATTTCCAGCTGTATGTCGGTCCCAGCAAGGCCGCTGCCGTGGTTGCCACCGGAATCTGTGCCTCCTGGTCGCGCACCTTCAGAACCACGTCAAACGCTCGCTCGAGGTTGTTATTTTCCACGAAAATTCGGCACAGATCGAGTAAAAACTCGCCCGTGAATTCTGTGTCTGTCAATTCAGGATACACCGCCGCGACGACGTCGTGGTTGCCGTTTTTGAGCGCGGTAGCGGCCAGACTGGCGTAGTTGAGCGGCGTCAGCATCGTCGATGGCAGTTTTCGCAAAATAAACAGAATTGTCTCGGTGTCGTTCCTGTTGCTCGCTTCGATCAGCAGCGTGATCGCATACAGTCTTTCCATGTGCCGGGAGTCCACGAAGGAGTTGGCGCCGCGGAACTCCAGAACGGCCATCTCGTAGCTGCCGTTTTCCAGGAACCCGCGGATCTTGTATCCGCGCGCGAGGTCGGGCGCCTTTTGCTCGACATATGTGAAAAATAAATGGTTGTAGTACGGATTATTTTTGCGCAGAAACACCTTTAGTGTGAAATCTAGGAACCCTGTTGCCGCGTACTGCGCTTGCTGAAGCACGCCGTACACCTGCGGGAGTTTGTTGTGCAGCGATTCTTTGGGGCCGAGCTCGGCGAGTTTCTTGAACAGTGCCGTCTTCTGTTTTTTGGTGGCCCTGGGCAGCGACATATATATTTTTGATATTATTTAAGTTGACTGAATATTTTCTACTTCTCCACATTTTTGTGCATTTTTGCAAATCAAATTGCCATGTTTGCACCAAAACGCTGGCTCAAGAAGCCCGCAAACGCGGCCTGCAAACGCTGGACGTCGATCCACGTGTTCAACCGCGACATGAAGCTCAAACAGCGCGAGCGAGCCGCGCGCGACGAAGAAAGCCAGATGGTGGAGTATATCAGGGACGAGGTTGCAAGACGCACAATCGAGCGGCTGGCGTTCCTGAAAACGCCGTTCTCGACGGTCATGGACTTCGGCTGCAACGCAGGCAACCTCGAGCGCCAATTGTGCGACGTTCGTCCCGACGACGACAAGCGATGGCGCGACGATAAAAACCTTGTGCGATCCAAGATCGAGAAAATTTACATGGTGGACTCGTCGCAGAACATGCTAGACAAATATAGAGACGCCCCGTTCAACTCGATGCTGAACATCGAGCGCATCAATGCGGACGAGGAGGCGTACGCGCACCCGCTGCTTTTGAAAAAGGACATGTTCAACGTGATTGTGTCCAACTTGTCGCTGCACTGGATCAACGACCTGCCGACGGTCTTTAAGAAATTGTACAACTCGCTGCAGCCGAACGGGTGCTTTGTCGGGTCCATGTTTGCCGGCGACACGCTGTTCGAGCTGCGCACGGCGCTGCAATTGGCCGAGATGGAGCGCTGCGGCGGTCTTTCGCCGCGTGTGTCGCCGTTCGTGGAGTCGTCCGACGTCGGCACCCTGATGCAAAAAGCCGGCTTCCAGATGCTCACGATCGACGTCGAGGAGATCATCGTGGAGTACCCGGACGTGCTGGCGCTCATGAAGGACCTGCAGCTGATGGGCGAGTCGAACTCCATCCTGAGCACGCCGCCTGCTTTGCGCAAGGACCTGCTGATCGCGCTGCAGCCAATCTACCACGCCATGCACGGCGACCCGCGCACGGGCAACCTGCCGGCGACTTTCCGGTTCGTCTTCATGATCGGCTGGAAACCTGGAGAAAACTTCCCGCAGCCGGCAGCACGCGGCAGTGCAAACGTGAATCTGAAGGACGTACTAAACTGAGTCGCACTCGATTTCCTGCAAAGCTTCCAGCGCAGCCAACCGCACGCTCGCGGTCGGGTGTTTCTTGCTCAGCCACGTCAGCCGTGCCACACAGTCGCCTTTCGTGTCTGCCGGGTCTGCAACAGCCAGCTGCACAAATACGCGAATGGCCACCGCGAGCCGTCCCGGGTGTGTTTTTCCCAGCGTGAGGTTGTACACGCGCACAAAGATGCTCCGCACAGCAACGTCTGCTGGCAGCGGCAGGTTCAGCTCCAATGCGTTGCACAGGAACCGCAAGCAGGCGTCCTGTGTTTTGGTAGCACGTTCGACGCGGCTCTGTGCGCCCTCGAGCGGCCTCAAAATCGACAAAATGTCGCCCAGCACGGTTTTTCTGTCGTCTAGCTGCTTCCAGGCCTGGAAGAACGCCAGCAGCGCCGCGTTGGTGGCCTGTGCCAAGGACTGCTGGGACCCGGCAGAAAAAGAGTAGCCTTTCCAGAACTCGCGAGAAAGCTCCCTGTCTTGCACGAGATGCGCACGGTAGATGTTCATGAGGGCCTGGAAATGGTCAACGTCGGACTCTGGCGGGCTAAAATGCCAGCCGTTGAGGTCTGCCACGAGCTTTAGTGCTGCCACGCGCAGCCGCTCCATGGTCTCGCCTGCTATTCGCAGAAGTTTGCGGTCAATGAGGGCGTGGTCGCCAAATTTGTCCCTGTTGGCATCGATAAGCTTCATTGTCGCCGATCGCACGAGGCTGCCGACGTCGCCGCGGTTGGTGACCGTGTAGTCGTCGAGACAGGAAATGAGAGTCTGTTTCTGGTGCTCAGCCACGTAGTGGCGGTGCAAGTACTCTGCGAGCGACAGAATGAGACAACTGCGCAGCTCTGCGTCGGCGTGTCCCGTCACCAGCCGCAGCACGTCGTCGACCCTCGTTTCGAGCCAGGTTGCGTGTCCCACAGCGCGCGCGGCCACCAGACTTCCGCTTTTGATGTAGGACAGCCATTTCGCAATATATTCTTCTGGTAGCACGAGCACCGCCGCGAGCTCGCAGAATCGCTGCGAAACCTGGTCGCTGCTGTTCCTGACGACGTGGAAGACGGTCTCCAGCTCGTGGTCGTTGGGAACAAATCCCTGGCGACACAGCACCGTCAATAGGTACAGATACTCTTCGCCTTTGTGGAACGGGTCTCTGTGGAAGTCGAACGAAAACTCCACAAAGAGGTTGTGGTATTTGTCGGTTTCACGTTCTGCTGTGTCCTGGAGCAGCTCGGCAAGCACATAGAACTTCCCCGGCTGGAACTCTCCCTGGAAATACCGTTCGACCAGCTTTTTGTGGCCGAGTTTTCTCAGCGTCTTTGCTGCCCGCGTGCGAATCTCGTAGTCTCTGTGCAGAACGGCATGCTCCAACGCGGCCTGAATTTCTCTCTGCAAAAGGCCCAGCTCGCAAATGTCCAGGCTCGATGCAAACGCGCGGTCGAGCTGTCCCAGCGCCGTGTAGTCCAGCGTCTCTATCAGTTTCACCTTGAGGCTGTGTTTGTCGTTGCGGTCGAAAATCTCGCCGTGGCGGCCGACCACCTCCTGCACACACGCCGCGCTCGCACGCCGCACAATCAGCTCCTTGTCGAAACAGCAGCACAGCACCAGGTCGCGGAAAAATGCCCACCACAGCTCCAGCCCCACCTCGTTTGTCTTGTACCGTTTGGCCAGCGACCAGATGATAAAACACGTCGCGTCGCGCACGTTCGACCCGACCGCGTGGGTCACGCGGTACTGCTCCAGGAAAAGCGTCTGGTGCAGCAGGGCGGCCAGCTCGGGCAGGAAAGCCGTGTCCAGCTGTCTGGTGCGCGCCTGCTCGCCGATCGCCAGCAGCACGCCGTGGAAGAGCTCGACGTCGATCGACTCGGCATCGACGCGGCCATCGGCGGAAAGCTCGAGCTGTGCAACCAGCGCACGCACCACGTCGTTGCGCAGCTGCTGCGGCAGCAGGCCCGAGATCTTGGCCAGCTGCTTCGCCACAGAGTACCGAATCACCGTGCTGGCGTGCCCGACAAAATCAAATAGGTAGTTGCATATCTCCTCGACGGCGTCGTAGTCGCTAGTGCGCACAAAATGGACGCCCAGCTTGCCGAGGTTCTTGACGAAAAACCGCAAGCACGAGGCGTTCGGCGTGTCCAGCTCGTTCGCAATCAGCACCAGCAGACGCTGGCCAAACAGCTCGAGCGTCTGCGGCGCACACAGCCTGAACAGGTGGTTTGTCGTCATGAGGAGGCCGAGCTGCTCAAATATGCTTTTCTGCTCCCACGCAAGCGAGTTGAAGTTGTCGGCGACGAAGCCCTGCAACAGCGGCGCACAGTCGGCACGTGACAGCAGCCGTGCCATCAGCAGCGCGGCCGCGTCGCTCTCCTTGCCGCTGGACTGGAGGTATTTGCGCGAGAGATCAAATATGGCCTTGGAGAGACTGGGCCGGATTTTCTCGAGCGGAAACGGCACCAGGACCAGAATCGACAGCCACACAAGCAAGAAAAACGTCTCCTGCCACTGCGCGCGGTCATTGTCGCCGAGACCGTCCACTCTGTCAAGAACTGCCGTCAACAGGTACAGATCGCTGGTCAGACAGTTGGAGACCACCTTGATGCCTCTGATTTTGGCCAGATGGTAAAATATCACGCCAGTCTGCTCCCCACACGCCAGCTCCTCCGCCAGCACACGACGGTACACACTCACCAAGCGGCCCACAAACGAACGCAGCCGCGTGTCCAGGAGCTGAGGGTTTGGCTGGAACTGCCCAATGAGATCCAGCAGGGCCTTCAGCGCGCGCGGGTCGCCAGTCTGGTCCCCGCCCAGCGTCCTGTCAAGCCGCAAATCTATTTCCCGCAGGAGCTGGTCCGAAAGCTTTGAGATCTGGACGTCCTCCATGTATTTACAGTATTTTTATTTCTACATGAATATTTGTTTATGTGCACAGCCATGATCGGACAAACACACAGGGTCCGGTGAATTCGGGGAAGTGAACGGATAAAGACGGATTTTGACAGCGCAGGGCAACGCGCCGCCCTGTGCACGCTTCACTTCGCCGGAGCCGGCCGTTCCAGCGCAGGTTCTGGCACCTCCTCGACACGCTCGAGGCGCACGTCGAAATGGTCGCTGCGCAGCGCACGCAGCCCGCGGTCCAGCTCTTCCGGGCCGCCCGCGGCCTTGTCGTCGACCGTCTTGTACAGCAGCTCCATTTTGTTCATCCAGCGGTGGGTGCCCTGGTACGCGGTCCGTGGGACGGTGAACTGGGCGAGCTGCAGCCGCGGCGGCAGCGCGAGCACGCGCACAGTGTCCAGGAGGTGCCAGACGTCATTCTGCGAGCGCGGGTTGGGCACGAGCCGGAACGTAGCTCGGAACAAACGCATGTGCAGAGGAGCTGCGGTGGAGTGAAATATTTGCGCCAGGCGCGCCGATCGACGCGCCGGCGCAGGGTTTCTATAAATTACTTGCAGCGTGCTAAGCCTTGGCACGATCGTGGCGAAGCAGCCGTGTCGCGCCCTGCATGGCTAAGCGTCTATCAGGAGTATATAATGATTGTTTGGAAGGGGCCAAACGCTTGGAAACGTCAGCGACATCGCGCCGAAGCCTTGGATCTGCATTTTTCATTTCTGCAACCGAGTATAAAAAGGCCGTTCCTGTGAGATTTTTCAGTAAAATGAATTTCGTGTGGTTTGCACTGCTGGCCACGGCTCTGGCCGACAACGCCAACAACAACAACAACAACAACAACAATAACAACAACAACAACGCCCAGCAGACGCAGCAGACCGCGTCGGCGTCGGCCGCGTCGACGTCGGTGTCCTCGTCGCAGGTGTACTCGGACGAGTACGGAGTTCTGCAGTTCCAGAACTTTGGGTTCGAGGGCTACTTCTACAACGTGAAGAGCATCGACTCGAGCTCGAACGATTCGTGCACGTGCGAGATCAACACAGACAAGCCGGTCAGTTTCGAGGGCGCGATCTCGCCGCTCAACAACGAGGTCTCGGTGCACATCAGGGGCCCGATAAACCTGCAGAAGTTCGGCTACTACGTCGCCGACGACTACACGTCGGGCCAGACCAACGGCTCGTGGTCGCGGCTCGCGTACTACGACTCCGACGACCTCACCGCAGACAACGTGACGTTCCTCGGCAACGTGGGCGAGAATGTCACGTGCCTCGGAAAAGCGCTGGACTACGTCGACTCCGACGGCGTGTCGGCCGCGAGCGAGAGCACCGTGCTGGCCAACGTGACGCTGCACTCCGACGAGGAGCTGATCATCATGTCGAACGTGTCGTGCGGCGACTCCGGGTTCAGCAAGGACTGCGGCGTTTATAGAGACGGCGTCCCGGCGTACCACGGCTACTACGGCACCACCAAGATGTTTTTGTTCCAGTTCCTGGCGCCTGAGGAGGACACCGTGAGCGAGGACACCGCGTCGTACAACATGCCGGCCATCTGGCTGCTCAACGCGCACATCCCGCGCACCGCGCAGTACCCGACCAACGCCAACTGCTCGTGCTGGAGCTCTGGCTGCGGCGAGTTCGACATCTTCGAGGTCCTCAACACCACCGAGGCCCTGCACTTCTACTCAACGATCCACGACTACCAGGGCACCGGCGACATCGAGACAGGGCTGGCCAACGAGGGCTATCTGGAGCGCACGCCCGACGCTGTCATGATGGGCGGTGTTGTGTTTGGCAGCGACGGCACGGCCACGGTGTTCCTGTCGAACTCCACCAGTTTCGACGAGACCATCAGCAACTCCGACCTCAACGACTGGATCTCGGACGTGGAGAAGGCCGAGTCCGAGCACACCATGACGCTGTCCTCGGTGACCAACACCGTGAACGGGGCCGCCTCGCTGGAGAATAGCTGGTGGACCCTTGGCCTGCTGGCCTTTATGTGTGTACTATAGAATCATAGAAAATAAATAAATACCAGAGCATAAATATTTCCCATCTGCTGCGTGCTGCTCTTTTTCCACGCTTTCTTACGTAACTCCAATCGCAACTTGTTTTTAATTTCGTTATGTCTGACTGGAGCGTTGATCCCGACAACCGGCGCAAGCTGCTGGCCCTGCAGAAACAGGGCGACAACAAGAAGTGTTTCGACTGCAAGGCTCCGAACCCGCAGTGGGCGTCGCCCAAGTTCGGCATCTTCATCTGTCTGGAGTGCGCAGGCGTCCACCGTGGTCTGGGGGTGCACATTTCGTTTGTGAGGTCCATCACGATGGACCAGTTCAAGCCAGAGGAGCTCAGCCGCATGGAGAAGGGCGGCAATGCTGCGTGCGCACAGTACTTCGAGTCGCACGGCCTGGACCTGTCGCTGCCTGCGCAGCAGAAATACAACAACTACGTGGCCGAGGACTACAAGAGCAGACTCACGAGCATCATCGAGGGCAGGGACTTTGTCGAGCCTGACCACAGCGGCGAGACGCTGCCCTCCAAAAACGCGCCATCCTCCGACTCCAGGAACTCTGCATTGCCTAACAAGGAGCACAACGAGGCCTACTTTGCCAAGCTGGGCCAGGCCAACGACACGCGTCCTACAGACCTGCCTCCGTCGCAGGGCGGCAAATACCAGGGCTTTGGTTCCACGCCTGCGCCGGCTGCGCAGCGCGGCTCCAGTCTGTCCGGCTTCACGTTCGACGCCCTGCAGAAAGACCCGCTGGGAACATTTTCCAAGGGCTGGGGCCTGTTCAGCACGACGGTGGCCAAGTCGGTGAAGGAGGTCAACGACACAGTGATCCAGCCCAGCGTGAAACAGCTTGCGGAACAGGACTACGCACTGCAGGCCAAAAGGGCCATGGAGCAGTTCGGACAGAAGGTCCAGGAGACCGGACTGACGCTACAGCAGCAGCTGGAGGGCCAGAGGGCCGAGGGAGGCAAGTACGGAAAGCTGTTTGACGGTCTGGGAGAGGACGACGACAAGCCTGCTCCCGCTTTTGGTCTGGCCAGACCCAAGGAGAGGACCAAGCTGGATGGCATGGGCAACAGTGATCCGTAGGCCAGACTGCCGGTGGCCCCGCTGTTGGCGTCTATAAAGTGTTTAGAAGCTTCTTGACATGTTATTTCATCAGCTATTAGTTGCCGGTCTTGGTTGGATCGGAAGTATGTTTTAGGGAAAACGCGCTCGTGCAAAGATGTATTTTTTTCTTTTATCTTCGTCTTTTGCCGTTTGTGGAATCTCTTTCAGGATATATAAAGCATAAGCGATTTCCCGTCTTGCTAATGAGTCCTGCTGTCACCGAGACCACCGCGCAATCCGACCAGATCCCGGAATCCATCAGACCGGCCACTTCTCGTGGATACGCCCTCACAGAGAGAGGCGTGCACAACATCTCCAAGGGAGCTCCTCCTCCCTTCCCTATCCCGGAGTTTGACGACCCATACAAGAAGCGCGAATGGCTGCTGGAACACATGGCCGGCGCCTTTCGAGTTTTTGCCCGCAAGGGCTACACCGAGGGAAGTTCGGGCCACATCTCCGTCAGAGACCCTGTGGACCCAAACACCTTCTGGATCAACCCGCTCGGTATCCACTTTGGCCTGCTCAAGGCCAAGGACATGGTCCAGGTCGACGAGGACGGAAACATCATCGGCGGAAACAGAGTGGCCATCAACGCTGCCGGTTTCGCGATCCACTCGGCTCTGCACAAGGCCAGACCAGACGTCAACGCTGCCTGTCACATGCACTCCGTGTACGGAAAGGCGTACTCTGCGTTCGGCAAGCCGCTCGAGATGATCAGCCAGGACGCCTGCAATTTCTACAAGTCGCACGCTGTGTACACGAACTTCGGTGGTGTTGCTATCGAGGCCAAGGAGGGCCAGGAGATCGCTGCTGCTATTGGCGACGGCCACGGCGCGATTCTGCAGAACCACGGCCTCATCACCGTCGGATACACCGTGGACGAGGCCGCCTACATGTTCTCGCTGATGGAGCGCTGCTGCGAGTGTCAGCTTCTGGCCGATGCCGCAGAGAACCAGGGCAGAAAGAAGCAGATCATCGGCGACGAGGAGGCTGCGTATACATACCACATGAACAGCGACAGAGAGACTCTATACATGGAGTTCCAGCCCGATCTTCAATGGGAGATTGCTCAGAACGACGACTTTTTGAGCTTCTCGAAGCAGGATAAATAAGTCAGTGCTCTATTTTAATTTAATTTATTCTAAATAAAATCATTTATTTATTTTCATGTCTGATTTCGATATGATGGACATTGAGGACCGACGAAGCAGCGTCGGGTCCCAGATGGCGAGGCCAGGCGAAATGCCTCCCAGCAGCCTCGTTCTGATCTTTGATACCAATTTCCTGCTCGACCATCTGCCTATAGTAGACGGCCTTCGTGGGGTGCCAGTGCCCCATCAGCTAATCATCCCCAACCAGGTCGTGAGAGAGCTCGACGGGCTCAAGTCATCGAATTTGCACGTTTCAGGGGCCGCACGCCGGGCCATCGACTGGATCTACGGGTTTCTGCACAACAACGACCAGATCTTGCGGGTCCAGCGACTGCACGAGCGACTCGACCGCGACGCCGTCCAGGACGACGCTATCCTGGACGCCTGTCTCTTTTTTGGGACAGAAAACATGGTTGTGCTGTTCTCGAACGACAAAAACCTGTGCGTCAAGGCTCTGGCCCATGGCGTTCTTACTGTGTCCTACCGTGAAGACATGACATTGCAAACGATCATTGACCGGCTGGTAGCAGAGTTTTCGCGGGTCAATGGCGACGTGATGGAGCTTGAGGTGGAGAGAGACAACAGACAGGTGGCTGCAGACACCGTCTACTCGCAAGCACGCACGCTTGCCGTAGAGGCCATAGAGCACGTACTAAGAGAGGAATTTGGAGACGACTTCGACATGATAGATTACGACCCTTCGAAACAACATTCATTGCGCGACTGTTGCTACACACTGAAACACTTCAGCGTGTCCACCTTCGGGAGCTATTTCCGCAACTTTGGCATCAATCCGCTGAAATTACTCAAAGAAAAGCAGAGCATAGCAGAATATTCCAACAAGCCCCAGTCGCGCGAGCAACTATCCGAGTTCGTCGAGTTCTGGATCATCGTGTTGGAGGGACTATACAAAAAGCGCAGCAGCGAGCAAAAAGCGGCGTTGAAGATGGTTGTTGACGCGTGGCGCAAGACGGCGCAGACGACATGAGGTATATAGTACAATGGATTAGCGGGTTCTTCTCTGTTTGATAGGGAAGTTGTAACTGTGGTCTCTGAGCCGTTTTCTCGGGCTCGTGTCGGGGACGGTCGTCTGGACATTCGGTTTGCGGCGTTTGGATGGTCTAGCAGGCTCTAGTTCTGCGTGCGATATGAATAAATTTTTCAGGGCCTGTGCAGACGACATGTCGGACTGTTTAAATTTTGACACGGTCTCGTCTTTGATCTGTTTGAACGAAGAGCCGAGCGAGCTGCGCAGCGTGCCTGTCTGGAGGAAAAGACGCTGGATCTCGTCGCTCTGCAAAATCGCCTCGTCCTGTTCGAGGGTGTTGCCCAGATAGTCCTGTGCGATGGAGGCGGCGAGTTTCAGAATGATCTGGTTCTTCTTGTTGAGCTCGTGCGCAAGACTGGCCACCAGACTCGACTCGAGCGCGCCCAGCCGCCCCACGTGGGCCAGAAACTGTTTTCGAGCCGCCGCGAGCATATCGTCTGCTAATCGCGTCAACGGAAACCGGAATTCGAGATCCGGCTTGCACAGGGTCACGAACCCGGGCTCTCTGCGCAGAACAACGTGGTGCAGGTCAGCGAGCTTGGCAAGGAACCCGTCGATTTCGTTTTCGCCGCAAATGGCAGCGTCGTTCAGCGCAAACAGCCTGTCGAGCTCTGTCCGGCTGGTGCACTCGTACGCGTCGAACTGGTCGCCGTCGGTCACCAGCAGGGTCACGTTCAGCGGCACAGTCGCCGCATGCACCCCCACAAAAGTGTCTGTCTCGTTGGCAACAGGAACAAACAAGCTGGGAAACATGTCTAAACCGTCTCCTTTCCCTCGCCCCGGTGCGCACAGCCGAAAAAAAGCATATTTTTTTTTCCCAAATTCGCACCCCATTCAGCCGCCGTCTCGGCCTGTTCACATTTGTCCGGCTGTGCAAAGGAAAAGAGTTGTCCATTTCCCAAATTTCCAACGCTGTTGTTTTCTTTTACTCTCACCAAATTAGACCAAATGTTTACCAGAGCATTGAGAAAGTCCATTTTAAAGACTGTAAGTGTGTCCACGTTGGAAATTGTCGTTCTAACGCGTCAGTCGCAAAGAAGATTCTTGTCCATCCACGAGTATAGATCTGCTCAGTTGCTCAGATCATACGGTGTGCCCGTGCCTAAGGGAGATGCGGCTACCACTCCAGAGGGCGCCTACGACATCGCCAAGTCGCTCGGCACCAATGAGCTGGTCATCAAGGCCCAGGCTCTGACGGGAGGCAGAGGCAAGGGACACTTTGACAATGGCTTGAAGTCGGGTGTCAGACTCATCGAGACCCCAGAGGAGGCCAAGGATCTCGCTTCCAAAATGATTGGCCACAAGCTGATCACCAAACAGACTGGCGCTGCCGGAAAGGAGGTCACTGCCGTCTACGTCGTGGAGAGAAAGTACGCCAAGCGTGAGGCATACCTGTCTATCATCATGGACAGAAAGAACCAGTCCACTTTGGTGGTGGCCTCGTCAGAGGGCGGTGTCGACATCGAGGGTGTCGCCAAGCAGAACCCAGACGCCATCAAGAAGTATCCTGTGGACTACAGCAAGGGCATCAGCGACGAGCTGGCCAAGCAAATTGCCTCTGGACTCAAATTCTCTCCGGAGGCCGTTCCAAAGGCTGCCGAGACCATCAAGAAGCTGTACCAAATTTTCAAGGACAAGGATGCCACCCAGATCGAGATCAACCCACTGACGGAAACTGTCGACCACGAGGTGATGTGCATGGACGCCAAATTCGGATTTGACGACAACGCTGCCTTCAGACAGGAAGAGGTCTTCTCCTGGAGAGACCTGACCCAAGAGGACCCAGACGAGGTCCATGCCAGCAAGTTCGGCCTGAACTTCATCAAGTTGGACGGCAACATCGGCTGCTTGGTCAACGGTGCCGGACTGGCCATGGCCACCATGGATGTTGTCCAGCTGTACGGTGGATCTCCAGCCAATTTCCTCGACGTTGGTGGAACCGCCACTCCAGAGACCATTGAGGAGGCTTTCAAGCTGATTATCTCCGAGAAGGGCGTCAAGGCCATCTTCGTCAACATCTTCGGAGGTATCGTCAGATGTGACTACGTTGCCGAGGGTCTCATTGCTGCCACCAAGAACCTCTCTTTGACCATTCCTGTTGTTGTCAGATTGCAAGGTACCAACCTCGACATCGCCAAGAAACTCATCGGCGAGTCCGGCTTGAAGTTGTACTTGTTCGAGGACCTCGACGAGGCTGCCGAGAAGGTTGTCGAGTTGGGAAAATAAACAGCTAGCTATAAATTGATTCCTACATTACTGTTGATTCTTAAATTACTGTACACTTGTTTTATACTCATACACCACCCAATCTTCCTCGTCTTCCAGCTTCTTGCTCACCAAAGCTCCTCCGAGCCTAAGAGCATTTTCATTTGTAGACTTGGCTGTCATCTGCACGACGTGCGCTTTCTTCTTGTCCTCGGGCATCACATGGTCGTCCAGTTGTTTATTTAATTCTTTTTCTCTTTGCTGTTTGCGAGCCTTCATTTCGTCGATGTACTTGAACGAGGGTCTAAGTTGGCATGTTTTAGTCACGGGACTCAGATGGAGCTCGCCGTCAAGCACACGCCCCACGTAGTATCCGTTTCCGTCCACTAGCACTCCCTTCAGCGTCTGATAGTTGATGCCTCCCCATTTGGAAGCTTTGCTCTCGTCGTAGAAACGTGAGGTGTCTGTTGGTATATCCATTTCCAGGACGCCACTAACCGGCTTGAGTCGTGTCTGTGAGATTGTGTTGTATTTATTGACTGTTGGTTGCTGGACCATCAAGAGAGGGGGCCCGTTAATGCGGATAGGAATTTCTTTGATAACGGGATCAGACATAAATAAAATTTAAGAAAAAATTCAGAAAAATTCAGATTTTATTTTTTTTTGGAAAATTATTTATCTATGGAGGATGACTTACTACTGAATTTTGCGAGCGAGCCGCCCGCCAAAAAGCAAAAGGTGAAGGTGACTGGTGGAAAATGGAAGGATAGGCGGAAATCGCAGCTCGTTAGCGAAGGCCGCGGCCGCAATGAGAAAAAAGAAAAGCAGGGAGTAAACCAGACAAAGCTAGGTGAGAGAACCAAGGAACCTGCAAGAGCTGAGGGTGAAGAAAGACCGCATAAGTCAGCATTTCCTGAGCGGCGTGGAGAGGGCGGCAAAAACAACACGTACGTTTCGTCGCTGTTCACAGCAAACCCTGAGATCCAGGACAGACCCGTCGCTGAGATAGACGTTCTTTCTCCTTCGAACGCTCCTCTAGATACCTCTTCTTTTTCCGGACTTGGACTCAACGATAAGATCAACGCTCATCTTCTTGGCCAACGTATAGAAAATCCCACGAAGATTCAGCAACAGGTGATTCCTCGTCTGCTTGCAGGAAAAAATGATCTTTTTGTGCAGGCTCAAACAGGTTCTGGTAAGACCTTGGCCTTTGCGCTGCCAATTTTCCAGAAGCTGATGGAGATTCCAGACATTGATCGGACTTCTGGTCTTTTCGCGCTGATTCTGGCTCCCACGCGCGAGCTTGCAACCCAGATCTACTCTGTTTTTGAGTCTCTTAGTCGCTGCTACCACAAGATTGTTGCCGGAAACGTCATTGGTGGAGAGAAAAAGAAATCTGAAAAAGCTCGACTCCGTAAAGGTGTGAACGTCCTCGTGGCAACCCCAGGAAGACTAGTGGATCATATTGAACACACACAAAAATTGGACCTCTCAAAAATTCGGTACGTCGTGCTGGACGAGGGTGACCGGCTGATGGAGCTTGGATTTGAGGAGAGCATCGCCAAAATCCTGCACAGCATTTCTTCGTCTGCGGTGCCCCTCCAATATCCCTCTCTGCCGGCCAAAAGAGTCAACGTTCTTTGTTCGGCCACCATCAAGTCCACTGTGAAAAAACTAGGCGAGCTGTCGCTGGAAGAAGCCGAACTGGTGACCACAAGTGAGCAGATCACAAAGGTGCCCGATCAGCTGGTGCAGCAGGTGGTGGTGATTCCTCCGAAGCTGAGGTTTGTCACGCTGGCCGGAACTCTCAAGAACCTGATCAAGGACCAGACGGCTTCGAGAACGATTGTTTTTTTCTCGTGCTCTGGATCTGTCGATTTCCACTTCATCGCGCTCACCAGAAAAGCGGCCTCCGAAGACACTTCGGGCTCGCTTTTTGGATCTAGCATTTTCAAGCTGCACGGTTCGCTTTCGCAACAAACCAGAACTTCCACTCTCAAACAGTTTGCCGATAGTCCAAATAATGCGATCCTGCTCTGTACGGATGTCGCGTCGAGAGGACTCGACTTGCCACATATCAACAACGTCGTCGAGTTCGACCCGCCGTTCGCTCTGGACGACCATCTTCATAGAGTTGGCAGAACCGCCAGAGCCGGTTCTCTTGGAAAATCTGTACTGTTCCTGCTTCCAGGGGACGAAGAAAATTATTTGAAATTAATTGAGCCATTGCATCCATCAGGCATTCAGTTCAAAAAATACGAATCGGTGCTAAAAGACGCTTTCGAGAAACCGGGCGAAAAGGGCGGCGGCTGGGACACGCAGGCCACAACCTTTCATTTGGATCTGGAAAGATGGCTGCTGGAAGAGCCGCGAGCCAAGGAAATAGCTTCCAACGGTTTCATCAGCCACATCAAAGCGTATGCCACACACTTGGCCTCTGAAAGAGAGTGTTTCAACGTGAAGAAAATCCATCTGGGACATCTGGCCAAGTCGTTTGGGCTAAGAGAAACGCCAAAGAAGCTTGCCAGTGGTGGAGAGCGTAAGAAAAAAGAGGACGGCAAGTCCAAGATGCTGCGTATGGCCAAGATGCACCTGCAGGCACAAACGGACGAGTTCAACACAGTTGGTTGAGCTTGGCCTCGATCCTGGCTTTTATGGACTGGTTGCCGCCGCCCACTGCGGCGCGGAAGGTTTCAAGACCTGTTCTGACTGTCTCTGTGGCTGTGTCCACTAGCAGACAGAAATATCCTATAGCATGAACTCTTGTGGCATTCTGCAGATTTTGCTCGATTTTAACCGACTGTAGCAGCTCTTCAAAGAGCGGTTTGGCGTTCTCTGGCCAGGAAACGTGCTCTTGGAGGTTGAAAAGCAGACCCAGAGCGAAAAGCCCAGTCTCTTGGTCCTGGCTCGAAGCCATGTTTCCAGAGAGAATGTACGACCTGCGCACCAATTCTAGCAGCGGCACGACAAGAGCCTGGTCACTTAGCTGGCTCTCCGTCTCCGCTGTTAATACGATTGCCAGTCGCAAGCAAATCGACAAACAATCCGTTTTTTCAACAATAGCAGATTTTACCAGATGCTCTATTTTGTCAAACCCTGCCAGCGGGCGCAGTTGGTCCACAAGCATCTCGACCAGCAACATGCTTTTCTCGTTTTCCAGCTGAGCAGCGTCGATAACCAGCTTCAGGATTTTCTGTGTGCATAGTTTTACCAAAACGTGGTGGTCTCGGTGTAAGAGGTAATCTAATGCCAATTCTCTAGGAGAAGCTATTGGCACATGGTCAAGAAACTCGTCCAGGGCCAGCTGGTCAATCTTGGTCAGTTTTGCCTGCCTCTCAATGTGTTTCCGTAATGTTCCCGATACAGGCAAGAAGAGCTCTATTGCGTTTCTGGTGAAGTCCAACGGTGGCTCCTTTTTCATCGGCGTGGCCAGATATATCCATGCCGAAACGAGGATAAAATCGTTTCCCGCCGCTTCAATGCCAACAGCAAGATCCTCCACGCCCCTAAGCACAAGACGGTCCATTATCTTGGCATCCATTGCGCCTTTGCGAGCCGTCTCAAGAAGTGCCGTTCTTTTGGCTGACAGTGGAGATCTTGCAGAGCTGACGGTCTCCGCCATGAATTCTATCTCCTGATCGTACCTGTTGTTCAATCCTGACACCTTGAGATCAAGGCTGGGCTGTAGGTTCGTGCTGACGGGCTCTGCGTCGAGTTCGTCGCTCTCGTTGTCTGAGTTCTGCTCCGCGCGGTAGCTTCGTCTAATACCGTAGTTTCTAGGAGATTTATGTGGTTTTGGGGGCGATAAGACAGACTGGCCGTCATTATTAACCGTTGGAATGGAAGGAGGCTCTAGTGCGACTTTTGGGATCTGGGGCTCTGGCTCTTCCGAAGATATAATATTTACTGTCCTGATATCTAGAGTGGATTTTCGTGGACTTTGCGGGAGCCCTTCAAACAGATCAGACAGATTGTCGGGGACTGTGGTCTTTTTTGGCGACGCGTTTTTTTCCTTGGACAGCTCCCCGAGCTCCAGCTGAGTGCTTCCAGATTTCTGTTTCTTGGGCGTGGGAGGCAGCAATTGTCTGCGTTCTGGCTGTTTTTCGTGCGTCCATCGCGGTCGCTGCTCCTCTGGAGCCTCCTTGAAATAGTCCGCCGTCTCGAAGTTGCGCAATCTCGGAATCGACGCGTTCTGGAGCAAGCGTTTGCGCGGAGATCTGAGACTTTTCTGGAATTCCACAGGACTCTCGGTAAAATCGAACACGGAAGAAGGCTCAGATAAAGCTCCCTTTCCCGAGCAGTCACACCTCAGAGACCTTTGGTGAGCGGGCGAAGAAAATCCTCTTTTTCTTCTACCGTACATGAAATATTGATCTAAATTATTTATCTAGTTATTTTTCCTAAATTATTTTCCCATGTATGGAGATCTGGCACACAAATTGGCACTGGAGGCCAAACGGACGCAGTCGCTGGATAAGTTGCCGCTCTACCAGGATACGCTGGTGAGAAGCATAGTGCGGGAGATACGGGACCTGCAGAAAGAGGCCGACGTGCTGACAGAACACGCGAGCCAGGACGACGATCGCGTCAACCAAGCACAGCTGTTTGTCTGCCACCTGTGCATGCGGCGCAACAAACGGTGTCTTCTAGCTTACCAGCGGTTGCGGGCAGAGCGTCTGGACGAATTGGTGTGGGCCAATAACGAGATTTCCAAGGAGCAGATGGACAATTTGTCGCCGCAGGAGCAGGAGTACCTAAAAAAATATAACGACCTAGTGAGCGAGTTTAAAGGCCCGTTGGAAAAAATCGACCTGGGAGGGACGCTGGAGCCGCCGGAAGACGTGTTTATCGACGTGAGAGTGCTAAAAGACGCTGGCGAGATCCAGACTGAGTACGGAGTTTTTAATCTGACCAAGGACTCGCAATTTTTCGTTCGCCAGGCAGACGTCGAGAGACTCATCCAGCAGGGGTATCTCAAAAAGCTCTAGGACTGCTCTAATTTCCTACACCAGTTATAAAAGCTTTCGAAGAGCTGGTAGTTGCGGCCGCTCTTCCAGATGAGCTTGATGGGGTTTTCGAGCAGCAGCACTACCTGAGCCCGATCGGGCAGAAACCGTTTTTGGCGGCGGTAGGCTCGCGACCACACGTCGCCGGGGAGCTCCAAAACGACCGTGTCTGCTGTTCTGGTCTGCTCCACGTTCTCCAGCTCATCGATCCGCTCCAGCAGCTTGTCGCGCGTGCACTGGAGCTCGCGTCGCGTTTTCTGACGCACTACACTGTTGAACAGGTCTGCGTCGGGCCGCTCGGGCTGGAAAGACCAGAATAGGATCCAGCGGCGTGTTCCTGCCAGCGCCTGGCTGCTGCGGAACTCGTGCACGCCGAAGTTGTCGATTTTGCGGACGCGCAGAAGCGAGATCAGGGGCTTGAGCGAGTCGTATTTTCCAATGAGACTGGAGAACCAGCGGATGGGGGAACTTTTCACGGACTCGCTTTCCAAGATCATTCGACGCACAAATGCTACCTCTCCGCCCTCAACAACGAGCTCGTTGGCAGCGGCCGTGGGGAACCGGGGGCCGGGCTTTATTTCTGCTCTTCTTTCCATCTCTTCGAAAGAGGAATAGAAAGGCGGGTTGCACATGACAAACCCGCTTCGAGAGCCCAGTAACTCAACAAACCGGCCGAACAGCGGGTCCTGCGGCCTGGTCAGCACCAGCTGGATTTTCTCCTGCAGATTATTCTGCTCCACAGTGGCCCGAGCCAGCTCCAACGACTCCTCGTCAATATCTGTGCCCACAAACTGCAGATCGAATAGTCTGGCTCCCAGTAGTGCATAGATCGCCAGATGGCCTGTGCCGACGTCTAGCCCCACATGATTTGTCCATGAACCGAGCAATTGGCACATAAACTCCAGGTAGTCGAGACGATTGAATAATCGCGGACATAATCTGGCCCTGTCTACGTGTACCTCCAGCCCCCACTCCTTCAGCAAAACCTCAGTGATCGCAATGACCGCCTCGTTACTGCGGAAGTCGTACCTCGCCCCGTCGAAATAGCGCCCCAATTGCTGGTGTTTCTCCACCAGAGCCTCAAAATCCAATTTCCTCGAAATAATATTATTTTCCATATTTTTTCACTTTAGTCTTCATGTCCTTTCTAGACGAGATCATCCTCCAAGACGTGGCCAAACACTGTCCAGAACAGTTTGTCAACTACCACAAGTGTGTCCAGTCACCCGACAAGAAGCCGGTGGATTGTGTTCCGATGCAAATGGCGCTGCAGCAGTGCGTGAGGAACGACGTGCCGTCCTTCCAGAAAATCCAGCAGAATTGCTCTTCCGCGATATCCCAGTACGAAGCGTGTCTGCGCGGAGGAGACTCGGCCAAATGCTTGGACCAATTGGAGTCTCTAAGACAGTGTGCCGTCAAACAAGTGCAAAGTACCCAAAACCAGTAAAAATATGTATTACTATCTAGTCATTTCCAAATACAGGTGGATTCAATATGACTCTAAAGCGCAAAATATTATCCGCTGCCGCAGTCTTATCTAGGAAAAAAAATTCAGAGCCGAAATAAATTGCGTGCAGATTCTCAGTAGCCCTAACTTTGTAATGTTTTTCCTTCTTTCGTTGCTACCAATTGCTCTGGCTGTGGACTCTCAGTCCCTTGACGGAAAATACTCGTGTGTGGGCACTTTTATCTTTGGTCGCCACAATGACAGAGTCGCCAAACCGGCTAACTACCTCACCACCCTGGGAGCCGTTGAACAGGTCGAGTCGGGTACCTTCTTCAGGGAGAGATACTTCGGCTTGGACGAAGACGGCAACTCTGTGGAATCGGACTTTGTGATTAACGGACTGGACCCACAGGGCTACTTCGTCTATGGAGACACTTATGCCCAATGTCCGGCCTCGACGGTCATCGAGTACTCCCAGATGTCTTTCTTGCAGGGTCTGTACCCTCCTTCCACTGCCGTCAACACGAACGAGACTCTGGCCGATACCCAGGACTCCGAATTGAGCAACGGCACCTCTGTTGAGGCCCCTCTAGGCGGATATCAGTACGTCTTTATGGATGTGCAGCAGGAAACGTCTGACGATTATTTCTGGATCAAGGGAGACGAGAACTGTCCTTCTTCGGACGCTGCCATTGACGCGTGGTACGACACTGACGCGTTCAAGGAGCTGAACTCGTCCACCTTTGATTTCTACCAGTCGCTGGCTGACGTTCTTCCATCGTCCCGTTTCCCTAAGTGGAAGCTCAATTTTGGCAACGCCATGAACATCAACGATTTTGTTTTTGTCGAAAGCATCCACGACGAAGACTGGGCCTCCAAGTGGAACTCCACGCTTCGTTACCAAATCGCCACTCTTGCAGACGCTGCTCAATGGGGAATTTCGTACGACGCTTCCAACAAACTCAATAACTTCACTATTGGTGGACAGTCGCTTCTGGGAGCATCTCTCACTTATTTGAATGCCACCAAGGAGAATGGCTCGCCTTACATCAACTACTTCACGGGCTCCTTCAATACGATGTACCAGATTTTCGGTCTTTTGGAGCTGAACCAGGTCTCTGATAATTTCACCGGTATGCCTGGCTACGGAGCTACTCTGGTTTGGGACCTGTTGAAAGACACCTCCGACAACTACTTTGTGCAATTCTCCTTCAAGAATGGCACTGAAGATGACGACGAGCTGGTGGCTTACCCGCTCTTCGGATTAAACTCCACTTTGCTATCCTGGGACGACTTTGTCGAAAAAACAGAAGCAGTTTCTATTACCAGTCTCGAGGACTGGTGCGGAAAGTGCTCAAGCACGTCCTCGCAATGCACCAGATACTCTTCTACCTACGAACAGGCTTCCGAGGCAGAGGAAAAGGGTATTGACTTGGAGAAGGTTGCTGACGGCTCCTACCACCTTAATAAGCTGACCAACGCTGGAGCAGGAGGAATCGGAGCTGGAGTCACCATTGGTGTCTTCCTGATCTTGGGAGCTCTGTTCTTTGCTTGGAAGAAACTGAGAAGTAAGAAGACTCCTTTGCTTCCTGTTGCCAAGACTGTGTCGAGAGAAACCAAGGCAGAGAACTCATCAGCTTCCAATGCCAGCACCTAGAGTCTTTTTTTTTTAATTTCAGACACGACCCTTTGGTATAAATTAGTATTTTTTCTGGATTTTTTCTTACGCTAATTAAACCAGCTAACATTGACCATTGTGAAGCTCTACTTCTAATTGGTCTCAGTAGAACTGGGAGAACGAAGAGGGACATTTTAAGTTCAGTCGTGCGTCATTTCTATTGGCCTCTCGACTCTACAACTGTCCATACATTGAGCCTTAACTAAATGATTATTACTAGTACACATTAATATACAAATGGCTTATTCCGATGCATTGTCAAAGATGGAACCAGAGTATTGCGGAACTTGGCCAAAATCAAATGGACACGGTTGGTCCTTTTCGAAGTTGTCGAGCCACTCGCAACCGCGGGAAAGAACGGAAGACTGGAGCTTTTTCATGACCACAAGAGACTCGTCGTAGTTAGTATACTGTAGTCCCGTAAACTCCTGGAACATTAATTTGAAGTAAAATATCAAAGACTGAAGACCTTTCAAATATCCCAGATCCGGAGAGTCAATATGCGCTGGAGGATAAGTGGTGTTTGGAGGAAGAGGTTCGTTTGCAATGACACATTGCGCGAAATCAATAAGACGAACAATCAATGTCGACTGCGATTTAGCATGGTCAGCATCAGAATCATACATTAACAGGATCGATGAACCATAAAGCCTGTAGCCAGGTAGCTCCTTGAAAATCTTTTGCAGCTCATTCAAATTCTCAATCAGATTTGGCAAATGCTTCACCACCGAGAAAATAGAGAGGCCATCGTAGAGGAACCTAGCAAGCGATCTCACAAATTCATATCCGACGTTGAGTTTGCGTCCAAAATATTTATCCCTGTTGATAAAACAGTTCCGTTTTAGATCCCAAACTTGCATTCCGCAAATTCTGGTTCCTAGACGACGAGAAGTTGTCTGCTGACATTTTCTCCGCTGCGAATACCGTTTCTTTTCTGTAGCCTCTACACCGTACTGACGAGTTCCCATCTTCAAGTCCAAAACGCATGGATGTTTCATACCAGACGTCAAATCTTCGAGAAGAATGAAACGTTCCAGCCGAGTGTGTTTGCGTTTGGAGGAGAGAGAAGGTGAATTCAATAACGGTGGAGATGACACAGTATCTTCCTCATCATCAATGATAGCATGCTCGCTTGTTGTGTCTTTGTCCATATCAAATATTCCTCCTCCATCATCCTTGTGCGGCAGAGTCTTGATTTTGTTTATTAGTGTCTCTCTATCTGGGAAATTACATCCATCGGCATACGATAGCTTTTTGAGATCAAGCAAGGAATTCGAGTGTCCACCTAAATGATCCTTCCTAGCCGTCAGCTGCGGAGAGGTTTGGGCACTGGAAAAACCTTCCTCAAATGGTGTAGGAAGTCCTTTCTTGAATGAGCTTCCCGTCCCGCTGGTGGAATGTCTATGAGATCTTATGACACGAGCCCCTATGAAACCACAGTTTTTGTGGTATCCGGTGTGAATGGTCTTGCTTTGTGCTCTTCTTGCGTACTCCTTGATGGGTGCGAACACCTCTGTCAACACCAATTCTTGCAGTTTTGTGTTGACTTTAGTAGCTCCCCAAACATCATGCGATTCTTTACCGTCTCGAGTCTGCGGAGAAGACAAAAAGCTGTCAGAGTCGCTCAGAGAATGAGACCTGGAATCATCCTGAAGTGGTGAGCTGGTGGAGTAATGGTTCCAAAGCGACTCTGGAAAAATGTGTTTGTTGTCATCAAGAACCACTTCAGGAGGAAGTTCGTCTCCTTTGTGACTGGTCTCCAATGAATGATCGTTATCATAAGATGCGGGCTCATAAGCGTCATCTGCTAAACTGCTGTATCGCACATTCAAGACCCCAATATAACGAGGCATGAATTTCAGCAGTTCAGGATGTGCAAGTTCGATGTTTTCGTACCAGGTATTTTCCCGGTTGACCAACGCTTTGCAAACAGCTCGATGGCTGAACTTGAAAATTGCCGTATGGCCTCCCACTTTGTTCTTGAAAGGCTGCAATTCCACTGCTAAGGGAAATTTTCTCCCTGAAAATTGCTCGAATTTATTCTGTGTGTACTCTGCCGAGTCGGAAAATGGCGATGCTGATCTTGAGGTATCCGCACTATGCACATCGCGGTTTTCCTTCTCAATTGCCTCCTCAATTTCTTCAATCTCGCTCAAAACTTCTGGGTTGTCCACTTCATGGTCAAACTCAGCGGCGGCAGTAAGATGTTCGGGAACAGCCCTGTATTGCGAATCCACAGGTGTGTGAGGGATATACGTTGCCGACGACACGGGCTCCAAAGGAGGCATGCTAGGGTATAAGGAAGGATGCAATGTGTGTCGCTCCAGGTCCACTGATGTGATGGTGAATGAATTGTGGCGAGTGGAGCTTTGAGGTTCACTCCTGTCTGTACGAGGATCGCCGTCAAAAGAGGAGGCGATCCTGGATTCTTTGTGCATTTTTGGCAAGTTATCAGATGAATCTGACCCCCGGAATAGTCTTAAAGACTTTGCTGCCTTACGGCCGGCCATGTTTGAGCTTTTTATTTCATCTTGATGTCGTTTGTCCTTCTCCACACAGGGAGGAGAATCTTTGTTTCGAAGCTCTAATTCTTTATCACACATTGGTATATGCTATGAGGTCTAGTATGGTGAGACGTAGAAGAGATACGATGCCCAAGCATAGAATTAAATATATCAGAATACAACCAAAGTAGTGTTGAGCAGAGAAACAAAACAAGAAAAAAATATGACATTAAAAAATCCCTAATTTTAACCACGTTGAACAATTGGCAGCACAATCAGAAAGAAATATTTCTGTGTTAATGCCAGCAGATCTTGGCTGGGAAGGGAAAAAAAAGGTCGTACCCGGATTCGAACCGGGGTTGTTCGGATCAAAACCGAAAGTGATAACCACTACACTATACAACCTAACTCACCTCAAATTTGAGGCCGTTTTGTGCTGTCTCTATTCGACGTCTATCGACGCGCCGATTAAGGGTGCCGGGCTCGGAAATTCCGCAAACCAATGGGGACCCTATAATTTGTAAGGGATCTGGGACCAGGCATCCAACCTCCCCTTCTACTATGCCATTCGCTCTAGATCTGCTGGGCTGGCCCTCCGACGATTCTAATTCAAATTCGAAATACCCCGTCTTCCCGGGGTTTTATGCCGCTTACATGTATATAAAGAAATTTATACCCACCTTGTTTTTTTCCTATATATTTTAACATGTTGGGAGTTGCGAGACGTGCAAACAATGTTCAGTGTTTGGCTAGATGTAGTCAGGCTGTGCTGAGAAAGTCGAGCCTGTCTGCTGCTTTTGCCCGTGGACTCAAAACCACCATTAGACCAACCCCTATTGCTCCTAATATGACACTTAGATCTCAAAATTTGAGAACGTCGATGCTTTTTGTGAGACACAACTCTCAGGTTGTGAAAGTCCCTGAGATGGCCGAGAGTATCACTGAAGGTACTCTGGCCTCGTTTGCCAAGGAAGTTGGAGACTATGTCAAGCAAGACGAGCTGATCGCAACCATCGAGACAGATAAGATCGATGTGGAAGTCAACGCCCCTATCTCGGGAAAAGTCACCGAGTTGCTGGTGAATGTGGACGACACCGTCGAGGTTGGCCAGGATTTGCTGAAAATAGAGCCGGGAGAAGTTCCAGCGGACGCCGAGAAGGCAGAGCCAAAGAAAGAGGAACCTAAAAAGGAGGAGCCAAAAAAGGAGGAACCTAAAAAGGAAGCACCGAAGGAGGAACCTAAGAAGGAGGTGAAAAAGGAGGCCCCAAAGAAGGAAGAGCCAAAGACGGAGACCCCTAAGGCCGCCACGCAAGAAAAGACTCAGTCCGTTGGCAAGTTCTCTAGAACGGAGGAGAGAGTCAAGATGAATAGAATGAGACTGAGAATCGCCGAGAGACTCAAGGAGTCGCAGAACACTGCCGCTTCGTTGACCACTTTCAACGAGGTCGATATGTCTGCTCTGATGGAAATGAGAAAACTGTACAAGGACGAGATTCTTAAGAAGACTGGTATCAAGTTCGGGTTCATGGGAGCATTCTCGAAGGCCAGCACTCTGGCCATGAAGTCGATTCCAGCCGTTAACGCTGCTATCGAGAACAATGACACCATGGTCTTCAGAGACTACGTTGATATTTCCATTGCTGTTGCCACTCCTAAGGGTCTGGTTACTCCAATTGTGAGAAACGCCGAGAGTCTGTCTGTTTTGGAGATCGAGGAGGCTATCGCCAACCTCGGTGTCCGTGCCAGAGACGGAAAGCTGACTCTGGAGGACATGGCTGGTGGAACTTTCACCATTTCTAACGGAGGTGTCTTTGGCTCTCTGTACGGTACTCCTATCATCAACATGCCACAGACTGCCGTCCTGGGTCTTCATGGAATCAAGGAGCGTCCAGTTGCCGTCAACGGTAAAGTCGAGATCCGTCCAATGATGTACCTTGCTCTGACATACGACCACCGTATGTTGGATGGTAGAGAAGCTGTCACTTTCCTCAAGACCGTGAAAGAGCTGATCGAGGACCCAAGAAAGATGCTCCTGGTGTGAGTCTATAAATACTAAATTATTCTACGCACTTGCAGCTCAAGTGCCAACTGAGTGTTGAGAGCTGGTTATATCCTTTGTAAAAATTGAATAAATAAAATAAAATAAAAAGTATCACCGCTCATGCTCCTTGCCAGCGACACCATAAAACACGCCAAGCATTACGCAAGCGTGCTGCTTTCTCTGAAACCGCTTGAGCGGCAACGAGTAATACTGCACAGACACCTAGTGGACCTCAACAACGCGCTGCGAGCCCGGATCAGCGACCTGCGAAAGGGCTATTTTGACGATGTCGCCATTCCGTTTGACATTGAACAGCAACCAGTATTCCCATACGAGCTACCGTACGGCGGCCTTATTAGAGGCCAGGACGAAAAAGTGTTGCAAAACAGACTCATAGAACCGCAGATGCTGAACCTCAAAACTAAATGGCCAAACCTATTTTTCAACGACTTTCTGTATAGCGACCTGTCGACATACCACGTCCATGTCTCGATCTCGCCGATTGTGATGTACGAATCCGACGCGTCGATCATCCACTACAAACGCGAATACCAGAAAAGAAGCAAACAGCTCAGAGACTCCGGGAAGTACTCCCGTCTGCCCATCAACCTGAACGGCAAGGTGAAAATGTTTACGAGAATCGACTACCAGCGGTTTTTTCTAGCGCTCTCGCTGGATGAGCCCACAGTCAAGCTGATCGAGCCGATTTGCGACACGTTCTGCGCCATTAGATTCTCCCAGGACGACGTCGGCTACGTGAACGGCGAGGTGCCCGAGTCGCCGATGCGGAAACTTGACAGCTTGCACGTGTCACTTGGGATGAACGCGCTCCAGCAGCCGCAGACCAACAACTTTCCCTTTGGCATGTACGAGCTGAGCTATCTGAACAACGTGCTACTCAAGCCTAAAGACGAGCTGCTCAAAAAGTTTCCCGATCGACTGGGGCTGGACCTGATTAGCGACGTCAAGCTGGAGCTGACGCCCGAGGAGTTGCAGGAACTGCAGTTTGAGAGTTCGCGACTGGTCTGCTCGCTGGACAAAGGCGAGCTATGGGAAGATCTCTGAGCGATGAGCACAGCCCTAAAAAAATTGCAACCGGGTGTTTACCTCATTCCTAAAGCGGAAACTCATTAAGATAATATTTCATGTCCCGGATAAGTTTAATCAGTTGCTTTTCACCTGTGATTCTAGAGCAATGGCCTGGCAGATGAACAACCCGTTTGTGGACTCGCAGCAGGGGTTGCCGGCCAACTTCAAGACGATTCCTCTTCCAGATGACAATTTTGGCTTCGACCCAGAGGTGTACGGAGAAAACGAAGACCTAGACTCGATACTCTACGACCTGGGCATTTCCGAGGGATACAGCCAGCAGCAGACCAAGTTTGAGAAGAAACACGCGAGACAGACCAGTGGCTCTGCCATCTTTGGCTACGTGGGCTCCGGCGACGACACGCAGCTGGCTATTCCTGGGCTCCCCGTGGTGGATATCAAGAACAAAAAACCGTTGTACCAGCCCATAGAACGATACATTGACAGCACATACATCACCAGCAACGCTTCCTCACAGACAGCGGCCAAGCCTGCGCCAGACTACTTTGTGACTAGTCAGCCCGACGGCTACAAGTTTCCCCCTCCAAAGCCGGAAAGCAGGCAGAACACCCCTATTGAACCACAGGCCACGCCGCTGCGTGCCACTAGCAGCTATTCTGCTCAGGAACTGATAACTTTACGACAGCTACAAGACTCGAAAGAAAGCAAGCCTGCAAACACTCCGTTCACACCGATCAAGGTGAAACACACGTTTGTGGACATGAAGACGCCGACGCCGCAGAAGCTGCCCGCGCACTTCAGCTGGACGCCGACTCTGATCACGAAAAAAGACTCCGTCTCCGAGCAGATCATCCAGGAGCAGCGCAGGTCTCCAACGAAAAAGAAAAAACCAACCATCACCTCGACGCTCGAGCGTGGTGCGCTCGACGTGCACTTTGTCGGTCCCGACGAAAACGACATGTTCAAATGCATATACAACGACTGCGGCAAGCTGTTCACGAGAGTGTCCAACATCAGAGCACACATCCAGACGCATCTCTCTGACCGGCCGTTCATGTGCGACAAGTGCGGCAAGGCGTTCGTGCGAAACCACGATCTCAGGCGACACTACAAGGGCCACGAGGAGTTCAAGCACGTTTGTCCGTGCGGCAAGAAGTTCCCGCGGCAGGACGCGCTGAAGCGACACCGGATCAGAAATATATGCATCGGCGCGCTGCCGGACGAGAAGGGCGTGTTCAAGAAGAAACAGCGGCCCGCAGCAGGCGTCGCAGGCGCCGCGCCAGACGCCAAGCGAGGCCGTCCGCGCAAAGTCGACGAGAAGACCGAGCAGAGGCTGCTGCAGGACCTCGACACGCCGCAGTTCCAGCCGTACATGGACACGAGTCCGTCGATCTCGCCAGACATGGGCGTCGGGCAGCCGCTGGACGTGAGCTTCAAGGAGCCGTTCAAGGACTCGTTCTACTACGAGGCAGGCGAGTTCGCAAGCAGTCTGGAGCCCGAGTTCTCCTTCAACGTTGACGACTACGAGTTTGGCCGGGGTGTATAGTATGTATTAATAATGAGACGCGACGTCGACTTAGTACGGGATGCCGTTCGTGAGTCTCTGGAACTCGTCGTAGCCCTTGGTGGCCAGCGACTCGAACGACTTTCTGATCAGCCCGCGGATGTACCTTGCGGCCTCCTTGTCGCTTTTCTTCGGCACAAACCGCGCCGTTAAGTGTTTGATGGTAGCAGGCTTGAAGCACGGCAGCCCCGAGCTCAGCATCGGCACCACCATGTTGACGATCGCGTCCATGTACGGACGACACACCAGAAACGACTTGACACACAGCTCCTCGAACCACTTGTACGCCTGTGTGTCTGTGGAGCCGCCCATGACTCGCACCATCTCGCGCGTGAGCTTGAACGGCGACTGCTCGAACTTGACGCCGCCGGGCACGATGTCGAAACAGAAGCCAAAGTCGACGTGCAAGACGTGGCCCTGGTCGTCGTACATGATGTTTCCGTTGTGTCTGTCCTTGATTTCGAGCAGATACGTGATGATGGAGTACGCGGCTAGCGACTTCACAAAGTTGTTGCGAGCTTTCTGGAACTCGATCGAGGTTTCCGGCCCGTGCTGGCTGATGAAGTACTCGTACAGCCCGTTGACGGCCTCTCTGCCGAGCATGTCGCGCGAGATCGAGTTCGGCAGCACGTCGATGATACCGCAGCCGGGCGCCGTCGCGGTCACGCGGTACGGGAACACAAACACGTCCAGCCCGGCGTCCATCCAGATCGTGCGGAACAGTGACATCAGCTGCAGCGCAAGCAGGTCCTGTCTGCAGTCGTCGCCGACTTTGAAGATGGCGCTGAGGTCCTCGATGCGCTGCTGCTTCTCGCCGTCGACGGTGCTGACCTCCTTGCGGATCTTGAACGTGGCCATGAACGGGGCCTTGGCGTGCGACTGCAGCGGCTTTCCAGACTGCCGGTTGATGTCCACCACCACGCCCTGCGGGTTGCTGGGCAGGTACACGCCTTCCTCGACCTTGATGGCCGCCATGTGCTTGTCGATCTGCGCTTTTTTCTCCGGCTTGCTGCTTTTGATGAACGGCTTCAGCTTGCCGGAAATGCCCGTCACCTCCTCGAAAAATCTGAACTCCTTCTCGTAGTAGGCCCGGTCTTGCGGCGTGAACTCGGCCACCATCGTGGACCGCACCTCGTCCAGCACAGGCTTGATGTCGTCCGGCACCGTCGAGTCCTCGTCCTTGTACGAGTTTGCGGCCATGTTCCAGATGATCTGGTGCGCAAACAGCTGCGACACCTTGGCCGTCTCCAGGATGAACCGGCGCACGTAGCCCAGACGCATGTCGAACCGCAGCGCCTGCACGATCTGCGGCACGTAGAAAAACGTCAGGTGCGCATCGAAACTCTCTAGAGAACGCATCGTGTACTGTAAGATGATCGGGTCGCTGTTGAACGGCGGCAGGAACAGGTTGATCGAGTCCGACGGCGACGCAGCCGTCGACAGCACCATCAGCGACGGCACCTTGACGTTCTCGCTGCCCAGCAATAGCCGCAACGCGGTCGGGTCGTCGATCGCCTTGAGCGGGTCGTTCTGGATCAGGTGTCTGATTGGTCTCTCCAGCGAGAGCGTCCTGTACCGCTCTACCAGATTGAGGGCCAAACGGCCGTCCAGCGCGTACGCGTCCGCCAGAACGCGGTCCGTGATCTTCACACTGCTGTAAGAGCCGGTGGTGTCCACTGGGTGCAGCGGGTGCAGCCATGTGGCCAGGAAACTGATCTCGTGGTCGAGGAAAAGCAGCAAAAGCACGCGTTTGCGCTCAAACACCGGGTTCTCCAGGTACCGCGAGTCCATGAACAGCTTGGCAGCCATGTTGAGGATGCCAAAGTCGGCGCGGAACTTCATCTTGTTGTTCCCGTATGGAGCGCGGTGTTTGGTAGCAAACCACGAGAGCGCGCCGTCGAGGATCGCCGAGGTGAGGCAGGCCACGTCCTTGGTTCCGAGGCCGCGGTGCACCTTGAGCACACTAAGGGCAAAATTGACGAGCTCGAACCGTGCCGTGCGAGCGAACGGGTGCGTGCTGGCAAAAGACAGCCCCAGTAGCGCAATCAGCACCGTCCTGGTGAACATCTTGAAAATATGACTGCTCTGGTACCGTGTAGCCTCGAAGTGCGACGCCAGCAGTCTGAAGAGCAGCAGATGCGGTTTCATGTTCTTGGACGCGTTGCGGCCGTTGTAGTCCATCTGCTCCTTGCTTGTTGGCAGATACTCCATCTTGTTGTACTTGGAGTTCTGAATGTCATACTGTTTGCTGTAAAGACCCTTCTGCAGCCTGATGGACTCCTCCAAACGCTGGCATATCTCCGAGAGCACGAGCGGCGCGAGGTCTGCCCGCACCTTCATGATGTTGAGCCACAGGCCGACGCCGAGCTCGATCGAGTCGGTGTCGAAAATAGCAAACGGAATAGCCACCACCTCGCGCAGCAAGTCGCCCAGGCCGTCCGAGGAGCGGATGATCAGCGACGCGGCCGCCTGGAGCGCGAGTCTGAGCGAGTTGGGAGCCACAGGCAGGTGCGCAGACACGGCTGCTCGCAAGGCGGCCATTTTTCTGCGCGTGTGCACCTGCAGAGCACGCAGACCGGTGGCCTCGTGGTCGGTGAGCCGCAGCAGCGAGTCGTAGCTGCCGGCCTTCCAGGGGAACTGCGACAGGAACGCCGAGGTGGTGTTGACGTGGCGGCCAGACAGCCCGTCGACCGTCGACAGCTCGCTGTCCGCAGGCATCACCTTGCCGGCCATCTCGAGGGCGAGCGTGACGCCATAGTTGACCACTTTTCTGGACGAGCCGTCAACTTTTGAGACGTACGACTGCAGGAGCGACTTGGTGTCCTGCGGACATCTGAGCAGACACAGCGTGATCCATTTGCGGGCCGAGCTGGTCAGCAGGTCGAGCGTCTTGTGTCTCCATTTGTACGAGTCGGAGAGCAGCAGTTTCACGCCGGACACCGGCGCGGTGAACTCGATCCGCGGCTCGTACTCGTTGGTGTCGGCGTCGATGACGCTCTCGTAGAGCAGGCTCAGCACGTCGAGCAGCGAAAAGAGCGATTTTTCGTAGCAGAGAAGCACGGGAGCACGCACAATGAGGAGCTCGGTGCACTGCAACGCGGCGTTCTGGAGAGCAAAGTCTCTGTGGCAGCAGAATATAAACAGCTGCTGGAGCTGGCGCGTGATCTTCGCCGTGGTGAACGAGGACAGGCCGCCTCTCTGGACGCGGCGGAAGTACTGCGACGTGACGTAGAACGCGATCGAGCCAGAAAAGTCCTGCAGATTCGAGATCGAGATGGTCGGGTCCGACAGGTACTCCAGCGACGTGGAGCAGTCGCCGCACTCGGCACGCAGACTCTCGAGCAGCAGGTTTGAGGCCAGGAACATGAGCTTGGGCCGCGAGATCTGCGTCTCGAAAACTTTTGCGTCGATCGACTTCGACGTGATGATCGAGCTCAGCACGTCCTTGTGCAGCTTCTCGGTGTGTTTCGAGGTGCCTCTGCGGAGCACCGTGTTCATGTCGATCGTCGTCTCTGTGCGGTTCCACGACGACTCGGACGCCAGGGCCGGCGAGTTGTGTGCAACGCGCACAAGACTGTCGTAGTTGGCGGCCAGAAGCTCGGAGCCGTGCGCGTAGCCGTGGATGCACAGGTTGAACCACATGTCCTTGAACAGCGCGACGGTCTCCTTTTCGGTCGGAATGAGAGGCTCCTCGTCGACCGGGGGGAGAAGATACGCCAATGGCTTCAAATACAGAGAAATCTCAGACGCAGAGATCGACACCTCGTTGTTCGACCGGTGGTGCTCCAGGTCGTCGATGTCGCCCTTGGAAATGATCGCAGACAGCATCTCGTGCAAGTACACAGTGTACAGGCTGGAGTTTGCTCTTTTGGCCATAATCTCGGAGAACTCGATCCACACAGAGCTGATGCGGGAGAACGAGGCTTTGTCCTTGGTGGATATTGTCGAGATGTCGAAAAAGTGTCTCACCAGAATCAGAAACTCGCGCTCCTCCATCACGTCCACGAACCCGGTCAGCCCGCGCAGCAGCAGACAGTTCAGCTCTGTGGGCGTTCTGCGCACTTTTTGGAACAGGATCGTCACGGCCAGGATGTTGATCGACTCGTCTCTGAACACCTTGGCGATCTCCAAAACCGCCGCAATCACGTTTCTGTACACGAGCGGCAGCACCTCGAGCGAGTACGAGCCGTCCTCGGTCAGCGTCGACGGAGGCTGGCCGGTCGTCGTCGACGAGAGCGAAAACGAGGGCCTGAGCTCCATTGTGCCGCTCACAGTGCCGCTGTTGGGCTTTGCTGCGTCGGTCAGGATGTTCGTCAGACTGTACACGCACGATACAACGTCGTCCTCGGTCAGGTGTTTCAGGCAGAACGACAGCGACTGCGCGAGCTCGGTGACGGCCTCGCTGTTCAGAACCGGCAGCGACAAAATCGTCGGAAGACACTTGCTGAGACGGAGACCAATAAAGCTTTTTCTCGCCGAAAGCAGAGCTGCGCTCGCGAAAATGCTCGTGAGCAGCTCAGAGTTGATCATCTCGACCACCTCGCTCGTGCAGTTGCCGTCTATCTTGTACAGCTGCTCCAGATAGTCGTCCATGAGTGCCGTGGCAAAGTTCAGGTCCACGACGGAAAGCGTCGAGCCCAGCGCGAGGATCTCGATCGTGGACGCCTTGATAGAATAGCCGGCGTTTCTGCGGCCAAACGTCGACGTCACCAGTCTGTCGGAGCCGTTGTTGACGTACTTGTTGTTGGCAATGGCCATCAGCGCCAGCTCCTTGAGCAGCGGCGTGTCCAGTTTCTTCCCGAGCTCCTTGGTGTTGCTGGTCAAGACGTGGAAAACCAGCGACTTGTCAGACTTGCACTCCAGCTGGCACTTGAGAAACTCTACCGCCAGCTTCTGCACCAAAAACATGAAAAACAGCGACGAAAACTCAAACCCGTAGTCCTCGAAGTTGTTCACCATTTCCACATAAACGTGCTCGTCGATCGAGCCAATGCAGGACTCGACTTGGGGAAAAAAAGTTTCGTTAAATACACTCATCACGCGCCGCAGAAGATCGGAGCCAACAAACGCAATGTTCTTTGTCAGCCCTTGCAGAAGCCCCACGTAGCAGAATAGAGTTCTTAGGTCAGCCGGATCCGACTGCAAGGCGTCAATAAACTGGAAAAGCACATCCTGGCACTTTGGCCTCAGTGTCGCCAAATTCAGCCCTAATGTCGAAACGGCAACCACCAGCTCGTACGAAAGCTTTGTCCACGGCGTGGGAAAGTACGTCTTGAGCGTTTTTTTCGAGGAAAACCTGTCGGAGGCCAACTCTGCTAAATAGAGCTCAAATCTGGAGAGCAGAATCTCTGCCTGGATCTTGCTCTTGATATGCTCGCAACTTCTGCAGAGTGCCAGCAGAACCTCAAACTCCGAGTGGCGGATATTCTTGCTGCTCAATTGGGTGCCAGACGGGCTCCTGGTGGCCCCCAGCAGCCGCTTCAACGTGTCAGGGACACTCTGTTCGAGCGTGCTGGAGTCGTCGACTTCTCGTACAGAGAGCGAGGCCAGCTTCTCCAGCGCCCTTGCTCTAATTGAGCCTTTGGAAACACTGTTGTTAGTGGCCAAACGGGAAAAAATACATACCCATAGAAAGACATAAACGTTGATTTGAGCTTACTGCGTCCTGGAAAAAAAAACACAAAAATGCTGCCGGTGTAGCTCTTTGGTGGATTATTACATAAGCATTTATTTCGAAGCAGCTAGCGTCTGTCTATGTGTAGGTCTCAATCAAGGTGTCTCTGAGGTTGCCAGAGATGGCGTCTGGCTGTGCATCTTGCAGTCTGAATATACTCTCAACAACGCTGAGCTCTGGGGCCGTGGTGTCGAGTCCAGAAACGGCCAGCCAGTCGTTGACCACCATGCCTGCTCCCACAACAGCGGAACCGCGGTTCACCGTACCTGCGACCAAGGGCACCTGGAGCAGCGAAGAGAGCTCCTCTTGGTCCTGGATCGGAGTTTGAGGGTGAACCAGACCGCCCTGGTTCGAAAGAGCGCAATAAGAGCCAACAAGCACATTTCCCGCGATGGTCTGTCTGAACACCTCCACCCCCAAAACGTCGGCTATGAGTTCCTCGGTTTCTCTCTCGATATCTGGATGCACAAGAGCGACGTAGTCGTTGCAGCAGATCACGTTTCCCAGGGCTGAAAGACGCTCTTCAACACGCTGGATCTTCACGGAGTCCGGAAGACTGTTTCTCAGATGCATGAGTTCTTGGTCGGTTGTCTGTGTAGGGACAAGGAGGCCTCTTCTGTTGCCTGCGGTCATGCGGCCCACGATTCTGGTGCCTGCAATGGTTGTGTGCACGATAGGGATCACGTCGCCTAGCTCGGCCTCGAAGGCAGAATAAAAGTTCTCGGAGCCTCCGACAGCCACCAGACAGTACGAGTTGGTGAGCTTGGCAAACACGCCGACCTCGTTGGAATTCTCAAATTGTGTTCTAGTTGCCATTACTAAAAAATTTTAAGATAATTTGAAAAAATAATGAAAAATTAAATGCCATGCACATCTCTGCATCGGAAGCTACAATTGAATTCTAATCGTTCAATCCATATCTAATTAGTGTCTACAAATCGGTCGCGTCGTTCATCGTTCAGTCCAAATCTGGAGTGCTGTATCCAGAGTCGTCGTCAGCGTCGTCCGTCCAGTCGTCGATGTCCATTGCGTCCTGGACCTCGTGGTTAGGCACCACGACAATGCCCTTCTCGTTCGTGGTGATCTTCACCACCTCCTTATCCTGAACCTGTCCGTTAAGCACCATGATGGCCAGGTGGTTCAGAATCTCGTTCTGGATGAGTCTGTTCAAAGGTCTAGCACCCAGATCTGGCGAGTAGCCCTTCTTGCACAGGTACTCCAGTGCGCCGTCGTCCACATCCAGTCTCAGCGACTTGCCGTTGAGCTCGAACCTGTTCTCGATCTCCTTCAGTCTCAGCTTGACGATCTTGGCAATGGCGTGTCTCGAGAGTCTGTTGAACACCACTGTGGCAGAGATTCTGTTCAAGAACTCCGGTCTGAAGTGAGCGCGCACAGCAGTCATCACCAGGCTCTTGGTCTCCTCGTCGATCTTGCTGCCCTTCGAGGCGTTGATGTACTCGGCGCCGAGGTTCGACGTCATGATCACGATACAGTTCGAGCAGTTGACGAGCGTGCCGTTGGCAGCCGTGATTCTGCCGTCGTCGAGCATCTGCAGCAGCACGTTCAGCACCTCCGGAGCAGCTTTTTCGACCTCATCGAACAGCACCACCGAGTATGGCTTTCTGAGAAGCTGGTTGGTCAGCATGCCACCCTCCTCGTAGCCAATGTAGCCGGCAGTGGTACCAATGAGCTTGGAGACGGAGTATTTCTCCATCAGCTCGGAGCAGTCGATCCGGATCATGGCTCTCTCGTCAGAAAACAGGAAGCCTGCTAGTTTCTTGGCCAGCTCGGTCTTACCAGATCCAGAAAGACCAAGGAACAGGAACGAAGCCGGCTGGTGAGGATTGGCCAGACCAGACCGCGACAGTCTGATGGCGTTCGACACAGCCTTGACGGCCTCGCCCTGTCCGACGACGGCAGAGGACAGCTCCTTCTCCATCGTGATGAGCTTGGCGTTTTCGGCCTGCGTGAGCTTGCTGACCGGAATGCCCGTCAGCCGAGCAGCGGTCTCGGCAACCTGCTCGGAACCAACAACGTTCTTCACCAGGAACTCCTCGCTCTTGGCCTCTTCCTCCATCACCTTGGCCTCGAGCTCCTCGATCCGTCTCTTCACGTCCGGAATGGCGAACATCCTCAGGTCGGCAATGGTCTGTGAGTCGTGCCGTCTCTCGGCGTCCTGGGCCTTGACCTCCAGCTCGTCCAGCTTCCGCTTGGCAGCAGTCAATTCCTCGTGGCCCGCGCGCTCCTGGTCATACTTCTCTCTAAGCGGTGCAAGCTCCTCCTCGAGGTTTTGCTTGCGCTGTCTGGCGGCCTCCAGTCTCTCCTTGGTAGAGCTGTCGGCGTCCTGGTCTCTCTCCAGAGCGCTGATCTCAACATCGATCAGCTCGAGCTGTCTCTCTTTCGAATCCAGCTCCTCAGGCTTCGAGTCTCTGGCAACTGCGACGCCGGCTGCCGTTTCATCAATCAAGTCGACGGCAGAGTCTGGCAGTTTTCTGTAGGTGAGATATCTCGAAGCGAGCTGAGCAGCAGTCACCAAAGCACTGTCCAAAATACGCACACCGTGGTGGATCTCGTATCTTGGCTGCAAACCTCTCAAGATGGCGACTGTCTCCTGGATTGTAGGCTCTCTAACGTCGATTCTCTGGAACCGTCTCTCGAAAGCACCATCCTTCTCAATGTACTTGCGGTACTCAGTGACGGTCGTGGCACCAATACAGTGGAAATCGCCTCTGGCCAGAGCTGGCTTCAGCAGGTTGGCAGCATCGGACTTTCCGTCGCCCATCAACATGTGGATTTCGTCGATGAACAGGATGACCATGGCCTGGGACTTTTCAATGTCGCTCAAAACTCCCTTAAGTCTTTCTTCGAACTCACCCTGGTATTTTGCTCCGGCTTTTAAGGCACCCAAGTCAAGCGAGTACAGCTTGCAACCCTGCAAAACAGAAGGCACGTCGTTGTCCACAATTCTCTGCGCGACTCCCTCGACAATACTCGTCTTACCAACACCAGGGTCACCAATCAAACATGGATTCGACTTGGCTCTTCTGGCCAGCACCCGGATCGTCCGTCTGATCTCCTCTTCTCTGCCAATGACCGGGTCGATCTTACCCTGTAGCGCTCTTTCGGTCAAGTCAATGGCATACTTGGACAAAAATTCAAACTGCTGCGACGAATCGGCCTGTCTGGAATCAATTCTCTGGTTTCCTCTTAATTCCTGAATCTGTGCTTTAAGGGCATCAACCTTGATGTTGACCTCTTTCAAAATGCTCTTGATCGTGGAATCTTCGAGCAACGCCAGCAAAATGTGGTCCTGGCCAATATAGGAATCCTTTTGCTGGCCCTTGATTTTATTAGCGTTCGTAATAATGTTGGCAGCAGATGCCGAGAACGATGGCTCGGTGTTACTGCCTTCAACACTTGGCAGCCTCACCAAGTGCTTGTTGACTGTGCGCTCAAAGGCCTGCCAGTCAAAACGGCCTCGCTCTATCAGCGTCTTGAGATATATGGCCTCCCCATCGGTAGACATCGGAGTCATAGCAGCAAGGAAATGGAGAGGAACTATCTGAGCATGGTTGTTTTGCTGACACAGCTTCTGAGCTGTGGTCACAATGTTTAAAGCTCTGTCGGTAAATTGCGATTGATCCATGATTGGCAAAATAGATGATGCAAGGATAGCAATTTATACAGCATCGACCCGAGAGACTCCTATAATGATCTGGTGATCTAGAGCCGCACAGAAGGTTCTAGTAATATCTGGTGTGAGATGGCGGTGTCTAGTGTCCGGTCGCAGACCCTGGCCTAAGGATGCTTATGTAATCCTTTTTTTATTTTTCTGAGTCTGTTCGTTTTTCGGACTTTCAAAAATGGCCGTCCGTGATCATGACAAAACAGGGCGGTGCAAAAGCCGATCTCGGCTTTGCCCTTTCGCAGATCAGGTTTGACGCCCTTGCCGGCGCCAAAAGCTCGTCCCGTCTTGTAGATGTTCGTGGCACCTCTTACAGCCACGTCCAGCAGCTTGAGCGGTCCTTTTCCGAGCATTCCTTGACGACCCTTTCACCCTGTGTTTTACAAATCCTCGGGCTCTCATTGGCTCAGCGTACCTGGACTAACGGAGCCCTGCACGCAGCAATGCGGCTTTTGTCGTGCCGGGGCCGACTTTTCTAATAACTACCATGCAGAACAACTGGCTGCGTGACGTACTTTCCACCGGGCCCGCCTGGTGGGCCACCGGGCGTCCCCCAGATTTTCCCTGGTGGACATCCGGCTGGCAAGTTTTATTTTCCTCCTGCACGCATAATTTATAAATACATCATCAGGACCACTTTTGTTTTTCAACCAAACATGTTGTCGGTTTCATCGAGAACAGCCAGATCGGCTACAAAACGCATTTCGCGTTCCATGGCTACTGTCTCTGACATCACCAAGGACTCCAAGGTGCCTCAGAACTTGTTGGAGAAGGGAAACTACATCAACTACAAGAAGCAATTGGAGGTCTTGGAGATTGTCAAGAGCAGACTCAACAGACCTTTGACGTACGCTGAGAAACTGTTGTACGCTCACTTGGACGACCCGCACGGACAGGACATCCAGAGAGGTGTGTCCTACCTCAAACTCAGACCAGACAGAGTTGCTTGTCAGGATGCCACCGCCCAAATGGCCATCCTGCAATTCATGTCTGCTGGTATGCCATCGGTCGCCACCCCAACCACTGTGCACTGTGACCACTTGATTCAGGCCCAGAAGGAGGGTCCTGCTGATTTGGCCAGAGCCATCAGCCTGAACAAGGAGGTGTACGATTTCCTTGCATCTGCATGTGCCAAGTACAACATTGGTTTCTGGAAACCAGGTTCTGGTATCATCCACCAGATCGTCCTTGAGAACTACGCCTTCCCAGGTGAGTTGCTGATTGGTACCGACTCCCACACCCCTAACGCTGGTGGTCTGGGTCAGTTGGCCATTGGTGTTGGTGGTGCCGACGCTGTCGACGTTATGGCCGGCCTGCCATGGGAGCTGAAGGCGCCAAAGATCATCGGTGTCAAGCTTACCGGTAAGATGTCCGGATGGACTTCTCCTAAGGATATCATTCTGAAATTGGCCGGTATCACTACCGTCAAGGGTGGAACCGGTTCGATTGTCGAATACTACGGTGACGGTGTCGACACCTTCTCGTGTACCGGTATGGCAACCATCTGTAATATGGGTGCCGAGATCGGTGCCACCACCTCCGTTTTCCCATTCAACAAGTCTATGGTTGACTACCTGAATGCCACCGGAAGATCCCAAATTGCCGAGTTCGCCAAGATCTACCAAAAGGACTACCTGTCTGCTGACAAGGGCTGTGAGTACGACCAGGTGATCGAGATCGACCTCAACAAGCTTGAGCCACACGTCAACGGTCCATTCACCCCAGATCTTGCCACTCCAGTGTCGAAGATGAAGGAGGTTGCCGTTGCCAACGACTGGCCACTGGAGGTCAAGGTTGGTCTGATTGGTTCTTGTACCAACTCCTCCTACGAAGACATGTCCAGAGCCGCCTCCATCATCCAGGATGCCGAGTCTCACGGACTGAAGGCCAAGTCCATCTTCACTGTCACTCCAGGTTCCGAGCAAGTCAGAGCCACCATTGCCAGAGACGGCCAACTGAAGGTCTTCCACGACTTCGGTGGTAAGGTTTTGGCTAACGCCTGTGGTCCATGTATTGGTCAATGGGACAGACAAGACATCAAGAAGGGTGACAAGAACACCATTGTGTCTTCGTTCAACAGAAACTTCACCTCCAGAAACGACGGTAACCCAGCTACCCACGCTTTCGTTGCTTCTCCAGAGATGGTTGTTGCCTACGCCATTGCTGGTGACCTGAGATTCAACCCACTGACTGATAAGTTGAAGGACGCTGACGGAAACGAGTTTATGCTTAAGCCACCTGTCGGCGTTGGTTTGCCACCAAAGGGATACGACCCTGGTGAAAACACCTACCAGGCTCCACCAGAAGAGAGATCTTCTGTTGAAGTCAACATCTCCCCAACTTCCGACAGATTGCAAAAGCTGCAGCCATTCAAGCCATGGGATGGAAAGGATGCTTTGAGAATGCCAATTCTGATCAAGTCTCTTGGTAAGACCACTACTGACCACATCTCTATGGCCGGTCCTTGGTTGAAGTACCGTGGACACTTGGAGAACATCTCCCAGAACTACATGATTGGTGCTATCAACGCTGAGAACGGTAAGGCCAACTCTGTCAAGAACCACTACACTGGTGAGTACCACGGTGTTCCAGAGACCGCTGCCTACTACAGAGACCACGGTATCAAGTGGGTTGTTATTGGTGGCGAGAACTTTGGTGAGGGTTCTTCCAGAGAGCACGCTGCATTGGAGCCAAGATTCCTTGGTGGCTTTGCCATCATTACCAAGTCCTTTGCTAGAATTCACGAGACCAACCTGAAGAAGCAAGGTCTTTTGCCATTGAACTTTGTGGAGCCAGAGGCTTACGACAGAATCAACCCAGATGACGAGATCGACCTTATTGGACTGACCGAGTTGGCCCCAGGTAAGAACTTGACCATGGTTGTTCACCCTAAGGAAGGTGAGGCTTGGTCTACTCCATTGTCCCACACTTATAATGCTGAGCAAATCGAGTGGTTCAAGTACGGTTCTGCTCTGAACAAGATGGGTGCTACCAGAAAATAAGGACTGAAATCGGATGCTGCCGAGGCTGGTGACGTTTACTTAATAGAAGGGTGGTAAGTTTCGGTAGAGTTTAGCTGTTTGGTTTCACAAGTTTATTTATTAACTATCCATTATACTTGAGTGTGTGAAAATACTTATTCCCGTATTAACTATCGTAGAGACATGATCCCGCGCGAAGGAAGTAGTTGAGATGCTCTCCGTTCTCTGGTTTGTCTGGTGGGGTAGTTTTGCCCTGTGCTGCGAATCCCAACGGTCCTTTATCGCACTCGGCGCACGTTAGAAATCTTGCTATTTGCAGCACCATTTTGTCCTTATTCTCCAGATTTTCCATCTCCACAGCTATGTCCGACGACGGTCTACTCACTCCGATGTTGTCAAAGTCCCACATTGAGCCGACATGGAAGAAAACGTCGTTGCAGTCAGGTTTACGAGAGCTGATCTCCAGTGAAGGAGAAAGGTCGACAAATGCGAACTCTGCGGATATCGGCGATATCGAAGCGTACCGCGGCTTTTCAGGTGTTGAAGAGATGATTTTACAGCGACAAAACGGGCATCGAAGAGAATACTGTGCCGATGGGTCGATGTGATTGAAAGAAGACATAGATGAAATATTAAAAATAAAATAAATTTAAATTAGAGTAGCTCGATCTGCAACAAATATTCAGTCGCACTTCAACAAAGTCCTAATTAATTAATGTAGTCTACATCACTCGTACTTCCTGTCTTTCAGACCCTCTTCCACATCCTTGATCATGTAGGAGTACCAATACAGGGCTGGCCAAATAGTGGCGAAATGCCACAGGGCATGTGCATCGAGGAGATCGAAAAGAGGCGGAAAGTCAAAGAGCTCAAACGACATGCCCGCACTCACGCTCACGACCAGAACCAGCGGCGTGAGCGTCCAATTGATTTCTTTATTTAGAAGGTCACGTTTTAGCGACACAGAGCGCCTGGATCTGTTGAAACAGTCGATGGAATGGTAGATCCACAAAACATTCTGAAGTAGTCCGCAGGCCACGTTGGCTTGCATGTTGTAGGTGTACGACCAGTCGCTCAGAAGCCTGCCAACGTGGAGAAAGTATGCAAGCAGCGTACCAGCCGCGAGAACCTGACGTTTGAGATCGTTTTCAGGAAGATAGAGCCTGAACACACGGACGACGATCGCGTAGAAGCCGGACAGCACGGTGGCTCCGGCGAAAAAATAGTCCAGTCTCTCCCGGTTCCATGTGTCTCGCAGATGGAACAGTGTAGAGAAAAACCAAGCGCACATCGCCACGACAGCTACGACCATGTATGCTGTGTAGAGCCTGACAAAATGCGTGTTTCCTGCTCTAATCTCCTTTCTGCATTGGTTCCATATCATCTTGGCTCCCCAATAGTGAGGAAACCAATTTCCAATGCTAAATATGGTGCTGAAAAACTCCTGGATACCAAGGACACGAACAAACGGCCACTTTCCGTGGAACTGGTAGACCTCGAGATTCTTGCTCTGGCGGTCCTTGGTGACGATCCTCTGGCATTGGTAGTCGCAATTGGGGAAACAGTCCCAGCCGATGAGCCGCAAATCCCACGAGAGCGGCAGTTCCTGGAACATGTGGTATTTCTGCTGTTGAGACTTCCAACGCAGGAGCTGTTTCTCTGAGACGTCTGAATATCTTGAGATGCCATTGCAGGTCAGAATATCGCATTTCTTCACACACGTCTGAAATTCGGGCAAGTCATCGCCCAACGAAGCCCTCACCGGCCACAAAAATAGTAGATATATGAGAAATATCATTAAATAAATTATTAAATGAATTAAATAAGTCAAATCTATTCATTTTTCTCGAATTTAAGGCTTTTCAGAATTAGGTCGTCCGCAGCCTGGGAATCAAGCATTCTCAGCTGGTCCGGCGGAATGAATGTCGGAAAGTAGATTGCAAGAATCATAAAGAGCATCAGGACGCCAGGAAACCCTATGGCGCCCTTTGTGCACGTGATTCCAAACTCAAAGCCAAAGGCTGCCAGTTGCAAAGCCAGAAATATGAGAAACCATTTGCGCTCGAGCAGAAAGTAATGGCGGGGGAAACCCATGTTTTCCCTTGAGGCAGGGTCTGTGAAAAGAAATCGGAGTTTCTGCACAACCTCGTTCTCATTCAAAGCTCCAATTGCCATGATGAAGAACAGCCCGGCAAGAACAGCTTGAGGAATCTGGCCCAAAACCACCAGAAAGGGCCTGGTCATCATTACCAGTGTCAGAAGGCCCTGTATCATATTGCTGAGTCGTTGTTCGACCACTCGAACCACTCTATCTTTGCCGGTAGCATAATCGTGCTCGTGGACGCAAAGCGCCTCTGTGTGCATGGGAGCCTGAGGAATAAGGCCGTTCGGGGCCGGGATTCCCAGAATTCCAGCGATTCCTGTGGTAAACCCAAGCAACATGAAGTCGTAGTGGAACGAGCTCGGTTTTCTTAACGGAAACTCGTCTGACTGACACATCAGGGAGGAGACATTGTGATCAAAGTAGAACAAAATGGTGAGCAGGATGCCGAACGGCAGGGCCAAAAACACATCGCCCACGGATATATCTTGCCAGAAGGGAATGTACCAGCTTTCAGGACGGTCTGGCGACGTAGGACGAAACGAGCGAGTGATCGGCAGCCTGGCGAAATCAACGTATTTTAGACGGCCTCCAAAATGGATAAAGCCTGTGAAAAACACCACGCTTAGTGGAGTGCCGTAATCTTTCACGAATTTGCGGAAGAGCGGATGAACGTAGTGCGACTTAGTGCCAAAGAAATGTGCGGCCAGTCCAAAGAGAGCCATCACCAGGGCCACGACTATCGACGCAAAACCGCTGAGATCGTCCCTGATTGTGAACTGGTGTGTCAGGATCTGAATTCCTTTCTGGATGTAGACGATGTTGATAAACAGACCGAAAGAGATACAGCTGTATTTGGTGACATAGCGCATGAAATTCACGCTGTTGGTGATGGCCACCAAAAAATGCAAAACCATGCTCCACAGACAGATCCAGCACATGAACTGGAAATACGGCGTTCCTCGAGGCACCATCAGGTTGTAGACTGTATAGTTGAAGATGGATATTGGGCCAGTCACTCCAACAATGCACAGAGGAGTGCCTGAAAAAAGACCGAAAATTATGCCAGCCATTGCTGACGACAGCAGCACCTCGTTGGTGCCGTACGATCTGTTAGCGTGGTCGTACATGTCCTGCGCAAAAGCCATGGCCGGCAGAAGATTTGTGAAAAAGATGTACACGGCGGCCGGTATGACGCGATACGTGAAACCGTCTGTGATATCTGAGACGTAGTATGGAATCAGACGTGTCTTAATATCCGTGTATATGCCACGACCGGGCACAAACTGGCTCATGGCATGAATATGGAGAAAATATGATAAGCCTAAAAAATAATCAAATAAAAAAAAAAAAATACTCGAAAATTATTTTTTTAGATGAGAGTGTCGAATGTCCGATTGTTCGGCGCGAGTTTGAGGCCGCTGAACGGCCCTGTTGCTCCGTTCAAGTCTGATAAGGCCCACAACAAGGGAGCCGTCACGTTTGATAGAAACTTTCCTGTGCACAGAAGAGTGAAGGCGTGGGAGAGAGACAGAGAGGATAAAGAATCTTGGTTCAAGCGCAAACACGCCCATCACCACGCGAAACAGAAGAAGCGCGAGCCTCAAAGGGACGACAAGCCGGAGTTCACGCGCTCGCAAGCGCTCAGAAAGACAATCTCGCAACTGAAACTGAACCCGCTGGTCGAGTACCTGTACGGCACAAATCCTGTTCTTGCCGCCCTCAAAGCGCAGCAGCGCGAGAGTTTTGGTACGCTATATCTCCATAACCCCAAATCGACTCCCAAGCTGGCCGAGATCTTGACGCTGGCTCGCAAACTGGAGCTCCCGGTGAAAAGCGAGTTTGGGAAGCATGATCTGAACCTCATGACAAATAACGGCGTCCACAACGGGATTGTCGTCGAAACCAAGCCGATCGAGGTGGAGCAGCTGCGATGCTTGGCGGCCAGCGAGATTGGAAAATTCACAGTCACCAAAGAACACGTTGGAGCGAACGAGACCAGCATTTCTTCGACTGCTGCCGAACGGTACCCGTTGGCACTGTACATTGACGAAATATCCGACCCGCACAACATGGGTGCGATCCTCAGATCGGCCTATTTCCTGGGAGTGGACTGTATTGTTGTGTCGGAGCGCAATTGTGCTCCGTTGTCGCCTGTGGTGTCGAAAACGTCGTCTGGAGCTCTTGAGTTCCTGCCGATCTACTCGTCCCAGAAACCGCTCCGTTTTTTCGAGGAGTCGCGCTCCAACGGGTGGACTGTCATCTCGTCTGTGGCTCCAAGCGACTCTGGCCGGATGGGCAGCAAACAGATCGATGCCGACGCTTTGAAAGGTCAGCTACAGAACGGGCCGTGCATGCTGGTTGTCGGGTCTGAAGGCCAGGGGATCAGGACGTCGCTGTTGCAACGCAGTGATTTTCTGGTTTCTGTGAATAGCGGCAGAGCAGACTTGGACGAATCGGTGGACTCGCTGAACGCCAGTGTCGCCACGGCACTGCTGCTCTCGAAATTCTAATCATGTAAATAGCTTCAGTATTGCATTATATACAGTTACTTCTTTCCGACGGTCTCGAGAAGCCCCAGCAGCGACGACAGCACCAGCTGGCTCTTGTCGGGTCCTCCAATCGGGGATCTTGGAGAGAAGCGCTTGACGGTGCTGAACCCGCCCTTTTTCGATGTGTCCTGGTCCTTGACAGGCTCGACCTCGAAATCAAACCTTTTCTTCACCAAATTGAAGTGTGCAGCCTTTGGAATCAATGGGATGGTGAACTCTCTTGCGTATCTGCCCTCTGCATCCAACGGCCGGCGCACATCGGCAAGCTTGTTGAGATATTTCACGTGGAGACCAGACGTGACGGAGTTTCCAATGAATCCTCCTAGCGCAAACCGGCTGCCGGTGGACCGCGCGCTGATGTACCTTCCGGGAAGCACTCTTGCAGACTGCACGCCATTGGGTGTCTGGAAAAGTCTGCCCCTGAGGTTGTACGAGAGTCCAGCAGTTCCAGAGAGCTGTTCGCGGTACAGGGTCGGAAATTGGTACTTTTTCTTATTGAGCTTGGCCTCGTCGACTTCCCTGGTCTCCAAAAACTCCACAATCTCGTTCGAAAGATCGGCCTGCGCAATTCTCTCTGGATACTTCAGGGCCAGCCACTCCATGAACGGTCTTCTCAAGGTTCTGAGGTATTTTTTGTTGGTTGCAAACTCTAGCGACGACGGCCGCTGGACCTTCATTCCCAGCGCCACGGCGACCGAGCTGTGGCCTTCCCGCGGATCGTGGCCGGGAAAGAGCGGGTTGGAGCTGGTTTTCGTGGTCATGGTAGGGTTTCTCACCGAAACAGGAATCCCGAACTCCTGGAACTTCTTCTTTTTGAACGCAAACCCCCCGAGCGGCTCGAAGTCCGGCAAGCCGTACTTGTTGTCGAGGTTGTTGACGACAATATACTTTGACTTGATTTTCGTTGGGATTCTCATCTTGAGACCAAAGTCTCTTCTGGCGAACGACGACGGCGGCGACTCGATCACCTGGTGCGTCGGAAACGTGGCCGATCTGTCGGCGCCCAGCTCGCCGAGCTGTCTGGGCACCTGTGCGATCCTTGTTGTGCGGAAGAGCCGTGCGAGGTCGGACATAGTAGTAAATCGATCTATTTTTTTTCGTCAAGTTTGAGTGCCTGAACCCCGTTTGAAGCCCTGCCCCGCCGCCGTCCCAGTCGACGCGTCGAAATAGGAAATCTGATTCTGTTTTGTTTGCAATGTCCGACACCACCTCGCAGTTCAAGAAGCTAGAGGTCATCGGGCGCGGCAAGTTCGGCACCGTGTACAAGGGCCTGCGGCTCGACACCAAGGAGCTCGTTGCAATCAAGATCCTCAACCTCGACACGCCCGAGGAAGAGGTGAAGGACGTGCAACAGGAGATCCAGTTTCTGTCGCAGCTCAAGTCTGTGCCCAACGTGACGCGCTACTACGGCTCGTACTTGCACGGCCACAAGCTGTGGATCATTATGGACTACTGTGCGGGCGGATCGGTGCGGACTTTGCTTCGTCCGGGGCCTCTGGAGGAGAAATACATCAGTGTCATTGTGCGAGAGGTGTTGCTCGCGCTGCAGTTCATCCATCAGCACGGCGTGATCCACAGAGACATCAAGGCGGCCAATATTCTGATCCAGAAGGACGGCAAGGTGCAGCTGTGCGACTTTGGAGTCGCTGGCCAGCTGACCACCTCGGCGATGAAAAGAACGACGATGGTCGGGACGCCGTACTGGATGGCGCCGGAGGTGATCATGGAGGGCGCCGACTACAACGAGAAGGCCGACATATGGTCGCTGGGGATCACGATCTACGAAATGGCGACGGGAAACCCGCCATATAGCGACAAGGACGCGATGCGTGCGATGCAGCTGCTGACGCAGCACGAGCCGCCAAGACTCGAGGGACGACAGTTCTCGGCGAACTTGAAGGACCAGGTGGCCATCTGTCTGGAAGAAAAGCCGGAGCTGCGGCCGTCGGCCGAGGAACTGCAGAAGTCAAAGCTGGTCAAGGCGTACAGGATGGTGCCGACCGCGTCGCTCAAGGAGGTGATCAGCAGGTACCTGCTGTGGCGCGACTCGCGGCCGTCGCGCGATTCGGTCTACTACGAGGACGCCGAGAGCATCAGCGAGGAGAGCGAGGTCAAATGGGACTTTAATTCGCTGAAAAGCGCAGAGTACATGATAGAGAACGAGATCAGCGAGGAAAACGTGCCGCCGGCCGAGGCTGTGCCGCCGTACTCGTTCGTGCCGCAGGACACAGACGACTACACGATCAACCCGACGTTCCGGCTCGGAACGATGCAGACGACGATGCGTGCTGGGACGCAGTCGACGGCGGCCACGACGCTCCGAAACACGGCCAAGTCGGGTGCTCCCGCCAGCACCACCGCCCCGAAATCGCTGCTCAAGCTGTTTGAGCAGGACGAGTCCGAGGACACGCCGTCGTCGCCGGCCGCAGAGGTGTCTGCGGTCCCCAACGTGCCGATAGAGATCCCCAGTCTGGACGTGGTCCCAGAGACGGCTACGCAGGAGCCGCGGCCACGAGCGCCGACCGCGTCGCGCCAGGAGTCGCCGTCCACGCCCGCGCAGGCTGAGGAGCCTGCGGTCCGGCGCATGGGAGCGTCCAGCACGGGGCTGTCGAGTCTGGGCAACAGAACGCCGTCGCCTCAGCGGCTGAAGGAGGCCGGCCTGGCGCCGTCGCCGCAACGGCTGCCGCACATGAAGCCGCTTCCCTCGTCGGCGTCGCAGCAGCCGCTGCTGCAGCCGATCAACAGCAAGATCCCGTCGCAGAGCGTTCCTCCTGGCCCGCAGACAGCTCCTGCGCTGACCAACAACGAGTACCAGGAGATGAAGCCCGAGCCGGGCTCGCTGTCGCGCGCGCGCTCGCAGATGCGGCTGCAGATGCCGGTGCCGATGTTGCACTCGCAGCTGATGGACGACAAGACCGCGGCAGCGTCGCCGGACACGCTGAACCAGTTCGGCGTGAACATCAACCTGGCGTCGACGGCGCCGCTGGCAATGACTCCGGTGACCGAGAAGACGAACATGGAGCTGGGAGCCACGCCTGAGAGAGACGTGGCAGAGTCGGTGCGGCCGCAGGGGTATTTCGAGGAACGGGCAAAGGAGACAGAGGAGCACGAAAAAGTGAGTCTGGCGAGCAGACTCGACGGTCTTGCGCTGGACGTGGCGCCCGGCGTGCTGGACTCGAGCGACAAGGACGTGCTGGTGGACAATTTTGTCGGGCTGGTAGGCAAGTTTGGCGGCGTGTTGGAGGCCATCATAGCGGAGCTGAGCGAGGCGAAGTGAGAGTTGGTGATTTTCCAAACGAGGTGCTGATAGAATTACTCTCTATAAATGCTGAATGCGTCTATTGCTGGAACACTTGCTCAACGAAATGCTTCACCACGACCTTGCCCTCCTCGAAGGCGGGATCGTCGTGCCGGACAATTGCGGCTGCGTGCGTGGCGTTTGTCTGGGTGATGTAGATCGGGAACTTGCGCCACGGAAGCTTGTTGAGATGCTTGACAATGTCCTTCTGGTGCTCGGAGAGGTCCAACTTGAACGGACTCAGGATTTGCCGGTACCGCAGCGCGTCTGGGGTGTCTGGCTCGGCAGACAGGTCGAACTCGCCGATCTTGTTGATGGTGGTGGTGAGCGAGAGCGGGCCGTTTTCGCGCGCCTCGAAGATGCTGCGGTTGATGTCGTTGGTGGAGGTGATGGCATCGAAGACCGAGTCGATGAACTCGTCTCCCTGGTCGTGCAGCCCGTGCTCGAGGCGGTGCAGGTCAATGCTGGCCTCGCTGAGCCGTTTGGTGAGCGGCGGCCGCGCCGGCTCCGGCTCCTCGCACAGCTCCAGAAACTCGGCGAGTTTCGACGACTCCCTGATCACTCGCAGGGTCGAGTTGAAAACCTGCACCCAGTTGTGCAGCACAAACCACGTGACCCACATAGGAAGGTACACGCCGAAGCGGAACAGCATGATGATCCACTTGAACTTTCTCTGGAAGAAGTTGGCGGTTTTCGACTGTGCTGGCGCGTCGTTGTCGGCCGGGAGGTCCTCCTGGACCATCTGGTTGAGTTTTGCTTTGGACGAGACGTCGACGAGGCCGGTGAACGTGATCGGCTGGTCGGCGTCCAGGACGACCGGTTTGTAGTCCTCAATGAACTTCAGGCTGAACTTGGAGCCGTTCTCGAAGTGGATGAAGCCGTCCTGGTCGATCTTGACGTTGGGGTTCTTGTCCAGGATGTCAAACGGGTTGATGTAGCTGATTCCAGAACACCACCAGGATGTCCGGATGTCGGAGCGGATGTTCGAGTACAGCGAGATGTTCTTGAACCTGGCGAGGCCGCGGTAGAATACGGTGTGCGGAAGCGACATCAGCTTCAGAAGAGGCACAGTAGGCGAGTCTTTGAGAAACAGCTGGTGGCCGCTCTTGCCCAGGAGCACAGGCACCAGCCAGTTGAATATCTTGATACTGACGCTCTGGCCCGGAGTGAGGACTCCAACGTGCGGAGAACAGAAACTAGTGAAATTAACAGGCTCGATGTTGCAGAAAAATCCGCGATAGTGCAGAACACCGATGGCATACCGTGCAATTAATCCTCCTAAAGAATAGCCCACAACAGAAAATTTACTAACAGTCAATCCCTGTTCTTGCAATCTTAGGGCTTCGGCAAGAATCTCCTCTGCGACACGGGTACCGCAGAGGTCGATACCGTCGTAGGTTTTGAACCTCTCGTTGGTCTTTGTGGTATAGACTATTAGCTGGTCTTTGCTGGCGCTCAAGGAAGCATGGTTTTTCAGCTGGGCCTCGATATAGGCAAAGTGCTCAGAGACTCCCCAAAGACCGTGACAAAGAACAACAAGGTGACAGTTCTTAGATTCCATGGAGGGGCTGGGAATTCACAGGGTCTTTTATAATCACACGACGCAGAGATAAGAGATTGTCGCAAGACAATAACTGATTGTGCTATGCGGATTTCCATAGAGTTCTACGCGGTGCAGAGGTGAGGCGAGAGAGCGACCGAGACGGCCATAACCTGGTGCACGGATGCGAGTTATGGCAAGTTTACACCCCCCCAATATGTATATGCACGTCGGATTCCTACAAAACGCGCCCGCCGTTCCATGCCGGCCGGAACGCAATGGATCAGGCTGGTTGCACGGTAACTATGGATCTGTAGAAAAAAAGCAAACGTGCACCCCCTATTGGCGACAAACTCCGATCGGATATTGGTGGTTGAAAACATCTAAAATCTTTTTTTCATTGGCACTTTTCGGTCAGGACTGTTCCTTACACTTGGCATTATAAAATCCTAATAGGTCAAACACCTAGTTTGTTTTTATTCAATTGTGTTTGGCTATTGAATTTGGTTGTAATTTGGCCGCCTACACTTTTCTTAGAAGAGCACCTTTAGTATGTTCCAGTCAATAATAAAGGTTGGCCTGCCGAAAACAACTCTTAGACTAGCTTTGCAGCCGAAACCAAGTCTCTGGGCTTGTGCGAAGCCGGCGGCCAGCTCTGCTAGAAACTATCCGGGAAACCCATTGCTGGCAACTGCCTTGCTCTCCAGACAGTTACACACAAGTTTTCCTCGTTCGAACGAGCTCGAATCACTTCCACCTGTCAAGCGGCCCAAATCAAGTTTCTGGACAAAAACCGCAGTCGGGAGAGTGCTGAAGCTGTTTTTCCTCACGTCAGGTGTTGTCAGCGGAACCATTGTTCTTCTTCTGTCCGCATTTTTCGTTTATGACTACACGACTTACACTCCACCAGAGATTATAGAGAATCTCTTAGTTCCCGAAAGTGCCTTGAATCCTCCTATCGGCGGGCCAGAAAACTTGCCAATTCTCACAGATCACCTGGACTCGTTCGATAGCCCAGCAAAGGAGGAACTGAGAAGAAAACCACATTTAGTCATTCTTGGTTCCGGCTGGGGATCAGTTGGATTGCTCGGAAACCTTGACAAAAACGATTATGACGTCACCGTTATCTCTCCGATCAACTACTTTCTCTTCACCCCGATGCTTCCCTCTGCTGCCGTCGGCACTCTTGAGCTCAAGTCCTTGATGGAGAGCATCAGACACATTGTCCGCAGAGTCAACGGTCATTATCTGGAAGCCTCCGCAGAAAAGATCCTGTTCAGTGAAAAGCTCATCAAAGTGAAGGTTCCAGGAACTGATCAACGCTTCTATGTTCCATACGACAAGCTTGTCATTGCAGTCGGGTCCACATCCAACACTCACGGCGTCAAAGGATTGCAATACAGCAACCAATTGAAGACGGCAGAAGATGCAGTTGAAATTAGACGCAAGATCGTGACCAACCTGGAAAAAGCATGTCTACCCACAACCTCGGACGAAGAAAGAAAAAAACTCCTTTCTTTCGTGATTTGCGGTGCCGGCCCCACTGGTGTTGAAGTCGCAGCAGAAATATTCGATCTATTGAATGAGGACCTTACCAGAAGCTTCCCTAAAATTTTGAGACAAGAAATCTCGATCCATATTATTCAATCCAGATCGCACATATTGAACACTTACGACAAGGCCATCTCCGAATATGCCATGAAGCGGTTCGAACATGATCAGATCGATCTTCTGACGAATTCCAGAGTCAGAGAAATTCTGCCTAACCAAGTCATTTTCGACCAAAAGACAGCCAGCGGTGAGATCGAGACCAAGAGCGTGCCGTTTGGACTTTGCCTATGGTCCACAGGTGTCGCACAGAACCCGCTGGCCCAGCAGGTCGTCAAGGACCTTGCAGGCTCGCAAAAGAATAAACGTGCCATCGAGACCGATGCACAATTGCGGGTCATTGGTGCTCCTCTGGGTGACGTCTATGCAATTGGAGACTGTGCCACTGTGCGTACCGAGCTGGCAGAGCACTGTTCTGACTACGTCAGAAAATACATCATTGGCTCCCAATCTCACAAATTTATTCGCTCTCATCATATTATCACCGACGACGATATCAAACACGTCGACCTGACTTACAATGAGCTGAAACAGCTTTGCACACAAATCTCCCAGATGAACCCGCTTGCGGCAGAAGCGCTCTCCCTAGTCGAGGAACTCGTTCCAAAATATGATCCGGAAGGCCGCAAAAAACTTAATTTTGACCAAGTCAAGCTACTCATGAAAGAAGTCGATTCCAAAGTCACCTCTCTGCCAGCCACTGCTCAGCGGGCCAACCAACAGGGCAAATACATGGGAAAAAAGCTCTCGAAATTGCGCAAATCGTCCACCACCTTGTCGATCAATGATATCGTGGACGGCGATATTGATAACGCCATTGCCCGTCCGTTCAAATATAGACATTTGGGCTCCTTGGCATATATTGGAAACTCGGCTGTTTTCGATTTTGCACCAGGTTACTCCTTCGTTGGAGACATCATCGCTGTGTACCTCTGGAGAAGTATCTATTTTGCCCAAAGTGTCAGCTTCAGAACCCGTGTGCTGCTATTCATGGATTGGCTGAACAGAGGTATATTTGGTAGGGATATTTTGACTGTTTAGAAATATAGATTCCTGTACATTGTTTTACATAAGCAGGGAATAGCTCCCTTTTTTCATGTTAATTTGGCGCTAACGATAATATAAAAAGCATGCCGGACGCATATTTTTAGTCGTTGTTCCTGATGGATGACACACATAGCTTTTCCATGGGCCTCAGGTATCTTAAGTCTCGGCTTTCAAATCGAGAAAACAGGCAAGAGGAGAATTTGAAGACAGCATGTATGTCTGGAGAGTCTTCATCCATGACCAGTATGAAAGAAAATGAGTCTCTCAGTTCGAGAAGAAAGCCATTGGACCCGGAAGGAAAAAGGCGCCATAGTCTATTCAATTTCAGATCGTACAAGGAACGGACAGATTTGAGTGTTAATGCTTCAACCGATGAAAACCAACCCGGGCTGGAAAATGCTCCTCGCATCAATTGCGTTAATACAGACCTCGCTTTCCTGGATTGTGGGATGGAACAAATTGACAAGATTAGCTTGACTGAAGAAGACATCAAGACTCCCGAGAAATCTAATATGTTCACAAGCCACAAATTTGAGCTCCAAACGGCAGCCATAAAGGGTGAGGACGAGAAACCAGAGGAAACTGAAAAAGCTGTCAGATCGAAAACATGCGCAGAGGTCAAAGGCACAGACTCACGCGATCTCAAGAAAGATTCAGTGGAATCTGATTCTAGTGCCGAGATTGTCACTTTGCCCAAAAACACAACAGAGGACAACTCTTGGACACTGCATAGTGTTGCGCCTTCCAGCTTCTTTAGCCCACCAAAACAGGTCACCTCATTGTTTGTTGGTGACTTAGACAAATCGTTGACGGAGTTTGACCTGAAAAATGTTTTCAGCAAGTATCCTGGTCTTCTTTCTGTTAAGATACCTGCGGACTGTCAAACCGGCAACTCGTTGGGCTATGGATACGTTAATTACTCCACTGAAGAACAGGCGATTGTTGCCATGGAGTCACTCAATTATACCAAGATCGGTTCCTCAGAGATCAGAATCATGCCTTCCATGAGAGATAAAAGTCAGAGAGAACGCATAGGCGCCAATATTTTTCTTTCCAATCTTTCATCGCATCTCACTACCAGACAACTTTATGATAGGTTTAGGAAGCATGGAAACGTTATGTCGTGTAAGTACGATTCATCCAAACAACAAGCGTTCATACACTTTGAATCTAAGGAGGTTGCATATGAAGTCGTCAAAAGCTATAATCATACTACCTTGGACGGCAAACTGGTCTATGTGGGTCTACATATTCTCAAGAAAGACAGAGAACTATTTGGAGCCACGGCGAGCTCAAGCACTAAGCTGAGCGAAAATAAGGATATTTCACAGATCCCTTGTTTTTCGCCCACAAATAAGAACACAGAACGCAAGAACGACATAAGCACACATTATTCAATTTTTGTTAGAAATTTGCCTTTAAACATCGAGGAACATGTTATTAGGAGCTTGGTTGAACCGTATGGACCTGTCTTATCTGTTTTGGCACGGAAGGTCCCAAAAAAAAATGGGTGCTGGGCTCTGGTGACTCTAACTAACCAGGAATCTGTGGATAAAGCAGTTTCTCATCTGAACATGGTTGAAATCAACAAGCAGCAGTTATTCGTCACTCGCGCAATTCCAAAGGAAGAAAAAAGCTACAATCGAAAACAAGAGATGCAGCCAAAACACAGGCTCAAAATACTGATCACGGGGTTGAATGTCAACACGCATAAGGACAAATTCCAAAAGTGGTGCTTAACCTTTGGGTCGATAAAGTCTGTGGAGCTTTATGGAACATATTCCCAAGAAATCAAGAAGGGCTACACCGCTTATGGATATGTGGAAATGGTAAATGAAGCCGATGCTGATGTTTTGATCGACAATCTAAAACTACTTGGTGTTCGCTGCTTCAAGGTAAAAGTGGAAATTCAACATAAGGAGACAGTCAATTCTGACATGCGCCGCTACTATTACGGCCCACCATCAGGACAAGCAAACAGTACTGGGATGGGGTCATACGTGGATCCCTCCAAGTTATTCCAGCTAGCGGCTTTTGCCAAATCTGTCGAGCAGGATAAAATGACTGAAATAGCCCAAACCAAGGAAAAGAGCGATGGAGAGCTACTGAGCATGGATCTTCGCAGTAAGATTGAACAGATCATAGGCGCATGTGCTGTTGACATTTTAGGCCAAGATACACTGATTTCGAAGAACACCGGAAACATATATTTACACAAAGTGCATTCGTTGTCGGAACACATCATCAAGTTCTTTTGGTCTAATAGAGTTGACTCATTCTCCAAATTTTTGGAATCCAACTACAAAATTGATCAACCTTTGCACCCGCTGCTCAGAACTCAAATCGTGCAAAGTGCGATGTACCTAGGTATAGTGCCCAAAAGTTAGAGGTGAGAATCTTTATGAATTTTAGCTTTACATGACCTATATACCTAGGTACGATTCCTTTCGACAGCATTTTCAAAAATATATATACTTGAGACAAAGAAACTAACGTAAGTTTATTGTTACACCAATTCAACATAATTAGCAGGGAAGATGCCTTCCCTAGTGCCAATTCTGCCTGTCCACCAATCATCCGTTGAATCTGACTTTTGAATAATAGTTATCACGTCTCCTTTCTTGAACCCAAGATCGCCCTGTTGCTCTCCTGCAAATGTGTAAAGAGCAATAGCTTTTCTAGACCCTGATGATCCTGAGCTTCCGCGAGCGGACCCGTAGCCGAAATCAGGCTTCTCTGATTTTGGCCTGTAGCCTGCGGATCTGGCTTCCGCTTTCGATGATTTGTTTCTATCGTATCTATCATAAACGTCATCTTCCCAAGAAGTTGGCTTTCTTGAATGCGAAGGCGTGGTTCCAGGGGTAGAGCGATGGTAGTACGAACGGGGCGAATCTTCATCCGAGTATTCCTCATCATCCGAGCCATAAGATCTGCGCGAGTTGTATCTGGTGGAGGATGCCTCTGAGCTGAATTCCGAAGGAATATCGTTATAGTAGTCTTCGTCGTCAGAATAGTATTCACCATTGGCACTTGCTCTAGTGAATGCTCTGCTATTGAGCACTCTCATGAGAGGCTCGCAAGCTGGAGGAGGTCTCACACGGCCTCCCAGGATTTGACTGGCCTTGCACATGTCACCATAGAATTTTCTGTTAGCCTCTCTTCTTTCAACAAGGACCGAGCCCTCAACCGAGACGCCAGCGAAAAGACCTTTTGTTTTGGAGTAAGCAAACACCGGAGCAACGTTTTTGAATGAGGCAGAGCCTGCCACTTCTGCATTTCTTCCCAAAGGACCTGCTGCAACGGAAATATTTCCACCCAAAGTGACCGAGCCGAATTGAGCGAAGGATTCAACGGCAGCCGTGGTATTGAGGATGAAAACAAAATCGGTGACCTCGGCTCCAACCTGTCCACCAACACCTGCACCTGCCGTAACGATAGCAGAAGGGGCAGACCACGAGCCGTCGGGCAATCTGGCGACCACGACACCCGAGCCGGCTCTGCCAGAGAAAAGAAATCCGGCTTTCAGAACGGTGATTACTGCCAATCCCTTGGCGTTGAGAAGAACTTCTCGAGGAATGACTTCATCTGCCCCAAACAACTGGTTCGGTTTGATGAAGGAGGCCAGGATTTTAGCAGCTTTTCTCATTTGTTAGTTTGAAAATTACCAAATTTTCTGATGAATATTTAGATAGCACTTACTTCGACTCGCTTTTCAGCGATCTTGGAATTGGATTGTTAAGGCCCATTGCTTATTGTAGCTAGAATTTCGAAACAGTTGCCGAAACAGTACACGTCAAGCTAAATGTCTTGTCTGATAAGATCGTTTTATTAATTTTCGGTGCGAAAGGGAGTAGAAAATTCTGTGGCGTGAGGAGTGGTTATGAGAATAATGAAGGTGGTAGCAAGAACGACAATGTGGTCTTGGCGAGACACCATGTCCGACAAAACCCTTACAACCATAGAGCTCTCAATCATGTAGCGAATTTGCTGGCCCCCTTTGGTGAGAATCTTTGGAAGTGTGCTTTTCGATATGTCAACTAAAACCGATAACTGTGTCAGCTTGCACAGCCATAATGAATCATTTGTCATTATTCCCCCAAATAACAACCCTCTAATTCAGTCAAATGAGGCTCCATTCGTTTCCACTTTTACTTTCTGGTCTGAGTCTTGTAACTGGTGTCCAGTGTGCAGCCATTGGTCAACGGATTCTGTCTGTTGATTCTGATTACCGTTATTCCCTTGAAGGGCTTGATAAAGCTCTCCAGGATGATATCAAGTTCGCATGGAACTCATTGGAGCAAAGCCTTGGTACACAAGCGCTCAAGAAAGCCATCAAAGATTATGAAACAGGTGTCTGCCCAATAACTAGCTCATTACCAACTAATATCAAAAGCGATTCTGACAATGTGGAGACTATTACACTTGAAAGCTTGCCAGAGTATCAATTGAGATTGCATACGAAAAAACGGAGCAACCCATTGAGTCTAGGTGTGGATACTGTTGAACAATATACAGGATACTTTGATATCAACGATGATGATAAGCATCTTTTCTATTGGTTCTTCGAAAGCAGAAACGATCCTGCAACTGACCCTGTGATTCTTTGGCTAAATGGGGGTCCTGGCTGCAGCTCGGTGACAGGATGTTTATTTGAGCTTGGTCCAGCATCACTTAACGGAACCACACTCACCCCAATCCACAATCCCTATTCTTGGAATAACAATGCGTCGGTCATCTTCCTTGAACAGCCTGTTGGCGTTGGCTACTCTTACAGTACTAGGTCATCTGTTTCAAGCACCAAGGTCGCAGCTAAAGATGTTTATGCGTTCTTGGAGCTATTTTTCACGAGGTTCGCGCAATTTGTGAATAACGACTTTCATATTGCTGGCGAGTCTTACGCTGGTCACTACATTCCAAGTATTGCAAGTGAGATTCTTGATCACGAAGACAAGTCATTTAACCTCACCTCTCTTTTGATCGGTAATGGAATTACTGATCCATTGATCCAGTATGGCTGGTATGGTCCAATGGCCTGCAATGCATCGTTGTCAGGCTATAAGCAAATTCTTTCCGATGGTGACTGCAAAAAAATCGACGACATGTACTCTCGCTGCAAGAGACTGGTCAGAGCATGTTATAGGACTCTTTCTACTGTTACGTGCCTGCCGGCAAACCTTTACTGTGAACGTATATTGGAGCCATTTGAGGAAACCGGGCTCAATGTATATGATATTCGTGGCCCTTGTGAAACCCAAGACGGAAATTGTTATCTTGGAATGGACTACATCGACAAATACATGAATCTTCCTGAAGTTAAAGAGGCATTGGGTGCAGAAGTTGATTCCTACAGCGGTTGCGATGATGACGTTTTCAGACAATTCATTTTGACGGGAGACGAAACCAAACCATTTCAGCAGTATATAGCCCAAGTTCTAGATGCTGGTCTCCCAGTTCTTATTTATGCAGGAGACAAAGACTACATTTGCAACTGGCTTGGAAATTTGGCCTGGACTGAAGCACTAGATTGGAAAGAAAGCGCCTCTTACCAGAAGGCAGAATTTAAGAACTGGTATACGGAACTTGAAGGCCTTCCTGCAGGAGAAATTAAAACCAATGGACGCCTTACCTTTGCCCGGGTTTACGATGCAGGCCATATGGTTCCGCACGACCAACCAGAAGCTGCTCTCGATATGGTTAACAGGTGGATTGCTGGAGATGTCTCATACAATCGCTGAGTGGTCTTAACTTTTTCACAGTCTTCGCTTGTTTTCTCTCGTTTTTTATTTTTGAATACATGTATATACACACACATACATTTTTACATGTACGTACCTTGAAACCTTAAAAATAGGTAAATGCGCTTGGCTGTGCTATTTTTGTTCCAAACAAATACATCTAAATATTCCCCTTGTTATAAATGAACGCTTGACTGATATTTGTGCTGGGTTTTCTTATCAACGTATATCAATCTTGATTGGCGAGCCAGCTTTCGAATAGAGATCGAAAGAGTTGTGTTCATTATTTGACGTGCTGATTCAAAGGCGACAGCGCATTAAGTTGCAGCGGCGTGTGTTACAGAGGTTGATCTATCTTTTTGAAAGATGACTTCTCCTCCATCGTCAAATGGGAACCAGTCCTGGATATCAAAAATGTGGAGTAGACAGGCTTCTTTCTTCAATCCTTCTGTCCAAGTACCAACGACCACCCCTTCCGGCGAGTTAACTGAGATGTCCCAAGATGGCTTATATTCCAACACTTTGATGTCTAATTCACACAATGATAGCTCCCAAGGAAGGCATCCCTCTGGATCAACTACATCTCAATCACAAAGAACGTACCCTAGTCTTATTGTTGACTCTTGCAGGTGCTGCGGAACGATGCTAAAATACCCAGCAGGTATTGGCAAGGTTCGTTGCCTAGTTTGTCAAACTCATTTGACTATCAACGAGGATATTGGAGAGCCCTGTGAAAGACCACAAGAGACAGCTTCTAGACCACTATCTTACCCCTTTATAAAAGACTTCATAAACCAGTGTTCCACTAAGAGAAATTCTGCCGGAGATGATCACAATCCACACAGAGTATTCAAACCTTTGGAAGACATGCTGTATGAAGCTTTTTCATCTTTCTCCATTATTAATCACTCATTTCGGCTGTCTAGTTTGGCACCACCGAGTTACCGTTCCCCAAACTTGAACTTCAACGAAGCAAAAAAATCATTTGCCTTACTGTTGAGCCTACCCACAAAACGTCCGTTTTACAAGCTTTTACTAGGTGCCCTATATTTGCTTAAGCATCCACCTCCAATGAGGAATCCTGCTGACATTAGCTGGCTATTGATCTTGCTAGAGATTCCCATTTTACCTGATTGCCTGATAAGTGGCATCGATTCCTGTACAGACGGTCTTGCGCCTGATTTGAAGGCATCTTGCTATGATGTTCTTAAACGTGTTATTGGACTGCTTTCTTATTCAGAGAGAAAGATTACGAGTCGCCTTACTTATTGGTGGTCTAGATTGCCACACGATGAATTCGTGAAAAAGATTGACTTTATCAATTTGTACATCACGTTTCAGCTGACAAGGTGCATTAACTATGAGCTGTATAACTCTCTTATACAGCCTGGCTCTTATTTAAATGTTTCCATGAGCGACGATATCAACTTCAAGGAAAACCTTAATGCTCATTTTATCCGCCCGACCTCTAAAAGCTCTGATTTTGGCTTGCTCATTGGTCTGCCTGTTTACATCTCATCGGGAGGAAGACGTACCGATATTTCTTCGGGTTCGTCGTTCTGGTCGGGAAAAAAGGAGCCGAAAGAACACGAAGTGAAAATCAGATTACAGCAATACGGGGGTGATTGGCACTTGCGTACTGCCGGCAGATTAGCATCATTTTTGTTTATTGCAAACAAAAAGAATAAGAAAGTCAGTGATGCCGTGTTTTACAATAATCTTGTGGACTATGTGAATGTGAAGCAAGATTTTGATGCTTGGCAATTCAATGCTTCCACCAAAAAGCATGAACAAAGTACCGCGAATAAGGACTCTTTACAGTTAGTGGTTGACTATCTGCAAGCTGAGACCAAGGCAAGTTACTTAGGACTTTCGAATGCCAATGGAACACTGAGAAAATCTTCGTTCACTTTTTGCCAATTTCCCTTCCTTTTATCGTTAGCCGCTAAAATATCGATTCTTGAACATGAGGCCAAAAGAATGATGGAGCGAAAAGCAGAAGAAGCATTCATTCAATCTCTCAACAAGAAAATGCCTTTTGATGTTTATTTCAAGGTTCGCGTGAGGAGAAACTTTATCACCCCTGACTCACTGCGGTGCATTAAATCACATCAAACCGATTTCAAAAAACTCCTGAGGGTAGAGTTTGTTGATGAACCTGGGATTGATGCAGGTGGGCTAAAAAAGGAATGGTTCTTGTTGCTCACTAAGGACCTGTTTAATGCGGACAAGGGATTATTTTCATATGATGAAACATCTGGATTATGTTGGTTTGCGATTTCTCATCTGGACAATGACGAGCTGTATTATCTTGTTGGTGTTGTGCTTGGGTTGGCAATATACAACTCCACGATCCTTGACCTTCAATTGCCTAAAGCTCTTTACAAAAAACTGATGGGACAAAAAGTCACCTTGAATGATTTCATCCAACTGAATCCAGACGTTGGGCACAATTTCAAAAGATTGTTGAAACTAGACGATGTCAGTGACCTTGAGCTGTATTTCACAGTTTCCTATGCAGATATATTCGGCGATATGCATCACGAAGATCTTATTCGAGACGGATCATCCATTAAGGTGACAAACGAAAACAAGTATGAATACGTCGAAAGATATTGCTCATTTTTTCTAAACGATAAAGTGAAAGCACCCTTCAAGTCATTTTTGAACGGTTTTCAACACGTCATTGGCGGAAATGCTCTGTCTTTGTTTACTCCTGAGGAGATCGAATTGATACTAATCGGAGAAGACTATCGAAACCAAAAAATCGACATTGAGATTCTGAAGTCAGTGACCAAATATAATGGGTTCTCCGAGACTGATGCTGTTGTCAAATGGTTTTGGGATTATTTTGAGCGCAAAAGTGCTGCTGATCAACGCAAAATACTACTTTTTATTACAGGATCGGATCGGTTGCCGGCAACTGGACTGCCGTCTTTAACCTTTAAGATCACGAAGCTTGTTGATAGGGACCTAAATCGGTTACCAATCGCCCATACATGTTTCAATGAGCTCTGTCTTTACGCCTATCCCTCAGAGGAAATATTTGTTTCGAAGTTGGACAAAGCTATTTGGTATAGTGAAGGGTTCGGCTTGAGATGACTAAGTCAAATCTACTCAACTTCGACAATTACGTTCGTATATACACTAATCAAGAATCGCATACTTCCGCAGATTATCAGGAATGGCTTCATACAAGTCTTTGCTCTGTAACCAGCTCTTGCTGAAAATTCTATCAGAGTATTTGTGGGCCGAATCAGCCAATATGGTGACAATATTTGATCCTTCCGGAAGGAGCTTGGCTGCCCTCACGGCAGCCACCACATTCAGCGCTGAAGTGCCTCCAACGTAAATTCCTTCCTCATCAAGAAGTCTGTACAACATGGCAATAGACTCTTCGTCAGGGATCAGGAATGCATCATCTGCTAACTCAATATCCTGCGCAACATTGTTGGTGATGCGGCCTTGACCAATGCCTTCAGTGAACGAGGATCCTGATCTTTCCAAACTTTTACCACCAGTTTTGACATACGAATAAACACAAGATCCAGGCGGCTCTGCAACATAACATTTAATTTCGGGATTTTGGGTCTTGAGAAATCTGGAGGTACCACACCACGTACCTCCTGTTCCCAAACTGCACGTGAATGCGTGAACCTTTCCTTGAAGCTGTTTGTAAATCTCTGGCCCGGTCATCTTAATGTGAGCCATTCTATTATCGAGGTTATCGAATTGGTTAGTCCAGTACGCATTTTCCAGTCTTTCAGCATGCCTTTTGGCTTGATGATTGAAGTTTTCAGGATTGTCAAATGGCACGACAGGAACCGGATACACTTCACACCCTAGCAGTTTCAAAGTTTGGATTTTGGAAGGGGCTTGGGTATTAGGCATGTAGATTACGACATTGTATCCTTTAGAACGAGCAACGTGGGCTAAACCAATACCTGTGTTACCAGCAGTTCCTTCTACGATGGTTCCACCAGGTTTAATCAAACCACGTTTTTCCGCCTCCTCGATGAAAAACAAAGCTGCACGGTCTTTAACAGATCCTCCCGGATTCATCCATTCTGCTTTACCATAGATATTGCGGCCAATCTCGTCACTAATCCGGTTGAGCTTGACCAGTGGCGTATTTCCCACAGCACTAGTCAATCCTTTCCCTGCAAACAAGGGCTCAAAAGAGGCATTGTAGGATTCCATGGCTCCCCTAGTGCTGCTGAATAGACGTTTGAACATGGTTTCTCGAAGAAATTTCAATATAATCAGATTTTAGAGCACAGATATATTATGGCAAGTCATGTGATGTGATTACGTCATATGTAGAAATCTGCCCCCTAGGGTAAAAGACGTTGAAGTTCGTCTTTATCAATTGGACTTACGGTGCAGTGGATGTTGTGGAAAGGCCCATGATCATGATCGTGCTGATGCTCGCGCAAGAAATTTTGATCCTCCTCTAATATTGCGCTGTATGAGTTAAAGGGTTTAGATAGACGGTACCGTTCGTTGTCTTTCTGATAGTATAAGACGTAGTGCTGGGTAAAGAAGACCACATCAGCTAAGGCGACTTCAATACTCAGCAAAAACTTCGGCAAATTGTTGAAGATGCTTATCACGTCGCCAGCGACATAAGCATCCAAGAAGAGCTGCGAGAAAGAGAACACCGCACCAGCAAAATCAAGCCATACCATTTGAATCGGCCAGCCATGAGTTGACTTCCGATTGTAATTGTACACAGCCTGTGGGATATTCTTGCACACGCTCATGAATATTTTAGCCATACCTAGCGACGTGAGAAGATCAACCCAGTACCGTGTCCCATAAGTAAAGTGGATTATTAAGCCGTACCCAGCAGAAAACAAAATCAAGGCAGCATATACAAGCTTGCATGTCTTGGAGATGACCTGATTATCGTTTTTTTTGAATCCCCAAATATAAGCTTGACTGATAAGCAGCAGATTGAGGAGAAGCCCATGAACACCAAAAAAGAAATCATTAGATTTGATTAATGGGTACTTGGCATGACGAAGATAAAATTCATATTGTACTGTAGCATTGTAACACAAAAACCCTGTGTAGAGAGAATATAGAGTGAAGCCTGCAGTGTTGAAAAACATGAAGTCAATCGATATTCCCTGTACTGATTTTAGTCTGATGTTAGAGACAATAGTTGGATAAAATGACAGGGACCAGCAGGAAAAGTAAAGCCAGCCGAGAAGCTGTGACATGTGAGCCAGTGTCAACATCATTTGATAGCATAAAATTAAAATTGAAATCTTATCGAAAACAAGAAATTGCGTACATTATTCATTGAGCGCAATTTTCTAACAGACTGAAATTAGTACTACAGGATCTGAATTCAATTATGTCATATTACCTCTACTGAATACCGACCACGGAAAGCTCCAAAGTCCACACCCTTCGTATATGGATCTTGATCGTTGAATGGCCCAAAGCTTGGCCATTCGCATTTTTGATTCGCAGGCTGGAAATATCAATATCCAGCACTGAATCAGACCACCAACATTTCCTTGCTGGTTTCCTCCAGAACAGAAGTAACTTTGTAGCCGTTGGGTTTTTCTCTTTCCTGCCACGAGATCCCGATCTGGAAACAGCATGAGCAAGAGTACTTAATCGGGACTTTCGTTTTTCAGGTTGACTTGTTAGTGAGCTGACAGAAGATATTGGCTTTAAAGATGGTGACCCTTCCACAGAGGGAGCCTCTGAGCTTTCCGTAGCTAAGCGAACCAGCGCCAGCGAGAAAACAACTGTTTTACCAGGCTCAAGAGAACGATGGCCCCATTCGCCGTCAATTTTGAAACCCGAGGAGCAAAGCATGTCCAATAAGTGTTGCTCAGCAGGCTTCAATTGCTTACCTGGCTCATACCCTAGCCCATCGAAAATTTTAGTGTTTTTCACCAATTCTTCTCCGACAAAGAACTTTATCTTTTTCATGGCGTCCGCATCGAGGCCAGCGACGGGAGGAATGCAGTAATAATCCAAATCTTCACGCAAGACAATTATCGAAGGTTTGTCATTAAGAATGTTTGGATCGTTGATATCGTAAATCTGCTGATGCTGGCCTGCTTGTTCGCTAAGTTGTAAATCATGCACAGCGGTATCAAAAACTTGACAAATGTATTGAAAGCAATCTGGAGAAAAGTTGACAAACACAATGTCGTCTTCCGTTAGGTTGGTGATTATGTTTCCATTCATATCAACAAAAACTCCATTCGGGAACAAACATAGCAAGATACTTTCAGGCAAAGCCATTAGATCATCTCTTGTGATGCTAAACAATTGCCCTCGAAGATTCATTTTGATTTCGGTATTGTAGTCATCTATATCTGCTGTGACTTGCGAAACCGGTGCTTCCTCATGCTGCTGGACCTGAGTGATAATGTTGTGAGCCATGGTATAAGGTTTGAAGATTCTTCACGTTCTCTTAAACCTTGTTCCTAACCACTTCCCGCAAAGCTTGAGAAATGGAGATGTTATAACTTCCGGTAAACTCTTCGAGCTTTTTGAGAGGTGTAACTATCTCAAATTACGATAAAGAATCTAGCGTTCCTTGCACAATGATAATTGTTTTTTGCCTTTTCTTTACTAAATAATTCCGTAAACCGGGTAAAAATACTATATGATAAAATGACTTTAGATGATATATGGCTTTCTGATGATGAAGAATATAAACCTGCCGCGTCTGAAAATTACGGTTCGGGTGAGAATGGTCCTGTCCATGTTGACTTGCTCTTCCTAAAAAGAAAGCATGCTAAACAAGGATATCTAGACGGGATATCGAAGGCCAAGGAAGAAAGCTTGCAACAAGGTTTTGACGAGGGATATCCTATAGGAGCTCGGATCGGGGCGAGAATTGGCGAGATTCTGGCTCAAATGAAAACTCTCCTAAGGGTGTCAAAGATCACAGCCAAAGAATATGATTCTGCCTTCTATGAACTGAACATAAAAAAGGTCCTACAGACAGATTATTTCGATTCCAAACTCGACATGCTGGATGAACGAAAACATCCAATAATCAGGAAATGGATGGAATTTTGTGAATCCAAAATGGATTTGCAAAGCCAATCCTACGAATAATGAGATTGATAAATTTTCTAATGACGATAAACGACGACTGATCCATCAGTATTTGTCCTGCTAGACATTTGGACTAAACGAGTGAAGCAGCTTCATGGAACACTGAATAGAGAGAAGTTTCTAACAATGTTTGGTCCGTACTCTTCGTAATCTCGTTTGGTATGACAGTAGCTTTTGAACTCTGCTGTTTGCGCCAACAGAGAGCCCCCAAACCACACCGCGTTTTTTTGCCTCTTGTGCGAAATCACTTGTACAGTGACGCCACTTGATTTGGTACCACTCAGGCGCTCACTTTGGGCGACTCTTTCATTCACCAGCGATTTCAAATCTCTTTGCAGTCGTCTTCCGAAATCTTTAAACATGGTAGAACCACCACTTAAGACAATATTTTTGTAAAGGTTCTTACGAACATCTATAGGGGAGGATTGAATAACCTGGTCCACAATTGTCGGCAATGGTGTAAGGAAATCGGAAGATGCTATCTCGGGATTGAAGAAAATTTCTGGTGCTAGAAATCTTTCATATCCCACATCAATCTCAAGTTTAGATTGATTGACGGTTTCGACAATGTATTTGGCAAACATATCGGGATGTGAATCAAATTTGTTAAACTCTTTCACGATGTCCGGACAAACATAGCAGAACTGTTGTTTTATTTGTTCAGCAGTTTTCAATGATGTATCTTTTTCCCCCCTTTCTCTCAAAAGAGTCTGGATGAAGCTAGTGATGTCTCTTCCTGCAATTGGGATATTTTTTATCGCAGACCCGATAACATAACCTTCTGCAACAGGAATCACATGAGTCACACCATCTCCTGAATCTATAACTGTACCAGTCAAAGATCTGTCAACCACCTTTGAAGAGGTCCATGAAGCGGCGAGCGCCAAAACGGCCTGCACAGCGATATAAAGACCGGCGCAATTGAACGACTCAAACATAATCTCCGCCGTATTTTCTCTATTTTCGGGTGGATTTAATGGTGGCTCTGTGAGGAGGAAGTAATGGTCCTCCGGTTCGCATTTGAGGTACTTAAAAATGGAATTTTCCCAGAATCTCTCCATTTGATCCCAGTTTTCAATTTGACCATGTCTTATTGGATAGTTAAGTGAATAAGCTGGCCCTTTGGCAGCTTGCAACGCCTCATCCCCTATGAAAAAATCAAGATCCTCCATATCCCTTTTCAGCGAAAGATTCCCTCCTGAGCTCTTTCCAGAAGAAGAGCTCGTAGATGAGGTCAAAAATGACGGTTTTGAGGGAGCGGCAGGTTTACTGGACGAACCAGAAGATCTAGTTGCGATAGCAGTAGGAAAAACCCACGATGGAGAATCATTCCCAGCAAAACCGAGTTTAGTCAAACCGGTTCCATTATCTAAATGTTAGTGGGGCATTCATCTATTTAATTTTTTAACATACCCATCACAACGGCCGGGGTGTTGATGCTCGCCATATTCTTGTTTGAACGCAATTGACTTGAAAGGTTTTCTCAAATGATTACGGCGAACTCTAAAAATCTGAAAAGGCGTAAAGTGTGTTCAAAGGCTAATCTAATTTGTGTTCGATCAAGTTGAATTGCCTTTCCTTCAGATCCATAATAATCGATTAGTCTGTCCTTTTCAGCCAGAGAACAAACATTACGCGTGCTCATAACCTGTTGACACAACAAAACTTTTGTTGTAAACGTCAAGATAATCTATAGAGAAGATGAATAACATACACGCAGAGGCAGCTTCTTCAACTGAGTAAGCAACTGACCTAGGCTGCAGGGAGTAACACTTCACGGCGAGATCGGTAAAATTCGACCCTGGGAAAATTTAGGCTATTTAAGCGACGGTTTAAACACCGAAAAAATATATAAGTGAACTACTCGACCATCAGATGAGCTGGTGGATAACAAAACCAACAAATGAACTCCCTCGAGTACTTAAAACAATGTGGCACAACTGTCGTGATAGATACGGGAGAATTTGAAAGTATACAAGCATATAAGCCTCAAGATGCTACCACAAATCCCTCGTTGATTTTGGCAGCTGCCAAAAAAGCTGAATACCAACAATTGATTGACATTTGCGTGGATTACGTGCTCGAAAACCACAAGAGGCTGGACACTGAAAACAAAGCTCTCATTGCTTTGGACAGACTGCTGGTTGAGTTCGGTTCTAGAATATTGGAGCTCATTCCTGGAAGAGTGTCCACGGAAGTTGACGCTCGACTATCATTCGACCAAAAGGCTACCGTCCGAAAAGCATTGGAGTTAGTGTCTTTGTATGAAGCAAAAGGGATATCAAAAGAGCGAGTCCTCATAAAGATTGCTGCCACATACGAGGGAATATTAGCAGCAAGAGAATTGGAGTCCATTTATGGCGTCCATTGCAATCTCACTCTACTGTTTTCCTTTACTCAGGCGGTGGCTTGCGCCGAGGCAGAAGTAACTTTGATTTCGCCTTTTGTGGGTAGGATACTGGATTGGTATAAGGCTAAGGGGGCAAGGCACTATGCAAAGAATGAAGACCCTGGTGTTGTATCTGTGAAACAAATATTTCACTATTACAAAAAGTTTGGCTATCGTACTATTGTTATGGGGGCATCATTTAGAAACGTGGGGGAGATTGAGGAGCTAGCAGGTTGCGATTATCTCACAATTTCACCAACTTTGTTAGAAGCAATGGTCAATTCAAGCACCAAAATTGAAAAAGTGCTAGATTCAGCAAAAAGCTCTCAGTTTTGCAAATTGGACCAATTGGCCTTGATTGATAATGAGCCAATGTTTAGGTTCAATTTGAATGAAGACCAGATGGCAACTGAAAAGCTCTCCGAGGGGATAAGGAAGTTTGCAAGCGACACTGAAAGCTTACTGGATCTTTTAAAAATAAAAATCCAGCAGAAACTTAGGGATGCCAAGCTATGATATCAATGAGTCAGCCTACTGAAATCAAACGTCTTTCTCATCAAGAAAAGGCCAGAGTAAGAAAACCTTCATTAGGAGAATATAGTAGATTGATAATCACAGTAGCTCTAGACTACTTTATCGTCCCGTGTGAGTCGTAAACCAACTTTCTAGTCACTGATGTTGGCTGCAGGTCTGGGAGACTTCGAATCAATGACGAACTCTTCCTGACAGCAGTCAATGAGATGAGAATTGAATTGTGGTTGCAATCCCCTGTGTCATATTCAAATACATTCAACAACTTGTGTTGTCCAATATTCTCTATGATTGAATTGAGAAATGTAACGGGATAGAGATGAGTGCCTCAGTTATAGTGTGTTTAAGTGTAAGGCATCGTGTAGACACATTCTCAAACACCAAGCAAAATTGTAAAAAAAATCTGATTTCAACGGTCCCTCGATGTTTCGCAAATTCAAATACACTAGCCAAAAATATTTTCCATCAGCCACACGTACTTTTTCGGATGTTATTTTCATATAAGATTCGCGGAACATTGTCACCCAGGTGACTCCTAAAATGGAAATATATGTGGCGAAGTAATAACCTCCTAAGGTGGACTCCACGGAAATACTCACGGTGATTGGTTGACTAGGTCTGGTAAACCTGTCTCCGAAAGCGAATTTGCTTACAAAGATAGCATTTATTAGTAGGATACTGTGATTAGGTAATATTTATTCAGCGCAAACTGTGGTGATGAATATAAATAAGTTTGGGTATTCCTCCGCAATCAGAACTTGAATTATATACTTTTCGATTGATTTCCATCAGATATTAAATTCAACAATTGCAATGAGCTCTCTTGAACAACTTAAGGCCGCAGGAACCGTTGTCGTCACTGATACGGGCGAGTTTGAATGTAAGTAGTACTCTTTCATGGCCACTAACAATGAAGCGATCGCAAAATATACTCCTCAAGATGCTACTACCAACCCTTCTCTGATTTTGGCTGCTTCTGAAAAGCCACAATATGCTAAGTTGATTGATGTGGCTGTCGACTATGCTAAGGACAAGGGATCATCCGCAGAAGAGAAAGCAAACATCGCCCTCGACAGACTTCTCGTTGAGTTCGGAAAGGAGATTTTGAAGATTGTTCCTGGCAGAGTTTCCACTGAGGTGGATGCCAGACTTTCATTTGATAAGGAGGCAACAATCAAGAAAGCGCTTGAAATCATTGAGCTCTACAAATCCCTTGGCATTGACAAGGAAAAGATCTTGATCAAGATTGCTTCGACCTACGAGGGTATTCTTGCTGCTAGAGAATTGGAAGAAAAATACGGTGTTCATTGCAACTTGACTCTCCTTTTCTCTTTCATCCAAGCTGTTGCTTGTGCCGAAGCTAAGGTCACTCTGATCTCACCTTTTGTTGGTAGAATCATGGATTGGTACAAGGCCAAGACGGGCAAAACTTACGAAGGAAAGGAAGATCCAGGTGTTCAGTCAGTTACTAGGATTTTCAATTACTACAAGAAGTATGGTTATAAGACTATCGTTATGGGAGCTTCTTTCAGAAATGTTGGGGAAATCACTGCGTTGGCAGGATGTGACTACTTGACAATCGCTCCAAAGCTTTTGGAAGAATTGATGAATTCTAAAGAGCCAGTTCCGAAGGTTTTGGATGCCTCGGCTGCTCAAGCTTGCACCGAAGAAAAGGTTTCCTACATTGATGATGAGGCCAAATTCAGATTCCTTCTTAACGAGGATGCTATGGCCACGGAAAAGCTTTCCGAAGGTATCAGAAAGTTTTCTGCTGATTGTGTCACTCTGGTCAACGTGCTGAAAGCTAAGTTTGAGTAAATGGAGATACACAAATTATGGAGGTGACTGTTGCCGGTTGATGCTAGAGAATCATACTTGGAAAAATTAAATATCCAGGATTTTTTAGTGTTTTTCCCTATCTATTCTCATGTATTCATCTATTCCATCTATTGATTTGATAATTTTTTTTTTTGTGATCTATTGGATCTGTTAAAAGGCAGTGATTTTTCAAATTATTGATAATAATAATCGCGAATTGTGCAATTACGATCATTGTCGATCAGTCCGTTTGAATCATGAGCCAGACAAACCTAACCGCCTTGATAGAGTGGTCCAAATCAAATGGATGTAAAATCTCAGAATTGATTGAGTTCCAATTTTCAGCAAATGGCATTTCTGCCTTCCTGAAGAATCTGAATGTGCCATCGGAACCTTCTGTTTTCCTCCCCACATCTATGATTATTTCTCCCCGGATTGCTTATTCGGAACTAAACCTCAATGAAACTGCGAGCCCTGTCACGGCACTTAAACTCTTGCTTTGTCAATGGAAAGCAAATCCAGAATCACAATTTGGGCCCTACGTCACGTGCCTTCCTTCATTGAGGAACATCGGATCACCCCTTACTTTCAGCCCAGAGGAGCTAATTCTTTTATCTGGCACTAATATGTATCATGGTGTTATTTTGAAAAGAAAGCAACTGATAGCTGAATACAGAAAAGCTCTAAGCTATTTAGGGGTAAAGAACTCCACGGATTACGAGGAATATGATCAAGGCGAAATTTTCAACTCACTGATGGAAGAAATTTCCAGTGAGTGTCGATATCCGCCGTCATTTGCATGGTTTTTATGGGCACATTTGATTGTCACCTCTCGTGGTTTCCCTTATAAGCTCATTGATCCTAATACTTCTGATGATGCCGTCATGCTTTTGCCCATTATCGACCTCTTCAACCATAAACCCAGATCTAAGGTCACATGGATACCTTCATTCGAGGGTTTTGAGCTAAAGCTTCAAGGTGGTGCTGAAAAAAATGGAGAGCTTTTCAATAACTACGGGCCAAAAGGTAATGAGGAGCTGTTAATGGGGTATGGTTTTGCACTAGTTGACAACGAGAATGAGCAACTACAACTGACTATCGATGTCAACGATATATGTACCAAATTCTTGCAGATTTGGCAAGTCCCTCTTCCGCAGCTGAAGGAATACACCTGCTCTGTTTGCGCTGATGAATCGTCAACCTCAAGTCAGTCATCTTCAACAATTGTTGTTTTTTTGAGTAATAAAAATCGTGTCTTACCAGAGGGTTTACTGGAGCTGTTCGCAAGTAGGCGCGCAAATATAGACGACACTCAGAAAACATTGAAAGCTCTCCTCAATGGGCTAAGCGACCTACGGTCTGCATTAGAATCTAAGTTTCGAAAAAAGCTAGACAAGTTTCAATCATTTCCTCTTACACTAAAAGGAACTGGCTATTTCAATTCAGAAGAGATGATGAAGTCTTTACAAACGAACTATGAAAATGCCTGCATTTACCGGCAATCTCAACTCGATCTGTGGCTTTCGCTGAAGCAAAAGTTGAAAAGCTTGGAGAAGGAGCTATTAAAACAACATCGACCTCGCGTCATCACCATTAAAGACATTATGACAAAGGAATTATTCATGCAAGATGTAGCCATCCAGTTGCGGCTACCACTGGCTATAAACATTCTCTCATCTTCTGATATAGAGATATTGATCAGAATATGGGTCTTACGCGTGACAGAAGGAGCACAGTCGCACTTCAATACAGCTTGGGTCAAAAGGGAGTTTGCATCAGTATCTCCAGGAGTGGGCTCTGAGGTGGCGGAAGTTTGTGACATGTATGAATATTTAAAAGCGTCCTCACAGTGCCTCAAATTGAATTCATGGTCCTTAAAAGATCTGATGAAAGCTGATCTAGTTATTGAGCGTAATTCTTATGCTAAAGGCTCGAAGAGGGAAACGGTTTTAATCTGTCCCACTAATCTTTGATATCTGTATTGAAGAAATCAGTATCTTGCCGGAATGAGTCTAATCAGAAAAAGGAAAAACGCAAATGCTAGGAAAACGAAAAGGATGACACGAACGTAAAACCATAATCCAAGCCTACCTTCGCGGTGGTATTTTGATAGGGTGGTGTTGACCTTATCAAATACGCTTTTGGATGACTCGAAATTCTCGGATGCCTCTTTAAGTATAACAGCGTCCTCTTTAAGCATCTGCTGAAATTTCGATGCCTGATTCTTTAACGATGATACCATCAAGGGCAAGGACTCTATCATTTCTTGTTGAAATGACTCGTGCTTTTCATTTTGAATTTGAGCGCTGTGGATGGAATCTAATTGCGAGGGCTCATTTCTCGTTGATAGTAATCGCTGCCGAAGAGAATCAATAGGTTCATCATTTTCAGGGGAAATGATTTGAATCGCGTGTAATGGTTCTCGATTGTTTGACTTTTCGACACTGACTTCACCGATCTCAGAAGTAGGTGAACACTGTACATTGCGTGATCGGATCTTCAAGTTCAGCTCAAACTCTATGTCCAAAAGTGATTTGTGTATTCTGTGGTATTCGGATATGACTTCTGTAGGTTTGTTCTCTGATGTAAAAGAGTGCCTGCGTACTGAATTCATCACACTTACCAGTCTTTTGACACTTAGGTAAGCAGAAAGTAGATCTTTATTGTTGGCGTTACGACCTTGTAGTTCATCCGTCTCACTAATAAGTTGTGAGAGCATGACACTTTCAGAAGTGGACATTCCTGTTAAGATTTGAACAAATTTAAAGCACAAAAATTATAGTTTGTGGTATATTAATGAAAATGTTTAGCTGTCGAAGCAAGCTGATAATTGACCGCATAAAGTATTTGCAAAAAGCTTTTCATCATTATGACGGAACTCCAAAATCTCTGGCCCATTCCGATCTGGGACGGACTGCTCTTGATAAAGAAATCACGAGTGTGGAATTGGCTTATGAACGGTATTCGCCAAGATCGCCAACTACAAACAATCCCATCATTTTTTTACATGGTCTGTTTGGTTCAAAGACGAATAATAGGACCGTTTCAAAACAGCTAGTCAATACCTTGGATAGGGATGTTTATTGCTTGGATCTAAGAAATCATGGAGATTCGCCTCATAGTGAAAGACATGATTATCCTTCGCTAGCCGCCGACGTCGAACGATTTGTAGAAGATCATGACTTGATTGACCCCATACTTATAGGGCATTCTATGGGGGCCAAAACTGCAATGGCAGTATGCCTGCGGAGACCTGAATTGTGTTCCATGTTGGTCTCCATTGATAATGCACCTGTAGATTTTACGGCGGGTGGCACGGGATTCAGCAAGTTTGGAATCTACATCAAGCAACTCAAGAAGATACAAGGCGACCCATCTTTGAAAAGCCTTAAAGACTGTGACAATATTCTGGCGCAGGTGGAATCAAATCCAGCTGTGAGACAGTTTTTGTTGACAAACATCAAAAGATCGGTGAATCAATTCACGAGCAGAGTCCCACTGGATATTTTAGCAAAGAGTCTTGATAATATATCAGGATGGCCTTTCAATTACGAAATATCAAGATGGACAAGGCCTGCTTTATTCATTCGTGGAAAGCAAAGCCCCTACATAGCTGATGAATATCTCGCCTCGGTTGGGCTATTCTTTCCTAACTTTGTTGTGAAAGATGTTGATGCGGGCCATTGGTTGATCAGCGAAAAGCCCAAGGAGTTTGTTTCATTGGTAACAAATTGGGTACAGACTGCGGAAGATCGATAATCTCATCTCAGGGCGAGAACTTAATATAGACGCATCCTTACACCACGAGGTTTCGCTTCCGAGTCGATCTTTCAAAATGCTTCGGGTAATAGAAGTCCAATTCTGTTTGACTAACGGTTCGTTGAAATGTAGTCTGTCGAGTGCCACTATTGACCTCAGGTGATGTCTCTATATTGACATCGTGGTTAGACAATTTGTAAATACGTGCTCCGCTTTTCAGTTTTCCCAAATTAGCGAGCTACAATTTTTTAGGGCAGTCAGTCGAAGTATCAATTATACCCAGCGTAGAGTTTTTTTTTTAGCTTTGTTTCCTTTTGAATTCTACAACTCATAAAATGCTGAGATCTTATCAATGCAGATTGTTTTCTTCGGCTAAAGTACTGGCTGAGGCTAGTCAAAGTAAGTACCGGAATTTTACGCTCCAGTTCAAAATCTAACCAACAAAGAAAAACACGATATCCTTGTCATTGGAGGGGGCCCAGGAGGTTATGTAGCAGCAATCAAGGCTGCCCAGTTGGGATTCGATACAGCCTGTGTCGAGAAGAGGGGCAGGCTTGGTGGAACGTGTCTCAATGTTGGATGTATCCCCTCCAAAGCCCTGCTTAACAATTCGCATCTGTTTCATCAAATTCAACATGAGTCCAAGTCAAGGGGGATTGATATAAAGGGTGATGTCAGTGTTAATCTTCCTAAATTCATGGATGCAAAAGATAAAGTTGTTGCCCAATTAACCGGTGGAATTGAAATGTTGTTCAAAAAGTATGGTGTTAAATATTATAAGGGTGCAGCTTCGTTTGTTGATGAGCACAGTGTCAATGTTGACCCAATTGAGGACGGTGAGAAGGCTGTTGTCAAAGCTGACAACATCATCATTGCAACTGGTTCCGAGGCGACGCCATTCCCAGGCATTGAAATTGATGAAGAAAGAATAGTCTCCTCAACTGGTTGTCTTTCTTTGTCTGAAGTTCCTAAAAGGCTGGTGATCATAGGCGGTGGTATCATTGGCTTGGAGATGGGTTCCGTTTGGTCAAGGTTGGGCTCGCAAGTTACCGTTCTGGAATTCCAAAATGCTATTGGTGCAGGAATGGACGGAGAGGTTTCGAAAGCAACACAGAAGTTCTTGACCAAGCAAGGTTTGAAATTCAAGCTTGGAGCAAAAGTCACGAAAGGTGTTAGAGAAGGTGAAGTGGTCAAAATCGAGTATGAAGACACGAAGAGCGGAAAGACCGAGGCTTTGGAGGCAGATGTTCTACTGGTTGCAGTCGGTAGGAGACCATACCTTAAAGGTCTGAATGCGGAAGCTATTGGCCTAGATATCGAGAAGAGAGGAAGAGTTGTGATTGACTCGCAGTTTAAGACCAAATTTGACCACATCAGATGTATTGGCGATGTGACCTTCGGCCCAATGTTGGCACACAAGGCAGAAGAGGAGGGCATTGCTGCTGTGGAATACATCAAAAATGGACACGGGCATGTCAATTATGCTAACATTCCTGCAGTTATGTATTCTCATCCTGAGGTTGCCTGGGTTGGGCAAACTGAGGAACAACTGAAGGAGGCAGGTATCAAGTATAAGGTTGGCAAATTTCCTTTCATTGCAAACTCCAGAGCCAAAACCAACATGGATACTGAAGGCTTCGTCAAATTTATTGCTGATGCCGAGACCGAAAGGGTTTTGGGATGTCATATCATTGGCCCAAATGCGGGAGAAATGATAGCAGAGGCCGGTTTAGCACTTGAGTACGGTGCGTCCACGGAAGACATTGCTAGAGTCTGTCATGCCCATCCAACATTGTCGGAGGCCTTCAAGGAGGCAGCTGGATCGGTTTTTGGTAAACCTATTAACTTTTGAAGTAAACTTTTAACGTTGGAAGTCTCAGTCTTTCAATTTTGTTTTCTTATCTACTATATCATTACAAGTATTATAGAGGAGGCTAAGAGTACCTGTTTGGAACTAAAAATTCATTGCACCAAATTGTAATCATGAGCTAGCTTAGAATGTTTCGTAAATTTGAATCGAACTGTTGAAACTGGAATAGAAATCTTGTCAAGGCAATTTCATTGACAAAGAGGTTGAAGTTTAGTAGATAAAGCAAGTTCAGCTCCAACTTGAATAGCTCTTCCACACTTTGAAGTCCGGTCACTTTGCAATAATAGCTTTGCTTGAAGTTTTTGTCTTCGATCAATTTAAGAGATAAGCGCAGGACACTAAGCACAAGCCTGAACGCATTTAAGTCATTTATTTGAAGCATTGTAGTTTCACATGCAAACCCTTCAGGTGTTTGAGGTTGCTTTAAAGGAAGGAGTGATGAGGATAAAGGAGCCTTCAAGTTGAAAGTCAAATGGAATAAATAATATGCGGAGGTCAAAAGCGTAGCCGTAGATAGATTTGCATAGTGATGTATTCGCTCAAGGTATCTCGGTATTTGAAGTGAGGGTGCTTTTTTAAGATAAAATTTTCTGAGAGTCGTTGGCCCTGTATCTGGTAAACTCCTACAAAGAACGTAACGGTCAAGTCTTTGGTCGTTCGTTTTCATATCGTCTGGAGAGTGGCCTAAAACTTCGCCATTCTTCAAGCCTGTAGCTCCGGTTTCTGCGGCAGCTGAAAAGTTGCCAAAATTCAACCTTAGTTTGGAACTGATTTTCAATGGTACTTCATACCTTTCTCTATCTTGCTGTATATCTTGATCGCTTTCAAATTGTTTATTCAGTACTACCTCCTGCACCGCTTCTTGTGTCATTGAATGAGGTAAATTCGGCCCCTTGCCATGACTTCTGGTGGGCGTAAATAAAAGAAAGTCTAGATCTACGCTGGGCTTTCTCGATGTCAATTTACTCAACTGGACAAGGTCATCGATCAATCGGTTAAAAATCGCTAAAGCTTCTATGGGTGCAAGCTCTTCGAGATTTTTGCAATGATTGACTTTTGTATGGAGGATCCATTCTACCTCAATGTCTTGTATTGACTGTGTTCCATTCCCTATTGCGTCACTTGGATCAATGCCTGTATTAGATGAATGGCCCGCAGATTGCAAATCATTTTCCTTCATTGGCTCATCTGATTCCACAAACGTGGGAACCTGGGGCTTAAGCTTTATGTCCATTGGTACAAGTAGATGAGGCTTCTAGCGACCAAAGCGTGTTCTGAAGCTTTGCTCTGAAATATAGCTCTTTGTGTCACAACAAAATTATAATGTGTATAGAAAATCTAGTTTTTATCCTTTGAATTAAATCGGGTTTCAAGAAACTAATGTCACAAGCCTCAGTAACTCAGAAACCTTTTATTGATAAGAGCAAATTCTTATTATTACCGATATATTACATGAGTCAGTTATAGTTCGTCATGATCCCAATCATCCTCATCTTCGGCGTCACCCGTTGGAGGTGCGTCATACAATTTAGATGTGATAGGGTATGCGACCTTACTAAGCTTTTCTTTCTGTTCATCAAAGTCATCTTTGGTTGCCGTATCGAAATTATCCTCCAGAAACTCCAAAGCTTCGTTGATAGCATCCAGAAGAGTTTCTTTGTCATCTTCCTCAAGCTTAGCTCCAAAACCGCTTTCATCATTGATTTGATTTTTGAGAGAATGGGCATAATTCTCAAGTGTGTTCCTGCTTTCGACCTTCTCTCTCAACTCTTTGTCTTGTTGTGCAAACTTTTCAGCTTCCTCGATTTTCTTTTCAATTTCCTCCTTAGAAAGACGGCCCTTATCGTTAGTGATCGTGATAGAATTGGATTTCCCTGTTCCTTTATCCGTCGCAGAAACCTTTAAAATACCGTTAGAGTCAAGAGTGAACGTGACCTCAATTTGAGGAACGCCCCTTGGCGCAGGTGGTATACCTGTTAGTTCGAACTTTCCTAGCAGATTATTATCTTTGGCCATCGCTCTTTCACCTTCATAAACTTGGATTAAAACAACAGGCTGGTTATCAGCGGCCGTGGAAAATATTTGGGACTTTTGAGTAGGAATAGGAGTGTTCCGTTTGATCAATGTGGTCATAACCCCCCCAGAAGTCTCAATACCAAGAGTGAGCGGATTGACGTCGATTAACACGATGTCTTCAACTCCCTCCTCACCTGAAAGCACACCTCCCTGAACAGCAGCACCAAAGGCCACAGCCTCATCTGGATTGATGCCTTTAGAGATCTTTTTGCCATTGAAGAAATTTTCAATTAGCTCTTGAACTTTTGGAATTCGAGTCGATCCACCGACGAACACCACATCATCTATTTCATCTGGCTTCATTTTAGCGTCATCAAGGACCTGCTGCACTGGTTTCAAGGTTTTTTTGAATAGATCCATATTCAGCTCCTCAAACTTTGCTCTTGATAGAGACTCCGAGAAATCGATTCCATCTACGAAAGAATCGATCTCTATACGCGTCGACATTTGAGACGACAGTGTTCTCTTCGCTTTCTCAACCTCTCTCTTTAGTTTTGCCAATGCTTTTGAATTGTCACTGATGTCAATTCCATGCTTCTTCTTGAAAACTTTGATAAAGTGTCTAACAACCCTATAGTCGAAGTCCTCTCCCCCCAAATGAGTATCTCCGGCGGTAGCCAAAACTTCAAAAGCGCCACCAGCAATGGTGAGAAGAGAAACATCAAAAGTGCCTCCACCCAAATCATAAACTATAATATGCTTTTCCTCGTCTGTTTTATCCAAGCCATATGCAATAGCTGCTGCGGTTGGCTCATTGACAATTCTAAGTACCTCCAAACCAGCAATTGTTCCAGCATCCTTCGTTGCTTGTCTTTGTGCATCATTGAAGTAGGCTGGGACAGTAACGACTGCGTGAGTCACTTTTTTCCCAAGGTAGTCTTCTGCAATCTGTTTCATTTTACCCAAAATCATAGCGGAAATTTCTTCTGCTGTGAAAGTCTTAAGTTCCCCATTAACCTTTGCCTCCACGACAGGCCTACCATCCTGATCCTTAACTTTGTACGGCAAATGTTTGATTTCTTTCTGAATCACTTTGTCATCAAACCGATGGCCAATCAATCTTTTAATGTCAAAGATCGTATTGGTTGGGTTCGACGCAATTTGATTCTTGGCGGCATCACCCACCAACCTCTCTTCTTCTGTAAAAGCCACATAGGATGGTGTTATTCTATTACCTTGATCATTAGGAATGATTTCAACCCTTCCGGCCTTCATAACGCCAACGCATGAATATGTGGTACCGAGATCGATACCAATCACGGTTCCGTAATTTTCATTTGATTCTGCCTTAGCAAATTGCTGTGTTGTTAGTGGAAGAACCACTAGCAACAGAGCATAAATGATTGCAGCACACGAGAAAACCGATCTATTGAAACTTAACATTATCCTCGTTGAAAGGCAGATCAATTTTTGTGAACAAAGAGAAAATAATGCAACTGAAACCTTTCTTTCTATCTGATCGTTGTATAGCGTGGAAACACAAGAGTCGCTCCGTTACAAACAAGTTCCAAACACTGAAAAAACGTAACTCGCCTATCTTTCTCAGAGCTTTGGAAGATTGTGTATTACACAAAGTTCAAGAGCTATATATATTTGCGAATAAGTTACGTGTCGAATTTTCAGGAAATAGAAGTGTACATTTTATAAAAAAGGTGACACGCTGGCGTTATTGCAAAAAATTTAATTTTTGACGTCCGCAGTAGATTGTGAGAACAATTCAGTTGAGTGTCGATGGCAATACTTTCGCCTAAACGCCACTTCGAACGTTTGGCTCATACAACTACTGAGAGAGCTGAAATATTTAGAGATGATTTACTAGGGATCATCACAAAGTGCCAGTAGCTAATTGGCGGAAAATTCTAGCATTCTGGTGTTTTATATTGATGAATCAGATATGGCAAGCTAGCTCTAGCTCAGCTGTGTGTAGAGTGGCAATTGTCTCGAAAAATATTAGCATTGTTTTATGTAAGGATGTAATGGATGTAAGTCATTGTCGTCTTTCTTTGTACGACTTTGAGGGTGATAGATAAAATACGTAGTTCCAGTTCTCAGATAGGTGTAGGTTTACGGGCAGCGTGTAACTCACAAATTGTGTGTTATTCGAGCCAATTTACCAGTAGTATGATGATATTGGTTGATATACTCCGCTGTGAAGGGCAATGAAGAACTATGAGACACTCACTATACTGTTCAAGTCGGCAAGCAAGGGTAAAAATAGAGTCAAGACAATGTTTGCCTGCAGAGCGTTAATAATGAATGATGTATGTGCCTATCGGGGGATCATGCGTGACTGATATTCCACCCTCAACAAAACACCCATTTCGTATACCAATGTTTGTTTGGGCTAGGCGTATGCTATTAGTCGTTTCCTTGCTAAAGGGTTCCTTCCACTACCAAAAAACAATTCGTGTACGGTTCTGCTCATTGGGCAATATATGACAACTTGGAACGTTGGCAAATTACTTCCAAAACCAGATTCTTCACTACAACGTTATTGCATAATACAGTGTAGCGTATCACGATAGCAGAATTGTTTCGAATACTTCCTTGTTTCTTTGCATGAGAGAATTCGTGAATTAGGACCGGCTGACTGCCAATGATTCCAAAGAGTTTTTGAACCAAACCAACTCCTACAGGCAATAAACTTTTGGCGTTTCTGGTTGAAAGAGGGTAGTATATTTATGCGAGACTCATCTTTTGGTGGTCACTCTATGGCTTCCAGTGTCGTGTTTGTGGGTTTGGTCGTCTGATAAGACTCTTTTACAATTGAGACTTTACCTACTAAATCGGTGATAAAATCTACATCTCATTTCAAAAAGGGGTTTGTCCCAAGTGATGCAACATTGTTTGCCTCATAGGACAGAAGGGTCAAGTTGCATAGAGCCTTCACCACTTTTGTGTTATTTCCTGAGCTTGAAAAATTTATGTTGGCAATTGAAGTGTCATCTCGTCGTATCTTTCGCGATATAATCATCAAATTAGCTTATCCGAGTACTTCAAATTTTAGTTCTTGGCTGTGTTGATACAAGGAAAAAAAATTTGATACCTAAAATCTTTTCGAGTCACGTAGAGATTATGGGATTAAAGACCAAGGAAAGGCTTTCGACGAGCTATAGAAAAGATACCTTTGATATTGATCACATTTCAACAATATCGGATAGTGATGAGGAAGTTCCAAACCTAGATGAAAGTAGTGAAGAAGACACTTTGGAAAATAATGAAGAATCAAACTTGAAAATCACCAAGAGCAGCAAAAGTACTCAGCATCAAAGGAACGACTTCAATGGGAGCTTTGCTTTTGCTTTGAATTATAATGGTGAAGAGGAAAAGAGCTTTGATGGATGGAATTTTGAGGTAGAAGGGAAGGAAAGCTCTATAAACAAAGACGTAGATCTTGATAACATAATCAAGAGAAAAGGAGGACTTTCTGGCAACATTTTGGAATTGGAACGCAAACATATTGAGCAGCAAGAGGTGCAAGGAGGGAGCCATAGTTCCGATGAAGAGCTAGCTTTTGATGGTTTTGGGATGGGGGTTTCCCACAGTGAAGTCACCGAACCTAGCGACACTGGCAGTGATAATGATACAGAAACCTCTGCTAGCAGTGACGACGAATCGGGCGCTGTTCACCAAGTTGAGGACAACTCAGATACCCATTTGAATGTTGGCACCACTTCTGAAAATAAGATAGATGGTAATGAGATAGCAAGCGAAAATGCGGACTCTCCAGATGCTATAGCTAGCTATTTTGCTTCTGATGAACAATCGAAATCTCTCCAACCCGAGCATCAAAGTTTTCAATCACTCAAGCTTTCGAGACCAATTTTGAAGGCGTTATCAGTTTTGGGGTACAGCAAACCTTCTGCAATTCAAAGTGCTTCAATACCTATCGCTTTGTTGGGTAAAGACATCGTTGCAGGTGCGGTCACGGGATCTGGCAAAACAGCAGCTTACATGATTCCTATTGTTGAAAGATTACTGTACAAGCCTTCCAAGATGCCATCTACGAGAGTCATTGTGTTAGCTCCTACAAGAGAACTTGCTATTCAGGTGGCGGATGTGGGCAAGAAAATTGGTCAATTTGTCAATGGATTGACATTCGGTTTAGCTGTGGGTGGCTTAAATTTAAGGCAACAGGAGCAGGAATTGAAAAAGAGGCCAGATATAGTTATTGCAACCCCAGGACGGTTGATTGACCACATTAGAAATTCGGTTTCTTTCAATGTAGATTCCGTGGAAGTTCTTGTGTTTGATGAAGCAGATAGAATGTTGGAAGAGGGTTTTCAGAAGGAGCTCACTGAAATTCTTTCTCTTCTCCCTTTGAACCGTCAAACAATGCTCTTCTCGGCGACAATGAACTCAAGAATTAAATCACTCATTCAGCTTTCTCTCAAAAAACCAGTTAGAATAATGATAGGAGCACCAAAGGCGGCAGCTTCTGAGTTGGTTCAGGAGTTCGTGAGGATCAGAAAACGTGAAAGTTCAAAACCTGCATTGCTGTTCAGCATTCTTTCTGAGATGGACGGTATACACAGCAGAGTTATTGTGTTTGTGTCAAGGAAAGAGATGGCACATCGATTACGGATATCTTTAGGCCTTTTGGGTCTGAAGGTTTCTGAGCTACATGGTTCATTAACACAGGAGCAAAGGCTGAAAGCCGTTGTTGACTTCAAAAACTTGACTGTTCCAATACTCATTTGCACTGATCTTGCAGCAAGAGGCCTTGATATACCCAAAATCGAGCTTGTCATAAATTTCGACATGCCAAAGACATACGAGATCTATTTACATAGGGTTGGAAGAACTGCTAGAGCAGGTAGAAAAGGATTGTCCATATCCTTCGTTGGCGAAAGTTCTCAGGACAGGAATATAGTGAAAGAAGCCATCAAACAGGTTGAGACTGAAAATGCCGGAAAAGCCATTGGAAGAAATGTTAGTTGGGAAAATGTTGAAAAGATTCATAGCATTCTGCAAGGAAAAGAATCTGTTATATCCGATATTTTAAATGAGGAAAAGCAGGAAAAGGAGCTTCTCAAGGCCGAGCAAGAAATCAAAAAAGGCGAAAACATATTGAATTTTGAGCACGAAATTAAGTCAAGACCCAAGCGAACCTGGTTTATGACCTCACAGCAGAAGAAAAAGGAATCAGACAAGCTGAGTTTGGAAAATCAGAAAGATAAAAAACTGAACAGCAAGAAACGTAAAGCGCTAGAAGCACAGGAAAATTCTGAACGAGTCTATAAGAAGACAAAAAGCGATCGCTTACAATCGAACTCCTCGTCAAGGAAACCGAAAAGTAAAAGTGGCAAGCATTAAGGATATACATATTAGGTCGCTTCATGACATCAATTGAAGTAGAACCTGCTATTCATGTCAATCATATCTTTTGATAAGTCTGGTTCTTCGGTGCTCACGAATGCATTGTTGTCATGAGCCACCTGATCAATTCCTTCGATTGCAAGCTCAAGGAATTGTGCTTGTTTTCTTATGCTCGAAAGCCAGTTAATCTGTTGCTCCGTATCATGTGATAGTCTTGTCGAGTCTGAAAGCAGCATCCGGAGACCATCCAACCAGATATACAAGTCATCGATCGTGTTGACATAAAACGAAAACAGTCCGTTGCTTTTGACTCTGATGTCTATCCGATTGACCTGCAATCGAGAGTCAATGCTAATCAGATTCGAGCTCTCGATGATTCTCGTAAGTGGCTGGTAAGTAATATCCGAAATTTGACTGAATTCAATCTTTGCTCCATCCTTATCAATATCAGGTTTTTTGTCTGGCTTCTTAGAAAATTCTTTATAAAGAATCGCTTTGTGATTTGTGGACAATATAATGAAGAAGTAAGATGAGGATTTGCTACTTCCGTGTGGATTCATTGGGTTTTCTGAGAAGACCCAGGTCCCTTTCGAAAGCATCATTAAATGTTGATCCTTGACAAATTCAATTGTCTCGTCGTATATTTTTCCGTTGTAGTCATCACTATTTTTCTGCCACCACTCTTGACAATCTTTTGCTATCTTTTTCATTTCAATAGGTTTGAATGTATCGTAGTCAATGTTTCTAAGACTACATATTGCATCTTCAAATTTTGTAACTTTCACCAGATAATGAAAGTAATCGAATAGGTGAGTCACATGATGAAGCAATACAGGTAAATCATTTGCGTCGGCTTTGGATGAATCCCAGAACCTTATAGAACACAGGAAGAGTACTTCAAAGAGCTCTTCACTAAATTGGATTGGCATACTAATAAGCCTGCCGTGCGAGATATTATCAGGCTCCATTGCTGAGGTGATCCCTTTAGCTAATTCAAACAAAGAGCATGGAGGCATCCGATTCTCGAATAGTTGGTGCTCGGTAAACTGCTTTTTGAAAGCCATACCTGGACTGGAAAACAAGGAAATGACATGAACAGCCGACAGTAAGGTCAAGTTTGAAACATCACCCAAATTCTCCTGGCTGTTAAGTGCTTGTTCAGAAACCTCTTCATAACTAAGTCCTTCATTGAAATGCATTACTGCTATTTGAACGTTGCTTATGAGCTTTGAGTGCGTGCTATCATCGGGGTCAATCGTGCTGTTCAAAAGATATGTGTGAACGAGCTTCGTAATCTTCATAAAGTGTTTCCAATTTTGATTCCGTGTCAACTCGTCCTCATATACAACTGGAATCTTGCATAGACTTGAAAACGTGTTTTGTTCCATTAGCTTTGCCACGAATCTGGTCAGGAGCTCATCATTTTGCATCTCAAAAAGACGTAGTAAGAATTTTGAAAGTATACCAACGATGAGTAAGATACATGTTATATCTGATTCAGCTAGCTTATGACAAATCAGTTCCAAGACAGAGGGACCCGCTAACATGTGGTCCATTATTGAGATAAAGGTCGATTTTCTGCCCTGAAATGGACCTGAAAGAAAGTACAAGAAAATAGTAGCCAGTGATCTGATTAGCACCAAATCCTCGTCAGTAGTTGGACAGACTTTCATTAGTGATTGAAAGATACTCAGTGACAGATACTCGTCTAGCAATTCAGATTGTGGGGAGCACTCAAGAATCTTGGCGAGCGTTTTAGTGAAAGTAATGCTGTCATAATTCTCGTTGTTTGAGGCAACACTAGATAGCATTTTAAGGTACTTTTGGGCCATCCTTTCGTCTATACCTCCAACTTCCGATTGCAGACCTTCAAACTCGCTAAAAATCACATCACAATCTATTGACATTTTGAAGAAGTCACTTTGCTCACCAAAAAAATATTAGATGCAGACTGTTCATTCCCATAGAGTTAATGAAATCTTTACTTTTGGAAGACCCCAAAACATTTCACAGAATTTATACCTCTTTGATCTGAGTATTACTCCCTTTTTAACTGAAATTTGCATGACAGCAATATCAGGTACTTTCTCATGGTCGTAATGACCGATTGATTAGCATGCACTAGTGATAATAGCGTGAGTGGTCTTTGATGTCACGTTTGGCTGTTTTGGAGCGTTTGATATTGCGGAAACTTCTCTAGGTGCAGCAGGATATCTAGTATGGTTTTCCTTTCGTACTGATCATGTGACGATCTCAAGTTAACGTTTCTGCTCATGCCGCTATGACGTGATAATGGTAAGTGTTCAATATATCTCATGTCAACTAGTGGTAAATCCCACAAAACCCGGCCATTTTGCCTTCGACTTGATTCTCCTATGCCGTTTTGTGTTTAGTATTTGAATCTGCGACCTATTGATCTTTGCGGACTAAAAGTGAACAATTGGCTTCCGTACCTATATAGCTTCACTTTTGAAATGAATAGTAATTGCATTGCCATCAATGGACAATTACAAACTTATTACCCTACAAGCATTTTATGATGTATATGAGGAGAAATATGCATATTAGCGACATTATGGCTCTCTATTCATAAAACACACTATATCCTCAAGAAGGATTCTCGTTTTGTGAAGTGCAATCGTCGTCTTGATTCTGCAACCTTTGCTTTTCAGAGGCTTTCTCTTCGATGAGATTGTTTCGCATCACAGCCTCCATACGAAAATCTTCTTCGGTCGACAACATGTTGACGCATTCCCAGATTCGCTGTCCTGAATTCTCGTATCCTGTGACCTCACTCAGTCTATCTCTAAAATAATCAATGTCTCGCATTACTACTGCCTTTTCAACAGAATCTTTGAACCCTATTCTTGTGTAAATGTCAATAAGGGAGTGTTCGTATCCTCTGAAAATGCTGGATAGAACACGGACGTATTGCTCCTCAGGCAGATACCTTTGGAGAACCCTTGCAATTGTTAATGTCTCCTTAACTATGGTCTCCATATATTGATGCACATGTTGATGTTGAAGAAGTTTGGACCAATTGATTGATTTCATTTCAATTGCATGAACGTTGATCCTATCCGTCATCAGTGTTATTAGCTTGTCAAATATCTCTTCTTGATGATCATGAAAAATTTCTGCTACCTTCTGAAATTCTTCTTTGATATGGGCGTCGGTCCTTGGATACTTATTGAAAAATTGTTGAAGATACGGTGTTAAAGAAAACATAAATCCCACAAACTGGGATGCAACGGCGAGGTATTTGGGAGTAATGTGCTTTAGCCCTGCTGTACGTGTAGCTTGGGCCCCTAAAACAGCCTGGTGGCATTTCGAATTGACAAGTCTCAAAAACTCAATAATGTAATTATCGTTGGATGCACCAAACTTCATCTTGACTAGCAGGTATTCTTTTATCATTTTGAGAATGTCTGAAGTAATCTCAGGTACTATTATTGACTTTCGATCGATCACTATTGTTTTTCTTTCATTTGAAATTATCTGTGGTGTTTCTGACGTAGATATGGCACTAAGAATTGAATACGGCTCTAGCCAAAGGCGATCGTCGAAATCACTGGAAGAAGCACCTATAATTTCATTTAGAAGCACCTGCGTTGTAGAGGAAATGGTGCATTCTTTCCACGTTTCCTTCTCTATCAGTTGAGATGCTATTCTCAGTGTGGTCCGGTGAAACTGTATATTAAATTTTCTAAGTTGGTTGGTCATAACGTCCTGCAGCGCTGACGTTCTCGAAGCACCACCTGAAATTAGCTCACATTCAACCAAGAACATTGCATTGAGGCTGAAAAATCTCATGAAATACTCAAGCGAGACAGAGGAATTCTGAGATTCACGAACGTTAATTATTTTCGCCATGCGTCTTTGCGTTATGTCAATCGACTCCGCTATCGCATTAGTCAAGTCGAAGTCCAAGGCCATATCTGGTTGATATTCCGTAAGGGAAGGGTCCAATGCAGCCAATGCATCTAATGCCATCCCCAATAGGACTTTTCTGTGAGTAGTCAAGCGACGTAAGGCTTCTGAGAGTTGTGTGTATGTTTTCGACAACAGGTCTTCAAATTCGCGAGGTGTCATTGTTTTCACCGTACTGGCCAGTCCCACTGAGCCATTACTTTGTGTAGATGTGCTCTTAGTGCCATCCGAAAGTCCTGAAATGCTGCCTTTTGTAAACTTGTCTGTATTTTCTGCAGGCAAATTGGCACGAATTATGCCTTTAAGTTCCAATAGAAACTTTTCTTGATACGTACTGAAAGCAGCCTTTAGCTCGCCACATCTTGCAAGACCATCTGAATACTCCTTCAATCGAGAAATAAAGTGCTCATCGAGATGCTCGTACTCCAAATTGATAGTGATCGCATCTGGGTTTTTCCCACGGCTCAAATTTTGATCTAACCTTCTCAACGTTTCGGTTTGTGAAATATGTTCGTAGTGGTTTCGGAGATCATTCATCAATGTGTCATTGAACATTTTCGAATAGGATTTCCCAGTATCAGCAATCAAATTGACAAGTAGTTTTTTCAAAGGAGTCAAAGCTGAGATCCTGTTCATATCAAGTAGCTGAAATGGCCATTTCTCAGCTATCGAGTCCACCAGATGATGTGTAGGGTTATTTCCCCGAATTAAAGCAAAAACAGAATCTGCAAGTTCTAACGCCTTGCCGTAATTGGCATTATAGTATGATGTCTCAGCCATATCTGCTTGATGCAAAATGGTGAAGATTTGAACCAAAGCCTGTTCCAACTTCTCAACATTTTTCCGCTTATGTGTTAAATCCAGTATTTCCATTGCTCTATTTGCCTGAAATTCTTCCACTGTTTGAAGTCGTGCGTCCAATTTTCGAAGCCTAGTGACTAGATTTTTGGACTTTGCGGTAGTATTCTTTAAATCATCAAGAGCGCTAAAGAAGGAGCCAGAAGATTTAGAAATTTCCCTAATCAACTGAACTTCAATGATGTCCAAATAGGACGACAAATTCTCCTGTAGTTCGTCACTTTCCAGTTTGAGTTTCTTAGTGCCGTCTGAATCGAAATCAGTTGTCTCATCTAAGATCGTTTTATTCTTGAGAATTTTAGAAAAGACTTTGGGATCATCCAGTCTGAATTCACTGTCAAAATAAACTTCTGGGATGTGAGACAATGAGTTCTGATCTAAGTCAGCTTCCTGTCTTTCATAGTCATCATATATGAACTTCTGATGTACAGTGTGTTCTTTAGTTTTGGTTTCCTCTTCACCTAGTCGACATATTAAAGCCTCGAGGGTTGATGCTGTCAACGTCTTATTCTTTTTGAACTTGAGATAGTCTTTTTCAATGAATTCTGAGTGCATCTTCAACTGAGGGGACTTAATCTTTTCAATTTTTGTTAAATGAGTACTTGGTATATCCCTGTTGGTGGGACCCTTCAGGTTCACCAGAGCTTGTACACTGCCAAGAAGAAGCTGCCCGGAACTGGTGCCTCGCTTATTGTAATTTATATTTTGGATAAGCTCGAAAATCGAGTTTTTTCCCAATGGAGATATGCTTGTTTCAGATAATGTATTCACGCCTAGCAGTATTGAAGATTCATGCTTTTGAGCAAGAGATGATAATGAAGAAGCAGAACCTTGATGATGATATGCCGCTCTCCAACTTGTAAATGACTGCGAGCCAGTATGGTCATGACCAAAACTAACAAGGTCATCATTCAGTCCTGGGGACGTATTACTGTCGATTGACTTTGTGATTCCGCTTCTTTCGTCAGTTGCCTCTACGTCCATGCTAACCGAGATTTGATTTGATGGCGAACTCCTACTTTCAATACCCAACTCGTTTGCCATTCCAATTGACTCACCAGTTGTGGATGACTCAGTAGAAAGCATAATTCTTTAGTATATCAACCATACGCTGTTCGATATTGAATCCTTGAAGATCCTCAAAATGCAAAAGTTTTAGACTCAAGAAAAGAACTTCAGTTGTCAGTTCGTAAATTGTACAGATACACAAAGAGGCACACTGGATTATGTAAGATTTTTTTTCACCTTGCAATAGCGCTTTATAACGTAATATATAGATAAGTATTTTTTAGCACGAGATCAAAGCGCAGCACTAAAAGTTGCAAGTCAAACTGGTCAACTCATATAAATAGCAAACGTTTGAAGTTAGAACTTATTTTGCCTTATCGGTTCTCTGGTATCGTAACCAGATATGTGCGTGGTGTGATGACTCTGGCTAGGAGCTGGGCTGCATTATACCATTCCTCAGAGGACAGGGCTATCTTACAGCTCTTAGTGGAAGAAAATGCTGTTGCCTTGTGAAAAACCATCACATAATACCTAGATGATGTGCTTAGTCGCAAGATAGTATTAGTACTGTCATCCTGGTAACATAGATGAAGACTGTTATGGTTTAAGTGAATGATTATGTAATCATATGGATAATTAGGTAATTAACTAGAATTAATTATCTAATGATATTGAAGATGTTCTTATGTGAAACAGACCATATCGCTAGTTGTGCAAATTCTACAAGCTCACTGATTGCTATTTAAATACAGAGGCAGTTCTTAGCCGCGAGTAACAAGTCGCGGTGTGCGACAAGCAAGGCTATTTCATGTATTGTCTGATGATTATTTGATAACATTGAACTGTATGCATTAGTATACGTCACTATATATGAGTTGTTGCAGGACCACATCCTCCGAAAAAGGTGTGAATGTCGAACTGGAAAGACCTGTTGTGTGAATAATGGCTTTATTCGCTTTGCTAGCAGAATATATGTGTCTCCTTAGGTCATGGGAGTTAAGACTATCGTGATAACTTAGGTTCTTGAGACAGATCAGCTAGGCTTTGAAGCACGCTATGCTACAATCCGATACAATGATTCATATCTTAAAACTACATGAGGAGTGGAAAGCTACAACGGCGCAATATTAGGAAGGCAAAAATAAACGAGCTTCTGCAGCCAAGAGACTATTTAGATAACTGTTTATGGTTCCGATACCCACCTCCCACTATGTGAATGGACGTCGATGGGTTATGAGCCCTGGGGGCTGCTTTCGGAACATGAACAAATTATCAGGTTTGTATTAGTTGACTTCAAAATGCAATTCAACTCTCTTGGGTGGATTTGACTAAATGAACTTCATCTTGTGGGTTGCTGGCAAATATTCTCATTGACTTTGTTTGCCAGATAATCAATTATTCTACATGATGCCGAAAAGCAACGTAGCCTTCATCAAATGAATGTAAGCGTTTTTTGCATGAAAATGACTCTTAATTGCATCCCTGACTGTGATGGACTCACCAACAATCAAGATCGTTGTCAGCTATTAAACTATGAATGTCGAGACCATCAAGAACCTCAACTTTCATCTTACGTATGATAGACTCTAATTTGTGTCAGGGGCAATCCGTGCTGAACCTCACAACATAGAGCTGGCTTTAGATAAATTCAATTTTCCTGGCCAAAAAAAGTGGAAGCTGAATATCTCCTCCCCTTTGGAAATTTGTGTGGCCCTTTTTTTGTTTACGGGCCAAAAATTAGTGCAAGCTGAGCGTTTGAATTTCAGTTCGTCCCACCGAGTTTGCTTTTGAATATAGGCACCGAATGGTCCAACCTATAACCCCAGACCTCTCTGCTAATAGGTATACTATCAAAGCACTTTCAAATAACTGAGCACCAAGAAAAAGAAAAGCAACAATCGTTTCTGAAAAAAAAAAACCTTACAACTGTTATATGCGTAGAATGTCAACAGAAAAAGACAAATATCATCGAAACGCTCTTTTCCAGATCAAATCCCAGAAAGAGTGCATTTTGTAGCTGATAGATTATAATGTGACAACGATGTTATGCATAGAGTGAGTCTTGTATCAATCAGTTCAAAATCGATAATGCCTGCCATTTTATCTCGTGGAGAAGAAACTCTTCTATTTCGGCTCCAAAAGGGCTATTTACTGTTGAGATTTTGTTTTGATAAGTGTAATGTCTACAGTCAATGTTCTTCCTTCAATAGTGTGACTATGTATCAGATAGTTAATATCTTTGGTATACCTAAGTCCCTCACTTATAAGTGGGATATGACACACCCTTATATATTATTTGGTTAGTCTCAAATGTGATTCAGATTTGTATCATCTGGATCTGATGCACATACTATGCATGTGCTAAGACCCACAAACCTTCATATCAGGATAAGCCGCACAGCCATGATATAATCTACGACTATCTTATCTCAACATAACTCCACTTCATAGATACTGGCGAAGAAAACATAGTTGGATAATAGCGTTGCTTGTTTTTGATAATGTAGTCACGCATTTATCCCCGGTTGGACGCTATGCAGCTAATAAGTATGATATGAAGAATAATTTGATGATGCATCTCTAATTGATTTCTAACACTAAAAGTACAATACGAGAAACTACATCTGTATGACCTCATTCAAGATTCATTGCATTTTACGATACAGGTACCAGATAGCTCGGAAGCAGGAATCGTGATGAAAGCGAATATTATTTCCAATAACTAAACTTAATACTGATGAAATCGGCTTCCAAGATTATATCATGATATCACGGGACTATATCACCTCTATGTATTCTTCGACAAATATAAGTGCCGGGTGTTGCGTGAGCTTTTGTTTGATTTATGAGTAAGATATAATAGCATCGGATATGAGAGGGGATAATTTACCTTTAACACTCGCACGACTATCCTCAATAGTTTATTTACAACAAAAATTTCCAACAAGATCAAAAATTCAAAAGCTGGCTCATTAGTCTGATAATCAGAAATAAACATTCCAACCGTTTATCCTTGCTCTTTTTTGAAACAACCTTAATCGTGACAGTGTAATTCCTGTCGTCTAAGGACCGCGTGCAAACATCATGTCGATTGTCAGATTGTTGGTACTAATATTTATCTGTCACGAAATTCTCGTATTTTGGGATGCTAGAAATAAAGCCTCCTTTGCTAAAGTCGTCGCATAAATCGACAGACTTCACGCAACGCACCGTTATAGCTCCTTCCAGCTCAAGTCTGTGCGCTTGGCAATGGGCACTTGCCAGTTGAAAAAGTAAAGGATCTGTTTCATAAAAGAAGCATGGATTAAGCGTTGGAATGTTCATATCTGATCAATTGACTAATGAGTCTGCTTTAGAGCTTCTGATATTGTGTCGAGGAAATCTCTTGTGAGTAAGTGCTCAATGATTCCGTACAGAAGTATATAGGTGACATCTTTTCATATCGAGCATGAATTAATTTACATCATATATATTTGAGCCGCAAACCTTTCAATCCGAAATTAAATGCATCATTGCATCATCACAGCATAACTTACTGGTCAGAAGCGATTAATGAATTTCCAGTGCTGGAACTGTTATCTGCTCGACTTTCGAGCTGCATATAGCTAAATCGAGTATTTTAACTCAGTGATTTCCAAGATAAGACCAGATCTATATAATTGTTGCTCAAGGTCATGCAGCCCAGTGGCCAAATTATTGTTGATCTAAACCTCCCTTGCTTGCCATGCACGTAAGTTCCCATTGAACATTACTTGGGATTTCAAAGACTGCAAGTAGGGGTACAACTGGAAAGGTTAATACTGTTTAATACCCCCTATGAACCCAACATTAATAAGCACTGGCTCAAGACCAGAGGGAAAGGATGGTATGTAATTACCAAAAATCGTGAACTCTTCGATAATGAATGCTATTCCGTTCAAAGATATGTCGCAGATCAACTAATACGAAAGATTACCATAATACGCATCACGCTACTGCGGGATACAAAATTGCAAGCTAAGGGATACATAAGAGAGATGCGGAGGGGGGGGGGGGGAGTTGCCACGAGCAAGCTTAATTGCTGAAATTCATCTATATCGTAGGTACATAAATCGAAGCTAACATTTTCAGCGAAACAAAACTATTCCCGATAACTAAGCACCAATAAGCTCCCCTTTGATAGACGTTATCTTTGGGTGACCTGACCCCTCATATCACACTATTCATAGATATGCAGAAGGGCTGTTGCTTGTATCAGATCGAAGAAAAAAAGCGCTTTAGGAGCTACTACATAGGTGTTTTAGGGGTTGGTAGGAGTGTTGAGTGTTCATTCCAAATTGATTGACTAGTGGGTTTCAGCTAGAATTTGAATTTCATATTAAGGTATGTCGATCAGGGAACATCTGTGTGTATTGATGCCCAATTAGCCTCTACGGAAATATCTGCTTCTATAATGTTTTAGGCATCATAAGATGCACTTCAAGGTAGTCTTTCAGAAACTTGACAAACGTCAATTATTCATACATATATGAGCCGCATGTCCATTGACTTGGAATAAAATGCGTGACTATATTATGGCACCATATGTATATATTAGAAACGGAAAGGGTGGTTTTATTTGACGCCTTTACTTGATGTTTGCCCTCCTACAATTCTTTCTCCACTAAAGGAAATATATTCTAGGAAATTTAAAGAATGCGAGGGGGGGGGACTAACATCTGCCTCCTACCTAAATCCCGATCATTTGGATGGATTCCCACAATATTGAATAGACTGATTTAAGAGCATTTGTATCAGCTCTATCAGCTCTTAAATTGCATCACCTGTGAATATATGAACTTTCCCATCTTTTCAGTTCTATATAGATTGGAGTCAAAAATCTTAAACACTAAAACAGATTTTATCTTCAATAACTAAGCGTCCTACAAAGCTGCTTCCTCAGAAATTAAAGGATCACACCCATTTACAAGTTCATTTCAAGGAGGATGAAACTTGAGTGACAGAGAAGTTCGTCTAGCTATATCACAGTATTTTATCTTTACAAGTATGACTGACTATCGCAACGGGTAGTTAAGCATTATGGATGAGAATAGAAATGCGACAACAGCAATTGGGAATATTGCTGAAAGATACCTAGAGATCCTGGGTACTAGACTGCTCAGAGGCACACAACACGTATCTCAGAGGACTCTAATGCGCTATTTATGGACTCCGGTAGGTGTGGGGAGCTAATCTTAGTTAAGGCTTTAATAGCAGAGGTTGAAAATATACTCCATTGAGGAAAACTGATATTCCTGAAGGATCCAAATCCATACTCAATATGAATAGGAGATTCACATTGTATCCCGATCTAAGAGAATGATGCTCTACATATACATGACAAAAAGGGTATTGTTTCAACTCAAACAAAATTTGTGAAGCTCGAAAAACCAATTAGATCCTGGGGTCTGTATGGCTAAATCGACTATGTATGCTAAACAGGTCGTGCAAGAGTCAAAGATAAGATTTCGGAGTTTGATAAGACGATAGCCTGTTATCATCATGCTTAGTCCTCTATTTGGAATGTAAAACAGGGGCTCGCTCAACACCTCGTGGCTAGTTGTATTGATAAAGCATTTGTCAGAACGATAAACTTTCTCCGAGATAATACGACGTTAGAGTTGATGCGGTTATTGAGAATACCTTTCGTGCCATTTAAGATGTCTACTGCAATCCCTATGTGTAATAATATCTAGATTGTATTCAGCATATAATATATATGGATTTAACTCAACATGGTTGCCTGGTCAATAATACGGGAAAGTAAAAAATTGAGGTAAAGTTGCATACTCAAAACCCAACCAACCAATGGAGGGTATGGATGACAAAGGGACAGTCTAAATATGCAATTCAACTCCAGCTATCTTTGATAAGAGTTAACTTAGCGAAAGGTGTTGAAACTTTGTTTTGATAAGTGTATTGTCTACAGTCATTGTTCTTCCTTCAATAGTGTGACTATGTATCAGATAGTTAATATCTTTGGTATACCTTAGTCCCCCACTTAAAAGTCGGATATTACACACCCTTATATATTATTTAGTTAGTCTCATATGCATTCTCAAATTTGTATCATCTGAGAATGTGCTCACACTATGCATGCGCTAAGACCCACAAACCTTCATATCAGGATAAGCCGCACAGCCATGATATAGTCTATGACTAGCTTATCTGAACAAAAGGAAAATTCTGTCACTTGATCTCGTTGGATAGAGTCATGCCAATGCGAGCAACAACTTATTACATATATTGAAAGAGATGAATGATAAAGTGGGAACTTCCCTGATATCTCTGGCTATGTTATCAGATCACAATAAAATATGATCAATAAACACACTATGCAACTTTCGAAAACATTACAATAGATATCGAATGAGTTGAAGTTGCCCTGGTGAAAAGTACGGAAACATAAGCCTAAAAGAGATTAGAATCTCATTGCGTATATCTCCTACTATGTTGTCTTCCAGACCACATATATATTAGATGGGGAAACTGCAGCATGAACGGGCAAGGCCTAGTAATTGAATGTGACGCTCATAAGCTAGTAGGGTGCAACAATAATCTGCAACATTAATCTAGCGACTTCTTGATATACAGCTGAATTTATATTTTTATCGCCTTTGTTCCATGCTGACCTAGACGCCTCGAAAACCCATCTTACCTCTGGAGTGGCTTCATGGTAAGAGCTGGCAAATTAGTTTAACAGTTTGAATTAACGATCGGGTTCTGCACGATGGAAAGTCTTAGAGGTAGGCTCATAAACCCCTACTTCCTGATATATACCGAGAAAAGTAGTATAGGATTTGAAACCCCAAATTGTAGTTCCGCAGTCGAGCATTTGTTCTTTTTTCGCAGAGTTTTTTTCACATCTCAAGTATGAGCCACAGACCTGCCAAGCTTCTCAAATTCTATGCTAGTGAATTGGTTGACTGCTTTGCGTTTTTTAAGTTTCGGTGAAACTCAAACGACTGCATGTGTTCGTAATTATATCAACTTGCCTTACTGAAGTTTTTTATATGACTTTTGCCGTTTTGATAGGCGGTTAGTCTTTTGTGATGTGTTCGTTAGCCATACAACAGGATTTTAAGGACTTTCATTATGTGTTGTTCGTAACATAGTCACGCATTTTATTCCAAGTCAATGGACATGCGGCTCATATATGTATGAATAATTGACGTTTGTCAAGTTTCTGAAAGACTACCTTGAAGTGCATCTTATGATGCCTAAAACATTATAGAAGCAGATATTTCCGTAGAGGCTAATTGGGCAACAATACACACAGTGTTGAGATAAGCTAGTCATAGACTATATCATGGCTGTGCGGCTTATCCTGATATGAAGGTTTGTGGGTCTTAGCGCATGCATAGTGTGAGCACATTCTCAGATGATACAAATTTGAGAATGCATATGAGACTAACTAAATAATATATAAGGGTGTGTAATATCCGACTTTTAAGTGGGGGACTTAGGTATACCAAAGATATTAACTATCTGATACATAGTCACACTATTGAAGGAAGAATGACTGTAGACATTACACTTATCAAAAACAAAGTTTCAACGTTCCCAACATACAGCTAATAAAAATAATTGCTACAAAGGACTGTTTATAAAGGACTATTGTATTATTTGGAAGAAGAAATGAGCGTGATTAGAAGGCTTCATCGTTTGATTTGCTGATACCACGGTGATGTTACTTTATATCTAGGTTTTGAAGCTATGCGGATCATTACATATTTCTAGTGTGATTTTATTGCTCGTTGAATAGTTAAAACCAGACCTAGTAAATTTAGCTGGTTCTCACCAAACTACGGCAAATTAGTACTGTAGGAAAACCAAGTTGAACAATAAGAACAATATTTGAAACAAGATTTCAATAGATATGGTTCTCTAGTGCTTTTTATTGTGTAAGTAACTTTGTATTCCTCGCCATGATATAATTAAAGCCTACGGACAAAGAGTCTTTTGATAAAGGCAAGTGATTTCAAACCCCTTGAGAGTATGTTCCAGACTCGATATAAACAAATTTGCTTAACAGAAGAAATCCTAGAATTTAGCATCACCTAAGAGGGAGTGTCTATTAGGGTACAGACCCTTTTCACAGGGTTTCAATGGCTCAGCTCAAGTCAACGAGATTGCTCGAGGTTGCTCAAGAAGTTTGGGAATACTGCTTCACCCTGAACAACTCTTTTTTGATAGAATGTAGCTGTTGGAGTTGTTGAATCATATGATAGATGTGGTCAACTGCTGGAGTGCCAGCTTATACATGACTTGCTGATTTCAAGTATGCTTCCAAATTTTTCATTATATGTTAGAGATCTTTGATGGTGGCAATTCCCCAATAAACATATACAGAGTTGAAAGCCTACATAGAATTTTAGTTGAGAAACCTTAGCTCGACCGTAATCACGAACTTAATGTCTCATGTAATATGGTGTGCCGCACACACCCCAAACCAGGAATGAATACTTGAGTAGCTTGTAACTATTCCAAACTGTGGGAGGAAGTTGTTCATGACTTTGATAAGTATATAAAGGAAGTTTACGAAGATGAGTATGAAAAGGTTAACGGATTGAAGACAAAAGAAGATAAGATAATCTAGAGAAAACGGAAGCTCGAATAAAACTAGTAGACGAGGAAGAGGAAGAGCTTTGAATGTGAAAGAAAGACAAATCGTTAACCATTGAAATGACAGTCATATGACAGGTTGCTAGTTGAACTATTTAGTATTAATCAGACATTAGTTGAAAGCCATCTGAACCTTATAATAATATGCGCCAAATAAAGCTTTGAGTGCTCTGGTCGTCTGTTACTAGATCTTTTCAGGCCCAGCACGATCATAGCTAATTGAGTTGAATCGCGTTTTCCCAGAAACCTGCCAGGCTCAAAACTAATAAGGTTCGATCGTAAGGACCTAGAGATCTTGATGATCGAATGCTCAGAAGTGATGGTGCGCAAGTGATACAGCGGACCAGTTGGACAAAGCCATTTGATAGTGGAGTTAATTCAGTATGAACTAATGACAAAAGAGGATATACAGTTGATGATTGAGAACGTCGTGTCATACTTACCCTTCCATGATGGGTGTTCCCACTCGTTATCGATAAAAACAATTAATCATCTCTACTTTTTTATGCTATATTGCTTTACACAGTTGAGATTACAGAAATCTCTCTTTAGCTCAGTTGGAAGAGCATGAGACTGTAATGGAATAAGTAATCTCAGGGTCCCCGGTTCGATCCCGGGAGGGGAGATATTTTTTTGTTCAACATTTTTGATAAAAATACTAAGGGCTAACAACAATATGATAAATAGCTTATAGAATTTTTTCAGCTCGAAAATTGATACGACTCTCCTCATTCAACACGCTCTTTTTTTTTGTAATCGCAAGCAAGTATTAGGCATGGTGGACTCAGATGAAGAACTGTAAGTAAGACATACATTGAAGATCAATCCCGGTGACTAACAGAAAGTACTCTTTCTGCACATGCTTTGGCAGCATTAGTGGAATTTGAAAGCGAAGAAAATGAGCGTTTAGAGCGCTTCAAGACTCTTAGTGAAGAAGCAGACGCAGATTTCACCAAAAGATCACTTTTGTCGATTGATGATTTCAAGGAAGATTGGCAACTATCACAATTTTGGTACAGTGATCATACAGCTAATACACTTGCTGACGAGCTGCTTGATGGAGCTGACAACGAAACGATAATATGTATTGCTAGCGCTCCATCTGTATATGCAGCTATCCGGGCTCGCGAACCCAGTGAGCTCCCGACAAAAAACATCTATTTGCTGGAGTTTGATCGACGCTTCGAGATACTTTCAGGATCTAGATACTTTGGATACTTTGATTACAATCAACCTTATAATGTTCCTGAACACTTGAAAGGTAAATGTCACCGTCTTTTGATTGATCCGCCATTTTTGGAAGTTGAATGTCAGAGGAAATCCGCACTTGCAGCGAAGACATTATTACACCCGGAAAACAACCAAAAAACGAAGAAGGGTGAACTGAGGTATAAACTTATTACTTGTACGGGTGAGCGAATGGCTGATGTGGTTACTTCCTACTACCCAGATGTACACATGACTACTTTCTATCCGGAACACAAAAATGGATTAAGTAATGAGTTCAGATGCTATGCTTCATTTGAGGGCAAAGCATGGAAATTCGCATAGGTGAAGAAGAGAAGAACTACTCCAATCAAAACATCTGCGTTGACCCCTTGGTTCAGGATCTGCCTGTCGAAAATAGCGCATACCCTATGACGAAGAGTCTTGCGCCACACAATGTAGAATGCTTTGCCACTGATTTGGATAAAAAAAACACATGCAAATTCTATTGTTGCATATAGATTGATCGATCGAAAGGAAAACCTATCGAAGAAACGCTCCCAAATCAAACGAACAGCTGTCCAATAGTTTATACTTGAAGCTTGGTGGACTAGGTGTTTGAGTAGTTGACATAATTCAAGATGCATATAATTATGCTTCGTCATGCTTCTAGAGCGGACAAACATGATTCTGATTGGTCTTCAATGAAATCTGATCCTAGAGTCAATCATTCCGATCATTGGCTTGCAGCATACGATCCCCCCATTGACCCCTTCCGAGCTATCAATGAAGTTGACTTAGCCTACAAGAAGATTTCATCTCACATTCCAACCGCATCAAGAATATTCATGCATTGTTCTCCATATAATCGTTGTGTTCAAACCGCCAGACTTCTAGCAAACCAATTCGTACATACGGAATCAGGTATTCAGTCGCAAAAACACCAAGGAATCCAACGAAAATTAAAGCTTAGAATAGACCAAGGCCTATCAGAGTGGCTGAATGAAAACTTCAGATTGGAACATCTTCCACCGAATGATGGGGGAGCATCCATGATAAGCAATGTAAACCTGTATCTGGAAAACACGCTTACTAGTCTACCAATGACAGATGATGAAAGGAGCAAGCTGAAAGCGCTCAGAGATTTTGATTGGCTTCATAACAAATTTGGAAAATGTGGAGATTATGGAGAGAAACCGTCGGAATTTCAGATACGCTGTGCTAATTATCTTGCTAGTCTTGTGCGGTATTATGAGACTCACGTTCCAGAGGAACTAAAAGAAGATTCGGTCATATTGATAATAACCCATGGGGCTCTTATCTCAATGTTTCTGGAAATTATACTGGGGCGGCGAAACTTTAGTGAAATTCCGGTTTGTACACCAATATATCTCAAAAATGGACGGCCTGAGTGTTATCTTTTTAAAGATTATGACTTCAACCTAAAATCACTTGTCCCTGTTACGAAAGATCAAGAATTTTATCATCTCCTAGATAAAGAGTTCAAATTGAAGGATCTAAATAGCAAAGCTACAACCGAAGATCAATTAGCGAGATTTACACCAGACGTCTCACAATTGGTAGCGTGCAATAGTCCAGCTACGCATCGACCAAGAAGCAGAACCATTAATGTGGTCGGTCCCACAGTTGACTCAAATAATAAATTCTCCGCTCCGTTGCGCCAGGTCAGGTCATCAAAACAGCTTCACTTGATGGACAGTACCGCGAAAGAAGGTAAAATACTAGATTTGAATAAACTTGAGGGATTTTTGGGGGTGACGTCCGATTCTGATGACGAATCAGACGTCCAACTCTGCAATCAAGGGTCCTCTGGCTCAGAAACTGAAGATTCAAGCTCGGATTTGCTTTTGGGAGAAGATATTATAGTTAGTGATTCAAATTCTTTCCAAGACATTGTTGGACACAGAAACTCGATGTCCAAAATTAAAAATTCGGGTTTTACAATTTCGCCTGGACCTAATTTCGAGATTCAACATCAAAAATGTGAGCGACGAACTGAGGCCTTTAGCAAAGAGAGTCGATCCTCAACTAGCTCCACTGCCCCCTTTGAAAGCAAACACTCAACTCTTGAGGAAATGAGTGCACAAGATGACTGTAAATATGAAATATTGCCGTTCGTACAATCCAATGACGAAGTGCACAAAAAGGCTAATACAAAGTCTCAAAACATACACACATATCGACTCGCTCAGAAATCGAAGGGGTCCCTAAAAAGAATTCTCTTTGGTTCTCCCGACAAACAGATGCAGCATTGCGATGAAAGCTTGACTTGGCTAGGAAGTAATATCAAAAAGCAGGTTGCATAGATTTCGATACTCAAGTTGGAATCTAGCTACGTTTCCATTGGAGAAAAAAATAAATCAGGCAAATAACTCATTCATCATAACATAAATACCAAAAAGAAGAAGAACCATGACGACACAATCGACAGGAAAATTTGAAGATCGGGAGAAGAGCAGTGTGTTGCATATGAAGATGCAATAGTCCCATCCGCTTGCTCGGGACGAAAATTGCTGCTAGGATCGCCCATCTTTAGCATGTGCAGTCCACCTAGTTCGTCAACGAAGCTATAAAGCAGCGATCTGTTTTCCTTCACTCGATAATTATCGCCATAAGAATCCCACCAAAACCCGCCGGCAAGACCTAGATCTTTGACGTAATTCGCCTTTTGGCGTACAGCTTGTGGGCTGTCGTAGAAGACGATGCCTAACCCTTTATTGCTGTAGGCATAAGAGGATCCTGCAGTGTAATTGTGAACCTCGGTGTAGTCCTTGGGTGGCAGGTTATGATAGTTTACAATACACTGGTTTTGTTCTTGTTTGATACCCGGAATATTTGCGCATCCTCTGAACGGTAATCCAGCACCCATCCCCTCGAAGCTTCTTCCATAATTTGGCATGCCTAGAATCAGTTGTGTTTTGTCGATCTTGTCCAGAAGATATTGAACTGAGTAGTCTACGCTGGAAACAGATTTTGTTTCCAGCGAGTAAAGGTTGGAATGGTAGTTAGCTAGCTCGGACCAGGGACCGGAGATATCATAACCCATCAAGTTAAAGTAAGTCACGTAACTCCGCAAAGTTTCGAATTGGTAGGTCTTCAAGGAGGAGACATCCAAAGGAAGAGCCAGGGATAAAAGATATGTATTTGGAAGCATCCCATCCTCTATTTCCGCAGAAGATAGCTTATCTTTCAAGATTTTGATCAAATTACTCAATTTTAAGGCAGATTTTGGATCAGGGAATTCCCAATCAATATCTATACCGTCAAATCCGTGTTTTCTCATTGTATTCACGAGATTTTGACAAAATCTCTCAGTCTTTCTTTCACTGGATGTGGCCTCTTCGAAGACATGATTGGTGTTCTCCCCTCCGATAGCAAGAGAGACTTTGAGCCCCTTCTTGAGCTCTTTCATTTGTAAAAGCTGGCCAATTAACCCGGTGGAGTTGACGATCGATTCAGCCTGAAATGAAGTTTTGGCGTAATCGTAGGAATATAAATTCTCATCTCGTGCACCAAATGAGCTCATTGTATCTTCATGAATCAATGGAATGGTCTCTTCTAAAGCTATATTTTCATCGCCCCAATATGTACCTTCTGACTTAAGGTCTATTTTCGCAAACGCGTAATAGATGTTGGTGATATGAGATAGAGGTATATCAATTGGATAATGTTTGTTATAAAATGACCATTCTGTATAGTATAAAGCAGTGACGAAAGTAGGATGATCATTTGTTGCTGTTTCGAGGTCTGAAGCGGGTCCACCATAGCAAGCGCAAAAAGATAGCAATACAGGAAGGACTTTTGATAGCATTTTGATATAGAGCCAAAGATGAGAAGGAAACATAGTGTTAAGGAAGCGAAAGGCAAAAGAACCATTGCATGGCTGATTATATCGAACAGAACATGTGAGGATATTGTTCTGCTAATTTATTTTCCCTTGTTTGTGGGTGCACTGAGACCTCCTCGGCAAGTAAAGGAGTTTCTTTTTCATATCCAAATGGATTCCAGTTCAAGTTTCTCCATTTATGCAATCGAAAGAAAAGCGCTCGTTCTCAATTAGCAGAAAGAGTTTGGACATAATTTTATTTAGACCTTTTTGATAAAATATATGTTCACCCATTTCAAACTTTAGAATTTCCCACTTGGCGGAGCACGTTCCATACTTTGTTATTGATGTTTTGAGCATAAACTTAATTCTGCGATTTGCATCTCAGTAGGCTCAAATAAGATGTAAACTAGTCTCCAGTAAAAGTAAACAGACATCTTTAAATTACTTTTTCTGTTGATGTTACCTTCGTGACGTTGGTTGGTTACTTGATAGCACAAGATTGCTTAGTTCAGATCGTAGAATCTTTTGTTCCGGCTTTCAAAATTATCATTGCTTAGTGCCTCAATTGTAATGTCTTTTTTCTTAGATGTAATGACGTCTTTCACTGGTTCTGAAGTCTGAAATCGGATCGGATGATCACTGCTCATTTCGCTCTCATTCCTTATTAGGTGTTGTATCCCGTCAACAATCAGTGAGATCCCGGTGGGTTCTGCCCCTCTTGGAAGAACGATATCAGCATATTCCTTCGTCCGAGAAACGAATTCACTCATCTCTATTCGAGACTCGCTCAAGTACCGTGTTAATAGATTTTTGAGCATCATACTTTTATCGGCCTTTGAGATGGATTTAGACAAATTGGAAGATAAGAGATCTCTTTTGATCCATCTGCCCAACCTTATGTCGGCATCACAGTCAATGAAAATCTTAATTGAACCCATATTCAAAAGCTCCTTGTCATAAAGTGCATAGAGCCCGTAAATGAGAATAACGTCAAAGCCATCACTAATATAGCTTTCGACCTGTGACCTAACCAGCTTAAAGTTGAAACGGGACGGACCTATCTGTAAGGTTTCCTCTTGAAACTCTTTCATGTTAACTTCTGCAATTTTGATCTGCTGATATCTATTCTCCATCTCTTCCCTCAAGAGCTTGGTTGCAAGACACTAGAAGAGTTAGAGTTCAAAACCGGGCATACAGTTGAGCATTACTTACTTTTCCAGATGCATGCCCTCCTGCGATGAGAATGGTAAGGGGGCGTTGATTTGTTTCGTAACGCATTCCTCAATGCTTACTATGGCTACGAAATAAAACTTTTTAAACTTAAATAAAAAAAAAAAAACTGTCTTTGCACCATATCGATCACGTACTTCAGGAATTACAGTGACCATAACACATAACTGAATTCCTCAAAAACAATATGGATTTTGATAAGGACTTGGATAGAACTCTGAAAATTCAAACCTCGGGGAACATTCCCATAATAGGATGCTTTGAGGAGATGAATTTAAAGGAGCCCCTTTTAAAAGGAATCTATGCATATGGCTTTGAGACTCCGTCTGCGATCCAATCGCGAGCTATCACCCAAGTTATCCAGGGAAGAGATGTTATAGCTCAAGCCCAATCAGGAACAGGGAAAACCGCCACTTTCACAATTGGGATGCTTCAAGTTGTGGATTCAAGTAAAATCGAAACCCAAGCGTTGGTTTTGTCAACAACGCGGGAACTAGCAGCTCAGATTAGGACAGTGATTAACGCTTTGGGTGACTATATGAAAGTTCGATGCCACGCGTGCGTTGGCGGAAAAAGTGTTGGTGAGGATGTGAAGGCTCTCTCTAAAGGACAGCATATTGTAAGTGGTACTCCAGGGCGTGTTTTAGACATGATCAAGCGCCGTACACTCAGCACAAGAAATGTGAAAATGCTTGTTTTGGATGAAGCCGACGAGCTGCTTGGCAAAGGGTTTCAAGATCAAATTAATGAAATTTATCAGTATTTACCTCCATCGACGCAAGTGGTGGTCGTATCAGCAACGCTTCCAAAATCTGTCCTCTCGCTCACCAATAAATTCATGTCTGACCCAGTCAAGATATTGGTCAAGAGAGACGAACTAACCCTAGAAGGGATAAATCAGTATTATATTCAAGTCGAAAAGGAAGATTGGAAATTTGATACATTGTGTGATCTGTACGACTCTCTAACAATCACCCAAGCTGTCATATTTTGCAATACCAAGAAAAAGGTTGACTGGCTGAGCGAATCACTTCGAAAAGCGAACTTCACCGTTTCTTCAATGCATGGGGACATGAAACAAGAAGAGAGGGATCGCGTGATGGATGAGTTTCGACTCGGTAACTCAAGAGTTCTCATATCGACTGACATTTGGGCGCGAGGAATCGATGTGCAACAGGTCTCGTTAGTCATCAATTACGACCTGCCTTTCGATAAAGAGAACTACGTTCATCGTATCGGGCGATCAGGTCGATTTGGAAGAAAGGGTGTAGCGATAAATTTTGTCACGAGGAACGAACTAAGCGATTTGGCTGATCTCGAAGAGTTCTTTAGCATCAAGATCGATGAGATGCCATCCAATCTAAGTGATGTGCTATAAAATCTAGCCAATATTGGAGCTGTTCGAAAGCATATGAGACCTTTGCACGAATATCTCGACCAGTTGAGTTATATATCCCAGGTCTTCCTTTGGGATCAAATCGTCTCCATTAGCTAGGAATATTTCAGACCGGCTACCTTCTAGGTAGAAGGAAGTGATCTCATCTGGCCGGTCATTTGATTGCTCATTCCCATGGTCATGAAAAAGCCAATTACTTCTGTGTATATGATTCACCTGCCATTTACTTGAAAGACTCTGGCAGGTTTTGGCAGAAGGATCCACAACGATAGGGACCTCTGACGGGTCATCAAAGTTGAATGTTGCATCATCTGTGACGAACTTGTAAGGTAGAGTTTTTGGATTGCGCTGTAAAAATATCAACCGGGTCTCCGTTGAACCTGCTGCCTGATGCAAGGTGCTAGATTTAGGCAACTTGACTTCCGAAAGAAGTGAGTTATCTGTCATCAAAAAATGGTACTTAGGTTCAAAACTCAACATGATCTAGGTATAGGTAATTTATAAATCTCTCGTGCGCTTTTTTTTTTAGAATTATTTATCCATGACAACCTTGCACAATTTTCTCTGTGCTGGATGAAGTAAAAAAGCCCGTGCGAAGAGTTGGCAAAAATGAAGCTTTATATCAGGTATTCGAAAAGGTGTCAACCCTAAGAAGAACCCAAAGATGCTTATCAAGGGAGAGGGTTAGTTAACACGAAAAGATCGCTTAATCGATAGATTTTAGAACAACTGTGAAGTATAGCTATGCTGTACAAGGAGGTCGAAACACATTATATTACTGACCTGGGTCAGAAGTAATTCTCAACCACTTTACAAAGCTTCCAGTAAACAAGCAAACAACTGAAGGCTAAATTGTACTCGGTTGTCGAATTTTGTAACAATCTGGCCTCCTTATCGATAATCTCGTCTATTGATAAGCTACAAGATCAATATGATTGACAGTAAACGTTTCATCGAAGGAACCGGATACACCTAGCAGTCAAGATAATAGTTCAAACGTTCACTCAATTGGAACTTTTGCCTCTTTTAGAGGAGGTGGAGTTTTTTGGGAGCTCGTTGACAAATGGGATGAACTCAGGCTCTCCAGGAATATACTTCCTTAGAACTTCAGGAACGACCAGCCCACCATCCGTCTGGTAGTTTTCCAAGATGCAGCAAAGAGCTCTTTCGGTGGCACACAAGGTACAATTCAAGCAATGAACATATCTTTTCTCCTTTTGATTCATGGCCTTGATACCACATCTAATTTCTAGGTTTCTTGACTGATAATCAGTGCAATTGGAGCATGAAACTAATTCTTTAAACTCTTGTTGAAATGGGAACCAGGCTTCAAGGTCATACTTCTTTGCAGCGGCATTGTTGAGCTCACCAGAAACTATACTGACAACTCTGTAAGGCAGACCCAGGGACTGGTAGAACTCTTCAGAATTTTGAATCATTATGTCAAACTCCTCCCATGACTTTTCAGGTTCACTGATGCAAAACTGTTCGACCTTCTCGAAAGCATGAACTCTGAAGATTCCCCAGGCATCTTTTCCGTGAGAGCCCGCTTCTCTTCTGAAACAAGAGGAATAGCCCGCATATCTAATAGGAAGCTGTTCAGCGGGACTTTCAAACCACTCGTTGGAATGGTAAGCAGAGATAGGTTGCTCAGAAGTTGCAATCAGATACTTTTCATCGTCTCCGTCAAGAACTTTGTAAAGCTCCTCATCGAACTCAGACAGTTGAGCAGTTTTGGCCATGACATCTTTGTTCATCATAACAGGCGCCTGCATGGGAGTATATTTTTTGGAGGTCAAAAAGCTCAAGCCATAATTAATTAAGGCCTGGTTTAGAAAAACTCCATAATTTCTCAAGAAATATCCTCTATGACCCACAATCTTGACTCCTCTTTCAGGGTCGTACCCATCTAGTCTAAGCAGAACTTCATGATGGGAGAGTTTAGCTTGTTTTCCGGTCGCTGTCGCAACATTGGTTAGCTCTTCAAATTTCACACCCGAGGGAGCCCAAGTCCTGACAAGCTTATTGTCTGCTTCATCCAAGGAGTCGATAACAGAATCGTGGACAATATTCCCAACCTGAAAAACTTTCCAACGTAACTTTTTATCTGCCTCCTGTTCCTTGGCTATAACTTCGGCCTTTTCCCTAACCAAATCATCCTTCTTTTGTAGGAGTTCAGATGCATCTAGCTTAGCCTTGAACTTCTGACCAATTTCTTTTTGTAGCTTATTTTGTGCTTTGTTTAGCTCATCCAATGTGAATCTTAGCTTAGTCCAGTCATTATACTCTTTGATGATTTCATCCACAATCTCAACAGACGCACCTCTTTTCCTTTGTGATTCACGGATGGCTTGTGGATTACCTCCCTTATCCTCAATGAACTGAATAATATCCAACATTTCTTAAATTAAAGGATTCAAGTTTGAATATTGTACCCTTTGTCTAGTTTTGTAGATAATGAAGAGAGGTTGGTGTTAACAAATTAACACTATCAAACAAATCGATGAGAAAAAAACTCAAGAAATTGTCTAAAATTATAGAGCAGAAATGATTAAGTAAAACCAAGTTTTTTTTCACGTGATGAAAATAACTCATTAATATTATCATTATCAAAGCATATAGGATTTATTGTTATGATGTACAATTTACGAAATACGAGTTGCCGAAAGATGCTATATTTACTTCAGTTCTCCTAAATTAGATATAGAGATTTGATTAACGCAAACAAAGATAACAATCACAATGATATCATATCAGCAGGGTCGTTCAGAACAATTCTTAGGTAGGAGCTTTCTTCTTTTATGAGTTATATGCTGCTAGTGTTTTGGAATGCATCAATTGGAGGTGTGATTGAATCAAAAGTTTTGTTAATATTAGGAGACTTCATCATTTACCATGCTGTCTAGTTTATTGTCATCTGATTCACATGCTGGAAAATTATTTTGGTTGATAAGCTAAAAGTCAAATCGTGAATGCACAGCAATCATAAACAAAACGTCGCGACCGACCATGGAAACACCGAATTGCAGTACAGACGATGCTTAGTTGAATTACTCACTACATAAACGCTGCAGCACTATAAAATATCTTAGAGTTTCTCCTGAAATAAAAAAATGGGAGTGCAAGTCCAACTCTGGAAACGAGAGTGAGGAATCAGTATATTGATTCATGTCCTATTTATTCAGCTTAGTCATGAGACATACACACGATTGACACAGATCTACGCCTAAACAAAATCCGATCAGAATACCACCAGAGGGCGATATGATATAGAGAAGATTTGTCTTGATTACCTAACAATAGCATTCACATAGGGGTAGTGTTAATATACTCTGGTGAATTAGGGCCTTCTTTAAATGTGGAGTAAATCGATTCGGCCGGAACAAGAGCTTATAGATACGGCGGGTGCACACATAGAACATCAATGTGTCGGAAATTGTTGGAGATAATCTCTGAGCTTGTGACTTCCTTAAACTTGGTCGGAACGACGGAGAAACAAAGCTGACGACCCATCAATAACTACTCTTACGGTTGCCACCCGCAAATAGTTTTCAGGTGCCAATATAGTGGTCAAAACCCGGGTGAGCTAGCTATGCAAATGCAGGTAAGATATAGTTCGTGAAACATCGGCATTTTGCGAAACCTTCATGTATAAGCCAGCAGCAGCTGGCTTTTGGTAATATGCCAGCAACTTCACATTCTTAATGAATGAATACAAAAGTGAACATATCGGGAAGATGCATCATTCTCAGCTAGATCACAAAAGCTTACATCGCTTCAGCTATCATTATCAGTTTGCGGTCACCTATGATCATTGATAGAACAATTCCATAACACGCTATAAGTAAGTTTCAACAACGAAAACAACAACAGAATCGTACTTCCGTTATAGCTCTTTCTCTTCCAAACAGCCTTAATTACAGTTATGATTTCTGTTATGACCCCCCAATCTTGTTTTAACGTGTAGCAGCTGTGTTCTGCGTAATACCATCACACCAGGCAGAAATCGAATGACAAAGAGGATACAGGCTAGATATTTTCATAGTAGTTTTCTATCTGCTTCTCGCGGTAGTGTTCTAGAAAAGGTTCAGTGTCCATGCGCCTGCGTTCATGTGTCTCAAAGAAACACAAGAAGTCTTCCACTTGGACTTCATCACAATTGCTGGCCCTCACGGACTCTTGTTCTTCATTAACGTTGACTTTGTTCTTCAGTATAGAACGATCACGCCTGCTATGCATACTCAGATTAGCTTTGGATTCAGAGGTTGAAGGGTTAATACTGAGGCCTGAAAATCTTCTGCTGATTGACTGATTGATACGTTTCAAGGGGCTGCTATCATGGTTTTTCTGAAGAGAAAAGACCTTTCTTATGGATCTGCAATCACTATCATGATTGTAGATGAGTACCTTTGCTTTTGAATGAAATTTTAGGGTAGTGGACTCATGATTTCCGCTTTCCGCAACTAATTGGGGTACAAGCCTAAAACCATTCTTGGGATCTATCAATTCCATGTTTTGGAGCCCTTCTATAGTCAGACCATTACGTAGAAAGTACTCTTCTACTTCTTGGGGTTTATGAGCTTCATTAAACTCCAAACTGGGAGACACAAGGCTAGTTGATTTTTCAACTATGTTCGTGTCGTCGGAGTCTACCTCACTTACTGGACTCGAAGTCAGTCTAAGATTTTCCTTCCAATAATCCATCTGCCCCTTGGCCACATTTGCTTCATTGGTGTCCTCTAATGGTTAATATGCCTGACAATAAAGAATAGACTTACCGTAATAATTAGCCAAGCTTGAATGACTTCGAGATTGTTTATGATCACAGCGTTCAGAAATTTCTTTGGCTGGATCTTCAATGAAGGAGCTAAGCGGACCATTAGTAGAATCTTCCTCCGAAAGGCTTCTTTCTGAAATTTCATTGATACTAATTTGGGACGCAAGCTCGAAATCGGGGAACGTATGGGATTTTGCATTTGTAGCAACATAGAATCTGCTCTTCTCGTGATCAGCTTTCGCTCTCAAACTATTGAAAAGTCTCGATATTTCCGAGTTCAGGTAGATCCCAGGAGCACAATTGGCTGATGTATCATCCCCTGCCATGTAAACCTTTTGTTCATAGAATGACCTTGAAATTGATTCGGTGTTCAAAGGATCAGGCATCAGCCCTCTGTCACCTTTATCAGCTCTTATTTGTTTCGAGGCCAGTACATTTGCGGCTTGACTGTTTTCACTCATCTTGTTCACATTTTTACCGAGGTTTTTGTCGCTTTCCGCTTTGATCATCAATTGACGATTTTCCTTGTTATTGCAGTCAATCCAGGGCTTATTAAGAGGCTTCAAAGGTTTGCTTACGCCATCTTGATGTTTATAATGAATGAGTCTAATTGTTGATTTTTGCAGCAAATCCGAGTCTATAGACTCTTTTAGAGAGTCTAGAGTAGTTTGAATTTCAGTATTCTTGAAGGCATTATAGCATGAAAACATTGCTTCTTTTTGAGAATCATGTTCACTTATCAGAACAGTTCTCTCCTTTTCAGGTAATGAAACCGCCTTTTTTCTAGTCTTAAAAAGTGTACGAAAATTCAAAAGCGGTTGTATCCATTTAAAATGCGATTGAATTGCCGGCGCCTGGTCGCAGGTCTGCTCGTTAGTTGTGTACTGGAATTCCTTCTTGTCTTCGTTTTTATCATCTAAAGTAGAGCCGATGAACTTGGAAAAAGAGAATGCTCGTCTGGATCTATGCTTTTGGTTAAGCTCATCGTTTGTCTTGATCTTTTTCGTTGATTGATTTTGCGGGCTACCATGAGGGAACAGAATTTCCCCCTCAATTGAAATATGAAGCGAGTCGCTGGATTCTGGATTCATTGCAACTGGTAGCAATGAATAATTGCCTGCAACTGAGATTGGAGTGTTTAAGAGAACAAAAATTCATAATCAAGGCAGTATTTTTGGCTTGCGACTGTTCTTTAAGCGCCCATCTTTTTATAATATATGTCAAGCCGCTCGTTAGACGTATTACATAAAATCTAGAGATTCGTTTATGTGACAGATCACGAGTTTCAGTTATCGATGAGTCTCCATCAAAAGCGGAATCGCATTACTTGGCCAACTAAGGTAATTACTCAAGAGGCGTCGCAAATTATCTATTATTGTTCATGCAATGATTATTTGGTGAGAATCAAGCGTATATCAGTTAGCCTCTTAAAGAAAGATACCATTGCTACTCTTCCATGGGAACCCGATAAGTCGGCGTATCAGGAGCAGTGAATTAGTTTTATAGATGCGTCTTGTTCACCAATTCAATGTTGCATTAAATTGTTCAACTAAGCTGTATTAGTCCAAAGCGAAAACTACTTGACATAAGGATTTGCTCTGCCGTGATAAAATACCCCTGCAACTTATATGCTACAGAGCCAAATCAGGTAGAAGATTACTTAGTAGATTGCCAAAGAATTACTCTTGAACTTTTAAAAGTGTTATAATTGAAATCTATTCATTCGTCTTTCAAAGAAAAATAAATTATCTATGGCATAGCTTGATAGGTACTAGAGATAGACGAATACCGTCCTAATAACCTGTTCATGGTTTTGGACCTCATTCGAATCATTCAAAATCTTAGTCGAGCGATGAAGCACCAGTGATGATGTCCACCAGTTCGTTAGTAATCACAGCCTGTCTAGTTCTGTTGTACAGGATAGAATACTTGTTGATCATGTCTCCAGCGTTCTTAGAAGCATTGTCCATCGCATTTCTTCTGGCCGAGATCTCAGATGCATAACCTTCTGCCATTGCATTGAGAATAGAGTTTGTCAATGAAATTTGGGAAAGAGAAGTCGGGATTGCCTGATCTTCCTCTAATTCGAACTCTGATAATTTTGGAGACTCCTCAATTGCGACAGGAGAGAATGACGGGAACACAGAAGGCTCAAAAGAAACACCGGAGACAAACTTGTTGTACATGACCTCAATTCTGTCATAATCACCCAGCTTACGAATCTCATCAGCAATCAAAGAAGCTTCCCAGAAGGTAGGTGCCTCCTTTCCAACACCATTGAAAGATAAGACAACGTTGCTTGAATGTGTTCTAAGCATTTGAGCTTTGATTTTATCACCTATTGTGACGACATCGGCATTCGGAGTCTCTTGCAACTTGGCTCTAGTAGCCTTAGCAATTTGAGAATGAATGGATCCACATAAACCTTTGTCTGAAGAGACTGCAATGATAAGAGTTTTCTCTGCTGTTTCAGGGGTAGCAGTTTCTGCTGTTGCGAAAAAATCAGAGTCTCCCTCACGGAAGGATCTTGAAGATGCCATTGCCCGTTGCGCTCTTCCCATTCTCGTAGAAGCCACAACCTTCATTGTGTTGGTGATCTTTTCGATGTTTTTAATGGACTTCAGTCTCGTTTCAATTTCTCTCAAAGTTGCATAATTTCTACATCTTGTTAGTGATTCCCGATTGCGACAGTGGTCATATGGGGGTCCTCATTGAGGTCTAGGTCTTCTGTCAAATGAAGATAGAAACCTATATAAATAAGACCCATATGATCACTCAATCGACTCCATTTCATTACTCACCTGCTGAATCCTGCAGTACGAGCAACATTCAAACCGAAGCTGTACATGGCGGCTGTTTGTTGTTGATAATGATCAATTGGGCAAATAAAAGAACAAAATCTAATTCTAAATTCGAACAACAAAATTGACAACTGTGAAAATTCCGTACCGGGCATAAACCTCTACGCCGGGAGCAGTATGTTTTTCGGCGGAGGGATTTACCGGGAGAAGGTTTTCTCGAAATGTGCTTGAATCTAAGTAGCGCAGTTTTTGATTGGTCGTTAAACTTGCGAGGCAGGGTAATTATACTCTACATAATTTCAGACTTTGTTCCCGGCTACTGTGGGTCGTCTCCATCTTATAAGATCGCCCGTAGATATGAAAGCCCAAACGTACTCTTTCTGAAATTGCAAACCGCTTAGACGCCCCAATTGCACATTTTTTTCCCCAATTGGATACAAGACAGGGCAATTTCTGCACCTACTGGCCTCGTGAATGATGATGTTTTCTGATGGAACATGCAGAATAGTTTTGAGGTTCTTGAAAAGCACATGATTTGCTTTTGAAACACCAGGTTGCTGCTCTCCTTTCTTCGAGCCTTCAGTTTGATCCTGGTTTATTATCTCATATAATGACAATTGCTGCAACTGAGTTGAAGAAGTTAATGAGGAAACTGACTCATTTTGAGTTTGAGACCGCGAGTTCTGTAACCAGCTTTTCTTGATGCTCTCCGAAGTTAATAAGTGCTTGATACTGGTATTGCTTCCAGAATTCAGCGTCAAATTTGACTTTTGCTTTTGATTTGTCGAGAGCTTGATCTTATCACTCTTCATTTTTCTGGCCTTTGGCAAGTTTCGAGGTTGAAATTCGTAAAACCTAATCGTTTCATCGTCTCCTACAGTTCCAATACGATAAAGAACCCCGGGTGTTGTTTTGAAGTAGTCAACGCACACACCACGAACCCAAGATTTTGCTCCCTCAAGTCGGGCTACCAATTTCAATAAGCCGTGAGCACTAGCCCCACCGCCCAAAATTGAAAACTCATAAATGGAAACAAAAGCATCCTCACCCCCACAAATCATATATCTTCCATCCCTCGTGATATCTATGTCAAGAATACCTCCATAGTATGATGGTACAATGTCTGTTATGACTTCAGAAAAGAAGTCGAAAAGACGGACAAATCCATCATCACTTGCGATTGTCCAAATATTTGGGTAAGTGGGATGATACCTGAGTTTTGTGATGGCTTTGTAGGAAAATTTGTAATGAGACACCGGATTTGACCCTGTTTGCTGTGAGTTGAGAGATTTCAATATAGTCATGTACCTGGATTTTTGAGAAGCACTTTTATTCTCTTCATAAACTTCTGCATCCTCGAAATCTCTATGAAATACCATGACCTCACCATCTGCAAAGCCGGCAACGGCAAAACTTCCGCATTGTGACCACTGCAAAGACAAGACAGGTTTGTTTTTCAGTTTGGAATTCTTGTTCCATCTAGAATACTTGAGCTTCGGAAAGCTTAACCAAAATATGTCACCTGAGGCAAAGGCAACAAGAATGTCCAAGTTGCTTTCTCCTGAAGTAGTTGTATAGTGGAAACTGGAAAATGCTGTTATGATACTTGACGAAAACACAACTTTAAGCAATGGAATCTCGACATCAATTTCTTTGGCGTCATCTTCCAATAGAATAAGGTTGATGATTCGGCCGTGACATCCTACCAATATGGAAGATGCGTTGGAGTATTTTCGATTGTAATTGTCTGCCGTTGAAACTTTTGATATGAAATTTGAAGTAGAACGAGACAGATTGCTTTTGGGAGTTTTCAGATCATCGAAAGCAACTCCGGTGTCAATTTTTACGGGCTTCTGCTTACCCCATAAGCGTGCAGCAGTGGGATTAGATGGTTTTCTTTCGTTGTTATTGGAGCCTGACCTATCAAAGTTGATTATGTCTGCAAAACAGCCAGGAGTCAAGTGAACGTTTTTGAACGAGTCCGCAACTAAGGGATTTATACCATAACCAACTGGTAACACTTCTGTCTTCCCATCAGGCTGGACACCAGTTTGTTCCGGAGGCCTGGATAAGGGATTTGTCAACTGATTTTGATTGATGTTTCCAAGGGTTGTATGATACTTCTTCAAATTTTGTTCAACAAATTTAGATAGTGAGGCGTAAGTACTAGGGTCACTCGAGTTCAAGGGAGTACGTGATATACGAATTGCAATATCAGGGACAAAAGTGCCGTCTAAATGATCAAAGCTGAACTGTTCTTCGTGCAGCTTGAACATGCAATTGGGATCTGTGGATTGAATAGGAAGGATGCTGTTGCTGAGCACATTTTGAAACTGATTCGGCGGCACCTTATTGTACCTGGACAAATCTGCTGGTAAGTACATTGATTCTGATTATCAGGTAGATTTTAGCTCTTTAATGAAAAGTATGGAGTCTCTTTATATGACAAAATTCCCCGGGTTTTTTGGAGGCTTTTTGCGGAGATCGTGGAAAGCCGACGCTCTTGAAATCTTTACCGGGTGAAAACACTCAATGAATAGCGGATCGTTACAGGCAAGCTAATACAATGAGAGATAGAGACCGTAAGGATCCCACAGTTCATATGATATAGGTCGTATATTAAGTTTTTCAACGAACGGAATTTATAGAAAATGATATTGTTTTTGCCCGCTTGAGTTAGTGCCTCATTGAAAAAGATGCCCGACTTTGTGGATTCAGTTTTCGACGTTTCTAGCACAGTTTTCCAAACGTCGAGGAACTTGATATTCAAGTCTTATGATCATATAAGAAACATCTGGATGGATAGTACGCCACCTCCTACGCCGGCCCAGCACTCGATCATTCGTACATCCATCAATCAGGTCTCACGTTTAGACCTCAAAACAATCTTTCTTGCAACTGTGCTAGGTGGAATAGGAACTTATCGGTGCCTACAACATTCGAAAACCCAGCGCAGGGCACGGCTGCTCCCTAGCGGAAGACGATTTGAAGTTGTTGTAATCGTTGGATCTCCCACGTCAGTAGTTGTTCAAAAGCTTGTCAACGATCTCAATAGGAGGGGGTATATCGTATATGTTACAGTGACCAATGAGCTAGAGGTCAAAGCCATCGAGAGTGAACGCGATGCAGACATAAAACCTCTGCTTTTGAATTACGATTCGGCTTTGACCATTAGAACTAGTTTGCTGCGACTGGCATCTATTCTCGAGACGCCCGAGCTTAATCATACTGGGGATGACTCTAGCTCTTGTTTTCTTCATTTCAAGGGCGCCTTGATCATCGCTGATTATTTCAAATATCCTAAGTACTCAAAGCTTGCTGAAATTGAGCCCCGTGATTTCAACGCAATGATTCAAAACCAATTCTTGAAAATAAATGCTCTTCTCCAGAATGGATTGATAACAGCTCTACAGGAAAGTAACAACAGAAGAAATGAAATTGAGAAATACAATGGTGTGAACATTTCGGAATGCCCTTCCAAACTTATATTCGTTAACTTTTTCCCCATATCCACTAAAGAGAAAAGGCGGCTCTTTTTAAACTTCACATTGGACATCAACAACTTACTTTTTGAATATACTTATAAGGAGAATCTCAAAAATTACTGTGGTATACCATATATCCTTCACAACAAGAACTCTGATTACATCGACATCGCAAAACTTCAAGTTGATTTTCATCAGGATGAAGAATCTAAGCTGTTATCCAGCGGCATCAACATACTAAATATACGCAATATGTTCTCTGGCATCAGGAACAAAAAGCTTACTTCCAGAAAGTTTCATCATCAGGTATTTGATTTATTAAATACGAATTATTTGAAGAAAGTATACACCATTAATGCTTAGCTCACTCAAAGTTCAACCTTGACCAAAGCAACATAGTCTGTTTTAAATAATAATCTTGCATCTGGTAATTGAAGGATCCTCCATCGTCCCCGCTGTGAAGTCGGAAACTGTGAGAAGCCCTTTTCGATCCAAGATATAAAGTTTGTAACCATCTTTATCGAATCTCAAAGAAGCTGCTTCTTTTACTTGGTACGAGTTGCTGACATCAGTGACAACAACCAACCTCTTGTTGTCATTATCATCAATTCTTGATGTTGACATAACGTAGACAGCTCCAGAGCGGTCAAGGTAAGCAACTGAATCACCTCTGGGTGACACGCAACACTTATGTATAGTATTTCCGACCTCCTCGACTTTTGCAAGAAGTTTGGGATGTGCAATTCCCTCGGGACCAGATATAGATGTAATCTTGGTATCAATGATTATCGGCACGGAATTGTACGAAACAGAGGTCAATGTCATGAGTCTGTTATCAGGGAAGAAGCTTAAATCGGTAATTCCCTCACTTTCTAAAGAAGTATCGAGTTTTCTCTGAGACTTCATCACCATTACTGGTCTTGTGGGATCCCTGATACTAATAATCATGAATCTTGATTCCAATGCGGTCGCGACAGTCAAATACTCGCAATTTGGAGAGAACTTCAAAATCGACACAGGATCTCGATATGGCAGTGTGAAAGGGTAATATTGGATCTGTAGAGTTCTCAGCCCTGCCGACTTATCAGAATAAAATGATCCTAAATTGTCATCTAGGTTTCCAGCTGCATAAACTCTTTCACCTTCAACGGAACTAGATATATGCGACTTGGGTTCCAAAAGTTCAAGCTTCAAGAGAATAATAAATGCTTGTTCGAATCCAGTAAACTTGTCTTTACCTGTTACACCCAAGCTAGCGTATCTTCCATCAGACGAAACATCAATGCATCTAACAGGAAACCGGCACTGGTACGTGTACAACGGCCTCCCTTTATACTTTAGGTCAAAAAAGCGGACAAATCCTCGGGTTCCTGAAATGATCAAAATATCTTCTGTTATCTTGCAAAACAAATGCTCCCAATTGGTGAGCGACTCTTGTGAATCTTTAACACTCCCACCAAAATTAGAGTTCATCAAAATTTCGTTAGCATTAACTTTCTTTAGGGTACTGAAAGTCTCTCCATAATCTCCATTAATGTTCCCACAGCACAGTAAAAGGGGTGGTCTTTCTGGATGGTTGACTGATAAGTGATAGACCTCCCATTTTTTTTCGCTCAAGAGCACCAACTTATCGAGATGTGGAGAGAAGTCTGTATTTATGAACAGCTTCGTTTTAAAGGGGAAATTCGAGTGATGGGTATGGTGCTGATAAAGTTTGCGATAAAGAGGAAAGTTTCTAGCATATAAAAGCTCTTTGTTCACATCCTTGAAGTTCTCATTAGTGTGATCTTCTTTATCTCCTACAAAACCGGACGACGGCTTTGAGGAATTGGAGGTCTGAGTGAGTGTACGATTGTTTTGCGATTGGCGTGAGGGTATAGTGACTGTCCTCATATCTTGGGTTTGCAATGCAAGGTGAGAGTGGTCTTTGATCCTATCACGATTTATTAATGATATCGATGAGGAATCTTTGATGGCCTTTGTTTGGTCGTCCAATTGTTGAAAACTGTGTCTGATCAATGGTTTTTCTATTTCACCTAAAACCTCATTGAATGCCGATAGAAGAGTTTTACGGGTTTCATTATCATTGTTATCAAAATCAGCGTTCACCTCCTCGTTGATTTGCACCCCATAATCAGTGTCAGACCTGAACCTCGAGACGTAATCAGCAACAGATTTCAGGGGAGCACACTGCTGTAGTTTTATCGATTCTGGATTGCCGCAAATGGGGCATCCAAAACTGGGTCTTTCTCCTATGAGTTCGTCTTCTAGCTTTTCAGAGATCAGGCAGCCGCAAGAAAGAATGATAGGGTCATTGCAAAGCGCTGAAATAATCTGTGGAAGTGATTTCGAGTTGTCGATAAAACAAGGTATCTTTAAAAGCTGCTCAATGTCGTCGAGAATTGACTCCACTGATGCTTTTTTCATATTATGCATTAATCTCAGACGTCAAAGTTTATCATTAATTTAGCTGTGTAAGGATGTGCGAGAATAGTAACAATTCTGCACTTCACAAATTTCTCTCGACAATTGATGCTCGAGATTTGCAAAAATGTCACAGTTTTGCGGGTATAGTCTTCAAGTTGAGCTCAATGATCCTTCGGCTACGGTACTGAATGGAACGATAACAGACATACAGGATAAGGATTTGGTGTTATCCAACGTGACTTATTCGAATGGAGCAGAGCACAAGAATAAAGACATGCTTATAAAAGGCTCTGACATAAAGGATTTGAAGGTTTTGGCTTTACCCCCTAGGAAGAAGAAAGAGAAGAAGAAGAACAAGCAAGATAAAGAGAACGAAAATAGCAGTTCTAGATCTGGAACGCCGACAGCGACAGGAAAACCCAAGCATAGAAAAGAAAAACCAAAAGGTTCTCAAGATCCTGACTTGCCGTATAACTACCGATCTAACGAGATTGATTGGCAGCACGAGAACCCAGGGAGATTGAAGGAGATGGAAGTTTTTGATTTCGCTTCCAATCTGCAAAAATTCGACAAGCAATCAGTTTTTAAAGAACTGTCCAAGTTGGACAAGGTGGATCCGGCAAATAGACTTGTCGGCCATAATAGAACTAACGAGAAAGTGAATTATGATAATACAGAGATGGTACTGGATAAAAATCAAAAGGACGAATGGGATAGTATTACTACCAACTCAGTCCGTAAAAAGACAATCTCCTCCCAAGCGAATGAGAGTAGAACGTACAGTGGCAATTCAGAAATTGTTCATCAGCGCAAAAGTGTCACACCAGTTTTGGGGTCTAGCATTAGATTGTTTTCTAAGGACAGAGAATCAATTCCAACATGCTCTCCAATACAATTGGCGGATGTTCTTCAGCTCAGCGCTGACAACTTTGGGCTGACGGACCGTCAATTGACCTCTGATACAGGCAAAAGTCTAGCAGAGCTAATCATCAAAGAAATAACTGGCGACTTTAGATTATCAAACATGAACCATAATCTTCCACCTTTGATGTTGATACTTGCAGGTAATAATACAACTGGAGCCCGAGCGCTTTCTGCTGGAAGACAATTGTTCAATCACGGGATTAGAATACTAGTTTATGTTCTACACGATTTTGAGCATTCCGAAGACGAAATTCTCCCGTTAGTCAAGGAGAATCTAGAAGTTTTAACGAGTATCGGAGGAAAGCTAGTTAGTGACACCCGGGAATTGAACTTTGTGTTGGAAAAGCTAGATTCTCCGTTAGAATTGATCATAGATGGACTTCAAGGCTACGATACGAATTTGAGTGATCTGCTGGAGCCTGAATTAGGTCGTTCAAAACAAATAGTTGAATGGTGCAACAAATGCAACGTCTCCATACTGTCTTTAGACATTCCATCAGGATTAGACGCTTCTTCGGGTACGGCAGACTTTGACTCATACATCCTCTGCAACTACCTAGTCTCTGTCGGAATACCTCTGAGCTCCATTTTGAGTCTCTACCGGTTTGGCTACTTCACAAAGGAGGAACTAAAACATTTCCTTGTTGATTGCGGAATTCCTAAGAGGGTTTTCAGTCTTAAATCCAACCTCAGGAAGTTGGACAGATACTGGTTCACAACAGATTGGTATACTAGCCTGGAAGTTGAGTGAACGATGAACTCGTTATGTTAAAATTTATATATCGAGTAATATAAGTGATTATGTTGAATTTTCTCGTTTGCATAGTCAGCTTTCTATATTAATTCACTTGGGCGAAAAAAATAAAACACAACACATTTGCGACACTAAATCTAAATTATTTGGGCTCTTGCAACTGAATTGAATAACTAGCTCATCCGGCTCTGAGAACCAGCTTAATAATACTTGCTGGCCATCCATAAAGATTTGAAGAGAACGGGAAGACTATTCAAAAATAGGCCCTTCGATGAGTTCCAAGGTCACGTACTCTCTTGAAGAGCTCTTGAGCTTTCAGTCAAAGGGAGTCATTTTTCGAGATACTATACTTCCTGACAAGGACTTCTGGAGGTTCAACGCAAAACTCATATCCAAACTCAATGTTGGATTGAATCGGGGGAATCAAAAGGGCCACAATAATTTCAAAAAGAAGACTCCTTATAAGCCCGCTGCTGAGGAGAACTCTGAGGAGGAAGTTCCAGAGTGGCTGGACGAGACAGATTTCCAAGTGGATAGCACTTTCGTTGGTTACAATAGTATCGGATCCCATACCTACGAAGATTTCGAACGGGAAAAAAGAGAGTATCACATGAAAAACGGTTATTACGATCAGCTCAAACACGACGAGATTGTAAAGACAAACCCAGCACACGAGGAGCACACCTTGAGGGAGGAGAGAACAGCGTCCTCATCCGCAGAAGATTATCAATTTGATAAGGAGCTCGAGCTAAAAGACCATCTCAATCGTCAATTCTTTGACAACCTACTCAAAAGTAACCTTGAATCAAAGCAAGGAATCTCCAAAGTTTTGTCCCAGCCTAATATCCAGCCCAAAACTCCTGAAACGTCCAAGTTCGAGCGATTATTTCAGTCTAATAATAGCTTGGAGTTGCCTAGCCAAGCTCCGCAATCCAACTTCGCACCGCCAAATCCTTCTCAGAACTATACTTCACAAAATGAAAGGCCCCATAACATTTCCGCCCCTCCTTCTGTGCCGCCATATGGGGCAATGCTACCTCCTGGCTTGCCGATTGGCCATCAGCAGGGTCAAAGATTTCCAGGTCCGCCCCTGGATTTCAATCCGGCAGGTTTGCCGCCGCCTCCACCTGAACTATTGAAGCTTATTCAGGAAGGTAAACTGCCTCCTTTACCAGGAATGTATCCGGGAGTGGCAGGTTCGAATCCTCAGCTTCCTCCACAATTTCCCCCATTCCCTAATTTTCGAGGGGCTCCCCAACATCCGTCGATGCCACCCCCACCCGAATTTGGTTTCCCCATGGGTGTTCAAAATCTAGCAAATCCCAACGACCCTCGTGTGAATGTGAGGAACCTGTCTAATCCCCCACCTCCCCCCGGTCTGATGCAGTTTCCTCAGTTTCCCCAGCAAAGTGATTATTCCCATGGCAATCGTGGGCCATCTACCTAATGAGAGCTAAAAGTTTTCGTTTCACAATGTCCATGGTTGAGGTGAGGCTCTTGGTTACCCATGATACTATTTGTAATTTATTAAGTCCTAGCTTAGACAAAGCAGGCCAGTAACTCGGTTTTTGTATTACGGATTAGTTGGGCTGTGCAAAGGTTCATAGTTTTAAAGTTACAAAAATTGAAAATTAATCAACGAAGCTAGCATTATCGCGTATACCGAACCTGGTTAGACAATTGATGCTATTTTAGACCCTCCCATTTTTGATAGGTATACGCAAGCAAAGTAATTTTGAGGTAGGGCTGATATAATTTGACCGGGAAGCTTCAATTGGGAACCGAAATTAACTTCATTATCGAAGACGCTGATATTTCTCGAAACCTTTTGCATCGATTTGCAATGGACTCTAAGCTTTCTGCTTTTCAAAAGAGCGACACGCGAAAGCTCTATGCTCTTACAGACCTTCTTTTCAAAGATGGTGTCTTCAACTGCTATTTAACTTCGCAGCAGTTCAATCTGCTTGATTTGATCTTACATAGATTCAAGGATGCAAAAGTCAGGATCAGACTCTGGGATGCCTTCATTAACAACAACCTTTTCTTGGAATTCGAGCAGGGACCCAGTTTGGCAGACAAAGAAGTCGAAGATATGTCTTCCACCGGGACAGAGGAAATATATTTGAAACAAGGCACAAAATCCACGAGGAACCTCTGCGCTACGATACGATATCTACTATACGAAAAGGCTGTCGATTACTACTTTGGCGACGAAAAGGATCAAGACACAAGGTTTGCTGCCTTTGATATCCTGGAAGAGAGCGACGACGACGAGCACTTCGAGGATGCCGAAGAGAAGCCACTATTTCCCCAGACATCGTCAAATAACGCTACAAGGAACGAAGAAGATGACTATGACGACGATGACGAGGATGATGAGGCCAATGAAAAGCAACAAGAGCCGAATAGCGATCGACATGTGTCCGAGAGCGACGTCGTCGAAGTCAACGATTCGGCTGACAAAGACACAACAGTCAAAGTGGATAGATATCGTGAACATCCCGAACAAGGGGAGCTCGAGGAAAATGAGCAAGGCCAGCTCAAATTCGTGGTCAATGCACAACTGTTGCTTGCGCGGCCCGAATTTCCATCCACCGCCGAATCTGTGAGTTCGGCTGACGAAGCTATTGGTTCAATGGTGCATCCAATTTTAGGCACAGCGTCTGCTATTGAGTCGAATTTTGAAAGACAAAACGAGCTCAAGCTCATCAAAAACTTTAACAAGGTGTATCACAGCTTTGAGAACGATCTCCCAAATATTGTCAAACGACGGAAGCTTGAGCGCAGTGACAAGGCCCTCGAGCTCAACGACACGAAAGATCATGCCGGCAGCGACAATGAAAATGCGGGCAACGACAACGAGGACTCTCAACACGTCAACAAGCTGATGGGGCTTGGCGGCGCTGCCAATCTTTCGCTCAAGAACCTTCTTGCACGGATCGAAGAAAATCGCGATAAACTGAATCTCACGGATTTGGAGCTCAAAAATTTAATCATGGACGTGCGGAAGAACCGCTCGAAATGGGCGAGCTACAACCGCATTGGCCAGGAAGAGCTCTACGAAGCCTGTGAAAAGGTTGTTTTGGAATTGAGGGGCTACACGGAGCACTCCATTGCTTTCTTAAACCGTGTGTCTAAGAGAGAGGCACCAAACTATTACCAGATTATCAAGAAGCCAATGGATCTGAACACTGTGATGAAGAAGCTGAAGAACTTCCAATACAACAGCAAGACCGAATTTGTGGACGATTTGATGCTGATCTGGAAGAACTGTCTCACTTACAACTCAGATCCCAACCACTTTTTAAGGGCAGACGCAATTGCCATGCAGAAAAAGACGCTGTCTTTGATACCACTGATTCCCGACATCGTGATCAGAGATCGAGCAGAAGTGGAAAAAGAAGCAGCAGCAGCCGCCCAGCAAAATGAAGCCGAGGACGCACAGGAGAAACCTGGTTTCATTTCAAGCAGGGGTGTTGGCGGATCATCCACGAGCGCAAAAAAGTCCAAGAAAAGCAGGAAGGGATTACAGGAGGACGACAACAATGAGCCGCCAGCGGCATCCGACTCGCCTACGGGGGGAAGCGCCGCGAATAAAGACGTAAATGCCTTGGTTGGGGACCAAACGACAGAGCAAAACGAAAACGAATCTCCCCAACCCCAGGGTGCCAGCAACCCTTCAGTCGCGCAATCCAATGTTTCGACACCACTCGTTTCTGCAGCAAGTGAAGAAAAGACGGGAGACAGGGAAGGAACAGCGAATCCCGAAGACGACGACAACGAAGATGATGCGACAGCTATGATGGAAGACAGACAAGCACAGGAGCAACAGAATGACCGAAATGAGGACGAGGATAACGAAGACCTGGAAATGTCCACGTGGAGAACACTTACTTCCAACACGCGATACAAATTATGCCAGCAGAGATCCAACCTGTTCAAGGGTGGAAAAATACAGCCGAACGAAGAAGCATTACTAAGAGACCCTCTTCAAATGTCCAATTTCAGCAACTATCTGGACGACTTCTCCAAAGTTGTGCTTCACAGAAATCGACAGTATTTTGATGAAAACGATGATCCCTATTTGATCGAATACGACATAGGCGGAGGTATTCCATCTTTGAAATATAAAGGGCCTGACTATGATGCCATAGAGAACGATATTCTTTCCGATATGATGAAACAAGGCAAGTCGTTAGATGAGCTCCCGGAGTCGCGGTTTTCCATAAAAATGAAAGGGAGCAACTCAGTAATATACAAGAACATTGACCTGATGCAGGATATCAGAAAAGTGTGTTTCAAGATCAACATTATTCGACAAATGCAAACATCGCAATTTATACACCAGTCTCAGTACCATGCTCCTGATATAGAGCGAATCAGGCCTGAAGACATTGACCCGCTGTCGAAGCTGCCTACGAGAGACCATCTGATGCCCCAGGTCGCTTACGCCGCGCTCGAGCGGTCCGTGAGCACCATCATTATGGCCAACGGTTTTGAGACAACAAACCCTACTTGCGTGACAACTGTGACTCAATTGGCAGAGCAGTATTTTGGCAATCTCGTCAAGTCTCTCAAGATGAACATGGAATCCAACTCCATTAACAAGCTTCCCTTAAGAAGCAAGAGGCCGATGAGTTTCAAGGATATTCTTCTCATCTCACTTCAGGAGAATGGGATCGAAAAGCCCGACATCCTGTATTCTCATTACAAGGAGCATTTAACCAAGCAGAACAAGAAACTGACCGACCTCAAGTACAAGCTTGAAGGGTTCCTCAGAGACTTATTGCGGCCAGGAATTCAGGAGATAACTGAGAACCAGTTTACTGATGATTCGGAGCAATTTCTTAATGGTGACTTTTCTAATGAAATCGGGGAAGACTTCTTTGGGTTCAAAGAGCTCGGACTTGACAAAGAGTTCAATCTGCTTACATCAACCATTCCTCTTCACTTGCTTCATTCCAAACTGTCGAACCAGCTCAGTCATCTTGACTCTAAATCGAAAAAAGCAAAGTACGAAGATTTCCAAGAGGTCCAATTCCCAAAGTTGCGCAAGCGGGACTTGTCGTCTCAAATTGGTCTTCTAAAACCTTTCTACGAGGACCTGTTATCCAAATCAAGAGCAGCGTATGCTAAACAGTTGAAGAAACATAGACAGTCATTGGGAATTTCTGACCCAGAGGGCCATCATGCTGCTTCAAATGGCACCCCGAACGCCCCAGAAAGTGGCCCTGCGCCAAGCGGAAGCGAGCCACCATCCACTTTCGTGGAAATTGAGGATCCTGAGGATTTGGTGATCTTGGAGGACGACGACCTGCCGTTGAAACAGCGCAACAATCGGCCGAAGGTTCCTCCGAACGGAAGAATTACACAGGTCAAGCGTAAACTCATCAATAACGCATTTTTCCTGGATGCTCAAGACTTGAGGGAGCAACGACCACAGATTAGCTCAGCAGATCCTCGTACGAGCATAACTGAAAACACCCAACCCAAGGCATGGAGTCTGGATATCCCCAAAACCAACGAGAAGCTCCCGGAAACCGGGCCAGCCGCTTAGCATTTTCCAGCCATATATGTTTCGTTTAGAACATGTGTTAATATACAATGTACCATACAGAAAGACTAGAAATGTATGTCCTCTCCTCTGAAGTATTGAACGATCAAGTAAATGTTCAGGAAGCCTATCGTTCCCCAAGTGAGAATTGCCAGGACGTTTGTTATTGCCGAGTTGGAAAAGTCCTTGTAGCTATCACCCTTGCGCGCAGGCATCAAAAGAGAGGTTTCTGTTGGCGTGTCGTTCTCCAGCTCTTCTGGCTGCACTTGCACCCTCACCTTCATGATGTCCTTGTTGCAGGTGAAGTACAGCAAGGGAGCTGAAACGAAAGGTAGGATCAATGACAAAATAACCTGCGACAGGTTGAGGATGGTTGCAATGCCTTCTCTGCCCATGAAAAGGGCCATTGCCATACATGGCATAATTGCAATTGATCTCGTAGCAATTCTCCGATAAAATGGGTTGAGCTTCCACTCAAGACATCCCTCTGCAACAAGCGCACCCGACATGGTGCAAATGATTCCTGCCGCGATAGAGGAGAAGAGCATGGCAATTGCGAAAATGAGTCCTGCTGTTTTTGAAACGTAGTGGCTCAGCAGCTCATAAATGCTAATTAGGTCAGCATCCATGGCCTCGGGCTTTTTGAAGAGAGCTGCGGCCGAGACGATCAATATTGCAGAATTGATGAACACGGCAACAATGCACAGAGAACAGACCAGCTCGGCGTAAGAATAATTCAGGCAGTAATCTATAGCTGCAAGCGACGGTCTATAAGTGTCCTCATTAACTTCCTGTACAGCACTCTGCACCTGCAAGGAGTCTGGGTCTTTTTGATTTGATGTGTCAAACTCTTTGAGTCTCGGTTTTACGAGATTTGACCCAAGATACAAGGAGTGCGGCATCACGGTAGCACCGACTATTCCCAGTGCCAAATATACTGACTCCTTAGAGGTGAAGAGCTCTTTTGATGGAAGAAATCCCCTGAGCAACTCGCGCTTGCTTTGGACTTCCACTTTGTTCATCAGAATTATGAAGCACGCAAATGCTGCGAGGACCAAAAAGGACACAAAAAACTCGAATTTGCGAATTTCCTTGAGAGAGCCATCGGGATTGTACGCCAATAATATCACCAGAACATCGCAAATGGTCAGTAGCACGCCGACCTTCAGCTCGATGCCAAACAAAATGTAAAGCGCAATAGCGGTGCCCACAATTTCGGCTAAGTCTGTGAATATAATTGCTAGCTCAGCCAGAACATAGACCGTTATATTGAGCCAGCGAGGAAGATGCTTGCGGCAGTTTTGTGCTAGATCAAGTCCTGTGACCGTACCCAGCTTGATACACAGACATTGAAGAATAATGGCAAAAATGTTGGACAGAAAAATAATGAACAGGTGAATGTAGCCGAACTGAGCTCCAGCGTTGGTTGAAGTACTGTAATTCCCCGGATCTATGTATGCACAGGTAATTAGAAGACCAGGCCCGATGAAGCTGATGAGTTTTCTCCAGTCTACCATTGTGGATATGCAATTAAAGGATATGTCCCAATTCTTAAATGGTGCGGTAAAGTGGACCAGGTAGACCCGTGGTGAGATAATATCATGAATGCAGAAATTAGGGTGCTCGTCTTGAACGTCGATCGACGCCACAACCTTCGCGTCTGCTGAAAATTCACTTAAAAAAAAACAAAGATCAGATTTGGATTAGAAGGCTTCCCAGGGTACTCGCAGCTCAGTATTATCAATCCTTTTAGCTGCGGTACAACATGAACGAAAAGCCAAAAACAGAAGAATCGAAGTCTCCCCTGTTGAGTTCTGGGCCTCATATCAAACCTTTAATTCCCGAGACCGTGCTAGACGTCACTTCTCAACGTCTCTCCATTGTGTCCTTGTTTTTTCTCATTCAGGGATGGAAGATATACGACCTTTACCTTATCAAAAATGACTTTCTCAGAGAGGCCTTACACAGCTCGCTGTCGGTGAATCTTCTTCCTCCGGAATGGAATTTCATTTTTAAGTACATGTTCCTGGACGGTTTAGTTGTGTGGGCCAACTCCGTTTTGAGAATCCCTAAATTGGCATTGAAACCATACGCATCGGTCCTCCTGATTTTGGGTCTCTATACTGTTACAATACTGCTGACAACCAACCTCAACTTTTCTTTCATTCCTCTTTTCACCGGACTTATTCAACAGCTTCACCCAGAAAAAGAGTTAGCAATTGCTGAGGGCCTTGTTAACCCTCAAAATCTTCTTGACCAGTCCACTCATTTCAAGGGGAAGAAGATGATCAGATTCTTGCCAGACTCCTCGATCAAGCTCAATCCTTTCAACCAAAATTTCTGTTTGCAGAACTCGCATCATAGTAAAGTGAGAGTGCCCGTCAAATATAACTCTTCGAGCGAGCTGGATTTTCTACAAATCGTCCACACCGATTTTGATAACAACAAGTACACTTTAAACTACACAAGAAAAGAGTTGAAGAAGTTCTTGTCCGCAGATTATTCACGGGTTCAAGGCTGGGATATTAACTATATTGACGAACGAGTCTCTTATTTGGAACTGGAATTTGATAAGCCGGGATATTATATGGTTCGGCAGGCACAGGATGTGAAACATAAAAACATACGCAATTATAGATCCGACCTGGTAATTCCAAGATGTCCAAGTGCCCGTTTCGAAGATGTGGAGCAGCTTAAAAATGTGTGTGTTGATGACGAGCTTGATAAACTATCAATAGTGGTCACTGGAGTTCCTCCTTTGACTTTAGTGTATGAGGAGGAGGTCAACGGTGAATTGTCTCATCTTCCGAACTCAATCATTGTCCCTGAAGATAAAGGTTTTCACTCTCCTCTTTTATCCAAAGATTATTACACTGGAAAGAGCAATATGAAATCTCTCGATTTCCAATCGAGTGATCTCAAAGACATATCTTGGGCAAAGTCTCATGTTATAACTGTTCCGTTGGCCAGTCGGAAAATTGAGAAACCAGGTGATTTCATTTACACCATTGGCAAGGTCATTGATGGTTTTGGAAACATTGTTGAATACTCGCCAAAGCCAAGTGATGGCTACCATTTTTACAAAGTAAAGTCACATCCTTTGCCACTAATCAATTTCGTTGAATCCAAACCAAACTCTCCAATTTTGATTGGAGAAGAAAAGTATCTAGAGTTGAAAGTCAGCCATGTTTCTAACCCATCAGCAGAAGGTCCATATGCTGCCGACATTAAATTCATTCCTGCTGATGGCGATCCTAAAAGCTCCAAGACCAGTACCCATGTGTTTGACTTCAAGAAACCTGCAAAAATTGTCGCTAAAGAGCCCGGGACCTACGTACTTGAGTCAGTCACCTCCAAATTCTGTTCCTGCAAATTAGGTACATCCACTATCAATGTGGCACAAGCTAATCTTCCGCGCATGCATGTTTCGGCAACCCCTATAGTCGATAACTGTGTTGGAACCACCGGATTCAAGTTTACGTTTGATTTCATTGGCACAGGTCCGTTTGAGGTGGCATACAAAGTTTCCAGATTAGATCCAAAAAATGAGAAACGAGTTTTGTCGACAAAAGATGCCAAAATCCTTCGTTCGGAAACGTCAACTTTTGAGTTAGATTACAAGCCGCCTACTGAAGGTAGCTATGCAATCGAATTTGTGGCTCTCAGTGATGCATATTACAAACGGAAGGTTACCTTTACTCGTCAGGAACACCGCTACGTCACCTACTTTGAGCAAAGACCTAGAGCTTACTTCTCTGAAAACAACAAAGTAACTAAGCTGAATGTCTGCCATGATGAGAAGGCATCTGTTGACCTACACTTGGATGGAAAACCTCCGTATCAAATTGCTTACGATCTTATTTATCCAGATTATAGAGTCGAGAAGTTTGAGGTTTCTGACATAAACGATCATCAATTCAAAATCGAGACCGGCCGCTTGCATCTCGGAGGAGAATACAAGCTGCTGTTGAGAAATGTTACAGACGCATCAAATTGTGGTATGGAGTTCAGAGGTCAAGAAGTCCATATCAACGTCCGCAAAAGCTCACCTCAGTTGAGTTTTCCTCAGTCAGAATCATACAGGTTTGTGCAAGGTAAAGTTCTACTCGTTCCTCTGAAAGCCGACTTCAGCCAAAAAACCGATCTGAAATACCGTTTTAAATCTTTGGATGGTTCCGTTGAACAGGACGAAGTTCTCTACGACTTCAACCCAGCAGATGGCTTCCCTGTAAGAAAGGAGGGTATTTATGAGCTCCTGGAATATTCCGTTGACCAGTGCCCAGGCGTGGTGTCAGAAAATCATCAAGTTCACGCCACGTATCTTCCTAAACCAAAACTGAGAATAGTTGAAACAGATGATTTGACTTTACTGTCTCAAAACAGCTATCAAAAATCTACTCTTTGCCAGCTGTCGCCGGGATCCATAGAGCTACAAGCAATTGGCGAGGCCCCATTCATTATTGAATACTCAATTAAACATCCAAGTGGAACCATTGAGCAGAAGAGTGAACAAATCTCCAACAAGTATTTCTCCATCCAGCTCAAGACCGGCGAGAGTGGTGATTATGAGTATACCATCAAAGCTGTCTATGACTCAATATACACGAACGATATACTGGACAGTCTTGTGAGGTCTGGCGAGTATCGCTTTGAAGAGATCCAGGTCAAGCAAGCCGTCTCTTCATTACCTTCAGCCCGTTTTGTGGATAACAAGAAAATTTATCAGACCTGTGTTTCGTCTCTAGGCAATTTGGATCTTTTGGAAGAAATTCCAATCCGCCTATCAGGACGACCTCCATTTAATGTGAAGCTTGGAATCTATAACGAACAAGATGGTTTGAGAACTCTCAAACTGGACAATATCCAAACTGAAAAAATCGACCTTTTGAATCTCTACGAGCACTTGAGGATCGGAGTGTACCAAATTTCCATTCTTGAGGTGACAGATTCAAACGGCTGCTATAGCAGTGACTTTGACAAGGAATCTGTCAGCATCCAAGTTTACGACGTTCCTAAAATCCGGCATCTGACAGATGACATCCTACATCCTGAGGAGCACAGTTTGAAAAAGCCTGAAGAGATAACATCTTATTGTGTGGGCGATCACATAAATTACATGCTCACAGGTCTTCCTCCGTTCACTGTCTACTACGACTTTAACGGAAAGAGGCAAAAAGTGAACGTGAATTCCAACTACTTCAAAAGAAGAGCTTCAAGTGATGGTGATTTGTCAATTCTGGCGCTTTCAGATTCATCTTCGAAGAATTGTGTGGTCAACTTCACTTCGAGTGATGGAAAAAGCAGTACTAGACCAGACTTGAGAGCTAGAATCCATGATCTTCCTTCTGTTGAAATATCCCAGGGTGACTCCATAGAGGAAGACATTCAGGAGGGTGACAATGTTGAGATTATCTTCAGTTTCAGTGGAACGCCCCCATTCAAACTGACCTATATCCGTACCGATCTTGCTGAACCCAACCGCATTGTGGAAACAGAAGTGGTGGATAATATTATGGAATATGAATATAGAATATGGGCACGCTTGGAAGGAGTCTACGAGGCCATTGAAGTCCAGGACGCTTATTGTGTGGCTAGGAATCATAAATAATTTTATGTGTATAGTATGTATTATGAATTGTTATCAGATTCATTAGTTTGACTTTGCATTGCTATTGTTGTTATCTATATACATTATTGTGTCAGGAACGAGCTCGGTTCATTTCTTCTTCTTCAACAAGGTCCTATTCACCCTCATACGGCCCCTAGATTTCCGATTATTTAGCTCAGGCAATCTAGCACGTAAATTAGGGCGGCGTTCATTGGTAGCATCGTTATCACTGAAACTTGTGTTAGAGAATTGGAAGCGAGCCTTATTGTAATCCTTTATAGCCGGGGTTTCCTTTGTAGCAGATGCTAGATCTTCCAACGCGTTCCCCAGCATCTGAAAACCTTCGTCCATGTCAAGGTAAAGAATTGTCTGTCTTTTTTTGGTTGGCGGTTTTAGAGGTATGGTAAGCGGTTTGTAGCCTTGAAAGAATGTATCTAGAAGTACATCCTCAGGGTTCAGGGCGTCGGTGCTAGGCACTTTCGCGAGAGAGCTAAACCCTTTTCTGATTTTTTGCTTGGACTGTGGGGCAACTTTCCTCTGTTCATGTTCTTCCGCGCTGTTGACTGTCTTTTCGGTCTCGGAAATTTGTTTCTGCTTCTGCTGCTCAATGACGCTGATTTTCTTCTTGTTAGATGCACGGTTAGGGTTTGGAGTAGATGACTGGTATCTGTAAAAAGATGTCGTTTTGAGCAAATTTGCTCCCATCATGCCCGAAGGCCTCAAAGCGTTTGCTACTAGTTTCTGCATTCTTCACGCTGTGTGTGACTTGATAGAAGATGCTTGTGTCGCGACCAATGTATGCTGAGGCGCAAAAACAAAATGCTATTTATTGACTATTAGCCTGAATATTCAAATTATTAATTTCTTTTAATCGCCTCCGTTCCGGGTAAAAAAAAATATTGAATTATTAATTCAAAATTAGGTCAGAACGGTTTACTATCACCAGTAAGAATATATATCACGTCACACATCGATGTCTTTTACCGAATGATTTTTGAACCTTCGCGTAGCACGATCAGTGCTTCTGATGAGCAACCTATTTCCTATTATCTCAAATGTGATCGACGATTCCTCGGTTTCGAGCTGTAGCTTGAAGTTCGTATTTCTCTTGCTTATCACCCTCAACCCCCCGATTTTTTCCTTCAAAGTGAACTGGGGCTCTATCGTACTGATATCTTTCTTCCAGTTTGCTTGTCGCGGTACCACCATCACGAAATTGTGTTGAGATTCCCAAATGACGATTCCTTTCATGCCTATATTATTTATGCAACGACTGTGAATAACCTCGAGTTCTGATCCAATTAATTCGCTGCTCGAGAGCTTGCTCACCATCGTGGGTATGTGATTAGTCGTACCCAAAATCTCTCGAATGTAGCCTTTCCAAAGCTTATTCATCTCGACATAGTCCTCATATCGGATTAAGTTCTTGCAAATCCTAAGCTCCGTGATATCATTCAGATTGTTCAATAAATTCGGGTCCTTTTCCAGTTTCAAATGCAGTTGGCGAACAAGTCTATCCTGGTACTTGAGATTGTCTGTGATGAACGATTTGAACTCATTCTTAGTCTTCGTGGGCGAAAACCTATTATTTTTTCCCTGTAGTTGAATTGCAGTCAGTATCGATTTGTGGTTATGCTTCTTTCCATGTGTCCCTTCCGTGGGTTTCAAAGATAAATAATTCTTCTGGCTTCCTGTTAGCGAATATCGGGACTCCAGGAGCTTCGATATCTCCCCGTCATCGTGTAATTTTGAGGACCTCGACAGAAGGAGATGCTCAACAGTATGCTTCCTGTCCATGAAGAAAATAATTTATAGATGATTTTTTTTTGTTGATGATCCGAATAAGAACCTTAGCATCGAGGCACCTCTGCAAAAGATTTTACTCTCATACTCCGTTCGACGAGTACCTCGATTTTCCATCTGGTGAGCCGGCTTTGGAGCGAGAGCAGCCTGCAACGATCAATAGCGATCCTTTCGATTTCTCGGACATCCCAATTATCAAAGATGATAATAATTTGTTTTCATCAGGCCTTGCTACTCCCAGTAACCCACTCTTTGCTCAAACAAACTCGTCTATGAGTCCGGACTCTGTGTTGCAGGAACCTATCACAATGACTACAGAAGACTTTATGAAGAAGCTCAATCTAGCCCGTTCAGATCAGTCTTTTGACGAGCAGAAATTTAAGCGATTTAGCTCATTTTTGCGTACCGATACTCAAATACGTCAGCATGATACAAGGCTGCAAGACATTGCAACAATCAAAAATCCGCTAACTGTGATTAGCGAGTTCAATGATCCAAGACTCAATCTTGCCATAGAGAAATTCATTTACGACCAAATGCCAGATCCGTTGGCTAATTCGAGGTCTCGAAGACTAGTTTTGTATAAGAACTCTCCTTGCGTGGTGATTGGCAAGAATCAAAATCCTTTTAGAGAGATAAATTTCAAAGAAGCCACTATTCATGGGATCCCAATCCTGAGGAGATACAGCGGTGGAGGTACTGTGGTTCACGATCTCGGTAATTTCAATTTTTCCTACATGAGCAGCAGACAATCATTTAGCAGGGTCGAGTTCACGAACGCTCTAAATCACGAGATAAATCAGCTCGTTGGTCTCGATATTGGCTATGACGCACCGAAATTTTCGCTCACGACAAATGACCGGGGAGACATTATCAGTAGCAGTAGCCTGAAGAAAGTCAGCGGCTCCGCCTACCAGGTGTCTAGGGGCAAATCGTTGCACCATGGGACAATGCTCCTCAAGTCGGATCTTAAAATGCTTTCTGCTTTACTGAAGTTGACCGAAGAACGTAAGGCCTCCATCCAGGACAAGAGCACAGACTCAATTCCTAGTCCGGTAGAGAATTTGGAACTGAGCGACACATTGTTCCAATTCTGCGCTGTGGAGGCGTTCAAGAGGTTGCATCCGGCTGAGGGAATTGAGGACATGGTGTACGACAATCTTCTTGTGCAGGGAGACAGTCATATTCTAAAATTAAACGAGGTGAGTGATCTTCCCGAGGAGGTTTTGAAGACTCAGCACGAACTTTCCTCATGGGAGTGGACCATCGGAAAGACTCCGAAATTCCAGCTGATTGTCGATGATGACGAATTCCAATATCAAATGACTGTGGAAAAAGGACTAATTACCGAGATTGATTCCGCAGAGCCCGATTTGGATAAATTGATCGGGCTTCCGTTCAGCAGTGAGAAGATATCTCATGTCCTGACAGATCCCCTGAAAAGCCATGTTATGTGGCATGTCGACCTCAACACGAGATATGCGCAACTAGGAATCTCACAATTAGATTAGCACTGATAAAAAAATTTACCCCTGGCACCGTTTGGGCGCTAGATCTAGAGATTGTATAGATTTATAAACTTTTGAGCGCACATTTCAAAACGTAACTTTTCTGTTCATTGCAAAGCAAGTGTATGCAACATGAAGAGTATAGCTGCATTCTCCATGGTGATCGCAATCACCAGCGCTTATGCCTCAAATATCGAATCAATATACGAATTATCTCCAAGCTTCAAAGATTTCATAGGTAAAAGACGAGCCAAACGTTCGTGGGACGAGAAAGAGACTGTTAATCTAAAGTCTGTCTTCGACTACAATAACGACAAAGTCTATGGCGTGAATTTAGGCGGGTGGATGGTGACAGAGCCCTACATAACACCAACTCTTTATTGGGATGCTTCCACCGACGGAACGGAAGCAACAGTGCCAGTCGATGAGTATCACTATTGCAAGCAGCTGGGTACTGAAGAGTGCCATGCCAGGTTGAAAAAGCATTGGGACAGCTGGATCGTAGAAAGCGATTTTGAGAAGATCAAGAATTATGGATTCAACACAGTCAGGTTTCCAATTGGATATTGGGCCTTTGCACACTTAGGCACAGATCCCTACTGTTTTGGGCAGGAGGAATATCTGGACAAGGCAATTCAGTGGTGTAGAAAATATGGACTGTTTCTTTGGATTGATCTGCATGGAGTTCCTGGCTCTCAAAATGGGTTCGACAATTCGGGATTAAGAGATCATCTTGACTGGCAAAAACATCCGCTATATGTTGATCTTTCGCTTGAGATCTTGCATTACATTATGGCCAAGTATGGCGGAGAAGAATATCAAGACGTCATCTCGGCTATCCAAGTACTGAACGAGCCACTGGGATCAAGATTGAACATTAACAAACTGGAGGAATTTTATGTCAACAGCTACACACAGATGAGATATTTAAAGAGCGACAACTACATTGCGTACCATGACGCATTCATGGCTCCGGAATTCTGGGACACCAGACTTACCGGAAAGGTGAGCCATACCTCTAATATTACATTATACCCCCACACGGGTAATTTGACTGGATATACTAACACATCTACCTATCAGGGGGATTATTATAACATTATTATAGATCACCACAGATATGAGGTCTTTGATGTCGGTCAGCTATCACAATCTATTGACGAGCACATAGCCTCGCTGAAAGGTTTTACATCGGCAATCCTCAAAGAAGAGAAGCCAAAGCTTGTTGGCGAATGGGCTGCTGCCATCACCGACTGTGCATACTGGCTAAACGGCGTTGGAAGAGGTGCCCGGTATGATGGGTCATTCCAAACTAACAAAAAGCTAGGCGATTGCGCGTATGCGAACGATTTCGGTGAATGGACCAAGGAACGCAGAATGGAGGTGAGAAAACTTATTGAAGCTCAATTGGACCTGTACAACCAAACGAGCGGTTTTATTTTCTGGTGCTACAAAACTGAGGATGCCATTGAATGGGATCTTGAAAAACTGGTCAAATATGATTTGTTCCCGCAACCACTAGCAGATAGGAGGTATGTCTCTGTTCTGTCTAGCGACGCGGCAATTGTGAGTTCTCCCCTGACAAATATACCCAAGATTGGAATCATTGTACTTATACTAACAGCATGTGCCTTAGGACTAGATTTACTGTAACACCAATTCGTTATTCTTTACTATATAGACAATACAAGTCTTTTAACAAATGTACACCTTTCTACTATCAAACTCTAAATTATGGTTCTGAATCTAGTGTTAGCGAAATAAGGTGCATGGCTGCTCTAGGCACAGTATGAAAACGGGGCAATACATGACAGAACTGCGTGGAACTCTAGAATGCTATTGCTCGAGCAAAACGCCAAACAGCGCTTCCAAAATCCCAACAACAATTCTAATCTATACTGATCCGCCAAACATTATGCCTACAAAAAAAAAATTGTCCGGCATTCTCTCTTTAAACGTTCCGACGCGCCGACGACGCTCCGGCGATCTACATAATCACAACCCAGTAAAATAAATAAATTCAAATAAGGTGTCTGTTGATGAGTGCCTTGAACGCTTCAATGAACATTGGAGCTGGCTACGAAATGGCCATTGACGTTGATGAGGCCGATATGTCAATTTTAGATGAGAATCTGAAATTGACAGATGAGTTGACTGCTGCGCTATCTGCAAAACTTCACAGAGTCTCAACTAGCAGTGCGCTCGCAATCAAGTCAATCAACCCACTGATGGTCAAAATCAACCGTCTCAAAGTGCAACAGAGAAACTTTCAGAATATATTCAAGCTGGTCGAAAGTATCCAGGACTACGCGGAGGAGATCAGCAGTTTAGACAAATCAATAGGCACTTTTGGTGGACTCGACTCTGTCTCACAAATAAGCAGCTTCTGCAACATCGTTAAAAAATATCAGGGAATCCAGAGTGATCTGAAGTCCAAGAATTTGAAGGACTTTGAAGGTTTGCGCAAAGGGCTTGATTCGTCTCTACGGGATGCCGATGTAACTTTGAAATTTGAATTTATCAATAAGCTCAAAACATTAAGCAAGAGGCTCAAAAGCAATGGAAACAAGTTTGGAAAGGAAGAGGACGATATAATAGTGCAGCTGAAGCTGATGTATGATTTTATGAAACGCAGCCGTGCAATGAATATGCTGGATACGTTGATCAAGGAAAGAGCAGAATACAATCTCTCGACTCTTCGTGCACTCAACTTAGATTTGCCTACTCTTGTCAAGGATCAGACGTATTACTACGACGGAGACAAAAACCAAAAATACTTTGTTCATTATTCCAAGACGCTGCAAAGTCTTCTCTACGGAGAGCCGCATTTCCTTTCCAAGTTCTTCGATGACTTCAATGACATCAATCAGCTTCTCTTTGAGATTCTCTCGCCCTCTTTTGAGAACTTTGTCAATCAGTTCAACAACTTCTCAAGTTTCGTTGAGATCCATCAGTCAAGCTACGGTTCCATGTATTTTGAGATCAATCACGGATTGTCATTAATCTTAAACGCTTTCAGAAGACTCAATCTGAAAATTCCGCGACAAATATCAGAGCTAGAGTCTGAGTCTCTTACGCACTGCCAGTCAGTTTTCTCGGGCTCTTTCAAGTACATCGACCAGCGTTATTCTGACATGGTGGTCGGTGACAACGTGAACGAGACTTTAAACAATACATTTATGTCCCTCATCTCAAGGACTAATAAGATGTGTCAGTTTCAAGAATATCAGCTGAAAATCATTTCGACGATGAAGAACGGCAGCTGGTTGCCTGTATCAAAACCTCCTGGATTCCAGGAGGTTAGAACTGGGTCCACCGACCCAACTTTCCTTCTAAGTGTATTTTATGGCGATCTCATCGAGTACAACTTCTTCCAGCTCGAACGGAAGTACAAGCCGAAGATGAATGAGGAAGATCTTGGAGTTTTCTTGCTGTTTAATTTAGATGGGTTGCAAAATCTGCTGGACAACAGTGGTCAATTGAAGCAGGTTCTTGGACACACGGGGCTCCAGCGACTAGACAGAATGAAGAAGAAAGCGATGGAGAAGGCCACAGCGGAGTGGACAAAAATGACCACCAAGTTGATGCAGGCATCTACTAGACAGGGAGACACGTTCAACCTTACCTCGAAGGAGCTAGGTAAGCTGATTGACGAATTCAATAAGAATTTTGAGGAGAACTTCAAGAAAATGCAGCACAAGAAACTTCCTGCGTTCTTCAAAAAGCAGCTGAACCAGGACATCAACAAAATGCTTGTTCCGGCCTACAGAGTTTTCTACACCAATTTCACATCTAATGGCTCCTCTAAGAGCGTGGCGAAGCATTTCAAGTATGATATTAATGGTTTGCAGAAGAAAATAGCTGACCTAGGTTAATCTTCAACAACTTCCTCGTTTTTCCTCACGGTATGCGAACTCAACATCTTTGAATCTGTAGCTCCATCCTCGTTCGATGCTGCCAGCACCGAAAGGACAGGTTCCACCCCAAAGCTCAGATGTCTTTCCACATTTCCGTAGTCAACATGAAAGTCTTGAGCTCCCGCCTGAGCATACTGCGCTTTCCATTCGACGGATTTATTCTGGAGACCTGCTCTTCTTGAATTGCGAATGTTGTGCGGAAGGTTAGGCACTGCAGAGCCCTCTGAGGCTTCTGTCATGTTGAAAGGATGCCATCTTGCGTCCGGGACTGTTTCGTAGGCGTTATTATTTGACAGGGACGAGCCCAGCATCGCCGTGATATCGACAGAACTGCCGTTGTCTGGTGGTAGCTTGAAAATTGAGCTTGCATTTTCTCCCAGCAAGTTATTTGTTGATTCGCGGCTCAATAGCGGTTTCCTGGTTGCCGGGTCCTCAGAGACCAGAGATCCTGTCAACGAGTTTAGCGACGACCTTGTAGAGAAATGTCCTGGAGAGTTCATGAGCGGTTCTGAGTTTGATTCGTTGGTCTCTTGGCTGGGGTTATCCTCTCGCTTAGGCGAGATGGGGTACTCCGGAACGCTTGCCAGACTTGGTTGGGAAGCGGGATTTGGCCGGCTTGAAGTCTGCTCCTCGTCGTTAAAAGCTTGGGCAAGAGCGTCGTCCATGCCATGAGAAGCATTCGACACGTTGATGAAAGAATTGCCCGGAATCAGAGACGAGCTAATGAGCCTGGATTTTGACCGGCACTGAGAAACCAACGGAGGAGATCTGGATCTCATATCGTCCCCGTTCTGAGAGGTCGAACGAGACCTGATCGGAACAACCTTCAATTTGAAGTTTCCTCCCAGATCGCTGCCCTCCATATCCGAGTCGTCTCTGATCCTGTCGAACCTCGATCTCCGCTCGTCCACGTAGTACGAAGAACGGTTGGACGAGGAAGTGTCCGGCATTGTTTGTGTTTCTTCCTCTTCCTCGCTCTGTTTCTCCTTGATCGCCTCGTCGTACGACGGAGGCATATCCTTGGTCGTTTCCTCGAAATTTGGAGGCGGGTCTTGCAGATCCAGACCATTCGCGCCAAAACTCGAATTCTTGAGCAGCTGCGGGGACTGCAGAAGCGACAGGTTGTTGCGCAGATCTGCACAGCTGGACTGGGGTGTCATCATTGGCGAAAAAGGCTTGGCTTGTGGTGATTGCAATACAAACGGTGTGCGTCCATCCGGCTTGTACAGGTTGGAGTCGGTGTTGATGCGTTCTCTGGATGACAGCAACATATCGATGGAGTCTCTGCTCTGAGGAATTCCCTCCATTTGCTCAGAGTAGGATGGTAGCAGGGTGTTCGCATGTGCACAGAGCGGAGACAGCAGATGAATGGGCGAGTCGATGGAAAGCTCGAAATGCTTGCGTTTCTTAGGGTCCTCTGGTGTTGGAGCAGATTTCGAGATTCGAATACAGATCTTGATCCAGTGGTGGGACTGGATGTCGTCGAACGAGGTGTCTGGGTGCAGCTTGTATCTGTCTCCGAGTTTTTCCGGCACATAGACATGGAACTCAAGCTCTCTAGCCGATATTTCGTCTTCGCCCAGTGACAGCAAATTATCCTCCTCATTGCTGGCCTTGTGCTCCAATAGCAAAAATTTCTTAGGCGGCTCTGTGCGGTGCACCCGTTTGTTCTTGCAGTAGTACTCCAGGTGTTCTGTGAAATAAACCTTGATCCGGTGAATTTTGATTTTGTCCAGCGGACTCAGTTTAAACGAAATCGGCAGATACGAGTTCAGCAGCACCTGTTTCGACGAGACAACGATCTCGTAGTTCAGCTGGTCTTCCCAATCCCTGTTGATCACGATCGGCTCATTCTCCTCAATAGAGTCCTGGGATGGAGTTCGCACTATATTGACCATTTTTTTCGTCGACAAACTGGACTTGAACGTGCCGCTGCGCTCCAGAAACGCCTCAAGCTGGTAGAAAACCGATCCAAACGTCACGTTGATGGATTCTGCCGCAGACGCCGGGATCGGATGCTCAAACGCGTAGATGTAGTCTCCCGGCACAAACAGTTTCGTGTCGTCGACGCTAGCGTTGGACTTGGTTGGAGTCAGGTCGATGTCCTGCTGTGACAGCTGAGCGAATAAACCGGGCCGTGGCGAGCCTGGTCGCTTCCCTTTGAGCACCATTGCGAGCGGCGAGGGCGACTTCACAGGCTTCATGTCTGTGAGCATGTCTATTGCGCTGGTGACGGGGGATAGACTGTTATCGAGACTGAAATTCGATGGCTCGCAGTCGACGTCGCTCTTTGGAATAAACAGGTCTGCGTTGTTCCGGCTGGTCTCTGTGGCCTCGTAGGTGTTTGCATAGTGGAAGAAAGGCCACGTGTGCTGTATGAGAGTGTTTTGTTCAACGTGCTCGACTCTTTTGGGAGGAATTCCTTCCGGCCAGTCTGTTCGGGATGTACCGGTTAGTTTGAGGGAAATGGATTTTATTTTGACTGGTCTGAGAACTCGCACAAACAGACAGCCACGAAGAATGGTGGGAGGTCTGCCTTTTGTCTCCTCTTCTGTGAATCCCTCCAGAAACAGGTTTTCCTCTGCCTGGATAAGGTACAGCTTGACGGAACCGCTCTCTGCGCTAGGCTGTGGCGGGAGCTTGATGATAGTCTCGTTGGAGAGCCCCTCCACAGGAAACAATGGAGTCCGTAGTAGGTCTGTCATGAAGATTTTAACTGACAGATGTGTCGTTGTTAATTAAAAATGCGTGATGTGCAATACCGGAACTGTTAAATACCAGCCATTCAGAAGTTCAAAGATGGGGTTGGCTTGGGGTTGGTTTTCCTGTGCTGCCGAGTTTTGAGGTGTTACGCTATCGACAGAAGTGTGCAGCCTGTGGGTGGGACAATAATTTAGGTTGATCTTTTTTAATGACTTTTTTTTTTACCCAAGTTGGAGTCCTCTGATAAGAAAAAGAAACTGGGATCGGCGCTGCCGCGAAGGAACGGAAAAGCGTCGATCGACGAAAAACTTTTTCCAGGAGGACTGGAATTTCCGTGCTTATTATTATGTAAGAGAGAAAAGGCGGCCGTGCCGAGCATGCATAGATGGGAGGCAGCAAGAGGCGGCAGGAGGAACACTAAGTGCCAGTCGTAGGCAAGAGTCTCGTGTAGTCTAGCAATCTCTTTCAAATGAGCTCTTTCGAACCGCTCCAGTGCGTGATGGGGGTGCCACGCAGAGGCCGGGGCCAAGCAAAAAACGGCCACCCCGAGAATTTCTCCTCCTCCAGAACAAACACGGGGTGCGCTACCAAAAACCTGTATCTGCCAGTGTCTTCCTGTCCGGACGTTCTATGGGACCAGCACGACAGACGATTGTTTAGCTCCTCGAGCAGGGGATTTACTTACTAATTTGGTAAAGCCGGCTGGACACTACCAATCGGAGTATATAGATACCCAAAGTTGCAAATTCTCGGACTTTTCACCAACTGCAATGAGTGTTTCTGTGAACTACCCTGAAGAATTTGCTGGTTTTGCCGTGCTCGACACCAAGGACTGGAACAAGCCCAAGTACATCACGTACAAGCCCAAGGCCTTTGGCGACCACGACATCGACATCGAGATCGAGTGTTGTGGTCTGTGCGGATCGGACATCATGACGGCGATGGGCGGCGAAGGCTGGGGAGAAATCAAGCTTCCGCAGGTTGTGGGCCACGAGATCATCGGCAAGGTGGTTAAGGTTGGCCCAAAAGTCAGTCCTCACAAGGTTGGCGACAGAGTCGGTCTGGGGGCCCAGGCTTTTGGGTGTCTGAGCTGCAGACGGTGCAAGGAGGACAATGAGCAGTACTGCAAGGATTCCGTCACCACGTACGACGGCGTGTACCCTGACGGCTACGTCTCGCAGGGAGGCTACGCCTCGCACGTGAGAGCACATGAACATTTCTGCTTTGCCATTCCAGACGCTATCAAATCCACCGAGGCTGCTTCTCTGTGCTGTGCTGGGTTGACCGTGTACTCGCCTCTGAAAAGATACATTCCGACGAGTTTGCCTAACGGCGAGAAGCCGAAAGTGGCCGTTCTCGGTCTGGGAGGCCTGGGACACCTGGCGGTCCAGATTGCGGCTGCTTTGGGAGCCGAGCCGTACGTTTTCTCGAGAACCGACGCCAAGAAGGAGCAGGCCTTGCAGCTTGGCGCCAAGGGGTTCGTGGCCACGGGAACCAAGGGCTGGGCCGACGAGTATTTCGACCAGTTCGACCTTATTCTCAACTGTGCCATTTCTCTCTCTGGCCTTGACTTGGACAGCTTCCTGTCGATTTTGAAGGTGCAGGGCAGATTTGTCTCTGTTGGACTGCCGGCTGTGGAGGAGAAATACGACGTTTCTCCGTTCACGTTTTTCTCGAACGGCTCGTCGCTGTGCTCTTCGAACCTCGGATCCAGAAAGGAGATGCTGGACCTGTTGGAGCTGTGTGTGAAGCACAACATCCGTCCGTGGGTCGAGGAAGTCCCGATCTCTGAGGAGGGCTGCAACACCGCGCTGACCAGAGCCTGGAAGGGAGACGTTCGGTACAGGTTTGTCTTCACGGAGTTCCACAAGGCCTTTGGAACGGGAAAGTAGATTACCGGTTAAATAAAATAAAGTTCCTTATAGACTGGAAAAAAATCATCACTATGAATCATTATGCTGATAGAGCGTCATTTCCACGGCGCGCGAGTAGCTTTGGGCACGGCGGACGGGCGTTTTTCCGCAAGCATCGCCAGTTCCTCTTCTCTTCGCTGGTACAGCGAGTGCATAGCGAGCTCGGCCTCGCTGCGGTAGTCTGTTTTCGCAGGAGCCGTCTTTTCGGGCTCCGCGTCTGGCGAGGACTCAGGCAGGTCTCTGAGCGAAACGGCGTCTTTCCAGGGGAACAGCACATGGCCAAAGTAGAAGTGCTGCACAACAGGGAATTTCGAGAGCACCTCGCCCTGGAACATTTTAATCATGCCCAGTGCTATTTTTTCCCAGGGTTTAGAGGTGCATATTTCGTAGAGCAGCGGCGAGTGCTCGCTGAAATTGCCCTTTTTCACGCGCCGAATGAACCCGATGGCGTTGTAGAAGAGGTTGCGGTGCGCCTGCTGTTTAGTCACGGCCGGGTTCAGCACCGTCGACGGCGTGAGCCCCATGCGGAAGTTCACAGCCCTTGCGCTTTTTCGTTCGGTTCCCACGGTCTCGGAGTCCACCAGCTGCGAGGCTCCAATGATGTAGATCAAGTGGAAATGGTCGTCGAGCCCCCACACCCCGTGCGAGCCCGCCGGCTCCAGCGTGTACGTCAGGATCAAACGTTTCACGAGATCGTAGTACTTGCCAAAGATGACCAGTATCTCGACGCCCTCGAGAGAGTCCTGGTCCAGCAATTGGCACATGAGCAGGCTGGCAAAAAAGGCCAGAAACGACAGCTCGTGGCCTGTGCCGTAGTCAAGACGGTCGCGCGACCCAAACGCCCCTAGAATGTAGTATCTGGCCTCGGAAACAAACCCGGCAAACTGGCCGTCCACCTGGGACGCAAACAGCGGGCGCAGGTGCAGATCAAGCCAGCCGTCCACCTTCTTCTCCAGCAGGTCGTGCCAGTTGCGACAAGCCATGTTTCCGTACCGTCTGGGTCCAGGCAGCGGCGGGACCTGGTCCATCAGGAGGCTCAGCTCGGCAAGAAAATCGAGCACTCGTTGGACGTTGGGCGAGAGCGTTTTTTGGTCGAACTCTGTCGTTGGCGGGGGCAGGTCAAGCAGCGTGCTTGATATTGGCTCATTGGGTGATTCCACCAGCGAAGTGTCCAGAACTCCTTCCGGCACAGATTTCAAGCTGACCTTTTGGCAGATCAGCATCAGTGCTGTCTTGATGCGGTCGATGGCCACCGAATGCAGAAAGCTCTGCACGTCGGCAGAACCGTTGATTTTTTTGGCTGGCGGCGACCAGTCCAACAGGTTGTTTTTCAGGTCTAATCGAGGAACAGCCATTATGAATTAATTTATCTATTTTTTTCTACCATTTATTTGAACAAATAATAAAAATCAGCTCGGCTCCCGCAGCTTGTAGTAATTTGTAGAAAAATACCACTTGTTGAAAACATGCACCAGCAGAAGGTTTGCCAACAGCGGCAGCATCAGCTTCGGTATGGTCTGCGCCGCCTCCTCGTCGATGGTGAACCCGTGCTTGAAGTAGAGAACAGCCAGCAGATATGTGCAGTGTAGAATAAATAGCAGCGGCGACCCGATCCTGATCGCGCTGAACCCAACCAGCGCCGTCCACGTGTACTCGTCCATTGCCTGGTGGTCCAGATAAAAGTCGTCCATACCGTAGTACTTGGACGAGGGCCGTTTTCGCACCAGGGCCTCTGCGGCTGGTTTTCGTTTCTTGCCAGCAATCACCAGTTCGTCGGCTGTTTCGTCTGCGTCGACCGAGACTGGTTCCCGCTTCGATGGACCAGAAGAGCCTCGCTGCCGGCGACGGCCCGCACGTTTCGAGCCCGCGATCATAGGCTTCAAATCAGCGAAATCTGCCATTGGTGCAATTTTTTCTTATCTATTATTTTTCGTGCACCAACGCTGCCGACTGCCACCCTCCGGCAGCAATGGCCAAAACCTGGCCGCTGACAGGAACACGCACCGGCTGCTCGACAACAATGTCATTCCCGTCCTGGCGCACGCCCGGCATAGAAAGCGCGGCAGAAAACGTCCCCAGCCCCAAACACCCGTTCTTGTGCGACTCTCTGCCCCAGGCATACAGCTCACCTTTTTTATTCAAAGCCAAAAAATGATAGTCCCCGACGGCAACGGAAATCACGCCGTTAGACTGCAGCTCGCGGTAGACCTGCGGCACTTGCGAGCTCTTGTCGCCCAGCAGAACCTGGTCGTCGTTGGTGATCGCGCTAAACCTGTTGAACGAGCCGCTGAGCCGCACAAACCGGGTCTTATGGCTGTCGTACTGCGAGTGTTTCTCCGCGTACTCCTGGAACTTGGCGAGCTTTGAGCCGCGGCCAATTCTCGGAGGTAGCTCGCCGGGCAGGTCCACGCGGTACAGCTCGCCCTGCGCGGTTAGGTAGATCAGAAAGTTGTCCAGCACAATGTAGTCGTCGATCGCCACGGTGCCGTCGATGATGCTGACGTAAGCGCGCACCGGCCCGTACTCGCCGCTGTGTGGAGCGAGGCTGTCGCGACGGTTCCAGACGGCGATCCCGAGGTTGTGAATGTGGCAGCTGCTGAGCGACCAGCCCGCGCGGATTCGCTCGATTGAGCCCGTTACCCTGTCGCCGTTCTCGAGGTGGAGATCCAGCTCGACGCCCCTGCACAGCCGGCCGACGCTGTCCCACGTCCAGAGCCGGCCGTTGGTGTCGAGGCCAATGAAATGCGATCTGCCCGACCCGATCTGGCTGATCTTGGTGTTATCTGGCAACTGGACTTTATTCACACATATTCCTGGCTCGTATGCCGCGCGTGGCTCGGTGCCAAAATTGTAGTCTCTGTTTTTGGGTCCCGGCTCCGACAGGCCAGCCATTCCGTGCCAATTGCGCCCTGTATAGTACAAGTTGCCCCTGGTGGTGAGCACGCAGAAGGAAAACCCGCCTGCGGTCACGTCTGCTATGTTTTCGTCGTCAAAAGTCAGCTCCACAGGCTTGACCAGTCTCTTGCTCTGTCCGTGGTCCAGTATCTCCAAGGCGGCGTCCTGGCTGCCAAAAAGCCACCCAAGACGACTGTAGCCGTTGTTGCCAAAGGTGAGGAGCTTACAGTTCTTGCGCAGTTTGTACAGCTGGGGCCATTTGTAGTAAAGGTCGAACGGAACGTTGTCATGTTTGAATGCCTTCCGGAACATCTGATGCCAGACCACGGCCTGGTTGAGAGACAGGCTGAGGCTTTTGCATGTGAGAAATAGAGACTGGATGTCTGCCTCCTCCAAAAACGGCACTATATGGAAGCAGATGATGTCTTCATGCAGATCAAGAAAGGATACCATAATCAGAATTTAGTAGCTTCCCCCTATTTAACAGAACCCTAACTTTCCCGTGCACGGGTGTTTATGGTTGCTACCGTAAATTTAGTGTATAGTAAATGACATTTTATTATCGTATAATCGAGTATCGTTATCGTAAATCGTGACTGCGGCTATGTCTCACACATAATCATCTCTATTTTCGAGAAAAACGCGCAGGTGGAACAGTACATCGCTCAGGTTCTTAAAGTTGACAAACTTGAAGTTTTTGTCGTAGATGAAGTTGAAGAGGAAGGACCCGATCTTGAGGAACTTGAACGGGAGCTTGAACTCTATCAACTCGTTGATGATCAGGTCTTTTTCGCGAAGAACCTCCAGATCATCCTTCAAGATGGAGTTCAGGTTCTTTTCCTGCTGACTGTAGTGCATTGTATCTCTGTTGATGATATTGGAGATGGTCAAGCTTGAGAAATCGCTCTCAAAATCGTGATAGTCGTAGTTGATCTTCAAGAAGTACTCGAGGTTGAGATAAATCTTGAAGAACTTCTTGTAGTACTTGAACACTGTTTCGTCGACGTCGGAGTTCAGCGACGAGGATGGGTTGTACACTGTGGAGCGCAGTTCGAAGTGCTGGATCAAGCTGACAGAGCCAAGGTTGTTGTATTTCATTTTCATTTTGAATATGTTCTCGAAATTGATCAAAAACTTAACTATGATCATAAAGATGTCCAGAAGCAGCTGCGAGTCGATGGACAGTTTCATCAAGAAGTTCAAATCGACAATTCCAAGCTCCTCGTCGTAAATCTCTTTCAGCTGCTTCTCTGAGTTTTCGAGCTCCGAGTCTGCAGGCTGCTGGAAAAACACTGTCTTGAAAATGTCAATGCAGTTATCAAGCATTCCAATGAGCTCTTTTTGGTATTGGGGGTCTTTCAGTTGCTCGTCAGTAAAAGTGAAGCTATTTTCGTAAAGACTGTTGATATCGCTGAAACTTCTTAGCCAGACGTTTTCTTTGATCTTGTTGAAATTCATGATGTGCGACAATTTCAGGTTCAAGTAGCTGTTCAGCAGCTTTGCATCAATGAACACCTCGCTATTCGCTTGGTACAATTTGCAGGCCTTGAGTAGGTTTTCCCAGTTTTGAGCCACGTTCAGCAGTTTCTGATCCTCTGAGCCTAGTTGTAGTAGAAACTCGGACACGGTGCCACCTTCTGGCATCGACAGATAAAGCTGTTTCAGGTAGGCCAGCTGGTGGAGCCCATTCTGGAGGCAAACGAGTCCAAACTCGCTCACGTGATTATCAAAGAAGAAATTGGAGTTTCCGATCAAACCGGTTGATGGATCAAGCTTGGAGAACGGTAGGTTGATGAGGTCTCTCAGCACACGATGGTAGTTTTCCGGTCTGAAGTCAAAACTCTCGAGGATATTCTTGAACTCCGCGTGGCTCGTGCACTCCCACAGAAAAGTGGACGAAGGCAGGTCGGTCTTCAGGTCGTCAATCTTCAACGAGGGAACAATGTTGTACAGCGTGGACAGCAGCGAGGAGATGTGGAAGATCATGTGGACAGTGCGTATGGTGGACTCGTTTTCGATAAATTTTTCGTGAGACGTTTCGTCGTCGTCTATGTTTATTGGTAGCTGCGAGCTGACTGAGTTCAAACCTGACGACTTGACCAGGGAGCATAGGGCGTTCACCTGTCTAATGATGACATTCAAGCTGGTCTCGTCGTCTGCAAAGAGGCCGTAGATCACAGAGAGTGTGAGCGCCTGAATAAGCCACAGCGGCGACGAGTTGTTCACCTGTGTCTCAGTGTTCTCGTCGGCCGAGTTTTTGTGTCGGACAAGCTTGCGGGTCTCGAGATAGACGTGAATGCACCGTCTGGACGCCTCGTACAGGTTGGCGGCGTCGCTCTTTCTATTCGACACGATCGCCCCGATGGTTGCAATCAGCAACGGCAGACACACCAGCGACACTCTGGTGTTGTCGACGCTATTTTCGTCTCTGATCAGGTTTGACTCAATTGAGCAGAGCGTCGACTTCATCAGAGAGTACTCGTTGAGCATCGACTTGTGGATGAAGGGATGGTGGTTCAGAAACTTGTTTTTGAATTCGGTGATGTAGTAGTTGAGTTTTTCGTTGTCTGGAATAGTAGGCGAGGGAACTCCTAGAAAAGGGTACTTGGAGAGAGATTGATACACATAGCTTCTGATGGTGCCGGTGAACAGGTTCACCCGTGAGTATTTCTCGAACTTATCCTTGGAGTATGCAAATTCGCTGTTGAACTCTTTATCCGAATACGTTTTGGCGCCGCCCTGTTTCTGGGAGCTCTCCAGGGTCTGGTTGGGGCTGTTCTGCCGCGAGTTGGCAGAGAGTGTGTTGTCGAGCAAAATCGGCGAGATCGTCGCGTTCGACGAGCACGACGACGAGTGCGGCACCGTGTTCTGGTCGCTGTTGCCGTAGAACGAGTATCCTTGCGGCACGTCGTACGTCTTGGACACGTTCAAGTCGGCGATCTCTTCCAGATCGTTGATGCTCTGGTTGAACAGGGTTTCCTGCCAGTGCTTGACTTTTTCGTCTCCCGGCTGCGTGTGGAGGCTCGAGTCTGTTCCTGGGCTTTCCTGGACCAAAGGCGACACATGCGCCTTGAACGGCCGCACGTCCGGCTTGTCCTGCGGCCCCAGAGGGCCCTCGACGAGGTCGTCGAGCCCAGGCGCCTGCACACCGCGGCCGGGCAGCGCGGTGTGCGTGAACAGGGAGCCGACGTTTTTATAGGGCACGTCGTAGAACGAGTAGCCGGTGATGTCCTCGTGGAACTCGTGCGGCGCGACGTCCATGGCGTCGGCGTTCAGGCTGGACGACGGCTGCATCGGGACCTGGCCGTCTCTGTGGTCCATGAGGTCGAGGTTCGGCAGGCTGTTGAGCCAGTGCTCGGAGTCGTCGTCGAACGCAATGAGCTGCGGCGTGGAGAACTCGACGGCCTCGGTGGCGTACGGCTCGGGCGTGGGCATGGCGTAGTTGCGGCCGCTCATGGCCGAGAACGAGGCGCGTCTGTTGACGGGGAACTCGAGCTTGTAGTCGAAGTCCTTGAGGCCCTTGAAGCTGAAGTCGTCGTGCAGTTCGGGCTCCTCCTTGATGCGCTGCTCGACGGCCACGGGCACGCTGCTGCGCTGTCTTCTCGCGGCCGGCGCCGGCTTGGTGACGGCGTGGGCGGAGGCCGAGAAGGAGCCGCGTTTGCCGCGCCGCGAGCCTGCTCTGCCGGCCGGCTCCGCAGACGGGCTGTTGGACGCGCTCTGGTCTGTGTTGTCCTTGGACGCGGGGGACGAGGCGGGCTTGACGGAGCGTCGTCTGAGCCGCGGGACGACCTCTGCGGCGCCGGCATGGAGCTTGGTGGAGTGTCTGAGAAGCAGGTCCCTCCTGCTGAACTTGCGCGAGCAGATGGTGCAGGCAAAGGGCTTCTCCTTTGTGTGGGACCTCTCGTGTCTTTTCAAATGCTCCTGTCTGGCAAAGGCGCGGGTGCAGATGTTGCACACGTACAGCCGGGGCTTGCCCGAAGGCGTGGTGCCGTTCAAGGTGAGCTCTGCGGGCACGGACTTGTTGTCCTGTGACACCTCGCTGGAGCTGCGCCGGCTGGACTTGACCGAACCAAACATCGGAGGCATTTGAAACGTTTTATCGTTGTTCATAGTAGCACAAATCATCCAAAATAAAAGGTTTGCGAACAACGAGTCGGTTACAATTGGCAGTACATCTCAGTCGCAGGGTAATTTGGAAAATATGGAGAAGAGGGACACCCTCGAAATATATATGAACCCCAGGGTCACCGGCCAGGCCAACACCGCGAGCCGACCACACGGCTGCCGCATATGTGCCATTGGTCATTGCGGTGCTGCAAGAGCCCCTTTGTTGGTCACACCATTCTTTTTCCCGATTGAGCTGACACAATTTTTTTACCCCACATTGGGAGGGTCGGATTCCTGTCGGAGCCAGCAAACAAGGCGAAAATTGTCAGCAATAAAGGTGGGGCCGCGTGGGGCTCACCTTATTTTGCCCCATTTGGGTGGAGGAAACGCACACCCCTGCACCAGCAACCGCACCACGGAATTTTTTTTATGTTCGGTCGTTCTCGACACACGTCATGGCACACCTTTCAAAACCGCATACGGCCGGACTCCGCTACAACAAGGAGGACCAGGTCGACACCGCGCGGCTCGCCAAGTCCGTGCTGCTCGTGCTTCTCATAGCCGCCGCCACGGCCTATTTCGCGCTCCAGCTCTACGCCCTGCTCGGCAACTGGCTGTACGTGTCGCGGCTCCAGTCTGTGCTCGACCTGGCTGCATTAATTATAAAGATCACCGCGTTCTACTATTTTGCCCGCTGGCTCAACGGCGTCCTGCTCCTGCGTCGGGCCGACCCAGCAGAGCTGAAGAAATACGCCTAGGCCTCCGATTCCTCGGCGGTCTCGTTCGCCGCCTCGTTCTCCCGCACCACAAACGAGACTCCCATCTCGTCCAGACAGGCCCGCACCGTGAGGGGCTCCAGCTGCACCCCCTTTGCGTCCAGCAGCGCCACCACGTCGTTGAAGTTGATAGGCCTCAATAGCAAAATGTCCCTGTATAGCGTCTTGTCTTCTTTGAGTAGCCCGCGGATGTGCGAGAACATAACGCTGCGCACCTGCCGAAACGTCTCCTCCGTGCGCACGTGCTCCGTGTAGTTTTTCTCCAGCTCGGCCTGGCTGAGCTGCAACACGCCCTCTTTCTGCCGCACCAGCTGCCGGCGGTCGATCAGCCGCAGCGACGAGGTCAGGATGTCCACCATCTGCTTCCGCGACTTGGCGGGCTTGAGTCCCCATGCCTCGATCTGCAGTTTCAGCTGGGGCGTGGTGAACGTCTCGAAATCCAGCTCTGCCGCGGTCACCGGAGCGTGCGGCTCGCCCGGCTCCTCGTCCAGCTCCTGTTTTTCCGCCCGCACCGGCGAGCTCTCCACCACCACCACCGACGCGTCGGTCTCGCTCGACAGCTCGATCGGGGCCTGCTGCGTGCCAAAACCCCCCGGCTCCTCGTCCAGCACGTCGTACACTTGCCGCCGCTGCTGGAGCCTCCGCGCCGCCGACGCGTGCGACTCGTACGTCGTCCACGAAACCTCGCTGTCGCGGTAGTCCTCCTCGGGCGTGCACGGCACCGACCGCTCGTCGCGCTGGATCACCTGCGACAGCGTCACCACCAGGTCCTCGTTGTCCGACTGCGACGCCACAAAGCACTTCTCGTCGGTCTCGAAGTCGTAAAGGCTCAGGATCTCGTCCCTGCTGAACACCACCGGCGGCGCAGACGACTCCTGCCACAGCTGCCTGGCGGCCGGCTGCTCGTTGTATTTGGCAGAAACCAGCTCCAGGGTCATTTTGGCGCTTCTGGACAGCTTCGGCAGACTCCGCAGGATCTCGTCGCGCACCTCGGTCCACTCCTCTCGCGAGTACACAAGACTGATGTCGTGGAGCGGCGGCGGCTGCTCCGGCGCAGACTCCTCGATCCGCGCGATGTTCCGTATGATGTCCTTGACCTTGCGCTTCCGCCCCGACAGAGCCAGCAGGATCGCGACGTTTTCGGTTTTTTTCCCGTGTTTTTTCGACATCTGGTCGCCCAAGCTCTTGATCTTGGGCTTTTTCCGCGCGGGCGCACTGCGCCGGGGCCTTGCGGCCTCTGTGGCGCGCATCGCGTACTTCTGTTGCAGCAGTCCGAGCCTGTCTCGCTCCTCGTCCTTGGCCTCCCATTCTTCGATTTGCGCCTGGGCCTGCGTCCCTAGCAAAAATTGGGACATGGGTAAGATGTGAATTATTTTATTTTTTTTTATTTTTTTCTATTTTTACGCGTCATGTACGGGTTGTCGCCCAACAAGTCACCAGAAAAACGTGATTCTGAAGAGCCTGATGCCGACGTCAAGCGCCAGAAACACGCAGCCACTCCAGAAGCGCCGGACGAAACGCTGACGCCGAAGTCTTCGCCAATGGACGCGGACAAACACGCCCGACAGAAGCTGAAGAAGCAACAGGAGGAGGAGCGCAGACTGAGGCGCGAACAGGAGGCATTGGAGCGCAAAATGCGCAAGGAGCGCGAGGAGAACGAGAAACGCGCGCGCAGAGAGAAGCTGGAGGCAGAGAGACTGGCCCGGAAGGAACAGAAGGAGCGCGAGAAGCTCGAGAGACAGCAGAAAAGAGAGGCCGAGGCCAGGGCGCGCGAGGCCAAAAGACAGCAGGAGGAGGAGGAGAAGGCCCGGCGGCGGGCCGAACAGGAGGAACGCGCGCTCAAAAAAGCCGAGGCAGAGCTCGAAAAGCTGCGGGCCAAGGAGCTGGAGCAGCAGAAGCTACAGAAACAGTCGATTACGAATTTTTTCAAGCCCAAGGACACGAAAAGCCCGACCTCCAGCCAGCCGACGCCAGAGAAAGCCGCCAACAGTGACTACCACACGTATTTTCTTCCGTTCAATGTCCGTCCCGGTGTGCGAATGGCGCAGAGAACGCCGCAGCAGAGTGCAGAGCTGGATAAGTTTTTACAGGGCCAGCAGACAAGCTCTGCACCGTTCAGAGACTCCCTCGTTTCCAAGAAAAGTCCTCGTCTGTACGCAAAAGCATCGGATGTGATCCAGGCTTACAACTTGGGCATGGTCAAGGAAGCGCAGGAACAGCTGGACCGCGTGCCTAAAAAGTATCTGCGGTTCTACGAGAACGCCAAGCCGCCGTATTTGGGCACATACTCGTTTTTGGTGACGAGTCTGGATTTCAGGCTGGCGCTGAACCCGTTCACCAAAATTCCACCGGACATTTTACAGATAAATTACGACTTCGACTCAGACCTGGAAGAAGAAGACGACGACGACGAGGGTGAGGATGTGGAGCTGGACGAGGACTCTGAGGAGGATGAGGACGGCCAGCTGGACGAGTCGTCGGACATCGAGCAGTTTGTCGAGACCGACGAGAACGGCGTTTCGACGAAAAAGACAGTCATCGGGCCCCTGGTTCCTGTGGTCAGCTGGATTGGCCAGGAAGCCGACGGGCAGGACCAGTTTGCGCAGTACTTCAGCGGACTCCAGTACGAACGTCTCAGACACAACATCGAGCTGCCTATCGACCCGATGTGTGATTACTGGGGCGAGGAGGAAGCACAGGAGCCGCAGAGTGCTATCAAATTTATTGAGGACACACGGACGAGCGCTGGCGCCGTGGAGTCGGGTCCGATGACCGTGAAAAAGAAGATTATCACCGACGCAGCGCACGTGGCCAAGCTGGCCAGCTTCATAGCAGAAAACAGCGACTTCTCGATCAACACGATGACCGAGATCGCGCAGAAACAGATTCTGGCAGACTACTCGAAGGCGGTTGTGAAAAACAGCATCAAGGAGCTGGCCACGTTCGACAAGAAGACCAACAAATGGGCCGTCAAGCAGAGTGTATAAACAGTTACAAAACTGAAGCATTTTTGGCTATGTTTTATATGTAATAAATTATATTTCCGAATTTGGAATATTAAAATGGTTAGCCCCTCGATCTCGCCCGCCAGAGAAGCTAGAAGGCCCGCGTTTGCGCCATAAAATTTGCTGATTTTTTCTGAGTCGAACGGTACATCTCTCCCGTCCCAACTCCCTCTGTAGCATAAAATCGTCCCATCCCAATTCCGCTTAATTACTCGCGTCGGCTGTATTTTTTTTTCGCGTCCTCAACACGAAACATCAAAATCTTTTTTTCCTCCCACCAATGTCTTCACCGCAGACCTCGCCCGTGCACGATTCCCACCAGTCTACGGTGCCCGACTCGGCCTCGCAGACTCAGAGACAGCCAGTGCCCTCATCGCCGCTTTTCATCGCGCCTTCCAGCGACGATTCCGCACGGCCCTCCCAGACACAGGGTTCCAGACAAAGGTACGGTTCCTCGCCGATCCCGTTCACCTCTTCCGACTTGGGCCATGATCTCAACTCCCAGCTTGCGCGGCGCAGCCACCATAGCAGGGGAGACGTCCACTCCTCTGACATCATGTCTTCTCCGATGAGAAGACGGTTCTTCGATAACTCCAACCCGCAGCCTACTCTGATGTCTGATTCGCAGCTTCCCTCCGAGTCCCAGCTTTCTTCCGTCCAACAGCTTTCCGACTCCGGCTCCGTCAACCCGGACGAGCCCGTCAGAGTTATCTGGGGTACCAACGTGTCGATCCAGGAGTGCTCGGACAACTTCAGAACGTTTCTGATGTCGTTCAAAATGAAGTACCGCAGAAAGCTGGACGAAGCCGAAAGCGACGACCCGGCAGACGACTCGCTGTACTACGTCAAGATCCTCAACGACATGAGAGAGTCTGGGACCACCAACCTGAATCTCGACACCAGAAACCTGCTGGCGTACTCTACCACCAAAAAACTCTACTACCAGCTCATCAACTATCCGCAGGAGGTCATTCCAATCATGGACCAGACCATCAAGGACTGCATGGTGTCTCTCGTTCTTGACAACGCGTCCAACGCGGACCCGCAGGACCAGCTGGTGGACGAGATAGAGTCGAATGTGTACAAAGTGCGTCCGTTCAACATCCAGAACCAGAAAGGCATGCGGGAGCTGAACCCGATCGACATCGACAAGCTTGTGACCGTGAAAGGGCTTGTGATCCGGTCGACGCCGATCATCCCCGACATGAAAATCGCGTTTTTCAAGTGCAACGTGTGCGACCACACCGTGGTGGTGGAAAACGACCGCGGCGTGATCCAGGAGCCAACCAAGTGTCCGCGACAGGTCTGCTCGTCGCAGAACTCGATGCAGCTGGTCCACAACCGGTCTTCCTTTGCCGACAAACAGGCCATCAAGCTCCAGGAGACCCCAGACAATGTTCCGGACGGACAGACGCCCCACTCGATTTCTCTGTGTGTCTACGACGAGCTTGTTGACGCCACAAGAGCGGGAGACCGCGTGGAGGTGTGCGGCATCTTCAAGTCCGTTCCTGTCAAGGTGAACGCGAGACAGCGTGCGGTGAAGTCGCTTTTCAAGACTTATATCGACGTCGTGCACATCAAGAAGGTCGACAAGCACCGTTTGGGCGCCGACGTGTCGACGCTGGAAAACGAGCTCAAGGAGCAGCAGGAGGTCGACGAGGTGCGCAAGCTGTCCGAGGACGAGATCGCCAAAATCAAGGAGATCGCAAAGAGAGACGATGTCTACGAGTTGCTGGCCAGATCGCTTGCACCGTCGATCTTTGAGATGTCCGACGTCAAGAAGGGAATTTTGCTGCAGCTGTTTGGCGGCACAAACAAGAAGTTCGCCAAGGGCGGCAAGTACAGAGGCGACATCAACATTCTGCTCTGTGGAGACCCGTCCACGTCGAAGTCGCAGATTCTGCAGTACGTGCACAAGATTGCTCCGCGAGGAATCTACACGTCTGGAAAGGGCTCGTCGGCGGTTGGTCTGACGGCGTATGTGACCAGAGACATCGAGACGAAGCAGCTTGTTCTGGAGAGCGGAGCGCTCGTTCTCTCTGACGGCGGAGTGTGCTGCATCGACGAGTTCGACAAGATGTCCGAGTCGACGCGGTCTGTGTTGCACGAGGTGATGGAGCAGCAGACCATTTCGATAGCCAAGGCCGGAATCATCACGACGCTCAACGCCAGAACGTCCATTCTGGCGTCGGCCAACCCGATCGAGTCCAGATACAACCCGAACCTGCCCGTGACGAAGAACATCGACCTGCCACCGCCGCTTCTGTCGCGTTTCGACCTGGTGTACCTGATTCTGGACAAGGTGGACGAGAAAATCGACACCCAGCTGGCCAGACACATTGCTGGCATGTTTCTGGAGGACAACATCCAGACGGCCACCAGCAACGAGATTCTGCCGATCGAGCTGCTGAGCTCCTACATCCAGTACGCCAAGGAGAACGTGTCGCCTGTTTTGACCGAGGAGGCCAAGAGCCAGCTGGTGAAGTCGTACGTCGAGATGAGGAAGCTGGGCGAGGACGTGAGATCTGCCGAAAAGCGGATCACGGCCACCACGAGGCAGCTGGAGTCGATGATCAGGCTGTCTGAGGCGCACGCCAAGATGCGGCTGTCGCCCGTCGTGGAGCTCGAGGACGTCGACGAGGCCGTCAGACTCACCAAGTCTGCGATCAAGGACTATGCTACCGACCCGCTCACCGGCCGCATCGACATGGATCTGGTCAACACGGGACAGACCTCGGCCGAGCGCAAGATGAAGGAGGACCTTTCCAAGCAGGTGTTCAATCTGCTGGACGCAAACGGCTCGCTCACGTACGACGTGCTGTTGCACAGGATCAACGAGCAGTCCTCGGCCAAGGTCGAGAATCTCGACCTGAGCGAGGTTCTGCGCCGACTGGAGGCAGAAAACAAGGTCACCGTGTTTGGCCAGGGCCACAAGAGAGAAATCAGAGTGAACAGAGGAGTTGTGTAGAGGATATAGCCATTAATTATTACCTATTTGTCCTGGTTGCGTTTTTTCGCGGCCTCCACGATCTTGGCCCAGTCCACGCGGTAGATCACAAACAGCTCCACCAGGCCGATCAGCAGCAGCCCTGTGCCGTTGCCGATCCACAGGCCGACCAGCTCCATGTCGAGGTGGAACGCCAGCACAAACGCGAGCGGCACTGCCACCACGTAGTAGCCCAGCAGACTGAGCACTCCGCCGATCGCCTGGAGGGCCAGCGCTCTCAGCAGTCCGTTCGCGACGCACGCGAGGCCGTCGAACAGCACAAACACGGACACCAGCGGACACAGTCCCGTGATCATCTTTATCACCTGCGGGTCCTCCGTAAATAGATGTGCAACGAATTTCTGTCCAAACAGAATAAAACAGGAGCTCAGCGAGGCGCAAACGACCGACGCACACAGTCCCACGCGTGTGGCTATTCTGGCCGCAGCGATATTGCCTGCGCCGACGAAGTTGGCCAGCCTCGTGGAACAAGCCACCGACAACGCAAAGGGAACCATGTACAGCAGCGAAACCAGGCTGGAAAGAGCCGACTGCGTGGCCAGCGCGTCTGTGCCGAAGTACGAGGCCAGCAGCGTGAGCACCTCGTACGCCAGCGACTCGGCAAGAAGCGTGACTGTGCCCGGAACAGCCAGCAGCGACAGATCGTACCAATGCGACAAGGCGTCTTTGGAAAACCCGTCCCAGCACTCTTCTCCGTCGATGAACATCACGTAGAGCACCAGGAGGATGAACATGAGCCAGAAGTTGATGACGGCCGCGATGGGGGCACCAACGTAGCCGAAGCCGAGGTAGTAAATGAGCAGCCAGTTGACCAGAATGTTGACCGGCGACGTGATGAACAGAATCAGGGTTCCGGCCTCAAAAATCTCCTGCGCCTGGAGAAACCGTTTTCCGTTCTCGAAAAGAATATAGGCAGGACCTCCCAAAATCAGAATTCGCAGAAACTGCTGCGAAAGCCTCACCACCTCGCTGTCGTCGATAAACCTGCCGAGCACCGAGCCGCTGTACCACCAGAAAAAGGCGGCCGGAATGTACAGAACCAGAGAAAACAGGCTGCATCGCTGTGTATGGACGCCGACCTTGGCGTACTGGCCGGCTCCGTACGCCTGCGGACACAGCGTGTCGAGCGACGTCGCTATTCCCTCGTAGATCGCCAAAACTATCGTGCTCGTCATGGACGCCATGCTGACTGCTGCGAGTTCCTGTTTTCCCAGATGTCCGACAAATATCACCGACACAAGAGAGAATATCTGCTCCAAAACAAACGTCAGGATCAGCGGAAACGAGTACTGCGCGAGCTTCCGCGCCTCGGACGCCACGGTCGCGTGCTCGTGCGCAAAGTCCTCGTCAGACTCGCCTTTCAGCCCCATGTCGTCCGTGTACGAGAGATTGCTCTCGTGGTCTTTGAACAGCCTGTCTGCCTGCGACATCAGGTCGTCGGTGTCATTGGCAGACCCGTAGTTCGGAAACGGCGACCCCGGCTCCGTCATGCTCCGTCTGTCGCGCTCTTCCTCCAGCCACTGGTGCACAGAGTCTATATCTTCATCAGTGTACTCCAGAGTCGAAGGCAGCGACCTGGAGCTCATGACCGACTCTGCGTCGTCGTGGACAGCGGAATGGTGCTCGGAAACAAGCTGCGACCCTGTTCCGAGACTCAGAAACGACCGCTGGTCGATGTCGTTACTGTAGACAAAGAGAGGTGACTTTGTGCTGGGCGGAACGAACATCAGCGGGATCTTGCGTCGCTTCGAGTTGATGGCGGTGTTGTTCGAGTTCATGATCGACTTGGGCAGCGTGCCCAGCGTGCGCGAGAACAGCCCCGTATTTCGGCGCTTTATGCTATCTCTGCGGTCCATGGTAAAAATTACCTTTGGAATAATTTTGGAGTGCAGGCAACTTTTTGGCAACCGAGCCTTGAGAGGATTAGGGACTGCACCTTTGCACAGAGCCGGGTGGTGGCTGCTGAGATGTCCGACTCGCTTCGCCGCCAGTGTCTGCCTGCGCGGTGTACCGCCACGACACCGTGTTTGTTGTGCCTGTTCTACCTGATTTAATTATATGCTCTAATTAAAGTTACCGTACAGAACACACTAGTTCGCTGTAGTCCTAAATCAGCTGTTTGCAAATTTACAGAACTCTCCACCCATGCCCATACACCCACGCCTGCCATCGCCGCCAGCTGCCGCTGCCCCGCTGCCCCCGCTGCCCGCTGTCCACCCGTGTCCAAGGCATCTGCTACGCGTTACGAGCCCCCACACAGAAAAGTGTGATTGGTGAAAAAATTATCTCTCCAATAACTAACATGTTCGCCAGACAAGCCCGCAACACGGCCAGATCCGGAATCAGATCCGTTGGCGTGAGACCAGTCTCCCAGTACATCACCAAGGCACAAGGTACGTCGATTTTTTCCGCGCAATTCTAACAACCAGGTTTCCTGAACCAGGCCATCTACTGGACAAAAGTCACCGTCGAGGTGAGTAAGCAAATCTACATCAGAGAAGGCCTGGCTCCTCCGTCGGTTGCCGAGATCCAACAGGTGTACCAGGGACTGTACAAGAAGGCTCTGGAATTTGCTTCCCAACCAAAGACGTCGGCTGACGGCCTGGTCAAGGTCGCCAAGTCTCTGTCCAAGGACGAGTACCTCAGATTCGGTGCCTACTTCATTCAGATTGTCGGTCTGTTCTCTCTCGGAGAGATCATCGGCAGAAGACAGATCGTCGGCTACCCATCTTTTGGTCCCAAAGAGCACCACCACTAGACATTAGATTAGCGCATGAGTCTATGTAACTTATATTCAACACAATAGTCAATTGCTTGAACTTTGCTCCAGCAGTTTCCGTTTCTTCGACGCCTCGATCATCTCTTTCCTCTGTTTCCGTTTTTTCCGCACCACCGCAGGAACCGTGCTGATTGGCTTCCTGTCCACTGCTTTCTGCTTGATTTGTTTTTTCTCTCGCTTCGTGAGCTTCGACAGGTCATTCTTCAGCCAGCCGGCCATCCCGTCCTCCCAGCCGCTCTGCTTCATCACGTTCACGATTGGCTTGATCGCCAGCGTGTCTTCCTTCGTGTAGAACGTCACTGCCTTTCCCGAACGCCCCCCTCGGCCAGTACGGCCGATTCTGTGCACGTAGGCCTGTGCAGACGTTGGAACGTCGTAGTTGATCACCAGATTGATTCCCTTGAAGTCAATTCCCCGTGCAAGAACGTCTGTGCAGATCAGACACCACAGCTCGCCTTTGCGGAACCGGTCAATGATTGTTTCTCGTTGTAGCTGTGTTCTTTCTGCGTGGATCACGTCCATGTTCAGGCGATCGTACAATAACTCGTGGAACAGCGCCTTGGCTCGGGTGATTGACTGCAGGAAGATGATCACCGGCGGCTTGAACTCTCCCTTGCGCAGCATCTCGCGCAGAGCCAGCAGTTTTCCGTGCTCGTTGCCGCAGAAAACAAGTTTCTGCTCGATGTTGGAGTTCGCGGCCTCCTTGTGGCCTATGATGATTCTGATCGGCGAGTTCATGATCGAGTTTGCCAGCTCCTCCACGCTGGAGGTGACGGTGGCCGAGAAAATGGACCGCCGCAGCCTTGGGTTGGAGCACGCTGTGAGAACGCGGTCGGTCTGCTCCACGAACTTGCTCTCAAACAGCTTGTCGACCTCGTCGAAAACGACCTGCTCCACTTTGCTCAGATCCATCACCTCCTCGCCGATCAGGTCGATCAGACGCAGCGGCGTCGAAACGAGAATGTCGAACTTCGAGCTCGCCAGCACCCTGTTGCGTAGTTTTCCGGCAATCGACTTGTTCAGAACGCCAATTTGCAGGCTGCTACCTTTGCACAATTTTGTCAGCTCGTTGAAGATCTGGGCAGCCAGCTCCTTCGTTGGAGAGATCACAAGACCCCGGACCCCGTGATTCTTGCGACCCTTGCCCAACTGTTGCACCATAGGAATCAAAAATGCAAGCGTCTTACCAGAACCCGTGGGAGCACAGCAGATCAGGTCTCTGTCGGCCAGACACGCAGGAATGGCCTCACATTGAATAGGAGTGGGCTCGGTAAACCCGTTGGAAATCAGGTTGTCGAGGAGCTGTTTGTTGAGCTTGAAACGGGTGACCAGGTCCTCAAATGAGCCTATAGGCAGATGGAGATCGTCGCCCGAGACCTTGGCTCCGTACGATTTTCTGAGCTGTAGAGCCTCCTCCGTCGTGAGTACTTTTCTTGTGGGCTCCACAGACGGCTCGAATGTAGGCTCTTCGTCCTCGGGCTCGGGTTTCGCAGATTCCCTCTTTTTATGGTCTTTCTGGTGGAAAAAATCGACTTCCTTCTCGATCTCGGTATCCAAGTCGTCTTTTTTCGCTGTACTTTCCACAGCAGGCTTGGCCAATGAGAAGTCAGCACTCACGCCCTTCGTCTTCTTCAGCGACGCTCCCCTCGACAGAATGCGAAATATATCCATGGTGAAGGGTCTAATATATTTATTCAAAATAAATTTTTATATGTGGCAGGTGGGTGGCTGATGCGATCAAGGCCGTGGCCACCACACGACCCAGAATTTTCAACGCACTTTCGACAAAAATTTTCAAGAGTGCTCTTGAAACTAGACAAGTGGTGGTGGAAAGCTCAGTATTATGAGCCTTTGTGCGAACTAAAAAAGGTGGATATAAACTGGGAGAGTCAAAGAAAATTAACACTGCAAAGGAGAACAGCTAGAGCATACACATCACACTAGAATGTCAAAAGCGATGCACAGTATACCAGGATCGTTATTGCGTCTGGGAGCCAGAACCCAGCGCCAGCTGAGCATAAACGGAGCACAAGTGACAGCAAAGAGAGGCGTGGTATTTGCCAAAGGCCCTAGAGTCAGAGGAGCCATCCGGGACCCAGAAGACATATTCACGGTGAAGGGAATAAAATACGGACTGACCGAGGAGAACGTGAAACCATTGAAGACCTTTTTGCAGTCCAAACTGCAAGGCAAGTACGAGCTGCCTGACAAATTGCTTCTACAGATAATCACACACAAATCTTTTGCACACGGCACGCAGCCGTATAACGCAAGACTGTCCTATTTTGGAAAAGAGCTGATCCAACTGAGCGCTGCCAAATACGCCATAACACGAAGCACAAACAACGAATATGCCATAAATAACCTGAACTTCGACTCGCTTGGATCTTACACGCAGAGCCTGATGAAAACGGACCGGCTGCTCAAAGAGTACGCCGTTGTCAACAAGTTAGATGCCGTGTTCTTCAGACGGCTGGCTCTGCCCTCCGGAAGAGAAGATGACAGTTTCAAGCCAAAAGCCATCTGGTCCACCCTGACTGCGTCATTGGTTGGTGCCATTGCCTCTCAGCACGGCAAAAAGGCGGCTGAGGAGTTCATTGAGAACGAGCTGTTTGGCGACGTCTTCAAACAGATCCTTCCTGCGACCAAGCCGGCCTCTGAATCGGCTTAGTCTGTATATAGAACGTGATATATGTACATTTCGGCATCCATCCACATCCTTGCACCACCCGCTTTCTCTCGCCCCGGGTCGCTAAAAAAATTGTTTCACGCGTTAGTGTTAAAAAGATTGTTTTTTTACGATCAAGCTAGTCTTCTCAGGGTCCCGAACCGATTCAGGCCCGTTCCGCGTTTTCCGATTGTGAAACAGCAGCACAGTTTGCCAACAGAGTCACTCCTCGGACAAGACAGCGCTTTTCGCACCGAAAACTAAGCTGAAATAGCACGCGCGTTTGTTTATTTGGTAGTCCCGTCCATCACATTTCCTGCTCGCTTTTCTTCCCATGACAGACGTGAAACGCATTCTGCACTATCACAAGGTGCTCAAGAATTTTCTGGACACCTCCTCAGACGCCCTAACGCCGGTGACCTCGTCCAGAGTCATCAAGGCTAGAGAAAAGTTGGGCAAGCTTACGAGCTCGCAATTCTTTGATCTGAGCACAGATGTTTACGACGAGCTTCAGCGGCGGACCACCGCGGAGTCGCTGCGGCCGGCGTTCTTGCCGGCGCAGTCCAATTTCCATCCTAAGCGGAACCAGGCCAGACAGAAGCTGGCGTCTCTTCCTGCGGGCCGATTCAAAGATCTAGTCAACGATGTTCTTTTTGAGATCGAGAGACACCAGTCCCAGTACATCAAGGAAGAAGACCAGATCCGCAGCCGCGCCGTGGACGACCTGCCGAAGGACTCAAGAGAGACCGCCGATCCGTTCCAGACCAAGGCGCCAAACGAGATGCCCAAAAGCCACAGCAAAAAGCAGGATCTGGTGTTGAACACCGTGGATCTCAAAACGCCGATAAGCGACAGGTTCCAGCCGTCTCCCGATACGCCCACACAGCGGGAGATCAAGAGCACCAAGGTTGTGCCTCAAAAGTCCGAGTTATCCTGGTCCAGCGACGAGGACGAAGTTCCTGAGTACAAGCCGTCCGGAAATAGACGCTCGAACGAGTCTCTGACGGAAAGAACCCCTGCAAAAAGCCCAGCCAAAAGCATTCCGCCTCCTTCGCCAGCACGCTCCCAGCAGTACGCAGAGTCCTTCAGAAGCCCCGAGGCGGCGCGGCCGAATGCCACCTCCGCGCCTGCCCAGAGGCTTTCGAACGGCAGAGACAAGGACAAGGACATGAAGCTGCTGATGGAGGAGAGCAGCAAGATGGACAAGAAGATCTCGAGTCTTGAGTCCGAGTTATCCGACTTAAAGAAGCAGAAGGCCGAGCTCGAGTCTGCGCACACTCAGCTGTCTTCCTCCCACGACCAGCTCAAAAACGAGCTTAAGAAATATAATAGAATGTCCAAGGACCTGAAGAGATTGCTGGAGGAGAAAGAGCAGCTGAATAGGACCGTCAAGGAGAAACACACGAACATGGTCGCCCTGCAGGAACAGCTGCGGGGGATTTCTGACGGCCAGAGCCGCCAATTGGAGACAGAGAACGCACTGAAAGAGCTCCAAACCAAGCACGACACGCTCTTGGACGAACACAGTTCCGTTAGACAGCAGCTGGAGTCTGTGCAGCAGGAGAACCAGAGAATGGCTGCCGAGTTGCAGGAGTTGCAGAGCCTCAAACAGGAGAAACAGACTGGCGACAAGCTGGACAGAATGGTGCAGCAGCACCAGAGTGTTCTGGACACCACAGAAACCAACAAGCTCACAAATCTCAACAATGACTTGCTCAAATGGCAGTCCAGATACGAGGACGCGAGATCAGACAAAATGGCCAAGTCGCTCTCCAGATCTGTCGCACTGTCTGCTGAGGATTTGCAGCCACTCACCGACGCCAAGGGTCTGGTCACGATGATGCAAGCGGTGAACTTTTTCTCGTCTGTGGACTCGATGCTCTTGTACGTGACCGAAGACGAGATCAACACAGACCTATTATTTGAGAGAACAGCCGTTTTAGTGACCCGTGCTAACGAGATCGCCAATACAGGCAAAGGCGGATCCGAGGACCTGGCCGACAAGAGCAGGCTGGTGCAGTCTGCCATCTCGAACGCTCTCACCAGCGCGCGGTACTATGCCATGTACAAGAGGTTTATTCCGAAACTGGTGATGAACACGGCTGTGAACGATGTGTGCTTTGCGGTGTCGGACTTTTTGAAGGTGGCCAAGTTGAAGAGTTCTGGCACTGCGCCACTGCCAGTCCAGGAAAACAACCAGAAACCAGTTCCCGAACGGCTGGCTCTTTCGAATGATGCCGAGCTCAAGAACAGGACAGGCTCGTCGCTGGAGACGCCTATTTCTCCGGCCCGGTCTGTTTTGAGCGACGACACAGAATCGTCTGTCCGGCCGCTCAGAATCACACAAAAGTTGAGCCAGGAGGCGGCCAACGCTTCTGAGGCTTCCAAAAAGGTTTCCAAGCCTCCTGCGTTCTTGAACGCGTCGCCGGTTGGCACTCCGATTGGCCAGATCCTGGTGACGCCTACGAAAGACGCCAAGGACGGGTTTTTCGACCAGTCGAGCAAGACTTCGGAGGAGGCAAGAGAGGTTCCACAGAGGACAAGTGGTTCGCCAAATAATTCCGACAAGCCAAGGGACGAGACCAGAGAAGCAAGCAGACCTTCACAGCAAAAAGAGCTGCCTGTGCTGCCAAAGGAGACATCCAGTCCATCTACGGTCCAGCCAGAGCAGAAACCCTCTACAGACACCAGCCGCGCCCTCTACAAGAACGCCAACGGCAGCGTGTCGTCGCTGGCCTCAAAGTTCTCTGCCAGCCAGGACCAGGAGTCTCCTCTCAAGCCCCATGCGTCCAAGTCGTCGCCCAAAGGCAACATCCTTGCCCGGATGAAAATGCTGCAGGAGAACAGCGACAACGACAACTCGCCAACAAGAAGCAGGTCCGGCTCGCCAGCCAGATACGTCTCTGACACGGCGTCGTCTGCGTTCGACAAGTTTGGAGCGCGCAGGAGGACGAGCGTGGACAGACCGGCCTCGTCGGCCAACGGCACAGAGAAGCCGCAGGAGTCGCCGGAGCCGGCCAGACAGCCGCCAAGCACGTTGGAGCTGCCAAAGCCAGAAAAGCCTGCGTCTGCGGTGCGCGGCAGCGTCTACGACAACCCGATGACCCAGGAAGAGCCTGTGAGCAGAGACGGTCCGTCTTCCGGGCGGACGATTCCGAGCGCCGGGAGCGCGCTGCAGCCGCTAAGCGGGCAGCACGAGACCACTGCCGAGAACTTCGAGGTGGACAAGTTCAACACGCTGGACCCGGACAACACGCTCAAGGAGCTGCTGCTGTATCTGGAGCACCAGACCGTGGAGGTGATTGCGGCGATCCAGAAGCTGCTGGAGTCCATCAAGAACCCGAAGGCCACGAAGCTGCTGCTGAAGAACGGCGCTGGCCAGATCATCAAGGTGGTCAAGCAGATGGCCGAGGGAACGAACACCCTGATGGCCCAGACGAGGTACGCGGAGCAGATGGGCCATGCGCAGTACGTGGTGGAGGTTCTGGAGGACTGTGTGCGGCGGATGGAGGCGCTGTATTCCAGCGGAGACGAGCGCACAGACAGAGAGTACGCGGACAAGGCGTTCAAGCAGCGGTCTGCGGGCATAGCGTTCGACGTTGCTCGCAGCACGAAGGAGCTCGTCAAGACTGTCGAGGAGGCAAGTCTACGCGACGACATTGCTGTGATCGACTCGAGACTGAACGGGGGTGTGTAGGGTGAGAATGAGCGTGAGTAAATTAGTACTGTGGATGATTCCACGCGGTTTCTTTCTGTGGACCGCAGCACGACCGCTTTTTGTTGGTCTCTTGGCTGAATCCAGCACGGCACGAGTGTGCTGATGTGCGGCGGCTTCCGATCAGCAGCCACCTGCTGTCACCGGCTGCGCCACTGTTGAGATCTGGGCCTGTGGCTGGTGTGCTCCGGCAGGACGGACATGGTGTGCGCGTGGTTCCTGGGATCCCATCAAGGGTGCGGCGGCCTCGCGGCTGCGATAAGGTTTTGTGATGGCCGCAGGGGAGAGCGGGAGTGGTGCGGTTTGGGTCCTGGCCACGGGCTGGAGAGGGGTCGGAGCAGAGGGGCGTGGAACTGCTATGGCGGGGCTGCTACGGCGGGGAACAAGGTCGACAGGACGCGGGCAAGGGCGCGAGGCACAGCCGACTGCTCAGAGAGCGCAGCCGTAGCGAACGCTGTCCACAGCAGCACCAGGGCAGAACTGGTGATCAGACCAGACCAGCCGGCCGCGATGCGTGCACGGCACAAAAACGTTTAGTCGTGCAGATCTGGGGAAACTTGGGGACTGAGAAGAATAATTTATTTATTTGCTAACTTGTTTGGGTGTCAAAAAGTATCTGTGTGACTGCCGTGTTTAAGCGAGTGAGCGTTTCTTTGCTAGTTTACATTTGGAGTATATAGTGCGTGCAAGTTCGGAAGCTGGGGTTTTACGGAGATTGCATTTTTTTTTTCCTCGCAAGATCGTGACCATATCCAGCAGATAATCCTGTGGCCGCAATCAGGGGATTTGCTTAATAAGCTGCTGAGCACTACAAATTCTGCGCAGATACAGAATCAGAAAATCCGGGCGCAGGCCAGAGTATAAGGAGCGAGAGGATTTTGGAGCTTGTTAGACAAGATGCACGGGGCGACCTTGAAACCCGAAGCCGGCAGTCGGGAGCTGCCCTCGATAAAGGACCTTTTCCCCACGCTAGAGGGCAGCTCGATGGCTCCTAGAAGCCAGAGCATGGCCGAAGGGGTATACGTGGCTCCGCCAGTCGGATACGGGCCGGCGGACTTCAGTCTGGAGAGAGAGCTGGGCAAGCTCACGAAAATCAGCATGGAGATCCAGCAGATCCTCGAGAGCTCGAAGAGCATCGCGCACGTGCCGCGCGAGCTGCTCGAGAGCGGAGCCCAGCAGGCAGATCTCCTGCATTCTATTTATCATTCGTGGATGAGAACCCGTGACGAGGAGGCTGCACGGGCTCTGCCTGCGCAACACCCTCATTCCCGGAGCTCGTCGATGCAGTACACGTTCCAGCCGACGGTTCCTGTGGGCTCGGGCGGCGCCCCGATGCCACTTCTTCTCAACCCGTCAAGATACCAGAATATGGAAGAACAGGCCGCGCGGACGCTCTCGTCGATGATCGAGGTGTCTCCTTCGCAAGCGCACTGCCGAACTCCTTCGTTCCCAACGGACGACCGACTCACCACGCCGCCGGTCTCGCCTAGTTCTTTTTCTATTCGCAAACTCAAAATGAAAAAATCTCCAACAGGATCGAATAACGTCACCGCACAGTTGGTGCTCGAGGCCAACGTCGACAACGGGAATCTTGCTGAAATGGTGACCAACGAGTGTCTACATTGTCAGTCCAAAGAAACCCCCGAATGGAGACGCGGGCCCGAGGGAGAGCGCACGCTGTGCAACGCATGTGGACTCTTCTACGCCAAGCTGTGCAAGAAATACGGCGAAGAAAAAGCCAAGGATATTATGAAGGAGCGCAAAATCAAGGGAAGTGAGACTGACCGACGGGTCAGTGTGGGATTTTGAGACGTTAAATATAATGATTAACTCGATTGTAATAATGAGACATTGACTTTTTTTAGTTTTAGATATGTGTAGCCAAGTGGTCCACAACGTTGTTGAAAAACGTGAGGCCGCGCACAAACGTTTCGTAGTCGTTGTCCTCGATCGGCTCCACCAGTCCGGGCAGCTGCTGGCCAGCATAGCCCGTGTAGCGTCCGCTCACATAGATAATGTGTCTGAACCATGGTCTGTCCTTCAAGCCGTCTGGGTTCAGGAACTGGCGTTCAAAGAATTTCAGCTTGTGGTTCGTCCTGACGATTTTCCATTGCAGAGCGAGCTTCTCCCACCACGACAGATTGTCCCAGTTGTCGTACTGTGTTTGCAGCTGCACGGCTTCCTCGTCGAAGGAGGCAGCAGCGTCTTTTAAAGAAACAATGTTCTGCTCGGTGTCCGAAAGCAGGTCGTCCAGTCTCCCGCCCTTCGAACAGTGTCCTACATTTCTGCTCAGCCAGTGTTTAGGAACCTCCACTTTCGCGTACAGACGCTGGATTTCAGCAGCATAGTCCGAGGCCTTCATTTGGTAGACTTTGGTCTCGCTGAGCTTCAAAACCGCCAGACCGACGTATTTGGCCATGAGGTTGTGCAAAACAAATCCAGGGTCCACCAACTTCTCTATCCAGTGGTAAGAATCGTAGACGGAATGATAGTGATAAACAGGACCGGTGCGGTTGCTCGTGAAACCCAGGTCCACCGACGGAATGCCCAGATGGTCCAAAAACACCGTATAATCGGAGCCGGATCCAAGAGATTTGATAGTGTCGTTGGTGTTGTCCTTGAAATGATCGTACAGTGTCTTGTCTGTGCCCGGGTACTCCAGAAGATCGGCTGTTGATCTCAGCACTTCGTACAACATAGGCGAGGCTCCCAGTTGCAAAATGTTACCAATAGCTGAGACGTCCATGTTGAAGTAGGCAACCACTTTTTGGGAAAGATCGTGCGCGTTGTACTCGCCAAACTCGGTAGATCCAAGCAGGCCGTACTCCTCGCCGTCCCAGGATGCGAGCATGATGGTTCTTTGAGGTTTCCAGCCGGTTTTTTGCAAATTGCCCAAAGCCCTGGCAATTTCGAGCAGCACAGCCGAGCCCGTGTGAGGATCTCCGGCACCAGGAGTCCAGGAGTCGCGGTGGTTGCCAATGATGATCACCTCGTCCTTTTTGTGTCCTTCGATCTTGCCGTAGACATTGTGGAGGTTGGTGATGTTGAAGTCCTGTTCGTTTGTCAGGTGCAGCTTGTAGTTTGGATTTGGGCCAATAGAGACGTAGTCGTAGCCAGGAACGAGTCCTGTCGGCCATGACTCGACCTTAGGACCGTGTCCAGAGAGTTTCTCCAAAATAGGAATGACGTCTCTGTAGGAAACAGGAATGGCCGGGATCTTTGGGGTCGTCAAGTGGGGAGTCGACCTAGTCTTGTTTTCTCCCGGCTTGATGGCATAGCCGGGCGTGGTAGGGTCTCCTGGAAACACAGAAAGAAACTGCGAAGAGCCGCGCTGGATGGCGCTTGGGTTTCTGGCTATTCCTTCCGGATAGGCCTTGTAGCCGTTAGCCTCTGTCACCTGTCCATCATCTTTAGGATCTGTAAACAACAGGGCGGCCTTGAAACCGAAATCCTGCGCAAACTTGACCTTCAGGCCGCGGAAAATCTTGCCATATCTAATCACCGCTATCTTATCTGTTGCGTTCACTCCTAGTTCGCTCAACGTGTCAAAATCCTCCTTGGTGCCGTAATTGCAGTAGATGTACTCTCCCACAACATCACCAGAGGCCGCATAGCCCAAAAAGGCCGGCACGCGTTTTAGGGACGTTGGGTCTTCTTCCAAAATGTCTTCCCGAAGAGCAGCCTTGAACACGACGGAACCATTACCTGCACTTAAAAGATCCAGCGATTGAGACACGGGGTAGCTTATGTAGGTAGTGTAGAGGTCAGTCTCCGCCTCCAGACCAAACTCAAGGAACTTGTCTCTTGTCCAATTGGCAAGCTTGATGTTTGCCTCCGTGCCTGGGAATTGGGTCTCATTCGAGTACTCTTTCAGCCATGTGCCAGCAAAATTCTCTTCCAGCGAGCCAAGATAGCCCACGAAAGTCTTGTGAACGGGATCTGGTTGAGCAGAGTGGTGAAACCGGTCCAGGGTGAACCGGCAGAACAGTGCTAAGATAAGCATCTGTAGGACAATCACAACGGGGTTGCGGAGCCATTGCTGAGCTCTGCCTGGCTTGCTCAGGCTCCTCTCGGTCTGAGGTCCTGCCTCAGGATCCAAAAGTAGCTCTTTTTCCTTCATTTCTTTCTTATCAGTCATGGCGTACAAGGAAGAGATAATACAAATGGATGCAGCTTACCAAAAATGTTGCTACCGACGCGACGAAAAAATATCGTTCGACGTCAAAAAATGCGAGAAAAAAAATACACACAATTCTGTATTTTCATTACAGACAATTCTGTTCCACCGGGTCTGGCATATTCATAAACCCAGCCTTTGCAGGCACGCCGACCGTGAATAATCTGCATTATATTGGATACGTCTATTCCGTCTTCCAATAGCATGAGTACGATCTCGTCGTTCCCCGGAACAAAGATCGGGTACAATCCCATAAAGCTCATACTACGACTCTATGCCGAGTTTTTGGCCGCTAAAAAACAGAACAACATGCTGGTCGAGCTTAACCACGACTTCAAACCCACGCTGAAGCACTTTAGAAACCTCTCCAGAACCGCAGTCATTAATCTCAGCATCCTCGGCTCTGTGTTTTTGTTTGTGCTATATGTGCTTCCAATCTCCTTCTTGCTCAAACTTTTGCTGGCCCTTGGACTCGGCCTTCTAATAACCGTCCCAATATTGTCGCAGTTCTTCCTGTTTGGTCTTCCGATCCTTGCGTGGGTGTTTTTGTTCTTCTCGGCAGGAAAAATCCCAACCAGCTGGAAACCGCCCATCAGTGTGAAAATCCTGCCCTCGATGGAGACGATTCTGTACGGCGACGACCTGTCGGACGTGCTGGCGTCGTACACGTCCAAACCTCTGGATTTTGTCGCTTGGTTTCCGTACGGAATAGTGCACTTTGCAGGCCCGTTCGTTGTGGCTGCCCTGGTCTGGCTCTTTGGCCCGCCAACCGCCCTGCGCTCGTTCGGGTGGTCGTTCGGGTACATGAACCTTGTGGGCGTGGCGATCCAGCAGATCTTCCCGGCCGCTCCTCCGTGGTACAAGAACCTGTACGGACTGCAGCCGGCCAACTACGCCATGAAGGGCAGTCCCGGAGGCCTAGGCCGTATGGACGGCTATTTTGGGGTCGATCTGTACACGACGAATTTTAGCAACGCCCCGGTCATTTTTGGCGCGTTCCCGTCTTTGCATTCGGGCATTTCCACGATGAACGCGCTGTGGCTATCATACCTGTTTCCCAAGTACTCTGCGTACTTTGCGTGCTACGTGTGCTGGCTGTGGTGGTCCACGATGTACCTGACCCACCACTACTTCTTTGATCTCACTGCCGGCTCTGTTTTGGCGGTGACGTTCTTTTTCGTTGCCAAATACCAGTGGCTGCCGTTGAGAAAAGCCGAGTGTTTCTGCCGCTTTAATTATTACCGACTCGAGTACGAGGACACGCTGCAGAACGACCCGCTGAACTACGAGGCGCGCCTCAACATGAACGACGCGGTGGAGCTCGACGACGTCACGTCCAGTGGCGAGTCGACCCCCGTGGACGACGACGCGACGGTCGAGTCGAGTCTTTTTACAGCCTAATGCATAATGATAATAGATACTCAGCTATTTAAGTCGATCAGGAGGTTCTGGCTCGCGTCCGGGTGCTCGTCCCGGGTGTGTTCCTGTCTCATTTCGCGCGGAACATCGCTATTCTCGCTATTATCGTTATTCTCGTTATTCTCGTTAGATTCGTTGAAATCGTCGTGGTAGCTGGAATGCGTGTAGTTCTGCGACGCCAGACTAATTCCCCCCGACGACCGAGACTTGCGGTGGCCCGGCGACCCCGGCAGGTACCGCGCAACGTTGCTGGACAGCGTCGAAATCCGCGACCTGGCAAACGGGTCCTGGTCCTCCTCGAGCCGCAGCGCATCCGAGCGGCTCACGTCGAACTGGTCCTCGTCGTAGAACAGCGTGCCCGAGTTCTGCCGCGATTTCCTCCTGGGCTGGAACTTCTCGCGCTCAGCAGCCAATTTCGCCTCGTCCGTGGCCAGCTCCACCACGTGCCGCGCCATCTCCTTGATCTGCTTCTCGTGGTTCAAATTCAGCCCATCGTAGCTGAGCGTCACCTGGTAGTGCTCCAGTTGCACCACAGGGTCGAGGTCTATGCGAACATCGTCGACAATGTCGAAAACCCTGGCACCGTCATCCTCCTGGTAGCAGTACAGCAAAAGGTGCTCTAGCAGCTGCAGACACTTGGAAACAATGACAAATTCGTACCCGCGCGTGACAAGCGACTTCTTGAGCGAGTCGAAGATGCTCTGCGACGACCGGCCCAGTCCGGAGTACTCCTGGATCCGGTGGACTATAAAATCGATGGCTTTCTTGGAGATGCTCTGGCCAGACTCGACCGTCTGGGAGCCCGCAATGTGGTCGGAAACATACTCGGGATTGGCGTAGTTGAGGATCCACGAGCAAAGCTGTTTTTTCTGTTTGGAAGTGGGGCCCCAGGGATCCGTGTTGGTGGCCTCCCGGATCAGTATTTCGAGGTTGGAGTAGCCGGAAAAGGCTGTGGTTAGTGTGCTGACGGAATTGCCAAACGTACCGTTCTGGAGCTTTCGGGTCTTCTGTCGGATGTCGTATAAAGAGTACGAGGACATGCGGCGGCCAAAGTAAAGAGATAAAGTATTGCTGTTCGGCACGAAAAGACGCACCTAAGGCCCGCATGCAGGCCGGCCGGCCGATCGACGCGTCGAACACTACAAGTCCATCAAGGACCATCATTTAATCACTCGTTACTTAGAGCTCACCAGAGTCGGTGATCTCGATCTTGGCACGCGTGGCGCCGGATCCAGAGCCGAGCTTCTCGACGGCCTTGACAACGTCGAAGCCCTCGACAACCTCGCCGAAAACAACGTGCTTGCCGTCCAACCACGAGCATGGAACAGTCGTGATGAAGAACTGCGAGCCGTTGGTGTTTGGGCCGGCGTTGGCCATCGACAGCAGACCCGGCTTCGAGTGCTTGTGGTTGAAGTTCTCGTCTGGGAACTTGGAGCCGTAGATGCTCTTGCCACCGGTTCCGTTGAAGTTGGTGAAGTCTCCACCCTGCAACATGAAGTCGGGAATGACTCTGTGGAAGATGGAGCCTTTGTAGCCAAAGCCCTTCTCTCCAGTGCACAGGGCTCTGAAGTTTTCGGCGGTCTTTGGAACGTCATCGTACAAGGAGAACACGATTTTTCCTAGTGGTTTGCCTAGGCGGTTAGAGCGTTCAATCGCGGCGGAACGGCCGTCTGGGGGCTCAATTCCTCTGGTACATACCGTCAGCAGCAACGTCGAAGAAAGTCTTGACCATTTTAGATAGAAGATAGATGAAGAAAGCAATGCAATTTGCCTCGCTAAAATTTTGCACCGTGGCCTGGCCACCGTGGTGAGACGGCCGGGTAACCCCTTTCTCCTCTGCACCCGGGCTGGAATTTTCCAGTATGTATGTACAGGGGTCTATTGGATGTAGAGGAGGAACCGGTGGACGGTCTTGGCGAACCTGTCGAAGCTGGCCGGGCCCATTTCCGGCTCCGTTTCGGGCGCCAGCAGCGACGCCTCGAACCGCTCGTTTTTCCCGTTCGAAACCACGTCGTACATGAGGTGGCAGCCGTCGAAGTCCAGCTCGATCGACCTGCGTCTGTTGATGGCCGTGACGAGGTAATTGGCCGGCTCCTGGTCCTTGGCGAGCCGCAGCGGGATCTTGCGCGACACCAGGGTGTTGACCAGCTGGTTCAGAGCGCTGGTGTCCGACATGTCGAGCAGGTTCGAGGAGAGCGAGCTGATCACGTTTTGCAGCGGTCTCTGGGACGGCAGGCCCGGGTCGTAGGGGTTGGAGCCGTCCAGAAGGACCGAGTTGCACGTGGACTGGAACATGACGTCGTTGTGGAGCTCGGGAAGCGCCAGCGCGCAATTAATCTCGTTCTCGTTCACGTAGATGCTGCAGGACGACAGGTCGACCTTATTTTTAGAGATCTGGAACCATATCTCGACGTTGGGCAGCGTGGTGAAGTTGTCGAATTTTCCGTACGCGTCAGGCACCAGCTTGACCTGCAGCGAGTGCTCGAAGTTGTTTTTGATGCCTCCGGCGAAACCGAAAAAGCGTGCGTTTTTGTCGTACAAGTTGAGCATGCCGATTTTTTTATTGATCTGGGGCAGGTTGGCGTGAAAAAGGCCGGCGCTGGTAGCGTCGCTGCCGAACAGGAGCTTGCCGAACGTCGCGTTGAACGTTCTAGGAAGCCACGTTTCGCCCTTTTGCACCTCCGGAGTCAGCTTTGAGTAGATATCTCGGCTCTTGGCCAACCACGGAGCAGACGAGTCGGGGACAGAGATCTCGGCCGGAACAAATGGCTTTGTCTCCTGTTTCTGGTCCAGGAAGTTGTACTGGAACTTCTCGGGCGCCTCGGCCACCTGGGACCGCAGCTGGTCGACCTCTTTCGCCAGCGACTCGGGGTCAGAATAATCTTCAAAAGACGACTCGTGGACCCGTTTTTGCGGCAGTTCGTACCGATACAGCGGGCCAGCAGCCCACCACGGCAGCGAAGAGTCCTGGTACAATTTTCTGTGCTCCGGAGAAGCGCCGGAAACGTCTATATGTCGGTGAGAGGTGGCCGAAAAGTCTGTAGCTGCTAAAAGCAGCGACTTGGCCAGCTGCAAATTGGCCGGGTTGAACGTGCTGAGCTGGAACAGCTTGTCCTGCTTGTTGATCTCCTCAAAGTACACGTTGCTGAGTTTCTGGAGCTCCGCAATGGGCATGTGGCGGTGCAGTGTGTGTGTGTAGAACGCGGCCAGTTCGTCGAGATGGGCCACGGACGTGCTCACGTGATTCAGCAGGTAGTTCCACGAGGCCTGGACAAAGTTCACGAGCGCCTGGTTGCCGCGCACCGTGAGACGCGAGAGCCCGCGGTTGAGCTCGAGCCGGGCGCCCAGTCGAGTCCACGACTGCATGAGGTAGCCCGAGTGCGAAAGCAGCAAAAACGCCTCCTTCTTGCTCTGCAGCGTGATCTCCGCCTGTTTGAGCACCTCGACGGGCGAGTCCTCGGAAATGGCCACGTTCCAGCACTTTTCGATGATAAATTGCGCGAGCTTCTTTTTGGTGGACTTGGCAGCGGGAGGAGAAACGTGCTTGTACCCAATGTATTCTAAAAGCTGTGCTTTCTGGTAGCCCTTGACCAGCTTTGCCTCCAGCTCAGCGTACGCATTTGCCGAAATAGCGCTGTTCCGCGGCTGCACATTGTCCAGGTCCTTGAACAGCTGGTTGTCTGTGGCCGGGATCTTGAACACCATGAGATTTTTCAGTCCCTTCTCGAACTCGATCATGTCGAGACGTTTTTTTGACCGCCCCGAGCGCCCGAGCCTGCCGCTCTCCAGCGTTTCCTTGATGTTTGTGAGTTTGGATTTTTTCTGGGCCGTGGGCTTGAGTATGATATGTTCCTCCTCGGGGAGCTTTTCCCACGGCAGTGGTTCGCTGGAGGCATGCGGCGAGGCGTCGTCGCCGTTCACCGTCTCGACATCGTCTACTCGCTCAGACAGGTATCTGAAAGAGAGCAGCCGCGGCTGGCAGAGCACTGTTCTAGGGATACAGTGTCTTAACATGAAAAATAAAAAAATAAAGAAAAAAATAAATTTGAATTAAATTCAGATCAGATATACATATTTTATTAAAACGGGAAAGCTATGGAAAATGGCGTTCCCGATATTTATCTGGGGAATTCCAGCGATGAGGACTCACAGAGCTCGATCGAGGACGAGACACAGAACATCGAGCTGAGCTCGAGCGAGCCCGAGTCTGGCGCGTCGATCTCGTCGATCGACGAGAACTCAGATTCGTCAGACCTGTCTAGCACAGATTTCCAGGACGCGAGCGAAATCATCCAGGAGCCGGCCAAGCTGTCGTACTACCGGCTGCAAAACAAGCCGAGGCTGTTCCAGGGGAACGTCAACTACCTGCGGTTTTTCCAGGCCGAGAAGCGCAGGTTTCTGTCGTACACGAGTCCATTCGGACGGTCCAACCTGGTGGGGACTTACGTGTCGAGCGCGGGTTTCAGATACCGGCGCAAGAACGAGGTCAATGAGGCGGGCACGTACTGGTCGGCGGACGACAAAGACACGTTTTTTGAGCTTCTGGCGCGCTATTCCATCCATAGAGCCGATATTATACAGGAAAAGCTACCATCGAAATCAATCGCTGACATCGTGGACTATTACAAGCTCTTAAAGCGCGAACTACAGCAGTACAAGCGGCACAAGCGACGATTACTGAAACTGGTGTCGTACGACGAGATTCCCGCGAGCCACGAGGTGAGCAGCGAGTTCATCGAGATGGAGGAGTCGCAGGCGTTTCTCCTCAAGTCGGTGGCCAACATGCGCGACTCGGACGCGAATTTCCGGTTTAAGAAGACGCATCCCGGTCTGAACGAGCAGGAGCTGCTGGACTACGAGCGCATGACTGACCTGGCAAACTCCGTGTACGCGAATAACGAGCTCCTGGACGCTGCTACCGGGCTCAAACGCAGGCTGTCCAAGCCGATGGTATTAGACGAGGAAGCGAAGTACATCTTGCGCCATGTCGCGCAGAACATGGCCTATGAAGTGGTGCTGACTGTTCTGGAGGACAAAATCGAGGCCTACGACGAGTTTGAGATCACGCAGAGCGACGTGTATCGCGCTCTGGCCCAAATGAAGGTACGCAGACCAATCAAATTAAAAGACTACTGGTCGAACATTGGCTGGAGATTGGGGCTGGATTTTGGGCGACAGATGCCCAGCGGACGTCAGCGACTAAACAAGCTGGTTCCGTACGACATAAATGGATTGGAGGAGTTGCGGAAAAAAGAAGAGACTGCTATTTTCGACAACGAAGGAGACGAGCTTGAGCAGGTGATGGACGGCGCGCTGCCGTTCGAAAGCGCCGTTCTGAACCCGACTCCGGTGAGCGAGCTTTCACAGAAACCAGCCGTGGCTGAGCCAGACGAAGTTTTGAGCGAGCAGCTGCTGGAACTGGAGACAGCGCTGCTGGAAAAAAAAGATCACGAGGAGTCCGTCAAACAGGAAAACTGGCTACTCCATTATTTGAGCTGTCGCGAGAACGAAATCATGCTGAACGACGCCGATGTCATCCACGAATACGTGGAGAACAAGTACCGCGACGCCGAGCCTGCGGAACTGCCCGAAATCCCAGATCTCCCGCACATCACCAACGAAATGCTGTTTCTGCACTCGTTCGACTATGCAGAATACGAATCGGATTGAATATGGTTACAACTCCTCATCCTCCTGTTCTAGACCCTTTTCAAATATCTCCTTTCCCGTGAGCCGTCCCTGATGCATCTGCTTGAATCTCTCGTTGAGTCTGGTGTCTATTCCCATCTCAGCACGGAACTTTAGTCTCCACTGCGCAAAGTTCTCTTTCGTCACCTTGGTTCCAGAAAACTTCTTCTGTTCCTCGTACTCTCTGGCGCGGCGCTCTTCCTCGTGCTTCTTCTCCAGTGCGGCGACTTTCTCCTGGAACACGGTCTCGGCATGCTCTTTGAGTAAGGACGTGAGCGTGAAAATGCTGGGCATACCAACGTTTTCCTCGGCGTTCTGGTTCACAAATTCCAGCAAATCTAGCAAATCGTCTCTGTCGAACTCCACGGTTTCGGCAACGTTGAGTGTGCTTTCGGGTGCGTCATCGTGCTCCTGTTCAATGCGCAATTGCGGAACTACCTCCGGATACGTTTCTGGATACTTGACGTTGAGGATCAGGGTGTGTTTGCGGTCTGTGCTAGTGTCCAGCAGCAGCGACACGCGGAATTCTGTGTCTGATACTATCTCCAGCTCATCGGGATATATACTCTGTAGAATATCGATTTCCTGCTTTTGTTCCTCCAGATAGTCCATTTTGGAGAAAAAAATTAATTTATTTCATTTTTTTTTTTTTCAGGGAGAAATAATAAAATATTAATGTCTTTACAACAGGTTATTGTGGAATCGGCCCAGCTTCTGGAGAACCAGCAGCCCGAAAAAGCCGTGGAGCTGCTGAGTGCCAAAGCTGGCGAATTCCAAGACTCGCCGCTTTTTCTGCAGTCGTTTGGAGAGGCACACTTGGAAAACGGAGACGTGGAAAGCGCATACGACGTTCTGAGCAAAGCCTGTAAATTGGACCCGGAGGCCAAAAGCGGTGTGGAGAAGTTCTTGTATCTGGGCCAGATAGTAGGAGCAAATGACGGCGTGGACCTGTTGGAGACGGGGGTGAAGAGGTTATTGGCTCAGTTGGAAATGGTCCAGGCGGAAACTGCACAGGAACTGGACGAAAGCACGCAGCTGCTGTTTGCAGCTTACTCAGAGCCCGAAAAAGTCCAGGAGTATCTTCTCAAGAAACTAAATCAGGCCCTGTTCGCTATAATCGAAATCTGGATGACCGATCTGTGCATGGAGCCGGCAGCAGAGGAAGAGTGCGAAAAATGCATCCAGCTGGCTCTCAGTCTGGACAACACCAACGGAGAAACGTGGTCGTTACTGGCCAGCATCCGCATTTCGCAGCAAAAGACACAGGAGGCGCGCGAGGCCGTGAAAAAAGCCTGGGAGCTTCTCGAGCACAAAAAATCCACTCTGGAGGACTCTACCGAGCCCGAGTCCCAGATGGAGTACATCGACCTGTGCCAGCCGCTGACGACGCTCTCCAAGTATGCAATTGAGACGGGACTGTTCGAATTGGCGACAGCTATAGCGTCGTCTGTGCAGGATATCAACGAGCAGAGTGTCGAGAGCTATTATTTGGAAGGATTCGCATATCTTCTGGCGGCCAGAAGAAACCAGAACGGCATTTCCGAGGAGGACGGAGACAAAGTGTCAGCGAACTATGAGCAGTATCCGCTGAATGAGCGCGACGAGACGGTCAGAGATGCCCGCTTGGCGCTCACCGAGGCGTACAAGCTGTTGCAGGTGGACAGTGTAGCTGCCGAGACGGACAGAGACCTAGCCAACACGGTGGTGGAGCTGGTGAACGAGCTGGGTGGCCCGTTATTCGAAAAGGCCAGCAAGGAGGACGTGGACCTGGAGGAGCTGCTGGAGAACGAATAGTGATTAATGACTGTGTAGACGATTATTCTGTGCTGGTTTCCTGGTTATCTGTGTTTTGCTGTGTAATCTTGAGGTCTCCGAGCTCCTGGAGAATTCCCGGCAGGAACGGCTTGGCCTTTTCCTCCTCCGGTTTCTGTGGCTGTGGATCTTGGTGTTTGTGTTGCTCAGTGTCGTCTGGCTGGTCTATTTCCTCAGGCTCGTCGTCCAAAATGCTCACGTATTCCGACGGGACAAGCCCTGTTTCTCCCGACTCCGGGTCGTGCGCCACAAGCCAACCCTCGCCGTACTCGTAGTTGATGATTATGACTTGATCCTGCTCCAGTTTTAGCTCGTTCTCGTTTTCTGGCTCAAACGGGTACAATGCCACCGCCTGTATCACGCGTTCGCTGGTGTCTTCTATGTATCCGTTGGTGATGCCGTAGTGGAGCGGGTGGTCGGCGTCATAGGCAAAATCTTTTATGGACACGGAGGACATAAAGAACGGAGATTATCTATTTTAGTGGTATTTATTTATTTAATATTATTTTATTTAATTTATTTCTATGACCACTGCGCACCGGCCGACTTTTGACCACGCGCGCGGCCGCGACAACGTGCGGTCCACGATCAAGCACAAGCGGGCAATGCCGGCGCATATGGCGATGAAGTATCGGCGGGAGAAACTGCCGCTGGACGACGACTGGGACGGGCCCCCGGAGTACGAGGTGGACAAGAGCGAGGTCCAGCAATTGCGGAGCGAACTGGAAAAAACGAACGGGGCCAGGAGTGAAGATGAGAACGAGGAAAACCAGCCGGAAGTAGACGAGCTGGAACGCAGCAAACAGCTGCTACTGGAAACAAAGGACATAGACACAGATAGCGAAAGCCAGAGCGAAAGTGGAAGCGAGGAGGAGGAAGAAGAGGAGGAAGACGAAGACGCAGAGCTGCTGCGGGAGCTGGAGAAAATCAAGCGCGAAAAGGAGGCCCGCCAAGCCAAGCAGAAAGAGGAGGAGCTCGCTCGACGAGCCGCGAGCTCGAACCCGCTGGTGCAGTTCAGCGACGGCGTGCACAAGTCGTGGCGTTCGACGACGTTCAGAAAAAAGGAGAAGACAGGCAAGCAAGCCGGCTACGTCAACGATATGCTGCGCAGCGATTTTCACAAGCGGTTTATGGACAGGTACGTGAAATGAGGGTCTATTACGTTCTATGATTATAGTCGTCTGAACAGAGCCTTGACGACCTGCTTGAGAAACGGCCAGCCGTTGTCGCTTCTGACGGCGTCGCCGTTCTCCTCGAGTCTCCGCAAAAGATACTCCTTGGTTTCTTTGGGAGGGCCCCATGGAACGTACTTGATCACGTTTTTGGCGTCGTACTTGTTCATGAGCTCGAACGTGATGTTGTCGGCCATGCCGAGCAGCTGGCCGAGAACCACGTTGGCCCGGACGCGCGCGTCGGCGCCCTGCAGCAGCTGGGTGGCCTTGAGCTGCGACTCTCTGTTGTGCGACGCAACGACGAGGTGTCCCACGGTCGGCTTTTCCGAGCCCATGTCTGCGATCGAGGCTGCGATGCCGGCGTCGTAGTTCTGGTCGGTTTCCTGTTTTGTCGCGAAAATAACCGTTCTGTCCGGCTCTGAGTGGATATACGCGCCTCTCACGAGCTTCCAGCCCAGCAGATAGCCGTCCTTGCTGGCCAGCTCCTTTTCTTCAGCGAGAATCCGGCTCGATTCCTGCAGATACATCTGGACGGTCCCGACAACGTTGACTTTGCCCCTGTTGAACTCGCGGAAGAGGTCTCGCTGGAGCCTGTACACGCCGTGCTGGAGATCGCTGCGCTCGGCGTCGACAACGGCCGCCACGAAGGGAGCCGTTCGCGCAGGATACTGTTTGGCCAGCTTCTCGTTCTCCTGCGCCACGACACGACAAATGTCGCGACAGTTGCTCAGCAGCTGCTGGTAGCCGGCCTCGTACGCGGCGTTGCTGTGGTTGCGCAGTATCTCGGCCGCGCCGTCGATCAGCCCGGTCGGCTTGAGCGCCACGTAGCCCGGCGGCACGCAATTGATGTCCGCGGCGTGCGAGATCATCTTGGCCGTGTGCGGCGCCAGCACCTGCGAGACCGACTGCTGCGTCTGCGCGACGATCTGGCTGACCGGCACCGACGTCTGCGCGCCGTCGCACGCCTCAATCGTCAGCGACAGCATCATATTCTGGATGCCGCGCTGGGCGAGCCGGTCGCCGGTCTGCAGAACCTGTGCAAGGTTGTCGCCGCCGCAGTAGTTGCGGTAGATGAGTGCTTTGACGAGCCAGAGCGGCGCGTATGGGAAAGCAGAGATGACGAGGTTGAGCGTGGACCTGGTCAGGGTGGCCAGGCCGATCACGCCGTAGCCCAGGAGCTCGGGCGTCGTGAGGCTGTCGAGATAGGACTTGCCAGATGACTGGAGACGGTGGGTCACTAGCGGCGCCCGCGGACGCAGGGCGAGGCCTGGCCGCAGCGGGCGAGAGACGAGCGCTTTCAGTTTGAGCATTAGCGAAAAGTGGGCCTCATGCTGGATATTTGCGATATTTATATATTAGCAGAATAAACGTCTGATAGTCCGGAGAGGAATGTTTCAGCGAGGAAAAACGATCTCGCTAACTGTTGCAGAAAAAAAAAGATAAGGAATTCGGGCAGGAAAGAGTTTTAGGAGCCGGATGGAAAGAGTTTTAGGGAGCCGGATGGAAAAAGAGTTTTGAAAAGCCCGATCGGGCTTTCAGCAATCCAATGCTTTGCGCTCAGCTTACACAGAAGTATTTAAAGGATCCACCCTAGTCACAAAAATAATCAAAGAATCCACCCTAGTTCATTTCAAGAATCAATCAAAGAATCCACCCTAGTCACAGAATTAACCATTATCCACCCTAGTTGTTCACAGCGGCAGTGTAGGCCAGCGACCACGTCTTGGACATGCCGTTATCCAGGTAGTTGGTCGAGAAGTCGGACCCGCTGAAGAAGCTGTACGAGGTGGCCGGGTCGTACAGCGCGACGTTCAGCATCAAGATGCCCTTCCAGCCGTCCGTGACGCTGTCGATCTTCGAGCTCAGCACGTTCTCCCACTCCTCCTTGACAAACGTCGGGCCCCTGATCAGCGACGAGACAGGAGTGATCGGCAGCATGTGGATGCCGTGGATGTACTCGACGTTGGTTCCAAAGTACGTGGTGTGCGCGATCTTGTTCTCGAACCAGATGCCGCTGCAGTAGTTGCCGATGAACTTGGAGGGCATCACGCTGTTGTCCTGCGAGTACAGGAAGTAGACGTTCATGGCTCTTTTCGAGATGGCGAGCATCAGGTCGGCGCGGTTCGACATGTTGGTGTCGTTGATGACAGAGGCCCAGATCTTCATGGCGTACGCGAAGTTGTAGTCCTCGCTCGAGCTCTCCTCGTCCTTGCCGTCCGCGTAGACGGTGATTCCGTGCGCGATGGAGTGGCCGAGATAGAAGTCGAAGTTGCGGAAGACCGGGAAGTGCGAGTCGTCGCTCGACGGGTTGGCCACGTCTCTCACCAGGGTGTTGACCCAGTCCTTGACGCTGCTGGCCCACGACCCGCCCAGGTCGGCGTCCACAAGCGCACACAGCGCGGCGGCGTGGATGTGGTAGCCGTAGTGGAAGTGGTGGTCGTTGTAGAACGCGTTACCGTAGTCGATCGACGTGTCGCCGTCGGACATGCCGCCCGTCGAGCAGATGCCGCCCCAGTTGGTCTCGTAGCACAACGGGTACGTCTGGCTATTGCCGCTGAACCGCTCGATGGCCTTTTTCAGCGACGCCAGCAGCGTCTTCGTCTTGTCGGAGTCCTGCAGCACGTAGTGGCACACATACAGCACGTACGCGTATTTGTCGAGGATCTTGCCCGAGGTGTACATGGAGTCCAGGTCGGTGGACGAGTACACGTCTGCGCTGTACTCGTCCGCGGCGGCGGCCTTGATGGCGGCCAATTCGGCGTCGGAGTACGCCGGCGACGAGAACCCGGAGATCGCGCTCCAGGGGTCCTTGCCGATGCCGGTGGTGAGCGTCTCGGACATCTCGAACTTGTTGGTGAGATACGCGGTCATGACGCCGTGGACGGTGTCGTCGAGCGTGGCCGAGGTCTTGGCGCCAGAGGTGGTCGAGGTGAACGAGGCGCTCTGGTGCGGCATGGCGTACATGATGGTGGTGCCGTTGTTGGAGGAGCCGGAGGTGGCGTACTCGAACGCGTACGTGGCGGTGGAGCCCGACACGGACGCGCTCAGCGTCACAGACGTCGGGTAGCACCCGGCGGCGCTGTCGTAGGCGCTGTCGTCGCCGCACGCGACCTGGACGACGCAGTCGTTGATCGAGTTGGAGCCGATGATGTGGTTGGAGTCCTTGAGCGCGAACTGGCACGACTGGCCGTCGCTGAAGGTCACGTACATGACCCAGGTGGAGCCGTCGTTGAGCACGATCTTGTACTTGTCGGTTCCGGAGCGCGGGGCGGTGTCGCCGGTGACGGAGCTGATGCCGACGCCGGAGTGGATCTCCGGGATCAGGTCGTTGTACACGGCAGACACGAAGCCCATGCCCTGGACGAGGGTGGCCGTGAACGAGCCGGCGCTTTTCGACGCGACGGTCACGTCGATCGACATCTTCCTGAGGTTGGCCAGCTTGAGCGAGGCGTTCGAGTCGAGGTCGCTGGAGCCCAGACACAGCGCCATGTTGCCCGCCGGGGCGTAGAAGTACGACGCAGCGCCCTCCTCGTCGGTCTCGCCGTACACGCGCTGGCTGGCGGTCTGGTGGGACACGGCCAGTCCCTCGTAGTCGGACTTAGTGGAGTACCATAGGGAGTAAGGGTGGGTGTAAACATAGGAGGTTTGGTCACCGAGGGTCAGATTACCCCAAAAGTTGTTTGTCTGGACGGCACCGTTCTTTGTCACCCCACTGGGCACAGACACCGTGGAGGCGGTCTGAGAAAACAGCGAGATGGGCTCGTCGGTGGAGATGGCAGAGAAGATGTCGCCGGAGGTTTCACCAGAAGCTGGCCATTAGCTGGGGGCACGGACGGGCAGGGGAAGCACTTACACGTGGCTAACATTTTGGAGTAACTGGGTGCTCTGTGAGAAGGAAGCAAAGGCACGAAGCAATGGGTTGCAAGAAAACAAGAGAAACTTTGTAGCGGGTGGGAGCGTTAAAATATGGCTAAGCCTTTGGCCAAGACAAGGGTGGGGGAAGCGAAGGGGATCATTGGACAATAATTATGATGTCATGCTAGTAGTCCAGTTTGGGGGTGAATTCGGCCGTGCAACGGTGCAGCCGTTTGGCGGAGGGAACGGCTGTTTGTGGGGGTGGCGGTAAATACCCCTGGTTTGTGGCCTGTGGCAGCTGCATGGGCGCTTGTGGATCTGCCGCTGTCGGCGCGTGCGACGTTCGTTTGAGCTTGCGTGGAGGCGAGTTCAGGCGGAACGCCGCACCCAGATTCTGCAGCATGCACAGCTCGTCCGCGCGCAGCTCCACCAGATCGAGCCTCCCCACGCTGCGGTGCTGTATCTCCATCTCTTTCTCCTTCACGTCGCTCGCGAGTCGTCGTTCCAGCAGCAGCCGCTCGTAGTTGCGCCGTGTCGCGGCGTCCTTCGACGTCGCCGCCTGAATCAGCGCCCTGTTGCGAAGCGCAACCACCTTGGCCGCGTTGTGCTCGAACTCAGATGTCATCAACGGTTTATTTTTATTTTATTTTTTTTTAATATATTTTTATCAGATATATTCTAGCTCCGAATGAAGTTCGTCGCTTTGATCTCCGGCGGCAAGGACTCCTGCTACAACATCCTCCACTGTATGGCCAACGGCCACGAGCTCGTATGCCTGGCAAATCTCTACCCACCGCCCTCTGACTCGCACGAGCTCGACTCCTTTATGTACCAGACCGTCGGCTTCGACATTGTGCCGTACTACGCAGACTGCACGGGGAAACCGCTGTACCGGCGGATGATCAGCGGCACTTCGCACAACCAGAGGCTGGAATACGAGAAAACAGAGAACGACGAGACTGAGGACCTGTACGAGCTGCTGAAGCTTGTGAGGGAGCACCACCCGGACGTGGAGGCCGTTAGCGTGGGGGCCATTCTGTCGTCGTACCAGCGCACCCGCGTGGAGGACGTGTGCAGTCGTCTTGGGCTCACTGCGCTCGCGTATATGTGGCAGAGAGACCAGGAACAGCTGATGGGCGAGATGTGCGCCTCGGAAATGGAAGCCAGACTCATCAAGGTGGCCGCGATCGGCCTCAATGACAGACACCTGGGGCAAACTTTGCAGCAGATGTACCCGGTGCTGATAGATCTGAATAGAAAGTATGGGGTGCACGTGTGCGGAGAAGGCGGCGAGTTTGAGAGCCTGGTGTTCGACGCGCCGTTCTTCACTAGGGGGAGACTAAGAATTGTGCACCAGGAGACCGTGCGACACACTAACGACGAGGTGTGGTACTTGAAGCTGAAAGTGGAGGTGGTGGAAAAACAGGGTGGGGGCAGTTGCGACGTGGTGCAACCGCCGCTGTTGCACGAGCCGTTTAAGGAGATAAGGGAACGGCTCAAACATAGCTCGGGGGGTGCAGCGGAGATCGACGTGCAGCACGTTGGGGACTGGCACCAAAATTCGTCCCACTCAGAGACCCTCTTACGATTAAGTAATATCACCTCCACGCAACCAACAGCCGAGGAACAAATGACCCACGTTATGTCCCAACTAAAAGAATACCTGGACAATCACAATTTGCACCCCTCGAACGTGATCTTCTCCTCGCTGCTCGTGAGCGACATGTCAAAATTCGCCCCACTCAACTCCATATACCAAACAATGTTCACACACCCGCTCCCACCAGCCCGTGTGTGCGTGGAAACCACCTTGCCCGAAAACTGCTTTGTCCAGCTTTCCGTGGAGATCATACAGGACACCCACTTCAAGAAGGGTCTACACGTCCAAGGCCGGTCCTACTGGGCACCATCAAACATCGGACCGTATTCACAGTCCATTGCAGACACACGCACCTACATGGCCCACATCAGCGGCCAAATCCCGCTGATCCCTAAAGACATGAGCGTGTGCAAGGATGTTCTGACACAGGTGGTGCTTGCCCTCCAGCACTTCGAGCACGTCAAGGAAGCCATTGGGAGCAAGACAGTCCTCTTTATGTGCTGCTTCGTCACTGACGCAAGCCTCGCGGAAGCCGCTGGTCACACTTACCGCCTCTATAGACAGAAGTCACGTGATAGCGATCACGTGCCACATTTGGTGACTGTTCTTGTGAGCGCGCTGCCGCGCGGTGTTGGCGTGGAGTGGACGGGCGTCAGTGTGAATGAGGCGGTGGGTGACTACGAGCACGCGAACATAGCGTTTGACACGAATGTGGAATACTCGGCGGACAGACACTACAGGATATACAGCGATGGCAGCGGGCAGCCCGCTGCACTGCCCGGCTCGTACGAGTTGATTCCAGTGCGAGGTGTGTTTGACGTTTCCGGCGAGCGGCGGCGATTCGCAGTGGTGGAAATACCGTGAGCCCTGACTGCATATCACGTGCCTTGTCCACACCGCACACCAGAAGTCGCGGAAAAAATTTGGCGGAGTGAGGGTGGTCTGCCTGCGCGAAGAGATTACTCAGAGATATTTCTTTTCAGCCAAAGAGTTATTATTTCCAAGATGTCGACCAGAGCTCCAAAGTGGTACGAATCGGAGGACGTTCCTGTTCCTAAGCAGACCAGAAAGTCTGCCAGACCCCAGAAGCTGAGAGCTTCGCTTGTTCCGGGCACCGTTCTGATTCTTCTTGCTGGAAGATTCAGAGGCAAGAGGGTCGTCTACCTGAAGAACCTGGAGGACAACACCCTTCTTGTTTCCGGCCCATTCAAGGTGAACGGCGTTCCTTTGAGAAGAGTCAACGCCAGATACGTCATTGCCACCTCCACCAAGGTGTCCCTTGACGGCCTTGACCTGTCCAAGTTCAACGTGAGCTACTTTGCTAGAGAAAAGTCGAGCTCCAAGAAGTCTGAGGGCGAGTTTTTCGGCGAGGGTGCCAAGAAGGAGATCAAGACTGAGAGAATCGAGGACCAGAAGGTTGTTGACAAGGCCCTGATCTCCGAAATTAAAAAGACCCCATACCTGAAACAATATCTGGCTTCCACCTTTTCTCTGAAGAGCGGTGACAAGCCTCACGCCATGAAGTTTTAGAGTTCCTCACCGCCATCGCCCTGTCCACCAACTCCAAGTCCTTGCAGGGACCTTCCATATTGCAATAATAATGTGATAGTTATATTAGTTTTTTCTTACGTAAAATCTTTTTGTTTTTTTTACCTCTTCCCCATGTCCTTGTCTACCAAGTACCAGGTCGATCCCAAGATCCCGGCCGTGCTGCCGTTCGAGAAGATGTACTCCATCCAGGTCGGCGACCGACTGTTCCGTCTGAGCGGCGCGTCTGTCTCGTTCGACTCGCCCTCGTACTTCACCTCTTTTTTTGGCCGCAAGGAGAACAAGAACAAGGTGCTTACCGTGGACCGCTCCTCTGCCGTTTTCGACAAAATATGCGCTCATTTGCAAGGATACTGCATCCGCGCGGACAACGAGTACGAGCTGATGCATCTGTACGCCGACGCCACCTACTTCAGCCTCCAGAAACTGCTCAAACAGCTCACCGAGGACTTCTACTACTGCAACGTGGGCGGGCTCAGTTTCCGGTTCCCGCAGGACCTGGTGGCCGGCGAGGGCAACCACCCGAACTACTTCACGGTGGCGTACCAGACCACGTTCCAGAGCCCGTACTTTCGCGGCGAGCTGAAGGACGTGATCCGGCCGCCGCCCCAGAGCCCGATCGTGGTCAAGCGCAGCGCCAAGCTGTTCACCGACCTGCTCAATGCGCTGTCGACGGGCCGCATCTTCGTCGACAACGAGAACCACCGTCGCCAGCTGCTGGCCGAGTGCCGCTACTACCGGTTTCTTGCTCTGGAGCAGAAACTGATTCCGCACAAGATCCAGACGAACCCGTTCACCCACTGCGAGGAGATCGTTGTTGCGCTGGGCGACATCAGGAAGGACTGTCTCTCGCTCGCGTGCGACAGCTCCGCCGTGTACAAGCGGCCCTACGTGGACGCCAAGGCGCGCGTGCTGGTGCTCCAGATCGAGTCCGAGGAGGCCAGCCTACTGATCCACACAGAGCTCTCTTTTGTCAATCTGCTATTTACCGGGGCCACCGCGCACCGGCTGTACACGCTGCTCAGCCCGCTGGACGGCGACCTGTACGAATCCACGGTGCTCGAGGACGGCAGCGTCCGGGAGAAGCTGCGGATGTTTGTTTCGCTGGATGAGTGCTCGTTCACGCTGAACGGCCACGAAACGAAGAAAAACTGGTACATGGACTTTTTCGCCGGCAGCGGCGAGAACACACAGCAGCTGAACGGCGACGTCATCGACGTCAAGCTGCTCCGGTCGCAATGGACCGTCAACTCCAAGGACCAGGGCCGCCTCTGGTTCAACGGCGTGCTGGCCGACGGCGTGCTGGACGTGGCCCACTTCAACCGCCGCCGCGGCTTCCTGTGATCAGTGCTCGCTCCGCTTGCGCAGCTGGTTCACCGAGAACGACGCAAACAGATCGCCCTTCTCGTCCCAGTTCACGTCGTTGCACCCGTACACCTCCTGCAGCTCCGCGGCCGTCCAGCTGTCCAGCGTGTACTCGAGCAGACAGTTTTCGGCGCCGCGCACGCTGAGCACGAGACGCTGGGCCGAGGCTGCGCCGCAGATCACCGGGCTCGCCACGGCCACCGTGCGCTCAAGACTCAGTTTTCCGTCTTCTGCCACGGAAACCACCAGAAACGCGCTCATCTTGTCAACCAGCACCACCAGCCTGTTCTGCGACGGCAGCTCCAGCAGCTGCGACACTGTGAACTCCTTCAGGTCGCCGGCGTCGTTCTGGAACCGCGACGGCACCAGGTGCTCCTCGGTCAGATACGGCTCGACCGCGGCAGACAGATCGAGCTTGTCGGCAAGCACGCCCTCCTGCCACCGCCACGAGCACAGGAACGGGTCGCCGCCGCCGCTCACAAGCACCCTGTCGCGACACCACCGCGGCGCGACGATCGACGCCACAAACTCCTCGTGCTCAAACAGCCATTTCTCGATAACGTAACTTTGCGGGAACCGGCTCAGTCTGATGTGCTCGTCACGGTCGGTCGTGACAACGAGCTCGTTCCCGGCGCCGTCCGAAACGTTCAGCACCCCCGTCAGCATCGACACGTGACCCAGAACCGGCACCATGTCTTTTTCATCCTTGGTCTCAGACGATAGCATGTCAATACAGTAGACGTCTCCAAACTTGTCTCCAACGACGACCGTCGAGTCGTCGAGCGACGTCGACACGGCACACGGCCTTTTCGGCAGAGGCTGCCGTTTGATCTGTCTCAACGACCCGCCATCCAGCTCAAACACCACCACCGCCTTGTCTGTGTCTGTAGTGAGGATGAGATACTTCTCGTTTCTGCTGAGATGGATGTCTCTGATGTAGCAGAGCTTTGGCGGCGCTCCGGGGCCCGGCGTCGGCACCTTTGGCGGCTTGCGGTCGCCGGCAGCGGTTTCTTGCTCGAACTTCCTGCTGCGTGCCTCGTACTCCTTGATCAGGGCATAGTTGGAGTCGACGGTGTCGAGCCAGGAGTCGGTCAATTGCCAGTTTTCGCCGCGCTGGAAAACAAACAGTTTCTGGCCGGCACCGGCAAACAGCAGGTCTCCCTTTTCGTTGAGCAACACCTTCTGGAACGGATGTTTCATGGATATTGGATCGCTCTGAATATTTTCAGAATTTTTTCCAGCGTCGATCGGCCCGCAAATTTTTTTTTTTTTTGGCACCCCGATACGCTATCAGAGGTTCCACCAAAATGCCACTCACCCACCCATTGATCAAAGACGGCTGGTTCAGAGAGGAGAGCGACGAGTCCTTCCCCGGCCAGGCCATGCGCCTGAGGGTCGCCGAGATTCTGCACGCGGAAAAGTCCAAGTTCCAGGACGTGCTCGTGTTCAGGTCCACAGACTTCGGCAACGTCCTCGTCCTGGACGGCATAATCCAGGTCACCGAGCGCGACGAGTTCGCGTACCAGGAGATGATCACGCACGTGCCGCTGTTTGCGCACCCCTGCCCGAAGAAAGTGCTGGTTATCGGCGGCGGAGACGGAGGAGTCCTCAGAGAGGTGTTGAAGCACGACTGCGTCGAACGCGCCACTCTGGTCGAGATCGACGAGTCGGTCATCAGCCTGTCCAAAAAGTACCTGCCAAATATGGCCAAATCGCTGTCGCACGAGAAAGTGCAGGTTGTTCTGGCAGACGGTTTCGAATACCTGAAAAACACAGCTGCCAAGGACGAGGCCGACAAATACGACGTCATTGTCACGGACTCGTCGGACCCAGACGGCCCCGCCGAGGCGTTCTTCCAGAAACAGTACTTCGAGCTGCTCTACAACGCGCTCAACGCCAACGGAATGGTCATTTCGATGGCGTCCGAGAACATATGGCTCAACATCGACAAGCTCAAAAGCCTCAAGGACATCTGCAGCCAGGTGTTCGCGGTGACCGAATGCTGCTATTGCACTATCCCTACATACACCTCCGGACAGATCGCGCTCATGTGCTGCTCGAAAAATCCACACCTCAAGGTGTCGGCGCCGCACAGGACGGAGTCACGTGACCGCGAAGCGCAGCTGTTCCGGTACTACAACGCGGCGATCCACAGCGCCAGCTTTGTGCTGCCGAGGTGGGCCGCCGACAAGCTGAACGGAGTCTAGAACCCAAATATATCGTCGATCGTCCTGCGCGCCTTTTTCCGTTTTTTCCTGTTTTCATTCCGAGGCTCCTCGAGGCTTACGTTGACAAGCTCTGCAGGGGCAACTAATTCTCCAACTTCCTCCTCCTGCACGAGCTGCGGCTCAGGATCTGGCTCCGGGGCCGGCGCAGAGCGCATCTGCAGCAGAATCGCGCGGATCTTGGCGACAAGACCCATCAGCGTAAAGCCAAGAGCCAGGTACTGGCCCAGCTCCACCACCGCGTAGAATCTGTAGTAGCACGTAGGCAGAATGCGCTGCAGCAGATAATTAATCACAGTCTGGAGCTGCTGTTTTTTTCGCTGCACCAGCTGCGCCGCCTGCGTGGCGCTGAGCGTGCGCGTTTGGAATTTGGGGAAATGCAATCTCGTGAACTTAAGCGAGGACAGCTGTCTCTTGCCCGTGATCTCGTCGATGTCGATGCACAGCTGCAGCACCGTGCGCAGGCGCCGGTGCAGAATGTTGAAGTGCTTCCACCACAGCGACGACCGGTGCTGGTTCGAGTCCCGGTGGTACACCAGGTGCGCGATCTGGTACTCGTTCAGCAGCGCCGCCTCCATCCAGGCTGAAATTTTTTTCGCCTGCCGCCTGTTTCTGTGCGGTATGCTTACGTAACGAACACGACGCGGTGCGCTATTGTGATTTTTTTCTCAGACACAACAAGGCACCCCTTGGCGTGTGAGCGCGAGAATGTCGCTGGACGCCCCGATGCATTCTGACACGCACAAGTATATATACCAGGCCCTGTGGGAACTTTTGTTTTCCAAACACTCTCACTCCAGTCACTCATTATGCAACTGTCCAAGATCGTGCTCGCTTCCATCCTTGCTTCCCTGGCCACGGCTGCCGACGAGATCGTCAACCAGATCGACGACGGCCAGGTCCAGGTCCAGACCGAGGAGACGACTGCTGCCACGGCCCAAGCAACTGCCGCCACTGCTGCCGCTGAGACTGCTGCTACTGCTGCTACTGCTGAGACTGCTGCTGCCGCAACGACCGAGACCCCAGCTACCTCGTCTGCAGCCGCCACCTCTGCCGCCGTCTCCGCCGCCTCCGCCGAGCAGGACACCACGGTCACCAGCCTGGCCACCGATACCCTCACCACGTGTCCAGAGAGCTCTGCGGCTGCTCAGTCCACCCCAGCTGCCACTGCTGCCACCAGCTCCGAGGCAGACCAGACCCTGTACGTCCAGACCACCCAAACTACCACCATTGAGGGCACCCAGACCGTTGTGACCACCTACTGCCCATACTCTTCCACCGCAGCTGCCGTTTCCTCGGAAACCACCCCAGCTTCCACCACTGCTACCGCCGCTACCACCTCCTCTGCTCCAGCAAGAAGCTCCTCGAATGACTCCTGGAACACCATCTACACCTCTTCTTCTTCCGAGGACGTCACCTATGTGGACGAGACCACCACCCCAACGTCCACCGTGACAAACAACCACTACTCGACTACTAACGAGTACGTCACCACCACGTCTACCTACGCTGGCGCGTCATCCTCGAAGGCTGCTGTTGCATCCTCTTCTTCTCTGAGCTCGAACGGCACCTCTTCGATTGAAACCTACGAGGCCAGCGGTGCCAAGTTGATGGTCGGCTCTGGAGCCGTTGGTATGGCTGCCCTGGCATTACTTTTCTAAACGTATGACATAGTATAGAATAAAACGTATTTAAGGTTGGATTTTTTTTATCTCTCGCCGCGCTGCCGGGTCCCCAAATTTTATCGGACGGCCGAATATTCGGTGGACCGATAAGTGAGAAAAAAATATAAATAGCCCAATTTATTTCTATTATTTTCCAACCCACAATGAAAGCTACCATCTTAAGTTCGCTACTGCTTGCTTTGGGCAGCGTCGCACTGCCTGTCCCTAAGAAGGGCTACCACGACGTCGAGACCGCGGCCCGTGTTGCCAGAACACTGGTCAACAGAGAATCTCTGGCAAATCTGGCCACCATCCAAAAGAAGGATGGCGTCCCTGTTTCCTTTATGGAATATTATGCTGACTGCGAGGACGACGGCGAGCCAGTTTTCTTGCTCGTCAACATCTCCTCGAGCCAGAGAAACATCGACGACGGCTCCAAGGTGTCTGTCTCCATCAGAGTTGGGGACCACCAGATCAACGACCACGTTAACCCTCACTACATCGGAGGCAGAGTTCGTTCTGCTGCCGGCTCGCCACGGGTCAATCTGAAAGGCTCGTTTATTCCTGTCGCAGGTACTCCAGAATTGGACGCCTGCTTCGCTCTTAGACACCACGACGCTCCTGCTTGGTACCCTGGCTCCCCAATTCACGCCACTTTCTGGGCCAAGTTCCAGGTCGAGGAGGTCTACATCATTGGTGGCTTTGGTGACACCGCCTACATTGGCGAGATCCCTGCTGACCTGTACCTGAACGCCACCACCTTCGACGAGGAGGAGCTTTCTGAGGAGCTTTCTTCGATTTTTGAGCTCCCAAAGCAGGAGAACACCTACCTCACGCGCTTCGTTAAGGCTTTTGCCCGTATTTTCGGTCTACAGGAGAACGAAGACGAAGAGCAGGAGGAGGAGGAGTGCGACTTTGAGGACGACGACGAGGACTGGAAGAAGCTCGGAAGGGACCAGAAGAAATTCTGGAAACATTACGGCAAGGGCCAGAAGAAGTACTGGAAGTCTCACGGCGACAAGTCTGAGCAGCCTGAGGACCCTGAATTAGAGGAACTGGAGGAGGTCGAGGACCCTGACTACTGGAAGCATTTCGGCAAAGACCAAAAGAAGTACTGGAAACATTACGGAAAGGAGCAAAAAAAATATTGGAAATCTCATGGCGACAAGTCTGAGGATCCTGAGGACCCTGAGGACCCTGAAGTCGACGAGATGACAGAGATCGACGATCCTGATTACTGGAAACACTACGGAAAGAACCAGAGAAAGTACTGGAAACACTACGGCAAGGAACAGAGGAAATACTGGAAATCTCACGGCGACAAAAAGCCAGAGGACCCTGAAGTTGAGGAGACCGAGGTGGAAGACCCTGATTACTGGAAGCATTACGGAAAAGATCAGAGGAAGTACTGGAAACACTATGGTAAGGAGCACAAGAAGTACTGGAAATCCCACGGCGACAAGCCAGAAGATCCAGAAGAGCCTGAGTTTGAAGAAGTCGCCGAGGTTGAGGACCCTGACTACTGGAAGCACTATGGAAAGGACCAGAGAAAGTACTGGAAGCATTACGGAAAGGAGCAGAAAAAATACTGGAAGTCCCACGGTAGGGATGACGACGAGCAACAGGTGATATCTGCCGACTTTTGAGACTTGAGACGAGAGAACGCCTAACTTTTATTTGAATGTTGTAACGAGCTACAATTATTATTTTTTTAGTCCATATTTGTAAATTCTATGCGCCCTAATTTTTTTTTTTTTCGCCTGGCCGGTGCAGAGTCGCGTTATCGCGTTGCTGGATTCAGTTACTTGATACGGAGGAGAAAAGGTTTCCCGTATAAATACTACCAACCGTCTTTTTTTTGTCCAAAAAATGGCTCCTCGCAGAAGGAACGCTACTCTCGCCACCGCTTCCGCAGTCGCGCTTCTAGGAGCTGCGTCGCTTGTCGTTACTACATATCCTCACCTGTTGGACAAATTACCGTGGTGGAAAAAGAAGTCCGCCACCGAGAACAAAGAATCCGAGCAAGACTCGTCTGCCGACACGTCAGAAAATATCGGAGATTCGACCGTTGTTGTGCAAGAAAACCAGTTGAGCGAAAAGGAGCTCAAAGAGGTCCTCAAAGAGGTAAGTAGCTAGCCGTGTCCCGCTAACTGATAAGAAAGCGATACCTATTCCTGAAGGTGCTACTCTTGATGACCTTATCGCCCTTGTTGATAAGGCTAAATCTGTATAAGGTGCTCAAGGGCATACAGATCTAATTGCGCTTATATATGTTGTATCTCTAGTGTTCACGAGACGGGTTTATATGCTTATTGAATTCGCTCCACGTTAATTTTTCGTTTGGCAGGTAGCAGAACTTGACGCCAATCTCTTCCACGTCTTTATTTCTGTACTCGTCGTCAAAAAGACACATTTCCGACGGCTCGATGTTGTTTCGGCCAGCAAGCTTCGAGATGTGGTTTTTCTTTGATCCCCATCCCCATTCGCTATCGTCGATGTACTTCTCGAGGTTGAACAGCTTGATCAGTTTCTTTGCCGTTGGCGGGCTTGCTGTTCTTGAGGCAGTGAATATTTTGATGTTTCTCGACCGCAGAAACTCCAGAATCGGCACCACGTCCTCGTACAGGGTCACCTCGTAGCCATACTTATCGACCACTGTGTTTTTCTTGCTTTTGTGGAGTTTCAAAGGCGTCGATATATGTGTGTCACACCAGCACGCCAGGTTAGCACAAGCAGTTAGCACACTTACGCCAAAGCGTGTAGTCGAGATCAAACACCACTGCTTTGTAGGACATGAAATAAAATATATAAAATCAATAAAATAAATAAAATAAATAAAAGAAATAAAATAAAATAATAAGAATATAGTGTCCAATGGCGCATCTGGAGCGATATAAGTCCGCGCTAAATGAGTCTCTTGACAAATCACAGAACTTGCTAAACACCCTGGTGGATTTAAAGAAAAAGGGAGGACTGGACGACGCGGACATAGAGCTGCTGAACACCCTCCATCGAGAAGTCGTTCTGGACAACGTCCAGCTGATCAACGCCAAGAACGAGGTGAAGAGCACGTACAACAAGCTGGCCGACGAGAACCTGAAGAAACTGCATTCTGGCCACTACCAGTTCAATAACATGAAAATCCAGCGGTACAAAGGCCAGAAGCTCAGGAACGAGAGTCTGGCAGCAGAGTTTGGGAAGCTCATCTCACAGATCCCAGAACTGCAGCTTGATCAGGTTTTGGACAACGAGAACACAGAGGGCCAGGAGTTTCTGAACGGGCTGCGCAATAGCGGTCTTGATATCAAACTGCAGTTTGCAAAGTCGGATTTCAGCGACCAGATAGACGAGGCTGTTGTGAGCCGTGTGGAGGACATTTTGAAGAACGAGGAAGTGAAAAAGTTCCGTCTTGTGCAGCTGAGTGACAAGCACTACGAGCGCGAGCGGACAATGTTGCAGAGCATGAGTTTGAAGTGGCAGAACCGGTTAGCAGAGCTGACGAAGTTTGTGCGGGACGACTCGTCGAGAATTTTGAAAACAATTGACGATGTGAAGAACGAGCTGCGCGAGGAGCACGAGGAGGAATTGGAAGAAGAGGAAGTGGAAGAAGAGGAGGAGGAGGAGGAAGAGCCAGAAGAGCGAGAGCCAGAAGAGAAAGACGGCCCTGTTGCAGAGCAGGAGCAGGCAGAGGACGCAGAGGACGCAGAGGACGACGTTATGGATGTGGAAACAGAAGCACAGATGGCCAGTGACGAAATAACACCAGCCGCAGATGCCAGCCCCGACCTGGAGCTGGACGAGTAAATGTACCAGATGTATTCTATAAAATACAATTTTACCCGGCTTGTTTGCTGCAACATTTTATTTACAGCTTGTCAGCATGGACGCCAATTACCTGCTAATTTCCCTTCCCAAGAGCACGTCGACGGACAAAAACTCGCTCAAGGACTGGCTGCAGACACACATCAACGGTGGCAGCGTCGAGCTGTTCGAATACCAGCTTCCAGGCTTCAAAGTGGGCACTCTCGACTCGCTGGTGCTCCAGAGCGAGGAGCTTGGTAGAATCGACCAGCAGCTGTACGGTTCGATTGGCAAAGTGCAGGACATCATGGCAGGCATCCACGGCGAGGGCGACGCCACGCTTGTGGCCAAACAGAAGATCGACGGCAAAACCGTGAACCAGTATTTGGAGTCCTTCCGCTGGAACACCTCGAGATATAGACTGGATAAACCCATCGAGGAGCTCATCAACTTGATCTCGAACGAGGCGCTGAACGTGGACAACGACCTGAGGTCGTCCTACGCTAATTACAACCAAGCCAGGTCGAATCTCGTGGCCGCTCAGCGGAAACAGACCGGAGACCTGTCTGTCAAGTCGCTGCATGACATTGTGCGTGCGGAACATTTCGTGCTGGACTCCGAACACCTCCAGACGGTGCTGCTGGCCGTGCCAAAGAGTCTCAAGGACGACTTTCTCAACCAGTACGAGACTTTGGTGGAGTTTGTTGTTCCTCGGTCTGCACAGCAAATAGCCCAGGACGCAGAGTACTACCTCTATTCCGTCACACTGTTCAAAAAATACGTGCCCGCCTTCCTGTCCAAGGCCAGAGACGCCAAATGGGTGCCTAGAGACTTCGACTACTCCGAGGAGGTGATGGCAAAAATGAGAAACGAGTACCAGGAAGCGTCCAAGGAAGAACACACGCTCAAGAACGACCTGCTCAGACTCTCAAAAAGCGCATACTCCGAAATCGTCTCGTCGTGGACACACATCAAGATCCTCAGAACCTTCGTCGAGAGCGTCCTCAGATACGGCCTGCCCCCAGACTTCTACTCGTTCCTGCTGAGACTGCCGGCAAAGGCCATTTCGAAGTCCAAGCGCGAACTCATCCAGAGATTCGGCTACCTCGGCGGCAACGCGTTTGCCAAGGACAAGAAGGGCAATCTCGTTGCCGACGCGGGACTCCACGAGTACGCCTCGCTTGTTGACCAGGACTACGAGCCGTTCGTTCTGTACGAGATCAGCTTGAGCTAGACCAGGCTCCAGAAACCGACGCGTCGATCGGCGCGTCTACTGTAGATGACGTCATCGGGTCCACGTACCCCCTCAGCACATGAATATTTACAACTAAATTGTAATCTCTAACTATGTCGCGCAATTACAAGAAGCTCAGCAGCGGGACCACGCAGCAGAACCCGTTCGAGCCTGAGGAGACCAGCACGGCACTGGAGACTTATCCGATATCGCTTGAGCCGATAAATGTACACGGGCAGGCGGAGTCCAAGGCACAGCAATGGCAACACCAGGAGGACGTGTTTGCGGACCCGTCTGACGAACAGGACTCGCGCGATTCGCAGGACACGGGCGGGCTCTATTCGCACGTGGATTTCGACGCGACCGTCCGCAGCCGTCTGAAGGGCCGGCGACTGCTGTATTTCACGTCGCTGTTCAGCTCCATAGGGGTTTATCTGTTCGGATTCGAGCAAGGTGTCATGTCGCTGATCATCACAGAAAAATCGTTTTTGAACTATTTCGACAACCCAAGCAGTATAGAGATCGGGACGTTGATAGCCCTGCTGGAGCTGAGTGCGCTTTTCTCTGCTCTGGTGGTGCCCAAGGTGTCGGACGCCAAGGGCCGCAAATACACGATTCTGACGGGGGCTCTGCTCTTTTGCATCGGCGGCATGTTCCAGACGTTTGCTCCGTTCGAGCAGATCTGGATCATGATGATCGGCAGGATCATCTCGGGCTCCGGAATTGGGTTTCTGAGCTCCATCATCAACCTGTACCAGTCGGAGTGTTCTCCGAACGACCAGCGTGGTATGATCGCGTCGATGACGTTCAGCTGCAACATCCTTGGGTTTGCGTCGTCCATCTGGCTGGACTTCATCTGCTCGTTTCTGGCCGGCACGTACGCGTGGAAAGTGCCGCTCCTGGTGCAGGTTTTCTTGGGAGCCGTGCTATTTTTCGGCGGCTTCTACATAGTGGAGTCTCCGAGATGGCTTTTGGCCATTGACCGCGACAACGAGGGCTATGCGATCCTCAAGCTCTTCAACGACGACGACCCGGACCCCGAGAAGGCCAAAAAGGAATTCCTGGCCATCAAGCACACCATCGAGAGCGAGAAAAAACAGCTCGAGCGCGAGCAACGCAGCTGGGTCGGGACGATCGTCAAGAACCGCAGAGTCATCACCATCGGCGCGTCGTCTCTGTTTTTCGCGCAATTCAACGGCATCAACCTGGTCAGCTACTACGCTCCGCTCATTTTCGAGGAGGTCGGCTTCGAAGGAAAGTCCGCCTTTGTCATCACCGGAATAAATGCCATTATCTATCTCCTATCCACACTTATACCATGGTTCCTCGTTGACAACATCCGGATCGGGGGCCGCAGACGACTGCTCATAGCCGGCGGGCTGCTGATGGGCAGCGCGTTGTTCGTCTCTGGGGTCATGAGCGCTCTGAATAACAAATTCGGCTCCATTATGGTGGCTATTCTCATTGTGCTTTACAATGCTGCATTCGGATTCTCCTGGGGCCCACTGGCATGGCTCTATGCCAGTGAGATATACGCCGACTCCTATACCCGTTCTGTTGGCGCCTCTCTGGGCACCTCCATTAACTGGTTCAGCAACTTTGTTGTTGGAGAGCTTAGTCCCGAGCTTCTCGACCTCATCAGCTGGAGGTTGTACTTCATATACGGCGCCTTCTGTTTTGTCAGCTGCGTTGTCGTGTACAAGTTCTATCCTGAAACCACGGGAGTCGAGCTTGAGGACATGGACAAACTTTTTGAGGAGTTCAAAAAAGAGTGATATATGATTCAAAACATCTCATTTCTTCCCCATCTTGAACCATTTCGGTACCTTGCGTGTGTTGTGTGCGGTTGTGGGCGTTGGTGCTGGTGTCTCGTCTTTTGGTGGGGCGCTAGCTTTGTCGGCTTCGCGTCCTGTCGTCTCTGCTTCTCTCTTGCTGATTTTCACCTCCTCCAGCTCGTCCAGCCCCTTGGCAGCCTCCAAATACTCGTCCTTCACGTACTGCGAACGTTTGAAGTCGTCCCTGTACACGAGAAGCGAACGGTGTGCAAATTGACAATCTCTCACCAACTCTTTTTCAAAATCGTCTGTGCTGGTGAGGATCGCATGTCCAGGATAGGCCGTGTGCAGCTGGAATGCTGGCCGCGGTTTTTCTCTCTGCGCTTGCGTCATGTGAACTATTTTCGTAGAGAGCACATTATAGAGATCTCCCAGAGTATGATCAGGCTGCATAACAAGTTGCACCTGGGTGTAGTCCGGGAATTTAACCCTGATAACGCACTCTTCGACTGCTGGCTTTTCAGGAGCAAGCTGCTCGCGTTGTCTCTTGCTCATCATCTGTTTATTAGGGTGTGCTCTTTTGGCAAGTAGCGATTGGTAGAGTCTAGCCTGCTCGATAGACATGTCGTAAACGGACTCATCAACGTGCTCGTCTTCATGGTGATCTGAATTTGGGACGTAAACCTGAATGGGGTTGGAATCTGGCGCTGATGACGGTTTTTCCTCGGAAAGTGCCGCCTGCTGTTCAGAGCTCTGAGTCTCGCTTTTATCCTCAACTGAAGCTGACGATGCGGTCGGTTGGGCAGTCGGCTGGGCGGTCGGCTGCGGCTGGCTTATGTCATGTTTTTCAGCCTTGAATCTCAGTCTCAAGGTATGGTTTCCGCTGACCAGACCCAACGATCTTAAGGAGTGTTTGAGCTCAGACGTTCCTGTCATCGTCTTGCTCATGCTCTGCACAATCGGCTCGTAAACGTACTTATACTCTCCAATTGCTTCTCTGTGAAGCAGTTGTGTATTCAAGCTTTTCTCGAATTCCTGCAGAACCTCCTCAATGCTCTTATCGCTGTCGCATTCCTTCACCAGCTGGTTCGGCGGAGGCAGAACAAAGGTTGAGTCGCCTTCTGGAGCCATTATCTGCAATTTTATCACAACTGAGCCTCCTCCGGTGGATTGAGTATTCTGTGGCGCCTTCACAAGCTCCAACTTGCAGCCCTGGGGCAGATTGGCCAGTCGCAAGGGCAAAGACAGATCCAGCAGCTGGTTGCCGTGTTTGAGAGCATGTTGGCTCGGCTCGAGCTTGAAGTGGGCGCAGCTCTCTATGAGAACATCATTGAGAATTTTAGAAGGGCCTGCCTTGCATTTGAATGTTCGGAAGTTGTGTGAAACCGTTAGCGAAGACATGAGCTATTCTATGTGGCAAGGAGAAATAAAATATTTTGATTTCTCCAAAATTTATTATACGCCACATGTGGCTGGTCGATTGGTCGCGTTCTATAAACAAAAACATTTATTTACCTTTCCACTGTATCTCTACAGTTTTGCTAATTGCTCGCTTCGATGTCCCAGAAAGCTCCCAACGCCAGATCCCGGTCTCCGACAAAGTCGCCCAGCAAACTGCAGTACAAATTGCTGGCTCCGGACCTGGGCACAGAGTATGTTAATAATACCAATATAAAGGTGATTGTGCGGTTCAGGCCCGAAAATGAGATGGAGAAGGCCAGCGGCGCCACGAATATTGTCGAATACCACCCAGATAACCAGAGCGTCTCTGTCACTGTGGCGTCGAATACCAGCAATTTCACGTTTGACCGGATATTCGACGAGCACACGGAGCAGGAAGATATCTTCAATTACTCGGTCAGACAGACCACCAACGACCTGGCATTGGGCTATAACGGAACCGTGCTATGCTATGGCCAGACAGGATCCGGAAAATCGTACACGATGATGGGCGATCTGCACGACGAGAGAAATAAAGGTCAGACTCCGCGGATATTCGAGCAGATATTCCAGGGCATTGAGAACTCGCCCAAGACGCTCGAGTACACGGTCGGCGTCTCGTACTTGGAGATATATAACGAGAATCTGCGGGACTTGCTCAATCCAAAGAACAATTCCAAGCTGGCGATCCATGAAAACAAGGTCGATGGTGTCTATGTGAGCAACTTGGAGACTCTGTATGTGTCAAACCTCAACGATGTGTACACTATTCTGGACCAGGGAAACAAGAACCGAAGCGTTGGTTCCACGAATATGAACGAGCAGAGCTCACGATCGCACGCTATCTTTCAAATTCGATTGAGCTCCAAGAACTTGGAGGACGGGATAATCAAGACAGGCAACCTGTTTCTAGTCGATCTGGCAGGTTCAGAAAAAATCGACAAAACAGGTGCTTCTGGACAGCTTTTAGAGGAGGCCAAGAAGATCAACTCGTCGCTCTCTACGCTTGGAAATGTCATCAACTCTCTCACGGACGGCAAGTCCACGCATATCCCTTACAGAGATTCCAAGCTCACGCGTATTTTGCAGGAATCGCTCGGAGGAAACTCCCGAACCACGCTAATCATCAACTGTTCGCCTTCTTCGCTCAATGATCAGGAAACGCTATCCACGCTCAGGTTTGGGTCGCGGGCCAAACATATCAAAAACAGTGTCCACATCAACAGCGAGTTGAGCAACCATGAGCTCAAGAAACGATTTTTCGACCAAGCCAAAATTAACGAAGAGAACATCCGAAAAATACAGAAGCTGGAGACACGGAACCAGGAGCTGGAAGAAGAGAACGGACAATTGAAAGAAGAGCTCGCGAAGTTCAAGGAGCTCATAAACATGAAAACCGCTTCGGACGAAGTGGCCAAACTGAACGACACGATCATGATGCTGAAGTCGTCTCAATTGGTCATGACCAGAGAGCTGGAGCAAAAGAACGCACATATAGCAGAGCTCGAAAGCAAAGCGAACGAGTCTGTTGAGAGCGCTTCAAAGCTCGAGGCTTTGGAGAAGGCCATCGAGCATTTCTCCGATCACATTGAGCAGATCGAAGGACAGAATAAACAGCTGAAAAAGGACATCCATGCGTTGCAACAGATGAGTAATCAGAAAACTAATAAGATCCAAGAGTTGGAGCAACAGCTGAAAGCACAGGAGATGCTTGTGGAGCAAGATACACAGATGTTTGAGCAGAAACTCAATCATTTGAAAGGACGTGTGTCCTCGCACAGATCATTAAAACAGCGGACGGTATCAGGTGAAAAGGAGAATTCTGGGTCGAGCATTGCATCGCGCACGCGGCCGTCTACCAAAAATCGGATAGGACTCAACCTGAGGATTGTGAAGCCAATGAGAGGTGGTCAACAAGGGACATGATATTGATCTATTTATTACGTTACTCATAAAGCATGGTCTTGCGATTTACTCAAAAACGTCCTGGCCCAGCTTAAGCCCAAGGATGTTTCTGACATCGCTTGTGAATCTAAGACTGTTCAACAAAGGAAGCAGGTTCATTAGCTCGGAATCATCAGGATCGTTGATCCAACCTTCGATCATGATTCCGTTTTTCTTGTGAAAGCTGTAACTGATTGGCGAGTTGTCTATGATGATGACCCTGCTCAGGTCTGTTGCTGGTCTTCCCGCGGAAGACCCTCTCGTGCGGCTTGCAGAGCGGTCTCTAACAGAATTGACGGCTTCGTTGGAATTGTTTGTTCCTGGTGGATACGGCGAGGACGTTGGTGTGGATGGTCTTTCTCTTTGGTGCCCGGTGAGTACCCCGAGGTCCTTCACATAACCTTTGCCTTCGGTGAAAATGCAGCTGTTTCGGTAAAATCGCTGGCTGAACAGCTTTTTCTGCGAGATGTCTCCCTTGTCCTTGAGCATGACCTCCTGTTCTAGATAGTTGATCACCGGATCGGCGTACTCCTTGATGGAGGCAGTGAAGCACACGAGGTTGAACCAGTTGCGGACGATCGACAAAAACTCGTCCACATAAGGTCGTTTATATATGTGATATAGCGTAGCCAGTTGACTATTGATTCGGATCTCGATGGTGGTTCCTTTGTTCTTATTAAGAATTGACGAGTTGTGTCTAGAAAGAGAATGTATAAGAGTCTCGTCTAAATCAAGAACGAGCGTTTTCTGAGGCAGGTTAGGAGGATGGTTGATGTTGAAGTTGAATAGCAGCTTGGGAAATATGAACTTCTTTTTCCGAGGGGTCATGAGGTTGTTATGGCGTGCGTTCTTTCTGCGCTCTGTGCTATGTACCTGCTGTGGCGGCTGTCGAATTGCGCTGGTAGAGGCCACGGGGCCCGTTGGAGACTTGATCGGGTCCTCGCTCTTGTCCAGCTCAAACTCTATGTCTTCCTCCATTATCGTGGTAATTTGTGTCGCAGCGTCTTCACGAGACCGCTGTGGTTGTAGGACATGCGACTGATCTGTGTTTGTGTCGGGGGTCTGTTCAATGGGCGTCGTTTGTTGGATTGCTTCTTTCTTGCTAAACACATTTATCAGTGCCCTCACGGGGTATGTGACGATATAGAGCACCAGAGCGACCGGGTTGACGATGAGATGCTTTGGGATAAAAAACAAGATGCTTATGAGAGTGCTAAAAGACGACGGATCTTCGCTGTCCTCCTCCTCATCGAACACAGGCTGCTGTTCCCTCTGGAATTGCAGTGGGGGATCGAGCTGTCTCGTGACAATGTCCGAGTCATCAATGTCTGCAGAAGACTTCTGGTCTGGCGGAAACGCCGGGTTGAACGCCTTATCCACGGTGTTCGCCAGAAATTGGATAGAGTTCATATGAGAATAATCCAACAAAAAATAAATATACGATAGAAAAATGTTATATTGTGAAATAAATAAAGCGGAGCCTTATTTTATTTTTTTTGGGAATTTATTCTTTGCGGTAGCTGCGTCCTCTAGGCGGCCGTCCGTTGCCCCGGCCACGTCCTCGTCCTCGCGAGCCGTTGCTGATGTTGCTGGCAGACGAGGAGTTTTTGGTCCTCTCTGTATCCTCCTCCTCCTCCAGCAGCCTGTACCGGAAATCGTAGCCCTTGGAATGACACTCCATCTGCACCTGGCCGTCATCCACGTTCAGCGTGAGAAGGCCGTAGCTAAGGTCGCAGAGGTTGAAATGCCACGTGTTCTGGAAGGATATGTAGTACAGATCGTTGAGCTGGCGAATGATCGTGTTCAGCTCTCGTTGTCTCGACTGCAACCCAAACGAGTCCATGTCTTCAGTGTTGGTCAGCGACTGCGAAAGCTGTAGGGGCAGGATATCTTCCACCCCCTTGGTCGAAATAGGGATTTTATCAAACACTTCCAGAGCTAGTTCTGTGCAGGCGATCATGAGCGGGTCGTTGAGCTTGAAGAGTAGTTTTTCATAGCGTTGCTGGATGTTTTTCCAGATCACGGCGATTTTCGACCGTGCCTCGTTGAACTTGAGCTTGAAACTCTCAAAGCTGGGATTGATCGAAAGCTCGTTGTATGAGGAGGTGTACTTGAAGTGCAACGAATTGGAAATCGAGTAGTCCATCTTGAAGAAAATTAATAGATGTTCCAATAGCGGCTCTCTGGCGGGCGACTGGTGAGTGACAAAAATCTTGATCGCTTTGTTGTAAAAATCGGTGTGCTGTTCGCTGAATTCTGTCAGTGTGTAGATGAGTTTCCCCAGCTGCAGAAGGGTGATCCAGATATTGCCCGGGTCACCGCTTATAGGAAGAACATAGTCTGAGTTTTCGATGTCTTCGAGACTGGTCGTTTCGCCCACGATATCGGCCAGATCAAGCGATGAGCCCTGATGCACAAGCTTGTGGTACGACAGAGAACCGCCAATGCCGGCCAAAAGGATATGCTGTCCCTGAGGAGTGGTGATTCCAAATACGTTTCCATCGTCGATCACGTGCAGGTTAGGGATCTTGTAAACTCCGTAGCGGAACTTGTTGACCACAAGCGAGTCCTCGCACATTCCGAATATGGTGTACACGGGCACTTCGAGCTTCAATTCGCCGCGCAAAAAGCGCCCCAGCTCGCTTATTTCCTGGTTTTCCAGCAGCGTCTTGAGGTTCGCTGTTTCGCTCGAAAGGTGCTCGACCGAGTCGCCCGTCACCTTCGACAGCTTCGAGATCTCCACAATGAGTTCCTCGGACAGCAACGGCGAGAACTCGACAATGTGCCGCAGATATGACTCATGGATTCTGTGCACGCTGCCTTCGTCGAGAAACCCAAAGTTTCCCGTATGTATGACCACGTCCGCCTGGTATTGTCGCGCCAATTGGTTGAAGAGCGACAGCTCGCCGCGGATATCCGCTACGCAGATGATTTTCACGCCGTTCTTGTCAAATTCCCGGACGTTCATAGTTGAAAGAAATTGGATAATCTAAAAAAGTATGGGGATGGAAATAAAATAATTGATCCCTTCCGTTTATTTTTACAAAATATTTTTCTTTCTCCAATAAAACAGTAAACTTATTTATTACACCTTGGCAGCAAGCTCTTCCAGAAGCTTATAGTTGCGCTTCTGGATCGACCCATTGCCTGGAAGACGGGTCTCGCCCATCAAGAACTGGTCAACTTCACGGGCACATTGTCTTCCCTCTTGGATACCCCAGACCACCAGAGACTGGCCTCTTCTACAGTCTCCGGCAGCAAAGAGGTTACCCTTGCCCTCAACCTGGTATCCGTTAGGATCGGTCGTGGACACAGTTCCACGCGGCGTTCTCGAAACCTCCAGTCTGTCAGCTTCAGGACCAACAAATCCCATGGACAGCAAAATCACCTCTGCAGGGAAGAACTCCTCGGAGCCTGGGACCTCGGCCATTTGCCAGGCACCCGAATCCGACCGCTTCCACTCCACTCTGACGGTCTTGATGCCCTTCACGTTTCCGTCCTCGTCGCCGACAAACTCCTTCGACAAAATACAGTATTCTCTAGGGTCTCTGCCGTAGTGCTCCTTGACCTCCGCGTGTCCGTAGTCCACGCGGAAAATGCGAGGCCACTGCGGCCATGGGTTGTCCTTGCCTCTTTCCTCGCTTGGCGTAGGCAGAAGCTCGAAGTTGGTCACGGACTTCGCCTTGTGCCGCGTGGCAGTACCAAGACAGTCGTTACCGGTGTCACCTCCGCCGATGACCACGACGTTTTTGCCTTCGATCTTGGCCCGGATCTGGTCCAGGTTGTCCTCCAGCAGGGCCTGGGTGTTGGACTTGAGCAGGGTCATGGCGAAGTCGATGTTCTTCAGCTCTCTTCCTGGAATCTTGAGGTCTCTAGGAATAGTAGAGCCAACACAGAGCAGCACGGCGTCGTTCTGCTGTTGCAGCTCGTCCACAGTGATGTCCTCGCCAATCGTGGTGTTGCAAACAAACGTGACACCCTCGGCCTCCATCAGGTCGGTTCTTCTCTTCACGATTCCCTTGTCGAGCTTCATGTTTGGAATACCGTACATCAGCAGTCCTCCAGGGCGGTCTGCTCGCTCATAGACGGTGACCGTGTGGCCGGCCTTGTTCAGCTGGTCAGCAGCGGCAAGTCCCGACGGACCAGAGCCAATGATGGCAATGTTCTTGCCTGTTCTCACGGCAGGAGGCTCTGGCTTGATCCATCCCTGCTGGAACCCGTAGTCTATGATTCCGGCCTCAATGGACTTGATACCCACCGGAGCGTTGCCGGAGACATTCACCACACAGGCGCCCTCGCACGGAGCAGGACAGATCTTGGAGGTGAACTCCGGGAAGTTGTTGGTCATAAGCAGTCTCTGCAGAGCGTCGTACCACCTGTCCTTGAACACCAGCTCGTTCCATTTCGGAATCACGTTCGAAATAGGACATCCCGTGTCGCTCTGACAGAACGGAATACCACAGTCGATACATCTGGCTGTCTGGTAGTGCAGGTCCTCTTTGGTCAGTCTGCTGGACAGCTCTTTCCAGTCGTTGACTCTGGCCTTGGCAGGTCTGTAGGGCTCGTTTCTTCTCTTGTACTTGACGAAGCCGCCGAGCTTGTCGAGCTTGACGGCCTTTGTCTCCTCGGCCTTGATGTCGACGATCGTGTCTTCCAGATCCATCACTTTTGGTTCCTTGGCCGCACTGGCAGCAGACACGCGCTTGGACTTTGGTCTCGAAAACTCGCCGTTCGTGATGTCCGCCTCTGGGTCCTCCTTGATGGTCGAGAAGTACGACGAGGCCTCCTTCTTCTTCAGCTCCTCCTGTTTGCGGGCCTCTTCCTCCAGCACTTTCTTGTAGTCGACAGGAAGAACCTTGACGAACCGCGACAGGAACCTGTTGAAGTTGGTCAGGATCCTGTCGGCAATCTCAGAACCAGTGAAATGCCTGTGGTCCTCAATCAGACCTCTCAGAAAAGCGATCTCTGCCGGATCGGTGATCGTGCTCAGCTCCACCATCTCCTTGTTGACCTTCTCCTCAAAGTCCTGCGCCATGTTCAGCACGTACGCAATACCGCCAGACATACCAGCAGCAAAGTTGCGGCCCACAGACCCAAGAACAACCACTCTTCCGCCAGTCATGTACTCGCAGCCGTGGTCTCCGGTTCCCTCCACGATGGCGGTGGCACCGGAGTTTCTCACGGCAAATCTCTCGGCAGCAATACCCCTGAAGAACGCAGTGCCGGACGTGGCACCGTACAGACAGGTGTTGCCGATGATGATGTTCTCCTCGGCCTTGAACTTGGAGTCCTTTGGCGGATACACAATCAGTCGGCCTCCAGAAAGACCCTTTCCGACGTAGTCGTTACAGTCGCCCTCCAGCTCCAGAGTGATGCCGGCTGCGAGGAACGCGCCGAACGACTGTCCCGCAGAGCCTCTGATGTTCACGTGGATGGTGTCATGTGGCAGACTCGACGGACCAAACCGCTTGGAACATCTGTACGACAGCGTGGTGCCGATGGATCTGTCGGTGTTGATGGCCTCGGCCTCGATGGTGACCGGCAGGCCCTTGTCGAGAGTCACCTCGGACTCGTCGATCAGCTTGTTGTCCAGTCTCACGTGCAGCCTGTGGTCCTGTTTCTTGATACACCGGGTAGCAACGCCGGGTCTGATGGTGTGGGCCGGAGTGAGAATAGGCGACAGGTCGATGTTGGCGTTCTTGGTGGTTCTCAGATCGTCTCGCACGTACAGCTTTTCCGTTCTGCCCACCATCTCGTCGATCGTCCTGAACCCAAGCCTGGCCATGATGCCCCGCAGCTCGTTCGACACATAGTAGAAGAAGTTGATCACGTGCTCCGGGGTTCCCTTGAACTGCTTTCTCAGCACGGGGTCCTGCGTGGCGATACCCACGGGACAGGTGTTGGTGTGGCACTTTCTGTTGAAAACACAGCCCATGGAGATCAGTGGCGCCGTGGCAAAGCCCCACTCCTCGGCGCCCAGCAAACAGGCAATGGCAATGTCTCTTCCGGTCTTGAGCTGGCCGTCGGTCTGCACGGTGACTCTTCCTCTCAGATCGTTCAGAACCAGAGTCTGGTGGGTCTCGGCAAGACCCAGCTCCCACGGCAACCCGGCGTACTTGATACCGGTCCATCTGGCGGCACCGGTGCCACCGTCGTGTCCAGAAATGAGAATATGGTCTGCCTTGGCCTTGGCGACACCAGAAGCAATAATGCCCACACCAACCTCAGACACCAGCTTGACAGACACTCTGGCTCTCGGATTGGCGCACTTGAGGTCGTAGATCAGCTGTTTGAGGTCCTCGATCGAGTAAATGTCGTGGTGCGGCGGTGGAGAAATCAGACCAACACCCGCGGTCGAGTGTCTCGTCTTGGCGATGCTGTTGGACACCTTGTATCCCGGAAGCTCTCCGCCCTCGCCGGGCTTGGCACCCTGGGCCATTTTGATTTGCAGCTCGTCGGAGTCTGACAGATAGTACGACGTGACACCAAACCGTCCCGAGGCCACCTGTTTGATGGCAGATCTCATGGAGTCGCCGTTGTCCGAAGCCTTCGATCTCTCGACATCCTCGCCGCCCTCTCCCGTGTTCGACTTTCCGCCCAGCCTGTTCATGGCAACGGCCAGCGTCGAGTGGGCCTCCATCGAGATCGAACCGTACGACATGGCGCCGGTGCAGAATCTTCTCACGATCTCTGTCCAGGGCTCGACCTGGTCGATCGGAACAGGCGTCGAGTTGGCAAAGTCGAAGTCCAGCAGGCCTCTGAGCGTGCAGTTCTTGATGGCGTCGTACTCCTTTTTGGAGTACGCGTCGTACGCCTTCTCGTTCTTGTTTCTGACCGCGTCCTGGATGTTGGCGACGGCGGCCGGCTCGTTCACGTGAGCGTCTCCGCCGTCTCGCCAGTGGTACTCTCCCGACTCTGGCAGACCCTTAGGCAGCACCGTTGCTCGGGACGGGAATCCCTTTTCGTGCATCGAGAAGGCATCCTGCGCAATGTACTCAAAGGTGATACCCTTGATTCTCGAGGCCGTGCCGGCAAAGCATCTGTCGATCACGGAGTTGTCCACTCCAAGCGCCTCGAAAATCTGCGCACCCTTGTACGAGGCCAGCGTGGAAATACCCATCTTGGACATCACCTTGAGCAGACCGTCGTCGATGGCGTGTTTGTAGTTCTCGAGCACCTGTTTGTCGGTCAGGTCGCCGGCCAGAAGATTCTCGCTGTTCAGCTTGACCAGCGTTTCCATGGCCAGGTACGGGTTGATGGCGTCTGCACCGTAGCCAACCAGACAGCAGATGTGGTGGACTTCTCTGGCCTCGGCGGTTTCCAGGATCAGAGCAACCTTGGCGCGCTGTTTCTGTCTCACGAGGTGGTGGTGGACAGCGCCGCACGCGATCAGCGAGCTGACCGGGATTCTGTCGGTGCCGGTCTTTCTGTCGGACAGAATGATGATCTGGTGGTCGTCGACGATGGCCTGAGTGGCCTCCTGGCAGATTCTGTCCAGTGCGTCGGTGTACCCGGTCAGACTCTCCGACTTGTCGAAAGTGATGTCAATATTGGCAACAGACCATTTGGGATACACCTTGTTGATCTCCTTCAAGGCCCTGAGCTCGTCGCTGAGCAGCACTGGAGACGGCATCAGCAGCCGGTTGCACTGGCCCGCGTTCATCTCCAAAAGGTTGCCCTGCGGCCCAATGTAGCACTCCAGCGACATGACGATTTTCTCTCTGATCGGGTCGATAGGAGGATTCGTGACCTGCGCAAACAGCTGTCTGAAGTAGTCGAACATCAGCCTTGGCTGCTCTGCAAGACACGCAAGAGCAGCGTCGTTGCCCATGGATCCCAGAGCCTCCTTTCCGCCGGCTCCCATTGGGCCCAGCAGCGCACCGACCTGTTCCTGCGTGTAGCCAAAGGCAAGCAGACGAGGGTCTTCCTGGACCTTCAGCGTCAGGTCGATACGTGTGCTCAGGTCCAGGTTCTTGTTCTGCAGCTTGGTGGTCAGCTCCGGCATGGTGATCATGTTGGAGGTGATCCACGCCTTGAAATCGAATCTGGAAGCAACCTGTTTCTTCAGCTCTCTGTCGTCGACGATTCTGCCCTCCTTGGTGTCCACCAGCAGCATTCTGCCCGGCTGCAGTCTGCCCTTCTCGACGATCTTGTTCGTCTCGATCGGAATCACGCCCACCTCGGACGCACAGATCATCCTGTCGTCGTCGGTGACGTAGTATCTGCACGGTCTCAGACCGTTTCTGTCCAGGTTGGCGCCGCAGAACCTCCCGTCGGCGAACGTGAACAGCGCAGGCCCGTCCCACGGCTCCATCAAACAGGCGGCCCACTCGTAGAAGGCCTTTTTCTTGTAGTCCATGTGCTCGTTGTTCTGCCAGGCCTCGGGAACCAGCATCATGACGGCCTCTGGAAGAGACAGAATGCCGTTGATGACGAGCAGTTCCAGCACGTTGTCGAGCGCGGCGGAGTCGGACCCGCCCTCCTCGATGATCGGGTACAGTTTCTCGAGCTCCTCGCCGAACAGCTTCGACTGCATCACGCCCTCTCTGGCGCGCATCCAGTTCTTGTTGCCTCGAAGCGTGTTGATCTCGCCGTTGTGGGCGGCCCATCTGAGCGGCTGGGCGCGGTCCCAGGACGGGAACGTGTTTGTGGAGAACCGGGAGTGGACCAGAGCAAAGTGGCACTCGTAGTCTGCGTTCACAAGGTCGTGGTAGTACGAGTACACCTGCGTAGGCACGAGCTGGCCCTTGTAGACGATGTTTTTGTTGGTCAGCGAGCAGATGTAGAACCAGTTGTGCAGGCCGATGGTGTGGGTGGACTGCTTGCGCAGAATGTAGAGTTTTTTCTCAAACGTCTTTTCGAACCTGGACTCGAACTCGTCTGCCGAGTACACCGCCTTGGGCTTGCTTCCCGGGCCGTACACCTCCTCGAGGACCACCAGAGGCTGCAGGATCAGCGGCTCTCTCGACGAGGCGGCCGGGCCCAGAATGGACGAGTCGACCGGGACGTGTCTCCAGCCGAGCACTCTGAGGCCGAGGCTCGCGGCGATGTTCTCGAACGTGCTCTTGGACTTGCGGAAAACGTCCTCGTCCTTCTTGAAAAACAGGTTTCCCACCGCGTACTGGCCGCTGGGCGGCAGCTCGAGCGAGCAGTGGTACTCGAACTCGCGCGCCATGAACTTGTGCGGGATCGAGGTCATCACCCCGGCACCGTCTCCGTCGCGCGCGTCCGAGCCCACGGCTCCTCGATGGGTCATGTTGCAGAGCAGGTAGCGCGCGTCCGAGATGATCTTGTGCGAGGGCTGGCCCTTGATGTGGCACGCAAAGCCCACGCCGCAGTTGTCCTTCTCGTACGCTGGGTCGTACAGACCCTTGGAGGTAGGGATGGTGGAGGCCCACGTTTTGTTTTCCGGGACCTCGTCGTAGTTGTACACCGAGTACGCCTCTGGCACGTCGCCGTCGGCCGGCTCGTACTCCAGATGCTGATCGCTTTTCAAAACCATGCTGAGGAAAAAGAATACGGATCCAGCGAGAATAAAATAGCCAACCGGGCAAATTTTTTCGTCAGTGACATCCCACATGCGACTCCGCAGATTCGGCGGGGACCACCGTGCGCGCCTGCGGACCGGGTGCACAAAGCTGGCAAGATAATGCACACGCAATCTCTGGCCAATAACGTTGGGGCTAAAGTTAATGCATTGTGCGATTCTGCACCGTGACGAAACGGGAAAGTTTCATCTGGGAGCCGGTGCGAGGGTGCACTACGAGAAAAAAAAAAAAGAGCACCGATTACATGCATGGCTACACTATTTTGATAGTCCTCTATTTATTCCTCCTCCTCCCCCTCCTCGTCGTCCGCGCCTCGTTCCGCCTCCATCACGCTCTCGACGTACTTATCTGTGTATTTGCGCGCAATCCGCGACGCCCGGCCCGCCGCCTTGGCCTCCTGCCGCGCCCGCTGCTGCAGCCGGCCCAGCTGCTCTTTGAACGCCGCGCGCACGCTTCTGTTGCTGAAACTGTCCCACATCTTGAGCCGCGAGCCCGACCCGCCCACAACAAGGTTTCCGGCAACCTCGATGTCCGGCGCAAAGCTGGCCGTCAGCACCTTGCCGCAGTCAAAGTCTCTGCTCAGCACCATCGACGGTCCGCGCACAGACGTCTGCTCGCTGTCCAGCTTCCACAGCTTCACCACCTGCTCGCCCATCGCGCCCGTCACAAGCATGTTGTTCATGAACTTGTTGGCCTCCAGCGTCGAGATGCCCGAGTCGTGCGCGTGCAGCGTCCACAGCGGCTTCGACTCGGCCCTCGCGTCGAAACAGTACACGTTACCGGCGTCCGAGCCCGCAAAGAATTGCGCCGAGTCCGCGCTCCATCTCACGCACTCCACCTCCTCGCTGTTGCCCAGCTTGTAGCGTCTCGACATGCTTTTCTCGTCTGCTACCCGCACGTCGCTGATACAGCACGCAGAGTCGTAGCCGCCGGTCAGCAGAATCGACCCGTTGCTGCTGTCCGACTCCTCGACGAGCCACTGCGACGACGAAACGTGCTTGCCCCCGTGAACGCTGTCCAGAGAGCGCGCGACCTGGCAGCCGGTCAGGTCCCACAGTTTCACGGTCCCGTCCGCCGACGTCGACGCCAAAACGTTTCTGTACAGCTTGTTGTGCGACAGAGACAGGACGGCGTCGGTGTGTCTGTCTGGAAGCTGTTTTTTCTTGGACTTCTTCTTCTTCTTCTTGGTTTCGGACTCGCCGTCGCCCAGGATGGCGTCCGGAAACGCCTTGTCGATGCTGTCCAGGTTCCAGATCTCGATCTGCGGCTCAAACGTGCCGATGGCAGCAAAGTTGCCGATATTCGACTGGTCGTTGGCCCCGTACGGCTTGTAGCTCAGCCATTCGACACACAGAGGGAACGACGGCAGCATCAGGTCGTGGTGGATGTACAGGTTGTTTTCCCTCACCAGGCCGTTCGCAACGTCCGCGTCAAATTTGTCCTCTTCCTCCTCCTCTGCCCCGTAGGGAGCTCCTGCTCCGTCGTCGTAGATATACACATCCAGGTACGACACGTCGTCCTCCGTCCGCGTGGCCAGCACCATGTTGTCTGTGGGGTACACCTGTAATTCTGCTTTTTCCTCGGCTTCCTCTTTTTCTGTAGGCAGCGTCAGGTAGTGCTCTTCTTGGCCTTCTCCCATATCATCGTCCTCATTGACTATTTTGGCGTACGATGCGGCGGTGTTCGAGAGACCAGGGAACATGGTGATCGGCTCGCCCGTGACCTCGTCCACGGGGTCGTCGTCGTAGTGTTCGAGATCGTACTCTTTGAGGTCGTCGTCGATCTCTATCTGCGACTTGAGAGCGTCTCCAGCGGGCTCCTCGGTTTCGTCGAGGTCGGCCTGGGCCTCGGAGATCTGCAGGTTGGCCATTTGCTCAATTCTATTCATCTCCTCGTCTGTGAGCTCGTATTTCTCGGGAAACTCAGAGGCGTAGCCTCGGGGCACCCAGCATGAGGCAGAAATCATGGTGTTTGAAATGTATTAAATTTTTTTTATTCAAAAAAAAAAAAAAATTCATGCATAATTCAGCTGTTACCCTGGCCCGTCTTTTCCATATTTCGATTATTCGAGACTAGACAAAATGGCACCGCCAGACGAAAAAACCATCGAGTATCTGCTGAAAAAGCTCGCAATGGGCGAAGAGCTCACTGAAAAACAGAGAAAGGACATGAAGGACTACAAGTTTTGGAAAACACAGCCGGTCTCCAAGTTCGACGAGAAAATCGACAAGGAAGGCCCGATCGACTCGGTCAAGACCCCAGCAGACATTCCTGACGAGCCAAGTCCTCTGCTAAACGATTTTGAGTGGGTGACCATCGATCTCGACAGGATGGACGAAATGAAGCAGGTCGAGTCGCTGCTGTACGAACACTACGTGGAGGATCAGGACGCTACGTTCCGGTTTGCGTACAGTTCGAGGTTCTTCGAGTGGGCCTTGAAGCCGCCGGGATGGAGGCGCGAATATCACGTGGGGGTGCGCGTCAGGTCCACGGGCAAGCTGGTGGCGTTCATCAGCGGCATTCCCTCGTTGCTGCGGGTCCGAGAAAATAAGGTGCCAAGCGTGGAAATCAACTTTTTGTGCATCCACAAAAAACTGCGGTCCAAGAGACTGGCGCCGGTGCTGATCAAGGAAATCACCCGCAGAGTCAACAAAAACGACGTCTGGCAGGCTCTGTACACCTCGGGTGCCGTCCTGCCCACGCCGGTGTCCACCTGCAGATACACGCACCGTCCATTGAACTGGGAGAAACTTTACGAGGTCGGCTTCTCGTCGCTGCCTGCGGGAGTCACCAAATCGCAGATGATTGCCAAGTACGCTCTACCGTCCAGCACAAAGACCTCGGGGCTTAGAAAAATGGTCCCTGAGGATGCGGACCAGGTTCTGGAGCTGTACAATAGATTCCAGGCCAAATACGACCTCGTGCAAGAGTTCACAAAAGACGAGCTGGTTCACTGGCTGTGTGGCCCAGACACACAGCGGGACCTCGAGGACAGGGAGAAAGTTATCATGTCGTATGTGGTTGAGCAAAACGGCAAGATCACCGACTTTTTCTCGTTCTACCTGCTACCATTCACCGTCCTGAACAACTCCAAATACGACCGGCTGAACGTGGCCTATCTGTTCTACTACGCCACCGATACCGGCCTCGACAGCAGGGACGACGCCGTGCTGGCCAAGCGTCTGAGCTCGCTGATCGGCGATGCGTTGGTGGTGACCAAGAATTTGAAAATCGACGTTTTTAATGCTCTCACGTCGCAGGACAACACTCTGTTCCTGAAAGATCTCAAGTTTGGAAACGGAGACGCGTTTCTCAACTTCTACCTGTTCAACTACAAGGCGTTCCCGGTCAGGGGCGGAATCGACCCGGAAACCAAGGAGCTGGACCCGGTGCACAAGAGCGGTGTGGGTGTCGTGATGCTGTAACCGGCGCTGTCGTGGTGCAGAGGTGTGTATTTTTTATTTTAGTTCGAAATTTCACCTCCAGATAAGAAAAGCTTAGAAAGCAATGAGCTACGGGAGTGTCCGCGACGAGTCGGACTCAGACGATCTTCGCGAGATCCCGGACACGGTCGCAGAGACGCTCGATCTGAACTCGCCGCCCAGCGACCGCCCACTTTACCTGACGTTCCGCTACTTTCTGCTGAGCATTGTATTTGTCATCCCGGGAGCATTTGTGGACACACTAAATTCGTACCGGACCACGAGCGCTCCCTACAGCATTCTGTTTGTTCAATTTTTATCTGACCCGGCCGGCAGGTGGCTGGCGAGAATTTTGCCCCGGAAAACTGTCAACCTGCTTGGCTTCCGGTTCAGTCTCAATCCCGGCCCCTGGTCCATCAAAGAGGCCGTTCTGGTCACGCTGACCGCGGCCTCGGGCGCCACCGGCAACCAGGGAACTGCCGGCCTGTCGCTGTCGGAAATCTACTACGATCGAAAAGTGCATCCCGTCGTGGCACTCGTCTTCATGTACAGCATTGTCTGGACCGGCTACTCTTTTGGAGCCATTGCGAGGAACTTTGTGCTTTACGAGCCACAGTTTGTGTGGCCCAAGGCGTTGATGCAGACCTCGCTGTTCAAGGCCCAGGAACATGCTGGCAGCCGGTCGAGCTCGCAGATGCGCGTGTTCACGGTCGGTCTTGCTTCGCTGTTTGTATGGCAGTTTTTCCCCGAGCTCATCTTCCCGTTGACGTCGTCGGTCTCCATATTGTGCTTCATGGCTCCTCACAACGCGGTGCTCAATTTCTGGGGCTCCGGTCTCGGCGGCCTTGGGTTTCTGAACATCTCGCTCGACTGGAGCAACATCTCGTCCTCGGTGATGCTGAGCCCGTACTGGACGATCGTGATGCAGTTTCTCGGGTTCGCGACCCTGTGCTGGGCGTTTCTGCCGTTCTGCAAGTGGTACGACCACGGAAAATACTCCTTGGGGCTGATGGACAACAGACTTCTGCTCTCAAACGGGTCTCTGTATCCAACGACACAGCTGCTCACCCCAGAGCTCCAGCTCAACGAGACGGCGTACGAGCTGCTCGGGCCAGTCCATTTCGGCACCCAGAGACTCGCAAACATTTTCTTTGACTACGCAGCCTACACCAGTGCGATTGTTTGGATAGGCTGTTTTGGCTACCGGGATATAAAATCTGGCTACCAAAAGCTGCGCCAGAATTTCAAGGACCCGGTGGCCGGCCGCTACGCAGACAGAATTAGCAAATCGTACGCGCGCTACGACGAGGTGCCGAGCAGCTGGTTTCTGGCCCTGTTTCTGATCAGCTTTGTGCTGCTGTCGACCATTTTTCTGGCCACAGACCAGCTGTTCATCCCCTGGAGAACGTATGTCGTGGCGCTGCTAATCGGCTCCATCATTGTGACCCCGATGGCATATTTGTACGCGATCTCCAACTTCCAGGTCGAGATCGGCACGGTCAACGAGCTGGTGTACGGCCTGATGATGCAGACGCCGTTTTTCTCGGGCACGAGCGGCAAACACCCCTGTGGAGCAGCTTTCTACGGGGCCATCGCGGGAAACTGCTGGTACCGCGCCCAATACATCCTGCAGGACCAGAAGATCGGCATCTACAACGACATTCCACCCAAGCTCGTTTTCTTCTCGCAGATCTTTGGCGACCTCATCGGTGTGCCGTTCAACTACATGTCGCTGCGCTGGGTGGTGAAGTCCAAGTACGACTTTCTCAAAGGCCTGAAAAGCGACCCGATGCGGCAGTGGACCGGCCAGGTGCTGACCAACTACAACAGCAACGCGATCCAGTACGTTGTGCTTGGCCCCAAACGGGTGTTCGAGCACTATCCGTACCTGCCTCTTGGATTTCTCGTTGGTAGCATAGCACCCCTGGCGGTGTTCTGGATAGCGAAAACCACGCCGTGGCGGCTTGCAAAAAAATTCAACGTCACCATCCTGTTTGCAACCATGTCCAAGTTCTACGGCAACATCAGCACGGGCTACTTTACGCAGTTCCTCATCGGCACCTTCACCATGCATTACCTGTACAAATACCAGCACCAGTGGTTCCAGAGGTACAACTATGTTCTGGCAGCAGCGTTCGACACGGGCTTCAACCTTGCCAACCTCGTCATTGCGCTGCTTTTCGGGTCCAAGACGGCAGCACAGTTCCCGGAGTGGTGGGGCAACGACAGGACACATCTGGAAAAATGCTATGCGCTGTGAGGCCACTGGCCAGCGCCCTCGATGTACTCTCTGGCCTTGCGCTGGCGCTCTTCCTCGATTTTCTCGAGCTCCTCGGCCGACGGCGGCAACGCCTCGTTCTGCAGGTCGGCCTCTCTGGCCTCCGAGAACGACTTGAGTCTGTTGTGCAGCTCCTCGCGGCCGTCCATCAACACACCGCGGGGCAGTTTCCCGCCCGAGTACGTCTTGAGATGCTCGACTTTCTCGGCCTCCTCGCGCAGGATGTTGAACATGCGCGACATGCGCCCGATCGAGAGCAGCTTCTTGCGCAGCGAGGCGCGCGCCTCGAGCGGCGACACGCCGGTCGCCGGCCCCGTGACGGCGGCCAGAGTGGTCTCCGGAGACGTCTCGGGCACGTCCTGCAGCGACTTGACCACGTCGCGCGCCACAACGGTCTCCTCCTCGAGCTCGTCCTCGGTGCAGATGTTGAGGATCGAAACGAGGATGTCGAGCACTTTTTCCGACACAAACGGCAGCGACCACTCGAAAACGTCCATGAAGTCCGGCAGGTGGTACGGCGAGTCGGTGGCCACGAACTGCTTGATGTTGAACGTGGACCCGTCGTAGATCAGCGCCGCAGCCTTGTTTCTATAGGTGCCGCAGTAGTTCGGCGCAGAAAACAGGGTGATCACCGAGGGGAACCCGGTGGCCTCGTTCTTGCGGTACATCCTGTACCCGGCGTCCTGCGCTTGGTGTGCTCTGATGACACTCAATAGATTATTTTTCTCGAGAAAGTGGCAGACCGCGTGGTACGAGTAGTAGTACGAGCAGTGGCGCTCGTAGTTGTCTCTGAAGTATGAGTCGTAGTCGGTGGGCGAGAGGACCTCTGTGTCGTACTCGGGAGCCGGGTCCGACCACATGATGTCGCTGAAAAGTCCCCTGGACGGGAAGTCGTATCTGAATCTGTTGATTTTGCCGATGTCGCTGAGCTTCTCGAGCTCGGGCGAGAGCCCGCCGTGGCAGCAGAAAAACTGCTCGTTCAGCACCGCGCAGAAGGGCATCATCTTGAACGTGTTGAGCGCCTCCTTGTAGATGGCCAGCGAGTACTTGACGGCGCACTCGCGCTTGAACGTGAAGTGCTCCGTCATGCGCTTGGTCTCGTGGTTTCCGCGCAGAATCCAGAACGACTTGGGAAAGTTGATCTTCATGGCCAGCAGCAGAATCAGACATTCCATCGAGTAGTCCCCGCGGTCCACGTAGTCTCCGAGAAACAGGTACTGTGTCTTGGCCGGGTCGCCGCACATGTTGAGCATCTTGCACAGGTCGTAGTACTGGCCGTGGATGTCGCCCACCACGGTCGCCGGACAGGGCACCTTGAGCATGTTTGGTTCCTGCTCGAAGATCGCGGCCGACTCCTGGAGAATGTACGTGAGCTGCTGCTCCGACAGCCTGCCTTCCTGCCTGAAGTGGTGCATCAGAAACTTGTAGTCTGGCGTTTTTCCGTCCGGGAACACCTCTGCGTCCGCAGGGATGCGGAACGACGGCGGACTGATGGTCTTGACGATGCGGTCTGTGGTGACAAAGGTCTCGCCCTGCTCGTCCACGTAGGCGGTGGGGTCGCCGTGCGCGGGTGCCTCGTCGCGCTTCTTCACGTGGCGCAGCGCGTTTTCGATCTTGACCGAGTTTTCGTGCGCCTTGAGGTTCTGGAGCGGGCTCATGGCGACAGGTATTAAATACTATAAATATTTCGGGGCGGTCGATCGACCTCTATAAATTTTCACTGTGCAACGGTTGCTCATTTGCGGGGCATGGCCTCGTTGGGCAGATCGGCCAGCCGCGCGTGCTCGAACGACGTCAGCTTGCGGTCCAGCTCGTCCTGCCCGTTGAGCAGCACGCCCTTCGGCAGCGCCTCTCCGCCCGCCAGCGTGCGCAGCTGCTCCACCTTCTGGGCCTCTTCTCGCAGCATGTTGAACATCCTCGACACCCTGCCGATCGCCAGGATCTTCTTGCGCAGCGCCGCGTAGTCCATGGGTCTGGTCTCGGCCTCGGCCTCGGCCTCGTAGCTGCCACTGCCCAGCTCCTCGGCCGAGCAGATGTTGAGCAGCTGCAGCAGAATGTCCGACGTGCGCTCGGCGACGAACGGAATCGACCACGTGAACGCGTCCAGCCCGTTCGGCAGCCGGTACGGCTCTGGCTGCGACCCAAACTGCCGGATGTTCATCAACGACCGGTCGTAGCGGAGCACCGCGGCCTTGTTGCCGTACGTGCCGCAGTAGTTGGGCGCAGAGAACAGCGTGATCATGGATGGGAATTTCTGTGCTGCGGTCCGCTTGTACATGCGGTAGCCCGAGTCCTGGGCCTGGTGGGCGCGGATCACGCTCAGAAGCCCGTTGTCCTTGAGAAACGTCTCGACGGCGCGGAACGAGAACATGTACGAGCAGCCGCGCTCGTAGTTCTCGACGTAGTCCGGCTCGTCCGCGGCCGCGTCGTAGTCGTTCGACGGGTCGGCCCACATCAGGTCGCAGTACAGCCCCGACGACGGGAAGTTGGCCACAAACCGGTCGATTGTGTCGAGGTCGCGGAGCCAGCGCAGGTGCCGCGAGATCCCGCCGTGGACGCAGAAAAACTGGCCGTCCATCAGCGCGGCGAGCGGCAGCGCCTTGAACGACTCGAGCGACTTCTCGTACACGGCCAGACTGTGTTTTCTGAGACACTCGTCCCTGAACGTGAAGAACGACGTCATCTGCTCGGACTCGTGGTTGCCGCGGAGCATGAAGAAGGTGTCCGGGTGGTTTATTTTCATTGCGTACAGCAGCAGCAAGCACTCCAGCGAGTACGAGCCGCGGTCCACGTAGTCTCCGAGAAACAGATACGAGGTCTCGTCCGGATCGTCGCAGATCTCAAAGAGCTTGCACAGATCGTAGAATTGGCCGTGCACATCGCCGCAGACCGTCACCGGCGCGGAGACACACACCATGTTGGGCTCTTTGCGCAGCGCGGCGGCGGCCATTTCCAGGATCAGCAGCACCTGCTCCTCAGAAAGCCGTCCTTCCTGGCGGAAATGGCGGCGCAGGAACTTGTAGTCGGGCAGGCCGTTGTTGGCGAAAACACGGTCGTTGCCCGGCACCTCGCGGGTCGGAGGCTCCACGTCGACGACAATCCTGTCTCTGGTGCAGAACTTGTGGCCCAGATCATCCGTGTACACTGACGGATCGCCCGCAGGCTGAGTTTTCCTGTGCTTGACCTGGTTGATGACGTTTTCGAGCTGGGACGACGAGTCGAAGCGGTGGATGCTGATCTGCGGGCTGGTCTGAGGCGACACCATGTTCAAAGTTTAAAAAATGAAAAGTGTAGCCAAGCCCACACCACCATAAATAGATTTTTATCGCCTTGGGGTCACATGATTTTCCAGCAAAAAAAATAATTTTTTTTATTTAATTATTTTATTTGATGGAGCTAGTACTTGAAGACTCCGGATACCTGTGTGCAGCGGAGCCGCGCAAGACGCTGGAGCTTGCTGACGAGAAGGCACAGGCCAACTTTGAGCTCGGCGTCGCGATGCTCGTGCACGGCTGGCAGATCCTCACCACGGCTGTCGATAACAGCTGGGGAGGACCAGAGTCGGCAGAGAAAAGAGACTGGATCAGCGCCGTGGTGATCGACCTGTTCAAACAGAACAAGGAGGTGGACATTATCTTGATTCACGAAACTCTATTTAACGCCATGGAGGACGAGTTCGACGTTCTTGTCGAGGACCAGAGCACGGTCCAGATAGCCACCGCCGTGGTCCAGGTCTACCAGGAGTGTCTTGCTGGCAAGTACGACCGTGTGCAGACGATGTACCAGAAATACCTGCAGAAGCAGGAGTATCGCAAGACACACGGCATCGAGAAGGTTGAGGTCCAGGAAGACGACAGCGAAGACGACAGCGACGAGGACGAGGACGAAGACATGATGGACGCCGACGCGCCGCAGCTGCAGGAGCGCGCCAGCCAGCTGCGTGAGGAGCTGATAGACGAGGACGGCTTCACGGTCGTCACGAGAAAGGGCAGACGCTAATCGTCGGGAGCGACGTTCGACCGTGTTCTGATAATCGACAGACTGTTTCTTGGAGTCACTTTCAGCGGCACTGGAGGCGCGTTCGGCTGCTTGCCGAAACTGTTCAGATTGAACCCTTCGAAATCGCTCGCCACCGGAGGCGGCACAGGACTGTAATTCACCAGCGGCGGCGTGGACTGCGTGTTGTCCGTGGAGCCAAGGCCGCGCGAGAGCAGCGGCCGGCCAGGACTCTCTGTGCCGGACCGATGTGCCTGCTGAGTCTGCGAGCTCAGGGTCTGCAGCGACGCGGCGCTGGACTTGCGGCGATTGAGCGCTATCGACCCGAACCGCTTTATGAACGAGTCCGTCGCCATGTCCACCGAGTTCTTTGGGCCTGTGAGTGGTACATCCCGTGTAGCTCCCTTAATAGTGAATAATTTGACGTCTGTGCCGTCCCAGATTCCGATCGGCGAAAGAGAGTGGATTTCCATCGTGGACGACTTGCTGTTGAACGTGCTCCATGTTCCGAATCCCCAGTCGGCCCCGACCTTCTTGAACGCCGAGATAGAGTCCTCTAAAACAGACTTCGACTTGCACACCTCCAGCTGGTTGTAGATCAGACACCACAGAACAGAGGTGTACCATCCGAGCGACAGGTTGGACCACGTGAACCGGAGCGGCTCGAACTTCGTCTTGGCCGGGTTGTACTCGTTTGGAAGCTTCAGCGTGGCAACGAACTCTGCCATCTTGGCCCCGTTGATCTGGTTGATGATGGACGCGGCGTCTGCACCAGTGGTTGTCACGTTGGCTTCGAGGTGCCGGATGATGTCGAGCACGACGGTCGTCGACTTGAGTCCCGGCCACGTGAGCTCCAACGGGGCGTTCAGCGGCAGCTTGGCCTTGGCCCTGAACGACATGCCCACGGGCAGCTTGGGCCGGATCAGGCTGTCGTCTGTAGGGCCCCTATACAGCGGGTCGTCCTCGCTCGTTTCTGCGTTCAGCGTCGGCGATGGCGAGTTCGACCCGCTCGCCGGCTCCGTCTCGTCCTGGCAGTCGCTGGTTTCCGACACTTTGCGGATCGAAACAATCACGTTCTCGAAAATCGGTTTATTTTTCAGCAGCACATAGAACCAGATGGCGCAGTCGTTGGGGTTTCTGGTGATCACGTGGCACAGACTGCGCATCAGCAGCGCGAGCAGGTCGAGGTTGACGTCCTGCTGGCTCAGAAACTCGACAGACGAGAATTTGGCGACCAGCTGTGTCACGGCAGAGCAGGTCGAGTACGACATCTGGAGCGTCTGCGGCTGTGCTGTGGCCAGGTCCCGCGACGAGGGACGTCTATTAGTGGTGGGGACAGAGCTCGACGCAGCAGGCATCTGCGGGACCATGTTGTATATCCATTCTATCATGGTGGGGACGAGGATCAGCGGACAGTCTGTCTGGAGGATCGCGCACGTTTGGGTCACCAGAAAGTCTCTATAAGTGGTGGGCGAGCCAGACAGACGGAAGTGTTGCGGGAGCGTGGCGTAGTATTGTCTATCGAGCGGCGTGACCAGCTGCGTGGTGATGATGGTATCGTAGGAGAGGAAGAGCACCAGATAGGAGCACGTTCGCACGTAGTTTCTGTGTTTTTCAGACGACTTGTAGACGAAGATCTGGTACAGCAGCGCGACCAGCAGCCTGACGCCGTACTGCGTTGCCAGCCGTACGCGGAATTTTTTGTTGCACTGGTAAAACTCCCACACCAGCATCACGATCTCAGTCATCCAGTCTTCAAGGTTCGAGGAAGCGGCCAGAAACTTCCCTTTTATGAGGTACGAGAGGCCAGACCCGTTGGCCGCAGAGCCTGAATCGGCGTCCATCAGCCGGAAAAGCGGCCGCACCAGCCCGTCTTCCAGAAACTCCAGCTCCTGCTCCTTGTGCAGCCGGCCGCAGTAGTACCGCACCAGGTTCGTGGGCGTATCGACCAGAATGCCCTGTTTCTGCAGAAACTCCTGGTCCATCTTGGGCAGCGGGTACACAATCATCTGTGTGAACAGCTGCATCGCGCTCGTGACCATCAGGACACGCACCTCTTTCTGTGCTGCGATCTCCAGATCCAGCCCCGTGTTGTACTCGTTCGGGTCCTTGGTGGACCGGCACACCAGGTTCAGCAGCGACGAGATCAGCGTGAGCATCCGCAGTTTGGGCACCGCCGTCACCAGGACCGTCAGGTACCGGCTGCCGAGCGGTACCACGTTCGAGACCTGTCTGTAGAGACATTGCGAGCAGAGGGCCAGCAACAGACGCAGGATCTCGAGTCTGTTGGAGTCCAGGGCGATGTCTGGGTGCTTGAGCTTGCCTGCGAGGCCGATTCCGGGCTCCCAGATCGAAAACTCGACAGAGTTCGGCCTGCTCTGCTTGTCCACTGCCGGGACAGTGAAGCCGGTGGTAAATAGCAGATTGACCGCCTGCAGCACGAGCAGCGCGCCCAGCGGAAGCGAGCCGCTCTGCGACTCGTCCACGGTGGGCTTCAGGGAGAGATTGTCGATCATCTTGTCGTGGCTGACCAGCACGTCCACCATTCCGTTGGTGGTGTCTGCGCTGGACAGATCTGTCGAGCACAGCGAGTCGAAGCCGACGGTGGCGGTCGTGGACCCGTTGGAGCTGCCGGAGGCCTGTGTGTGCGGGTCGAGGGTGCTGTTGAGGGACCAGAAGAGCGTTTTTTCTGCGGATGCGAGCTCTGCCTTCTCGTACAGATACGGCAGCAGTCTGGTGAGGAGCCGTGCGCAGTTGAGCACCTCTGTTTTGTCGAACGTGCCGGACTCGGTCTGTCTCGCGAGCGTGACGAGCCGCGTGGCGGTGAGCCGGATCAACAGAAAGAAATTCCGCGGGTTGGTGTCTCTCAGAAGCACAATGTTGGCGGGCGAGAAGGCAGTAAAGACGTCGTTGACGCTGCGCGGCAGCGTCCAGAAGGAGGCCCAGATGGCGTCCGAAACGGCTATGTGGCTGAGAGGGTCTGCGAGACGGAACAGGCGCTCTGCCAGGGCCGGTTTTGCATCTTTGGGGTCCATGGCCGCAATTGGCGTGCAAATAATTGTGGTAGGAAAATTGTAGAAAATACAGAAAATGCATTAAATCGTTACTACCGGTAAATAGGATAAATCGGGTGCTGGTATGGCGCGGGCGTGGTCAGAACTCCTCGTTGAACACCAGCGGGCCGTACTTCTTCTCGTAGTCCTGCGTCTCGTCATACGTCCGCTTGGTGCCCCTGTCCAGCTCGCTCTCCCAGTCGGCAAGCGACGAGACGGTCGATCCACGGAAGTCCAGCGCAGGAGGCCCGTCTGCCAGGTGGTCCGGCAGTGGCACTCTGCGGATCTGGGGCGCGGAAAACTCGTTTCCCTTGCCAGCCGTGCTGGCTGCGGTGGCGTCGCCCTGCATGTACCCGTCGCTGACGCTCTTGCGGATGCGCATGCCCAGAGTTTGCAGCTGGAGCGTGAGCGGGTCGACCGGCCGAATATCTCTGTTGAAACTCACTCTTTTGCAAGACTCCATAATCAGATGAGGTTGCCAAATGGAGAAAAAATAGTTATTTGATCTCAGGCTCTGAGATAAATAAATGCACGACCCCGAAACTTTTCTTCACCAACGTCCGTCCTGTATTTGCCATGCCTGAATGGAGCCCGTTGCCGTGCTTCCACTACGGAAAAGTCGTCGGGTCGTTTCTGCCGCTCAAGCAGCTGGACAGGGCCGACCCCAATTACAAGGCCATAGCCCAGAACTTTGTCGACGTCTACCACGGAGATCAGGTGTACCTTTTCGAGCAGGAAGCAGGCGGCAAATGGGTCCGCGGATACGTCATTTCGCTGCCCATGCCGTCCGATTTCCTCACCGCGGGTGCCACGCTGGACAGGCTGCCTGAGAACCGTGTTTCCGTGGCCGTGCTGCCCAGATCTTGCGTGGAAGTCGTGAAAGAGATCCCGTATAACAAGACCTACGTGCTCAGCTCCGACTCGCTGCCTCCGTTGCCGCCAGACTCGCTGGCCCTCGCAGACTCGTTTTTGGACGAGATCGTGCTGTCGCTGCGCTCCATCGCCGTCTACATCTTCGCCGTTTACTCCATGAACCAGTACTCTCTGTTCCAAAAATTTAAAGACATATACACCGAGCTGGACAACATCCGACTGCAGTTTCTGCACGGCCTGCTCACAAGGGAGGAGAAGGTGCTTGCGCAGAAACAGGTCGCGGCGCTCGTGAACAGGATCTCCAAGCTGCTGGCCCCGGTGATTTCCAACGACGTCGGTGGCTACCTGGCTATTTCGTCCAGAGACGAAAAAACGGGTCGCCTTTTCAAAGCCAGCAAAAATCCAGAAAGCATGATCAACCTCGCCAAAGTCGCACAGAACCAGCTGTTCTCGGCGCTTGCGTCCAACTTCCCCGTCAACCACGCAGACGTCTCATTTGTGCCCGAGAAATGCCCCAAGCTGCAGCCTGCGCTACCGTCGCACATTCTCGTGGACTTCAAGTCTGTGTCTGGCTCGTCAAACATCGTCCCAAAGGGCTACGACGGGATCACCGCGTACATGTACTTGCGCAACACCAAGAAGACCATCACAGAGGCGTTCAGCATCACGATCCGGCCGCACGAGAGCTTCGAGCTGGAAAATATCTCTGCTGCTCTGTTTAAAAATATTCCAGCCAGCGAGGTGGAAAATACCAGAGTCTACCTGGTGGCCGTTTTGACCGAAAACATCAGGCTCACAGAGGGCACGCTGCCTGCGATCCGCAAGGGGATCGGCGCCGGTGTCGCCAACATCACGCGAATTTTCAGCGGCAAACAGGGCCATCTGACCGCGGGCCAGGCTCACCAGTTCACCATAAAGCTGTTCGGCTCGTACACCTCGCGAAACTCCCAGCAGCCCAGTATCAAGCCGGGCACGAGCCCGCTCACGGCCGTGGCGTCGCTGATGGAGAACAACGGCTGGGGAGAGCTCGTGGACCGAATTATCGCTGGCTCCAGCAAAGGCGTGGCCATCAACCCGCGAGCAGAGCAGCTCACTCTGTCCATCAAAGAGCTCAAGAACAACAAGCTGCTGGACTCTGTAAACGCGAGTACGTCTGCCATTGCGCCGATTCGGCCGGTATTGTACAGCCCGCTGGAGCCAGACTACGACAGATCGTATCTGACGGTCAACAAATGCACTCTGGTGGCAGGCTCCGACAAGGAGAAGAGCTTTGTCACCGTGGAGGTCAAGTCGCCGACACAGGGGCTGCGGTTCGGCAAGGGCACGAACGAGGACCCGCACAAGGTGTGGCAGTTCCTGACAGTGTCGCCGCATGAACACGTTGGCGAGACGGTCCAGATCTTCAATATTGAGGAGAACTCTATGATCGAGAATGAGTACCTGCTCTTCACCGTTTATTTGAACGGAAACCTCCTCGGCGAGGGACGGTACCATATGCGGTCCGGCCACCAGATCCGCGAGACCAAGAAGGGCGCCCAGGTGGAGATTTACGGCAGCGGTAGCAGCCAGGTCGCCGCGGTGGATTTTGACCTGCACTACGTGGGGAAAAAATACAACACCGACCCGGCGGTGGCCACCGTTCTGGACTGGAAGAAGTTCTACCACGCCAACCTCGAGGGCAACTACGGCACGCTGATCCAGGTGCTGGCGAAGGTGGGCAAGGTGGAGCTGGCGACGGCGGTGAAGTTTTTCCCCGACCTGCTGCGCACGTTTCTGGAGATCTTCAACGAGTCACGTGCCAAGAAGCTGCTGTCGCTGGAGATCGCCGCTTTCGAGAGCGTTGTGCGTCTGCTCGACGTGACGATCGCGCGCCAGGACCACTATAACTACGTTTTTGCAGAGTTTCTCGAAAAACACGGGAACCTGCCCACTGTCGGCGAGCAGCTGCTGCATTTGATGGCGTCGTACTTCTCGCAGGTCGACACCGACTGGAACTCGACGGGCCGCGCGCTGTGCCGCACGTCGCACCTCGTGCTGAAACTCGCGGCCTCGTGCTACGCCAACACGACCGCGTTCGCCGGCGTCGGCACGTTCTTCAGCAACTCGGCCGCCAAGCTGCTTGCCCTCAGACAGGATTCGATCTTGCCCGACCAGCTGCTGATCGCCGAGTCCCTGGAGCTGTGGCTCGACGTGCTGCGCGACTTCTACGACGACGCGCTTTTGCTCAAGATGGCGGCCAAATGGGTCGACGCGATCGGGCTGCAGGGTCTCGGGGCAGCAGACGAGGTGCCGGCCAAGAAAAAAAGCCACAAGCACCGCATGATCGTGAGCAAGCTGCTGTTTATTCGCCGGCTGCTGAGCTCGTGGCTCATTCGCACCTCCTCCGTCGACACCCGCGACACGCTGATGGCCAGCGCGCTCAAATGGGCGCTCGAGGTGGTGCTGAGCGAGCAGATCGACATCGACGCCATCCGGCTCGCTCTCGGGGTCGTGCTGGCGTTCGACACCGCGTGCTTCGGCGAGGACCGCGTGTTCCACGACGACAGCAAACAGGCGTACGTGACGATCGCGCGGCTGCTGCCGGTGCTGGGCGAGACGTTCCGCCGGTGTCTTGTGCACTGCCAGAAAAACGGCTACCTCCGGCCGCGCAGAACCTTCACACAGCTGTTCCCCGTGGCGTACCCGTTCCCGGAGCACACGATCGACTCGGCCGTGAACAACGAGTCGTTTTGCGAGGTGCTGATCGAGCTGGCCGTGCTGATCGCGATCCACGCCAAGATCGGCAGGGCCAACGGCGACGCCATGAGCCGGTACCTGGTGAAGAAAACCACGTCGCCCGCGTACGAGGCGCTCAACGGGCTGCTGGGCGCACCCGGCAGCGTGCTGGACTCGCCCACGAAGCCGTTCGACACGATCCGGTGGGTGGTTTCCACCATGTCGGCGAAATACTACCCGGCCGACAAGTGGCTCTCGCTGCGCGCGCTCATCACAGAGGGCATCCTGTCGCTGACCGAGTTTGTGTACCCGATGGCGATCCGGATCCTCCCGCCGCCCGGCGAGGTCGACCGGCTCAACGTGCGCGTCTGGCACAAGTATATTGTGGCGATTCTGCGGTGTGCTACCGCGCAGACGTCGTCGCTGGAGCATCTGCACGATATTCCGCGCAAGTGCTGCTACCAGCTGGAGGGCGACATCCGGCCGCGCGCTGCGGGCCTTGTACAGTCCGTGTGGAACAGTCTGGGCGTGCGGTGTGCCGAGAACACGGCGCAGCGGTTTGCGATCGAGAAATGCGGCGGGTTCCAGACGCTATTTATTGCTGACGAGAAATATACCGTTGTGGGCGACGTGCTGCTGCTGTGTTTCCAGCGCAACACCACGTGTGTGGACGTCGGCGTCCGGATCCTGTGGTCGATGGTGGTCGACGAGTGGCTCAACAAGCAGAGTCTCGAGGAATTGCAACGGCTGTGCATCGTCGCGATCTACGAAATTTTCCACACCGAAAAGAGCTACTCGCCGGGGCCGGAGGAAATAGTGGGCTTCATCAGCCACCTCGTCAACTCGATCAAGCTGGACTCCGAGGACGAGGCGTACGGGCCGATCATGGGCCTTATCGAGGAGCTGTCGGAGTATCTCGAGAACCTGAACCAGCTGCAGAAAATCCCCAAGGGCAGCGAGTTCGACGACGACAGAATGTACTACCGGCTGAAACTGTCGCAGTATCTCGCCAGCGTGGACCGGCCCGAGGTGTTCCAGTCGTTTGTGAACGACCTGTACCAGTCGAACCTCGAGCGCGGCCACTACGTGCAGGCTGCTCTGTCGCTCGGACTTTTGGCCGACACGTACTCCTGGGACCCGGAAACAGAGCTGGCGGCGTGCGAGCGGCCGCCGTTCCCGAAACAGACCGTGTTCCAGCGCAAGGAGCAGCTCTACAAGATGATTGCGGCCAACTTCGTCCGCGGCAAGCGCCTCGAACAGGCCGTCGACGTGTACCAGGAGCTGCTGCGCGCGTACATGGCGCACAACTTCGATCTGCGCGGGCTGAGCTTCTGCCACGGCGAGCTCGCAAAGATCTACAAGGCCCTGGAGACCGTCGACCGCGTCGAGTCCAGCTACTTCCGCATCGAGTTTGTCGGCACCGGATTCCCCGACGCGCTCCGCAACAAGCAGTACATCTACGAGGGACTCGCGTTTGAGCACATCACGTCGATGATCCAGCGGCTGTTGCGGCTGTATCCCGGAGCACATCTCATCAACAGCGAGGAGGAGCTGCAAAAACTCAAGCAAAGCGAGCCGAAAGGAAAATATGTCCATGTCAAGAGCGTGGCTCCGTACAAAGACATGAGCGCCGACAAGCTGTCGCTGCGCACGAAACAGTACGTGGACAACAAAGACCTGCGCCAGTTCCAGGCCACACGCAGAATCGCCGGCTCGACGGGTATCCAGGACCTGTGGACCGAGGAGGTGACGTACGAGACGTATGCTCCGTTCCCGACGCTGATGAACCGGTCGGAAATCAAAAAAACGACGGTGACGAAACTGTCGCCCGTGGAGAACGCGCTGAGGTCGCTGAGTGCCAGGAACGAAAGCCTGGAGGACCTGGAGTACACGCTGCTGCAGGCGATCAAAAGAACCGAGGACCACGCGCATCTGTCGCAGTCTGCCATTTTTGGCGAGCTGTCGCGGGTGCTGGCAGGGACGGTCGACTCGCCTGTGAACGGCGGGGCGGGCCAGTACAGGGTGTTCTTCGACAAGGCAGACAAGGACGGCGCCGAGCAGGCGGTGGAGGCCAAGTTCGAGCAGCTGGTGCATAATCTGTACCGGCTGCTCAGAGTCCACGCTCTTCTTGTGCCGGGCTCGCTGCTGGAGAGCCACAAGAGCCTGGTGGATCTGTATGGCGCCAATTTCGCCCCGGAGATCGAGAATCTGCACTTAGGCGTGGCCGAGCTGATGGACGTGGACAAGATCAGAGAGACGCCTCAGAGCGTGTCGCTTTACGAGTCTGCCAGCTCGCTCCACCTCACCACCACCAACACCAGCAGCAACGCGTCGGTGCACTCGAACTCCTCGGAACCCAGGTTCTCGCAGAGTCTAGCCTCGCCAGGAGTGCGTCTGTACACAAAAGCAATGGTGTAGGACTATTTGGATCTTCGGCATTCCCTGAAGAAGCACACATGCACGAAATCGTCATAGCTATTTTTTCGCCTTGTTCGAGAACAATATATTTTTTTTCTGGCTCTCGTTTCATTTTTGGATTTTTCGACACTCTACATAACTGGAATTAGGTAATAGGTCGTGACGGTGCTAATTGAACGTAGCATTGTGTCAAACAAGAGACTTGCCTATATATGTACAGGCTTCCCCTGTTGTGTGATCCTGGTCTCTAATGTCAAGATTTCGTGCCAACACTATGGAATCTGACAACCTGAGACGCTTGGACCACGCACTGGTCAAGTTCCACTCGTACAAGCGGAACAACACTTCCAAAACAAACATCCTACGTCTCTCGCTGCTTCCCTTCCTCAGAAACACCAGCACGCCTTGGTCCGCGCACAGGCTCGATGCGGTCGACAAGACCTCCAGGACCCAGTTCCTGGAGCTCGCCGTCGTGCTGCTGCGCTGGTGGAAGGCGCTTCTGGCAGCAGTCAAGGAGCTGCATCAGATGACGTCCATCGACAGAAACTGCTACTTGGAGGCGATTTCCCGAATCGTCGGGCGCCAAGAGTGGCTGGAGATCTCCAAGGACCCGAACTCTGAGATCTACAAACAGCACAACACACAGCTACTCGAGACGTTCGAGTTCTGCATAGCAAGGCTCGACGTCAAGAATATCAACCTGCCCATCAACGCTTTTGTCGGCAAAATCTTTGCGCATGCGTTCGTGAAGCTGCCCGACCTCTCCCGCGGCATCCTGTTCCTGCTCAACTCCAGGGTCAAAAATTTCAAGGAGTACTACGACCTGATAGTTCGAGAAAAATCACCTCACCAGTCTGTTCCGGGCCGTGATAAAAAATACTTTGAGGATGTCATCAGCGCCTCTCTGTCGCATTTCCCCCAACACCTACATCCGCTCATGAAGTCTGCCGAGCAGCCTCGGCAGACCAGGTACAAACTGGAAAACAAGCTTCTGAACTCGATGACACCGCCATCTGCCAAAATCACAGGAATCAGCGACCCGCGCGGGCTTTGGTGCACCAGGTGGTCGTCCCTCGAGAACATTGACCTGTTTTGTTCATTTTTCCGTCACTATCTTACGCTTATCTCATTTTATGTGCAACAAACTAAATCGCTTTCCGCTCAGGAGGTTTACGCCCTCCCAGGCTTTGCATATCTGATTACTCACATTTTCGAAATTGTCGATTTCCAGATCTTCCAGGCCGTGCAACACACAAGCAGCCAGTCTACAGAGTCGCAGGTCGACAAGTTACTGAAGCTGCTCCGCGACTTCCTGGCGAACGCACGCCACGAATTCGAGCCTAGTCTCAGAAACGGTGTTCTAAAGTGCTTCGACACTGTATTCAAACTGGTTTTCTACAAGACCACCATTTTCCAGACAGAGAGAATTGACCTCTGTTTCGACATATGGGTCAGATTCGTGAGAAGCATAGACGAGACAAACTCGTACGCCACCCAGGACCTAGACTGGAAATTCTGGATCGATACAATTTGCAAGATGCTCAACTCGGAGTTCATCAACAGCGAACTCAAGGCGCTCTCCGTGTTGTATCAGATCTGGGACTATCTTCCATCCAGCACGCCACCACAGGCAGAATGGGTTTCTAATCCCAACGACACACTGAAATACAACATGATATTATATCTCACAGGGGCGGACAACTGGTCCAAGTTCTTTGGTCACTACCTGCCCTTGGTGAGATGCTACTATATCACTTTGATGGTTTGGAAAGTTTTGGGTCTGGAGTCTCTACATCTGAGTGCCAAGGGCAGCTTCACCGATGTTATGACAGGAAAAAAAGTCCAAGCGATCATACAGACACGTTTGGACCAAAGTTACAGTGCTTCAGAGAAGATTCCAGTGGTTCCTACCGACCCGCTTTTGAATAAGAAACTGGCTATTGTGAGCGCGGGACCTAGAGACGACCCGTCCAAGAGAGACATTGTCAGGTCGCATCCTTACGAAATTCTGGATGATGCAATTTACACGTGTGCGAACCTGTCCGTGGGCAACTCGACCACCAGTCTTTCTTCCTCTGCCTCGTATGCTTCCACAACATCCATGACGAGCAAGAGATCAAAGCTAGCAAGCCACTGGGTCTCAAAATTTTTCAAGAAGAAGGACAGCGACGAAGACTCCAAACAGCCAGAATCCGCAAACATCCCTCCGCCAATGGCTGCGTCAGGGCACTCGGCCTTCTCCTCTCAAAGCTCGCTTCTGCCTCCATCAACTTCTTCGTTGACACTGTCGTCGAAATCCTCATCGCCAAGCATTCTTTCTTCTGCTACCACATACAGTTCGCCTCAGTCATCTTTGTCTTCGGTGGAGTTTATTGACACCAACAACGAGCCCAACAACAGACAAAGACTCCCCGTCGAGTTGTCGATGAGACCTCCAGAACTGGGCAAACCAATCTACAAGTTCCAGCTGGTGGTCAACGAGAACAAAATCCATGAGTCTCTCAAACAGTTGCAAGACTTTAATGTCACAAAGTTCAACAACGAAGAGTCGCAGTGTTATAACGCAAGACCCAAACTTCCGGCACTTGGGCTAGAGATCTGTGGTGGAAGTATCTGCAGTGATGACGATATAGACATGGATTCTCAAGACTCGAAAAGCTTGGATTTCCAGTTCAGGTCTACCATGCCTGTGGACATGGGCGAACTCGTTCTCACGCCGCTTCCTTCCAAGGCGACGTACACGAATGCAATTTATGAGTACAACAAGATTGCTCACGAGTTTGAGCAATTTGTCAAGCAAAGAATCAACTCTGCCTCTGGAACGAGTACTCCGACAGATGCTGCACTATATTTATTCAGCGACAGTCTGGCTGTCTCCATTCCGGTGCTGCTTTCGGAGGCCCCCGAAAAGCCCAACGCGTACTGATATACATGCATAATATACAACAAGTATTTTGTCCGTTTAAAGTTTTAGTGCTCGACACTTTTTAGTAGCGAGTCTAAGTTTGTCATCGCTTCGTCCTGTTTGATCGGTGGCATTTTCTTTTTGTAGTATGAGAACAAAAATGCACTCACAGCAACACAGACGACAGAGCTCACTGTCCAGCAGAGGAGAACTCCAATAATAAAAGAAAGCTTAGGATATTGGGCCAAGTACCACCGGAGACCACTATATTTCAACACCACCTGCAATCTTGCGTTTTCTAGATATGCCTGGTTCTGGTTGAACTCCAGCACGAACTTCATGTGTCTGGAACTTTCCAAGATGTTTTTGTAGTCTGATGTTGGCCACACGAGCGACTGGGCAGGCGGCTGTAGCGACAGCAGGTGAAGTTTATGAGTTGGTGAGTAATGCAATTTACTCGCGAGTTCAGGTGGAGCCACGTGTTTCTCTATCAGAGGAGGCAAAAACGAGTGGTTCTCTTTGCAATCGAGCGTGAAGTATTGTGTATTGACAAAGTAGATGCCCATGCCAGGAACCACCTCGCCTCCTCCTCCTTCTATTTGTGTATTTTTATGGCTATTCCAAAACTTCCACGAGCTCGAGGGAGGATCAACAACGGGTTTTTGCTCGTTGCAAAAAGAACGGGAACGCGGCCATTGCCAGTCGATGCTATGCGGTCTGTTGGAGTTCGAGGAAAATTGCAGCGATCTTTTGAGGTTGTCGGTTATTGGCCACAAATTGACAAATTGGGACTTCAGACTCACGTGTTCCAGGTTCAATTCCCACGGTTTGAGCTCCTCGTTCAGGATGGTGTCGTCGAGAATCGAAAATCTGGATCCAACAATGGTTTTCGAGGGACTTAGACAATTTGTCTCAAAAGACATATAAAACTCGTATTCCGACACCGGGTCGTTGAACAAATCGTCGTTTTTCACTGCGGCGAGATGCACAAAAAAATCCGCCGCGTTGAATATCTGGTACGGCCCGCGTTCACGCAGCTCGTAGTTCAGCTGGAACGTCTGTTCGTAAATGGGCGTTGGAATTAAGCGATTGTAAAAATACCAAAAGGAAACGATTGACCAGGGCAGCAGAACAAGGAAAATAGACGCCAGCAGCACAGCTGCATACAGCAAGGTTCTAGTGAATAGCAAGGGCCACGAGAGGCTTATTATCATGCGCGGATAAAGAGAGAATGCTACTAAAACTCATAAACGTTATTTTATTTTGTCGACGCGTCGATGCCCGTCGGCGATCTAGTATTTGAGCGGAACCTTGAGAGTGTATGCTGCGGTGAACGGCAGACAAACCACAAGCGCAACGTAATGGCAAATGTATGACAATGCCAGACAGTCGACCTGGATGTGGTCCTCGTAATCAGGAGGAGTGTAAAATGCAGTCAGGTAAATGTTGGATGTAGCAGGAGGCATGCAAAAAACGATGTTCGACACAAAGTGGAGAATGGGTTCGTTATAAAAAAGTCCGTCCTTGCTGACTTTGGAGTCAAGCGCGCATCCCACGACGGGAAGCAGCACAAGGCGCACAGCAGTGACTGCCACAGGAGTTCTCCACCGCGACAGTGGGATATCTCTGATTTCCAGTCTGCCAATGGTAGCACCCAAAACAAGCAGACCGAAAGGCACCTGTGCTGCTCCGATGTAGGACGAAATATCCATCATGAAGGAAAGTGGGGGCAGCCCATCGGGTGCGGGACTGATATGAGCCTGGTTGGTGGTAACAAAAAGGGCTTTCACCCATGGAATCATGCAGGTTATGAGACTAATGACGATAGTCAGCGAAATTGGCTTGCGAAAGCTCTCCAGAAGCAGGAACATAAAAGACTTCGCTAGCGGCCACACGCCCTTCAACTCAGAGGGCGCTGGTTTCGGAGCAACCTGCAGATCTGCCGGGTCGTTCACCTTCACAGATCCGGCCGCAAGCTCATCGAAACGCGAGTACTGTCGCACCATGTCGGCCATGTTTTCTGTTGGCATCTCTCTCAGAGAGACACCTGAACACGCGCTCTCTGTTCGCCCAAGGTCGAGGCTTCTTCTTGCCGTGGACCGTGAACTTCTGCGGCCGGTTCGTTTTTCTCTCAAAGAGTGCGGCTGATTTTCGTCTGTGTCGTTCTCATCGGCCGAGGAGCTGATGCTGGTCAGCGAGTTGGAACAGTCTGTGTGCCGACTCGACTCTGGAGATTCGGACGTCGATACCGTCTGTTCCTCGTCGCCCGGTTTTTTCTCGCCCGCGTTTTTAAACGCGTCTCTAAAATCCCACTCAATTAACTTGTAGAGGCCACAGTTGAATTGGCCTATCAGCTGAATCACCGTGTAAATGCAATTGAACGCCACGCCACGGTCAACATCAGAAACAACCCCGGATCCCTCCAAACTCTGCAGATAGGCGATTGGCAAGTCAGAGATATTGGGGAACATCCCCACGCTGATTAGACCTCCATACCATCGTTTGGGACTTCTGGTGACCAGACCCGCCAGAAAACACAACAAGCCACCGCCCAGCATGTTGAATATCCCCAGAAACGCTATCGTGCCGATCTGGGCAATGTCAGAGTTGTCGATGTTGGTGATGATTTTGTTGAATAGCAACGCAGGCATAGTCACCATGATGGCTATACTGCTGATATTCTTAGTGGTATCCACGGATAATATGTTTTTGCGTGCCAGCCAGAACCCCACCCCGATCAGAAAGTAGATCTTGAACATGGGCTTGCACGACAAATATATGACTTCTCCCAAGGAGACGCTAGTCATGAGTAATATAGATTCAGAACAAACGAGGATATTTCAAAAAAAAAAGTGTGAAAAAAGATTTCGGATAAGGAGTAGTCACTTTATCTAGTTGGATCTATATGCCTTTAACTTATCGAGCGTAGCTTCTCTCCATGGCGGCAACTTGAGCGGGATGTTGTCAGGATGGAGGTCGGGATAATTTGCAGAAATGACGCTCATCAGCTCATTGTACATCAGCTGGTATCCGGTTCCAGTGAAATGGATCCCGTCACTTAAAAGATCGGCGCTTGAGAGTCCAGAGCTGACGAAAACGTCGTACAGGTCCACGGTAGGAACCTCCAGTCTGCCACAGACCTCTCCCAAAACGTCTCCGTACTGTTTCTGCAGCTCGTTGCTTCTCTTGGCCCTCCCTCGCTTCTTTGCTTCGTCAGCCAGTGTTTCGTCGTGTGTTCCCGGCTTAACAGCTATAACTTTTATCCCGCGCGACTGGAGCATTACGATCAAATTCCCCATATTTTCTGCATAGCGGCCGATCGGCACGTGCTGAATATAGTCGCCTCCGACGCTCGAGTCGTTGGTGCCGAAGAATATCCACGCTAGCTTGATCTGCTCCTCAGCAGGTTTCGTGTCGTGCTCGTACCTCAAAATTTCAGGCAGGATATGCAGGGCCTGCTCGGAATTGTAGCCATCAAAGCCCCTGGTGATGATCTGTAGCTTCCGTTGGTAGTCGTTGGTCAGGGCAGCAGCAATGGAGAACTGGAGCTGGCCAGTGTCGGGCTCTATTCTCTGTCTGGACGAGTACTGCGTGATGGAGTCGCCGAACAAGAGAAACTTGCCATACTGATAAACACTCATTGAAATGAAACTGGTCCAACGTATATGCGCGAGTGGGTAATCAGCTTTTCCAGACCGGGAAAATCGAGCGGCTCGATTCAAAAATTTGGGGCGGGAGACGAGCGAGGCATGTGGCCGGGCTTCATAACCGCAGTTTTCCGTAGGCCGACGATGCACCCAGTTAGGTAATTTGGTTTTTTGGAATGGCAAAAAGGAAGAGCTGTCTAATAAGATAGATATGTTTGGCCAGACTGCGAACGACTCGACACAACCGATCAACATCAGCTTTTCCAGGACGGGGTCCGTGTACCAAAATTCACGCATCCGCAGGGAAAGTATAGCGCACTCTCAGGGAATGGGGGGAATATCATGGGGTTCGGTGACTATTGGTTCCTGGCTCAAGGACGAGGTTATGCTACATGCGCACCAACAACAGAACACACATAGCAACACCCTCTCGCCGTTTTTGGGGGCCAACCACTCGGTGAACACTCACATGATTACTAATAATTTCGACAACCTTAATAGGACAGATAGCCTGAGCATGGCATTTTCCCCCAGCATAAACAATACCTCCTACTTGGCTGATCTGGAGGCCACCTACTGCAAGGACTACTCCTGCTGCGGCCAGCTGCTGCCCACGTTGCACGATCTGCTCCGGCATTATGAGGAAATGCACATCCAGCCAGAACAGCCCTTGGAGACGCCAAGAGCGAGACCGGTGACCACGGCTATGGACACGGTGAGCACGAACGAGGTGTTTTTGACGCCCAAGGGGTCGCAGGATCCTACTGTGCGTACGCAGCAGAGCCAAGGCCACGGGGTCCCTGATTCGCTAGCAACGTTTTCGTTTAACCAGCAGCCAAATAACGACACGCAGTCCAGATTGGGATATAATATACAATACCAGCAGTCGCAACAGGACATATTGAACCACTCGCAAGGTTCCTTGACCCACAACGCCCTCCAACAACAGCACCCTACCTTGTTTCAGGACTACAATAACCAGTTGTCCCAGAGACAACAGTCGCCGCTTTCCTCCCAACCAACGCCCCACTCTAATCACGCGAACACCATACCTCCGCGGGCAGGTTCTCCTCGTCAGTTTGCCATGGACGAAGACGAGGACATGGAGGAGGACAGCGAGGTGTGCATAGACGATCCTGCTAGACATTTGTACGTGATGGAGCAAGGCGAGAGCCGGCCATTCAAGTGTCCAGTGATAGGTTGTGATAAGAACTACAAGAACCAGAACGGTCTCAAATACCATCGGCTGCACGGCCACCAAAACCAAACTCTCCGGGCCAATCCCGACGGCACCTTTTCCGTTATTGATCCCGAGAGCGACGCTCCGTATCCTGATGGCATGGGTATGGAGAAGGACAAGCCGTACCGCTGCGAGGTGTGTGGTAAGAGATACAAGAACTTGAATGGTCTTAAATATCACCGTGGACATTCGACGCATTAGGAAGTTGTAATAATAGAATAGGGGATTATAATATAGACTAGTAGTTTCCCAGACGTCAAAAAAATATTTTGGCTTTTAGCAATCTTGGAATATTTTCATTTCATTCATCATGCCTCTTCATTACAACCTGGTCTTTGCACTTTTGATCTTCGAGGTTGCTCTGTTTGCCCTCATCTCGTTGCCTTTGCCCAGCAAGGTCCGCAAGCCGCTGCTCAAGACGCTGAGCGGCCCGTTCCACTCGCAGCATTTCCAGATCACAACCAAATGTGTTCTTGGGTTTGTGCTCGTGCTGTTCCTTGACGCGCTCAACAGAATGAAAACTGTCACCAACGAGCTCCAATCGCAACAGGACAGTCCTGTGGCCAGTGCAGTGGGCATCCACGAGTCTCGCTCTGAGATCCAGGCCAAACGCTTCTACGCCCAGAGAAACGTCTATCTCTGTGGCTTCACTCTTTTCCAGACCCTGATCGTCAACCGGACCTTCTCGTTGGTGTTTGAGTTACTTGCTGTGAAGGAGAAACTGGCAGAGAGCCAGAAGAAAGAGAACATCGACAGTCTGGACACAGTGGACGACAAAAAGGTCGAGGAGCTCAAGTCCAAAATCGCCCAGCAGGACGAGACCATTGAGAACCTCAAGTCACAGGCCTCAGCACTGTCCGACGAGTACGACGGGCTGTCCAAACGAAAAGTGTGACCGACTCACTGTTTCTCGTACGAGTTGCTTTTATGTTTAGGAATAAAACTGAATCCGTTTCCGGCTTTGCCCAGAAACATTTCCGTGATCTTGATCCAGTCCTTGTAGTCTGACGACCCCAGCAGGGTCTCCAGCTCATTTCTTCCCTTCCAAGGTGGCGGTCTTTCGTTCAGCTTCGGTGGTAGCCGTTCCAATATGCCGACTGGAATGTACCGATGAGTGAAGGAAATAAACTCGCACAAGTACCGTCTAGCGCTGTTCACGCCGTACTCGTCGCTGCCCCAGTGCTCCAGCGCAAATTTGGCGTATTTCTCCAAGTACGCAAGTCTTTCGGAAGCAGACTTGTCCAGATACTGCTGTGCTTCCACTTCCTCGAAAATCCACGGCTTAATCAGTGCACCACGAGCCACCATCACCGAGTCGATGCCCTCGTCGCTCACGGCCCTGTGCCAGTCCTCGTGCGTGAAACAGTCGCCGTTACCGACAAAGTACACAGGCGGCCTGTCCACCTTGTCTTTGTCCTCTTCCTGCTGCTCGTTGTAATCCTTTACGATAGCTCCAACCCGGCTAATATAATCCCAATCGGCGGCACGGGTGTATCTCTGTTGTCTAGAACGTCCGTGCAAAGTGATGGCTGCCACGTCGGTTTCGTTCAGAACACGTCTCACGAGATTCTCGGCCACCGGCTTGTCGTCCTTGACACCCATACGAATTTTCACCGTCACAGGAATCTCCCCTGATGAGTAGCTCATTCCTTTCAGAATACGCAGCATCCGCGACGGATTGTCCAGAAGGGCCGATCCTTCGCCCTTGCGGTAAAGCATGTCTATTGGACAGCCGCAGTTGAGGTTCAGCTCCGAAACGTGGCTCGTGAGCGTTTGGATGGCCTCGGCGGCCTTGCATGCCTGCCAGTGCTTGGCAGTCGCAATTTGGACACCAAAGCCCGGATACTCGGACTCGTGCGCGCGAGGAAGGGCCCATTCGGAGTTCGAGCCTTGAATCAGCGGCAGAGCAAGCGCCATCTCGGAGTAAGTCACGTCTGCTCCCAACGTGCGCATTAATCTTCTATACGGCAAATTGCCCACAGTGGTGAGCGGAGACACTATCTTGGCATTCTTCAGGTTCAGTCTTTTCTTCTCGCCCGTCCTGAAGCGGGACTCCGTGTACGAGGCTGCGTTGATTTTTTTCTCGTCTATCTCTTGGTTCTCGCGCTCTTCCTTCGTCATGCTATTTTTCTCGTCGTTCACTATCACCACGCTGTCCAAAAACTGGATCACCTCGTCAGAAACAGGCATCGGCAGCTTCTTCTTTTGCAATTGGCTCTTGGTGGCCGCAGAAATCCAGTTGACCTCGCCCTTGTGCTCTTTTTTCTCAACACCCTCTTGCTCCAGCAACAGACCCGTCTCTGGGTTGTAGTGCGATCCCAGCCATCTGCACTTCACTCCAGAAGGACAGTAGCCAATTGCGGCATAGACGGGACAAACACCTTCGATGTCTGCTGGCTTCGAGGCGAGATACGCCTTGATATCGTGCGAGAAACGACACTTGTCGGCCCCATACGGACACTCTTTAGTCTCATTGTTAGGATCAACAACGGAAGAACATAGTTTAATCTCCTCGTGTGCCTGCCGTAGATCTCTTTTCTTGTTTTGGCCCCGTTTCTTATCTTTCTTGCTCTCCTTCTCCCCAGAAGTGTGCTTGGAAGACTCTGCTTCGTCGTCGTTGTAGTCGGCCACCACGCCGCCAACCACGAGATATTCCTGCTTTATGGGTGCCACGCCCTTCTCAAGACGCGGCTTCACATTTCTCTCGGAGGAATCCTGCTCCACCGAGCGTTTCTTGTCCTCTGTGGTCTCGCTCATGATTAAAATTTTAAGTAGCACAGCCAGCTGAAAAATTATGGAAAAAAAAATTAATTAGCACAGCCAGCATACAACTCGCACCTGTCTTCCGCAACGGGAAACTTAAAACGGGCATTATCTCTCTATCAGATTAGATTCAATCTTTTTGTCCAGTTGTTGAGCATGGTGAGAAACCCGGAAGACAGTCCCTTGGCTGTTATTGAGCGCTGTCGTCGTGAAAGCCGGCCTGTTTTCGTGGCAGGACCGATGGTGCGGTATTCCAAGCTGCCGTTCAGAGAGCTTGTTCGTGACTATAAAGTGGACATCGTCTACTCGCCCATGATCCTCGCGCGGGAGTTTGTGCGGAACCACAACGCCAGGGCGAGCGATTTCAGCACAAATCACGCCGATAGACCGCTTATAGTCCAAATCGGAGCCAGCAACGTCACAGATCTGCTGCGGATGATAGAAATGATACACCCTTATGTTGACGGCGTTGGGCTGAACTGCGGGTGTCCAATCAAGGACCAGGTGAGGGAAGGTATCGGAGCGGCACTGATGTCGAAAAAGGAGCTTGTTGCAGAAATGGTGCGTGCCGTTAAGGAGAAATACGGCTCAGAGCTTGTAATCGAGACCAAGATCCGAGTTCACAACGATATCCAGGAGACTGTCGAATTTGTGAAGATGGTTGAGGCGGCAGGGGTTGATTTTATCACGGTCCATGGTCGCACAAAGAACACGAGGTCGTCCGAGCCATGCAACTTTGAGAAAATTAAGACCATCAAGGAAACTGTCTCGGTGCCTGTCATTGCAAACGGTGACTGCAAGTCACTAGAGGACGCATACCGGATTGCAAAAGACACGGGTTGCGACGGAGTCATGGCGGCCAGAGGCATTCTTAATAACCCTGCCATGTTTGCCGGCTTCGAAAAGGCTCCGTGGGGAGCTATTGAGAAGTTCTGGAACCTGAGCACAGCATACGGCCTGCCGTTTCGTCTTCTCCAGCATCATTTAGGGTGCATGCTTGTTGGACAGATCAGCAAACGGCTACAGAACGAGTTAAATAGCAAGTCCAGTCTGCTGGAGCTGATGGACTGGTTTGATGCTAATTTCGAGCTCAAACGGCCTACGGATATTGGGTTCGGAACAGCAGTTGCTGTCCAGTACCGCCAGGATAGACAAAAGCACGCTCATATATAATTTGGTTCAAGGATCAATATAGTAATGGATTCAGACATGCTGAAAAATTGGACACTGCGAAAATTTTGAATGCAAATTTGGTTTTCGGTAAGTACTAGAGATGAATGATGATGACCCTTTATTACCATATTGAACAGGCCTCCGGGCCTTGTTGATGGAATATGGTGGGAGTCCGTTTTGGGCTCTACCGGCCTTCCTCAACGCCAGTAATGATCGGTATTATAGTCATAGTTACACTGACATCAAGTACTAACAGTTAGATTCAAGTGTTCGAGTTCTCGCCCGAGTCGCCAACAGCATATTGCTGACGAATGTCGGTCGCATGGCACGAGACCGTCATACGATCTGTAGTACTAAATAGGTATAATACAGTATACCATATCCAAAACCTAGCTCTACGCCTACTACTGCTCAATTATTGGTTTCCTCTTATTCATATTATCTATTCCTCGTCCTCAACAACAACAGTGTTCAAGCCCTTGACAGATGGAACGTTGACAGGCTCGACGTAAGAGAACATAGTGTTCTTAGCGTCCTCCTCCTCGTTTCTCTTTCTGGAAATTCTGATTCTCATTCTGAATGGAACACCCTGGATACCTCTCTTCCACAGTTCGACGTTCAATTTAGGATCCAGTCTCACGTCCTCAGTACCCATGTGTAGTTTAGCGAACTTCTTGATCTCCTTCACGGCTCTTGGAGCTCTTCTCTTGAATTGGATACCGTGCAATCTCTTGTGGAGATTTATGGTGTACTCTCTGGTCACGAGTTCCTTAAGGTCGGATTTAGCCATCTTTAATATGCAATCAAAGGTCTGTGAAGAACAACCAAAGTAATTTTGAATTTTTGAAGTACAATTTTTCACTCGAGCTTTGTGTGCTGATTAGGTAATCGAGCAGAGCAAGGTATAGTAAATAGCATAAATAGGAGTATTATGGAGATTCAAACTACACATATACAAGCTACAAAGTACATTGAGGCAGAATGCTAGAACGGTATGCCTATACAGAGCCTCCATTGCACACAAATATCGCTATATCCTCAAGCTGTTTGTTCGAGGTGCTAGGTGTATAATTCCAGTAATATTTCTGCCCTTGGTCAAGTCACGTGCGCATTGGTGGTCTATTCAAAAGCGTATATATTCTGGATGTGCAATGTCCATCGTTGATGGACAAGGTCGAGGCATTTGTCCAGCTCCGACTCGCCATTTGTAGTCAGCCGTTGTACTTCAAAAAGCCCACACAAACTGCACAGAATGCGTCCACTAATTTTCCCGCTCTCCACTAGTCTAATGATCTCTTGCAACGTGAACTTGTGCTCTTTCTCCAACGCCATTGTAGTAGAGTTGTCTTCATTGTAAACCGGTTCCACGGAGTTCAGGATCGTGACAAGCAAACCGAGGGTCTGGTTATCCGTTCGCCCAAAAGCTGCAGCTATTTCCTTGAAGAATGGTGCATTATCTGACACAGAACCTGTATCTTTGTATGTGTATAGACAGCCCGCTAGAGCTGTAAGGCCTGCTAATTGCGAATTTTCTGGGTCACTTTCGAGTGTTTGGTTCAGCAAGTTAAACACGGTTAGCAGCTCATTTCTGGCGATCATGATGGCACACACATTATAGAGGATGGTTGACGATTTGTTTGCCAGTTCCTTTGTACTTTTCGGCGTAGTCGCGCGTAATTGCACAAGATCATTGTATAGCTGGTTGACCAATATTAAGCTCGGGCCATATTTGATTCTACTGATGAGCAGCTTGAAATGCCAGCTGAGTTCCTTGGGTAGAGTCTCTTTATCATCAAGCTTGATCAATTCTTTCAGAAACAGGTTTGTTTCATTTCTCAGGAACTGTGCATTTGGAATGGGCGGGACCAGAGAGCTCGAGTCCGGCACGCGCAAATTCGCAGCCATCAATAACAGATTGATTCGCAATTCCCATATCTGGAACACATCTTGCAAAGATAGATCAAAATTGGAGAGATTGGGCGACAATATGATCAGCTTGCAGTACGATGCAATGGTGAGGTATGTTTCAAGAGGACTGTTGTACGACTCTCGGGCAAACAGTTCCGAGGGTCTCTCCTTCGATTCCTCTCCCAGCAAGTTTTGTACGAGCAGAATCAGATTATCTGGGGTAACAGGAGTACTGCGCTCAACTTCGTAGAACCTTGACTCGTACTGTGGTAGACTAATGAAATTATTTGCATTTAGTAGAGATGGATATTTGACCTGAAGCATAAGATAAAGAGAAGCATAGAGATTAATAAATGTATAATTTTAATTACTCGTAATTCTGGGATATGTGGGTTTGACTAGACCGGGCTGTTTGCACTGGATTTGTGAGCTACAGATCTCATTACCTCTAAAACCACCTCTATCTTCGGTCCTTCCCCCAATGGACAATCTATCGACAGAGCTACCTTTTGATAGTCATCTGCCCTACTAAAATCGGTGCACAGATGTTCAAAAAAACTAATTTATTTGTATTTACCATGTCCTTCAAGGAGTCGTCGTACAGCTCGCAAAATGATCATGCTCCGGTCAAACTGCCCCCGATTTCATTTCTCTCTAGCAAGTTAGGGGCGTCGGACAAGGAAGGCGTGGCCAAAAGCCGTCCTGAGAGTCAACAATTGCCTTCTCTATCGTCCATCAATTCTGGCGAATTTCAACTGCCTTCGATTTCCTCGCTAGCTTCTGGGGTCGACTCGGCAAAATTGGCTTCCATTGTGCCGAGTAAGTCTCCCGAACAGCCATTAGACCAAAAACTACCACCCTTAAAATCGTCGGCATCACCCCCTTCCACAGATAACTCGTCACCGTCCAGACAGCAAATCAACAGCGTTAGTTCCCCTCGCGAGGGTGAAAAGGGAGACAAATGCCGCCATCATAAACATGTACACGACGAGCTTACAACACATTTGAAGGAAGCGCAGCAACATCTCAAAAACGGCGGACATATACACATTGTGCATCAGCCCCACGGTAATCACCATCATCACAAAGTTCTTGTACACAACCCTAATGAGACACCATCTGATGTTCCACCTCCCCAGGGGAACGACACGACGATCATACAGAACGATTCTACTATAATCGACCCCAACGCAACAGTGCCCCAGGACCAGTCGTTGGTCCACCAGGCATCCCCGAAACAGAGCACGGAAAAAACAAAAGAAACATTCAGGCCCCGAGAGATCACCCTCGACTCCAAAGAAACACTTCTGCTCGCCGCAAAATTCCCAAGAAAGCATCTGGGGTCGATAATATACCAGGCCTATCCAACAAAGGAGACCCGTTGCATGTATTTGCAAAATATAGAACCAGAACACATGCACGAGGACTCACAGGTGACCAATGAGCTAGCCTCCAAGAGAATCGAACTTCTTCCTGCATACTTCGCAAACTACATCAACTGTACAGTGGATATACACATCCCATACCAGTGCATCCCCGACAACGTCAACGTGTACGACCGCAGATTATGGGGCACGGACATTTACACGGACGACTCCGACATTGTGGCCATTTTGTACCATTGTGGAGTGCTCAAGTCGGCTGATCCTTCTGCTCCGGACTCTGGGCTCTGCATCCGTACACCAGAAGATAGCGAAAAATCTGGGGAATCTATCATTGATAACGAAAAGGGAACTATAAAATTTTCCAGACACACGGGGCCGCTGACGCCTGGAAACCTGGAGAACCGCTCGAACGTAATAAAGCAAGCAGTGGACTCGAGCGACTCAAACGATTTAGTGGTAACCTTGCTGATTCTGCCTCGTCTCGGTGTGTACCAGGGGACATACAGAAACAACTACTACTCTAGAACTTGGGGAAGCAATGGTCGTTTGCATAATGGGGTGTCTATTGCCCTTTATGCGGTGAAGTGGTGCAAGTTGGGTGGCTCTTACGACGGCTTGAATTATGGCTCTTTCCGCAAGAGATTATTGAGCGAGCGCATCGAGCTTTCCCAGAAGCTTCTCAAGACGTCGAGCGAAGAGGGAGCTGTTCCCGGCTGGGACCTGGATCGTAAATATTATAAAGAGTTCAAATAATATACGTGTGTCCTAGAATCATATGACTGCGGCTTTAACTGGCAAGAAAAAAAATAGAAAAATTATCGGGCGAGCAATTACTAGGTGACCTTTGTGCAGAAGGTTTCGAAAGCCAGGTTTGTCAATAGATCTTAACAGTTGGACAGTATTTATTGACTCGAAAGAGGAATCCTCATGGAAGAGCGAGAACAGAAAGAAGACGCGCTGTTTGTGGGCTGCGAGCCTTCGAGACTGAGAAAGGCACTCCTCAAAGTCTCTTTCACTTGGGCTACGTTTGTTAGCAGGCTCCGCTCGATATCCGAGGCTTGTTTGGAGTCCGACGAGATTACCGAGCAGCTATTTGATGACGACTCAGACAGCAACTCCACCCGCATCCAAGAATACGAACCGATTAAACCTTCCGAGGTCCAACGAGATTTACTGGAAAAGAAGCTCGCGAACGATGATAAGGAAACATGCTCCACGGGCTCCCCTTTGACGACAACACGATTAACGTCGCCCCAAAGCAGCGCTGTCAGCGGAGGCGATGAATCTAGTGCTGCCCCAGATAAGGAGGGCACCCTTACACCATTCTGTGGGGGAGAGGAGTTGTGGAAGATACAGAACCAACAATGGTTGAAGCCGATCGCGGAATACACCACTTTGGAAGGGAAACTGAATTTACAAAAAAGACTGCGTTCGCAGGATCTTAGGCATTACGTGTCATCGAAAGATTATCATATTATATATCGCAATTTGGTGATTGATGGAAGGAGTCTCAAGCAGCCAATGAATTTGAGAGACTTGTTGCGCGTCGTTGAGGCCGGCTGGGAATGGAGCCGGGTACAGGAAGGTGGCTACTTTCGCCAGAGATAATGCATCGCTTAGCCAAAAAGACCTTTTATCACAGGCGCGGGTCTGGTGTTGGTAGATTCGACTAATTTAATACAGTTTTCAAGGACACGAATATTCCTATCGAGAACCTCAATTTTGCCTTGCGCGGTGTCTGCCCCGCTATCGTGCAACCTTGTTGTTGTTTTCTCCAGCTTTTTATGCAAATCCATGGCCTTAGTGCCCAACTGTTGATAAGTGTTCACCAGCTCATCCTTCTGTCGTGCAATCGACTCCTGATTAGAGTATATGGTTTCGACTTTGGATTGTAGTCCAGTTTCGGCAGACTCGGGGGATACGAGCTTAGTCAGGGTCTTGGACAGATACTTTGAGTATTTCTGTGATAGATGGCTATTTTTCGCTCGGATCTGCTTCGAGTGGTTCAGCTGCTGTACAAAGTTGGGGTCTACCATAATCAAAAATAAAACAAAAATATATTTATTTAATCCTTTCCCATGGTGTTGGTGGTATCGCCGTATTCGTATTTTGAATTCGGGTCCCACAACATATCCACTTTTGAGGTGTTTGGTAATCTCGTGTATGTGGGGCTGTACGATGGATCTCTGGACGTTTGTCAGCTTCCTACTGGCGGAGAAACACAGATGACCCAATTTGATGAATCGAAACTGGTATTGGAGGACCTCAACGTGGTTGCAAGAACGAAACTATCATGTCGAGCGATGCAATTGGAACTGATACCAAACCTGGGATACCTGGTTGCACTACTGGAAAACCAGACCGTGGAAATCTATAGTCTGAACGATTATCAATTCATAGACAAGTTTGATGAGGCACGCTTCAATTTGATCAAAACCTGGTATGAGGACGACAAAGAACTCCAGCTGGACCAGATCAATGAAGAAGATAATGACTACATCACAGTTGACGACAACGACTCCATCTCGCTCGCCACCACTGCCTTGGAAACTATCCGTACCAAGAAGTTTGTCACATCAGTGACAGGCAACAGCTACTTGTGTCTGATATCCAAACGAAATATTGCAGTGATGAAGTGGCACGACAACCAATACGAACGCAAATACGAATACAAGTTGAATGACAAGATCCAGGTAGTTGAGTTCCTCAATTCCGATGGTTTGATCGTTGCACTGAAGAACGGTGACATTCTGAAGATCGATCTCGCGCACGATTCTGTGTCCACTATTCAAATTCAGTTCCTGAACCAACCCACTGGTTTCAGCAAGTCATTTTTCTTTAGTCCGTCAGACTCTCTATTGGAAATTTTCAAGGCAAACAACGACCAGCAGCTCATCATCATGAAAGACTACAACCTGATTAAACTCAACAGCGATCTAGAACTTGTGGTGTACAGACGACATACTCATTCCATAGACTTCAAAAACCCTGTTTTGGTGCCAAGTCACAACCAATCTGGGAAAAAGCTGAGATTCCTCAAATATTGGTTTCCCTACGTGGTTTTGGTCTACATCAACTCACTGGAAATTCGAAACCTTGAGAACGGCTCTGTTGTGCAGCAGTTGCAAGGCACGTCCACATTCAGTGGCATCACGTCCATTAAATTCACCCCCAAGTTTATGTTTCTAGTTTGCAACTCGACAGTGTACAAACTTGTGAAGACGACATACGACTCCCAGCTGGCCGAGTTTGAGAAATCAAAGGACTACAACAATGCCATAAATCTAATTGAAAAGCTTAACCCGCTGGCATTTGAAGACATATCTGAAGACCACTCTTCGCGACAGATCAAATTTACAAGACTTCGTCAATTTGAGCTTCTAAAGGGCCTGGAGTACTTGAAGTCCGAAAATTATGAGACAGGTATCAAGCTATTTGTCGAGTTTCTAGCCCCACCAGAGCTCCTACTTGATAATCTTCCAGAGTCAGTAAAGACTTTGCTGTCTGGAAATTCAAGTCTCAAACATGCTGCTAGCAAGGAGTCACTGAAGAGCGATAAAGAGCCAGAAACTAAAACCAACCAGGACATCAAGATTATCAACCAGGTCATCAGCTTTTTAACAGATGCCCGGAGGAAACTCACTCGGCTTCTGGATCCGGATTCGCCCAGATTCCTGTGGCATGGCTTTCTCATCTCCCGTGAGCTTTATGGGTCCAAAGATATCTCCAAATTAGAACAGAAACTGCAAACAGTGGACGATTGTCTTTTTCAGTGCTATTTGATTACAAATCCCCGCATGGTGGGGCCACTGCTCCGGATATCCAATTACTGCTCCTTTGACAGAATAGAGAAAAATTGTCTCGAGCTCAAGCTGTACACAGAGCTCATAGATTTTTATTACTGTCGGTCACGACACGACAAGGCTCTGGAATTGTTGGAAAAGCTGTGTATTTCGGAGCACGTCTTCGAACCTGAATTCATGGTCAAATACATACAGAAACTCGGACAACCACAGCTGGATCTTATTTTCAAGTACTCAGAGAAACTGATTGCACTAGACCAGACCAATGTGGAGAGTATATTTATGGATGACTCAATCGAGTGCGAGTCTCTGAACAAACAGCAAGTACTGGATTTCCTCAACAAATGGCCCTCGTTGCAAGTGCGTTACCTGCGATACCTAATATTTGACCTCGGCGAGACCAACATCAAGTTTCCAAATAAACTCATCGAGCTGTACCTACAGGACCCTGCAAAGAACCAGGCTCACATCAACCAGATATACTCACTCAATAACTACAACCCGTCCTTCGTGCTCAAGAAACTCAATTCGCTCAAACAGTCGCCAGTGGTTCTGGAGCTCATGATTCTTCCTCTGGGGAAACTCAATAAACACAAGGAAGTGCTGGAAATCCTTGTGCACAGGCTCAATGATATAGAAAAAGCGCTGAACTATTGCAGAGCAGTCCACTCGTCGTCACAAGAGACCGGAATTAAACTAACGTACATGCTACTCGACATGCTTCTATCCTCAAATGACTACGACTCAGTCTTTCAAATATTGGACTCAGGCATTACTTATCTAGACCCAGTCGAAGTATTAGAGAAGCTGCCTCGATCGCTTCAGCTCGGCAGGTTGGAGGGCTACTTGGAGTCCAACATCAGAAATATAATGTCAGACCTCCGCTCGGATATCATAAAAAGTGAGCTTCTCAAAGTGCAGCTCATCAACCTCAAGTACGAAAAACTGCTCTCAGACACGGCTCATGTGCGCATTGACGCCAGCTCCAAATGTGTGGTGTGCGACAAGAATTTTGCTGCCTCTTCAATCCTCAGCTTCTTTCCAGACGGATCGGTGGTGCATTATAGCTGTAGTAAGTATAGAAATTAATGACATTAGCCGGCTATGAATCTATGTCGTCGTGATGAAGCTGATCACTGCAGAACAGTACTTCACCATATCATCCATCTTGGTGTCTACTTGAGAAGCGAGAGACCGCCATTCGTCGAGAGCCTGCACGACCTCGCCTTCAACATTGTACAGCACGTCTCCATGGATCTTGAAGAAGACAGAGACGACCGCCACTAGGATTTCGTAGTTTCTGTTCTGCTTGAGTCCGTAGTTGATTGCATCCACAAACCTTTTGAGTTCTGTGAATGGCTCCGTCGTCTGCAATGTTCTGAGTTCCAGATCCAGCGTGGCAGGACTCATGTCCACGAGATATTCGATAAATTTGTCGTAACTAGACTCAGCACCCTCTCTGAGCAATCTCGTAAAGTCGGACTCGAATGCAGCAGAAGAGGGGTCTAGCTTCATCAATTGGGACTCCGATTCCGTCTGTTTTTCCTCGCTTGTCTGTTGCAGGAAGAACGGAACGGACTCTGGTTTCTTCGGAGGCTCCAAAGGCTTGTTCCTTCTCTTGATCGTGTCCAAATGCATGATGGTGTTGAACTTTGTGCGCGAGTGCAGCGAAAGAGTCACTAGGTCTTTATCAAGCTGGTCCACCGAAACGTACGTTCCAGAACTGTATTCCTCGTCATCGGCAAACGCACCTTCCAGGATACTAGAGCCGTTCTCGCCGCTTACATTCGGAAGCATCATGGTTGCAAACTCCTCCTCTTCAACGTGCTTCGTGGATATTGGTTTAAATTGAGCTTTGTTGGTCCACAAAGATATACCCACTCCGTTGACATGCGTGGTGGCAAGATAGTCGCCTAAAGGAGACATCTTCAAGCACGTGACTGTGTTGGGAACCATGATGCCGTCAATGCAGCCGCCAGTAGGCAGGTCCCAGGTTCGAATAGTAGAGTCCAGGGACGCCGACACAATCCAGCGACCATCCGGCGAGAAGTCCATAGCAGTGATTCTGTTGGAGTGGCCAAACAGCTGTCTGACCACCTTGTGCGTGGCAGAGTCGACGACGACGATCGATAGATCATCCAAAGCAAACGCAACAAGGTCAGAACCTCTGTGGTACACCATTTGGGTAATTGGAGCATCCAGCTGCAGTTTTCCGAGGAACTTTGATTGACTGAAGTCGTAAAACCCAACGAGTCCATCGAGAGCGCACGAAACCATCTTCCTATTCATTCCGTCAACGGCAATACCAGTGACAGCCTTTTTGTGCAGTCTGTAATTCTTGCGTAGTTTTCCACTTTGCAAGTTGTAGACTCCAATGCCACCATTACTGGACCCAACTAGGGCAAAGTTTCCGCACTGGGTGATGTTCACGGCCTTGACAATGCCACCATCGATAGTGTCCAGAACGTGCTTACTGACCTTCTTGTTTCTCGAGTCCCAGGTACGCGCAAACGTTTCTTCCTGGTGAGCAGTCACAATATTGGCCCAATCTCCTTCTCTGGCATTCTCCTGAGCTATCATGGTGATTGGCGGGAATTTATCCTTGAACGTGGAGGAGACACCTGCCTGACGCTTTCCGTCCTTCATGGCAGACTGTCTCTGGGACATTTCCTGCGACTGGGCGTCTTTACGTAGCGAGAAGGTCCAGAACGAGCGATCTTGGGAGGCAGATTGGATGAAATGCGATTTCGAGTCGCCAAATGTGATGCACGTAGGCGGAGCCGAGTGTCCTCCACGGGATCTCAGATGTCTAGGAGGAGCGACCACAGCTGAGTTATCTGATAGGGCAGGATCAAAAACGTACTCCTTCAGACTGTTGTCGGCACCAGTGGTGACTAATATAGGCTGTCCACTAAGAAATTGCACCTTTGAAACACCGCCGGCAACCTCTTTGTGAGCATTACGCAAAACATGTACTCTTGTCTTTTTCTCCAAATCGTAGAAGAACAGGTCTCCATTCACCATCGAGCATACCACGTGTGGTGAACCATCAGTTCTGAACGAAAGCGATGTGATCTTCGACTTGGACCCTGTAGATATGGTTCTAAGACTTTTGCCCTTTTTCAGGTTGTAGATTGTGAATGAGCCAACACCATTTCCAACAGCCAGAATGTCTAGTGCTGGGGCTGTTTCGATACAAGTGATTCCATCAACAAACTCTTCGGACAAAAACACCATTTTTGCAGTTCTAACGTTGAAGATGAGCAGATGAGAAGTGGTGGCAACAACCACTTTGTTGATGTAGGTCGGAGGGTGCACAATATCCACAATCTCGCCATTGAGAGCGTTCACCTTGAGCTCTCCATAGTATTCGGTAGGGAATTTTTCATCCCTCTTCTCAAACACGAAAAGTGAAGACCCCGTGCAGGCAACCAGGTAGCTACCAAAAATTGTCACTTTTCTGATGGTTTCAGAGGTTGGCAGAACGAGCTCCTTTTCCAATTTTCCCCGTCTGAAAATACCAATTTTGTTTCCATAGGAGCAAAAGATATAGTGGAAATGTGCTGTGATGGATCGGATGGGAGTTTCTGTTTGGGTGGACGACACAAAAAGCAGATGTAGGGTTGCTGCGTCGTAGATCTGGAAGGATCTGCCAACGACAGTGGCGATGTAAAAAGACTGGCCTAATGTTCCCACAGCGAAAGGAGTCCCGTTGGAGACGTGGCCAATGACTCTGAAAGGTGCAAAAATCTTGGAGTTGCGCACAGCACCAGAAGATCCGGAAGTCTCGACTCTCCGTCGTTTCATCGAATCCGCTACAGTCATTGTATTGAACTCTGGATCACTAACAAAGGTGAATAATTTTCCTAAAATTTTATGAATTTTTTTTTTATTTCTACAGCCGCGTCGATCGACTGAAAATGTAATCAGAATTAGTTCTCAAAGTATTTCTCAACTGCAATGAGCTCTCTTCCTCAGCTAGGAGTAGATTCCGACACAGAGCACGAGGAAATAGGCACATTACCAGAAAGAACATACTCGAGCCATTCAAACACTTCTGTGGACTCCATGCAGGCCATAGAGGAGGAAGACGAGGAAAACGATATGGACCCCGTGCCTTTGACTGCGCATTCTTTGGAACAGCATAAAAGGGCTATTGCCACGATTGCCCCTATTTTAGAGGATTTTGTTCCTGTTCTTTCCAAGTCCGAGGTGCTGAGCCCATCGAACAACGCTCTTTCCCGTACTGTCTCGAATATTAGTTCGCTTAGCATTGGCCACCAGATGCCTCCCAACAGCCAGGGCAGTCCGCAGCACGAAACCTCAGGAGTTGGCAACTCGCCAGTGGCCTCTGACAATGCCTTAAACTTCAGTGACGGCAGAACACTGTCGGCAACCTCATCGAACGGCGTTTCTGCCTCGAGTTCAGGAGTCAATTTACAGCATAAAAACAGAACGTCATCTATATCCGTCTCTGAAGTGTCGGGGCCAAAATTGCCCAAGATCGGAACCATTGGTGTGTGTGCAATGGACAACAAGGTGCTGAGTAAGCCGTGCAGACAGATTTTGAACCGGTTAATCGAAAATGGCGAGTTCGACACTGTGATTTTCGGCGACAAAGTTATACTGGACGAAGCCATTGAAAACTGGCCAACGTGCGATTTTTTGATTTCCTTCTTCTCCAGCGGGTTCCCTCTTGACAAGGCAATCGCGTATCAGAAACTGCGCAAGCCATTCACCATAAACGATCTGGTGATGCAGAAAGTGTTATGGGACAGACGGTTATGTCTCCAGATTCTGCAGGCGGCCGGCGTCCCTACTCCGAAAAGACTGGTGATTTCCAGAGACGGCGGACCTTTTGTGGACGATGAGCTGAAGGCCAAACTGGAGAAGCTGGGAGTGGACACCTCAGAGGTGCCGGAGCCAGACTGGAAGATGCTGGATGACGACACTTTGTATGTTGACGGCGAAACTATTAAGAAACCGTTTGTGGAGAAGCCCGTGGATGGTGAGGACCACAACGTGTACATCTACTATGCTAAGGAAAACGGTGGTGGTGGCCGCAGACTTTTCCGCAAAATTGGCAATAAGTCATCTGAGTTTGATCCTAACTTGAACATGATCAGAACCGAGGGATCGTATATTTATGAGAAATTCATCGATACGGACAACTTCGAGGACGTCAAGGCGTACACTGTCGGCCCGAAGTTCTGCCACGCCGAAACAAGGAAGTCGCCAGTGGTGGACGGCATTGTTCGCCGGAATACACACGGCAAGGAGGTCAGATACCTGACTAAGTTGTCGCATGAGGAAAGGGAAATTGCAAAGAAAGTGAGCCGAGCGTTCGAACAGACGATTTGCGGGTTCGATCTGCTGAGAACAAGCGGCAAGAGCTATGTGATCGACGTCAACGGCTTTTCCTTTGTGAAGGACAACGAGGGGTACTATGATCAGTGTGCCTCGATTTTGAGAGAAACGTTTTTGAAGGCCAAGAGCGAGCGTCTGAAGAACTCGGCCGCTGTAACTTCAGAGGAGAAGAAACAGAAATGGGTGTTCAAGGGCATGATTTCTGTGGTGAGACACGCAGACAGAACGCCGAAACAGAAGTTCAAGTACTCGTTCAGATCGCCCATATTTATATCTCTGCTCAAGGGTTATAAGGAGGAGGTTATCATTCGCGAGCTTCGAGACCTGAAGATTGTTCTCCAGACGGTGCGTGTTGCTCAGGAGCAGCAATTGGAGGACGAGACAAAACTGAAGCAGCTGGCCACGGCCTTGGAAAAGAAGATGAACTTTCCAGGTACCAAAGTCCAGCTGAAGCCCTCGCTGAACGACAAGGGAGACATTGAAAAGGTACAACTTATCATCAAATGGGGCGGAGAGCCCACCCATTCGGCCAGATACCAGGCTTCAGACGTGGGAGAGCAGCTCCGCCAGGATATTCAGCTGTTGAATAAAGACGCCCTGAAAGACGTGCAGATCTACACTTCGTCAGAAAGGAGAGTGGTTGCGTCTGCACAGCTCTTTGCCAAATCGTTTATTGCGGAAAATGAACTGCCTGAAGACTTTCTCCAGGTGCGCAAGGATCTTCTGGACGATTCGAACGCGGCCAAGGATCTGATGGACAAGGTCAAGAAGAAGCTGAAGCCTTTGCTTAGACAAGGGAAAGAGGCCCCGCCACAGTTTGCCTGGCCTCCACGGATGCCGGAGCCGTTTGTGGTAATCAAGCGAGTTGTTGAGCTGATGAACCACCACCGCAAGATCATGGAGAAGAATTTCGAGACCAAGGACGTCGAGAACTTCCAGAAGGAATGGTGCTGCGGTGAGGACCCGTATCTCTTCAGAGAGAGATGGGACAAGCTGTTTCAGGAGTTTGTCAGTGTTGAAAAAGTGCACCCGTCGAAAATTAGCGAGTTGTACGACACCATGAAATACGACGCTCTGCACAACCGCGACTTTTTGCAGAAGATCTTCATCAGCGAGGACCGCGAGGACACAGGCCAGCTAGGATGTTCTCTGGTCAGACAGTATCCGATCAACGTGCTTGCCATGAACAACTTCAAGGTGAACGACTCGTCGCTCGACAACTCGTCTCCATCGAACTCGTCCAACCCGGCAGGATCGATCGGCTGGGTTCTTTCGTCGTCGTACAAGCCGTCGTCCCGCGACGACCACAGCTCTCCATTCGACGACCCAAAGTACAATCTTTTGCGGGAACTGTACAGACTGGCGAAGGTTCTATTCGACTTCATCTGTCCTCAGGAGTATGGTATTGAAGAGCACGAGAAACTGGATATCGGACTGCTTACGTCACTGCCGCTGGCCAGACAGATCATGAGCGACATCTCGGCCATCAAGGAGACCGACAAGGCTGCCACGCGCGTTTACTTCACCAAAGAGTCGCATATCTACACGCTGCTGAACATCATTTACGAGTCGAAGCTGCCGATGAAAATTGCCCGGAACGCGCTTCCGGAACTCGACTATCTGTCGCAGATCGTGTTTGAGCTCTACGAGTCGGAGGACAGCGTGGGCGGCAAGACGCACTCGATCAGACTACTGTTGTCGCCGGGCTGCCACACCCAGGACCCGCTGGATGTGCAGCTGGACGAAAAACACTACATTTCGTGTATCCGCCGGATCAGTCTGACCAGACACCTGGACATGGACTTTATGCAGCAGAAGCTGAAGAGCCGGTTCTCCAGAGTGTCTCTGCCTAAACGGTTCACCCCTGTGAACATCTCGAGTCCATTGGCAGAGGCCAAGCCTTGAATACGTTAAAAGATAATTTATTTAATTAGCCTATGTTATCACTGCCAGGGAGTCGAACAGCACGCTGATGCTTTCGCCAAAATGGTCTCTTCTGATACACTCGGCGAAGATCGGCGACACGTCGATGACGGTGAGTTTTTTGCAATTCTGGGCCTTGGTCTCGGAGATCGGATACGTGTTGGTGACGATGATTCCGTCAATATACTCGCACTCGTTCAGCCTCTCGAGACAGTCGTTCGCGAAAATCCCGTGTGTAGCCACCACGTAGCACTTTTTGGCGCCGCAGTTCATTCTCAGGTGTTCTGCTGCAGCAATGAACGAGGTGTGCTTGTCGATCATGTCGTCGACGATGATGGCTGGTCTGTTCTGGACGTTTCCGACCAGAGTGATCAGCTTCTCGCTGGCGTTGAACTCTGGCTCGTCCTCGTCGTCCGAGTTGTCGTCCGCGATGTCCGAGGTGTGCTGCACCTGCGGCTCCTCGTGCGGAGCACTGGTGTCCTCTACCACATGTCCCTTCACGATTCTCGCAGTCTGGATGTCTGTGCTTACTATGACATTTTCCTGCTCGACCTCGCCGTTCTCGGTGGTGTTGATCTTGGCGGCCGGCTGCTTCCCTCTCACCTTCTTGCCCATGAACCCGTCTCTGGTCCGTCTTCTGTCGGTGTGGATCATGGCGAAGTTGACCTTGAGCTGGTCGGCCAGGGCCGTCACGCGCTTCGTTCCGCCGGGGTTTTTCGACACGACAACTGCCTCGCTGTAGTCCTCGATGTTCTGGCGGATCCAGTGGGCCAGCGTGGGGCCTGCGTACAGATTATCCACCGGCTTGGAGAAAAAGCCCTGCATCTGCGAGGCGTGCAAATCCATCGACACCACGTGGTCGGCGCCGGCCATAATCAGCAGATTGGCCAGCATACGCGCCGTGATGGCCCCACGGTGTTTTTTCATCTTCGATTGTTTGGAGTACGGGAACTGGGGGATGACGGCAGTGATCTTTGCTGCAGAACCACCCCTGCACGCAGAAATCAGAATGAGCAGCTCCATGATGTGGTCGTTGGTCTCTGGAGAGCCCGACTGGATGATGTAGACGTCCTCGTCTCTCACGGAAACACCTATCTGCACCGAGGTCTCTCCATTGGCGAATTTCTTGAGGGTGACTGGAGCAGGGTCGATGCCCAATTTCTCGCACACTAGCTGTCCCAACTTGGGGTGGGAGTTCCCCACAAACACCTTGCACTTTCTCATCTCGCTGAAAAGATGCTGGCTATGAGAACTGGTAAACTGGGTGGCGCTAATGGTGAATAAATATGCGCGTCTGGCACTGGCACTCTGGTAGATAATTAAAAATTTTTTGGGGTGTCTATATTAGGAAACCGGGCCGGAAATCAAATATTTTATATTATGTTATCTCTCCTTTATACCGAATCAGTACATATTCAGCTGCTTCTCGGTCATCGAGTACTTGATCCAGTTTGGCAGACAGTTCTGGTCGTACACGTCGGGAGGCGCAAAGTACCCTGGCTCGTGGTCCGTGGAGCACTTGTCGCTGTTAGGCGAGTTCTCGTATGGCGAGTGGTGGTAGCCAATGTCTCTGAACCACCACACCTTGCTCTTGTCCTCGAACAGCCCGACTCCCACAGAGTGCACGGGGGCGTCTCCCCATCTCTCGTAGTAGAATCCACCAGCGGCCTCCAGAGCGTCGAACCACTTCGAGTACGCCTCTCCTCTGTAGAAGTCCATATCTGCAATCTCGAAGTTCGACCAGAAATGGCACGTCGAGTATCCGCCTGCCCCGTTGGTGTTATGAGGGTTCTGCTGGTTCTCTGTCAGCCACTTGAACGCACCGTTCGGATGCACATACTCGGGATGGGCAAGACAGAAGTCAACAGTGGTCTTCCACAGGGTCTCGATCGTCAAAGGCTCGTCGTACAAGCTCACAGTGAAGCCGTACGTCAGCTCGTTGTCTCTCATGAATTTGAACACGTCGTAGTCCACCTTACAGAAGAAGTTCACGTTGGGCTCGACTCTCCAGTAGTATTTGAACTTCTTCAGGCCCTCCAGTCTGTAGAACCAGCCAGAGTTGAACCGACACATGTTGTGATAGCTCTCGAGACTGGCGTAGTTCACTTTGTTCGCAGTCAGCTTGGCAATGCCGTTCTTGTAGAGAACAGGGTCGATGTTCGCTGGCTTCTCCCAAATCGACTTGGGGATGATTTCGTAGTACACCTTGCCGGAACACACCTCCTCCACGCGTTTCTTGAACTCTGGAGTGAACTCCTCGTCGTTGATGAACGTGAACGGATAGTTGTAACGCCAGTTCCAGGTCTCCTCCAGCTGTCTGATCGACGAGACGATGCCCTCCAGTTCGGAGTTTCTCACGAGAGACAACAGAGTCGCGTTGGCCAGCTCGTAGCTGGTGTCGCCGTCCTGCTTGTGCACCAGCTTCATGCCCTTCGGCTCGTCGATCTTCTTGCTCAACACCTCTCTGTGGAACTTCATTTGCTCCTCCACAATCGTCTCTTTAGGAGTTCCCTCAGGGAACGCACCATTTTTGAAAGTCAGGGCCTGCTTCACCTCCTCAGCGGTCATTTTCTTGTTCTTGCTGGCCGTCTTTGTGATGTATCCTTGGAGATCGGTACGGTAGCTATCGAACATCTGAGAGGCGCCCTTCAGAGTTTGCGTCTCGCGTGCTGCGTGGAGCGTGAACCCTAAGATGAACACCAGTGCTACGATTCCGGCTGAGAGCCGGATAAACCGTTTATTAAGCAACATTGCAGTTAGGGTCCTAGCAAAATAGCGAGAAAAAAAACGTTTTGCTAAGAAAACAGGTATACAGGAAAAAAAAAAGTAATCCGTGTCTGGTCCGCCCACGCGTAATGTTCTATGCGTCAATTTAAGCGGACTCAAATCCGCACCGCGGAAACGGCAGAGGCCGGGACTCTCACCAACGGCTCATCTGGGGTAATCAGTGACTTCTGTTTATCACGGCTGCCAATTCTGCTGCACCCACATCCATGCTCTATGGCAAGACATTCCTAATTGATCGTAGACACAGCCAAGATATTAAAAAATAGTGGATCTATAAAATAGTAGAGCGTGCTGCTTCTGTGTAATCTTATGACACGCCGGTTTACACACTCGTCCCAGCGACGCGCGTCGCTTGTCTCAACGTCTGTGGGCAGACATGGGCTGTTTGTGCCCCAGGACCTCATCAAATCAGACGACTTCACGGCCGTTGTCAGCGACCAGGACCTTGAGGAGGACGAGCCACTGATCGAGACCCAGGTCCAGCAATACTCAGCGACACCAAGGGACATAACCGAAGAGGCAGAGCTGCTCGAGGCCAACCACTTTCCCATTAGAAGATACTCCTCCGTGCCTTCGGTTTCCGTGCCACCTGCCGAAGACCGCGAAGCTGTCAATGAGTCATGGGACAAGGCCCTGCGCGACGGGAAAATCACCACCACGCCTCTCTTTGAGCTCAAGAAGATGCTGATGTCGTCCGTGCCGCTCGTGATAACCTTCCTGCTCCAAAACTCTCTGGGTGTGGCCTCTATCTTTGCCGTGGGACATATCTCTCCCGAAGCACTCGCGGGAATCACCCTCGGAACCATGAGTTGCAACATTTCGGCCATTGCTGTCATCGCCGGCCTCGCATCGTCGCTCGACACGTTTCTGCCGCAGGCCTATGGAGCCAGAAAATACAAGGTCGTGGGCCTGATTTTCCAGCGTTGCACAGCTCTCATATTCACGCTTATGTTCATAGTCTGCATAGCATGGTGGATTTGGGCCGAGCAGGTTCTGGCAAAAGTCCTTCCGAACGCGGAAAGCGCCAAACTTGCTGCCACTTACCTGAAAGTCATCACTTTTGGATTGCCAGGCTATATACTTTTTGAGACAGGAAAAAGATTTCTGCAAGCCCAGGGAGTTTTCGAGGCGTCGACGTACGTTCTGTTTGTCTGTGCTCCTTTCAACGCATTGCTCAACTACTTGTTCGTTTGGGTATTTAAAATGGGATACATTGGAGCCCCCATCGCTGTCAGTGTGAACTATACGTTGATGGCTATTGGGCTATTTGGGTACACCATCTGGACGAAAAATGTCGCCAACCCTATGAAATGCTGGAACGGACTGACGCTGAGAAAGGCGTTCTCCAACTGGGGCGAGCTGGTGAAGCTTAGTATCCCCAACCTGATCATGATCATGTCCGAATTCCTGAGTTTCGAGATCCTCACCCTGCTGTCCAGCTATCTCGGAACAGTGCCGCTTGCAGCACAGTCTGTGATAACCACTATGGCTTCTCTCACCTACCAGGTGCCATACGGAGTTTCCATCGCCGCGTCTACCAGAGTGGCCAACTTCCTGGGTGCCCAGCTCCCACGAGAGGCCAGAATAGCTACCAAGATGGTTTTTGTGTTCACCGCAGCCATTGCCTTGATCAACTCGTCATTCCTGCTCTTTGACAGCCGGCAAATTGCGGGCTGGTTCTCCAACGATGCAGACGTAATCGAGGTGGTCGCCAAGGTGATGCCGCTGGTCGCTTTCATCCAAATATTCGACGCCATGAATGCAACCAGCGCAGGGTGTCTTCGGGGACAGGGCCTGCAGAGAATTGGCGGATACGTCAACCTGTGCTCGTACTATCTCATTGGTCTCCCGCTTGGGTTTGTGCTGAGCTTCTATGTCCCCAAGGGTCATCCTATGGGACTCTTTGGGCTGTGGACAGGCTGTGGAGTGGCCCTGGCGATAATTGGTGTCATCCAAACGTATTGCGCCCTTGCTGCTGACTACGACAAACTGGCCGCCGACGCGCTCAGACGAAGCGAAACAGACTAGGATAGCTGTGTAATTTCGTTCTTAATCTTAGCCAGCTGGACAATTAGTTTTAGCGAGTCTGCAAAATCAGACTGCGCAGTCCGCAGAGACAGAGGAACCAGTCCTCCAGAGAACTTTTTCAGCGACTTTGCGGACCCGTTTTCCTTGTCGCAGAGGACGATCTGTGCGTTTGACCAGTCGACGTCCACCAGTCGCTGCATTTCCCTGAGATCAAGGAAGTTTTGGTATTTTGTATTGCCTGCGTAATTAGCACGGGCGAGATCGACAAACCCGCGTTTGAGAACCTGCTCAAGCTTCTGGTGAACGTCGTAGTACTCCGAGATAAGGCCAAGCACCCTGACCTGTTTCTCTTGCGTAGGGGCGAGCTGCCTGTTGGAATTGACCGGATCCAGTAAATCAGCAGTCATTAAATATTTTACTAAATATTTCAACGTTCGTAATTCATCTATTATACATCCTCGTCAGCAATTTGCGGCAGACGCATTTGACTAAACGTCTTGGAGTATGGGGACGAGAAATCCAGCTCTGTGGCCATACTCAGTCTTGACAGCCTGCTGATGTTGGCCGCGTTCAACGCAATAAGAGTGTCCTCCGACTCCGAGTTGTGCTCGCTATCATCGTTCTCGTCCTCCGAAAAGGCACACGACAGAAGATACTCGCTGGTAGGCTTTCTGTTGCTTGGGCCACGGCCGTTTCTGACGTATTCCGGCGTTGACAGAAGCTCGAAAGTGAACGACGAGTCGCGCGAGTCGACAGGAGAGCCGATAGATGGCACTTTGCGGATGTGTGGTGGATCAGCAGGGGTTCTGTCTGCGGGCGTTTGCAAGAACTGCGGAAACTCGAATTTCTGGAGATGGACGTCTTCCTGATCAGAGCTGTCTTGAGACTCTCTGTTGCTTTTGGCAGAAAATTGAGAGTTCTCTGAGTAGTCTGAGGATCTGTAGAAATCCGTCTCCGATTGCTCCTGAGGAATAGATGGCAGTCGGTCACTGTATTTGAGCATTCTCATGGGGCTTTCCTGGATGGAAGGCGCCAGCGAGCTGAGGGTCGATATCGAGGTGGAGCGGGTGAACGTGGAGTTGGCTCTGCTCAGAAGCTGCGAGGCAGAGGACGTGGAGTTCACTCTGTAGTGTCTGGACGACGGACGCGACTGCGGTTCCACGCTGCCGACCGTGTTTGGCGAGGTTCTGAAGGACGACACGGCCAGACACGGCGGAGACTGTTGTGGAGCCGTTTTCAGCACTTTTGGCAGCAAGCTCAGGTCAGCCTCCTTGAACGCCTTGTCCAGACCAAAGGCGTCCTTCTCACTGAGATGGGACATGTGGTTGAAACCGAACGGCGTGCTGATCATCAAAGGAGACTTTTTGCGGCCCTTGGCGAAGTCAGGCTCAAGGTCAAAGTAGTGGAGGATCTGTGCGCTCTTGGTTTGGAGGACGCGAAGGACCTTGTCCTTCTTCCTGGTCGAAGGCTCGTCCAGCCACAGCGACTCTAATTTTGGAGAGCGAGACATGAAAAACTGAGAAGAGGCGTTTATGTGCTTTATATCCGTGTGAGCAGTCAGCACGGCGCGCTTTCTCCAAAGGGGTGGAAAAAAGATATGAGCAGGGATGCGTACAATAGAGGACAATAAATAATTGTCGGCACAATAGCTGAAAATTGGGGCCTGATAGGAGGAATTATTCGCGGCCTCTGCGAATTTGCGGCGTTACAGAACCCAAAACGGGTTTGCTACACACACAGGGCGCTCATACGTGTGACTCCACGGCCCACAAAATGCAGCTCCAAACTTGTCGCAAGTTTGTAGCAGAGTTGGAGCACCGTTAGCCGGGCATTTGAAAAAAAAAACCTACGTGTGCTTTTTCTTAATTCGGAAATAATCCAAACGGGAAGTCTAATTAGGAGCCTAAAGGGATAACGGCGGTGTGACGCACCAAAGTCACCGCCAGACAATAGGAAATTACTTTATTTTCAGTTTAATGTACCGGTTCCTGGCTAGAACCACAAAGTTATCGTCGAAAGATTGCCAAACGATCGCCAAAACCTACGCACTTGTTAAAAACCATTAATTTACCCGTTAACCTTCCAAACCCTCATAACGCTCGTCTACACGGCCACAGCCACGGCATGCACAGGACACTCACACGCACCTTTACGGTTAATCCAGTCCTTGATGCATTTGTAGTGAAAACAGCAAAGACACTCTAGTCTGCCAACCTTATCCCCCGCGTGGAACTCCTCAAAGCAAATAACACACTCATTATCCTCGTTGACTCGAACGTTGGCGTCCAACGTGTACACCAGCATTCTGTTTGTTTGTCGCCTGGAGTCTGGCGAGCCGGTGAACTCCAAAAAGTGCAAGCAGTTGTTGATGTGCTGTTCGCGGCCAGCATCTGTCTCGTCAGACAGATCGATGTTGCACACGGGACACAGACTCTCGTCGTTGTCCAGGTCTAAGGTGTTTTCTCTAGCGGACGAGTTCTTGATCATGTTGATCGGCTCGCTCCTGTGGCCCAGTCGTTCCAGCTCTGCAGCGCACTCGTCGCACGTTCTGTGCGGTACGTGGGGGGTTTCCAGAAAAATCTGGGACTGCGGCGACACAACGTAGGTGTTGGGCAAGTAGCACGTAAACACAGAAGAGCAGTCGCCACAGACCACCCGGCCACACTTCCGGCAGTGGTGTCTGCGGTTGAAAAACGTGAACTTGCGATGGCACAAGGGGCACTCCCGTGCGCTTTCATCCGGCTGCCACAGGGGAACCCCCTCCGGCACCACTCTTGCCCCTTGAGACATCGCCGATAAGCCTGATTGATGGGGAAAAATAATTATTCTCTAGTACTTATTTGCATCTATCTATAATGAGGAAAAACACCCCAGACCTAGAATTTTTCGTGTGCCCTAGCAAGATATCTATTTTTCAGGCAGTAGATCAGCGACCCCAGAACAGTGAGCGCCACACCGCTCAACAGGAATGTGTATGTGGAGCAGATGACAAGGTTGTCATTTGTAGAGTTTGCACAGTTGCGCGTGTAGTCAGTGCCGTAGACCAGGTTTAGCAGCATGTTACCGATGATGGAGCAGCACGAAAAGATCCCGTAGGTTGTTCCCAAAATCTCAAACCCGTAAACTGCCGCCAGCACTGCCGGGAAAAGCGTGTATAGACCTGAATTAAGAACGGCATTCAGCACCACAATCACGTTGATGTGCAGTCCGGGAATGGGCCAGCTGGACAGGTACACATGGCCCAGTCCGCACATGACTATCAAACTTGCGAGGATGCTCAGACGCGAGACGCCGTATTTCGCGCACACGTGATCGGTGGCCACCATAATCACGAAACGAATTACCGTCGACGTAATGGAGTAGAGCTGCAGATTGTAGTCTAGCGTGTTTTGGTCCAGAGAGGACAGGATCGAGCTGAGGTTTGTGAGGAAGAACTCTGTTGCGCCGACGGCCATAAAGAACGCCATGTTCAGAGGGTACATGAGCGGATCTCTGAGAAAACGGGCAATTTTCTGCTGATACGTGACACTGGAGGCAGACATCTGGTCATCCAGTTGTACGTATTCGAGGTCCTCTGTAGCAATGGCAGCTTTTGGAGAGCCCAGGACCGCACTGCCTCCTGAAAGCAAGGGAGACGCGTTGAAGTTGCTGAAATGCTCTATTTCGTGCTCGTTCTTTTCCGTTCGGTCGGTGATCTTGCAGCCCACGAGTGCGAAGATGCTGCTTGCGCAAAGCGTGATCATAAAAAACCGCAATTTCTGCTGGAATGCTCTGGTGGGGTCTGATTCGTCAAACCAGTTTTGCAGCATGTGGATCTCGAGGAAGGTGGAAAACGCAATCATCAGGTTTGGCGTGCCGATAGCGAGTGTAGTATAGTATTTTCCAAGGGAGCGCGCGCAGTTGAGCAGGCAGCTGAACAAAAGACACGTGTGAGCACACCCAATCAGAAAAAAACTGATGTACACGGGGATGGGATCAAGCACCTCGTTTTGGTAAATAAAGAGAACAGAGGAGAATCCCAGCAGATAACAAGCGAGTGCAAACAGACTGAGGATCCAGGGCCCTTTGAGGTCGGCAATGAGCCCACAAAGGGGCGTGAACCCATTCAGACCCAAAGTCTGGGCAATAATGATGCTGTTGATGGTGATTGCGGGTATCGGAGCCGGCTCTGCAAGGGCTGGGTGAATATAGAGAAAAGTGCCAGCACACCCAAGGACAACGAGCCGATCAAGGACAGCCCAAATGCCAGCGTGTAGGAGCGCACATGAGGTTTCATGGGGAAAGCAAATAGAGGGACAAAAGTTTTTCCGTCACCATGGAGCTTAAATCGTGATCGGGGGACCGATAAGCAATGATAAATCGACGCGGGCGGCGATCGACGCGACGAGGTAATTTTTCTGACAGCATTTATCGTACATTTATTTTATTTTTATCTACACCATGTCGTTGGAAGGAGCATTGGAGGAAGAACGCCAATTAATTGCGCAGATCTTAGAGCGCCAGAAAGCCGGAAGCGCCGGAACAATGAGGGGTCGCGGGAGAGACGCATCACCCGGTGCGCAGCGCGCACATTCGAGGGGACTATCCAGTGTGAGGAGGTCCCTGAGTCGTTCCAGCTCCAAGGACCCTGACGCTAAGTATGCAATTACCGCACACGACCCGTCCGAAAGACTGCGGTCGCCTTCTGGGTCACGGGTGAATGAGAGCGAGGACGAGCTGCAGGGTCTGGATAATGCCTCCAGCAGCGACGAGGAGCAAATAAGCGACACAGACTCTGAATTCGAGGTCGACGACGGCGGTAAAGTGCTTCCGAACTATGCGTCTTATTCACCCGACGAGGTGCTGGACGATAAGCACAGTTTTGGTCGCAAAGTGACGCCCAAAGACGAGTTGAGCCATATCAATAACCGCAAACTCGTGAAAGATGCCATCCAGGCCGAGAAGCTTGACGAGCTGCTGGCAGCGGAACGGGCTCTGGCAAACGCCAAATCTATTGGGCGTCAGGTCCCCCATGAGTTTTTGGAGAAGATTGAGGAGGACGCCAAGAAGGTCGGCACACACATCCACTACGACCCGGAGAAATTCTATCAGGACAACACGGGACGCAAGGAAAAATTACAGGAGTACGCCATTTACAAGAAGAAACTTGTCTCGCCGGAATACTTCTCTGCGAAAGACGGCTTCTCGGTGCCTTACACGAGCGATGTGGAGGAGAAAGCTGACACCGAGTTGGCTCGCACTCTGAATGAGCATGTGGTCGTATCAGAGATTGAATCCAACCTCAGCAACCAGATGGCCATTCGGACAATTACGAGGGGAAAATTCTTCGAATTATCCAGAAAGGACGGCAGGGAGGCTCCTCAAATGTTTGTGTTGTGCATGGACTTTTCCGAGGAATCGAAATACGCTCTGGAATGGTGTATCGGCACAGTCCTGGTGGACGGGTCTGTGCTGTACATTTTGAATGTGATCGAGGATGACGACTACTCGTCGATGAACTTAAACGGTATTCAACCCAACGGGTCACACCAGTCTGAGACCAGAGAGGAAAAGCTGTCGAAAGCTGCTCGTGAAAAGCTGCGTATCCAGAACGTTGAAGAGATCACGCGCGAGACGCTGAAGTTGCTCAAACTCACCAAACTTCAAGTCCACATCGTCATTGAGTCGTGCCACCACCCGATCCCCCGCCATTTCATGGTGGAAGTTATAAAACACATCTCGCCAACACTGGTGATAGTCGGCTCGCGCGGCACTTCTGCTATAAAAGGAGTGCTACTAGGGTCGCTGTCAAACCATCTGGTGCGCAAGAGCACGGTGCCAGTCATGGTGGTGAAGAACAAGCTGAAAAAGCTTACCAAAAAAGGAAAACAGTTCAGCAACAACATTTCGACGCTACACAGTCTTGCCGAGGCCAAGGTCGACTGAGCGCTTTTTCTTTATCTACACGCACCCGTGCACCAGTGTTTATCGACGTCCCCTCATGTTGTTTTGGTTCAACATTTTCTGCGTAGGGGAGGGGATTTCTGCTCAGAAAAGGGGCTTTCACATAGCGCCATGTATATATAGCTGCCGAGCACGTCTAAATCATGCTGTTGATGTTGCATACTACTGTTTTCCCAGCAAATTAATAAAAAAACAGCCGTCGATCGACCCGTCGCTATGAATTACTACCAGAATTTCAAGGCCACACATAACCTAATCACCTCAACCTTTATAAATTATTCATCCGCATCCCCCATTGCTGCAAACACAGTCAACAACGCTGTCGTTTTGCAAAACAAGCTTCTACAGCGTCTTCACAACAGCCTTTCGTTTTTGAGGTACCAGATCCCAAACCCTCCACAAGTGGGCCACGATCTGGATCATAGATTCGCCAAACTCGTGAACAGCCACAGGATGGAGTCACGATATTTAATTAATCTACGAAACTACCAGCCTCGGTACAATGCCGGGTCCCAGGTTTCTGTCTGGCATCGCCTGCCAGCAGTGAGAAGATCGTCGGTTCTTGTTCTTTTGTTTTTGGGCAGACAGGGAGAGTTGCGCGTGATCCTGACAAAAAGATCGCACAAGCTCAGAAACTTTTCAGGACACATTTCTCTTCCTGGTGGCAAAGTTGACTATCCGCTGGAGTCTGAGTTTCAGTGTTCTCGCAGAGAGGCTGAGGAAGAGATCGGGATTCACCGCGATAACCGGTTCTTGAAAGAAAAGTTTGGGTATGAGGTCGAGGAACTGAAGGTGATGCCTACGTATCTCGCAAGGACACTACTGGGAGTGTCACCTTGCGTGGCGTTCATCAACTGGAGCGAGTCCAAGCTGGGAAGCATTGAAGATCAGCACATTGGCAACATCATGCTCAACCCTGGTGAGTCCTCATCGATCTTCAGCGTGCCCCTGAAGGATTTCTTGCAGCCTAAACCACGCAGATACGAGCTCAAGGAGTGTCTTAAACAATCATACATCAAAACCAAATGGGCTGGTATTCCGTGGAATTTGCGGTCGTTCATCTTCCCTATTCACAACGACAACGAGGTGAGATGGCTGGAGGAGATCCAGGATTTGTCGTCCGAAAGCGAGGACGAGACCCAGGAGGACCATGAGTTTGGCGTGCGCACGCGAAACTGCTGGGGTCTGACGGCCAACATATTGCACGACCTTGCCGAGATTGTCTACACTGGAGAGAAATACTACGATAATGTGCTGGGAGAGGAGGATTTGATATGGGCTTTGATCCAGAACGGCCAGATGCAGACAAAGCAGCGTTCTGAGTTTGAGAAAAAACTAATAAACAACACCAAAGGGTGTTCATTCAAGGAATGCATGAGCTCGGAAGAATTCATCAATCTTAAAAACTTATACAGTACTATCTAACGAACTGCCGCATTTATAACTTTCCGTATGGATCAACATTGGGCTCCAATCCCATGTGCTCAATGTAGTGGACTGCCTCGTCGATGTATTGCTTTTTGACCTCCTTGCTCCAGCCGTACTCCTCGGCCATTATGTCGGCAACTTCGTCAACACATTGGAGCGCCATCTTGGAGTCCAAAAAGGCCAGTCTACACCGTCTGGCCAAGAAGTCCAGCGGCCGTCTGGCGTACTCATACGCCATTGCGTAACGTAGTTCTGCTCTAGTGAACGGATGATCGAAGTTGGCATAGGTTGGCGGGTTGGTCAGGCCCAAAGGCTCGGCATTCTGAGGGTCCTTGAACATACCAACAATCATGGCAGCACGGTCTCCGTAGTTGCTGGCCAGATGGATGGCCATTTTGTCCGTCAGTTTATAAAGCTGGGCCAATCTAGCAGACAACGAGTCGTCGTAATTGACGGCTCCAACTAGCTTGTGGTGTCTGGTGGAACAAGGCTTCAACTGTTTGGTCTGGAACTCGGGAGTGTCCTTGATGACCTCGTTGATAACCTCCTCTGCCATTTCTCTATAAGTAGTCCATTTACCACCAGAGATGGTGATCAGTCCATTAGGTGAGTGATAAATCAAGTGGTTTCTAACAAGTCCCTGGGTGGAGTTGATGTTACCTGCGTGCACCTTCTTAGGGTCTCGGACAAGCGGTCTGACACCACACCAGGCACTCAGGACATCTTCTCTCTTAACCTCGAATTTGACGTAATGTTGCAGCTCTTTCAGAATATCATTAATTTCAACCTCTGTAGCAACAGGGTTTTCCGGAATCTTTTCTAGGGGAACGTCAGTGGTTCCTGCCAAGACTTTTCCTTGCCAAGGCAGGAAAAACATCACACGTCCGTCGGATGTGGAGGCGTCGAGAAGTCCCATGTCTCTGGCACAGTACCATTCTGGAAGAACGATGTGAACACCTCCAGAAGGAACCACCATCTTTGGGTGCTTCAGAATTTCAGGATCTGGCAGGCCGGATGGCGACTCATCCATAGACAACAGTGCGTCAGAGTAAGGGCCTGTCGCACTGACGATGGCATCGGCTGCAACCAAGTATATATTATTGGTCTCGCAGTCCACAACGCGCACACCTTTGCTCTTTCCTTCCTCGTTCTTCAAGATCTGCTTGACCTCCATGTAGTTCAACACAGTGGCACCGTTGTGGATAGCAGTCAAGGCAAGAGTGACGTTCATCCGCGAGTCATTAAATAAACCGTCGTGGTAAACAAGTCCACCGACAAGACCTTCAGGGTCCAGTTGTGGGTGTTTGTCCAGAAGACGGTTCTTGGTCATAATGTAGGAGAATCTCAGGTTCTGGGAACCGGCAAAGAGGTCATACAGCAAACAACCAGCATAAAAGTACGGCATCTGCCAGTACTTGTAAACAGGGATGGCAATAGGAAGACAGTGAGCTAGATGAGGCGCGTTGTTGAGAATGGACGCTCTCTCATTCAACGCCTCGATGACAAGGTCCAGCTGGGCCTTGGAAAGCTGGAAAATGGCCTTTTCTAAGTACCGGACTCCTCCATGGGCCATCTTGGTAGACTTGGAGGACGTTCCAGAAGCAAAGTCATTCTTTTCGACCAACAAAACATTCAAGCCGCGAAGGGTGGCGTCCAAGGCGGCGCCGGTACCAGTAGCGCCTCCGCCGACGATGATCAGGTCAAACTTGGCGGCGGCGTCCTTGGCGGAAAAATTTTCGGCCGGACTGGTGACAGGTTTCCCCAGTTTTTCCAGCAAGTCTTTTCTTGCGGGGGGCTTTTCTACGTCGGTCACGATGGGCGGGAACTTGCTCTTGTAGTCCACAAACGTCTCGTTGTGTGCGGTTTGTATATAGAGGCCTCCCAGAGTCAGCGCCAAGGCTGAACAGACTCCGATTTGGCCAAATCTTCTTGCTTGTCTAAAAGACATAATAAATCATCTAAACTCGAGAAATATGAGAAAGTTGCGGAAATACATTTCTCCAAAAATTTCCCCGTTTACCCTGCCCCTCGCATTTTTTCTTGCGCGATCACGTCCTCGCCAATCGACTGCCGAACCTCTTCCCGAAATAGTAAGTTTGTATCGCCGTACCCCAGACTAATTTCGTAGGCCCGCACGAGCCGGATCTCGTTGATTCCGATGTTGCACTGGCTCAAGCTCAGCAGACAGTTCTTGTATCTCGATATGGTGTCCTTGATGCTGGCCGAGAGCGCGTCGTTCTTGTCGCTGTATATGTCCCAGGAGGACTCCTGTTCCAATCTCGTGATAGATACACTACCTTGCCCGGGCTGATAATTACCGGACGCCGCAGAAGACAACTCTGCATTAGTCTTAGCGGTGGAAGCAGAGTGATCTGCAGCAGAAGAAAGCGGAGTTTTGTAGATCCAGCAGTAGCCGTTGACACCCAAAATGATGCTCACATTCCCGGGCAAGTCGTGAGAATGGTTTTTCGCTCTCACAATCAGTTTTGAAGGCACCGCAACAAACACGCCGTTTCGAAGTTTTCCGTATTTCAGCGAGCGCGTATGCAGGGAGGCGCTGCCGTCCGAAAACAGCGATTGCACCTCGGCGTTTAGCAGGTCGCCTTCCTTTAAGAAATTACGCATCTGTAACTCGTCGCTCTCGGATTTCCTTCTCAAAATACCTCCGGGCAGGTTGACCGATCCCAGCATAAGCACCGCGTCGTGTTCACCTCCGATGTCCACTTTCCATCTTTTCTGTCCAACATCGATAATTCTGCCCACCAGATGGTCTCCCGTTTCTGGTGAGTATCTGCCTTTGAAGGGCACCACGCTCAGCAGCTTGTTCACCTTGAGAACGGTTCCTGCGACTGAAGAGTATGTCTTGTCGTTTAGAAAGTACGTCCCGTGGCCGCGCATCCACGTCGGATCGTCCGTGATCAGCTCTCCCGGAGTGACCACCGACGACCCAGCCTTGGTGTCGCTAGCTTCTGGCTTTGACGGCACACTAATGCTGATTATCATTGTAGTTGGTTTTTTTTTTTTGCACCTGAAAAAAAAAATATTCCTACTTCACTAAGGTGTAAAATAATATATACGCGTTCTGATCTCCAATTTCCTCCTCGTACCGACACACACTGAGCCGGTCGTCGTCGCACAGAACCCATTGGCCGCTGCGATGAATGACGTTGGTGTAGTGGCCGGACCCTATGGAGTCGCCCAAATGGTCTATCCAGCCACTCAATTTGTAGCCGTAGGCAATCTCTTTATCGTGTCTTTTGATCTTGAAATTTAATCTCTTTGGGAACCGAAGTTTGATGTTCAGCTTGTTTTGGTATGGGTCAAACTTGGCGAGGTAGATTGTCAGGATCTGGGGTAGTTTGATGAAGTTGGACGATCTGTACGACACGTTCGGCTGGCTCAAGAACGCTTTCAGCTCAGCGTAGCGGCCTGTCTGGTAGTCGTTCATTGTAGCGTGCTCTTCTTTCTTGAATTTGAAAAACCCTCGTTTTTTTGATTCCTGAGAGGAGACCATTTCCTCGAGCTGTTGCAGCTCAGCACTTAATTTCTCGCATTTCGGACAGTTCCACGCATTCCCAAGCCGGTCAGATAATTCTTCAGCCTCGAGATTTCGTAAGATAAGATCGTTCAGGTAGTATTCGTTTCCGTTCAAGTTCAGGTTCATCATCGACGAGTTATCGTAATTCAGCGACACATAGCCACAACGTCCACACCTGAGCTTCGTTTCTTGCTGTATTTGGAATAGCTTGTTGATTGGAGACACTCCTTCCGACTTGAGCAGCTGCGCGTTCCAAGAAAGGTATTCCTTGCTGTTGCTATAGTCCGTGAATGGGTCTGTCTCAGGGTTATTCGTCTTGAAGCTCTGCCGATTAGCGGGCGAGTCATCAATGCGCAGCTCGTCATGCAATCTGTTGAGAATAAAGTACAGAAACTGAGAGGTGTCCTGTTGTTCATGGGGGATTTTGAGATCTGGTTTGAGATTTGAGCATAGCCTCACAAAGTTGTTGGGACGAACAACTGCGTGGCCGTTGGCGTAGAAAAATTCGTTAAACAATGCGTAGAATGCGAGGACAAGCGAGTTGTCGTTGGACCGTAGGATCGGCTGGAATCTGGACGGATCCATCATGAAATTGCGGAAATAGGACAAGTTAAATAGGCACTGGACCATGGAGTTGATGTAACACGTGCTTCCATAGTTGTGAAGTCTCACCAAAGGAAGAGATAGCCCGGGAGGAAGAGACGGAGCTGAGCTGCGGAAAGAGGTGGCAGGCTTGGATGGCGTGGAAATGGTTCCTGTAAATGTTTTCGCTTGGTCGTTACCAAACAGCTGCAACCAACGTTCAAAGCCTCCTTCCAGGGTTCTTGGCTCGACCTTGATATTTCCCCATCTTTTCCGTTTCTCGATGGCGCTTTCCACTAAGTTGAAAACGTGTTTGGCACCTTGAGGCTCACCAAACACAACGACAAAAGTGTACTGGTTGAAAGACGCGAGCTTTGCCGAGAAGTCTATGTTTCCTACCTGGAGACAGAAAACAAGGTCCTCGAAATCATGCACTGCTTGCACGCTTTCCGGCTGGATGTTGATGATGTCGTCGTGCTCTATGTGCGATTTCAGAAACTTGTCAAAGGTTCGAACATCTATCAAAAGTATTTTCTCCTGCAGATCAAATAGACGAGTCGATAGCTCATCGCAATCGAAACTCAGTTGATCCGCCACTGGGTATAAATCCCGATTTATGTCCGACTCGATAAGACTTGACGCTTCCTCCATCGCAAGATCCAATAGCTCCCTGTATTTGCTCTTGTTCAATATCTGTTGCGATACGTTGTTCAGGGTCCCTATAAATCCTTGATCCTCCTGGTTTCTGACGTCGGCACGGTCTAATATGTATTTGAGAATAAAGTAGTTGTACGTATACAATTGGATCACCATACTGGGGTCCTCGAAATCTGCCAGAGCCTTGAGACCATTCAGATAGTTTGTTGAGATCTCTATCCAGTTGATGATGACTAGATCTGTGGCACGTGAGTTGAATGGCCTGTCCTCGGCGAGAAGAGAGCGTGATCGGAGCCTGTCATTGCGCTGAACAATCAATTGGAACTGGCATTGGACTATGGATTTAATTTCCTCTACTGATAAAGTGTCCATAAAAAAATAAATGGATACTAAATCAGTTCAAAGCATGTTAGTGACTAAAAAAAAATATTTGGAAAAAAAAAAAAAAATAACCACCCGGATGACCAGAAAGGCCACCACTAATATGATCGACCATCTGGCCGTGACAGAGTCTCTGGGGTATAAGGTCTTCCGGAAGCAGACTCGGTCATTATGGACGGACGAAAAAGACGAGGCCCTCAAAAAGGCAGTTATCGAGCAGTTTCTCAAACGGGAAAAGCTGGAAAAGTACGATAAACAACGCATAAAGCCCGATTGCATAGATTGGGCCGCCATAGCCGAGATGTTCCCAGAATTCAGTGCGATGCGCTGTCGCAAGAGATGGGTGAGCGCATTAGACCCACGGCTGCGACGCGGAAAGTGGACTCCAGAAGAGGACCAGCAACTGTTGAAGGCATATCAGGAAGTCGGGCCGGTTTGGGCCAAAGTTTCAGAGCGCGTCGAGGGACGAACAGAAGACCAGTGCTCTAAACGGTACATCGAAGTTTTGAACCCAGAAAACACCGACAGAACAAAGCCATGGAGCCTGGAAGAGGACTTGCAGCTCATAAAAAGCGTCCAGATACATGGTACCAGGTGGAGAACCGTGGCGACTGCGATTCAGGGACGCCCAAGTCTGACGTGCAGGAACCGCTGGAGAAAGATCATGACCGATGTTGCGCGCAAACAGGCCTCGAGGCCGATCATGGTAGCCGTGGGAGCTATCGAGGCTACAGGGGAAGACACCGATCGAATACCAAACAAGGGACCAAGCCCCGAACTTCATCATCTGCCTCACAAGCTGCCACAAGTGAGCTTTCAGCGCCAGCCGCTTGCCAGGCCAGGAAACGGGTTGTCCCCCGGCAGATCGAACACGGAATGGCGGTTCGACATGCTGGATCCGAAAACAAACGAGCCGATCAGAAATTTCCACGGGACTATACAATCGCAGGAACAGGTGCACCAGATCATCGATCTCGCCAAGTTCAACGGAGTCAACATCACCATCCACCAGCACATTCACCACCACTACAGTCCCCAGACATCAGCTCTGGATCCAACCACGTCTCTGAACCGATACTCGCACTTCAACTATCTTCCGCCGTTGACAGAGGTTCCCAAGCTCACCTCTCACTCGCCAAGAGACAACACCACCGAGTCCAATAGCAGCAGCACGCAAACGCGGGGTGCAAAAAGCACGCCTCCTCACACGACCGACGAAGAAGAAGAGGACGTGGAGGAGGACCAGGATTTCTGGGAGTCGATGAGGTCGCTGACCCAGCCCACCGCGCCGACCGTCTCTAGCAAACCCGTCTCCAGACACCACCCTCTGCATTACCAGGACAAGTATGTCACCGAAGTGACGGAGTACTCTCACGGGGTGGCGGAGTCACGTGCTGAGGAAGAGGAAGAAGAGCTGGACGACGACTACGGATACGGCTGGTCGTACATGTCTCGGAAAAGCCAGGCCAACAGCGAGCAGTACGTGATGCCGTTCAATCCGTCGTGACGAATGAAGGGGTGTAAATTAATAATATAATCTGAGCTAGATAGACCAATCTGCCGCGAATCACTTTCTTCTGAAGAAGTAGGAGCTGGACATGAACTCGGTGCTCTGATTGTACAAGTAGTCGCCGAGCTCCAGGTATTTGTACGCGTATTTTTCGAGCTCTGGCTGGTTCAGGAGCTGCACGTTGGGCTCGATTCCTGTATTTTTCTTGACACCGGCGAGAAAGCCAGCTAGCAGGGCCAGGTCGACAGAGACGTGTATTGCTTTGGAGATCTGAGGTTAGAGGAACAGATGGTATTTTACTTACGAGAGCCATGAAGATATTTGAAACAACGATAAGAATCAGGGGAATCGTGGTCAAAAAAATGAAAAAATACAACCACAGCCAACGGGAGCGGCCGAATTGGGATTCGCCAAGAGCGCAGATATTTAGATACAGGTCTCACGCAATTGTCTGATCAGAGGAACAGCACCTTTATGTTAGGGAACTTTTGCTTGCAAGCCTCGTAAATTCTTCTCCGTCCGGCTCGCTCCACACTCGTACCAAAGTAATTTTTTTTAAAATTTCTATCTTGTTGAAAACATGTCAGGACCGCCTAGATTCCAGCGTTATGACAAGCGTCATTACAACGACGAGTACTACGACGACCGCTATTACTACCGCAATGACTACTACGGCCAGGATCAGCGATATTACTACGACGAGCCCAGACTTCCAACCGGTCCGCGTGCGACCACAGCTCCTAGAGGCAATGCTCAACCGACTTTCAAGAGAGCTAAAGTCAGCAACAAGAACGTAATGGAGGAGGAGGAAGAAGATACATGGCAGCCAGAAATGCTGTTCATGCGTCACGTGGACATCAAGGGCCCTGTTTTCGAGCGAATAAACCAGGTTGGAGAAGGAACATATGGAAAAGTGTACAAGGCGAAAAACAAAATCACCGGGCAGCTGGTAGCGCTCAAACGTTTGCGACTGGAATCCGAACGCGAGGGCTTCCCAATTACTGCGAGCCGGGAGATTGGCCTTTTGCAGTCTTTCGACCATCCGAACATCGTTGGACTGAGCGAAATGATGGTGGAAAAAAATGCTGTCTACATGGTTTTCACATACATGAACCACGACCTGGCAGGTATTCTTCAGCAGGCCGAGATTGTGATCAGCGACGGCGAGAAGAAGAATATTTTCAAGCAGCTTTTGCGCGGCATCAACTACTTGCACACCAAAAAAGTTATTCACAGAGATATAAAGGGCTCCAACATTTTGCTGGACGAGAAAGGAGTGCTCAAGATTACAGACTTCGGGCTTGCGCGACGCATGAAGAACATCAACAGCAACGTCGAGTCGCCAAACTACACTAATAGAGTCATCACCTTGTGGTACCGTCCGCCAGAGATTTTATTGGGGTCCACAGACTACGGACGGGAGGTGGACATTTGGGGCATTGGCTGTTTGCTGATCGAGCTGTTTACACGACATGCTATCTTTCAAGGAACAGACGAAGTTGATCAGTTGTGGAAAGTGTACGATATCATGGGAACGATAACTACCGAGGAATGGCCAGATTGCGACAAGTTGCCGTGGTTTGAGATGCTACGACCGAATAGCCACAAGCCGTCGCTGTTCAGGTCCAAGTTTGGGTCTCTTTTGAGCCCGCAGTGTTTCGACCTGGCCAGCAAACTGTTGTCGAAAAACCCGAAAACCAGAATTAGCGCGTCAGAAGCTCTAAGACACCCGTACTTTATGGAGGAGCCATTAGAACAGAAGTTGCAGTTTTTGAGCAAGATCGAGGGCGAATGGCATGAGTTTGAGGCAAAGAAAAAGCGCAAGCTGTTGCGGGAGGCAAAACAAAAAGAGATGGCAAACGTGTCGGGCTAAATCTGAGCGGTAAACATATATGGCCAGATTTGGCTTTTTAAAAAGATCCACCGCATTTCTTGTGAATCAACCCTATGAGATATATTTCGTTGCTTATCTTAGGCTTCGGCCTCCAAACTGCCAACTGCCAAGAGTCCAATAATGAGCATTCTGCTGCTACCATATATAATGAGGAACATTTTGGCCCGCAATTTTCTGAGTGTGCTTCCCAAGTTTTTAGCGATGTTAGCGGATCAGAACTGGAAGATAATGATGAAGGCCGTTGCCAATTACACAGGGGCGTCTTTGAGAAGTGTTCTGGCGATTTGGAACACACCGATCCGATGTACTACTTTGTTGCAAGACTGTTGAAAGACGAGTACTGCTGGGCGGGACAATCAGATTCTGCAGAAGTCGCCATCGGCGAAAGACTCCTTGACCACATTGTGCGGATCCTGAGCAAGGGGACACGGAGAGACCTGAAAGTGTTTTTCGAGACCACCGAGGTCGATTCGCCTGCTCGGTTGACCAAACGCGGCAACCCGTTCGAGTTCAAAATCAGCGAGGATAAAAAGTCAACGAAGAAAGGCGAACAGAAAAGCTCTGAGGATGAGGCCAAGGCCAGGGCTCTGGAGAGATACATCAATCAACGCATCGAAAAGGCCAAGGCCGAAAAGTCCAGACAGTCGGACGGCAAAGTGGTTGACGAGGCCAGAAAGCTGACCAGCGTTTCCAAGCCGAATTTCAAGACCACTCAGGTGGACAAAAAGCCCAAGCCAACGAGTCCTGCAAAACCAAAGAAACAGGGTAAGAACAACGGCAAGAAAATCCAGCTTGCTGCCACACTGACCAGCGATCCGCCGGAAGCTGCGAAAACCGCGCAGGTCAAGGCAGACAGCCTTGAAGTCTCTGACCAAGGCCTCTTTGACAAAATCCGCGACAAGATCGAAAAACACAAGGGCCATTTTGACGGCGATGACTGCGACGACGAAACTCCTCCTGAGACTGTGGAGGTGACGACGACACAGGTTAAGAAAAAGGTGCGCACCCAGACAGAAACGGAGACAGATTACGACACCGAGACGGCAACAGACACCACAACGGTGTACAAAATTACGCATCTCCCAACCACAATGTACCAGTTTCTGACGAAGCACAAGTGGGAGATGCTCACCAAGACCGCGTACGAGTACGTCACCGACACGGAGTACGACACAGTCACCAAAACCTGTCTCAGTATTGAGACCACGACAGAAAAAGAGCTGGACATTGTGCATACAACCAAAACGGTTGCAAAAAAGACCATCACCAAGTACGACACAGACACGGAAACAACGACAGAGACAGAGATCGAGTGCAAGACCACGACCAAGGAGAAGACCAAGACGGTGCCTACGACACAGCTATCCACCACTACACAGACGGCCACGACTACGCAGACCACCACGATCACCACTTCGATCACCGGTTCTGGTTCGGTCACAACGACGTCGACCGTGACGCTGTTCAACGAGTTCACGTCGCGGTTTTGCTCTATTCTCGGCCGCCTGGGTGTCGACTGTCCGTCGATTCCGCTGCCTACTCTGGCTGCCATGCAGCTACAACAGCGTGATTTCGCAGAGCCGACGGGCATTGCCTACACGGAGTATTTCCACGGGCCGATTTCAGCTCCCACCACTGCTGCGGAGGCTAGCAGGCTGTCCACCACGGCCAGAGTCACTGGATCCAAAAACTCCACCCTGCAAACTAGCACGGTGGGTGCATCTTCGACGGCTAGAAACGTGACGTTCCACAACGCGGCGGGCGCGGCGCCGGACTCGAGTCTGTCTGCCGTGGTGAGCGTTGTGGGTGTTGCATTTGCCGTCCACTGTTTTATGTTTGAGTAATCTCTTTTCCTTTCTCATTGCTTCTCTATAGCTACATCTTAGCACGGAATAGACGTGTGCTGCTCAATAAAATTTTATTCAGAAAAAATCGATTTTTTATTCCTTTTCTTCACCACCATGGCTTCTATTGGTATCGCTTTTGGTAACTCCACGTCGTCGATTGCTATTGCCAACGACGACGGCAAGATCGATGTCATTGCTAACCCTGACGGTGACCGTTTCATTGCCTCGGCGCTTTCGTACGTCGGAGAAGACGAGTACCACGGCGCGCAGGCCCAGGCCCAGCTCGTGAGAAACCCTAATTCCACCATCGTCAACTTCAGAGACTACATTGGTCTCCCATTTGACAAGATCGACCCTACATACTCCCAAAAGTCTGCTCATCCGATCAATCTGGGCGGAAAGACTGGATACTCCATCAATGACAAACAGGTCACCGTGGACGAGATCGCCACGAGCCACCTTAAACAGATCAAGGCTGCTGCCGAGGACTACATTGGCGAGAAGATCGAGGGAGCTGTCATTGCGGTTCCAACCAATTTCTCGGAGGAACAAAAGGCCGCATTGAAGAAGATCTCCAGCGACGCAGACATCAAGGTTCTGCAGCTGATCAACGAGCCTACCGCTGCCCTGTTGGCGCACCTGGTTGCCAAGGACGCTCTGAACAAGGACAAACTGTTTGTGGTTGCTGACTTTGGTGGTGTTCGCTCGGACGCTGCGGTCATTGCTGTGAGAGGCGGTATTCTCACCGTTCTAGCCACTGCACACGACTACGAGCTAGGCGGTGACAAGCTGGACGACTGTCTGGTGGAGTACTTTGCCAAGGAGTTCCAGAAAAAGTACAAGGTGGACCCAACGACGAACGCCAGATCGCTGGCCAAGCTGAAGAGTGCGTGTATCATCACCAAGAAGACTCTTTCCAACGTCCAGACCTCGACGATCTCGATCGACTCGCTTGCCGAGGGCTACGACTTCCACTCCTCGATCAACAGACTGCGGTTCGAGGTTGCTGGTCGCTCAGTGTTCACCAGGATGTCTGCCTTTGTCGAGTCTGTGGTTGCCAAAGCTGGCTTGGAGACTCTGGACATCGACGAGGTGCTGCTTGTGGGCGGCTCGTCGAACATCCCAAAGGTCGCCGCCAACATCGCGGCCGTGTTCCCGGAATCCACCGTGGTCAGCTCTCCGTCCACCGACAGCAAGCTGTGCAACCCGAACGAGCTGATCAGCAGAGGCGCTGCCCTGCAGGCGTCGATCGTCGCGTCGTTCGACGTCGAGGAGATCGAGGAGTCGACGCAGCCTGTGGTGACCAACACGCAGCACATTGCCAAGCCGATCGGCATCAAGACCGGCGAAAGCGAGTTCCTGACCGTTGTTTCGAGAGAGACCGCGTACCCGATCAGAAAGAGCGTCACATTGAAGGCTGGCGCGGACGACGTGTTTATTGAGCTTTACGAGGGAGAGCGCCAGGTCAAGGAGACCGTTGTCGAGGCCGAGAAGTTCTCCGACGACGAGGACAGCGAGGAGGAGGAGCCGGAGGTCGTGAAGAGCGTGCACTACGTTCCGGGCACGTTGCTGGCGCAGATGGCTCTGAGAGGCGTTGGCGAAGGCAGCTCCGTGGAGGTGATTGTGAACATCAACAAGGACGGCAAGCTCCAGCTGGTGGGACGCAGCGGCGACAAGGTTGTCAAGGGAGAGATATAAACGTATAGACTCGAGTAGCTTAATTGCACCCCGAAATCGGGCTGCGGCTCATAGAACCAGAAACAAGTCCCAGATATTTTCCACGGCTCAGCCTGCATGAATTGCGCTGTGCATGGCTGTGTCACATCAATTTATTTTGACGGGGCGTCTGGGCTCGACCCCCCCGCATGGACAGCACCCTTTTTTTGAACATGCCAAGTCTTATTTCCGTTTTTGCAGCCAATCAGGTCATGTTGCAGAATTCAGTCATGATCAATATAAAGACACATTTCTGCCCCTATTTATTTACACTGCCCTATGTCTACTGCTTTCAGCTACTATCGCAGAAGGGTCTCTTTCAACAATCTCGATGTCGACATAATCAACGACCAATCAGTGCCCAACGAGCCTGCAGAATCGATATCCACGCCCAAGCCGATTCTCAAAAACAGGGATCAGGTGCTCACCGCGGGCGGCGACCGGTACCGTAAAAAGAGCCTGGTCGACATGTCGGACGAGGAGATCTTGCAGCTGGACTCGCAGTTCGCGATGAAACGGGTCAACATCGACGACTTCAAGTTCGAGACAGACTACTCGCTCGTGGTCGACCCGTTCAACCAGTCCAAGCTCGCGCGCAAAACATACCACAAGCTCGCTACAGACTACCCCACACGGCCCACCCTCCGCACCAGCTCGCTGTGTTTTAGCTTCCAGCACCCAGACTGGTCGCAGAAAATCAGTAACAACCGCTTTTATCTCGTGCTGATCTCGTCTAAGGCGTCGTCGCTGGGCGCGATAGACTACTACCTAGACTCCAAGGCCAGGGACGGCGATAACGTGATTATCTGCTGCTCCATCAACGACGAAAAATATAAGGACGAGTACCTGCCCGAGTTGATGGAGATCATCCTCGACAAGTTCTACAAGCACGACGCGGATCTCAAGGTGCAGATCAACTTTGAGTTCTGCCGCAGCGTCAACTACCTCAGAGACATCCTCAACTTATACAACCCGACCGCCATCCTGGTCGGGTCTACGCATAGCAAACGGCGCTTCGGGTCGATCGTCGGCCTCAAGTCTCTCATCCCGATAGTGTACGTGAACGAGGACTACGAGGAGCGGCGGCCGCAGCTGATCGACCGCACCAACGGCATCCAGTTCAAGCAGCCGTTTGCAGAAAACAGCACCACACCGTTCATCACGATCGACGAGGCAGACGAGACCGACGCGCGCGAGCCGCACGGCAAGAAGTTCTCGCTCGAGTCGTCTGCGGTGGAGTCGACCACCTCGTCGTCGTCTGCGTCGGTCAGCTCCATGAACAGCTTCCGCAAGTTCAAAACCAACGAAACGTCGCACTCGCTGCTGTTCGAGAAGCTCAACGACCTGCCCTACATCGACGACCACGAGAACTCGTCCGAGGGCGTCACCAGAGTGAAGTCCATGCTCGGCGACGACGACGCGCTGTCTGCGGTCAAGGTGCTCTCGAACAACAGCGGACAGTCGCCGTACGGCTCGTTCTCGCGTTCTGTCTCGGGCCCTGTGGGGGGTCCCAACAGCAACAAATTGTCGCTGGCGTCGATCGACCCGGCGACAGGCATGGCTGCGCCGCACGCGCTGGGCAAGACCAAGTCCAACAGCATCGTGGACCAGTACAACCGCCGCATGAGCGTGCAGAAGAAAGAGGAGCCTGGGGCCAAAGTGCCCGTCAGTGTGTCGGCGCGGAAATCGCCGCCTGCGCAGACGAAACAGGACCCTCCGCCAGACACGCTGCCCAAAAAGGGCTTTCTCAAGAAATTGATACGGTTTTAATGAAACGTCACTATATCAGGAGTTACTCGTAGTTGCTAGAATATCTGTAGTCGGAGATCTCGTAGAAGTTCTCCTTGATGGCCCGCGGAGTGACGAATCTCGACAGAATCGACGCAGAGCCGGCCTTGTCGTTGGTTCCCGACATCCTGCTTCCGCCGAACGGCTGCTGGCCAACAACGGCTCCCGTGGACTTGTCGTTGATGTAGAAGTTTCCTGCAGAGTACCTGAGCTCCTCCTGCACTTTTCTGATGATTTGGCGGTCAGAGGCGAAAACAGAGCCCGTCAGACCGTATTTGGTGGCAGAGTCGATCTGGGGCAGAATTTGGTCGAGATCCTCGTAAACGTAGACGGTCAGCAGCGGGCCGAAAAATTCCGTGGTCATGAACGGATGGACAGGATTCGACGTCTCGACGATCGTCGGCTTGACGAAGTAGCCCTCGGACGCGTTGGCAAGACCGCCGCACAGCAGCTCCAGCTCGGCGTCGTCCTTTATGGAGTCGATTGCTGCGCTCAGCTTGTCGAACGAGTTTTGGTGGATCACAGGCCCCATGAACCGGTGCAGGCCGTTGGTGGCCGAGGTGTTGGTAGGCACGATCTCGTTGGTGTGCTGCACAAGCTGTTTTTTGAACTCGGGCCAGATCTGGGCGTCCACATACAGACGCGAGGTGGCTGAGCATTTCTGGCCCTGGTACTCGAACGCGCCGCGGATTGTCGACAGGACCGCGTGGCTCACGTTGGCAGACTTGTCCACCAGGTGGAAGTTCTTGCCGCCTGTCTCGCCAACGATTCTCGGGAAGTCCCTGTACTTGCCCTGTGCGGTGTTGTTGGCAATTTTGGCCCAGATGTCGCCGAACACCTGCGTCGAGCCGGTGAAGTGCAGAGCATTGAAATTTCTGTCGGCAAGAACAGAGTTGGTGATCATCTCTGGGTCGCCAGGAATGAAGTTTATCACGCCTTCTGGCAGCCCGGCCTCTCTCAGAATCTGGAACATCGTGTAGTTGGACAGCACGGCGTACTGAGATGGCTTCCACACCACAGTGTTTCCCATCAGCGCCGGAGCACCCACCAGATTGGCAGCAATGGCCGTGAAGTTGAACGGAGTGACCGCGTACACGAATCCCTCCAGCGGTCTGTACTCAACACGGTTCCACACGCCGTTGGTCGACTCTGGAGGCTGCGAGTTGTACAGCTGGTGCGCGTACTTTATGTTGAACCGGAAAAAGTCTGCGAGCTCTGCCACGGCGTCGATCTCTGCCTGGTACACGTTCTTGCCCTGGCCGAGGATCGTCGCGGCCAGCATACGGTGTCTGTACTTGGTCGAGATGAGGTCGGCGGCCTTGTAGAAGATGGCTGCTCTGTCGTCGAACGGGGTGTTGAGCCAGTCTTTCTTGGCCGTCTGTGCCGCGTCGATCGCCTCTCTGACGTCTTTTTCCGTCGCGGTGGCGTACTCCGCAATCACCTGTTTGTGGTTGCCCGGATTGACTTGTGTCTTGAGGTCTCTGCTGTAGTACTCCTTGCCGCCAATCACGAGCGGGACCTTGGTCGTGGTGTCGGTGAACGAGAACAGCTCGCTCTTGAGCAGGTCCCAGTCGAGCTGGTCGTGCTTGGCGAACGGTTTCACGATCTCGTTGGTGACGTGCTTCGGCGTCTGGAAGTAGGCCAGCTGGGCCACTCCGCGTCTGTGCAACAGCAGGAAAGAGCGCATGGAAATTTGAGAGCTGGTGGATGCGGCCAGTGTATTTATACAAGTAGCTGCAGTGTAGCTGATTTTTTTTTTTCGCGGAAGTCGCTGCCGAAACGCCGGGCAGGGAAATCCTCCGCGAGCAAGGATCAAGAGAAGGTCGGGAGGTGGAAGGGTAAATTGTTGGCGTTGGTGTTCAAAGGCCCAGCTCAGGCCTGTCTCAGACGTGTCCACGGCCTGCCTGCCTTGTACGCTGCCTTTTCGCAAACACACAGTAAATTTTTCACATGCCAGTACCCCACATTCTGTGCTTTTTATATTCCTGCCCTCTCGCTGTCGTTCTACATGTCTCCAAGCTATAAAATCGTCGGCCAGGTGTTTGTGATCGTCCTGGACGACCCGCACACCAGAAACGCCCTCACCATCCCCCAGTTTGTGCAGCTCGCCGAGCTGCTCGAGCTGGCAGACAAGCACCCGCACACAACAGCGACGCTTGTCGTGGGCAGGGGCCCGATGTTCTCTGCGGGAGCCAACATCAAGACGGTCGCCGAGCTGAAAAACAAGACCAGCAGCGAGATCCTCAGCGAGATCAGCGCGAAAAACCTGTATCTGGTGCATCTGTTCACGTCGCACCGCAAACTGCTCGTGGTCGGGCTCAACGGGCCGGTGATCGGGCTCACAGCGTCGCTCGTCGCTCTCGCAGACATCATCTACGCCCAGAACCAAAAGGTGTTCATGTCGTTCCCGTTCACCAACATCGGTCTCACGACCGAATGCGCAGCAGCGGTGTCGCTGCCGCACCGGCTTGGCCTGAGTACGGCGTTGGAACACGTGCTGCTGGCCAAACCGTTGCCGGCGGCCAAGTTGCGCGAGCTTGGGCTCGTCAACAAAGTGTTCGATCTGGACGACTGCGACGCGTTCAACGACCAGCTCGCAAAGATGCTCAACAAGGAGCTCGACGGACTCGACCGCGACACCATTTTCGTCAACAAACGGCTCATGCGCCACACGTTCGACACACACGTGCGCGCGCAGGCGCTCCAGGAAACCATGTCTGGCGTGGCAGACTGGACTGCCAACCGACCGCAGACGGCATTCGACGAGATCGTGGCTGGGAAGCGCAAGCACAAGCTGTGATCACTGCACACGCACGCGCTCGTCCCAGTCGGCCTCGTAGTCGTGGCTCTCTTCGTCAGCCGGCTCGGAGATCTGCCGCAGCATCGGCGCGTCCTGCGCGGCCTCGAGCTCGTCGCCCAGTTTCAGGTTTTTCGTGGCGTTCCAGCTGGTCATGATGGCGACGGCCATGATCAGAATGGCAAGAATGCCCGACCGCGTGAGCGCCCATCGCAGCGTCTCGACCTCGGACCGCAGCCCGGAGATCAGCTCGGAGATGATTTTGTTGTTGAGGTCCTGGTTTTTGATGTTGAGTCGCTTGAGCTGTAGATTATTTTCGTGCTTGAACTGGTTAAGAATCATTTTGATGGAGTTGTCGTTGAGCTGTAGTCGCGACGTAGTCTCGTCCTGCAGCAGGTTGAATACTCGCTTCAGCCCGATCGAGGAGCTGGTTAGCTCGGTAAGCGAGATCTCCCGGTAGTTGCGCGTCTCCACCAGCAACTCGCTGTGGGCAGCCTCGAATAAATACGCCTCGTTCTCCAGGTCGACTTGCGGCACAAACTTGTTGTTGAGCCACGTCAGTTTCTGCTTCAGAGCAGTCCTGATCAGCCCCAGAACCACCTCGCTCTCCGCCTCGCTGAACCCGCTGTTCCGCAGCTGTTTCCACACCTTGTATGTGTCCATAAACGTCTCCATCCGGATCTGGTCCGCGTCGACCTCGCTCGTCGCGTCCGGCAGCTCGCGCTCGTCTAGGATCGGAATCAGATGGTCCAGCTGCGACGCGATGCCGTCGACCTTGTCCGGCGTGTGCAGGTCGAACTTGAAGTTCTGGTCGTCATTTATCTCGTTGATCACGTCGACTATGTTCGGGCCTGCCGTCGCCTGGTTTTCGTCGCTGCTGGCGCTGAACAGGTTGCCGTGGAAGAAGTAGTTCTTGCGCACGGGTCTCGCAAAACTGACGCTCCGTCTCGTCAAGAGTCGCCGCAACATGGAGGAGGTCGGTGTAAGGATTATGGGAAAGAAATTAAGTAAATAAAAATAATTATTTTATCTTTTTGGCATGTCGGACCTGCTCAACAAGCCGCGCGCAGAGCTGTCCGAAAAAGACCTGCAGGACCTCGAGGACTACGAGTTCAACAACGGGCCGCTGCGGCTGCTCACCGGCGCCATCCAGAACAACGCCACGGTGCTGATCTCGCTGCGAAACAACCACAAGCTCCTGGCCAAGGTCAAGGCCTTCGACCGCCATTGCAACATGATCCTCGAGAATGTCAAGGAGATCTGGAGCGAGACGAACCCGGACGACAGAAACAAGAAGATGATGAGAGAACGGTTCGTGTCCAAGATGTTCCTCAGAGGAGACTCTGTGATTGTCGTTCTCAAGCACACTTGAGTGCGGGCCTTGCTGAGGTAAGCGTGTATAGTAGAAAAAATTCATAGAAAATAACCAGATCCATGTTCCGACGAATATTTCCCAGACCCCGGCTGTGGCCGTCTTGCCGACGGCTCAGCACGCATAGAGAGTACCTCAACTACGAAATTGACAAGGTCAACAACCCGATCCGTGTCCCGAAAGACCAGCTCGCAGAACGGATGGCCAAGATCCCGCTGAAAAATTACAGAAACTTCATCATTGTGGCCCACGTCGACCACGGGAAATCCACATTGAGCGACAGATTGCTAGAGCTGACCGGCGTCGTCGACCCCAACCAGCACAACAAACAAATTCTGGATAAACTCGACGTCGAAAAGGAAAGAGGCATCACCGTCAAGGCCCAGACCGTCTCCATGATGTACCACTACAAGGGCGAGGACTACCTGTTCCACCTGGTGGACTCGCCGGGCCACGTGGACTTCCGCCTGGAGGTGTCGCGGTCGTACGCTTCGTGCCAGGGCGCGCTGCTGCTCGTGGACGCGTCCGAGGGAATCAAGGCGCAGACCGTCGCCAACTTCTACCTTGCGTACTCGATGGACCTGCGGCTGCTGCCGGTGATCAACAAGATCGACCTCGACACCGCCAACGTGGCGCGCGCCGAGGAACAGATCGCCACCACTTTCGAGCTGCCGGCACGTGACATCGTGCACGTGAGCGCAAAGACGGGGCTGAACGTGGAGTATCTCCTGCCGGCGATCATCGAGAAGATCGCGCCACCCGTGCACTGTCGTGTTGACGCGCCGCTGCGCGCGCAGATCGTCGACTCGTGGTACGACCCGTACGTGGGGGTTATTCTTCTGGTGAACGTGGTGGACGGCGTCATCAAGAAAGGCACCAAGATAGAGAGCTGTCGCACCAAAGAGAAGTACGAGGTCAAGGAGGTCGGCATCATGTATCCGGAGCGCACGCCGATGCCGCAGCTCGCTGCTGGCCAGGTTGCGTACGTGATTCCCGGGTTCAAGGATCCAAACGACGCGTTTGTCGGCGACACGCTTATCCTGGCCAACTCTGGCGTGGAGCCGTTGGAGGGCTTTGAGGAGCCGAAGCCAATGGTTTTCGTGGGCGCGTTCCCGGCGGAAGGGTCGGATTTCAAGAAGATGGAGGAGAGTCTGCAGCATCTTTTCCTGAACGACCGGTCGGTGACGATCCAGCGGGCCACGTCGAACGCTCTGGGCCAGGGCTGGCGGCTTGGGTTTCTTGGGTCGCTACATGCGTCGATTTTCAAAGAGCGGCTCGAAAAAGAGCACGGCAAGAACCTTATCATTACATCGCCAACGGTGCCGTACAAAGTGCACTACACAGACGGCACGGAGCAGATCGTGAGCAACCCGGACGAGTTCCCGGACGGCACGCAGAAACAGAAGATCCGGTACTTCAGCGAGCCGTACGTGGAGGCCCTGATGACGTTTCCGAGCGAGTACACGGGCACGGTGATGACGCTGTGCGACAACAACCGCGGCGAGCAGGTGGACATGCAGTATCTGTCGAACGGACAGGCGTTGGTCAAGTATTTGCTGCCGACGTCGCAGCTGATCGACGACTTCTTCGGGAAGCTCAAGAGCGCGACGCGCGGCTACGCGTCGCTCGACTACGAGGACCACGGGTACCGGCCCTCCGACATCCACAAGCTGGAGCTGCTGGTGAACGGCGACGGCGTCGACGCGCTGTCGACGGTGCTGCACAAGAGCCAGCTCGAGAAGACGGCGCGGCGAGCAGTGCAGCGGCTCAAGGAGTTTCTGCGGATCCAGCAGTTCGAGGTGATTATCCAGGCCAAGGCCAACAACCGCATCATTGCGCGAGAAACCATCAAGGCGCGCCGCAAGGACGTGCTGGCGAAACTGCACGCGGCAGACATCTCGCGGCGCAAGAAACTGCTCGCCAAACAGAAAGAGGGCAAGAAGAACCTCAAGGCTGTGGGCCAGGTCCGCATCTCGTCGGAAGCATACCAGTCGTTTCTGCGCAGGGACTGATGTAAATAGTGTTAGTGTATCAATTGCTCGATCAGCGCGCGGATCTTGTCGTTTTCGTTGCGGTTCTTTATTAGGTAGAGGATCCGGTTCAGCACGGCGTCGCACTGCTCCACGTCGTGCGCAAGCTTCTCAGAGAGGTCGCGTTTGTACGGCGCAAAGAGCCGGGTGACCGTGGGACGCGAGCTTGTCTCTGCCGTCTCTGCATCTGCATAGTATTGCATCTCCATCAGCTTCACCTCACGCTGCTTCAGATTGATCACAAACGTCCTGCTGCTGGCTCCGGGGCCCAAACGGGCGCAATCGTCGCGCATCGACTCGCCAATCTGGCCCTCCAGATTGTAGTGCACAGGACACGCCTGAAGAGAGAACTCCGGCCGGTACTGGTCGATGAAACCGGTCATCAGCGGCAGCACCTGGGGACGCGGGATTTCGACGGCTAGCGGCGCAATGTCGAGCACTTTCACGCCGCCGGGCACGTCTGCAGACTCGAAGTCCACATCGGTAGCCATCACGTGCTGCGCCAGATCGACACGCTCGCCCACGCCGGGGATCTCGTACGTGGTGCGCACCACAGCTTTTTCCTTGCCCAGGTCCAGTGACCCGAGGTCACGTGCCAGCTTCGACAGGTTGGCGCCGCCGGAGGAGACGGATTTCCACGGGTAGTCGTCGTACTCGGCGGCGGGCGAGGGTGTCATCTCGACGCTCTCGCCGACGCCGGACCGCCAGCGCTCCATGAACGAGCCGAAGTGCAGTCTATTGCGCCACGACGACGACATCGTCGTCGACTGCGACCCGTACGACGTCGACAGGTTCTGGAGCGAGGCGTACGACGACGCTCGTCTGAGCTGCGACACGGGCTGGCGCTCGGGCTTGGCGAACTCGGTGAACTTGGGCGAGTTCGAGATGATGGGCGTCGCCTTGGACGGGATCTCCCAGCCTTTGGCGGAGCCGGAGCTGAACGTCATTTCTGGCGACATCGACTCGGAGCTCGAGTCGTCCCGGTACGCGGTGCGCTGGATCGGGATCGGCTTCGACGCCGTCGGGCTGGGCCCCGAGTCGGTGTCTGTGTCGTCTTCTTGTTCGAGCTCTTTGGAGAATCTGAAGCGGTCGTAGCCAAAAATGCCGGCAAGAATAAGCACGAGTTTCTGCGACACGACCGGGTTGCCCGTGACGAGCACAACACGCACCGAGCGGCAAGTATGGTAGTTGAGCGGGCCGTCGACGATTTCGCGGCGGTACGGCAGAATCAGCGTGAGCAGCGTGGCAAGAAACTTGAGTCCGACAACGGGCGAGCCCGTGTGGCTCGGCGACGTCGACTGGAATTCGTGGATTGGCGCCGGGAGCGGCGCCAGCGACGGGTGACGGCCGTCCTTGAGCTCCAACCACGTCGCCACGGCGGCCGCCCACCGGCACAGCGTCGAGTCGTTGTGTTTTAGCGGAACGTAGAGCCTCGGAGTCTCGATAAGGAACACCAGCGACCGCACGAAAAGATGCAGGCCGTGCACGAGATCGGGCTCTTTTTGGAGGCAGCCGGGCGCGAACGAGAGTTTGGCGCCGGCACACTGCCGGATGGGCGACGCGAGAGCGCGCAGCTTGGCCACAATGAGTTTTTGCGTGGACTCCAAGTGACCTGCAATCTCCGGCCAATGGTTTGTGAGGATTTCGTGGGCGTTCGGGTCCCTGCCTATTGGCACAATCAGGCCGAACGCCAGCCTGGTGGGCGTCTCGTCGCACACAGGAACGTCCTGCGAGTACACACAGGGCTTGGGGGCCCAGTCCGGGTCGCCGTGGCCGCTCGCGCACAGCCTGAAACTGCTGCTCACGGAAAACAGCCGCGTGACCAGCATCGACGCAGGCATCGCCGCGAGCGGCGGGAGGTAGTGCAGCTTGGTCGTAGATATGGTCTCGTTCAGCAGTATGCCGTAGTAGCCAAACATGAGCGCCGAAAGCTCGCTGGTCGGGTGGTGAAACGACTTGTTCAGGTACGCCGGACTCGACGCCTCGGAGACGCCGGGTCGCAGGCTGAGCGCAGAGTCGAACAGCGTCTGCTTCGAGCGGATCCCGGAGTCCTGCACCACCACCAGACGACACAGACTGGACTTGTCCGACAGCCGGAAACTGGAAACGGGGACAGTGTTGCCGGGGCCGTATAGCTGGGACCCGTTGTAGTGGGCGTCGCTGGCGGCGTACGCGGGCGGCGGGACCTGCGGGTCGAGAGCAGGGTCCTGCTGGCAAAACTCTTTTTTTCTCAGCAAGTGTCCTAGCATTAGCGATACATGGCCACACGCCTGGGGTATAAACCTTTGTGTCTTTTTTTTTCTCGATAAGCGATGGTGCAAACAGGAAAACGTCCGGTGTGTGTGTCACGTGCCGCGCGTCACGTGGCCCTTCTGCCCCGTCCCGATCAGAAACAAAATCAGCGGAAAAATTGCTGTCTCACTTGAAAAAACAGGTAGATAAAATAGTCTGGTGCGAGTTTCAGCAGCCACTGCATTTATTCGCCGCCGTTCCCTCGCCCGCTACCTTTCTACCGCCACACGCTGTCCATCTCTGCTTGCTGCATGCAACGCCCCCACGCAAAATGACAGGCATAGCGAACAAACAGCAGATTCTGGAGCACGATAGCGAGTTCCCCACGAATCACTCGATTCCGCAGTTCAACTCCAAGTACACGGCCGAGAGCTTTGGCGCGTCGGAGGCATTGACGTCGTCTGCGCAGCGCAAGAACAAATCGCAAGAGTCCAGTCCGCTCGCGTCGCCCACAACGTCCCGTCGTTCGTCCCGGTTCCCTTCGGTGAACCCCGTTTCTCCGTCGAGCTCGTCGCTGGCGTTGAACCAGGACGCCCAGCGCGCCGCGCATACGGCGTCGGTGTCCGAGCTCGGCGACAATGGCTCGCGGCGCCCGTCCAGCGACCACGGCGACATAGGCGTTCCTCCGTCGTACAAAGGGTTCCATAGCCGTCGCGACGGAAGCGAGAAGCCGGTGCCGCCGCTGATGACGCCGATCAAGCCGAAGAAGAGCCGTCGCGGGACCTCTTTCTTCAACAAGTTCCTGCCCTCGCGGCGCGACTCGGACCCCAAGGCGCGGCGCCAGGGCAGCTCGCACTCGTCGCGGTTCTCGCGGCGGTCTGACCAGTCGCTGAGCTCGCGCACGGCGTCGACAGACTCCGAGAAGGGCGGGTCGCCGCGCGAGTCGGTCTCGTTCTCGTCGCGGCTCAAAAACCCGATTCCCCAGGGCCTGCCGTTCGGCAGCTCCGACAAGAAGGCCAGCCCGTTCAACCTCGACCTCGACACAGATACCGAGCAGATGGCAGACATCACGAGACTCTCGAACTCGCGGCTGTCGTGCATGGGCTCGACGGTCAGCATGGTCCCGCAGCCGCCGCTCGAACGCACCGACTGGCGACCGCCCGAGAGCTGGAAGGTGAAGAACACCCGGGAGAACTCCGACCCGCTCGCTCACTACCCGGGCATCCAGGAACGCTCGAGCTCTGTGTCGTCGTCGGAGTCGTCGTCGGCGTCTTCGGGCCGGTCGCTGGTGCCGCCGCGCAAGGCCTCGGCCATCACGTCGCCGTCGACCTCGAGTCCCAAGAGCGACAACCATCTGGACGGCCACCGGGAAAAACGCGACAGCAAGAGCACGATCCCGGAGGACAGCGGCCGCGTGTACCACGCGAAGGAGCTCAAGGGCGCGGCGCGGTCGTCGGTGCGCATATTCATCGGCGACAAGAGCTCTGTGCTGCCGTGCACTCTGGACACCACGTGCAAGGATGTTCTGGACTCGCTGCACCGCAAGCGGTTTTTGAAGAACGACGAGGACCACATCATCGTGCTCAAGTGCGGCGGGCTGATCCGGACGCTGTCGCTGGACGAGCGGCCGCTGAAGATCCAGCGCACAATGCTGTTTCTGTACGGCTACACGCAGCGCGACAACCTCGACTACATCGAGCGCACCGACCTGAGCTTTCTGTTCAAGTTCGTGGTGCAGGACCGTGGCGTCGAGCTGATCAGCAACGAGCGCCGCCGCATGATCAACCCGCAGAACGTCAACCTCAACAACTGGAACTTGCAGGATATCCCGAACTTCTTGTACGCAGAGCCGATCGTCAGTCTGGACGTGTCGCAGAACCCGTCGTTCGAGTTCACCAAGGAGTTCATGCACGACTGTCGCAACCTGCTCAATCTGAGTTTCACGCGCAGCGGCAACCCCAAGTTCCCGACGCCCGTCGTGTACGCGCCGCGGCTGCAGGAGCTGAATCTGGAGGTGAACTATATCAAGCTGATTCCGCCGGAGATCTCGAAAATGACGACTTTGACGACGCTGAACCTGGCATGCAACCGCATTTCGACGCTGCCGGCGTCGTTTGCCGAGCTGCAAAGCCTGCAGAGCCTGAATTTGTCGTCGAACAGGCTCAAGAACATCCCCGAGCCACTTGCCAAGATTGCCGGTCTGAAACGGCTCGATCTCTCATACAACAGCATCTCCGAGATCCCGGACTCGGTGGCCAACCTGGTGAACCTGGAGGTGCTGCAAATGGCCGCCAACAGACTGTCCAGAGACCTGCCGTCGTTTTTCCGGCAGCTCAAGACGCTGATCAAGATCGACATCCGGTTCAACAAGTTCGACTCGATCGACGCGCTGAAGAACTTGCCCGCGCTTGAGGTGATCCGCGCAACGGGCAACAACATCTCGGTGTTCAAGAGCAGCGCCGCCAACCTGTTTGAGGTCGAGCTCAACATCAACCCGGTCACGCTCGTCAAGTTCGACCAGGTGATGACCAAGCTCAAAATTGTCGACTTCTCCAAAGACAAGCTCACGTCGTGCTCGTTTGTGTCGATGCTGCCTGCCATCGAGAAGCTCACAATGGACTACAACCATTTGGTCTCGCTGCCCGACGATATCTACAGAATGAAGAACCTGACGCATCTGTCTGTGTTCCGCAACAACCTGACTTCGCTGCCCAACGCAATAGGCTCGCTCACGAGACTGCGCTACCTCGACTTGCACCTCAACAACATCAGCTTCCTCACGCCCGAGATCTGGAACCTCTCGTCGCTCGAGTACTTCAACATCTCGTCGAACCTGCTGGAGTTCTTCCCGGACCCGCCCGAGCAGTTTGTGCCGTTCACGGGCTTTTCGTCGCTGGGCCGCACGGCAGCACAGCGCGCGCGCAACCACCAGTCGTCGATCGTCGCGCCGAGCACGAAACGCCGCACGTCGGAAATATCCACCATGACCATCAACAACTACGACAGCATCGGGCTCGAAAAGTCGCTCAAAGTACTCAGTCTCAACGACAATAAGTTCACCGACTCGGTCATCCAGACGGTGTCGATGTTCAAGAACCTGGTGGTGCTCAATCTGTCGTACAACGAGCTATTCGATATTCCGCCTGGCCATCTGAACAACCTCACCAAACTGCAGAAATTGTACCTGAGCGGCAACCATCTCTCAAGCTTGCCCGTCGACGACCTTGAGGCGTTCACGCAGATGGACACGTTGCACCTCAACGGCAACCGGTTCCACACGCTGCCTGCCGAGCTGTCGAAAATCACCAACATGACAGCGCTCGACGTGGGATCCAACAATCTCAAGTACAACATCGGCAACATCCCGTACGACTGGAACTGGAGCTACAACCCGAAGCTCAAGTACCTCAACTTCTCGGGCAACAAACGGCTCGAGATCAAGCCGCTGCACAAGCGCGAGGGCATGGAGGACAGTCTGGACTCGTTCCTTGTGCTGAAGGACCTCAAGCTGCTGGGGCTGATGGACGTCACGATCACGACGGACCTCGTGCCCGACCAGAGCGTCGACGTGCGTGTGCGGTCGACCGTGTCGCAGCTCGGCAAGTACGGCTACGGCATCTCCGACACGCTCGGCAACAAGTCGAGCCTCACCACGAGAGACGTGGTGATCGAGCGGTTCCGGGGCAACTCGAACGAGAAGCTGATCACGATCTACGACGGCAAGAACTGCAGCGACGAGACCGGCGACAAGATCTCAAAGATCATCCAGGAAACGTTCGAGATCCACCTCGCCAAGGAACTCGAGGGCCAGGACTCGGGCAAGACGATCGAGGATGCGCTGCGCGCGGCGTTCCTCACGATGAACTCCGAAATGAGCATTCTCATCAACAAGGACAACTCGTCCACGTTCAGCTCGGCCGCCGCCCACCGCACCACCACCACCGACGAGCTCACAATGGAGAAGGACGGCCTGACCGGCTGCTGCGCTACAGTCATCTACATCCGTGGCGACGAGCTGTACGTGGCCAACATCGGCGACATTATGGGCATCCTGACCAAGGCGGACGGCGAGTACTCCGTGCTCACCATCAAGCACGAGCCGTACGCGCCCGAGGAGTACGCCCGCATCAGAGAGTCGGGCGGCTTTGTCACCACAGACGGCTACCTCGACGGCGTGAGCGACGTGTCACGTGCCGTGGGATACTTCAAGCTCATCCCGCACATCAATGCGGTGCCTAGCATCTCCAAGTACAAGCTGACGCAGAACGAGGAGATGATTGCGATCGCCACGTCCGAGATCTGGAAAAAAGTGCCGTACGACCTGGCGGCCGACATTGTGCGCCAGGAAAAGAGCAACCCGGGTATCGCGGCCGAAAAGCTGCGGGACTTTGCGATCTCGTACGGCGTCAGCGACAAGGCCACCGCAGTGGTACTGTCGCTGCGGCAGTTCACAACGAAGCAGAAGTACCACGAGCGCGGCTCGTTGCCCGAGGACTCGCTTCTGCGCAAGCTGGACGAGGAGATCGAGCCGCCGACGGGCGAACTCGCGATGGTGTTCACCGATATTAAGAACTCGACGCTGTTGTGGGACACGTACCCCGTGGCGATGCGGTCGGCCATCAAGGTGCACAACGCCATCATGCGGCGGCAATTGCGGATTATTGGTGGCTACGAGGTCAAGACCGAAGGAGACGCGTTCATGGTGTCGTTCCCTACACCGTCGAGCGCGCTGCTGTGGTGTTTCACGGTCCAGTCGCAGTTGCTCACTACAGACGACTGGCCTGCCGAGATTCTGGCGTCCGACCAGGGCTGCGAGATCAAGGATGAGGAGGGAAATATCATTTTCCGTGGTTTGTCGGTGCGAATGGGCGTGCACTGGGGCCGTCCCGTGTGCGAGCGGGATATTGTCACCAAGCGAATGGACTATTTCGGGCCGATGGTGAACCGCGCGTCGCGGGTCAGCTCTGTTGCTGACGGCGGGCAGATCGCCATGAGCACGGATTTCTACTACGAGTTTGAAAAACTGCGCAATTTGCACGAGCAGGTCAAATCTGGTGCGGGTGATATTAGCCAGGTCTACGGGTCCAAGACTTTGGGCCAGATTTTGGAGAGCCAGATGAACCAGGTTGACCAGATCGGCTGGGTCGAGGAGTCGATCGGTAGCCGCAAATTGAAGGGACTCGAGGCACCAGAGAAAATATGGCTCATCTTCCCAGCCCACCTCGCTCAGCGGCTGAAACTGCTCACGAGAACGAACGGCGAAATCGACAACCGCGGAGGCAAGCTGCTCATGGGTGGCCTGACCGCCGAGAGCGTGTGGAGACTGCGGAAACTGTCGCTGCGGCTGGAGAAAATATGCAGTTTCTGTGCCGGCTCCACCACGCAGCTCATCTCCAACAAGGCGCGGATCCTGCCGTCCGACCTGATCTCCTCGAACGCCGAAGAGACGTTCATCAACCAAATTGCGAACGCAGAGATGGATCTGCTGCTGTTCATCGAGCACATCGTCACCAGAATCGAGAACGCCGTTGGCATTCTGACGGTGCGCAAGTGCGCCTCGCCAGAAGACGTCGACGGCCTGCTGATGGGCACGATGGACGAACTGTACCGCGCAATGCACCTGATGGTGCACCAGGCGGAAGAGGCTGCGCGCGCAAAGAGCCAGTTGATGGAGGAGCTGCCCGAGGAGCTTTCACAGCACGGTGCTGAGCATGTAAATTGAATTGTAAATAAATATTCACAAAATAATTTTTTTATCGCAATTTTATGGACCATGGCAGGATAAGGCCCGTTTCTGACGCCATCCGCTCGGGCATCGTTGTGGTCGACGGCGCCGACGTTGTCCGCGAGCTGCTAGAAAATAGTATCGATTCCGGCGCCTCGCAGGTCGCGATCAGCGTCGCGTTCGAGAACGGTTGCTTGGACATCGAGCTCGCCGATAACGGCACAGGCGTCGATCCAAACGACCTGGCAGCCATGGGACGCCGCCACTGGACGTCCAAGGACCTGGGAGAGTCGAAATTCGGGTTCCGTGGCGAGTCGTTGCACGCCATCATGGGCCTGTGCACGCGAACAGAGATCGTCACTGGTAGATATGGGTGTGCCTGGAAAATGCACTATATAGGCACAACCGCGCGGGAAAAGCCTCGTCAGTGCGCAATTGACGGGGCCGGCGGGACACTGGTGCGTGTGTTTGATGTCTTTGGCCGGCTACCGGTGCGCAAACATCAGCTGGCTGCCGAATGGCGCGAGATGACGGCAAAGCTGAGCAGAGCGGTGTTCTCTGCGCTGGTCACGCGACCAGGAGTCACGGTGACTTTAGAGCGTAACGGTGTGCGTGTGTTTAGTGCTCTCAACGAGGGCGGAGTGGCAGGCATTGTGGGCTTGTTAAAGGAGCTGTACGGCCTTCGAGACGTGGTGGAGCCTGTCAAAGCCAGCTTCGAGGATGTGAACGTCACGGGAGTGCTTGGGGCTGACGTTGCGAAAAAGTGCCAGTTCCTGTTCCTCAATGGCCGTCTACTGGAGAACAGAAGCCTGCACAGGGCAATCAGTCTCCAGCTAGGCAGACAGTCAGGGCTCTATGTGTTTGACATCCGTACACCGCTCGAGGAGTCGGATCTGCTGCAGAGCCCGAGCAAAAAAGTGTTCAGTCCCGTGCTGTTTGACAAGATCAAGGCTGTGTTGGAGGAGGTGGTGCGCCGGTGGAACGACAGAGACAGGTCTGGGCGTGTGCAGAAAAAAGGGCGCCCGTCTCTGGGGCTTTCGCGTTTCTTCAGTCCGGCCAGTAACGTGGTGCTTGACGGGCCCAGCATCGGGCGCAGTCACGTGGTTGCGCAGATGGAGAGCAGGTTTGTTCTTGTGCGCATCGACGGCGTGCTTGTGGCGCTGGACCAGCACGCGTGCGACGAAAGAGTGCGCGTGGAGGCCCTGTACCGGCAATGGACGGCCAGCACGCACACTGTCGCGGTGCATATCGAGATACCCGTCGATGCAGGCGAGATGGAGCGGTTTGCGCGTTTTTCGGGCGAACTGAGTCGGTGGGGCATCAGATGCCGCCACGAAAACGGGCTGGTGGTGGTGCACGAGATCCTGGCTCTGGTGGCGGACAAGGACGCTTTGTTTGTGCGGAGCGGCGTGTTGCAGTTTCTGGAGGACCTGGCGTCGAAACGCAAGCGCTCGGGCCCCTCTGGCGGCGACTGGTGGGTCGCTGCTACCGAGATGCCGGAAATGTACCACGAGAAGATCCGGTCTCAGGCGTGTCGGGAGGCGATTCGGTTTGGAAAAACGCTGGACCGCGATTCGCAGCGCAGGCTCGTGGCCGCTCTGGCTCTCTGCAAAGACCCCTTGCACTGCGCCCACGGCCGCCCGACGTGCGTGCCGTTGATAAGATGGCTAGATAAATAAATTATTATTTTTTCCTCTTGTTTTGGTTTTTCCTATTGTTCTGTGCCCCAACAATGTGGGGAGAGAGGGTAAAACATAAGGAGGTACCGATAAATTATCACTTCAGTAATTAAATTGGACGGTGGGAAGATAAACTGAAACCCTCGAAACTCTTGTGTATTACTATTGATTAGAGTTGTCACATATGTCACGGAAAGTTGAGAAGCATTTGTTGTTTGAAGTGGCGACCGAGGTCGCCAACAGGGTGGGTGGGATCTACTCTGTGCTCAAGTCCAAAGCCCCGGTCACTGTTGCCGAATACCGCGAACGGTACACCTTGATTGGCCCTCTGAACCACCGCAGTGCGTCCGTGGAGGTGGAGGAGCTGCCGGTGCACAACGCGGCCCTCAAGGCCACGCTGGACTCCATGCAGTCGAGGGGAATCCGCTACCTGTACGGCCGTTGGCTGATTGAGGGAGCGCCCCGGGTGATTCTTTTCGACATTGGGTCGGCGTTCCCGTACCTGAACGAGTGGAAGGCAGATCTGTGGAGCCTGGCAGGCATCCCGTCGCCCGAAAGCGACGTCGAAACGAACGATGCAGTCATGCTCGGTTACCTGACGGCGTGGTTCATTGGCGAGCTGTGCTGCCACGAGACGGAGCGTGCGATCATTCTGCACGCGCACGAGTGGCTGGCGGGCGTTGCGATCCCGCTGTGTCGCCAGCGCAAGATCGACTGCTGCACCATCTTCACCACCCACGCTACCTTGTTGGGCAGATATTTGTGTGCGGGCAGTGTTGATTTTTACAACAACCTCGACAAGTTCGACGTGGACTACGAGGCGGGCAAAAGAGGCATCTACCACCGCTACTGCATCGAGCGTGCCGCAGCACACTCGGCCGACGTCTTCACCACGGTGTCCCACATTACTGCATACGAAAGTGAACATTTATTGAAACGGAAGCCGGACGGCGTCCTGCCCAACGGGCTGAACGTGGTCAAGTTCCAGGCCGTGCACGAGTTCCAAAACCTCCATGCCGAGAAAAAGGAAAAGATCAACGAGTTTGTCCGCGGCCACTTCTACGGACAGCTCAGCTTCAAGCTCGAGAACACTCTCTATTTCTTCATTGCAGGAAGATACGAGTATAGAAACAAAGGTGTGGACTTCTTCATCGAGGCGCTCGCCAGACTCAACCACCGGCTCAAGTCGATCAACTCCGAGATGAACGTGGTCGCCTTCATCATCATGCCGGCAGCCACCAAGTCGTACACGGTGGACACGCTGCGTGGCCAGGCCGTGATTAGGCAGCTGGAGTCCACCATCAAGGACGTCCAGAATCTCATGGGCAAGCGGCTCTTCGAGTTCTGTCAGCAGCCAATCAGCATGCAGAACTCGACGCAGATCGAGCTGCCCTCGTTGGACGATCTTCTCAAGCCGGCAGACAGAGTCAACCTGAAAAGACGCATGTTTGCCCTGAAAAGAGACTCGCTGCCTCCGATTGTGACCCACAACATGGTGGACGACGCAAACGACCCGATCCTCAATCAGATCCGCCAGTGTCACCTGTTCAACACCAGCGAGGACCGCGTGAAAATCATCTTCCACCCCGAATTCCTCAACTCCAGCAACCCTGTTCTTCCTTTGGACTACGACGAGTTCGTCAGAGGCTGCCATTTGGGCGTGTTCCCGTCCTACTACGAGCCCTGGGGATATACCCCTGCCGAGTGCACGGTGATGGGGATCCCGTCCATCACTACCAATCTTTCTGGATTCGGGTGCTATATGGAGGACCTGATCGAGAACTCGGAAGACTATGGAATATACGTTGTCGACCGTCGGATGAAAGGCGTGGACGAAAGCATCAACCAGCTGTGTCAGCAGATGTTTGACTTCACGCAAAAATCGAGAAGACAGCGGATCAACCAGAGAAACCGTGTCGAGCGTCTGAGCGACCTGCTGGACTGGAAACGGATGGGTCTGGAGTACGTCAAGGCTCGTGCGCTGGCGCTCAGAAGAGCGTATCCTGAGCAGTTCAAGCACTCGTCGAATCCGTTCGACAGCGCCGGAATCAAGATCTCGCGGCCATTGAGCGTTCCTGGATCGCCCCGCGACCGGTATGTGAACGGCAGCATGACTCCCGGCGACTTGGGCACTTTGCAGGAGAGCAACGACGCAGACTATTTGAGCTGGACGCTGAACAAGAGCGGCTACGACGAGGACGTGACTCTGCGTGGGGCCAGTGTGGCACCGAGCGTCGATGGCGAGAGCAGCGAGGAGTAATCGCTAGTATTTGCTATAGCAAACTATCCCTATTCATGACTGGCGCTCTCTGTAGCGCTGGGCCTTTGCGTACTCTTTTCTGTCCACCAGCACACATTTGATGGTGTTCTTGGGCACCGACACGAGGCCCAGGTGTCTTGTTTGCGAGCCCGAGTGCTCGTACACGTCTGAAAGCAGCAGATTGCGCTGGTCGTCAATCGCCATGAGAATGCCGTCCAATAGTCTGTTGTCAGTGAGCACTATTTGGTACGGAAGGGATATGAGGTCTATAGGAAGCATGGAAGAAAAATAATTATTTTTTAATTTATTTATTTAAATGTCCAGTCTCACGCTCAAGGCGGATCTTGCGGCAAGATACGTGGTGCAAAATGAGCTCCTGCTAAAAGCGTTGGGCGCCGAGACGGCGGACGTGGGACACGTTACCATCGGCGACGTGATGGGGCAGGACAGTCTGGCGTACTTGGAGGAGTGGAAGAGGCGGCTGGAGCAGGCGGACAGCGAGATGGAGACACGGGACAGCGTGGACGACGAGCTGGCGGAGCTGGACGCGGTCATTGGGCGGCTCGAGAAAGAGTTCCTGAACCCCTCCGACGGGTCGCTGCGCGAGCAGAACAACGCCATCTTCAACGAGTACTGTGAGAAGTACAACAAGGTGATCTACGAGGTGAAGGAGAACGAGGACTTGAATGCGGGAATGGATGACGCAGAGGAACAGGGCTCTTTTGCAAGCAGCGTGTACTATAGAGTGAAATAAAATAACGGAATGTGTGCTGTAAAAAAAGTTTGCCCCTTTTCTTATCTAGCAACTATGAGGTAAGTCCGGTACTTCCAGCGTACTAACGGCAAGTTCTCCCAAACGGCGGATCGAGAGCGACGTGATGAAACTGTAAGTGTGTGCCTGGCACGGCGTACTAACCGGCAGACTGATGAGCGACTACGAGGTGAGTCTGGTGGACGACAACATGCAGGAGTTCTATGTGAATTTCGAAGGCCCCAAGGACTCGCCGTACGAGGGCGGGCTGTGGCGGATCCACGTGGAGCTGCCGGACCAGTACCCGTACAAGTCGCCGTCGATCGGGTTCCAGAACAAGATCTTCCACCCCAACATAGACGAGTCTAGTGGCTCGGTATGTCTGGACGTGATCAACCAGACGTGGTCCCCCATGTTTGACATCTTCAACATCTTCGAGACGTTTCTGCCGCAGCTGCTCAACTACCCAAACGCCGCAGACCCGCTCAACGGGGACGCGAGCTCGCTCTACATGAGAGATAAGAATTTGTATGTGGAGAAGGTTAAAATGTATGTCAAAAATTACGCGGACCCAGCCACAATCCGCAACGGCGGCGCGGACCAGCAGGAGGACGAGACGGACTCGAGCGACGCCGACCTCAGCAGCGTAGACGAGATGGTGGGCGAAATCGACCTCTGAGTCTTCGAAGTATCACATACTCTTATTATTTATAATATAGCCTCATACGTAAGCGATTCCCAATTTTATCCGATGTAGTTCGTTAATTCGTCTCTAACCATAAAGTCCTGATGATCGTCCTTGAACCCGGCCAGCCAGTCGTCCGCGAGCTCGGTCTCCTCCATCTGCCGCTGCTTCTGCAGCTGTGCCTGCTGGTTGGTGATGTAAGCCATCGACGGCGTGTACTGGTACGACTCGAGCTCAAAGTTGAGGTCTGAGGCCTTTGGCGGGAACAGGTCCTCGATCTCGTCGAACCATTGGAACGACGTGGCCGACGAGTCGGCGGTGGAAGGCATGATCGGCGACACGGTGGCGGAAGGCGGCACGGTGATTTGGCAGGGGTCGTAAAACAGCGGCGTGGTGGCCTCGAGCGGCGAGTTTAGGTCTGCAGGCGCGTTCAGCGACATGTCCGGCTTGAACAGCTGCTCCGGCTCCACTGCAGGCGCCAGCGGAGCAAGCGGCGGCGCATGCTCGACGGCCTCCATCAGCCCCATTGGTTCGGTAGGCTCGGCAGTTGGGGCCTGCTGCACAGACTCCCTGTCGGCCTCTGGCGTGCTGCCCCTGGCAGACTTGTCGTCGTCGTCGCCAGAGAGCGTCGGATTGGCAATTCGCGTGTCGATGACTATGGAATCCTTTCTCCTGTGAACAACCGGGTGTTTGCGCTCCTGTTTATTAATGAATTCCCAGCACTTGTCTCCGTAGGCCTTCGGGGTCTGTCCTGTGACGGACTTGAACACACGGTGGAAATGCCATGGGCTCAGGTTCGACTTGGATGCCAGCTCCTTGAATCCCAGCACTCCGCCCCTGCGTCTTTTTTTGCGGCCCTGGCCGGCCTGGCTGGCCCGGCGAGAGTCCGGAGGCGAGGGGCTTTTGGAGAGCGAGTCGCTCACCATGGAGGCGCTGTGGCTGGTCGACAGCGCGGCAAGCGCAATGTGGCGACAGGCCAGGTCTATAAGCTTGAGATGGTCAAACTTGTTGCGGGTAAGTGGGACCTCGTCGTTATCGTCAACGGGGCCGCCCGAGAGGCGTTTTTTCAGCGACGTGTTGTTGCTTTTCCACAACGACTCTTTCAAAGAGCTGTTCTTGTCGTCCTCCTCGTCCATCAACGGCTTGATGAAGCCAATGGACTCGTTGACGTACTCAACAGTCTTTACCAAGAGATCAAGATCGATGGAAACAAACGTGTCGTGCAAGTCTTCCGGGTTGGGCTGTCTGTCTGGGAAGCAGTGTCTGCAAGGGCGGTAGCCGGTGGCCGTGGCTTGATCCAAAGTGTCGACAAAGGTGATATCCGACTTATTGGAGCTAGAGAAGCCGAGGTCACAATTAGGACGGCAGCAGACTCCCCTTCCGACATGGCAGACAAGAAACTTGTCTGCTGCGAAGGGGTCCTTGAATTGGAATGCCACCCATTTGCTCTGTTCTGAGGAATACATTTTAGATGAGAAAAGGATGAGGAGACTGTGGCCTTATATAAGATTAATCTTGACATGACGTTTACTACACGACGTAAACGTAATTTAGAACCCCTCGCATCTGCACATGTATGCGGACACTATGCAAACACTATTAAGCAGCGCGGAATTTTTTGTGCGAGGCTCAAATATGCCGAGTAGAGAGGGATGATCGGGTTATGTGGGCATGTTTCCAGGCATACTAAAAATTGTCACCTGTGGGCTATTACATCACTGTTGATAAATGTGCGCGCCACGACAAGTGGCGCAGCTTTAACCACTAATTACCCTAGAACCTGTCAAATTCTCGGCAATTCCACGGTACTTTGTTTGGGGCCGGAACTTCGGTTTAATTTGGCATCTCTAGAAACACATGGCTTGGCTGCACGGAGTGGAATATAATGTCATATTTGTTGTTTGTGAGCTACTAATGAGGGCAAGCCTTGAGTCGGCGCCGTGCCTCTTGTCCCCACCCTTCGCTCGGACTCCAACGACGTTCTCTCTAAGCGTCACCGAATGTCGTCAGCTTCCACGCCTCGCCTTTAGTGACATCAGGCCATAAGTTTTCAGCCAGAACTTTTCGAAACTCATCATCGATGATTACGTGTATCGATAAGTCCATAACCAGTAATTTTGCAAATCGTGGGGCTTTGGTGCAGCAGGCTTCCATGCGGCATAAGAACGGAGGATGTTATGTTTGTCCTGGTGGCGGCTATGAAAGAAGTTACCGGTAATGGTGCCGACTGGATTGAAAAGACACTTGGTGCATAGGCTTGCTCTGCTTGCTCTGCTTGCTCTGCGTAGTTTCTGTCAATATTGGCTCAGTAGTGGCCCATGTGGCATCCAGAGCATCTGAGCTCTTTACCTAAAATAGCGCGAAATAATTTTATCCTGCCCAGCATGGACTCCATGCACGCTGCAAAAGAAGCCCTCGGGTTATGATTTATATCATCGCCCGTGCATAAAATCCGAATTGGAAAAAACTTCCACGGCAGCATGCTGACAACCCCATGTGTCACAGAGCGTAAACTCATGTAAAAGCTTCTTCCATCTTAGTTTCGTCACAATAAGACATCTGATACGTACAACCCATTACGCTGGCTATTTCGTCATATAAATTTAAAGCATCCAACCTGCAATTAAACCTATTAGGCATCCACTGGCGACGTTACAGGTTATACGAGACCCAATTCTATTGTTTTCAATTCCGCTCTCGTCACATAATTACAGATGCAGCGCTTTCTTTGCCTTAGACGTCTGCTCTAGTGAGCCACGATGACTATCGATCCATGCGCATGTCTGTCTCAGCTGTTATTTCCTGCCTCAGCTGCACTACGGTGTGAATCACATGGCGTATTCTTCTCCAAAAAATTGGCACTTGAGCTTCTCCGCCAAGTGTTGACAATCTTTATTGAGCTGGGTGGGGCCGCAGGACACTATCCATTTATTTGCGTAATCAATGGTGCGGTTCACATTTTTCGCAATAATTTTTTCAAGGCTTGGCCGGCGTCCGTGTTTTACCACAGTGGCAAATTCGTCGGTAATTTCGGTACTTTGTGTCACCTGACTCGACTCCTCGTATGTCTGGAAGTCGTCGTCCAGCGACTGTAGCTCGAACGCCTCTAGGCCCTCGGAGATCTCTATCGCTTCCTCCTCGTGGCTAGAACGCGTCACGTACACTTCCAGTCCCGCTGCCTCTAGTTGCTCCAGAATAAATAAATCTCCCACGTTTGGCGTAAGCCAGACGCATAGCAGCTTGATATCCTTTTTTTCATGCTGTATTTTGCGTTTGAAATAATTGAAAAGCGGCAACCCGAGCGAGATTCCAGAGCCTCCAGATACGATGGTGACGCTTTCCGCGGTCTGAAAGAAATTTAGCGATAGGGAAGATTTGAAGAACGGCTGCAACGAGTACCGCCTGTACGGCTCCAATGCAAAGCGGTTTTTCTTCACAACCAGAGAGACGTACTGCGAACGCTCTTCCTGGATTGACGCCACAGTATAGGGATGCGAGGGAAGCAGCCAGAAACATGGGTTATAGACTGCATACGGAGTTATTCGTAGATGGCACCCTGGCAGAAATTGCGCAGGAAGCAGTGCTCGTGGCAGTTTGACAACTTGCAATGCAGAGCCGCTTTTTTCTGAAATCTTGTCAACAGTGACGCTCTTGGTCGTGAACAGTCTGTAGCCGTGCTGGTACAACACAAGGGCAACGTTGAGCACAAACAATAACGTCACTCCGGGACGGGCGTGCAGCTGCGTCAGGATTAGGTATGTGTACATCACCAAGTTATGGAAAGCAATGAAGTAGGTGTAGTTGATCGACCGGATTCGCTGCCAGTTCACGCCAAGAAGCACGTCAAACAGCACAAACATGACAAAGCCGTAGAAATTGAGCAGCCGCCAAGTTTTCGAGAAAGTGCCCAGAACAAGCCATCGCAGCAGAAATCCCACGCTGTGGCATATCCCAAACACAAGAATAACCCGCGACACCCACTTGTGCAACCGCAAAGTGTCCAGATAGTTGTCGATGCTGAGCGGGCTGGGACGCAAAGCCAGAAACAGATCGAGCGGCGTAAGGGCGTATGCCAGCCGACCAAACCGCTTCAGATGGATCGAGAACTCCTCAATGTGCAGGTTGAAGAACTCCAGGATCAGCAGTACCACGCTAAGAATGGAAACGGTGTATGCTAGTGGCACGTTGACAAGGCCCTGTTTGGTGGTGGATCTGCCTGACCGACTCCAGCACTTGTGGTAATAACTTAGCGCCGCGTACCGGAACACCACGTACAGCGCAGACATAAACAGGAGCGCATAGCCGTACTTGATGTTTGCGTAGTGATGATCTCCATGGCGAGCCAATAGCGTTTGAGCGGTTTGTTTTGTCATCAACGAGGGAAGATGAGTATTCTATTTTTGGTGAGATTGGTATTGCAGGATGGTGATTGGATGGCGACGTCAGCGACCTGTTTGCCGCTTTGTGAGTGCAAGAGACCAGACTATAAAAAAGCTGGATTTATTTTGGTAAATCAGCTTATCTAAGCACTCGGCCCATTTTCTCAGCGCTATAAGAAAATCCTTGTTATAAATCCCTTATTTACCTTTCAATGTATATCGCCAGTGTTCTTTCGTTGATGGCGTTGGCGGCCGCGGCCGTGGCTATGCCTCCCGCATGCACGCTGGCGTGTGTGAACGACCAGGCGCACCTCTGCGCCAAGAGCCACCTGGACTTTAGCTGTCTGTGTGCTTCCAGAGCCCATATCCTCAGATGTCTGATCGACAAATGCCCCTTTGGCAACTACCTGCCTGCCAGAGACCACTATCTGGGCACGTGCATCGAGAGAATTCCCGGCCTGGCGTCCAACCCGCTCTACAATATCCATCTGAGAGAGCGCGAGCCACCGTCCGCGTCGAGCCATGCGTACTGGATCTGGGACGCCAAGAACCCAAACTCCGGGGTCATCATCAACGGCACGAGTGTGATTGACGCCAACCGCAGCGAGAGTACCATTTCCGGCAAGAAGCTGCCGAAGATGGTCTCGACGGGAGATTTCTTCAAAGACGAGGAGAAGGCTCGTGACTCAGACAGCAAGGAGCTGGCAACTCTGGAGCAGGAGTACGAGAAAATGCGGCATCAATTCTCGTATATGCGGAAGCAGTATGTGGAATCAGAGGCCAAGGTGCCAATGCAGCAGCACTTGGGAGACTCACTGATTGCGCCCTTGGCTTCCAAAATCTTTACACCTTCGTACGAGCCGCTGCCTCAATCGAACGCTCAAAATGCTGCAAAAGAGAAGCCCACGCTGCACCTCCAGTTTGCAACCCAGCAGCAATTGTTTGACTCTCCTTACGGAAAGCAGCAACCACACTTTGCAAAAGGCAACTTGAATATGGAGGAAATGATCCGGCAACTAGACGACGCACTTGCCATCGACAGCAGCAATCAGGGTGACGATGACGATGACGACGAATATGAGGAGACAACGGTTGCAGACGCCCTAAAGAAGGGAGTAGTCAAGAAACTGGCAAAGTCCAAAAAAAGCAAGTCTAAAAAAATGCGGGCCAAGTCCAAATCTGCTGCACCCGATAACAACGGTCTTGCCGGCAAAAAGATCCGGTTTTCGTCAAATATTTTCAGAACGCCCAACTGAGCTCATCTCACCCGTCTGTTGCCCTGGTGTCTATCCTGAGTTTGGAGTCTTTCCTTCTGTTTCTCGAGTGGTTCAGTAATTCGAAATTGATGCCTGAATAGCCGACGTACTTGACGTGGGCTTGATTGATCTCTGCGAGATCAAGCGGCCGTTCGGGCATGACAAGAGAGCTTACAGGGATGGGTTTTGGCAAGTCGGCCGTGTCTATAGCCGTGTCGTTCGGGGATGGATAGCAGGCACAATTAGAGCTCGCCGTGCTATCAGACATCTGTACCGACCGTTGGGACCCGCTGGACAACGGCGACTTCTCCGGGGTCGTATAGATGTTCTGGTTGCTGGCTCGTGGAGCAGCCGGTGTGTGGCGCATGGACCGTTGGGTCGTGAGCGGCAGGTATTCATGACGGAATCTTGTATTTTTGTTATCCACAGAAATTCGCCAGCCAGGTGGCAGAGGCTCGCCTAATCTTTGCGCGAAAAAACGCTGATAAGGATCGTGAGCCCAGGCGTCTTTTTGCTCTAAGAAATACCGCTTCTTGTGTTTTCCTTTAGTCCTGCCTGTAGCGCTGGACCTCTTCATCTTGTACCGAATCCCGAGACACTTATTTGGTGGCGAGTCATCAATTTGAATCTGTGTTCTGCTTGGTCGTGCCACGCGCAACCCGGATTACAAATACGTGGTTACTGTGTCCTGGCTAGTACTTATACATATGACGGCTAGCCGTGCGTGTGACCGCGCAACGCCCGCCTTCTATACGGAGAAACGGTAGACAGTCTCCATGGCGAGCACGTATAGCCTATCGCCGACACCCGTGCACCGGAACTCTTCACCTACGCATTCTTGCCGATGACGTCGCCCTCGGGGTTCATGAACAGGTTGGCGGTGGTTTCTGGGTCGTCGTCGTTTTCGAGACATTTCGAGCAGATGCTGGCCGCTGGGTTGAAGCTGAGGTCGTCGATGTGGATATGGTTGCCGCACTTGAGACAGATCCGGTCTGGGTTCGGGATCGTGAGCGATCCGCCGACGTCTTCTTCGTGAGACGAGCCCTCGACCTCCTCGTCGTCCGTGTTGGACGACGAGTGATCCTGCCCGAGCTGCGACAACTGTTGGTGCAGCTGCTGGTTCAGCTGCTGGTTCAGCTGCGAATGGTGGATGTGGGGCAGGTTATGGAAGTTCTCGGGCAGCAGAATGTCCTGGTCGTGGCCAGATTGCTGTCTGTTGAGCACTGCTGCCGCGACGGCCTCTGCCGACGCCTGTTGGCCGCCATGCTTGGACCCGTTGTGGTGCTCCTCCGCCAGAGCGATGCGCTTATTCGGCGGCGACGAGACGCTGAGGCCGCGCTTCTTTTTCGTGCGGCACCTCTCGCACACCTTGTGGTCTCTGTCGGACTCCTTGAGCCGCTTGGCGCACCTGTTGCACGCCCCGATTTTCTCCAGGTTCGAGCGGCGGATCTTGTCGTTCTGCCGGCACCGCGAGCACACTTTGAACTTCGCGTCGATCGAGTCGTTCGGCCCCGAGCAGTGCACACACTTGCCCAGCGCGGCTCGGCTCGCCTTTCTAGAACGCAGCGACATCCGACAGTTCTCGCACAGAACAAACTGCGCGTGCTCGGGCGGGATCTCCACGCCGCACCGTCTGCACACGCCCTGCTTCTCCTTCGTTCTCATCTGCCATCTGCGCGACCGCTGCCGTTGCAGCTCGCGACAGTGCGAACACAGCCGGTAGTGTTTGTCGGGCATCTGTGCAAACTCCTTCTTGCACCGCGTACATACGCCGGTCACATATAACGGCCCGTCCTGCTTCTTGTGCTCGAGATCGTGCGCGTCGTGCGCCTCCTGCTTGCCGTACTTCTCCAGCTCGAGCTGTAGGGCCGGATCAAGCACAAACTTCTCCTGCGACTCGTCTTTGGTGCTGTGTGCGCTGCCTTCGCCATTGTGACGCCCTTGTGCGCCAGGGTTTTCCGGCCACACCCCGTCGCCGTCCTCGTAGTTTTTGATGGCCCGCGCAGCTGCCTCTGCCACCACCGCCGCGTGTAGAGGGTCCATGTACCTTTAAAAAGTCGTTCTTTGCCAAAATTCTTCCCCGGATTGAACGATGGTTATGAAAACCTGTCCTTTAGAATAATTAAATTAAAAAAAAATTATTTTTCCCCAATGGTGTCAAACGTTATTCTAGACATAGAGGGCACTATTTGCCCCATTTCGTTTGTCAAAGATGTGCTTTTCCCGTATTTTCTGCGCCAGCTGCCCGCCCTGCTAGACCAGTACCCGTATCCGCTGCTGGAAGACCCCTCCGACCCTATCAAGACCATCCTGCGCAAATTTCCCCAGGATAAGACCGCAACCAGAGACTCGCTGTACACTTACATCAAGACTCTGGTGGACAACGACGTGAAGGACTCCGTGCTCAAGGAGCTTCAGGGCCTCATCTGGGCCAAGGGCTACCACGAGGGAACCATAAAAGCGCCACTGTACGAGGACGCTATACGGGCCATGTACACGTGGAGCACGCGAAAGGACAAAAAAGTGTACATCTACTCGTCCGGGTCGGTTCAGGCGCAGAAGCTGCTGCTGCAGTATGTGCGCAGCATCAACGAGCCGGAAACTGCGCCGGGAAAAGACCTCAACGAGCTGGTTTCTGGGTATTTTGACACCACCAACGCGGGCCCAAAAATCCAGGCCACCAGCTACTCCAAGATTGCGGAAAAAATTAACTCGAGCCCCGCCAAGTGTCTGTTCCTCAGCGACAACCCAAAAGAAGTGGCCGCCGCTTTGGAGGCAGGCATGCACAGCTACATCGTCGTCAGACCGGGCAACGCTCCGGTGGAGTCTGCGCCTGCAGCCAAAATATCTACGTTCGACCAACTGGAACTATAGTTCGCATAATACAATCTGTCTGCATTCCACATATCCACTTCGTATTACATGTATCATTCAGCGTGGTCGCTGAAAAGCAAATTGGCCGTCATCTCCTCGTTTTTGTCGCAAGCAAAGTACACCTGGATCACAAGGTCTCTTTCAAAGCCCAGCTCGCAAAGCCTGTTGATGGCCTCGTTTTCTTCCTGCGTAATCTGAATTCTGGCAGCCCCTTCAGGCAGCTCGCCCTCTCCCTCGACACCCTCCATGTATTCTGGAGGAACCCCCAAAGCCTGGGCCAGGGCGTTCTGGTCTCCGTCGGTGATGTATCTCATGAAGGCCTCTGGGTTCGACTGCACGATCTCGGCCAGTTGCGGGTTCGAGGCCGCCAGCTGTTGCAGCACGGCTTCGGCCATCTCGGGCTGCTGTTGTAGAATCTCGCGCAACGAGCCCATGAAGTCGCCCTCCTGCTGCTGGTCAGTGTCCTGTCCCTGTGACCCTGCCGCGGCAGCTGCCTCGAACAGGTTGTCTGGGTTAGGGCTGGCATTGGCGTCTTCTGCAGCGGGCTGGCCCTCTGTTTGTGGCTCTCCGCCCTGCGACGCGGCCGGTGGCTCGGCCGTCCGCTGAGGAATGCCCGAAAGTAGATATTCCACTGCTCTATCTGGGTTGTTGAAAGCTGCCGTGAGGGCCTGCTCCACCTGAGGTCTTTCGAAGCCCATTGCCGTGATGTTCTGGATTGCTGTCTCCCTGACGCTTCCGGAGGCAAACGTGGAGGCGTCGAACGCAGCGGGCGTTGCGGAGGCGCCCTCTTGCGCTGGCTGGGCAGGTTCCGCCACCGGAGCTGCTGCTCCAGCAGGGCTGGCCTGCTCTTTTGCAGCAGGCTCTGGCGCCGCAGCAGTCTTCTTAGGTTTCGAGATCATGAATATCACCTGGTCGTTCTCCTTGATCTTGAAGTTCTCAAACGTCTTGTCGTCCTGGAGCACTTTGCCCGAGTACACAAACTTCACCTGTGACGCTTCGCACTCTTTCAAGGACGCCAGCTTCTCCTTGGCAGACAGCACCGAGTCGCTCAGCTCCACCTCCAACGGGATCTTCTCCTTCTTGAAATCTTTGAAAATCACTTGCATTCTCAAGTCAACAACACTTACACTTGATTTAGGAGAAGTAAAAAAATTCCACCGTTACACCACAGCAAATTTTTCTGGCCTTGATACAAACAAATGGACTTGTCTCAAGACACCGACGACCTGCTCGCCAATTTCCCCCATTGGGCAGCCCTGCGACACGCTCTGGCCGAGAACAACAAGGACCCGCAGCTCTGGGGCGAGCTCGTGTCCTACGTCGAGGGCCTGGTAGCCACTCAGCTGAACACGCTCAAGACCAACCCCCAGCTGTGCGAGCTGCTTGCGGACGACTTTCGGTCACTTCTGGCGCGGTTTCCGTATCTGACGGAGTTCTGGAAACGGTTTGTCGCCATTGAGTACTCGATCGAGGGCCTCGAAGGCTCGGTGGCCATTCTAGAAGAGGCAATCGCCAGCTTCCCCAGCTCCTGCGAGCTCTGGGTCGACTACCTCAACGTTGTGATATCAAACAACCTCAAAGATGAGCCGCAGGTGCGAGACCTGTTTAAACGAGCCGTTGCGCACGTCGGACGACAGTTTCTGTCGCATCCTGTATGGGACCTGTATTTGGACTGGGAGTCCAAACATGCGGGAGTCACGGCTTTGGAGTACGTCCAGATCCTCCTTCAGGTGGTGCAGTACCCCTTGCACCAGTACGCGCGCTATTTCGAGTCTCTGTACGAGATCACGTCGAATTTCACTATCGAGGACCTGATTCCGGCTGAAAAACTGCACTCCCTCATGGAATCGAGCTATCCGGGAAAACAACTCCAAGACCTTGATGCGGATCAAGTGAAGGACCTCAGCGACTCCTACTTCAACGAGATATTCACCTCCTGTTACACACGCGTCACAGAAAGATGGGAATACGAAAGCCAGCTCACCAAGCAGAACTTCGACCTGCTGCCTGTGTCGGACGACGACATGGCGCGCTGGATCAAGTATCTGGACTTTGAGGAGTCCAAGGGCGATGTGGAGCAGATCAAAAGTCTCTATGAGCGGGCACTGGTGCCAACTTGCTCGTACGAGACCATTTGGCTCAAGTATTTGCGCTACCTCATTCGCAACAGCCAGGACACCGAGTACATCGTGTCGCTGTTCAACAAAGGCTGCGACGTCTTTGTCAGCGCCGACCAGCCTACCATAAGGTACATGTATGCCAAGTTTTACGAGCTGAAACTGGAACACCACGAAAAGGCCCGTCAAATATACATCAGCATGATCGCCGCGCACCCCACCGAAACTTACCCGATTGCCCGCTATGTGCAGTATCTGTGTGGGAGACTCGGCAATGAATACACTTGTCGACAGCTTCTCAGGTTGCTGGACGTGTACACGGAAAAGACGACGGACGAGCTGGACGCAGACTTTGGCGAGCTGCGGTCGGTGCTGAACATGTGGAACGCTGCGAACTTGGTGGTGGAGGCGGCGCGCATACAGTGGGTCCGACGCAAGGACGTCAGGGCCGCGCGCGATGTGCTGTTTGCGTACTTCAAAACAGAGCTTGTTCGGTGCTCTGTTGCGTTCTGGACGTTTTTCTTCAAGTTTGAACTCGCCCAGAAAAACACGAAAAACCTCGCCAACATCGTCAACAATGTCAAGTACTACGGCCAGTTGCCCACGACGTGCATCAACCAGCTACTCGACGAGTACCGAGAGCATCTGTTTAAAACTGGCAGTCTGGAGCAGCTGCAACCTAACCGCGAGCTCGTCCGGCTGATACTGGAGACGGACATCGAGTCGTCGACGCATATGAAACATTTTCTAAAAGCACGGCTGAGCGCGAACCGCGACGAAGACCCGGTCAACAAGCGGCTGATCAAGGAAAACGGCCACCCGGGCGTCGTTTCCGAGTACCGTCCACGGCTGGTCAACCCTATCGATTTCGACGCGTCGATTATGGCGCAGCGCGACGCTGCGCAGATGCCGCGGTTCACCAACGTCGAGCGTGCAACCATGCCGCTCAAATACCTGCAGATGGACGAAACGAACTAATTGTGTACTATAGACAAGTTTATATACTGTCGCTCTGGCGGCCGATGATCTTGAGGCTGTCTCTGACGATGGCCGCAGGCGTGCATCTATTATTTCCGTAGACCTCGAGAATCGACAGTTTTGGAGCAATTCGTGACAGCACCGCGAGTGCAGAGTCGTCGCACGAGCGCACAAAGCCGATGTCCAGCGCGGTCAGCAGCGGGAACCGCAGATGGCGGCCAATTTGCTTGAAGAAGTTGCGTGTGAGGTTTTTTATTGAGTTCAGGTTCAGCTCCACCAGTGTCTGGCACGAGTGCTCGAGCAAAGCGTACACGGCCTCGTCGCCGAGCTCGATGCAGCGCGCCAGGTTCACCTCCATGAGCCCGCCGTTCATGTCCCAGTCGGTGAACAGCTCCTTGACGCCGACGTCGGTGATCTGGTCGAGCAGCACCAGCGACAGCTTGGTGAGCGCGGGACAGAACGGCTTGATGCCTGAGATGAGAAACTGGTCCGTTAGTCCGGTGCATCCGTCGAGCACGAGCGACTCGAGCGTCTCGCCGTTCACGCCCAGCAGGTTGATGATCAGCTCGTCGTCGATCAGCTCCTCTTTATTTGGGTATGAGATCTCGAGATGTTTGAGTTTGCGAAGATAATGAGGCAGCAAATCGTAGACGTTCTTGGACGTGAGACCGTCCAGTCGGCTCAGCGTGAGCTCCTCGAGGTTGTTGCCGCAGTTGTCCAGCAGCGAAATTAGCGAGTCGGGCGAAAACCGGTGCGTGTTCTTGATATGGATGCCTTTGAGGTTCTTGCCGACGGGACTGTCAAAGAAATCCTGCCACGCCTGGTCGTTGATCAGAAACGCGCCGTTCAGATACAGGTACCTCAGATTCGTGAACTTCTCGCCATAATATTTCAGATTATCCTTGTGCAGCCGTCCGCACATGTTCAGCACCAGTCTCTCGACGTTTGGACAATACGCCGGTATTTTGTTGAGTGCCACGCTGTCGATCTTCGAGCAGTCCCAAAACTCAATCTCGCGCATGTTGCTGTCCAGAAAAAGCGACATCGTGCGGTTATCCAGCGACCTGTTCTTCGACAAGATGCGACTGATCTTTTTCATGTTGACCACACCGATGTCGCCCAAAAGGTCCACCTGGTCGATGTTTTTCGAAATCACATTGATGCAGCAGTCCTGCAGGGACGGAATCTTGTACTCCTGCTTGTCCAGAAGCGCCGCGGCCACCTTCTTGCGCCGTTTGCGAGCCTCGATCTCGTTGCGCTTTGCCAGCCGTTGCCGCTTGATCTCGTTGCTTGTGCACTCCGGACACAAATATCCGATACGACCATACTTCTCCATGCGCTTCGAGTACACAGAGATCACAAACTCGCGGTCGCACTCGATACAGAAATTCTTTCCCTCGTCTGCCTCGTCGTCGTCCAGCTCGCGGTCCCGGCGCGCACGGCGACGCTTAATTCTTGCGCGCTCGCGCAGCAGCCTCACATCCTCGGGAATATCCTCTCCCTCCAAAATCTCCTCGTCAGACTCCTCGGATTCGCCATTTTCCACCTCTTCGCCATCGCTCGCTTGCTCCTGCTGGCGCCGCAACCCTTCCTCGTACCGCAATCTGATGGCCTCCGCACTGATACCCTGTTCCCGCAGGAACGACGTCAGCGCACTGCTCGGACCCTGAACCTGGTACTCCTCCTGGTTGCCGTTTTGTCTGGCCCTTCTTCTGGACATGGCAAATGATAAAAGAAATAAATTCGGGCCCCTTTATTTTATTTTTTTTATGGTGCGAGGAGTACCTTTATCGTTCTATCTACAGTACACAGGCGGAGCCAGCGAGTTGGACTCCTCGGCGGTCAGCAGAACCAGATCGCATGTCTGCTGCGGCGGCGTGTATGCGGGAGCGGGCGTGTGCTCTATCAAGCTGTAGTCGGGCGCTGGCTTCTCGATAGGGCCCAGGACGATGTCGTGGTAGAACCTGAGCTCGTGGATGCGTTTCTTGAGGATGCCGTTGTTGCACAGCGTCAGTGAGAACATTAGGCGCGTGGTGTTTTTGAAACAGGTCCCGATCTGGATGTTGGGCATGAACGGCTCCTGTAGCGCGTCCAGCAACGAGACGTCCGGTAGCAGCTTGCTCATCGGCAACCGGCCAGAAAGCATGCCGTCGTGCTCTTCAAACTCGGCCACGTCGAAACACGGCTCCGCACCCGGCTTGTAGTCAAAATTGAACAGCTCCACGGGGGTCCCTGCGTTCTCCACGACGGCCTCGCCGATCCTAAGCTGCATTTGCGAAAGAGCAACAGCTTTGACGTTGAGAACGCGGAACTCGCCCGCACCGGTAGAGAGGCCGTTGATGGTGTAGTCGTGGGTCTGCGGCGTGTGGATGACCAGCTCGCCCAGATTCTGGATGCTCGTGTCAAAGCCAAGATGTGCCACTGTTGACAGCTGCGCAGTAAGCAGCACGTCTGCGGCCAACTGCGGGTCCCTTCTGTGGAGATGCAGCAGTCTGCGCAGCCGCAGCGAGTACCGGGGCATCGTCACAAACGGGCTCTGAACCACGGCGCCGCCGCACTGAACCAGTCGCCGGGCGCACTCGGGGAAAATGTGCGAGGCTTCCGAGCGAATTTTGCTCACGTGACCGGATGTGGGATCGGAGTCGGTTTGGAAGCGGATAGGGAACGAGGCAGAGATGGGGTCTGCGTTGGGGCGGACGACGGCGACGTCGATCTCGTACTGCGTCGAAATGGCGCCCATGCCCACGGCCCGTTCGCCGTGCGAAGTGCACGACGAGGGCAGCAGCTGCCGTTCGACAGGGAACTCGAACTCCAACGGCAGCTCGAGAAACGAGTCTTTTTCGAGCGTTGCAGGGTACGCGATATTTCCAGAGACGGTTTTCCTGAAGCAAAACAGAGGGTGGAACGTCTCTATGATCTGGGAGTCCGGCTCCTCCCGGAGAGTGTGTGTTCCGTCCATGTTGATGATGTCTGTGTATGAGTGTGTTCTTTCGACTATGCTGGTGGTCATGTGGCCTTTGAAGGAGGCCTTGATGGCTTGGATCTGGATTGGGTTCTGGAAGTAGAGTTTGAGGCTGGCTTTGACGTGCGGTTGCAGCGGCGAGTAGATGGCATGTTTATTAGGGGGGTCTCGCAGCGAGAACTCGAATGTCACCATGATCCAGGTTTGGCTCTATGTGAGAGCGTATGTGGGCCACATGGCTGTATTTATGTGCAAAGGGGCGAATACGAGGTTTGGGATGGGGCCCCATATTGCCACGGCTATTCGGGTGGGATTTTTCTCGAGCCGCGCTTTTTTGTTTTGGAAATTCCGTGCCAGATAAACAGCTGAGTTATTTGTGGAGTCAATATGAACAGGGGCCTACGACTAGCGCCCGTTGCTGCTCGCCGGTGTGCGGGGTCTGTTCGTTTCTCGGGCACTCTGCGCAGGCCAGACTTCGATCTGGACTACTACAGCTCGAGAGTCGACCTGTTCCGCGAAATTTGCAGTCGAAGAAAAGTTCCGTTCCCCTTGGACGGGTACACAGCCCTGTACGGGAAGTACCAGGACGCAAGAAAACACGCGATCGAGCTCAAGCGCGAGGCCGGCACGCTGCAGCAGCAGATCAAGGCCAGCAAAGCGGGCAAGCAGCCCGTCGACGAGCAGGCGGTGCTCGACAGGCTGGCCCAGCTCAAGCCTCTGCTGAAACAGAGCGCAGAGACGCAGAAAGGTCTTGTTGCGCAGATGGAAGAGCTGGTGGACCAATTGCCGAACCTGATAGACGGCGCCGTCGGCAGCCAGCAGACCCTGCTGGAATATATCAACGTCTCGCACGACATCGACGCAGCTGCCGACGAAAAATACGACCACAAGTCGATCCTGGAGAGGGCCGGGCTGGCAGAGTTTTTGCAGGCCTCCAACGTCTCGGGCCGCGGCTGGTACTACCTGATGGGTGACCTGGCGCTGCTGGAGCAGGCGCTCGTGCAGTACTCGCTGAAAATGGCTAGAAAGAGCGGGTTCCAAATGGTGCTTCCGCCGTCCATAGTCAAGACAGAAGTCACCAACGCGTGCGGGTTCAGACCACGAGACACCAACAATGAAAGACAGGTGTACGAGCTTACCCACGACAACCTGTGTCTCACGGGAACGGCCGAGATATCGCTTGCTGCGCTAAGCATCAACACAGAGTACAAGTTCGGCGATCTTCCTCGTCGCATGGTCGGTCTGTCACGCAGTTTTCGGGCCGAGGCAGGCGCTGCGGGAAGAGACACGCGCGGCTTGTACCGTGTGCACGAGTTTACCAAGGTGGAGCTTTTTTCCTGGACAGCAGGCGATCTTTTGGAGAGCAGCAAGGAGTTCGACCGTCTGGTGGCATTCCAAAAAGAATTTATCACCAGTTTGGGACTTCCGGCCAGAGTGCTACTCATGCCAGCCGACGACCTGGGCGCCCCAGCGTTCAAAAAAGTCGACATCGAGGTGTTCATGCCCGGTAGAGGCGCCTGGGGTGAGGTCAGCTCGACTTCCAACTGTCTGGACTACCAGGCAAGACGGCTCCATGCCCGCTACCGAACGGAGAATAATAAGCTTCGATTCGTGCATACACTGAACGGCACGGCGTGTGCGGTTCCGCGTCTTCTGGTGGCGATCGTGGAAAACAACTACGACCCAGATTCGCATTTGATCGCCGTCCCAAAAGTGCTCCAGCCGTACGTGGACGATAAAAAATATATAGACTGCCGGCCATGTAAATAGCTTGCATATTTAATTGTATGATTTATTAAATTGCCAATATTTTTCAGGGAAGCGAGCTCAGAAGCCGTTTTTCGTCGCTGTCGTTTAGATAGAGCAAAGTCTTGATCACCGGAAGAAGAATCCCCCGCTGCTCCTTGTGTTCCAGAAATCCCAGAATCACGTTCTTGACGTACTCCATCTTCTCCTTCGTGTCTGACTGGCTCTCAGACGCAAGGTCGCCAACGCTCGTTGAACGGCTCACAACCGGCGACGACTTGTCCGACTCAACGCTCGCCACAGACTCTCTTCTATCTCTGGTTGTCCGGTACTGTTGCGAGAGCAGCTTGTATTTTTTGTTCAGACGCATCAACTTCTGCGACGTCTCTTCGTTAGCCTTGCGTAGCTTGCTATTCATCGTTTCGAGATCCCGGATTTGGGCCTCGCTCTTTTGCAGGGTGTCGCGGAGCGACTCCAACAGCTTGTAATCGCGCTCAGATGTGTTTTCCTCGGGCTGTTTTTCGCTGTTCGCCACGTCACGAAGAGCACTCTCCTGCTCAGAAAGTTTGGCTTCCACGGAGGCCTTGTCGCGACGAAGAAGATCCAGCTCGTCCCGCACGCTCTCCAGACTGCTCTTGAGATCTTCAAGCTCGCGCTGCTTCTTCTTCAAAGACAAGGTCGACTCACGCTCCAGCGCCTCCTTCTCCTCAGCCAGCTTTTCTAGTCTGGCGTTCAGCTCCTTCAGTTTAGTATTTTGCGTGTCTTCGGTCTCAATAAGCAGTTTTCGGATAGTTCCAGCTTCGCGTGTGCGCTCCTGCAACATAGAACGAGCCTCTGAAAGCTCTTCCTGCAGCACCTCCATCCGGCTCTCGTACTCTCTATTGCGCATCGACAGCTCCTCGCATCGCCGCTTGATCGTCTTCACCTCGTCGGAAGTGCTCATCTTCGAGTTCTGCAGATCCTCGTAACGGTCCTTGATTTCTTCGTAATTCTTCATCAGCTTGTTGTTCTCGGTGCTCACTTTGTTCAGACGGAGCATCAGCTCGTTATAATCTTTGCGCAGCGTCTCATTCTTCGTTAGTGCGGCATTCTTCGCTTCCAAGTCAGAATTCATCTTCGTCTTCAGCTCGCTCACTTGCACCTTGAGCTCTATCACGCTGTCATTCAGCTTATTTTTCTCTTCTTCCAAATATTTGAGTCGACTCTCCTTTTCGTCCAAAAGGCGATCCTTGCGCGTTAGCGACGACTGAGCACTCGATAAATCCAACTTTAGCTGCACTTCCCGCTCCTTCAGCCCAGTAAGCTCGCTGATCTGCTTTTCCAGTGCAGCTTTCTCCTTGTTCAGATCATTGATGCGTTTTTGCAACTGTCCATTTTCCTCGCCCACGTCCTTGAAATTCTTCTCGAATCCAAGCTTGAGGTCTTCAACCTGTTTTTTAAGGCTCTCAATGACGGCGTCCTTGGCGCTAGTCTCCTCACCACTGCCCTTCGTGTGACTTTCTTCCAACGAAGCCAGCTTCTTTTCCAATGACGACTTTGCCCGCTCGTAGTCCTTCACAGCATCGGAGTTCTGGATCCGCAGCACTTCCAAATCAGCCTTCACGGACTCCAGCTCGGACTTCACCTTTTCTAGCTCCTCCGTCTTCTCCCGGTATTGTTCCTGAGATTTTTTGAGCTCGTCCTTCGCCGTCACCAGAGAGTCTCCCACGTCCCGCAACATGTCGCGCTGATTTTCAATCTCGTCTTTTTGAGACTTGACCTGTTTGGCCAGATCAGCAGCCTCCTTCTCAAAACGCTCGGCCTCGCCCGCTTTAGCCTCCAAAACCTCCACCTGGTGACGAAGCTCAATGAGCTCGGTATCGTTGTTCGGGCTTTTAGCTGCCTGTCCCTTCTTCTTCTTTTTACCCTTCTTGGAGCCTTCGTTGGGTTTCGCGCTGTCGTTCGCAGGCTCACTCTCTTTCTGAGACTTGAGCTCCTCGTTGAGCGCTGCCACTTTTTCCTTGAATAACTGTGTGAGCCTATTGCTTGACTCGAGCGATTTTTGCAGCTCTGCAACCTGCGACTCCAGCTTCTCCTTCTCAGATTGAAAACCACTCAGTCCGTTCTCCTTCGCCACTATCAAAGACTCCTTTTCGCTCAACAGCTTCTCTAAATTGGCTTTTTCTTGGTCAAACATCTCTTTCTGTTGGCTCTCCTTGGCCTGCGCATCAACCAGCTGCTTCCTCAGCTCTTCCAGCTGTCTCCTCAACACTTCCAACTCTCCATTGTCTGGAGTCCTGGACTCGCTGCGTAAACGCTCCAGCTCATCAAGACTCTTTTTGCTCTCGGCTTCCTTGGCCACAGCTTGCCGCAGCTCAGACTCTAAAAAAGCTGTCTTGGATTTCAAGCCTCCGATATAGTCGCGCACCGCATCAATCTCGCCAATACTGGAACACGGCGTCAATTCTCGTAGCATCGCCTCAAAAGCCTGTATCACAACGGTCTTGCGCTTTTCAGCCTTGTAGGCCTCGAACAGAATGGGATACTTCTCATCGTACTTTACAAACTTGCGCATTCGGCTTCGTATTTCCGGCGGAAGATCCATATACTTGATATTCGTGCCCGGAACAGTAATGCTAATGGTGCTGGCCTCATTAGTAGGCTCAGGAGTGCTCATTTCCCTTGGCTGTGTCATGCTGTCCGGCTCGGGAGTCGGCGTAGATAAGATCCTGCTTGCAGTTGCCGGATCAATTCCCGCATTGGGCGAGCCCGAGCCCTGTTTTCGGTTACTGTTCACCTCGTCATTGATCCGCGAAATCTCGTCGGTCAAATTCTTGCCGATCTGCGAGATCTTGGAAAACATGATCGTGTAAATTTAATCCTCCAGTCCTTGTGAAATTATATTCTCAAGGAGCAAGCCCACACACCCGTACACCGCCATCTACATAAACTTCGCCTCGGGATGATAGTACACAGGACACGTCCAGTACGGCCGGTAGATGTCTGCCCAGACGCTGTCTTTGGCGTCTGGCTTGGTGGTCCTCGGCACCTCAATCTCGGTGAATTCCGTCTTGAGTCCGTAGTTCTCCAGATCCAGCTCCACAACGCGCTTATACACCTCGTAGCACACCAATCTGTCTGCTCCCAGGCCGTTGAAAAACGAAAATATTCCTTCTGGCTTCAGCAACCCCACAAGAAGGTCGTACAGCTCCAGCATGTCAGAGTATTGCTCGCTGAACGTATCGAAATAAATTCCGTCGAAAAACACTCCCTCGTTCAGAAGTGGTGGCAAAGTGTCCTGCCACTTCCCCCTCAGCACCACCACGTTATCCTTGTCCATCCAGCCATCTTTCTGCATTTTGGCAAGCACGTCAGGGTGAGCCTCACAGATGTAATGTTTAGCTGGGTTTTTCTCCTGGATCATGTTGTCTATTATCCCCATGCCAAATCCGATATTAAGCACTACCACATTATTGGGGTCCTCAACGCTCTTGAACAAGGACTCGCACCCGGCTCTCATCAGTTTCTCTTCCCATTGCATCATCACCCCGTCTTTTCTATCTGTTAGCAATGCATCGTCAGTATACTCTAACTTGGTCTTTAAAAATGTATCGCTATCTCCAGCAGGATCGTGTTCCTGCTTATTCTCGTTCTGTTGCTCCTCCTTTGCCGGTTCTTCCTCGTAGGCATCCACCTCGTCTTCCTCAATAAACTCGATGTTGGATTCCATGTGCCGAATGAGTACTTCAGCACGAACTCCAGCAGAAACTATTTGCTCCCAATATTTAGAGCCATGAAAGCCTCGTCTTTCCAACACACAGCCAGGAGTCTCGTTTTTCGCACTGACCAGGCACCAGCCGGCTCCGTTCAAAAACAGCTCGTCGATCATCGACACCACGATTTCCTCCTCTTCTGGCGTGAAATCGTGAGAGATATTTTCACAGATCAGATGTAATGGGGTTGTGGTAGACGAAAGCTCCTCTTCAACTCCCCTCTCAAACTGATCCACCTCCTCGAGCGTATACGTTGCTGGAATTCCAGCAGACAAATACTCTTTGAGCTTCTCGAGATGGCCTTTTGTTATTGGTCGTTCGAGCTGGCAAAGCTCATGCAGTTCGGACATGCTAAATTTTATATTTTTTCATAAAATATTTTTGACTAAATATCATAAATAATGTCCACGAATTGTACATCCTATTCTCCCAAAAGCCCTGCCAGATACCTCAGGGAACTTTCCTTGAGACCGCGTGCTATTATGGCATCATAATCTATGGGCTGCTCCTTTCCTGCCGACACACTTCCATCCATCGTAGTGTTGCCTGCGAGAAAAGGTGCTAGGTACGCATAGGACTCGTCGTTCAAGATACCTGTGTAAAGGGACGAGTTCGACATATAGCGTTTTTCGTTCCACATGTTGACTAGCACCTTGCCCACAGTATTATCCTGCACTTCCTCGAGGGCCGAACATAATGACGTCTTGTCAACCTCGGTGGTGCTCTGTTCAGTAAGTGTAGTATTCTGCTCCTCAAAGACTGCTCCCGGAGCTTCTCTTGGGGTGAAAAATTTCTCGTCCTCGGTCTCAGACTTGTCAGTATGCGGAGAATCGAATATGTCCATGTCATCTGTCAGATCAGGAAGTGACATGTCAAACGTACTGGATAAATCAATATCCTGAAGTAGGTCTGCCTCCTTGGCTGTTTCTGGAATCGGCGGTTGGTCTTTGAACTTTTCGTGTGCTGCTTGTAGTGGAGTGACAATGCGCACGCTTGGCTTCTTCGCTTCCAAAGCAGCTGGTGCACTTTCTGATTCCAGGATACCAAGTGGCTTTGCTTCTTTCAAGTTATCAGACTTCATTGGCACCTGTGGTACCTGTTGCCCCGTATTCACATTTCTTAGTGCCACCAGAGGATGCTTGTGCCGAGTTTTGTTGCTCACAGGCCGCTTCACAAAGCTTGCGACTCTGCTGATGATCGAATCTTTGCTTTTATCGCTTTCCAAAACGGAATTCCCTTCGTTCTTGGGAACCGTCCAATTATCGCCTTTTTCAGTATCGCCAATTTGGCTCAGCTTGGCTGCAACACTAGGTGAAAATAAAAGACCTTTAGTACCAAGAGGAGCCTCTTCAGCTTCCATCACCAAACTGACACCATGCTCTTTCAAATCCTTCTCATGCTGCTCTCTTCTTTTCCTGGCTTCGCTAAAGTACCTCTCCAGATTCTCTTTCAGAACATCTTGGGGAGATGGGCCTTTGTGATTCTCGTTCGATTGTTTCTCCTGCGAGTGCAACTCTGTTTGCGGTTTGTCGTCCCGTGCTGTCTCATTGATACTTCTTCTCTTCAATGCCTCGGGTCTCACTTTATCAATATTCAATCCAAATCCATCAATCAGGTTGTTAGACTCTGCATCTGAAACTTGACGAATGGTAGACTTGTCGGAGCTATGGCGATTACTTGAGATCCTCGACCCTTGGGGTTGCCCAATTCTAAGTACACTGTTCTGTCTTGTTGGGAATTGATACTCGTTAGCTGCCACCATACTAGACATTGCTGGAGAAGCTGACTTTCGATCTTCGTCTTTGAGCACCGAAACTCGTTCAACCCCCAACGTCTTGCCGGGAGTTTTGGTCTCGCGAGCCATCGACCCTCTTTTTCCGCCAAAGAGACGCTTGTAGAAGGGCACTGATCGATCTTTCTGTTTCGTGATTTTTGTAGAGCTGACCCTATTATTATCAAGCATGTCCAAAGTGTTGGATCTTGGTTTGAGGGCTTGAGTTCCTTCCGGAAGCTTTCTGGTTTGCATGAACAGTTTGTGCGCTTTCTTTATGTTTACAAGCTCTTTGCGTTGGCTGTCTTGACTGCAATTTATCACGAGTGCAGCCTTGGAAAACATCTCGCTCGATCTATCATAAAGCTTGAGGTTGATCATTGGATTGGCATACGTCAGCTGGAAGTCAAGCATGTCAAAGATTTTCCCAAGTAGTTTGACTGAAAGCTCGCCGTATGGAACCTCGTACGTTGCATATTTCTCACAGCAGCTGGCACCTTCGATGAGTATTTTATTGGATGAAAAGTTAAGCGTGACGAATCCAAATAGGGAATACTTCTTCAAGTAGCTTTGATCGAATGGCATATTCAAGAACACAGCAAACAGCGACTTGGTCTCTTCCGAATTGTAAGTTTCAAGTTCATGAGCGGTATAGTATAGCGTTTGCGTGGCATCTGCTGAGCGGAAGAGATGAAATGGCTGCGACTTGTTGAGTATCTTTGCTTTGTTGAGAACTTCAATGAGGTGGGAACCAGTATATTTGCTGACTTCATAAACGTCGAAAGCCTTATCATCAAATAGCTGGATGTATGCTTTCCCGTCGTAGTTGTAAAACTGAGCATCGATATCACTTATGCCAGACCACCTTTCGACTTTCATTTTTGGCAAGCTGGAGAACGGAACCTCGTTAACCAATGAGTGCATTAACACATCCGCAATAGACGGCTTGTGAACATGGGTATCAGCCTCAAAAAGGTCATAGTAGTACAAGTCGTCCACAATTTCCAGAATCACCACATGATCACTGAATATAATTACCACTGCGTTGTTTTTCACCGATTGTTTAAGCACGTTCTTGACATCAAATATCGCAACCACTCGTCTGGTCAACCAGCCATACTGAAGTTCTGCTGGCCAGCCACTGGCCAATTCCGTAAGGATTTTACCTGTAGGAGTGAATATTCTGTGATTGTAAGGTTTGAGAACGTCACTGCCAAATGCTATGATTGTGTTCAAGCATGACTGGTAGTACGCGTCGACCTCGGGCTGTAACTCCTGGGGCCACTTTTTCGTCGTCATGAGTCTATCCAAAATCAGTTGCAACTTTGGTAGATTTAAAGATGCGTGCATGATTGATTGGATAGTCTTTTGATCGAAGGTAAGCTTGTCATATCCAATTTTCTTCATATCAATCAGAAAGGCATCCAGTTGAGTAGCAAAGGTTTTTGTGGCGGCCTCATGTCTCATGTGCGCTTTGTAAAAATAAGGGATTGTCGTTCCACTGGCCTTGAGTAACTCAAAACTTCCGTATGGAAGAGCCGTTTTCAGGATGTCTAGGTATATGCAGTTGATTCTGGTCACCTCATCGATGGTTGGCGGAAAAACCTGATTGAGTTTCGCGGTTGTGTATCCTGGTATTCTCCCTTCCAGCACATCAACCCTAAGCGGAATAAGGAACTTCTGTAAGAATTGCACTAAGGAGACTGTAAAATTAGTTTGCACTTTGACTAGCTCGTTGCAGATACTTTTAACAAGTACATCATCTGAGTCATGAGGCTGCGGCGTGTCCCCCGGAAGTTTATATGCTTTTTCTGTAGGCTCAGGAGAATACTCGGTCAACGGATCAAAAAGATGGTCCAGTTGCTCCCCCAGCAGAAATGCGAGCTCATTATTTTTGTCCGAGTCTTCTATGTTTTCGGTATTTGCGTAGATGACATCCACAACGTAGGATGTTCTTTGTTTGCGTTGTTGTGCAAATCCTAACTTCAAGATAAGTTCGCCAACCTCTTGTGGTGTCCTATTATCGATGAGTTTCATCTCCGAAGCCAATTTTCCTGCGTTTGTCTCATCCCAGTCATAATCTGGTTTTATGTGGGCTTTCTTCATCATGAGCGACTTGGTGTTTGGGTCCAATTTTGCGTACGTTCGCAGTATAGCCACAGCCAGTGCTCTTCTCACATTGCTTTTGCGACAGTCTCTGCTGAGGTTCTCAACTGCAGGATAATATTTGGAGTTTTTAGTCAAAGACATGGAATCCACAATAGTCTGTCCATGTACACTGAGAAGCATGCAACTGAGCTTCTTCGTTGTCTTGTTCTGGTAAACCATAGCTATCATTTGGCCGAAAAGCTCATCACGTCCTTCAAAATAGACGGACTCTGCAATCAACGAGCGCCAGTACTGCTCGGTAGCTCGTTCAGGATGGGACTCGGATCCCAAATCATTCATGTACTGACTGCTGCTTCTTCTCATCGGGTTCGACGCTGTGAACGACGAGTAGAACGACGGCTTCATACTTGTTGGATCAGACACCGTCTGCGGGCCGGTTTGTTGGTCCATTTCGATTTATACCTGATATCTGAGACAATTTTCAAACAAGATCGCGAGTTGTTTGTGATTTATTTTATTTGTAAACAAATGTTTCAAAACAGGTAAATTAAAACTTCAGGCAGTGCAAGAACTAAAGTGCACAGCCGCAACCTTATTTTATCTCTGGGCCCTTCTATCATGTCTCATCGCAGTGAAACTGTTTAGGTAATAATTACTAAATCATTAATAATAAAAGGGGGTTGCATTTTTACTGCGTAACTAATATAAATACAGGGTTTAAGCAAAGTTAACTGGCGCTAAAATATCAAACTCAATATGACTAAGAAAGTTGCAGTAAGTACCAATGGGGAGGCCTGAACTGCTAACTTAAGATCATCATTTACTCGTTATACCACCACGTGTCCACCCTTGCTGAATCGGTCAAAGCAGGACTGGAAGCAGGAGGTGTCGGGGCCAAGATTTTCCAAGTTCCGGAGACACTGCCGGAGAGCATCTTGGAGAAGATGCACGCTCCTCCAAAGAGACCGTACGAAGAGGCCACCGTGTCTACATTGCAGGAATACGACGCATTTATGTTTGGTATTCCAACCAGATACGGCAATTTCCCTGCTCAGTTCAAGAGTTTCATCGACCAGACCGGAGGCTTATGGGCCTCTGGTGCTCTTTACCACAAGCCATTTGGAGTTTTCGTTTCTACAGGAACTGGTGGTGGAAATGAGATGACCGTTGTCAACTCTTTGTCCACGTGGGTCCACCACGGCATGATCTATGTGCCATTGGGCTACGCTAAGGTGTTCTCGTTGATGACAGACCTGAGCCAGGTCCGTGGCGGTTCTCCATGGGGAGCAGGCACTATTGCCGGTGCCGATGGCTCAAGACAGGTGACGCCTCTTGAGCTCGAGATTGCCAAAGCGCAAGGTACCGAGTTTGCCAAGGTTGCGCTCAAATTTTAAAGAGTTCTGGAGATAATAATCAATATGGCAGTGAAATTCAGGTATGACGTAACTTACAAAAAATTACTGTAGTAGTCGTAGTCGGCCTCAACGAAAGCCCATCTTGGCACCTCGGTGTCATAGGTCATATACATGCTAATGATATCATTGACCCACTCGAAATTGAAGCTGTCTGAGTACGTTGACGAGCTCTCAGACTGCTCTTTGGACGGCACGTTCCGCTCGCGACTAGGAACGAGATAAAACTGCTCCGAGAGATCGCCCAGATCGTGGTCCACACTGATAAAGCTTAATTCTGTAGACTCAACGTGATGCGAAGTGTTGGAGGTCGCTTCATTTGAAGTGCCCACGCCGTCTGTGAGCAATATATTTGCAGACGACTTGTCCGTCGTCTGTATACTTGCTTCGGAGACATTGGTGTTGGGGCTTGACTTCTTCCAAAAACTCCGCTTGTGTTTCGAACCTAACCTCAACTGGTTCACAAATCTGTGGACAGTTTTAGCACGCTCCAGCATTTACTTTCCGAGAGATATGAAACTGCTCATAATGTACATGGTCCCCAGCAGAACCAGAAAACGCCAGCAAAACATCCTAACTGGCGCACGAACATTTGCCCATTTTTAGCTCGAAAGCCACATCAGAACACCATCTTTCCTCTACGTCTTTCAGCTCATCACCCCACCTAGCTCTGTCGTACGGGTTGGTGCACATCTTCATCATTTTGTTGATATAGTCTGGCTTGAGATCGTTTTCGGTGGTATAGTCGATAACTTCTTCCAGCATCCAATTTTTAGGAACGAATAGCGGGTTCACTTTGGATGCTCTGCTCAGCCGCTCGTTGTCGGATAGCTGCTCCCGCTCCACTCTGTCTTTGAAAACAACCAAAAAACTTTTCAGCTCTTTGAGAATATTTTCCTTGGTGTAGTCGTTGACCAAGTCTTCCTGGAAATTTTTAGGGATGAACAGCTCCGCGGTGGCTTCGTAGTCAAGCTTCTTCTCCATTGGCACGTGCTGCAGAATATTAAAGAAGTCGTTGTAGTCGATCTTGGTGGCTCTCAGCATCTCAAACATAGGTCCCAGAATTTCTGTGTGGTCAGTGTCTCTCGGACTGATACCGATTCTTTGGCAAACCAGTTTCAGATAGTCGTCCATAAACAACTTCTCATATACTGTGCCGGCAATGTCAATGATTTTGCCTGCTCTTCCAATCATTCTTTCTGTCCATTCTTGCTTAATACCAGCCTCAAAATCTGGATCATCTAAAAGTTCCTGGTCGGCTCCAATCAGCTCTGCAACATCCTCGCCAAGCTTGACAAGATTAAACCAAATTGCGCTCGGGGTATTAGCGAAGCTGTACATCCTTGTGTGATCGTCATGGTTGGACGTGTAGTTCGGATCAAAGTACTCCATAAATGCGAAGGGCCCAAAATCCATTGACAGGCCAGTGATGGATGTATTGTCGGTATTCAAAACACCATTCAGGAATCCATAAACGTGCCACAAGGCAACAGTCTTGGCATTGCGAGCAACAATCTCCAGATACATCTTGTCGTAGCGTGTGAGAGTGATGTTATGTTTCGAGATCTCTCGTTCGACTTCTTTTTTGATCTGCTCGTTTTCGACCATCTTGTTGTGGAAAACCTCGTCAATCACATAATTGCTCAGCTCGATCAGCCCCTTGCGGTCTTCCCTCCATTTGTACAGGTCGAAGGTTCCAATCCTGATCCATGTAGGCGCCATTCGACAGACAACGGCACACTTTTCATGGCGAGCGCGCATGGCATATGTCTTTGGAAGCGCAGTGATAGCCAATGCCCGCGTAGACGGAATTCCTATTGCTGATAAGGCCTCACTTATCACGAATTCCCGGATGCTCGAACTCAAAAGCGCCTTTCCGTCTGCAAACCGAGAAAACGGTGTTAATCCAGCTCCCTTGAGCTGCAGCTCGTATCTTTGTCCATCCTTGGCGCTTTCTACTTCAAAGAGGTTCACAACTCTCCCATCACCCAATTGACCTGCAAATTGGCCAAATTGATAGCCGGCATAAGCCTGGGAGTATGGAAACGGGTCGGTAAGATACTTTTCCCCAGACACCAGCTCCTGGAAGCTCCTATTCGAAGCTTCTGACGGATCCAGCCCCAGCGTCTCCAATGCGTACGGAGATGCCGTTAAAAAGCGGTACTCTTTACGGGGAGTGGGCTTGCAATAGGTGTAGGCGCCGCCAATAAGACGCCTCGCAACATGAAAGAGCTCCTGTGGGGTTGACGGATCCAGAGCTGCCTTCACGCTGGGGATCCGCGGATCGGGCGTGAGCTTTTTGGTGAAAGATGAGGTCTTTGGCAGTGACTGAAGGGTCATTCGTTTGGACATGGATAAAAAACGGTTTTTGCAATTAGTCTTTATGTTGACTCATTTGCTCTTTTTTTCACTAGTAAGTCAGTCCTATAAAGAGATTTTTTTTTTGGATTGGATAATTATTTTTTTCATAATGGAAGTGTTCGTTAACGAAAAGATAGGAACCGACGACGCAGGCGCGGCCGGCACCAAGGAGAAGCCATTCAAAACCCCGGCCTATGCTCTGTTCAAGGTGCCTGAAGCCAAACTGATTGTCGCCAAAGAGACTGAACAAGGGGAAGAATACGTCGATATCTCACCTTCTGCTTTGAAGAAGGCTAAAAAGGGAGCTGAGTCTCTCAAGAAAAAAGAAGAGAAGGCCCGCAAACAAGCTGCAGAGGCTGCTGCCAAGGATGCGGAAGAAAACGCCAAGATGTTGGAGGCCATGAAGATTACTATTGTTGAAGACAAATCTCTTCCGCCAGCCAAGAAAATCAAAATCATGTCCATTGGGAAACACATCGAAGAAAGAGTCAAGGTCCAAGGATGGGTCCACCGTTTGCGTCTGCAAAAGGGACTTGCCTTTATTGTTCTGAGAGACGGTACCGGATATGTTCAGTGTGTCTTGAGTGGAGACCTCGCCAACGCATACCAGACCCTGTCTCTCACTATTGAGTCCACTTTGTCCATCTACGGTACGATCAGAAAGCTTCCTGAGGGCAAGTCTGCTCCCGGCGGTGTGGAACTGGCCGTGGACTACTACGAAGTGGTTGGCTTGGCCCCATCTGGCAAGGAATCGTTTACCAACAAGATCCAAGAAGGAACCGATCCGTCGATCTTGATGGACCAGAGACATCTCACGCTTAGAGGAGAGACCTTGTCTGCTGTGATGAAGGTTCGTGCTGCTCTTCTTGCCGCCATCAGAAGAGTTTACATCGAAGAATCGGTCACTGAGGTGACTCCTCCTTGCATGGTGCAAACCCAGGTTGAAGGTGGATCAACCTTGTTCAAGATGGACTACTACGGCGAGGAGGCTTTCTTGACGCAATCTTCTCAGCTGTATCTGGAGACCTGTCTGCCTGCTTTGGGAGACGTCTACTGTATCCAGGAGTCTTTCCGTGCTGAGAAGTCGCACACTAGAAGACACTTGAGTGAGTACACACACATTGAGGCCGAGCTGGCCTTCGTGACGTTTGACGATTTGCTGAGTCACATCGAAAGAGTCATCACCAAGACCGTCCAATACGTGCTGGAAGACCCTACTGCCGGTCCTCTGGTGAAACAGTTGAACCCAGGATTTGTGGCTCCGCAATTGCCTTTCAAGCGTATGCAGTACATTGAGGCCCTGGACTGGCTGAACGAGAACGGCATTCCAAACGAGGACGGCGAGAAGTTCAAGTTCGGAGACGACATTGCTGAAGCTGCCGAGCGGAAGATGACCGACACCATCGGTGTCCCTATCTTGCTTACCAGATTCCCTGTCGAGATCAAGTCCTTCTACATGAAGAAATGCCCCGACGATCCAAGAGTCACCGAGTCTGTCGATGTGCTGATGCCTACTGTTGGTGAGATCACCGGTGGCTCAATGAGAATTGAAGATACCCAAGAGCTGCTGGAGGGATTCAAACGGGAGGGTATCGACGCCAAGAGCTACTACTGGTTCGTGGACCAAAGAATCTACGGTACCTGTCCTCACGGAGGCTACGGTTTGGGTACCGAAAGAATCCTTGCTTGGTTGTGCAACCGTTTCACTGTGAGAGACTGCTCGCTGTACCCACGGTTCACGGGCAGATGTAAACCTTGAATAGAATTTAATTTTCCAGGTGCTCTATAGTTCCGTTTTCGTATTTCTCAAACTGGGCGATTTTTATCTTCGCTTCAACAAAAATTTTGTCATTATGATTTCTTCAATGCTTTCCCTGCTCTCGCTGAGCGAGCCAACTCCCGAAGATGCTGTTACTGTCAAGACGCTTGTGTTCAAGCCAAAGACACCAAAGTCACAGACTCCGGTTCCCGTCATCGTTGTGGCCCCTGCTTCTGTCCAGACTCCTGGTGGAGGTATTGCCAGAGCTGCAGCAGTGAAGGAGCCTAGATTGGCCAACGACGAGCTGACACAAGAGTTCTTTGGTGTCGCAGCCAGGGAGTTCACGCTTGCTTCCTTGGGCAACGACCACGTCGGCAAGGTCAAGGTCCTTGTCGAGCAAAGCATACAAGCTGATGGAAAAAACTACGTTATCTCTAATTCCACCGGAAAGCTGATTCTCACTGGAAAACAGCTTTTGGGTTTTCTCGAGCCCTTTGAGCCTGTGATCGTCGATTTTGCAGCCAAGGAGGCACCAAAATCTGAGCCCAAGATCGAGGCCAAAATCGACGACGCCAAGCTGATTGGCGTGACTGTTGATAAGGAACGTGATTTTTCAGGCTGGTACCAGCAGATCCTGACCAAGGGAGAAATGCTCGACTACTACGACGTTTCTGGATGCTACATTCTACGTCCTGCCTCCTACGCCATCTGGGAGAAGATCCAGAGATGGTTTGACGACAGAATCAAGGCCGACGGCGTCTCCAACGCCTACTTCCCAATGTTTGTGTCTTCTAGAGTTCTGGAGAAGGAGAAAGACCATGTCGAGGGGTTTGCTCCTGAGGTCGCTTGGGTGACAAGAGCTGGGTCCTCAGACTTGGAGGAGCCAATTGCTATCAGACCAACCAGTGAAACTGTCATGTACCCATACTACGCCAAATGGATCCGTTCCCACAGAGATCTGCCATTGAAACTCAACCAATGGAACTCTGTCGTCAGATGGGAGTTCAAGCATCCACAGCCGTTCCTCAGAACCAGAGAGTTCTTGTGGCAGGAGGGCCATACTGCACACCTTACCAAGGAGGAAGCCAGCGAGCAGGTCAGCAAGATCTTGGATCTTTATGCGGGCGTCTACGAAGAGCTGCTCGCTGTTCCTGTCATTAAAGGTGTTAAGACAGAAAACGAGAAGTTTGCCGGAGGTCTATACACCACCACTTGCGAAGGATATATCCCAACCACAGGTAGAGGTATTCAAGGTGCCACTTCTCACCATTTGGGCCAGAACTTCTCCAAGATGTTCAACATCTCTGTCGAAAACCCTCTTGGTCCAGAACACCCTAAGATCTATGCTCACCAAACGTCTTGGGGCCTTTCCACCAGAGTTATTGGTGTCATGGTGATGATCCATTCCGACAATAAAGGATTGGTCATTCCACCTAGAGTGGCTCAGAACCAAGTGGTCATCATTCCTGTTGGTATCACCAACAAGACGACCAAGGAGATCGAGAACAAGCTATACGAAACCTGTTCCGAGCTGGACTCTCGACTCAAAAAGGCCGACGTCCGTGCTATCACCGACTTCAGAGACAACTACTCTCCAGGATGGAAATTTTCCGACTGGGAGCTGAAGGGTGTTCCTGTCAGATTGGAGGTTGGCCCTAAGGATATTGCCAACAACTCTGTCATGGCCGTGAGAAGAGACAATGGAGAGAAAACTGCTCTTTCCCTGGACACTATCGAGATCGAGCTGCCAAAACTTCTGGAAACCATCCAAAAGTCTCTCTTCGACGCCGCCAAACAGAAATACGACAGCCACAGAAAGATTGTCACCGAGTGGAAGGACTTTGTTCCAGCTCTGAACAAGAAAAACGTTATTCTTGCTCCGTGGTGTGGAGTTGCAGAGTGTGAGGACGACATTAAAGACTCCTCTGCTAAGAAGGACGACGGAGAAGACTACGAGACCGACGAGAAGTCTCCATCCATGGGTGCCAAGTCTTTGTGTATTCCTTACGACCAGCCAGAGCTCAAAGAGGGCCAGAAGTGCGTCAAGTGTGGCAAGCCGGCCGTCAACTTCACTATGTTCGGTAGATCTTACTGATGGTGTAAGGGTGTAGATAATAATGGAAAAATTCGAGCTAATGAACACTTCGGGAAAATGATGTATAGAGCCCTCCAAACGGATCTGCGCCGCCATTTTCGGCGATATATGAGCTGGCCTGGGTGCATACTACCCAAGTGTATCAAAGACATTGCACAGAATCCTCCGCAGATTGGCGACACGATAAAGATCAACGGATGGGTCAAGTCTCTAAGAATATCCAAAAATGTTGCATTTGTCGATCTCGTCGATGGTTCCTCGCACGGAGACATCAAGTGTGTCATTCGGCCACCTTCGCTGATCCCGAAAGCATTGAACACTGGCGCTGGAGTCCAAATATCAGGTGTCTGGAGCGAAGGTAAGGGAAAACAGAGTTACGAGCTACAGGTGACCGAGCAGCACGAACCGCAGATCGAGGTGTATGGTGGAGTTGAAGAGCTGTATCCGCTGCAAAAGAAGACTCACTCCAGCCAATTTTTACGAAGTATACCTGAGTATCGGTGGAGAGTTCCGGAAGCCGGCTCTATTCTCCGGATGAGCTCTAAATTAGAGTCTGCTATCTCACATTTCTTCGACGAACACTCGTTTTTCAAAACCCACCCGCCAACAGTGACAAGCAGTGACTGTGAGGGGGCTGGCGAGCTTTTCCGTATTGAGTCAGAATCGAAGCTCGGCAGTCCAGAGCAGTTCTTTGGCAAGAATGCATATATGACCGTTTCGACTCAATTGCATCTTGAAGTTCTGTGTGCAGCCTTAGGCCGTGTCTGGACGCTGACTCCATGCTTTCGCGCCGAGGAGAGCGACACAAATCGCCATCTATCTGAATTTTGGATGCTAGAGGCAGAGATCGCTTTTATTGACGACGTGAGCCAATTGACTCGATTTTCGGAGAAGATGTTGCGCCACATAGCTTGCGCACTTCAAAATAGTGGGCCTGATGAGTTTTCTGACGAAATCAGACAACGTTGGGACATGCTGGCCAATGGCACTTACACTCAGATCACATACTCTGAAGCTGTAAATCTCGTGCGACAAAACTCAAGCAACTTTAGGGCAGTTCCAGAGTGGGGAGACAGCCTGGGATCTGAGCACGAAAAGTGGCTTGCAGGTGAATATTACAAGGGCCCTGTGTTTGTGACGGACTACCCTGAAGACCAAAAGCCTTTCTACATGAAAAAAAACAACGATGGAAAAACAGTGGCATGTTACGATTTGCTGATTCCGCAAATTGGAGAGCTGATTGGTGGGTCTTTGAGAGAGCACGATTTGCAGAAATTGGAGCAGGAGATTGCTGACCGACAAATGGACATCGGCCCACTACAGTGGTACCTAAACCTCAGAAAGAACGGAAGCGTGCCACATGGAGGGTTTGGTATGGGCTTCGAGAGATTGCTGCAGTATCTGAGCGGAGCTGAGAATATACGGGATACCATCCCATTCCCTAGAACGACAAATCATTGTGCATGTTAGAGGTAGATCTATATAAATGTCAACACTGTGTGACACACGACAATGTGTTATCAGAATTAATTTATTTTTTTTATTTTTCCATTAATTATTGGGAATATTTGGGAATTTTTTTCTGATTTAATTAATTTATATTACACGAAAATTTATGAACCTCTGACCACATGCTATCGGAACCGCCTCGCTCATCTGTGAAACTTCCGGTACTCAGTCTTCCTCCGGATGTGCCGTCTCCGATCTCTTCGCTGTCATTGACTAGCAAACCGCACTACATTCTGCCGCCCCCAGTCACCAAAAACACGGGGCCGGTGTCCTCCAACCTCCTCCCCTACACGCTTTCAAAGAGTCCGGAAACCAGAGATACCTCGCCAAATGATAAGCCTGAGTCTGCTGCGTCCTCTACGCCTGAACCGAAAGCCGGCGAGGAAATTAAACGCGAGAAGCCTGAAACCGGCGGGGAAAAGCGCAAGCGAGGACGACCTCGTAAATTCCCGCCTCCTCGGCCAGATGTGCCCTCGGAGAAGCGCAAGCGTGGAAGACCAAGGTTACCGCCGTTGGAAGAGAGGGAGAAGTCGAAGTATATCAAGAAGAAGAAGCCTGACAAAAAGGACGACAAAAACGAGAAAACGGGGGCCCAAGGTATGCAGATCCCAGAATACTCATTCCAACTAAATGAGACTGCTACTTTCTGAAATTAGAGAATATAGTCTTACCGCTATAATTTTGCGTGTGGTTTCACCATCACGTTAATTAAAACAACTTTTCCGCTCAACATGTCTTCCATCCCTTTTTTCAAAACGTCATCTAGCTCCTTGCATTTCTCCACGAAATAGCCGGTCCCACCCAATGACCAGCCGATCTTTTCGTACCGAACTCCGAAAGTCAACGCCGTTGAAGGAAGCGGTTTCTTGGTGTATGGAATGTACTCACGCGGGTTTTCAACTCCATTGTAAATTCCTGAATTATTGAGCACTATGATTATACAGGGAAGTCTTTCTCGCACAAGTGTCTCGATCTCCATGGCTGAGAACCCAAATGCCGAGTCTCCCTGTATAACAATCAACGGCTTGTCTTTGGCTGTCAATTTGGCTGTCACTGCATATGCCAAACCAACCCCCATTGTGCCATTGGTTCCTGCATCCAGCCTTTGGCGAGGCTCGCGTAGGTACAAACTCTGTCGGGACAGATCCATTGTACGAGCGCCCTCGGCCACAATGTTTGCATCAGGCGGCATGTGTTTCCTAATGGCGGCCAGCGCTTGAGTGTGACTAGGCATAAGATCATCATTTACAATTTCTTCCAGTTGATGCAACGCTTGCTCTCTTTTTTCAATCAGCTCTGTGACTATCTTGGGAAGCGCTGGAAATTGGTGTCCGTGCAACTGGTCGCTGAGAGAGCTCACTGTGCGTTCCACATCTCCCAGGATGCCGAGCTCTAAAGTGCCAACGCTACGTGCAATTTCGCCGGCATCTGTGTCAATTTGAACGATTTTGACGTCTTTGTTGAATTTCGGAGGCTCTCCAAAATGGAGAATCCAGTTCAATCTGGCACCTGCCACTAGCACCACGTCTGCATGCTTCAACACCAAAGACCTTGCAGAGGAAACGTTATAATTGGAAGCATCTGGAATGATTCCTTTTCCCATTGGTGTGGGGAGGAACGCGATCCGATGGGTCTCAACAAATTGTCTGAGTGTCTGCGATGCATTTGCTGCCCCCTTCCCAATTATCAGCAACGGAAACCTGGCATCTTTTAAGACTTCGGTGGCCCTTCTTATCTTTGTTGGTTCCGGAATTGTAATCGAAAGTAATGAAAGGTCGAATTTCGTCACTCTAACATCCTCGTAGCATGTTTGTTTGATAATGTCGTCAGGCAAGTCAACATAAGTTGTCCCTGGCACATCTGCTATGGATGTCCAATAGGCTTTCTCGATAAACAGTGGTATTTGGCTGCTTAAAACTGTGCGAAAGCTACTTTTTGCCCATGGCTTCATTAGACTGACCTGATCCAGTTCCTGAAATCCGCCTTTTGCTTGCAGGCATATTTTAGTTGATCCGGCCAGGACCATGAGGGGCCATTTGTTGGAGTTCGCGTTGTACACACCGGCCAGGGCATTGACAACCCCTGGTCCTCCAACTGTCAGCAGAACCCCAGGCTTGTTAGCTAAGTAGCCGTATATTGAAGCTGCTAGAGAAGCTTGCTGTTCGTTTCTGAAGGGGATAAATCGAATGCCTTTCTCAATGCAGGCATCGGCAACCTTCCCGTTAGTCAAATGGGTTAGTGATACTTACCTCAACCACCGGAATACCAACAATACCAAAAACATGCTCGACTCCCAGTTGCTGGAGCGTTTCCGCAATAAGTTCTGCTCCGATCATGATTAAAAAAATAATAATTACCCCAGATTTTTTAGTAGCCTAATTTATTAGCTGGATCAGTCATTATATATAATCCGAGACAAAAGAGTTTGATCGTTGAAGTTGATCCACTGATTTTTCTCGTGGTAGTCACGCAATTCGTTATTCAAATTGTCCAACTTTCTTTCGTTGCTCATTAGCGTCACTACGCCAATCAAAGACGAAGCTGACGAGGAGTGCCCTAGGTTTCCACATAGAGCACCCCTCTTGATGCAGCCGATAGGATTGTCCACCCGGTTGAAGTCCAAGGGAGGAATTTTCACAAAGTATCGCGTGTAGAACTCAAGCTCCTGCTCAGGCGTCATGTAGCCGTCTTCTGGACTGAATTCTGACTTGAACACGGGATCCACAGTGCGCCTGTCTGACTGGCTTCGAACTTTGGAGAGTTTTATCGGTGTGAGCCGCGAAATCGGCGACTGGTCCGGTTTGCCTCTGACAGGTATTGGAGTAAGCTGGCGAGGAGAAGAGTTCACGTTCTTCATTTGGCTCCTCAAACTCATAATCTCGTTTTGGATGGATGCTTCCTCTTTGAATTCATTATTCGACTCGGCGACCCCCGTTTTCTCGTGCTTCATTAATGGGGGATCTGTGTCTTCGGTGAAGCTGTCGTCCAAGCACTCACGATCGTCAGATGAAAACGTGCGTGGCTTCTTAGAGTCGCTCTTCAGGGCACTCAGATCGTCCTCTGAAAACTCGTCCAGATCAATAAGAATCGACTCTTTCAGAGTGTCGCTCTTAGACGAGACGTCGTCCTGCTCCTGAACCGCTTTTTCGCCCTCGTATTTTGGCTCTTCGGGCTCCTCGCTAGCAAGAAGAATAGACTGTCCTATAGTGGACCCCAAAATGCTGGAGCTTCTATGTGCCCTGCTGGAGGAGCTGAACAACTCTCTCAGCTTCACCTCCTCGTCGTCAGATGCCTCCAAATCCGAGACGTCGTCCAATAACCGCCGCTTTTTGACACTTGGTACCTCTCCCTCCTGCCGCTGGCGGACAAGCTTCGAAGCAGATCGAAAACCAGTCTCCACTCCGTCTGGCATGAAGAACGACTTAATCGAGGGCTGCGCTTCGTCGCGTTTTTCAGTAGCCTTCTTGCCCTTCTTGGTCTTCCCCTTGGTGGTGAGCTGTGTCGCAAGCCGCAAAAATGCATCACTGTCGTCTGTTTCTTGTATTATTTCCTCGTTTTCTTTCGGAATGTCAATAAGTTTCTTCTCTGGTCTAGGATTACATCCCTTTGGAACAATACGGTCTGACGGATGGAAGCGAATGTTGTTCCCAGCTTGCAAGTGAGTTTGAATCCAGCTGTAATTATCCATGGCTTTGTCGAACTTATCGCGCTCATTGCTCGACAGAAGCAGAATGATCCGACCATCTCGCTTTCTACCGGTTCTTCCCATTCTCTGGATGTTCTTGATCGGCGAAGACGTTGAGTCATAACACACAATCAGATCGACTTCTCCAATATCCAATCCCTCTTCACCTATAGAGGTTGCAACCAGCACGTTGTACACTCCCTTTTTGAACTCCGCAATCAGCTCTTTCTGCACCCTCTGTGTCATTCCTCGAAGCTGTGCATCCTCAGAGCTCCTAACACGATCATTGGGACGAAGTTTCAGCTCAACCTTGGGCTTGGTTTCTTTCTTGGGTTCTGGTTGTTTATTTTTGCCACGCCGCTTGGGCCCATGCTTCTTCGCAAACGATTCCGAGTCAAATTTCTCCTTTTCCCTTGCTTGTCCAATGAAAATGTGCGGTTTGAATAATTCACTTGGCCCGCTAGGGTTTTTGGCATGGATGGTGCCGTTTGCAGACTCTAAACATTTCACAATATCCAATGCACTCTCACGAAGCTCGGTAAAAATAATGACTTTGGAATTTGGGTTCTGTGTCTCGCCAAAGAACGATTCCAGCTCGTCAACCATATGCTGCATTTTCGAGTGCGAAAAGACTCCTCTGATGCGCTCGCCTTTTGCAGACTTCTGCTCGTCCTCGACAATCATTTTCTCGACCCTGTTTTTCAGCTCCTTGATTCTTGCGTGGTAGTAGAAACTGGCTGCTATTTTGTTGGTCGACTTCTTGTTGTCATACTTGGTTGTGAACTCTGTAAACTTGTCAAGGAAATACGAGTAGAACGTCTGGATACCATAAACATAGAGTCGTCGCAACAATTGTCCCACCGTTCCCAGTAGCTGTAGCTGGAAATAATACGTCCATTTAATTCCCTCTGCCAGAGTTGGATTCTTGATCACTTTTTGGGATTTCTCCATGGCTTGGAAATGGTTAATTTTCGAGGGATCTGTAATGTCGTAGATCCCGCTGCCATTAGCTTTCCGAAGCACGGGGAGAATGGCCTCACAAATTAGCTCCACAATCAATGCAATGCTATCAGTGACTTCACAGTCAATCTTCAGAATGTCGCGGCCCTTCATATATTTCGCAGTATCCGAGCTGTCTTCAGTGCGCACCTCAATTCGCGATATGAGTAAATTGTCCACAATTTCTTGGATAGACTCAACATCAGAGCCAGGAGTAGCGGAGAGACCCAGAACTCGGAAACTTGTGTTGAACTTCCTCATGTACGTCACAACGGCCGTATACGCATACGCACCTTTGGATCGATGAGCTTCGTCCACCACTAGCAGCACGATGTCTTTGGGATTTAGCGTACCACTCTTCAGGTCGTTCTCGACCACCTGGGGAGTTGCAAAGAAAACGCGTTTTGAGCGCCAGATTTCGGCGCGATTCCGTCGCGTCTTGTCGAGAAGAATAGCCGTTTGATCGCTCGGAATGCCCGTAATACCATAACAGGCCTTGATCTGCTGAGCAACCAAGGGTCTAGTCGGAGCCATGAATATCACCTTGGCATCACGTGTCCATCGAAAGTAGTTGAGCATCACCGTGGATGCAATGAACGTCTTTCCCAGACCCGTGGGTAGCACACAGAGCAGATTCTGATATAACGCCTGTTTGACAATTTCGAATTGGTAATCTCTGACCTCGTAATTGGTTGGATAAACAAAGGTTTCAAGCGCGCTGTAGTTCAATGGATGGTGGGTGGGCCCGAAACGGATGTTTTTCTCGCGAATCTCCTCGTAGATTGTGGTCCCGTTGCCGTTCTGAAACTCAAGAACGCCGCCATCCAGCGTGCGCTGTCCAACTTTGCGCACCTCAGAAAAGCGATTGATCGCACTGCCTGAGTCGCGTCTGGGTTTGATCTCGTTCAGAAATACAATGTCTCCCTCGTCACTGAAATCGTCATCAGACGACATGACAAAAATATCAAGATTAATGCAAACGCGTATTCTATATTTTTTATCTGCACAGCCGTGATCCTCAAAGATACTCCTTGCTGAAATTATAGTTGATAACGATTTTGTCGACCGGACTAGAGAGCGACTCGTAGTAATCTTTGAGAACTTGGTTCAGCTTCGAAAAACTGACGTTGTAGATAATGCTTAGTGAGTTCAGGCAGTTGTTGAAAAGGTCTTTCTCCAACTCCTGGGCAACCTTTCTGCTGATCTCGCTTTCCTCCCCACACGTCATCTTGCCCATGATCTGCGACGAAAGCTCTGTAGATAGCTGCTTTATATACGTCTTCAACTTGGATGATTCGAATTTGCTCAGCAGCTTGCTCATATTGGCAGTGGAGTACGCGTTTGTTCGTGATGGATTCGTGTGAGACTTGATCAGACCATCGATTCCGTCTAGCACCGACATGAGCTCTCCGATTGCAGTGGTTTTAGCATAAGAGTCACAGAATTCGTTGAGCTCGCTCGATTTCAACTCCTCAATCTTTGTTCTAATGGCAGGAGGCAAAGTAGCCAAGTTCTTGACTTCCTCACTTAGCCATTTGTAGTTGAGTAGCAGAACCAAGTGGCCTGCTACCGTTTCAACTGCAGATGGGATTGTTTTGGTGAGTTCCAGCCGGGTATTCTCGCTAGCTGTTCTGGCCAGAAGAATATCCTGTTGTCCAGTGACTTGAGCATTTCTATGGAGACAAGTGTTGAGCGCTTCCCATAGTTTGTTGTAGTCGCTGTCCAGCTGCTGCTTAATGGCGTATTCATAGACATTAACAGCTCCGTTCAATGCCATCACATCTTCAACACGACGGAAGAATTCAGGGAACGCCTTAGTGAATTTGTAAACCTTGAAGCCAACAGGCTCCTTCTCCATAATATGCAGCTGGTTGTCAATATGTCTGGTCCATATGAGGACAAGCTTTGAGTCCATTCGGCTCAGCATGTTAACCACATACTCTTGGCCTGTCGACGAAAGCTCGGCAATGAGCTTTTCGGCAAATAATGAAATTACTGGGAACTGAAGCATGTCCTCCTTGACAATCTTCGACACAAACTTGAACAGTTTGTGAATCGATTCTCCAACAATCGTATGCATGAAGTTGAATGTCTGGTCACTAACATCACGATCCGGTTCCATGTGAGAAACGTTGGACTCGGTGAAGTCGCGCACACGCAGGGCAAGTGGTTTTTTGATCATCTGAACAAAGTTATACTCTTCAGAAGATGACAGCGAGAAGAATTGAATCACAAAGCGTTGGTGTGTAATAATCGTACTGAAGAACAGCCTCAACAGGTCTAAAAGCACCGTCGAAAAGGCATTTTTCTCCATTGGTTCTGGCGAACTGCTGATAGACTCCTGAGACGGCGTTCCCAAACCAAGCTCTTGCAAGATTTTTGTGTTCGACGACATCTTTTTGGATCCAGTCGCCGACCTAGTCCGTTTGGATATTTCAAGAATAGTATCTTTTGGCTCGCTATTGAACGAAAAAGATGGAGCCTTGGTAGTTTGCTTTTCAGAAACAACCTTTTCAACAAGGACTGAAACAAAATTCATATAGAATTGTGAATAAGCCTCCTTATGCTCAGCTAGCATCTGCTTGTAGTCTTCTGGCGACACTTGTTTCACAAAGGCCATCACGCCCTGTAACGTCATCAGCTCCGCAAGTTTACGCTCGAGAGCAGAATGCAGGGCATTCAACGACTTTTCGGTCTGAAGTCTTGAATTCAGACTAGTCACTGAGGCCTTGAGCAGCTGACTCAACTGTTTTTTGAAGCCGCTCACGAACATGGTTGCAGCCCTCTCGTACTTGGATTTTTTCTCTTCAAGAGCTCTCATCTGACCCATTTCTTCATCATCGGAATCGTTACCTCTGATCTTCATCAACGCTGCATACAGATTGCCCAAAGCAGCCTCAATGCTCTCGTTTTGTGAACCGATAGTAATGCGCTCGTTCAGTAAGCGGCTCAGTTCTTGGTCTGAAATGTCCACGGAATGCATAATTTCATTGAGCTCTTTCATAAGAAGCTTTTTGTTAGTAGTCTCAACTTGCACGCCTTTTCCTTGCTTCTCTATGTAATCAACCTCATCCTGAAAAGAGGCCAGTTGGATTCCGTAAAAGGCTAAGATAGGATCAATGGATTCGCATTCCTTGATCGACCTGTTAATAGCTTGATTGACTGCCGACGTAGAGCCTATTACGTCCGTCAATGACTCAATCCTCTTGAACTGTATTCTTTCCAGTTCCTTGAGCAGCTTCTTCTGCAAAGACTTGGAGTCGTCCACTTTGGGGTCCCATCCTATCTCATCAAAAAGCTCAGTGAGATCTCCGCCTTTTGGATTTTCAGTGTCAACCCTGCTGAAAGCCCTCGATCTGGCATGAGGCCTCAGCAAATCCATGGTTGTGTTTTCTTCTTCTTCGTCAGAGATATCAAAGTCAAGCACAAACTTCTCAGCCTTGCCAACATTATGAGGAATTGGAGAGGGCACTTTAAGCGAATTGATGGAAATCTCCGGTTTTTCTGGGAAAGACGTGTTCATGCTCAAGTTCAATGGCGCTGTTTCCGGTTCGTCATCGGCATAGTCGTCAAGCACAGCTTCGTACTCGTCGTCCTGCGTCAGCTCCTCAATTTCATGGTGCGACTTGCGATGTCCTATGAACTCGATAGATTTAACTGACCTTGCTGACGTGGATCCGCTGTTGCTTTTCAAAGCATTTAAAGTTTGTGCTTTTTCCATCTCTCGTCTAGACTGCTCGAGTCTTTCCTTCTCCAGCATTTGTTCCCGTTGTTGTCGCTCACGAAGCTCGATCTCTTGCTTCTGTCGCTCCAAACGTTCCTTCTCGCGTTTTTCCGCCTCAATGCGTTCCATCTCGCGCTGTTGTTGTTCCTTTTGCTGCTGTTCTCTTAACTGTTGTGCTCTTGTTTCCTGTTCTCTGTGTTCCCTTTCGATTCTCTCGCGTTCTCTGAGCTCATGCTCTTTTCTCTCTCGCTCCTTACGCTCCTGCTCTTTGCGATCCTGCTCTTTGTCTAGACCCTTGAGGGCGGAAGTTGTCCTTTGAAATTCTCTTGAGCGCATGTCGCCTTTGCCGTAGATGCCTGGCCCCGATGGAGAGCCGGCTCCTGGAACTGGAACGGGAGATGAAATATGTGTTCGAGGCGAACTATGGGCAGTCGTTGTAGTGGCCGAAGTCCCTGTTCGTGTTCCACTGGTCATTGTTGTTGAGCTCTCTGCTGTTGCAGAGCGACTCGGAAGCTTATGGGCATATTTATGAAGAAGAGGCTCCAAATGGAAATAGTCGACTGAGCAATTCACCAACTGGGGAAGTTTTTTACCCCCGGTGTACCTGATATAATGTTCCAGCACAGATGTGAGCCAAACTCTCCTTTCTTTGGGATAACTTGTTTCCCAATAGTACCTCTTGCCCATCTCAAAAATGAAACCGGTCGGAACTTCTGGATCGAGCTCAATCTTAGTGAGCTCCTCGAAATCCCAAGTTCTACCGATTTGGACGCTGGAGTCAGGGTTCTCTCTTGCCTTGTGCAAACGAATTCTGCCTGATGACCTCACAGACAATATCAAAATACGGTCCTTCTTATTACGGGCGGGGCTGTTGTCGGGTGGGCGTTCAGACTGGGATTTCGAGTCCTCAATGATACGGACATGTGCCAGGTACTTCTCAGCCCGACGGCCAGACTGATCCGTTTCCCTGAACAGATATTTGTTGATTTTGGAGATATCAAGCTCATACTGACGGGCCAGATCAATTGACGAGTGAGAAGCCGTCTTCTGATGGCCCTTGGAGGGGTGGCTTCTGATCATAACAAAAGGATAATAATTTTAAGAGATCTGTTTACAATGTTTGTTCTGTAAGAACGAATTTAATTAAAGTACACCCTTGCACCAAACTAATAAATCAATCAAACTCAACCAAAAGCTTACCCTTGACGTTACCACTTTGGAACTTGTCGACGGCCTTGTGGAACTCCTCAAACTTATAAATGGTATCAACAATGACATTGAATTGTTTCTTCTCCCACATGTCGCTCACAGCCTTAGCGTAGCCGGCACCATCGGTAAGGTTTCCAATAGAAAAGTCGTAATTGGAGAGCCCAAGCTTTGTCAAAATCTGCTCCCTCAGGTTTCCTCTGGTTGGGATCATGTCTCTGTATCTGACTGTTCCGTAGGTCATAGTGTTGCTTCCAAGAACTTGGACGTACTTTCCACCTTCTTTCTTAGTCTTGAGGACGTCCTTCAAGCGTCCAACCAGAACCTCGTCTCTGCAGCTATCAAATATAAGATCGAACTTTCCGTGTTTCTTGGCGGCCTCAACAATCTGCTTATATTCAGCTTCCTTGTCATGGTAGTCCACGGTTTCGTGGGCACCAAAATCGTGAGCAATTGCATTCGACTTGGAAGAGCAGGTGGTGAGAATATACTCAGCACCCAGATGTCTCACTATTTGAAGTCCCATCATACCGACAGAGGTTCCTCCGCCAAGAACAAGGACGTTTGCACCCTTCAGGTTCTTATGTCTGGTGATCAACTCGTAAGCGGTGGCAAATGGAATCACAATACCGGCAGCCTTCTCTAGAGGCAGTCCTTCAGGAACCTTGGCAACTTTTGTTACTTTGGCCACGTCAATGACCTGGTAGTTCGCAAATGAGCCGTACGGAGAGTAAGGACTTATAATGTCTCCATAAATCTTATCTCCGGCCTTGAAAGATTTGACTTCGGAGCCTGTTTGCAGGACCACACCCGAAAAGTCTCCGCCAAAGCCTTTAGGCTGTCCCCTTTTCAGCCATTTTGGACACAATTGCCATAAACACACATCGACAGGATTCAAAGCGGCATATTTTGTCTTGACCAAGATTTCAGTAGGAGCCAGGAAAGAGGACTCGGAGCGGCCCTTGATCTCTCTCTTAGCGATCTGTAAAGGCGTAGAATGATTGTAGTACGTGACCGCGTCGATGGTCAAAGTATTGTTGACAATTGGAGCTTCAGTCATGTTAACTGCACAAAAATTGCCTTTAGGTTTTTTTAGATACTTCTTGCGTCAAAAATTACACTAAAATTATTAGCCGAGCGCCTGCCGAATTCCCCGAGATTATAAATCATGGTAAATATTTCTGGAAGCTTCTTTTATCAGCAATCGCTCGATATGCGTTGCCCAGCTATTCGCCCACAGAGCTCTGTTGCTCACTAGCTTGTGTATCCTCCTCGTCCTGCCCCGCCAGCTCAGCGTCTAGCTTTTTGCGCGTCTCCTCGTCGGTTACCTCGTAGCAGCCTGCTGCCTCGTCCACCACGGCCAGTTCCAGACCAGAATTCAGGATCTTGTCAAAATCCTTGTGGTTAATTCGCCATCCCAGCTCCTTGCCCGCGAGATAAGTGATCACATGATCGCAGTAGCCCAGGATATCAACGTCAAATTCGCAGTGGTAGATAGGATCTTTATTGATCAAAATTTGCGGGACGTGATTGGGGACAAGGTTGATAATCTCGCTAACTGGGGCCACTTTCAGTGACGTCCCTATACATATCAGCAAGTCGCAGTTCTGTATGTCGCTCTTGATAGTGCTGTGGAATTGCTCCGGCAAGTCTTCTCCGAAAAACGTAATGTCAGGCTTCATCACTCCGAAAGAGTTCACATACTCAAACTTTCGCGAGTAGACGCCTTCGTCCTCCATCTTGTCCAGCTGTGCAAGCAGACTCTTTCTTTCGTTCTCACAGAAGGGACAGTATGCGATTTCCTGGCGTCTCAGATGTCCAAACAGTGTTTCTCCAGGCACCTTGTATTTGCATGTAATACAGCTGGCGGTCGCAAACGATCCATGGCACTGGACAACCTTCTCTTTCAACACCCCTGCGTTGGCTTCCAGGTTATCGATGTTTTGCGTGTAGTTTCGCAGCAGCTTCCCTTTGTCCTGCAACAGGCGGATAAAGCCATGTAGCGGTGTGTAAGCGGCTTCTGGAGGCAGAATCATATGTGCGATCGAATAAAACACCTCCGGAGACCGTTTGAACACCTCCAGACTGAAAACGTCCTGCGGGTCGTCGAGGCCAAGATGCTTCATTCGTGCATAGAAACCCTGCGACGATCTGAAATCGGGAATTCCCAAAGAGGTGGATATTCCTGCACCAGTTAGCACCAGGACGCTTTTCGCATTTTCCAGCGCACTCTTAACGTGCTCAAGCTTGTGGAAGCTTGGGAGTCTTGTGCGGATCTTCAGCACCCTGTTCATGGCTTTCTGCATAAAAAGAATGCATTTTTGCATGAACTCCTCTGTCTGGTCCTGATTCTTATAAAAGCGGCTCTCGTACCTTGGCGTATAGCCAAGCATACCCGTGACGTGTAGTATGTCTTGAGGCGAGGGATCCACGGGTATGGTTTTCTCCAGAAATTCAACAAATCCGCGCGACTTGAGGAAACTTCTGGTGTACGAGCAAACGTTTTTGGTGATCTTTATATCAGTCATGAGCGGAAGCGAGTCCCGGTCAAAGTAATCCATCCTGTCAAAAGGCGGTTCCGAGTCGCTGGGTTCCTCGAATTCGATTTCTTTCAATGCAAGTTCGTCCACCATGAACGTATCAGAGTCCTCAGACGAGACGTCTGATTCAGAGCTCGTATCGACGGGGGTGTTGGAGTCTAATTTGGGTATTTTCGATTTTTGGTGGTCGTCCAAACTGCCGCCACCATTTTCGATATTAGGACTGCGCGGCCTTTTGGGCAAGTCTGCGGGTTGCAACGGAGTGACCGGCATATTGACACTGTCAGAGGCCGAAAGCGACATGTTTATTAAAATTGAAAATTGTTAGAATTAACAATTGATTAGCTAATTATTTCTCAACGTGGATCGCGAATTTGGCATATCTGCTTATGTTAGCCATCCTTTGCTTGGCGCAGGGGCCTCAACTATGATCAGTGGACATGCAGAGACACCCAGATTGCCCCAGATGCCAACACGATTTCTTCTCCCTCAATAAGGAACGCACCCAGCCAGACCGCACAAGCCCGGAATCGGTTTATTGTGTACCAGAAGCGGCTCTTTTGCAAGCTCGTCCAGCTACCACGCTAGTATATCTTCGCATCCTTGCACCGCCAAAGAAACCAAAAAAAAAAAATAGGCCTTGCCGGGTAAAGTATATTTTTTCAACATATTTTTATAAGATCGGCCGTCATGAGACCAAAGCACACCCCAGCTATTCCGCCACTTCCTCGGTTGAAGATCCGGTCGTCGGGCAAGAAAGGTGCAGCAGCAGGAAAGTGCGCTGTGGTGATGTCTCAGATGCTGAACTGCTGGGCTGCCAACGGGGAAGGTGCCGCAGCTTGCAAAGAACTAGAACAGCAGCTTAGAGAGTGCATGTACTCCAAGAAGACCGTCACCACCAAGTCTAGCCCAATGATCAACTTCCATGCCTCTCGTTTGCTACCCAAAATTCACCGCAAGGCCGACGATTAAAGACATAACCACCAGTCCGCTGTATATAAATTATCTATCTACGTATTGACTGCTGTAGAGCGCATATCATTAAATGTCATTTCTTCATTCACGTATAAAATATTAAGACATTAGAGTAGGGACTGTTATCATCTCTCGTTTCTCGTTCCTCGTTCCTCGTGAAAAAGTAATGGCTGATATTAAACAAGAGGAACCTTAGCTGCTTCAGGCTCGTGCCATGATCCTGGCATTCTGAGCCACTTGGTTTCTGGAACTGGTGCGTACGAGTTTGCAGCACTGGCCAGTCCGTCGTAGACACCATAGAAGGCACAGACAGAAGCCAAGAAACTGAACACGCCAGATGCAACCTTACAGCCCTCGTGCTCTCCAAACGTGGCAATGGTGTAAAGCAACATGAAGAACCACTTGCAGAAGGTCAGAGCAACCAATGGAATGGTGCTTTTGAAGGTCGAAGTGAACAAAATGAAGTCAAACACTGTCCATGCAGACAGATAAATTCCCAAAGCGTTGTTGTAGTCGTCAGTGCTAGAATAGTAGTCCTGAACGCCCAAGACGTCGGTGATGATGGCACCGAAGGAAGCAAAGAACGCACCGTAGCAAAGAAGTAGGACGGAACCAAACAGATTGTTATCGACAATAGCCCAAATACCAGTGATGATCTGGACTAATCCGGAAGCAAAGAAGAAAGCTCCCGACAGAATAGCTGGGTTTGTCACAGAGTGGGCCTGACATAAAATCAAACCAAGAGAGAACAGAGTGACGGCAATCAGAGCCAGGCCACCGGCGCAAGAAGTAGGATATGGTCTCCATTGGCTGGACTTCTTGTAGTAGCTGACCCTCAGTAGACCTGTTCTTGGTGGATAGACCACATACTCTGGCTCGTAAGCCATGTGCTGGGCTTTCTCGTTGTGGACTGCGGTTTCGGTGTTGGATAGCTGATCAGACATTTCTAATTGATTTAGTACTGGCTAGAAGAGGGTCATCAGGACGGCTATTTATACTGTTGCGAAGCCGATCAATTCCTTGGTTCCTTAGTGTGTGCGGCTGAGCGGCAAGAGAATCCGTGGCCCGCGCCCGTTGATGGGTGACAAACGTGTCTACGGGACCTGTCGGAGGCACGTCACGCCATGCCAATTAAGGTAGCTGATGCATGTAATTATCGCAGTTTGTTACGATAATTGTTTCGGAACTCGTCGGCATTTTTTTTCCAGAATTTCCACCCCATGTCAAGACACGATTAACGGTAACTGTCATGACCTTTTGTTTATGGAGAGAACCTTTTGGAAATTCCAATTACTAACAAAACCTTCTCTGCATACGGACCGGCTAGTAGCATGGCCGTTCATGGTGTGATCCGTCCCGAAAACTCCTATCGCCACTCCTATTTGCTAGGCTATAGATATTCGCTTTTGAAGAAAGAGCTCACTTCCGCAAATTGTCTGTTCCTCGTCTTAGTATTGCCCGTGTTTGATGTTTGAGCTTCTTGAGCTCGTAAACGTTAGCATCTCATCTTTGATTATGTAAAATTAGATCTAATATTTGTAAAAAAAAATGCACAGGGCTCGCTTTATACGACAGTATTCAAAGCTGGGCCAAACGGTGGCAGAGGCCACAAAGCCCGGTGTGGCAAGCTCTATCACAAATGACCAGTCGTACAAGAACTTTTTTGAGGATTTCTCAAAGTCTGTGATGTCGCAGAACCAGCTCTCTTCTATCAGCGAACAAAAGACCTTTGGCAAAGTGTTTGACTATCTTATGAAGAAAACGAAGCCTGCTGGCGTGGCTGAAACTCTGAAAGATCTCGTGAACATAAACGAGCAACAAGCAAAGAGCCCGTTCCAGGATTTGGCTCAAGGAACACAGTCAATCAAGGCCCACAGCTTGGAGACATATAAGAAAAGGCTCGAACAGAATAAGGTTTTGATCAAGGCGCTGGAGCCAGCTCTGAAGTATATCAACCACAATATTGATACGAGCGAAGGAATGATGGCATACATAAAAGACGATCTTGTGGAACGGTTTGTGAGAGAGTATCCCACCAGGAACAGAAACTCATTGGATCTCGATCAGCTAGTACAAACCACGAAGACCTTGACCCTTGAAAATCCCTCACAGCCGCCAGTCAACCAGAGAACGCTTCCTCTTCTGCTGGAATACTGCCTAAACTCGCTTACATACGATTTTGACTCGTTCGACGACACACTGCTGGTTCTCGACTACATCAGACAGCACAAATCAATTTTTGTCTACGAGTTCGGCCTCAACATCGATGTTTACAACTCTGTGCTGCTCCAGGTGTGGCGCAAAGCGGAAAATCTGCAGCTGATCAGCAAACTGGTGGACGAGATCAGCGCAAATGCTATACAGCCCGATCTACTCACATACAAGATTTTGGCTAAGATCTATCTCCAGTGCATGAACGTTGACGATGAGTCCAAGGCTCGCTACTACCTTTTGTGGGGGAATGGCTCCGACATCTACAAAATACGCACTTTCCTCGACAATATGAAGCTAGGCATCGTGTAAATAGTGCATTTGAAAACCCCGTTCACATCCTTACACCATATGTCACAATGTTTTTCTTGAAACGCGTAACATTACTTGTATAATTTATTCATACACCGCGAACAGAACCGGCCTGTAGAAGCACAGTTTGCGCCCAGTGCTTTCTAACTACTTACAAGGACCCGACAACCAGGGTGCACGACAAACTCGGTTTCAAGTGACGATGATATTGACTCCCGGAGAGTTTTCCAAAGCCTTTGAGGAGATCAAGACCACCTCTCTAACTCACTCTACCTGCAAACTTGTCATCTTTGTGTCGTGTTTGAACGTGGATGCGATCTGTGCGGCCAGAATACTGTGTGTTCTTCTCAAACGACATCTCATTGTGTTTCAATTAATACCTGTTGTTGGATATAATGACCTCAAGACCAAATATTCCAAGCTTGACGACGGCATTTCCAACGTGCTGGTGGTTGGCTGCGGCGCCATGGTCGATCTCGAGAGCTTTCTGGAGATCGACGTGTCGCAGCACGTCGAGCAGATTGATGTGTCCGGCGTTCCGATCACTCCAGAGTCCTCTACCACAGAGCCCCAAATGAAGCTCACGCGACGCATATACATTTTCGACGGGCATCGGCCGTGGAACCTCGACAACTTGTTTGGATCGCAAATGATTGTGTGTTTCGACGACGGCTCTGCCGAACGAGAGCTCGAGAGCCAAAAATCTGCATACGACGCATTGGTAGCCATGGACGATGAAGAGGAGGAAGTGGCGGAGGAGCCCCAGTTTGACGATCTGGGTAGCGACTCTGAAGACGAGCTCGGCGGCCGCAAGCGCAAAAGTGAGGACGCCCTTCCTCAACGCAAACGTTTACTTCTGGAGAACGAGAAGATCATAGAAGATTACTACAACCAGGGTACCACCATTTCCATGTCTGCTGCAATACAGGTTTACTCGCTGATCTCCACTCTGGGAGAGTCCAATATCGATTATCTGTGGCTGTCGATTGTGGGGACCAGCTCCTTGAGCTCTGACTTTGCCAACACTTACGAGGCTCTGGTCCCGCTCCTCAAAGATGAGGTTAACAGATTGCAACAGAGCGACGACAGAGCAGAAAATTCGGAGTCAGCACTAGACACAGCCAGAGCAAAGAAAGCAGACGACACCGCGCTGCGGGTCGACAAGGACTACAGCTTGTTTCTTCTTCGACATTGGAATCTGTACTGCTCGTTTTTCTATTCCAGCTACGTCAACTCAAAACTTCAGCTATACACAACTAATGGAAAGCGGAAATTGAACACCATGTTTGCGCGCATGGGTATTTCGCTTGCGGCCGCCAATCAGAACTGGCATTACCTGGACATCAACCTCAAAAAAAAACTACATACTGTCTTCCGCAAGAATTTGGGCCAGTTCGGACTGACAGATGTGATCAGAGATGGGTTCGTTCGCGACTTTGGGTTCCATGGTTCTCTGTCTGCCGGTGACTTTGTGGAGGCCGTGACAGCGCTGTTGGAGTACGACGGGGACCTCGTAACCCAAGACACAAAGACACGGCCGTCGACGCCTGAGATCGAAGAGAACGCCAAGGATATTCGAACGCTGATCCAGAAAAGAGAAGCACAATTTGTCTCCAATTTTTGGAGAGCATACGACGCGCTGGACGATTTCGAGCTGATCTCCAAGGGGCTGAAGATCGCGAAACTTCAGCAGCAGTTCATTTTCGACAAGGGGTTCGAGATATTCCAAAAAAAAATGATAAAGAACTTGCGCATCTTCAGGCTTGTCGTGCTGAAGGATAATTTTGCAACCAACAACACGGTGTCGGACCACTCGCTGATCCCGGACTTTGGCAACTCCGATTCCATCGAAATCAAAACTTTCAGCAACAACACCAAGCTCTTCCAAAATCCTCTCATCCTCACAAAGCTGGGCAACTGGATTCTCGAATCCTGCGCAGAGCTGGACAGGAGTGTCTTGCCATTGGTGATCGCCTCTCTCGACGTGGACACGGGCACCTATCTCGTCTGTGGACTGCCTCCCAAATACCCAAACATGAAGGGCGTGGAAGAAGCTGCGGAAAGAATCACGGTGCTCAACACATTTTCGCTCGCGTTCCAAGAAATAGCCAACAGCACGGGTGCCAAAGCCAGAATAGACAGCTTTGAAAGCTCCATGATTGAGATCCGAAAAGACGACCTGCCCATGTTTTTGGAACGTCTTAGTTTGAGCGGACTGGTCTAATCCCGTGCAGATATAATAAACTAGATACCATTGCGTAGCAAATCTAAAAGGTATTTATAAAATGCACAGCCCAGATCTGGGGTTTTATTTATTTATATTTCTTTTATGAGCTCTCCCTCCAAACAGCCGGTGCACCCTTTCCCCACATTCACGCCTACTAGACACCTCGAACAGCGCCGCATGCGGCGTGCCGTGACGTCTCCTCCACGCAAACGCGCAGCCACGACTCCTATCTCGCTGACACCACTGTCAACGATGCGGAGGATTAACGCAACACGAACCAACACCAATGTCGACCGGCCGACCGTGCTGAATTTCCAAAGCGCCACGAAAACAAGCTCCTCAAAACTGCCAAAACGAGAGGACCACAATGAGAACGTTTTCCTGTCTCCAAAACAGTCCAAGAGACTAAACACTGACACCGAGTTGAAAGAGCTTCTGCTCGAAAATAGCCGACTGATGAAGATCCTGGCCCAGAACCAGGAACTGATCATGGACTACATCAGACGGAAGTAGGAGGCATCTTCTCAATTTGTTTCTTGACGATCTCGAGCGGTATGATCGCATCTTCTAGCGAGTCGTGCTGTCCACCTTGGATGTTCTTGCTCAAAAACCGCCATGCGAGTTTTTTCAGCGGGTCTTTACGACGAGGGTCGACTGTCTTCTCCGAGAACAGCACTGCTGTGTCCACAATTTTGGGGTAGACTATCCGCAAAACATTGAGATCGTTCTCCAAGCCGTGTCCTATAATCACTGTGTTCTCGTCAGTGAGTCGCGCCATCTTTTCCAGCATTTGCTCCCATGTCATTGCATCCTCCGGGATCGAGTCCACACCAGACACAAATGTGTTCAAATCAATCACGTCGCCCTTGGGTTTGACAATCTCGTCCATGATCAGAGTGCACTCTGGGAACTTGACAAGACTCAATTTCATCATCTCGAACCCGCACGAGGTGTAGCACATCTCGCAGTCCAGACCAATCGCTGAATATTCAGCCTTATCTTTTAAGTTGTACTTTTCGCGCAATTCTCGAATGGTTGCAAATGGCCGCAGGAAATGCATTTCTGCCGGATCGTTCAACTTGAAGACATGCTTGTCCAGCTCTTGGCAACCTTCTGTGTGGCCGGGAGTCTCATTGCAGCACGAATAGTGGCGGTTCGCATAGTTGTGGTTCCATTTTTTGACTCCAGAGCTCAAACTGGTAATGATTTTTCCTGGATGAAACCTGCATACGCTTTTATGAGCCGGTAGGTACTCCTCGGCAGCCAAGAATGTCACTTTGCAATGGGCGCACTCTAATGTCTCGCTATGTTTCCTTGCCTCTGGCACATCCAGGATGAAGCCGTGTCTCAACAACATCTGTCTTGAAACACATAATTGTTGCAACCTTTTGACATACTCCTCACTAGACAAGCCTTTTGGAGCAGAATCAAGTTTGGGCTTTTTCTTCACGATCTCATACATCCGTCGCTTGACCATTCGAACGTATTCTGGTTGCGTTTTGCTTTTAGTCGCAACATCATGCTCTTGATCAACAGCGGTAACCACTGCATTAGGAGTCCCCAGTTTCTTCAATTGTTCATGAAAAATTCGAAGGTAATGTCTTCTTTCCTCGTATTTCGCTGGTGCAAAAGGAACTACTGGCCGCGGAACAAGTTTGATGACATCCTGTCTGGAATCAAAAGGATCAACGCTTTCGATCTTTCGCTTGGACATGGGTGGCAGCGAAAAAATTAAATGCTCTTATTTTTTACATACTATCGTCCACCGGTCGATCGTCGCTAATTCATCGAAATGTCTTACTATTATACATCAACTTTTAAGTTTCTTCATTTCACCAGCACTCCCTGGTGCTGGGGAAGCTGACTTCGTCGATCCATTAGCCCCATTGGCCTCGGCCGATCCATTTGCCAGTTGTTTTTGCTTCTGCTGCAGCATTCTCTGCTGTTGCTGGAGGAGACGTTGCTGATGAGCTTCGATCTGCTTCTGCCTGATGTGGTGGATGCTATCGTATGCCTTTGTCAACAGCATACAGCCAAATCTAATGGCCTGAGTCTGACTGCCAATTTGGTTAAGCTTCGATGGATCCAAAGGACTGTAGGGTGGCAGATCAGAGTCGAACATGAAGCGAGACTTCAGTCTCCTCTTCGCGTCGCTCTGAGAATCATAAACATTTATGTGTCTCTTTCGGGATGCCAGCTCACCATTCTCTGGCGGTGTGACGGGTTCGTCCTTCGATTCTTCGTCGCCATTATCTGACTCCAGTTCAATTTCATCGTCGGAGGCATTCAAGTATTCTTCGAAGCCAGGATCATCCCTAACACGCTTGCGATCAATCCACATTCTTCCGTAACGACCAACACGCTTTCTGAGTTTATAGAGAACTTCTGACACGGTAAGTTTGTGCTGATTGGCGTTGTTTGGATTGTAAAATCCGGTATCCTCATAATCGCGGTCTTGTCCAGTGAGATCATAGAATTCTGGCAGGTTATTTCTATCATTCTTCACAACCTCTCCATCAGCGGCGTTGATCTTCACTATTTCGTCGTCCGTATAGTGTTTGTGGCTGTTGAGCAGTGAAGAGAATTCGGCTTCCCTTGAACTCTCCACCTCATACATCGATGACGCGATGGACGAATAAGGAAGGTGTGATCTTTCTTTCAAAGCCTCATCCTCATTGCTTGCAATTTGGAAAAATGGATTGTAAGGATCGTCGGTGAAATTGACCCATCCTTCATCCTGCGCGCGCCGTTTTACCAATTTGTCGCTGACTGCCTTCTTAATTCCCTCCAGCTTGTCTTGCAAAACTGCATTGACTGTTGTTAAGTCCAAATCTGGGATTCGGGAAGACGGTAGCTTGACATATGGCTGGACAGCAACTGGGTTTGCACCCTGCCCTGGCTGCGCCTGAGAATAAGCGCCTCCCTTCTGATACTTTTGTCTTTGAGAGGCAACTAGTTTCTCCTTTTCGAGCTGTTGTTTGCGGCGCTCTTTGGTCAATAATCGTTCCTTCTCCGACATCTGCTGCGCTCTGAAGAATTCCGGATCCGGCAATGGTGGCCTTTTTTTCTTGTGTGTGATCAAATCCTCTTCTTCTCCCTTGATTCCCAGCTCTCTCTTCACTTTCTTTGTTTCGCATCTCAAATTGAAGATCTCCTTATCGGTCTTGAGCTGCTCAAGTCGCCGAACCTCCCGTTCAGCAACCATAAACAATATATTGCGAGCATGCTTGAGGTCTTTGTAAAACATTGCAAGACGCTCTGCACCTTGTGTATCGGTTCTTCTGGTTTTTCTCGCTTGTCTAAATTCACGGCGTCTGAAACAAACATATGGGTCATTATCGTCCTTATGCGATGGATCTTCAAACCTTAGCGTAGGGAACACGGGCTTACCGTTTCTGGCTATGCGACGAGCTTTCCAATGCTCATAGATTTTGCGACCAAACATATCAAAAAGCACCTTCAAAGGACGAGGTTGCTTTCCGCTTGTTGGTTTGGCATCGAGTAGCGTCTTGAACGGGTGTATATTAAGTTGGTTTTCTAACGTCCGCGCCACATCGGCGGGATCAGATTTGTCTGGCACCACGGCAACCTCAACTATTTCCTTGAAACTCAAAATTTGCTGCGGATCCATCGAAAGAAACGGCTGTTTTTCGTTCACCACCGACTCGAATCTGTGCGCGATCATCTCAAACTCGTCTTCAGTGCATTTGTTGTCTAGCGTACTGTTCATCTTTTCAAGAAACTTCTCGTCTTCCTCATCCATACAATAGGGACATCCGGAAACGTCCTCAACGGTAGCTGAGAACTTGATGTATGAAGCGGGTGGGACAAACTCATCCTTGTAGTACTTGTCTGCGTCTGCCCAAACCTTCGAGGCGTCTGGCGTTGGAATGTAAACCTGCTCAACCTTGCGACCTTGTATTTTAGCTGCAGATGCATTGATGACTTTCTGCAAGTGATGTTCCTCTTCCTCTCCTTTTTCCACACCGGTTTCGATCTGTTGTAGATCTCGCTGTTGCTCAGCAAGCTCAAGATCTGGTATGTCGCGCTGCTTCCACACTTGGAGCGTCTGCTTCACCGAAATCTTGCGCTGCCGGAAACGAGCACCAGCTGATGATGGGGGTGCCATTGTGTGATAAAGTTGATGCTACTCCGTAACACCCTTACACCACTGTTTATTTGCCCCTTACTTGTGACAAACAACACGCTCAAATCCTGGTGGACTCGGAGCGGGCAATCCCAATCTGTGTACAGTCCGGTTCTTCTCTGTTTTCCAGAGCGAGATACGCTGTCCTGTGCTGGATAAGTCTCACAGAAACTTCTATCTCGGCAAATGAAAAATACACTCTTATTTGTTCCCGTCTCTCCAGTATGCACGCGCACACTCTCGGTCTCGAAATAACTATGGCCTTGTAGATGTAACTGGGAAGCCTTAACTGGCCTGACTCCTTATTGGGCAAAAATTAACGTGAATATCCTAGGATATTTCAATATGTACAAGCTGGCCCAATTTACGAATACCCGGATTTGCCTTCGCTTGCCATGCTGGGGGTTGCCTTTTCGCGAACAAATTTTTCGTCGAAAAAGGTTATGAGCACCTGCAACTACGCGACCTATCTACACATCCTTGCACTGGATATGGTAGTTATCCAGTGTATCCTGGGCCACTCTACTAGGCGAGCCGACCACAGGATCAGTTCCCGCCTGCGTCTTCGGGAACGCCACAACATCTCTGATGTTACTGGACCCAACGATCATCGAACACAGTCGGTCAAATCCCACCGCGAATCCGGCGTGGGGTGGACAGCCACTGTCAAGAGCTTTTAGCAGGTGACCAAACAGCTCTTCGGCATTGTGGACCTTCAAAATTTCCTTGAGGACGTATCTTTGAACCCGTGCATCATGAATTCTTTGCGATCCTCCGCCAACTTCGACTCCGTTGATCACCAAGTCGTAATGTTCTCCTTCGATGTCTAGAACGTTGTCCAAAGAAGGTGTGACTCCTTGAGTCAGGTCAAACATTGTGAAAGGATGGTGCGTCGCCTCGTATTTGTCCTTCAGATATACAGGGTACTCTTTTCCCTTGGACTGGGGGTCTTCGGATGGCGAGAAAAGCGGGAAGTTGGTCACCCAGCATGCAGCGAAGGTGTCACTTGTCGACAGTCCAGTATCGTGTCTCCAGAGGTCGGGGAAGTGCTGGATAGCAAGCTGTCTGAATTTCCCTAAAGGCGTTGGGTTTTCATAAACGTGTCTGTGTCTCTGCTTGTCGGGGTAAACTATGTCACCCAGTGCCACAACATCTCCAACTTGAAGACCCAGATATTCGTTTAGTGCACTGACGTCTCCCTTGAATGCGAATGGGGATGCCGAATGCCATGTAGTAAGGTCGTGTTCGGACTTGATTTTCGTAATGTACGGCCTGCGGTTTGAGTATTCGTGCGAACTAATCAGCTGGTCGATTCCGTCAAGGTTGGCAGCTCCACTAAGAACGACTCCCTGCACAGATCCTTGGCTATCGAAAAACTCGTTCAGGAGTTTGAATCTCAGGTTGGAACGGAGATCCGGTTTGTCAATACCATAATAATGCATTGCCTCTCTATAGGATAGCCTTTTCAATGGCTTTTCACCGGGTAAAGCCAGACTAGACATGTCCTCGCTCGGAGTGAACAAGTCGACCTGCCGGGTCTCCTTGAAAATAGCTTTGATCACGGTCTCCACTGTGTGCATCACATCCTCTTTCTTTGCAAACGACATCTCTAAATCGATCTGAGTGAACTCTGGCTGTCTGTCCGCACGAAGATCTTCGTCGCGGAAGCATTTGGCGAGTTGGTAGTACCGATCAAAACCACTGGCCATCAACAGTTGTTTGTACTGCTGGGGTGATTGAGGAAGAGCGTAAAATTGGCCCTGTTTTCTTGTCGGCACAAGAAACTCGTCGGCCCCCTCAGGCGTCGACTTGAACAGCAGCGGTGTCTCGATTTCAACAAAATCGTTATCGTCTAGCACACGGCGTGCAACCGCAGCAATCTGGGCCCTTTTTCGTAGCGATTTTTGATAGTAAGGTTGTCTAAGTTGGAGATATCTGAACTCCTGCGGGAATTGGCCGGTTGTATGCTTCAGAGAGTTTAGCTGCACAGTTTGGATGTCCGCGCTGTTCAAAACCTTCAGATCCTTTATCACCAGTTCCCAGGTCTCCGGCTCTCCATCTTTGCTCTTCTTCGGCTGCACAGTGCCTACCACGCTCACCACATCCTCGGGCTTCCTGGAAGCAAGCTTTTCCACTGTTTCCTGGTCCTTGCAAATGAGCTGGGCATAGTTTGACTTTGTGTCTCTGAGAGACGCAAAAGCAAGCTTGGAAGACAGCTTTTTGGGGGTTCTGTCGATCCAGCCGTTCAAAATAACGGTACTCTGTCCCATCCTCTTGTGGTCCCGGTCAATCTCACGAATCGTGTGAGTCGGCTGGTCAAAATTGAACTTGCTTGCAATTTCAGCAAAAGGGGCCAGGCTATGTAGCCTTCGCACGAAATGTGCCGAGATCGGCCATATTCTAAGACTCATTGGGAAGATTCTCAAACAGGAACAGGCGTACTGTGGATGGCTTTCCTCTGAACACCTTACTCCTGGTGTGTTTCACACGACTCGCTGATTTAAAAATTTTCCAAGCACCAACAAAAGTACACTATAATTGATCTTTAACACTAGACAAAATGTCGTTGGGTACTTTATATGCTGGTGAGGCCACCAGAGTTTTGGCCGCCAAGGGTGTCGTCAAGGCTCTGGACTTGGACGTCAAGTTTGGTGAAACGACTGATGAGGCTTTCCAAAAGAACTTCCCATTGGGCAAAGTTCCAGCCTTCATTGGTCCAAAGGGCTACAAGCTGAACGAGGCCATCGCTGTCCTCTACTACTGTGAGTATTTACAAGTGCGGACCAATATTGATGCTTTTATGATGAAATATTTCCATCAATTATACAGTTATCCCTGTCTTAAATACCATGTCGAGATTGCGAATCTGAGATGCATCTGGTCCGCTTTTCTATGTGAACTCCTTACTAACCTCTTTAGTGGTGTCTTTGAAAGACGAAAATCACCCATTGCTCGGAAAGACCTTCCAAGACCGTGCTCAAGTCTTGAAATGGATCTCCTTCGCTTCCTCCGAGTTCATGGTTGAGGCTACGACTGCCTTCAAGCCGTTTGTTGGCAAGGCTCCATACAACAAGAAGGCTGTCGATGAAGCCCTCGAGAAGATGGAGAAGTGTGTTTCTGCTCTGGAAGCCAGACTGGAGCACTACACTTACCTGGTCGGCGAGAGACTGACCATCGCTGATGTGTTTGTTGCTTCTATGTTCTACAGACCATTCACCGTTCTGTACGGTGACGAGTGGAGATCCAAGCACCCATACTTGACCAGATGGTGGAAGACCATCGCTGCCACTGACTTCTTGAACTGGTTCTTCAAGGACGTCAAGCTGATCGAGAAACCTTTGGAGGCTCCAAAGCCAGCCAAGAAGGAAAAGGCTCCAAAGGCTGACAAGGCTCCAAAGGCCGAGGCTGCTCCAAAGGCTGCTGCTGAAAAGCCAGCCGAGGAGCCAGCCCAAGAGAAGAAGCCAAAGCACCCATTGGAGGCTCTTGGCAAGCCAACCATTCCACTTGACGAGTGGAAGAGAAAGTACTCCAACGAGGACACCAGAGCCGTTGCTCTGCCATACTTCTGGAACGAGTTCTTCAACCCAGACGAATGGTCTCTGTGGAAGGTCGCTTACAAGTACAACGACGAGCTGACTCTGACCTTCATGTCCAACAACTTGGTTGGAGGATTCTTCAACAGATTGTCGGCTTCCACCAAGTACATGTTCGGTTCTGCGGTCGTTTACGGCGAAAACAACAACAACGGTATCATTGGTGCCTTCCTCGTCAGAGGTCAAGATGCTGTTCCAGCTTTCGAAGTTGCTCCAGACTGGGAATCTTACGAGATCACCAAGCTGGACCCATCCAAGCCAGAAGACAGAGACTTTGTCGACAACATGTGGGCTTGGGACAAGCCTGTCAACGGCCAAGAGATCGTTGATGGTAAGGTGTTCAAATAATCTGTGTGACGGTAGTTTAGATAATAAGATGCGTTTTCACGTCCCTGAACAGCTTGGGTTTTGGTTGTAGCCATCCTGCGCGTAGCAGTGCCTGTGTGCCGCACTTGCTGATCACTCTGAATCGTTTGCTGCCCAGGTTAGGGCCGTTGTGCCATCTTACCACCAACACCAGCACGTTGAGTAGCTTGAAGTCGTTAAGAATGGCCACGAGTCGTTCTCCCGCACCCTTCTCCCCGTTGTCGTTTTTCCCCTGATCAAGCTTTGCTATGTGCGGTGGTTTAGGTGCCGTTGTAGCTGTCCTCCAGGCGAACATGGCAGGATGGGTAGCTTTCCTGATGCTGGGGTTGTCCTTGTGCAGTTGCGTTATCAGCGAAGGAATATCATTTTTCGACGCTATCGGAACACACCAGCCTTGAAACCTGTCTTTCTGGATATTTTCGACCGGCGACGAAATCCAGGAGCTAGTCATGTCTCGAAAAATAATTTGCAATTTATTATTCAGCTATGGACAAAGCCAAATATAAGTACCGGCTGGAGATCCAGCAGATGATGTTCGTCAGCGGAGAGACGAACGACCCGCCAGAAAGCACGACTATGGTGATCGAGACGATTGTCAAGGACCAGGTGGTGGAGCTGATATTGCAAGCACAAAAGACGGCCAACGCTAGAGGACAAAAGAGCATTTTGCCCGAGGATCTCATTTTCCTGATCAGACACGACAAGGCGAAGGTCAACCGACTGCGGACGTATCTTTCGTGGAAAGACGTGCGGAAAAACGCCAAGGACCAGGAGTCTGGCGACCTAGGTGCCGGAAACGATCTGCTGGACAATCCTGCCGGAGGAGCTGCTGGTGCACCCAATGCAAGCGGCATGGATAACAAGATGCTGGCCAAACAGAAAAAATCGCAAATCCGGCTTCCCTGGGAGCTGGAGTTCATGTTTAACGAACAGCCTTTGGAATCGAACGACGACGGACACGGCAATCAGATCGACGAAGAGGAGCGCGAAGCCGTTCTTGCGCAATTGAAACGGCTCAAGCAGAACGACGAGAGAACGAAGAACATGACACAGAAGGAGTATGTGCATTGGTCGGAGTGCAGGCAGGCGAGCTTCACTTTCCGTAAAGCCAAACGATTCAGAGAATGGTGTGGGATGGCGCAGCTCACCGAGAGCCGTCCCAATGACGATGTTATCGATATTCTTGGATTTCTGACGTTCGAGATGGTGTGTTCCTTGACCGAAAAGGCACTGGAGATAAAGAAGAGTCGGAGAGAAGAGTTCAGGCAGGAGAAAGAGAACAAGAAGCGCAGATACTTGTTCGACGAGCCGAGCAATGATACCAAACCGATCATGCCGGAGTACATCTACGAGGCATGGAGACAGTTACAAACAGCACCCCAGGAGGGCCGCTGTCTATACAATTTCCGCGGCGGAAGATTGAAGGAGAAAATTAGACTAATTTAATAAAATATTATTATTAACTTCGAAAATATCTGAATGGCTACTTTTCTTAGTCGACCTGGTCCTTTCACAGATCCAGAGTACACGCCAGAATTCGGTCTAGAGTCCCTGGCTACGAGCAAGGTTCTTGTCCTCGGCGCTGGAGGGCTGGGATGCGAGATTTTGAAAAACCTCGTCCTCTCAGGGTTCCGCCATATTGAGTGCATTGACATGGATACGATCGAGACTAGCAATCTGAACCGCCAATTTCTGTTTCGATCCGCTGACGTGGGGAAGTCAAAGGCCATTGTCGCCTGTGAGTTTGTGTCCAGACGCTTGGCACGCCAAGGGTTGACTGTGGTTCCTCACTTCTGCAAGATTCAAGATTTTGACGACGATTTTTACTCGCAATTCTCCATTATTGTGTGCGGACTAGACAGCATTGAAGCCAGACGGTGGATGAACGAGAAGCTGGTGTCCTTGGCAGCGACCACGGGCCAGATCATTCCCTGGATCGATGGAGGAACCGAAGGATTCCAGGGATCAGTCAAGCTCATGATCCCCACCCTAACAGCATGTTTTGAGTGCTACATGAAACTGGTTCCTGCCCAGACAACGTATCCCCTGTGCACCCTGGCCTCGACGCCTCGATTACCGGAGCACTGCATTGAATGGGCCCATGAACTCGAATGGCCCAAACGCTACCCAAATATGGATTTTGATGCCGATGTACCTCAACATGTGGACCTCATGTACCAGCTGGCTAAGGAGCGCGCTAGCGAGTTTGGAATTGAGGGCGTCACGAAGGCCAAAACACTCGGAGTGGTGAAAAACATCATTCCAGCAATTGCGTCGACAAACGCAGTCATTGCCGCCGCATGCTGCCATGAATGCTTCAAGTTCGTCACGTCGTGCACCGAGAACATGCGCGACTCCATGTACTATAACGGAGAAACAGGAGTGGTATGTGTTTCTGACCGGTACGACAAAGCTACAGACTGTGCTGTGTGCGCCAGCCTACCTCAGGATTATGTCATTGACGAGGGTTGTACGCTGGCCCAATTTGTGGCCGGGGCCACCCAGAAGTTTGGGCTTCAGCAGCCGTTGTTCTTCACGGCTAAAGGCGACTTGTACAACTCGAAAAAACCGGACGCTTTTGCGACGGATATTCCTATGGTTAAATTAGTTCCGTTCGCGGATCGAGTTGCCAAAACGCAAATCAACATCGTCGACAATTCAACTCCATCCACGCTGAAGCTGGTCCTCAGGGTGGAGTGACATCCGCTGCAGTTTAGTACATAGGCCAAATTCTGGTAAAATCGCGTGTTCAAAAGTTATATAACATGTCCTTTAGTCTAACGGACTCTATCTAACCGTGCTTGGAGAAGTAGTCCTTGGACTTGCCAACCTCTGGTTTGATAGTGTCGGAACCGGCAGTCCAGTTGGCTGGGCAGACCTCACCGTGGATCTCGGTGAATTGGAAGGCCTCCAAAAGTCTCAAGGATTCATCAACGTTTCTACCGACTGGCAAATCGTTGATGGTGATCTGTCTCAAAACACCCTTAGGGTCGATCAAGAAGATACCTCTGAGAGCAACACCCTCCTCCTCAATCAAAACACCGTAGTCTCTAGAGAGAGTGTGGTTGGTATCAGCAAGCAATGGGATGTTGACTTTGCCCAGTCCACCGTCAGCACGTGCAACGTTGGTCCAAGCCAACAGAGAGTACTCAGAATCGGTGGAGGCGAACAGAACCTGGCAGTCCTTGTCGGCGAACTTTTTGGCTGCCTCGGAGTAGGCAATGATCTCAGTTGGGCAAACGAAGGTGAAAGCCAATGGGATGAATGCGAGCAACACCCACTTACCCTTGAACTGTTCAAGGGAGACTTCCTCAAACATACCGTCAATGACGGCAGTCTTCTTGAAGGTTGGAGCTGGCTTTTGAATCTGAGCGACCATTGTGAAATCTAATTTATAGTACGAAAATGTCTAGGATCTTGGGAAAAAATCCAGGATGTTCCTCATCCTTTTATACTCACCCTGTGGGGCACCGAAATGGCTCGAAAAAACTTGATTACGTAACTGGGGCCTTATCAAATTACTAACTAAACCAAAAATTCTGGAACGGTCTTAAAGATTTATACGTAGTCTGCACAGCCCTGATTATTAAAGTGAAAAATAAAACGGGCCCAGCCTGATTTTGCGCGTTATTCGTGTTGGGCCGATAAGTCAATTTGCTCTCGTTCCTTCTGATCTTTGAGTAGTTTCTCCACCAATTCCTGCTGTCTGTGCAGTTCCTGTTGGCAGAGCAGGAAAACTGTTGGGTGAAGAGTGATCACCAGCAATATGGCGTCCTGCAACGCCACACATAAATAATGTTTTAATTCCCTTTTTGGGTCTAGCGGGCCCTCGGGCCTGTTTTTTCCTGGCAACTGCAAAGGTCCGCGTCTTTCGTGTTGCAGAAGAAATTGGAGCAATACGATGATCGAGGACTCTAGTTTCTGTTGCACCAGATCAGACAGTGATAGTCCTTTCTGCACCACGGGCAGCACAGTGCTCTGAGCTGATGCCGGCAAATCATTATCGACCAGATCTTTCAAGCTTGTCCACAAATCGCGTCCGAGGATGGTGCTCAAGATGATGTATCCCAGGAAAACGTCTGCGATGAAGTTTCTGACGACCGAAACATTGTTTACCTGCGCTGAAGTCCCCACCACAACGACTCCGATAGCCAGCTTGATGACCACCCAACTGATGTTGACGAGACGCCAGAACGTTCCCTGAGTAGCGAAATGCACTGCTCCACGCACGAGCAGCGATGGCGTGCTGAAGAGGAGATGCAAGGACCGGGCGAAGACCTGGCCCACCGAGGCCGGCCAATCGCGCGCTGCCGGCGCACTGCGAGCGTGAAATTCTGTGTTGAGAGGGGCGAGGGCCGCGAGTTTTTGGCGGCCTGCGTTGGACAGCAGCACGTAGGAATCGCAGCCATTCTGGTGGTTGTCAACAAGAATGCAGTCTTGTGAGGTCAATTCGACCTTATTCTCGCGTCCGAGCTCATCTGTAATGGCCACCACGTATTTCTTGAGCTGTGCCACCGAGCCAGGCAGTAGCACGCTGATCGATATTATTGTGGGCACCTGGTCGGTGGTGACGTTTGCGCCGCATTGTAGAATGTGATACAAGGGCAAGCTGGGGTCCAGCGACTTGGAGGAGTGTTCGTTTTCAATGACAATTTCCAGGATGTCTTGTTCGTCGCACATATTTAGCAGCTCAGAAACAGTGGTCTGAAGCGTTATTCCACGCACTATCTTGGGCTCTCTGTTGGTGAGCAGCCGCATGTCGGACGAGCAGTACCGGATCTCGGCCTCGAACTCGACTTCCAGCGGCGACTTGCCATAATCATCAAACGAGGACATGAAGATGAAAAGGCTCTAAAAATCCAATTCTGCCAAAGATATTGCGGGCGTCTGACACGCAAATAAAATTTTCGACGCTTGTTCAAATTTAAACTAGTGGAGCCTGTCAGTGTCCTGTTTACAGAAAAAGTTGCCGGGCTAGCATGTTTGTCCGCGTCAGAATCAGCAAGACCGTGCAGAGGGGTGTTGCAAATCCCATTTGCAGTCGTCAGATTGGCTCCTTTATTCGCAGTGTGCTCTGCATGGACCCACCGCCTTCTCCAGATGATCCTACACCAGAGAACAGATTCCATCCGTGGGACCAGTCCCCATCGCCGGACCTGAGAATGCGGGCTGCCACCATCCGCGCCAAAGCCAAATGCCCCGTCACAAACAAAGATATAAATTACACCTGTCCATATTCGGGGATTCCCACGCATCACTCCAGAGAGGCGTGGGAGCAAGACACCGATTACCATGATTCCAAAAGGTATGAAATCCTGAAAAAAGTCAACATCTACGAGCACGACCTGAGATCCGGAAGACAGTTCCCGGAGTTTGATTTCCCGTCGCAGCAGCCGCAAGACACCCTCGTCAACTTTGCTAACTGGGATACGTACCTGTACACGAGAAGCTTCTATTCCATGGACACAGAGTTTCAACTGGCCGTCGTGACCAAGATGTTGAGCTTCCCGTCTACCATAGCATCCATTGTGCATCAATACTCTCCGTACTTCCTCAAGCCCAAGGGTCCTGTTTCCGTCGAAGGTCTCAAGAGTCTGGCCGCTTTGAGATACACTCTGTACCCAGACACAAGAGTCTCGTCGCTGAAGGACCGTCCGATGCGGATTTTCCTGCTGAACTCGAAGTCCGAGTCCATGCTGCCCGGATTCGTGTGGAAAGAGCTGACATATTTATTCCCCGGCATTTCTTTCGAGCTGCATTTCATTGGTCCAGAATCCTACTACGATAGGGAAAAGAAGCAGTATCTTGTTTCCGAGAGACCAATTGTCAAGCGAGTCGACGACACGATATGTTTCTACTACCACACATACGACTTCAACGTGCTACACGAGGCCAAGGACTTCTTCCCTTACGACCCCTACCTCGACGTGTTTTTCTGCTTCCATCCGAGAATGGGCTCGGGAGTTTCCACCGAGCTGTGGGAGAAAAGCGTTCCTGGCCTTCTTGATTCCAAGTGCGGTGTGTTTGTGACAGGCTACCACGCGAACGACATACAGAAAGACTACGACTGGCTCGTTCAGAACTACTCCGACGACATGGACATTCTGATGGACATCGTGCCTAACGTGTTCGGATCCACCAAATGGGAGCTCAACGACTACAACCCGCACGAGGTGTTCCAATACAACCAGCAGACCTTTGGGTTCCGTGGAAAAAGATATCACGCGATCAACCAAGACGAGTAGACGTGACAATCTTGTGAATAGAGCGAATATATTAAGTACTGTACAAAGTGAGCGTTCTAATATCTCTTCACCAAAACCCGTAGCCTTCCTCACCCCCGAAAATATTCAGGTCGGTCTCTGGCATCATTTCCAGCACCGAGTTTTCGTTGAAGTTGAGGATGTCGGAGTCGATCTGCGAGAAAATGTCGTTGAGCAGGTTTTGAGACTCGGTGGTGTGTTCGATCGAGTTTTCGAGCCCGATGCTACCTATTTCTGGTATCCGGTCCACGCTCTCGCTGCCGTTGCCTGGCGAGTCATTGTTTTCGCTGGAATTGAAACCGATTGGCGACGGAATGTACGTGGAGCCCGACCGGCTCTGTGGCCGCGACGAGCTCATCGATAGCTTGCGGCTGTTTTTGCGCGTCATGTTGTCTGCGCTGTAGTTTATAAATTTGTTGAACTGGATGCGCGAGTCCGGGTTCAGATGCCCGTTATCGCCCTCCTTCTTGCCCTTTAGGTTAATGCTGATGTTCTCTACCGCTTTCTCCCTGCCCAGCTCGTCCAGAAGGTCCACCATCGAGTTCGTAGCACCGTCTCTATTGAAATTGTTCGACACCTGCATCCATTTGCGCACCCGCGTGAGAATCATTGTCATACGAGAAGCAACCTTGCTGTGCGCAGCGACTTTCGCCAACGCAGCAGCCACGCGCTCATACTCGTGCTCTACGTTCACCTCGACGTCCAGCCGCTGCGACTTCACAAGCAGCCGGGACCGGATCAGGGCCACGAGCGCATGCATAGGTCTGTAGTAGAAAAAAGTTGGAAACGTCGACGTCTGGTCGCTCAGAGCAACAAACGAGTCCACAACCTTGATGCTGGCCCGCACCAGCCGGTTCAGTGTCTGCAGATAAACGTCTGTGAGCGTGTCCTTGCGCACAAGAACACGACAGACCACGTAGTCATACATCGTCATGAGCAGCTGGTAGTAGATGATGGAAAGCAGGTTTTTTTCCTTCGATTCCGACGTGAGTAGACCGCTCTCGGTGGCCAATTTCTGCATCTTCTTCTCGTAGCTGATCATCATGGCGCGCAGACTCTCGTGCGGAAACGAGGTCTCGTCCTGTGTTTCCTTGTCGGTACTGAAAAGCATGTTCAGCCGCGTAGCCAGCGACGGAGACGCCGTTGTCGGACACAGAAACTGGAATATCTCCTCGCCAATGGCCACGAGCCGCGCATAGTACGCCAGAAACCGGTCGTATCTGGTCACGTCACCCATCATCAATATTTGACAGCATCGTTCGTGCGTGTTTGTCCAGTTCACCACCTTGAACCGTGGAAGAGACAGTCCCAGCGATCCGCAGCACGAGTACACGCCGATGTATGTGCGGAGGATTTTGCGCTCCTCGGAGCCGTCCTTGAGCACGTTGGGGCCCGTTCGATGGGCCTCGTTCCCGAGGTCGAGACACAACGTCAGGTTTAGAGCCGTCAGCAAACTCATCTGGTGCTTGTATGACCCCCACTTGCGTGGAGGAGAACACCACAGCGACAGAACCAGGTAAACCTGCACTATGGTGGGGGAAATGTCGCCCAGAACACCCACTCTTTGCGCAAGGTTGTTGTCCAGATAGTAGAGCAGGGTGTCGTGCAAATCGGCGTCGTTGAGGCACGTGACCGTGATAAATGCCAGCAACACAAGCGGCTCGTTCTCCAAAAGCCAATCGTACGTGTAATGAGATGGAATTGAGACACACGGCCAGAAGCACAGCACGTCGCTGAGAAAATAGTCGAATCGCGAGCGGGCGTCCTCCTCGCTCAGGATCTTGAGCTTTGTCAGCTCCTTGACGAGATTTGGGCCGTATGCAACAAAGGGCAGGTTTGGTACACTTTTCACAGGGCCCTCCTTCATCGAATTGATCGAGGAAGCGACATTTTGGTCCTTAGAACTGAGATACACGTCCTTGCTGAAAGTGACCGCGTGAGCGAGCAGTCTTTGTAGGTCTGTGAGCTGGGCTTGCAGCTGTGAGAGACTCTCTGGGTTCAGATTTTCGTCCAGGCTCGAAAAGTCCAGTTTCTGGCCGTCCAGGGTCACTGTGCTATTGTTTGTGGTTTCTGACATCTGTCTTTGCAGCGTCTGAAAAAGCCTTGTGGCCTCCCCCATGCTGGTCTGCAGCGCGCTCAGGGGCCCCGTGCCCTTGAGCTTGATTTTCTTGCGCGGCCGCGAGCGCGCCGTTGTCTCTGTAGGGTCTTCAGTGATGGAGCACTTCAAACTCGCCTTGAAGCACCGCGTGCAGCTCTCAAAGTTCGGGTCCTCGTACACGCAGCGCATCTTGAGACGATGGCATCTCGCACACGCACGAACCCGACGGAACTTGTTTGCAAAGTCAGAATCTGGCACTGTGGAGATTTCGTTTTTCATCAGTGAAGCTGGCTGCAAAAGATTCCTGATCCAGATTAGCAATATTTTTATGTGTATTTTTTTTTTCTTCGCTGCACGGATTCTCCCGTAACCAAGCGGACCAAAGAATCTGCGACTCCGATAAGGCTGCTTACTTACCCCGTAAATTTTACTCGTTGCGTGCAAATTTTATCTCCAGCAGGGATTTTTCAGGGAAGCTCCGGCACGCCGGTTCCTGATAAACCTAACAGCATTTTTATTTTGATACCCTAAAGAATTACATGCGCATTAATCTCCACCAGTCCGCGTTCCAGGTTGCTGTACACCACATGGCGTGGTGAGTACTGTATCAGCTCGTCCAAAGCCCTGACCTTGCGAACCTTGTGGTCGTCGACACGGACCTCCTCGTCGTACTCTCCCCAGTAGCATGACACAGACACCCCTAATAGTTTACTTTTGTCGATGTCCTCGTCGTCATCAAACGCAGTGCGCAGCCATTGTAGACCAACGTGGTAGTATGGCTGCGTCCAGTTGAGTTTGTGGAGCTGGATCTCGTCAATACCTTTCATCGTCTTGAACCGATGGTTGCCGGCCTCGTCGGTCGAATAGCCGGAAGGAACCGAAGACAACGGCACGGACTCGTATCCGTCCACGTACAGAGTGACCATCTTGACTGGTGAGACCATCTTTTCTGAATGAGGAGACTTGAGCGAGTCGTAGTTGGACGAGTTGAACCGCAAAATGCAATTTCTGTTGTCTTGCACGTTAATGAGGAAATCCACCTCCACAGGGCTGAAGTTGTCCACAACGTCGCCATTGTTCGAGTTGTTAACGACTTGAATGTTCAAATAGTGCGAAAACTCGTTATCCGCACTGGTTCCGTCCAAAAGGTAGGGACGAGGACCCTCGTACTGACAACGCTCCGTGCCGAGTTCATTATTGATAGTGCAGCTGATAGCGCTCCCGCTATCCTTCAGCGAAGGAAGATCACGGAGCATTGGCTCAATGTAGCCAGCGCGGCCGAACAGGTTGACTAGTGGAACCTTTGAAGCCTCGTCAATAGTCTGCAAAAAGCGTAGCTTCAGTGGGTTAGTGTAAGAGTAAGGGCTTTCGAAGTATGACACCGTAGAGCACACCAGCAAGACAGCAGTGAAGAAAAGCACCAGCGCGAAATTGAGCTTGTGGATGAATGGTGTCACCGGAATGCCAAGACCAACGGCCACCCCAACAAGAATTTGCATTGTGACCTTGCCGAAGTACGAGGATTCCTGTACAGTCTGATTCAAGGCTTGTAGAACCAATTCACCGTTTGTGTAGATCACAAAAACGGACAATGGCACAAGAATAAGGAATTGGATGGACCAGTCATACGAGAAAGACTGCAGTGCTGCATGTTTGAGTTTCTGCTTGTAAGTTTCCTCTGACTCGTGCTCTATGATCACTATGGTGGAATTGTTGTTATTGGATGAGTTCTCTGCCGGTAGCAACGGCTGGCTTTCCGAGTCGTTGGAGTCTGGAATCGTCTCTGCTGGAGAGTTGTTTTCATTGTCCGAATGAGGCTGCTCCTCCTCGTTTGATCCATATATTCTTGGTTTCATTGTTCTTCTGTAGCGAGGAGCTCTTCTTTTGACTATCAGCCCTATCAGTCCAAAAACTGACGAAACAGACACCAGCAAATGCACAATTGTTATAGTGTAGCCTGCAACATTTTGCTCCTGCTTCTCCTTCATGGTCATCCAAATTGCACCGATCCACAAGATCATATTCAACTCAAGCAAGCAAACCAGTTTTTGGTCGTGGATGGGCCGCAGCCAAGCAAGGAAATTCAAGATCAGGTAGTTGCAAAGGAGATTCAAAGATGTCAGGGCCAATAACGGAGAGATATAGTCGTTTGAGAGCAGGATCGGATCATTGAGATAGAGGTATTTGGAGACAAATGTAGTCAATGCGTAGGATGCTATTAGACTAATTGGGTACCTCAACCAGCCTCTGCCGAACTCAACATACCAAGTTCCCCTTCTGGCAACAATGAGCACACAAACGATGGTGACTATTGGCACAATGCTCACAATGAAGATGTCCAGAATGTAAAGCGTGTTGACAGAACAGTAGAAGAAGAACTTGCCGAGAATGTCAAAGAACACCGCCTGGGAAGTATCGTCGCTGATTTGTGTGTTTTCGTTCGCCAAAGCGTCAATGAGGTTCAGGGCATTGACCTCCATGTGCCACAGCGAGCCCAGAGAGGTGCCTGTGATTGAGTCCCGTAAAGTGTGGTATAAAGACCTTGGCTTGTAGAAGGCAATGTCTACTCCGCGGAAACCATTTTCAGCGTAGACTTTGTAGTCTGTCTGGGACCTGATGAGACCGCTCTGGAAACCCTCTTGGAACAAAGAGTTGGCAAACGGTCTGCTTGCGGCCGAGTAGTAGCTGAGTACTCCAACGTCAGTACTCCTAAACAAAATCGCCTTTCCTCCCGCTCCCGTTCCCTCCAAATTGACGAAGTATTTCACAAGTTTGGCCCATTTGTGTCTCATGAACGCTTCTGCTCCCAACAGCCCAAACTCCTCGTCGTTGTTGAAATTGAATATGATGGTACGTTCAGGCTGGTCAGCCTCATCTGAAGAGTAATGTTCGAGGATGCCCAACATGGAAGCCACGCCCATTCCGTCGTCGGTGGCACCATAGGCCGTCGGAACAGAGTCGTAATGGGAGCTAACCAGAACACCGGGCAAGGCGGGGCTTTTGCCTTCAATTTTCACCACAATGTTGCCGCTCTCAAAGTAAATGATTCTGTTTGCAAGAGACTCTGGGTCAAAAACGTCCTGCTGGTTCACCATGAACTTTACCTTGTCATAATCGTCATCAACCTCCATATAGCTCTTTCTTGTGCAAATGGTGGAGATTCTCTCCAGCAGATAGTCATGAACGTCGTCGTTGGCGTGGGACGTGTAAGGATGGAAATGGGTCGATATGGTTTGCAGGTCTAGCCACGCGGTGCTCAGTATCCGGGGAGCAGGCTCTGGGGGAGTGAGGGAGACCTTATCGAAGTACAAATTAAGAAGGATGGTAGCAATGTAAGAAACAATCACCAATGCCGTCAGGGTGGTTTTCCTGAACCCAAAGGTGGACTGGATGAACTTGGTGATTCTCCCAGGTTCTTGTGACATTGCTTCCTAATTTCAGTAAGGTTTGTTTGTTTAATATTTATTATTTATGTTGCTTTTAGCCACATTTCACTGCCCGCACGCGCCACGGGGCGACTCCAAAAAAAAAATCAACCGAAAAATCAGCATTCTCCATGTTTCCCCCATTGAAGAACGACTTGATTCTGAGAGCTGCGCGAGGTGAGGCTGTTGAGAGGCCGCCTGTGTGGCTGATGCGTCAGGCCGGCCGGTACCTACCAGAATACCACGAGGTCAAGGGCAATCGCGATTTTTTCGAGACCTGCAGAGACCCCGAGATCGCGTCTGCTATCACCATCCAGCCCATCGACCATTTCGACGGGCTGATCGACGCCGCGATTATTTTCAGCGACATTCTCGTCATCCCCCAGGCAATGGGCATGGATGTTCAAATGGTGGATAAGGTGGGACCCCGTTTCACGGACCCGCTCAGGGTGCCAGAAGACCTCGACAGATTGAACAAAAACACTGACGTCGCCAAGGAACTGGACTGGGCGTTCACCTCCATCACCACTACGAGAATCAAGCTACAGGGACGTGTTCCATTGTTGGGTTTCTGCGGTGCCCCATGGACTTTGATGTGCTACATGATTGAAGGAGGAGGATCGAAAATCTACCGATTCGTCAAGGAATGGCTGTTCAAGTACCCAGAGGCCTCTCACAAGCTGCTTCAAATGATCACAGACGTGGCTGTGGAGTTCCTTGCGCTCCAGGTGAAGGCGGGAGCACAGATGTTGCAAGTTTTTGAGAGCTGGGGCGGAGAGCTGAGCCCGGCTGATTTCAGGGAGTTTTCGCTGCCATACTTACGTCAAATCTCGCAGAAGTTGCCGCTGAGACTGAAGGAGCTGGGAATCAGCGAGAAGATCCCTCTCACAGTCTTTGCTAAGGGCTCGTTCTATGCTCTAGAGGAGCTGTGCGAGTCCGGCTACGACGTTGTCTCTCTGGATTGGCTATACGAGCCGGAAGAGGCTGTTAAGGTGGCCGGGGGCAGGGTCGTGCTTCAAGGAAATCTGGATCCCTGCGTGATGTACGGATCACACGAGACCATCAGTCGCAAGACCGAGGAGATGATCAAGGGATTTGGAGGAGGAAAGAAAAACTACATCATCAACTTTGGCCACGGAACCCACCCGTTTATGGACCCTGAGCAGATCCGGTTTTTCCTGGAGGAGTGTCACCGCATCGGCAAGTTACAGTAAAATAGCGGGCAAAATCAGCAGGGTGTAAACTAGATAAAATATTTAATGAAATTGGTAGGTAATTTTGAAATTCCGAATTTTTCAGCAGAACTGTCCATTTATTTTATTTTATTTTATTTTCAGATGTCCAAGACTGCGAAATATCGCCCCACGGCCAGCAAGGAGGAAAACCAATTTCGCGAGGCCCTCAAGCTGTACGATTCCAAGCAGTACAAGAAATCTTTGAAGGTGATTGATGGCGTTCTCAAGAAGAACCCCCATCACGCGGAGAGTCTCGCTCTGAAAGGGCTTGCCCTGTACTACTCGGATACGGACAAGGAGTCTGCCGAATCGTACATCACCAGGGCCTTGGAAAAGGACAGCACAAACAACGTCGTGAATCACATTGCAGGCATTTACTACAGGGCGGTCAAGAACTATAAAGAGGCCGCTAAATGGTACCAGGCTGCGATGGACCACGGCTCCACAAACAAGAGCATTTTGCGTGATCTCAGCTCCATGCAGAGCCAGATCCGAGACTTCAAGAATTTGCCGAAATCCAGGCTCGGCTACCTGGAGGATCAGCCCGGCTACCGAGCTAATTGGACGGCGTCTGCCGTTGCTCATCAGCTGCACGGCGATCTGGCAAATGCCGAAAAAGTGCTTGGCCGTATTGAAGACCTAATCAGAGACAAGTTGCAGGAAAGCGATTACTTCGAGCACTCGGAGTGTCTACTTTATAGAAACGACGTCATTGCCCAGATGGGGGACTACGAAGCAGCCTTGAAGGATCTGGAGCGAATTGAGGCCACCAATATGGTCCTTGACGGTTTGTCGCTACTGGAGAAAAGGGCAGACTACCTCATGAAACTGAATAGAAAAAAGGAGGCATCGTTGGTTTACCGGAAGCTGCTAAAAAGGAACCCAGACAACGCCAAGTACTACTACCAATTGGAGGATGCTCTTGGGGTGCGCAACTCTCCACGTGTGAGGCTCGCATTGTACGAGAAACTCGCGTCCTTTTACCCAAAGTCGGACCCACCTAATTTCATTCCGCTCACTTTCTTGGCCGGCGAGGAGTTCAAGCAGAAAGCCAAGAATTACGTGCTTGGCCAGCTCAGACGTGGTGTTCCCTCGACATTCGTCAACGTTAAACCACTGTACAAAAATAATTCGCATGCTGCCACCATTTATTCGATTGTGTCTGAATTCTTTGAGACGGTCCATGACCAGCCACTGACTTACTGTTGGACAGCCTATTTCCTGGCACAGCACCACTACCACGTCGGTAGCTACTCAGAGGCTCTCAAGATGATTGAGTTGGCCATCAATCACACGCCTACGCTCGTTGAATTGTACATCCTCAAGGCACGTATATATAAACGGATGAACGAGCTGGACCAGGCGGCATCAGTGATGAACGAGGGTCTCAAACTAGACCTCCAGGATAGATTTATCAACACCAAGACCACCAAGTACTATTTGCGTGCCGATAACGTTCACAAGGCGATTGACACGATTTCTGTCTTCACTAAAAATGACGACAGTCCCAACGGCCTCAGAGACCTGCATCTGATGCAATCTATCTGGTTTATTGTGGAGAGTGCAGAAAGCTACTTGAGAAAATATAGAAAGGCTCTGGGTGAGCACAACGACACGGAAGCCAAGACGAACCTCGGTCTTGCGTTCAAGAGATACGTCAGCTTGACCAAGATCTTTGAGGAGTTTTCCGACGACCAGGTGGACTTCCATCACTATTGCATGCGAAAGGGCACTCCAAGAGCGTACCTGACCATGATTGACTGGGCAGACAACTTGTTCGATCAGCCGATGTACAATCGTGTCCTTGATGGCCTGAGCGAGTCTGTCCTGGAAGCAGTGCGCCACAAGGAGCTGTTTCTGACAGATCATGGGCACAAGAAACTCAAGAAGGAGGAGATCAGGAAAAGAGAGGAGCTGGTGCAGTACTCTCAGTCTGTTGCAGAGGACGACGACGTGTTTGGAGAAAAAGCGCTCCAAGAAATCATCCGGGACGAGAAACTGGATGTTCTTGTGAAGCAGCAAGCGTTGCTGCACCAGCAGGACGCTGTGTTCACACAGGTCTTCAATTTCAGAGTCAACTTCCAGCTGAAGAAATATGTCCTGTGTCTGCAATCGTTGAACAAACTGCTGGCACTTGATAAACGCAATCCTTTCATCGGATACATGGTGGACCAGCTGCGCAACCACCTAGCAGAGTCGACGCCGGACACCATAAAAAAGATTGTGTCTGTGGGTCTAATGAAAAACTTCAATAAGGCCGATACCGCCACTCTGCTGGAGACGTATTTTGGAGCCAATGACCTTGAAACAGCGCTTGTTCTTGCCCGTATGAGCGAGACCGTTTTCCAGACGCGGCTGTCTGAAATCAAGGAAAAGCTGGATCCGTATTCGCGGGGCCTGGTCAGCATTGTCCAGCTCAGCTATTAATCCAGTTGTCCAGCTGTGCTCTAGCAGCAGAGCCCGTCAAGTTTAGACCCTGCCGGCCGTAGGGGAAATAACTCACTGTATAGGCGATTGAGGCCACCAATTGCACGACTCCACATATAAGAACAACCAAAGTGGACTTCCACACAAGACAGAACCACAGAGTAGCCGCTATAGATCCGATAAAGGAGATGGTGAACCATAGCCGCTCCTTGGAAACCAGGTGTCTGGCAAACTTGCTGAACCCGTTCATAAACGCAAACGAGGTGAGAAACAAGATCGAGCCCAAAGTCCACAACAATGCGAACTTGCGTGGCTTGAGAGACAACAAGGGCAGCAGGATAAGACAGAGGCCGTAACAGACAAAGGAACCGCCTAAGGTCACGGCAAACAGCGCCATGCGCTCAAAGTACGACAGACTGAACGACTCCGACTGCCACCACGAAGACTCTTGCTGCTCCTCGTCCGCAAGCCGAACTCTGCCGAACCAAGAAGACATGTAAGAAATATATTTTAGAGGCTTTTATTTTTTGGAGGCCACACACAGCCTTAATTTAAGTATTTATTCTTCCCCTCATGTCGGCCAAATATATCAAACACTCAGGAGCCCCAGTGCCCCACGTTCCACCAATCTACCGGTACACGGCCACTGCTCTCGGCGCGACGATGTGGTTCTGGATGCTTTACCGGGCCAAGCACGACTGGAGACACTGGGTGGGGCTGCACGAGCACTAGTGGAGAAAAGCTACCACTCCAGGAATACCGTATTTATTACCTGTCCGGCCAGGATTTTCGCTGCTCAGACAGCTTATTTATCACATATAGATCAAGGTCGGCCGCCCTGCTGATCACCCAGACTTCAATAACCTCACTGTTCATTCCACAAATAGTCATTACGCTCATTTAAAGATTTTCTTGAGTTTTCCCAAAATGCCTCCGCTGCTCTTGCCGGCAGGCGACGAGACTTTCTTCTTCGCACTTTCGGTCGTGTGGACGGGCGACAACTGCTGCTCCATCTCCTGCTCAATGGTCGTAGGCTCCTTGACGTGCACTTTGTTTCCTGCGCCGCCTCGTCCTGTAGAAAATACAGGGCTCAGCTCCTCTTTGATGGCAGCAGGGTCCTGGCGCGGGCTGGGAACAGCCTCGAGCTCTGTCACGTTGCCGGCACCTCCCCTGCCTGTGGGGTAATGGAACTTGCCGTGTTCGTCCTGTTTGAATGAGCTGCGAGTCTCGTGCGGCACAACAACCTCGTCGGCCGCCGACTGGTGCACCACATTGCCTGCGCCTCCGCGACCCGTTGAATAAACTGGTCTTATATCTGACATTAGTGTTTATAAGGAAGCCACAATTGTGTCAAAAAAAAAATACAGATAAATCGTGACCTAAAATTTAATTTAATGCCGTGCCAGCTCCCTAGTGACGAAATTGTAAACCGGTGGTAGACGGTACTCGACCCAGTCGTCTCCGTCAATCATCACGAGGTCGTATAGTGATCCAGTGCCCGCCTGTGGCGCTGTCTGCTGCATCTTGTCTAGATATTTGTTGTACAATTCCAGCTGGAACTGTACCAGCTGCTTAATATTTTTAGTGCCATTTTCTGCCTCGTAGTCGTCGCAGAATTTGGCAAACTTTTCGAGCCGCTCGATCCGTTCCCTGAAGCAAGACTCTACCAGTCCCAGCAGCGTAGCTAGCGCCCCATCAATCTGCTCCTCGGATGCTTTTTCCATCACGCTCTGCACGTCGTCCATGGCAATGAGCCCTGCAAAACTGTAGTTAGATGCCATATTGAGAAACAGGTCCACCAGCTGACCGTCCGCATACTCTAGCACAAACTGCAGGTTTGTCGGCTGCCGCTGCTGGAAAACGTACTGGGCCAGCTCCTCAGATCGGTCAAAGTGGTAGTATCCCCAGAACGGCACGTCCACCACCTTCAGACCGTCCGAGCGAGGATAGAAACCGTACGTGACAAACATTTGCGTCATCTCCTCAACCGGCGTGTAGCTAATGAGCACCTCCGAGCCGCCAGAGAGCAGTCCTCTTGCAATCAGGACGACCTCGTCTGTTTCTGGATCGAGATCAAAATAGGCGTTCTGTTTGGCGTTGTCGTGGTTGGCAAAGTCTAGAAGCGGCACGAGCGTGATGTCGACGGAGAACTCGTCGTCGCTGATTTTTCGGGGCACTTCCAGCGTTCGCGAACGGATCGCCGCTACGAGCTGGTGGATCTCGTGCTCTTCAACAGTCACCTTCCACGTCTCGGAGATGTACTTGGACAATTCCTCAACTTCACGGCTCTGTTTTTCCAGCAACGTAGCATTCATGAGCGAGTTTCCCGGCTCCAGCTCATAATAACTCTCAAGAAGAGGCTCCTCGTCCTGCCATAAGTTATCAATTTCTGTGCGCAGTAAAATATTCAAATACTGTTGGAGCTCCTGGTATCCCTCTAGCTTGCCCAACCGGCGAAGAACCTCGAACCCAACCATGTAGCAAGTCAGGATTCTGGTTTCATTGGGCGGGCCGTTGCAGTAGAAACCCAAAAGCGACCTAATCACGGAGACTTCCGTCTGGTCCTCCAGCTTTTTACAGAGCTCCAAACAGGTGTAGATGTTGTAGATGTGCTGACGGCCAATTCTGAGAATCTCGCCGTCCGTGTCCTTGTTAACAAACAGCCCCAGCCCACCAAGTTGGCTGGGTCCGACGGAAACGCTGGAATCGGCACTGTTGACTGCGAACAGGGTCTCCATGAATAAATAGATATATTTATCACAGTCCGTGCATATAGAGAATGGTTTCTGGTGTAGGGGTGTGTTTGCCGGAGCAAGCAGATAGAAGGGCCAGAGCAGCACAAAAGCCTACGGTTCTTATAATGGGGCGGTTTCTCCGCCCTACACGGCAGGGGGGCCGTGTCAGCAGAGTCAGCAGACCAAAATCTCTTCTGTATAATTATCTGCACTATGTCTATGAGCTCACGAGAATATTAGAGGAGATGGAGTCCAGCTTGCTGGTGAACAGCCGCAGACTCACTGCGAGAAGCTCCTCGTACAGGTCGTGGTCCTGGCGTCTCAGCTTGTTGATGCTTGGCTCGTCGAGCTTCCAAACGACGCTCTCTGTGTTGGAGTAGTAGCGCACCACGCGGTCGCTCTGGGTCTTGACGAGGTCACCGAAAATGGTGAGCGGCAGCACCCAGCTGTTGAGACAGAACTTGAGGTTATTGAAGCAGATATCATAGCCGATCATGCCTGACTCGACAAAATAGAGACACGGCTGGTTGAGGTGCTTTTCGTAGACGACCTGGTTGGCTGCCAGCTCCTGGCGCGTCAAGTACGGAACCAGCCGACTCCAGAACTGGTCGTCGCGTCCCTCGCTAATTCCCTGCATGGCTGTGGAGACGAGAATCAGCGGGTTCTTGGAGTTGGCCGAGATGGAGAGCCGGCGTTTGTGCGGCTCGAGGTCCAGAGTTTTGCGCGCAGCACGCATCACGTGGGCGTACCGCGGCGACCCGGACATCATGGTGTCGACCAGCTGCGGCGTGGGGACGGTCAGTCTTCGCGGTTTTCTGCCCAGCTCGTTTTTCCGGCTCAGCTCCTTGTATGCTTCCAGAAAAATGTTCTCGCACCATTCAAGCGCCGTGTTCAGGTTGTTGAACAGCTGGATGCGCTCGTGGTGCTCGCTGGTCTCCCACAGGCCTGAGTCTTTGAGAGCCTCGACGATCGCAGACTTGTCGGTCACAGACGAGATGATCATGTACGAGTCTTTCTCGATGACGAGGTTGCGAATCCTCCGGAACCCCTCGACGGCAGAAAAGTCGATGCTCTGCACGTTGTTCATGTCGAGAATGAGGTACTTGATTGGCTCTCTGGCAAAAGTGCGCTTCTCGAACCGCGCACGCACTTTTTCCTCGAGCCCGCCAATCGAGCCGAAAAATAGAGAGCCCTGTAGTTTCATCACGTAGATCTGTTTGCCCACGTCCTTGAGGAACTCCTGCTGTTTCGGGTGGCGCACCACTATCGACCGCGCGTACTCGCCCGTGTAAATGCCAGAAACGACGGGCTTGCGCGCCGCCTCGACGACAAACGACAGACATGCCAACAGAACGCCCACCAGGATCCCGTACACGAAGTCCCAGGCGCCCATGGTGAGCACGATCATCACGATGGTGAAGTACTCGAATTTCCTGAGCTTGCCCTTTGTGTCGTAGAGCGCCTCCTTGAGCAGCTCGTAGCCAAGTAAGTAAATTAGTGCTCCAACAACGGCCACGGGAATGTACCCTATGATGACAGGCCCGGCCCACATCACGCAGGTGGTGGCCATGGCGAGCATCACGCCGCTGAGTCGCGAGTCTGCGCCTGCCCGGATGAAGAGCACAGAGTTGGTGTACACCAGGTAATTTTGGATGCTACCACAGAGCCCCGAGAGCGCGTTCGACAGCCCGTGCGCCATGAGCTCGCGGTCCACGTCGAACTCGTCCATCTCCACGGTGACCGCGAGCGCAGGCACGTTGATCGGCACGTGCAATATGCCAAAGAACGTGAGCGCCAGCATCGTCGGGACCTGGTGCAGCACGGCCCACCAGCTCACACGGTCAAATTTGTAGAAGCTGTAGAAAGAGTACCACGGGGTGTCGGTCTGCGGCGCAGAAAACACCCAGCCGTAGTCGCGGGCGTCCTGCAGGTCCCACGAGGGCACGAAGTACACGATCACGTGGAAGATGGCAAACACAACGATGAAATATAGCGGCACTATCAGCGCACTGGAGTTGTAGTGCTGGATGACCACCAGCACGGCGGCCAGAGCCAGCGGAACGAACCACTGGCAAAACGAGAGCGGCTGCAGCAGGTACCGCAGCGTGGGCAGGTTGTATTCAAGTCCGCCCTCCAGCCGCGACGAGACCTCAATCGCGGTGACCACCAAAAAATAGCCAACACCCCCTATGCAACCAACCAGGATGTGGCGCGGGAAAAAACCAACAAGACGGCCCAGACGGCACTTTCCAAGCACAAAGAACACCAGTCCCGTCACCATCGCCGAAATCGCGTACGTGACTATCGTGGTGGCCAGAACCGCGTCCTGCTCTTCACCTAGGCTCGCCATGATGCTGATCCCCATCTGGTGGAAAAACGGCGTCACCTCGATCATTTCTGAACCGATCCCAGACTTGAACGCAGAGCCTCCCAAAGAATACACCAGCTGCGAAATGATGGTCGAGACATAGAACATGGACAGTCCGTGCGCGCCCATCTGACTGAACATGCTCTCTCCAATCGGAAATAGAATCATGCCGTAGCTCAAACCGTCCAGAATGTTGAGCAAGGTGCCCAGAAAAACCGCCGGAAGATACTTCACAGGCTTCACCACACACTCCCGCACCAGCGTGCGCGAATCGGCCGTCCGCAGCGTCTGCAACGCCTGCCAGACGCCTGTGCTAGCAGCACGTCCATCTCCAGTATGGTCGTACTTATTGTACGCAGCAGGATCGAAAGAGGTGTCTGCCATCTGTCGCTGCGCCTCCTCATCGCCGCCAAATGCCGCGTACTCGTCTGTGTACGTGGAGGCAGCCTGAAAATCGTTCTTGACGTGATCTTCAGCCAGCAACGGGGTATAATCGTCGGCATAGCGCTCGGGAGGAGTGTTTGGGTCGTCGACGTAGTACGAGAAGTCCTCTGTGTCATCGACTCCAACATCTGCTAGCCCAACAGACGTCTCGTTGATCGAGCTGGACGAATGCACAGCAGCATTCACAGAGTTCAAAGGAGAGTTCAGATCAGGCCGGAAGCTCGAGTACACAAAGCTGCGGCCAAGATGGGTCTCGGTAGTCACAGACTGCCGCGTGCCATAGCCGGGCGACTGGGCGGCCCTGGGGCTCGCGATCGCCTTGGGCAACGAGCTATTGTATGCAGACATGCAAGCGAAATTTGACAAGATTTACAGGAAAAATAGGGGCCTCAATAATTTTTTTTTGGGGTGGTTACGTAAGCGATATGAGGACGAAGAAGTCAAGCCACACCTCTAGAGCTCGTCTTTGGCGACTTTGATTTCGCCTGCGTCCGAGATGACGATCGGCCGGACAGGACGGTTCTGGAAGCCTGTCTTGGTGGACTCGATGAGCTTGACCGTGTCCATTCCGTCGAGCACCTTACCGAAAACCACGTGCTTTCCGTCGAGCCATGGCGTTTTCACGGTGGTGATGAAAAATTGCGAGCCGTTGGTGTCTTTCCCCGCGTTCGCCATCGACAGATAGCCTGGGCCCTCGTGCTTCAGCTCGAAATTCTCGTCCTCGAACTTAGCCCCGTAGATCGACTTGCCTCCGGTTCCGTCGCCCCTAGTGAAGTCGCCTCCTTGAATCATGAAGTTAGGAATGACTCTGTGGAACCTGGATCCCTTGTATCCCAGCTTAGGGTCGTCGGAAATTGCCAATTGGTAGAAGTTCTCGACTGTCTTTGGCACCACCTCGCCAAAAAGACCAAGGACAATGCGGCCGAGGTGGTGGGCGTCTTCTCCCTCGCCCTCTGTGATGTCAAAGTAGACGGTATGTGTGATTTTTGGAGACTGTTGGGCCATGGCTGTGCACAAAATGAAGAACAGAAATGCCAGCGGAAACTTCATAGCTTCACGGGTTTAAAAATAATACTTGACAAATTACTCTAGGTAATTTTTTTGCTTTATATATTGAGTACTTCGACCGAGTAGATTGGGATTCTGCGGCCGTGGTCTTTTTTCCCCACGCCGCTGCCCAGCGGCAACAGCGAGTCCAGGCCCGTCGTCTCCTCGACGATCGACGTGTTGTTGATCTCGACGTCCTTCCGTTTCTTATGCTTTTTCTTGGTGCTCTGCTCGGCTATCGAGAGCGACTGTGTCACAAGAGTGAGTAGCTGTGTGTCTGTGACCAAAGCGTCCACTTTCTTCTGTGTCTTGGCAATCAACTTCGACAGCTGCGTCTGGTTCTTTGAATAGTGCAGACTCAACACCAGTCCGTCCGAGTCGATGAAGCTGTTGAGAATCTGGTAGCCATAGTTCAGTTTCAGGATCCGCGCAATGATCGCATCCAGGTCCACGGCAGCGCCGTTCTTGAGCATCTTGGCGGTCTCCTGTGTGATCGTGTCGCTGGAGAACTCCTCCAACAACCGGGAAATGATGTCTTTAAACACTTCCTCGTCGGCCACGAGACTCAGCAGCTCGATCAGATCGCAGCAGGGGATGTTCGGACACGTCACTATGGCCTGCCGCATAAGTCTTGGAGACTCCATCAGTGTCCTGAGCAGGCCAGGAGTGTACTCGGCCGGAAATAGCGGGTGCGTGAGAAGATACGTGAGCGAGTTTTCAGCAACATAGGCCGGCAACTTCAGGGCGCCGTTCTTCACCTCGAAAAACAACAAAAGCGCCTGGCGCACAAACTCCGGGTCCACCACTCTGTCTTTGTCGGCCTCGTACACCATAAACGGCTGCTGCTGGGCTTTAGACTCTGCAACGTCGGCCTTGTCGATATTTTTCAAGTAGCCAACCAACTGGGTCTCCAGCTCGTCGAACCGGCCGTCTTCCTTGAGCTGCTCCAGGTTTTCAAAAACGTGCTTTGCAGCGCTGCTCAGCTGGCTGGCTCTGGTCTGCAACGAGCTGCTTTCCTTTGTGCTGGACTTGAACTCGCTTTTATTCACCAAAGCCGGATATCCAGCAAATTTGGCGTGCGATGAGCTCTTGATTCCTTTGCCGAGAACGTTGGACAGCTTCCCAAGCCCAACATCAACAGAGATGTACTGGAGAGAGGTGAAGTTGTCTTTAGGGCTCTTCAAAAGCACCAGAGCAAAAGTTTCTCTGCTCTTCAAGCTATTGCCTTTTACCGCCACACAAGTCTGGAGGGTGGCTGTTCTCGGAGATTTGCTGTTGTTTTCTTTGGACTTGGCATACAGATCGATGGAGCCTAGGAAAGCCTGAAACTGGATGTCCACCAGAGCAATAGTGCTGCCCTTGGAAACAAGAACTCTGTTGGTGGAAGCAGCGCAAATGGAGATGGGCTGCTCGGGAAACTCCTTGTCAAAAATGGTGATGAGCTCGATCTGCTTCAGCTTTTTCGTGAACGGGATCGAGTACACATGGAGCGTCATTTTTTCGTCATTTTCCAATATCAACAACTTGCCTGACGGATCGTAGCAGAGCTGGGCGCTGTCTGAGGTCTGCAGTTCGATCATTGAGTCAGAAATCTCCAGTACACGTGAGTTTTCTATAGCATACACCCGCACACTCAGTCCCCCTGTATGTTGCTCCACCGTCAACAGCAAGCTTTCAACGTTCTCGGATTTGTCGATCTGAAGCTCCTCGGGAGAAATAAAGCAGTGATAGATGATGTTTCTTTTCTTGTTGGAATCCAGCTCGAAAACCACTTCCTCCTCAATCCCATCCTCGAGCTTGATCGCCCAAATGCAGACAGAGCCGTTCTTACTAAGTGTGTATGCGTTCCTCCCGTTGCTGGAGAGCTTGATGCCTATTAAATCCTCCTTCAACACCACGTCCTTGGTGCGCACTTCTTTCAACCCTTCTGGCTCAACTGTGTTTCTTTCCTCCTCGTTGTACAAAGACAAGCTTTCCGATGTGTTTTTATCGTCCTCGGACTCGTTCTTGGGACGTCCATAGGTAATTATTCTCATATGGCTCTTCTTTCTCTCGTTTATTCCCGCCAGAAAAAGTCTTGACTCCTCTCTATCTGCGGCCTCCTCAAACATGAACGAGTCTAGACACTCCACGCGCGCTTGTGGAGACAGCGAATACGACCAGATCAGCTTGGGAGTAGGTTTGGTGATGTAGGAACCAATGTACGAGCCACTAACTCCAAAATCAAATTGCGTTGATAGCGGAGATTCTATGTTGGATATCACGCATGGAGAGACTGCACTTGTTTTCGACGGCAGCCGGGGGAGCTGCGTCACCATGAACGGGTCCCATAATGCGGCAGACATGATTGAAATATTTTTTGGTAAATTTTTTTTATTTCATTCCGCACCTGTGCACTGCGACTTATAAATTGTTGTGGCTCTTATCTAATAGCACTAACAAGCAACGAGCTGACCATCAACGAGCAGACAATAAACCATGTACGCTGTTTTGGCTTTCATCAAACAAGTGGCTTAAAAATACTAGAAAGGAAAGCTAAACTGGACTGTGATTTGGGCTCTCACTGTTAGGGCAGACAGTATGTCGAAATTAAAATAAATATCTATTAAATGTACCAAACACATAAACGATAGGATTACCTTACGACGCAGTTACCAATGATCATATGAACAGTAAATCCGTTACTAATATACACCCTAAATAGAAAACTTGATGGACAAGTTACATTTCCCGATCGCAAAATAAACGTTAAACTTAAGCAGAGGTAGCAGAAGTGTACTTGGTGACAGCTCTAGTACCTTCAGAGACAGCGTGCTTAGCCAATTCACCAGGCAAGATCAGTCTCACAGCAGTCTGGATCTCTCTAGCAGAAATGGTGGACTTCTTGTTGTAAGCAGCAAGCTTGGAAGCTTCAGATGCGATTCTCTCGAAAATGTCGTTCACAAAAGAGTTCATGATAGACATGGCCTTCTGGGAGATACCAGTGTCTGGATGCGTTTGCTTGAGCACCTTGTAAATGTACGAAGAGTAGGTCTCCTTTCTGGCCTTTGTTCTCTTCTTAGCATCGGAGGATGCGGCCGTCTTCTTTCCGGCTGGCTTCTTCTCAGCTGGTGCCTTAGAGGCTGGTTTCTTTTCTGCTTTTGGTGCCATTCTGTGTTACGATATTAATTAAAATCAATTAAGAGGTTTGTTATCACGGGCAAACGAGCGAGTTTATATAGTTTTCCAGACACGCTTGTTTAGATAGTTGTGGTCGTGGGCCACCCATGTTTTTTTTTTCGCAACATGCTCTTACAAAAAGACAATTTTGAATTTTTACCTCACCAATGTCTAGAAATTATAAAATTTCGCGACATCTACGGCGTGCCAGGATTTTTTCATTGATGTGTAAAATCAAGTCTGACAGCGTATTTACGTGTGGAATTACGTTTCCACCAATCAGACAACGCCGTAAGTTTGCCACCTGGTGCGCAGGCAATAAGTATATAAAGTAGGCCTATTTCGTCTTTTGTGAACCATCAACAACAAAGTATAATTAATAATGTCTGGTGGAAAAGGTGGAAAAGCAGGTTCTTCTGAAAAGGCTTCGACTTCGAGATCGTCTAAGGCTGGTCTGACTTTCCCAGTCGGAAGAATCCACAGATTGCTCAGAAACGGAAACTACGCTCAGAGAGTTGGTTCTGGTGCTCCAGTCTACTTGACTGCTGTGTTAGAGTACTTGGCTGCCGAAATTTTGGAGCTGGCCGGTAACGCTGCAAGAGACAACAAAAAGACCAGAATTATTCCAAGACACTTGCAATTGGCCATCAGAAACGACGAGGAGCTGAACAAGCTGCTTGGTCATGTGACTATTGCACAAGGTGGTGTTTTGCCAAACATCAACACCGAGCTCTTGCCTAAGAAGGTCGGTAAGAAGGAGTCCCAGGAATTGTAAGCATAGGATGTTCCGAGTATATCGATTTAGCTGTAATGTTTTTAGGGTCCGGGTATAAGATAATGTATATTAGATGATTAAAAAAGCCCAGAAGGTGTTTTCTGATAAGATAACTTTTGTTAATCTAGGCGGGTAACTGTTATATTTTTTAGCGAAAAAAGGGGCACGACAAATCAAACCATAATGGGATTTTGTTGTGGGTGTCTCCCATTAACCGCTTCAAAAGGGTTGTATAAAAAGGGAACGCGTCCCTCAAAAAAAATCTCTTGTTACATTTACAAGCAGTCCCGCCGCTAATAAATCCATCGCAATGCCAGTCAGAAGAGTGCTCAAGTTCGTTAGAGAACAATACGAGTCTATCTCCAGGAGATTCAACAACAACGCCGAGAAGAAGGAGGAAGCTCCCGCCGAGGAAACGCTTCCTGCTGAAGAGGCTCCAGCCGAGGAGACCGCTCCAGCAGAGGAGGCTCCAGCAGAGGAGCCTGAACAAGCCGCCGCCAAATAAGCTTTTGGCGCTCTCGTAATGAAGGTGTCCCAACTCTAGTTGCATTCAACTAGCGGGAAAGTTCTTCTCTCATATGTTGCTACTGAGCTATTCGTTTTCCAGTTAGGCAGATTATATTTCTTCAGTGTAATCCTTTTTCTAATATACTTCATTCGCCTTCGCGTTGCCATAACCTCACCTGTCCGTCCATGCATACCGTCAACAGCTCTTCCCCGTTGCAAACAGGCTCCACCTCCATCACGGGACTGCCGCTACCGGTGTCCAGCTGGCACACGATCTCCTTGCTCTGGACGTCCCACAGCAGCACCTTGCCCTTTTCGTCGCCTGAGCACACTAGCGGGCTCGCAAAACAGGTGAGAAAACATGTCCCCAGACTGTACTTTTCCGCCACAGCGCCGCCGTCAACATTCTGAAACGTCTTGACCACCTTGTTGTTCATGTAGTCCCACAACCGCACAAACCCGTCCAGCGAGCTCGACAGTATGTATTTGGAGTTGGGAGAGAACGTCACGTGGCTCACAGGATACGATGAGCCACTCTTATCGTAGATGAGCGTCTTGAGACACTGCCCGGTTTCGAGATCAAACAGTCTGATGAGCCCGTCGTACGACCCGCTCACAATGACGGTCCCGTCAAAGGAAAAGTCCAAGCTCGAAATTGGGTCAGAGTGCGCGCTCAAAACTTTCATGCACTTTGCTCTCCTGAGGTCCCAAACACGGATATTTTCGTCAGCAGAGCCACTTACCAAAATAGAGCCCCTATAGTGAAATTTCAGCACGGTGACATGAAACGTGTGGCCTCTAAGTATTTGGACGAGCTCGCCCCTTTCCACGTCCCATATTCGTATCGTGAGGTCGTCCGACGCCGACGCGATGTACTTGGAGTTTGGCGCAAACTCAATGCTGGAAATGCCCTTTGTATGGCCCGCGAGCGTCTTCCAGTACGTCACTCCCGTCTCTGACAGTTTCCACAGCTTGATGGTCCTGTCAGTGGATGTGGTGGCAAGAAGACCGCCGCCCGGACTTATTTTGGCCGACGTGACCAGCGCGTCGTGGGCCTTGTCCAGAGTCCATTTTGTTTTGTACATATAAAGTTGCAGATTAAAAAATTAGCTATGGAAAAAAGTTGTAAGGTAAATTACCTAAGCAGAGGATTAGCGGAACTGTTTGGCGGTCTCGTTTATCACATTGTCGTAGCTTGGCGGCGCCTCTTCAGGGGTCTCGTCGTCTGTGGACCCGTACAGCACGTGCTGTCCCAGCTGGGACGGCTGGTTTGTCTCTGATGAGCGCTCAGACGCTACCCTGTTCAGAGAGAGCGGGCTCGAGCGCGGGCTGAGCTGGTTCTGCTCCACCAGACTAGGGTTGTGGAAATGGAATGTGCGGAACGGCTCAGGGTGCTGGAACTGGATTTTCGTTCGATCTGGCTGACGGGACACCACCATACCTGGCGGAGAGGACGGTATGTTTATTACGATCTGCTGGCGCTCTAAGTCGTCGTAATCAAGCATGTCCGGGTGTTTGAGGATGACGTACCACGAGTGGATGAGTCCGGGGACGTATCCCAACAAGCAGAGCGCGATATTGATAAGCATGTCAGCCGAGCATAGGCCTTTTTTGACGCACACCGGAAGCGGCGGGAAGATGACGGCGACAAACACCAGGATGCAGTCGCAACAGCAACAGTCGCAGTAGCAAAAACACATTTTCACTGTAGCTTGGAAAAAGATTAGCGCATGCTTTATATAGTGGTCAGCCAGTGCGTGATAATTTATTTCAACGGTGCGCCGGTGGTGCAGGGATGTTTGAGGAAGAGAAAAAGAAAGTTGGATTTGGGACTCTTGAAATTGTGGGCGGGTCCGGCAAGGAGGAAAAAATGCAGGTACCAAGATTTCACCTCAACAGCAGGTGGAGCTACTAAAAAAAGCCACAGACGAGCATTTATTGTCAGTGACCATTTTTGGAATAGCCGAGGCGCTCATGTGAGAGAAAGCGCGGGAGCAATCGAAATGCCGGAGAGGGCAAGCCAGGGCACAAGCAAGGTCGCGCGGGCTCTCCCATACCGGGCACTGGTATGGTTGTTGCCAAGCACCGGCTATAGCCAATTGTGTGTTTTGGCCTGGCTTACATATTGACTAATTAGGAAGTGCAGGCGAGTAGGCAAAATTTCAACGGGGCACGAAATATGCACCGCCATCACCGTGCCTGCATTAATGATGCGTAATCCCCTTTATGCTCTGGTTGGAATTTGAGACCTATTGTTGCCACGGGCAGCTCCTTCATGCTATAATTCTGAGCCTCGCTGAAAATCAAGGACTTGAAATTAAACTTGTCAAAATTGAATTCATCACTTTTTCCGAAAATATGAGCATTGTGGATACTCGAGGACCTTTCTATCTGTACAAGTTTGGAGACAAGGCCGAGAAGCGAATGGACGAGTTCAAGGTGTTTCCCACCCCTGACCCCTTTCTGACAAGATCCTCAGATCCTTACTATACCTCATACTACACATACACCGCGAGCGCCAACTCAGCACTGCTGTCTCCGTCGTCCCAGTCGAACGAGTCCGAAACCGAATCCACCGCCTCCGCAGAATCGCGCGAGGCCTCCACCTCGCGCGCCTCCCACCACTCGTACGACTCCGGCTCGGACCGTCACAAGTTCAAGTGCACGTACCCGGGCTGCAAATACAAGGGCACGTTCCTGTCGAAGGACTACCTCCGCAGACACATTAGAGAGCAACACAGAAAAACTAAACTGCATGCCTGTGAGGGCAGGAACAAAGACGACACCGTTTGGGGGTGCTCCAAGAAATTCAGCAGACCGTACCAATTGATCAACCACTGGCGGGGCCAACGGTCGCTCAAGAAGTGCGGTGTGCCAGCAGAAGAGCTCATGCGCTATGGGATCATCTAACTGTGTGTAAGATCATGATTTATGTTCGATGCTTAGTTTCTGTAGCGACACACCGTGTCTCCGCAATAGTCTACACCTCGCCGAAAACGGCCTTCGTCACAATAGAGAATCGTGCACCCTAACACCCGCATAACAATGCCCGCTCTTGGTCGCCTGCATGCCACTGAATCTAGGATCTGCTTCGTGCCCGTTTACGGAAGCACATGCGGTGCACGGGTGCGCCAAAACTCCCAAGCGCAGCTCGTCGTCCACCACGAGCCGAATCTGACGAGTCACAAAGACCGTCCAACCAGCCATCCGTCGTCCTCGTCCTCCTCGCCATATATAACATGCGTAGATACCGCCTTTCCTCCCAACCATGAGCTCCCATTTGACTCCCCCAAGCTCCCCAGCTTTGCGCTTCCCCAAACTCGGCCGCGCCTCTCCCGACCGGGCGCAGTACAGCTTCGTCACCAACCGCTCCCACTTTCTTGCTCTGCGCCGCCAGGTGTCCACGGACGCACTTTCGTCCGCGCGGTCCGCGAGCTACTACGATTTCCTGCAGTCGGTCACGCCGGCCAGCAACACCGGCCAGCTCGACTGGATCAACGCTCGCGCGACAGAGCTCAAGACGCTGAAAACTCGCCGCTCTTTTGCCCGCTGGCTCGACAAACAGTACCAGACGCTGCACGGGGACGACCTGCTCGCCTTCTCGGACGTGCTGAGCGACGAGGACACGCCGGAACCGCCGCCGTGCACCGCTCCGCCCGCGGCCCCCAGCGCAACACCAAAACCGGGCACGGGGGTCGGCTACGTAATCACTGACGTAATCACGCTGATGGCGGCGCAGACGGCCGTGGTGGCCTTTGTTGTCGGGCTGTGGTGGTGTGTGTTTGCGGACAGCACGGACGCCGCGTACGTGCGGTCGATTTTGGCCGTTGTGAAGGCCATGCTGGCAGACAAGAAAGAGACTAAATAGGTGCACCCAAAAAAATATATATTTTTCACTGGTTATTTTTGCCACATGTCCCTCAAGTCCTTCATCAAGTCCGTGCGCAACAGCAAGACGATTGCTGCCGAGCGCGCGGCCATCCGCAAGGAGAGTGCCAAGATCCGGACCGCTTTCAGGGACGTCCACCTTGACAACGCGTCGCGGCGGACGAACATATCGAAGCTTCTTTATTTGTATATTTTGGGCGAGCCTACGTATTTTGGCCAGGTCGAGTGTCTGAAGCTGCTGGCGTCGCCCAAATTCATTGACAAGCGGCTTGGGTATCTTGCAACGATGCTTCTTCTGGACGAAAACCAAGAGGTTTTGACGCTGTTGACCAATTCGCTCGACAATGACATGAAGAGCTCAAACCAGTACATTGCCGGGCTTGCGCTCGTGACTTTGGGCAACGTTGCGTCTCCGGAGCTTGCCCGCGACCTGTATGCGAACGTGGACGCGTTGCTTGGCTCACCGCACGGGTATTTGCGGAAGAAGGCTGCGATTGTCGCTGCCAAGCTCGTGAACAAGGACCCGGATCTCAGCGAGATTTTTCTGCCAAGAGTGGCTCCCCTGCTGAACGAGAAGAACCATGGCGTGGTTCTGGGTGCTCTGACGCTGATGCGAGCCATCTTCAACAACGACGAGAGCTCGAGAGAGACACTCAAGATACAGATTCCGCGACTACTGGCGCATCTGCGTATTCTGATAGCGACGGGCCACTCGCCCGAGTACGACGTGAGAGGAGTGCCGGACCCGTTTCTGTTTGTGTCGCTGCTGAGCACTTTGCGTCTGTTCTTAGCCAACGACGAGAACAACGCCAATCTTGAGCCTTTAAACGATTTGCTGACGCAGGTGTGTTCTAGGATTGACAGCGCAAAAGGGTCTGGCTATTCTGTGCTTTATGAGACCGTGCAGACGATTTTTACGATCAACTCGGACTCGTCGCTCAAAGTCCTGGGCATCAATATTCTTAGCAAGTTCCTGACCCAGAAGGACAATAACACGCGCTACGTGGCGCTCAACACGCTGCTGAACGTGATCAACTACGAGCCGCTTGCCGTGCAGCGCCACCGTACGACGATTGTGGGGTGTCTGCAGGACGGCGACGTGTCGATCCGCCGCCGCGCGCTGGAGCTCACGTTTGCCATCATGAACCAGCAGAACGTGCGGGTGCTCACGAAGGAGCTGCTGGCCTTTTTGCAAAACTCGGACGACGAGCTCAAGGAGTATATCACAACACAAATTTGCATTGCCTGTAACAAGTACAGGCCGGACGTCAGATGGCACTTTGAGACGCTCATCAGTTTGCTCAAGCTCGCAGGCAACCACTTCTCCAGAGAGATTGTATCTAACGTTCTGGCCTTGGTCATGCAGAACACAGATCGCGAGCTGACCAAGTTCCTTGTCGAGGAACTCATAGCCTCGAGTCAAGCCCATTACAACCAGTTTGCGCTGGCACTGGTCACCACGTGGTGCATCGGCGAGTACGCCGACCTCGTCCTTGGCGAGAAAGTGTCCGCCGACTCGCTTGTCAATTTGATAGAAACATTCCTCAACATATCCACTTTTGAGCAGGCAGACGCCATCCAGATGAAGACCTACGCGTTGACGGCCATTTTGAAGCTCTCGGCCAGAGTCAGCTCGCCGCAGTGCATCGAGCGACTCCGAAAATTGCTGGTGTCGTTCCAATCCGACTACAATTTAGAGATCCAAACTAGGGCTATAGAGTACGCCGAGATATTCGGCCAGCCAGCCTCCATTAGGAAAGCATTGCTGGAGAGAATGCCTGCGCCACCAGTCAAGCTGCACGAGGGTATCCCGCTCGTCAACAGAAGCACTACAAAACCTGCCAAGTCGGCCTCGTCGCAGCCTGCCACCACCGGTGACCTGCTGCTGGACCTTCTGGGGGACGACGAGACACATAAAGAGCACGACGCCGCGCCGGCGCCGGCCAAGCCCCAGGAGTCGACGTTGGACCTGCTGTCGGACATCTTTGGCAGCTCCGCCTCACAGAAACAGCCGCAGCAGCCACCGCAGGAGACGGTCATTCCGGCGTTCGCGGACGAGCACCTGTCGTTTGAGATCGTCGTGAAGGAGATCGGCAGCGGCAGAGCGAACCTCGAAGGACGCGTGCACAATCTCGGCAGCTCGGTGGTGTCCGACATCTCTGTGCTTTGCGCGGTGACCAAGCAGCAGAAGTTGCAACTCTCGCCCATTGGCAGCAACACCCTTGCACCAGGAGCTACGTCGTCGCTCGGAATCCGTGTGACAGGGCCGGTGGGCGCGAAGGTGAAGGTGCGGGTGAAGCTGGAGTACAGCGCTGGCTCGAAGGTGAGCCGGCAATTCGACTCTGCCCTGCCAATGACTATGTAGAATTAATAAAGAATTAGGAAGGTAAAGCAAATTTGCAAGGAAAATAATAATTACACGGTTTTCTTAATATTTCTTTATCACAGATTTATCATGGATTTCAACAAGGTGCAAGCCCAAGTGCAAAACGCATTTTCTACGATTGACTCTGTAAGTAAGCGAAACCGTTCTAGCTAACAACCAGCAAACCCAACACTCCCAGCTGTTGACCCGCTTCGAACAGCAATTCAAGCTGCCTCGCTCCTACATCGTCCTGGGTGGCGTTGGGTTCTACTTGCTGCTGGTGTTCCTGAACTTTGGCGGAATCGGCCAATTGCTTTCCAACTTTGCCGGCTTCGCGTATCCGGGCTACTTGTCTCTCAAAGCACTCAAGACCTCCAGCTCCAAGGATGACACCAGACTGCTGACGTACTGGGTTGTGTTTGCTGCCTTGAACGTTGTGGAGTTCTGGTCCAAGGCCATTCTGTACTGGGTGCCATCTTACTTTCTGATCAAGACCTTCTTCCTGCTGTACCTGTCGCTTCCTCAGTATAACGGTGCAGAGGTTATTTATCACAGGGTGATCGCTCCTTTGACCGACCGCTATGTCGACGCGGGTGCTCCTGCGAACGACCTCTTGAACAAGGTCCAGGAGAAGACCCAGTAAGGCCGCACAGGGTAAGCAAGAGCAAAGACAGTGTTCTCGAGGTGTGTTCGGGATGCCTGCCCGAAGGGGCTGGGCCGGCCCGGTTTTCTAAGAGAGTTCTTTATTTAGTTGTTAAATGTCTCATTCTCCGGTCTCCCCCCACCTAAGGTAGCCAGCTCATATTTGCCGATACGTCAAGATTGTGCGCACTTGTTTGCTTCCCCGTATTTTTCGCGTGAGAAGGGCCCAAAAGCGGCGTACGACACTATTCCCCGGAGTGCCGTAGAAAATCGGGTTACCCCAGACTCCGCTATCCCGGACTTTTTTAAATCTCTCAGCGCAGGACAAACGGAGCCACTCCGGGCACGCCTGTATATAAGCTGGGCTGTCCCCCACAGATAGACAATAACAATGGCACCTACAGCAGTTGACCTCCACAGAGAGTACGAAACCTCCCTTGCCCAAGAAAACGGCACCCCGTTCAATAAAAAGATCAGAAAGGCCTCCGTCGTGAGTTCCCTGGGACTCAACCCGGACGCAGCCATTCACTACAATTCGTCTGTTCCCATCTTGTACGAGGATGCATTGCAAGAAAAGGGCACCACCATCTCCTCGACCGGCGCACTGATCGCCTACTCGGGCTCGAAAACTGGCCGCTCGCCAAAGGACAAGCGAATTGTCGACGAAGACTCTTCCACCGAGCACATCTGGTGGGGTCCTGTCAACAAGAAGGTTGACGAGCAGACCTGGAAAATCTCCAAGAGCAGAGCCATCGACTACCTCAGAACCAGAGACAAGGTGTACATCATCGACGCCTTTGCTGGCTGGGACCCTCGCTACAGAATCAAGGTGAGAGTCGTTTGTGCGCGGGCGTACCACGCGCTGTTCATGAAAAACATGCTGATCAGACCGACCGACGAGGAACTGCGCGACTTTGGCGAGCCAGACTTCACGATCTGGAACGCGGGCCAGTTCCCTGCGAACGTGTTCACCAAGGGCATGACGTCTGCCACCAGTGTCGAGATCAACTTCAAGGAGATGGAGATGGTCATTTTGGGAACCGAGTACGCGGGCGAGATGAAGAAGGGCATCTTCACCGTGATGTTCTACCTCATGCCCGTGAAGCACCAGGTGCTGACGCTGCATTCGTCGGCCAACCAGGGCGTGCAGAACGGCGACGTGACGCTCTTCTTTGGTCTGTCGGGAACAGGAAAAACCACGCTCAGCGCAGACCCTAACCGGAAGCTGATCGGCGACGACGAGCACTGCTGGTCCGATCACGGCGTGTTCAACATCGAGGGCGGCTGCTACGCCAAGTGTCTGGACCTGTCTGCCGAGAAAGAGCCAGAAATCTTCAACGCGATCCGGTTCGGCTCAGTGCTCGAAAACGTGGTGTACGACCCGGTCACCAGACTGGTGGACTACTCGAACTCGATGATCACCGAAAACACGAGATGCGCGTACCCGATCGACTTCATTCCGTCCGCCAAAATCCCATGCCTGGCGGACCGCCACCCTAAGAACATTGTGCTGCTCACGTGCGACGCCAGAGGCGTGCTGCCGCCCGTCTCGAAGCTCACGAACGCCCAGGTCATGTACCACTTCATCTCCGGCTACACGTCCAAGATGGCCGGCACAGAGATGGGCGTGACGGAGCCGGAGGCCACGTTCTCTGCGTGCTTCGGCCAGCCGTTCCTCGTGCTCCATCCTATGAAGTACGCCCAGCAGCTGTCCGACAAGATGAGCGAGCACAACTCGACCGCCTGGCTCCTGAACACGGGCTGGACCGGCAAGTCGGCCTCCAAGGGCGGCAAGCGGTGTCCGCTCAAGTACACCAGGGCCATTCTCGACGCGATCCACTCGGGCGAGCTCTCGAAGGTGGAGTACGAGACATATCCAACCTTTGGCCTGCAGGTGCCAAAAAGCTGTCCCGGCGTGCCATCGTCGCTGCTCAACCCGGCCAAGAACTGGGCCGACGGCCTGCAGGACTTCAACACAGAGGTCACCAACCTGGCACAGCTGTTCATGGAGAACTTCGAAAAGTACAGCTCCCAGTGCACCAGCGAGGTGAGAGCTGCAGGACCTGCTTTGTAACTCACATACTATTCATTATTCTATTGCATTTTTATTCTCGTTTCTAGCTATAGTAGCGTGTCGTTGACGACTCTCTTCTTCACGGGCAGGTACCGCGCGTCCACAGACGGTTTGCCGAGCTGCGCCGCGTGGAACTCGTTGAGGAACCTGCTTAGCGGCCGCGCGTACCACCGCTCGTTGTTCCAGCGGAACCAGCCCAGATGTCCGCCCAACGTCGTGCACACCGTCACCAGGTATGGCTGCAGCGTGGTCTCCTTGAGCGGCAGCGCCTGCTCGTCGCCGCCGACGATCGGATCGTCCAGCGCGTTCAGCACCAGTGTCGGTGTACGGATGTTGAACACCTTGGTGATGGAGGCCGCGCTGCGGTAGTACTCGGACGCGCAGTTGAAGCCGAACAGCCGGGACGTGAACGCGTTGTCGAACGACTTGATGCCGTTCACGTGGCGGAAGTGCTGCTTGTACAGTGGCTCGAAATCTGGGTTTTCGCTCAGTTTCTTGTAGTGGCTCTTGATCATCTGTTTCAGAGGCACCGTCATGATGGGCGAGTAGATCTTGTCGGTAATAAAGTCCTTTTCGAACACGAAGCTCGCGTGGTTGAGGTCCCACGGGTTGGCGATCACCACGGCGAGATCGAGCCCGGAGTCTTCGCCCGACTGGCCGACGTAGTTGGCCAGGATGCTGCCGCCGAGCGAGAAGCCGGCCGCGTAGATCGGCCGTTTAGGGAACGCCTTGCGCAGCCGCAGCACCGTGTGTTTGAGGTCGTACGTCCAGAAACCGTTGAACAGCACCGGCGTGGTGAGAGGTGTCATGCCGCAGCCACGGCTGTTCAGCACCATGCACTCGAAGTCGGGCATTCTCGCGAAAAGACACCGGATGTATGACTCGGACGACGAGCCCGACAGGCCGTGAAGCACGAGGAAAATCGGCTTGGTCGAGCTGGAGAACGCTTCCAGCTCGGCAGCAGTGAGCCGTCTGGTGAAGTCGGGCAATTGGCCGTCTGCAGCCGGCTCCTTGTCAAACTGGGCCTTCGAAATGACCCGGTCCAGCGACACCTGCGCGCCGTCAGGCAGACACAGCGTTTCTCTGCCGAAATAGAGCCGGTCCACGAATCTGAAGCTGCGGAGGCCAGCAAACATGGTCTGCAGATGGCCGTGGCACAGCAGCGGGTTCATCACCGCCCAGGCGCCCGTGCGAAACTCGGGCACGCGGCGAACCAGCTCGGCGAACGTGACGGCGCCGCGTGCACTCGGAAACGAGATTGATTGCTGCGGCTCTGTCGTCCGGACCACGTTGATGAACGAGAATCGGGACACAAAGCGCAGCACGGAAAACAGCAGGTAGCCGTAAATGAGCACACACGCCCATCCGGGCAGCCGCAGAAGGGCCACGAGCACGGAATGGTGCAAATCTCTCAGGCTCTCGTGAACGAGCTCGCGCATTTGATTTGGAAAACTATTCTGCCCGGGTAACCCTTTCTGGAGGAGAGATTTCGTGGATGTGGACCGAGGAGTGGTCGAGGCCGTCGACCTGGGAGATCTGCAGCGGCGTGATGAAGATGGTCTGCGTCTTGGGGTTGTCGGCGACTTTCTGCAGAATCAGCTTGAGCGCGAGTCTGCGGTTGACCTGGTCCATGAAAACGTCAAACTCGTCCAGGCCGCGCACTTTGGACTGCATCGGCTTCCAGATCGCGAGCAAAAACGCAATCTGCGCAAACGACTTCTCGCCGCCCGAAAACGACTCCACGTTCCGCAGCTTCTCGGACGGTTTAGTCGACACCTTGAGCACGAGCCGCGCCTTGGCAAAGTCGAAGTCGATTTTTCCCGTGAAGCCGCGCAGCCGCAGGGCAGACTCAAAAACGCTGTTCACCTCCTGGATCAACAGGCTCGCCGTCGCGGTGAGGTTGTCGAGCCGCGCCTGCAGCGACGACGCCAGGTGGTTGTGCAGCTTCACCGAGTCCTGGTACTTGTTTTTCACGTCGCTGTACACGTCGTGCGCCCGGATCACGTTCAGCTTGGCCTGGTCTCTGCTCACCCCGACGTCGCGCTCGATCTTCGACAGCGTGTTGGCGATCGCCTCGATCTGCGAGTCCACCTTCTCGATCGTGTCCTCCGGGGCCAACGCGGCGTCGTCACGTGAGCAGTGCGATTCAGCGCGGCGGGCCAAAGTCTCAATCACAGGCGGTAGCTGCGCGTGCACAAAGTCGTCCAGCTTGCTCACGTCTGCGCGGAACTTGCCGATCTTCATCTGGTGGCTGCGCACCGCGTCGCGCGCCTCGCCGATCTTGTCCCGGAGCTCCTCGACCTGCGCGGTCAGCTCGGCCTTCTCGCGCTGGATGCGCTTGATCTCGCTGCCGCACGCCGTGAACTTGTCGCGCTCGCGCCGGTACTCCTGCACCAACGCCTCGATCTCGGCCTTGCGCGTCTTGATCCGCTCCACGTTCAGCTGGATCTGCGCGCTCAGGTTCTTGTGGTCCTCCTGGTGCGACTCCAGCTTGCCCGTGCCCCGCTGCAGATCCTCCAGCTTGTTCTCGATTTTCGCCAGCGACTTGGTCAGCACCATCGCGCGCTGCTTGAGCTCCTGGATCTCGCTCTTTGCCGCGCCCGCCTCGCCGTCCAGCTTCTTCTCGCTCTCGCGCCACCGCGCCTCTGCCTCGCGCAGCCGCTCGCTCGTCTCCTTCAGCTGCCGGTCCAGCTGCGAGGTAGGGTTCTCTGCGTCCCCCGTGCGGTGCAGACTCAGCCACCCGCGGTTTTTGAACGCGCTGATCGGGTCTGTCTGCAGCCGGTTGTTCCTCTTGGAGATCCGCAGAGCACCGCCGCGGATCATGCAGATCACCGCAGAAATGCGGTTCTCGCGGTCTGCCAGCAGCACCTGCTCCGCCGTCGCGCGGTCCTCGATCAGCAGCGTGCTGTGGATCTTGCTCGTGTCCACCAGACCGCACTCCACGGTGCGGTCGTCGAAAACAAGCACGTCCACCATTTTCAGGTAGTTGCCCCGAGGAACGCTTCCGGAGTAGTCAAACACCTCTGCCCGACGCACAGTAATGTCGCTCTGCACCTGATAGAACTTCATCCGCTCGCGCAAAAGACTGGAGTCCGAGAAATTCTCAGCAACAAACGTCCCCAGCTGTCTCTGTAGCAAAATCTCAATCACCCACCCCCACTTGTCGAACTCAGACCGCAGCGAGAACTTCATCCCCAGTGGCCCCGTGATCCGGCCCTTGTACCGTTGCGCGCTCGTCTGGAGCTCCTTGAACAGCCGCACCACGCCGGTGCCAAACCCGTCGAGCCGACTGCACTGCCGGTTGTGGAACTGCGCGCGACTCTGCTCCAGCCGGCTCAGCTCCCCCTTCAGCTCGCCCGCCTCCTTGCGGAACGCCTCGTTCAGATCCGCCTTCTGCGCCTTGATCTCCTCCACCAGCGTCGCCAGCTCGCTCGACCGCGCGCGACACTCGCCCAATTCCTTTTCCTGCTTCGTCTTGAGCGTCTGCAGATTAGTCAGCACAGAACTTGTGTCGGAGTCCAGCCGGCTCTTCTCGATCTCGATCTTCTCCTCCACGGCTCGCAGATTGCTCTCGTCGACACTGATCTCGTTCTGGATCGCCGTCTGCTTCGACTGCACGTCCTTGAGTCGTTCCTGCGTCGCCTTCAGCGTATCCTTCAGAGCATCCTTTTCATGCTCCTGCTTCTGCAACTGCTCGTCTAAATCCAACACCGTCTGCGCCTTCTCGTCCTTCTCCGCCTGGTAGCCGCGGATTTTGTCCTCCGACTCCGCCACAAACTTGTCCGAGTTCTCCATCTCGCGCCGCCGCTCCTCCAGCAGGTTTTTCGCCAGCCGCAGCTGCTCCTCCTTGTTCACAACCTCCAGCCACAGCCGCTTCCCAGAAAGCAGGTCCTGCTGCTTCTTGAACTCGTCGGAGTTCTTGAAGTTGTTCCAGAGCTCCAGCGCTCGGTCCAGCTTGGCCTTGGATTCCTGCAAAATCTCCTCGTCCTGCGCCAGCTTCCGCTTGATCTCGCTCACGTCTTTCTGCAACTCCTGCACGTTGTTGAACGTCTCCTGGAGCCTCGTGCCCTCCATGAAGTAGCGGAATTTAGCTTCGTCGGTGGAGTGCGCCAGAAACGTCTTCGCCTCCGTCTGCGTCAGGATCGTCATCGGGTTGCCGATGGTGATGCCGTAGTAGTCGAGAATATCGTCGATCGTCTGTTTCTTCGTCGATCGCACCTTGCCCGTCTCGCCTTTGATCTGGCACGACGGGCTTGAGTCCACCTTCAGCACTCGCTCAATAGTAATGATTTTGCCATACTCGTGCGGCCGGTACGCCTCAGGGCCCTCGTTTTTGAACGTCACGATCGCTCGCGCCACGTTCTTGCCGTGCATGATCAGACCCTTTAGCGAGTTGCCTCTGTCTGTGTCGCTGGCCTTGGCCCCCAGAGCCACCGAGATGCCCGTCAGGATCGCCGACTTGCCCGACCCGTTGCGGCCGATGATAAAGTTGGTCTGCTCGCCAAAGTCCAGCTTGAACGCCGCGTGACACATAAAATTGTACAGCTCCAGCCTGAGGATGATTCCCGCTCGCGCAGGGCTCTCGTCGACCGCAGAGAGGTCCGAGTTGTGCGCCTGGGTCATGAGCCCTACACGGCGCCGTTTGAGGTGCCGCGTCACGTTCTGCGTGAACTGCTCGTTCACGTCGATCTGCGAGTCCTGCACGGCGATCTGGTAGCCTGTCTCCGCGGAACTCAGCGACTCGAGCGTCTCGATCGAGCTCGGCAGCGTGGCGGTGCTCGTGTTTTGTGCGTCGGCGTCCGCCGACGACAGGTCCCCAGCAGATCGCTTCATACAATAAAATAAATAAAAAATAAATAAATTATATAAAAATATGTCTCGACGAATTTTCGACCTCACCAAGCTGGACACCAAATGGATGGCCAGATGGAAGCAGCAGGGCTGCTCGCTGAACCCGCGCAGGAAGGTGGCCCCCACAAAGGGCAAGATCTACTCCACCGCGATGTTCCCGTACCCGTCGGGCATTCTCCATATGGGCCATCTTAGAGTGTACACTATAGCCGACGTGCTGGCCAGATTTTACCGCATGCAAGGGTACAACGTGATCAATCCGATGGGGTGGGACGCCTTTGGCCTGCCGGCGGAAAACGCCGCTGTCGACCGCAACGTGAGCCCCGAGAAATGGACAAAGCTCAACATCTCCAAAATGAAGGTCCAGATGGAAGCCATGCTGGCGGATTTCGACTGGGACCGCGAGGTCACCACGTGCGACCCTGCCTACTACAAGTGGACGCAGAAGCTGTTTTTGCTGATGTACGAGCACGGCTACGCGTATCGCAAGAAGGCAGAGATCAACTGGGACCCGGTGGACCAGACGGTTCTGGCCAACGAGCAGGTCGACTCAGAGGGCCGTTCGTGGCGTTCGGGCGCGGTGGTCGAGAAACGACTGCTTGAGCAGTGGTTTCTGGGCATCACGAGGTTTGCCAAGGAGCTGAATGCCGACCTCGACACCCTGGACGAGTGGCCGGCTAAGGTCAAGGCCATGCAGCGCAACTGGATCGGAGAGAGCACGGGAGCTGCAATCCGGTTTCAGGTCGGCGACGAGACCACGTTCGTGTACACGACGCGCGCCGAGACGATTTTCAGTCTGCAATATCTGGCTCTGGCAGCAGACCATCCAATTGCTACCAAAGTGAAGCAGACGGCGCCCGAGCTTGCTGAAAAGTACGACACAGGCGTGAAGCTGCCCCTGGAGGCCACGAATCCGGTCACCAACGAGAAGGTGCCTGTTTTTGTTGCGCCGTACGTCATTTCGGGCTATGGCCACGGCGCAGTGATGGGATGTCCTGCGCACGATGCCAGAGACTACGAGTTCTGGAAGAGCATGGGCGAATCGTCGATTAGGCCTACTGTCCAGCCGGAAAACGGCTCTCTTGGGGCAGACGAGCCGTATTTTGGCGACAGCGGCGTGATGAACGCGGACGCCCAGTTTCTGGCCGGTCTGCCTGCTGCCACGGCTCGCGAAAAAATTGTCGAGCATCTGGAGTCGCACCGGCTCGGCCAAAAACACACAACCTACAGACTGCGCGACTGGCTGGTCAGCAGACAGCGGTTCTGGGGCGCTCCGATCCCGATAATCCACTGCAAGCGGTGCGGCACGGTCCCGGTTCCGGAAGAGCAGCTGCCTGTGCTGCTGCCCAAGGTTGACAAGCTGCTGGGCCGCGGCGGGTCGCCGTTGGCGCAAATCCCGGAGTTTGTCAACGTGGAGTGTCCCTCGTGCGGAGCTGCTGCCCGCCGCGACACAGACACCATGGACACGTTCATGGACTCGTCGTGGTATCTGTTCCGGTACCTGGATCCGCACAACGAGCAGCAGCTGATGGACCCCAAGGTTGTGAGTCCGCTGCTGAGCGTGGACCAGTACCTGGGCGGTGTTGAGCACGCCATCTTGCACCTGCTGTACGTGCGGTTTGTCAGCAAGTTCCTGAACAAGATTGGCTACTGGGACGGCAGCGCCGTGAACGGGGAGCCGATCAAAAAACTTGTGAGCCAGGGAATGGTCCACGGCCGGACTTTCACGGAGCCAGAGACGGGCCGTTTTCTGAAGCCGGACGAGTACGAGATTCTGGCCGACGGCAGGGCTGTGGTGAAGGAGAACGGCCGGACGGCAGCCGTGTCGTTTGAGAAAATGTCCAAGTCGAAACACAACGGCGCCGACCCGTCGGAATGCATAGCCCGGCACGGAGCAGACGCTACCAGGGCGCACGTGCTGTTCCAGGCGCCAATCGAAGACGTTCTTAACTGGGACGAGGACAAGATTGTTGGCATTGAGAGATGGCTGGCCAAGGTGTTGACTGTTGCCGATAGTTTGCGCGAGCGGTTGGACAAATCGCTGCAACCAAAACCAACAGATCAGTACAGCGAGCCCGAAATCTCTGTCCACAACGAGTGTCAGCAGCTTCTGCGGTCTATCACGGACTCCTTGGGCAAAACGCTGTCGCTGAATACGGTCATCTCAGATTACATGAAGTACACCAACAAGATCTACAGCGAACTGAACAACAAGGACGTTTCCACGGCTGTGCTCTACGGTAGCTATATGGACCTTCTTAAGGCCCTGAGCCCGGTGGCTCCCAGTGTGAGCGAGGAAGCAAACGAGCTGCTGCATCCATGGCCCACTGAGTCCGTTCTGCAGGCCGATTGGCCGGAAATCAGGCCTCTCATTGCTGCTACCGTTTCGTACACCGTGATGGTGAACGGCAGAATGAGGTTTGTCTACCACGGGCCGGAAAATCTAATAGAGGACCGGGAAGGGTGCATCTCTCAGATTTTGGCCACCACGGATGGACAAAAATGGATTGGAGGCAGAAACATAAAAAAGGTCATTCTCAAACCTAAAACGGTGGTCTTCATTGTGGAGAAATAATTTCACATGATAAAATATCCTGTATATAAGAAAAGCATTGCAAAAAGTAAATTTTTTTGGCCCCCAAGAAAATGTCCAAAAGAGTCCAGAAAACTCAGTATTTGCTGCGACTACTCGGCAACCCGAAGCTCTACAGCCTACTGGGCAGCCCGTTCGAAGACCCGCTGAAGCTCGACTCGCTTTTGTCGACCGTCTGCTACGGATCTTTGTTTATCTCTGAACTTATCAAAAGACGGCCAGAACTCGTGCAGGCTTTGAGTAAACTGGCGGAGAAATTGAAGATCCAGGGGTTGCTCGCGCTCATAAAGGCCTACATGCTCCAGCTGCGACGCGCGCTCGATCCGAAGCAGCGTTTATCTATTAATGTTCCCCTAGACTCCTTATCTACTAAGTTGAGACTCATCTCGGACTATATTGCCGACGTCCGCATCTTCAATCGCATGTGGGGCCTGCCCGGATTGCTAGCGTTTGGCGTCGAAGATTTGCACAGGATACTCAGAGCAGATTCAAGTTTGGCCACAAAATTTCTGGAAGCCACAAGCACCATATCCATCGTGGCGTACCAGCCGCTCGAAAACGTCGCTTTTGCAGCCGACCACAACTGGACGCATCTCGAGAAATCGGCCTCGCTGCAGTACTACGTGGCCTCGTCGCGGCTTTGGGCCGTGTTTGTCGTGCTGGAGGTTGTCAAGCTCGTGAAGAACATGGTTCAAACTAAACTTGCCGGCAAGCCGCTCGACCTTCTCCACAACCGCTCTCTGAACCGCCCGCTGGTCGCCAACATCGCCAATCTGCCACTCACTGTGCACTGGTCTTTGCACGATGGGTGTCTTAGTGACCTCACCGTGGGATTCTTGGGCACTATGTCTAGTCTGCTCAACACAAAAGATTCCTGGGGAGAAGTGTTCGCACAGGTGCGCCAGCTTTGATAGCTTTATTCATAGTTATAGAACTCCTCTTCTATCGAGGTGTGCGTCCGTAAGTACTCGAGATGAGGCAAGAATAAGCTTTCGCACTCGGAGTTCGCGTTGGCATTTTTGATATACTGCAAGTCAAGTCCCGTCAACTTGTCTTGGATCTCCACAGAGGCGGCATCTTCATTTTCGTTCGGCGTCCATTGTGGACAAATCAGCTGTGTTATAAGCTCCCACATCCGCAGATCAAAGCCATACTCCAAATTTGGTAGTTTTCCATGATACAGTTTGCGGTGTCTCAGCTCTCCGTTCTGCTCCCACGAAATCTCGTCCCTCAGTTTGTCCGGATATAATTTCGGATACGACAGGTGCATGAACATCAGTCTGGCATCGTCGCCGTCTTGGAAGTCATAGAAATTAGACAGATACGGCGGCATTTTTTCCTCTGTGTGAGTCGTTGGATCCCATTGTCCTAGAGCCTTTGCATGGTAGCCGTAGGTGTCGTGATACCCTAAAAACTTCATGCTCTGCTTGACCTGATAAACTGGCTTTCGAAGTGCGTACGCTGCAGCAATGAATGTATCTTTATCGCCCTCTCCTGCTCCTCCCTGGGTCAGAATCGGGTAGTAGTGCGAGGGCCCAAACATGTTGTAGTATAATGACAACAGTAGAGTGTCGACTTGCTTCTCCTTGTTCACCAGCAACATGCCAGACTCGCTGGACGGGTTGGGCAGGGTTCCAGGCAGGTCGTGGTAATTCCACTCGTCTGGAGACTCTCTATCCATAAATTGGCCGCGCACAGGACGGTCACCGACCGGTATGTCAGCTATTCTGTAGAAATATGGATGCGTGGTTCTGGACCAGCAGTCGGGCCATAATATCAAACCGTATTCCTCAAACACGGGCCAGTCAAACAGGGTATGCGGACTGTGTATTACCACGTTATCTGCGTCCAGCAGAAGAACTCTTTTGAAACTGGAAGCAAATATTGCCAGAATCTTGTACTGATACCCGTCAATTCGTAGCTTTTTCCTGTACTTCTGCATGGGGAGCTCTTCAAAGCCAAGAACACATTTCGCATTAAGGGCAGGAAGCAGTCTGTCGCAGAAGTCTCGCTCATACTCCTGCTCCGATGCGATGAACACCTCAACGGGCAATTGGCACCCTGTGGATCTCAATTGGTTTATGTTCAGCAACGCCAGCCAAGAAAATCGTTCTCCTCCAACCATAACAATTCCATCTCCGTGGATTTGCTTGCGTGGGTCGCCGAAAATGCTCATTTGTAAATCGCGTATTTTATCGACAAAGTGCTGATGTTGCGTTTTGAGATCTAGCAGTGTTGTTTCCTTGATGTCCAACAGCCCCATTAGATACTTCTCGCTGAAATGGAAGTCCGAGTCGCTCGAGAACTTTTGTTCTGCTTTCTCGCCATTGATATAATTTGTTAGCGGAGGGGACTTGGGTTTTGTTTCGACAAATAAATTAAACAAACGGTCCACAAGCGTGTTTTTGTTTTTTTGCGTGAACCAAAATCCACTGCCCGTTCGCACGGTGTCGCCAGAGGACTGTGAATTACCACCCACAGCTTCTATCGGCACCAATGGTATGGCTCCCGGCTCACCCGTCTGTATCATATGTTTTTCTGTTTTGCTGCCCGAGAAAACGAAGAGTTGCACTGTGAGCAACAATATGACCGCGGCTCCGATCTTTATGAGCCGTTTCTTATTGACAAACAAAGACATGACTGTATCTCAACAAATAATAAATTGCGGATCTAGCGTAATATAAAAAATGAAGCTAAATTATCTTAGAAAGTTTAGTACATGTGGTTCTTGCTCCAAGGCCAATTTTTTTTCCTTGTTTATATTTTAGGTTTATTAATTCACTGCCTTGCTTGTGATGAGATGATAACGCTAATATTTTTCTAATAAGATACATAACATCATGTCAATAATGAACAGTCCCCTGAGGCGGCGTTTGGATATTGTTTTCCTTGTCCCAGTCAGAGCCGGAATCGGTCTGGTAATCTGAATCGGCCTTGGATCTGAGACCAAGGTCGACGGAAAACAAGAACATGATCACACCGAACCAGAAACACAAGGCCCACTCAAACACCGCAGAGACTCCCCACAACCGAGAAGCGTCGCCATGAATGCTTGCAACGCGCATGCAAGCGACATAGCCAACGGCGAGGCCAATTCCAACAATCAGCCACACCACTTTCAGCCAGGCACTCCATTTGAACCATTTGAAATGAGTGTAATGCCTGGCATAGATGAAGTACAAGCTGATATTGCAGATTGCCCAAAAGAGATCGAGCACAATGAAGATACCCACAAAGGTCAGGTGAACAGTGTCATATTCGGTGTCTTTGAAGCAAGACACGAAAAAGATGGAAAGCGAGGCCAAAAAGGTCAGTATAATACAAGCAACATGTAGAGCCGTGGCTGTGCGACGGAAGCGTGGTAGCAAGTAACGTTTCCGGCGAGATCTAAGGTATGTCTCCTCTATAACGGACCACACGAAAAACACCCCCATGGTTGCTGTGCCGGCAATGAAAAGACCCTGCAAATTGGTGGCCCCGACATTGGACAAATACACAATGAGATGAGCCATGTAAATGTGTTCTTGCTCGTAGTTTGGCCTGCCCTGCGCCACCCAACAGACGATCATGGCAATCAGCATTCCCCACCATGCTGCCACAGAAAGCAATGGCAGGATGAAGGCCCACCTGGGCCTCACGTTGGGTGAATTGAAAGAACCTATCTTAATCATGGGAGAAGAATTTCAAGCAAATCGCTAAAAAAATGTTAGCTCGACTTGAGCAAACGAGGAAACTTCTAAATAATGTGGAACGCAATTTTTTATTGTTTTTCAGCCCGCGATCCAGTGTAATTCTCAGCCCCGAATAGCACTAAAAGGAAAAATTTATTGTTTTGACACATAGCCTGCAGGTCACGTGAATCAAAACTGAAATTTTTTTCTGTATTGTCATCCGACTAAAAAAATGTACCTCGATATATTGTACACGATCTATGAACTCTATTGAGAGACTGACCATGGTGCAACGCCATTTCCAGATGAAACGTCCGCTTCCTGAATTTCCTTACTTATTGCCAATAGAGAGAGACGAGTACTTCCGTCGATGCCAGCAGCAGAATCTTAACCAGCCTCAAATGGCTGCTATCATGGCATCTGTGTGGAAAAATCAGCACAGCGGACCAAACATCAACATGCATCCTTTGAAATGATCCAGTATTCCCTTGCAGATGCCCTGGGTGTATGCACGGTCAGCAAGATCGGGATTGATCTCTGTTAGGGTTTCAACTCGTTTTCTGGATACACCTTTCTGCATTTGATCTAACAGGGCAGTCTCCGAGAGTGGATCCGTTTTGAAACAATTTAGAAACACAAGGTCTGCGAATGTCAGCAACGCTATAGTTTTAGAGTCGATAGAATGCTTTTGCTGAGCAGCCAGATCCACAGACCTTTCCGTAGCCGACTCGATGTCGTCTTCTTCACGGACAACGTGCTTTTCCTCGTCTATGTTGTCCGATTTTTGTTCTTCAATTTCAAGGCAGCCAATGAGGTCATCCACGAGCCCCAGCTTGGCTTCTGCAAAAGTGTCACTGAAATAGACATCGCTGTAGTCCTCGTTTGGATTTTCGGCAACATTAGTGAGACCGCAGCTTAATCTGTAAAGGAGATTTTCCAGTTCAAAGGAAGGCGCGTTCGGGACTGGAAGGCCGGACTCGTTGGATGTCCACAGAGCAACCTCGGCGTATTTCCCAGTAGGCCTTTTCTTTATCATCTGTTTCATCTCTTCTCTGAACGGCAAGGAAATACTCACCACCAAAGGCTTGAATATTTTTCGTAGCAGCTCATCAACCATGCTCGACAAGTCCAACGTTTGGAATTTTTGCGCAGAAACAGAAATGCGCTTGAATTGGTCGTAAATCGTGTTGATGTTGATGTTTTGCCTCAGTTGGTACAAAACTCGAATGATATAGAAATGCTTGATTGGCGAAGATTCTCCTGAATCAACCAACTTTCCGATTTCTTTCAGGAAGTCGGTAATCAGCTTGTTGAGCTGCTCTATCACAAAACAGATACCCTCATCCACCAAATCGTTGAGGCAGACTGCCGTTTTTTCCCAATACTCGTCATCTTCATAATCGTCAATGGACAAAACTTGTTTCGTCAAGGAGGACGACAATTTGGACAAGCCTTGAAGCGAGTCCAGCACCATAACAAGGGTCAGCTTGAACTGACCAAGCTGCGACACAATGGTGTCAACCGCGTACAAAGACGGACTTGAGATTTGCGAGAGATAGAGGTCAATATCGGTGAGGTCGGTGTACTGGAACAGGTTCAGTCCAGAAGTAGTGTGAGTCGATTGCAAAATCTCTGAGCTGCCATAAGTATCCAAGATCAGATTTGAAATGTTCTGGAAATTCCCGACATTGCTCTCCAATAAATTAAAGAAGATCGACTTCCACACAGACAGCAGATTATCCACGAGTCTCGAATCTTCATATCTGATGGCCACCAAAGAGGTGAATTTTTTGAACGATTGAAGCACTTTGCTGAGCGATGAAGAAAGCACCTCCAGATTCTTCGACTGGGCAAAGTCGGTGCCAATTTGTTCGTTGAGATAAGCACCCACGTCAATTTTCCATTTTTCGGTGATCTTGTCCACTTCTTTTTCTGGTATACTTTTAAGCTCGTTCAACGGAAGAGGGAAGTCCACCTTGTAACTCGCGGGTATATCGAGCCAGCGCGAATACTTTCTGAATCCTGTGTTGGCGACCCAATTTGAGTTTGCTGAGCTGTGCACTTGGCGCATCAGGGTTGAAGGAAGCTTCGAACAAAACACCGTGAGGTAGCTGAGCGTATTGTAAATATAGTTCAGACAAATGTATAGATCGTGCATTAGTCCAAAATCGCGCACTTTGCCATAACGCACACTGAGATACCATTCAAGAGCTTCGAGGATTTGGCTTTGGGCAACAAAAATATACGACACCAGCAAATGCAGAGCAAACTCGTAGTCACCGTCACCAGTACAGTTGGCCATCTCTGTTTGCAGTTCCTGCAAAAACTCCTGCTTCATTTTGCCAAATTTCTCCACCACAAACGACGTCTCTTTCAGTTCGTCCCCAAAGAAGCTCTCAGTCAGATAGAACATTTTTGCTAGCTGAACGAACTGTAGCGAAACAGAATCGTGCGAGTTTTCTCCATCCTCGTTCTCGTAGACGCCCGTTTCTGCTTGCATCTCCTCAACCTCGTCCCGTAGAACTTGGAGCCCAAAATCCAAGTGATCGACGATATTTCGCAGCAGCATTTGTCGATTACGGAACTTGGTGTTTTCCAGATCATTGGCTCGGACCGCAGAGAAGAACTTGTTGAAGTTTCGCAAACTCTTGTCGTCATATTTCGCCTTTCTGTATGTCAGATCAGAGAGACGCGATGTTTGCTGGTCGGCAAGATCGTTCATTTGAATGATGTCGTCTGCCACTTTTAGGAGGTCTCGATAATTGTTCCCCACCAAAGCTCGAAGTTCCAGCTTCTTATTATGGACATCGGCGGCCAGTTGGACCTTGAGCTGTTGGAGCTGCTGGATCGAGTACTCCTCGAACAGCTCTGTGGCTGACTTGTCCGCCAGCTTAGCAACAAGACTCATGCTATTTTTTCAAATTTCGTGTTATTATTCGTACATATAAGCAAGCACTCCGGACACCAACGGGAGTCTAGCGTCGTCTTTCGGACATCGAGCGACGCTGCGAGGCAAACAGATCGCGCTCCAAGCGGGAGTCTGCCCGTCTTTCGTGTATGAAGTTGCACATTCCGCCTCTGTCGCACTCGTTGGTGTAGTAGAGGCGGCACGTGGCGTCGTCGAGGTTGGTCACCGGCGAGAGCTCTGCGAAAACAGGCTTGCCGTTGTACCAGCGGTCGTTGCATTCCTTGTAGCATTTCATCGCATCGGCTTCGTCCCTGAAGCGCACATAGACGTTTCCACTGAGATGGGGGTTCACGTTCTCGCAGATGACGATTTTATCCACAGGCCCGTACTTCAGCGCCAGCTCGACGAAAATATCTTTGTAAAGCGAGTCGATGCGTTGCTGGATCTGCGATTCGTCGAGCGAGGACACGATCTCGGGCGCAGCGGGCTCGGGATCGCCCTTTTTCAGTCCCTCCACATGTTTCGGGTTGTCGTAGAGTTTGGGGAACAGAATGGTTCTCGAGTGTTTCGGATACACGTGTGTCCTCACACACTTGTCGCCGTGTCGGCACGCACCGACTTTTTGGAAGAAAGTGCACAACTGCTTGTTGTGGACCGACCCAGACATAAATTGATCTAAGTTAAATAAATTATTATGATAAAAAATTAAATACGATAATGTAGCGAGGTCTTTACACAATTTTTTCTCCGTCCTCGTCGGAGGAGTTTACTCTCAGATGGTGCTTCGAAACGTCAACCTCACCATGGAGCTCCTCTGAGAGCTGCTCAAGAGTCTTCCTCTTGGTTTCAGGAATAAGAACGGTGGTACCAGCACCAAGCAGCATGAAGAGAGCAAATATCTCCATAACGTGTGGCAGCCAACAGTTCTTCTCCTTGCCGTCTTTGGCACAGTTGTGGTCTTGCAGGGTGCCGATACAGGTCTGCGCAATGATGGCACCAACCTTACCTGCGGCAGCACTAATACCGTGTGCGGTAGATCTGTATCTGGTAGGGAAACACTCACCAGGAACAATGAAGGTGGTGGTGTTTGGACCGAAGTTTTGGAAGAACTGCGCGAGAATGTAGAGCGCAAGAAGTCCCTTGTCTCCGAGCTTGTGGTAGGCGAATCCGATAACACAGAAGATGGCGGTCAGAATGAGGAAAGAAACGAATTGCAAGCTTTTTCTTCCAATGGTGTCGATGGTGGCAACGGAGAACCAGTAACCTGGGATGGCACCAGCACAAATAAGAATCAGGTTACCGGCAGCCTGGTTGTAAAGCGAGTAGTAGACGTTCTTGGAGGATGCGTAGCCAATGGTCTGCAAAATGGAAGCAGTGTTGAGACCCAAACCGTAGTATGCGATATCCAGCATGAACCAGGAACCAGCGGTACCAATGAGGATTTTCATGTGTTTCCACTTGGCGAAGTGGCTAAAGAAGTCTCTGGCAGTGGCCTTTGGTGGTCCCAAATCCTCCTGCTCGCCCAAGGCCTGCTCGGTCTCCTTAAGAACCTCGATGTCACCCCTGTCTGCGTCTCCGTGCTTACCAGAGGTGAACTTGGCAATGTCGGCGGTGGCCTTTTCGAGCTCTCTGGACACGTCGAAGGTGAATCTTGGGGACTCTGGGATGGTCAATCTGAAGTACAGCGCAATCATGCCGGGCACACAGCCGAACCCAATCAGTATTCTCCACATTTGGTCGCAGGCCTTGATACAGTTTCCCGTGCAGCTGGAAGCCGTCTCGGCGACAATCAGGTCATCCTTGTAGGCAGCGACGCAGATAAGAGCCACGAGACCGGCCAGAAGCTGGCCCCAGCCCTGGTTGGCGAAAACAGCACCCATGATGGCTCCTCTCCATTTGGTGGTCGAGAACTCGGAAGTGATGATGGAACTGAGCGGATAGTCACCACCGATACCGATACCCTGGATGATTCTGTAGAAGGTGAGAATAGCTGGGAAGGAGATGGCTTTGGACTCGCCAAGGGTACATTGCAAAACGGTAGCCACGATCATGATGATCAGCTCTAAACCGTAGATCTTCTTTCTTCCCACCAGGTCTGCAAGCATTCCGAATCCAAACTGTCCAATAACGGTACCCACGGAGGTGGACACTTTCAGAAGCGTGTTGGTGGAAGCAGGCATGGAGCCACCCCAATAAACATAGGTCATCATGGAGATGCCCAGATTAATGGCGAAGATGTCGTACGCATCGGTGAGGAAACCAACACCGGCAACCATGACCGCTCTCACGTGGTACCATCCAAAGCTGGCATTGTCGATCTTCTCCAGAGCCAGTCTTCTTCTTTCAAGAGGATCGGTGATATGGGCGAAGTCGTTGATGTAGTTGTGGAACGCTGCGTTACCACCAGCAGTTTTGTATTCGGCCATGAGAAAGATGCAGATGGACTTGAGGAGGACAGAGTGCTAATATTTATACCACAGAGCTGCAGATATAATTTATGCGGCTTGGGGGCAGATTAGTCGAACGAAAATTCTAATTAACCACGATGGCCGGAATATTGGCTACTATTTTGCCGGCCGGAGCACGGAAAAAGACGCGAGAAAACGCTGACTGCAACGTGACGCCGTTTTGATTGGCCTACGAGCCAAGAAAATGCCCAGAAGTAGGACGACAGTAGTTTCGCTTTCGAACGCCGAGCACACGTGCTACCAATAAGTTGTACTAATTTAGCAGGTCCTCGTGTGCGTGCAAAAAAAAATTTAAGAAAACGAGGCACGTGGGGGTCCTCAGCGATCCAGACAGAAAACGTGGGGCGGCCGTGCTGTTTTTTTTTTTTTTCTTTTCTTTCGTCGACACCTCTCGACGACCGACAGAACCTTGTTCCAAAGTCACATCTCTGCACCATCTAGCATATGTGTCCACCTTTGCACCAATATAATTATGTCCTTCCAAAACGTCCGCAAAGCGTCACAAGAGAAGGCCCAGGGGTTGCTACTACCTTCGCTGCAGTCTCCGCAGCCTTCTGTTAGTGTGTCAAGCTCAGTCTCGGTTGCCAACTCTGCCCCCACCGCGGACAAGACCTCCCTGATGGACTTTCTAGGGCAATTCGACAAAGATAGGTCCGATTACCACGATAAGGTCTCCAGCGCCAGTCAGGATGAGGAGGTTGAGGAGAGTGAGCCAGAAGAGCAGAACGAAAAATCAGAGGCTAAAACTGACGAGTCTGCCATTGCAGCGCATCCAATTGAGCCTGAGCCCGAACCGTCAAAACAGGAGTCCGAGACGGCGACAGAGAAAGCCTTTGATACCGAAAACATGCCCAAAGAACAGGAACCTGTGGACGACGAGACGTCTGTTTCGCTAGAGCATATTACGTCTACCAGCTATGGCGAGGGACAGGAACTGAATGACACTTCAGATTCGGAGCAAGAGGAGGAGGAGCTAAAAGCATCTGAGAAAGCCGAATTTCTGAAGCCAAAGAAACAGGACGACAAGAAGCTGCCTACAGACTACCCGAACCCTCCCACGACAAACAAGAAAAGCGTTGTGTTTGATTTCCAGAAGTTCCTGACAATGTTCAAAAACAAGCAATGTGAGCCTATTCACAAGTATCTTCGCTCTTTCTTGACCCAATTCTCGCAGAGAACATGGACTGTGGACGAGCAGGTCAAGCTGATCAAGGATTTTGAGGCGTTTCTGTACGACAAGCTGCTGCAATACTACCCTTTCAACACTCTCCAAGACGAGCTGGAGCTGGACAATTGCAAAGAAGGACTAGAGAAACTGGTGCTTACGCGACTGTATTCGCAGGTGTTTGCGCCGGCGACACCGAAACCGAAACAATCTCCACAGCAGCGCGAGGACCTGCAGAAAGACCGCAAGTACCACACATCCTTGAAACTCTACGACTGGATCAGTCCGAGACATCTGGACATCCCAGTTTCGCTGGGTCTGGAGTCCAACTTTGTGAAGCTTGCGTCTGGCGAGATTAATAAGATCAACAATTACAAGTCGCCGAGAGACAAGATCATCTGTATTTTGAACTGCTGCAAGATAATCTTCGGGCTTATCAGACAGCAGCAGAAAATGCATCAGATCGAAGAGAACGCCGACTCTTTTGTGCCGCTACTGATCTATGTGCTTTTGCAGGCCAAACCCAAATATCTCTACTCCAACTTGCAGTACATCGAACGGTTTAGATTGGAGGAGTTTCTAGTTGGCGAGACATCGTACTACGTGAGCACGCTGGAGATCGCATGCAACTTCATTATCGATCTTGACCGGGACAAGCTGACAATCGAGGACGAGGAGTTTGATGAGCAGCTTGCGCTCGCCAAGCAGAGGCTGGAGAAACAGAAGGAAGAAAAAAAACAGAAAAACGAGCAGAAGGCCGGCAACGACATCCTCTCGCCGATCCCAAAGAAATTGACCGAGCTGATAGGGTCGAACTCGAACGAGTCGCCGTCGCAGGTGCTCACAAAGTCGGCCGAGATGATGAAACAGTCGATCTCGTCGTCGTTCAATAACCTGTTCCAAACCTCGCCGTCTCCTTCGGAAACACCCGCCAAGCAGGAACTCATCGACATCAAAAAGCTATCTTTAGAAGAGCACGAGTACCAGGAGACAATGCGCAAGCAGCGAGAGGAGACGACCGATGCACTGGTCTCGATGTTTCCAAATTTGGACCGCGAACTGATTACCGATGTCGTTGCCTCCAAGGCCCGCACAGAAGGCGGAGGCAACATAGGCGACTGCGTTGACGCATTGTTGGAGCTCAGCCACTAACAATGGCCCGCAAGCATTCGTCGATCGCGCGCTCGTGTTGCAGGAGCTATTTTTTTTTCAAATTTCTCCTGTGAAAAAACCGCGAAGTGCGGCTCGGCGTGCGGCTCAAATCAGAATAGAATGACATGAAAAGTACCGAGTCTGAGCCAACAAAGTATCCATCTTATCGTTTAGGCGTGGGCAATGAACTCTCCAATGGACGCTGGCCAGGTGCTGGATGAGATCAAGACCACGGAATCACACTACGTCAGCGAACTGGGGTCGCTGATGAGACTCGTGAACGCGTTCGATGTGCGGTTCAACAACTACTTTGACGACTCGGTAGACGACGCCATTGAGGAGCAGATGAGTTACCGTCAGAAGATGAACGCGAGACTGGCGAAAGTTGTGCGGACGCTCATCGTGATGCACCGCGAACTGGCACAACTTCTCCAGACAGACGACCTGGCCGTGCTGGCTGCCAGGTTTGCAAAATGGTGCATGGACGTGATCAAGGTGTACAAGCAGTACATCAGCCTGTATCGTTTGCAGGAGAACCAGACAGTATCTGAGGTTGAGCTGCGTCGCCAGCCGCTTCTTAGACTGGCTTACTTGCACCAAAGCATAAGGGCCATCAAGAACATGCTGAGTCTGCAGATGGACCGTTTGCAAGGCGGGTCGGTTTTTTCCGACCTGGAAGTCGCCACACACAGACTGGAGCAGACAATGGAAGAGGCACACAGGATGGAGTGCCTACAGCGCAAGAAGCTGGACAAACACGTGAATTTTTCCAGCGTGCGCTCGATGACGGACTTTTCGATGATTTGTTCCAGTTTCAGTATGAACAGCGTGGTGGAGACGTACCGGACGGAGATGTACTACACGAACGAAAAGCTGGACACGTCGCTAATTTTTAGGACTCTGGAGCTGATGTTTCTCAAGAACCAGACTATTGCCCTGGTGTCTCTCGAAAAGGGAGAACGAACGCTGGTTTTCCCGCCATTGCGCGCCAACGAGCTCCATTACGACAAACAGGTGGAGGACGAGATTTATGTGTTCAAGCACACGCTGGACTCAGGCATCTGTGTGTATCTGAAGCTGGACAGCACGATGCACTCGAAACTGGCCAAGTTTTGGAATAGGCCCGCCAAGCTGACCAAGACACGGTCGATGGGCATGGGAATCCAATTGCAGGGAAGCGTGCCGTCAGAGTTGCCAGAAAGTGAGGAACGTCACCGTGTTTCTGAGGTCAAGGCTTATCGAGTGCAACAGCCGCTGGAGGCCGAGCTTCAGCCGGCCAGAGAAGCTCCCAGACCGCCGCTGCAGCCTGTGTCGTCGTCGAAGATCAACTCATTCGATCCGCAACGGTTTGCGCAGAATTATCAGCACGGTATCAATGGCAGCTATTTGAAGAAGAAACGGCCATCTGTGTTCGGAATGCTCTCCAACATCATCAGGAAAAAGTTGACTGTCTCTGAGTCTACGGATTCCGTTGCCGAGGATATCTTCCGCAAGAGCAAACACATGTTCCTGCAGCGCGTTGAATGGTGCAAATGGGCAGACAACCAATGGTCGCAGCCGGTGAGCGTCGATCTTCTGCTGCTCCAGTCCGACTCGGACAACTACCTGATGGGAACCACCATCGAGTCCGAATCAGGGACAGAGTTCCTAATCAAGCTCAACGACAGCACTATAGTGAGACGGGCCTCCGCATTGGACATCCACATCACCAGCTGCGATCTGCAGAGCGCCGTGACACTGTTCTGGCTCAAAACGGCCGGGATCGACGAGGCCAACGAGCTGCTCCAGAACGTTCTGACTAGATCTACGTCCCTGTCGAACTCCAGCTCGTACAGCTCAAACCTGAGTACCACAACTTACAATCCATCCATCAAAACGTTCGTTACCTCGACGTCAATCGCATCATATACTAAGAAATGAAACATCTAATATTATATATACAGTATGTTAATGCTCGTAGACTATCAACGAGGCGCTGGTGAGGTTTCTCTGGACATCGACCTTGTCCACGTCATGAGTATCCTCGACCTCTCCCCAGCGTTCGGTCTGATAAATTGTCTCCAAGGTGGCAGCACGGGCAATATCGTCGACGGTCAGGTCGATGTTGTCCTGTTTGTCGTTCAGTCTGAGGATGGCCACGCCGCTAAGGAAGGACTTAGCCGTCAGAGTGGCCTTCTCAAGCGAAGCCAAAGACCAAAAGTCCAGCGTGTCGAGCCATTTGCGGACAGCCTTCACGGTGGCCTCTGGCTGTTTGTTGCCAACGAGTCCGTGGACGTCCGAGTCCATGTATGTCAGCTTGACCTCCTCGCCATTTTCCGCGTAAGGCTGGAAAAATTCCTCCATCGACTTCATGATCGGCCGGTACGTCTCTTCCTGGGCCTTTCTGAGCTTTCCGTCGCAGTCTTTGGCTGGAGAAAACACCAGAAGCGTGTCTGTGTCGAGATATCTCAGCAGAAGCGCCTTCAAGTTCTCTTTGTCGCCGACTTTGGTCAATAGCTCGGCGTCTTGCTTCTTGTGCGACTGTTCCAGATCAATGCATCTAGACACTAAAGACGTAAGTGGCACCAAATACGGTTTGATCTGCAAACTGGGCAGATGCTTCCACTCGTGGGCCAGTAAGTAGGCCAACGTGTGCTTATTTTTCGGGACCGTCAATTGGAAGCCGAGCGGCGTCTTGATCGACTTGCCGTCGAGCAGGATATGGTATCCATCGTCTTTCTCTGACAAATCCACCTTTTCCCAGAACTTGGTCAGCGTCTGCTCCAGTTTCCTGGTCTCCGATGGAGCCTTGGCGGACTGCGCGCCCAGCGTTGCATAGCCCCTAAAATAAGGGGCCTTTATATTTCTAAGGACAAATGCCATGAAGAGAGTTTTGAGAAATAATCATCTAATTTAATTTTCTTGTTAAAACCACATAAAGGTCGATCGACCCAAATAATGAGCTCTGGGTTCCCCGTCGACGTGCCCGTCACAGACCTGGACGTGGACGACGAGACGTTCCGAATTGACGACTACGACGATGACAACGTTTCGCTGGATTTGCGCAACCTGAGACCTGCCCCTGAGTCTTTCTTTGGGAAGGTCAAGACAAACTTCCTCAAGGTGTTCCGACAGCGCCACAAGGGCTTTGAGTATCTCGACACGATCGAGATGTTTGACCGCAACCGGTCGGATTCGAGTTTTGCCGAGCTGGGCGAGTTCGGGCCTGTGAGAAGACGCAACTACAAAAAGCTGTACTTCCACCTTCTTCTAGGCGGGTTTTTGGCTCTCCTGCTGGCCCTCTCGCTTCTCGTCACGCGCACGCGCTCGGGAGGGTCTGTCAGAACGTCAGCAAAGCCTATTTTGTCGAACGGAACACACGAGTTTTACCCAACGACTATTCTTATCTCTCTGGACGGGTTCCACCCTCACTACGTCTCACCGGCCCTGACGCCGTTTTTGCACAATTTGATGATTGGCAAGGGATATGCGCCGCCATACATGATTCCATCGAACCCAACAGTCACGTTTGCGAACCATTACACGCTGGTGACGGGGCTCAAACCTATTTATCACGGTATCGTCTCGAACCGCTTCTACGACGCCGCATCGCACGAAACTTTCACCAATACCAACGACTCGATCGCTCTGCAGCCCCAATGGTGGGGCGGCGAGCCCGTGTGGTCCACAGCGGCCCGCCAGGGCGTCAGCAGCGCGGTCCACATGTGGCCCGGGTCGGAGGTCGATTATGGCGCCAACAACAACCCGATGGAGGTAGACCGGTTCAACAAGTCTGAAGTTCTGTCGAGAAAAATTGGCCGCATATTTGAGTGGCTCGATAGGCCGCTGGTCTCGCGGCCTGAGCTGTTGTTGTCGTATGTTCCCACCATCGATACCTTGGGCCACGAGTACGGAATTTCTGGTCCAGAGCTCGCCCAAGGACTCGAATATGTGGACAGCTTTTTGGAAGCTGTGTACGTGGGGCTAGCGAAACGCAACCTGACCCATCTAGTGAACATGGTTGTTGTTTCTGACCACGGCATGGCGCCGACTTCCGACGACCGTCTTATCTATTTGGACGATCTGGTGGAGCTTGACAAGATCGAGCATCTCGACGGCTGGCCGCTGTATGGGCTTCGGCCATTTGCCAAGTTCAGTGTAGATGATGTGTTCAGCGAGATCACTGAAAAATACCGCGCGGATCCGCAGAACAGCCACTACACCGTGCACAAAAAGGAAGATATCGAGAACGAGCTGTTTGGAGGGAAAAGCCAGTACGACTCGCGAATTGCGCCAATATGGATTATCCCGAAAGTCGGCTACGCAATCACCACGCACAAGTTCATGGAGAAGAACAAGCACTACACTCCGAAAGGCGTGCACGGCTACAACAACACAGAAGTGCTGATGAGGTCGTTATTTATTGGAACGGGCCCCTACTTTGAGCACAAAATGGGCTCGTCGTACAAGATGCTACCATTCGAGAACACCGAGGTGTACAACATCGTGTGCGAGTCGCTGAATCTGGTGCCTGCTCCCAACAACGGCAGTCTGCCTTCAGTGCTCTCGCCGAGCCGCGCGCTGCCCGAGTCGTGGAGGGAAAGCAGGACGTATCCAGACACGGACTTTGACGTGGAGTGGGTGCACAAAACAGCAACGGTGGACCTTCTGTGGGGCGACGGCCGTGCTGAGCCAGACCTGAAGGATGGGGGAGAGGAGGAGGAGGAGGAGGAGGAAAAGGAAAAGGAAAAGGAGAAAGAAAAGGAGAAAGAAAAGGAGAAGGAGAAGGTGAAGGAGAAGGAGAAGGAGAAGGAGAAGGAGAAGGAGAAGGAGAAGGAGAAAGAAGGAGAAAAAGAGAAGGGAGAGGAGAAAGGGAAACCTGCCCAAGACGCTAACTCGGACGATGACGACTCTGGTTCCGACTCTGACTCCGACTCTGACTCCGACCCTGTGCCTCCCCGCAAGCCGCACTTCTCGTTCCACGACATGTGGGAGTCTGTGGAGGAGGCTGCCGAGGACTTCATCGAAGAAGTGGAGGATTTCTTTGACGAGTCGTCCTGAGTCATCAATTAAGCTTATCGTGACAGGCTGTGTAGTTGAAAAATTTTATCTTGATATACTCCCGCCCGCAGGATAGATTGCTCGTATATATCGCAACTTTCTGTCCTCTCCCACGTTGATGTCGCAAAACGTCCCTGGCCAGCTCTCCAACCAGCTGATGGATCCCAACATGCACGAGAATGCCTCCAGCGCCACTCTCCAGGAGACAGACAGCGTCAATACGTTGCTGTCGCGGACCAGCCAGAAAAACAGCAATGTGGTGGACCTGGAGCCCCGCGACGCGCGAGATTCCCAGCCGATTGGCGGCGAATCGCCGGCGTTGCTGGCCACGTCCGTTGGGTTCGACTCGCAGGGCCATCTGATCACGTCGGCCTCCAACATCTCGCTTTTGTCGCTCTCGTCCACGCCTTCCAATTTGCAGCGAACGTTCACCAACCCGCGTCTGCCGCTGCTACAGACGACGTCGTCGACGGCGGTCCCGCAGCAGCAGCAGTACTACCGCAAGTACTCGTTCACGTCGCCCAAGACCAGCGGCCGTGCGCAGCCGATGGCAATCCACGCGGCGCCAGACTCGCCGTCGCTGATCCCGACGTCTCTCGCCGCGTCGCCGTCCAACTTCAACCTGAACCAGTCGTCGCCGCCAAACTCGCTCAAGTCGCGCAGCTCGTCCTACATCAACGCTCCAAGTCTCCGGCTCAACACCCGATTCCCAACGCACCTTCCCTCAACGAGAACAGACTCGGTCCCGAACTCGATCGGCGGCCGCTCGCCAGAGTTCCTGCCCTGCTCGCTCTCGATGCCGCCCATGACGCCGCTCAACCTCTCGATGCCCGCCGTGTCGGACGAGAGCCCCTTCGACAACGACAGCGACCCAAACAGCCAGGGCAGCTACAGAAGCGGGAAAAGCCCCAATCTCGAACATTACGACGGCCCCGTCTTTGCAGAGCAGATCCAGGACGCAGAGCTATAGGCTACGGCTTCAGGTCTACACAGGCCCAGATGTCGCGGAGCAACACGCGGTGCGCGTCCCACGACATGACGCTCACAAACTCGTCGGTGCTCTTGATGAACTTGCAATGCTTGTGCTCCATCTCATAGTCCCACTTTCCCAGGAGATCGTACTCGACCACCAGGTCGCGCATCGCCATGTCCAGCCTGTTCTGCTCGGTCGCCAGCGACAGCCCGCTGTGTTTGAACGCCGTCGACAGCATCACGCTCAGAAGCGAGCCGGGCGGGAACAGGTTCCACGCGTCTCTGGTGTTCCAGAGCCGTAAGTAGCCAGACTCAAGGCTCATGTCGACGTTCCGTATTTGAGTGGTCCCAGACACCCTGTCGTACATGTTGGCGAGACTCTCGGACCAGAGCTTGGGCGAGTTGAAGGTGACCAGCAGGTTGGCGATCTGCACCAGGTGGAAGTTGAGACTGATGATCGAGGCTATAGAGCCGCCCATAGAATGGCCCGCTATCACCAGCTGGTAGTCCGGATACTGCTGCTTGGCCTTGAGGTACTCGACAAAGACGTCCTCGAACATCCTGTCGGCAATGTTAGAGTAGCCAGAATGCACCTTGTTGAACTTGAAGTAGTTTCTCCAGTAGTAGCCCCAGTACTGGCTCCGGTAGTAGGTGTACGGGTGTTGGACCATCCCGGGGTCCACTTTCTTCTTGACCGACTTCCAGAAACCCTCCTGGTACACCTGGGGCCAGAAGTTGATGGCCTGGTCGCTGTAGATGGCGAAGTAGTCCTTGAGCTCGAGATCCGATCTGATCGAGACGACGATTTTGTGGTAGTGGTGGTCCAGAAAGAGCACGCCCTTGCCGTTGAGCAGATACTGCGTCCAGTCGAGCTTGCTGGCGGGCTTTTTCGTATTGAGCTGCTTTACTATCTCCACGTCGGTGGTGTTGTTTGGTATATTGGTGAACTGCTCCAGTTTGGACGGGAACTGCAGACTTGTGGGGCCTGCCTCCGATGGTAGCTTGAGAGCGCCGTGTTTGTTATCGCAGTTTGTGATTTGCAGAAAAGACGCCAGCTTGTCCAGAAAAACGAAAACGTCCTCGTTGTTGAGCGGGACGCCCTTGGGCTGGTGGCGACTGATGACTCGGGACAGGTCCCACGAGGTCGAGACGCCAGACTTTGGCGACGGTGTCGAGTGGTTTCTCGGGACGGGCTGACAGTCTGCTGGGAACGCTGCTAGCAGCAGTGCGCATATCCAGGTTGTGATCAGCATTAGATGGAACAGGAGTGCTCCAACATGGCCAGATCGCGATCTTATATCCCGGCACGGCAGTATTCTGTTCTGCCCCAATAGGTCGATCGACGCGGCCCTGAAAAAAAAAAGTTAAAATTAGCAACTGACAACAAAAAAAGTGAAATCAGGGAAGTGAAAAAGGTTCACCGGTAGCAGACACTTATGTCATTATGGGCAGAAGAAAAATCGAGATCCAGCCAATTAATGACGAGCGGAACAGAACTGTAACGTTCGTGAAGCGAAAAGCCGGGCTGTTCAAGAAGGCCCACGAGCTGTCGATTCTTTGTAAGGTTGACATCGCCGTGATCATCATCGGCCACAACCACAAGGTGTACGAATATTCGTCCAACGACCCGCAGGCGGTGATAGAGAAGTACCAGCAGTCTGGACAGACCCAGGAGTCGAAAAGACCGCAAGACTATGGCAATTACAAGCTAGTTTCCAGAGTCTCGACCAAGAAGGGAGCCAGAACCGACAACAGACACGTGAAGCAGGAGTCTGTGGACGAGGACATATCGGACGACCCGAACCACTCTGAAATGGACGGAGAAGAGGATGACGACGCAGACTATGAGGAAACTCCTACTAAGAAACGCAAGCTCTCCAGATCAGTGTCGTCTGAGGATCGTCCGCGAAGACCAGCTTTTGTGCCGCCCAAAGAGACAGCCGCGGTACAGCTGAACTCCAAGCTGTCCAAGCGGCCGCTGCTGAGCTTGCAGATTCCTAGCAACGACAGATCGAACTCCGATAGCGACATCACGGTGACAGCCATGGAATCGGGTCAGCTGAACGAGAACAAGAACGGTGCAGACTCTGGCGCCGCGCGTGCGCGGACGTCGCCAAACGCGAAAAAAGTCAGCATTGCGGCCACCCCCACGTCCAACACGTTCCTGCCAGGACTCAACATCATGACCCAGCAGAACGCCCAGAACCCGCTAGACCAGACCAACTCCTCCAACAAATCGACTCCTGTGTCGGCGACGCTGCCCCACGGGCTGTTCTCCTCGCTCCCGCAAATGTCGCCGACGCAGATCCTCCCGACTCCGATCTTTCCCCTGGGTCCGCAACAACAGCAACTGATGCAGCAGCAGAACTTTGCACCCTACAGCGCCAAATTTCCACCAAAATCGTCCACGGGGCCGCCTCCGTTCTTCAATTACACGGGAGACACCCCTGTGCTCCCTTCGGGGCTCTCGTCGCGGTATCTGGACATGTTTCCCTCGCCTAATGTATATTATAGCCAGGACTGGCCTATGCCGATGGGGACAGGAAATCAGCCCGTGCAGAACCCAGGAGGCCCGCCAGGACCGGGTTCCAACGGCCAGCCCGGCCACCACGTGCCGCAGCAGCTGAACCAGCAACAGGAAGGCGCCAATAACGGCGACTCTGGACAAAAGGGCGGCCCTACTTCGTCGTCTGGCACCGCGTACGGGGGGCCGACAAGCAGCAGCGGCACACAGGGCCAGGAGGGGAACTTCTCCACGCTGACGAGCCCGCTACAAGTTATCGGCTCGGCGATCTACAACCAGGCTGCCCAGGCCGCGCAGGCTGCCGAGCGACGAGAGGAAGACAAATGAGTGTATAGTAGCTTTAATAAGTGCTTTTAATATTCCACACGAGGGGCACGTGACCGTGTGCAGGGTTTACAAGTTTTTCACGCTTGTTTTTCAGCGAAAAAAAATTCGTGAAATATTCTCTACTAAAGATGAAGGTAGGTAGACAGAAAGCTATCCGCAAAGTGTACTAACCATGAAGTTGAACATCGCTTACCCAGCCAACGGTACCCAGAAGAGTATCGACATTGACGATGAGCACAAACTGAGGGCCTTCTACGAGAAGAGAATGGGCCAGGAGGTCGAGGGAGACGCCGTGAGCGATGAGTTCAAGGGCTACGTCTTCAAGATCACTGGTGGTAACGACAAGCAAGGTTTCCCAATGAAGCAGGGTGTCATGATCCCAAACAGAGTCAAGCTGCTCTTGACCAAGGGCGTCTCCTGTTACAGACCAAGAAGAACCGGAGAGAGAAAGAGAAAGTCTGTCAGAGGTTGCATTGTTGGTAACGACCTTGCTGTCCTGTCTCTTGTTGTTGTCAAGCAAGGTGAGCAGGAGATCGAGGGTCTGACCGACACTCAGGTCCCAAAGAGATTGGGTCCTAAGAGAGCCAACCACATCAGAAAGTTCTACGGTTTGACCAAGGAGGACGACGTTAGACAATTTGTTATTAGAAGAGAGGTTGTTAAGGGCGACAAGAAGTACACCAAGGCTCCAAAGATCCAGAGATTGATCACTCCTCAGAGACTCCAAAGAAAGAGAGCTGTCAAGGCTGCGAAGGTTAAGAACGCCCAGGCCCAAAGAGATGCTGCTGCTGAGTACGCCCAGCTGCTTGCCCAGCGTCTGCACGAGCGTAAGGCTGAGAAGGCTGAGATCAAAAAGAGAAGAGCTTCTTCGTTGAAGGCTTAGGTAATGTAGTGAATATATGCAGGTTAAGCGACAGTAGCGAGCTTTGTGCTTCATCTATTCATCTATACTATAGTCATTTATTAGGATACTTTCACTGTGTCTTTTGTCGTTTGTCGATCTCCGCGAGCCGTTTGATGTTGTCGTATATTTCGTCCGTGCTCAGCCCGTCGCCGTACTTCATCTTGGCCTCGTACCGCTGTTTTTCCTCCTTGTACTTTGGGTCCCGCAACAGAATGGCCAGATGCTGGCCAAACTTGCTTTCTGGAATCAGCTGTCCGGTCAACGGACAAACGACCTGTCGTTCGCCGTTCTTCGTCTTTTCCGCAAACTTCTGGTCCTCGTGCTTCCTCTTGAGCCGCGACTCGCCCGCGGACCGGATTTTCATGCCCGGACGTGCCTTTGGCGGTTCCACGGCCTCCTTCTGCTCCTCGTACACAGGCACTTCCTCGTCCTCTTCGTTCTCCGCGCTCTCTCCTTCTTCCTCCTCAGAAAATGCCTCCTCTCCCTTCTCCAGCAAAGAGCGGTACTCCAGTTCTCCCCGGTCGAGCGGCGGCGCCAGCTGTGCCACCTCGTCGACCTCTGTGAATTCGATGGTCTCCACCACGACAAAGTCCTGCCAGTCGATCGACGCGAATTCCATCTGCTCCTTCTCCAGCCGCTGCTTCTCCTTGGTCTGTTCCTCCTCGGCCTTGGCCATCTGCTGGGCGCGCACGTAGCAGCGGTGCAAAAATTCTGTCTGGTCGTAATTTTCCACATCGTGCTGTATTTTCTCCTTTTCTGTTAATATCAGCTTGTAGGACTCCAAATACTTCTCAAAAAGCCCGTGCAGCGAGTGCGACGCGTTCAGAAACTCAAACTGGATAGACTGTTTCTTGTCATGGGAAACGTGCTCCTTTAGCACCTCAATCGACTCGTCGCCGTTCAGAGCCACATACTGCGCCGCAAGCTTGATCATGTCCACATCCAGGGCAGAAACCTTGCCGGGCGATACGATAAAGCGCAACTCCGGTACCTCAGGAGCCTCTTTCTGCGGCTGTTTGGCCTCGCCGCTCCGCAGATCCCGTATGCATTTCTGGTAGTACTGGTGGTGCACATCGTCCTTTCTGAGGAAAGCGAATTTGGGGTTGTTGGCCTCCTTCGTCAGCAGCCTCTGCTCGAACGACTCGCCGTTGCGCACAACGAACCCGGCCGTCTTCTCGATGACCGCACGGATCTCGTCTGGCGGAACATCGGACATGACAAAATAAATCTTTAAAAAATATTTTACTTCGACGCGTCGCTCCGTTATCTTCCTCTCCATGAAGATACTTCTGTCGACAGTGCGAGACAAGGTCAAATTGACGGGTAAGTACACGTCCGGGCCCCATTAACACCAGAAATCGCCATTTCCCAAAACGAAACCGACCGCAAGATCAGGCTCGCCAGACCAACACCAGCACAGTACTCCTCGCTCTACTCGGCCGCCATCATCGAGCAGATCACCCCGTTCAAGCTCAACGACACCACATACACGGCAATTGCGCGCCAGGGAGGCCTGATCGACATCTACAATGCCACTTCGTCCATGCCGCTCATCTCGCTCACGGAAAACCTGCGTCTGGGCTCCGACTTCATGGTTGCCCTGAACGTGGTGGACCATTTTCTGATCAGTTGCAGCAACAGGGGACTGGTGTCTGTCTACAACATCAACAAGCTGGTGGACGAGCCAGACCTCGAAGGCGGGTTTTTCATGCTGATCGAGGACCCTGTCGAGTTCTGCCGCCCGCTGGACAACCCGTTCAAGTTTGTCACGGGAGGATACAACAACAGCCTGGAGATATACGATTTCCGCAAAGACTACGAAAGCCACCAACGCCAGACGTGCGAGTCGACGTTTCTCAGAATATGCAGAAGTATTATCACGATAAAACCGGTGTTCAAGACTGCGAACCCGAAACCGAACGGAGACTTCCCGTGGCTCAAAAACGCCGTGTTTGTGCGCGAGTCGCGCGAGGACGCCGACCTCACGATCCTCGCCACGACCAAGTTCGGCAAAATGCTGCTGTACAAGCCGTATTTCGCCAAGGTGCCCATCCAGATATTCCAGCTCTCGCCGCATTCCATCAACCACATCGCCACGCTAAACAAGCTCAAGATCCTGTTCATGGACTCGTTCAACACGGTCGGCATCTTCGACTTGGCTGCGGAAAAAGTCGTCAAGCAGTTCAACGTCGCGCTGATCGGGTCCATCGCGTCGCTCGACTGCGTCAAAATCAACGATTTCTCGTTTCTCGTCATCATCGCCTCGCTAGACAAAAACCTCAGACTGTACAGACTCACGCTGCCCGACTGCACGCTGGCACTCATTGGTATATCGAAACTCTCGTCCATAGTGCCCTGTCTAAAGCTCATCGACCTCGACGATAGCGTGCGCCAGCTAGACTTTAGGTATTATGACTCAAAATAGGTCTTTATTTTTGGCCCATAACGTCAACGTAGCCACGCCGCGGACCACGCTTGGACTTGCGCGTCGTCGAAGCAGACATAGAAAGCAGCTCCTCGATGTTGTCCGATTTTTTGGTGCCGTTCACCGTTGCCGGAGTAGGCGGCCCCGCCGGCGGTCCGCGCGGAGGTGCTCCCATTGCGCCAGGCTTGTTGGCCGCAGGCCTGCCAGAGACAGAATCAGACACAGCCCGCTTGACAGGAGGCGGCGGCGGTGGCGTTGAAGCAGCCTGCTCCTCCGGCGAGGCGTTCTTGTTCACCCATCTCTTTAGCTTCTCGTCGTAGTAAAAAGAGCTCTCTTCACCCAGTTTGGCTCTGATAGGCTTAGGCTGGTCGTTTTTCTTCTTTCCCAGCCAGCCAAACCACGAGCTTCCTCCCTTTTCCGCGTGCTTTTGCTCTTCCTCCTTCTTCTTGGCCTCTTCTTCCTCCTTCCTCTTCTTTTCCTCTTCCTCACTGTTCTTTCTCTTCTGCTCCTTCGTTTCTTCGTCGTCGTCGTCATCGTCATCAACCACATCGTCGTAGTACTCCTGGTCATCGTCATCAGCATGATACCTCTTCTGGTCCGTGATAACGGTAGCGGGAGACTTTGGCGGCCTGTATGGAGCAGATGGAGGGTCAAACATGCTCTGAAGATGGCGCGCGTCAGCAACATGGAACGAGGCAGCAGGCCTCAAAATCCTGCCGCTAGGAGGAGGCAATGGTTCGTCGTTGGACTCGGAATCGATGTCTGACTCAAGCTCAAAACCGTGGCTGTCTTCAGGCTCAGTATCAGCCGGAGGCAACGACTCCTCTTCCTGTCTCTGTTTTTCCTCCACCTCGGCCTTCTTAGCGGCCTCGATCTCTGCAGCAGTAGGAGCATGGTAGCCACCGTAACTGTAGAAATCATAGGAGTCAAAGTCGGGAGCCTGCGAGTCCTGTGCATTGGTGTCGTCATTGGACTGCGTGGACTCAGCCATAGCGTCCGTCGCAGGCCTGTACCGGCTCTGCTTCGAGCCGTTCGACTTCTTTGAGGTCACGTGCGCATAGGGGTTGTAGACGTTCGGCTTCTTTGGAGGCTTATTCTCAGCCTGCGGTTCAGGAAGCGTGGCTGGTGCTGCTGGCGGTGCTGGAGGCTCGTTTGACTGCACAGGGGAGATATTGATCGACTCGACCTGGTTTGGCACAAACTTTCTGGCAGCCGGCTGCTGAACAATCTCGTCGGTCATTATGGACGTATCATGCTCCTCAACGAAGTCTGTTCTCTCCTCCCTATCAGTTGGAGCAGGAGAGTAAGCACCAAAGTCTGCAGGCTCCTTTCGAGAACCGTATTTGGAAACCTTTCCAGAGACATCGCGGTTGTCCAATGAGAACGGACTTTGAGGAACATAGGTTTGTCCCGGCCCTGGAGTAGACGTCGTGAAAGGCAGCTCAGGGCGGGCACGTCCGACTTCCACAAAAGACTTAGATCTTGCCGCAGCTGGTGGATACGAAACCGCACCCTGGCCTTGATCTGCTATTTGCGCCGAAGGGGACGATTCATGCGACGACAATGGAGCAGTGTTCAGCATCGGCTTCTCGTTATCGTAAACGTTACCAGCGCTTTGCTGAGGAAGAGGGGCATAAGCAGAAGCCTTCTTCGACTTTGTCTTCGCCTGAGAGTAAGGCTGATGAGATTGAATAAGAGTGGAAGTTGACGATGTTGTAGGAGCAGACTGTGAGTGAGAAGAAGAGGCGTACACGCCGAACGATGGTGCTCTAGACAAGGTTTGGTAAGTTGGCATCACAGGCTGAGACTGTGGCTGTATGTTGGAGAGGTCCAGTTGAGATTGAGTGCGAGAGGGAGCAGGACTGTATTTGGCAAAAACACCTTCCGATTTTGCTTTTTTGCCGTCTTCAAGCTCTTCGCCCGCAACAAACTTGTTGAACGACTTGTCCAGGTGGCCCCAAACTTTGTCCAGTCCTGATCTGCCCAATTTACCGCCAAACCATCCAGAGACCTCGATTTCTGTTTGGGAAAGTCTCTCCAACAGCTGGTCATTGGCAAATGCAACGGCAGGGTCAACGTAGGTGGCTTTGGATTTGATGATCGCTGTCGTGTGATCAGTGTACTTCTTCGCTTCCGCAAAGTGACCAACATCCAACAAGTAGGATGCATGGCGAACCTTGACAGAAAGAATGTGCGGGAAACCATTTGAAAATGCTGGAGGGATGTTCGAGGAGGAGCTCAGGACGTACTCATAGAGCTCCTCGATGATCATAGAGTCAATGTCACTAGGCGAGAAGGTTTGAAGTTTGGGGATCAGTGGCATACCAGACAGCAAGAAGCATATTTTGCCGTGGAGGTCAAAACCAGCCTCCGAAAGCGAAGTACCAACCTGGACTAAGACAGAGGCAGGATTCTTGTTGTTGAGAAGGACAAATGGAATAACAGATCTGAAGTTTTCAATTACCCACTCCTCTTTACCATGGAACTGCTCGGCACTGAATCCGTTCTCGCCCGATGATTGCAAACAGAAGCTCAGGTTCTGTTGCAAAACATCCGCAGAATCAAAGTTTCTTTCCGTGTACAGTTTGGTGACCTTGGAAAAGGCTTCTGGGCCCAGCAGGTTTGCAACTATCAAGGCGATCGCCCAGTCTTCCTCAGCGATGGCCATTTGAAGAGCACCAAGCTTGTCCCCAGCTTCCAAATACTTGCTGAGGTTCATCAAACCAGCCTGTTCAAGTTTGTGCGCGTTGAAAGGCTTTTGATTAGGAACGAAGTAGTTCTCAATGCTGCTCAAATCAGTGGATCCATCTTGGATGCTGCTGACCAATAAAGAAGGGTTTAAAACTTGAACCACGCTTGCCAGATACTCTTTTTGGGCAAAATCACCAGGCTTGCTGATATTTGTCACGAGCGTCCTCATCACAGCCCACAGAAGGTGGATCTCCGAGGTGAATGGACCTTCCAGATCAGCTCCCAAAGACAGCAGCTTGTCGTTGATCCACTTTTCAACATCCTTCCTCTTGGTTTTGTTTTTGACCAAAGGACCAGGGAACTGCTGCACGAGCACCTCATTCTTGAAGACGTAATTACCGTCGATGATCTTCACATCGTGTTTGTGGTGTCCGTAGCCATATGAAGAAGGAATAAGGTATGCCACTTTGTTGGAGCCCGAGAAACTAAACAGCGGCCACTGTCTTCTGACCAAGTTCTCTGGATTCACAACAACTGGCGCAGGAGTGGATTGGACCGGATGTGCGGATGCGTTGCTTCGTGTAGAGGAATATCCCGAGTTTTTCCCCGGAGGAAGGAACGAGCTTCTTCTGTTGTGCGATACTGTAGGAGAACTGGTGTCCGGCTTTATATTGTCACCATAAACAGAGTCCAATGGCTGGTAATTGCTTTTTGGCTGAGCCGGAGGATGTGGAAATGGAACAAGCTTTGATTGCGGAGCTTGTGGCGTGTAAGGGGAGTACTTCGTAGCCTTCTGTGGGTTTGAAGGATGTCTCAGTTGCGGCTGAGTAGCTCCAAGCTGTTGTTGCGGTATTCCAAAGTTGGCGGTGTCACTGGCAGGCTGAGCAAACTGCATGTGTGTATTAGGACTTCTTGGACTTGCAATTTTGGCGATCGGCGACTTGTGAGGCACCGGAACAACGTTGGGATTCACTGGTGGAGTAGACGTTGTCGAGGGCGTTCTTGCGTGCCCTCCAGCCTCAGCTGGCGCATACGGGTTGGTAGACTTTCTTGGGCGACCACTAACAGGAGGGGGAGGATGTGTTCCACCTGCTGATGGCTGATTAACGCCAGCTAGCTGGGCGTTGGAAACAGCAGGCGAGTAAGGGCTGGCTCTTGAGATTCCAGGCGACTTTGGCTGGTATGGATTTCTAGCTGATGAGCTGGACGCATTTAGCTCATACGGATTTTTAGGATGCGAAGAGGTGGTTGCAATGCTTGGGAGTGGGAGCTCCTCGAAAAAGCTCTTTTGCGGTCTCAGTGTAGCTCTTCCAGGTGGAGGAGTCGAACGAGTAGACGAGACGCTGCCAGCCCGTGGAGGCAGAGGATTCGACTGCGAGGCGGGAGATGCTGGATGGTGTGCATGGCTTTTCTGAAGCTCGATCATAGTATAAACGTTCTGCTTTGGAGCCGGCGTTTTTGAGATAGGAGCGTGTTTAGCTAGCAGCTCTGCAGGGAAATCATATGCGTCCGTCTTCTTTTTCTCCTTTTCTAGTTTTTCCTTGATATGAGACTGCTGGAACGATGGAGCTTGGAAGTTGGAGTACGACGGTGTCAGGACGGCAGGTGGCGGCGAAGTCGTCTGGAATCCTTGTGGGGCATAACGGGACGCAAATGCTGTAGCAGGCGATTGTCTTGGCACAGCAACGGCAGGTGCCTGAGGAATGGGAGTGGTGGCCGGGGTGGTCGACGGCTCGTCATCCAAGAAATCGTCATCTAGCACTTCGTCCAGCAACAGCTCGTTATCTTCCTCAAGGAAACTCAGCTTGTCATCCAGCTTGGGCTCCTTTTTCTGCTCTTCCGGTGGCTCTGCTGGATTCACTGGAGCCGTAGCATCTTCACCAATTTCTAAAGACTTTTCTGTGTCAGCTTCCTCCGAAACATTAGCATTCTCCGAAGGCGGGATGTCTTTTGGAGCCTCGGTAGCACTCTCGGCACCTATTGACTCCAAGAAATCCTGAGTCACATTTGCCCTCTTTTCAGGCCCATTGTCAGAAGTTGTTTCCCAAGGCAGATGCGCTTGCTCTTTGTGCTCTTCCCAAGGTAGTGGATCGCTAGGCTCAGTGTCCCACGGAAGAACCTCCTCTTGAGGCTGTTCCAACGACTGCTCTGAAACTTTTTCTGGGGACTGCTCCAGAGGCTGTTCCTCAGGCAAAGGGCCAGACGGACCGTCTGTTTCCCAAGGAAAAGATTCCACCGGCTCCTGGTCCCACGGCAGTGTGGACTCTTCTGGCTGGGATGTCTCAACTGGTACCGTCGCTGCAGGAGCAACAGAATCCACAGGCTCATTCGCTTCGAGCAACGGTTCCTGGACAGGGCTCTTTATGGTGTCAGGGACATCAGCTGCAGATGCATCAGAGGCTCCCTCTTCTTCAGGCTCGTCCAGCGTCTCTTGAACAGCATCCACTTCCTGCGACTCCACGGGCAACGCAGCCGTTTCTGTGTTTGGTTCGTTCACTGCTTTACTTGGTTCTGGTGCCAATGCAGTCTCTTCACCGTTCTCCACGCTAACTGTCTCTACTGGGTGTTCTGGGTCATCTTTGGCTTCAGCTTGTGTATTTTCCACGCCCAACGGAGGCTCCGACACGCCTGGCTGTTCTCTATGCTGTACCACGTTGTTGGAAGGTATGCTATCAACGAGTAAGGGCTCCTGAGGCTCCACGTCTGGCTCTAAGGAGACCGCACGCGTGTCCTGGAGAGGCTCTGAAAGCTCAACTGGAATCTGCTCGCTGGGAAGTCCGTTTTCTTGCCCCAGCACAGTCGATCGCTCGGTCTGGTCGTTGTCGGAGATTGCCTTCTCCAGAGGCGTTTCCAGGGGATGAGGTGACGTGGGTTGATCTAAAACGTCCTCAGAATGCTCAATCTCACCTCCTGAGAGCGACGGTTCGGACCTGAGCGGCTCGTCGGTCTCGACGCCTGCAGGACTCGACAAACCCTGGTTATGGTCTTGTTCGTTGATCTCGTTGCTGGCAGGATCAGCACCAGGACTTTCAGCCGGCACTGCGTCCTGATGGGCCACTTTCTGGATCACAGAGTCGACGTCGCCGAGATGTTGCGTATTCTGAGACATTGCGAGATCTATGCTTGTGTCGTTGTCTCGCTCAGTTTCGCTCATAGTGTTATTTTTCCACTTGTTTATTTTCCTGCCATGAGCGGCGTGCCAATAAAAAAAATTTAGGCAATAAAAAAAATTCAAATATAATCATGATCGTGGGAACCAAGGGTCCTAAGGGAAAGCCGAAAATGGCTTCTGAAAAGGAGCGGTTTCTGCAGTGCTGCGGAGACATCTCGCTGGAGCTTGTTTCGTCGCTGAGCAACTCCAAGGACATCAATCTGAACGGCCTGATCATCAGATACTCCAAAAAGTACAAGCTCAAGCAGCAGCCCCGGCTGACAGACATCATCTCGTCGATTCCCGACCAGTACAAAAAGTACCTGCTGCCAAAGCTAAAAGCCAAGCCCGTCAGAACGGCGTCTGGTGTGGCCGTGGTGGCCGTGATGTGCAAGCCCCACAGATGCCCCCATATCGCATACACGGGCAATATCTGTGTGTACTGTCCAGGAGGACCGGACTCGGACTTCGAGTACTCGACACAGTCGTATACCGGGTACGAGCCCACGTCCATGCGGGCCATCAGGGCCAGATATGACCCGTACGAGCAGGCGAGGGGCAGAATCGAGCAGCTGAAGCAGATCGGCCATTCCATCGACAAGGTCGAGTACATTATTATGGGAGGAACGTTCATGTCGCTTCCAAAGGACTACAGAGAGGATTTCATCGTTCAGCTGCACAATGCGCTGACAGGCTACAACGGAACAGATATAGACGAGGCGATCCGGTTTTCGCAGGAATCCGAGACAAAATGTGTCGGTATCACCATCGAAACGCGTCCCGACTACTGCACAGAGACGCATCTGGACGATATGTTGAAATACGGCTGTACGAGACTCGAAATCGGTGTCCAGTCCGTGTACGAGGACGTGGCCAGAGACACCAACAGAGGCCACACCGTCAAGGCTGTGTGCGAGACGTTCTGCTACGCCAAAGACGCTGGCTACAAGGTTGTGTCGCACATGATGCCAGACCTGCCGAACGTGGGGATGGAGCGCGATCTGGAGCAGTTCAAAGAGTATTTTGAGAACCCAGACTTCAGAACCGACGGACTCAAACTGTACCCGACTTTGGTGATCAGAGGCACAGGACTATATGAGCTGTGGAAAAAGGGACTCTACAAGTCGTACAACGCCAACATGCTGATCGACTTGGTGGCCCGGATCATGGCGTTGGTGCCTCCGTGGACTAGAATCTATAGAGTCCAGAGAGACATTCCGATGCCGCTGGTGACGTCTGGAGTGGACAACGGCAATCTGCGGGAGCTTGCGCTGGCCAGAATGAAGGATTTCGGCACCATGTGTCGCGACGTGCGGACCAGAGAGGCGGGAATCCAGGAGGTGCACCACAAGGTGCAGCCGGACCAGGTGGAGCTGATCCGACGCGACTACTACGCCAACGGCGGCTGGGAGACGTTTTTGTCGTACGAGGACCCGAAACAGGACATTCTGATTGGTCTCCTGCGTCTGCGAAAGGCCTCGAAGAAGTACACGTACAGAAAAGAGTTCCGAGGCCAGCAGACGTCGATTGTGCGGGAGCTGCACGTTTACGGCTCTGTGGTGCCGTTGCACTCACGAGACCCGCGAAAATTCCAGCACCAGGGATTTGGCACGCTGCTGATGGAGGAGGCCGAGCGTATAGCGCGCGAGGAGCACGGCTCGGCCAAGATCAGCGTGATCTCGGGCGTGGGCGTGAGAAATTACTACAAGCGGCTCGGCTACGAGTTGGACGGACCGTATATGTCGAAGAGTCTTGACTGATTACACAAAGGAGGGCTCTATTTTAGAGCACACGTCGACGTAGCCCTTGAGGTCGTCGAGCGTGCGCACTCTGCTCCCGCTAAAAAATAATCTCCAGTTGGTGTTGGGAATGCAGTAATTGCTGGTGGACCGGTCGAAATACCATTTGTTGACCGGGTTGTTCTTCCGGGAGCGCCACAGCAGCTCGTCGGAGTATGTGAGCAGCAGCGACTTGAACACGATGTCTGCTATGCCGGGGATACCTTGCAGTTTGCGCAGCACTGCGAATTTGTCGAGATACGGCACTCTGCGCCCGCCGGCAGACTCCCAGGTGACGATCGCGCCGCCCTCGTAGTCGCCTGCGACGATGATGGCCGCGATGCTGCCGTTCACTCGGGCCAGGTAGTGCTCGAGGTCCAGGGTCTTACCGAACGAGTCGTTTATAAGATGAGTTAATTTATTCAGGTCGACGATTTTCTGTCGGTCGAACTCCAGCAAATCGATGCCCCTGCCGTCCGGCTGGTCGTCCGAGAGGTGGATCGTGAGCGGCGTGCCGCGCCGGATTACCGTGGTGTTGAGCTGCGGCGTCTTTTTCAGGTTCACCGGCAGCGACGACGAGATGGTCGGGCGGTCTGTGAGAACGTTGTAGATGATCGGGTTGGTGGTGCGCGTGCCGTGGCGCAGCGTGGCGATCGCGGGCGTCGTGATGAGCCCCGTGGCCGCCGGCTGGATCGCCAGCAGCTGGTTCATCTCGGTGAGGTTCTGCACGTGCACGTCTCTAGCGGCCGAGTCCAGATGGCCGATATATAGCTCCGAGACGATGTCGTCGTACTCCTGCAGCAGGTTGATGTACACGTGACTGGACTGGAACCGCTCCAGCGACGGGATCCCGCCGAGCTCCTCGAGATAAATGATTTTCTCGACGGTGAGCAGGTCGTTTGCGTTGTTGCGACGGTACGCCTCGTTGAAGCGGCCCAGGTTCGAAACCAGACGCTTGAGAGTCTCGAACGGCGTCATCAGGACCTCCGTGCTGTCTTTCGCGACCGCTGTCGGAAACACGATGGGGACAATGCCGTGCAACAGGGGCACCACCAGCAGTTCCGGCAGCGAGAAGCTTTCCTGTTCAAAAAGGCCCCTGACAGCCCGTGCCTGCAGATTTTCTGTCTGGAGGGCCTGGATCAGCGTGTCGCACTGGTGCACAAAGTCCTTGACCGTCAGCAGCCGCGACTCGCCAGCAGCTATCGGGTGCTTTCCGTCGAGCACCAAAACCGGAGACACGCCGAGCTGCACCAATTTCCGCAGCGTTAGGGCGATTCCCCGCAAAGTTTCCGGGTCGAGCCGCCGGGGCGTCGGGACCCTGATCAGGGCGACGCGCAGCGTGTCCGAGAGCTGGATCTCTGGCTTCTGGAGCGGCTCCGGCAGCTGGATCTCGCTTCTGGCCGAGTGCTTGAGCAGCAAATTGTTGATCAGCTTGTCGTGCTTGCTGGTCTGCAACTCAGCGTCGTTGTCCAGAATGCGTCTATGGCTCTGGTAGATGTCGTTTTCCTTGAGTAACGGGTATTTGGAGAGATAGTTACGTGCCTCTCGCTTGGTGGCCGTGCTGCTGAGGACCGTGAGAATCAGGTCCTTTTTGTCGTCGCTGGAGGTCCCGTGGCGCGTGATGCGCGACTCGAAGCCGGAAAGAGCCCGTTTCCACACGCTCGGAGCCGTTTGGAGCCGGCCGGGACGAAGCATGATATGTTGAGTCATCAACAATTTGCCAGTGCAGAGATGTTTCCCCGGATCGTGGCGTGAACCTATTAAATAGGGGTATATATTTTGCTGGTCTTGTATTTCGCATCCCCGATCCAAAAAGTACCATCTTATCCAAAAATCATGGGAGAAGAGCCACCTCCAGCCTGTCGCACGCCAATTGAGACGTTCACGCGGCCGACGATCCGCAGAAACTCCACCAACAACTACAAGAGCGAGCTCGAAGCATACACACATCACGAGACCGACTCGCCCCAGAGACAGCTCGAGAGAAGAAAATCCGAGGAGTCCACGTACCAGAGGATGCTGCCGCAGTACCACCGGCGCCAGATGTCGCACCACGACGACGCGGACGACGCCGCGTCGGTGATATCCAGCCGCAACTACGAGCGGATGGTGGGGCAGACCACCGACGTGCAGCCGAAACCGTCGTTGGTGCCGCGGCCGCATGCAAGAAAACACGAAGCCGCTCCGCAGGAACGGCCTGGCGATCCAGGAAGACGGCTTTCGTTCAAGTTCGACGACTACAAGAGCCACATGCTCCGCAAGAGTCTAGGCGACAACCAGGTTTAGCGGGTCTACTGGAGAAAAAAGACACCGGCATAGGCCCCGATAATGTAGCAATCAAGGTTTTGTAATATGGCTTCGTTTTCGTACCCGACACACCCTGTATCATGCAGATCGACATTTCGATTTAAAATATTTTAATTATTATTCTCTATCGTATGAGTGCAGACAACCTGGATGCCAATTTTACAGATGACGAAGGTGAGTACTTTGTCAACTAAGCTGACACGGCTAGACATTCTGGCGTTTGAAGAGGCTCTCAATGCAGACAACCACGCCGCCGACGAGTCGGTGATCTCCCGCGTGAGCTCGGTTGCCAACCTGGAGTACCCGCACGCGAGGCGCAAACGCCACAAACAGGTGGTGTCCGAGCGTGTTTCCCGCTCGATGCCGTTTGATGCCACCAACTCGCTCAGTTTCCAGGTCCTCAGATACCCGTTTTTGTTCCTTATCATGCTCTGGCTGGCAGTGTTGGGCATACTGTATATGATTGTGAGACTGTCTGTCTTGGTGAGCGAGCAAATCCTGGCGAACACGGCGGAGCGCAGACAGCTGATGGCCAAGCTCCAGAGCGCGACAAACTACGACGAGTACGTGGCGATGGCCAAGGAGGTGGACGCACAGCTGGGCCTCGACGAGTGGAAGCGCGAGGACCGGTCGTCGGAGTACGACTGGCGGACGCTGCGGCGGCTCAAGGCGGACTTGCGACGTTTGCGGCTCGAGGAGAACTTTGAGGAGCTGATGGTGGTTCTGCAGACGTGTGTCAAGTCGAACTTCGCTGGCATCGAGAACCCAATACTTTATTCTCAGTGCTACTACGGCACAAAAAGACTGATCCAGGACTACATCCACGAGGTTGTGGCATCGATCAGCGCCATTGCAGACACGGATAAGATTGCTATTGAGGAAAAGCACATCTTCTTCAAGATCGTCTCGCGAAACTACGGCAAAACAGCGCTCGCACTGAGCGGAGGAGCGTCTTTCTGCTATAACCATTATGGGGTTCTCAAAGCGTTGCTGGAAAATGAGCTGCTGCCAAACATCATGAGCGGCACGTCTGGCGGCGGCATCATTGCTGCGCTGGCCACCACCAGAACCAACAAGGAGCTGCTCTCGCTGCTGACTCCGAAACTCGCCCAGCGCATCAACGCCGCCGACGGGAAGACCATGCTGGACTGGCTCAAGCAATGGTGGGCCACAGGCGTGATCTTCGACCCCGTCACGCTGGCCCGCAAGGCCCAGTGGTGGACTCTTGGCTCCACCACGTTCCAGGAGAGCTTTGAGCGCACGGGCAAGGTTCTCAACATATCTACGACACCGCACGAGATGCACTCGTCCGAGGTCGTGTGCAACCACATCACGGCGCCAAATTGCTGTATCTGGTCCGCTTTGCTTGCCTCGGCCGCCGTTCCTGGCGTCCTCAAGCCGGTGGTGTTGATGGAAAAGGACAGAAAAACGAAGAAAATCAGGCCGTTTTCGTTTGGTAGCAAGTGGCAGGACGGGTCGCTGCGGTCGGACATCCCGCTGCAGTCGCTCAACGCGTACTTCAACGTCAAGTTCACCATTGTGTCGCAGGTGAACCCGCACGTTCTTCTGTGGTTCTACAAGAGCCGCGGCGACGTCGGCCGCCCGGTGCCGCGTCCGAAGGGCAAGAGTTTCCGTGGCGGCTTCCTGCCGAGCTACTTTGAGAATCTCATCAAGCTGGAGGGTATCAAGTGGCTCAAAATGATGAAGGACTTCCAGATCATCCCGAATTTCCTGGAAAGCGACTGGTCGGACGTGTTTCTGCAGCGATTCGACGGCACCATCACAATATTCCCGAAGATAAAAATAGCAGACTACTTCGATCTTCTGGGCGACCCAACAGAGGAACAGCTGGCGGAGCTCATGGCAAACGCAGAGCACGTGACGTATCCGAAGCTGCTGTTTATCAGAAACCGGCTCGAGATAGAGAGAGCTATAGAGCGCGGCCGCAAGCTGAGCAGAAACGCAGCCATCGACGTCAACCACACGTCCTCGAGCGAGGACCTCGACGACGACGACGACGACGACGACGACGACGATTCCGACTCCCAAACGCCGTTTATGGGTCTGAGACATCGCAGCGTCTGATTACGGTCTATACACCTTGAACACAAACGACTGCTCGCCGAAATCGTCAAAACCTTCTTCCCGCACACTCTGAACCTCCTCAAGGCCCAGATTCTCGATCAGCGACCACAGATGCGCGCGTTCCCGTTCGTATCGTGGCCGGAGCGGGAGCTGGACAAGCAGCTGGGAGTTTTCTGGCGCCAGAAAACGTTCCACCACGTCGCGAACCAGGACAGGGTGGTCTGCCGAGTAGATGGGGTCGCTGACAATGACGGTTGCAAATCTGCGGCTACCAAAAGCATGCGGGTTCTTCCAGTCCAGGACCTCGCATGGAAGGTCCAGCTGGTTCAGCAGGACGTTTTTCCTCAGATTGGGCACAATTTCAGGCAAGTCTGTGAGAACAACGTCCTTATACCCCAGCAGTCCGCAGGCGATGCCTACCAGACCTGTTCCTGCCCCCAACTCGAGAATCGGCTCGGCCAGCCGCGGAAAGTTAACCAGCCGTCGGGCCAGCAGGAGCGACGATCCCCACGTCTTGAGTCCAAGGTTATCACTTGTCAGTGCTGGCTCATGTAGACAGATTGGAGGCAGTCCGTCTACTGTGATTTTCCGTGTGAAGCCTGGCGCAGCCGTCCGCCCGGAGTTCTCCGAGATGATCGTCGAGGCCAGCGCCCACACGTTCTCGCGGTCGGCAGCGTCCATCCACGAAAGCGGAGATCCGCAAATGCCGGTGAGATACGACACTATGTCGTTTGTTGGCAGTGCAGCCAGATCTGAAAGATTGGCATACAGCAGCGAACAGTGGGTCTTGAGCCACGGCTCTGCAGCGGCGAAACTAGCCGGGTGTTCTCGCTTGACCGACTCTATGGATCGTGTTTGAGGCCGCTGTCCGAAATTGCAAATGTCGTCTGATTTGAGCAGATACAGGACGGTCTCGAGAACACAGGCCGGCGGTCGCGAGCCTATTTGCGGCAGGTCCATGATGTGCAGCGGTGGCAGATGCAACTTCTCCTCGGGCACGTCCAGACGCACCGGCTCGGTTTCGACGTATTGTTTGGGCGACAAAAAGTCGAGGGGGTCGAAGGACATGCAAATATAATAAATCACTATTTATTTTTTATATATTCCATATATTCTATATATTTTTTATATTCAGCCATGTCTCTGCCCAAATCGTACCAGCAGAATTTTTCTCCTCAGGAGATCAATTTTCTGGCCGAGCAGGAGCTGGTCACAGTGATACCGCGGTACAGCATGAACGGGGCGCAACTGATAGGCGCGAAAATGCCCAAATTGCGAGCCCTAAATAGAGAGCAGATCCCGCTCTGGCTCGCGACGCTGCTCAAAAAACAGGAGAAATGCAACATCGTGGTGCCCGAGTGGCTTTCCGTGGAGTATCTGCGCGTGCGCTACGACGAGGAGATCAAGTTCCCGAGCAAGTTTTCGAATCTGCCGTGGCACTGGCTGCCCATAGCGAAAAAACTGCTCGACTACGCGTCCGACGACTTCATCGACCCGCCGCACGAGATCCGGTCCTTGCTCCAGGACCTGCGCGAGGTCCGGCTCGTCAAGGCCAGAAAGGGAATCAGAGAGCTCAATCACGTGTATATCCAGCTGGACGGACTCTCGCTGATGGAGATCAACGAGATGCGGCCGTTTATTTTAGAGGTGATGGATCAGCTACGGAAAATGAACGACAGTCTCAAAGTCAAGGCCGAGGAGGAAACGCCGCGCCAGGCGGCCGCACAGATGGACCGCGACGACGAGAGCGACGACGATATATATCAGAAAGAGTGAACTAGCAAACGTTCTCCACAGCAACAGGCCTGCGGTCTTCCTCGCCCAGATCGGTCTTGAGTCGTCTGTCAAACAGCTCAAACAGAAATCCGAAACAGGAGCTTGTGATGGCCGAGTCGTAGCGGCCCTTGCTGCTCTCGTCGCGAACAAACGCATGCTGGGCATCGCAGATCTCCATGAACGTGAGCTTGGCTCCCGCGTCTCTGAGCTTGGTCCTGATGAGATCGCGGCCCTCGGGCGGCACGTGGTTGTCGAGCGTGCCGAAAAACATTACCAGCTCCTGTCTGTGGCTGTCGAGCTCCTTGCACACCCGCTCCAGCGAGTCGTCGCCGCCTTTTCCTAGCGAACTGGAGTGGATGTCGGTAGCAAAGAAACACACGGCCGCGGTGACGCGCTGGTCAAGAAGCGCGCGGAACGCCAGATGGCCGCCCAGACACATTCCCGTGGCGCCGATTTTCCCGTTAAACGTGTCCAGCGAGTACAAATAATCACAGCATAGCTTATTGTCCTCGTCGTAGGAGTCGACCGTTTTTTCAACCTTGTACCGGTTGCCGTCGTCCGTTCCCTTCACGTCGTAGGCCAATGGACGGTGGTCGACGAAATCGTGGTAGATCGACGGAGCCACGCAAATGTAGCCCTCGGCAGCGATCTTCTTTGCAAACCGTGCAACAGGACCCGTCACCTGGTAGATCTCGCTGTACACCACGACTCCCGGGAACTTGGCCCGCGGATAGCCGGGGATTTTCGGGTGGAACGTGTAGATTCTCATGGTGTCTCCCTTGGACGTCTTGACGTCCGTATACGACTCGGTGATGAGCATTGTAAAATTGTGGTTTGAGGTGTCGTATAAATGAAAAATACGGAAAATAAATATTTTCGAGATACTTCATGTTTGTCAGAGCACCTTCTCTCGCCAGACCGTCGGCGGCCCGCTGGCTGCTGAATTTTGCACGCCATGCCTCCAGCGCAGCTGGCAAGTCGAAAAAACCAATCCCGCGTCCAGGCATCGACCGGATTGGCGTGCCTTTCGACCCCTACGTGCCCATGAGAATGTCCCGTCTGCCCAGCCCGCTCACGGCGCCAAAAGTGTACTTGAAAAGCATCTGGAACCGTCTGCTCCTTTTCGCATACAATCAGGTCCAGGTGTACTACTTCAAAAAGTCGATGGGGAAGAAGTACAAGCCGAACTTTCTCAAATGGAAAAATGAGGCCATCGAGACGTTTGTCAGAGTGAACAAGGGATTCGCCGAGAAAAAACTGGCCTCAATCCGCACAAACGTGTCCGAGTACGTCTACAACGCGCTGGAGGCCAGGACGAAACGCATGCCTTCGACGACGACCATGGGCTGGGAGCTTATGAAGTTCAACTCGGTACCAAAAATAATCAGCGTGCACTCGTTCCCGCACGAGGACGGAGTGCCCCTTCTTTTGCAGATCGTCTACAAGTTCGACACTAAGCAGCAGCTGGTCGTCAAGAAAGCCGGCCAGGACGTCCAGAAAAACGTCAGAGACCTCACAGAGTATCTGGCCTTCAACGTCGACCCATTCACGGACAGAATCGTCCTTGCCGGCTCCGTGTTCGAGTCGCCCGTGTCCAGAGGAGTGGCTCCCAAGGAGGCTGGCGGGAAAGAAGAGATAATGGCCCAGATGAAAGCCCACGGAGACATCTACCGCGTCGAACAGCCTCAAAAATAAACTGTATATAAATTAAACGTGCCTAGTCCAGGATACTGGTGGCCTGGGCCGGCACGGTATTCAGATCCAAAGTACATAGACTTTGATTGCCGTGCGTGAGATGGAACGTTTCGTCGCCCTCGATGTCGTCGCCGTCAGACAGAAGTCCTAAATTCTCCTCCATGTCGTGAGAGTCTTGCTCGATCACGTTCTGGTAGGACGGAAGATCGTCTTCGTAGTATGCCAAGGAAGATCTCGATGGAACATGGCTGGCGTTTTCGTAGTCAAATTTTCCATTGATGATGATCGCAGGACGGCTGATCACGTTCTCCTTCGAGACCGACGGCTTCAGCAGATTACTCAGCTGTCCTCCCGCGCTGGAGGGCTTGATATCCTTTTTCGCAAATAGTTCGTCGTCTTCCGCATCGGCCTTCTGAAGCAGGCTGTCGAGGTTATTGAAGCTCACGTCGTTCATGTTGTTGAGGTTGAGCCCGCTCAAACTGCTGCCGTTATGACCCATGCTGTAAGATGCAGGAGGTGAACTGGGCCCGATTGAGAACGGCGACTGCGAGAGCATGGTGGTGGAATTGAACGTCGAGGAGTACTGGTTCGGAATGTTGTAGCCGCTCATCATCGGAGACGAAGGCTGTAACACGGCCTCTTCGAAAGTCGGCAGATCCTCGTCGATGTCGTTGTTCTGGTCGCAATCAGCACTAAAAGCAAAGCCGTCGGTCGGTTTTGAGGCGTCGAGCGCTGACGATCTCACGGCGTATTCATAGCTAGGGAGCTCGACGTTCTCGCGCACGCAGAAAGGCGAGACAAAGACAATGGGCGTGTCCACAATCACCTCGTAGTGATGCATTTTCTGCTCGCCATTGTGGTCGGTTTTGTTTTCGTACGGCTTGCTGATGCGGAAACAAACCTGCAGTCGATGTTTGATATTCACGTTGTGGAAATTAGTGTCGGGATAAAATGAGAACTCCTGCAACCGGTCCTCCTCTTTATTTGACATCTTTGGTGGATAGGTTGTCTTTTTTGGAGACAGAATAGGCGAAAGCAAAGGCGATTTGGACAGCCAGCCAGAACTCTCTTCTTCCTGCTGGTCGTTTTCGCCCTGCGAGCTCATAGAAAAAATGGACACCTCGTCGCCGACAGGAGTCGGATCGATATCGTTGTCATTGCCGTCAACGCCATTTTGTGTAAGAGCATCGTGGGTCTCGGAGATGAGTTTCGTTTCGTCGTTTGCAATGAAACGTAGCGGACACTGCAATTTGACAGGATTCGTGATGCTGACTTCCTCCTGTGTGGCTGAAGGCAACGAGCTGGAACTCGAATTTTTGGACGTTTCGAGCAATTTGGCCATTCTTTTCGTTCCCAGATGCAAGTTGCTGAAAGACCCTGATCTGCTGCGTCCCTCGAAGTCGGACAATTTCCCGTTGTTGTAACAGAACGTCAGAAGGTTATCGTTAACACAGCCCTTGATGATCTGGGTGTTCATGGCGGCGGTGTGATTCTTCTCCTTGGTTTTGATCTCCATCAACGTCACTTTGCGCTCTTTGCACCCAGAACGGTCCATTGAGCCCACTTCGGCCTCGTACTTGCGGTCCTTTGAGATGTATGTGATTTTTTCCACAATGTTGATCTTGATCCGCTTCAGAGAAAGATTTTTCACCAACGGAATGAGCTTCATTTGCAGAACAAAGGTCGATGTTCTCATAAACGGGTCGTTGATGCCAGTTTTTGGAGAGAGCTGGATGAACTTCCGAGGCAGCAGAATCTCGTAGTTGAGAGAATCGCTCCAGATCTTGTTGACGTAGATGGATTTGTTCAATGTGGACGTGGCGTCCGAAGGAGGCAGACGAATAACCGGCAGCTCGTGGCTAAAGTCGTACATTGGGTTTGCGGGCTTGTGCGAAGCTGAGGCGTTTGAAGAAACGGAGGAAGATCGGTGGCGGCCGATTTTAAGTCGGATACCCTTGGAGGTGTTGGAATTGAAGTAGCTTCCCACCATGTCGGTGTCCTCATACCTATGGTGTTGCGGAACGGAAAGCAAAGCTGATGGGGGAGGAAGAATGGCAGGAACGTATTGCGCGGACTCAACTTGCACGTGCAGATTGTGCGAGACAGTAGCGAGAGGTGTCCGCACGGTTTCAGGGGTGTTGATCGGGTATACCACAGGAAGCAAAAATACGTAGTAACCAGGCTGGAAATTGCGTGCCTCAGCCTCCACCCCTGCAAATAGGTCCTCGTGTTTGACAGTGTCTTTACCGTTGTCTTCGATTTCACTGACAAAGTCTTTTGGGCTCAGAGGCTCGTAGTATCGGAGTTCCTGAGCTGCGGAGGAAGAGCGCAGAATCTCCGCAGACGTTTTGGTGGACGATGTGACTTCTGACTCTGCATCCTGAGCAAACTCGAAGTTGAACTCCTCCACACTGTCTGGGTCGCTGTCGAAGACTTTGAACGGGATAAAGCAGTCTGGGTTGCGCAGATCCAGGTCCCAGTCAATGTCTTTAGACACTTTGTACTTTTCCTTGAATGCCAGTTTGTGTTTTCCCTTTGAATTTTCCAAGCTGATGCCAGAAGTCCAGTTTGTGGTCGCGTCGGCGTAGTAGCGGGCCCGAGCCACAGAGGTCAGCGACTGGGTCTTCATGAGCCGGACGACCACGACAAACGTGTGGCTGGCCACAGTGTGGTGCGGAGCACGCGGCTGGCGCGAACCCTGCTGTCCCGGCTCGGGGGTCTCGTCGATGTCAGACTCGTCCATATCGCCCTCCTCGTCCTCGTCGGGAGCGTCGTCTGCAAGCTGGTCCTTCTTCTTGGCCGGGTTGTACGGCAAAAACAGCATCTGGCCCGTGCCCGACAGGAACGCCTGCACAGACTTTGGAGTGGAGTTGCCGAATATTTTCAGCGCAGACTTGCCGATTTTCGAGCCGTGCTTGAACTTCACCAGGCTGGCGCTGAAGCCGCACTGCGACAGATACGACGCCAGCGCGTCGTTGTAGGGTTTCATGTTTGTCTTGCTGAAGTCGGCGGACTCGCCTGCGAGATCGTCGTTGCTCAGGGTGAAAGAGTGCACATCGATGCTGTTTCTGGGGGAGTAGGGGGCAGGGTTCATCGGGCTCGTGCCGGCCAACGACTGCAGTTTCTGCTTGATCATCTTGATGGAGCTCGATCGCGACGTCCTGGGGCCTACAATTCCCATGCTTTTCGTCCCGGAAGAGGAGTGGGCTAGATGTTCGGACGACAGCGACATTGTCTTGGAAGAGTCGGAAACGATACTGAACGGCGTGTCAAGAGCGGGTCCTGTGTGTTCTGCAACGGTCTCCGTTTGTTGTAGCTACACTTTCAACTGTAAGAGCGAAAATAACCCTCAAGCCCAAATGTAGAACAAGATCAATTTGACACCAATTTTATTATCTTGGTATTTTTTCTTGTCGCACACATGGGCGGTGGACAGAAAAAAATACTCGATGGAGTCAGACTCGTGGTGGTGCCGCGGACGCGGTCGAAAGTCGACCGGGCCCGCATGGACATCTGGAAACGGCAGGGGGCCGTTCTGGACTCTGTGGTGAAGAGCCCCGACTCGATAGTGGTGGTGACCAGGCCGTTGAGCAGGGCCCGGTTTGACAGTTCCGTCGGGGCCAAATACCGCGAGCAGCCGGTGGTGAGGCCCGAGTGGGTGGTGGACTCGCTCGCGAACAGGCGATTGATGCCGCTTGACCAGTATAGGTACAGCTTTGACGAGAAAAAGCCGGAGGCTACAAAAGAGCCCGCAAAGTTGGAAGCAGCCGACCCGCACAGGGCGGACCAGCGTCTGGTTGGGTTTCTGAGCATGGGGGCGCGCGGCGAAAAAGGCCGGATGGGCGAGTTTGCCAACAACGCCAAGGTGGTGAAACGGTTCGAGGAAGCGATAAGGATATACGAGCTGATGCAATTTTTCGACAAAAACAACGCCTTCCGAATCAAGAACTACCGGCTGGCGATCAGCGCGATCGAGAGTCTGGACAGGCCGCTAACGAGCGCGCAGGACCTCAAGCCGTTTGGGCTGGACCGCGGAGGCATCGCGCAGCACGTAGAGGAGATCCTACAGACGGGCACGTTCTCGAAGCTGGAGACCCTGAAACAGCAGGAAATGGCAGACGAGCGGTACCAGCGAATGACGCAATTCAAGAAAATTTACGGTGTCGGCGACAAAACAGCGTACCGGTTTGTCAAGGCGGGCTACAAAAGTATTCAGGACATTGTGCACGACCAAGAAATGTATGCAAGTCTCACGGACGCCCAAAAACAGGGAATTCTGCACTATGACGAGTGGAACGAGCGGATCCCACGCACAGAAGTGGAGGCGCATCACAACTTTGTGGTGAAAGAGGCGGAAGCAATAGACACAAACCTTAAAGTGATGCTAATGGGGTCGTACCGACGGGGAGCTGAGACGAGCGGCGACATCGACCTCATTGTCTACACGGAGGGCGTCAACGAGGCGAGCCAGGTCCACGAAAACCTGTACAAGCTCACGCGCAGGCTCCAGGAGTCCGGATTCATCGTCTGTTCCATGACAGAAGTCTCGCCCGCAATGCACAAGTTCAACGGCGGCTGCAAGCTGCCAGGAGCACAAAAATGCCGTCGGCTAGACATAATCGGTATCCCGCACGCGGAACTCGGGGCGTCGACCATCTACTTTGTCGGAAACGACATATTCAACAGGTGCCTACGGTTGCTTGCTCAGATCAAGGGGTATCATCTGAGCAACAAAGGCCTGTTTCTGGCTGCAGATAAATCCCTGGTGGAGAGTTTTGACGAACGCAAGATATTGCACACGCTGGGCCTCGATTGGGTGGAATATAAGCATCGAAACATTTAGCTACATATCTGAAACCAGGTGCACGCAGGATATTTATCGCACGCGCGTGCGGCTCGCGGCGGCCGGTTTCAAAATTTGCAACCAGCCATAAAAACCGGCACGCTGGCATTTTTCTGTGTCACAAGAAATATACGAGACGATAGGAGCCAGACACCCCACAGAGACTGCTGCCACCCGTCACTGGCTTTTATAGAGCTCTCTAGCCGCGTTGATATCCAGAGTTCCAAAGTAAACCCATTACTGATACCCCTATAGATGTCTGCCAACAGCAAGTCAAAACCGCCAGCACTGGACCTTGGCAAACAGTCCAAGGCGGAGCTGGAGAAAATCGCATACCACATCGTGTCGCCCGGTCTGCCGCCGCTCAGCGACAGAAACCAAAACCGCGTCCGCCAAAGCAAATCCATCGAGGCCCAGCAGAAACGTCTGATCAACGAGCGTGTCGGCAGCACGAGCCCGGCACAAACCAAGCAATCGCCCGGTTCAGGTGTTGGCAAGGGCGTTCCACGCTTGAAAAGGGCCAGGCCGCCTCCCCCATTGGATATCCGCCCCAGTCCCGTGCAACACGGCCTGGCCATGAGATCGGCTCCATTGCGAGGGCATCGCATGCTGATGCGGCCGTATCCTGCGCCACAGCCTGTCTACACTCCTCCCCATGGATATTGCCCCCACTATCTGCCCGCCTACGTGCCAGCCTACCCCCCTGCCGTGTACCCGTCGCCGCCCCTGGTGCGATGTCATCAGGTGAGCATGGACAACGGAAAGTACGTTGTGGTGAAGACGCCGAGCCCTGAGGACGATCCGACGCCAGACGAGGTGGACGAGGACAAAGGCGCAGAGTCGTCGCTCGACGACGACGTCGAGAGCCGCGCAATCGAGGACGGAGCCGTGCCCAGCGAGACACCGTCTGATCCTGCGCCCGAGGCGCCCGTCGCGCTGGTTTCGGGCGATCTGCGACTGGGCTCCGAGGTCTACACGTACGAGGTGCCCGTGCACGAAAAAACAAGCGATTTCCGCAAACACTTCCTGCGCCTGGCAGGAGCCATTTTCGACGACTATATAGCCAGGGCAGGATATTGATGATTATGTAAGGACGAAAAAATATTGGATAAAATCGAGCCTGGATCGCTATTTTTTTTTTTTAATTATCCATGTTTCCCACAAAAGTCAGTGCTCGGCAGACGTGGCGTTGCGCGAGGCCCGTCGTCGGCAGGGTCGCGTGGCAGCCGTGCCGTCGGTTCACGCCGCAGCCCAACGACCTCGCCAGACGGGTCTTCGACGACCCAGACACCTGGCGACAGTACAAGGACAAACGCCCCGGGCTGCCGTTTGGGTTCCACAACTACACCTCGGGCTCGGTGGGCATGTTTCTGAACCCGTATCTGAAGCGGCCGTCTGGGCTCCTGGAGTTTTGCAAAGAGTCTCTTCTCCGAGCTCGGCAACTCACCATATCCATCATAGCAGACGATTCCGCCGCTGGCCTGCGCCAATATATCAGAAACCTGGATAGACTCAGCGACATCCTGTGTCGTGTGATAGATCTGTGCGAGTTTGTGCGTGTGGCGCACCCCAACAAGGCGTTTGTTAACGCTGCTGCCGACTGCCACAAGGAGATGTTTCGGTTCATGAACGAGCTAAATACGTCTGAGGAGATGTATCTGAAGCTCGAGCGCGTGCTGCACGACCCAGAGCTGAGCAGGGAGCTGAGCATGGAGGAGATCAGCGTGGGGAAGCTGCTGTACGCGGACTTCCAGAAGGCTGGGCTCGGGCTCGCCGGCGAGGGCAAGTCGACGTACGTGGAGCTGAGCCAGCACATTGCCGAGGTTGGCCAGCAGTTTGCAGACGAGGTGTACGAGGTGGAGTCGGCAGAAGTGCTGGTTCCGAAGGCAGAGGTCCAGCCGGGCGATTTCACACCAGAGCTCGAAAAATACATTCACGTGACCACCAAGGGCGTCAAGATCCCGCTCTATGGGCACGTTCCGATGGAGGTTCTGCGGACCTGTCCGAATAGAGACGTGCGGCGGCGTGTGTGGGTCGCCATGCACACGGCGAAACCAATCCAGCTCAAGAGACTGACGCATTTGGTGATCTACCGACGGCTTCTGGCTGCGCAGTTCCAGCACGACAGTTTCGGCGCGTATCAGCTGAACGACAAGATGGCGCGGTCGCCTGAGAACGTGCGGCGGTTTCTGGAGAAGCTGGCGTTGGAGATCCGGCCAGAGGTCGAGCAGGAGCTCAAGGTGCTGGCGAAAAGCGTCAACATAGAGTCCGACCCGATCAAGGAGATCAGGCCGTGGGACCGCGAGTATCTGGCTGCGAGGTATCTGAGCCGGCAGAAGAGCTCGAGCACCGAAGACATCAGCGCATACTTCTCTCTGGGAACCGTTGTGCAGGGTCTTTCTGATTTATTCAAAAGCATTTACGGCATCGAGCTGCGGCCGGCCAAAGTGCAGCCGGGTGAGGTCTGGGAGCCGAGTGTGCGCAAGTTCGAGGCCACGAGCGACACGGACGGTGTCGTGGGCATTATTTATATGGACCTGTTCTACAGGTCCAACAAGACGCTGAACCCGGCACATTTCACCATCTGCTGCTCGCGAAAAATATACCCACAGGAGCTGGACGAAAACGATCCTTTTAACTTGAAACTGCCCACGGTCCAGACCAAGAAACATGGCGACGACACGTTCCAGCTGCCTGTGATCTCGCTTGTGTGCAATTTCCAGCCCGAACACGTCCACGGGCACGCGGAAAAGTGTCTGCTCTCTCTCGCACAGGTGGAAACGCTCTTCCACGAGATGGGCCACGCGATGCACTCGATGCTGGGGCGCACAAATCTGCACAACGTCAGCGGAACAAGGTGTCCGACAGACTTTGTGGAGCTGCCGTCGATTCTGATGGAGTTTTTCGCCAAAGACGAGCGCGTGCTGCTCTCGTTCGCCCGCCACCACAAGACCGGCGAGCCGCTCCCACCGGCGCTGCTGCGCCGCCACCAGGCAGACCACTCGTTCCTCGACAAGTGCGAGACCTTCAGCCAGATCAAGATGGCGTTTTTGGACCAGCAGCTGCACGGAGCAATCGACTTCAACTTCGACCCTCTGCGCTGCTACCACGACGTCGAGCGCCACTTCGAGGCGTTCAAGGACGACGAGTCGTCGTGGGTCGCCAAGTTCGGCCATCTGTACTCGTACGGTGCGATGTACTACTCGTATCTGTTCGACAGAGTGATTGCCACGCGGATCTGGGAGCATCTGTTTGCGGAAGACCCGTTCTCGCGCACAAACGGCGACAAGTTCAAGAACCAGGTCCTCAGGTGGGGCGGATCGCGCGACCCGTGGGAGCTCGTGGCCGACGTGCTGGAGGCGCCGGCGCTGCGCCGGGGCGACGCTGCTGCGATGGAGCTGCTGAGCCATAACGGCGCGTCGATCGACGCGCCGACGCACTAGGCTGTAGAAATACGTGGAAAAATAATGTAGTATATTGTTATGAGTGAGACCATTAAAGTAACGATCAAGTAAGTAGCGCTTTCCGACCGTCGCTAACACGCAGATCGTCTGGGGACAAGAAGTACGAGGTGAGTCTGTCGCCTTCGTCGACGATCGCGGAGGTGAAAGAGCAGCTGGCGGGAGAAACAGAGATTCCTGCTGATAGGCAGAGACTCATTTATTCCGGCAAAGTGCTGAAGGATGCGGAGACCGTTGCCGCGTACAAGATCCAGAACGGCCACACGATCCACCTGGTGAAGGGCGCGGCCAAAAGCGGCAGCGCAGGCCCGGAATCAACAGGAGCCTCAAGTGGACAGCCGGGGGCAAACTCCGACACCAGCATTCCGCAGAACATCGCTGCCGGCCAAGGTGCATTCAACCCGCTGGCCGGGCTCACTGGCGCACGGTACGCGGGCCTGAACGTGCCTATGCCTTCGATGGAGTCTCTGGGCTTCGGTGCCGACGGAATGCAGCTTCCGGACGAATCCCAGATGGAACAGATGATGGAAAACCCAATGTTCCAGGAAAGCATGCGTGCGATGCTTTCTGACCCGCAAATGCTGGACTTTCTGATCCAGCAGTCGCCTCAGCTGAGCGCGATGGGCCCTGCGGCCAGAGAAATGTTGCAAAGTGAATACTTCCGCAACATGTTGACTAATCCACAGATGATGAGAAGCATGATGCAAATGCAGAGAGGTATGGGCGGTCCGTCGGCGCCTGCGTTCCCTGCTCCAGGTGGAGCGTCCACGGAAGCGGGAAACAGCGCCTCAGCCACCAATACTGGCGGATCGGGGTCTGGCTCTGGCTCTGGCTCCACCACCGGATCTGCCGCCGCTGCCAACCCGTTTGCCGCTCTTTTGGGCGCAAACATGGGTGCCGGCCTTGGCGGACTTGGAGCGCTGGGCGGCTTCCCTGGCCTCGCTGCTCCAGCGGACAACAGGCCGCCAGAAGAGGTGTTTGAGGTGCAGTTGCGTCAGTTGAACGATATGGGATTTTTCGACTTTGACAGCAACGTGCGTGCGCTCAGAAGAAGCGGTGGGTCCGTGGAGGGGGCGATTGAGGCGCTGTTGAACGGTAATATATGATGGCGAGCGCACTGTCTGGTGCTATGTACCGAATGTACGTAACCTGTTGCACATATGAGTATGGTGCGAGGTGTAGGTCTCTGTACCCGAGGGGGTGTTAGGCGTGGACTATTTTCCAAAATCCTGTGAAATATATGAACACTGTCTTCAGTGCCAACAGGGGCTATTTTTTGTGTCCTGATGCGGAAGAGGCGTTTGACACCGGTCCAGTGTATACAAACGGCTTTGACCAGCTGGAGCCTGCTGACGGTGAGCTGATTAATGAAATTCCCGAGCGCGAGAAGCATGCCAAAGAAAGTGCTCGTGCACGCAAGAAACGGGAAAAGCAGCAGCATAAACAGCGTCGACAGCGCAAGAGCCCGCGGTCCGAGTGGTCACTCGTGCAGGAGCTGTGCTCTGGTGACGAGAAGGTGCTCAAATTCCACGAGATCACCGTCTATCGCGAGGATATTCTGAATCTTCGAGACGACGAGTGGCTTAACGACAACAACCTGGCCTTCATCTACGAGTATATTACTCGTGTGCACATCGAACCGACGCTGAGACGTCGAATCCGCTTTTCCAACAAGCAAATGATAGAAACGAGCATAATATTACTGATGCCTACATTTACGTTTTTGCTGGCCCATCATCCGGAGCCAACCCAGCTCAAGGGTGTTCTTCCGCCGATCGAGAAGGCGAAATTTGTGTTCATGCCTCTGAACGACAACGAGGACCTTGGGGTGGCCGAGGGCGGGTACCATTGGTCCCTGGTGGTGCTCAGTGTCGAGGACCGGCTGGCTATGGTTTACGACTCGATGGAGTCTGCCAACGAGCAGGAGACAAGGCAGCTGGTGAGCAAGATTGAGCAATACTATGGGGCCAAGTTCAGAATTGCAGTCGACGCGCACCCGCCGCAGCAGAGCAACGGGTCGGACTGCGGTATCAGCGTGGCTGGGTTCACGGCGATTTTGGTAGCACGGTTGCTCAACGCAGAGGAAAAGCACAAAATTAATATGAGCATGGAGAACGTGCGCTTCAGCGCTCTGGACGCTCGCCTGTTTGTTCTGAAATGCATCAAACGGCTAAGAGACGAGGCTGACATTGACTGAAGCGTGTATAGTGATTGATCGATTAGAGCGAGTGGCAGGTTTTTGTAGGATGGGAAATGATATTTAGGTTGCTGGGTGTCGTCACTTGAACTTCTTGGGCACATTTAAGGCACAAGACAAGCCGCGCTGGACTTCCTATGAGGCAGGTTGCAAGCATACTTTGTTTCATGTCACGTGTGCGCCGAAAGTCCACTATCGTGATGCTGAGTGGTCTCTCCAGTACGGCTAAGATCCGGGAGTAGGTATACCTCGGACCAGATCTGGCTGACAATCTGGCATGGCTTGGCATCTGAGCAATGAGGAGTGGCTGTGAAAAGTGGCCGCAGGCTCCAGCTAGGTGAGCTTAGCATCAAATAGCCCCTGATCACGGACAAATTTGAGCCTGGATATGTTACACACCAAAATTCAAAAAGTAGCTGATTTTCTGCTCCTTCCTTCCTAGGAAATACCTGGCGAGTCATCTGCCTTAAAATCCACTCCTGATTACCGGTTTTTCACGCATACGTCTGTGGTACACCTGTAACTAACTTATCTTAGTACATCTGCTCCGCATTATGTAAGCGCGTTTGACATTTATTTTACGTTATTTATTTTTATTTTTTTTGGTGATTTCATGACATATGTGCCCGTCGGATACATTGCCCCCCGATTTCCGGCTCTGGGATGGCCGTTGACCAAGTTCACTCTCTATTACACCAAAGATGTGGTTAAATTCACAATGTTCTGGTGTATCATTTTGATGACTGCGTTCTATCTGGCAGCCGCATTGATCGCTTCCTTCACATACTACAAGAACAACAAGAATAGCAAGAAAAAAGGCACTGCGCTGGTGGCCATCGTGGGCGTCTACGTGCTGGTCGGAGTGATCCAGGCAGTGTTGTCTGGATCGCTGATTGGCCTGCTACTTGCCGAAATATACAAAAGCGGTCAGTTTGGACTCAACCCGTGGCTTACGTTCATCTACGGAATCATTGTTGTGCTGTTTAATATTGCAACTTCCTATTCCCTAACCAGTGTTTTATTATAAAGCTATGCGTCGAAACAATACATCTTCACGTCGCCGTTCTCCAGACCACAAACAAACCTCGAATCGCCCAGCGCCACGCACGTGATCGGCGCGCTGGAACCGGCAAACGTGTGCATGCATTTTCCAGTTTGCAGGTCCCAGACCTTGATCAGCTTGTCGTGGGCACCACTCACGATACGGAACGTATCTGCTGCAATGGACCAAACACCCTCGATGTGGCCAAACTGGGTCCGGACACACTTGCCGGTCTTGAGGTCCCAGAGCTTGATGGTGTTGTCCAGAGAGGCAGTGAGGAGGTGCGTTGGGAGCTCTGGGTTCTGCAGAACAAAGTCCTGGTCACTCTGGGTCTGTTCATCGGTCTGTTTTTCGGATTCGTCGGTCAGCTTCTCGTCGAAATCGGTCACGATGGCGTCCTTCAGCGAAAATGGTATCACACACTGGATCTGGCCAACATGGCCGTTGTTCTCGACTCCTCCAAACACCCTCAGACACTCGTTCGTGTTCAGGTCCCACATGCGCACCGTGGAGTCGTCCGAAGCGCTGAAAAGCGTGTTGCTCTTCGGATGGATCTTCACACAGGTAACCCAGTCGGTGTGGCCACGCAGCGTGTAGCACGTGCGCGACTCGACGTGCCAAACCTTGACCGTGTTGTCTGCCGAGCCTGAAACGATGAGTTTCTCGTGAAAGTCGACGCTGATCACGCCTTCCTCGTGGCCCGTGTACGTGGATATACACTGGCCCGTGCGGTAGTTCCAGACCTTGATGGTGGAGTCCAGACCCCCGGTGATGAGTTTCTGGTCGTCGAATGCGAGCGTGCGCACGCCTCGTGTGTGGCCCGTCAGCGTGCGCAGCAGTTTTCCTGTCTCCACGTTCCAAATCTTGATAGTCTTGTCGTAAGACCCCGTCATCAGCAAATTGTTGTTGTCGTACTGGCAGCACAGAACGCCGTCCATGTGGCCCTCAAACCGTTTAATCTTGTATAATCCCTTTCTCCAATTGCGCTCAACGGTGTATCGCTCCGAGTAAACTGCCTTCCAGGGCCGTTTCTTGTTGACCTTCTGTCTTTTGACGTCTGGCTTGCAGTCGTCGAGTCTTGGCGGCAGCCGCTCGACAATAGACTCTGTAGAGTCCATGTCGTTGCTTCTGCGTCTGCGGCTACATTCCTGCAGTTTCTTGACTGCCATCAGTGGTAGCCCCCAACCGCACTGAGGACACTTCCGGTCGATGTGCTGTTCGCACATATATCTCCAGACCCTGTCATCGTCGGCCAGCTGCTTCCACCTCGTGGAGACCTGGGCAGCATTGCAAAGGCTCTGGCAGTCCAGATAACACAGAATTTTGAGCGCTATCTCGCTCGGCAGCGTCTCAATGAAGTCGATCTTGATCAGTTTGGAAACTTCCTGCGAAATGAGCGACAGTTGCGGGAAACAACACTGGCTGAGCAACCCTTTGAGGATGAGGCTGCGGTGTTGCGTGGGGGCGGCGCTGAAGATGGACCACACGTGGGAAATCGCCTCCTTATCGCGGCGAGGGAGCTTCTCGAGCTCGGACTGGATCTCCCGCATCTTTGTCTCGTCAGAACGACGGTCGAACCGGACTTTGGGATTGTGCCTGTAGCAAAATCGTTTTTCGCAGTCGTCCTGGTCTTGCAAATGGCTGGTGAGGAATGGCGTCACTATGGATTTATTAGGGGGATCTTCGGGGGATGAATTGTCAGTCCGCTGTATTTCCTGCTGCGAAGAAGGCCCCGACGTGATGCTGTTGCTCATCACTTGCTCCAGACCGTTCGAGTCTGGGCTCTTGCACACCTTCTGAAGCACACTCATGTTGTATATGAAACGAAAGAGGGTTTAAAATTTAAAAGAAAAACTGTGGCATCAGATAATGTGGTTTTTGAACCGTTTTATTTCCCGTATTTATTTTCGCCATGGACCCATGCTTACGTAAACGTGACCCAGCTACCACTTCTCCTCCGGGTTGGCCTTGAACTTTTCGTACTCTGCCCGCTTGAAGATGCTCAATTCGGTCTCGTTGGCGATCCCGTAGTCTGCGAGCGTCCTGGTGTTGTCCTCGAGGTCCAGGATCCAGTCATCGTCGTGATCCATGTTGATCACCAGATTCATCGTCTTGCTGCCGTGTGCGTGGGTGTAGATCTTGAGCGTGTCGTAGTCCACGCCTCTGTACGGTCTGAGAGCGCCTGTGGTGTTGATGGTGTTGATGATCGTGTCGAAGAGCTGTTTTGGGGTGGTGTTTTTCAGGTCGACGTGCGGAAACACGTGGTTGCGGACGTTTCTATAGGGGAAAGACTTGATGATCCGCACGGTTAGCACGGAGTCGGTCACTGGGGTTAGCGTGGGGGGGGCGGCTGACTACTTACGTGGGCGGGCCGTCGATGTGAGAGGCTCTTCCAAATCAAATTCACTCATCCTAAATAATTTTTTCTCTAATTTTCTGGCACTTTTTTCAAAATATAAGGCCTGTGGTTTTCGATCTCCACTAAAGTGGCCGCGCCGGAGCTGAACTCCACCAGCCCTGTCTCTGCCACGTACTGCACCCAGTGGTCCAGCAGCTCCTTGAGCTTGTCGGGATGCGACTCTGCCAGATCGTGGATCTCGCCGGGATCTGCTGTCAGATCGAACAGCTGCCATCTTCCAGGGCCGTACGGCTTGGGGATGTACAAGGCCTTGTACTTGCCCTTGCGCAGGGCCTGCTGGCCAAACAGCTCCCAGCCGGTGACTGTGTCCTCGTCGTGGATCCTGTCTCCTCCCTTGAGATACGAGACCCACGATTTTCCTCTGGGCGTGAGCACTTTGCGGCCGCGGTACTCTGTGCCCGGGTGCTGGACGCCTGCAAGTTCCAGCACGGTCGGCAAGATATCCATCACCGTGCAGAACTCGCCGCTCACGCCACCTGCAGGAAGGGCAAATTTCGGATACCTCAAAATGAGGGGACACCGAATGCCTCCCTCGGACGCCCACATCTTGTACATGTACGATGGGGCCGTCGCGGCCTGTGCCCATTGGTCGGAGTACCACACGAAAGAGTCCTTGTTTCCCAGATTGTCATAAGAGTTGTTGTAGTGTGCGCGAATGGCGTTTTCTGTTCTCTCCATCCACAACGGCATGGCTTCCAAGAGCATGCCCTCGGCTCCATTGTCTGACATGAACAGAATGAGCGTGTTGTCGTACTCACCCGTTTCTTTCAGGTGGTCCACCACGCGCCCGACGTCCGCGTCAAGAACCTCGACCATGGCGGCGTAGATCTCCATGATCCGGGCTTCGATCTTTTTCTCCTCGTCGGTCAGCTCTTCCCAAGTCTTGTCGCGGTGAGTTTCCACCTGGTGCGGCTCGATGCCGTCGGGGATAATTCCCAGCTCGAGCGCGCGTTTCAGCCTCTCGCGGCGCAGCACTGCCGGTCCCGAATCGTAACGGCCCTTGTACTTATCTATCACCTCGCGTGGGGCCTGATACGGCCAATGTGGGGCAGTGTAGGTCAAACAACCGAGGAAAGGCCGCCCGGCCCGTTTCTCGTCCTGCAGAAAGTCCAGAGCCTTGTCCGTGTACAGGTGGGTGCTGTAAAAGTCCTCGGGCAGATCATACGGATCCAGCTCGTTGTCGTCCTCCACATAAAATGGCCTCATAAACCCAATGGGCTCGCCGCCCTCTTTGGACTTGGGGAAATACTTGAAGTGGTTTCCGGCTCCGGGCAGCAGCGTGAAGGAACGCTCAAAACCGCGCTGAACAGGCCAGTGAGGACGGTCTAATCCAAGATGCCACTTTCCAGATATAAAAGTATAGTAGCCCGCGTCATGCAAGATCTCGGGCAACGCAGCTACTCTATCGTTCAGGTAACCCTCGTAGCCAGGCTTGCCCGCAAACCTTTCCGGGTAGTTCCTAGCAAACTCGGCCATCTGGCCGAGGCCGGCAAGATGGTTGTCGGTGCCTGACAGAAGCATTGATCTTGTAGGAGAACAAGCCGACGCTGTGTGGAACTGCGTGAACCGATAGCCGTCCAGAGCCAGCTTGTACAGGTTGGGGGTGGAAATCTCGCCTCCAAATGGACTCAGGTCGGTGAACCCGAGGTCGTCAGCGACAATGATCAGGAAGTTAGGGGCCATAGTGTGCTGGTATTTTTCAGCTTTGGCCGCTTCCTTTTTCATACACCATCCCGATCCACACTTGAGAAATCATCGCTAGTCACGTGACGCGCTTGTAATGTTTTTTCTTTTCGATGTGCCCCCAGATTTGTTCCGCGCCTCGACGCATGTCGGGCTTTAAACCCGAACTCTATAGTGTCCTGTGCCCATAAATTAAATAAAAGTTATTTGGCACGGCTCAAGCCGACGAATCTGCTGTTTTTTTTATATTTACCCCCTGCGCCTTCTTCATCCATACTTCGCTCTGCTCACTCCTATAAAGGGTCCCTAATACCTAATTCTCCACACATGACATCGGAACTCGCGTCTTACTCCTCCGTATACGTTTCGGCAGCCTCGGTTTTCGATTCGGCCACCTCGGTCCTCGCAACTGCGACGGCACAGGTCACCTCGAAGAGTCTGGCCCTTGTTGCTGAGCAGGCGAAGGCCACCATGTCGTACTACTCGCTTGCACAGGCTGCGGCGACCATCACGGACCCTGCAGCGGCTTCAAGTGCGTCTGCTGAGGCTGCGGTTGCTTCGGCAATTATGAAGCAATTGTTCGACAATAATGCGTTCTATGGAGGAAACGCTCCCTCTTTGGGTGGAAACATTGCTCTGCTAGTCGTGATGAGTATCTTCCTTGCCATGCAGGTCGTTTACGGAGCCATCTATAGAAACTGGTGGTTTTTCACTTGTTTTATTTGCGGTTTAATTCTCGAAGTCTTGGGTTATTGCGGGCGTATCTGGTCCTCGCAGAACATTATGTCTTTCAATGGTTATGTCCTCCAACTGGTCTGCTTAACTCTGGCTCCCTGTTTCATCATGGCCGGTATTTATTACACAATTGGCGAGATGACCATCATCATGGGCCAAATGTATTCCTGGCTCAAGCCAATGCAATATTCGCTGATCTTCATTATGTGCGACATAACTGCACTTGTTCTACAGGCCATTGGCGGTGGCGTTGCTTCCAGCGCTCTGAGTGTGCTTGAAAGCACCCGCAGCGGTGCCAACATCATGGTTGGAGGCCTTGCCTTTCAAGTTTTTTCCATTGCCCTTTTCCAGTTCTTTTGGTACGTGTTTCTGTTCAGATGTTACAGGAGCTACAGAAAGCACGGCGACGATAATTTCGACCCTCAATACGCTTCGGTTAGAAAGAGAAAGGTGTTTTTGGTCTACATCAGCTTCATTTCACTGGCAGTTATTTTTGTGTTTATTCGGTCAATCTATCGTTTGATTGAGCTTGCGCAGGGCTTTGCCGGCCATTTGGCAGTGACAGAAATCTACTTTTTCATTCTGGAGGCGCTTATGATGGCACTTGCGATCTGCCTCATGCTTGTCACCTATCCGGGCGCCGTTTACGGCCGCAACACCAAAATTGATGTCGACAAGAGCGCCAGGGGCCTATTTGAGAACACACGGTGGTTCAACTGCTTGCAGAAGAAGGACCCGGTTGAGGCTGCAGAGCCGGTCGGACCAGAAAAAGATAAAGCTGCAGCGCCGCTCTAAGCGATATCTGTGCGTTTGCGGCTTGGCGGCTCAGGGGCGCATAAGCGCTGTCATGTCCGGTATAACTAATAGCACGGTTTCTGTCTCCACCAGGTGTTTTGTATCAGCCGATTACACTGCAACGATGTAGGGTCTGTGGTATTCAGAGTTTTTACATCACATATGGTTTGATTCTTTAGCAAATAAAAATAAGTCGAAGTTAATTGTAGCAAATTTAGGGTTGCCGCTAATTTTTTAAAAATGACACAAATTTGACTGGGGCCGGGACGGGTGTCGGGCAAACTTTGGCACCCGACACACACCTACTAGTTGCACTCTGGAGGCCGGCTGACGTCTCTGAGCTCGAGTCTGCAAAGAATCATTCGCTCCCACCCTCTGGCGGGATCGTAGCACCATGACATGTCAAGGGTTGTGTACGCGACGCGAACGCGCCAGCGCGAAAACTGTTACAATCTGAAAAAATACTTTTTTGGGCCGTTGCGCGCCGCGCACCAAAGGAGCTGCAGCTGCAACCTCCAAGCACAGTGCAAGCCAAGCGGGCACTTCTGAGCACCTCGGCCACGACACAAGATGGCCATAGCGCGCCGGCGCTAATCGACGTGAGACACCCGTTGCCCTATTTTCCCCGCGAGCTTACGCGTCGCCCGCCCCGAAAAAAATTCCCGTGCCCGAATCACAGGGGTCGCGCACTCCTTTCAAGACGAAAATTTTGTGGTACATGCCCAAACAAGGGGGAACCTACATTTATAAAGAATCGACATTTCCATATTTCGAGATATCTGCCGTTTCTTCCTAGTTGTCTGAAGAGCAGTGTTTAGCGTGGTCAATTACTTTTGTTTTCCAAAGTCCCCAATTGTCTTTCTTTTCGACACCACCGTTGCAACCTACACATCCAAGGGGGAAACAAAGACAAAACGACCGACTTTTGCCTCAATTCAACGCTAGTTCCAGAACAAGTTTGATATACATGCTATACAGCGCATCTAGCAATTGAACACGCATCGAATCTACTTTAAGGGTTTGAAACCAGATAGGTCACATTTGAAGATCGTTTTTTCAATCACTGTTCAGCAGGCCTGATCTATAAGAGGATCTTGTATCCAGAAGCCAAACTCACCATCCAATATGCGACACAGAACATATGGCCCACCAAGAAGAACCCATGCCCAACAATATCCCTCGAGACTCGAGGCAATTGAGAACCGCAGAAACAGAGTCGTGGCAAACGAGTACCTCGCAAGCATCAGCGCTCATTTGCAGACTCTGGAAAACAGCTCTCAGGCCAGTGCGGCCATGATTGACCTCCAGCCAGAGGTGAAATGGTTCATGAGACCGTACCTGGTCAACTTCATAATACAAATGCACGCGTCGCTCAAATTGAAGCCACAGACGCTGTTCCTGTGCTGGAACATAATAGACAGATACTGCGCCAAACGCATTGCGTTTAAGCAGCATTACCAGCTCATCGGATGCACCGCTCTGTGGATCGCGGCCAAGTACGAGGATAAAAAGTCCAGGGTGCCTACCGTGTCCGAATTGAGTCTCATGTGCTCCAACGTGTACGACGAAAGCATGTTCAAAGAGATGGAGATCCACATTCTCAGCACGCTGGGCTGGTCGATTGGCCACACCTCGCTCGAGGACATTCTCCAGCTGTCCATCAAATTCTGCGACCACGACGGCAAAGAAACCCTTGCCAAGCCGCTAGACCAGTACAAGTCAAACTCGCCAACCGTGAGCGCCATCTTGGCCATCAGCAGATATCTTTGTGAGCTGTCGCTGTACGAGCGCAACTACCTCAACTACAAGACTTCCATGATAGGCATTGCAGCGCACTTGATGGCCTGCTCGATGCTCAAGCTCGAGACAGGTTCCAGTTGGCTCGAGTCTGTCTATGTTCAGTACCAGAGCAGCAAATTCCGGACAAAGTCTAAACAACAGCTGCCGACGCCGGTGACTCCATCCAAGAGCTTCAAATATTTTAACGACGACACGAGTGATATTCACGATGCAGACATGGACCACTTCCAGTCCACAGAAAGCATCAACAACGCATATGGTCCATTCATCAACGGATTCGAAGGATTGGAAACAATCTCTCAGCTCCGCCAGCTCTCGCTCATGCTTCTTAAATCGCTACTCAACCCTGCAGAAGTTTTGATCGAGAAGTACTCGCAACTCGGGGTGATCACAGTGATCAAGAACTTTGTCACCGAAAATCACCTCGAACATCTACAACACAGCAAGGAACTGGACGACATCGAAAACCTATCTCCAGCAACGGCAGACGAGCTCTCGAACTTGTTGCTCAATCTCGAGCACTACCCAGAGCTGACGCAGCTGCCTCGGCCACAGGCTCAATTTGCGCAAATATATCATTCTCCAACTCTCAACAAGTCGACCTCATCACCATTCAACTCGCCTTCCAAATTCTCCTCGTTCAGTTCCGTTTCGTCGCAAACGACGTGTGATTCCTCTTACGAAGAGCTGGCTCAACGAAAGATGTATTACCAAAATGCCGGCATGCCGAGATACCCAGATTCGTCGCCGATTCTCAACACCCCTCAATAACTGCACAAATATAATGGCACATGATATTTTAAAATTATAGATCGCTCGCGTTCTTTTCTATCTTCATGTCGGTGATCACGATCGACGATTCGTCCGACTCCTTTTTCTCTGGCTCTGTTTCCTTGATTCCCTCTTGCTCGGCCGGTTGCTCGTTTTCTGAGTCGTACTCGCTCTTGTACTCTGTAGGAGAGATGGATCTGGAACCAAACACAAACCTGTCCATGAATTTTTTTCGTTTCGGCAGAGGATTCGTCGGCGAGTGCGCTGGAGACTGAGACGGTGATTTATACGGTGGGCCTGCACTGTATGAGGAAGCTATGAATTCCGGCTCAAGGTACGTATCTCTGGTTATGATGATGTAGACGAGTAGCAGGATGATTATGCCGAGATTCAGATAGTTCAGTTTCTTCTGGAAGCTGAGAGAGTCCGCGAATCTGGCAAATTTAGAGTCTGTCTCGAGAAGCAAGTGCTGGAACTTGCTGTTTTGATAATTGAAGAGATTCTCGAAATTAAATGCCAGTTCTGTGTTCAGCAGCCGGAAGTTGCCGATTTGGTTAAGGATTGTTTGGTTCAAATGGTCTATGAGCGTGCTGAACCGCTTATTTTGGCGGGTTTCCAGGTTTTCGAACGCGTTCGACAGAATCTTGGACTGCTCCTCAATGTATAGCAGAGAGAGCGTTGCGTTGGACTCGAGCAGCGAGATTCTCTTGATGATGTTCTTGTAGATCGACTCCTGTGTTCCTGTGGTCTGCGTGGTCTTCGGTCTTGTTTCTGATGGCGAGTCGCCTGCCTCGCACAGCTCCTGCTGATGCTCCTTGAGAAATCTGTCCAGTCCCAAATACGGAGTGATTTTGCAGTTATCGTCGTCTGTAGACCCATTCAGGGAGAAAACAATCTCGTTCAGAGACAAATTGAAAGACGGTGTTTCGTAAAAATCCGCAGGAACCAACTCAGGCTGCTCCCTCTCAATTTCGTTCTCCTTGACCTCTTCCTTATCCTCCTCTTTGAGCTGCTCTATCATTGTCTTTCCGTGGACTTGCACAGACGAAATCGGACAGTAGAATTCGTCGCCGTAGTACGAGAGGACCTCAATCTTCAGAAACTTTGCCCAGATTAGTGGATTTTCCACCTTGAACATCTGCAGTTTCCGTATATTCTCTGCCTTGAATTCTCCCAACGACTGCCATGTCGTAGCCGGGTACCGGTCGCTCACGGAAAACCGAACGTCCTTGAACATGGACGAGAAAAACTCGTAATTTCCCAGCAGCACCTCCTCGACCAGTATATCCTCACACAGCTCGATGATTACGTACTTATTTTTCGCCTTGCACTCGTTCAGTAAATAGGAGTCTTTGTTTTCGTTGAGAATGGCGTTGGCGCCTTTTGCCTCCGCATTGGTCTTGACAATTGTGGCGGCACAGTCGAACGACGCAAAATTGAACCTTTCGTTGTAGACCTTTCCTGTATCCTCTTTTGGTTCCGGGCCTCCAAACATTGAGATTTCGATCTCCATCTCCTCGCCGATGGAGCCTTCAAGCTCGTCGCCGGACGTCTGTTCTGGTCTTTTTTTCGTGATCTGCGACTCGTCGACCTTCTTCTTCTTCCACTCTTCAAAGGTCAGGAAGTACGACTTTTCTTCGTTAGTGAGGCTGGACTCGTTGGCGTCGAGCGAGTCTGTGAGGTTCTGAAGGTCCAACTCTACCCTGGACTCATTCAGCGCCGCCGCCGCTGAAGAGCTGCTATCTGCCAGCACGGCCGTAGAGTACAAACAAATGCTCCACCAGAGCCAGAGCATTGCAGGATTTATTTATTTTATTTTATTTTATTTTATTTTATTTATTTCAGCTTATTTTTTTCGCCTTATATATCTTGTTCACTTCTATGTCTCTCAAATTCTGCACTGTCTGTGCCTCGAACAACAACAGGTAAGTTTCAGCTGCCTCCAGTCTAACGCTCAGATCCATGGAGGCCCACAAGGTGCTGAAGGACGCCGGGTACACCGTGAGGTCGTACGGAACGGGAACCTCGGTGAGACTGCCCGGTCCCACGATCGACCAGCCCAACGTGTTTGAATTCGGCACGCCGTACACGAAAATCCTTGAAAAGCTCAACACGCAGGATCTGAAAATACACAAAGCCAACGGAGTGTTGGACATGACCAAGCGGAACATCAGCATCAAAAAGGCCCCCGAAAGATGGCCATATTATAACCAGCCGCCTCAGCGATTGCCGCCAAGCGAGTACCCCGAGTTTGAAAATGAGCTGGACTTCCAGGTCGTGATAACGTGCGAGGAGAGGTGCTTTGATTCGGTGGTGGAAGACTTTTTCAGCAGAAACTACTTCGAGCCAAGCCAGACACAACAGCCGGTGCACTGTTTCAACGTCGAGATCCGCGACGAGCACAGAAGCGCGCTGACAGGAGCTCAGGCCATTCTCGATCTTGCGCGAATGTTGTCGGACGCCCATGCCAAGAGTCTACAGGATTTCAGCGCGCCCCCGTTCGAGGACAAAATTCCAGACATCATCACGGAGTGGCAGCAGAACCACCCCGCGACACCTCTTCTGTACGCGCTGTGCTACCATTAGCCAAAGTGACCATTCTCTATTTGTCTACAACACAACGCCCGTTCACAAACACCTTTCTCACGTTACGGTCGTCACCGTTGAAAATCCACTTGTCGATCAGGTCCAGGAACTTCCCGCGCGACTCCTCGGGACTCAGCAAACCCCACCTCGGATTCTGGAACTCAAACGTGTCGACCGGCGAGCCCTCGCAGTCCAGCTGGATCAGCTGCGCGTCGAACTTGTACCCGACCCTGAACAGCCCCAGCTTCACGTTCAAATTCAACACCTCTGCACCACCAACCGTGGCGAGGTAGAGCACGTCGTGGGTGCTGAGCTTTTCGAAGTCGTTTTCCGACTTCATCACCAGGTGGTTCGACACCAGCAGGGCGTGTTTGGCCACCTGGAGAATCGACGGCGTGAACCCGCCCGAGCAGTCTGTTCCCAGACTCACTTTGACGTTGCTATTCAGCAGCCATCTGATCCTGGCCTCTCCAGACGTGATGGACGAGTTGGACGTGGGGCAATGCGACACACCGCAGCCTGTCTGTGCAAGGAGGTCTTTTTCGCGCTCCGACAGGTGGATGCAGTGGGCCAGGATCGTTTTCGGGCCCAGCAGCCCAGACCTGTAATAAATATCTGTGTACGAATCGAAACCGGGAAACAATTCCTTGGCCACCTCGACCTCCCGTTTATTTTCCGAGAGGTGTGTCTGGCAGTGGTAGTTGTGGGACTTGCGCAGCTCTCCCAGCCACTTCATCAGTTTCTCTGTGCACGAGGGCGCGAACCGGGGCGTGAGAACTGGCCGCACAAAATTGCCCGAGGGGTCTCGTTTTTCAATGTGCTCGATCACGCTCAGCTGCGACGCCTTGCTCTCCTCGAACGTCTCGATGTAGTGGTCCGGCGAGTTTTGGTTCATGCAGACCTTGCCGATCAGCGCTCTCTGGCCGCGCATGAGGGCCAGGTCCGCAAGCAGGTTGGTTGCGTCTGTGTGGATCGTTGCGTAGTACGCTGCCGCGGTCGTGCCGTTGCAGAGCGTTCTGTCGATCACCTTGTTGTAGATGCTGCTGGCCCTTGTGAGGTCTCTGAAGGACGACTCCAGCGGGAACGTGTACTTCTCGAGCCAGTCCAGCAGTGTGGAGTCGCCGAAGATACCGTTGTTCGGGAACTGGGGAGCATGGATGTGGGTGTCGATGAAGCCAGGCACGAAAAACTTGGTTTCCGAGTCAGCAACGTCGACGAAACGCACCTCGTGCAGCTCCAAGCCGGTGAATTTCAGAGTGTAGGAGGTGTAGTCGGCGCAACCTTCCTTGACGAAAACTATAGTCCCGTCCTGGTCAACTCCAACGGCACAGTGCGTGAGCACCTGCAGAGTGCCGAGCGACGGGGTCTGGACAAACGTCCCGAAGTAGCAGGTGAACTTTATCGGGGCAAGACAGCGCGTGGCCACCACTGGGGGAAACTGATGTTGAGTCATGATCATATGGATAACTGCCCTGCACTTTTATACTTTCCGGGGAAAATCCCCGGCGTGATAATCACAGATAGCTGCCGCGGCCCAGAAATATATCTCCGCGGAGACTGATAATTTGCGACATCGTCGCGTCGCTCTTCCTCGGCAACAGAACATGTGCTGCGTTTTTCTCGTCCAGAGCGCGCGTACAGCCGCGCGTACGGCCCGCTCCGTGTTCTGTCCCGGCACCGTCCAGCGCCGGACACGGGAAAGCGCAGTGGGCCCTGTAAGTCCCGTGGCAATGCAGAACACGCGGAATCTGTGCAACGTGGTGAATTCGCAGAACTGGCTCGAATTGGCGGCACAGCGGATCCGCAATCTCGTTCCACAGGCCACATCCACAGAAAGTCCAGGCCGACACCCAAATTATCTGTAAACTTGAATCAAAAATTGCTCGATGGCTGCCACCACTGGCAAGTTCTGTGTTTTCTGTAGCAGGCCAAAACACTATATAAACAGGCCCTAATCCCTCGGTAGCACTCCACTACACTCCTAGATCACCATGGTTGCCATCAACAAGATTTTCTGTGCGTCCCTGCTCGTTGCCGGCCCAGCATTTGCTGCTGCCTTGCCTGAAGCCCAGGCCCAAGCCGACCTCTCCAAATACAAGGATAAGCTCGGAAAATTGAAGGAGAAGTTTAAGGGCGGCAAAGACGAGGACTGCGACAGCTCCACTAAGACCACCCTGGAGACCTCTACCACGTCTGACTGCGACACTGCCACCAAGACCACCGAGATCATCACCTCCACCTCGTCCTCGTCCTCCGACTGCGACACCGCAACCAAGACGACTGAGTCGTCCAGCTCTGTCACTTCGACTTCGGACTGCGACACTGCTACCAAGACCCTTATTTAAATATACTCTCTATACGCTCTCTAGTTTTGTCTGTTTGTACGAGAGAATAGCTACCAAAAAATATCTGCTGAGTAATAAATAAAATAATCTCTCGACGTGTATTTTCTACCAATCAATTTTCGTCAAAAAAAAATTAACAAATCCGAATAACCATGGTCAACGTAAGTATTTCCACCGTTCTGGTCCTCTAACCCGCCAGTACGTCAAGAGCCTCAAATTCAAGAAGGTGCCTCACGTCGGCGGCCTCACTCCGTACTTGCTGCTCGGTTACGCCCCAAGTCTCGCTCTCTGGGGAGGTGCCACTGTTGCTGCCATCTTCACCTTTACCGAGCACTGGCCATTGTTCCAGGACACTTTCTACAAGAAACTTCCAGTCATGGGTAAGCTCTGGATCAAGGATGTCGACCCACAGGACTTGCCACAGTGAATAGACCAAAATATATTATACAATGTGTTACTACTCAAGGTTCACTCGTCGTCGTTATTGCAGCCCACAACGCCCCATCGGACTCCAGTCACCGCGTGCAGCCTGTCGAGGATGTCGTGGATTGGCGTCAGCAGGCCGAATTCCTTGTTTTCGCCGTCGTACGAGTGCAGCATCCCGATGACTCCCAGCCCGGTCTCTGGGCCCGCAGACATCAGATTCCCGAGGATGGTGGTGAACATTGACCGTCTGCCGGCAGCGGGAGCACGCAGGCTCGACAGTTTCGTCAGAATGAACGCTCCCGAGTCGCCGCCGGCCGCGAACTGTTTTTTGGACCCGGCAATAACGAATTCCGACGTTCTGAGCGTTCCGTCGGACCAGTAGATCATTTTCTGGCCATTCAGACGGCCGTCGGTGTAGCCCGTAGTAGCTCCGACCTTGAACACGTCCAGCCCGGCGTGTTTGAGTGTCGAGAAATCTTTAGAGCTTTCCAAGTCGACGGTCTCCCTGACGGACAAATTGGAGAACATGAGCGACGGGTCGTGTTTGTTGAGCTCCAGATCCTCCCCAAGGAAGTTGATAAACTTCTTGGAGTGGTCGGAGATCTTCACAATGGCGATATCCGAAAGTCTGTCGTCCACCACCAGTCGTTCTCCCCAGATCAGCTGGCCGAGCGATTGCGGTGGCAGGTTGCGTTTGACGATCTTCTTCTTGACCCGCACCTCGCTCACTGGGTAGGCTTCGTCTAGTTGTTTGATTGCCGCGTCGTATGCCTGGTACTCCTCTGAGTGCGGCTCGTATTTTAGTCTTTCGCTGGCGAGAGCATTTTTGTACAAATTGATCAGAACAGGCGACGGAACAGACACATATGGATAGTTCTCGCCCGCGTTGATGGTCTCGTTCAGTATCACGTGCGCACAGGTGAGGCCAAACAGCGAGTTGGCGTATTTCTGGAGGCGCTGGTTCTGGTTGTTTTTGGGGATCTTGGGGTACAAATAGCCAGCGAGCGTGCCTGACAATTTGAGCGAGCTGTTGCAAGCGATGGGCATGGAAATCGGGACGTATCCTGAATCCGGGTCGAGCGTGCGGAACGGGGCATGGAAGGTGGACGCGGCAGGCTTGATTTCGTTTTTCTGCGCGACAAAGTGCAGGTCGGCGGTGCTGGCACAGAAATAGCGAATTATTTCAGTGTGCTCGTTTGTGAGCGTCGGGAAGCCAAACACAAACGTGACAACGCTGAGGTTTTCGTGGACGAAGCCGCGCAGCACTGGTGCAATGAAGGAGCCGTCTTGGTCCGAAAGGAGACTGTCCTTGGATTTTTGCACCAGAAGCTGCATCATGCGGCCTATTTTTTGTTCGCTCTCCAACGGCCGCGACGAGCTACCAACGGGGAAGTTTTGAGGAGCCATCAGCGAGACGTAGTTCTCGAGCTCCTGTGGCGGCTTCTCGACCACTTTCAGCTGGACCAGAAGATCGTGTAGATTTTTAAGCACCAGCGCTTTCGAGTTGTCGTACACCTCTATCACGAGCAGATTGTCCACGAGAAAAAGAACGTTTTTAATGAGTTGCGCCAGACCAGGAGACGAGGCTGTTGAAAACTGGTGTGGGGGCAAACATGCCAGATAGTTGAGTTGGGCGATCGCGGCGCTGGTTTGCTTGATGCTTTCGCTAATTTCGATGGAAGCTTTTGTTAGATTGAGCACCGATTGTGACACCCGCATTAACGTGTTGGAGACTGTTTGTGCCAGCGTTCGCAGCTGTTTTTCCAGCGCACCCTCCAGCAAGTCAAGCTCTTTTCCTGAGACTTGAGACGGCATAGTCGTATCTCGGCTCGTGCCGCTAGCTTCCTTCGGCCGTCGAAGCGATGCCACGGTACCGACTTCCTCCGTTTCGTCATCAAACTCTTCCTCGTTAAGCACTCGAAGAGGTTTACCTACTGATGTGAAGGTGGGATGTTTCTGGGCGCCGTGGGAGCTCTGCTGTGAGGAAGATCTCGTGGAGACGGTGTTTTTTGAACTGAACAGGGAGTTTGTGTTGGAGTTGAAGGAGTACTGGAAAGTCTTTGTGTCGTCGAAGTTGACGGACTCCGAGTCGCTCAGTTTCTTGGAAGATGCCAGCGAGCCGCCCGAGTGGACGCTGGCGGCGTCGTCGTCGTCTTTGCGTCTAAATAATTTCAACGGCATACAAAGTTAAAAATGCGTGATTGATATTAAATATAAAAAGCCATGAAAAAAAAATAGATATTAATGAGTCTGATATTCAAACGAGATGCTTCGTTCTTTGGCAATTTGGGAGACAGCGTCTCGAAAATAGTGCCGAAACCGCACCGGTTTTTCAAGGTGACCAAACCGTTTGGCTTCGAAAAGCCTCCAGTGCACTTGAGAGACCTACCGCGAAAGAAATGGCTCACAAAAGAAAACCTCAACGTGCCCAAGAGAATCTGGGATTTCTACTTCGACGGGATCACAAGACGAACGCGAGTCGACAAGATCCAGAAAGAGCTCGCGTACGGAGGCATGTACGACTTCCATGTGTACATGAAGACCAAGGGCCGGCTGTTTGAGGCTCCTATGTCGTATTTCAAGAGAGACAAGTCGCTTTTTTTCCCTAATTTCCAGGCTCGCACGCTGCGCGAGCAGAACGTCGAACTGATGGACGTGCTCAAACAGGCCAAGGTGACGGTGCTCAAGGTGTACTCTGCCGACTCGGGCAAAGAGATGGTGGCCGACTACTTCAAGATCCCCAACTCGGACGACAGCTACCTGTCCAAGACAGGCATCGACGAATTCCACAAGACGTTCCCACAATCGCAGATCGTGGAGCTGTTGCTGAGCGAGAAGTGGTCGAACCATTTCGTCCACACATACGTGACCCCACGCAAGCTCAGAGCCGAGATCCCAGACTCGCAGCACGACAAATTTCTTGTTGCGCTCCGAGACGCGGTTCTGTCGCGCGAGGACCGCGAAAAACTGCTCATGACAAACACATATGCCGGATACGTGTATCTGATCGACGACTCGTTCCGGATCCGCTGGGTCGGGTGCGGCCAGCCGGAGGAGAAAGAGGTCCAGGGGCTGTGGAAAGCGCTCAAAGGACTGGAGAAAGAGACCGGGCGCAAACTGGTCAAAACTAGATAACCGCTGCATGTAAATAAAACACTGGAATTCCACACACTCTCCCTGTCCATGGGCCCCACATCCTCGCTATATTGCAAGTATGCAGTCAGTCTGGACGGAATAAAATACTTCTACACTACGCTGCCACCCAGGCACCTGGCAAAGTTCCCCAGCAAGCTCCGATGGCTCTATTTCAGAGCGGTGAAAAGACCGCTGCTGCTGTTGCTGGAGTATCTGCTTGTCACGCGGACCCGCACTTGCCAAAGCGTCTCATTGCTCATGATTCCATTACTGGACAGAAATTCAGGCGACTCAAGCGCTCTCATTGATTTGCAACATCGCTCGTGATCACCTCGCCGGCCATGACGTGGGCCGAGTTCTGCGATTCTCCCAGCTTGGACGTGCCCTTTTCTTTGTACGTGGATACGGCAGGAATGTTGGCCTTGATGCGCGTGACGTTTGTGCCGTACGCGCGTGGCTCGAGGCGGATCAGAGTGTGCAAGGGAATCGACATCCACGGCGACTTTTCCTGCGGGGAATTCATGAAATAGGCATAGATACATCTCAACACCGCCTGGTGCGTGATCACAAGAACGTTCTCCTGGTTCTCCAGTTCCATGATGATAGGCTCCAGCCGCTGGATCACGTCTCTGTAGGACTCGCCTCCTCTGTAGCGGTACTCGAACTTGTTTTCGTCACGTGCTGCAAAATCCTCAGGGAACCTCTGCGCGATCTCCTCGTATGTCAGGCCGTCGCACGATCCAGCGTCAAGCTCGTCCAGCGCTTTCCACTGTTTCTTGGGATTTGGGAGAAACTGGGCTGTCTGCTGCGTTCTCCTCAAGGTCGAGGTCCAGACCTCGAGCTTGTCGTGGTTGGGAACGTATTTCTCAACCAGATCTTTTAGCCTCCGTGCGTACTTCATTCCCCGCTCACTCAGGTCTGCGTCGCCCCCGATCTTCCCTTCGAGGTTGTACTGCGACTCGCCGTGACGCGACAGCCATATGTAGCGCGGTTTGATGTGCAAATTCATGATATAGTACGCGATTCTGCTCTCCAGGTAGCTCTCGATCTTGTTGATGATGATCTGCGAGTTGACGTTGATCAGCTTGATGAAGCTCAGCTCTTTTTCGTCCACCAGGTCCATCGGCTCGTAGTGCGTCTCGTAGTACTTGATTTTCGTGAGGATGTCTTCCAACGCATAGCCGGGCGGCTTGCCGGCATAATCTGGGGAGGTCGAGTTGATGTCCATAATGTTCGACTTGACGATCGCCTCGTCGTCGCAGAAGCTTTCCAGAAACAGCGGCTCCACCCTGTTGTCTCTCAGGATCTGCGCGACCATTGCTCGTTTCCGCTTGGTGACGTTGGAGCCGTCCAGAATAGCCACACATCCCTCCTCCTCGTTCATCCACTTGATGACGTCTTTGATCGCATCAATGTTGGCCTGTTCACGGATCACCTTGCTTTCCTCGTTGTTTGGGTTGAAAAAGTCTGCAGAAGGCTGTTCTCTGTACTCCTCTCGACGGTAGGAAGAGACGTTGAACACCCTTGTCTTGATGGATAGCCAGGACAAGTACCGCACAATCTTGTGCGAGATAAACGACTTGCCACGAGCAGGCAGGCCGACCATCACCACGCACACACGCAGGTTGTCAACGTGCGAAACAGTGTAGAGGGGCATTGGAGAGGGAAAAGGAGAGAGCCGAAAATAAATAAATAGTCGAAAAAATATCAACCACAAGACAATTAATTATTGTTCAGGTCATCGCGCTTTGAATTTCATATTGACGGCTGCTAGTTGCTGAATCTGTGTGATTATGACTACTCCGCTGCTGGATGTGCTCCGTGATCTGAAAGTCGGACTCAAAGACGATAATGTCTGGCTCGATCCAACCACCAAGACATCCACTCCTCCGCCTCCGGTGTCTGAAGAAGGTGTTCTCGCTGATATCAAGAAGACTTACCTTTCGCCCACCAACGAATTGCCATGGGATCTACTGGATAAATTCCAACAGGTGCCAGAAGTTGACGCTCAGGACAGAGAACGGTTCTACCGTTCCATGGTGACGATTCCTCCAACACTCAAACGAACCACTGTTCGTTTCCAGCGAAGCGGTATCGGGGGATCCATCGTTTCCTACAAGGAGACTTTTGACCGCACCATTTTGGAGTCTGGCAACTCTGCCGTGACGTCGTTGTCTGTCAAACGGAAATTTGGAGGTAAGGACGACGCAATCAAAGGAAATTCTGGCTTCTTGCCTTTTCAGCCTGGAGGACTAACCGCCAACGAGGAGCCTAAGGACTCTACAAAATTTCTTCACAGAGACGAACACGGACTGCTGGACATTCCGCAGGGCCTGAGTCGCGGTTTAGCACTAAAGGACGGCGTGCACACAGATCTAACAGAGCTGGAACAAAAGCAGGTGAACGACGAGCCGTATGCGGTCCAAGATCAAGAGCCAGAGGTTATTGAAGAGGCCGATGTGGAAGACGAAATCTCAAAGTTCATCCCTGCCAGTATGCTCACCAGGCCGTCGAAAAGAAAGCCTGTTCTTCCACCCAAACGCGAGTGGGCCCATGTTGTGGATGTAAACCATGCGATTCCCAATTTTGACGAGCTTGTCCCCAATCCAGCGCGAACCTGGCCTTTTGAGCTGGATACTTTCCAGAAAGAGGCCGTCTACCATCTCGAAAAAAACGATTCTGTCTTTGTGGCCGCCCATACCTCGGCTGGTAAGACTGTTGTTGCCGAGTATGCCATTGCGCTGGCGAACAGAAACATGACTAAAACGATCTACACGTCGCCTATCAAGGCACTGAGCAACCAAAAATTCAGAGACTTCAAAGAGAGCTTTGACGACGTCGATGTGGGAGTGATCACCGGTGACGTCCAAATCAACCCCGAGGCTAACTGTCTGATTATGACGACCGAGATTCTGCGTTCCATGCTTTATAGAGGCGCAGATCTGATTAGAGATGTGGAGTTTGTCATTTTCGACGAGGTCCACTACGTCAACGATATTGAGAGAGGAGTGGTTTGGGAAGAAGTCATCATTATGCTCCCCGATCATATCAAGGTGGTGTTGCTCTCTGCCACCGTCCCAAATACCTATGAGTTTGCTTCTTGGGTGGGACGTACCAGACAGAAAGACATTTACGTTATCTCGACTTCCAAGCGGCCTGTGCCGTTGGAAATATTTGTGTGGGCCAAGGACGATATTTTCAAGCTGATTGACGCTAATGGATCTTTCCAGCAAAAGAATTTCAGACTGCACGAGGACAAGCTTCTCAAAAAGAAGGATGCTCCTGAGGGTAACGCCAAGGGGAAGGGTGCTGCTGTTGTTCGCGGCGGAGCACGAGGTGGTGCAAGAGGCGGCCGTGGAGGAGCTCGTGGAGGCTCATCCATGTCGGGAAGAATGTTCAAAAGAGACGGCCCAAACAAAAACTCGTGGCACAATCTGGTGACGTTCCTGCAGAAGAAAGACCTGATGCCGGCAGTCATCTTTGTGTTTTCCAAAAAACGCTGTGAAGAATACGCAGACACGTTGCGAGGAGTGAATTTCTGTACTGCTAAAGAGGCGTCGCAAATCCATATGTTCATTGACAAAGCTGTTTCCAGGCTCAAGAAGGAAGACCGAGAGCTGCCTCAGATCCTCAAAGTCCGTGAAATGCTGTCTCGGGGTATTGCTGTTCATCACGGTGGTCTTTTGCCAATTGTAAAGGAGATCATTGAAATCCTGTTCTCCAAGACCCTTATCAAGGTCCTTTTCGCAACAGAGACTTTTGCCATGGGACTAAATCTTCCCACAAGAACCGTTGTTTTCAGCGAATTGCGCAAGCACGACGGAACAGGGTACAGGAATCTGCTTCCTGGTGAATTCACGCAAATGTCTGGCCGTGCTGGTCGTCGTGGACTCGATAGCACGGGTACTGTGATTGTGATGGCTTACAACCAACCGCTTGAGGAATTTGCATTCAAAGAGGTGACCATGGGCACAGCTACGAAGCTGTCGTCAAAATTCAGACTCACATACAATATGATCTTGAACTTGCTTCGTATAGAGGCCTTGAGAGTGGAGGAGATGATCAAGAGATCTTTTGGTGAAAATACGACTCAATCGCTGTTGCCTGAACACGAAATCGAAATTGCCAAGCTTGAGAAGCAGCTCAAGGATCTGAAAAAACAAAACATCTCTGATGAAGACAACGCTAAACTTGACCTATTCTACAATACGATGGAGGAAATGAAAGAGCAATATGGCGATCTTGTCCAGGAGAGTATGAAGTTGCTGTACTATCAAAAGAGACTCAAGGTTGGTCGTCTTGTTGTTTACCGTGACCGTGACACAAACCAGTCCTATCCTGCTGTGACGGCCAGATGGAGCAACGGTGACGACAAAATCACTCTTTTGACTCTGGACGTTCAGCAAAGCTCTAAGAACCAGTTCAATTGCGTCTATACGACCAATTTTGGCCAGCCATATGTGGCAAAGTTCTTTAGCAAGTGGAAAGCGGGCTCTAATTTCAAATTTATCGACGTTCCTCTCAGCGACATTGAGTTTGTTGGTGCATACTCCGTGCGATCGTACATCAATGGCATCATCAACAAGGACCCTAAAAGCATCAGTGATTTCAAGACTGAAGTGGGCCAGCTTCTGCGCTACCAACGTAAATGGGGAGAGCTGGACTGGACGGCATTCCAGAATCCAAATATGATTGAGATTCTGACACGTATTGATGAGCTGCGGGACACGGTGATGAACTGTTTTGCTGACGAGAACTTTGACTCGCTTGTCGAAGCAGAGTATCCAACATTCATGAACCGCAAGAACATTGAAAAACGAATAGAATCGCTGAAAAGTCTGATGAGCGAGGAGAACCTAGAGCTTTTGCCAGACTACGAGCAACGTTTGGAAGTGTTGAAGCAGCTTGGTTTTGTTAATGACCAGCTGACGGTCACACTAAAAGGACGTGTTGCCTGTGAAATTAATTTCGGTTTTGAATTGATTGTCACAGAACTGGTGTTCGAAAACATCTTGGGAACTTTCACTAGCGAAGAGATTGTCGCTCTGCTTTCGTGCTTTGTTTATGATGGAAAGCGGGGAAACGACGAGGGCCCAGCCCCTCTGTGCACGCCACGTCTGGAAAGCGGTAAAGACAAGATCGTGGAAATCGTGGAGCAGGTGATGAAGGTGTCCAACGAGAATAAGATCATATTGACGGCAGAAGAAGAGCAGTTCCTTGAAAATAACCGGTTTGGCTTGGTGAACGTCGTGTACGAATGGGCTAGAGGACAGTCGTTCAAGGACATCATGGAACTGAGCAACGACGAAAACGAAGCGGAAGGAACTATCGTCCGCGTCATCACCAGATTAGATGAAGTGTGTCGCGTGGTGATGAATTGTGCGCTTATCGTGGGTGACTCTGAACTACACATGAAAATGGGCGAGGCTCAGGAAAAGATCAAACGAGACATCGTTTTCTGTGCTTCGCTGTATTTATAGATGGAACATTAGGTACGTAAAATTACACTTTTCACTTTCTCTTGAGACTGCGCGGCTTCGTGACGCCTGCCGGCCGCACCGTCTTGGCCCCGTCGAGCGTCTTGAGTGGCTTGACCGACCCTTTACCCTTGTTTAGTCGCAGAGCAGGTTTCGTACTCGCCAAGTTAGGACCTGCCTCGACCACGACCGACACCACCGTTTCTCCGCGCAAAATCACCAATCCCAATAACCGTTTTTCTTCGTTGATCCCTGATTCGTCCGCCTCAAGGGCCTTTTGCTCCCGAAGCTGCTTCTGAGACCGCTTTGTCAGTCTAAACTCCTCTGCATCTGCTAAAACTAGGTTCATGTGCGAGTCGAAAGATAAAAGCGTTCCGGCAAACTGTGAGGTGTCCAGTGTGGTCACCCTTACACGGAAGTTTATGAGATTCGCCTGGCGTTAGTAGCTCAGCTGATTTGACTTACCAATTTAGGCTTCTTGGGCAGTTGTCCAATGGCCATAATATGTATCTTTCCAACTTTTTTTATGTGCTTATGTCAGCGCAGACTTGTATATTTTTCTGTCGCAAAAATAAAACCAAAACAAAACATAAAAGTAAACAAAACGTTCTTTACACCGTTTCTCCAAAGGAATATAAACAGCGCTGGAATCGGCTTTTTTCGCGTCTATCATGTCTGAATACCATTTGGAGTCGTCGGTTCCGAGGAAAAGGCAGTCCTTCTCAACCAATTTCAGTCAACAGCAAACGGGCCAGTATTTTAATGGAACATCAAACATCCTCTCAGCTTTGGACACGAATATCCCAACAGCTTCCTCCATGAAGCGCAAAAGACTCAGTTTACTGCCCAAGAATGTCAACATTGGTGCCCCGCGGCTGCTGAATCAGCCTAGTGCTCAAAAGAGACAGAGCTCGTTTGGGCTTTCGCAACACGCTCCCAGCGTGCAAGATCTGGTGCAAAGATCCATTACCAGAACAGGAATTCCTGCCCCTGCAAGCGTGAACAGACGCAGATCTTTGGCCCAGCATCAACTTCCTCCATCGTCCAATGGCAGGCTGTTTGAAAACTCCGTGGTGAATACTCCTGGTGCTAATTACATGACACCGACTCAACCCAGAGACCCACGCCCACTAAGGGACCGCAATTTCCAACTCAAGATGCAACAGGAACTGTACGCATTTCTGTCCACCAACAAATTCGACATAGAGATGAAACACCCCTTAACCAACAAGACTTTGAAAAACCCTACACAGAAAGATTTCGTGCTCATGTTCCAATGGCTATACAAAAAAATCGATCCCGGGTACAAGTTTCTGCGTTCCATTGAGCAAGAAGTGTATTCTCTGTTGAAATTCTTGGAGTATCCGTATTTGGACACTATAAACAAATCACAAATTAGTGCAGTGGGTGGCTCGAACTGGCATATTTTTCTGGGTATGCTTTACTGGATGCGTCAGCTTGTTGGTGAAAGCCTTGATCTCGACAGCGTTGAGCTGGACAATTTCCAGGAAGCACAAAATCTGCCTCAGAACAACTCGTTCCTGTATGATGATTCCATTAATGACTCTGTTGTCATGAAAGAGCAGGATCTCGTGGATAAACTTTTCACCAAGTATGCTCTGAAATCATACAAATCGTATATGTCTACCGGTGGCTCGAACTTCGACCAGTATTTCAAAGAAATGGAGAAGGAATACCACGGATTCTTGAAAGAGGTAACTCAGAGATTACATTCTATCGAGGAGGAAAACAATGAGCTTAACATGAAAGTGGAAAGTCTTTCTACTCAGGAGGAGAAAATGCGTGCTAATCACGAAAAATCAAGGTTGTTAGAGCTTGACGTCTCTCGCTACCAAGCGTTCATTGATGCCCAGATGCAGAAGAAACTGAAATGGCCTACCACTATCATGAAGATCGAAAAAGATATTGAAACGATCAAGGAAAAGCTTGCAAAATCTGAGGAGGCCAAATCCCAAATTCTTTCGAACCTTGGTTCCAAAAACTTCACCGTTCAGACCATAGAGATGATGCACAGAGAGCGCGCCCAACTGGCAAAAGATATCGATTCCGTGGTGGACAAAAGCAATTCGGTTCAAAAGACTGTCAACGAGAAATTTATGAGTTTGAGAAAAGCCTACGAAGGATTAGAGAAGCTGATCGACTCGTACAATTCTTACATGTACAACCTGCTTCATTTAATCACGTTCAAGGAACTACCACAGATAACCATCACCGGATTCACTGAGGAAGTGATAAATGATGACTCGAAACTTGGTAGAAAACCGGACGAGATCATTCCTCAACTCAAAGAATTGAACATTAGAACTAGCCTCACCGTGTTGAAGTATGATTTGGTGGAAGCTCACCGTAAGAACCAGGACACCTTGATCAAACTGCATGAACAGCTTGATAACCAACAGCAGGAGCTGACGGCCAAAGAGTATGCAATCCACGACTTGGAGTCTGAGCTCGCCAGCTTCCAAGCGATCGACAAGGACACAAAAGAGCAACTGGAATACGAGCTCTCGACCAAGGATGCCGAAGTGGAGGCGGACCAAAGCACAATCAGAAATCTACAAAAGAGGATGCTGGCTGACCGCAAGGCAGTGGAAGCCAGACATTTTAAAGCCAAGGCAGAGCTTGACAAGTTTAAGAGCGATCTGAAGTACCAATACTTTTCATTTTTCCATAGAATTGGAGACTGTATGAACCAAACTCTGAACTTCAAGAACGATATCACCGCCAGCTTGGAATCGATGAACACCAAGATCGTGAACGAGTACCAAGAGCACATCGAACTGAGCAAACTCAAATACGTGTGAATTAATAAATTGTATATTAGCGAAAATGGCGATCGACTTATTGATTCTGCTTCTTTCTCTTGTTCTTTTTGTAATAGTTTCTCTGGAAGAATGGGTGGTGCGCAACTTCCTTGGCCTTGCTCTTGGAGTATTCAACGTAAGCCATGTCTTCACCCCCGGCCAGACCGGCCAGCGATCCTTGGTTCTTCACTGCCCTGGAGGTATTCTTCAGTTTCTTCGAGACTCCGTTTCCAACAAGGTTTTCGGAATCTTCACCCAATTCAATGCCTGCCACGTCTTCGTTCTTCAGCAAGACCTCCTGAAGAAGTTCACGGCGTTCTTTGGCTGTTGAGTATGCGAGGTTCGGCAAATTCTCCATTCCGTGAAGATGCGTGATGATTTTGAATGCGTAACCCTGGTCAACCAAGAACGCCTGTCGTTTGGTCGAGTAATACATTTCCTGAGTGTCTTTGGAAACAAGACTGTAGAAGAATGCGTTGAAACCTTCGTCGTTTCTGCGTTTAGCACGCAAAATTCTGCCCAACCGCTGGGCCTCTTGTCTTCTGGAACCGTAGTGAGACGAGATTTGGATCAGGCAAGTGGCTTCGGGCAGGTCAATAGACGTGTCTCCGACTTTCGACAGGAAAATCGTGTTGACCTGATCGTTGTACTGGAAATTTTGTAGAATGTTCATTCTTTCTTGTTGCGGCGTGGAACCGTAAATGAACGGTTTTCCAAGCTTGAGGGCGTATTCCTGCAGAGCGTAGACATTATCTGAGAAAACAATTATTTTGTCTCCACGTTTTTCGTGGTAATGGATCAAGAACTGACAGGCCTGGAACTTTGTCGGGTTCATGATGTAGAGTAGCATTCTTTTGCGCGCACTTTCTCTCAGATACTCTTGGTAGAACTCTGAGGTCATGGGACACCAAACCTCCGCACACTGGACGTTGGCAATGTGTCCTTTTTGCGAAAGCTCCATCCAGTTGGCCTCGTAGAGCTTTGGACCAATGAGGAAGTTCAAATCGGAAATCTTCTCGTCCTCACGGACCAGCGTTGCCGTGAGACCCAGTTTTGCATGCGCAGCAATGGTCGTAACAACTCTCCGGAACATGGCAGCGGGAACGACGTGCACCTCGTCCAGAATGATGAATCCCCATTCACGAGACGTGAGGAAGTCCATCACTTTCTGGGCATCGTAAGAACGGTTTCTGGTATTGGCAACCATGGAATATGTCGAAACCACCAGCCCTGCGTCTCCTGAAAACATCTCCTTGTTTTCAGAGGTGAACACGGCAACGTTTTCAGGCTGGATCGTGCACCATTGTAGAAATTGCTGTCTCCATTGCATCACAGAAACAGAGGACGTACAGAGCACAATGACCGACTTACGGATTGTACAGGCCGCCGTGATTCCGACCAGAGTCTTTCCGGCTCCACAGGGAAGCACAATGATTCCAGACCTTGCACGTCCGTTACCAAACATCTTACTCAGCGACTTCTCCTGGTAAGGTCTTATTTGAGTAGAAGGTTTGAGGTCGATCTCCAAATCGGGGTTCTGGGTATCGTTCCTGAAATCATACTCTTCCAACATCGGGTAGTCGATTTCCTGACACCGTTTTTTGACAATCTCAACAGACTCGTGCGCAATCTCAAACGAGTGCACCGTGTCGTCGTCTTCTTCTTCTCCTGCGTCGCCAATCACCGTGGCGAATATGTCTTCTAAATTTTCGTCCTGAGCACCGTTCTCGGCTGCAAGCGGCTGCTCCTCTGTTTTGATCTGTTTGTCCTTTTTCTCCTGTTCTCGTTTCTTGCTTTCCTCTGTTCCTGGAATCACCAGGTCGCCCTTTTGCGCGGGCTTGGTGATCACCAAACCGTCACTCATCGTCACCGTCGTTTCGCTGCTTTGGATCCGCAACTTTCCAATCACCTCGTCTTTCAGAAGCATCTGCAGAATATCGGCCTGCGGACTCTCCACGAAATACCTGTTGTGCTTCAAAACGAGCTTCACTTTACCGTACGAAACGGTGGCCTGCTTGATGAAGTTGACAACAGAGGACGCCAGCGGGACCTTTGACAGCCGGCTCAAAACAGAAATAATGTCGTCTGTTTCGAGTCCAACGGAAACTGCCGCATACAGCGAATGCGTGGTGATCCTGTACTCGTGGATGAAACTTGGACGACTCACGGGCTCTGCAATGGTCACCAAAAAATCCTGCGCCTGTTCTGAAAGAGGAGACAGCCCTTCCAAGAAGATTTTGCCGTCGAGCGGACTGATCCATATAGGTCTGGCCGCATGATCTGGTTTGAGTTTCAAGTACGAGAAATCCGCCTTTCCAAAGACGGCAGAAACGGAATCGGGCACAAAGTCTGGCGGCCGCGCCATCGAGATAGTCACAAGCTCGGAGTCGTCGAATTTGGTGTCCTTTGCTGTCTTCTCTATATTGCGTATTGCCTCCTTAGCGTCATTTGCCTTCTGTTCCAGTTGCAAATTCCTCTTCTTTGACCGCACAGCTTGTTTACTCAGCTCATAGTCCGAGCCGGACGAGTACGAGTCATCCGAGTCAAATATGTCGTCCTCGTCGTAAATCTCAGACTCGGTTGCCATTAGTAATAGATATGATTTAAATATCTTTTTTTTTAGGTGCAACACAGCCTTATACTTTAAAATATTAATTTTTGACGGAGCAGCTACTTGTGTAACATACTATTTATTGGCCGAGCTCTTCAGGCCATCGAGTCGCTTCTCCACCACCTTGATTACCTCGTTCAGTTGCTGGGCACCTATTTCCAGGTTCTGGTTGGTAGACAATCCATTCTGGCGCTGGTCGATCCAGTTCCACAGGTCTGCTTCGCTCGTCATGTATATCTGGTTGTCGAGAGCCCTGTGTCTGCGTTCAGCATCAGGGCCTGTGAGCTTGTCCCATAGAACCAGGAGGATCAAAACTATCAAAAGCACCGTCTTGAGGTCGAGCTGAGCAATAATCCTCTCTTTCAACAAAGGCTGTGCAGGAGTTTGCGAAACCGCTGGAAGCTCCTCGCGCACCTCGACCTCCTTCCGCTTCTTATCAGAGATCGACCTTCTCTTTTTGATAGAGACAGAAACCGGAGTTTCAGCCTCCACGCGCTTCTTCAGTTCCTTCACCATAATTCCCAAGGACTCCTTCTGTCCAGAAATGGTTCCCTTTTCCACAGCGCCTTTGATCCACGACTTGCCGCTCCAGACAACGGACGTCACAATGTAGATTTTGCAGCAGTTGTTCTCGCCCCAACTCAGATAGATCCGTGTCTTGACACGGAAAGAGTTACCCGATGGCACGTCCGGGGTGTCTGTGATCTGTGTCACCAGACAGCTCGAGCTGAGATCGCAGCGCTCGATTTCTTCCTCCACGTTACATTTGGTCTGTTTGGGGCCAACGGGGCCATTGAGCGGCTTCGTGTACGAGTATGTTCTCTTTTTCGTCGTCTCGTCAAAGGCAGGGATTTCCGAGATGTCTGTGTTTTTCTGTGTTTTTAGAAGATTCTTCAAGAACGTTGTATCGTGGCCAAATAAAAGCGAATATACTGCCCCGACAGGCGCAGGAATCATATCGTTAACAATCTCAACGTCACCCGACTCCGAAGAGTACGCATTGCTGGTGGGCTCGTGCTGCAAAGGGCCGTCGTAGGGTATTCCTCTGAATGTGCGGCTCTCAGAGTTATCGTTGAATTCTGGCTCGTCGTCTGTAATCATGTTCTCCTTGTCGGACACATCACTGTCGCTTCCAGAGTCAGGAAAAGACTCCTTTGTGGTCTTGATCGTTTTGCTTGGCATGGTTCCGTGACGAGACATTTTCACCGCTTCAGGGTCATCGCTCTCCTCAGACTCGGGATCGTCAGAGTCCACCTCGGACGTGGTGAAGTCCAGGTCCACGGTGTTGAGATTTGAGCCCGAGAGCAACGACGACCAGATCTTCACCAGCAGCTCGTACGTCGAGTCTCTGGAAATAAACGATGCGAAGGTGTATTTATCATGCAAAGTGCCAAACTCCAAAGCATTGGGGATACCAACGGTTTTCTTCTTCTTGATGGTGAGCACTTTACTCAACGTGATGGTGAAATGCGTAATCAGTCCAATCAGGTTCGAGTGGAAACTGAGATGGTTCTCGCTCACGTACAGACGGCCATGGATCAGCACGTCTTTGCGGTATGCACATGTGTAGTCTTCAATAAATATTTCTGATGGCGGAATTTCAGGGAACATCTGATGGAACGAGTCTTGTCGCTTCTGGCTGGGGAGCTTTATGTCCAGCTGTTCCGCAAGCCGTTTTTTGCGAGCCTCGAGATCCTCTTCGTTGTCTACTATATTTGTGGTGTGGCGGCTCAGCTGTGCAGTGTCGCTGACTGTAAGTCGCCGTCTTTCTCTTGGCTGTCTAGAACGTCTGTTGTGGGTGGCCCCTTCCTCGTCCAGAATGCTGCTATTGTTGTGAGAGCTCAGCGTGTACAGCGCATTCGCACTCACCGATTTTTTGATCGAGGTCGGAGAGAGCGTCCTCCTGGCGACGGTCAGGTTTCGGGAAGAGCTTGGGGTCTCTTCCACGGGCGTGTTGGTATTTGGGGACGTTGGCTGAGTGGTCGTTGTTGGCGGATCAACAAGGGTGTTGGCATTTGTTCGGTTGGTGCTGTCGCTACCAATGGCAGAAAACGGTGGCTCCTGGGTTTCGGAACCGGCGGGTTTGGGGAAATAATCCAGGGTCAAGGAGCCTTTGCCCAGAGAACTGAGCACAGAGGTCTTGATGGGCTTGAACTCAATGTTCTCGACGGGAGACGGGCTCTGGTGGCGTTCCTGTTCGCCTGAAGGGCTCAGAGTTGGTGGATTCTCGTGCAAGTTTGTCTGGGACCTCAGATTGAAGGAGTGCATCAGACTTTCCAAAATCCCCGTGCCGGTTTTGGGTTTGGTGGTGGACCGTGCGCCCGCGGAGCTGTCTGATTTGTGCGACGCGAGCTTCTTCAACGACCGACTTGTGCGGTTTGTGACGGAGGTGGTGGATCTGGTCGACGTCGACGCTATTTCGTCGAGGTCCAGATCGTCGTCATCTTCGCTATCGGGTCTTGTGTGCTCCTTGATTCTCGATTTGAGTCGCGATATGGAGTCGTTGGGGGTAATTGGCGAGATGGTGGGAAGAACCAGAAACGAGCCTGTAGGGCTCACATCGGCGTTCGATTCCGGCCTTGGGTTCTTGGAAGGCATGGAGCCTGCGCTGGACACGGATGACTGGCTCTTCCTCTTGTTCAGAAAGTTTTTTATTCTGAAACTGGCTCCTCGGGGCGTGGATTTCGAAGACTCAGATGTCATTCATACAATAAAGCGCAACAAAAAAATATATAGGCCCCATTCAAAAATAGGGGACTCTACAGAAGCCGTACGTAGGCACGTCGACGTGCATTATTTGATTGGACATAAGCGGGTGGATGAGCAAGTGCAATCAGCGGTCCTCGGCCCATTCATTTTCACGTCTGATTGCCGCCTCCTCCTCTGGTGTGAAATCGTTAACTATGTTGAAAGTCTTGCGGATCTCCTCAGGAGACTTGCCGCGGATCATCTCCGCCACGACTTTGCATCCGGCGTTCAGCAGCGGCTTGATGTTGAGGTAATTGGCAGCGAGGATGATCTCGTACAGCATCTCCTGGTCGACATTGAGGAAGTTCTTGTCCCAAGCGTCAATTGGCGCGCTTTTTTTCGAATCGTCGTCCTGTTCGTCGTCCGGGAAGTTGTAGTCTTTGTAGTGGTCACACCATTCAAGAATGTTCTTCATAACCGCGGAACGCACGTTCTGCGTTGGAACCTCGATGGGTTCGTCCTCGTCCTCGTCATCTTCCTCTTCCTCTTCGGCGGGCAGCAGATTTTTCAGCATATTCTTGATCAGAATACTTTTTTCGGCAACCTTGCGCTCCACAGGGAACTTGTCGCCGTCCGACGTGATGATAATGATCTTTCTCTCAGTCATGGCAAAAACAAAGACAGGATGTTTTTTTCCAGTTGCATCGGTGTAAGGAGGCATATAACATTTTGCTTGTCGTGAGGAAGGGATGGCGCAGTTCAAGCAGGACGACACAGCTGGATGGTTTGTATAAGGCAGGGGTGGCTGATTTTACGAGCTCGAGCGTTTTATGTCGTTTTTTTGGCCGGTGGCTAGACTACTGTATCTAACGAACGAAACATTCAAAATACATAGAAGGTTGGAGTAGGAGCCAAAGAATTGAGATGCTTGGGAGTGATTAAACAGGCTCTGTAGTTAAGGCGTTTCTGCTGCTACCTAGCAATTTGCTTGGGTGAGCGTATACATTACTGCCCCCATCCATTTGACAGGGTCGTGCGCAAAATTTTAAGTTTTTCAAATTTTCTTTTCCAATCTATGGCTGGCGAAGAAGAGATTATCTCCTACGTTGCTGACTACTTGAAGCGTAACGGCTACAAGAAGGCCGAAACTGCTCTACGCAAGGAGGCCAAAGGAAAAATCACGGAAGTCGAGGGAAGACTGGAGGACAAATGGGTAGAGAGCAAAGAGGGCTCTGAGGAAGATTCTTCTGAGTCCAGCTCCGAGGGCGAATCCAGCAGTTCAGACTCAGACAGCGACTCGAGCTCGGATTCTGACGATGGTTCGAGTTCCAGCAGCGGCTCAAGCTCCAGCTCGGATTCCGAGTCGGATGAAGCTTCGGAGAAGGGCTCCGATGACGAACCGGCTGAGGAAGCTGGCTCCAGCTCTGACTCCAGCCCTGCTGAGGATTCTGATTCCAGCTCTGACGGCGAAAGTTCTGACGGTGAAAGTTCTGACTCCAGCTCTGACAGCGATGGCTCGAGTTCCGACAGTTCTGACGACGAGTCGGGCAAATCGAGCTCGAGCTCTAGTTCAAGCTCAGGCTCAGACTCCGATTCTGATTCTGATTCTGATTCTGATTCTGATTCTGATTCAGGTTCTGATTCAGGTTCAGATTCTAGTTCGGATTCTAGCTCTGATTCAGATTCAGACTCAGATTCCGGCTCTAGCTCAGATTCCAGCTCCGGCTCTAGCTCAGATTCCAGCTCCGACTCAGACGAGAAGGTCGAGGAGAAATCAAAGTCCAGCTCGGACTCTGATAGCTCTAGTTCGGACTCTGACAGCTCCAGTTCTGATTCAGAGAGCTCTAGCTCCGATTCTGACAGTTCCGACTCAGACAGCTCCGACTCAGACAGCTCCGGTTCAGATTCAGACTCGGACAGCTCTGACTCCGACTCGAACAGTTCAGACTCCGACTCAGACGCAGGCTCGAATGCTGGCTCCGACTCCGATTCCAGCTCCGATTCCAGCTCCGATTCCGACTCCGACAGTGATTCCGAGTCTGAGAAGACCAAGAAGCGCAAGAAGAATTTCAGCGAGCCTTCGTCCAAAAGAAGCAAGACTGGAGCAGAGTCTCCGTCGTCGTCTTCCACAGCCTCGCAACCAGACAGTCCTAGTGGATCTTCCAGAGACTCAAAGTCGCCCATTCCAGCTCCTACAGAGACCCTGAAGCCCGGCCAGCGCAAGCATTTCTCGCGCATTGAGAAAGAAAAGGTTGCGTTCGAGGACACGGTTCTCATGGATAACGCATACAAGGGTGCCGCCGGCACGTGGGGAGAGCAGGCCAACGAGCGACTTGGCAAGGTGCGGGGCAAGGATTTCACAAAGAACAAGAATAAAATGAAGCGCGGCTCCTACCGTGGTGGATCGATCACCATGGCGAGCGGGAGCTATAAATTTCAGGATTAAATAATGTTTTAGATTAATATTAATATTTATTAAAAAAAATTTAATTATTTTTTATGGCACGGCCCAACAGGGAGATTCTTACCGGGGGTAAGAAGTATGCTCAGAAGAGGAAACAGGCCAACCGCGTGGAGGAGGTCGTGTTTGACAAAGACTCGAGGGTGCAGTACTTGACCGGATTCCACAAGAGAAAGCTCCAGAGGAAAAAGAAAGCCCAGGAATATAATCAGGAGCAGGAGCGTAAAGCACGGCTCGAGGAGCGACAACGGATCCGTGAGGAGCGCAGGCAACAGGTCCAGAAACGGCTGCAGGAGCTGAATGAGGCGCTGAAGATCCAGGGGTCTGAGGACGAGGAGAGCGAGGAGAGCGAACAGGAGGAGGACAAGGAGGAACAATGGACAGGTTTTGACTCGCAGCGGTCAGAGTCCGACGAAGAGAGCAACGCCGAGGGTGGCAAAAAGGGAATACTAAAGCAAAAGTACGAGATCGACGACGCAGACGCCCCTATTCCTGGCGTGTCTACCGTGGAGGTGGAGGCCATAGAGAACCCTAACCAGATCGATCTGATGGAGCTGGCGCGAAAAAACCGTGTTGATCTGCAGAAGGCCGAGGAGGTGCTCGAACAGTCGATCGAGCGGGCCAAAAAGTACGCTCGTTTGGTGGGGGCCGACGAGAAGCCCAAGAAGAAGAAAAAGAAGTTCAGATACCTGAGCAAGGTGGAGAGAAGGATCCAAAACCTCAAAGAGCGCAGAAAGTAGAAAGTCTATGTCTATCTATCAGATGTATTACCTAATGTTACATACTTTGCAACTCGAGGTCCGGCTCGGTCGCTGATTTCAGATACTCTGTCTCGATCTTGAGGAAGACCCAGACCCATCTTCTGAAGATCTCGAGGATCTCGAGAACAAAGTTGCCTGTCTCGTCGACGTACAACGAGCTCAGAACTGCAGCCACCCAGGAGTACTGCTCGCCCGAGAGCAGATCTGGGTACAGCAGCCTGTAGACCCAGACGAACCGCAGTTGGAGGTCGATGAAGATGGCGAGGTAGTAGAACGTGGAGGTGTACACGAGCTTGTGGCGCAGCAGCGGCAGACCGCGCTTACTAGACAGGAATCTCATGAACATCTGGAAGTTCCAGTCGTAATGCACGTCCCAGAAGAACGTGTAGGACGAGTTTATGAACACGGCAAGATACCAGATCCGCAGACCAGCCATATTGGACCGGATGAGAATATTTGCAAACAGGGGCAGGAACGCGGACGAGTACTTGATGGCGTTCATCAGATGCTGCTTATTTCTGCGCCTGCTCTGTTCATATTCGTGCAGACACTGCTTGAACCGGATCAGGGACGGATACATCGAGAGCAGGATGTCGAGGTTGTATATCTTCAAGTGGTCCTTTGTGAGCTCCTGTTTGATGTTCGGCGACGGCAGCGTCTGGTAGCCAAGAGCCAGAGCTGTCACATATACCAGAAAGTCGACGAGCACCTTGGTGTACGACGTAAATGTATCAGCCAGCAGAATATCGTTATTTCTGTGAGGAATGTCGATGTTTCCGACGCATATGCGACGCGCGGTTTCGACAAACCGTTTTCTTTCTGGTGACTGCGCGCCATACGGCCACATGAGCGTTCCAAACGTCAGCATTATGGCCAGCAGGGGGAGATATTCGAGGCCTCTGAAATACTGCTCGTTGGACACAAACAGGAGGTAGATGCTGTAATTCACAAGGTTCATGAAGGAGACTTTGTATGCAACGTTGAGACTGGCTCTGACGAGCCTGTGGTTGTCAGTTCCGCTCAGCTTGAGCACCTGGAGCGTGTCGATCTTGCACGCGTAGCAAACACGCAGGTTCAGGTACCAGAGCCAGACACCCGCGGTGACAAGCAGCAGACACTTGTACGGGAGAGGGAGCGCAAGCTCTCCGAAGGACACGGCGGCCGACTGCTGTGCTGCGCCGTGTGCGATTTCTTCTCGACGAGCAAGCATGGTGACAACACACTAACTGAAAAAAAAATAAAAAAAAATTACAATGTAAATGAATATAATTGGAGGTGACCGCTATTGGCAATACTTAGACCGCTTCAGATAAATTCGTGTTAATCCCGGCCAGAGGCTCATGATTAGCATGGTTGATCATCATTAGCGAGAACTGGCGGCCTAGACCGCCGCAGAACTACTTTTATTTCGAAAAGCACAAGATATCTGATTGTTAGTATGTGTCTCAGAATTTTCAGTGTGTTTGGCATAAAATCGAATCGTCATTGGTCTCCGTTTGGGGCGACAGCTTGTCATCACAGATACATACATTTTCAGGTTACACAGGAAGTGGTAAATATTTTTTGCTTAAGAAATATTTTCACCACTGGGAAAAACTTAATCACCCCCCACACCATGCTTATTGTTCCGTCCAATTCAAGCTACACTTATCAGAACCTGCTGGATTTGAACAATGTGGAGCGGTCCACGGAGTCGCCGCTCAGCGTGATTGGCCACATCGACATCAACGCCTACTTCGCCCAGTACGAGCAGATCAGGCTGGGCTTGACGCCGCAGGACCCCGTCGTTTGTCTGCAGTGGAACTCTTTAATTGCCGTGTCGTATGCTGCTCGCGAGTACGGCATAAGTCGCATGGACTCGCTCCAGACAGCGAAAATGAAGTGTCCCGATGTAGTGGCGGCCCACACAGCCGTTTTCAAGAAAGGAGAAGACGTCTGGAAGTATGTGGACTATTTGCCGGAGCCGGTCGACCATAAAGTTTCTTTGGAGCCGTACAGACGCGAGAGCCGCAAGATGATGCGGTTTTTCAAGGGGTTTTGCGATTCTGTGGAGAAGGCAAGTGTGGACGAGTGTTTTCTGGATCTCGGGCGGATGGTGTACCGCAAAATGATGGAGTTATTCCCGCAGCTGCGAGAAGTCCCAGAAAACCCCAGGGACACGATGCTGCCCCCGATTCCAGACAAGCTGCCGCCCGAGCTCGAGGAGACACACGGGATTTTCATTCCAGTCGAAAACGACGCTGTCATTGTGAGCGACTGGGACGACATAGCGATGATGATTGGCTCGTTGCTGGGGTATGAGCTGCGGCGCAAACTCAAGAAGGAGATGGGCTATACCACGTCTTTTGGCGTTGGCCGGGTCAAGACGGTGGCGAAGCTGGCGAGCGATTTCAAAAAGCCCAATGAGCAGACCACGGTGTTCAACAGGGCGATCGATAACTTTTTCGATAACTTTAGTCTCACGGATTTCTGGTCCATGGGAGGCAAGATCGGCCGTCAGATTTTGGAGACGCTGGAAGTTGACTCTGGCAGCCGCGAGGTGCGTTATATCAAGGATAACTTCAGCTTGGCAGATCTCACGCGCGAACTCAAGGATCCTCAGCTGGCTGAGAGACTGTACAAGATGGTGCGTGGCGAGATGCGCCAGCCGATCAAGCAGCGCACGGACGTCAAGTCCATGGGCTCGCACAAGAACTTCCGCGGTAATTCCGTGAGCAAGCCGGAGGATATACTGGACTGGTTCAAAGTATTTATCGTGGACCTGACTTTGCGGTTGCAGGAGCTGGACGAGGAAAGCGACGCGAAACGACGTCCTACCAAATTGACCCTTTACATGCGCAACCGGGCCAACGTGACGTGCTCGCGACAGTGCACGTTTCCGATCATCCGCGATCTGGACGAGATCCGCCGCAAGTGCCACGAGCTGAGTCTGAAGTTATTGAAGGAGCTGGAGGATATATGGGACGCCCAGCGCCACGGGCCCATGTTTCCGAGCACGCACGGAGGACTGGCGCTGAGCGGGTTCCAGGAACTCAGCGGGTACTCGCGGATAGACGAAATGATCAGAAGTGCTCCGAGGAGGGAGCAGGAGGAAGAAAAGCAGGAGCGCCAAGAAAAGACGGAAAATCTTCCTACAGACGAGAATTTTCTCTGTCCGCAGTGCGGGCGCGAGATGCCAGCGAGCGAGCGGACAGAGCACGAGGACTACCACTATGCCAAGACGCTGGACAGCACGCTGAACACGCAGAGTTATGGCGAGCGGCTGCTCCACGGGCGGGAGAAGCGCGGCGGCAGTGGCGATGTCGGCAGGCCGACGAAGCAGGCCAAGCAGACCAAGTCTGCCAAGCATGACGCGCGACAAGCTACACTTTTCGGTTGGAGCAAAAAAAGTTCATAGTTCTAATAATCCAAATTTTTCTATATTCATCAATTCGTATTAGTATACATCAGACCTTTTCAGTGGAGTCGTGCTGCATTTTGTGGAAGCTCGTCATGAATGCAAGACCCGGAGTGTAGTCAATGTACAGCTGGTCGACCTCCTCCAGAGTCAGGCCCTTGGTCTCTGGAACAAAGGCGAACACAAAGAAGATGGAGAAGACCACACAGCCGAAGAAGACAAATCCATATGCAAAGTGAATGGCGTTCGTGATAAATGGAGTGAAGAAGGCGATCAGGAATCCCCACAGCCAGTTGGCCGATTGGGCGATACCCATACCCTTCTGTCTAATTCTCAGTGGGTAGGTTTCCGAAACAACGACGAAGACACATGGACCCCACGTGGTGGCGAAGAAGAAGATGTACAGACACGAGAGGAAGATCATGGCGTCTCCCACGCTCTGGTTAGGATCCACGCCGAACTCGCCCTTGTACAGAATCTTGGTACCGATGGCTGCGAAGATGACCAGGCAGACGGCCATACCGATACCACCGCCGATCAAAGTGAATCTTCTTCCGAAACGGTCAACAACAAACAGCGAGCCGATGGTGGAGGCAAAGTTGACAACACCAAGAACAATCGAGGTCTCGAACGAGTCGGTCAGACCCACAGACTTGAAAATGGTGGTACCGTAGTAGAAGAAATAGTTGTCACCAGACAGTTGCTGCAGAGATTGCAAGATCACACCAACAAACAGTCTGTAGAAGATCTTTGGCTTACCGGTGAACAGCTCGCCCCACGATGCGGAACCGGCCTGGCGCTCGATCTCGATGGAGTTCAGAATAATAGCGGCCTCGTGCTCGACAAATTCAGAGTCGATTTCGACCTTGTTGACCTTGGCGATCGAGTTCTTGGCGTCCTCGAGTCTGTCATGCTCGATCAGGTATCTTGGAGACTCCGGCATGAACGTCATACCGAAGATCATCAGCAAGGCCCAGGCAAAACACAGGCCCAGTGGAATTCTCCACTGTCTCGAGTCGGTGTAGTTGTGGTACGTACCGTAGGTCGTGCAGTAACCAAGGAAGATACCAAGAGTGATCATAAGCTGGAAGTTGGAAACGAGAGCACCTCTAATCTCCTTTGGCGAGGTCTCAGAGATGAACATCGGACACAGCACAGAAACGGAACCGACGGCCAGACCAGAGATAATTCTGCCAATGAAAAATTGCACCCACGACGAAACAGAGGCGATCTGGATGACAATACCGACAATGTAGACCACCATGGTCAGCATAAGACCGATCTTTCTACCCTTAATGTCTCCAAGTCTACCAAGAGTCAGACCTCCGAGAGCACAACCGATGTTGAAGATGGAAATCATCAAACCGGTTCTCACGTTGGATAGGTAGTACTCGCCGCTACCGTTGATTTGACCGAACCGAGTCTTGAAGTCTGGCATGTTGACGAAACCAGAAATGGTACCGGTATCCCATCCGAAGACGAAACCACCGAATGCGATCAGAGAACAGAGCAGACCAGTGCCGAGATATTGCATAGCGCTCTTTCCGGTACTGATGTCCTGTTGTCCAGGCAAAGTTGCCTTGTTGTGTGCTTGGTCCTCGTACACATTCTCCGGAGGAGGAGTGACAGAGCCAATATCAGATTTTTTGGATTGTTGATCCGTGTTAGACATTTGTGTTTATGAACAGAGAATAATCTTGGGGAGAAGGGGCCATATTTATACCTTGCTTGCTGTTGCGTATTCTGCAAATTTCGGAAAAACTTTTTAATTGTCTGTTTTTCTTTTACATGCATGACGGAGAACGCAGAAACTCGGGTGGGGAGACTGTTCCGGAAAAACTTTTTCGGTTCTGCTGGAATTCAACGGGGTTGCGGGAAGGCCGTATAATTGCTCCAGCCTCCTAAAAACCTCTAGACTCATCCTCGGACTGCGTTCCGCACCCGTGTAGCGAAACCACTGTATGACAGGTGTCCATGTATTACTAGCTGCAAAATAACAGTACATCACGCGGAACATGTAAAAAACGGGTCGATGTGGTCCCCGCGCCCCGCGTCTCTCCCTCATTACCCCCCGATTTTTCCGCCTGCTGAGAGTGGAGTGGTTTTTGTTTTCCCCTGCAAAATTTTCCGGATCTGCAGAATAAGCAAAGGCAACTCTATTGTGTTCTCCATGTTTCTTTTTTGGCATGGGGAGGATTTCCCGGACCACGACCTAATATAACGTTATTCCCGCGTATTAGCTAGTAACAAGCGGCTTGCCCCAGCTTCCGCCAATAATCGCTCTGCGCCGTAATGGTGCCGTTTTGCAACCGGATCCCGTTCATCGCAGTCGCATGGTCTATCATCTCCACAGAATGCCCTAGTTGCATCATGCCCTGCACGAACTGCTCGCTTGCCGGCTTCTCCACAAATAAGGTCTCTGGAAGCAGCTGGTGGTGCAACCGTGGAAACGCAACTGTCTCCAGCAGCCCCATGTCGTAGTGGTACGTTCTGACCAGCGCTTCTAGAACAGCCGTGGTGATGCGGGACCCGCCGGCCGCGCCAATCACCATGTCCACCTTGCCCGTCGCACGGTCCACCACAATGCTGGGCGACGTCGACGACAGCGGCCTCTTGTACGGCTCGATATAGTTGTACACCGACGGCTGCAGGCCAAATGCGTTTTTCGACGTCGGAATGGAAAAATCATCCATCTCGTCATTCAGAATTATTCCGGTAACGGGGTCGTGCACCAGCGAACCGAAAAGCAAATTGACAGTGGTGGTGAGACTCACTGCATTTTGGTATCTGTCCACCACGCTCAGGTGCGAGGTTCCGTGCGGCTCGTTGGGTTGATATGCGGGCTCGTACGCCTGCCACGAGAGCGTGCCGTTGTCGTTGATTTTTCCGGCGGTGGCATCACACCACTCCTCGCTCGCGAGTCGCGAATACCGTGCATCACGGAGCTCCCGGGCCGTTTTGTTATCGCTCAAAACCCCCACGTCTCCCAAATTGCTCCGCACGCTCGCGAGCCACTTCATCGTCTCCACGAGCCGGTGCGACTCCCTCACCGAAAAGTCTCTATTTTTCGCCGGCTCGAATGTGTCTATGATTTTGAGCCCAGACAGCAACGCCAGTCCCGACGACGCCCCAGAGCTCGTATAAATGTCCAGTGCGCGCCGCGAAAAATTGTTCATCACGAGCGCCGGCTCGATCACGGCCTCGTACCGTGCAAAGTCCTCAGCCTGCAACACGCCGCCCATCCGTTGCACCTTGCGGGCCAGATGAGGAGCTATTGGCCCGTGCGGGTCGTAGAAAATTGCTGCCGAGCCGTTCTCCGCGACCTGGCGCAACGTCGCGGCCAGCTGTGGCCGTCTCATCACCTCGCCGGCCCGCAGCAGACGGCCGTCTTTGAACGCAAAATCCCAGTCGTGCCTGTTGTCGTAAAAATACGACTTGTACACCGACAGAGCCAGCCCCAGCAGCTCGTTCACCTCGAACCCGTCTTCCAAAATGTCCACAACGGGCAGGACCAGCTCCTCCCAGCTCACGTTGCCCGAGCCGTGCAGTCTGTACAGCTCATACAGCCCCTGTAGCTCGCCGGGAATGCCCACGGCCAGACCTCCAAATTTCGCCAGCACCTCGCGGCCGTTGAACATGTCCTTGTGCGCCTTCGCAGGGGCCATCTCGCGCGCGTCGATCGACACAGCGCCGTCCTCGTCGTGCTTCCGGGTGGTTATGAACGCGCCGCCGCCTATTCCCGCAGAAAACATGGTGTTTGTGGCTCCTATGCACAAACAAGTGGTGACAGCTGCGTCGGCAGCAAAACCCCCTTTCTTGAGGATTTCGACCCCCAGCTGCGAACACAGGGCAGAGTCCGACGCCACACCCCCATGGGAGCCGCGTGCCGTCAAGTTTGTCTGCGGATTCCACGTAGGGCCGCCAATAAACGGGACATGGGCTGGATATTTGGGCAGATTGGGAGGTTTGTAGCTGGAGGGCCATGACAGATAGACGACCAACAGCGCCATCAGGGCGGCCGCAGTGGCAACGAGCTTGGTCCTGTGCTTGTGGCGGAGCTCCGGCAACCGTTTGCGGCCGGCCGACGCGCCCAATAACGGCTGATCTTCAAGACCGTCCATGTATTAGTAAAGCAATAATTAAAAAAGATAAGAATATATTTTTTATAATTCCGAGTATTTTATTTTCCAGGGATTTTAAACTATACAACTATCCCTCTCTCAAATCCATATACAAGCAACTACTCATACAGTCTGGTAATCATACCAGTACCGACGGTCTTTCCAGACTCTCTGAGATTGAATCTCTGGCCAACCTCCAGAGCAACAGGGTGGAGCATCTCGCACACCATCTCCACGTTGTCTCCTGGCATGACCTGCTTGGAGTGGTCCTCCTCGGAGTCTGGGAATCTCAGGGTGACACTGACGTTGGTGGTCCTCACAAACATCTGTGGTCTGTAGTTCTCCGAGAATGGAGTGTGTCTTCCTCCCTCCTCCTTGGTCAGAATGTACATGGAGGCCAGGAACTTCTTGTAGGACTTCAAAGAGCCAACCTTGGCGACAATCATACCTCTTTGAATTTGCTCTCTCTTCATACCTCTCAGGAGAATACCTGGAGTGTCACCAGCCATGGCTTGGTCAAGCTCCTTGTGGTACATCTCAATACCGGTCACAGTGGTCTTGAGAGGAGTGGCGTTCTTGCCTCCAACAATCTCAACTTCCTCACCCTTCTTCAGCACACCTCTCTCGACAGTACCAGAAACAACAGTACCTCTTCCCGAGATGGAAAAGACCTCGTCGATAGGCAACAGGAATGGCTGCTCAAGGTCTCTAACAGGGGTTGGGATGTACTCGTCAACAGCGTTCATCAGCTTCTCGATAGCCTGCTTTCCGATCTCTGGTTGTCTTCCTTCCAAAGCACACAGAGCAGATCCCATGATGACCGGGGTCTCATCACCGTCAAAGCCGTAAGAGCTCAAGAGCTCTCTCATTTCCATCTCAACAAGCTCCAACATCTCTGGGTCGTCAATGGTGTCGACCTTGTTGACGAAGACAACCAGTTTCTGAACACCAACCTGTCTAGCAAGCAACAAGTGCTCTCTGGTTTGAGGCATTTGTCCGTCGGTGGCAGCAACAACAATAATAGCACCGTCCATCTGAGCAGCACCAGTAATCATGTTCTTGATGTAATCTTGATGGCCTGGACAGTCCACGTGCGAATAGTGTCTCTTAGGAGTTTCGTACTCAACGTGGGCAGTGGAGATAGTGATACCTCTAGCACGCTCTTCTGGAGCCTTGTCAATGGCAGAGTAGTCCAGGAAAGAGGCACCTCCGTTTTCAGAAAGCACCTTGGTGATGGCAGCGGTCAAAGTGGTTTTGCCGTGATCCACATGCCCAATCGTACCAATGTTGACGTGGGGCTTGGATCTGTCGAAAGTTCCAGCGAATCTGACAAACGAGTTGGCCACAACTCTTGGAACAGCACGCGCACCTGCAACACGGCCGAGATTCAGCGCTGGAAGCGCTCTAGTAACCAAAATAGACATAGTGCAAACAGCAAAATTTTCGTCGGAAATTTTTGGAACCTGCTTTTTTTTTCTCCAATCCCGCAGCCGCTTACGTCAGCCCATTTGGGTGACGCGATTGGTCACATGTCCACCAGCACGTATCCGTCCTCTTTTTGATTTGGCTGCTGCGACATGAACGCTTCGTAGTCCTGTGCCACCTTGTCGTTATCAGTGCTGATAAACTGCTTCAGCTTCTCGTTTATTATTGGTGGGGTGCTGGCCAGCAGAGACTTTCTCGCGTACAGCAGCACCATACCGGTATCAAAGTTGTCTGCTGAGTAGTCCCTTATCTGGTCTCTAATGGTCTCAAACGTGGACTCTGAGATGGTAAAATTCTTGCCTTCTTCCAGCTCGTAAACAAACGTGTACCAGCCCTTTTCCGTTCTGTAGCAGAATTGGCGCTCGCTGACAATGACACCCACCAGAATCCAAGGCTCCAGGTTCGTCTTATGCTCATCCAGAATGTAGTCTATGTTGTAGATGTCCATCTGCGACCGTTCCTTGTTCAGGGCCGTCAGCTTGTCTGTGTTTTGTGTTTTCTGATCCAGAATGTGGCTGGCTATTCCTTCAAGCTCTTTGGAAGCAGACTGAATTTTTTCGTCTTCGCCAAGAGAAGACAGGTGATTGAGGGTGGTCTCCAATAAGGCTGCCACACGTTTACCCTTGAACGCCTTGAGCTGCATGTTCTGGGCATTGATTTTGCTCACCTCTTCTCTTAACTCGCTGATCCGCTGGAATTTATCTACCACTAGCTTCTCATACTCGGATGTGTAAATTTGCGGGAAAAACTCCTCGGTGAGCTCAAAGCCGCCACCGGGAACAGTGTCGCCGTTTCCTTCAAAGCTGATCGTCAAAACATCACTCAGCCGCACGAAGCCGTGCTGCGCTATGCGGCTCAGATCCTTGCCCCATAAAAGCGAGTGCATGATACGGTAGATGTCTTTGTAAAAATAGTTTGACTCGACAGGGAAGATGCGGTGTGTCTGGGTTTCGTCGTTCTCAAATTGGAACCGCGACGTGAACAGGTCGGTCAGCCGCTCCTTGGAGGTCCAGCCTAGTTTACCAAACAGCTCGATGATGGTGCTGTAGATAAACTGAATGAACTCCGAAATGCTCTCATAATCGTCTGTAATCAGTTTCGCACTGGCGTCGATAAGCGTCCTAATAGACGAAAATGCTCTTTTCGAGTCCGCAGAAAGAAACGCTACGAGTCTTTGCACCTCCATGGTCACGTCCGCGTTCGAGAGACACCGCTCTTTTTTCCACCAGTACGGCGAGTACCCGTAGTCCTCAAACTCATGCTCTAAGACCGTATCTCTGAAAGCGGGAATGTTGCTCAGAACCATCAACAAAGGCGCAAAATAGCCCTCTAGAAGATCAACTTTCACCGGAAGCAGAACTCCAGGCACTTCTGGTGCTCTTTTGTATCGCGAAATGTCGTCGTAGACGTCATATTTGGGCAGAACCTCGTGCTCCGACTCGTCAGAGTCCAATTGGATCTCCCGATTCTCTGCGCCGTAGCCGTAGCTGGCAATCTTATCTTTGATATCGTCCTCAATTGGGATCGCCGTAGAGGCGCTGCGGCCGTCCTGGACGGGCCCCAAGACTCCCGATTCGGATTGCTCACTGTAGGAGGGCAACTCTCCAGAGGAGTCCGCGTAGATATAATTGACCGCGGCCTCAATGTTATTATTGGCCCGCTCGAGCGCAGAGCGTGCAACAGATGCGTCAAAGCCCATATTCACAAGGCTGTCAATGTTGTCCTGCAGAGACATGCTAACAAGAGATGTATTTTTGTACAAAATTTGGTCTTTATCTTTGAAGCACTATACACCCTTACACCGCAAAATAGGACAACGCCGTCCACACGCACTAAAACACATCCGGGAGCCTCTCGATCACGTACGAGTGGCTACCAACGCTCATGATCGGCACACCGGGCACCTTCCGTATGCGTCGTTTGAGGTCTGCGTCGTTGGTGGCCACGATGTAGCACTTGTGTTGCATTACCCGGTGCACCAGGCAGTCGTCCGCGTAAGTTCCCTTGTGCGAGCACGTCAGACGTTTGATCCGGGGGTCTTTGGCGAGCGTGAGTGCTATTCTGTATCTGTGGCCCAGTTTTTCGAGCTCGGCCATGACACAGTCTGTCACAATCGGAATACATTTGGCATAGAGACAGTCCATCATGCCGCGCACTATATCGATCTTCTTTTGGATGCTAAAGTTGAAGAAGTTGGTATCCACCAGCACCTGGTAAGGCGGCTTGATTGCCTCGTTGTACTGGAAAAAGAGGGCAGACGAGACCTGCGGCACCTCCTTCACGAGCTCCTTGTCGGTCGTCTGCTTTGGTTTGTCTGCATTCTCCTTTTTTCTCGGGTCGTTCTTCGAAAGAACCCGTTTCACCTGTGCGAACTTTCTAGTCTTCTTGGCCTTGCCCATGATAATTAACTGAATATTTTTTTTTTTTAGATCTGATAATTTTTTTAACATCTTATGTAATCTTTTTAAGGATCTTGTCTTCCCTCCTTCTTTTAGCGCCAAGCATGTCTCTAGCCAAATCTCTAGTTCTCATGACAGAGGAGACGCCAAAGGAGCTGCCCCACTATGCCCGTCCCACCTATGCCTCTATCCGCAAATCCAAGACAGGCAGCCCCAGACCCGAGCGTCCTAGGACGGTACGCACTAGACCCCCAACGGGGATGGAACTGAAGCTGGGCTCACCCAAAACGCTTCAGCCGGAAAACAAGTCCTCCAAGATCCGCCAGGGAGTGTGGAATCTGTTCAGAAAACCGTCCCAGGAGACAGAAAAACCCGCTTCCGGCGAGGAAAACGAGGATCACCACGGCGAGCCAGGAGACCTGAAAGACAAGGTCTTCGCTGCCGTTGCACCCAAAAAGTCGGCCACAGATGAGTCTTATTCCGTGTCAATTTTTGACGACTACGCACACCAAAACCCAGATATCATCCAAGTGGCCAACAATCTCGCCAGACAGGCCCAGCTGGAAATAGACCAGAGCGAAAACATTTATAGAGGCGGCCCGCTGCAGAAGCTGAGCATAAACGAATATTTCGTGCCCCCCGAGGTGCTCTTCAGGTCCGTGGGCGACCGCACATACATCCCTGTGGCCGAGTATCTCGACCTGTTGCACAAATACGCCAGCCTGTGCGACCGGCTGAAGCACACGGCCGGCGGTCACGTGACTGGCCTATGATCAAAAAGTTTGAGAAATCCCTTTTTTTTTCGTGAAATATTGTTTATAGAGAAAATAATATGGCATCTCTAGAAAGCTTTGTTACAAGGCTGCAGGACCCGAGTCTGGACCTGGCCGCGCAGCACGCCGTCCTGTCCGAGCTTTGTGATACTCTAGAGACCTACAATGGTGCCCAGGAATACGAGCATTTTCTCAAGAGCCTGATGCCGGTTTTCTTCCAGCTTTTGGAGTCCGTGCCCGTCAGCATGGTATCCAATTCGCCTGAGCAGAAGCTGCGGCATTTGGTGCTGGACATCATCCACCGTTTGCCTGTTAACGAGGCATTCCAGCCGTACAGCGTCCAGGTTCTGGACGTGTTGACAAAATTGATCAGAGAGGAGAACGAAGAGAACGGAATACAGTGTATGAAGATCATTGCGTCGCTGCACAAGAGCTATAAAACCAAGTTTGCCGACAGGGTGCAGGAATTCATCGATATTTTGCAGGAAATCTACAGCAACATCGCGCAAGTAGTCGACGAACAGTTTGGCGAGCACGGCGAGTCCTCGGCTCCACCGACGAGCGGCTCGCCTGGCTCGCTGGAGTTGGAGGAAAACACGTCCAAGACGCTGTTTAGGGCGACTCACTCGTTCAAAATGATCGCCGAGTGCCCGATAACGATGGTCTCGCTGTACTCGTCGTACAAGGAGATCATCGACGACTCGGTTGCCAACTTTATTCCGCAGGTCATCGGGTTGCTGAGATTGCAGGCCAAAAAGCAACAGGAGGCCCATGAGGCCGCCAAGGCGCGCGGCGAGTACGTCACCGGGGTGACGAGGGAGATCAAGAACCGTGCTTTATACGGCGACTTCATCCTGGGCCAGGTCAAGGCGGCGTCTTTTCTGGCGTACGTGTTTATCCGGCGCGGGGCCAACTCTGCGCTCGAGCCGTTTCTAGGCGAGATTCCGGACCTCATCGTGCGGCTGTTGCAAGACTGTCCGCCAGAGCTTGCCACGGCCAGAAGAGAGCTTTTGCATGCCACCAGGCACATCTTGTCGACCGAGTTCCGCACGTTATTTTTGCCCAAAATGGACCTTCTATTTGACGACCGGGTGATCATCGGCGAGGGCCTGACTGCACACGAGACACTGCGGCCGCTCGCGTACTCTATCGTCGCAGACTTTATCCACGTCAATGGCAATCTGTCGACAGACCGCATTTGGAAGAGCGTCCAGCTATACTGCGACCATCTGCAGGACCCGACTCTGGCGCAAACCGTGCACATCATGAGCGCCAAGCTGCTCTTGAACCTCGTGGACCGCATTTTGAAGCTGGACGACAAGGAGGACGCGCGCCAGCTGTTTCTGATCATGATCAACGCATTCGTGAAGCGGTTTGCGCTGCTCAACAGACAGTACACCGACATTGTGCAGCAACACGAGAGTTTTGTGCAAAAAAAGGAACAGAAACGCGTCGATAGCCTTTCCTGGCGCAGCAAGGCAGAACATCTTACCGGCAAGCCTCTGTTTGGTGCGGAGGAGCCGAAACCAGAGCCGAGACCAGAATCCACGGACACCGACGCCATGGACGTCGATTCGCCAGAATACACGTTCCACGAGATGCAGCGCGACGTGCCGATCCACCTGGCGCAGCCTTCGCCGCAGGACCCGCTCGAGAGCGCCAAGTACCTGTTCCGGACGCTGATGACGTTTCTGAAGTCGATTTTCTACGGGTTCCGCAGTTGCAACCCGCCCCCGCAAAAGGAGTACACGCCGCAGGTTTGGAACGACTGTGCGCGGATCGTGAGCAGCGAGGAGGTCAACATACTGAAAGAGCTGTTCCGCGAGTGCATTTTTGGGCTGCGGTTTTTCCAGAGTTCGAAGCCCGTGCTCAACAGCGCGCAGCTGAAGCAGACGTTCGACGTGAGCGGGCCAAACCTGCCGATAACCTCGTCCAAGGAGGAAAAAGACCTGATGGAGATCCTGGCCACCATGTTCATCTATCTGGAGCCGTCCGCGTTCAACGAGGTGATGCAGTCGCAGCTGGAGCTGATGTTCGACGCGATGCTGAAAAACGCCGCGCTGCTGCACATCCCGCAGTTCTTCCTGGCCAGCGAGACCACGACGTCCAACTTCTCCGGCATACTGATCATCTTCGTCATGTCGAAGCTCGGCGAACTCGGCGAGATGGACATCGTCAAGTCCAACATCCTGATCCGGCTGTTCAAGCTGTGCTTCATGTCGGTCAACCTGTTCCAGGCCGCCAACGAGACCGTCATTCTGCCGCACCTCAACAAGATGATCCTGCGCTCGCTGGAGTACACCACCACCGCCAAGGAGCCCATCGTGTACTTCTACCTCATCCGGACGCTCTTCCGCAGCATCGGCGGCGGCAGGTTCGAGGCGCTCTACAAGGAGATCCTGCCGCTGCTGCAGGTGCTGCTTGAGTCGCTCAACAGACTCATCCAGACCGCCAGAAGACCACAGGAGCGCGACATCTACGTCGAGCTGTGTCTGACCGTTCCTGTGCGGCTGAGTGTGCTGGTCCCGCACCTCAGCTACCTGATGCGCCCGCTGGTGTATGCTCTGAACGGCTCGCAGGAGCTCATCAGCCAGGGCCTGCGCACGCTCGAGCTCTGCGTCGACAACCTGACCGCCGAGTACTTCGACCCGATCATCGAGCCCGTCATCGAGGACGTGATGAAGGCGCTCTGGAAACACCTCCGCCCGCTGCCCTACTACCACCAGCACTCGCACACCACGTTCCGGCTGCTCGGCAAACTGGGCGGGCGCAACCACAACTTCATCGGGCTGCACCACGATTTGCAGGGCAGCACGGCCACCAACCAGGAACTGGAGGCGCTGTTCCGCATCGAGGGCCTGCCAAAAGAGACTCCGGTGTCCATCACAGCAGGCATCTCCACCGCGCTCAACACCCTCGTCAACACCCGCTACAAGATGCACTACCGCGTGAGCGCCTTCAGATACCTCTCTGCCGTGCTCAAGCTCTTCATCGACACAGACGACGTGCCACCAGACCTCGCCGCACGCATCCAGCAGGTGATAAGTCACGTGACCGACGAAGCGAGGGCCAAAGAGCTGGGCGCGAGCGGCGAGATCGCGCTCTCGCCGGACAACGTGAAAGACCCGGCGCGGTTCACGCGGCAGGAGGAGCTGCTGGTGCGGCTGCTCGAGGCGCTGTTCTACGCGGTGTCGATCGAGGAGGTGCGCGACGAGGCGCGCGCGCTGATCACAGGGATCTGCGAGCACTACGTGCTGCTCTTCTTCGGGCGCACGATGGTGGACGCGTACAAATTCAACCGCAGGTTCAGTGTGGGCGACCACGAGGGCAAGAAGTCGCTGAACGAAAACACGATTTTCGACGCCATCTCGTACGCTCTCAGCTTCCACATCAAGGCCGTTCGCGACACGGGCGTGGACGCCGTGCGCACGATATTCAACGCGTGTGTGACGCTGTTTGGCAGCATCGACGACGCGATCAAGTTCCTGCCGATCCGCCGCATGTGCTCCAAGTTTGTGCACTGCTGCTTCGAGGAGGCGTACTACACGAAACTGGGCGGGTGTCTGGGGCTGCAGACGATGATGTACGAGCTGGACATTCCTGTGCAGTACTTTGCGCTGCGGCAGCTGGAGATCTGCCGCGCGATGTTCTTTGTGCTGCGCGACACGCCGCCGGACGTGCCGTCGGAAGTCTGTCGCGTGGCGAAGCAGCTCGTGCTCAAGCTGCTGAACGACTGCAACCGCGAGGTGTCCAAGGAGGCGGTGTTCCAGCAGCCGTTCCAGTCGGTGGTGAGCCAGATCGTGTTCGATCTGAGCAACTCGAACCCGAACGTGCGCGAGACGGCGCAGGACGCGCTCGAGACGCTGTCGCACGTGACCCAGGTCCCCGTCGCGACAATGATCTCGCCTAGCAAGGGCATTCTGCTGGCGCCGATCTTCGGCAAGCCGCTGCGCGCGCTGCCGTTCCACATGCAGATCGGCAACATTGATGCCATCACGTTCTGTCTCGGGCTCGAGGACACGTTTCTGGAGTTCAACGACGAGCTGAACAGGCTGCTTTCCGAGGCGCTTGCGCTCGTCGACGCGGAGGACGAGTCGCTGATCAGCGCGCACCGCATTTCCGAGCACCGCACGTCCGAGCAGCTCGTCAAGCTGCGTGTCGTGTGCATCAAGCTGCTGTCGCTCGCGCTCACCAAGCCGGCGTTTTCCAATGGCAACCCGCAGATCCGGATCCGGATCCTCGGCGTGTTCTTCAAGACGCTGTGCGCGAAGTCGTCGCAGATCATCAACGCCGCGCACGCCGGCCTCAAACAGGTGCTGTCGCAGAACTCGAAGCTGCCCAAGGAGCTGCTGCAGAGCGGTCTGCGGCCGATGCTCATGAACCTGTCGGACCACAAGAAACTGTCTGTGTCTGGGCTCGAGGCACTGTCGCGGCTTCTCGAGCTGCTCATTTCGTACTTCAAGGTCGAGATCGGCCGCAAACTGCTCGACCACCTCATGGCCTGGGCCCAGCCGCAGACTCTGCAACGCATTGCCCTGCAGGAGCTCGACAACAACTCGACGGTCCAGATCATCGTCGCCATCCTCAACATCTTCCATCTGCTGCCCCCACAGGCGTACACTTTCATGGAAGAGCTGCTCAGCACGCTGCTGTACCTCGAGACACACCTGCGCCGCCACCAGACGTCGCCGTTCCGGCTCCCGATCGCCAAGTTCCTCAACCGGTTCAGCGAGCACTCCGTCACGTACTTTGTCCAGAAGTTCAGCTACAGGACGTACGGCTGCTGGCTCGCGTACTTTGTCGGCCTGCCGGACTCGCCCGAGCTCCGCAGCCAGGTCCGCGCACAGCTGGACACTTTTGCGAAGAGCCTGGCCGACGAGCAGGACCAGAACGTGCGCTACGTGAAATTTGCCAACCTGGTGGACCTCGTTGCCGCGATCGCGCACGAGGACCGCGACTGGCTCAAGCAGCAGCAGCCGCTCTTCCAGCAGCTTTTCGAC